ATACTTTCACTGACACGCGCCGAATCCGGTCGCTTCATCTCGATTCATGTCCTCTTCTTTCAACGAACGCCCTGCGCACCGCGCAGCGCGCGCAGGCGCGCGCAAAATTTAATACAAAATCTAAATTGTATTTAAATTTAATACCGAAAAATCGTGCATGCGCGTAAAAAAATGGATTTTAAGGATAAAGTGCCTAAAAAATTTTTTGGGCCGAATGTCCTCGACCATCATACGCGCAAACGCATACGTCGGTGTGCATAATATAAAAACAACAAAAACGCGTCTCTCTCTTCTGTTTAGACGAACGGAGTAAAATCGGTATGGCGTAAGGCGAGGCTTTTTCCAGTAAAGGGATGATAGTACAGTTGTGCGCGGTATAGTGCTGCGAGCCTACGCCTTTTTGTCTCTCTCTCTCAAAAGGATAATTGCTACCCGCATTTGTGTATTATTGCACATAGCGTGCAGTACGTGCGTGTGTGTGTGCTTGTGTGCGTGCACGTTTGCGCGTATAGACAGAGAGCACCAACGCTTACTTTTCATTCCTTTTCTGTACGGGTAAAGGCGGTGAATGCAGGATGGAGGAAAAAAGGAGTGTGTCACTAGATCATCGTAACATCCTCTTACGCCAGAAGACTTACTCTTTATTGCCATCATATCATTTAAACGGAAAAGGATTTGTGGTCACAATAGCAGCTCATCCAGAAAAAAAGCTTGCAAGTATTTGAATCAGGAAGTAAAGAAAGGAGTGGCTAATCAATATACACGCATCTATTTCAAGCTCTCCGCGTAATCGGTATCTTTTCCATCTCTCTTTGGAACCTCACTTACACAACTTTTTCATATCCTTTATCGGGTTTGCGTTGTGATTGTGCGATACCTCAGTCCGATTTCAGAGAAGAAGAGGGGTCCGAGCAATATTATTCGTCCGCCTCCACCACCACCACCCATCGATTTGATAAGCCGGTGTACCGCATTCACAGCAAAATTGACTGCAATTCATTCTGGCGATCGTACCCGACAACCTATTCTCGGAGATATTGAAATTCATTCGTTCTTTAAGGAAGAATCGCCGTACTGAATGACAAGTGTCAAACGTTGTATACCCAAAGCAAAACAAGTTTATCCATCACAATGATGGAGATAGGGTCAGGAGCGCCAATAGCACCCTCTAGATCACAATATCAACAACATCACAAAAGATCATCTTCGGGTTCATTGGCAGCAATGACTGGTGGAGCTTCACCTTCATCATCCGCACTTGCTTCTTCTTCTGCCAATCCTCAATGGTCAGCTAGAAATCGAATGGTATCCGCCTCCTCTGCTCGATCGCATCAAACTGCATCAGAAGATCTAAGACCTGCACATTTGGATCTTTCAGCACTATCGTCTTCCGAATACGATGTATACCCACAATGGCTACAGACCATCAAACCGGCAAGGAGCGGAGAACCGGATCATGTTGAAGAACAGGACGCATTGCGATTTTTGAGGGAAGAATGTGGGATAGAGGTACACGATGAAATAAAGGTAAGTTTGTCATATGCTTTGAAGTGCTGTGCAAAAGAGTTGTCCATTGACTGTGTTTCTTTTTCTTTTGCCCCGAATCAGATATTGTCTCTATTTGAACGATTTCCCCTGGGGTTGTTGCCGGGGCACTTTTACGCTCTCTTACGGCTCGCTTCATGGGTTCAACAAGGTGAAATTCCAAGCAAAAACCTATTATTCACCCAAACTGATCCGCCAAGAATTCGATCAGAGAATGGAAGTGGAGAGCTGGATCACTCTTTAGGAGAAACTTCAATACTAACAGATCGGTCACAACGTAATTCGATGCCACCATCCTCAACGATAGGCCATCTGAACAGGAATACACGATCTGTACCGCCACCTGCAGGTTTGAATGAACATAACGCAATTTTGGCCTCCTCTACTGGTATGCAACAAAGGCAACCAGTCTTGCAAGAACCTCTCTTGCCGGTAAGCGAAATAAGTATAGTTCACTCTAATGATGGAACAGCACCTCCGCCAGTGCCCGATGATTCACACAAGCCAATCAATCCATTCAGACCGTCTTCGCAAACGCCACATTTGATCACGCCACACATTTCTGTTGCGCCGCCACCTTCTTCATCTATGCCACCAATGGGAGGAGCAGCGATAATGGGTTTTGATCCAGCACCAAATCCATTCAGGCAGAGCAAACCAAAATTGGTCAAACCGACACCAATTGTGGCAGATTCATCAACGCAAGTGCTAGGAAGACCTCCTTCAGCAGCTATTGATCCTTTCAAATCTGGACAATCAGTCTCTTCACGTGGTGGTTCATCAGTATCAGGTCGCTCTTTGCGGGATTTAAGCCCGCTTAATGAGCTCAAGCCACCTCCTTTGCCTCCTCGTCATATTTCACCTTTGATTCAAGCAGGTTTGAACGCTCGAAGTCAAGTGAAGAAGAAGCAAGACGCACTTCCACCAAAGACATTTACCGTTTTGCAAAGTACACAATCACGTCATCCAGCTGAGAAACCTCGTCTGTTGACCGGACAGGCTGCACCTCCTCCTTTACCATCCAAGAGGAGAAGTATTACGGACACACGCATTTCTGGATCAAGCCTTACGGGCGGACAGGGTGATACGTCAACATCTAGGATTAGCGATCATGTGCCTGATAGGCGGGTTGGCCCATTGCCTGCACCTATAGCACCCAAGCCTAGCTATGGTGGAAAGAGTAAGACAGGAGTGCCGGCCTGGCTGCGTGAGCAAGAAGAGCTGCAAAAGACGACATCACTCGATCATCACAATGAGCCTAGTACGCCTCCACGTGATGGTCATAGCCGATCAACGTCTCATTCAAAACGAACAAAGAAGAAGAGAACTACTTCAGAAGCTCAACGTATTCAATTCCTTGATGATGACTCTTCAAGTTCCGAGAATGAAGAAGAAAGTACATTGAGCGAACAAGCTCGCAGTGCTGCATCGATTGATCGGAACAATCCATTCTTCCAACATGGAAGAGATGTTGAACGTAGTGTAGATTTGGAAAAGAGTTTAGGCAAATTGGCCGTCGAAAATGCAGTCGCAAAAGCAGAACACGAATCACGTATGAGCGTGAGAGCATCTTCTGAGACGTCTACAACCAAAGCACTTGAAGGATTGGACAAGAGACCGCTTGGCAGAAGTAAGACGACTCGTGATAGCATTAGCGGACGTGGAATGTTACCACCAGCCGTACCGCCGAGAAAGAAGACGGAAGTCTTCCCAGCAACGTTTAATTCGGGAACTTATCCAGGCTTTGGTCGTTCTGTTCGTGTTGAAGGGCCTACAGTAGGAGGATTGCGACAGAATCCTACTAGTAGAAAAGCAGAAGTCGGTATTCCAGCTCATGTTTTGGCAGAGAGGGAAAAGATGGAACGAGAAAGACTTTTGGAGCGTTCGTCTACTGCACCTTTGCCGCACGATATCAACGGGACAGTGATCCGACCTCCTCCGCCCAGAAGGACAAGCTCTTCGAGTCAAAAGAGTAATAGCGATAGCAAAGCCACCCTTTCACCTAGTGACGAAACATCACCTTCTTCTCTGCCACCTTACACTACGACTAAAACACGCATCGATCTGATCACCGATTCAATCAAAGAAGATTTTGAATCGTTAGCCGAAAGGAATTCATGGTTAGCAAGTATTGCTGAACGAGCAAAAGGTAGGCCTCTGAATGAAGCAAGAGTTGGTCTGATGAGCGAGGAAGATGATCAAAATGATGAACCAGAAGTGGATGAGCATTATTTGCTCGAACAACGTCGTCAAAAGCAGCAAAATCAATGGCAGCGTGGTAATTCGATTGATGTGATACGCGAAGAAGAGAGTAGTCCACCCGGTCGTCGCACACCATCTTCAACACCGCACATTTCGTTAAGTCAGAGAAGAGCTACTGATTCGATTGCAAAGCGAAGTATGAGCGGTGTAGGCGGATTGGCAGGATTGGTGCGAAGGAGTAGTCTTTTAGCACGCGGAAGCTTTGGAGCGGATGATGTTGTTTCGAGTGATACTGATGATGAAGATCAAACGCCAAAGCGAGAAAAGTCTACTTTTTTGGATAATCACACCAACGGCAACACAACAAATGCAAAAGCTCCCAATGTAGATGCAGAAAAGACTGGCTCAAATGAAGAAAGTCGAAAAGCAGAAGGCTGGCAACAATTGTCGTGATTGGTTGTCATATACCCCAGATTTTTGCACCAAGAGACACACACTGTCTCGTTGGTGTTTTCCCTTTTATATATTTCAAAGCAAGATTGTTTTTTCTCGTGCATGTTTCTCTTTTTTTGACTTTCTTCAACTTGTTTTTAATATTCATCACCATGTTTTCGTATAATGTAATGCAAATCTTGCACTGTGTTGAAAAATTGCGTTTTTTTGAGTTTGATAGAGAAGCAAGCAAAATTTTAATCCTCGTTTTGATATAAATAATCTATTTGTACACATACACACGATATATTGTTGCAAATCTTTTTTTGACACTCCCAAAAGACAGTTTTGCAATGCGTTTTGTTTGGGGCAAAATTTAAACAGCCGATTGTCTTGCCCCTGCAAGTTTGTCGACAACCTGTGGTGATGGGGAAGGGAGGATGTCAGTGAATCGATCGGATGCTGGAGCATAGAGATACTTACTGCACTGACACCCGGTGCGTTGAGCAGCTGTCCGATGAAGGGTAGTTGACGTAAGAAGTTTAGGATAACAGGGAAGAAGTCGCTGGAAGAGGAGAGGAGAGGAATGGGCTGGTGAGTGACGTGTTGCCTAACAGCATTAATGCATAATACGTACCCGAACAAATTAATGAAACCAATCACTTCAACAATCATACCCAAAATTGTCCATCTTGCAAAAACCATCAACATTCCCAAAAAGAAACAAATTGTACCGCGTATCTTTTGTTTACGTGCAAAAAAGTAGAAGGTTTTTTGTGGTCCGATCAATAACGTTATCCCGCTTGTGAACAAGACATTTCCTAATGCTAATAGAGGTCCATCAAAGAATAGGATGATCCCTAGGAACAAAAAGAATGCTCCGAATGATACCAAACCGGCACCGATTTCTATGTGGGGGAAAAGAGGAGATTAAGCGTCAGTTGTCTGATATCCGGTCCACATTCAAGGAGCCCTATCACATACTTTGCTGATCTGTTAGCCACATGATTGATTGAGGGATTGTGTCGTGTGTTTAGAGGCAAGAAGCTATGTTTATCACAATGATCCCGAAAGAGGAACGAACGAATTCTGAAAAAGGACAATGCGTATCGACTCTCTTGCACCGCATACATTCACACGCACACAACACATACACAGCACAACACACGACAACCTCTCTCTCAAACGCGTATTCCAATGGCTGGCTTCCACGCTTCCTCTTTAAGATGCTGAGCGACAAACACGTGCGAGAGGCGCGTGAAGTCAGATGCTCATGACCTTTGACCTGATGAAAGAGGGAGTCCAATTATTGTTGCTTTATATGAGTATCATCTTTACTACGAAGGTGCAAAGCTTCAGACAGCCCTCCTCTAAGAGGTTGAGGACGATTTCAATGGAGTGGAATAAGTTATAAGAAGAAGAGACGCTGAAGCTTAAAAAGAGGAAGCTAGAAGCACTAATGAGTTATAGAATATACCAACTTATATAAGCAGATAGACGACTACATCACCATCTATTGAGTATGATATGATCTATCTAATTATGTTGGGAGATGATTTGGTAACTGATCGGAAGGGGCATGAATAGAATTCCGAGTGTAGTCTATTTTATTCGGCCACTTTAATCCGATTTCTCGGGAGTACCTTATCGGTATGAATATGAATTTCAATTTAACTTTTTCTTGTGCAGGTGATAAACGTGTGTGTTGCTATTAGCGTGTAAAATAATAATATAAAGGCACAAGACGTGCTTGAGTGTATGTACGCCACGCCACAACTGATAGCATTCTTTTGGGGGACATGTGCGTCTGACATTATGCACAGAAGCATAAAAACAGTCAAACGCTTTATGAGCTTAATCCTCATTCTTCATTGGTTCCTTCTTTTCTCTTGTTTTTTGACTTTCAGATCTGTTTAGCTTCATTTTATCGGCATATTATGTGACCCTGCTCCTTCTCCCTTGAACAAAGGGTTTTCCGAACTCTAAAGTGCTGGAAATGGTATGGCTAAAAGTGAAAATTGCATTATACTTATCAAATCAAATCACTTTTTAGTCCGTGCACAATCGAACGGAGACACTTCATAATGTATGATAACGGCCATCTGATCAAATGCATGTGTGGGTCAAAAGACATTTGGCGTACATGGACGGCACCGTTTATCTTCAAATAGCCAATCAGATCGCAACCAGAACACTGCCTATTCTCACCCCTGTCAGTCAGGGTCTTGTTTTTGCGTAGTGTTTTCCGTTAAAAGTTGGGATTCGCACTGGCTTCATACCCATTGATCGGCCATAATCGCACGTACCACTCCTCCTCCAACGGCTAGTCCGAGAAGAAAGAACAATTCAGGCACATTATCTCTATAATTGCAATTAACAGTGCTCAGACTTTTGTATTGTTCGCTGGCAGAAATAAGAATATATAAATGTGATCAAATTCAACTTCCCATTCTTCTCTCAGTTCCTCAACTTTAAGTTTTTTCTACCCATACTCACACAAACAAAAATGGTTCCACCAACAGCATCTTTCATCAACACAGCTCCTGCTGCTAGCTCAATCCCTTCTCCTGCAGAGATTAAAGCAAAGCAAGCAGCAACTCAACGTGAAAATGTTTTCACAATGCCACGTCAACATTACGAAATCAAACAAGGCAAAGAACCAAAAGAAGATTGGAATGGTCAATATCAATTTGCCGAAATTAAAGAAAGCGTTACTTCACGTGCAATGACTTCACGTTATTATGAAGATATGATGAACGCTGCCGTGAGTGATGTTGTGATTTTGGGTGCAGGTTCGGCTGGTTTGTCTTGTGCATACACTTTGGCAAAACAAAGACCTGATTTGCGTATCACAATCTTGGAAGCTTCCGTTGCACCCGGTGGCGGTTGTTGGTTAGGCGGTCAATTGATGAGCGCAATGGTTGTTCGTAAACCTGCTCATAATTTATTGGACGAATTAAAGATCCCATACGAAGATGAAGGTACTCATGTTGTAGTCAAACATGCAGCTTTGTTCACTTCAACAATTTTAAGTAAAATTTTGGAATTGCCAAACGTCAAGCTCTTTAACGCAACTTGTGCAGAAGATTTGATCATCAAAAAAGACGCTCAAGGCGTTCAACGTGTAAACGGAGTCGTTACAAATTACACTCTCGTCACAATGGCACACGGTTTGCAATCTTGCATGGACCCACAAACAATCACTGCACCAGTCATTTGCTCTTTCTGCGGTCATGATGGTCCTTTCGGTGCTTTTGCTGTAAAACGTTTGGAAAGTGCAGGTTTGATCAAATTGGGGGATATGAACCCATTGGATATGGAACAAAGTGAGGGTTTGATCGTTAACAACACACGTGAAGTCGTTCCTGGTTTGATCTGTGGTGGAATGGAACTCAGTGAAGCTGATGGTCATCCAAGAATGGGTGCAAGCTTCGGTGGAATGTTGGCTTCAGGTGTCAAGGCTGCCTTGGATGCCGTCAAGTTGTACGACAACCTTGACCACGAAGAAGGTGAAGTCAAGGGCTTGCGTGCTTGAGCTTCTATCATTTTCATAACACATGTACATTTTATGCCTCAGACGAAAGAGAGAGAGAATATGATTTATTAGTCATTATGTGCATTGAGAGTGAGACATGAGAGTTTAATGAATACAGGGAAAGGAACATTGGTGAACGAATGATTTATTCTTCATCGACAATGAGTGTCTTGACAGAGAATTTGGTGCGGTCGGCAGCATGTTCAACAGCTTCTTTAGCACGTTCCAATGGGAATTGAGCTGTGACGATCTTCTTGACATCAATCTTTCCAGCAGAGACCAAACGAATTGCTCTTGGCCATGTATCACGGTATCTGAACAAGAACTTGAGTGTGATTTCGTTTGTGGAAAAGTGCATGAAGGGGAAGTTTTTCAGGAAAGAAGAACCAACACCGATCACAAACACCAAACCACTAGGTTGGGTTGCATAACCGGCAGTTGCGATACTACTTTCGACACCAGTGCATTCCATCGTGACGGCAGGCATAACTTCTCCATTCAATCCTGTACCTCCAACACCGGAGCAGGCTTTTGTGAACGTTGCAACGATTTCACGAGCAGTTTCTTGTTCGGTCTTGCTCAAATCGATCTTGAATGGAATCACTTCTGGTACGACTGTCTTAGCAAAGTCTAGACGTTCTTGTGAAAGATCGGTGATAACGATTGGAGAACAACCTGAGGCGTTTGCACACATCAATTGAACAACACCAATTGGTCCTGCACCTGTGATCAAGCATGGTTGACCGAGACGTAATTGAGCTTGAGCGGTTGCGTGCAAGCAAACCGAAAGAGGTTCCAAAAGTGCAATTTCAGCATAAGACATTGTTTCGGGAACTTTGTGTAACCAACCGGCAGGGTGCAAATGATATCTTCTCAGTGTACCATCAGCTGGAGGAACACTATAGAAGTCAACTGAAGGACAAAGGTTATATTGACCTGTCAAGCAGAAGTTGCAGGTTGCCTTTCCACATGGAACTCCAGGTTCAATTGCAACACGATCGCCGGGTTTGACGTTAACGACACCTTCTCCGACTGCGATCACAATACCTCCTGATTCGTGTCCGAGTGCTGTCTTGTCAGTGATCTTCCAAGGACCTAAACCTGCATGTTTCCAGAAATGAACGTCAGATCCACAAACACCTGTTGCACGAACATGAACTAATGCTTGTCCAGGACCTGGCATTTGTGCTTGACTCTTGACTAGTTCCAACTTGGATTCATGAGTGGCCATCAAGGTAAGGTTTTCCTTGAGGGAGAGCTGTTGAGCAGCAACGACTGCAGGAGCAGCAGCAACGGGTGCCATATTGAATATGTTTAGGATAGGGACAAGTGTCGTACGACGATAGGTACGATGAAGGATGAAATTATGAAAAAGATTGGAGAAAGATGAAGGAGATGAAGCAAGGACCAATTTAAGATTTTATGATTTTGACTTGACCGAATATCATCACCATTTCCACTGTCGGACCTCGTTCCTTGTTGTCGTTTGCCGGTCTTACTTTGATTGTGTAGAAGAATATATGCATTTTCGAAATTTAATCAAGTGGTCATGTACCCCACCCCCACGCTTCCGCGGGTGTGAGGATTTTCAGCTCGGAAGACTGAAATTGTGCTCTCGCGTAAATGGCTCCGTGGTATGCAACTTTAAAATAATATGCGTACATTATAAAGTGTTATTTGGCACTTTAACACTGTTTTCGGTAAACTCTGATCATTTTTTATAATATCGGAGCATAGAACAACACCTTTAGGGCTGAAGAGGGAGGGATGACCGAAATCATACTGCACACACACGCTTTAGTGGCAAGAGATTCCCGAACGCATTCATTCTACCAACAAACAACCAATGAGTGTGTACCTTTTCTACGTCAAACCATTCGGACATTTTTCTCATTCTTGACATTCATTGTGTGTATTGTATCATGTGCACAGATTGATTATATAACGGGATATCGGAAAAAGGAGTGAAGAGAAGACGAAAGAAAGATCGAGTAGGCTACGATTAAAAATCGTCACTTTGAATAATGTCCAAAATACTTGGTTTGCAACATTGGCAAGAGTATGGAAAGCCAGACCGTGACCTGAACTAGCAATCAAGATACCGGTTGCATTGGAGGAAGCAGGATATAAACTTTTCGCAGATTCTTCTGCTAATTTTCTACCATTTTGTTTACCTGCACTTTAATGCAAAAATGAAATCTTTATCGGGTAAAACGACTTGAACGGGACTTTCGAATCCTTTTGCAACTCTGTCCAACGTTTGCGATTGTGAACAAAGATCCTTGTGTGACAAGTGCACTGCACAGAACGCCACGCAATATCTGTTACAGACTGAAAAAAGCAAATGCTGTTGCTCTTTGCGGGGTAAAATGAACGAAGAAGCTTTGTTCCTTATCGAGGGCTTTGCTATGTCCTCATCTCTTATTCCCACCTTGTGCCTTTTTTGACCGAGATGCTGGCAGTGAATTCAGAGCATCGTCCATCGTACACGCTTGTTAATTCTCCGATCAAACTTAATAGATTTTGAATAGAGAACGTTCGCATGTGCATCATGTGCTTACCTAACAAGTCAATCTCGACGAACAGAAAAGATTGGTAATGAATCAATATTGATATTGAACTAAAGAAGTGAAGGACATACAGAGAGAGAAGATGTTCTCATGTTGAGGTATGTGGTGTATACATGTATGTTTCGCGTGCAAATTATACAGGGAATAGATAGCATTAAAATTGTTCGTAAACAGCACCCTTTAAGCAACCAAAAGGAATCCAAGAATGGCAAAGATACCACAAGAAACTGCAGTCCAGTTGTTCAATGCAGCCGTTGGGCTTGCACCGGATGTCTTCTTTGGTCCAGTGGATAATTGACCGTTACTGCCAACGGTCGAACCTGTTTGAGTGGCAACGGCAAGAGGACTGTAAGTAGCAGAAGAAATCTTGAAGTTGTTCATATCAGGAATATTGGCAGGTGAAATCTTTCCTGCGGTATAATCAGCAAAGTTTGGGAAAGTGATACTTTCTGGGTATGGGTTGGTTTCGTTCATGCATGCTGTGATTGGAACGATGTTCTTGAAATGCTTCTTGATCGTTGGGTACATTTGCATCATTTCGTTCATCGTATCAGCATTGATTTCATGGGTCAAAACGATGTTACCGTGAGTATCATAGTTTTGATTGATGATTGAGTTGTAGTTCTGAACGATTGCTGATGTTGGCAATGTACCTTGTGGTTGAATTTGCCAATCTTCCGTATCGTCACTCCAAACGTTTGTACTCATACCCAAACCTTGAGCGATTGCACGAACACGATCGTCAACGTCACCATATGGTGGACGCCAGCAACGAGCAGTGATACCGAGAATATCCTTGATTGCCTTTCCGGTGTAGTATAATTCTGCAAACACTTGATCGTTGGTCAATTGGGTCATGTACTGATGGGACCAGGTATGAACACAGATATGATGACCGTCAGACAAACCACGTTGACCTTGTGCAGGCCAATCGAGTAAGTTGGATCCAATATAGAAAAGAGTTGCTTTTTGGTTGTTCTCCTTGAGGAAATCGTAAAATTTGTTGTGGGTGCAGTTCGGTCCGTCATCGAACGTTAAACCCCAGGTTTCAGGTTCAGGGCATTGCCAAATGTCAGGATTCAAACCTTTATGTTTAGGTGTAACACATTTGTGGTATTCGTACCAACAGTCAGGATCAGAAGCAGGGTAGGTTGGTGTAACTGATGAGAAATCACCCTTACCGCCTGTACCTTTTTGTTTGACATCTGCTGGAATGATTCCACTCTTTTGGATGGAATCCCAAACTTGTGATGCTTGTGTGTCACCTTGAACCAATTCAGCTGTTTGCCAAACGGTTGGGAAGTTTGCTTTGATGTCTGAGATACCAGGGTAATTGTATGCTTCACATTCTTCTGTTTGGCTCTTGAGTTGCTCTTCTGATTGTTCGTTTGTGATTGAAGGTGCAGCAGCGGCGGCAGTTGCAGCACGCTTGGCAGCAGTCATGATACCACTGCCTGGCTTGATGACTTCTCTGACCTTGAAGTTATGAGGAACACCTTTGCCCATATGTGCGTTTGCATCACCGGCAACCAGTGCCAATGCAATTGCTGCTGCAGCGGTAATGGATGTGAAGTGCATGATTGAATGTTTTGTGTGAATGATTTGTGGTAATGTGTGTATGTGTTGTCCTTTGTGAGGGTCCGTGAACGTAAAGGGATGCGTCTAGCAACTCTTTCGACAGGTGATAGATATATTTCGTGGGGAGGTCAATAGACGGGATCAAACTTTGATCGCGTTGAGACAAAGAAGAAAGGGGGGGATTGATGATGATGGAAATAAGATAGGCCGAAATCTATCTTATATCTCGGTATAACTTGATTTGACAGTTCAATTTGTTCCTTTTGTTACTCTTTTTGTTATGCAAATACGGCGTTTACCTTTCTGTCAAAGCGCCTCGCTAAAGTGATAATGGTGAGGATGCACCATTCTCGAAGATTTTTTTTCTGAAAGGGTAATGGGCATATTTTCAGTATACTGCAATGCATACGACACATCCAAAACCTTTTTGCTATTGATCGTTTCGAAAAGATCAACGCGTCAATTAACTGTTAAAGTGCCTCTAATCGCGTCTTTCCCCTTGTTCGATTAAGCGCATATACAATTTTACTCCCTTACCGACGGTATTCTCTGTGTGTGTGCGCTTTACCGTCGGATTGAAACGCGTATTTTGTATGAACCATTATGAAAATTGTATGCATGCAAATTTAGGGCGTTTTTGGTTTCTATTTATTGCAACAATTGCAACAAAATTTGATCTAAAAGTGCGACTATTAAAAGCACACTTTCAGTCTTCATAAATGCATCCCAAATGATCATGCACCTCGATCAGGAATGGGTCCCCACTCTGAACAAGAAGGCAATATAACCGCATGAAACGAAATAGGGATTGAATGATGAATCACATCAACTAACTTAAATTTAGCGCAAGAACATACATGATTTGAGGTATATTGTTTTGAAACAAAAGCCATTTCTTGTGTACGGCGATTAAAGAAATGCTATTATGTCTGTGAGGCTTACAATAAAAGCCACTCCAGCCCCCTCTTGCCCCTTTTAGCATTTAATGTGGCGTAATAGAGCTTGGCTTTCATAACAATGCTACAATTCAGGGGGGCATCAGTATTTTCTGCTGTGTTGCATACATACAGGGGTTTGCATTGGAGAGCATGCATTCGGAATTAAAAGCCGACGACAGTTCTTCAATTGGTTAACATCACGTCCAATCAATTCAATATGCTCACTGTACCGCTGAGCCTTTGAGAGAGGCTATACGGTGCCATCATTATCAATACAACACATCAAAGGATCTATCGATCGCTGAAAATTCCAGATTATGATCTCGGTACACTTTTACTCATGACTAAACTGTGCAAACACAGCTTGAGCCTCGCTCAACTTCGTATGTATGAGGTTATGATTGCATACACAATAAGGCGTAGCACCTTTGCGTATAATGAATGCAGTGGGCTCGGGTTGTCTTTTTGCTTGTGTGGCTATGAGCATTTTTCGGAAGCGTAGCATCATTTACAGTACTCTACTGGCAGCTAAAAGGTATAAATATGGGCTGAAACGACACCACTCTCTTTCCATTTCACACCAACTCCTTCTGTGAAGATGAAAGCATCCATTCCTACTTTCATTTTGATTGCCTTGATGGTAATCATGTCCCTTGCATTACTCGTTCAAAGTACTCCAACTTATGGTCCTGTCCCGGATGATCCTTATCCTGACGACCCACCAGACAGAAAACCAAAGGGTGTGAAAAAGCCTCATTCTAGTCATCGTGGTAGACATGGCACCAATCGCAATCATTTGGTTGGACGTTAACGGTCTATGTTCTGTCAAGGCTCATTCTCAAACATAGGAGCAGGGTAAGTGGTCCAATTACCGAAATAGAGGAACCTTTAGTCTGATAAATATTATTGGACCAGCTCCTCTTTACTAGACCTTTGACTTAAGATCAAGAGATCGAACGCTCTAATATGATCTTTATTGTATGTTATCGATGTGATCTTTGTCCTCATTCCCATTCCGGTGTTGTTCTGTTCCTGAGTGTCAATGCTCCTCCAGTATTTGGCGTGTTTCCCCCTCAGCCTAACGCGTGAGTGTAAGATGCGCTGCGTGCGTGGGGCAGAAAAGCCCGTGTTTGGCAATGAGCCGATGTATGCACATCATCTTTACTCTCCATACGCCTTTCTCCAATACATCAACATTGATCATCACAATCAGAACAATCTCTAACGACCCCACTTCTTCTTATGACATACGAAAGATTATTTATCCATCTTTGATTTGGACGCCAATCTTTGTGTGAGAATTGGCAGTCTATATCTATCAATCGGAACGCATGCATGGTTTCAGCAGGTGATCGAAACGGAGAGATTGCCATGCAAACGATTTCCAGATCAAGCGAAGATGGGCAATCGGATCATGAGATACAAGAGCAAATTCACCAGAGAACGAACGGAAGCACAACAAGGGAAGCAAGAGGTGGTATGAAGCAACGTATTCAGAGAAGCTTCAACTCTTTATCGCACCCGATCACACGACAATCCATCGCGTTCTTCTTGTTCGGAACGATTAATAATGCAATTTATGTGGTAATCCTAACTGCAGCTTTGGAGCTAATACCAAAAGGAACACCAACTGGTTTAGTCGCTTTCTTTAACATTTTTCCCGCTTTGATCGCTAAAGCGATTTGGCCTTATGTCTTAAAAGGAACGGTACGTTATACACGTAGAATTTGGAGTTGCGTTTCGATGAGCTTTGTTGGTCTTTTGGTGATTGCTCTTTTACCTTCACTTTATACTCGTTTAGCCGGAATCGCTTTGGCATCGTTTTCGTCGGGATTGGGAGAATTAACATTTTTGCAATTAAGTACAAGATTTAGTCGAACAGGAGCAGGAAGAGCCGTTGGTTGGTTTTCCAGCGGGACTGGAGCAGCAGGTCTTGTTGGTGCTTCAGCATGGTGGATCGTCAGACCTTTGGGTGTGACGGAAGGGCTGCTCTCTCTAAGCTTTTTGCCCGTTGGAATGGGGTTCACCTATGCTGTCATTCTAACCTCCGTTCAAGCTGTCGATGATGCGGAAGAGGATGCTAAAGGATCATATGAGCCTCTACAAGCTGAAGCATTTGATGTTGGGGATGATTCGGAAGGGGAAGAAGAGTCTGAAAGCTCTGACAATGCAAGGACTACCGGAAGAGCGTCCAGGGATGAGGCAACGGCAAGTGTTCCACTAGCCATCTCCCCTCACGCTTCATCCTTTGGCGAGATTGTCGATCAAGAATCTGGCAAAGGGAGCCCATCAAAGTCTGCGGCACTATCTCTGAGAGACAAGATCGAACTTATCAAGCCAATGTTGTTTGTTTACATCGTTCCGTTGGTAATGGTGTATTTTTTCGAGTATACCATCAATCAAGGCGTCGCACCAACTCTACTTTACCCGCTTCCGACACGCTCAAATCACCCTCTACTTTCACTGGTGATCAAAAAGCTGAAGGATTATTATCCTTTCTATCAGTTGACATACCAAACGTTCGTCTTTCTCTCACGTTCCTCAATCTCAATCTTCCGCATGCCAGCCATTCCGAAAAGATACCTCTGGGTACCAGCGATTTTGCAAGGCTTGCTATTGATCATCTTGACTACCGAAAGCATCTATGCTTGGTTCCGTGCAAGTATTGCAAGTCCATTATCCATCGTTCTGGTTTGCGTAGAAGGTCTCGCAGGTGGAAGTGCATATGTCAGTGTATTCTATCAAATTGGAACGGATAACAAAGGTTCAAAGGCAGAAAGAATTGTACCATCACGACAAAATGGTCAGGGACATGAGCAAAACGGTCACGATGAACAAGAAACAGAAGCAAGTGAAGCACGTCGTGCACAAGAACACGAATTTAGGATCGGATGTGTGGGTGTTGGCGATACGATGGGAATCATGGCAGCTGCATTATTCTCTATGCCGTTAGAGCTTGCTTTGTGTGATGCACAAGTACAACGTGGAAGGGATTTGTGTAAGCAAGTGTAGTTGGTTGCTTGTCTGTAAAATTTGTATACTACTCTCATTGTCGCGTTGAATGACATTGCACTTGACGAACTTTTGATGGAGGTATGCAGTGACACTTCTTTGAGAACACACACTCAAAGCAAGGCAATGGCTTAAGTCATAATCGTAATATTGGGAGAGCAGGAGAGATGGATATATAAGGTTTGGACATGAGTTACGGGGGATGATTGAATAAAGATGGAGAAAGGGGGAAGGGAATATTGGGAAAGCGTTGAAACATAAACATTATTAGACATGTTTTTGTATTGGTATGACGTATCTGTTGATTACAACAAAGTGGCTGCACCGGCCAAGAGAGCGGTCAAGACGATTGAACCGGTAGCAACTTGTTGCATAACAGCACCGTTGTGACCAGCGGCTGGAGTACTACCTGAAGAAGAGGTACCTGAAGCACCACCTGCAGTACTGGAGGTTCCGTTGGTCATACCTGTCATACCTGCCATACCGCTTGAGCTGCTATTAGATGCTGCACCTGCTGCTTTGCAAAGGCTTGTGAAGACTTCTTGGCCTTGTGCCAATGCTGTACGGTTTTGAGCCAATTGACCACATTCATTTCCACCGGAAGAGGTAATGCAAACCATTGTCTGTTGAAGAGGGAGGGAGAAAAGTGAGTCAGTGAAATGATGATATTCTACACAGAACCTAAATACTCACTGCGTTGATGAATGCTGGCTTTGAGCAAACGCAACCGATATCAGTCAATCCTGTACATCCGACAGTAGCAGAAGTAGCAGACTTGGTAGCACATTCTGTGAAGCATTTTGGCAAGCTTGCAATCATGGCGCTAGCATCACCAGCACCACTTGCAGAAGCGCTTGCTTGAGCAGAGCCGGAAGATGAGTGGTTATCTTGAGCGACAACCAAGGTCAAACCGGCCAATAAGATGAAAGCGACGTTGAGACGCATTTTTTTGAGTATTTGATGATGATGATGATGATGGTGATAAGAAATCAAGTTTTTGTTTGTATGCAAAAGGAGGGAAGGAGACTATCATTCAGGAATCAAATGACCTTTTTATAGACAACTTGCCAACAAAGCAAAGAATGTACATATTTCTCTCCTTTTCCATTCATTTCTTTCTTTCACTCAATTTCACAGAGGGCGCAAGAGGGTTAATGTACTCTTTGACAGTAGTATGAGACGGTCACCGCTTCATATAATAATTTTTCGGCCTCCGTTAAATATGGCATGCAAGAAAAGGAGGAATCAATTACCCCGTTTTATTATTGGTGGCGTATCTGAAGTCTTGTCTATATAAAGGAGAGAAACCGGAGACCGCTTCATTTCACCTTGGCCACTCCTAACGGGCCGTCATTTTTCTTAAGAAAGTACTGAACATACTTCGGCATACCACAGCGTCACGATGGAAATGAATTATCCATAGCTTTTCTTCAACTTAGCTGGCTGGCTTGACGTAAGCAAGAAGGTTCAAATCACAAATAAAGGTACGGTCATATGATAAGAGAACAATCTGTGTACAAATTGAGGCGTTAACGGGCTTACAAATAAACAGTGACGTATTCATATACTTCAAAGAGAAGGAAAAGTAGTTCTTAGGAGAAACTGATATTTAGACCATGCCAAGAAGTGCGAATGCTAAAAGGCAAGATGCAAAAGCAATCGGATGCAATATGTGTTGTGCTGGTGCTTTGTTGATAGCGTAAGTATAATACGGTCTTGTGTAAGTGGGAACGACGTTGCTTGAGTTTTGAGAATTTTGAGAGTTTTGCGAGTTCTGAGAGTTTTGAGGGTATTGAGAGTTTTGAGGGTATTGAGAGTTTTGATAGGTTTGGGAATTCTGTTGAGAGGTCTGAGAGGTTTGTGGTACGCCAGCTGCTTTACACAAATTGGTAAATATATCGTGGCCTTGTTGCAATAAGTGTGGGTACAATGACATTCCTGCACAATCTTTTGTTTGAGAAATGGCAGAACATGTGATAGTCTTTAAGAAAACAAAAGTTAGTTCAAATCACAGAACCTTGCATTGACCTTTTTCACTCACCGAATCAACAAATTGTGGTTTTTGACAAGCACAAGCAAAGTTCATCAAGCCCGAGCAGCTGCCGAGCGAAAGAGAATTGGAAGTATCCGTTGCACATTTTGTAAAACATTTGGGTAATCCAGCGAGGATTTGGCCAATGTTGGCAGCGGTAAAAGCAACGGTAGTCGCGCTACTTGCAAAAGCAGAATTTGAGAGATAGGAACCATTTGCCAAGGTAGATGAAGCAATAACGGCGTTATCCAACGACAAATATGCAAAGCCAACGTTGTCATTTTGGTTGAATTTATCTGATCCTTTAGTAGGACCTTGACCAGAAATCGGAGGAACGCCTGTAGAAGGCGGATAAGGAACTGTTGAGGGATTATTTTGTACACTAGCCGGAGGAAGAATAGAAGGATTGGGATTAAAAGCTTGATTAACATCCCAAGTAGGATTTCCAATAGGCCCGGGTCTGGCTTGGGCGGTGGTGGCGGAGGCTGCGGCCAAAAGTATGAGTAACACATGATAACGCATTGTGGCAACGAAGGAAGAAGTTGAAATCGAATAAATTCTGTCTAGGATTTACAGATGGAAGGAGTCCAAAAGATGTACATAGCAACATGCCAATCACTGCAATTCGTAATGGTACATACTGCTCTCGGATTGTTTTATAATTTATTTTCGGGTTGTGGAATGCTATCAGGGTACACTCACTTGACCGAACGGATTCATATTACCCCTTTTCTCCACAGTAGAAGAGACAGGGGTTCATGCCGTCAATTTCTCTGGTCATGCCGTGCAGGAGTGGCTGTATACCAAGAAATGAGATCATCTTGAAAGAATGTGGAAATGAAGAGGGTCTCTTTCAAGGTAAGGTTGAATCTAAGTAGCTCTTCATAGAGGCGGTATATCATTCCTAACAATGGATATCAGGTATTTACAGCAATATAAGTGCACCGGAAAGAATCATGAAAAAGACAAGTAAAGCTAAATGATTTGCCCATTGAAGAGCGTTTGAATGATTGAGTGCTTCGGTAATGGCAGCAACGCCATACATTGGAGCACCTGCGGACTGACATAGACTGACAAAAGCGTCTTGACTATGCTGCAAAGCTGTTGGATTTTGAGCAAGTGCAACGCAATTCTTCGTAGCAGACTTTCCGATGCATTTGATGGTCTAGATATGAGGGAGGTGAGCGGTCAGTGTAACTTTCATCAGTATATTCGCCCAAATTATACTTACGTTATTGAAGAATTGTGGTTTAGGACATATGCAACCCAATTCAGTTAATTTTGAACATTGAACCATATATGAAGCGGCAACTGTGGTAGCGCAAGTTTTGTAACATTCCGGTAAATTGTCAAGAACATCTTGAACGTTAACAGGACCAGCTGAGCTATTTCCTTGATCAACTTCTGGTGTTGTGACCGAAGAATCAGGAGCAGTAGCAGATGCGGCAGCAGTTCTGTGTTTTCTTGAGCTGCCTTGCTTGTGGTGTTTGCTGGAACTTTCATCGTCGCTTTGTTGAGAATCATTAGTCGTGCTAGTTGTATCACTTGATCCATTTCCGTTGTCAGCACTGCTAGAGTCGGCTGATCCACTGTCATCACTACTGGTATCACTTGATTTCTTCGGTGTGCTTTGGCTGCTAGGCTCTGTTGATGTACTGTCATCACTACTAGTATCACTTGATGCCTTATTTGTACTTTCGCTACTAGTCTGGCTTGACCCTGTTCTGGTATTATCGCTAGTTGATGTGCTTGACGAAGTACTCGATTTGGTTCCACTGTCATCGCTGCTTGTGTCACTTGACGTTTTCCTTGTGCTACCACTACTACTTGATGCTTTCCCAGTAGAGTCATCGCTACTGGTGTCACTCGATCCACCACTTCTACTCGATGAAGTATCACTGCTACCTGCTGTTTTGGTGGAAGTGCCGCCATCATCACCGTCTTGCGCATTATCACTGGCCCTCTGTCTTTTCTGCATCAAAGTGAAATGATTAGGCTGATTTCGAATCAAACCTCTTATTGCGAGGCTCACATCTTGTTTTTCAGCATGAATAGCGATGCAAAAGAGTAGAAGAGTCACAATCGTATAAAGCCGCACTTGAACCATATTGATGGAGTGAAATGGGAATGATCTTCACAATAAGAAGGTTGTGGCTCAAATCGATTTGAGCAATCACGCCAAAGAGTCCGACGTCGGAGAGGGAAAGATAAAAATATGATTGGGCTTCACTTAGTCTCTTGGCAAAAAAGAGAAATTAAAAATCACGGAGGCCGCCTTTCCAAATGATTAAGGAGGCAAAATGCAACAACCGCTTGACCAAATAGGGGTGTAATGGATTCATTATTAATAATTGTCATTACAGGACTATAAAAAAGTCACTGAATAATAGGAGCATAAAAGGGAAAACAGGAGAAGAGGAGTGATATAAAGGGTTTAAAAATCAAGAAAGTCACGGCTTTGGAACGGACTACAAGAAAGAGGCGGCGCCTGCAAGGACGGCAGTAAGGATGATTGAGCCAACGGCCAAACCATGAGTAGAAACGGCCTCATTTGCAGAGGCAACGCGGTTTCTGTTGTTGTTGTTGTAAGACGTGTTGGATGTTGGAGAGGTAGTGCCGATGATTGTTGCACTTGCGGTATTATTTTGACAGAAGCTGGTGAAAGCACTTTGACCTTGTGAAATGGAGTATGTGTTTTGTGAACAATCTTTGTCGTATTGAGCGCAACTAACGAGAGAAGAGAGGAATTGCGGGTTTTTGCAGACACAGTCGACATCTGTATAAGCCAAGGCTTGGTCTTTGTTTTGACCGCCACCGCCACCTCCTTGATTTTGATTGTTTTGGTTGTTTTGGTTGTTTTGATTGTTTTGACCGTTGTTTTGTCCATTTTGTCCGTTGTAACCTGTACTGCAACCGATGTTTGCTGCAAGGTTTTGATCTTCAATACATTTTGAGAAACATTTTGGCAAACTTTGGATGAAAAGAGCAAAGTTGGTACCAGCAGTAGTAGCGCCAGCATAAGCACCACCTTGGCCTCCTTGGCCATTTTGAGCATTTTGGCCACCACCACCACCTCCTTGACCACCCTGGCCATTTTGAGCATTTTGGCCACCACCACCACCACCTCCACCTCCTTGAGCATTTTGAGCATTTTGGCCATTACCTTGCATGTTTTGATTTGCTCCGCCTTGTTGGCCATAACCTTGTTGGCCATAGCCTTGTTGTTGATTGCCACCGCCTTGGGCAGCTACCATCGAAAGGATGGCCAACATAATGAATAAGACACTGAAACGCATTTTGACAGATTACTGAGAAGTAAGATTAAATGATGGGTGCAAAAGGGAATGCAAAAAATTAATAAATTGTCCTTTAAATAGCATTTCGAAGAGAGTACTACGAACAGCATCATAGGATACCCCACACGGTGAACATCTTTGTATTTCGATGGCAAACGGCATCTTACGAACACTATGCTTTTTTGCCTAAAAAGTTGCCAAGAATACCATCCGTCGATGGCAGTGCTAATCCTTTCTTTGTCATAGTGAGTCTACTTAGGGATACGCCGTCGGATAGCGATTTGTGGCGCTGAAGAACAACGGTCGAGGAATGGGGTCATTTTTCTCTCCTGTCATAGGGTAAAGATCCGTTATTTTTCAAATAAATATAATTTTCGGAATGAAAAGGTTTGAAAGACTCCTTTACCCTTGTGGCTTATCGGCTTGTCACAGCCAATTATAAAATACCGTCTTTGAGCCAAATTTCCGTAATGAATAATAAATTAGATGTCATTAATGGTCCAATGCGGTACCGCTTCACATGTCATACATCATTTGTCAGTCTTTATTTATAACTCAAAAAAGATCCGTTACTGCACCTTGAGATGCATCTCTGACCAACATTGCATATTTTGCCAGAACTCCTCGTTTCACACGCAAATTGGCACTTGCGGAAGATGCGTGAGGATCGTTTGTATTTTTTGCTTGTTGGTCGCGTTGGGCGTTCATCTTTGTTTGCCATTCTTGCTTACGTTTGCTGAATTCATTTTCATCAATATGAATGTTAATCTCACGTGAAGATGCATCAATCGTTATCCTATCTCCATCTTGTACCAAAGCAATGGGTCCGCCTTCCATAGCTTCGGGAACAACGTGTCCCGTGCAAAAACCGTGGGAAGCGCCGGAAAATCTTCCATCTGTGATCAAAGCTGTACTTTTTCCCAGACCTGCTCCCATTACAGCAGCCGTGGGAGCCAGCATCTCCGGCATTCCTGGCGATCCTTTCGGTCCGACGTATCGAATTATGATTACACTTCCATGTGTAACACGCCCATTTTGAATGGCTTCCATCACGCCCGCCTCTTGGTCGAAACAAACTGCTTTCCCGTCAAAGTACAACCCTTCCTTACCTGTTAGCTTGGAAACAGCTCCACCCGGGCAAAGATTACCCCGCATAATGGTAATATGACCAGTAGGCTTGAGTGGCTTTTCCAAAGGAGCAATAATATCTTGTCCTTCAAATTTGATCGGCTCAACGTCTTTCAAATTCTCTCCGAGTGTTTGTCCAGTGCATGTCATAACGTCCAAGTGTAACATATCGTTGCTAGCCAAATATTTGATCACAGGCAAAAGACCACCTTCGTTGAACAAGTCTTCCATCAAATATTTTCCAGAAGGTTTCATATTAGCCAAAAATGGAGTCTTGTCTGCAATCCTTTGGAAATCATCAATGGTCAAATCTACATCTCCGCATCGGGCAATAGCAATAAGATGCAGTACTGCATTTGTTGAGCCTCCTAAAGCGTTGATGAGTACGATTGCATTCTCGAAAGCTTTCTTTGTTAAAATATCCCTAGGTTTGATATCAAGTTCTAACATCTTACGAATTGCCGCTCCGACCCGCAAACATTCTTGATGTTTGTTTGCATGGACAGCGGGTGTTGAGGCTGTGCCTGGTAAGCACATTCCCGTCACTTCCAAGAAAGAAGCCATTGTGTTTGCGGTATACATGCCACCGCATGCTCCAGGACCGGGACAAGCTTTTCGAACGATCTCTAAACGTTCTTCGTTGGTGATTTTTCCGGTGATGTATGCACCTGCAGCTTCGAACGTATCACTGATGTTTGTTTTATCGCCCTTTTTCTTTCCAATACTTTCGATATCCTTTGAAAGATAACCGGGCAAGATCGTACCTCCCCATACCATAATCGTAGGACGGTTGTGTCTCATTGCGGCCATGAGTGCACCAGGGGGGTTCTTATCACACCCAACGATGCTAACATTTGCGTCATAGCATTGACCCACCATGACAGACTCGATACTATCGGCGATCAAATCACGAGAAGGCAAAGAGAAACGCATACCTTGACTTCCCATTGTGATACCATCGGAAATACCAATCGTGTTGAACTGCAATCCGATCAAACCGGCATTTTGACAACCTTGTTTAACCAATTTACCGAATTCCAACAAATGCATATTACACGGATTTCCTTCCCACCAAACACTAGAAATACCAATTTGTGGTTTATCCAAATCTTCGATCGATAGTCCGGCTGCATGTAACATCGCTTGTGCTCCACCTTTTTCTGCTCCTTGTGTAACTTCACAAGAATATTTGTTCAACACTACGCCATCTTTGCTCCCGCCATTCTCTCGAACGGGCATTGGGTGTAAAGCCACTTCGCCTTGTTTTGGAACAACGTTTGCTTTCTCCATATTGTGTGTGAGTATGTGTGAGTGTGATGGTGGTGTAAGTGGGACTAAAGGCAGCCAGTCATTTCGCTTGCATTTCTAATTCTGGGGTAAACAGGCTAAACTTCCCCCCACGCTGACAGCATACACGGCCGGCCGTTGGAGCAGTGCAGAAAAAGTCACCGGCGTTACTCGGTTTATCGTGCGAAAAAAAGAGAAAGAGTCAACGGTTTGTGTGTGACAGTCTGAAAGATGAAATAGATGTGATTGCAATGAGAGATACCTGTTAAATACAATAAATGAGTAGATAATTGAGTGCATTTGGGTCTAAAAGTGAATGTCCGTTTTTGAATGCAAAGAAGAATGAAAAAGATCGAAAATGCGTATGTGATTAAAACAAAACCCAAGATAAAATGATAAATAGTAGAAGTCGAAAGTGTCCATCGCTGTTGTTCTCTAATCCAATCTCAAAACCTGCAGTAGAATGCACAAAATCGTGGGAATCAGAATGGCAAACGTGGGAACGGTACTGTCCATCTTTGCAGAGCTCATAAATCCACCCGTTGCCTTGAAAGTAGGAGCAGGACTACTTGCACCAAAAACAGGAGCAGAAGAAGCATCACCAGATTGTGTTTGACCTGTATTTTCTCCTCCTTCAGGTTTAGTGGCTAAAGTTTGACAAGCACTCGTATCAACATTTTGTTCATCTCCCACTTTACCATTAAAAGCAGCAACAACCGCTTGTGAATCACGAACAGGGATAGAAATACTACCGGAAGAACTGATTTGAACGGTATGATCACTTGAATCGGTCACCGTTGCCGTTCCATCTCCCGATTGTTCATAACTGATTCCATTCCATGTTGTATTGGACGTAGAATCAACTCCTGCTGCAGTCAAGGTAGAAAGATGAAGTGTTTGTCCGGATTGCGAAGGTAAGTTGAATTGGAAGTTCATCGTTCCTCCAGTTGAGCCCGAATAAGATGCTTTTGTGTTGATCATCACCAAACTACGCAAGTTACCAAATTGATAAACGGCATAAACGTTGACGTTGTTCGTATAAGCAGAAGGAACGTTGTTCAACGTGACAGGCGCAACCCTTGTAGTACAACTCTTACCGATCACTTGTGCAAGTGCGGCAAAAGCATAATATGTGGTCCGAACATGAGGTTGTTCACCGTTGAAGGGAATCGGTTGCCAAGGAGAAGCGTATGAATTGGAAGTCATGTGAATTTGGACAGAGTTCATTTGAATCGTTGCACAATACAATAACGCATTCAAGGTCCAAAGAGTATTGGCGAAAACGTTTGTGATTCCTTGAAGTCCTGTCGGTCCAACACTACCAAATTCACGGAGATAGTAGGGTTTTCCAGTCACAACTGCTTGAGCTGCTTGTCCTTTCCACTCGGTCAATTGAGTAACCAAAGTTGACGTATCCAACAGTAAAGAGAGCGTTAGTGTGTAATCGCTCACATTGACGTAGTAATAATAATCGTGTTGATTCCATCCGGCAACATAGATACCGTTTTGTGTGGCGACATCTGTGTTGACCAAGTTACTAATTCTGTATTGTTGACCGCTTTTGGTTGCTGTTGTTGCTGTTGCTGGTGGCTCAAAGAAGTTTGTCGGAAGATTCATCTTTTGCAACACATTCGAGTAAATTGCAGATACACGACCTGCCCATTCCGTTCCGAAATTGGTTGCTGTCCAACCGCTTGGACGGTAACCGTTTTGCACATAAAGATCCGGCTCATTTCCGATTTCAAATCCTACTAAAGTTGCATTCTTGAGCGTTGTTACTGCTACGTTTGCTTGATTTTCGATTTGAGTGAGATAATCTGTGCCTTCGTATGCCATATTCAATCCATAAGTGATAGGAGTTCCTTTTGGCAACAAATTCATCACTTGGTAATAACCCGATCCGACGATATATGCATCTGTTTTAATCGTTCCGGGACCAGAAGCAGAAGGATTGTTGTAAACTTGATAGCCATTATATTGTGAGCCAGAATTGTAGATGATATTATCGCCTGAATTACCACCTATTCTCAAGTGTGGTGGTACACCTGTATATCCTCCAAGAGTGCTCAAAAGATTATATGTCAAGTTGTTGGCTATAGTCGTTCCTAGATAATCGAACAGATTTGTGGGTTCAATGCCTACACCTGCATATGATGGTCCTAGAACGGGTGATAGTGATGTACCTGCCCCGCTTTGACTGCTGGCTGGGGTTGCACTTAGACTTTGTGCTGATGTTGAATGTAGCATACTTGCTGCCAGAATTGCACTATAGATCCATCTCTTACCGTCTTTTGATGATATTTTCTCTTGTGATTGTGAGGAGCTTCTCCCTCCTTTGAAAAGGGATAGCATTTTGTGTGATGGTGATGGTGAGCTGGAGAGCACCTTTTCTACTTTACCTCACCTTGTCTTGATGGTGGCCAAGACAGAGATTGCTCAAGCCAGTCATCCGAACAAATGTGTTGTGTTTACAGTATGTTTGCATGTACATGACAATTGCATGATTTTCATACGTCCCTGCACTTCCGCATATCTTGACTAAGTGAATGCGCTTCCTTCTTATGCCCTTCTCTCACCGGCAGCTTTCCATTCATGCAAATAATCAATTAGTGCTTGTTGCCATGTGTTTCCTCGGAGTTCCCTCTATCTAATCAAACACGTTCATACATCACCGAAAACATCGGTTCATATCAAATAAAAACTTCAATTATTTTTTTTTTAATTTATTCCCGGCTGATTTGCCGTGTTTGTTGTTGCGGAGTTTTAATAATTGAAAATCTGATCCAGAAGCACTAAAAGTGCAATCTAGGAACTTGAGTGGTGTGTAAGAGCCATAGAAGTTAATCAAATCCCCGTATACATTGTACACTCGTTGTTGTTCATCTGCACTGCACGTACACACAGGAACAAGGGAAGAGAGAAAAAAAGAGGGAAGAACTGTTTAGAGATTTTCAATAAAAGAAAGCTTCTTCCTTTCTTTTGGAATTTTGTTAGAAGTGGAGATTGGGCACTACAACGCACTATGCAAACCATCTTTCAGGGTTTAATTGACCTTTTAGCGTATTTTAACGCGTTCGGCTGCGAGTTGTGTGTGTGTATGTTAGTTAGCATAGGGGTATACAATATTTGTGTTCTTTTACCTGTTAAAAGCCTTTTCTAGCCTTTATATCGGTATGCGTCTTGCTTGGCTTAAGGACAAGCTAAGTCTGGGGAAACTTTATTTGAACTTGTCCTCGTGTTTTTTCCGCTCAAGCCTCTGCCGAAAAATTCATATGGAATATACAAAGCCGTTTGATGGCAAACGCCGAGAATCGGTAATAAGGCACAAGCAAGCAATAAGAAACAACCAAACAATAGACAGCATCGCCATCTTCTGGGCATACTCTTGGCAGTCTATGTCTGACAGATGACATGTTTGTCTTGGCACCGAGACACGGGACCATCATCTCAAAACGCTAAATAGATAATTACTGTATAATCTACATGATCGAACATTGACAGCAACCTGCCCCTTCCTCTTCCTTCTTGGCGACGGCGGCGGCGGAATGATTGGTATTCTTTTGATTATCGGCTTTCCCTTTCGTTTGTGAGAGTTGTTGAGATTGAGTAAGCGTAGGCATCGATGGATCATGAGCAAAATGTTTACTCTTTTTCTTTTGCTGGTCCATCCTTGTCTTTTCTCTTTTACCCGGATGAACTTGTGCCATTTCAATCTCGTCTTTCTCATTACCGGGCTGAAAGCCTAAATCTAGTTGATCTGTCAAGCGTTTCATTCTTTGCTCCTGTGAATGGTTCTTTGGACTGTGCTCCGGTGTGAGTAAGTCCTTTCTCTTTCGCTCGTCAACATCTTCATTGTACCCATCACTCTGAGTACCGTTTGCACCACCTAGACCCTGCTGCTCCTCTGCTGCCTGTCTCATGCCATTCATTCGAGAAGACGAACCACTAACCGCTCTCGTACTGATCGGAACACCATTCCTATCCCAAGCGTCCACCAATCCGTCCACTTGACTTAACCTGGGATCGTTCATCATAGCTTCTTGTGCCAGTCTCCGTTTCACAGTAGGCAAAAGTTCTTCATCCCATGGATTGGAAGACGCTCTTGAAATGTCTCCAAATTCGCCCGTAGAAGTATCCATCGTTCTACGTGGTGTGCCTCCCAACGGTCCAAATTCATCCAAAACATCTTGCGTTGGTGGACTGTTTTGTATTCTTTTACCGCCCCCGCTGCTTGTAGCCCTTCGTGTGACTGTATTCGCTTTTTGCTTCTTCTTTGCTGGTGTAGTCTGACCAGAATGATTACTGATATCTCCCAAAGGTTGCTTCTGCTGTTCATCATCCGGTCGAGGTGATTCATTATATGCTACTCCTTGATCCATATACCCGAATTCTCCTTCTCCCATCGTACCCTGCTTTCCACGAACACTACGTGGACTATTGGCTACCCTACTCATACTTCCAGAGACAGGTAGTGGAATCTTGCTACTGGGCGTACGTCTTCCATCGCTCGGTGAATGACTTCTGCTGATCGGCGCTTTGGTAGTGTTTGCATATCTCGATTCACCTGGTTCTTGATTGTACCTGTCTCCCAATCCAGGCGATGATTTGGTTCGCATTCGATTTTCGTCACTCTGCAGGCTATTCGTTGCTTCCATTTCTGTTCCTCCTCTTGATCTTTCGCGTGCTAGCTTTCGAGCTCTTTCACGAGCATGGGCAACCATATCTGTGCCAGAATTCATTCCATCCTGCAAAGGAGGTGAATCGGGCGAGAGTGTATCTCCTGCAACAGCGTATGAATCATGATTATCGTGATAGTCTTGATGTGATCGATCGAATGAGTATAAATCACTTGCAGATCGTGAGATCGTATAAGCATTACTGTTATCCCGATTTGCTGTAAGAAAGCGAGCTTTGGATCCTGTAGCCCATTCAGATGGAATGAGTTCATCATCTCCTAAGCCATCTTGTAAAATTTCATCATTTGCATTTTTTCTGGGTATAGGTCGAGGTTTGGTAGATTGTAAACGTGCATAATTGAAATCTGTTGCGCTTATCCTTCGATCTAAGTCCACCCGATCTGCCTCTAATCGTTTTTTGAGTGCAGGTACAACTTCTTCATCCCAATTGGTCGGATGTGATCCATTTGTTATTCCTCCGAATTCGTTTGACATCGAATCTTGATTGACTGAATGGTATTGTGAGGCGTGAGAGAATGTAGCGGTGGCCATGATCGTGGTATAAATGAGCGTTACTTTTGATTGCGTGATTGATTCGTAAGAGGATTCGTAATGATCGTTGAAAGGGAGTTCGTGAAATGAAATTTGTGTTACTTTAGCCAGAAGAAAAGGTTGATTTGATGTTTCACTGTATTTGGCTGTGTTTGTTTGATGTTGTTCATTCCTCGACCGAATTTGTACGACTTTGATCTAGAATGACTTCTTTTGAGCTATACATCCGTTCTGATCATGCAATCGGTTTCAAGGTATTGATCGACGATGTACATCAATCGGTCGGTACCTTTACCTGATGAAAAGGCAAGATGAAATATGAAGAAAAGCCAACAAGCAAGCAAGCAAGCAAGCAAGCAAGCAAGCAAGCAAGCAAGCAAGCAAGCAAATCAACTTCTTAATATCATTTCAGACTACAAACACTAAACTAAGATCAGGCAAAACAGCTCTGTACTTTTGAACGCGTTTGTGGACTGGCCTCTTCCCTTTTAAAAAATGTGTTATTTAGCGTGTGCATGAATGCTCTCTCTCTCCACCGTAAATGAATGTGGTCTAGGCTTCCCCTGAACTTTAATGTTCAAAGCTCATCTTTTAGCATGCAATTGGCGTTTTGATTGCATCAAGATCAACATTCGAATGATATCAAGAGTCAATTATATAATCGTCGTGACAGCTATAAGCATAGTCATGAGCATTGGCCTTACACTCGGATCACAGTAAGGCGCGTATGGCTGGAGCAAGGATTCATTTGTTAACAAAGAACTTTCCTCTGCTCTCGGATCCGCAAATTAATAAAGTGTATGCTTTTCACTAATAACAAAAGCTATGTTCTTACCTAATCAATCTATCTCGTATGTAAGCAATGAATCCCTTCAGATGTCTTCGGTTGTGCGTGATATCCACGGAGTGCGCTCTTACCTTAACCCTGTTAACAAAACACCCTTTTTACGTGGGAAATTGATAACCCTGCGCAATGATCGCTTTAGTGTTCTTAAGGCACAAAGGCTCGTTCTTGCTTGATTACAGTCTTGTGTATGTATGTACCTTTTGGTGGCTGGTTCATGCCGAGCGGGCTAAATCCCTCACATCGGCGAATTCTGGCCAAGACAAACAAATGTACACAGCCCTTTCTTAACGCGTAATTATTTTATTAATCTTGTGTGTCTTCGGTTCACCGATGCTTTTTATCGGCACTAAGGGAAAAAATCAAACCAAAGGGGCACACATGAACTGATTTCAACCAACCAAACCTTCTTCTTGGAGTAAATGCTATTGACAGCAAGTGTTTCCTTCAACTGTCACAAGAAGATTACGGACTCATAGAATCCGATTTCAGACAGGGGTTTCCATTTCCAAATCAAAAGGAAGAAAGAGCCATTTCGGCGTTCATCTGGGTTAAATTGCTTCTTCTTGAAAACGTCTAATATCTCTTGCCGGCGACATCGAGTGGTAATTCCTATTCTACATTTTCGGACGAATTTTATTTATCCGTCACTTAATCTCACACACACACATCAACAATCTATCGCCAACACCCCTGAACCGAAAGAATAAAAGATCATGTCCGTCTAATCAGCACAACTGCTCGACAGCAAAGCCAGTAGCGCATACTTCGCTATCCAACAATATCCTATTCATAGCTTCCACATCAAATCTCCAACACTATGCGGCACACAGATCGAAGCTATCTTCGGCTTATAGCTTTCTGCATTCTCACCCTTTCCATCTGGACAGCATCATCCACTGCACAAAGTCAAACAAATGCTTCTCTAAATCGACCAGACGCAACTGCTGCTGCCACCGCTTCAAATGGTGATCGAGTAGTCACATCAACCCTTACAGTAGGCGGAGCAACGCAAACAACGATAGTTTCAGGTGCAGGAGCAGCAGTAGCAGAACCAACATCAACAGATGTTTCTTCCATTTCATTTTCCTCTCAAAGGGTGCCTTATTTACTCAATTTGCCGGAGAAAGAACCTGCTTCTTTGCAAGATTCGTTCCCTCAATGGTCTGGACCGACATTCACAGGATGTGATGATGATGAAAGTATTGACTATGCAGCCTCACCCTTTCGAATCAATGTCTCTGCCGTTTATACACAAATCGACACAAATTTACAAGATGGTGGGAGGATGAATACCTTTGGAAGTGCTACTTACGGCAATCTACGTATTGTAGCTCTGGGAGATGTTGGCAACGAAACACATGCTTTCTCCAATGGTCTCCTCAGTGCAGCAGGCGTAAGCACTCGATTCTTAACCTTTTCAATCTTCAATAATTACACCTTTCTCTGTGATCGAGTGTACCCGGCAAACAATGACACCTTGAATCCAAATGTGATTCCAGCAAGCTGTCAATTTGGTCCTGGCCCGGTCGCATTTGGTGTGGATGTTCCGCTCAATAGTTCTTACGAAGCTGGAACGCTTTGGACTCAAATTCGACTGTTGGATCATTCCAACCCTGCAAGAACGTTGGCTTGTATTGAAGTACAAACTTCGCCTTACAATCCCGATAGTTGGTACTGGAAATTGGTGCTATGGCTGCCTGTTGCTTTGTTCTGTGCTTTCTTTTGTCTAGCTACAATTGCAGCAATCACAACTGCTGAAACAGCACAAAGGATGGCTTACAAGAATCGTGCTCGAGAAGGTGGTCCGCCAACGTTTGTGCGCGATAAATTACGACCGATGATCTTATCAGCTTTGGCAGGTCGCGAAATGATCAGAAGTCCTGCTTTATTGCGATTCGTAACGCCAGGATGTTGGGATATCTTACTGTACTTGCAATTCCTTGTTGCTCTAATCATGTGTCATGTCCAATGGCCAGATTTCGTTTACCCTTTTGCAAGGCAATTGGCTTGGTCTACTTTATTGGGAAACGTCACGATTGTCGAAAAGGAAAGGCAAAGTCATGATATTCTAGCCACAAACACATTCTTGCCAGAAGGAGATGTGGGTGCACAAATGCAAAACGCTTCATCTCCACTTTTTATGAACAGCCAACAAGAGAACAAGTTACTCAATCTCGGAACTTCATCTACCGGAATGGAACGATATGCTTCAGCAGTTGGACTTCAAGCTTCCTCTTTCTTTGGAACTTGTTTGACGATTTGGCTTGCCTTGGTTGCCGTTGTGATTGCTGTTTCTTTATTGGCTTGGATAATTGACGCTTTCTTTGAGATGAGACATCGTAGAACCCGAAGGCAAGAAGAGGCAAGTGGTGAAATCTTGCAAACAAGTCCAAGACAAAGTCTCTCTGAATTAAAAGCAAATCCAAGGCATCATCATTCAGACATGAGCACACACCCGCTTTTTGGAGAGAATGAAGCTCCAAGCGGTCGATTGGGTCGGGCAAAGATGGGCCATCATATGGTCGCTATGCACGGAAATCTGATTCGTGCTTTAGTGCTATTCCATTTGCCCATCACGATCGTCAGTACTTATCAATTCGCTAATCCGGCTGGACATTCAACGGTTTCGATCGCTCTGTCGGCTCTATCATTTGCCATCTTTAGCGTTCTTACTCCATTCTACCTAATTCGAAGAATAGCTCGAACCTCAACGGAAAAGTTGTACGAGGATAATAATACCTTGTTGGCTTTGGGACCGGTTTACCACACGTACGCTCCAGGCAGTCAGTTGTTTTATAGCGTTTCATTCGTTCATAGTCTTGCTCTGGGTATCGTTGTAGGTGTTGCACAAAAGAGCGGATCTGCTCAAGCTATTGTCATTATGGTGGTCGAAGTGATCGCTGCATTGGCTTCAAGTCTTTGGCTACCTTGGGGAGAAGGCGCAATGATGGGACCACTGAATTTCATGACTGGCGTTTTGAGAATCGTTTCTGCGGTTTTGGTACTGTTGTTGACCTCTTTGGTAGGATTTAGCAATCAAGCACGCGGATGGCTGACGTATGTCTTGCTATTGATTCAAGCAATCTTTCTTGCTGGAGCAATTTTAGTCTTGCTCATCAAATTGGTTGAAGCATTCGTACGTGCTGTTTGGCGGGTTCGATTCGACGAGCGTTTATCTGGAAGAACGGCTGGCTTGGGAGGAGCTATCAGGAAGATCAGAAGACGGAAATTGAAAAACAGAAAGGCTGCCTTACCATTACAGCTTCGAAAAGCAGGTCAGAAAGGTGGACCACAACATCAAGTGCGACCCTCAGTTCACTCGAGAAATACTAGCATGGGCAGCTCATCAACCATGGCAATGCTAGACAAAGCCGGTCCGATTTCAATGTCAGATAATCGATATAGCTATGTTGAATATCTGGATCACGGACAGAGGAAGAGACCAAGATCTGTCGGCTCTGATCTTGATTACTTTGGTAAAATGTCACCAAGCGGTTCCGGTAGAATGACTCCTTATTCTCCCATCCAAGCTCGACCTTATGAGCAGGACGACACAGGCTCTATCATGGCTGCTATGCCTCCTTTGAGCGCAGGTGATCAACGCAATAATCCAGCTTTCGTGCGTGTAAGAGGTGATCGTGCTTCGGATGGTAATCCATATACTCCAAAAACAGCACCTCCAACACAGGCCATGCCAGGGCGATTGCCAAGGCCACAAAGCGCATCTGGCATCAATGGCGAATGGGCAAACAATCAGATGAGAAGGCAATCCAACAGACCCTTCCCTTCGCCAGGTCATCCATCTGCTCAAAGACCCAACAGGGTTTCAACACATGAGATGAGTAGCACACAAGCAGCTGCATTCTCTGCAAGACATTCACTTGCCGGATTACCACAAGTTGAAGATGGCTCGAACAACAAATCAGCCAAGAAAGGGCCTTTCGCTGGTTGGAGAAGGAAGATGAATCCTAACCGCAGAGGTGGAATTGATTCAGACGATAGTGATGACGATTGGAGTGAGGAAGAGGGAGGCACTTGGAACTCTAGAGCGGCAGCTCAAAATCGTGCACCTTGGATGGGTGCAGTAAAGATCTCAGCAGCTATCCAATCCTTATTTGGAGGTGCACATGCAGGAACGGCAACGGCAACACTTGAAGGTCGTGCGCCTGTTCGAACAGAGGAAATCGATCCTCCACAAAAAGGTTTCGAAGTCGTTCGAAAAGCAAGACCAGCACAACGAACGCCTGTTGCCGAACGATTGAGCGATGCAGCTTCGCAAAAAGCAGATGCGCAAAATGAACAAGAACAAAGCCTCTTACCAAAGCCAGAACCGATGGAAAGAGAAGCCTCTGATTTCTATAGGGATACACAAGTCACACCACCTCCTTTGGGTCAAAGAATGTCAAATATGTCACCTTCCGACTTTTATGAAAGTCATTTAGGTATCTTGGGAGCTGATATGCAAAGGGCTACTAGCAGCGCAGGTCATTCAATCAATGAGCCAGGCGAAGAAAGATTTTGGTTACCTCCTATCGATGTTTCCACCGATGACGGTAGCAAGAATGAGCCAGTCGTACACGATGGCAAAGACACGACACAACATTGATCATAAAAAGTGATGCAATAATGAATACACGCGGAATGTCAAATATTCCTTCCTCCTACTTCACTCTTTTTTCTTGGTCCCACAACCCTTCACGGTTCCCATCGCTGTATCTTCTATCTCGTCTCCTTCTTTTTGTATCTCATAGCATGCTCTGAACATAATGGACTATACATGAAATGTTATCATTTTTATTCTGTACAAGTGTCAAAATTATTACATCACATCGAAGTGGTTCCCTCTTTTATGAATCTGTCATTTGTGCGTCTTGCTCAGTATTGTTGCGTGCCTCTTGTTGATTCAATGCAGCTGCTGTCAATTTACGTTGACGAAGTTCATCTTCATCCAAATTTCTTCGAATGCCAGACTCAATGCGCTTCAATTGTTCTTTGTGTGCTTCGATACTGTCGCGTAAAGATTTGGCAGTCTGTCTTTGATCCAAAAGGGAGGTATTTGTTGGATTGGTTGAAGGAGCTTCTTCGCCACGCTTGAGCAATTCGTCGAACAGAAGATACGGCAAGTATGTTTGAGAAGCAATTGGCTCGCCCGTCTTTCGACGTTTGGCTGAAGTAGAGACGTACTCTGTTGAACGTTTGACCAATCGACAAGACTCTTCCAGAGCAACATTGATATAATCATGATCGAGCAAAGTACGAATGAATTTGTTCGCTTCATTCTCACGCAGCCAGTCCAACAACCACGTAGGCGTCAAGCTCCAACATTGTCTCCCTAAAATTCGTCGCAGAACTTGAATGTAGTAACGCTCCTTTGCGAATTGATCATTGCCGTCATCATTCTCCATGTCAAGCCAAAGACGGAGATAGCGCCAAGCACGTTGACTTGAAGATCCTTGCCAGGAAACGCATCGGTCACTCCGTTCCAAAAATCTTGCAGATGGTGCACTCTTTTCTTCGTAAATCAATTCTGCGTTCTCACGTCCAAGATTCGCCAGACTGAAATCTGTCATATCTTGATCATCGAACAAGGCTCGCATCAAAGGATGCTCATCTTCGCCACTGCGTAAAGCTTTATTTTTCTTCTGTCTTTCTTCATCCCAACGTGCCAATTCTAGACAACGATCCGTCAAAGCAACATAGACTTGCGTTCGATCCACTTTGGCACTTCGAGCAAGCATCAATGCACGTTCGAAATCTTGATCTCGAACAAACAAGTCCACCGCACTCGTCGCATCATTTGCATTTGACGTCATGATTGCAATAGCCTCATCAGGATACAAAGCCACAAGTTCCAATTGCGCCAATAGGAGACGATATCGCTTTCGTACATCCCGAACATGTACAATACGAATTTCCCTCGTCTTGGATTGGAACGAAGAAGACGGCAAAAACGAGGTCAACCTTGCTGACTCAATCTTTGACAAGATGTCATCTTCGCCTTCTGATACTTCATGGGCAAACCATGCATTGTCCTCATTGATCAAGCTCAAAGCGTTGATACTTGCCAAATAGCATTCTGCCTCGAGAATAGCATAGCCTTGCAGCTGCTTCTGTTCGTCCTCGTCATAATTCGCTGATAGAAGACCGGCGCTGTATTGAGCCCTTCTTGCTTGAACGATTCTTCTGCGGTATATGTCTCTAATCCGTACACCCATTTGCCACATCGTTGCGCCGGCGCTCTTTAAATCACCTCTCCGTACATGAAAAGCGTATAAAATGTGATAATAATTAACGCCCTCATGCAAAGGATCTGAATTTCTGGCTTTGAAGCTCAACGTTCTCTCCAGTTCTGCTTGCAATCCAGCAAAGTTGAACGACAACAATTCTTCCACTCGTCCGTGTTCGCACATGATGGAAATTAGAGTACGCAAGCTTTCTCGTTGTAGATCATCAAATGGAATGGCCAACAAATGAAAGTATGCATCAGCAAACTCTTCCATTTCGATGTGGCTACGAAATAGTGCCAAATGAAGTTCTCGTACCTTGTATTTTCGTTCGATTGCACCGGCAGAATTTGCATACGATAGAGCCAATGCTGCAAAGCGAGCAACATGTGGCAAATACCTTGCCCTCCTAAAGTGTAAAACTGCCAATCTACAGAACAGAAAAGCGGCTTCATTTGCCGTTTCAGCATCCCGGATATTTGCTGGTAGTATCTCGTATAGCCCACTGCCCAGTGACGATTGCTCATCAGACCAGTGATCAAAAGAAGGTAAAACCTTCTCAAATGCTATTGCGGCATCAGCTGCATCACCCAATGCAAGAAGACTGCGACCTGTTATAAAATGTCCAGCGCTTGAAGGCGGAAACTTTTTCATCAACTCAATGGCAGCCAGTGGATGACCACTAACGAGGCATTGATTTGCGAATTGAACAAAAGATGTGCCAGCCTCGATGACATCTGAGTCATCATTGAAAAAAACCAGTGATCGAAGCGCATCAGAGGCGTATTGAGTGATGCTACTGAACCAAGATTCACTCTCTTGCACAAGATTTGGAATAAACCCTCGCAATAATGCTCTATGCACCAAATTCGAAGCAGTGGCATCACTATAAAGTGTGATCTCCTCTTTCTGACTGTTAAATTGTAGCTGTCCGATCTTTTTGGCAACTTGATCAGCATCATTTGGATCCTCCTCAAGTTTGGGCTCATTGAACGTGACCTCTGCTACTCCGTCGATATGTGCTGCAAGGTCCAAAGCTGACAGTTTGTGATATGTAATCACTACTTGTCGGACTAATTCCGAAATAGATGCATCGGTGTACGTCTTCTCCTCATGATCGAAAAAGCCGGCATGTGCAGATAGTACAACAAACATAAGCACTTTAGCCAAATGGAGTTTGTCTGAAATAATTTGCGTCAAAGCGTCCGAGGCGAAAGCTGTGAATAATTCTGTATTCTCGTAAGAGATCGACATGCCCTGTGTCTTGCTTTTTGGTGATGTGCTTTGTAGTGTCGAAAGAATATTGCTGACAGTGCCGGAAAAGTCTGATTCAATCGAAGCAAACCCGTCCTTCAGTTCGTCTTCATCTAGAGATAAAGCATCCACTAGGTGTGTCGTCCAAAGCGCATCTGCCACATCTTCGATAACCCTCGAAGGTTGCGTAGAGAGAGTTTCATCAAGGGCCGTTTCGAATTGACGAAGTGCGTGCGATTGTATGTTTGCTTTTAGCTGGAGGCCAAATTCTATTAGATCTTTGCATTGATCTTCATCGTCAAGTTGATCGTCTTCTTCATCAGCATGTCCTCGGCGCAGAAGGGAACATGCTTCATCTTCCTCTACAGGTCGAGATAGCCATCCTCTGGAAGACACGAAAGGTGTATAGAAGGATCCTGATGCATCTTTCCGTTCGCCAGCAAAAGAGATTGGCCAACGTTCATTCGAGTCCGCTTGTCTCAAAAGACTGATGAAAATGATCCATTCTCGTTTCAATTCCGCGAAATATTCATCATACATTGGCGCTCCCGTCGATTCGTCTTGCCTCAACTGAACAGTACAGCCTACCAGACCCAAAATATGCTCACGTATATTCGACTGTATCGAACTTGTGGTCGGAAGGTGAACAGGATCGACTTGCCTCGAAAGCAATGCTTTTTCGTACGCTTTCGTTGCCTCATCAAGGCTGCCTACACTGAACCGGCCTGGCTCCACGATACGCTGGATGAAAAAGGGTCCCAAGTCTGCTGCATCAAGATCACTCAGATCTTCATCCAGTTCTTCTCCAAATAGTGACGAGTACGAGATCGGAAGATTTACCGGTAGCCACTTTTCATCCCCTTTACTCGAAGATGATGTTCCATGTATAGGTAGCTTCTTGACTACGGTCCTTCCGGCGGCATCCCAGACACACCAAATATCCCAATGATCATCTAATGGTATGATGCTCATATCGCGTAGTTCGACATCCGAATGACTCACATCATGATCGAATCGGCGTTGCCAGAGGAGATCAATGTCTCCCACACTTCCGTTATAGTGACGACTTGAAGAAGATGAGATCTCGCTCAATTGGATACCATAGCATGCAAGGAAAGAGTTTGTCGTTCCCGAAGCAGGCACTGAGACCAGCACATACAAAGCGTAGGGACTACTGCCGTCATTGTGCGAGACCGAAATTGTTCGTATAAATGCAGGTCGATTGAAAGGGACAGGCGAGCTTTCGCGAGATTCATCTTCCGTATCTGCACCTCCCACAACCATATCTGTTTCTGTAGAGCTGCCTTGAGGTAATTCGATTGTTCGAATGCACGCATCGCTTCCGAGATCCCACACCCGCATCCTCCTATCTTGACTAATGGTAAAGCCTAATGTGCTAGACCAGGATGCTGATCGAGCATATGTCGCTATGGATGAGATATGCGGAGTAGCGTTTGAAGATCCCCCTCTGCCAAATAATCGTCCGAAGAATGTAGTTGGTCGTAGTACCGATTCATGCCATGATCCATTCATGTGTCCGTCAGATCCGTCATTGCCCTCCCATGCCAATTTTATCATCTTGCCATCTGAGCAAGATATGAGCATGATCTGTCCGTCATTCGAGCAGTGGGTTATGGAAAGAGTACTTTCGCGAGCAACAGTTCTTACATCTGTGGATACATTGCTGAGACGCTGTTCAACCATCCAACGATTAGGTATATCATCCACTGAATGTAAGAGATTCAGAGGAATGTGAATCCGATAGGCGTATCCTGTTGATGTACATGCTTGCAAAAGTACCGATTCGTCTTCTCCTTCAATGAGTCGTATCCCGGGCAGGATTGGAGCGGGAAATTGGATATGATGGGGTGCTGCATTGACAGCGGATGAGTGAAGGTGAAAGGTACGTAGTTCCAGCGTAGATGAAGAAGCGAATGGAGTAGTGATTAAAACAAAGTTTTGTTTCGTGTAGCAAGAAGTGCTTAAAGCTGTTTGATCGTATCCATCCTCGAGCGAAGGATGATTGGAAGAGATCAGATGTAAGGGAATGCCATCCTCTTCCTGAACAGCCAGAACTTCCAAAGGAGCAGAGACCAACCTCATGGATGATGAATGAATACCAGCCATGATGTAGATCCGCTTTGACCCTACTACCTTGAAGCAAAGATATGATGATGATGTTTGCAAGATGTTGTTACGCGTTTAAAATGTTTAATCTTCTTGAACATCAATGCGTCGCGACAAGCTTATTACTCCGTTCACGTGTTTAACACTTATTAATGAATGGTGCATTATTATGAATACGCTTTGTCCACCCTATTAGTAACAAGGTTGACCCCCATCACTTAATACCACATTCTCAAGTGATCAGTTGAGCCATCTACAACTACGACTCGCAATTCATCAATATACTGACGACATGACAGATTGAAACAAACTAATAAGCTTTCGGCCAGGTGCAAAATTCAAGCATTAGTACAATAACCAATTACAATCTCACAAGATGGAGATGCAGATTTCCATTCCCGATTTGGAAGATGATCAGATCTATCCGCTGGACGGAGGTGCGGGATTTGACACTTCCGTCAATCAATCCGAAGCATCCCATCAAGACTCTACCAAGCCGAGACCATTCAGAGGTGCAACGATTGAGCATTCACGATCAGGATCCGCTCTTAGTTTCGAGAGCAATACCGGTTCACGAACAGGCACTTCTCAGCCTTACAACACTGCAAGAGGAATGGGAGCTGGAGTCACTGCACCCGCCGCTACCTCCAATTTCAGTCCTTCGTCGACCGGATTTCCAAGAAAAAGCTCGTTTGCTTCTCTCAAAGCCGCATTCAAAGGAACTTCTACGACAAATGCACAAGATGCATACCCTCAACAATTACGCAACCCCTTCGGTGTCGGACAGCAGAATGGAAATGCAAACGTAAACTATGCAAGCTCCACTGGTCAAAAACCAAGTGCAGCTTCTCCAATCGATGCAAATAGAGCACATGGCCGGACCGATAGCTACTTATCTTCGATCACTTCACGCTCACGAGGTGTGCCATTATCGCAACAAAAGCATGCTCAACAAAGTTCTCTCTATTCAGAGAATTCTTTGGGTGGTAATAGCACTTCATTCAGTGAATCGACCAATGGTTCCGCTTTTCGTTCCGGTCCCGGTCTTCCACCTGTGCCACCTTTTCCAGAAGCATATGTTTCTGGGCAACAGCCAACGTCTTCAACTTCCCTTCCACCTGCTCGGACTGCATATGCAAGGTCTATGTCCGCCCAAGACCGGGGAATGGGGATCCCAGTATCGCAAACGGTCACCTCTGAAATGGACGGCATCCCACCCCTTCCGCGTTCAAACACAGACCAGCCGCATTATCGATCAAACAGTATTCCATCTTCCGTTGATCAATTAGATGATCCAACAGCGCCAAGCTGGATGCAGGGCAATGCGGCAATCTTGGAAGATTTAGAAGAACCTCTTCAACCACCGCAAAGGATCTTTGCAAGCTCTTTGCATCAACGAGGCTCTTCACGTGGAAGTAGAGATACATCAGAAGATGGAGCAAGACCATCGATTGACCATCAACAGGCTATGTATCGGGGAGCAGGAATCAATGCGCCAACCTCGTCTCGATGGGCAGGTGCGAATGCAGCACAAAATATGCCACCCGTACGTGAGGACCGCACAATGCAAAGATCTCAATTTATGAATGGTGAGAATAGCTCTTTTGCTTCGCTCCCTACCGGTATCGGTTTGGATGATCCAGCCAGCCCGGCAGAATATGCAATCAATGTACTTTGCAGTCGCTTCCTGACCTTAGCTGGTGTTCGAATCAGGACAGCAATTGGAGGGGTTGATGAGTCGGATCCATCCTTGGAGAGGAATTTGGGTTCAGGAGCAGATGGTGTGTTGGACACTCTTTTAGATTCTTTGGCACACGTTTCACGTAAGAATCCTGCTCCGGTCATCAAGAGTATCTTTCAATGGCGTGATAATATGATGGAAGATCGCATTGATGTTGGCGAAGTAAGAGGTGCATTAGCAGGCAGTCAAGTTGGTTTGGCAATGGGTGTAGGAGACGTAGCCAATGTGTTGATGAGAAGAAAGGTCTTGGCAACTGCGTACTTGTTATCTCGAACACTAATCCAGATCGCATCAAGCTTCTCACCTGGCCAGGCTGAGAACTCCATCAAAGGGCTTAACGATGCGCAAGTTACTGAGCTGCAATCAAGATCGTTCGAATTGATGCGCGAATGTAGCAGAGAAAAGATACCTTCTTCAAAGATGCAGATTGACGCTTTTGAACTTGCGTCACAGTTACTTGGTGTACTGTCAAAAGTGTGCTTTGCTGCTGTGGGTGATCGATTCGTTGCTTTTCTAGAGCAAGCAAGCCGTGCAAATTCAAACACAAAAGAAGGAGACCCTGCTTCAGAAGTTGCAGTGGCCGCTGTACGACATTTGACCATCACGCCCTTCCCAATGGAGTTATTTGAAGAGGGAGCAGAATTTCTCGAGATCATGGCCCGAAACTTTGCTGCTGCACATGGCCAACGGCTTAAGAGCACATACGCTGAATCTTTGTCTGCCTTGCTCATGCCTGTTGCCAAGTCTGCTTCAGCTGAATTACATCATCCGACCTGGACAAAGGCATTGGACTCAATAGCGCCACGAGCATTTGCAATGATTTCAAAACCACGATACTGGTCTGTTGCTTATCCTTTATATGTTGCCGTACTCTGTGTTTCACCTGAAGATCGATTTCAACAACCTTCTCAAACGTGGTCATGGGTACAATGCTTGGATGCTGGGGTGACAAAAATGAACAAGGATCGAGGCAGTAGGTCTATCGTGATGAATGCTGCCGTTTCCCTTTTATGGACCTATCTATTCCGTTGCCGTGAGAGCTCTTCAACGACAAGCAAAAGACTGGAAACATTCTCACGCATCTGGTTCCCTGCCAATCGGACGACTTTATTCCCGACAGACGTGACAAATTTGGAATACCACATCTACTTCACCCACTATATCCTCTATCGACAATTTGATGTCGGGCGGGATATGGTGCTAGATTTCTTGAGAGCACAATTATTGAGTGGAAATCACCTTTCTGTTTCACCTGAAGCATTATCAAAGCAGCGTATGACCGTCGCTGTTCGGGCGATTTTGCTCACTTTGGATGCTCATGTCAAGGAAATTTCACCGTCATTTCCATCGGATCCCAAATATGTGACGGAGAAGTCAGACTTTGGTGATGAACTACCTGATGCGTTCACTTATCCAACGCCAGATATCGCCAGCTCACAAGCCCAATTTAATGATTTGATCGGCAAGATCGCACTGCTCTGTAATCATCAAATTGGCGGAATATCAGTGTTTTCAGATGCGGTGTCCTTGACCAGAGGTACTTCTTTAACTGCAGCAATGGCTGCATCCAAAGGGTTGAATGACGAAGAGAGACTCCTGTGGCGTTTGCATGCAACGAGCCGATTCATTGCCGCCTACAATCGCGACCATCAACCGTACATTGAACTTCTGCGAGCTTGTATTGACGCTTGGCCACGTTGTTTGACGGCCAACATACCCTTCCAAAATGTTCTCAACGTTTTACATAGGGCCTACTTCAGTGCTGATCCATTATTGGCCGAAGCAGCTGCTCGATGTCTGAAACGTATAGCCGAACAACGTAAAGGAGGTGCAACAGCAGTGATGACCAGTTTCATGCGATATTTGCTAAGGGTCGACATGGTATACTGGGAAACACATACAAATCAACTGTTGATCCTATCCAAGATCGAAGGAGCAGTAAAGCTTTTGAGTTCATTTTTGCAAATTTGGCTAGATGAGCTCAAGAAAACCCAAGCAGGTGGGGATTCCGGCAAAAAGGGTTGGGAGATGGAACGAACGAGTGCTTGGGCTATAATTGATGAAGTAGAAGCTATGGGGCTATTCCTGCTCTGCTCTGCTTGGAGGCCGTTGAGGAGACATGCTCTCGGTATTTTGCGCATTGTCTCAACTCTGGACGAGGTTTTTGCTGGAACCACGAACAAGAATCCCACTTACGCAAAGGACTCTCCTGAAGATTTTGAAAAAGAAGATGAACCTACACGTGTGATTCACCTTCTTTCCATGCCATGTGCACGTTTTATTGAGACGTTAAAGGATCCACGTAGCGAAGAAGCAAGTGATATCTCCGCTTGGCAACATGCAAGAATGATGAAATGGAGACGAACGCAGATTTCAAAAGAAACACTGGCAGAATTAGCAGAGAGTGATAAAAGCAACGAATCTACAAATTGGCTCTTGGTAGTTCCGAAGTTTTTGAGAGTTTGTCTGGATCATTTTCCCACAACAGTTGCTGTCTTCCGATCAATTGTGACCAATCGAATTATAGGAATGGAAAGTGCTGTTTCTGTTGCAGCTGGAACGAGTAATAGGGCACCGGCCGGGGGAGTCTCAACTTTAAAAGGACAAGCAGTTGGTGCAGCTGGTGCGTTGATGCCATTCACAGCACTAGGTAACAACAGCGCGAGTGCAGCAAATGCCACTGTCGGATTAACCCACGAGCAAAACCTCATGGCAGAGCACTGGAAGATGTACATTCTTGCCTTATGTACTACCACAACTTCGATCGAAGGAAGCGCTCATCGAATCAAGAATACAGAAGGTGGAGTGCCATCCGAACGTGTGATCGCAGCAAAGGATTTGTTCCAGAAATTGGTTCCTTACCTGGCTTCTGATCATGCAAAGTTCAGAGAATCAGTCATCTCCGCGCTCGGTAATATCAACGCCAATCTGTATAAGACACTTCTCGAGACGCTACAAACAGTCAATGCTCAATTGAGTAGCGACTTCCGCAGATCAAATGCTAAGCGGAATCGACAAAATGAGCGTTTACGGACAGCACTTGCCAATGTTGTGCAGCTCACGTCGACGCATATGACTAGTAATGGAACTCTAAATGATGCAAGCTTGGTTTATCTGATCCTGCAGTGGATCAAAGAAACGTTTGCCTTCTTGACCGATCGTGAAATCAGACTCGATTGGGAATTTCACAAGCTTCGAAGATTCTTCGCAGGCGTCGTAGAGGAATTCTTTGACTCTTTGTACGTTTCGAAGGAGAACAAAGCGAGCCAAGAGAATTCGGAAAAGCTTCTCAATCTGCACACCAGGCTACACATGTTCAAATTGTTCCAAGATTGGCATTCTTTCAGTCAAGCTGCCAAAGATGGTCCTGCCAAGCTAGCGAATCTTCTGGCAAATGTTGCAGGAATGTATCGGGAGGATCGTAATCGTGAGGCTATTCTGACAACATTGCGCAATGAAACACAAATGCTGTCATTCCATGCAAGTTGTGCTATGGCTGCTCTTTGTCAAGGCGTTGTTCCTGTCAGCGACAGTCAACATCCTTCCTCAGCAAACAACATGAGCTTAGAGCCAGCTTCTTTGCTTACCTGGCTCAAGCACTTATATCTCAGTCCATCCCCTCAAAACCACGCTGTTGCCAGACGTGCTCTTAAAGCACTTTTGACGCATAATGCGTTCAATAAAGATCTGATCAGATTCACACTGGAACATGCGGTTGCAGAACCAGAACAGACGAGCGCAACGAGATCATTCTTTGCCGTATTTGCAGAGGTGGTGGTGGAAAAGAAGGGCTCAGATCAGGTGCCTCTTGACCTACCGCAGATCCTGTGTCTTGGGTTGGTGAAATTGGGTCATCCAGATATTGATACTCGAAAGAAATCGTTCATTCTGTTGAGCAGCATTACACCTATCGAGCATGGTTCAACTGTCATTGCAGCAATGGAAGGTGGCGTTTCAAGTCCATTGCCTGCCACCTATCTGCGAGCTCAGCGAGATATCTCAACTGTACTCGCAGAGCATTTCCAAGAACACAAGATTGCCATGTTGAGCGAATATGCCCTTCGTTTACCAGAAATCGATCTGTCGAGAAGGGCGACTACCCTAGGTCTTTTACCCGAATGGCTGCATCGAATTCAATTTACAGGAGAACCGAATCAAGAAGGAAGCGGAGTAGCTCTCTCACGTCGGTCGATGTTGGTCCTTTCGAATTTGTTGGCTATGACGATTCGATATGGTGACGAACATAATTTCGAAATTCAAGACATGTGGGCAAGTGTAGCGGAAGGAGGTGATCTTGCATCAAATGCAACGACAATTGTCAAATTCCTTATACAGCAAGCATTGGCTCTTCGAAGCTCACCATTTATCATGCACGCAAAAAGGGCAGTTTCGTGTCTTTCTCATACTGTGCTGGCTCCAACCCTGTTCGCTGAGATGTGCTCGTACATTGAACCGTCATCGATGATTCCCGTACCTTTGGAACAAAATCGATTAACGACTTTCGATGCACAATTGGACCATCTCTATTTGGCCAATATCGAAGAACACTTACCGCTTGCCTCACGTAAACAAACATTCTCGCCCGGCCAAGTAGCTTTATTGTTTGTAGGCGAATTGACGTACGAGAAATCGCCATATTTGATCGAAAAGCTTCCATTATTATTGCATGCAATCTTTATGCAAGTCGATAGCACAAGCGCATTCACACAAGAACAAGTGATGAGCATGTTTGAACAATTGATGCGATCACTCAGCAATGAAATGAGTGCAGGGCCCAGAAACTTTTCAAGTCAGGTAGAGAAATTATTTGAGAAAGGCACAAGTATCTTCTGGACGCAGGATGAGGCTGATTTCGATGCATCTCAAACGCCAAAGGTGATGCGAAATACAGTCTTGGACACCATCTCCATTGTCAAAAATCATATTGAAAATTTGAATGAACGATGGGGAAATGTGGCATTGGAATGGGCAACTTCAAATCCAGTCAGACATATGGCTTGTCGATCGTTCCAAATGTTCCGAATTTTGATGCCGGATGTGAATTACTCAATGTTAGCAGACATGTTGGGTCGTTTGAGTAACACAATCTCTGACTCTGTTCGAATTGACAATCAATCATTCGCTCTTGAAATTCTTTATACGATGAAAGCAGTGGTCCGAAATATCAATTTGGACGATCATCAATCCTCTAATGGCAAGTATGCTCTTTTGGGACATATTTTTTGGATGAATGTGGCCTGTCTTTCAACAGTCAATGAATCAGAATTCGGTCAAGCAGTTGGTCTCTTACACTTATTGCTGGAAAAGTTGGATCTCGATAACCCAGAAACCGTGACGTTTTTACAAGCTCATTGTCCTGATGGATGGGAAGGTGAAATTGGAGGATTGCAGAACCTCATTATGCGAGGATTGAGGTCTGCGTCTTTGTATACCGAGAGCTTCAACTTGTTGGCAAGAATGGCAAAAATCTCCGATGAACATTTGATCGACAGACAGGATTCACGAATCGGATACCTTTTCATTGTCAGTTTGGCTTGGTTCCTGCAAGCATCCGATGAACCAGGGTCGATTGATGAATCGCTTGTCACTTGCTTAGCAGAGGATATCGCTGCATTAGCTGCTAAGAATGGAAAGGTGGATATCGAAAGAGTGGCAACAAGTGTTGCAAAGAAACGTTTCCGAACGACAGATGACCTTCTTCGTCAGGCTATGGGTAGTTGTGTTCGTTCAGGCTTTCTACCAAACCACGCCACCGGAATGGCTCTTACTTTGTTGGCCCTGACTTTCAATGCTGAACCCTGGCTGCGTAAACGTACTTTGCAAGTCCTCAAAATCTTCTTCCAATCAGTGGATACTCGCAGACAAGAATTGCACGAGTTAGGTCCCGAATTGCTTATGCCTCTATTGCGTCTGTTGAGTACAGATTTGAGTCTGGAGGCCTTGGAGGTGCTCGAAGAAAAGATCTTAGCCTCTGTTCCGTCGGCAGGAGCGAATCATTCTGGCCAAAGACGCGGACCGAATGCACAACAAATTGTTCGAATGAGCTTGCAATGGAACAATAATCCAATCGCATTTCAACAGGGGCGTTCGGGACCTGGACTTTCTGGCTACGGTCAAGGTCGCAATGGACCAATAGGTGGTCCCAATAATTTCCGTAATGCACGAATGCCTGCAAACCAACGTTGGCCTCCTAATCCATCTCAACAAAGATCAACACATAATGCGCATGAGATGAATTCTCTTTTCGGCATTCCAGAAGATTCAGGTTGGTCCGTTGCTGACGTTCCCGATTGGACTTCTCGAACGCGAATCAACATCTTGAGCGTCTTCAAAAGTGTTGAATTATTACTTGATACACCTCCCGTTGGTGAAGTCAATTTTGTTGATGATTATGATGCTGAAGGTGAAAACGTATTTGAACAAAATATGACTGCAAGTAGAACTGATATGGAAGAATTGGAAAGTGCAAGTCTTGCTGCTGGAGCAAAGAGTGGAAATGCGCAAAGTCTCGCAAGTCAGAATGGAGTTTCATTCCCCGGTGAGCAAGCTTCACTCGCATCAAAGTCATCCGTTGCAGGAATTGCTATGCAAGAGAACAACTTCCCAACCGAAAGTGAAAAAGACAGCATTGGTGATATCGTCAATCAATTACACGATTTGAGTAGCTTCTTTATCGATGATGAGTTTACCAATGCATCTGTCGAAAATGATGACCCTTCCGATCGTTCAAGCAAACGAAAATCCAGAAAGAAGAATAATGCCAGCATGGGAGGAAACAGTCAATCATCTTCTTCTACCCGCTTGACACACTTTTGGGGAGGTACTGGAGCAGCATCGCTGAGTAGTATTGCAGGCAAAAGTGATGGACATTCAGAAGAAAATAGCGGAGAACAAATTGCCAAAATATTGAGCAGAAGTGCATTGGCAAATATGATGGGACGTGGTCATAACGCAGGAGGACATCATACGAATCGTACAGCAAGTGAAGGTGGCTTTGATGGATACAATAATCCTATGGGCGATTCAACAATGATTGCATCTTCCACAAGTGGTGATCTGAGTATGTCAGACGTAAGTGGTAGCATTGTTGAAGGTGGCGCTCCCACGTCAAACAAGCGACATAGTATGTGGGCCCGAAAGGCTTTGTTTGGTAAACGAAATAACGCAGCTTTACGATCAGCATCAGAAACAATGCCAATGCCATCAAACGAAGACAATTCCATCCCTGCATCCACTTCTGCGCCACTCGTTTCAAGGATATCTTCCGATGAAGTAGAAGTTCAACAAGATGGAGATGAGACTGCAAGATCATAATGAAATAAAAGGAAGAAATTTACTGTATTGTACAAATGTTTACTTCTCGTGCGTTTTTCGCAATGTATATTATAATACAACCTTGAAGGGGATGAATAGAGTACATAAAATGGGTAGCATAAGCAAAAAAAGCATCTTGTTCCACTCTAGGCTTGTTGTTGTTGTGCTTGTTCTTCAGCAGAAGGCGGAGGCGGTGCTTCGGTCGGTGGTGCCTCCTCATCATCATGCATACGCGAACCATGCTCTTGATCACCTTCCTGTTGTGAATGAATTTGGTCACCGTATTTTTGCTCATTGTCGATGCAACGAACGATCAAAGCAGCCGTACGTAAGCCCAAATGATAATAAGATGAAGATGTTGAATAAAACATTGTCGTATGTGCGTCAATCTCATCAGAAGCTGTTTTATTGTCAACCGCTTCAAATGAATCCAGCGCTCGACTTTTGGCTGGCGGAAGAATGATGAATGTTCTGGGAACATTTCTACTTGTTATATTTATCAGGCTGCCATCATTGAGCGGAGGTAAACGATTGTAAAGGGCATGAAAGAATATTTGCGGCAGATCAATCACTGCATCTAGTCGAGCTTTGAGATTTTTGTCGTCCCATAAATTACTTACGAATAAAAAGTGATCATTCAAGTACTTCCAGCCACCGCCATAAATTGTACCAGCTGCCGCACCTCCAGCCAGTGCCACTGCACCCGTTGCAAGAAGTGCTGATGACCAGAACGAACCTGCGCTTTTGTTCTTCTGGGAGCTGTCTTGGCCAGATGTGATGCGTGAGGAAGATGAGGATTGCGCGTTGCTTGCTTGTGATCCACCCCACCATCCTGCAAGTGCACCTGCTACGGGTGAAAGTTGAGTGGATAGCTTTTGTGCTGTTTGATAATAACCATGCATCTTTGTTGCGGTATTCTTGAAGACGTATGGATGAACACCATAATATGGCGTATCAAATGCGAGCACTCCACACACCCTTGGCCAAACATGTCCATGCATTATTCCACCACTTTTGGCAATCTCTAAAGCAGCATCAACGGCTACCAAGCCACCCATACTATGACCGCAAAGGATAATCTTTACGCTACCAGCGCCTAAAGGTTCACTTTTTGGATCATTCGCATCTGGTGGTTCACATTCTATTTCAACCGTCTTTGTCGTTAACCAATCTACAAATTGTTCCACTGCTTTTGCCAAGGATCCACGTGTTTCGTATGTTGGATAAATGATTGATCTCACGTTTAATTTTGGATATGTTTGCGAGACCATATGTGAAACCCTATCTGGAAAATCGGCAAATGTTGATTTATCGCTTCCCTTGAATCCGTGTATCCATATGAGTAATAATGAATGTGCTTCCTTTACCGTGTTGTTGTTTGGTATTTGCTTTGATGTACTGGCTGTTGAGCTTTCGTGCACATCATCGCTATTACCATAATCGAGTTCCGACATCTTAATAAAAAGCCATTTAAGGATGTTTGATGGTGGCTTTCAGATAATCTTGAAACGTGGAGTACTATCATGCATGAAGCTAAAATGCACTCACACTTAACTACAGAATATTCCTTGGGACGGCGCCGGCAGACTGTCAGATACAAGCTTAAGCACGTGTATAGTCAGGCTGAGAAGAAGGTCTAGCGTGTCCAGTCATAAAAAAGACAAATACGAGCAATGACCATCATCAATACTATCACCTCTATACCAAGATGACTTCATCAACAGGAGCACAACAGGTGCCCTCACAGGAACAGCTATTACAGCTTATCGATAGTAATGGTGGTCACATTAAAGACACACGTACCTTATACAAAACCGATTCATCTGCGTCAGCTGGTCAAGATGCAAAAGCAGTAGATGAAGCATTCAGGAGGAGAGCGGATTGGCAATTGGGCTTACAGGGTATCTTGAACAGCCTGAAGAGTAGGGAAATGATCACTTATACAGTCTTGAATGAGATCTCACACGTACCATCCTCAGAAGGGCATTTAATCGCACAAGAGGGCTCACCAGAAGCCAGAGTCTGGTCCGCATTACCTGCTGGAGGAAAAGAGGGAAAAGATATGGACGAATTACGCAAAGCTTTGGGCGCAGATGTGTTGAAGTTCGGACAAGGAAAAGCATTTGCCAAGAAATGGGTACGAAAAGATCCAACAAACGATAAAAAGTTGGTCCGTGTAGAAGGGTTGGACAGCATTAGAGATGAAACGCAAGATGATCTACGTGAGATTAGCAAAAGTGGCCAAATCGATGGTGGAAGCAAAGCAGGAGAGAAGAAGCTATTAGAGCTCAAGAAGCGTAACTTGATCACTCCAAGAAAATTGTTGTACTTTGACGTCGCAAAAGGACCCAATTTCAGCCTAACGTTGGAGAAGCTGGAAACTGACTTGACATCGGAAATGCTGGTATCTGGATCTTGGAAGACTGCAAATTTCAAGCAATACAATTTCGATGCTGAAGGTGCTGTCCCTGCAGCAGGAGCATTACACCCTCTGCTCAAAGTTCGGGAAGAATTCCGTAATATCTTCTTTGAGATGGGCTTTGCCGAAATGCCTACAAATCGTTTCGTAGACAGTTCATTCTGGTGTTTCGATGCTCTTTATGTTCCACAACAACATGCTGCCCGAGATGTCCAAGATACTTTCTTCGTCAAAGACCCTCAAGCAGCCAAAAATATTCCAGAAGATTATTTGAAAAGAGTTGTTGAAGCACACGAGAATGGTTCTTTCGGCTCAACAGGATACAGATATAAATTCTCCCGAGCAGTGACTGAGAAACTTGTTTTGAGAACGCACACGACCGCCGTTTCAGCCGCGATGCTTTACAGTATCGCCAATCAGCCTGGAGGTTTCAAGCCAGCTAAGCTTTTCTCAATCGACAGAGTGTTCCGTAATGAGGCAGTTGATGCGACCCATTTGGCAGAATTCCATCAAGTGGAAGGTGTGGTTGCCGATTACGATATCACACTTGGTGATCTGATCGGATTCATGCAAATCTTCTTTTCAAAGATGGGCGTCACAAATCTTCGTTTCAAGCCAGCCTACAACCCATACACCGAACCTAGTCTGGAAATCTTCAGTTACCATGCCGGTCTAAAGAAGTGGGTTGAGATTGGTAATTCAGGAATGTTCAGGCCCGAGATGCTGCGACCGATGGGATTGCCCGAAGGTGTCAATGTTCTGGGCTGGGGATTGAGTCTGGAAAGACCAACGATGATTCGATATGGAATTAACAACATTCGTGATTTGTTGGGACATAAGATCTCCATTGATTCTGTACAAAAGGCAGCAGCTGTTCGCTTCCCTTAAAAAAGTTATTAATATACATGTATTCTCTCTGTTCAGGTGTGATAGTACAATTTGGATAGGAAACAAGCACTTCAGACGCGCAAGTAGCGCTCGACGATGGCATTGGCCAAACGTGGATTACCTGAAGTGAGATAGATCAAGTGTAGGTTGAAAGCTGCTTCTGCCGTGCAATCGAAGTCTTGCCTATCCGAAGAAGACGGAATTGCGTCGATTGACATTTGGTCATCTCCTGATTTCTTGCCAAAAGCAAAATCTTTGTGAGGTCTCAAAACACTATTGTAGTGCGGTACAGCGAGTTGATTGAGTCCTAATTGATGGGCAACACGACCGAAATTGTACTCAATCTCAGGTTCGTATACATTCATGCCTTCTTTGAAGACAGAATTCGATTCTTCCATTTTGATCTGGCCTTCTTTTTTGCGTATCTCTCGATAATGATGCAAGAAAGCATATGCCTGCATCACCACCTGATTGCGATTGTCTACCTGTCTATTGGCAGCTCTTCCTAAACAAGCAACCGCACATGCCAAACAGACCAAAGCATCATTCGGAAAATGAGCATAAGTACGCAAACAATACGCCATAGAAGGAATACCGTTACTTGACGTGAGCAATAGACCAGCATAGAACAATTCATTCGCAGGATTGTAACGTGTCGGAGGCTTGTGAATAGATGCATCCATACCGGGATCATCTTTAACATTCTCCCAGGCAATCTTCGGCTTATCAAACACTTTTCGAGATTGAAGACCAAGATCGGCTTGTTCTCTGCGTCCTGCTCTGCTTTGTTCGTCAACTTCAGAATCACTTTCGTTCAAATCGTCATCTTCCATTCGTGTGTTGTTCACTGTGTCTTGGCCAAAATTGTCTTCTCCGTCTGCTTCCTCCTCGTCTGGCCCACCACGTCCTGTACGATCAAATAATGAGTCGCGAACGATCCATCTTTTCTTGCTCTTGTTGAACATGATCCGAGCATCTTGTACCATAGATTCGTGAATACGACTTCGACGAAGAAAGAACTTGATATTGTTTGCTGTTTGCAATGCTTCATGACCCGCAAAGCCGGAAGAATTGCTGACAACAAGCATTGCTCGTAAAGCTTCTGTGTGAAATTGATAGATGAATGGAAGGTAGCGTAATGCCGCTTCAGAGAATACTGCATGATACTTGCCAGCATACAATGCGCAAGAAGCATAGCATAAGCTCAATGACTGACGACGTTGGTGAATTGCCCATACGACGTTCGAATGAGATACTCTACGCAAAACTTTGCGCGCCAATGCGAATTGATGAAGCTTGGTGAGGACAAAGGCGTATTGCATCGTCAAATCGACCCAGTCATCTAGAGCAATACCTCGGAAATGAGTTTGCTCAACATTGTTCGCCGCTAAATTTTCATCGATCATTGAATCGCCCATTCTGGACAGCAAAGCCCGTGCTTCTCTATACAATCGATCTTTACGTTTGTATTGACTTCTAAACATCCCCCCAAATAGCTTGTTTTTGTCCTTTGGAAACAATTGTGGAGTATCAGAGAACATCCTGATCAATCCCTCCATTTCAGCAGTCCACTCTGAGATACGTTCAAAACGTTCCTTCCTTTCTGATGCATTCTCAAAGTTACCATAAATTTGCTCATGGATATCGCCCGTAAAAGGTACATCTGGATGCCACCATCGATCAACGAAAACGCTTTTCTCGAGAGATCTAATGCGATTGAAAGCTTCAACAGTTTCATTCTCACGAATTTGCTCCATCTGAAACGCTTGTCTTCTTTCTTTATCTCGTCCCGACGCTCCCGCACCGCGATTCTTTGACGCTTCTGTAAACAAAGAGAGGGATTGCAAAACGGTATCGTCCGGATCCTGAGAATTTTCGTCTCGTTCATAATCTTGTTGACCATCTGGTGGCTGTTGATTTCTTCTCTCTCTCAATACTTCACTGACCATTTTAATCGCATCATCACGTCTGCCCGAAGCTTCGTATGCCTCTGCTAAACGTAATTTTGCTTCCAAAGTGTAATGGCCTGATTTGACAACTTCTTCCAGCCACGCGACCGCTTCTACAAATTGCTCTAATCCCATCAGACAATCTGCGACTCGTCTGTAATCTTGCGCCATCTGTTCTACGATGGATTCATCAAAGTCTTCATCATCAAATCCGTAATCTTCGCTGTTGAATTTTTGCCGTTCTGCGCTGAGCATCTCGGCGTATTGCAAGGTCTCCTCGAGCAGATCCGTCCTTTCAGCCTGAACATTTTCATTCTCTTCATCATCCAACCCTTGGGCTAATTTGATCATCTCATCGACCATCGTTGCAAAATTGTCAATATTATCCCTATCGAGGACGATACTTTGACGCCATATATTGTAATGATTTCGAGCTTCCTCAACATTGCCCATACGAGCACGCGCTGTACCCAATCGAATTCGAAATTCTATATCCAAAGGATAGATGGGAGCCATATTGACTCGCCTACCAAGGTCACCCCTGCGATGATTGCCTGAACGGTCTACATCATATTCTCGATCATCCTCTTGAATATCGTCCCAAAAAGTCTCTCCTGCCCTGCCCTGGAGCCAACGTGCACCTTTTCGAATGGTATCCAATGCATCCTGCGGGCGATTTGCCAAGATCAATAAATCCACAAGAGTTGCAATATGATCAGAACTGTATGTGGCTCGCTCACTTGGATCTGTTCCCGCCAGTCGAGGATCAGGATAAGCTTTCATATCGATATCAGCGCAAATTTGTAAGATAGAAATTGCTCGATCTGACATTCCAAGTTGGTGCAAGAGAGGAACGACTCGACGAATAGTTTCGCTATGCGTTGGATGAAATTCTAGAATGCTTAGGTATTGCCGAGCAGCCTTTTTTATTTCACGTTTGTCTACCAATAGTTCAGCCCGTTCCCACATCATATCCATCACGTCTGCTCGATCTTCCTCTCGACTTGATCTGATAGCCTTTTCCAAGCAATGAAGAGTTTCCTCTCTAAGTCCCATCTCTCTGCTTTGTTCTGCCAAAGTACTCCATTGTGTCAAAGCATTGCTTGTCAAATGTGCTTCCATGATACGTGATTGAATTTCTTTATCAGGCTGATTAAGAGCTGCAAAGCAAACGGCCATCGTTCCCCATGCCGATCGTATAGTTGGCTCAATTCGAATGACTTCTTGTAGCTTACTGAGCGTTTCAGGTATATCATCTTCAGCGAATGCCATATTCGCCTGTGCTAATAAACTTTTTGCTTCTGCTGATACGGCTTGTTGTCGTGGTGCAACTCGCTTTCTTCGTCCAAAGGCGTCCGTCTCTCGTCCTTTCTTGCTCTTGAAACCAGTAGCACTTCGCAAATCCTGCTCGAAAGCCAATTCGTCCATCTCCTCATCTGCATCTTCATCTGCATGTAAAGCAGTTCCCCATCTCACTGCTACGTCTGACATTGATGACTTGGTGTTTGCATCAGCGAGAGCGTGAGCCAGCTCTTGAAATCTGTCTTCTTCCATATCTCCTTCATCATCATCTTTGCGTTCTGGTTGTTGAGCGGCTTGTTTTCTTCTATGCTCAGAACCGATTTGCCTCCAAGATTCGATGAAATCAGGCTCTTCGTCTGGATGAAAGTTTTGCATTCCTGTATAAGCATCCGTTGGAAATGTTTGATATTCATCACCTTCCAAGCTGGCTTGCGTGAAGAGATTGTTTTCACGATCATACCTTTCCAACTCTTGCTCCTCGTCGACGGGATATTCGTGATAATCTTGTCTACCATTATCTTGATCAGCATACATTCCTCCAGAATGCGATCCTCTGCCTTGTTCAGGCTCGGGAGAAGGGCGATATTCATCTTGACTATCATCTTCTTCAAAGTATTGCTCGTATGCTTCTACTCCCAAGGATTGATCATCTTCCATGTATTCATCTCCATCATAAGATGTATCATTCTCTTTAGCTTTTCCTTTTCCTTTTTTCGATGCTGAAAGTGTTGTGAGCTTCCGTTTAGGTGGAGCTGAAGTACGCTTAGGCCTTCCAGAAGGCATATTGACACATGCCAAAGAAGGAAAGTGGGCGGATGTATTCTTTCTACGTGGCCTCGCTCATTATCATGGTTGTGAAAGTCAAGAGGCACATCTGATTCTAGACACACCTTCAGAAGAAGAAGAAAACGCACAGACCTCCTCTACAGTGCAATATGGTCTTCATGGCCAGCATAATGCATTTTATTTATGAAATCATAGTCATTTGATGAAATCATAGTCATTTGATGAAATCATAGTCATTTCAAATCTTCAAATCTCTTCAAAGTCTCTACGATTATCTTCTTACACCTTTAATCAAACAGATGAACCTCTTTCTCAATGATGGACCTTTCATAGAAGAAGCAACACATTTGAATCGCGTAAAGTACACTACTTCATCATAACTATACGCGTCTTAATAATAATAATATTTTTATCGGCCTTATCTCCGGACCAATAAGGCGTACAAAAAAAAGAAAAAGCCAAGCGTGTGAGTCAAATGCTTTCTTTGTACTAAGAAATTTTACGAATTGATAGCTTGTACACTGCTGTATTGCCTAAGCATTTTATCAAGAAACTTTGTTGACAGGCAAGCCAATCAAGCAAGCGTACTTTTTATCAACAAGTTTCCTTCCCTGCCATCACATCTTGATTGCTTCTCATCAAATCAAGACGCTGACAAAATACTTCAAAATGACACCTACAGCTTTGGCTGACGTTCAAGATGTCGATATGAGTTTCGACCCTACAGCTCAACCAATCACAAATCAACAACCTTCAAACGGGGCGATCAATGGACCAGCACTTACTGCTAGTAATGTCACAGGAACAGCTTCCAATGAACGTACTCTGGTCATAGGCTCCTTGGATGCTGCACAATCTGGTCGTTATCAAAGCGCGGTAGAAGAGGCTGGTATGGGTGGCGTTCGTCAAGTAGAGATGCACATGGTCGATCGTGTTACAAGCGGAACCGTGCAATTGGATCAAGACTCTTTCACACAAGTTTGGATTATTGCACCTTGGTCTCAAGATGCTCAATCTCTACTCAAACCCATTAACAATGCACTACGACAAGGATCGAGCTTGATCATTGAAACACTCTCATTGCCAAGTGGACCGGACACCCTTCGCGCAATTGAAGCAGAATTACGTCTTTTGGGATTCTCTGAGATACAGTCAGATGAAGTCAACTCTTCCGTCTCAGCTGTCAAAACAGCTCAAAGTTCTAGCTCATCCGCATTACCACTTCGACGTAAATTGGCCAAGAACGGCTCTTCAACAAATGCGAAGAAGAAAGCGTTGTGGAATTTAGCATCAACTGATGCCCCTCTGATTGATCAAAACTCCCTCTTGAGCGAAGCAGACAAGCTTGTCCCAGCTGCTACACGAAGAGAGGACTGCGATCTAGAATCCGCATTAGCAGGCGGTAGACGTAAGAAGGCATGCAAAGGATGCACTTGTGGCTTGCGTGAATTAGAGGAAGAAGAAGAAGAGGCAAGACAACAAGGGATCGTGCAACTGGACGCAGATGAGCTTGCAGGACAGGATGGACCATCAAAGACTGAAGTTACAGAAACAATGGTTGATGAAAACGGAATGACCAGAGTTATCAAACGAATTCGGGTAGATACAAAAGGAGCTAGCAGCAGTTGTGGAAGTTGTTTCTTAGGTGACGCTTTCCGTTGCAGTTCTTGTCCTTACCTTGGTCTTCCTGCTTTTAAGCCTGGAGAAAAGGTTGAAATCCCTGTTTCTATGGATGATGATCTCTGATTCATTCGCTCTCTCTCTTTGTAAGTCTTGGTCTCATCTACATTTTTTCGGTTTACATGTATTATTTCATACACTTTCTTCCCTCAAAAATATGCTAAATTGAATCATTGTGTGGGTATGAGCTGGAGAAGGATGTTTTAGATGTAAGAAAAGGGGGTCTGTCTGTAGGATAATGAATGTTTGTGTGTATGTGTTGAATGAAACAGTGTGGCGTAGGTTCAGTACGCGATTTTAGACCATCACATGAAATAAGCTTAGCCTTAAAGCATCAATTAACACAAATTTTAGCCGGTTAAAACACTGGCCTCGTGCCAAAAATCAACTAAAAGTGAACAAATGCACACATACACACTCGATTCAAACTTTTGTTACACTTGAAGACTTCAATTCGTTCTTCTTCTAATCTTTCATACTCATCCTACATTATTGAAGAAGCTTTCCTGCAAGGAAGACTTTCGATCAAGTTTTTGATTGTAGTGGAAAATGGCAGAGTAAGTGGATTCACACGACATCTAGGATTTGCTTATTGATTGACACATCTCTCTCACTCTTATCAGCGCTGATGATCCTTGGGCAAATCACGTTCGAGGTACGCCTCTGGCTGAAGGATCCGATCCATTATCATCAGGAAATGATCGATGGAATGGCAGTGTGAATGGGAAACACAAAGAGACAAAAGGAGAAGTGGAAAATGCAACCAAATCTACTTTGACGGAAGCGGAACGAGATACAGATGTCGTTGGAAATAGCTCAGTCCTGACGGATGAAGGTGAAATCACACAAGATTTCGAAAACAAAGACGTTGCAGACATTCCAGAAGAAGCACCACATTCAAACGGATTCTCGTACCACGCTGAAAGGTCCTCAAATGGACGAGAAGAAACTGAGGATAATGTTACAGAGAACGGTGGGATAGAGGATCCCAATGGCAGCGAGGAAGAATCAGATGAGGAAGCATTTGTATACCCAGGCGCAAGTACTACAACTCCTTCAAAAGAGGCAGAATCGAAAGACGCACCAAAAGTAGATGACCTTCAGAACAATACACTTTCTCAAGGACCGTCTACATCTGCTGACGTAGAGTCTGCACCTGCTGTAACAGAGAGTCAACCGTCTCAAGCCTCTACTTCACCAGAACCTCGTCCAGTCGACTACCCTCGTCTCAATCAATTATGCTCTCAAGGTCCTCTTTCAACATTGCAAAAGTTTATCTCTGTAACCACTTCACCTGCACCTGCCGGATCGGGAATCAGTCTTTTCGCCTTGGCCAATGAGCCAAATCCTTCCAATGGATTGGTACCGATACACTTTGCTGCTCGTGAAGGCAGGGTTGACATTCTCAAGTGGTTGATTCGTGAAGCTGGTGCATTGGTAGAAATGGAAGATCGTGAAGGCGAGACAGCCTTGCACAAAGCGGCAATGGCGGGTAAATTACCTTCGCTCACATTTCTCATCAGTTCTGGCGCATCTGCTAATAGCGTAGACGGGGATGGATGGACACCATTGCACAATGCATGCTCGAAAGGATTCTTGGATATTGTGAAAGTTTTGGTTGAAAATGCCGGAGCGGCGATTGATGTCAAAGGCGGAAGAGGAGGATGGACACCCTTGATGAATGCTGCCTCAAACGGTCATTTGCCAATCGTGCGATATTTGACCAGTAAGCAAAAAGTGGATCCATTTGTGCGCAATAATGCTGGAGAAACTGCATATGATGTAGCCGCAGCCACTTTTGAGGTTTTCATTTGCGAAATACTGGAAAAGTACGAAAGCGAAAGGTGGGCTGCTTTGAAATTTGCCGGTTCAGCACCTTCTAATGCAAATCAAACTGTGCCTGGACAAGGCCCTTACAATCCTTTGGCTATTCATACAACCGTTCCTGTGATTGTGTACGAAAATCAACGTTTGGACACCAGACTTTCCACTTTGGCCATTCGTGGCGGTAAGCCTAGATGGAGCGGAACGCAAGCAGGTCGTCCAGACAAGCCAGATCGTCGTGCTCCCAGCACGATGTCACCTGGACCGCTAAGTTTGAGCAGAACAAGACATTTGCCAATGGCCCGAGAAGATGTCAAGCTGCCCACAAGATCGCAACCTTACAAATTACGATTGCCCAACAGAAGTGCACAAATTGCAGCTGCAAAAAAAGCTCGTGGTGAACTTGGAACGGGTGATGAGGAATTGGGTACAACACCCACGCCCGATTCAGTTTTGAGAAGGGGTTCAAACGAGGGTAGTGCTAGTGACAGTGTTGAACCATCACACTTTTGGCTGTCTACATGGCAAAATGATCTTACTAGCCCTCAAGTTGACGCAGAATCTGGATGGCAATACAGTCAATCGTTTGACACTCCAGATGAAAGATGGTCGGCAAGCGTTCCTGCTCCTCTCACTCGACTTTTGGACGGTCGTGGATTAGGTGCAAGCGTACAGAGAGCAGTGAGCAGCGTGGTTCTGGCAAGTACCGGTGCTGCTCCTGTTGCTGAGGCTGAAGCTGTGAACGCAGGTTGGGTGAGGAGGAGGAGATGGGTACGTGTGATGCGAAGAAGGTTGGATATCGCTTTCAATGACGATCTCGAAGCTGCAGAACAAAGCTCATTGGCTTCTTTGACACAATCGCCGGTTGCTGTTGAAGGACAAAGAGTGTTTGAATCGAGCGTTGTTTTACAAGCACAAGCTGATGCCCGTAATGATGCACAACAATTAGGATCAAATGCTGATTATATGGCAAGAGCAAAGGCAATGGCCGGTAGCGGAATTGGATCAACACCGGCCGATATGGATGAGAGTGAATTGGAACGCCGATTGACACATATCGAATTGGCAGTTACCGAATTACGTCAACATGCTTTCAGCGATGCAGATGGAGACAGACAACAAAGGGCAGAAGAATTACTGAAAGAGTATACCGTTCAAATGGGTCAATTACGACAAGCAGCAGGATTGGACGAAGAAAGCGAAGATTCAGACGATGATTCAGATGCAGAATTCATTTATCCAAATTCGTACCGTGATGATGGACAATCTGTTATTACTCGTATTGGTGGCGGTCCTTTTGCAACCACTTCTGGCGTTGTGCCTGATAGACCTTCACCTGCATTAAGACAAAGTAGCACAGCTTCCGTGTTTGGCGAACGAGCTGCGCCAAGTGAAGCGGGTACTTCGTTGGGTGCTATTCGAAGTGCTGATTTAGCGGCTGCAAGTGAATTCCGTGTGCCTACGAATGAACAACATCAAAGGCACTTGACTGGAAACACAAACGGAGCAAGACAACTACGTGAACAAAGCTTGATTCCGGTTTGGGAAGATGATGCAGAGGCTTCAACGTGCAGAGGATGCAATCGTAAATTCACTTTCTTTTTGCGTAAACATCATTGTCGTAGATGTGGTAGAATCTTCTGTGATGCATGTTCGACCCATCGTGCAAAACTCACGCCTGAAGAATTGATCATCGATCCTGGATTGCCGGAGATGTTGTTGACGGAATCGAACGGACCTTCACGTATTTGTGATGGATGTGATGCAGAACGTAGATTACCATCTTCTTTACGCAATTCTCCTTATGGATCGGAAGATTTCTCTGGTGCGGTTCACCGAATGGACACTCATTCTTCCGGTCAATCAGGTAGACAAGATGATGTGAGCAGTAGGGCAAGCGAATTGGCCGATTGTCCAGTTTGTGGTTTAGCATTAGCAGGTTTAGGAGAAGATGCAGCCATACAAGAAGAACACGTTCGTGCTTGTTTGGAAAACGGCGGTGGCGGTACTGCTGTTCAGGGCGGAAAGTATTTGGTGTACAGGTTGGACGAAGGACCGATTGTCGGAAAGGAATGTCAAATTTGTTTGGAAGAGATGCTGATCAATATGACCATCGCTCGTTTGCCCTGCCTTTGCTACTTCCATCGTCATTGTATTGATTCATGGTTGAGCAGAGCACATGCTTGCCCTGTTCATGCGAGGTAAAGTGCATAAATACCCCTTTGGATATCTTTTATCGGCTAAAATGCAATATGATCTTTTTCAAACTACTCTCACTCGATTGCCTAGGGCAGAAATTGTAGAATTGGTCATGCTAAAATACAAGATTACAAACAAAGAAATACGCAGGCAATAGAATAAGATCAAAAAGTGTTTAGGCTTCCGAATGTCTCTTTTTCTTTTTCTTTGGCTCTCCGTCACTTTCAGCTTCAGATTCTTTGCGTTTCTTTTCTTTCTTCTCCTTCTTTCGTTCTTTTTCATCGCCATTGCTGGTTGTGCTGACATCACCGTTTGCAGCGGCTGCCTTTTTGGCTTTCTTAAGTGCCTTTCTTTCTTCTTTTGATAGACTGGCTGTCGATTCATCAGCGGATACGGCTGATTCATCTCCCTTTGCTGCACGTTTCAAAGCCTTCTTCTCTTCTTTGCTCAACTTCTTGGCACTAGCATCCACAGATGCTTCATCGACGTCCTTCTTTTGAGGTGTTGCAGTGACAGGAGCATCTGCTGAATCGTTGTAACTTCTAGAGGCACCGGGGTTGTATTCGAATGGCTTTTGTTTGTATCCATTATCAACACCAGCTCCACGAAGTCCACCGATGGTGGATTGATGTTCCATACCACGTAGGCGAGATTCAAGCTTAGCTCTTGCTTCCATTCCGATTGTGGGTGCACTGGCATCTGATTTGCTATCAGCATCGGCCAAGGCATCCAAACGAATAGACAAAGCGGCCTTTGTTGCAACCATACGTGCCATCTTACCCTTCATCTTTGTAGGTGCTTGACCGACCAAGCTTGCATGGTAAATGAGACCGTATTTTGGTGTGGCGGCTTTCTGTTTAAGAGCTCTGAATAAAGCTTTTTCAGCACCCAAGATTTGGATCGTGGAAGCGGGTTGCTTGGCCAAGTTCATGATGCTACCGGAATGGCTGATCAAACGAGCGCCAACCAATTCACCAACAAGAGCTGTCAAGTTGGGAGCGATGGCAGCCATACGGTTTTGCAAGTAAGAGTAAAGTTGAGCACGGTAAGCAGTGAGAGAGATAACTTGATCACACAAGCTCCAAATGTGGTTGATATCTGTATCACTGATTTCGGTACCCATGGAAATCTCTGCAGCAGCTTTGAGGGTTTGTTCGATCTCTTCTGGTAGAATCTCGCTAAAGTCTGTACTTTGAGCATTTGTTCTGAAACCCATAGCTTTGATCACCTTGCTGTAAGCGACGTTGTCTGTAATGATTTTGCCCATTTCGGGGAAGTGCCATCCGTACCATTCTTTAACTCTCATGGCGTAGATGTTGACTTCCTTGTCGAGATCGTCAAGCAGACCGATTGCCTGAACAACCATTGTATCAACCTTGTCGGGGGAGAATTTGAGCTTGTAACGACTTAAACTGTGAGACAGACCGAGACTCATTGTGTTCAAATCGCGAGGGTCAACTTCAGCCACAGCATCCTTTCCTGATCCACCGGCAGAGAGAAGTGAGGCCAAGTGGGTACGGATACCACGATAAAGGTCTTGCACGGAAGAGTCGCTTACGACTTGAATGCCGAGCTTCTTTGCGATTGATCCACCCAATTTTGCATCAGAGACAATCAATTGTTCATTCTTTCTTGATTTGTGACCAGAGATTTCTTCTGATAGGAATTTTTTGAGATCTTTGCTCATCTTCCCTTCGTTGATAGAAGCGGCTGCTTCAACAGCTTCTACTGTGCTAGTGAAACGATGAATAGCGGACAATTTGAGTAAATTGTTTGTCGAAGAAACATCGTCAAATTCTTTCCACAAAGAAGGTGATTCCACTTTTGCCTTGTCTGACATTTTGAAAAGGCAAAAGCCTACAGCGGTCTCGAATAAGACCAACACCATCTTGAATGTTGTTGTTCGTTAGATCAGGAGATGGATGATGTGATAACCAGAAGAAGAAAAAAACCGGAAGAATAAATGAACTTATGCTGCCCAAAAAAAAGTGTGCTAAAAAGCAGCAGCTTCCTTATTCCTTGCGCGTAGGCATTTTATTGGCAAAGAAGAAAAATTCCAAACGCAAATCACGTGCAAGCAAAGCATTCATTCAAGGTTGATTAAGCGTTGCATGCATAGGCTCAGTCACGTACACAGTAGAGGTGACTTACCCCACGCTTTAACAAACCAACACCCTCATCATCATTGACGCTCATACTCGTCTGCTACACAAGATATCAAATACTCAAGAATCGATAGAGGCTTATCTGCAATGTCTTCAGTCAGTGCAACAAACCAATCCAAATCCGATCAACTAGTCGGTGAGGAATCCGTAATTGAGGATGTTGAAACGGAGATGTCAAATGATGAAGTGGCTTTACAACAAGATGATGACGTAGAAATTGCAGAGAATCCGGAGATCGCTGACCTAACAACTGAAATGTCACAGCCGACAGCATCGAAAATCCACCCCATTCAAGGTGAAATGGAACGAAGAGCAGAAGAGAGATTATTGGACGAACGTATTCGCGAGCGGTATCAGAAGGAGATCGGCGACATATTTGCAAAACAGTCAGCATGACTTGGCAAGATGAGTAGAGCAATTCTGGAGGCCAACTTGTATGACAGCCTCTTTGTTGCCATCTCCATCGGTATCCTATCGCTGAGTGAATGCGTCGATCGCGTCAAGCAGAAGCTCACGACTCCACTTATGTAATACAATGGATTATTAAGCGCGAATCTTGCATTCCTATCATCACTTCCTCAAACCATCATCCTTTCGACACTTGATACCCAATACAACATGGCCAAGCTTAGCGCAAGTCAAAAACAGCTACTAGCTCTATATAGAACGGGATTACGGGGAATACGAGCAAAGCCAGTGGTATGTGGGAGAATGTGAAGAGGGACTTTTGATGTGAATGAAATGTCTGACGATCTTGCCTCTCCTTCTTTTGCTGTAGTCCGCCCAACCAAGCTTTTATCTGTACCTTCGACAGCTATTCCGAGCGCCATTCGGGCTACCTAAACCGATTGCCAAGAGAGATTTTGGTACGTTGGACTACTTTCAACGGACGATGACGAGAACGCTGGATAATTATTTCAAGAACGAAACTGTGAAGCATATTGCCTTGCCCGATCCTATGCCGCTACCGATCAATAAGCTTGGAAGTGCAAGGTCACTACGGAATGGTCAATATATAGAAGGTGAAAGCTTAAAAGCCATCTGACCAGATCGACATGCAAAGTCTCGCACAATGCTTTCCAGAGCTTATTGACTTCACGCACTACACAATGTATTTATATCCCCAGCATCACTTCATTTCGTTCTCAATAGACTTGTTTACCACTCCTTCTTGACGAGGATCATGAACTTCTCGTTCCATTACTTGACTGCGAACAGATTATCACGCGCCTGTATGATGATGAGCTTAAATAAGATGTGGAGAATTTTAGAAGATTCAAGCTTAAGGCACACACTCACACACTCACACACACCCTTTCTGACAGCCGGCTAAATGCGCGAGTCATTGTGGCCACACTCCAATACACCATCTCGACATCATGTTTACTGGTATAGGTAAGTACAAGGAAGAACATAGTCACGCAGCGATTGCTAATTACATCCTGGTCATACAATACAGTTGAGCTGTTGGCACCGATTATCGATATCCAGCCTCTGGATACGACAAAATCAGGTGGAAATGGATATTCGATGACGATTGGAAAGACTGGATCAATCTTGCATGATTGCAATATTGGAGATAGTATCGCAGTGAATGGAACATGTTTAACCGTAACAGAATTCGATGCAAATAAAGATGGCGGTTATTTCAAAATTGGCATCGCACCCGAAACGTTGAGAAGGACAAATTTAGGTGAATTAAAAGTAGGACAAGGAGTTAATTGCGAACGTGCAATGCACGCGCATACGAGGTTTGGTGGACATTTTGTTCAAGGACACGTTGATACTACGGCAGTGATCAGAAGTGTGGTACCAACGGGAAATGCATTAACGATCACAATGCGATTGACATATGCACCTGATCTACTACCACTTCCATCAGAATTGGCGCCTTTCTTGATTCCTAAAGGATATATCACACTTGACGGAGCTTCTCTTACTTTGATCGACGTTTCGCCACCTACTGGAGGTCGAATTAACGCCAACTCTGCAGGCGAGACCACCGAAGATGCGGCCGGCACGACAAAGCAATCGGAAACAATTGAATTCAGCGTAATGCTGATCAAACATACGCAAGAGGTGATCGGATTAAGTGCAAAGAAGCCAGGAGAAAAGGTGAATGTGGAAATGGATATGGTAGGCAAATACGTTCATAGAGCCGTTTTGGCGGGATTGTCAGCTGAGCAACCGGCTAATCCGATCGATGCAGCTCCGAAAAGCTCAAGTAGTGGAAGTGGACAAGAAACGCTTACGGCTTTGATCGAGAGGACAGTGAGAAAAGTTCTGTCGGAACAAAAGTGATTGCGGGTCTGGCTTATTCTTCTAATTCTCTCGCGATAATCATCACAATGTATAGTGTAATCAATCAATCAAATTCTTCTTCAAAAGTGGCGAATACATGAATGCGGAAATGGTATAGTACAGGTCGATTGCTTATAGGAACAATTTGAATCCCTCATCGGTTAGTTCGGCTCGAAGCTTAGAAACATTGGCACCTTCTGGTACAGGAATGCGTGCAGTGCCTTGTGCTTGTTTGCCTGCTGCTACATTTACGAAGCCATCGGTGTTTTCTTCTTGTTCGACAACGATTTCTTCGCCTGTTGTTTCATCAACATCGCTCACGCGAGGGCGTTTTGGTGAACGGCTGCGTTTGCGACCTCGAGTTTCCTCTTGATCTTCATTTGTGGTAACAGAAGAGGCAGAAGAGAGAGTAATAGTCTCTTCTTCGTTTTCAGCGTTGTTCACATTCCACAAACCACGAACTTGAATCGTGTTTGTAGGTTCATCAAAAGTGACTTGAATATCTTCAGCTTTAATTGAAGAACGTTGAGATGCATCAGATGGCAATGGAAGTGTGAAGATTGCAGCAGGAGCGGATTTCGAAATATCCTCCTCTGGTGGATCCTGGTCATCGTTTGAAGCGATGGGAACCTCTACTCGCGTTGGTTGAGGTTCAGGCTCTTCTGCAGCGACTGGCTCTGATTGTGGCTTCTCATCGACTTCCATCTGATTGTTGTTGGAGTGACTTTCTTCTTCTTCTCCCAATCCGCCAAACCATTCAGCGAATTGCAATGCTGTTGCTAAACCATGAGAAGCAATATCCTGCCATTGTCGTTGTTGTCGTTGTTGTTGTTGAATTGCAGCAGCACGTTGTTGTCTTCTACGGTATTGTTCTTCTGCAACCGCCAATCGATGTAAACGTACTTGTTCTTCCTGCCAAGCAGCCCGGGCCAAAGCTACGGCCCTTTGACGACGTTGTCGTTCGAATTGTTGTTGTTGTATTCGACGTCTTTCACGTTCACGTTCAAGTTCGGCTTGACGAAGTTGTTGTTGATAACGTGCACGTAAGTATTGTGCCAATTGTTGTTCTTCTTCATCCTCTTCTTCTACGAGTTGAGAAAAGAATGGATGTTGACGAGATGAGAATGGATCAAATGGAGATTGAACATTCAATGTCATTCCACTACCACATCGTCTGCCACCGTGAGAAGGTTGACTTGCATGACGATGACCACCCGTGAAGGGATGATAAGGTTGAGTGGAGAAGAAGACTGACATGATTGATTGAGATGAAAGATTAACTGTTGAAGATCTGTTATGATTGTTGATGAGATGGGATATGAACAATCAACAATTATCACTCTTTATATGTGTTTCCTATCTTGCCTTCATTCTCATATACATGTTATGGCAATTGCTTATTTCCGTTGCTGTTAGTATGCATAGACGCGTCCCCTTCATTCTACGCTTTACTAGAAGCAAGTAGAAGCAAGTAGAAGCTGAGCAGCTGCTCAGCCAAAATAAAAAACACGCCTAATTTAACGCTCTACCCGGCACCCAACGAGTCGATTACAGGGTGAATCGAAAGCGCGTGCGCGAAGCGCACAGGCTTTGCCTATTAGGGGGAACCCCTAATAGGCACTGACACATTAATGTAACATTGAACACATTAATACAACAAAATATTTTGGTGCAAAATGACCACTATCTGAACATACCGAGAAAGACAAAAACAGCGCAAAAAGCAAGGAAAGCTGCCGCAGCAGCAGGTGCTGTAGCTGCCAAAGAGCTGAAAATCATACAGGCTGCTGCTGCGGTAGATAAAGAAGTATAAGTTTAAGCTATGGTTGATGAGTTTAACCTAAATACCAAGAAAAACAATTACCGGGCTCTTATAAAAATATTAAATATTAGCTATACTACCTTATATAGGCGCTTGAAAAAAGGGTAATAAAATAGGTCCGATACTCGGAAATATAATAATTCTATATTAACTAAGGAGGAAGAATATAGCTTAAAGCAGTATATATTTAAGGTAGAAGTATAGAGAATAAGTCTAAACAAGCATAGTGTATAATCTTTTACAACGGAAATCAAGGTAAAAAAAGTAAATCCACTAGATAAACCTATAGTTTTACTAAGATAGGTAGATAGGTTTTTATATAGATAAAACCTATTTATAGGTATTATAAAACTACTTAAGGTAGTTCGATTCGATATATAGTAAAAAGTTATAAAACTAACTAATTAATATAAATACTTAAATAAATAAATATATAAGTATAATATTACTTTAATTTATATTTAGAATATAGATAAAACTAATATTATAATTAGCTTTAGTTATAAAGAAAAAATCGTTATTTCTTAGAAAAATATATTAGTAAACTATTAAAATAATATAAATTAAGATAAAATTATATTAATTAAAATAATTAATATTAATAATAAGTTTATCTTATTATTTATTATTAAAAAAGAATTAAATATTATAAATAGATAAATATAAACTAAATTTAATATAAATTAGAAAATATAAATTATATCTATTAGATATATAGATAACTATTTTATAATAAAATAGTTTAAATATTTTATTATATATATAAAATATATATATACTAGATAGTCTATTTTATTAATTTTAGATAGTTATAGTAGCTATATTATATTTCTATTTTAGTTTTAGATTTAATAAATAAATATATATTTATTTATAATATTATTATATATTATATATATTTATTAGTTTTTAGATATTATTTTATTTTAATTATTTAAGATATATTATTATAATATAATTAATTATATAAACTTACTTTCTATAAAAGATATAAATAAAAAAAACTTTTTAATAATACTTACTAGTATATATAAATAAACCTATACCTTATAAAATATAAAATTAGATTTTCGGTAAGCTAGGATTTAACTTTATAACCTATAAATTATATTTTATAAGTTTTATTTATAATAAATAAACTATAAAAATATATCTATACCTAATATAGAAATCGATCTATAAACCTTATTTATACTTATAAGGTATAATAAATACCTTTTTAAGTATATTAGTATATTAGAAATATCTTTTAAGTTATATAAATACTAGGTATATATCGATATATATCTATAAAATAGATAGCTTTTTAATCAGATAATCTTAAGTAAATACTTATATAACTTAATTACTATATATATTATAAGTAAACTAATATACTAACACCTAGATATATAAGTATAAATATACTTAATATAAGATAAATAGATAAGCGAAAGTAAAACCTAATATAGGCTTAATAGTATTTTAAACCTAAGCTAACTTCGTATAATTTCTACTAAATAAAATAAAGCCTATCAAGCTAAAATACTATCTATAATATAAACTACCTATAAGGAGCTTCTTAAAAGCAGAAAATTCATAGATATATTTAATCAGTTTATTAAGTATCAAAAGGTATCAGGAGCGGTTACACTTCAGGCTATTTAGGCTCTAAATAACTTACAGAATATAGTAAATTTACTTATACAACAAAGACTAGAAGATAAAGATAGATTATTAGTAGCAGACCTATCTTTTCACCGTTATATTAGCATATAATATTAATGAAATCATGATTTTTCTACTCACCAAAATATTTTGTTGTATTAATATGTCTAATGTTACATTAATGTGTCAGTGCCTATTAGGGGTTCCCCCTAATAGGCAAAGCCTGTGCGCTTCGCGCACGCGCTTTCGATTCACCCTGTAATCGACTCGTTGGGTGCCGGGTACACGCATACGCTCAGCCGGGAATTGCGCGGCGGATGGAAGGTAAAGACGGGCATTCGGCGCACTTCTAATCATCTCATCGGCAAAGAAGTGTGACAAATGCTCACGGAAAGCAAAGCCGTTTAAGATGAAATGGCTGATAGGATAACTTGGGACAGAGATGAGGACGGATGTGTATCGCAATAATAGGATTATTTAAGATTCAGGATCTAAATTCCATACATTCATAAAATCAATAATAAATGTAAAACAAATAAGTAAAATAAATAAACAAAAATGTATTCAAATTTTATCATAGCTTCTTTGTCGTTTATAAACCTGATTTTAGTTAAGTACTTGTCAAAGAGCTACGTACAGAAGCCCGTGGTAGACATCGTAAAGGTAACCACGCATTTTTACATACAGCAAGAGAGAAGATGGAATTTCTTTTTTGCGCTTTTAGAATATATAAGAAAAGCTTTACCCATTTTCACAGAACCCTTTTGTTCACTTCATACGATCCCTGTTTTTTTCTAATAGTCTACTTAGTCCTTGACCGATCAGGCAAAAATCAAAATAGGACCATTTTCAGGGACGTCCACCGATAAGATCTAGAATTATAAGAGAAGTTATGTTCATTGCTAAATGTTTTCATTTATTGCGACGTTCCTGACGTGATTGAGGTTGCGGTTCTTATAAGGCATCTTGCCCTCTGTCCGAAAACTGCCCTCGTGGCCTAATGGCTAAGGCGCTTGGTTTCGATTCTTCGAAAAATCACTAAGATTGTTACCCCAAGAGACTGCGCGTTCGAGTCGCGTCGGGGGCTGAAATTACCTTTTTGCTATTTCCCATCTCTGGAGTGCAGTGCATATGCTCATTGTCACATTTAGCCTGCACTGCACACTTCTTCCCTTTTTGCCAAAGGGCGTCGATGAACACAACACCAACACGCAATCTAATGAGGTAACAATCTCTCCCGCCAACTACATCAGATTAAGAGGGCATACTCGGGTCAAAGTCCATCATACCATCACAGAGCATGACAGAGGCAAGCTCGTCAAAGCTCCCGAGCTTGGCTCCTCCTGCAACAACGGACGAGCTGCTGGCACTTTCCAGTCAATTGGTCAATCTATCCAAATCAGAGTCAATCGGTCAATTGTATAGTCAAGGGAAACAGAAAAGTGAAGATGCAAACAAGAGATTGGAAGCAACTTTGCTAGAACAAGCGCCTTCATATGTCAAGCTACACAATGATCTGCAGGCATCAAGAGGGATGCTGGGAGAGCTTGAATCATTCCTAAACGTGTTTTATAACGATTTGAATGTTTTGAGCAATCAAATGAGTCAATTGCAGAGCAAGAGCATACTGTTGGGACAAAGATTGAAGAACAGAAGACAGCTGGAGAGCAAGCTTCGGACGATCGTCTCGGATATGGTACTCGAACCAAAGTACATAGAACTCATATTCGCCGATGAAGCAACAGCCGGAAAGGCAGGATTAGAAGTATGGAAAGGATGTGCTGAACGATTGAGTGCATGTCTGATCGCATGTGCTGAATTGGAAGGCGTTTTGCGTGATCAGCTGGGAAATGCACAAAGTTCGTCTGGCGTAATGTCACCAACAGGTCAACCGCCAGTGGATGCTAAAGCTCTCAAAGAAGCAAGAGAAGTGGCAGAAGGATGTCGCTTGATGGCCGCCTCGAAAATTAGACCACTTTTGATCTCAACATTTGCACCTTTGCGTTCTTCGCTTTCGACAAATTTGCCAATCCTTCAAGCAGTCTTGCTCAAGTCATACAGACCTCTGTTCATGTTCCTATCGCATCATGCACCTAGAGTAGCGATCGACGTACAAAGAGCGTATGTGGCTGCAGCGAGACTATACTTTGAAACAGGTTTCCGCAGATACGAAAGGAGTTTAGGCAATTTACGTGACCGGGAAAAGTCAAAACGAGGTGAATCAAGTACATCTTCGCTCTCTTTCATCGATCCTGCTGGAAAGGCTGTCGGTCTTTCGACATTTGGAGGCCTTTCAGGATCATCTTCTGCGACTGTCAATGATCCATGGGCACCTGATATCTCACAATTGGATAACGCAAAGATAGCCGATGGACCTGCGGTATTCCTAGCTTATCTAGCAGACGATTCTTCGTATCGAACTTCGTATGAAGCACTGTTTCGATCTTTATCCCTGACTTTTCTCGATAATGCTTCTTCGGAGTATTGCTTCTTGGCACGATTCTTTGAAGGGATCGATTTGGAGGTGAACAAGAAAGGTAAAAGTGGAGAAAGTACTTCTGGATCACAAATCACAGGATCATCAGCAGTCAAAGTACGACATGCTGATGCACGTGGATCAAGTACAGGAAAAGCAGCAGATGCGGATGATGGACCATTACCAGAGGATAGTGCAAGTGCACTAGGTGATTCAGATGATGAAGGCCATGGAATTCCACCCGAAGAGGAGCAGGGTACAGTGACTCGATTGAGTGCCTTGGAGAAAGCGCGGATTGGTGGTAGAGGAGCTCTTGACGAATTATGGAAACAAGTGATGGAACCTGTTGTGGGTACATACACTAAATTTGTCACTTCAATCATCGCTCTGCACCCACCTCTTATCCCGCTCTATACCATGCTGAAATTGAACGATTGCATCTTGGCAGAAGTTGAGATAAGAGGAGTCAGCTCAGTCTTACAAGGAAATTTTATGGCTTTCAAATTGAAGGCATGGCCGATGATGCAAAAACAGTTCGATGAAGCGATCGAAAATGTGAAAAAGCTCAAGACGGGAAGCGCTGGCGCAGGCGGAGGAGCAGCAATGGCTGCCGCTGCTTCCAACCTATTCGGAGGATTCTTTGGCGGTCAGCAAGGGTCAGCGAATCAGACCGCGAACGGTGGTGCGGATAATGTGATTCAGTTGGTATGCGCTCGATACGCACGTCTGTTCTCGACGATTGTTCATTTGAACAGCTTCTCCGAAGATGGTCAAGATACAATGGTCTTTAATAGCTTGACCAGATTACGAGGTGAATTGGAAGGTGTATTAGAGAACTTGGCCAAAAGCGGAACAAGCGAAACGGTCACGACGTATTACCGTTTAATTCGTTCGACGATTGAGGCAGGACCAGCAGGTATAAGTTTACCTCGCGTACAAGCTGAAATGAGTCATTGGACGGAGGCTGAACGCACTCATAGGAATGTTGGTAAATGATTATGATATTCCTATGTGATATAATAGACAGTACAATGGGTGAGAAAGTAGTAAGAAAAAGCAAAGAGAATATTTACAGATTGACGTCATCATAGACGTGCTTCAGCTGAATCGCGAAAGTTTGAGTTTGTATTTGCACCTGTTTGGGAGGATTGCAAGAAACCGGCAAAGTAACGTTCTAGAGCTTCGACATCATCTAATCCAACCACGCAACCAACATATCCATCAGGACGAACGACAACGACACCACCATTGTTCAAACCCCATTTTGTATGCAATCCACCAACACTTTCATCGCCATCTAGGTCACTTAAACGTTGACCGCCTGCTTCAACGTCATCGCAGTAAAGCATGGTACGTAAAGGACCAAGATCGGCGATCTGGTCTAATTCAAGATCAAATCTATTACGTTTGACGATCAGCATAAGGTGGAAGAATGGATTGACCTCTTGTGAATAAGCTGGTGGAAGTCCTGAATTGAGGACATCCGGCTTTTGATGATAATATCCATGCTTTAGCTTGTTTGCTTTTTCGTTTGAATGATAAAGTTGCAAGAAGCTCTTGTTGGATGATAGATGGCGGGTAAGTTGTTGCAATTGCGGACGAGTGGATTTCAAGTCACCTGCACAAACGTATAATCTGAAGCCACCTGGGGCTGTAAATTGGATCTCGTGGATGATCCTGACTGGTTTGGAAGAGATGTATCGCGTTGCCCAAGCAGGTGTCAATCTCCATCCGGCTTGTAGCTTCTTGGATGATTGAGAGGAAGAATCAACAGATTGACGAGCTCCCAATCGTTTACGTGAGTCGGTATGGTTGAGGACATTATCGGTATAGAAGACACCAGCTCCTGTTGTGAAACCGGCATTCCTCCTTTGTACCTCGACAAAGTGTTGTTTGCGTTCTTCTTCATTCAATTTTGCCAATTCAGGTTGACCTTTTGGAATTTCACCAGAAAACAAAGCAGCATATTCGGCATCAAAGTCGATCAATTTGCGTCCGGTAGAATGTCTTTCATCGTGATATGTTTCCAATAATGTTTCACGCTTTGCCAAACCTTTTTCGACGAGGTTGATTCTCCATGCCAATGCTTGTGCATCAATGATGGCAGTGTTCATTCCTTGACCTGCTTTGGGTGAATGTGTATGACAAGCATCTCCGGCCAAAAAGACGTGATGAGCGGCAAAATTGACGTTGTTCTCACTTCCAGCAGGCAGAGAGTAACGAGAAACCAAACGTTGACCGATTGGATAGCATGTGAACCATTCAACGGACTTGAAGTTGAAGTGATATGGATGAGCGATTTCTTGAATTGCACGCATGACGACTTCACTTGTCACCTTATCACGAGCTTCTAAAGCGTGAACTTTACTCTTTTCACCTTGTAAACGGTTCACTTGTGTATAACAACGAATGATTGGTTCACCTTGATCGTTGTTTTCACGTGGAAAGATGTACAAAGCACCATGGTTGCGTGAATGAATTGCGGCAATCTTACGTACGTCTGGGAAATCGGTCTCGACAACGCAGTCCAAAGCGGCCCACAAAGTATCCACCCAATCACCTTTCATTTCCACTTTATGCTTTTCTTCCATCACCGAACGAACTTTTGAACGACCACCATCACATCCGACCAAGTAACGTGTTCTGATAGTCTTCAGTTCACCTGTTGGCTTGATTGTGTAGATTGGTGCTCCACCTTCATTGGTTGTTGATTGAACAGGAGCCATCTTTTCAAGAGTGATTTGAACAGGATGTTGCTCATCAGAAGTCATGATAAACTCTCTAAATGCCCAAGGTCTGGTAACTCTTTGACCATGTCTTTCCATATCACGTAAATAACCACCTTCAATCAAACCTTGTTGTAACCCTAAAGTACAATTGTCTTCGATTTCCATATTTGTAGGGAAAGATTGAACACGTCTATTCCTTTCAATTCCACGTTTTCCGTCTGAACGAGGATCCCAAAAAGTACGTTCATAAGAAGCTGCACTTTTTGCAAAGAATTCTGATCCTAGAGGTTCCATATTTTTCATCACTTCGATCGTACGTGGTTGAATTCCATCTGCACGTCCTGCAGTTGTGGGTTCTGATCTTTCATCGATCACCAAAACTTCATGTCCGCCAAAACGTGCAAGCGAACTTGCTAACATTAATCCTGCCGGTCCTGCTCCTACGATCACAACATCCCAAACCGTTCTATCGATATGGGTTAATGGATCAGGATAATCGTGTGTACCATAAACACGTTTATCGGCACTTTTGTGTTCCTCCACAGTTGAAGGCGCCATTGTATCGAGTATTTGTGCGTTGTTGTGGAGAAGAAGGATGGTGGGTGAAGAGGGAAGAGGGCGTAGTGTGGTGTTTTATATACTTTTTCGGGGAATACTTGAAGGAATATCGGAAGTATACATCGGAGTAGGTTATAGTATAAGTTAATATACACCCTTGTACGTAAGGGTAATCATCAATTTTTGATTTTTCTTTTAGTTAATATTGTGCCACAAAGTGTGCGTTTCCTTGATTTCCAGAATACAATACACTGTGGGGAAATTTAACAGTGGTACAACGGCAGTGCATTTTCGCACCTCTCCGCGGCATATGCGGTCAATAGACCGACCGTACAGTATGAATTCGGGTAAAACGACATCACTGATACGTACGGATACGCGTAACACCGGAAAAGACGGAAAGCTCTTTGCTTATGTCATTCCTACTATGCGTTGATAATGATAAGATTGTGAATAATATACAAATGAAATAAGAATCAGGCACGGATCATATACCGCTATCATTGCTATCACCGCCTGCTTTGTTCCCTCCCATCTTGTCTAAATTGGCATTGTTTATTTCTGCACTATGATCTTCTTTACTCCATTTCTCCAATTCCAACATTAATCTTGTTAAATGATGAACTCTATCCGCATCACTTAGATTACCATTTGACATTCCACTGATCGGCACTTCTCCGCTTTGTCCCGTATTACCAGCTGGTCCTGTCGAGCGATCATCGAAATCGCTCAAATCACGAACATGCGTAGCATAATCCGCTCTCTTGAGTAGATATGGTCGTAGATATCGCTCTTCCACTTTTGATAGATGTGATTCTCGCATGTACGATTTCAATACACCAGGTTGAACGATGAAAAGATTGCCCAATTGACGCAGCATTTCAAATCGATCAGCTAATGCACTAACACCGAATGCATTGATCGAATCTTGATACATCGCCAAATCTTTCGTTAGAATGATACCACCGCTTCCTGAGATGACGTATTTTCGTAGATGATCCAGCAACAATCCATGGAAAGCAACTCCAATCTCTGTCAGGAACGCTTCACAATTCTTTCCAGGTCCCAAATAATTCTTTGCTCCATAATCCACCTTTTCCAATGCATCCACGATCGCTAGACAAGGATCTGTATTGATACGCGAAAAGGCCAATTCGTCATTCTTTGGGGTGAAATCATTCTTCTTTTGTGTTGATAAACGACCGGACAAGTATCCAACAATATTATCCGTCACCTTTTGTACGATGCTATCGCACTTTCTCTCAACACGTAAGAGCAAGTGATTGTTGTAGATCGACATCTCTCTTCGAATCGTTACACTTGAAGTTGCCAAAGGCAAAAGGGCTGTATTCACGTAATGCTGCCATAATTGCATCACCAATTCGGCCTGTCGTACGACCATCAGATCACGAAGATCTGGCAAGACAGATGCGCGTGGATCTTGGGCAGATGCGTGGGTAAGTGCGGAATCGATTGCACATTCCGTATACGACTTCACGTATGCTTCCGCTAGAACTTTGAGCAAAGCAAATGCATTTTTCACCATATCGGAAGAGGAACTCAAATCTACGCATCGTCCGATTGCTTCTGCATGCCATCTCAACATCCTTTCTGCTACGTCCAAACTTAAAGCTCCATCATGTTGCTCGATACTCGATGCACCTCCACTCATGGCCGTCAATGAATCATCATTGGACGTCCTTCCTTCGACAAGAGTAGATGCATCTGAAGGAGCCACAGATGAACTTGATGCTGTACCACCTGCTGCCACCCTCGCACGATCTACCAAATTGGACAATTTGCCAAAGCCAAACGCTCCACCTGTAGTTGCCAATGTGTTTGATGTACTGGTGGCTCCTGCCGAGCCCGCAGAAGGGGCAGAAGAATTTGACGATGTACCACTCGTTGTGATTTGCGTTCGAACACGGTCGAATAGATTTGTTGTCATCTTTGTCTGGTGTATGGTACGATGATAATTCGAGAAATGAAGCAAGAAAGTAGCATAAAGCTCTGTGAGTGAGCGTGATTCCCGTTCGAGGTACTTTAATCCATCCATGTACGGCACAAACAATTCCTCCACGGCTTGATCTAGTACAATACCCAGAGAGCTTCCGCCTGCCGAAGCACCACCACCTGAGCCACTGCCATTCACACCAGCATTTGCACCTGATCCGAGCACACTTCCATCTCCATTCATGTGTCTACCGTCAGGTCCAAGCGAATCATTCTTGCCTGAGGTGATAATGCCTGCACCACGGAAATCGTATACCTTTAAGTCATTGACCAAGTTCAAGCTCATACTGCGTGCCATTTGCAATGTACGTAAGAAGGCCAAATGTCCTTCTCCTGATCCATTCGTTCCGCCTGCCGCTGCTGCCGATCCTACTTCAGTCGCCTTTTCCATCAATACTTCCACATATCCTTGCACACTTTGCGCAAAGACTCGTTGTAAGAATGAAGTCATTACGCCAAGAGGAGATGGGAATACTGCTGATATAATTTGCGCTTCCACCTCAACCGTTGATCGGATTTCGCCAAACAATGCTTGCAATGAGGGCTCACTCTTCGGAGGCAGGGCATCGGGATCAGCAATAGTGCTCCACATTGCACTCTGTTCCAGATCTCGCCTTTGCATGACACGATCCTTGGAAATGAAGAAGTCGTGTTGGTTTACATAGATCTGTACGCACGACACTCCTCCATTGAAACTTTGCAAGACTTTGGCGATATGGGACATCATTTTCGGATCAGACTTGCGATAGAAGCGATCAAATAGCTTCAGCATATCTCTCTCGAATCGTTCGGCAAATTTGTCAATCGTATCACGAGTTTGTGCTGCACCAGGAATATCCACCTCACGAGCAATCGCACCCAATCGTCTAGCAATCACTGCAGTTCGTAATCTTCCTTCACGACCTCCTTCTTTACGAAGTCGTTCCAGTCTGCTGGTATCACCTCTGGCGAATTGATAGTAGTATTCGATCAAATCATGCGCCTCTGCGGCTCTCGTTCGCATTCGGTCAATCGTCTGCAATTGATCACCGATATGCATCGCTGTTCTTCCTACTTCTGAGAATCGATTTTCCAACGATCCAAAGGAGGCAGATGCGCTGGCAAAATGAGAAGATAGATCGTGAAGTTTTGAGGTATATGCTGATTCTGATACTCGAACGCTTGACGATAGAGATGTAATCTGCGTCGTCAGCTGAGAACGTAGAGAGAGCAACGAATCCACACTTGACTCAAATGTTCGTATGAAAGGTCTAGGATTGAAGGGTCCAGGATCCGCTTTGGATCTGGCGATCAACTTTTCTGATAATCCAGCCAAGAAATCTTTCGAGTTGAAACCTTGCTGAAATGTTTCGATCCGACAAAGTTCTTCCACTGCAGCATCGTAATGCACATTTCTACTTTGCGTCTTCCCATGCGATCTTGCTGCCGAGCTATTACTCACGTTGCCGTTCCCTGCCATCATATCTGGACTGGAAGGCGGTATTGGAGCTTGTCTCCGCACACCTCGTGGTGATGCTGGACGATAGCCGTCCATTTTTGAGAGCTCGTCTTTCGCCAAAATCTACGAGATGATAGAATGACGGATCGCTTCCCACAAGAAGAGGTGCATGCATTCATTCTCATTACTCCAGTCCGTGCAACAACGATTGTGTAACAATAGGCTAAAAAGTCACACCAACACGCGCTGTCGTCCGCGTAAAGCTTGTGTGGTATAGCACAAAAATAGACGACAAAAAAAAGGTCATTGGAAATGAAGGGAATCGAACCCTCGACTTCATGCAAATCTTTTCTTGTTCTCACAACAGCCAAGGCGGCTGTAGTGCTAAGCAAGCACTCTACCACTGAGTTACATTCCCGTGATATGATAAGCGGGATCCAAGATTGCTACAAGAACTACGCACATCTACGATTGCAAAGAGGACTTGTTTGCGGTATTCTTGAACGAACATGCAGATCATACTTTGATGCTACATACATACCATTATCGCCGATCACAGGACAAAAGGGCTTGTCCATTGGTAACAGACTTTGTCCCTTGGTCATGCTTGTTTGCCCAAGATGTCATTCTCTCAACGCAACCTATATTATTTGCGAGCGTCCCGGAGCGTGGTAATGCAGGCGATTCTGTACCTGGATCCCAAAAATCTTCGATGGATGAATGCGCCATTATACGTGATCGATGATGATGAAGATGACACGGATTCCGAGGAAGATGTGAGAGAAGATGGAAGGAGGCGAACAAGAACGATTGGGGATGAGATAGTGAGAAAGGCACTTGATCATTTAGGCAAAACATTAATGGCAAAGTTGTACAAGGAGAAAAAGGAAGACGGTTATTTATCATCATCTACCACTGGTACACGCAGGGTGGATCAGTATATTGATGTTGACTTTATGATGGCATACCTCTTTCGGCAAGTCGATAAAAAGCATGCAATCTTGCTAAAGAACAAAGAACTCAAGTTTCCACAAAAGCGAGAGTCAATGGCACCACCGATGATCTCAGCTACGGAAATGCGAAGAAATCAAAATGAACAGTCCACCACTTTACCACCTTCTCGTTTGGCCGAAAGACAGGCGAACGAGTCAGATCGTCATGATATCGTTGCAGAAGGTCAGGAGATCGGATCACGAACGGATGATATACGTGTCAAAGAAGAAGATGATGCCTTCGCCACGACCTTCAGCTTTGCAGATCAGGTAGCGGAAGATGGCGCAGAGATGGAGGAAGAACCTGCCAATGACAATGCCGCAATCGATCTCGATTCAATGGAAGATGATAAGAAACCAAGGTTGTCTGTTTCATACACCGGCTTTCGAATTTTCGAATTGACATTGGTCTTGATCATCGAGCCTACTAAACGAACGAGAAGATTGCGACCGGAGCTATTCCGAGAGGAGGTGCAGGAGGAAAAGCACTTATTATCTGCCACTCCGCTTCCTGATCAACAGCGTCAAACGCCCCTTCCTTCTAGCACACCAGCAAGAAATACCCGCTCACTTTCCGTTGCCAGTAGCTTCGACGGAGATGATGACGATGATGATCAGCAAACAGCTCAACAACGTGCAGATAGCAGAAGGTTGGCAAGTAACGGACCTCTATTTCGTGGTACACCGAGTGATTGGGAACCTACTCCGACCCCAACACCAGCACCGGAAGACAGAAGAAGCCAAGCGGGTACGGTAGTGGAAGACGATGATTCTGGAACAGAAGAACGTCCAGAAGAATCGGCTGGCTTTCAACTTGCAACTCAATTGTTGAACGCCGACGGGGCAGAAAATGGTGGTAGAGGATATGAGGATGATGACGAGTAAACAAGAGTTGTTGAAGACTACAATGTATCATATAGCAAAAATTTCGTTCAATACTGTATTTGTTCCCCATTTGAGACTGACACCCACGAATCGCTCATGCTGCTGTTTGCAGACATTGACTGACTTCGAACGAATTTTATTACAAGAAAGTATATATTTTACATCTGATCACGCCAAGGGATCTTCTACATCTGCACCTTCGCCCGTACTTGTATCGGTGTCGGTGAAATTGAGGTAAACAAGGCTATTGTGTGCTTCATCCCAGAAGCTGATTGGTCTTTCAACCACATAGGTAGTCTTAAGATTGGGAGTCCAATGAGAAGATAGACTTAAAGAATAGTTCCATACCTTATCCATCGGTGTGATTGTCGTTCCAAGAATTCGATCGGATAGCAGCAATTGTACCTTTTCAGCATACATTGCCGGACTGAAGTTCTGTGGGTTTCCAGCTGCATCAATCGCACTCGCTTTACGTCCCCATTCGTAGCCTTCAACGGAAAGCGAATAGGCTGCTAAAGAGACGGATCCCGGTGTGAATGTGGTTGTAATGGTGATTGAGTTTGCACCGACGGCTTTGTGCTTGTCCATCATCTTTGCATGTGCGACAACGTCTGTCGGAGAAAGATGCTGCAAATCTTGGTTTTGCGTCTTGATCATACCCAAAGGTTCCAAATTTGCCAGCATGTATTCATGCTTGGGCAACTCGTCTGGCAATTCAACATCATTGTTAGTACCACGCTGGGGAATCCATACGATACATTTGATCTCCTTAACGGAAGGTGCATCGGCTGGTGATCGACCATAGAGAATCCCGGCTACTCTTGCACGTAGGTCTGCATTGACGATGAATGTTTTGAGAATGTTCTTTGGCATAACATATGTCAACGCACCCGCATCTTCCTTGACATCATCGTTGGAAACGTACAAGTGTTGGCAACGCAGAGGCAGATTGGTGGAACCCAGTGCACGTCTACGCCAATCGCTCTTGCTGTTGAAGGCTTGATTTTCATACTGTGTCGTTGTGACGGTTTGAATTTCATCCCCGTGTACGTTGACTGTGCGTGTTTGAGTGGCTGTCACTTGAGCACTTGCCTGGGTGGATTTGTCTAACTCGGCAGCTTCTTGCCGTTGAGCAGATGGTGCTTCAATCGTAGCTCCCAAAACGATATCACGAATCTCGGATGATGTGAGCGAGTTGACGTTGACGTTGTTGCGTTTGCCGTAATCCGACAAGATCAAATCACGTAAAGCAATTTCAACTTTGATCCATTCTTCATCACTTAATGTTGGCCAAAGATGATGTGGTTCAGTGATGGTGGAGATATCAGGTCGTAAGATAATCTTGGTTTTCTCGCTATTGACATGCATTGCTCTTAACAGCAACACACAACGAGAGAACGCAGTATAAGATGAGATACTCTTCAACCAGTCATCGTACAGACTGTACAACACCATCTGAGGCTGAGTTGCACGCAAGACCATATCTCCCAGCTTCTCCAATTTGAGTAAGGATTGATAAGGTATTTGCAATTGAGAGCCAACAATTGACACATTGGGGAAATCCAACAAATGCACTTCCAAAGGATCCAACATACCCTTTCGCATCACAATCACTCGCTTCGGTTGCTCTTCAACGGGCAATGATCTGATCAATGCGGCCACTTCTTCGGCCGTCTTCCATTTCGCCAGCTGGCCAAGACGTTTTTGACCGCTCCAAGTTGACGTGTGGATAACTTTCATGAACAATTGACCGGTTCGTGGGTTTAGGATCAAAACACAACCATTGATGGGTTTTGTGACGAGATTTCCATCGAAACTTTTGCTCACTGTCACCCGGTAGACGTTGGTGTCATCCACAAACCAAATCACCTGATTAGAAAATAGATCGGCATAGTTTCCTGAATTGAGGTAGGGTTCTGTGGGTTCGCTAGAGTACAAACTCAGGCCGGCCCTTATTCTCTGCCTCAAAACAAAAAGCGCCGGATTAGCTTTCATGATCTTGCTCATAGCTTGTTGTAGTAGAGGCTTGCTTCCAGGGATCCAATTTCCATAACCGCTATATCTATTGTAAGCCAAGTCAATAGCGATCAAAGCACCAGTAGCTGATGGATAGATTGACGTCGAATCGGTCGTGTAATCCAAAAATTTAGCACGAGCATATCTCTCCACATCAGATTGATCGTAATCACCCCATCGCAATTGAACATCGATCCAGAATTTGGTGGCGGAAGAACCGTCCAAGACGTCTCGCGAATCGGTCAATAGACTTGGGCGTGAGACAGGCCATTTGTAAGAAGCAAATAATGTCAAATCTGCACAACTGGCGTTCATCCTGTACGACTTACGAGGATGGATTGTTTCCTTTTGAACGGTTTCAATCTGTAAAGCATCCATCTCTTGATCCAAAACTTGAGCCAAATCCATCGTGACCGACTCATGGATCTTTTGCCAAAGATGGGCTCTAAAGATGGAAATATAACTAATCTTCAAAACTGGCAATTTACCATGCATGAAGATACCCGTCAAATCCAATTGAACTTGGAAACCGACATAAATGTTTGCACGATTGAGGGTAGGTGACCACCAAAGTGTGAAACGACGATTTGGAATTTGGTTCAAACCTGATCTTTGTGCATTTGTCAAACGTTTCGCCCGCATAGAGTCTTCGAATGAGGATGCTTTCTCCCAGAATAAACCAGTCCAAGTCGGGAAACCGGTTGCAGCAAATAGAGTGTGCTCCAAAATGGTTTCAATACCACCCAAAGCGGCAATCACATCCACACGGTAGGCATTCAAGTTCCACAATTTACCATCGTGCTTCATGTTAGTCCACCGCATAGGATCAGCTCTTGCCATTTGATATTGCTTGAAATGCTGTCGTGTTCGCCACATTTTGTCGTACGAAAGAATGGTACGATCTTTCTGGAAGAGCGTGTTGATACGTGGGATACCACGATCGTAGATGTCTTCTACATCTTCCAGAGTGATTCGACGGGATTGAGAGGCAGCCTCTTTGCGCTTTTGAGCATATTCTTCCCATACACGTCTACTGTCGGTGAATTCTGATTCCCAAGATTGAATATATCTGTAAAGATTTGGAATCAAATTCTCCTCGCCATTGGTAGTCAATCCACTGCGGAAGTGCGTAATACCTGCATCTGTTTGCTTACTCCAACGGAGATCAGAAGCAGGGATAAGAATATGACTCATACTCAACATTCCCAATCCACCAAGTTCTTTCGGTGCAAAAAAGACTGGTGCAGGATAACGACTGGGCATCTTGGAATTCAATCCCATCTTGACTCGAGTTTGCGTCTTGTTCTCAAACTTGACAATCTCATCTAATAGCTCCCGAGTATGAATTACGGCTTCACGGTAATACGTCATCAGTCCGATGATTAACGTGTTCCACTTATTGATGATTTTCGTAAATGTAGTTGCTCCAGCAGCCATTAAGATTTGACGACCACGATTGACAAATTGCTCAATTCCCTCATCAGACACACGAATGAAGGCTTGTGCTGTTCGTTCACCCGACTCGGCATTGGTCAAACCCCAAACGCCTTCACTAGGCTCATTCACATCGCCTGAACGTACTTTGGGCAAAATTCGTACCTCGAAATCTTGCATGCTGAACAAGAGGTTTGGATTGTCCTTGGAGTACACACTAGCAAATGTATCTTCCCATTCAATCGTTGTCAAAGCACGTGGCAGACGATTCTTGATGGACCAAAATACTGCTCTGCCCAAATTGACATCATGCTTGACCAAACGCATTCGACAGTCACGGGGCCAGCACTTTTTGTTGTTGTAGCCGATATAGTTGGAGTTGGATGGATCAGGGTTGGCACTGAGATATCTCTGAATGAGATCTCGCGATTCATCAGCCTTGAAGCGGAAAAGAATGTGAATTCGATCCACATATCGGGTATACAGCCGGATAGGGTGCTTCGTTTCCATTGCTGTATTTTGGAATTGCAAGAAGCCATTTGGTGAATTGGGTGGACCGGCAAGCTCACTGGCACGCTCCAATCCGAGCGTCATCAAGTCCATCACAAGGCCGTAGTATTGAAATACAAAACCACTGAATTGCAAACCACGAATGAGACCATACGTGTTGACATGTGTCATATCCTTCCATACGATTGAAATGTTGTTCTTGCTGGTAATATAATCGGCCATATTTGCATCCATGATCAAACGCAAAAGCCGATTGAGCAATGTCAAATCCATCTTTTCGTATACCCGACTGAGCGATGTTTCCAGCAAGACGTTTGTTTCGCCCTCACTTGTCTCCCAAACGTTATCAAGATTGTTGATGGCATTAGACCATTTGTACACCAACAAAGGAGCAGGTTCTGTATCGGAAGGTTTGATCCACGGAGGGAACAGTTGTCTCTTTTCAGCCTCGTAGCAGAGGTATTGATCCAAATATGCATCGGTAATCTTTTCCAGAGGTTCAATGTCGTAACAGGGAATGATTTTAGAGTATGAATCGAAGAAGTCCATACCCGCTTCCTTGAACGCTCTTTGCGTCAACAATAAACGTTTGATGCGTGCTAGAGTTTCGTGTGGATTGTCAAACGCTTGTTCGATCAATGCAAGCTCTTCACGTTGACTTTGATTAAGTCTACTCTGGACATTATAAGATTCTTTGAGCTTTTCCAAAGCCAAGACGAGTAATTTGGTATCGTGCTTGAAATTCAGAGATGGGAAGGGGATTGGTTGGAATTTACGAGATTCTAGCCAATGCACTGTCGAGGTGTACACTGCGACTGCTGCTTCGGAGGTAATGTAAGGACCGTCTTTGAGGTATGAATTCTGACGCTCTTGCTCTGCTTTGAGATATAAACGAGTCAATCTACCCAAATTTTTGCGTGCGACAGTCTTATCGACCGTAGCTCCACGTCGGATACGTTCACGATTATAATGAGCGACCGAAGTCCACCAATCCGCTTTTGACTTGACATAACGCATGATCAAGTTTTCAATCGGTGCAGGCATTCCCGGTACCTTCCAAGGTACATTTGCTTTCCAGCATCGCCATGCCTCTGTCAAATGAGCAAGGCACGTTTTCGCTTTGTTGTTCTTTAGCGATTCCGGTAGCATGTCCAGTAAGTCAGACATTACAGAGGCACGCAATTCGAGATCGAAATGCGATTCGACTCGTTGTTTAGTGATCGTGCTAGCAATACCCTTTGCGTTTCGTCCTTCGAATTGACGAGCAAGTAAGTTGCCCAGCCATCTCTCCAGCAACGGAACAATACCTCGGAAGAAGAACATCCAAACACGCCAAGAAGGCGCCCAAAATCCAACACCTGGACCCTTTCCAACGGGACCTGAATTGAATCGATGATAGATGACATGCTTCAAATCTTTGCAGGCTCGAACTTGGTGCATCAGCTTGTACTTGTATCTGTACATCCCGGTCAATGTACCAATATGATTGAATGTGTATTGCAAACCATCGGCCAACTGGAATGCATCAACATTGCCCAATCGATACATCACGAAAGAATCAACAACAATCTTGACCAGCCGTCCCAATTCACGAACAAGATGGAACGCATTTCCGAAACGACTTTTCTTGCGTTCTTTTGTTGTCAATGTTTTGACAGGCTTCAAATTCAAGTTGTAGTCCAAGTGCAGATAGTGCAAACCCTTTCTGTGAATGAGTAAATTGAGCATATTGAACGTTTGTCGCACAACTTGCAAACCAGCTTCTACCCAGTCCAAAGTTGTGGTTTGGAAGAACTTGGTGGCCTTGAGCTGTCTGAGTAGATACTTCTTCGTTCCAGCTTTTGGAGCTTTGCTGGTCAGACGATTGGCCACGTATCTCTTGAGAAGCTTTTGATAAGAGACTCTTGTCTTCACAGGTTGATCTCGCGGACAATGTTCAAGGTACCAAGCATTGATGAGTGGAACATCTAAGACACGCTTTGTCCTTCCACTACGCATATTGTAAGGAGGCGATGCCCACCAAAGAGCGATCGCATCTGCAGTTAAATCATTGCTCAAATCCTCCTCTTCGAGGAAAGGCTCAACGTTGTCAGGCAAAAAGAAAGCCTCCTCATCCGGTAATTCATCATCGCCCTCGACTCCTTCTCCGAATACTTCATCTTCATGCGACGAATTGGCCGGCTCGCCATCGTCATACTCATTACGGAATGTATGCGCCAATCCTCGTGTGGTGATTGGATTGATGACCGGGTCGAAGTAGAAACAAGGCAAATCGGGATCTTCCGTACGAATGTAGACATTTTTGGGTTCGTGGTACGTGCCAATGTGCACTTCTCTTGGTCGACTGTTGTACAAATGTGGGAATGCGACCTTGTATTCTGTTCGGATTTGTTGTCGAATGATGATCTTGCGTAGATCATTAAACTCTGTCCAGTCTTCGTCATTGTTTTCTACATCACGAAAGAGAGGTTCGAACTTTGGACCTCCCGGAATGGCTACATTGAGTGCTTTTGCGGTAAAGAAGCTCTTTGCGTCGAAAAGGTGGAAATAATTCTTGTCGCCACTTGCAAAATCTGATAGCAGCGTTTTACCGATTCGATGTAAGGCGGCCATTTGAGGTAGGTCTAAAGACCAAAATTTGTAAGAAGAACCGTTGACGTGTTTTGGTTCATCCGCCAAGGGTTTGTGATCGTAGAACCAATCTATGATCGGAGCATCTTCCTCTTCATCAAGTTCAAGTTGAATTGCCTCTAACGGTTCAACATCCAAAATATTATCGCCGTAATCTAGAGGTGGTTCTTCGTCATCAAAAGGTGGAAAACGCATTCGTTTAAAATGTCTTCTATCACGCTTTTCCCTTCGCATGGCAAGCCACATAGCAGCCCATTGTGCGTGATAAATCGGTTCGATCACCCTTGGAGTTTGATTGACGAAAGTGATTGCTCCTGTGATATGATAAATGACTGGTACCTCTCGTACTTGTTCCCAAGGCATTGGTATATTTTCCATCAATTTCATCATCGCGTGCGGTATATACTTTAATGCGCCTAAATGAACACGTTTATCATTTCTGAATTTTCTGTTGCTCATATCACCATGATCTTTGATAATCTTTCGAACGTGTTCAGGTGGTAATTCTTGCTTTCCTGTATCGATGAAACCAGTCTTTCCTTTTCGATCTCCAAATCGACGACTTTGTGATTGTTGCCATTTTCTGGCTTTTTGTGCTAATTGTTCTTGTGTCATTGAGGATGGCTCACCGTTTGATGGATATCCATTCTCTCTTCCACCACCACTACCACCACCACGATTTCCACGATTTCCACGCATTGCTGCCGGTCCAGAAGGTGGCGGAGCACCCTGGAATCCAGGCGGAGGGGCGGTCATTTTGGGCTGAAACACACAAAGCTGAACAATCCAAGAGGATATATCAACAATTGTAAGACCTAAGTACGTGGATGGAAGTGGCGATGGCGAGTATGCTTCAATGAATTGTCAGCGTCGTCTTCCAGAAGATTATAGGGTCTAAGCATAGACGCGCTTAAACAAAATATTCAAGCAGTGTCACGTGTGTGTATGCAATCGCTATTCATAAAATATGGGGAGCGCGTTTCATGTTTCGTACTCTCATTTCCGACCACCATCGTCACCACCAGTGAGGACTTGTGGGCGTTGCCTTTAACAGCACGTCAATCAAGTACTCCTACCATTCAAAATGATCACAGATGCTAGTGAGATTGCTCAGCTAGCAAGTGAATTCATTTCTTCATTGGACAATGTACCACAAGAAGTACAACATATAATCAAAGAGATTGAACATAAAGATGCAAAAATACAAGAATTATTACCCAAATTGGCAGCTCGTGAAGGACAATTGAGAGATACGTTGGCAAAGAAGGATGCCACATTGAATGAAAGCGACAAAATAAAAGTGGAGAAATTATCGGAGAAAATAAAAGCAGATTACGCCAGAGCAGATGAGTGGAGTGCACAAAAGGAGGTGTTGAGCAGGGATTTATGGAGGAATATAAATGCTCATACAAAAAGACTAGAAGTGGAAATCGCAAAAGTCTCGCCCGTTATGGTCTCTCAAGCGGAAAATGCTCTAAGTGCAACACTTTCATCACAATCACAAATACCCTCTACCAACACAATCTCGAACGCCGTCCTTGGGGCTTTACGCAGTCCTTCAGTAGAAGCCAGCTTGGATCTCTCGGCACCAAGTGGCGTCAAGCGAAGATTTTCTGGTACGCCCGTCACAAAAGGACGACAGTCGTCCACCGATCGCGGTCTTCCATCTCCAAGTCCCTTATCCGGCAATGCATACAATGCACTATCCGGAAACGGTGCAGGAAATGGCTCGAACGGTTTGGGTGGCACTGCTCCACACAAGAAGATGAAACATAGCGGACTTTCTATCGTCACGAAACCCGAATCGGAGGCTGATGTGGAAGGAGAGCTGGGTATTGGAAACGAGGAGAAAGATGATCGGGTTTACTGTCACTGTCAACGTGTTTCGTTTGGCGAGATGATTGGGTGTGATTCAGATGATTGTCCCTATGAATGGTTCCATCTGTCTTGCGTTGGTCTATCCAAGCCTTTACCACAGACATGGTATTGTTCTGACTGTCGTGAACGGATAGAACGTGAAAAGACAGAAAGGCCGATCAAGAAACGGAAAAAGCAGCAGGCGTGAATATTGTGGTAGTGTGATCCCACTATGTTATTGTACAATAGACCAATGTGTATTATATATGTAATTTACAAAATCTGACCATCATCAGATTATTTGGCATCATTATCGTCCGACTCTTCCCGTTCCTCCACAAACATAGCATGTCTCCCTATCGCCAAACCAAAAGCTCTCGCGAACGCCTTCTCCGCCACATTTATAGCACAGCTGCCCTCCTAGTCGTGGATCACCAGGTCGTAATACCAATGCATTGGGCGGCGGAATGTGTCCGTAAGGAACAAGCATAGGTCGATGATGACCGCCATGTGGATGACCTCCCCAAGGACCACCCTGATGTGTAGGCGGAGGAGAAAAGAAGCCTTGACCGGGATGGGGTCCATGTTGCGGATAATGTCCTTGCGGTGGTGGTGGTTGATGAGAAGGCGGTGCATATTGCTGAGATTGTTGTGCAGTGTTATTGTTAGGCCTTTGTTGCTGTTGTTCTTCGGACCTTTGAGGTGGTAAAACTCCATCAGGTCCAGCGGCTACTGCCAATTCGTATGCCGGAGGCGCTTCTCCATCTTCATTAATATCATCCTCTCGTGATGCTTGCGGTCTGTCATCATGTGGCTGCTCTTGACGTGGCGGGAGATTGGGAGGAGGATGAGAAGGGGCGTTGTAAGAAGCATTCCCAGTTGGATGAGGGTGAATCAATGATCCGCCTGTATGCTGTGGAGAAAAGGGATTGCTGCCGCCTGTTGATTGTGGGGTGAATGGATTGCCCGTCTGTTGAGGTTGTAGGAAAGGGTTCGTTCCTGTTGGCTGTGGAGACATTGCTCCTGGGTAACCTGCGAAGCTAGAAGAAGGATGCGTCTCCAACCTTCCTGGAGGCGGAAATTGGCCTGGCATATTTCCTTGCATGATAGGTAACGGTTTCTGCAAAACTTTTGCACCTTGCAAGGAAGATGAACTGATCAAAAGTGGATTGAACGTTTGACCATAGCTTTGCCAGCATTTCCTGCAAGGATGAGTAGGATCGTTGTATTTGTATCCTGTATCGTGACATTTTGGACATCCTCTCCAGCCATGAGGATAGACCAACATCATTCCATTCCTTAGCAATGGCTGTCCGGGCACAGGTGTCGTTGTTGGTGCATAATGTGATAATTGAGATGAAGGTCCTGCTCCATTCGCACCAGGAGGAGGAATTGATGGAGGAGCATAGCCTGCCATGGTGGCCAGCGCTTTGCGTGTCTGTGCTGATGGAAGTAGAAAAGGAGGTTTACTCTGAAGATGTCACACGTCTTCTCGAAGCCACTCGTGCTTACACGCATACACACTGTAAATTAGTGGAGCTAAAGTGCCAAGAATTTGAGCAGCTAACACCGCGGAGATCAATTCCGTGTCTTATTTTTAGCATAAAATAAATTGCAATTGAGTTGTAATGATATGATAAGATAGCAAACATGATTCGATAGACTACTTTTTACGTTTAATACGACGACCATTGCTGACTTCAAAATCTAAATCACCTTCTTTATCCCACGTCTGTTCGTTCTCCTCAAACTGAGTTTCTTCCCATACTCTTTTGACAGATTGTTGACGAGCATTGTCTGCAGCTTTTTGCTCATTCTTGTTAGGTTGTTGAGAAGTCAAAAGTGCCGAATTCAAAGTACTTCCAGAAGATCCCCATTGTGATTCACTTGCACCTCCAATCAGATTTGAAGCGGCTGCTGTCAATTGTTGCTGTTGTCCTTCTTGCATTTGCAATGCTTTCACATCATCCGAAGTCGTTCCATAAGCAGACTTTCGCCAAAAGATTGGCTTATGTGTCTTTAATGCAGCTCGCATTGGTTTAACAAAAGCACCCAAATTGGCTGCCCTTTGACTGTCAGGATCAAGCTCTTTATCATAATAATACCAGCATTCCAAAGGATTTCCACTTGCATCCTTTCCTGCACGTTGAATGATACCAAAACATTCTCCTTCCATCAAACAATCTTCCAATCGTTCACGCCATGCTTTCCTTTGCCAAATCTCTACACGTTCTTTATCAGCTTCTTCCGTTTTGATCAACTTGTTCTCGATCAAATTATCGTACGTCCACCCTGATAAAATACTTCCTCTTTCCACTTTCACATTTTCTCCTCCGTCCGGTCCAACTTCTCCACGCATCAGACCTGGGTTGGAACTCAACACAGATCGAACAGCTTCAGTTGCACTGATTGTAGCCGTTCTATGGAAAACAATCGCGCCTGCTAATAATCCTTGCAAATCATAACTTTCTGCCAATATTCCCACAAGTGCTCTAAAGTGAGTTTGGATTGCCTGCATTCGTGCTGGATGCAGAGTGGCAGCGGTTTTATTTGTTGAGGCAGGTGTTGCTGTAGGTGTTCCTGATCGACTATCCTTGTTAAATTTGACCTTCTTGGGATCACGGATAGTACGTTGAGGCGTGCCATTAGGTGATCTTGATGACTTGGGTTTATTTGCGAGACTGATCGTCCGTTTGTGCATCTTTGCAGATTGTTTGGAAGTTGCTTGTAAAGCTTGACTTGCTTCATCTTCGCTTTCGATAGGTGTACTTATGCCTTGTTGATTATCATCAATTTCGCACATCAATACGCCACTATCATCTGCGCTTGATTTGTTAGCACGACGCTGCAAGGTAGGAGAGGTAGCACGAGGCGAATTGAGCATTTCCTCGTCTTCCTCTTCATCCTCATTGTCTTCTTCAATTTCTTCATTTGCATTGTTGGGCGAAGAAGAAGGTAACAAGCTTTGACGCTTTCCGAACACCGATCTAGCCAAAGAAGGAGAAGAGGATGCATCGAATGGTGCAGGTGATGATGTTGGCGGACTCAATGGGGCCCCGGCAGGACGCTTTTGTACATTTCCAATGTACTTTCTACTTTCGCCGCCATTCTTTTGTCCGCTCACAACTTGAGCGGCTGCATTGCGTAATTCATCACCCTTTTGTCCCAATGAAACACGAGCGGTGGCAAGCTTTTTGCTTGGACTCCGACCATCTTGCACTTTAGCATTTGCATGTACATTTGATTGCTTAGTAGAATGACCATCCCCGAGAAATAGAGCACGAACGCCTCCAAAGAAATCGATCAACGTTTGTCCACTTCTTACGCGTAGAATACTTCCAGCTCGATGACGTTTCCCGTCCACGATCAAGCCATTCTGTCCAAGAATCTTAACGGCCCACGATGATCCACCGAAAGGAGTATGGTAGATGATACAATGATCACGCGAAACATGTCTAGCAGTGTTTGGCAATGCGATCCGGATGGCCGGAATACCACCAACGGCATCGCGTGTTTCTTGAGACTGTAAGGCTTCATCTTCTTCATCTTGACCAACAGCACGAGCACGACCCAATAATAAAGCGATAGATTTGCGACAATAGATCACATGATCGTGATTGGCAGCATTTGGGGGTGGCATACTTGTTCTTGCAATTGGAATTAAACCGATCTTGTCATCTTGAATTGACAAAGAAGCGTTGCTATCGAATGATAAACGAGCGCGTGGCAAGACTTGATTGACAGATTTGACTGGCTTTGTCGGCGAAAGACCTGAAGAGGTGAGTTGACTTCCATCTCTATTCACATTTGCACTTCTGATCGCGACCAAAGGGGTCCTCTCTTCCATAAACGCGTCAGTCATGATGATGAGGGAGAGAAACCAAACGCGTCAGATGAATGTTGTCTTAAAAGCGATAAGTTAGTACGATAGGCGATATGTATGTTGCTATGTACGATATCGACGAATGAGGTGACGACTTGAGGAGTGAGGGATGAGGAGGAGAGGTGAAGGCGTGTTGTAGGACAGACTCGGATTCAAATCCAACACTTTCATATAGTTTTGTAATACTGCTGCAGCGTTCCCGCTTCTTTTGAATACAAATTAAGCATTTTACGGTAATGAATCGCGCTTTAATTACATTTTCGCGTCGCGAGTAACACCATTTCCTCAAAAATGTAACACAACCTTTAAACGCGCTATTGATTTTCAACGCGTTCCTATCACGTATTCAAACCAAAAGCGTGTAAATTTCACTTCACTGGCTGGGTGATTGTAGAAAGACCAACACTTACACTGACTTGATATCGGTTACCTTTTCATTCTCTCCTTCATCACACCTATATTCTGCCAAAGATGATGGCAGCTTCAGCATCATCAAATACTCCAGTCAGACGGACAGCACAGGATGACGAATCTCTCCGAAATGCGATCCTACAAGTGTTCCCTTCTAGACTTCTAAGTGAATCCAGCCCCGCTCTAGAATCATTGGTTTCAATATTGCGATTGTATGCTTCTAGCCTAACAGCAGATGATCTATTCTACAAAACAGAGGCAATCCTCGTAGCAGAAAGGAGAGATAGTATTGGTCAAGATGTTGTCGAACAGCTAAGACAAAGCATTCAGAAGGAATGGGAATCCAAACTTCGTACAAAAAGTGGAACATCAAGTAATGCCACAACTTCTACACCTGCAACAAATAAGTCAAAGGCAGGCTTAGGTTCTCTATTTGGTGTCAGTCCACAAGCACCAATCACGCCCGTCAGACCAGCACCTGTTGCGTCTTCCACGTCCGGCGACCCTTTCAGCAATGGCACACCAACCACACAAGGATCTGAACAAATCATTGAAACATTAAATCCTCATATTCCAGCATCTTCGACGTTGAATTCGTCCAACCAAAGTCGCGTATCACTTGCAATTGGAACAAATCCAAAAGCATGGAACTATAGATACATGTTTGAGAGACCGGGAATGAAAGGGAATGCGTTAGACGATGCGATTGAAAAGATGACGGAAACAATCTTGTCCACGTATGGAATCAAAGATGAAGATTTGGTTGACCCTGCAAGCTCATCGCAAGAGAGTGTATACATTGTTGGAAGGATTGCACCAGTGGTACAGAACGAAGCAAAGATCGTGAACGGAAAACCCAAACAACCCAAACTGTCCGATGGACTGGTAGTGGAAGTGTCCCGCAGAGTTGGCGGAGCAAGCCGAACTCCAATGCATTTACCCAACAATGTCAAAGTTCGAGCTTTGCCTACATCTGACGGACAGGGCATTCCTCATCCAAGTACGACTGGTGGTCAACTTGCCTTATTCCCTGGTTTGATCGCCGGTTTCAAAGGACGAAATGGAGGAGGAGATGCTTTTCTCGTTGAAGAGATCTTGATGCCACCCTCGCTTCCGTTGCCAGAAACGGAAGTGGTGGATTTGCTTGAGCATCAACACGCTGCTGGAAAGTTGAAGGGCGAGCCGATGAGCATATTTGTGGCATCAGGTCCCTTTACGCTGGATAACGACCTAAACTTCACACCGTGGCACAGACTTTTGGACCAAATCGAACAACGCAAGCCAGACGTGGCATTGTTTATGGGTCCTTTCCTGCCCGTCAATCACAACTCGCTTCTTGATCCCAATCTTACGCAATTGCCACAAGAATTGTTTGAGAATCACATCGGATCTAGATTACGCCGTCTTTGCGATTCTTCTGCTCGTACAACGGCCATCTTATTACCCAGCACTCGGGACATCGTTCATCCTCATGCTGCTTGGCCCCAACCGATGTTTGATAAGACAATGCTTGGCATTCACAAGCGTGTCAAATGTTTGCCAAATCCATGCATGTTCAGCATTAACGAGGTGATCTTTGGTATTTCAACGGCGGACGTCTTGCGCGATTTACGTTCGGATGAATTGGTATTCAACGTAACGGTAGACGGAGAAAAGAATGACGGCAGTACACCAACAAGAACACGAGATGCAATGGCACGTTCAATTCGTCATGTATTGCATTCACGTCATTTTTACCCACTCTTTCCTGCTTCGACCGCAACAGATTTACCTTTGGATGTTTCTCATGCTCATTTAGCCCAATTCACAGACGTTACGCCAGATGTTTTGTTGTTGCCCAGCATTTTGACGCCTTTTGCCAAGATCGTCGACGGAACCGTGGTTGTCAATCCAGGTTTGACGGCAAAAGGCAATAATGACGGAAAAGGTTCGTTTGCTTGTTTGCAAGTCAAGCCTATGCCTAAACAAGATTTGCAAAACGTCATCCAGCAAGACTCAGAAGCCGATACGGAGGGTACAAGATGGCAAAATGCATTGTATGATCGCACACGAGTCGATATTACCAGAATCTAATGCCCTAGCTTCTCATTTTCTGTATAAGTATCTCTATCTTTTCTTTATCAATGTATGCATTTGTGTTTTGCTTTTTCCCTATATGCAGCTGAAGAACATGATCAATTGCTATATGGTATCTAGAGAAAGATATGACAACTCTATCTGTATCGTCAAGCCTGTTTTGGGGACGATCTCCAGTGAGTCCACATACAGATAGAATGACTATATACAGGGCATATCATCTCGAGCAGGTTGCCATTGAACAATCTACTTTGACTCTTCTTTTGATTCTTCTTTCTTTTCATCATCTGCTTTCTTCTCCTCTTCCTTTGTCTCTGTTTTGCTCTCTTCCTTCTTTTCTGCAGCGTCTTCGGTTGCACCTCCGGAAGTAGGAGGAGCTTCAGTCTCTGCTACTGCGCCACCTTTGGCAGAAGCATTCTTTGTTTGTGCTTCTTCGAATGATTTCTTGAATTCGTTTGCGTTGTCTGAGTTGGCAAAACGGATTGCAAGTGTTTCAGCACTTACTTCTCCATCGGTAACGTCTGCTGCCACATTGTAAACCCAAGAACGATCAGAGCCAACGTTTGGGGCCAATTTCATATCAGAGGTAATGTAATGATTTGCGCATACTTTGAGTGTTTTATCACGTCTCATAACCAATCGAACTTTTCCATGAGATTTATGTTGTAAAAGACGTACGTCTCCTGTTCCACGTTCTTTCCATTCTTTTGCTTCTTTATCGAATCGGAACAATTTTGCACGCATTTTGAATGAAACTTCTTCATCTTCTTCGTGTGTTTTTGTTTCGACTTGTTGTTCAAGTTTGATCACTGGTTCGAAGTGTGGGTCAGCCTCTGCTTCAGCTCCCTGGTAAGGATAAGGATGATTCAATTGTCAGTATTCGTCATCTAGATGATGTGCAACTTCCTCTTTCGTACGCCACTCACAGGTTCGGATAGAACATCCCGCTTTTCTGTGTCTGCCATATTGATGTGTATTGTAGTGTGGTGAAAGTGGGTGAAAAGGTGTATATCAGAAGGTGGTGTTTGTGATTGTCAAGAGAGATAGCATACAAAGCCTGCTTAACTTCTTAATTCATAACTTCTCAACAAATTCGCAAAAGCCAGCTGCTGCTGCTGTTGCTTTTCTATTGTTAAGATTCAATAGGCACTACGCCGCCTAAAGTTGATGAAAATCGTATTTGTACTGCGCCTGACGCCCGCTGAGAAAAGTTCAATTCAGCGCAAAGCTGCGTATGCTGTTTGTAGTACCCAGCCCAGCGCGCAAAAGACAGCTATGGCTGTAATCATTCAGCATTCTACACTATTCAGAAAGGCTCTTGAGTTCATTATCATATGAATCAGATCTATTGATGTTATAGGCTATAGCAATATCAATGGAGAGTAAATGAAAGTGATGTAACTTCACTGTGCACTATGACTGCTCAGCCTCTGTTCCTCCCGAATCTCCTTCTTGACCATAAGCCGACTTGTTCTTAGCACCCGGTAAAAAAGGCGAAAAGGTCGTCGGTGTTCTTTGCATGCCGTTCAAGCGGTGGAGAAACACGACAAAAGTCCAACACTTTCCAAGTCCCTTTTATGCAGGAGAAAAAAACAAATCGGCGGCCAGGCCGTCGAATAAGCGGTACCACGCGTGTGTGTGTGTGTGTTGCTCTTAGAGAAAAAGCGCTTCTTCACTTGTCAAACATGCATTTCACACATGACTTAAGAATCGATCATTTGATTATTCATCCTCTCTCTTTACAAACACCAATTTGCGCAGCTACCTCTCCCATCACAGACTATCATCCTAGCCTATCCTACCCCGACACATTCATTCAATGCATCTCTGACACAATCTATACAACACCTAGAACGGAAAAAAAGAGAAGGTTTCTAGGGAACAGTCAATCTTCGAAGGAGCTCCTGCTCATCATTCAATAAATTTGCCGATCATGGCGCAATCAGGGCCAACAATCGTACCAAACCCTTCAGCTCTGAAAAGACAAGGTCAAGTACCTGAGCCAACGATTGAATCTCTACTTCAAATCTTATTTCAAGCAACTTCTCCGGATCCATCTGTTTTAGCAAGTGCTTCAGAACATTTGAGTGATCTGGAAACGCATAGCTCATTATGGCTTAGACTCTTGGATATAGCCTTCGAGAGGAATAATCCGCTGGAGCCAGGCCTGCTTGAAAGGGAAAGGGGTTCCATGACCAATTTCAATGGCCCAATCACCGCCGAAGATGTTGCTAAACGATGGAGTGCAATTCGTACAGTCGCAACCATTCGCTTCAAGAATGGAATCGATAAATATTGGCGTAGTCGTGTGATGAATAGGGTCACCATTACAATCTCACAAGATGTGAAATCTCAACTACGACAAGCCCTATTTCGATGTTTGGATGAGCCTGATCGAGGAGTTGCTTTACAAGCTAGCGTCTCGATTGCTAGGATCGCTCGAAACGACTTTCCCAACTCGTGGCCTACACTGTTTGACAGCCTTCAGACGGCGATGATTGAAGCACATGGGAGGATCACAAACTCAACCCAAGAAGCAGAAGTGGATCGACTCACTCTTTTGAGAGCAGCTGATGTATGCGCAAGAACATTGAAAGAGCTAAATACTGTTCGCATCTTAGCAGGCAAAATCCGAATGACTGAGCTATCACAACAGCTTTTGCCCACTTTGGTGCCCATGTTTCAACAATACTTCACAGAAACTTTACCGACAAACGACATGCTGCAGTCTCCAGAAGGACTTTCGAGATGGTCGCAGTCACCCAATCTGTCTATGAGAATACGAACATCACACTTGCTTTTGAAATCGGTCAGTCATCTAGCCATTGCCGATGCTGGCACACTCTCAAAGAATGCACAAACATATGCCGACAATCGACCAAATTACGCTCGAGAATTGTTCAAAATCACGCCTGGAATGCTTCAATTCATTCGCGATGTTCGATGGACGTTCATTCAATTCGTACAACAGCAACAAAATCAACAAAGTCTTTCTTCAGATCATCAGGCAATCTTGACAGGACTACAGAAACATCTTTTGTCTTTTGGAAAGTTGTATTCTGGACTGGCAGGACGTGAACGTAGCAAAGCGGTTACCTGGCAAGGATGGGACGAAGTTGTGCTGTGGTATTGGCAGCAGGCAATCGAAGCATCGCCAGAAGAGCTCACGACAACGAGCAAATCCGACGTAAGCGGAGATGTAGCACTCTTTCAGCAGCATCCTACCAAGCTACTAGTGCAAGCGCTCACTTTGCTCAAAACCAGCATGGAAGATTGGAGAAAAACGGATACTCTACCAGCGACGTTCAAGGACGAAAATATGATCTCCAATATGGTTGACATTCTGGTGGAAAAGCTAATGTTGCTAAGCACGGATGATTTGCAGATATGGGAAGCCGATGCAGAAGATTGGAGTATTGCAGAGGAAGCCGAGACATACAATACAGATGTACGTCCAGCAGCGGAAAGGGCACTGATGGTTTTGGCCAAAGCAGCTCCTTCTAGGGACAGCAGGTTCGTAAGTGAATTGCTTTGGCAGAAGTTCGAGAATTTGGGCCAAGGCGGACCGGATATGTCTCTTCAAGGCATCTTACGCAGGGATGCAATCTATGCTGCTGTTGGACGTGAACTTTATCCACACTCAGACGAATACATATCCGAGGCGATCGTAACACGACTTGTAGGTGAAGCCTCCTTGACCTTCTCCGACTCTTCTTCATGGATCATCATTCGTAGACGGATCGCTTGGCTTATCTGGGAATGGTCAGAACACGTAATATCCACTCATCGACCAGTGATCTATGACTTGCTTGTGAGCCTATTGCAGGATGTGCCTGGTAAAACAGATGCTGCAGTACGCTTAGCAGCCGCAAGATCGCTGTCCGCCATGGCAGATGCATTGGAATTCGATTCGGACGCCTTCCAACCTTATATCGATGCAAGTTTATCCAGATTGGCAACCTTGGCTGCAGGTTCTGAATTGCACGAGATGGATAGCATCAAGACGTGTACAAACGCAATGAGTATTTTGATCGAAAGGCTTGGCGCACGAATTGCTCAACATTTGCAACAATTGGCCACCCTTGTTCCGCAATTGTGGACTTTGGATGATCCTGAATGTAAAGCACGACCAAGCATTATTGTTTTTGTCAGTAAGCTGGTACGTAGCGTTGAGCTCATTCCGCATGGATCGCAAGGTGCAGGAACATCTCTACATGGCATCGTTGAGGTCATTGTCCGTCAAAGCTTGATGCAAGATAACATTTCCATGTTAGGCAAAGATGCATTGGAACTATGGATTCGTACATTGCGCTCGTCTTCCCAAATGACCGATTCGCTCTTTCGACTTTTGGACATCTTGCCTTCCTTGCTGGATCAGCCAGATTACTGCCCGGAGGCTTGCAGAGTAGCGCAAGAGTCAACTTTGATGGCAGCAGAAGCAGTGATTGCCAAGTACGGAGCTGGTCTATTTGAAAGTTTTGCAAAAGTGGTTGGCGATCCCCAAAGTCCACTCATCCTTCATCCGATATCATCTTTGGATATAATCGTACAAGCATTGCATGCACAAGGCGTTGATACGATGGCATGGGCAACTCTCTTGGATCGAAGCGGTTTGTTTTATACGTTGTTAGGCTCACTGTTAAAGGTAGAAGATGCTACAGTGGTCAAAGGATACTTTGTAGCCCTGCTTGCCAGACTTGCTTTCATCATGGACAACACATCAATCTTTATGGAACTTGTTCGCTCGGCAGCAGGTCGACTTGAAGGCACAACAGCCAACATAGGCAATACAGTGGTAAAGCCAATGGCAGAAGAATGGTGTGCAAGAGTGGAAAATATGGCTTCTTCACGTAAACGAAAGATCACTTGTTTGGGCTTGGCTGCCCTTTTGAGCAATGCAGATCCGCAAAGGGAACCCGAATTATTTACCGTTTTACCTGCCATGATTGGAATTTGGATGGATATTATGGGTGATATGAGACAAGATGCTGGCTCTTCAGAAGATATTGGCGCTCCAGTCTTACCGAATGCGCCTCCTTCATCACCAACTCTGACCCGCTCATTCTCTCAAGCGCCAGATCTTTTGCGTAGATCGCCTTCGCCTGCTTTATCCATTCCTGGCTTGGAAGGTATTGATGATGGAGATGATTGGTTGCAAGAAACTTCACCTGGAAGAGCACGATTGACAGAGTTGAATCGCTTAGACCCGGTCAATACGGTCAAATTGACAACGTGCATTTCTGATGCTATGCGAAGAGCACAAGGGCATGGTGGAGCAGTATTTCAAAACAGCCTTGCTAGCATGGATAGTTTGGTGATGGAAATATTCCAAAAAGATCTTAATCAATGAAAAAGAAAGAATAGAATGGTTTGCAGAAAACTTTATAGAGTACAAGATTTCGAAAAATACCCATGCTCGTATACACTTCAAGAATACTTGCACTTCTCACAATCAATGTACGATAACCTCAAAATTGAATTTAGCTAATAGATAATTGAATTGTTGAATAAGAGAGAATGTGTAGAAATACAATAATGCTAGAATGACACTGTACAAAACAAAGGCTAAAAGGCATTCTTGCGCTTTCTGCCTGTAAATTTGGAATCTGTTGGAACGTCTTCTTTTCCGCGAGATCGATATAATTGCTTTTTACGCAAGATCCAATCACGGGTACCCTTTTCGGCCGCTCGGGCTTTCTTACTTGCTTTGCCTCCTCTGTGCTTGCTGTTTGCTTGCCCACGGCGTCCCTCAAACTTCACTTGTCCAACAGCGGCTGCATTGGGATCCTCATGTTCAGCAACCAAGCCACGGGGTAATTCCTGTTTAACTTGTTCTTGTTGTGAATTTAATGCTGCCATTTCTTGTTCATTCATCAATCCTGCCGGTATTCTCATCGTTCCCCCAATCCATAAAACCAAAAAGCATTTTCTTGCTTTTCTACTGTTTGGATAATCTACCACCAATCCACCACCGAAACCTGCCCTTGTGGCAGCACGCATACACAATTCCACTTGAGCATCATTTTCCGGATAAAATTGCAATGCAGCTCGAGCACCATGTGATAAACATTGATGTAGCATTTCAAAGAATCGTTGAAGACGTGCGATAGGTGAAGAAGCTTTTGTGTCTGCGTTCAAAAGCCATTGTAATGCTGATATGCTAATCGCACCATCAAAAGAACCAGGTCTGAATGGACATCCATGTCCTGCATCGGCGAGTAGCAAATCTCCTTCAACTTCACGTTCCAGCGCCACTTCCAACATACTTGGAGCGATATCATATCCGATCCATTGATGTCCTGCTTCGGTTAATACTTCTCCGCTTAATCCACTTCCACATCCAATATCCAACAAGAGTGCACCATGTTCCACTTTCCATTCCGGCAACACCAATAATTCCAACGCCCGCTCTGTCATTTGAGCTTGAATGTGCTGAACACGAGAATTGGAAGAGTATTTTCTGGCTTCATCATCGCCATAAAAGATTTCTGGTGGTGCAATATGTTCTGGCCTGCTCATGTTGATTGGGTATATTGGTATGATGAGAACAAAAAAAGTTTAAACGCTAAACTCAGATTCATCAAAAATTTATACTTTAAGGCGTTGTATTGGACAGTTGCAGTTCTGCTTTTGCATTCACGCGAATCTGACATAATCATGGGCTAAATAAACAAGCTCCACTTAATCAGCATGCATAACCTAATGTTGCTTCTCACAAATATTGTTATCGTATCAAACAACCCCCAGAAGACATAGCATTTATCTTGTCATTATGATATAGAGTTGTTCATCATGATACTGCGGTATTCGTCAAGATGGCAACCGGTGCGACAGTCAGCATCACTTAGACTTCAATCAGCCCTAACCGTACGTCTGCTTCATCATACACCTTCTACAAGTCAAGCATATCCGGCAGATTTGCAAACTACAGATCCTTTGATCGCATATCGTGCTTTGGCTTCAAAAGGTGTATTAGAGGAAGATGCAGAACAAATTCGTGCCTTAATAGAATTACGCAAACTTACTAGAGTTCTTCAAGATTATACACCGCCTTCTCATCTGCTAGGTATTCTACACGATCCTAACGGTCAAAATGGCAAGGGAGACTTGGGCAGTGGTGGACCACCTGCTTCAGAAGAAAATGTGAATGCATTGGTACGATACCTCTCAGAAGAAGAACAAGTGGAAAGTCTAGATACACCGAAAGGTTTGCTCTTGACGGGCAAGCCGGGTACGGGAAAGACGTTCTTGGTGGATTTATGGTTCGAACATCTTCCCGTCCAGGGCAAATTTAGAAGACATTATCATCATATGCTACTCAGCATTTATAGAATGGTATGGGTAGAAGCCGAGAGGAGACGGATAGACGCAGAAGCACAATGGAGCTCTCGTGAATCAGTACTGCCAGAACGAGGTGTTGGAGTTGTATGGGAACGACAAGAACAAAATGAGACTGGTTCTCGAACAAAAAGCATCTCACAATGGGCCAAAAAGTTACGCGGAATGCCGTTCATGCGTCTTGGAAGCGATGCCCCTGCTCCGGTCATGTCATTAGATGGCGCATCTCTAAACGATGACGCCAATAAAGGAATGGACGTGATCAAATTGGCTCAATTGGAAAGACAGGAGGATAAATTGGCTGGTCTTGGTACTACTTTACCAATGCATGTTGCCGCTCAGCTGTTTCTAACGCATGGTCATGTCTTGTTGCTTGATGAATTGCAGTTGCTCGATATTGCTAGTGCTACTCTATTACGCCGAATTTTGACTAGTTATTGGCGATTGGGAGGCGTTGTTATCGCAACGAGTAATAGAGTACCGGAAGATCTATACGCAAATAATGTCCAGCGAAGGAGTCTGGTAGCCTTCCTTGGCGCTTTAAAGGAGCGTTGTCCCGTTGTTGAAGTATCAGGCAGAGACCGTAGAATTGATCGATGGAAAGAAGGATGGGACAAGTTTGCTCAACGAGGCGAAAAGGACGATAAGAGTTTCTTTTTCTTGAAAAGTCGTCCAGATGAAGATAAAGCATTTCAACAGATCAAAGATTCTCTCATTGCCGGTCGTCAACGTGAAGCAACCGTATTTGACGTTTACAATCGTAAAGTAAGCGTACCAGAGTCATATCCAGCTGTTGATGGCCATCCAGCTACGGCATGTTACACATTTGATCAACTTTGCGATCAGCCACTTGGACCTGCTGATTATTTGACGTTATCATCAACGTATGAGCTTTTGATCCTAGATGACGTTCCGGCTTTGGACTTGGTTCATCGAAATCAGGCTAGACGATTAATCACTTTGATCGATTGCCTCTATGAATCCCGAACGAAGTTGATCATCCGATCGCAAGTGCCACTTACAAAGATCTTCTTTGCTCGTGAAGGAGCTGAAATCGCACGAGAAAACGAAAGACGGCATCGAATGGCAGCACAGGGCAAGACACCAACAGAAGAATGGCGATCAGACGACGATCGAAACGAAGAAGATCTCATTCAAAGTGCAGCATTAATACAAAGTGAAGTCTTGTCAGAAGCTGCTCAAGATACCGAAGAAGGCTTTAGACCTAACATTGTTGCATACGGTCCTATCGTAGAAGATGACCAGCGTGCAGAACCAGGACGTGAAAGCGAAAGTCAACGGGAAGAGCGACAGAAAGGCGGTTTGCGCAATTTGTCCATCTTTTCTGGAGAAGAAGAGCGATTTGCCTATCAACGTGCCGTCTCAAGGTTGTACGAGATGAGCCATGCCTCATGGGCAGATGTAACTTGGCGTCCTTTGGTTGAATCGGATCGTAGTGCTTGGCAGCAATCAAATGTACAGCAGGATGCCAATTTTGCTGCTAACATCTTACGCAAATCCGCTGCTGCTCTTGCCACACGTAAAGGGCTATCTACAGCAGATAGAGTGGAAGAAGGCGATTTTGCCGATGAAGCGTCCTACGATAACCTTCGAGCAGATCAAGAGCGAAAGCGAATCAATCGCAGTAACGGACCTCCAGTCTTGTCTCCGTCGCATGTCTGGGGTGTCCGTGAAGATTGGGGCCCCAAAGCTGGAAAATGGGGAAAAGGCGTTCGGGGTTCTAGGGATGATGAAATGGATCCAGAGAACAGCGAAAGTCCTCGCGATCGTCGAGCCAGGCTACGAGAGGAGCGTTTGCGAGCCTCGTCTGACTCTTAGGCTAACTCGACATTGCTTGATAGATCTGTAATAATTGTCTGAGACCATCGTCATGAATAATGGGTATAATAATGCTTGATATGATACAGTGTTTGTGTTTCCTTGACTTTCAATCTGCTGAGCTGCATCCACGACAACCGCAATGAACACATTCGAATACTTGAGATCGTGCAAGCTGACTTTTCGGTACTCTACAAATGCATGTACTTCCTTCATGATTCATATCCCTACTTTGAATGCATCTTACACAACATAGTTTCTCGTATCCTGTCCGCTTCCATTTGGCGATAAGATTTGCATCAGCATATCCCTGTTTCAAAAGCCAGTCGTACAGCTCCCTACTAATTGCTTCTCGTTTGTAATACAGATCATAGATATATCGTGATCGTGTATGCGATATTCTCATGATCGGCCAAAGTGTTTCTTTTGCCCGTTTACCTTCTGTACTTTCGTTCTCTGCATCTCGCATCGTCCTTGCATAATCTTCTAAAATTCCTTCAATTTCCTCAAAACCCTCAGGCGGAGGTTTTGTACGGGAAGTTCGTACTTTTGGCATGGTATTCCTGCCTCTCAAGGTTGGAGAGATGTGAGGTATTGGTGGCGAGGAGTAGAGATGCCTCACTCTACTTTACGGAGTTGAATGGGCGAAATTCCGATTCCTGTCAAAAATAAAGGCGCGTATGCATCACGTGTTTTGAAGCACTTCATCAGTGTCTCACGCTAATTCAATCTGAGAAGGAAATTAGGCGGCTTTAAGACCGTGCGTGGAATCAATCACCTTAAAACAACCATCCATACAGAATCATAGACAGAATGGCATCATCGTCAACTGCCTTCTCAGGGCCAATCCCTCCACCAAGAAGCTTGCCTGTTGCAGAACCATCACCAGCAACCAGCTCTCAAGCATTGAAATATCGCGGTGCAACTGTGGAGGATTTACAACTTTCCCCTGCAGTTAGTGTTCCAACTACTGCAACGATTCAAAATGCATTAGATGTTGCATTCGATCATGATTATGAACAATTGCCTGTGCTATCCAGCAAGAATGGAGAGAGAAAGTTGGTGGGATATTTGGACATCAAAAAATTACGCTTAGAGGTGCAGAACGGAAAGTTAGAAAAGACACAAGGCGTATTGAACGTAATGGTCAAATTTGGAGGAGCAAAGAGAAAAGAAGGAAGTGGTGCATCATCTACATTCACACTGATCAGCCCGGAAACAGGATTGGGAGAGCTAGAAGCATTTTTGACCACCCATCCGTTTGCATTGGTCACAGATGCATCAAGATCTTTCGTTTTGGCAGTAGCAACACGCGATGATTTACAAAAGTATGCTCAACGTCGTGGTTTAGAGGAAGCAGGAACAAAGACGCCCACTCAAGATACCGATATGCTTGACGATACTGTTCGTCCCGGAGGTGTTGGATCTTCGTCTCAGCAGCAACCCTTATTGACCCGTCGTGAAGAAGAAGAGAAACGAAAGGACCGTACATTGGCCGAATTCTTACAGATGCTAGATGGATACAGACCTTTGATCCCTGATCAAGTAACAGAACACTATCTGGAGAAGGTCGGATTTGAATGTGAAGATGTTCGTCTAAAGAGATTGTTGTCATTAGCAGCGGAAAAGTTTGTTGCGGATATTGCTGCTGATGCATTCCAATATGCACGTATCCGTACAAATGCCGGACCAGGAGCAAGAGGAAAAGCATCAGCCAGTGGGAATCAATCAGCAGTTGCAGCAGCAGCAGCTGCCACAGCCGCTTCTTCTTCAAAGGATCGTTCTCGTACAGTACTAACGATGGACGATTTGAGTGCAGCTCTTGGGGAATATGGCATTAATGCAAGGAGAGCAGACTTCTATCGGTGATTGGAGAGTATGTGTACAGACTGTACAATTGCATTACGTTTAGTCCATCCCTGGATGGAGAATAGGAGACAAGAGAAAATAGTGTTTGCGTTAGTTGATAGATTGTCATTACCAAATCTCCTTATACTCACAATGCAGGAAGAGCAATCCTAAGCCACTACCGATGAGGAAGATACACAAAAATCTATTAGCTTGACGATTGTTCTCTTTAGCTCGTTGTAATTGTTCATTCCCTTTTCCCACTTCCAATGTATGCCCAAGCGCTTCTTGATGCAAATTATCAGCCATTTCTGTTTGATTGCCTAGATGCTGGATCAGTTGTGTTTGTAGCTCAGAAATCTCACTTAATTTCCGTTCTGCTGCCTCAACCGCACGCAAGTCATCAGAAAGAGATTCAACTAAAGCTGAAGACTCTTTGTCGAACTGTTGGATCTGCTCTGCCGTCAATTGAGACGATGAGAAATCGCTCTGATAAGGCTGATCCAGTGAAAGTACTTCGTTCGGGACCTGCGATTTTCCTTTCGCTTCCGTCGTTCGTACGCTACCTGCAACTGGCTCACGTTTCTTCTCAGTACCATTTGAAGACGTCAAAGTTGCTGCTGAGCCGGCCAAGTTGATTTGTTTGACTCTTTGTGCTTTCAATCGAGCTTCTTGAAGATCGCCCATCCTTGCATTTGTTTGTGCTAATTTATTATTGAGGTATTGCGTAATAGCAAATCGATGTTGACTCAATTGTTCAGCATACAATGGATGAGATCTACCCGGAAAGGCCGAAGTGGTCGCACTGCCCAAGAGACGAGAGAAAGGATTATGCGATAGACCAACAGTCGTTCTCTTTCGTACATTTTCTCCTTCTTCTAATTCTTTGATCCGTGCAAGACATCGCTTTATTGTGATCTTTACTTGGAATTCAATCTCATCCCGTTCCTTGTCAGTCAAGTGTTGTACTCCTCGCCAAGCATCAAGGGAATTTTTTGAGCCATCATTTCCATTGGCTCTAGATTGAGGTCTGGCTGATGTTGAAGTAGTTGTAGCCAAGTAGGGTTTCCGTATCGCACGCTGGAAATCGTTAATTGATACGATAGCTCGCTGAATCTTTACAGCTTCATTGAACCATTCTTCATCAGCTTTTCTTAATCGTAAGCAGTCTTTTTCACGTTGACTGAGGGCCTTTTTGTCACCTGATTGCTTCTCCAATGCCTTGCACTTTTGAATGAATGCTGCACTTAAGATAGGTCCTAATGATTCATCCCTTCGTTTTTCCCACTTTCGCCTACTTTCTATTGCTTCCTCTCCTTGTTCCTTGATCAGTGTTTGAAACAACTGTGTATGATCATTGCCGATTGGAATAGAAGATGTCGAAGCCATCTCTGAGGTTCCTCTTGTCGTTGGTAGTTAAAAGGAGGACTTGTCATTGTCTGGCACTTCTCCACAACCTTTTGGCGCGACTAATCGTTAGGAACCTTAAAACGCAGCCTACGCACATTTCTTCCTAAATTACAACAACACATGCACGGACAGGATCACATTCATTCAATACCCTCACCCTATATCTCTTTCTGGCAATAGAAATGGAGGATGAAAAAATACACGATCACCTCAAAGGAAATGTGCAAGATGGTCAAGTGGAAGGTACAGGTGTAGAAGACCAAATTCGAGCGGCGCTATCATCTGATAACGAATATAATCAATCCGAATCAGACTCACGATCATCGCTCATTGAACCTGATCAAATCATTTCTTTGGCCGATGATGACGGTATGATATCTAATGCAGAGCTAGAAGCTGATGTAGTGGATACAGCAATGGAAGCGGTCGAAAAGGATGAAGAGAGTGGTCCTCCAGAGATCATGCGACCTGTTTCACCTCCTGCTGTATTGCAAGATGGATCACCAAGTGGCATTATACAAATGTCAGAGAATGAAGCTGGCGCAGTACCTGTATTGAACGATCATCAAAGCCAGGCTGACTTTATGCCTGCACAGCAGCAACATCAACAGCAACAATACGACAGTGGACAGCAACAGCAACAAAATCATGATCAAGATGGAAATAATCAACCATCGCAAGGCCCATTGGACGCAATTACTTTAGGACAATTGAGAAATTTGATCAATGTTCAAAGACCAAAAGCACGCCATTACTCCTACCCAACAGACGCAGATTCAGATTCGTTGCCCATGGAAATCGATGAATTTTACAGTTATGTAGAAGCTCCACAGGTGACCGAGAATCGTGAAGCATGGGAGGAATGGTGCGAGCTACTGTCAAAGGGAGAAGGCGGGATCTCTTCTAATCACTCAGCAGAAGCTTCAGAAAAGCCTTCAGAGACATTTGGCGGCGCTTTAGGACTCGGTCTGGGCGATGGATCGCAGGGAGATGAGCCCAAGGATGCACCAAACCGAGATCGATCAGAGTCAGAATGGACATCCTTGCCCACCTCTAGCAGAAGGAAGCGCATTCAATCACTGCTTTCACTATTGGAGGTGAAAGATCCAGTCGCAAGACAGAGAGCTTCTAGAGCCCTTTTGTATCTGCTACAAGGGAGCTTTGGTGATACACAGGGTCCCGAACATCAGTTGAGCTGGATTTTGGAAAATGCCCGAATGGTGCGAGCGTCTGGAGGTCTAGGCGAAATTTACAGCGCTTTCAAGATTGCTAGCTGGAAGCATGATTGGCTCAGCTCTTTACCGGATCATATCCCTTCCAGTGAAGCAGCCAAAGAAGGCGAGCCTGTCCCAGAACCCTTGCTTACTTGGCAAACCAAGTTGGAATATCTTGACGAAATCAATCTCGAATTGGCTTTGCATTTTGCACAACTGTACATTCTAGTGGAAACACAACGAGGTGAAGAAGAATGGGGAGACGAACTGATGAGTCTGGATCCACCATTGCCGATTTATCTCTTTGGCTTGGTTGCAGCTTTACGGGAGAAGAACGCAAAAGGATACCCCGTCAAGAAATTGTTGCTGCTTCTATGGAAGACTATTTTGGCCACGTTTGGGGGACTGAAGCAGGCATCTCGATGCAAAGAACTTGCCAGAGAGCTAGAAGGCTTGCCGCCCAAACCACCACAGAAAACCGTTGGTCGACAGAAAGGTGTAGTGACAAAAGCCACTCCTCTCGATTTGCAAACATTCCAGGATGAAGTTGCGGTCAAGTATCCGACATACTCCTCCGCTACACGAAAGCCTGGAGACTTGCCGTATGACAAAATTGCTTCGGCCGTTGCACCCATTCCACCTCGTAAAACAATGGCTTCGACAGGTGATGTCAATGGTGCGAATGGAGCGGCAGGCTTCCCCGGTACGCCGGCCCCTTCACCTCCTCCATCGCCCAAGCCTAATAAGCAAAAGTATCAAACAGACCAAAGTCGACCATTTGTCTTTCCGTATAGCAAATCAGTTCAAGGTCCTCGTATGGTGCCTTACTCCATCGAAGAAGCAAGTAAGCTATACAGAGAGAATATGTATGTGAGCCTGGAATTATGGCAACTGTGGCGTTTGCGAGAAGAATGCATACACGAGGAATCGGGCGTTGCAAGTGCTGCTGATGGATCTAGGATGGGCTTTGGATCATGGGAGAAAGAAATGCGACGGATCGAGACGAGCATACACGAAGGTGCCTCATCTCAAGGAAGCAGAAGTCCAACATTTACGGATGGAGCAAGTTTCACTGCCGGACAAGGACCTGGTGGTATGGGCGGTCAGCCAAACCAAAACTCCTTCAGATCCCGCGGAGAGCCAACGTTGGACAGATTAGAAGCATTGGAGAGAGAACTTGATGCAGAATTAAGCCGTGTCGAAAGCGATCACATGTTGGCAGTTTTGGACAATTCCCGTTATATAAATACCATCTCATCTTTGCGTCAGAAACGTGCTGATGCACGTCGATTGCAAAGGGTTGATATTCTTTATCGAGCTGTTTTGCCGCATCTTCAGAGCAGTGTAATTGTTCTGCTCAAACTACTATTGGCCACCGTCACGCAGCAGAATAGCACAAATAGCCCTTACTTCCAAGCATTGGCAGATGGAATTGCTATCGAAGACGCACCTCCTCCGACTTTGGAAGATATCGATATCGTTCGTCATCGAGAGATCACCTCGAAGGCTATCAGTGGTATCCTATTGTTGCTTTTGAAATGGTTCAAGGTAAGCCATATCATGAAATTCAACTTCTTGTCGCAATTGTTGGTTGATAGCAACTGCTTATTGTTGATCTTGAAGATGTTTGGCTTGACAGAGATCAACAATCAGGTCAAAGTTGTCAACGAGATTCCAAATTTCAACTTTTTCCGATTCTGCGAATTAAATTGCGGTCAGGAGCCTAGGAAGCCAAAGCCAGAGGATACAGTGATGGCCAAGCAGCCTTTCGAAGGTCTACCCAGTCCGCCGATGGGATTGACGCATCTAAACTCCACTATCGAAGACGTTGAATTCATGGATCGTTACTCGTTCAGAAACTTCTTTGCAGGATTGAACTTTACTCGTATCCTGCAAAAGCTGACGAAACGCAAAATCCACAGAATCCTACTATTGGTTCAATACAAGAGTAGTGCGATCCTTAAACGTACACTCAAAGTACCACATCCTGACCTACAGCTGTATGCACTCAAGGTGATCAAAAATCAAGTGCCTTTCTGTGGACGTAAATGGAGACAAGCAAACATGAAAGTCATCACGGCAATCTACTTGAATTGTAGGCCAGACTTGCGTGATGAATGGCTGAGCGGCGCAGATATCGATGGTGATGTGGAAGAGAGTTTACCGCAAGAGCAAGCTTTGAGAGGTTTGGTGAAATATTATAATCAATCACGCATTGGCTCGCCGTCCAGTCATGCAAACGGCTTGACTGGCCAACAAGGAAGCCAATCAGGGCATGGTCATAAACGATCCATCAGTACAGGTATCAATGCAGGTCAATTGCCAGACGGTCTGGCCGGTGACGCTCAGTCAAATGCAGCCTTTTTCAATGCTGCAGGAGCGGGTGGTAATGTGAACGCAGGTCATACTCAACCGACGATGCCTGCTTCACCTTCTGCACTCAACCGACCCAATTTGAACTTCTTTGAGAGTGAGACTTTACCGCCTTTGCGTAGAGGAGCAGAAACAACGGCTGGCACTCGTCGTTACATTCCTGATGATCTTTTGGACGGATACCTAGATGATTATGAGGACATTCTTGGTGAAGTGTTTGGAGAAGGAGATTCATCCATCGTTGGCAATACGGCAAATAGTATGGGAGGTCAAGATGAAGATGGACAATGGCACGGATTGAGTAATGAAGGCAGTCAAGCAGCATGGGCACGATTGAATGAAATCTTGGGAGACAATGAATCCATTCCTGATTCTGAAAGTGTTCATTCTTTAGGCTCTTACGGTGAAGGAGCAGAAGGCGGACGTGAAGGTATAGAAGGCGAAAGAATGAAATCTCCCGAGATGGCTATTCGAAGAAGAGAATTGGAAGAAGATGAATTGGAAAATGGTGCGCAAACATGGGAATCTTTAAGTCCGATTGCGATCAACACTCTATCATCTTCTAGACCTTCTACGCCAGGCTCACCACATCATAGTAGGAGGAGATCGAGTAATGATGGTAGTCCGGGAATGTTGCTGGACAGTACAGACCTGTCCAATTCAGGTCTGGGCCTTCGAAAAGGATCCGACTCTAGCCCTTTGAGGCCGGTCATGAGCTTTGGACCAGAGATCCTGAACGATGATGCAGAGCAAGGCAGCGATCCAATCCTCGCTGGTGTGGCAATTGACGATGAAGAGGAAGAAGAAGATTTGATTGGTACAAATCAAAGACCTGAGCCAAAAGCAGGAGGCATTGATGAAGTGGAACATGTATGGAATGTATGATCTCCAGTGAAAATCAATTCGAAACAAATTTTATTCGATAAAATTTCGATCAGAAAACATGCGTGTGCGCTATAGATACAAAAATGTGCTTGTGTAATTACAAAGTGTGCTGAAAAAAGATGGTATGCTTTATAAAAGAATGGTCTATCAGAAGATCGGATCGGAATCTTCATCTTCGAGAGGAGGTGATGATGGAATTTGACAATATGGACTTTCGTCAATGATCGGAGTCGAAGGAAGCTCCAATGTCGGAGGTGGAAAACGTGGCGGAGGAATTGTGTTGGATGAACGTGAAAGGCGGGAAGAAGTTTTTGGCCTACGTGTACGGTCTGGAGGTGGCGGTCCCGTGAATGTTTGTTCGCCAATCGAAGGCAATCTCATCCTACATTGTCGTAACTTTTCACTAAAAGGTGCAATATCCACCGTATGAATTGCATCATCGAATCCTAAACTTGAAATTTCACTCCATTCAGCTGTTGTCGCGGAGGAAGAAGAGGATCCACGCATCGAATAAAGGAAAGGTGAAGGTGGAATGTTGTCCTCCGTTGTTGAACAAGTCCATGTACTCTTTGGACTGCCTTGAGACACGGGCTTGCGTTCTGGGCTGTATTTTGCAATTTCCTCTTCAGTGGGAGAAGAAGAGATTGGTGGTAGATTATCAGCTCGTTTGCCATTCAGACGTCCTTTGGGAGCACGTGGCGGTGATGACATTGTGCGAGGTCGTCTGGGCAAGTGGAAATCTTGCCTTCGCGCTTTTGGTACATTTGATTGTGAGAGTCTTGCATCGTATGAACGATTGAAGCTTTGATGATCAAATTTGCCTTTATTGTTCATATCCAGGATCATTATTGCTTCTTCGGCAGCCCAAAATTCTTCACTTGGAACGGCACCCAAGCGCCATGAAGCGATCCCTAATGTTTCATCTGCATATTTTTCAGAGTTGAATGATTCTGGGACATGAAGATGGGAACCGTATTTGCTGTTTGGATGAGCATCATTAACGCTCATGCGCGCTTTACTTCGTTTGCTGCTTGAAAGTGACAAACTTGAAAAGTCAAATGTTTTATTTGAGGCAATCGTTTCCTTACTTGATCTTCTAGACATGCTTCTTGATGTTGCTCTACGAATCGTTGAATCTTCTTTGAATGGGTTCATGCGAGAGAAATTTGCACGAACTTTGGCAAATGGGCTAGTTGGTATGTCTCTGTCATGGTGATTTGTTGAGTTTGATTGTCTTTCTAAATCTCCTAACTCCAAAAAGGATTCAGGAATGTCAATGTAGCTTGGCCGTTTATGTTGTTGTGATGATCCAGCATCCCTTTGTCGTGGTGCGCCAAGGTTGAATTCGGATTTGTCTAAATCTCTGATAACATCTTGAAAGCGTAGCATGACTAGCTAGGATGCTTTCGATGTGTTTGGAATGGTGTTCGGTAATTAGAAGAATGAATGCTGAAGAATGAAAGGGAGAAGGAAGAATGTAAGTGATGGTGAAGGGAGAAAGAAGGGTTTTGATGTATTGTGAGGGGAAACTTATGCATCGTCCGTCCGAATGATTACAAGCATATGCAGCTAAATCAAAACCAACACTCGTCACTCGACAGATCACTCCAATTGTGCAGTCTTTTTTCTGTCGATCACACATGAAACTTCCCTTTACAAAGCGGCGGATTCAAATTCTCCTTATGAAACTTCCGTAATGCAGGCACAAAAGTAGTCAAATGTGCATCAATGAACAAAGCAAGTTGTTGTTGTTCAAAAATCAAGTACGGCGTACATGCCGAAGGAAGGACAATTTCTTGTTTAATTTCCTTTTTTTTTTAATCCTGCATTTCAAGATGCAAAGCCCGAAAGTCCATGATTAGATGGAGGACATTCAATTACGCCGCTCGGATCAAGGAGGTTTATGATAATTTATCAATTTTGATCCTCTTAGGCGTTCTTGGCGTAAATAGGGTGTATCACAATTTCCTCCTCTTCATCAAAAAGAAAAGTGGAGACAACTTATTCGCTCAAAAAAGAATGAAGCATTTATTGTGATTTGCTCTTGAACTTGCAAAGAAGATGTTTCTATTTCTGTTTCAACACTTCAGAAAGTGTGACTTTATCACTTTGAACATGATGCTTTTTCTTTTCAATCTTCCCACGCTTGAAAGTATGAAACAAGTATGCATGAAAAACACCCATCAACACTCATCATATGCGCTCATACGATGGCGTCAAATTAGTAAGGGTCTTTTTCGGAGGATGAAAGGCCGAAATGGTCCTATTGATGATGATGAAGCTGCTGTTTTGGGTTTTAGTTTGTTTACACATCGGTGTATCATCTTCCTTTTCATTTGTTTGGAAAGATGATTGAAGTGATTTATCTCATTAACAATGAACTGCAGGCACCAGTGACATTAATGTGCATAATCCAAGCTTTGGTCACATGAATTGATATGACACGAAAATCGAATTCAATTTTGATCAATAGCATAAATGAGTATGTCAGGGTCACTTGCGCTCGGTACCTTTTCATCCGTTACACCATTAATCAGGGTTTGACTAACGCTCAGGCCGTCAACAGAGCAAAAGCGGCTAAGACGATTGACATTGCTCTGATTGGCCGCTTACCTCATTTCGCTCTCATTCCGGTACCGACTGAGGTGGCTTTGAAAGAGTGTCGGATTAATTGGATTAATTCATCTGATTTGACAGCTGTAGCCAGGCTGATCTGTTTTCGAATGTCTGCTTTCTCCCTTTTGTGAGTTGGCCTAACTCCTAAACATCAAGCACTTTTACGCCTTCCTATTGCACCTTTTTACTGATAACCTCCTTTTAGAACAGTTTACGCCTTCTTTTTCTCGGTCACCGTACTGTTTCAAGAGTTTGCTCCGTCTTTTTAATTATTTTCTCCGCAATTATCCCATATCTTTCCCTTTGACGGGCTATTGCCTCCTAATATGAGGAGAATGATTGGCTACCTGGCATGGCTCCTTGAATCGAGTAGGGTCACAATAATTACTCCGCTTCCAAAGAAAAGTTCTCATCCTAAATATATCCCAAGGAATTCAAGCGGAAAAACAATTGTATCAAGAATGCCTTTAGCAATAGGAACATATAAAGGAGACCAAATTAGACAACGCCATATCCTCCCCCTCATCCTTCTCCCTTTTTTTCGTTTTCCCCCTCCCAATTCCAACCTATTTAATCTTGCATTTTGAACAATACTTTTTTTCACTCTCACGACCAACTCTCATTTCATCATGAAGACCAATCTTTTCCTTTGCCTTCTTTTGGCTGTTCTCCAATCTGCATTCTTGGCAAATGCTGATTCTATGAAACAAAAGCGTGGCGGTGGTGATACTTCCACCATTGACTTATTCGCAGGTCTCAAATTACAACAAGCTCAATACATGACCGACAAATCAAACAGTCCAGGTTTTACAACCGAAAATGGTGCACCTTCTTCAGGTTACTTTAACATTCAACGTGCAGGCCAAGATGGTCCATTGTTGATTCAATCAACTCAAATGCTGGATTCTTTGGCTCATTTCGTACGTGAACGTATACCAGAACGTATCGTTCATGCTCGTGGTTGGGGAGCTTGGGGTAAATTTGAAGTTACGACTGATTTTGCCGAAAAGTATAGTTTCGCTCCTGCATTCAAAAAAGGTGCAGTTCATCCAATCTTGATGCGTTTCTCAACCGTTGGTGGTCAATCTGGTAGTCCAGATGCCGCAAGAGACCCTAGAGGATTCGCAATTAAGATCAAGACCAAACAAGGTGTTTTGGATTGGGTTTTCAACAATACCCCAGTCTTCTTTATCAGAAACCCATTAAAGTTCCCTGTTTTCATTCATACCCAAAAGACCAATCCTCAAACAAATGAACGTGATCCTAACATGGTCTTTGATTATCTCTGGCAAAACCCTGAAGCATCTATGCAATTCATGCGATTGTTCTCCGATTTGGGTACTCCTTATGGTGCTCGCCATATGAACGGTTGGTCAGGTCATACGTACCGATTGGTAAAACAAGATGGTTCATGGGTTTATGTTAAAGTGCAATTGTTCACCGATCAAGGTATCAAAAACTTCACTGCAGCTGAAGCTACCCAAATCGGAGGTGAAAACCAAGAGTGGGCAACCAAAGATTTGTTTGATTCAATCGAAGCAAAGCAATATCCTTCTTGGACCGTCAAATTCGCCGTCAAGACTCCTGAAGAAGGTAAGAAGTACCGTTACAACGTGAATGATTTGACAAAGGATTGGCTCGATGCTACATGGTACGAGGTCGGAAAGATGACATTGAACCAAAACCCGAGAAACTACTTTGACGAAATTGAATCATCCCACTTCAGTCCAAGCAACATGGTTCCAGGTTGGGCTCCAAGTGAAGATCCAGTTTTGCAATCCCGTCTGTTCTCTTACAATGATGCAGGTCGTTACAGAATTGGTTCAAACTACAACAAACTTCCTGTCAATTGCCCTTTCAACACTGTAGGCAACTACGATCGTTCGGGTGTGATGCCAGTAACGGGTGACTATGGTAATCAACCAATTTATCCATCCAGTGCAGGAACATACAAGCCTGCATCGAAGGATGAAACAGTTGCTCCACTCATCAAACTTTACAACAATGCCACCATCGAGACATACGTTGGCGAAGCAACTGATATCGATTACGAACAACCACGTTACTTCTACCAACACTTGAGCGCCAATGACAAGAAGAATTTGCACAGCAACTTTGCCGGCGCAATGTCAAAGGTTACACAACCAAACGTTGTCTCAAACGTGATCAAGATGTTCAACAAGATTGACCCTAACCTTGCTAAAGGCGTTACTGCTGCTATTGCCGCTGCCAAGAAGGGTTAATAGTTCATTTGGCTCTCTCGAATGATTTCTCTTTTTCACTCTGGCTTCCATCTTTTTACGATCCCTTTTCATTAGTTTATATTTTCTTGATTTCCTGATTCTTCATTGTCATCCGTCTTTTCACTGTTCATTTTCAAAGGGTGATATTTCGACAGCTTGCATGTTAGAGAGAGTATGTGAGGGTAAGGTGTATGCATACTTTGGGCCTGTTCTTGAATGCGTTAATGAGAAGTGTTGCTCTTTTAGCGTGACGCAAGAAATGCTTAAATTTGGAAAACAGGCGTAGTGCCCAAAACTTTAGCTTTCTCACTTTCCCTTTGTTCTCCTCTTCATCATTGATACACCGGCATTGAAGAACAAAGGGATGTTAGGAGGCAATTTGGCAAGATCGGATAGATCTTCATTTTGATCCGTGCTGACTTTCTTCCGAACCATCATCTCAAGCTGTCATTATGAAAACTCACTCTACTACCAACGGCAAGACTGCAACCACAGACATGAATGGAAGCAATGGGAATGGTGTCGATGCTGCACATCCTCTTGCCGGTCATGCTCGAACGACAGCCAATCAAAAGACGACGCAGCCATCAAAGAAGACTCGCGGCTGGATCAGCTGGCTATGGTCACCTGGAACATCGACTCCGATCCCTGCCCATCTATCTTTGGCAGCATTGAGGATTGCATTGACAGCATTCTTTCTCGGAACATTAGCCGGTCTAGTGTTACCTCAGGCGTTGAATATCATCTCTAATCTGACCCATTGGGTACTTCGGTCTCCTTCATCGAAACTTGAAATAGCTGAACGACAGAGTCCGTTTTCGTACAGTCAGCTCCACTTCTATCTTCTAGCATGGGCCACATTCCATCTTTTGGAGTTTGTCATCACAGCACGCTACAATGCTACTCGATTGTTCGCAGATAGCTTTTTGATCTCTAATGGGATCACGTATCATTTAGCCCACCTTTTTGGCTTAACGGAATTCATTTTGGAAGCTCGATTCGCACCACAAGGATTTAAATCATTTGCTTGGTATACCGTTCTTGGAATGATGATGATTCTCATCGGCCAAACGATTCGATCCTTAGCAATGGTTCATTGTGCTGACAATTTCTCACATGAGGTAGCAACCCGCAAACGTGATGATCATAAGCTGGTCACAGACGGCATTTACCGGTGAGTGTATGCAGCTTGTACCAGCTCAACAAGAGACATCTCTGACATTTCTCTCTCCCACAGCATCTCTCGTCATCCGTCATATGCAGGATTCTTCTACTGGGCCCTTGGAACACAAATCATGCTGGGCAATCCTTTGAGCGTGTGCGTGTTTACCATCATCCTATGGAGATTCTTCCGCTTCCGTATCAGGGATGAAGAAGTTCATCTTACATATTTCTTTGGAAAGGCATATACCGATTTTCGCAATCGTACTCCCACTCTGATCCCTTTCATTCCTTAACTGATGACTGCAAAAAGGAAATAATTTGTATACTAACTTTGTAGAACGAATCATAAGTCAAGAAGCAACCTCCAGAGTGAACCTGCATATCCGATAAGATAAGAAGCTTTCGATCACGTGAAGCTATAATGCAATCCATCAATTCAGACTTGCGTTTGCAATTCGTGGTTACAGAAGAGGTGCGCCCAGCAAACACCATACACGTGAAGTAAAGAGAGGTGCCGCAAGCGCGCTGCCTGACCCAGCGCTGCCCAAGTCTGTTTCAAGCTTGAGAGGTGTGTACGCCCAGGACACCCAAGCCTACAATCCTTGAACAGAAGTTCTGAAGTTGAAGTTGCGCTGCTTGTGTGCAAGATGAGGTAGTTAGAGAGAGAGAAACCTATGCTGATTCTCAACAGCTTTGATTGTACAACCTTTCTCACCACCATTTACCGAATTTAATTTGCAAAGATGGCCAAGTCAAAGAACCACACTAACCATAACCAATCGAGCAAAGCTCACCGTAATGGTATCAAGAAACCCAGAACCAACAAGTACCCAAGCTTGCGTGGTGTCAGTGAGTATCTTTTTGTTGAATACAATTACGATTATGGCAAATAGGGAAGGGCGAAGGGTGTAAAGTGCTGCAAAAGAGAGAGAGAAAAATGGCAAAGCCGCCGGTAGATTCATTCGAAACCTCGAAAGACATGGCAATAACTAAGAAACATTCAAAGGTACACGACCGACCATCCGTACGAACTTGAGTGACCATCCGTACGAACTTGAGTTTCATCAACTTTACCCGCTCTTTTCTTTCTTGACGCTCTTCCCGATTGCCTATATGATCGTCTCGAACTCAACTTGGATCTATTTACTGACCTTTATCTCCCATCTTCACTCAACAGACCCCAAATTCTTGAGAAACCAACGTTACGCCAAACACGGTACTGAAAAGGCAGTTCGTGAATTCCGTGCCGGTGCTCGTCAAACCGCATAAGTTTGATCTTTCTTCTTCGGATACGACAATTGTTCATTTCGACGATTCAAATTATATGCCACATTCACCTTTGACATTCGATCGCATGCTTCTCAGGCATTTGTAACATCACTCAACAAAAACCTACAATTTCCATCAAAAACGTATATTACTACAGTTCGCACTGTCGTGCGTTATTCACATGCAATCGCATATGTGGGCTTTCATTGCCTTTTAGCATCTCATCTAGACTGGCCGATAATCTCGAAGAATTGCATTGGATAGGCTTGGGCATCAGATTCGGGTGTGAGGAGATTGTGATGGTATTGTACAGAATTGAAGGTACACTGAACAGTGATGGGTAGTATACAGTTGAGGAATTGACGATGTGGAGCACGGTGGGGGCAGATCATTTGCTGCGATCGTGAATGGTGTAACTGTAGGGAAGATTTAGATGGTTAGCATGGATGATGTCACACACAGTCCGGATTTGCATACGTACTTTCCGTAATCCTTGCCTGGTTCAAAGAGTTCCCATCGACTGGCGGGAAAGATGTGTTTGTTGCGATTATACCAGCTTCTTTCGACGACTTTGCCTGCATGACTTTCATCTTTTTCCACAGTTGCGTCTGAGACCAAGCGAACATCATCGTGAACGTCAAAGTTGAACAAAGGTCCAGATTTTCCACGAGCTTTGCTAATGATGAAATCGTAGAAGCTAAAATGATGAGGAATGATTAAGTCTTCCTTGATGTACATCAGACTGTCCACAGTGATACCTTTTAATTCAGGTATTTGTTGTCTGCACTTTTCCAGAAAAGATGCAATCGAGTCTCCTTTCTTGCATTGAACGGATTTACGATGACCACTTCCGTCCCAATAAGAATAAGTGATTTCCACATTTTCTGCTTTCATGATCTCTTGTTCACGTAACCATTTCTGTCGTAATGTTTCGCGTTCTAAACGATCTTTTTCTTCCCTTTCTCGATCTGGTAAGAAGCTCGTATCTACTGCTGGATTCTTCAAGTTGTTTCTCTTGGCTTCCGGTTTGCCAGTCTCGCCATTTATCAGCTTTGCTTTCTTTGTTGCAGGCCCAATCTCACTCTCTTCTTCCTCATCGTCCATTGAGAAAGACAATTTAGACTTTGCATTTTTTTTATTCTTCTTTTTCTGTATCTTCTCCTTTGCTCTGATGGTATTAGGGCATGCAGAAGTCAGCATTGGCACATTCCATATCTATGGCCGCCTGAATACTCACTTTAATTCATCCGTCTGTGCTGCTTCTCTTCTCTTTTGTTCTTCAAGGGCTTCCCTTCGTTTTTTGAAATCTTCCGCAGTTACCAAACCAACTGTTTCTTTTTTGAGTGTTTCTTCTATACTTTCACTCTTTGTTGTAAATCGATCAGAAGATGCTTGTTTGTTTAACTTTTCCGATGCATTTGTCACTTCTGCTCTTTGTCTTTCGTATTCGTCCATCATTTGTTGACGTGCTTTGGTGTGCTTGTCTGCCCTTCGAGCCTCGCTCTGAGAGGATGCCATCTTGGGTCAAAATCCCAAGATATGATAGGTGACAATGTGTGACCAAGGGAGTGAGTTCTCTCAGTAGAAGGAAGTCAACCAACACTTTCTGTCTTTGGCCCGATTCCCTTTCTTTTAGCCTAGGCAGTCAATCCCCCACGGCGCGTTTCCGGTTAAGCTTATGCTTTTCAACCGACATCCACTATTCACACATTCGCGTTGACCTCTCACGACATTCATACCACCAACCATCCACAAACAAAAATGTCAGATGATCGATCATCAAAAGTGGCTGGACCAAGTAGCCAAGTGATGGCAAGGCCAGTAATTGGAGGGTTGGACGGAGGAAGCACATCAACCGAAACCACTCAATCTTATGAACGTTTTTGGCAAGCTGCTAATGAAGCAGCAGAACCTGCACAAAATCGCATAAGGAGAAGGTTACCACACTTCCCTTCACCGCCTCTCAGAATTCAACGAGTGTCACAATTGGATGCCGAACTCTTGGATGCTGAATTGACATCAATGTTATTAGAACCTTTGAAAGCCGCTTTACGGAATATACGGTTAACCTTACCTACAACCTTGGAACCAGAATTACTCTTGGCATTAAGGCTGGCATTGTACAAGTTCAGTATTTGGGATAGAGGGGCAACGTATGGTGCAATGCTACAGAACTTACGTTATCGTAACGAATGGGCTCATTCGGGAGGATTACAATCCACTTCAAAAGATGCCCGACTTTGGCGTGTTCAATTGATCTTGTATCCGACTTTGACAATCTTGCTTCCATATCTGCATACAAAGGTTGAACGTCAAATGAGTAGTATGAGCTTCTCAGATTTGCCTTCGACCGATATTCGACGCAAGCTTTCCGTCGGTTTGGATCGTGCTCAAAGGGTTTACTCCGCTTTGACATTAGCAAACTTTTTAGCTTTCCTTAGCGATGGAAGGTATAGGACATTAACAGATCGGATGCTTGGAATGCGTTTGACATATGCTCAACGGACGATGAACAGGAACGTCTCTTTCGAATTCCTCAATCGTCAATTGGTTTGGCATGCATTTACCGAATTCCTTCTATTCCTCTTACCACTCGTTCGACCAAGAAGAATATTGAGAACGTTGATGCGTTTATCCACTCATCGTTGGATCCTTGCAGCTTGGCTTGCCGTCTTACCTCGATTCATCAGTAAACGTGTAGGGCTGTACAAAGATGATAAAGGTCGTGCTCGTATCAATTTGAACGCAATCTTGCCTGCTAGTGTAGTTGGCAATTTGAGCGGGTCTTCAAACGGTGCTGTAGCGATTGCCAAATACCCTGATTTACCACAAGGTGTCTGTGCGATTTGTTGGGAGAACTTAGAGGATCAAGCGGGAATCAGAACTGCCGGACAATCTGTCGTACGATCTGGTATTCAACTTCCATCTTTGGATCCAACTGATCCAAGCAGTAATCCTTTACCTTCTAGTGGTGCTACATCTTCTTTGCCGATAGATGGAGCAGGTCGTCCGATTCAACCTCGTGGGCTCGCTGCCCGTACGACAAATGCACTTTCTGCAATGACTTCTTCGAGCGGTTTGGCTTATGCAGATGCATTAGTCCATACACCTTATCGTGTTGAGCCTTGCGGTCATACATATTGTTATGTCTGTGTTGCCGGAAAGCTATTAGCAGAAGAAGCTGCTGAAGAATTACAAGAAACAACAGACGAAGATGATCAAGATGCAACACAACATGCAGCTTGGCATTGCTTACGATGCGGAAGCGGTGTTCGATCCACACGTAGAGATACAGGGAATCTTGTTTTGGAGAAGGATGCAGGCAAAGAGGAGAAGGCTAATGACGATGAAGCAGAAGTGCAGGCTTGATAATAGCAATCTGAACAGATACCCGCAAACATGTACAATGCTCGTAATCATGAATAAATTTGAATGCATTGCTAGGTTACTTGGCAAATATTGAAATGGAGATTATCATAATACATGTGTTTTTGTTGGCATTTAGTCATTAATTCGTTGCCGTAACACGGCGTTGGCGACTGGAAACTCTTGTAGGAGCAGCATCAGTTGTTGGGGTGTTGCGGGTTGCCATTCGTTTTGGTTCAGCTTGTACTTCCTTTTGCGGTGTTTTGTCAGGTGATGACCTGGATGGCGTTTGACCGTTGGTGTTGAGTGACTTGAGTGTAGGTGTGGATTGTCTCGAGGTTCGACGAGGCTCGCTATTCTTGATGGCTTCAACCTTGCTGTGCCGAGGTGAAATACGCACAGGAGTGGCTTCTTTCACATTCTTCTTCACAGAAGAAGGAGGCGTTCTCTTTCCAACCTCTTGCGTCTTTGTTTGATCAACTGTTGTCAAGGCCTGTTCAATTGCAGTCTCTTCGTCTATCGATGGCGCAGATACGCTCTTGACCGTTGTGGATGAATTGGTGAGTGATGGCTGGGACACTTGTGGCACAACAGCAGCTGGTTCTTCATCTGAAACCGTGAGGATGGGCAAGTTGCGCGAGGAAACGGGAGAGGTTGTTTCGATGTGAGCTCTCTTTGCAGGTCGATCTGGGATATCTTGGTTACTGCTTGGAGGCTCAGTACGCTTCAATGCAATCGGTGAGAGATTGACATTCGCAGCAGGTGCTTTTGAGCTTGGTGATCCTCGAATGCGAGCATCTTTGGGACTAGACGAAGCTCTCTTGAGCGGAAGGACTCTTTGCTCTGGTGTACTGTGCCGCATACTTTTTGAAATGGCTTCTTTGTTGGCCACAGCAGACTGAGCGTGGTTTCCCTTTGGAAATAATGATGCTAGGAATGCTTGCGTATTTGGATTGTAGGAGCTTTCTTGTGCTTTTGCAGTTCCGCTGCCTTTTTGTTGAGGATTAGAAGAGATGGTAAGACGCTGAGGCGAGATGTCCTTCTTCTCTTGGACTGCGGCACTTGGTCGAGTATTGGGTGCATTCAATCGAGTCTTGTTGCTCGCTTCACTAGCCTTCGAATCACTTGCCTTTCGTTTAAGGGTTGGCATGGGTGGGTGTGATTTGGTGGTGTTGCCATATGTCATATTGTGCAGCATCTTTGCAGCCCGAGCCATTGCCTCTGCCTTTGTATTTCCATCCGATGATGGTTGTGCATCTTTAAAAGGTGGAGAGATTTTTCCTTTTCCTTCATTTTTACCTCCTTCCCTTCTCCATTCTACCATAATAATACGAGAGAACTTCTCCAAAAAGTCTGCACATTGTCCTTGTGGGCTGCTTGGACCGAAGAAGCCGCGGATATTACACCACATTTCATTCAAATCTGAAGAAAAAGCAGCATAGACGTTCTCTTCCCCGTATCGTTGCTCATTCAGCTTTTTTGCGAGGATAGGGAAATCGAGAACAGGCCTGTTATGCTGACGTAGGAAGTGCACGAATTGAATGTACGTTTCATCGTATTCGATTGATTGGCGAAAGAATCTGTTGGATGGATGGCCCCTGAGAGCATCAACGATTGAGACCATACGCTGATACGAATCATGAATGCGAGATTTCTTCTGCAGAGATACGTTCTTGTTCACTTCAGAACTTTGAGTAATGTCATTTTGTGAAGGCTCCTCTTTGTTCTGTGGTTGTTCATTCTCCTTATTTTGTGTCGCAGCAGACATTTTGCCTTCATCTTCCTTCACCTTATCGGTTTGTCCAACTGTCTGCTCTTGCTTTGATGTTCCTTCTTCACTCTTATCGCTTCCCAATGGTACCATCCATTCTTTGTTGGATTTCTGTGCACTTCTGATGTTCCTAGTCGGAGAAGCAATGGGCGAAGAGTTGATCTGCTCTTCGTCAGAGTGGTTTCGGTTACCTGAAAATGGAGGAGATGTAACATCTGCCTTTTTGGTTGTCTGATCAAGACTAGCAGTATTTGTCTCTTGGTGATCGTGTTGAGCTGTTTGTGGCGAAGTGTCGGCCTCCTTGTCGGCAGTGGCTTTGTCTAGCTTAAAGGGATCATCATTGCTCGAGTCTTTCACCTCTGATGCTTTCATGGCAGCCTTTTTCCTTTCTTGTTCTTGTTCACTTAATACTCGACGGGAGTGCTCTGCCCTTGCTGTAGCACTATAGCGATATTGACGAGCACTTCCGACACTTGAGTTGAAGTAACTCAAGTTGTCAGTGCTCCTGTTTGCTTTTTCGTCCTTTGATAGGACAGAGGCATCCCATCGGACACCTCTTGCAATTCGATCATAGCTTCCACTTGAACTACTTCCGCTACTATTGACTTGTTGTAAAAGTTCTTCTGCTGCTTTTGACGGTTGTCTTAGGCTGCTGCGAGGTGTGTTTGCGGTCCATTTGAATGTGAGCACCTCCCGTTCGTTCAAGAAGGGTAGCACATCTGGCATCAAGATTGCATCATTACTCAAAAGTATATGTGCTGTATGATTGGGCGGGACCGGGAATAACTTGGTGGCCTTTTGCACAAGTTCCTGAGGAGGCATAATTGAATGAAAGTCAGCATCGATCTTCTCATAGCAAAGCGGATTAAATACTCACATCCAATGATCCAGGCAATCCTGTGAAGTAACTTTTGGAATCAGGCGTTGGCCCTTTGATGATGATCGCCTTTCCGTTCATGGTACCCTTTGCTGGATGGGTGCAGAACAGGCGATGGTTTGTGTGAGAAGGATGATGATGATGTGGTGAATAGGATAAATGCACTTCATCTATGCATTCAATCATCTTTCTGCCTTTGTTCTGCCTTTGCTTGCATGTTCTGCTTGCTGCCTTTTGGATTGAGTTAATTGGCATCTTCAATACAATCTACACGCTTGTTTTTAACTTCAGGCAGGGAAGGAGTATATGAATAAAATTGAATAACCATCTATTGGAAGGTCGTGTAGCGCGGCGCGTATACTGATTTTGTGCTCTATCTCATTTTTATTAAGCGTGTAAAGAGATGGTGTTTCGTGTACGCGCTTTGACGCGATCTAGCACGCGTGGCCCAAAAAAAGTCAAAAAGGAAGTGTGCATCACACGCTCAAGCTAGAGAGATCAACACCATCACAACACCAAACATCCAACCCATACATTGCAATACATCCTCAAAATATTAATCATGCTAGCTTCAAAATCATCATACGATAACTCTCATGACATTCGCATTCATCGCTTTAATGACGCTCTCGATAAATTCCTGGAACTGATTGATGAAAGAGCAACGAACAAGAACTTTCAGACTGCATTACCCCATCTAGATGCAAATTTGTTGGATAGCGCCCGCAAGCAATTTGTCTTTCACTTGAAAGATGCCATAAAGGTGAGTAAAAAGCAGCGATCATGCCACTAGGTCGATTTCACATGTGCATATACTGACTCAATACCACCCCTTTCCTCAACTCAGATGGAAAAAGATCGTCTGGTGGACAGCTATACCTTACGCGACAGATTGGCAGAGCTAGAATATCTTACACAAGAAGCAGATAGAAGGAACGAAGAAGCCAGACAGAGAGGTGTAGCCACATCAACCTTGTACAAAGACGCATGGCGTTCGAATATGGACTTGAATACAACCCTACGAGCACCAGAGATTCCACAAAGACGACAAAGGCTAACGGAAATGGAAGAAGAATGGGAAATGCTAGAACAAGAAATTGCAGAAGAGAGAATCAAACTGCAAAAAAGTGTTGAGCTGGAAGAGCAAAGGAGGAATGCAGCTAGACAGGCTTTGAATTCTTTGGATGAGACGTTGAACGGATTGCAAACGTCCAAGAATGAAGAAGTGAGATTGCATAGTACTTTGAATATGCTCATGCAGGGTTTGGGACCTCGTGGAATAGCTTGACGTTAGACCACCTGCCGAATTCTTTTGTATTCTACTGTATTTCTAGCTGTGTTAATTGGTATACCCTTGCTGCGAGTCGGCGTATTGTGTAACATCAAAAGGGTCCTGTGTGATTCTTTATAGCTTGTCTTCATACATTAATTCTTCTTCCCCTATGAGTATAATAAGATGAATAGTCATCTCTTTGTTACTGTTCATCATCAGCCTTTATACTCCACATTTGTCAACCGATCAAGCACACGCAGTGTAAACTTGACGCGCCGCCTAGAGTGGTGTGTGTTTGAGTTTGGCCCCCCCTTTTTCCTAAGGACACTTCACCCGCATTTTTCGGTGAATTGAATACAATTACAGCCTCAAGCTCTAGAATCAATTTGTGCCTGCATGCAAGCAAGCAAGCAAGATCTCGTATGAGAATTACACGCGATCACCCACAACCATCACATCATCACCACCTTTTGGGGGGCAAATATGGCATCTCTGCAAATCCCATTCTTATCTCCTCTGATCTCATGGCTTTATTCGATATTCTTTCAAAAACATTTGGAGATATGCGTGTTGGGATTACAATCTGCCGGAAAGACTTCTCTAGTCAACTTACTTGCGATCGGACAATTTAGCGATGAAATGGTTCCAACTGTTGGATTTAATATGCGTAAAGTCAAAAGTGGAAATGTTGCAATCAAAGTATGGGATATTGGTGGTCAACCTAGATTTAGATCTATGTGGGAAAGGTATTGTAGAGGTGTTTCGGCAATCTTGTTTGTCGTGGATTCGGCCATTCCATTGCCTTATTCGGAAGGAGCAAAGACAAGTCAAGATTCAAGCTCGAATAAAGGAGCAGCAGCACAAGATCAACCGACTAATCCATGGCTAGTTGCAACTGATGAGCTGCATTCACTTATGACAAGACCGCAATTGGCTGGTATTCCTCTACTAGTCTTAGCAACAAAGAATGACGTAAAGGGAGCAGTGAGCGCGGAAGAGGTGATCAGGGTAATGTGAGTAAGAAGTGGATGACACCATGGTCTGGGCATTGATTGCTGACAGATAACCCCTTTCCTTGAATAGGCGTCTGGAGACAATCTCTAATCGAGAGGTATCTTGTTATTCTATTAGCAGTAAGAGACAAGTGAATATTGACGTCACTTTGCGATGGCTGTGCGCTCGTAGCCCTTCCAGTGCAAGGTAATCGTTGGCACATACGCACACTCTCATTCATCCTTTGATACCCTACGACTGATCAAAAAAGGCATCCTAACTCTCATCATCACAAGCTTCATTTGGCCAAAAAAAAGTGTACACTGTAAGATTCAAACATGCAATTCTATCAAATACAACGGTATTCCTATAAGGGCTTTTGTGCAGATTCATTTAGGCAATTATCCACCCTAATTGCTTGCCTGACCAGAATGGTACGACTTGAATCTTGCCTTTTTCGCCATCTTTGATTTGTGCATGTGCATCTAATGTATAACTTCCTGGTACTATAGCCCGCTGGTCTTGCGAGGATGAATCAACTTTATGTAAAGTGACTTTCCTATTTAGACCGTCAAATTTGTAAAACCGACGAGCATTATCAGAAACATACGAAGACAACCTGTCCAAAGCACCAAAAGAATCAAGCAAACTTGCACATAAAGGCAAAAGGATAGCCGATGTATAAACCCCAGCCGCACAACCGCAATTCAGTGCAGCATGTGAAGATCCATGAGTAGATGCAGATGGGAGCTTTGAAGTGACCGGATGAGGAGCCGAATCCGAACCCAAAAAGAATCTTGCATGTCCTTCTGCGATTACTTTTCGTAAAGCTTTTCGATCATTGTACGTTTTTGCGACCGGTTTGCAAAAATGTAATGGTTTTCCCGCCCAATCATCAACGATTAATTCTAAATGATGTGGTGTGATTGTGCATGCTACCGTTTCTCCGCATTTCTTTACTGCTTCTACCGCAGCTTCGGTTGTTGCATGTTCCAAAACGATTCGAAGGTTAGGGAAGCGAGCGTGAAGGCTATGTAGATGTTGCAAGAAAGCAGCTTCTGCTGTCATGACTGTGATATTGTTCTCTTCATTACTTGGAACTTCTCCATGCAAGTTCAAAACCATATCGTGTTTTTGCATTTCATCAAAAACTTCGTAGTATGCTTCATAACTCTCGATTCCACCTTCGCTATTTGTCGTCACACCTCGAGGATAACTCTTTACGCCCATAATTCTTCTTCTGCCCGATCGAGGATGTTTGGTAGCTGCTGCTTTGGCAATCTCTTCTCTCGTGAGAGAAGGATGCAAATAAAGCGTTCCTACCAATTCAACATTCGAAGAAGTATACTTTTCCAATTCGTCCAAATATGCCAAACATTGATCAACCGAGGTGAGAGGCGGAACGGTATTCGGCATAACGTATGCCAGTGTCATCCCGCCTTGTTCTACGTGAGGCACGACCAGAGATGCCATTTCACCTTGTCGAACGTGAACATGCATATCCACGGGTGCATGTACCTCGATCGATTGGGGTGATGACTTGGTGGCCATTTTAGTGATTATTGTAGAATAGTTGGTTGTAAGAGAGGGAGTATTGATTCTTCCTAAAGTAAAACTTAAAATTGTTCCTTTGCTTAGCGTGAATCTTGCAGTTTTCTGTCACTTTACTCTAAAAACGCGACAATGAAGCACACGACATCACACCTTTCTCAATCTATGAAATCAGTCATCTGAAAGGTAGAATTTTATAACAGAAAACAATATAATGTATTAGCGGTTAAAGACAAAATGAGACAATGACAAGTTAAATTGGTCAGGTACAAAATTCCACGCTATATCCTAAGCCGAAAAAGCTTATTTCTTGTTTTTCTTGGCTGGTGGTTGATCATCTTCCTCTTCCAAATCGATCTCCTTGTCATCATCGTCATCATCTTCTTCGTCAAATTCCTCATCAAATTCATCATCATCATCGAACATATCATCAATGTCGATTGCATCTCCTGTGTAATACTCTAATGCACGAGGGTATAGATCGTTGATAAGTCTATCACCAATGTGAGCCACTGGTTCGGTTGTAGCTTCGAAGAAGGTTGAGAAGAAACTTCCAGGAGCGAGAATAGATGCTTCATCGTCTGCTTCGTTTCCATTTTCGATGTTGATCTTAGAAGGGTTCTTCTTGCTCAAGTTCTTTTCATCACTCTTCCAGTGGATTGTGGTCTTTGTTGTTTCTGATGTTTCAGCAAAGTCATAATCATCAGAGCCAAGAGGTTCAGCATCTTTTGCGGGAACGAACTTCTTTGACAATGTTTTATCGGAAAAGTATTCGTTGTCGTTGAAATCAAAGTGGATTGTGACTGAACGTGGATCTTTTGAGTCCCGATCGACACGGATTGCCTTTAAGCTATTTAAAGCTTCACGATCTTCATCATCGATGAAAACAGCAAGTCCTTGTGAGTTCATCAATGTTTTAGGCCAGAACTTTTCAACGCTGTTAATAATTTCATCACGTTCATCGAATAGAGGTTGTTGCTTTTCGATGGAATATTTGATGATATCAGCTTGAACGGCTTCGACTTTTTTCTCGTGTTTGTCAAGCTTATCTTGAACGGCTGGGTCAAATTCGTATGCTTCCATTTTTGCGAATGTAGGTGACTAACTGAATAGAAATGGGTATGGTTGTCTGGAGCGGAAAGACGAATCTCATCCATTCATCAATTTTTGCATCCACGAATTTTTCAAGAAGAAGAAGTGTGGATGGCGCGTGCGTTTTTTGAACTTTTTTTTAACTCAGACCAAAATATTACGCTGCTCCAGTGCCTGTCATAATGTTTTTCTCTTAAAAAACTTTACTTGAATTCCCATAGAGTCTACACGTGGGTGTCAATGTGTGTCTGTCTGTCTTTTGACCGCCCGCACTCGAACGCGCGAAAAGAGGCGAAAGGCCACTTTCCCCCATCAGCCATTGGCAAACGCTGGCTGACGTTCGAATGCGTCAATTCATACAAATATAGCCCACGCTAAAATAAGCAGCGTTTGAAAGGTGTGTGGAGACTTGCATACAATTTGACATCAACTTCAAACAATTGCACTACCACCATCACAACAATACGCAGCAAGATGGCTATCAAAGCAATCTCAGATGCAATCTCAGTGGCACTATTTGGAGCAGGCGGTGTCCCAGGCTTGAACGGATGGACTCCTGCTTCAGTCTATCTTGCCTGTGGTGCTTTACTCAAAACGATCCTATTCTTGCCGCCCGTTTTGATGATCTTTGATGCACCTTTTGGTAGATTCTCATGGAAAGATAGCAAATTAAACTTTCCCGGTAGACTGGCGTTCTCATTTATGGAATTGCCCGCTCCTCTCGTTTTCATTTTGGCACTTTCAACTCCTGATCAACTCTCACATGATTATCATGCCAGCAATGCTTCTGACCTTTTGAGAAAGCTAATCAATCCTAGCTTTGATCATTTAAAACAATTGCCTGCTGCTAATCTCATTTTAGCATCCTTGTTTGTGATCCATTACACACATCGAGCCATCTTACAACCAATCTTTGGACCTCCACGTAGTCCATCGCATATCATGGTCATCTCATCCGCTTTCATGTTCAGCGTAACCAATGGCTTCACAATGGGATCATGGATTGGGGGCCGTTCTCCTTCGCTACTTGTGCCTACATCCCTATTGTCCAGCAAGGCAGCAATCAAATCAGTCAAGACTGCAAGTTGGTTCGCTGGCATCTTACCTCGTTCAAAAGTTGCATCACCCGGTCTGGACAATAAGTCAATCGTGCCAATTGCTCAACCTGGCTTGTTGCCGGCGGGTACCTCTACTTTGATGCATCCTTTGTTCATCTTGGGTGTGCTAGGCTGGGCAATCGGATTCGCATCAAATGTGTATCACGATGAAATTCTATTCAACCTTCGCCGTCCAGAGAAACGTGGAGGTGGCCCTGCCGAAGGAACTCGTAGCAACATTCACAAAGCAGAAGCAAATGGATCGAGCAGCGAAAAGTTGGACTCGAACGACACCTCTTCAACAGGTCAAAGGTACGAGATCCCTCAAGGTGGATTGTATTCGTTGATCAGTTTTCCGAATTATTTCTCAGAATGGTTTGAATGGGCTTCGTTTGCTTTAGCGGCAATTTCTCAAACACCTTTATCGCCCTTGTCAGCCAATGCCGTCCCTCTAACTTTGATGGGAAGGATCGCACTTTTGACTGCCTCGGCTCCTGTTCTGTTCGTTTTGGTCGAAATTGCTTCTATGTTGCCTCGTGCCGTTCGAGGTCACCAATGGTACCACACCAAATTTGGCGTTGAAGGCGATAACAAGGGCGGACGTTATCCAAGCCAACGGAAAGCGGTCATTCCCTACGTTCTCTAGACCCGTACAGATTCTCATACCCATGCCAAGATTTCATATACCTTTTTTTTGCTTCCCCTATCTGCGGTTTCGTGCTTACTATTTGTCGCTCTAATACTGATCCGATTTTGCCGTTGTACAAATGCTATTGCTTTTTGTCAAAAATTATTGAAAAAAAAGGCAATGTTCTAAGAATTAAAAATACAAGTGTGAATGAATATGACTGCAAATTCCTGCTTTAAACCATTCTTTTTGTTCCGTCTGTATTGTTGCTTTGCGATGCTCGTCTCTGTTGAGCCCATACTTTCTCTTCATCGGATAATTGAAAGACGCTGAATGATTTCGTTCCGACAAGTCTGCGGATCTGTTGTGGGGGGAAGTAGAGTCAGTCAACTTTAAATTACGAACAGGTTGCAGATCTTATGGCGGCTACTCACTGGTGAAAATACATGTTCTCTTGGTCCATAATCATGAAATAAAACGATATAAACGCCCACAACAGCACTAAATATTCCACCGGCAACTTGCATTCTCCTTTGCCATCTTGCCGGAGGTGGACCTTCATATCGTTCAGGCATTGCAACCCGTCTAAAATACGTTTCTTTACGTTCTTGTGAAACTTGTTTAAGTGGTGGTGCTGTTGGATGTAATAAAGATTGGGGAGCTTGCCACATCGTTATCGGTTTAACAGGTTGTGCGTATGTTGTGGTTGTGTCTTCGGATTGGGAAGTAGTCCGATTTTGATCTTCGCCATTCTCTGTTCTCTTTTCAGTACTGTCGATCCCTTCGTTCTGCTGTCTAGCCTTTCCTTTTCCTTCAGCCATCGTATCAAAGATCACAAAGATGAAGTGTTTTCAGTATGATATGATGAGAAGGTGAAATGTTGAAATGCATTCATTCTCAATTAACTTTCTTAAGAAAGAGCTAAAATTCACGTGTAGCGCAAAGATTGACGATCTTTAAGATTAATCCTCGCTGCCATGCATTGCGCACGGGCATATCATCGATCAACGTCTGGGGAAATGCTGATGGCGAACAACTGAAGTGAGTTTCATATCAATTCTCGTTATTTCACACTCGCTCGAGCTTCGGTAGATGCTGGTAAATATTTCCTTCCGCATTCCCATTAGTAGCATTTGTGATGTAAAAGTATGAAAGAGCATATGTTCGCATAAGAGCGAACGCTAGATGTTGTAGAATATATGAAAGAAGGAACTGTTCGATGAGGACAGAGTGTTGAATCCAGTATTATACAGATGATTCAGCGAAAAGTTGAAGCAACGAAATAGGCACCGTATCCACAGGAAAGGAGAGTAGCACGTCTATTCGTCATCTTCTTCCTCTTCTTCTTCTTCTTCCTCCTCCTCATCGTCGTCTTCATCATCATCTCCAGTCTTTTGCTGCTTACTGGACTTGGAACCGTCTCCGCCAGCCTTGCGTTTGCTTCCAGATGTCTCAACAGCTATGTCGTCCTCACTGAAAGGTTAGGTAAGAGGGAGAAGCATTTGTTAGTAAACATTTGCGGATGTCTCGAGTGCTCATCTTTGCAATACTCACTCTTCGGCTTCAGCTTCAGCTTCTTCGTCTACATCTTCTTCATCATCGTCATCTTCCTCTTCCTCCTCCTCATCATCATCCCCTCCTTCACCTTCGTATTCTTCGTCATCTTCTTCATCTTCCTCTTCGTCGTCATCGTCTCCTTCCTCCTGTTATGGGGTGAGAGGATCAACAATCAGTAATCATGAAGCCACTTATACTGTACAGAATCGTTATTTCCACTCACGAAATCTTCATCCTCCTCGTCCTCTTCGTCTTCATCCTTTACTTCTTCACCAGCCTTTTGTTTGGCTTCTTGAGCGGCTGAACGAGGGTTCTCCTTAACTGCTGATTCTGGAGTATCATCCTCTGGTTTTGTTACGTTTGGAGCCATTGTGTTTAGTTTATATTTGTGTATGGAGCCTGGATGGATGGATGGATGCGGATGTTGTTGGTCTACGGACTTAAAGGTGTGATATTATTTGACAGTGTATGCGTGTGTGTGTGTGCTGGGAATGAATTACCGATCTGAATGTTCAGAAGGCAATATAAGCTGAATGATTATACAATGATGGTGGATGCAAAGCAAGATTGATAGATTCTCTTTCTTGAATATAGAACTATGAATGGGCAAAGTTGTGTAAAATGGAATGAATTGCATTAGATGGGGAAGTACAGGCGGATGTATGCTTTCCTTTGGTCAGAAAATGGGCGCCCTGCAGATGGGAACTTCACTACAGTTTTTGAGTGGCACCGAATCGGTACAAAACACGACAACTACTCGACTTGCCTTTATTCCCTTTTGCGAAGAATCAGACTTTTATGACATTCAAAATGCATCATGCAAACGTAACGTACACGATTGTTCAACTCTACACGAATGCATCGGATCAGTATCCTTCACTTCTTTTTTGACGCGTTTATTTGGTTTCGTTTCGCGCGCACGGTCTTCTTGCTTCTTCTTAAGCTCTCCACTACATGACACAATGAGAGAGGGCTTGTTCATTTTACGGCTGCTCCTGCCTAAGCTATGATGAGCTGGCTTGCTTTCTTGCTTTTGTAAACTCAAGCTTCGTTAGCGTTCCGTGCATGAATTGTCATCCAGTCTCACACTGAGAGGGGCAGCTCACGTCAGCCAAAGCAAGCACACAATCGCATATTCGGCACAGTGACGCAAAGGAAGGGTCATTACTCCATAGTAAGCTCAGCAAAAAGGAAGATCGGGCGCGCGCACGCAAGGATTGAAGGGTAATTGATTATTTAATCTGCTTCTTTTATCGGCGCCTTTTTTTTTGCATGAATGCTTATTTTTCCATCCGAGAAAATAAAGACGTTTAAAGATCCTTTACAAGTTTACATCACTTCCTAATCATACCGACTAGGATCGATGTACACAAAATGGCACGTCGTGTAGTTGCCTACGATGACATAGCCCTTCAATCAGCTGGTAATGTAACGTTGCCTCCCCAACCTTCATCATCATCATCTACTCTTCCCAAGGCAAGTTCACCTACAAATGGTAAAACACGAGATCATTGGACAGAAGAAGGTCGTCCAATCACAGCAAGTGCAGCTAGAAAGTATCGAAAAGTGTTACAATTACTAGGATCAGGAAAGATTGAAGATGCAAAAGACATGCTAAAACGAACAGGAACAGCTGAAAAAAGCACCGAGATTCAAGAGGCATTGGCTTGGGCAACGAAAAAGAGACAAGGTTCACAGGGTGAAACATCTGCTCAGCCCAATGGACATATCCCTAAAACCAACGGGGCTGTAGCAGTCGGAGATGGCCCGCAACTCGAGGAAGATGAGGAGGATGGAAATACAAGTCTGGTTGGAACATCTATATCCTGGCAAGGTACGAATCAGCCAAGCAGTGGAAAAGGGAAATCATTATCACATGCTGAAATCTGGGATGACAGCGCTTTGATCGATGCATGGGATGCCGCAATGGACGAATACAAACAGTTCGATGAAATGCGAAAAGCCCATCAAAATAAGAAAAATGGAAAACGAATCAGGGAGGAAGGGGATATAGATGCAAATACTCCTGCTTCTAAGAGAAGCTCTCTATGGCATGATTCGCCAGATGTTGGATCAGAGACGGCACAACAGGCTAAACAGGCGGCTGAAATAGCAAAGGAGACTGAAAAAGAATTGCTCATACGAAAAAAGCGAGAAGCGAAAGAGTTGCTTGCACAAATCATGCCAGAAGAGGAAGAGGAAGACTTTGAAGGTGCAGTTCTGAGCGGTGAGTACGACACACCACCATCCAAAGATGTTCCTGGCAATGAAGCATGGAAGGAAGCTTGTGAAATTGTGTCGAATACGCCAAATAGAATCGCAGGCTCGACTGATCAAATTCCTCAAACGTATGATCAAGCGTTCTCAAATGGTGCGACGGCTGCCACTTCATCGACTGCCCAAGGCCGTAATACAACCACCCAAACGATGAGCCAAGAAGATGTTCTGCAGAATCTAGCCATGTCGTGGTATTATGCCGGATATTATCAAGCGATGGCTGTTCAAATGACACAGCAGCAGCAACAGTAAAAGATACGCTGATTCATATACCCTCTCTTGTTGTATACTATTCTGTCACAATTTGAAATGTCTTCTAAGACGGCAGCCAAGGATTGATTGCAGTCAGGAGTCTGAATCCAATTCCCCCCGTGTTGATCTGAGTTGACACGCCGCTAACCCCCGAATTGAATGTAAACGCGCTGAACAACTCGCACGACAGTGTGTTTGCTCTGGCAGATAAGACTGGCATTCATCTTTGTGATCACCATCAGAGCGTAATCAACATTTGGCAAGGATGACGACGATCACCGCTTCCGAACGACAAGAGTTGATCTCATCTTCACTAAAAGCGCGCGATTTGAGTTATAGTCCTTATTCTAAATTCCGAGTAGGAGCTGCAATTTTAACAAAAGATAAACAAATCATCCTTGGTGCAAACGTTGAAAATGCATCATACGGAGCAACAATTTGTGCAGAACGAACGGCATTCGTTAAAGCCATAACAGAAGGACATAAACAAGGAACTTTCTTGGCTGTTTCAATCTCTGGAGGTGAGTGTTGCTGAAAAAGATGACGCGCTTATGATGTTGACTCGCTTACCTTGTTGACATGATCACCCTGCTTCTCCTCCTAATAGACATCGACAATCATTGCTCGCCATGTGGTATTTGTCGACAATTTATGAGAGAATTTTGTTCTCTTGATATGCCAATTTACTTACCTTATTCATCTTGGACGAAAGAAAAGGATATCGAACGTACTACTGTGATTAATACAACTTTGGGAACTTTGTTACCTATGAGTTTCGGACCGGAAGATTTGGACCGAGAGAGGAAATCATAGTGAGCAAGTAAATATCATCGTTATTGCAACAGAGTTCGAATTAAAGCGGATAATACGCTCTAAATAGAGATGTACACTAGTAGGCATTTCCAAAACATTGTGGTATATGATAGAGGGTAAACAGTCAAACATTTCTTATACATACTCTTTGTTACTTTTGCACTTGTCTCATGACAGAATGAATTGCATTCGTATAGAACATAACGGCATTTGAAGTTAAAGGGAGTGGAATGGTAGGGTGCAGCTTCCGGATTTAAGACGCTAATGAGTGGAGGAATTTGTTGGCGGACATAACTGTAACTCCGAAAGGCTAGAAAGTATAAGAAGATAAGATGTATTCTACCCTCCTTCATGATTCCATCTCCACAACTATCAAACAACATGACTACCGTACCACAACAACATAAAGCAGCCGTTCTCACCAAGGCTGGTGCACCACTAGAAGTTCAAGATTGGAAAACACATTCGATCAAAGATGATGAAGTGTTGATCAAAGTCACCGCATCTGCCATCAATCCAGTGGATTGGAAGATACGTGATTGGGGAATCTTTGTTGATTCTTATCCATCAATTTTAGGATCAGATGCAGCAGGTGAAATTGCACAAGCAGGTAAACAAGTTAAAAATCTAAAAATTGGAGATCGTGTTTTCTTTCAAGGAATCATTAAAACTCTTGATGGTAGCACTTTTCAACAATACGTTACAATGCCGGCCGATTTAGTTGGACTTACACCATCAAATATCACAGATGAAGAAGCATCAAGCGTTGGTTTGGCTTCGGTTTGCTCAATCGTGGGCTTGTATAATCAAACAGGATTACACATTTCACCCGCTCCATGGGAAAAAGGTGGCGATCAAGCAGGAAAAGGTAAATCCATTGTAATCTTGGGAGGTTCAAGTTCGGTTGGTCAATATGCCATTCAACTTGCACGTTTGTCAGGTTTCGAAACAATCGTTACTGGTTCTTCAAGTGCTCATCATGATCATTTGAAAAAGCTTGGCGCTACTGTTACTTTGGACCGTAATACTGCCAAAGCGGAAGATTATGCCAAAGCTGCCACTTCAAACGGACATGCATTTGCAATGATTTATGATTCAATTGCCATTCAATCTTCTCACATTGAATCCGTTCAAATTTTGCAACATGCCAACAAGAAAGGCTCTCAAGCTGCATCAAAGGCAGGATTAAAGACAAGCACGGTTGCAACCGTATATTCATACGAAGATGCAGTTACAGAAGAAGTCAAAAAAGGCGTGCAAAATGGAGCAGAAGAAGTAGACATTAAAGTTGTTTGGGGTATGGGAAGTGCGGATTATTTGCGTCCTCAAGCTTCCGCCTTTTTCAAAGCGGCAGGAGGTCAACAAGGTTGGCTAGCCAAACAACTATACTTTGCAAATCGTGTTGTAGTCGTTGAAGGTGGGTTATCCGCTGTCAATAAAGCTCTTGACAAGAACCGCGATGGTGTTTCAGGTCAAAAGCTTATCATTCGTCCATTTGAGTGAATCACATTCTCTCACATAAAGTAACCTTGTTGTATGTGTCGTGAAATAAATAGTAATAACAAAGTAATATACAATCTGGGAAATCGTGCAGACGATCATAAAAATATACAAATATAGTTCAATAAGAATCGTAAAATCGGCTACTGTAGCCCTTAGCATCATGCTTCATGGGCAGCACTGCTTCGTGAAGGTCGGGTACGGATGGGTCCGATCCCTGAACCAGGTGTGACATTACTGCTGCTTGTACTACTCTCTCTGCGACGATAAGGACTGCTTCTGACAGAATTACTGAGAGGAGCTGATGAAGTAACTGCAGCCGCAATTTCACCACCATTTCGATCAATCTTTCCAATCATTTTCAAAAGATCGTCCGTACTTTCATCTGTATCCATAGCGTCCGAGCAAGACGAATTTCCTGCAACATTTGCATCCTCTTGTCCGCTTTCTTTTTTACGTAGGAAGCTACGGTCGAACATCCCATCTCGCTTCTTTGGGTTTGTAGACGACGCTTTCGATGCAACACTTTCATTCGCCAGCTTAGAAGATCCCAAAGGCTTACGAACAGGCGCAACTTCAAAGGCATCCTTGCTCATATCTTCCCATTCGGCACTTGAGCTTGCCAAGTCTTTGTTTGGTGATGCTTCATTTGTCATTTCCCTTCTGATTGATGCTAGACCAGGCGCATTTAGAGCAGCAGCAGGTTGAGAATGACCATTGGTGGCTGTCGATAATGATGTGCGAATGGCACGACTGGGTCCCTGAGCAAGTCGTTCATTGTCATTTTTCTTATCGTCAATTGAGCCAATGCCAGCTTCATCAGCCCAACGGAACGTTTTCTTGGGTTGCTCTGCAACCGAGACTGGTGGACCTGCTGCTGAGACAGAGGCAGACAATTTGGCCGTTTCGACTGAATTTTGACTCACCCTTCTTCCAGAAGGTTGACTTGTTCTTCTCATTCCGACCGCGCTAACACGACGTACCGATGGTCGACGGGCAGTTTTGTTGTTCAATGGTCCCGTTGCATTGTTGCCAGATAAAGCCATTGCGCTGGCTGCACTTGATGGAGGTACCATCGAAGCACGCTTTTGAGCGATCAATCTTGCAGCAGGTCCCGTAATATTGGCAGTGATCGGTCCACTTGCATGGCCAGCAATCGAACTTCTGGTTCTTCTTAAATTTGTCGAACGACGCAATGCTGTTGGAGATTGGGCAGCAGCTGCAGTATGAATACCAATATGACGTGTGAATGTTTCATCGTTGATTTGAGATGTTGCACGTAATTGTTCGATCAACTGGCTTGAAGAATCTCCTTTCGGTTCACTCACTTTCTCAAGTTCATTCGCCGTCTCTTTAAGTGCCACCGTGCAGCGTGCTCCTAAATAAACAAAGTCGGCCAAGATACCCATTCCTGCACCCAACTGTTTGGACATCGTATCTGCCATAATGTTGCTCTTATGTGCTTCCAATTCAGTCATCATACTTTCACCGACGATACGAACAGAAGCAGTAGCATGTTCATCGAATTTGACGTTATTGGAAGCCACCAGTAGGGCACCACGATGCATTTGTAAGCTGTTTGCAAGATTTTGCACGTCCGATTGCATGGTTCGATCAGCTAAGATTGCTTCTTGACGAGCAATCATCTTGCGTAAGACTTGCTTCTCGCTTTCTACGTCTGCTGAATCTGTACCTGTTGCCGGATTCTCTTCTTCCAATTGTTGCAGACGTTGTCTCAGAGGCACAATACGTACGTTGGCAGCCATCAACATAGCTTCATGGACGGCTTTTTGTGATACTACTGCTTTGACAGATTCAGTACTTGTACGCATCTTCTTCCTGACTTCTTCCACCTCTTCAGCCATTTCGACTCTTCGACGCTTCTCACCAGCCGATTCGACGGTAGCTCGATCGGCAAGCTTTGCTTTAAGTTGAGCAACTTCTTCCTTGAGCTCGTGAATGGCTTGCACATATTGTGCGACATGACGGTCAACGTTGAGCATATTGCGTGAAACCTTTGTACGAATATTCTTTGCTTGATTCGCATATTTGAGTGTATTGTATGTCTCATCGTAATGTGCACTTGAGGGACTGACGCAAACGATCATTACCGTTTTGCAATTGCCTCCCAATGAAAATTTGAGCAACCGTGTCAGCTTACTATTACGATAAGGAATATGACGTCCTTTCTGACCGCCTGATTGACACAGAGCATTAATGCAATTACCCAAAGCCAATAAACTCTTGTTAATGTTAGCACCTTCTTTCATTCGAGCACCGTTATTGCGTGTTGCAGCCGCACGCTCTGAACCAGCCAAATCGATAATGTTCAAAGATGCACTCGTGAATTCCATCACGGTATCTGCTGTACGTGGTCTTTGGGTAACGTTGATTTGCAAAACGGCATGACTTCTTGAACTGACTGCATTCGCTTCTGTTGGGCTCATTGTACGGCGTTGATTGCCTTCTTGAATCATATCGAGCACACGTTCAGGTGATTCAGGAACATGTTCAGTAATGCCAACAACGCTGATCCTATTCGTTGCATCTTCACGTAACATTAGACCTTGTCCAGGCGGCGTTGGCGTAGGACTCAAAAGGTCACGAATTTGTTCGTTGTAAATTTCCAAATAAGATAGACGGATTTGAACGTCAGATTCCTCTCGATTCTCTTCGATGCGTTGGTATAGCTCCCGCATTGTCAAAAAGATCACACCTGGATCTTCCGGTGTTCCACTGATTGTATGCGTTTTACCACAGCCTGTAGCACCGTATGCGAATACACTTGCATTGAAACCGTTCAGAATTCCATCCAATAAGGGTTTTGTTGTGTTTTCAAATACTTTTTCTTGACCGCATGAGCTATCGAAAACACGGTCGAATGCGTAACGTATATCTCTTGGCTTTCGCATGCCATGTGCAAAAGTATTCTGTGTTCCCGACCCGGCATGTGAGTTTTTATAGAGAGGATTGTTTTCAGGTGCATCAAAGATCAAAACTTTATCGTCAACAGCCTGGACGATGTTTCGGAGATACTTTGTTCGTAGACTAGGCCCTGTACCATTTCCGTTTGTGATTGAGGTGTTTCCTGCGCTTTTTGATGGTGATCCACCACTTAGTCCTCCATCTCCCAGGAATGGTTGGTATGTATCTGTTGGTGCTAATTGTGCTTTTTCTTTTCCACTAAAAGGTCGAACTCGAACAGCGACGCTTATTGAGGATTCAGCCATGTTGGCCAGTATGACTTGAGTGATGTTACAAAAGCGGAAAAGACTTGGAGGTGGGTGTGATGGTTAGGAGCTGTGTTTTTGAGTTGAGTTGCCCTTGACTGCTTGATTAATGTTGATGGTGGTTCACTTGTAGTTGTTCTACTCAATCTCTGACATGAAAGTCAAGATTGTATGCACAGTCTGTAATGGTATAAATCTGTATGTATATAGATCTTTGAAGTGTCACAAATGGAAACAATACAAACAAGGCGTAACGCCCCAAAAAGTGCAGGCAGTTTGGCAGTATATGGATACTCTTTGTTGGATGTTACTTTTGAGAACAACACTTCAAGGCACACACACACACACACGTCGACTGCATTTAGAGTGGAGAAACAAACACGCGGGCGTACAGACAGAGCATATTGCGCCAATAATTCGCGTCATGTCACGAGCTTATGCACTTCTCTCCAATCCAAACTGGTGGCTGCTGCTTTACTTATGACTACCATCATGAATCGATTAAAGACGACAAAGATGCATTCCTACCGGAGCAATATGATACACTAGGTATAAATAATCTAACAGACTGTAGGCATCATGCTGGTTTCTTTCCCGTAATCGCACCCTTCACTTTACTCCAACCACTCTGCGCAGCTGATGCTACTGGTGTCAATAAAGGTGTTGCCATACCACCCACCATACTGACAGCTCCCGCAGTTTCTAAAGCTTTGCCAAATTTACCCCCGCCTGATCCACCTGCCGACGCCGGTTTGGAAGGACTTCTATATGGTTTTGTTCTACTCCTCGGTGAACCTCCTACTTTACCTCTTTTCACCAAGAATTGTACCTCCTCATTTGATGCTCTCTTTCTCTGAGGAGGCGCTGCTGGCTTGGCCACGGCTGCTTTCGCTTCACCAGCAAATTGTGCAACCGAAGCAGCGCTCATTGCAGCTCCTGCTGCTCCCGCTATTTTACCGCCAATTCCTTTTCCACCACCACCTGATTTGCCAGCAGGTTTAGCAGCAGGTTTTGGTGCAGTTTTTCTAGCTGGCATGGATCTACTCTTGCCCAGATTGAACCTCGCACGTTTGACCAAAGCTCCCTCTTTCTCAGATTCATCTCTTTTTTGGGTTTTGGGACCTGTTACGGCACCTTTGACTTCCCCTGCAAAGCTTGCAACCATAGCAACGCTCATTAGAGCTCCTGCTCCAGCCATTGCTTTATCCATTTTGCCCATCTTTGGTGCTGCTGCTTCGTGTCGAGCAGCTGATGCAGCCTCTTTTTGTGCACCTCGACTACCACGACTTCCTCTTGCTCTACCTCCATTTATGCCTCGTGTAGGTTCACGTTTGATGATCGAAATCTCTCTTCCATTTTCAAAAATATCAATCTCTAAATCTCTCTTTCTTGGTGGTGGTGCAGCAGCAGCGGCGGCAGCATTCTTTTTTGCATTCCAACCGTCTTTAATAGCGCCATGAGCGGCTATACCAGTACTTCCAACCATAGCAACTGTTCCGGCAGTGTTGAGGTGATTAAGTGCTTTTCCCATCTTCAGCCTGAATCTTGCTCGTTTTTCCAATAATGGCGCATATTCATCTTCTGGCAAGCTTCTCTTTCGACGAGATTTAATGATTCCATGAATGTCTTTTCCTGTATTTATTGCAGTTGGAATTGCTTTGACAGCTTTTTTAAAAAGTTTAAAAAACGGGCTACGCTTTTGTAAACCTTGCTTTCTTTTGTTCTGATAACTTTTCACTGCTGCAATTCCTGGCATTATAACCGTTCCTCCTACCATTCCTGCCAAGGATGCAGTATTCAAGAATTCCATACCACCACCCCTTTCACGGAATTCGTCATCGCTTGATTCGTACTCTCGTGCTTCATCCATTTCCATTTGATTGAACGAGAGTGATCGTTTAGCAACAGGCACTGCTGAAGCTCGTGACTTGTTTCTGTTGGATATATGCGTTTTGACACTTGCCACAGCTGGAGGGATTACCATTCCGCCAAACATTACTGCCGTTCCAGCAGTTTGCAGAAATTGATTCCTTTTGGACATTTGACCATCATCTTGATCATAGGTGCAGAGAATACCGGGTAAATCAGCTTCATTGATATTCTCACGGTCGAAAGCGTGTGGTGCTTCTCCATCATTGACATCTCGCTTGGCTGGGCTTTCTGGTACAGGCGTTGCAATCGCACCAAGAGTAACCAATCCAACACCTGTACCAATGGCTACTTTCTGTTTTGTTGCTGGAGTGGCTTTCCTGTACTGATGTTTAACTCTTTGCCATGGATTCATCGGATCACGTTTGCAGAATCGGCAATTTGAATTGCTTTGACTGTCCTTCCTGTGAAGATTCTCTGATCTGTGGATGTTCCTGTTGGAGGGGGCGTAAAGATTATCCATATCTTCTCCCCCCATGAATTCCACATTCTCGTTATTATCCGATCCAGACAGCACCTGAATGCAATCAAGATTGCTTTCATTTTCATCCCAAACGGAATGTGCGAAGTCTTCTTGTCTTTGCATTGCTTTAGAAGGCAAAGCTTCATCTTGTATGGGTATGTAAGCACTTGTGACGCATTCTATTAAATACAATATCGTAAAATATAAAGCGAAATCGAGTTTCATCTTGACCAGCAAAATGACTCAGTCGAACTAGGCCTGTTCAGTATAAGCTGCAGTGGTGCTCAAGCTCAAGCTTGAAGAGGTGGCCCTTGAAGGATGTTTTGCACAGGAAACGGGGTGACAAGCAAAACAAGATGATCTGGTCATTTTATATATTTGTGATGATGCTTGAAATGAATGAAACACTTTCATGGCGCTAAGACGCCTGTCTTGCCATCACATTTGCAAGACCCGTGCCTGAATAATGGTTGAAAAGATTCTAACATCTGGATTTGACTTGATCTGGCCCTTTCGTGTTGAATTTGCCTTAAGATGGATGATTGTGAATGTGCAAAGAAGACCCGAAAATGACATTTCCAGTTAGGACTGTTGGCGTTCCAGGCGTTTGAAGACCTGAATGGGGCGCTGCATCCTTACCACAATCGACATTTGAGGCGTAATGGGCGTTCATCAAGCAACACGGGGATAAGTGACATTCTACAGTCATGTTTTGAAAAAATTCTATGAGAGAGTGCACATAAAACATCTGTATGATAATCAATTTAGCCTATTACGACAAAGCCCCTTTTGGAATGATGAAATCACTGTGACCTCTTTGAGCAATGGGAATGCAAGTGATAGTGGGAAATTCTTCATTTGAATATTTACTGTAATTCCGCTTTCTATATGAATGTGTATCGTCATCCGTCACCCTTTGAACTTTGTGCGTTGTCATCCATCCGACCGGGATATAGAGTAGTTGAATCGAACCACCAACCCAAGTCAATACTTTGCTTACCGTTGGATTAGCTTGCTTTGGCTTTTTAGGTTCAGGTTTGGCTGGAGAGGAATGACTGCTTCCGACTCTGCTTAAAGCAGAATGAGCAGGCGAATGCATACCCGCTTCTATTGCATGAACTGATCCTGGTCCATGAGAAGAATGCAAGATACTCTTTGTCATAGAACCGGCCTTTTGTATTTTTCTGAGATCAGCTCCTCGCTTTTCGAGAGATCTTTTGACGTGAATAATTGGCAGAATTGGTGGCGGGATGAGAACTTTTGGATTCTTTTTTGGTTTTGGTGTAGATTTTCCACCTTTAGATTTTTTCACTTCCATTTCTGCGGCTTTCGATTTGATATTTGAAATTTGTTCGGTATCCCAGGCCTGAGCTGCACTTGTCATATAAGCAGGTAGTGTATAAGCACTTACCATCGTACTAAACACTCCTATACGTTGTTCGGCAGGCATACCCTTGAAAGTCTTGTATAACGACTTAAAAAATCTTTTTTGATATCTTGTTCCATTGTCAGCTTGTTCATCTCTAGAAGGAGAAATCTTCTTTGGGGACTGTTGCTGGAGGTAGATTAAAAGACCATGATTGGCAGGGGCTTGATCAATGCAAAGTTGTACCTTATCAGCGAAATACTTGTTAAATTCACTGAATAACTCCTGATTGTCGATAGACGACCTTACATTGGTATCTCCAACATTTCCCATAAGAACAGGTGAGCCGAGACCTCTAGCTATCAAAAGGGATACAAAAATGTATCTGATTGATTTCATAAAAGTTGAATTTTTCACAGATGAACAAGACAAAATGTAAGAGATGGGATGTTTACACATCATAAGCTACTCCTTTTATGTCATTACAGCTTATCTTTCTTGATTTGTACATCACGCGATTGTTCCATCATTTTATCTTCAATTGATATCATTCTTCCTATTGATTGTCAAAATCGCTAATCTTTCATCCTTTACTCAAATTCTAGTGAAACTTCTAATCTTGTATGCTAATGGCGTCATCTCATCCAATACACTTGATTACGAGCAATGGCACGTTTCACATGTGATCGATCAGCGAATTGATATCATACAAGGCTGTGTTTATCTGTCGCTTGTTTTTCTGTAATATTCGGTGATGCTCTGTCAGTTTCCACAAGCCGTACTCTATTTCTCACTCTTAAGGCAAGTGCCGAACGCCTCCCAAAAGAAGACGATAGCGTTCTCACTTCATGGCGCTCTATATCCTTGCCGCTGATAAGAAGATAAGGACAAGAAGATTATTTGAAATATGTATACATTGATTATGTACAAATACAGACGATTTTGTGATTGTACATTTTGTTTAGCTAGGCTAGCTTCTTCTTGATCTTCACATTAAACCTCTTTCTCCTCCGAGATTGCACTTGATTGTTGTGCACAAGCGATGGCCAATGCCCTTTCTTGAGCAATAGCTTTTGCTGCAGCTACTTTTGCTTTCTTTTCCGCTTCTTTCAAAGCTGCATCCATCTCTTGTATCAAATCGCTGGCATCAGCCAATTCCGATCTAAGTGCCGCTTTTTGTCCAATTTGTTCTTTTAATCGATCTTCCAATTTCTCATTCTCTTTTTGCAAAGCATCAATGCGTTGAAGCAAACGAATACCCAAGACAGGCGCAGCTGCTTCACGTTCGACTCTTCCTGCTCCTCCTTCCAGCTCAGTCATTACCTTCCAAGCCGATTCTGGCTCGAATCCCAATGCTTCGATACGCATTATCAATGCTTCTTCTCTTTGTTGGAATGCGGTTGCTAATTGGCTTGCATCACTGATTCCACTCAGATCCGGTCGAGGTGGAAGAGAAGGCAATCTTGAAAGGTGTGGTACAATCGGCGCTTCGGGTGGCTGATAAGATGTTGATGTAATACCTGCAATTGGGTTGCTTGTATGCTCGCCTGGATACACATTCCTTCTGGCTGTGGGCGCAGATCTTGTCATCGCTTGTCTCGGCGTATTGTTGTGCTCATTTTGTGGGCTGAAAGAGAAAGATGGCTTTGAAGGAAGAAAACTCGGCACATTACTAAGAATTGTGGATTTGCTTGTGCTCGTACTTGTGCCACTTTGTACTTCCGTACTTTGATCAGGCTCAGCAGGCGTGTCTGTGGGAGGCAGTCCACGGATTCCTGATTGCGCTTGCCCACCATCAGAGCCTCCAATAGACATTCGAGACATCGATTGTTGTGGAGTGGGAAATCTTCTTTGTCGTGCTCCCATCTGTCTTTGTCCGCCTGTATGCATTTGTGAAGGAGGAACAGCATACGGAGAAGGTTGATGATGCGGTAAAGGTGATGGAACCCCTTGTGGCATCAATGGCGGAACAAATTGGCCATACATGTTTGGATTCATTGGTGCCATTGCATGAGGAATTGGAAAGGGAGCTTGTGTTGGATACATGGGTGGAAATCGCATATCCTGCATTTGTGGTGGGGCTCCGTATTGCATTTCGAATGGAGGAATTTGTTGTTGCACATTGGGAGGAGGATAAGGAGAATATGTCGGATTGATACTATCAGGCGTTGAAGTACCTCCATCCGAACCTAAGTGGGGCTGATGCATGACATTGGGAGGCATTGCACCCGATCCTTCTTGACCATAAACTTGTTCGTGTGTGGGCGGTGGTCCCATTCCGCCATGATGTTGATCCTGAGATTGAAACATTGCTTTCCCGTCTATATGGAATGTAAGGTCATGGTAATCGGTCTACTTTGTCATCTCAACACATTGAAACCGTTTCACATTTGTGATGATGGATTGATGGGAAAGTGTTTGATTGTTCTTCGGAGGTAAGCTTATCTTGTAAATTAGTTCACGCTAATGAACAAGCAGCGAGAAAAAATAAACTCGGCTTACAGTTCGCGTGTACGCCCATTAAACGCGCTGAGCTGCACTTCAATCATGGGGAAAAGTTACAACGCCCAGCCAACATCATCCTAATGTCACATCGATTGCATCATTCTCTTTGAATCCTAATTCACATCCTTACTGTAGAGATACAAATCGTATTGAACTTGCTGCACAACATTATATATATAGTCATTTGTTTTACATGGGTTTTACCCTTCACTCTAATTGATCTTCTGGTACATCACCACCATCGTCACCCAAAGCTGTTGCGCTTGGCTTGAAGATCTGCAAAACATTATCTTCGGCAACAGTAGCCATCGTCCACTCTTCTTGAGGTGACCAACAAATATCAGAAGGACGTGCGGTGTGTCCACCATGAACGAATAACAGCTCTGCAGGTCCATCTTCCACTTCATCCGGCGTCTGTTCTTCACCGATTCGGGAAAGATCCCAAATCATGACTCTGCGATCAGCTGCTGCACTTGCCAGAATTGTTTCATGATGCGGTGACCATGCCAATTGCAAGACTTCATCCGTATGTGCTTCCAAGGAATGTAGTCTTGATTTGGTATTACGCATATCCCAAAGTGCGACAGTCTTGTCACTTGATCCTGTACAAAGAATGTACTCGTTCGCTGGACTGAAAACGACAGAATTAATCTCAGCTGAATGAGCATCTTCCACTTTGTTCTTTGGACTGGATGATTTCTCTCTTGTATCCCAAATCAACATCAATCGATCATCGCCAACGCTAGCAAAGATTGAATCATGCAAATTATGCCATGCAACATCACCCACAACGGCAGAGTGTCCACGATAGGTAGTGATAGGATCCAAATTCAACTCTCCCTTCTTGTACGATTGGATATCCCAATGGCATACAGTCTCATCTTCAGAGGATGCGAGTATATGTCCTTGCTTTAGAGGATTCCACGATAATCCATAGCCTTCACTCTCTTGCCCGTTCAACACAATGTCTGGTTTGCATTTACCATCGGCACTTGGCTGTAGGCTGTGCTTTGTTCGATCAAAGATGTATGTAGGTCCTGCGACTGTTCGGGTAGCAATCAAATCGGGATTTTGTGGACAATACCGAGCTCTGTTGACCTCTCCCTCATGATTGATTTTTTGATTGACCGATACCCTTGGTGTGAAGCCTCCGTAGGACCCAATCTCTCCTTTGTCTTCATCATATTTTGTCGTGTCTAATGGTGCTTCCTTGCCATCAGAGGCTGTTGTCGGTAGCTGAACATTGGCAATTTGAACGTAATTTTGATCTTGACCTGATGTATGCGTTCCCAATAGTAGCCGATGTTGATCATAATTCTTCCCTGCTGGACTTTCACGATCTGGAAACCATTGAACTGTTAATGTTGGCCATTCCAACGCATGTGTGACCACTAGATCGTACAAGAATCCTGCATTCTTTTTCCAGATCTTGTATTCTTCATTGGTTACCTTTACGGCATTAATGTCTTCTTCGTTCATTTTTGGGGATTGCGTAAAGGTGATCAAAGTTGATGGTAGAACTTTAGCTTTGCAAGCTTTCCATGGGAATCTCTCTTTTCTTTGTCCCGGAACAACAGCAAAAGTGTGGTGCTATGTACTAAACGCGTGCACGTACGCGTCAAATGAACTTTTGTCCTGATCAATGAATTGCATGCAATCAAGTCAGACATCAGAAATGGCGCGTGATCAATCGCGGGCGTCCATCGCGTAGAGTGGAATTCATGCAATTGCAGAAAGACCAACACTCATAAAATACTTGGGACAAAGTGCCTAAAACAAACAAATTTGCTGAGCAAAGAATGCGCTGCTTAAAGCAGGAGACCAACTAGACTGTTTGCGCGCCCGTACGAATGTATCAAATGCATTCATCCTCCTTTATCTTACCATCATCAACAAACGAACACACCATTCAACATTTGACAAGATGTCTCAAGCAGCTGGTGCATCACAAGAAGTAGGAGAGGATGATATGTCAGCCTCAGGACCATTGTCAATCTACAAATTGGAGGTAAGTGGCAAGAATGTATGCGCCACCTGGGAGGGTAGAACACTGACATCTTCTTGTTGATTCTTAGGAACAAGGTGTTTCCCATGCTGATTGCAAGAAATTGGCCGATGCTGGATTCTACACAGTCGAAAGTTTGGCATTCACGCCAAAGAAGATGCTCTTAAGCGTACAAGGTATTTCGGCTGCTAAAGTGGATAAATGCGTGGCAGAAGCCATGAAACTCGTTCCTATGGGCTTCACCACCGCAGCCGAATTCCACAACCGTAGGAAGGATGTCGTCACTATCTCTACGGGAAGTTCAAACCTTGACAACTTGCTCGGTGGCGGAATGGAAACGGGAAGTATTACCGAATTGTACGGAGAATTCCGTACCGGAAAAAGTCAACTCTGTCACAATTTAGCCGTTGCCTGCCAAATGCCAATCGATCTTGGTGGTGGCGAAGGTAAATGTTTATTTATTGACACCGAGGGAACGTTCCGTCCTGAGAGATTGATCGCCATTGCAGAGCGTTACGGTCTAGAAGGTGAAGAGGTATTGGACAATGTCGCGTACGCAAGAGCTTACAACTCCGAGCACCAGCAATCCCTCCTCATCCAAGCCGCCGGAATGATGACTGAAGCACGCTTCAGTCTCCTGATCGTTGATTCGTTGACGAACTTGTTCCGCACTGACTTTAGCGGTCGTGGTGAATTGAACGCTCGTCAAATCGCTTTGGCCAAATATATGCGCGGTTTACAACGTTTAGCCGATGAATTTGGTGTAGCAGTAATCGTTACCAATCAAGTTGTGGCAAAAGTTGATGCAATGAACTTCGGGGGCGATAAAACCCCAATCGGTGGTAATATCGTTGCACATGCTTCGACTACACGACTCGCTTTACGCAAAGGACGTGCTACTACTCGTATCATGAAGATCGTCGATTCGCCATGCCTTCCTGAATCTGAAGCGGTGTTTGAAATCACAGCAGAAGGTATCAAGGATCCCGCACTTGATGTAGCTAAATGAGTTTTGATTTGTTCTCTGTCCCCTCTTTGTACCATAGTGAGATGTTCCAATAGCGACTAGAATATTTACCTAAAGACTGCGGCATACATGGTATGAACTTATGTACATTCGATCACACTAAATAGGTACACAAAGAAAGGGTGTCTCACAAGACTCATCATGATGCCTCCGTAGGTGTTCCGGGTTTTGATGGTGTATTTTCAGCAGGTTTCATATCGTTTAGAGCCGGTTTGTCTTGCCCTTCATCTCCTCCACGACGCTCGCTAGCTTTTTGTTCCAATGTTCTACCCGCTTCGTCAAAAGGTCGCTCATAGATACCATCTTTCTTGCCTCCATCTTGAATATCTTTTGTTCGTACATCTTCCGAAAGACTATGCGTTCGTGTTCTGCGCTGACTCATACCTTTCTCATTTCCATTCAAAGCTGTGGATCGGGACAAAGTAGGCGATAAAGGTTGCGTTGCAGGCGAAAATGCTTTCAAATCGCTGCTCGATCGATTCCGTTTATCACGAAAAGATTCGCCAGCCGTACTTCCTGATCGACTACGAGAATGTTTGGGCGATCGAGGCGATCTAACGCCATCGCCACCTTGACTGAGGAGTCGCGCTGGATTAATCATACTAAAGATTGCTTCATAATCCCCTTCTTCCTCTTCCTCCTCCTCCTCTTCTTCCTCTTCGTCTGCTTCTTGTGCTTCCCGTGCAATTTCTTCCTTTGCTGCATTGTTAGGCTCAACAAGAGTTGCACTGCTATCAGAAGTACTTCCTGTACGCTCCCTTGTCTTTGAAGAGGATTTGTGAGCGCTCCATCCGAACAATTTTTCATCTGCCCATGAGAGTGGATGGGATAAATAATTACTGCTGCTTGAATCTTGTGAAGCAGTCTTTTCCTTCCAAATAAAGCTTCCTTCTCTGCCAGGTGTACCAGGCGGTGGAGGAGCGCTTGAACTTGGTCTCTGCGAGAATAATCTCTTTTCCTCGAAGTCGCTAAACGTTTGCGGTCCTAGTTCTTCAATCACTTGGTTAAGATCAGCTGCGATACGAACACGTGTCTCTTGTAACTCTTTGATGACCTTGTAATTTCCAGGCATCAAGCTAACAAAGAGAGGCGGCAAACTCTTGTAAATGTCCAAGCCAACTTCGGAGAATTTCACTGTCGAGTAAGCCAACATTGGCATAGCTGTCATTGTGTATACCGACATAAATAATTGATGACGGGTACGAAGACCATATTTGTGGGCTAGATACGTTGCCACTCCGGCATAGAAAGCATATAGGACAGGCGTGATTCCCAAGGAGACCAATACCTTCCATGTAGCCACTACATCCCTTCCAGCCACTTTGACTTGAGAAGCAAGTAACGCTTCTTTGGCTTTCTTACGACTGATAAGCTTTGCCAATAAAATGATCGGGGAATTTAGAACAACACCTGGCAAAGCCAATCCACCCCATAAACCAAGCAAGAAGAGCCTGTATCCCAATAGGCCAAGACTTCTCCATCCTGCTCTTGTGGCCCGCTCTACCTGATGATCTCGCAGTCCGGCATAACTGAGCATCTTATTATAACGCAAGATATCTTCTTTGAGTTTTTGAACTCTCGGCTCATCTTTATGTTTTGAATATCCGATGATAAATTGTCTGTTAAGATGCACTACTTGACTTAGGGTTGGATGAGCTCCCGTTGGGGTGTACAACCTTCTTCCGGCTTGGATAAACATCAAAGTCTCATAATCAGGTGCTCTGACAGTGACACTCTTCAGTCCGTCATACACTAAATCCATCATCTTTCCAACTGCTTCACGTTTTCCTTCTCCGCCTTTTTCGAAAAGCCCAACCAATTCCCGTGGCACTTCTAGAGGCGCACCAAATTCGACAACAGCACGAGAGCGGAATTTGTGAGGATGGAAGTAGGAAAGACCGACAGGAACGATTTTGACTTGCAGGCCGGGGTTACTGGCCATTGCGCCTAATGCCATAATCACAACACCAGCTTTCAAAGGAAGTAGGTCTGTCCTGTCATGACTGCCACCTTCGGGGAAAATACCCAAGCTTCCTCCTCGGGCCAGACTCTCGTACACTGTTGAATACATTTGGGTTTGATCGACGTATGGCAAGCATTGGTACATGCAGCCTTCCTTCCCTTTTTCTTTTCCGCCTTCTTTCTCATCAAGTGGCCCTTCCGGTATGTCGCCCTTTAATGCTTTGATCGCTTTGGAATCTTTGAATTCTTTCTTGATCTTCACTTCCGTATCAGAGACAATTTCAACTACCTCAGCTGATGCATATCCTGTTGCTTTTGGAAGCACAATCTGACCTTTGACTACCAATTCTTTGGTGAATTGCGAATTGTGACCTTGTAAAAGGAGTGGATCGCCAGAAGGGTGGAGGGTGATCGTTCCAGATCCCTTTTTGGCGCTATCGGCAGCACGTACAACAGGAATACTTTGCATCAATCTTGCTGCAGCTCCGATGAAAGGTCTATTGAGACTCTTTTGAGCAGTCAAAAAGGCGACCCTACGACCGGATCCTCTACGGACCTCTGATGCCAATAGAAGAGGATCGAGGAATTGATTGTGATGTGGTGCTCCTACAAAGATGACCGGTCCATCATTTGGGGGCGGAATGCGCCATGCACCACGAGGCTGGATAGATCGAAAGAAGATGTTGATGATCAGACGCCAGAACAACAAGGCGAGATCGAAAGCCACATTTGTCGGCATCACTCCTTGGGTAGCCATGGCTCTACAAATAGCACGAGCTACGACAATAGGTGTTAATTTGATTGCAGGAAAAGGTAAACCGATCAAAAATCGCTGAAGATCACGAATAGTCTCTTTCAGTCGTGGAGGATCGGTAGATTTGGTAGCCCAAGCTTTCTTTGAATTAGCACTTGTTCCTGTTGAATTGGGAGCGTTTGCAAGTGCGGCTATTGCATCAAGTGTTTTGGCAGGCTGAAGCGGTTTGCTTGGTTGAGAGGATTGAGGAGGGATAGCAATTTGAGATCCTTCTTGTTTTTCTGAGTTTGTTTGTAAAGGCGTAGGAAGTGGCGGATCAGTTGTTGCAGGAGTTGGTGGTTTGCGAGGCGTCCTTGATTGAGGAGGTGGCATTTATGTTACAATCAATTAGACAACTATCGACAGATCCACACTGCAACGATGATCTGAACCAAAAGGCGATTGACAAGATAATGATGGTTTGACAGGAACTATATTTGAAAGGGAAGATTCATTTTAAGCCTTAATTTTTCTCAAAGCGAGCACAAACGCAGGCACTTTCCAATGCATCAATTCACACAATCTTACACGTTTCTGCACAGGCCCCACCTGTGGGGCCCTAAAGGTAACTTTGACTTTGCATAGCGGAGAGAAAAAAAGGTTGGGGCGTCCAACTGCACTGACCGACTTGACAAGTGTTCCTAATTCATACACGTGCAACTAGCAGGGGTAAAATACGCCAAGCGTGAAATCAAGTGCATGTATTCGAACCACCATCACCACCAACGCTAGTCGCCATCATCATTTTTGCTCCTTAAACATCCACATAAATATCTTAAACCCATACAAGAAAAATACTATTTACACTCGTCTCTTTCTCTACAAAAATGTCCGCTTCGATCGGGGGTTCATCTTCTTCCCTCAAATCGAAATCGGGGAGCGATTTGAATGGCGGCAGCGGAAGCGGTGCAAGTGGTACAAAAACAGAATGGCCACAATCATTGAAAAATTTTGCCAATAAATGCTTTAAAGCATCGAATGATGTGAACAGAACAGCAGTACAGGAAGAATTGCGTGCTTTGATTTACAAATGTTATACGGAAGGTACGATAAATACGATCGATTGGGATCATATGCAGTTAAAAAGTTTGGGTAATGCCAATCTTACAGGAACAGCAAAGGGTGGCGTTTTAGGAAAACAGAAAAAGAGACCTGCATTATCAGGTAGTGCAGATATTTTGGCAGAACGGGAAAAGAAGGAAAAACGTGCACGTCGGTTTGATCGTGAACGTGAAGAATTTGATCGAGCAGAGCAGGAAGGTTTGTATGCTATCACACCTGCTTCAAATGGAAGTTTAGCAGATCGTTTGAGCGGAGCATTTGGAAGCGTCAATAATAGTGGGCCAGTTGCGGTAAAACCGTTGATACATGTTAATCGTCAGCAGAATCCATCCGCATCTGCACCCGTCATGCCGTACGGAGTTTCTCCCTCGACAGGTGTCTCAAATTATGATTATTCGGGATCATGGCAGAATCAGTCAGGTCAACATTCGGGCGGAATAAGCGCAGCCCTCTTTGTTGGGTCAGACGCCGCCGATCCGGTGAGTCATTTGGATGATCGGTTAGACTTATGATCTTCGTACTGACATCATTTTCCTTTTCTTTCTCTTGGATTGCAGAACGTGATTGATTGGGATCAGGACACTGTGGTGGGACTTTCTACAAAGCTGGAAAAGCCATACTTACGTCTGACATCAGCTCCTGATCCTCGCAATGTGAGAACACTTGCCACCCTAATGCAAACTTTGGAATTGCTGAAGAAAAAGTGGCGAACAGAAGGAAATTATAACTACATCTGTGATCAATTCAAGAGCATGAGACAAGACCTTACTGTGCAACGGATAAAAAACGAATTTACAGTAAAAGTGTATGAGATTCATGCAAGAATTGCACTCGAAAAAGGCGATTTAGGCGAGTATAACCAATGCCAATCGCAGCTTCGCGGTTTATATGCATTGGGTATCAAAGGATCAGTGATGGAATTTTTGGCTTATCGGATCTTGTACCTTTTGCATACCCGCAATCGAAGGGATGTGAATACTTTGATGGCCGAATTGACACCCAAAGATAAAGCAGAGAAAGCTGTAAAGCATGCTCTCTCGATTCGATCTGCTCTTGCTACGGGTAATTACCATGCCTTCTTTCGACTTTACAACGATTCTCCCAATATGAATGCCTACATTCTTGATCATTTAATCGATCGTGAACGGATCAATGCCCTTCTTATTTTGGCCAGATGTTTTCGACCAAACCTTTCTCTCTCCTTTCTTACTTCTGAACTTGCCTTTACAGATTTACATGAAGCGGACGTATTCTTGGAAAAGCACGAAGTGGCCTTGTACGTTTTACCTGCCAGCGCAACGACGAACGAATCGGGAAAGGGATCAAATAAAAAGGGGGCCAAACGCAATCCGCCCAAACCGACATTACCCCCTCTTGAACAGCGCCATTGGGATGCCAAAGCTGCTCAATCGATTTTAGACCAAGCTCGTCACAAATTTAGAACGGTGGATATAAAAGGACAATTGTCGTAATAAAACCTCCCTCCCTTTGGGCCAGTCTACCTGTATTTTAATCCTCGATACATCATTCGTACTGTACAACATCACTACCATACCAGATTAATGCAAAATGTGTACTGCACAGATGAATTGATCTATTCCAGAGATACCTGAGTGAAGGTTATAAATACAAGTAAAAAAATAGCGAATCCCAAAGCAGAAAATGCAAGAAGGAGCAAAAGTACAATTGTGTATGTGTGGGGGGTATGTTTTCGTGTGATCAATCAGAGTTCAGCTTTTTGTTGGAGTATTTTGCATAGAAACATCTTCACCGCTGCTCATTGCTTCATGCAATGCAGGTTCACCGTCCATTGTTGCACGCATCATTTCTCCGTCCAAATCTCGTCCTAATCCTGCTTGTTCTCGACTACTTCGACGGAAAAGTGGAAATGGATTTCTAGTTGCTGCTTTTGATGCAGAACCAGGCACGTTTGTGGATGCTCCATCTGAAGATTGAGATTTATCCATCATGACACTATCAGCAAATGTAACTTTAGGTAAAACGGATTCCGAAACTTCTCTCGGGTCTTTGCCATGATACGATATACTTCTTGGAGATGAGGTTGGCCTTTTTTCCTGAGATTCTTTCTTTAATCGTAAAACATCTTCCGCAGAAGAACGTCTTGCGCTCAATAAGACGGCAGCAGCGCTTAAAGCATCTCCACTGCGGAACAAGGACAACGCTTCTGAGCCCAATGCTTCGTTAGGCATCTTCAATCGTTCAATTACTGCTTCACTAGGAGGTGAGAGACGAACGTTTGCTAGTCGATTGGTCGTCGAAGGTGACAAGGCTTCCGATGCAATTGCAAAAGTGACGGATTGAGATGGCATCCCTTGACCTGAAGTTAATATATCTGGGAATGGGAACTCGACAGCGCTTCCTGTCGAAGTTGCAGCAGAAGGATAAGGTTGACGTATCGCAGACATTTCTGCATGAACAGATGCTGTCGAAGTTGCTTCAGTCACAGGTGCCACGAATTGAGATAAACTTTGACGAGCTTCTCCATCATATAGCCATTTACACAATGTAGCTTCCAAAGCTGGTCTTTTGACAGGCTTTGCAAGGTAATCCACCATTCCTGCTTCTAAAGCACGTTCTCGATCACCTTTGATTGCACTTGCCGTTAAAGCAATGATTGGCAGCATTCGTGTATCTGGATTGGTTGATCTACGAATCATACGTGTAGCTTCATATCCATCGCATTCGGGCATTTGACAATCCATCAAGATTGCATCGTACGTATTCTTTTCCAATTCTTCCATTGCTTTTAATCCATTTTCAGCCGTTCGGCAATTGAATCCCATTCTTTTGATATTCTTTGAAGCAATTTGAGCATTGACAACATTATCTTCTGCGATTAAGATCCAAATATCTTTACGTGGCCGCATAAGGGTAGCTTTTTCTTCGTCAGATGTGCCCATCGAGAATCCATTGCCGGGCACATTGACAGGATGTACATTAGCATCTTCGGCTTTGGCTGCGATGGCTGCCTTTCTTTCTGATTCAGTAGCCTTGCGGAAAGGAATCACGAACCAAGCATGACTTCCATCACCTTCTATTGAATCAAGGCCAATCTTTCCGTTCATCAGTTCGACAAGATTCTTTGATATACTCAATCCTAGACCTGTTCCTCCAAACCTTCTTGCGGTCGAAGGATCTGCTTGTGAAAACGGTTGGAAAAGTCTGCTGAGCGTATTAGGTTTGATACCGCAACCTGAATCTCGAACGTCAAATTTGACGATCAAATTATCCAGGTCTTCAGACAATTCAGTCACTTCTAAGCTGATGAAGCCTTGGGCGGTAAATTTGATCGCGTTTGTCAATAGATTGGTAATCACTTGACGAAGTCGACCCATATCACCCAATACTTGGCCTTTGTAGGTTAATTCGACAGCTTCTCGGAACTCAAGACCTTTCTTTTGCGTTGCAAAGCTCAACATCCGTTTTGCATCGCGCAAAAGAACTTCTAGATTGAAGGGAGCCTTTTCTACATCCAATTTACCGATTTCTACTTTACTGAAATCCAAGACGTCATTAATAACGGTCAACAAACCTTCAGCGGATCTCTGAATCGTTTCAGCATAATCGCGTTGTTGCAATGTAAGTCCTTTCTCATCGAGCAACAATTCTGATAGACCAATTACACCCGCGATCGGCGTTCGAATTTCGTGGGACATATTGGCCAAGAATTCAGACTTTAATCTACTTGCCTCCCTTGCTGCGCCTTCTGCTGCCAAAGCTCTGGTCTTTTCCATCAAACTTTCTTCCACTTTTTCTTGTGCACGTTTACGATCCGTGATATCCAATGATGCTCCTACAACACCAACAATCTCACCTTCGCCTTGCTCTTCCATATCTTCGAATGGTGCATCTTCGATGAGTCTTTGAGCAGCTTGATTATCAGCACGCATGGGTGTATACGATGTTCTAAACCATCTCCCTTCGATCTCCATTTCTTCAACAACCGTTTCACCAGCCAATGCTTTCTCCATTGATTTTCCAATTAAAGCAGGATCCCAAATCGTATAAATGGAGCGACCGACCATTTGTTGTTTGGCATGACTGTGTGAAGCGCTATTGCTGTTGCTATTACTGGTATGATGATGATCTTCGTCGCTGGTATCTTCAATCATTCGTTGACCTGAATTACCTCCTTTTTCGGAGCTACCGGGTGTGCCAGGGGCCAACAACTTTAGCTGTCGAACACCCGGTCCTTCGGCAATCGTGATTCTACCTTCTCTATCGGTTGCCCAAATCGTCATTGCAGCATGATTAATCACGCTTTCCAATTGAGATTGTGCGCGACGACTGTTTGAAAGAGCTTCAACTTGATCGTGTATATCAGTGCATGTTCCGAACCACTTTTGGATAACGCCAGACTCTTGATCTCGCATTGGCAACGCTCTACCTAGGAACCATCTCCAAACTCCATCTCCACGTTTGATACGATAAGCTGTTTCGTATAATTCACCAGTTCGTAGAGAATAACTCCATCTTTTTGCCGCTTCAGGAAAATCTTCTTCATGAATTGATACTTGCCAGCCTACACCACGAGATGTCTCTTCATTCGTACCTGTATAGTCATACCAAGATTTACTGTACCATTCATGATATCCCGAAGGCGAAGTAACCCAGACAAGTTGAGGCATAGCATCACATGTTTGCTTAAAGTATAGATCTCCTTCCGTTTTTGCTTCTTGACGTAATTTAGAGCGTTCTGCAGTCAGATTTCGAAGCACAATCAATCCTCCAATGTGTTCGCCGAATCCTTGTTGATTTCTCAATGGTTTTCCCGTAACTTGCAAGATATGCCTTTCGCCTGTAAGCTTATCCATCAATCCCATCGTTACAGGTGCCTTTGGCTGTCCCATGATTACGCATCGATAGATTGGCCATTCACTTTCTTCGAGTGGATTCTCGAACTTTTCGTCCCAAACGGTCATTGCTTCGTTGATCCATGCGAAAGCTTCGAGGCCGTCATCTTCTCCATTAACGTTTGCCGGATTCACTCCTCTGCCACCGCTGAATGATTGAAGCATTTCCCTACATGGCTCATTTTGCATGACATGTTTCAAATCTTTGCTTACGACCATGATGGCTTTATCAAGATTTTCAAAGATTGCATTTTTGAGCTCGGCAATGACATTGCTCTCTGAAGAAGATGGACTTTCTTCGCGCACTTTTGAATTTGCAGGTAAAATTGTTAGAGTGAACATAGCCTCATGAGCGGGTAGATGTGCAGCCTGGTGGTGTAATGCTGAACGTGAAGCAGAGGTGGGCGTTGTATTATTGTAAGGTGATGAAGGACTTTGTACACTTGCTGGACTAGCTTCAGTAGAATTCGTTGCTGCAGGATTGGAGAGGTGACTTGCTGCAGCTGAAAAGATTGGATCCGTTGCAAACCAAGCGGAAATGTTCACATCAGCAGTGATTGTTGGACCGTCTTCGGCGGATTGCATTGCTAGTTGGGTGGCATAAGGTAAAGCAGTACGACCGGAGCTACCGATGCTTCCAGACGCTTCGTTTAAAGCAACATTCAACTCTCTGCGAAAAGAAGGTGCAACGAATCGCTCCAATCGTTGTCCTACAGCGTTCACGTCTAATATGCCAAGAATAGTCTCAGCGGGTTTATTGAGCATTTTGATCGCTCGCGTATGATCCAGAACGATGATTGGTATTGGTGCAAAGTACAAAGCCCGCAAAGATTCGTCAAGGTCCATCATATTGACACTTGAATACTGCCTACGATCCATCATAGCATCAGAGTAATTTGCAAATCGTGAAGGCGGACGGAAATTTCCAGACGTAGCACCGCCTGCTATGTTTGCACGTTGATAATGATGGCCCGATGATGAATTGGAGAATTGATCTGCTCCACTACTTCCACTACCGCTTCCACTACCAGAATTGTTTTGCCCTGATCCTGCCGTACTACCTTGACGTTCATTATTCCCGCTTATAGTGTTTCCTGATTTGGTTCTACTAACACTAGGACTGGAAGCTGGATTGGTGGTATATGCTGTAGGACTCGGGGCAGTATTTGTTGTTGGCTGTGTACCGTCTACTTTTGATGATCTTTTTGTGTTAGGAGAGCTTGCACTTGCAGAATGCCGTGCTGATTGAGGAGCACCGGGAATGGCAAACGAATTACCGACAAAGTTCTTAGATTTTTGTGTTGTGGTGGACATTGCATCCGGTTCATTCAAGGGGACAGAAGATGAGAATGCATCGATCGGAGCTGCTTGCGATAAGACTGATTCCGTTCCCGGAACGCCTTCGGGTTGTGTTGATGCTACAATATCCGATATCGAATTTGTTGTATCTCCATCGTCCATGTGAATATAAGGTTGAGGTGAAGATGCCTGACCTTGTGCTTGGCGTTTCCGAGTTCCACTTTGATGACCATCTGACGAATTTCGGATAGTAGCATGACTAGTAGGTGAAGAAGTTGACGGTACGCTATTCACCGTTGAGCCATCGTTATCCTGTAATATATCTTCTACGTCGGGTAGATTGACATGAGAAGCGGTCGGAGTGGAAGATTCCGATTGAGAAGCAGGTCTCTTTCGTGAGTTCATTGTGCGTACGTTATTCTATGCGATTACGAAGTACCAAGTCAATGCATCCGTCACTTTCCACAATTGACCAAAGACCGTATAGATGATAACCAAACAACGAAGGGAGAAGTGATGGCGATCAAGATCAAAAATGAAATCTTCATCGGAAGTGATTATTCCTTTTCTTCCCCTTTTTGCTCTTATTCGATTTTGAGCGCCCTGTAAGGATGTATGCAGTATACTCGCGCCGGCGTATTATGATTACCACCTTTTGACATGCATTTTACGCAGCGTATCTGCTGAAGTTCATGTTCCTGTGTATTCTCATCACTCAAGTGCCTAAGAAAAATGAAAGATGAAAAAAAGCCACAAGGAGGGAATCAAATCGGCTAGAATGAGATCACAACTAAAACAATGAATTGTTTCAACGCACTTCTCCACTCTCCGCACTTCATTATAAACGCGTCTAGACTTCTTTTTATTTTGAGGGGAAAAAGATGAATACAAAGATTGCTTTATTGATGTATACACATGCTGCCATTTCTTCACTGTAGATTAGAAAAGCCACAACACTATTCGCCTGCATAGAGAATACAAAAAATGGAATACAGATTATAATTCAATTAACGCATACTTTTTTAATTAAAAAAAAGCACAAGACGCCTAGAATTGTATCATATTCGGCCGTTGGTGTGAACAGGAGGTGGTACGATCGATTGCAGTCAATCATCGATCAGCATTTCATTGTCAACAGGAGATGTGCATAGAACGGCCTAATTTCGGTTCAAACGGATTCGGAGTCCAAATTGTCAAACAAGGATAAAGATAGTTTTTCCAGATAATCACCACAGCTTATTTGAAACACCGTCTCTTTTGATCGGATGTTCATTATATGATGTTGATAGGGGATTCTAGAATAGAGCAAAAGAGAAACAAAGATGAGCAAAGATGCAAAAAGAAAAGATATAGAACTGCAGCACCCAGGATTCCCGCGTGGTCCCCCACCGCAGTACTGACTAGGCGATACCGTGCTTGACTTCGCAGATCGGACGGGATGCGGTACTTTCACGGTTCTATGGCCGCAGATATGAGAAGAAGGTAGTATAAGATATAAGATACAACACGAATTAATTGTGATTATGATGTGATGCGCGCTTGAGGAGTGATGGGTAGCATCCAGTGCATACAAGGAGCAAACAGCAGCTGGCATTTTAACCCTTAATTGTGAAAGGAAGCCGACTGGACACAATTCGGCACGCTGAATACGCGTAAAAAAGTGACCTCCCGAACCTTTGTAATGCCTGTTGGCGCGTGCGTTTTCTTCTTAATTCTTAAGATGTGAGCTTAATTAATATCCTGTCTGTCTCTTTCGCTCACTTCCATATAACAAATAGGTTGGTATGATAGACATGCAATAGACTCAAAGCTGAGAGCAGAAATGGATGTTGGCTCAAATACAGGTGCATCAAAAGCACATCATCACAATGGATCCGCATTCAAAGAGGTAAACCTTCAATCATCATCCTGGCTCGAACAAACATTATCCCAATCAAAAACGCATGGATTGTCTTATATAGACGTTGAACCGTTCCTACAAGATGACTTTGATCCTCAAGAGTATGCCAATAGCATCATTGAAGCGCCAAATGCTTCACAGATAAATCGTCGAAAAGGAAATGCGTCAGCAAAGACCGATTCATCAGATAGTTCTACTACATCAAGAGAGCTGGCAGCGAACTGGCTGCCGCAATCAGGTCGTGTTGAAGGTGACTTGAGTGTCGCTCTTGGTCGATTGAATGTCGCGATCGATGATGTTGACAGATTGGTTCGGGAAGAGGTAACGCAGAATGCCAGCACATTATTAAAACATACCACCACTCTCCTCGATCTTAGACCGACATTGAATATACTAACGGCATCGCTAGACACTTTGGACAACCATCAAGCAAAACTTGTAGCCAAAATTAGTGCTCCACAACAGGTTTTGGAAGAGCAAACGGTTCGACTGGCGAAGATGCGTACAGCACAATCTACTGTAAAACAATCTCAACGTCTTGTCAGACTATTGCGCAGATTACAAAGCCAAATGCAAGAATTGGGTATCTCAAAGGATGAAAGGAAGGGTGGAGAAGCAAAAGGTCAACTGGATCGATTAGGAGAGGAAGATGGAGAAGATATTTCGAATCAACAATCAACTGCAATCGATGATGTGATTGATGCCGACCTAGACGAATCTGCTGGAAGAGGTCTGAGCAGAGCTGCAATGACTGTGGCGGAGATCTTGTCAATGCTGTACGGAAGTACTTCACAAGATGGAAAAGACCACGCCATACAGGCGGAGGAAAATGGCGAAGAGAAAGAAGACTCCAAACAATCATTACTTGAGCTTGATTTTGTTCAAGAATGTTTGCCAATGATCGAAGAGGCACGCGAAAGGGTCACAGATATGATGGAGGATATGATCGTTCGAGGATTGCGAGATCTTGCGCCTACTTTATTAAGCACTTCATTGCAAACCGCTTACAATTTAGGTCATCTGACTGATCTTGTGCGAGATTTGCTGGCCGATCTGACAGACGTCGTTCGTGATCGTGTGCATGCAGCGTTCGACATGCAATCTCTGGCACGTGAAATTGGATCAAAAGAACCCCAAAGTCAACAAAGCACATCGTATCGTGCTCGAAGAGGTGGAGATTACTCGACAGCTTTGCATCAAAGATGGACGAATGCTATCTGGACGAGGCTAGAAACTTTGATAATAGGAGAAATGGGAGCGGTGTGCAGCAAGGTATATACTCTCGAGCGTGTTTTGAGTCTCAAGAATGACACTTCAGCAGGAGTGAATTATTTGGAAAAGGCAATGAAAGTCTTAGGGGATAAACCTAGCGCAATGTTCTGGTCAACATTGGGGAATGCAATCGAAGAAGAGATCAATCAATCACAATCGCAGTTCATGATCCAAACTCTTGAACAATCGTATCCTAGATTGTTGCGCATCTTTCAAGAATTCTATGCAAAGGTATCCGTATACACTGGCACTTCTTATACGCATTCTCATCAAAGCCCCGAAACATTGGTCATCTTGCGATCGCTTGCCCGTTTTGAAGACACATTCCTTTCCCGATGCTCATCCCGATTTGATACGTTGTTGAACACTTCATTTACCGTCAAACAACTACCCGGACCGAAAGAAGCAGCAACTTTGGCCAAACTTGCATTGAACGAATTGGACAATGCACGTTTGGATCCTCTTTTGTTGCATGCTATCGGCAAAATTGTTTGCGATTGGCTAGCAAGAGGTGCACGTCGGATTGAAGATTTGGTGGTACAAGATGCAAGTGTTCAATCATTGCAATCTTTGCATCCATCTCATTCGCGTAATGCATCATTGACTGGAGCAGCATATCAATTACAGCTCGGTCTACAAAGAATTGCCGATCAAGGCCCGACGGAGTACAAAGAACGAGTCACAGACTTACAGAAGCAAGTTCGTCTGATGAGCGAGAACCGATTGATCGAACCTATACTGCAAACCGTGTTGAAAGAAATTTCTGACGTGATGGCAAGGATGCAATATGTGGATTTCAGTTTGAGCCGTGATGCCGTAAGCGGAAGTGGAAGTGCTTACATGGCCGATCTGAGCGATAGGATGTGGTTTTTACGTGAACAACTGTTTGTTCAGTATGATGTTCCTACAAGTGAATGGCTGGTAAAGATTGCAAAACATGCTCTCTATGCATTCGTTGCCAATGCATCACTCATACGACCGTTGGAAGAAGGCGGAAAGTTGAAATTGACTTCTGATATGACTGAATTGGAATTTTCAATTTCTCAACTTCTTGCAAGCGCACATCAAGTCACAAAGCCGCTATCGATGAACGATTGTGGTACAGAGTTCCATGCGTTACGAAGTTTCAGGCATCTCTTATTCACGGATGTGACAAAATGGGATCCGGTAGAAGAATTACGAGCAGGTTTGCCGCCACTAGCTGCGGCCCACCATATCATTGCAAGATCACGTTCGATCGCATTACCGAACGAATTGCATAAATGGTCACGAATCGAATATTTACGTTGGCTTCAATCTCATTCTCAACAAGAGGGTATGCAATTGATCAAAGGTTCTCTTGAAGAATGGAAAGCAAAGAGGAAAGAAGAGAACAATGAAGAAGATGAAGTGTTTATGAAATGCGTTGAACGTATTTTGTCATTTGTTGGCGAACAATCAAAGAAGACGCTTGAATTGTAATATTTACAATGTACATTATTTGCATAACCATCATATGTGTTTGTCATCACTTAGAGTCCTAGTTTGCGCGTCCAACTCTTTTGCTTGGATTCGGTCACATCCCTTACTTCATTTTGCTGTGGCTGTTGAGGGAGGGTGGTCTGACTTGCTGGAGCCGGGGGTGGATTCTGTCGTACAGGTACTGGAGAAGGATTAGCGGGGTGGTATGAAGGAGTTTGTGTTGGTAGTAGCGGTGGCGGAGCGGGTGCTTGCTGTGATGGCTCTTTTGGAGGAATTGGAGGCACATCATTGCTTCTTTGTATGCGTTGCGAGTCGGAGTATTGTGCTGGGTCTTTGTATGTTGAACTTTGCGTTTTATCATCGTTCCCTTGTCTGCTTGGTGCTGGCTGTTGCGAGACAGAGGGTGCAGGAGCAACTCTCCTCTGCGGTGGAAGAGAGGCCGAAGATTGTTTCCTTTCTTGCTCAACAGATTGATCGTATCTGACCCTATCAATATCTATGCTGGCAGGTAGTGCTTCACTGGAAACGGCAACTAGTGTATTTGACAACAGCAAACCAGGCCAAGGAGAGAAGAATGTCGTGGCGGTTACACAGTTTTCTTCATCGTCTATCCGACCGCAGGAAACTGAAGCTATTGCACCATCTTCTGCGTCAAAAGCATCTTCTTCTTCCGATTCGTCTTCATCTGAATCGTCTACATTGTTTGCTCCGGTCATCTTTCCTTTTCCTGATTGTGCACTCTTGATCGAAAGCGGAGGCAATCGACGTGAAAAAGAGGATGTATCCGATGCAGCGGTCAGTGTTGATGGGCTATGTACCAGATTAGCGGCACTGGTCATACGATCGATACCTCGCTGAGAAGGATCATCGTGTTTTGCATTGTCGTTACTGGCTTCTTCTCCGCTTAGCATGTCTGACTGTCTTTGCTTCACGATTGCTTCACGTTCCTGTTTGAGTTCTTTCTTCATAGCCTTCCTTTCATTTTTTGCTGCTCTTTTCTCTTCTGATTTCTCTTTTGCTTCTTGTCTCTTCTGTGCTATTTCTTGTATACTATTCCCTGCTGCATTCCAACCTCTTCTGATGCCGGTATGGGTTCCACGTACGCCGGACCAGGCACCTGAACCTGTTTTCCTTTGCATTTTTGGATCAGTGACTGTTTGTGCGATAGAGCGTTGTGATCTTTCTACCAATTGAACGACTGCTTCACGTTGCATATCTCCCATTATAGCTTGCGGAATGGCAATTTGCATGGCCGTATCAACTAACGTAGGCAACAAAGATGTTTCCATCAACGTTTCACGAAGCCAAGCATTACGTTTACCGAGTTTTTCCTCTTCAGTTTCTGTGGATGCAATTGAACGTGTTGATTCACCTTCTTGAAGTTCATCTTGGCTTAGTAAATCGTTAATTTTATCGCATGTACTCTTCTTTAATGCTTGTGTTGCTCGAAGATGTGCTAATCCTGATCGTATTTGTGCTAATATGAAATGTGCATGTGAAGGTGGAGGTGGTGGAGCAGCTCTAGAAGCTGTCGATGGCTGTTGACTTGTCATGATTGAATATGATGGTGATGGCAAGAAGATGTTGGCAAATAGACAAATGTTCCCGCTCCACTTTATACTAAATTGAACCTCTGGCTCTATTCGGCTCTTTTTATTGTACATAAAGTCGCCGTCACTACAATAAAATTAAAAGCGTGTTCAGGTATGCACGCACGTACGCGTCTGTCTATCTACGCGAACGAGTAAAAGAGCAACACGGCTTAATGCACTGCACTGCACACAAGCTTAAACGCGATTTCTCTTTCTTCGACGCGGCTGAGTGAAATACATAGACGTGCATACATCCACAACACTCCTTCTTTTCTTGTGTGTTATATATTCTTCTATCTATTATCATCCCCCTTCATATCACCTCATATGATAGATCAATCATGCCTCCTTCTTCTTCAATGAATGGTCGTTCGTCCAATTCATCTTCACAACCTAAACAATCAACCTTGTTCGGTTTCTTTGGAAAGCCAAATGCAGGTCCAGCCCCACCTTCACAACGATCTGTTCAACAAAATACTCCTGGCAGCAAATCAATCGCAATAAAAAGTGCATCTAGCAATGGTAAAGCTCCAAATGTACCAACACCACCACAAAGTGTGCAAAAGAGCAACGGTTATCCTTTGCAAAATTCATCTTCTTCCAATACGATGAATAGGAATGGTGGCGCACATTCATCTTCTCCTTTACGTGAACGTAGCGAAGGAAGAATCTCAAATGCGGCAAATCAAGGCTCTACCAAATCTTCATCAATGCTCGAAATGACACCACCGTCATCTTCGCCGCCAATCACAACTCTCCCTGCTATAGATGATGATGAGGATGAAGAAATGGTCACGCGTGTTCCCCGCCGTAAGGCAGCTATCAAACGTCAAGTCAATTACGCAGAATCAGACGATGAGTTTGGACTTGGCGGTGGACAGGATGATGATGACGAAAAGGATCAATATAAACCAGAAAATGATCGTCCGGCAAAGAAATCCAGAGTGCAGGATAGTGATGATGAATTTGATGATTTCATTGATCTAGATGAAGCAGAGTTGGAAAAGCTAGAGAGCAATGCTCTCAAAAGCAAGCAAAAGAAACAACCCGCAGCAACTCAGCATGCTCGCCCCTCTGCGAAACCGTCAACTTCATTTGCCTCAATGACCTCATCAGCGCCTGTACGCCGTCCGATGGCAGGTTCATCTTCTGCTGCAAGCTTGAAGCCAAATCAGAGCAAAGCACAGTCACCTACTGAAGAGCCATACGAATTTTTGACAAATCCAAAGGATAAGGATGGAAACCCGCCCAATCATCCAGATCACGACAAAAGGACGCTGCATATACCCAAAGCAACTTACGATACACTCACTCCGTTTGAGAAACAATTTTGGGATATCAAAAAGTGCAATAATGATACTGTACTCTTTTTCCAAAAGGGTAAATTTTATGAGCTATACGAGGATGATGCCGTCATTGCACATCGCGAATTTGGCTTAAAGATGACGGACCGAGTCAGGATGAAGATGGCAGGTGTGCCTGAATCTAGTTTCGACGCCTTTGCCAACAGATTCTTAGCACTTGGCTACAAAGTCGGACGTGTGGATCAAGCGGAAACAGCAGTTGCAATGGCTATGCGCAAAAGTGGAACAATGGTCGGCAAAGGTCCTGCCACTGCCGGCGGCAATGACAACAAAATTGTTCGTCGAGAATTAAAGCATATTTATACGAACGGAACAATTGTGGATGCAAATTGCTTACCCGATGAAATGAGTAGCTATTGCGTCAGTATCAAGGAGGTCATTTTTGATCCGAAACAAAATGGTCCTGCCGGTGATAAAGACGATGATAGTTTATCTCTTGTGCCTATCTTTGGAGTTTGTTTCTTGGACGCCAGTACCGCCGAATTCAAGATGAGACATTTCGAGGATGATGTTTCGCGTACCAAGTTGGAAACCTTGCTCCGTTCTTCTCGAATCAAGGAAGTTCTTCATGAAAAAGGAGGCATTTCTCGACGTACTTTACGTATTCTGAAGAACACTGTTGCACACGATTGTAACATCACCATGCTCAAGCCTCACGACGAATTCTTGGATGCAGAACAAACGCTTCGAAAGCTCAATCTGGTATATAACCCCATTTACCAAAATGACGAGCACGCATCAAAGAAGTCGTTGGATTCAGTTGAGCCTGTGGATGTCTCGATTCTTCCCGAAGCCATTCAGCAAGTGTTGGATACGCCAGAAGCACTGAGTGCCTTGGGAGCAATGCTGGCCTATCTGACTCAATTGAATTTGGAAAAGGATATCTGCGCCAGCAGAAAGTTTGACATTTTTGATCCAGCAATTAATCAAACTTCTATGCTTCTGGACGCTCAATCTCTCACTCATCTTAATGTTTTGGTCAATGAACAAGGCGATACGCAAGGAACACTGTTGAATCTTGTCAATCGAGCAGTCACGCCTTTTGGCAAGAGATTGATGCGCATCTGGCTGTTGACACCTTTGGCGCAAATTTATGCAATCACTTCCCGTCAAGAAGCCGTAGAGGCATTGCTTGGTGATTCTTCTTTCCGTGAGGATTTTGACATCTTTGCTAAATCTTTGCCAGATATCGAGCGTATCATGCCACGCATTTATGCAGGCAATTGCAAATCTGCGGATTTCAATCGTGTTCTCAAATCTCTTGCCCGATTTGATGAAAATATCACCTTGTTCAAAGAGCGGGCTGGTGCGTTTGGTACAGATGTTGTTCAAGCATTGTTAGCCAGTATTCCTCCTGTATCAGAGTATGCGCAGGATATTTTATCGAAATGTCAAAAGGGCGAAAATTTCGAGCCAAAGCCAGGTCATCATGACTCATACGATCAAGCATGCGACAACTTGGACGAAGTGGAACGCTCGCTTGCGGCAGAGCTTGTTGAAGCAGCTAAAGTATTGAAATTATCAAAGGACCGTGTCAAATTCAAAGACATTGGCACAAACGAGATCAGGCAAGTTGAAGTACCAATCAAAGTGAAAGTGCCGGACACATGGTCATTGGTTTCGCAAACACAAAGCGTGAAGCGATATTACCCTCCAAAAGTACGTCAACTTGTCAAACAGCTCAAAGAAGGAAGGGAGACAAAACTGGTCGCATTTAAAGATTTCCAAGCAAGTTTGTTCGAACAATTCCAGAAAAATGGAGATCAATTCTTGCAAGCCGTGAAAGGGATCGCGGAAATGGATTGCTTGGTAAGCTTAGCCAAAGCATCCTATGCAATGGGAGAACCATCTTGTCGTCCGGAATTCGTGGAAAGCGATACAGCAGTTGTCGATTTCGAAGAATTACGCCATCCATGTATGGCCAGCACCTCCACGACAGAATTCATTGCCAATGATATTGCTCTGGGAGGAGTTCAACGTCTTTCGGATCGTGATGATCGTGATGATGACGAAGGACCTGCACGAGTTACAATTCTCACTGGTGGTAACATGGCCGGTAAGAGTACTACTGCTCGTACTACAGCAACTGCCGTTATTTTGGCGCAATTGGGTTGTCGAGTCCCAGCATCTAGAGCTCGTTTGAGTCCTATCGATCGTATTGCATCTCGTATGGGCGCAAATGATCAACTCTTCCGTAACAATTCAACTTTCATGGTTGAAATGCTGGAAGCTTCGCGTATTTTAAAGGATTGCACACCTCGTTCGCTGGTCATCATGGACGAATTGGGACGTGGAACATCTACCTTTGATGGTCAAGCAATCGCATATGCTGTTTTGCATCATTTGATTGGACGAACTCGCTGCTTGTGCTTCTTCTTGACGCATTATACTTCTTTGGCACACGAATTCGAAGGTCGCTATGGTGTTGCAAATAAACACATGCAAGTTTTGGTCGACAGTGAAATACGCGAAGTGGTATTCACGTATAAACTTGTTGATGGCATTGCTGAATCTTCGTACGGTACTGAAGTTGCCGCTTTGGCTGGTGTTCCAATGGAGATCTGCGATCGAGCAACCAAGATTTCCCGCGAATTTGCAGCTACCACCAAAGAAGCCGAAAAGGAGCGTATGCGAAAGATGGGCGATGCATTATCGGTGGCCACTTTGAGTGATTTCGCATTGATTTTCAAAGCAGGATCGGGAAAAGAAGTCAATCAAGACAGTCAAAAGAAGAAAGAGAGCTTCAATGTGGACGAGCAAGCATTGAATTTTATGAGAAAGCAAATTGCCACCGTTATGGCAAATCGCAGTAATGGAGTGGAAAATGGAGTTAGCATAAGTGCGTAAACGTTTTGGTCGCGGTTTTGCTTTCATATACCTTTCTATCGCTTGTGTTACCTTTTCAATCACAGAGATATCTTTTAGCACACATTATCATGAGTAATGACATTGACATTTTATCTTTTCTGTTTGTTTGCTTGACAGGAAATCGAAAGCAAGGGTTTAGTGGGTCGTTCGCTGGCAGAAAAAGGGGATACAGGCAAAAAAGCAAAGAAAGTGAGAGCGAGAAGGATGATGGGTTGGGTATGCCTTCCTTCTTTCCGGAAGAAGAAGGAGATGAAACACCGCCAACTTCCTCGCAGAGTGAACCGATGGAAGACAAGTATTCATTATCGCCCTTCAAGAGTAAACTACACCCAAGAAAGAAGAGCAAGTCTAGTACGCCAAAATTACAACAGATGACCTTGGACTTAGGTCAAAAGATGCGAATTGATTGTCGTAAATGCGGCATGTCCTACGACCGTACAGATACAAAAGATGTGCAAATGCATAGCCGACACCATTCTGCCATGATGCAAGGAATGGAATGGTGTTTGCGCAATCCAAACAAGAAGGGCAGATTGATCGGACAGCACAAATTACCCAAATCTTCCATCGATGCCTATGTGGCCGAACAAGATGTCGGATCGAGAAAAACGAGCAAAGACGAAAATGAAGTTCAACTTTGGGCTTTTGCTATTGGTAAAGGCCAGCAAGACCCTTCGACATTTAGTGTTTTGCAAGATGTGAAAAACATCATGGATTCAGCTTTGGGTGCTGTCCCGATTGAATTAGGAACGAGTGGCGAGAGAGAATGTCAAGATAAGCTCATCGTGGCTGTATGGCGTGATCGTGTGGTGGGGAGTGCACTTGTAGGTGAATTGCCAAAGTCCGTTGATATTTATCGCATTTCATCCGAATCGGAGAAAGCAGTGATCATCGACACAACCGATAAAGCGGGATGGGAAAAGGTACCGCTGGCTATTCATCGTATTCATGTCATTTCCATCCTTCGTCGAAGTGGGATCGCAAGTGCAATGTTGGATGCTGCTTTGAACGATTGCGTTTATGGTTTGGACAGGCAAGAAGTGATTCGTACGATCGGACAAGGATCAAAAGCAAATACAACAGCTTTCAGTCAACCAACGGAAAGCGGTCGATTATTGGCACAAAGGTGGATACAAGAAGAAAGTGGGGAAAGCAACGGTGTTCTAGTCTTTCAAGAAGCTTGATAATGAGATTATATTGTATTTTATTACACATGTACAACAAAAACACTAACAATCATGATGAAGTAGTAGCTGCGGCGGCCGTTAGACCAGCTCGACTGACAGCGTATTCTCTTGCAATCAAATGAGATGTATTCTCGACAAGATTGAGCAAGGAAGTCATATCGTGTGTCCATCCGTTCAATTGTTCGGCGACATCTTTCTTCTTCTCAAAGTTCACCAAACCGGCCGGGCGATCAATTCGTGCATGAACGGTATGATTGGTCACCAAGCCTGCCAAAGATGTTTCTGTTGCATCTTGAGAGAGGTCCAATAATTGTGATAGTCGCTGTAGGGTAATCTTTGTGTAATATCTTGCTACTGTACGGATATTGTGCTCGACGACTCGTTTGTGAAGCTCCTCCCAACGGTATTCTCCCTCTTCAGACTTGTCAAATGTTGATGTGTTTCGCAAAATTGGGCTGTATAGAGCTTCAATTCCGGGCCATCGCATCAATTCTGGGGTGGTAAAGCATTTGAGTAAATTTTTATGTTCTGGAACCTTGTCGAGGTCTTCCAATCGTTCAGTTCGTGCCATCAAGTCGCTTTGCTCATTGTCATACGGACTCAAAACAAGGAAGACGACAATGTTTCGCAACGCTTCAGCGGCTTTAGAGGAGTCATCCTTGATTGGTTTTGTATCGTAAATTTCGTGGTAATGCTTGCAGACGTCTAGAGTCTTTCTGTTATGCAGCGAAAGGATGATCATCAAATCGTAAAAGCGTAGTTTCAAATCGGCATGTTTTCCTTTTGCAAAGAACTTTGTGTTGATCTTTTTTCCTGTGATGCCCATTCTTGCCCAATCTCCAGCAGCTTTGTACAAACGCATTTGTTCTAGAATGATTTCGTGCTTTTCACGTCTGTCCATACTTCCAAATGTTTCGACGGCAAGATCACCTAGCTTTTCTGCTGCTTCTGTTGTCTTGCCATCCCGTTCCAACATTTGTGCCAATAGGAGGGTCGAACGCGCTCTTGCCACTTCAACAAAGATCTTTCCTTCAGTAACTTGTCTAATGGTTTCTACTAATTGCAGCTTTTGTGCTTCCGTAAGCCCTTGATCTCCAATGCTCTTTGCTTTTTCCATCAATCTCTTCACTCCTTCGTTCTCCTGTCCTTCACCTTTGTCATCAATATCGATTGCCTCTTTCATCTTTTGTCGTTTCTCTGCTTTTTCTGCATCATCTGGAGTATCGTTTTTTGCAGTCTTGACAGCTTCCTTTGCTTTGTCTTCTTTTGGTTTCTTTTCCAAAGTCTCCTCTCCGTCATCTTCTTCTTCTGCTGCACGATCTTCTGGTCTCTTGCCTGATTCTCCAATTCCAGGTGCGAATAAGAAACACATTGCCGCTCCTACCATCTTTGTGACAGCTTGTTTTAACTGGCCATGTCTCTTTGAAAGCGCTGAGATTGTTTCGTTCAATTGGTCAAACGAAGGTTGTGTAACACTTGGAGTGGTACGTAACAACAAAACGGCCATCAATAATAATCTGGATGTGCTTGCCAAATCAGCACCATTACGTGCTTTCTTTTCGAGTGCCAAGATCTGTTCAAGGGCTTCGTTTACTTTTCCAGATTTTGCCAATGACTCTACTTGTGCTTCCGCTGCATCCACATCTTTTGTGTAATCAGCTTCTTGCTTTTTCTCTACCAGTGACATGTTGACTATTAAGAGATGATGATCGTGATGGTTTGTCAGTCGGATGGAGGTTTACATGCACAACACGCGTCACAATTGGGTTGAGAATGTTTGGCTTGCGAAGCTGGCCCATGCGCGGTACGCTGAGGAATCATTGAGGTTATCCACGTGATAATTTAGGGAAAGATGCTTAACGCGTACACACTGTAAGATACGCGGGTTAGTGTTGTTCTCGTGTTGTTCCACTTTTTCATTTATGAGCCTTTACCACCATTCAAGAAACGAACGATAGACGTACAAACACATATGACGGAACGATCCTAAGTCTCCCGTGATTAGCTCGTAAACATGCCAGCAAGGGTACTGCAAACCCGACAAGAAGCAGGTCCTTCGAGAAGTGTCAGAGAAACGCCTGATGCATCTTCACGTCGAACGACAGTTCCCAAAGCTCGACCAGGACAGGCTGTTGCATCATCAAGGACGGTGGCTAGCAGCTCTTCCGCGAGCAGTGCGACTGATAAGCCTAAAGTAGCTGCTACTTCAACATCTCGTACAACAGACCCTCGAAGCAGCAAGTCAGCTCCTCAAGATGCATTACTGGAAGATCTGTCGAAACCGTCTAGATGCAGAGGGGAGCAGGTCCAATCGCTGCTTCTCCTACTGAATTCATCTACAGACGCCTTGAATGTTCGAATATTTCACAAAGATTCGATATGCGGTACACAACAAACCGATGAACAAAATGATAAAGAAGCAGCCAAGCGGGTCCTCATTGCAAAACAAGTGGTCAATAGTATCATCAATGCACTCAATGATCTTGTCACATCTTCTTGGAAGCCAGAAAAGACCAAGGAAGCGGATGGTGCTTCACCACAGCCCACCCTATCCTCCTCTCGACCTTCATCGGTAGAAAGTATGAAAAAGCATGCAAGCACTTCTGCAAGACCGGTGCAATCTTCACAGAAGAGCAAGATGTCTACTACCGACACAAAATCGACATCAAAGCTTAACATATCGTCAGACAATGTGACAGCGCTTCTTGATTGCTTTCGAATCGCCATAGAATACCTACTCCAAAAGCTACCAATCGAAAAAAGTAAAGAGATTGAAGGAATACGTTTGAGTGTGATCCGGAAAGTAGTCGCACTGGAACTATTTGAGATTGCATCTTACGACTTGGAGCTGGTACGGATTGCGAAAAAGCTCAGTGCATCACAGCAACGGACTGGGCATACAGACTGCTTTCTATTAGACGATTCTGCTGTGAGGGAGATATCCGATCCGGGTTCAGCGATTACTCTGCTCGAAATACAATGTCTATCATTTGTCACCTCATTATCGCTGGCTTCACGAACCAAAGCCTCAAAAATGCTCCATGATGCCGTCGATCACTCCAATGGCCCACTGAGATTGCAATGGAGGATACGGAAAGACTTGAAGGACAAGGTAGACGCAAAAGCGGTTGATCGACATGCATACACGATTGAAAGGGCTATATCAAAGCTCATCTCTGCGCAAGGAGAGGAAGAGCCAGAGTTTACCTTCGCTTGTAGAAGTGCATCGCTGAAGTTCCTCCAAAGCGTTTCAGACTTGGACTTGAGCGCATTTTGGGATCGGGCTGCAAGGGTGGGTATCTCGCATTTCCGAGCCACAGCTGATGATGAAGGGAAGTTCAAGGTATTTGAGCAAATCAATAATCTCTTTAAACAATTGACAAAAGATGGTGAAAAGTATGGATCGATGTACAATCACCCTCCACAAGACATCTCTTCAAGCAAAGAATACAAGACTTTTCGTGATACTTGGCAGCATCTTGCTCGTAAGGCTGGAAGCGTTTGTCATCGACTAACGTCTGAGCCGCTGCGAGCCGAAAAGGCATATCTGGAGGCCATCCAGAATATAGATGATTCGATTTGGCAAAGTATTAGCGAAAAGGCAGGCAAAATGCCCATCTGTTATTTATTTCAGCTCGAGGTAATGAATGACAAAGATGGTGTTCGTACTCCCTTGCAAGATACCGGCCGATTGATCAAAGTGGTGTTGGAATTGCAAATATATGAGCTGCTTCGGTTCCAGAAAGGAGAGCGAACGATTTTTGATACCCTGGCAGCAATGCAAAGTGCCGCCGTCGAAGCTCTCCCGAGTGTAATGGAAATGTGCATGGAAATACTCGATCATACAATTCATCGTGAAGAGGGTCCGAGAGCACTTGATGTCGTCCTGAACCGTTTGTTGGAGTATTATGACGAAAAGACGATGCCATTGCGAAGAGCGCGTGTTCTTCTCCGTCAAATAGAGCGTCACTTGTTTTACCCTCGTGACGGCGATGCGTTCAACCAAGCCAAGGTGATGATGGAAGAGGTTGCTTCGTTGTTGGGAAAGAGTGAGATTGGAAAAGATGTTGGATTGCTGCGGTACAAATCTCAATATTCTTCAACGCTCAGCTTGCTTTGGGTCATGTTGGACATGCGTCAATCACACGACTCGGAATCGATCATTAGTCATCTTCAGAAAGGGGTACATTCGCTGACAGAAGCACTCCCACCAGACACTAAAAAGGAAGTTGCCAAAGGTGATGATGCTTCAAACAAAATATTGCGAAAGACGAGCGCTCCTCGTCAAGTGAACGTTCGTGAACCCAAGACTCCACCATCACGATCACAAGAACAAAAGAATTACAAAGCAGTTACGACGATTGTGCAGAAAACAGAGTCAGAGATTTCATCAACACAGAAACAGAATCAGTTTGATAATGTGGATCGCTTATTGCGTCTCCTAGAATGGTCTCAAGGCTGCGATGCATGGCACGGATCAACAGTTGTGAGCGTACAGGTCAACAAAGTGGGTCGCCGTATCACCAAATTATTGGGAACGGCTGGCAACGATAGACATCTGGTCTTTTCTGCCAATCTGATTGCTCAATATACGTCTTTAGGACAATACAAGCTTGCCAGTCTGATTGTTCGTGAGGTTAAAAATGTCGAACATGCAGGAGGTGAAGCCTGGGCCCGCTTTACACTAGCAGAAGCAGATTTGCAGAGTCATGTAGGACAAATGAAGGAGAGTATAGTCACCTTTGACAAAGCCGTTGAGATCTTGGAGCACCTAGATCCGATCGAAAAGTCATCTGGTCTACAAAGCGCCCTGCAACGTATCTCACATACGGAAATGCAAGCAAGTGCATTTCGTACATTTGGTCAAATTCACTCGGCAAAAGGTAATCTGACCGCAGGCTTGCAAGCAGCTATTGAAAGTGTGAAGTTGTCGATGAAGAGTGGTACTATGTTAGCCCGCCTTTCCGCAAAGAAGGATGAAGATGAAGCAAATGCTTCTCCTTTCGTTGCACAGCAACAACACCAACCGCAAGCAACTTCGCCCGTCCAAAAAGCCAGCAATCGAAAATCATCGCCGAATCTACGTTTCTCTTCCCCACTTTTGGCTATGTTACATGTTCGAATGGTGAAAGCGTTGCATGAATCGTACATTCTTGTTAGCAAAATTCATTGTATTCGTGGATCCGCACGGGATGCAGAAGCATTTGCTACAGAATGTGTCGAATTTGATGCACATGCTCAAACGCCCGCTCTCCATTCTTTCGCACTGCTACATAGAGCTTCCATTAGATTACGAATGGGTCAAGCACAGGCTGCTACAGATGATGTCGAAGCTGCGATTGTCTTGATCGATTCTCAGCATGATACAATCATTCATGCTACTTTGGCATTCTTGCAAGGCGACCAACACTTTAAGCTGCAATCCTTTGCTGAAGCAATGAACCAATTCGGTAAAGGTCAAAAGATCTTGTCAAAGATTGACACTGCATTTGCAGCGGAGAACAAAAATCCAGACGAGGTAATGGAAGCAGCGTTACCCACTTTGAAAGCTTTGTTGATTCGAAGGCAAGCTTGGCTGCTGCATATTACTGGTGAAGAAGAAGCGTGTGAACAGATGTTGGATTCGGCAAAGTTGTCCGGATATCAGCAGGATGCTGGCGAGACGGATGTTTTGCGCGGGAAGATTGCAATCCAACAAGCTCTCGCAAGTCTCAAACGGGATCCACAATTAGATCTTTTACCAGACGCAACCATCTCTCTTCCCTCGGTATTGAAAGGATTCGCTACAAGACCTCGACAGAAAGAATCCTATTCCAGCCCCCGCAAGAAAGAGGCAGGCAAAGCTGCATTTGAACATCTTCGGAATGCTTCGAGACTCTTTGATCGAGTAGTCGATCAAGGCAACACAGTCTCTAGTACTGCACTCCAGGAAGCTCTTGTGCAGAAAACCATTTGCACAACGCTTTTGGCAACGTTGACTTCCAGCATGAACATGCAAGCTCAAGGAGCGCAATTACAAGCCATTACTTTGGAGAGGGAGTTGGACGAGGTGATGGAGAGCAAATTGGCTGGATCAAAACGTTTTGGCAGTAGTCATGGCGGATCTGTGAAGATTTGGCCGCGTTTTGTGAATGCGAGTGCAGCTCCGAAGAGCAATCTTAAAAAGGGAGCTATGATAAAGAGCAAGGCAATCAGCACAGATGAGGATTCAAGTGAAAGTGAGTCAATTGACGCACCTCTTAGAGCACATTGGCAAGCATTGAAAGATCGTCGAAAGGTGTCCTTGCAGGAGGGTCAAGGGTTACCTTCTCATTGGACTGTCGTATCCATCTCCTTTGCTAGAGAGCGAAATTGCATGCTCTTGACACGTAGAGATGGTGGTCAAGAAGGCCAAAGTAGCCTGTACAGCATCCCGGTTGATCGACAAAGTCGTCGGGAAGGTGAAGAAGAGGAAGACACAAGTACGGTGGATGCAATCCTAGAACAATTGCGTCAAATCATCGCAGAGAGTAACGAAGCAACTCATTCGGCACAAAATCTACAGAGCCTAGATGCACGAAAAGCTTGGTGGACAAAGAGACGATTGTTAGACGCAAAGTTGAAGGCATTGTTGTGTGTTGTCGAAAAGACATGGTTGGGAGCGTTCAAGAGTGTTCTCTTGGAGAGCCTTTCGAGCTCGGAGGAAAATAAAGCTTTCTTGCAGAGCTCCTTACAGGCAGTCTTTGCCAAGTCATGTGTCAGCCAATCGGTCAAAGGTCGGAAAGCAAGCAAGCAAGATATATCTACAGAGATTGATGATCAGATTTTGGAAAGGTTCTGTGCATTGAAAGCAAGTGATTGTACAGATGAAGAGTTGGAGGATCTGGCTCATTATGTGATAGACGCTTATCAATGCAGAGGAATTCCCATTGCAGTGGATGAAGTGGATATGGACATTTGCGTAACAGACATCCGAGCAGCGCTGGAGTCCTACCGCGCTCGTGTAGTGCAAGAAGATCATGAGGATGCAAAGGACGATGATCACCACTTATTCTTGATTTTGGATAAGGACATGTGTGCAATTCCTTGGGAAAGCATGCCATGTCTGCGAGGCAAAGCAATTTGTCGAGTTCCATCAATGGACTTCCTTTTTGACCGTTTGCAAATGGCTCCTGATGGTCAGTTCACGATAGATTCTCAAAAGACTCGCTTGTCCTACGTGCTCAATCCTAGTCAAGAATTGATTCGTACGCAAGAGAGGTTTTTGCCATTGCTACAAAAGAATGTCACGCCATCGTCATCGTCCATCAGCTCGGTTCAGCAAACGCCATCAAATCGAACACAAAGACCTTCTCTGTTAGATGGGATGAATTATAGCTTGCCAACAAAACCCAAATGGAGAGGAATCGTTGGACGCACGCCGATCTTGGATGAATTTGCACATGCATTAGAGTCAAACGATATCATGCTCTATTTCGGTCACGGTGGAGCGGAACAATACATTCGTACATCTAGATTGCGATCCCTGATGCGTTGCGCTGTGACAATGTTATGGGGTTGCAGCAGTGGAGTTTTAAGGGAGATGGGCGACTTTGAGCGGAGTGGAACTCCCAACAACTACATGTTGGCAGGTTGTCCTTCGTTGGTGGGTAATCTTTGGGATGCAACCGATAAGGAGTTGGATGGGATAAGCGAGAACGTCATGAAGTTATTCGGCCTGATTACCGATCAAGTGAATGAGGCACCACCGAAAGGCGTATCTTTGGCTAAAGCGGTCGCGCAAAGTCGTGATGTTTGCAAGCTACCTTATTTGACTGGAGCAGCATGTGTAGTATATGGTATGCCAGTCTACTATCGATAGAACAATCAATAGATGTATGTACTTTTACTTCATTATACCACGGATTTCATTCATTTTATACCACATGGCATAGATAGAATAGCGCCCGTACTTGAATGAATTGAAAGAATCAACTGAGCGACCTTCTTTAATCTTTTCCTACCTCGCCTATTTCGGTACTCAACTCGCTTTCTAGACTTATATGATCTACTTTACTCTAAAATATTGTTCTCTCGTGTAGCTGGAATATGACGTAAAATCGTGAGAATTCATTTTGTGAGGACTAGTGATACAATTGTCTATAAAAGAGAAAGCTACTTAATGATCCGCAGCGTGTTTGCTCATAGCACGAATTTTTGGACCAAATTTGACGAGAACGAATGGGATGGGAAGCAAGACCAAAGCCAAGAAGCCCAACAAAGAACATGCCCATGAAATGCCAAGCTTGTTAAACATTTGACGAGTGAACAAAGGGAAACCTGCACCAAAAGCGGAACGAACGACTGTATTGCCTGCTAATCCTGAAGCTGCTTTTGCCAAATAAGCATCAACGATGTAGTTGAAAAGACCCAAGAATACGAGCAAGATGGCAAATCCTAAAAGTGCACCTCCAATCATTGGACTCCAGAAACTGATGCTCTTGTAATGCGTCCAACCGATCCAGAAGAAGGAAATGACCAAACAAGGAGCTGCAAGACAAACGATCAAAAGACGTTCTTCTGGCGGAACGCGACCTTTCTTTTCTGCAGCATATTCTTCCATCTTTCGAACGTAACGTGGGTTGAAATACAAGATATAAACCAAAACTCCAACCACACCACCTAAGAACAAAGGTAAGAACATTATTCCGGTAATGAGCGCATTGAAACCGTGAACTTCTTCGTAGATGATAGGGTAAGCGCCGAACAAGAGATAGATGATACCGTAAACGAAACCGAGATACATCGCCATTGCCAACAAGATTGGTTCTTGTACCAACATGATAAAAGGGAATAGCAAAGTGTCGTGCAAAAGATGCTTGGCCACCAAAGGATGCATATCAAGAGGAGATTTGTAGTAATCTTCGCCGGTTTCTTTGCGAATTCGTGCGGCTTTGCGTTGTAAGATGACAGGTGCATAGGATTCCTTGAGAGTAAAGACTACTAAAATCAAACAAACTCCAGAGAAAATGGTACAGACCCAAAACATCCAACGCCAACTCGTACCAGTCACTTGGATCGCGCCACTAACGATGGGGGAAATGGCCGGTCCTGCAAAAGGAGCGATGGAGAACATTGACATTGCGATACCACGGCTCTTTGCATTCCACACATCAGCAATGCAACCACCAGAATTTGTAAGTGGTGCAGCGCCGAACACACCACCTAAGAAACGAAAAACGAGAATTGAAGCAGTGTTTTTGCTTAAAGCGCATCCAACGTTGAAACCTGTATAAAATAGAATGCTGACAACGAAAACCGGTTTGCGTCCTAATCTCTCACTTAGGGGCCCAAAGATTAGGGGGCCTAAACAGTATCCTGCTACCCAAATAGAGAGTGCCAAAACTGCAACTTCTTCACTAAAACCAAAATACGAGATCAATTGAGGTGTAACACCATTGGGCGCGGATGACGTAAAGGTGGAGTTCAAGACCAAAGTGGCTGCAAGAACTGTTAGCCAGCACTTGTAGGCAAATGACCAATTCAATGGATTTTCTGGATCATCATCACCTTCCCAATGAACGATGATCGGTTCACCTTTTTCCAATTTTGGTTTTTGACTTATAAAACGTTCCAAAGCTGCTTCTGCTCTTGAATGAGATAATGTTCCACCGAATGGATGAGCAGTTTCATCTCCGAATGTAGGTGCACGTCTTGAAAACGTTCTTGAGGCTGTCAAATTCTCTTCTTTGCCTTCATTTGTTCCTGTATAGTTGGGTTGTGCCATAGGTGCAAATTTTGTTGAAGCAGATCGTTGATGTTGTTTCCTTTCTGCGCTTCCTTCTTCATCAGATGAGTAGTTGTCGACATTTTCTCTCTCTTCGATTTCTGGATCAGTGCTTGACATACCAGGAGATGGTTGTTTTTCGATGTCCATAGCTTGGCTCATGATGGGCAAACTTCAATCGCGGGAAGGTATTGCTTGACTTACTTGTGTTCTTGATAGCGATGAAGATGGACGGGAGAAAGAAGAAGAAGTTTTTATGATTCCTTACTTGATTTATATACTCAATTTGTGGCTTTCTATTCAGTATCATTTGTAGTTTTTTCCTCCACCCACTCACATGCTGGCCGCGGTGGAATTTTTCTCCCGCGGTGCAGATCTTTTATTGTTGGTATAGAATGAGCCCCTGCCTATAAAAGTCCAACTTTTATGCATTTGGAAGCAATCTGCATCTTAAGCACAACGTCAGTCTTTCTATTTATTCGGATCTATGTACCTTACGCACGAAAAAGGAATAACAAAACTTCACGTAAACAAAATTTAGTAAAAGGCGTATGAGTGCAGTGCGCGTCTTTAACTCTCGATTCGGGTGAGAAGATGTTTAGGCCCGTTTTCATTTCTATGCGTCCAGGGCCCGTACCGTAAAGCGCGGGAACGATTGAAGCGGGAAGGAAACGAATCTAAACGCCGTACCGTCGGAAGCTATAGACCGAGGAAACGTCCTATCTCCATGACGATACATTCTAGTCAGAGTTTTATTTTTAATAACTATCTGACATTCACGGAAAAAAGTTTATCAAGAAATAATAATGCAAGGTACAGACATTAGGCAGGATTAGAGCTTTCTTCGTAGAAGTCATGTTTCTAATTTAAGTTGTCATCAATATTTATGAAATATCACACAAATCGTATACGTCATCGTCCCAAGGGCGTGCCATGCTCATTGCAATAATACTTCTACTTCCCTTTCAACCAATACGATGATCACATTTCCAGGCTGGCTAGCAAATAATTTAATGAGAAGGGACGTCCGAGGCAACGGCTGTTAGAAGCATCTATGCCTCCCTTTAGTAGTAATTGCCCTTATAGCTCAGTGGCAGAGCGCATCACTTGTACACTGCTCTTTCGCCTGGAAGATGCAAACGGATGTCATGATGAGGTCGGTAGTTCAATCCTGCCTGGGGGCATTTATTATTGTATCTTTTTTTCTTGCGCGCAAGCACTGGCGCGGTTAGTTTTTTGCCGGAGCTGACAAACTTGAATGAAGAATCTTCTTGTCATCGCAAAGGATTATGGTTGTCTCGATGAGGAAGTTTAATAGAAGAACGTATCTCTGTCCGCGATCACCAACCTTTATAAACATTTGTTTGTAGAAGTTCCTGGTACAATCAGCTCTAAAATCCGATTGGCTCCGATTGGTCCGGCACGCGTGAGTGATATTACGCGGGGTTCAGGCTGTCGCAAAGCCTGCGCTTTCAGCCAATAGGCGCACGAGAAGGAGAAGCGCTAACAAGCCCTGCCTTAGTTAATGCGATCGAGCGGGTGTACTCCTTTTTACCATCATCATCATCGTTCACCTCCTTCAAAGCTCGCCAAAAGATGTCGTTATTCCCAAGTACAGCACGTACTGGTGTTTCGGCTTTGGCCGGATTGCGCTCTTCTGCGCCAAATGCATCATCAATGTTCCGTAGATCGTTTACTCCATTAGCATCAAATGCTGCAATGAAAGGACGTTTGTCAGAACAACAACAACAATCACAAAAGAGTATGACAATGCTCAAATCCAATGCAGCTCCATCTCCTGCTGCTATGGCAACACATATGATGATCAGACCATTCATGCATTCAGCCAAACGTTCATCTGCACCAACAAGTCAATATTCACAAGGAGAAGCATTAACATTGCTTAACGAACAAAGATCATTACGACCCAACAGTCCTCATTTGACAATTTACCAACCACAAGTGACATGGTACTTGTCTATCTTGACACGTATGACAGGTGTTGGCTTGAGTGTCTTGTTTTATGGTTGGGCAATCACATACTTTGCTTTGCCTTATACAGCCGTCGGACAAGCATTCACATCTGCTCATCTCATCAATTATGCAGCAATGGCACCTTTCTGGCTCAAGGTTGGTTTAAAGGCACCAATCGCTTTCGCGATGAGCTTCCACTCTTATAATGGTTTGCGTCACTTGGCTTGGGATATCGGATATGGTTTGTCAATGAAGGGTGTTTACATGGGTGCCTACATCGTTTTGGGTGCTTCCGTAGCTACGACGGCATGGTTGCTCACTCTTTAAAACGGCTTCTATCACAATATGTATTCTGCTTTGATTCAATAAATTGTTTGCGATGATGATATGATACATAAAGTTTGATTGTACACAAACAAGAAGATTAATGAGCAAACAGACCCCAGTCTTGCACCTTTAATGAACTAGCCGCACGCATGAAAGCCTCTTGAGCACTTGCACTCAAACTTCCTTCAATTCTTGCATCTTGTTCAGCATTCGCCAAAGCATCAGAAGCCAAAGGTTCATTCAAACTCATGATCAGATCAACATCTTTTGCTGGTGTAAAGCGCCATAATGCCAAATAGATTCGTACTCGATCACCTGCGCCTGTTCCTTGACCGAACTTTTTCACTGTTTGATGACCAACAAGTAGGAGTGGAGCAGGTGTTGGTGTTGAGCTGTTGAGTGTGCCGGACAGTACTGGCTGTCCTGGGCTAGTCCCTGGAATTGCATAAATTTCTTGTACTTCTGAAGATGTTGCATCATTGTCGTGTGCCAAAGAGTCAAAGTGGAAGCTGTATCGTGGGGTATTGTCAGCTTTCCCGTCAGAGACTTTTGACGTGAACACACTTACCGAATTGCAGCTTCCAGATCATCTGCGGCTGAACCTTCTTTGACGCTTTCTAGTACCTCTGTAATCATTGTGAGATCATTATTTGGACTCAAGAGAACCTCCTGGTTATCGGGTACCTGCCTCAAGTCACTGTTCATGAGGGAGAGTGAGTGTCTAAAGTGTATAATGCTGCCTATCTTCCCTACTCACCTGGCGTCAAGCCAATCTTTTGCAATGTTGGCAGTAATAGCACCGCCAAATAAAGGTTTTGAGTTCTGATCTACCGTCATATTTGTTATGTATGTGGTGTTGATCACGATAGCATGTATGATAAGAGGTGGAGCTGGATATTGGCTACACAGCCTGTTTGCCTTACCCTCTCTTACGCGCCAAAGTGAAATGAAAGCTTATTTTTAATTTTATTTGACTCTACACGTGCAAAGAATTTTTTGGATTTTGGATGTGCTCTTCCTCCAAATTAACCTCTTTCTGTCCTATGCGTCCTCACCATCACCTCAAAAGAGCACGCAGACATGGCTTCTTCTTCTAGCGATGCGACGCCGGTGGCAGGTGGAAAGGGAGAAGGAAACTTCAAACACATCGGGAACAAGATGAAAAGACAGGAGATGTACAGAAAACACAGAAAGACAAAGCGGGAAGAAAAATTAAAGAAGAGAATACAACAAGCAAAAGAAGAGAAAGGGGAAGGAGGAGCAGAAAAGAAGAAAGCAAGATTGGCAAAGAATATACCCAGAACGATTGAACGTACACGAGATTACAATCCTACCATCATCAATGCACCTAATACCCATGATGGTCCAGGATATTCTTTGCCGGTCGAAGGAAGTTCAAAAGATTTGGCTGAATCAGGAGATGAAGAGCAGGAAGGGGATGTGGAAGAAGAGGAAGAGATGGACGAAGAAGAGGATGAGGATGACCCACATGCACCTCCCGCTTTATTGATCACAACATCTTTACCCTCCAACAGCACTTCACCACACCTTTCTTCGGCAAATGCTCGATCACATCCAGCCGAACGAACGAGAGAATTTGTAGATGAATTGCTCAACATCTTTCCCGGAGCAGAGTACAGACCCAGAGCAAAAGCAAAGGGAGTGGGACTGGGCAAAATTGCAGGTTGGGCACGTACACGAGGCTATAACGGAATGATTGTGGTGGGAGAAGATAAGAAAGAACCCTTCAGTCTAACAATCATTGGCTTACCAGAAGGACCAACTGCTTTCTTTCGATTGACAAACATTGCCATGAGAACGGAAATTGAAGGACATGGGCGTTCTACCGGACATACACCTGAATTGATCTTGAACAACTTCACTACATCGTTGGGACATCAGATTGGAACACTTTTGCAGAGCCTATTTCCACGTATACCCCAATTGGAAGGCAGACAAGTGGTGACAGCGCACAATCAACGTGATTATATCTTCTTTCGTCGACACAGATATATGTTCAAACATGAAGAAAAAGCCAATTTGCAAGAGATTGGTCCAAGATTCACCTTGAAGCTACGATCACTAAAAGATGGCCTTCCAAAAGGAGCCGGTGTTTGGGACGGCGAGATACACTTTGACGGCAAACCAAAGGAAGTTGCGGCGCCAGATGAAGACGGCGAACAATCTTCCGAACAAACTCAAACAAAAAGAAAACGAACTCAACGAATTGATGATGAACAAACTGGATTATCGTTTGAATGGAAACCGAAGATGGGCGTATCCCGAAGAAACTTTTATTTGTGACGAAATGATTTCCCTTTTGTTGTGGCTTTTCTTTTGCGCATTTTTTGTATACATACATATCACATCACATTTAAACCTTCTTGATTGTCAAATTACCGTTGCGGAGAATTGACTCGGTCCGTCAGAGTGTGGCGAAAGGATAACAGTCGGTTTTTGCTTTGTCCTCATCTCGGGGTTTCACTCTTTCTTTCCGTCAATGCAAGGATCTCTCGTGTATCGCGGCTAACAACAGTATTGTTTCACAAGTGGGGATCAAGGCGATGTCCTTTTTTGAGGGGCAAAGATAAGCATAGCCACTCTCTATTAGAACGGGGGGATGGCGTGCGATTGCTGTGTGATCTTCAGATTTAGACCTTTTGATCGGCAACGTCCGTTTTCCAAGCTTTTTGCACCTTTATCAGAGTTGATTGTTTGTGATCTGAACGAGTATTGTGTGAACGATCTGGATATGAAATGGCATAGTTTACCCTCACAATCTGAGCACAAACAAAAAAGTGGAAGAAAAAACTTCCTTGCATATTCATCTTCAATTTCGGAGTATTTTGATTTTGCCAAAATTGAGTTTGAAATTGTGTATCGGCTGTCATTGCAGGTAATTTGCGATTTCAAACGCAGCCCATCGTTGTGTTTCGGTGTGCTTAGCGAACATGTACCAATTTGGAGTGAAATTGATGACGAAATTACACTCGAAGATAAGAGAATGATTTCTTTCAATAACAAAACAAAAACTTCATTTGCCTTTTTTTCTTCTTGCATCATTTCCAACTCCGTTAGGGACTGTCCTGTGAGAAGAGCATCCGATCCGGAGTGCAATCGTTATGCGATCCCCTTTTGTTCTTGTGCGTTATTGCAACACTGCCCTTCTCCGCCTTTTTACTCCCTTTGTTGAGCATGAAGAAGTGTTTAGACGAACACAAGAGGCTAAATAGTGATCGAGCACAGGTGTGATCATAGCATTTTTCTGTTTTTTCTTCTTTCTTGGAATGGCGTCGGTGATGGCGTAATGATGGAAAAACGTTTTCAAAACATCATTTCGTAAATATATGCACAAAGGAAAGAGAAAAAAAAATACAATTTCGGGGAGCCGCTCTTTTCAAAAGCATTCGAAACACCGCTTCGTTTATCCATCACAAAGGGGAAAAACATGAATTCAATGCATTTATGCGGATGAAAGACAAGGGGCGTTGATGACGGCTGCATACAATCCTTTTGTTTCGCATTGATTGAAATGCATCTTTCCTGTGCATTTCTTATCGTAAAGTCACATTCAACTAATTTCCAAGTCAGTAAAAGATGATAGCGTACACACGCACACATGCAAACCCACACAAAGCAGATCTTTTGGCCATGGGTACATAAACACTTGTTCACAATCTCCATCTCTTCATCTCATCACGAAAGAGAATAATAGATTACTACCATCATAACTTCTTTCAAAATGACAGCAAAAGTAACATCGTTTACAAACATGTATACAATGCATAAACCAGAATTATGCTTTCCAGGTTCATCATCTCCATTGAAAACACCTTTGCCTTCTTTGGCATCTCAAATCGAAATTCCTGATCCACATCCTGATTATGAACTCATTCTGAAAACCATTCGTGCACAAAGAGCAAAGTTGAACGGTTTGGAAGACCATGAAGGACAAGGAGCACCAAAAACTTCTGATTCTAGCATTCATTCTAGTCCAACGCCTTCACCGGGTACACCACCTTCTGCAGATGGTAGACATACAAATCAAACGGTGATTGTTGGATCCGATTCAATGGCAGGTCAAGTGATCGATCTTGAAACAGTGCAAAAGCAACAAACTCAATTGTGCGCAAAAAGCACTTTGGATGCACAAATGACAAACAATCAAATGCTCAATGGTCTACCACAAGCATACAACAGCGTCAGACGAACAAATTGTGGTCTCTTGGCACCTCAAAGTTTGTTCGAGATGAGCTTTGCAAGACCGGCACTCATTCATGCAACCAATCGTCACAAGATTGTGTCCAACAAATATGCCACAGCAGCAGACCCACGTGGTTATATTCCAGTATACGAATATGAGATCAATAATACCACAATTTTGATCGATCAAGAAAACTCATACATTCTATTGACCAGTATCTGCAAAGCACTTGGACCATGGCGTACGGATATCGTTCGTCAAGTGGAAGCAGTGCCTGAATTAGAAAGCCTTTGTCGTCGTATCCGTGGTGGATTTCTCAAAATTCAAGGAACATGGGTGCCATACAAATTAGCCTACGAACTTTGTAGAAGGGTTGCTCATAACATTCGTATGGATCTCGTTCCAATCTTTGGTTTCGATTTTCCAGAAAAGTGTTTAAGTCCGGTTGATGTAGGATTCGGTGAATTGCGTATCTTGACAAACGGAAGAAGAGGCAGAAAATCAACAGTAGCTGCAATGACGGCAATGAATAATTTACCCGTTCATATCAAAGACAAATATTCACATTCAATCGCTGTTGCCAATGCATCGATGGCATACGGCAACAACAGTGGCAAAGCAGGTGCCATGATGAATGTACAATCATCGACACCATTGGCAAACACCACTAATCAACATGCAAATTTCACAGCCATGACAAACAGTGCAGCACCTTTCACTTCCCGTGTGGTTCTACGTCCACATCCGTATGCAGTCCGTTCCAAATTGGCATTTTTAGCCAATCGAAAAATGATGGCCGATCAACAGTATGCTTTGATGGCCCAGCAACTTGGCTCCACTCAACAGCAGCAGCAGGCAAAACAGCAGCCTATCATGAATATGTCTCAGCCGTCACAACGTATCTGAAAGTATGCAAATTTTTTCATTCTTTTTTTCTCTGTTTCCTTTGTATCATGTCATCTTCTGTGTAGCCTCTTTTCAAAAACTTTCAGTCAAAATTGATCATACGTGTATCATTTGTTGTGTTGGTATAGTGTACATTCGTTCGTTCAAATTAAACAGCCTTTTTGTCCGAACGATCGATTCGATCACCTAATGGGTTTGGCCCTGTATACAACGTGAACTGTGGCTTCTCGTTGTTGATATACCTCGTTGCCAGTTCACTTAAACTTCTACCGGCAGGTCTTTGTGATGCATTTCGTGGATCGGTTTCGTAGATGTAATAGGCAAATACACCCGTTGCGATACCCAATAAAGGGTCCAATGCTCTGTATAGTGATTGAGAAAAGATCAGAGAATGTCCATTGCTGCTTACGATGTCCGAACATACCTTCCAACAAGATATTGCACCATTGTTGATCACAATCTGGATCGAATAGGATGATGGCAAGAGCAAGGTTGTTAGCACGATTTAAGCTAACAGTCTTTGGCGCGTGCATTTTTCTCCCTGTGGAGCAGCTGCTCTCTATTCACACTTAAACAAACCACACGATGATATAAAAGAAAACAATGATAATGATGACAAGAATATAAACACATGTGGAATCTTCCCTCTACAACTTAGAGCCAGAAGGATCTGCTGCTGTACCGATACGTTCATAAACAGTTGCTGCATTTGTACTTGGAACGCTTGTATGCATGTTCAAAGCACGGGTATCAACCATTTCAGGAACCAAATCCTTCAAGGTGGGAGCACCGATCAAACGCATATCCATCTCCATTTCAGCTTTAAGAATTTTGATAGCATGTTGAACACCATCTGCTCCATAAGCTGAATAAGCATACAAGAACGGACGACCGATACCCACTGCAGTTGCGCCCATTGCGATCGCCTTAAGAGCATCACTTGCACGACGAATACCACCATCAACAAATAATTGGAAATTGGAAGAGTATAATCCACGTTTCTTCAATTCAGGCACAACTTCTGCCAAAACTTCAATACCCGATCTGGCAAAGTCTAATTGACGACCACCATGATTGGAAAGTACGACACCAGAAAGTCCCATCTCTGCAGCGCGAACGGTGTCTTCCCAAGTTTGAACACCTTTGAGAACGATTGGCAAACGTGTGATACTGCGTAACCAATGCAAATCGTCCCAATTCAAACTTGGATCGATGAAAGAAGAAATTGCACGTGCTGCTCCTTGACTTCTGTCTACATTGTCCTTGTTTTCAACTTGCTCACGACTTCCTACATCGTCAAACTTGATTCTCATATCCTTTTCACGACGTCCCAATTGAGGTGCATCAACGGTGACGAATAGAGCACGGACACCACGTTGTTCTGCACGTTTAAGTGTCTTTTCAGTCACTGCACGGTTGGAATTGATGTATACTTGGTAGAATTGTGTTTGTTGTTCATGAGTGCGAGCGTCAACAATTTCATCGAAACTGCAACTGGCCAAAGTTGGAATCATTTGAATAATATTTTCACGTCCAGCAGCAACTGTGAGATTCTTTTCACCTTCTGGATGTCCCAATTTACCCAAAGCGGTAGCTGTGATATAAATAGGCAAAGAAGACTTCCATCCTAAAAGAGAAGTACTGTAATCCACAGTGGAAACATCTCTCAAAATACGTGGACGGAACCAAATACGACCGAAAGCGTTGTTGTTTTCACGCATTGTAACTTCATCATCTGAACCGGAAGAATAATAAGCCCAAGCGGTACCCTTTAAAACTTGACGGGCAACCACTTCGAAATCGTACAAGTTCAAACATTGATCCAAAGGAGGAATAGCTTCTTTGTTCTTTGCGATTTGTTTATCTTCTTCTGATTCTTCCTTCTTTTCTTGTTTGACAGTAGACATGTCTACCTTTCCCAAACATTTCTCTTTTGGAAGATTTTCTTCCAATGTTCCGGGTGGATGAATTGGATCGTATGCATCTGTTGCATCTTTTCCGGCATATTTGAGAATGATACCTTGACCTCCTGGATGATCAGGTAAGAATTCGGTTACATCGTATGCTTCTCCATGAACGATGACATAACATGATTCTTTGTTGTTATGCTTTGCCACTTCTTCACCGGTTAACATTTTGGCAGACATGTTGAGTGATTTGATGTTATGATGATGAACGGGGAAACGTGTGAAGGGATTGAAAGGGAAAAGGTACCTGGTAATTTATGGTATTTGGCGTACTTTTCTCCTGAGGTGTGTTTTTTGGTGTAAGACTTGTTATGGTAGGGAGCAGGGATGGCAAGGAAAGAAGAATGAAATCAAGTGTGGGGAAAGAGTCTTTTTATCTGCATATATTACCTTCACTTCCAAAATTATGATCGATTCAACGGAATAGCCGAAAAGGCCGCTGGATCGGGCATGTACAACAATACTGTTCATTTGCCTTAATTCGGGTTTTGGTTACAAGCTGACGTAGTCTTCACCTTAAGAACGCGCTGATTATGTACACACACACGTCTTTCGGCTTTTATGCTCTACACCAGCCAATGACATCAATTCTTCCTATGCCCGCTCAATCCAATTCGCATAATGCGTCTACATCCGCTACGCATTGCACTTTACTCGGCCTTATCAACAGACCGAGTACAGGCTTGGCAATGCAATTTGGCAGGCGGGCGGGCGAGCGGGGGCATCCTGTCCACATCGGAAATGCACCAAAAAGACGGAAAAATAGGAAATCAAGGAAAATGCAAAAAGACTCCTCACACACAAAGTCAATCAAAATAGAATGAAAAATTACGTTTTGCTACAATTAGTGATACATTTAGGTTTCATTGATTATGAGTATAAAGGCGTATCGTTAGGTTCCGTTTTCATTTATGATACTGTGGCAAAGGCTTGAGGTGGAATTGAGCCATTCGCCTTGAGGGCTTGAAAACGTTCAAATGCTAATTGTGCATTCCAGGCGTTCTCATTCAAACATTGAACGGCAAACGGATATGTCAAGCCGGTCTGCGTTGCTAGTTGAATGGACATCGAATGTTGTTCAGCCGAAAGACCAGCAGCAGGTTGAATGTTTTGCAGGTGTGCTGGAACATTACCTGGTTGTTGCTGTTGTTGTTGCTGCTGAGAACCCGTAGCCGGTGCTGCAGTATTTCCACTGGCACCTTTATTCCATGCAGCTGTACCTGCATATTGTCTGACAGTCAGTTGATCCGAGATGATCACACATGGCCAACCTAGATTAGCCGCCGTAGACCCAGGCAAAACAGGTGCAACAACAAAACAACGAGAGAACGAACGCACACCTTGTGATGGCGCTTCTGCAAATTCGCCATGGACACTGATAAACAATAAAGCATCCGGTTTGGTAGATTGTCCATCTGCTGAAGACATTGTTGCATTGATTTGATTATTGGGCAATAACCAAGCATCAAATGCAAACTTTGCCGGATCAGTCAACGGATGCGTGGTTTTAGGTAATTTGTTGAATGTGCCTACGATTGCACCTTGTCCACGAGGAAATCCTTTATTGGCCGGTCTTACGCCTAATTGCATGATATTGTGGCTCACGATCTCCTTGTACGCTTTCCATTGCAGATCGCGCTGTCTCGGCATCGTGTTGATATAATTTTGCCATCTTGCCCTTGGCGGTACGGCGGGGGAGGTAACAATCGTAAACGTTGCATCATTAGAATACGCCGATCGAAGTGACGATCGATCATTGTCGAACAGCTCAAAGTATTTTGCCAAAAAGGGCGGTACGATAGATTCTGCGTGTTCATCGACAAAGTTGCCGTTTGGTATTGACAATGGGAATTCTCGCAACTCTACTCCTGCATTTGCAGCTCCTTGTGCGATTCCAACTTGATCTTTCTTTGAGGCTGACGATCCAGGTAATTGGGCAAAGCCATGCTCGGTTTGCGAAACAGGCTTCTGATCCAGCATGGTCAGAGTTGGAAAGCGTGCCAAAATTTCTGCTCGGTATCCTTGCTCATTACCAGCCGATACGGCATTATCGTGTACGGGATTATCGGTTAAAATCAGTTCTTGTAACTGTTTGAACTTTGCTGTTGCTCGTGAGTTCACGTGATGGAATGATAGATCCTTTACCCATTTGATGTCATTATTTTGCAGCGAAAGATTCTTCAAATTGGGTAGAAACTCTGGAAGAGTGGTCACCGGAATAAGTGATTTGAGGTCGTTCCTCGCCAAAGAAACTGTGATAAGATTGGGAAACATTTCTCTGCTCAATTTCCACATCACACTTCCTATATCCTTGTGAGCTCCCGCTGTGCCTGGTGCTTTGATGTCTTCTTTCAGCAGTATCTGATCGGATGACATCGCTTCCAGGTTCAAAAATTGTGCGTCAACATTGAATCTTGAATTCAAAAATGCTTTTAGCGTAGAGACAGTTTTTCCAGTGGTATGTTGAGTTGTCGAAGATCCTCCGGAATTGTTCATCCGAGTCAAAAGAGAATCCCCACTGTTTCCACCTCCGCCAGGAACTCTTCCCCTTTTACCGTTTCCGTTCTTGATCAAATCTGATACTGGCATTGGGCCTTTTCCTTTGCCTCCTCTACCTGCACCACGAATGCCGAAAGCCTGGCCAGTGACCATTGGATCTTGTGATCCGCCAGGTCTAGCACCCATCGGATTGGCTCTCAATCGTGCTTTTTGAGAAGATTGGTTTCCGCCACTTCTTGTTTTATTTCCTTCTCTTGCTTGACCTCTTCCTCTTTGTGCTCTACTTGGACCTGCTGAGCTTACGTCACGCATTCCTAAATCTTCATCAACCAGTCCTGCTCTTTTCAAAGTTGCACCTGCCACTCCGCCAGTTCTAGGTCTTCTACCATTATTCTTTCCGCCGCCGCCGCCACCATTAAAAGCTGAACCATTTTGTGATTGGGCACCAGTCAAAGCTGCAAATTGGTTGGTTGCCATTCTCCAATTAGGCTTAACTGATCAATGATAGATCCAGCCTATCAAATGCAAATTCAAGAAATGAAAGACTGTTCGTATGCTTGTTTCAGTGGTTCAGTAAGATTGATGGCGATAAGAAAAGAGGTGGAGATGGGAATGTAGAAATGATGATTGGCTTTTTGAGCCTCTTTGACCTTTTTTGGCGTTTGTGCCTCCCTGGCCACTCAGCAGCACAGAGTAATAATCTTTTAGGCTGAAAATTATTGGCGTCGCGCTCACGTGTGCAACGCGTTGATTGAATTGGAGTGCAACACTTCCATTGACAGTAAGAATAAGGCATGACCCACCTTATCTTCTAAGATCTGAAATGACTCTAATAAATCACTGCTAAGGAAAAGACAACTTCTTCTTCTAAAGATTCTTGACCATTATCCAAATCTCAATACCAATGACAGACTCGACCCCTGAAGCAGTACTAAGATCGCGCTCAGATAACCTTTTTAATTTTTCAAAGGCGGCCAAGGTTTGTGTTAATTGTAGTAAACAAAAGGACGCGTTTATTCCGTTGATATTGTTTGAGTGTAATTTCCCCCTTTTTCCAGTTTAAAGTAGAAGCTCAATTAGCGCAAACATACGAATAAACACACAACAGTAGTCTTAATTTTTACACCGTTCTACTACTGACACTGTATTTTACACGATTGATTGCGCATTTGAAAGGTTGTGCATACATTCATTCATTCTACATAACATTCATCTTCCTCTTCCTCTTGTTCATCCGAGACTGAGATAAAAGAAAACAAGCTTGACAAGGAAAAAGCTCACTTCTTTCATCTCTACCAACCACAACACGGACCGGAACGGCAAGTAAAAGTAGGCGCCCGCGTATCATACACCCAATCGGAGGCGAGTATCTATTGTATATTGTGAGTATCCATCACACAGAAACTTCTAAGAAGCATCTTCTCCATTTTGTGTTCAAGACTGACTTAAACAATCTCTCCCCCTCTCCTCCTTCGGAACCGCCTTTTTCTTCATTTGCCAACGTTCTCTTTCGTCACCCGAAATGAATCATCATTTAGCCTAAAGAATTATATCTTTATATAAACCGGCATGTCTTCTCGGTACGCCTCAATGGACGGATCAACATCGCCCCTTAGCTCAAAAAGCGCTGCTGCTTCTGGACTTTTGAACATGCGTAGACCACTTGCAAGTGGAAGAAAAAGTATTGCAAGCCTAAGGCAACAAGCTTCCAAAGGAAGTATTCGATCTACACTCGATTACGGACCAAGTGATGGCAATCAAGAAGATTCAGATTACGAAGGAGAATCAACTTTTGACGCACCAGAAACAACAATGTCGAATCCTGAACCAGAGCAAATCACCCAAACCCTTGCAACGTATATGAACTATGCAGACAAAGGAGCAAGTGCAGTGGGTGAACTTGGGCAAACGCTCTTGGTTCAACAATCTCGTATGAGGGATCTGTTGGAGCGTGTTCAAGGTCGTGAATCAGCTCGATTGGTGGAAGAAACACAAAGAGAAATTGAAGAGATGCGATATGACCAACAACGTCTGATGATGGAATTATTGCAATCGAGTAATATCGATATGAGGGAACTGCTCGGCCCATTCGGTCCGCAGCAAAGCTCAACACCCAACAGACCTTCACCACAAAAGAGAAAAGGTAACGAACAGGGTCTCATCGAAAATAAAGTTCTAGTCAATGATCTACATACCCATCTTGCAAATGAAATACGGAGACTGCAAATATTAATCGCAGAGCGCGATAAAGCTTTGGTAAACATGACTGAAGCTGCTGAAGAAGCTGTTCGAATCAGATCAATTCTCGAAACATCAGTCAAGCGACTAGAAACTGAAAAGGATGCTCAAGATGCCACTCTATACGAAGTAGAACGAAAAGAGGAACTCTTACGCGAGGAAAACGATGAGATTACTCGTCAATTGAAGAAGCATGAGAATGAACTCCGCGTATTGAAACGCCATTTGTCCGAAAAGACAGATGCCGCAGAGACCTTCAAAGCATCAAATGAAGAACTTGAACAAAAAGTGGACGACCTTCGTGGCAATGTTGCCACCCTTCGAGCGAAATCTGTGGCAGACCAAAAAACCATCAGTGGTCTCAAAGTAGAAGTGAATGATTTGGAGCTAAAACATAGACAAGCCGTTGAAAAAATCCCTCAAAGTGTCAGTATTGCAAGCAGATTATCGCAAGCACTCGATTCAACCGGAGATGCAACGCAAATTGCTGGAATGGGAGGCTTGGGTCCAGACTCGCCAAGTCGTGCAAGAGGTGCACATGACAAAGCTCTTACACCAACAGCCTCAGTGGATGACGATCTTGCTTCTCGCCTTCGTCCAAATTTAGCAGTCAAGAATATGGAAGCAGAGATGACAAAATGGCGCAATGCTGCAATGAAGTACCGCAAGAAGTTCAACGATATGCGTAAACAAGGCGTCAGTGAAGGAAAAGCTTTCGAGCATGATGACTCAACCGATGAAGAAGACGAAGAATTGTGGCAAGATGAGAATGTCGCTCCAGGCTCAAAACGATCAGCCAATCGTTCACGAATCGTATCATCGTCAAGCATCAACAAAAAAGGCAAATCTATGGGAGATGCATTCGGCTTTGGACGTAATAAGCGAGCGTCATGGCAAAGTCAACAAGATTTGGTGGAAAATTCGTTTGATGATGATGATGCAAGCAGTGTTGCTGAGAGTTCTGTAAGAGGTTCTATTGATGGCTTTGATCCTCAATTTGCCGATCCAACCATTCGCAGTGGTGGTAATACAAAACGCAGATCAACCTACACACCATCCTCTTTGGCCAAAGCAAGCCCTCTTTCACGTACTATGGAGTTGGTCGAAGACGGAAAGAGTGAAGCAGGTGATTCGTTCATGTCGCACGGACGCTCAGCATCCATCAATCAGCAACGCGGCGTTTTGGGTGATGAATTGATGGGCTTGGGAGATCAAGAAGAAAGAATAGTAGAAAGTGAACATCAAGCTATTCTAGAACAATCCTTAGCTGAAAGAGATTCGCACCACGAGCAACACGTACAAGAAGTCCAAAGTCAACACCAAAACGTTCTCCGTCAAATTACCAACGAGCACACAGAACGAATCGCCGCATTGGAATCAAACCACAAAGAAGCTTTGACAAAGGCTTTGTCAGACAAAGAAGTTGTTCATAATGAGCATATTGAAGTCATTCAAAATGAGCACATGAATGCTTTAGCACAACAGAAAACAGAACATGCCCGTGCTCTCGAGGTAGCTAACAAACGTTATGCTGATACCCTTTCATCTCGCGACCTCGAGCATGAGAAGCAAGTAGTCGAGAAGGACTCTCAACATGAATCAAAGATCAAAGACATTCAGTCTCGCTTGACCAAAACACACGAAAATTCGATGAAGGATGCCAGAGAGCGACATGCTGAGACATTGAGCAAACAACGCGAAGAAGCTCACGAGGCACTCTTGGCCGCACAAAGGGAGCACAAGCATCTCTTGGAAGAGCATACTCGTGTTCATGCTGATACGTTGAAGCGTAAAGAGGCACAACATGAACGTGAATTGCGTTCACGTGAGAAGGAACATCATGAATTGCTGGAAGATGTCCATGCTACCCATGAATCATTCATCAAACAGCGTGACGCTGCTTACAATGATCATATTGCTAAACGTGATGAGATTATCAAAGAGCGAGATCAAGAATTGTCAAATGCACAATCCCGTATTCATCATTTGGAGGACGAGCTAAGCTCAATGAAGCACACAATTTCTGAATTGGAAGCAAAAGTGTCTCGTCTATCCTCCGAATTGGAAGATCTGCACGCACAGGAACATCTACGCACCTTGCCTGTGGAAGCTGAGAACGAGGTCTCGAGAGAGATTCCTTCTTCTTCTCGTTCACAAATCAGTCAAGATGAATTCGAAGATGCCATCCAAGGAGATGAGACAGCAAAATCTCCAGTCAAGCCCAAGAGAGAAGCCGGTAGTCAGACAGACTCTACAGAATCAAAGGAAGTCAATGGAGAAGCGGCTGTACATGAAGATGCTCCAATTGCAGCCAAGCCTGTGCAAGACTCTAAAGAGGTCCAAACTTCGCTACCTCCTATGCCAGATATGCCTCCTCCGCCAACCCTAAGCAGTTTGCTTGCCAAAGCAGCTCGTCACAATGAACAAACATCAAAGAAGGACATGGACCCACCCAGCCGTCCCACTTCTCCTCCTCCTGGCGAATTGGTTGCGCGTTCGTCACAAGGAAATGCTACTCGTGGCAGCCAAGTTAATACTGCTAGCGGTATGGCTGGTATTGATGGCTTGCCAAGACCTTCAAGTCGTCTTGCTTCAGGTCCACCTCCAAGCGCTTACATGCAAGGCGCACCTCGTCGTTCTGGACCACCATCTGTTCGCAATCGTACAATGTCTAATGAAGGCTCTGGTCGTCATCCGATGCGAGCACCTTCTGCACAGTCATTCGTTTCTGATGCCACTTCTGATATGATGTCAGGACGTACATCACGAGCATCAAACTACACCAATGGTGGCTTGGATTCTTCCTATGTGAGAAGAGGTGCAAGCGGTGGTGGAGTAGCAGCCGGAATGATCCCGGGTCAAGGAAGCACAAATCCAGTCGTTTTGGGTTCCATCACCCAAACGATGATTGGTGATTACTTGTACAAGTACACCCGTAGATCAATGGGACGTGCTAATAAACGTCATCGTCGCTACTTCTGGGTGCATCCTTACACACGTACGCTATACTGGACCATGACTGCACCTTCTGAAGCTGTATCAACTGAAGTTGTCAATAAGAGCGCCTTCATTCAAGATGTGATTGTCGTTGAAGATGAAAATACTCAACCGCCAGACTTGTATCACCTCAGCATCGTCATTTCGACTTTGACTCGTGATGTGAAAATTACTGCACGCGATAAGACGCAACACGATACATGGATCACCGCTTTGGGATACTTGGTCAACAAGGAATTACCAAGCGAAAGGAAGCAAGCGCCTGCTGAATGGCGTCAATCGATCAGTCGTGCAAGTCTACCACGTCAAAGTCATAAGAACAATTCTGCCTTATTTGGCGATTCTACTTCCTCGAGAACACCTGCTGGACGTCGGTCAGTCATGGGAATCTCGGGAATGTCACCTTCAAAGAGCGCAAATGCGGTTCAAACTTTGCGTACCACTTCTGCTCTTGGCGGAGAATCTGAAAGAACACCTAGAGCACGCGGAGCAAGTGTTGGAGGCAAAGGTGTCAATTATCCCTCCTTATTGCACAGGCGTGATACAGCCGCAAGAGAATACCTAGAACAATGGGAAACTGAGCATGGTTCATCAGCTCTTATGGAAGATCACGATGCCACTCCACGTGCAGGTGCAACGAGCAGTATGAGTAAAAGAAGCGCTCGTAGCGGTCGTGGTAGCTTAGCCCGTGAAATGTTTGGAAACGTCCGTAGAAACAGCGCTTTCAGTTCATCCGGAGCTCAAACAGTCGATGATGGCAGATTCAAATCTGCCGAAGAAATGCTGGCTGAGGATGAGGAACGTACAGGCTATGATGGTTTGGACAATGTACGTGCCTGCTGTGACGGCAAGCATGATATTGGCAAACTATCCGTCAAAGGACATCAACACCATCATCATCCAGCAAGACCATCAAGCAGTGGTACTGGATCCGTTCGATCGCGTATCAGTACACCAAGTCTTTTACGACGTTCTTCAAGAGCTAGCAAGATAGCCGGCAAAGACGCTGAAGCACGTCCCGAGGTGCCAAGCTTACCACCACAACTTGGTCAATTAAACATCAACAATTTATCTACGGATACAAACAGAGAAGGAAAATTGGGTGCTACATCCAATGATTGGTTCCCTGCAACTTCTGAATTTGGAACTGCGAGCGGAAGGGCGACACCTGCTTCAGATGTTGCACCCGACGTGGTAGTGACGGATCACAATGAAACAATCACACCTTCTAATCACATCTCCTTTATCGATCGAGTCACTCAAGTTCGACGAAACCGTGCCAGTGCTTCTATTCGCTGATGATTTGTATATCTTGCTCTATCTTTCCTCTTTACTTATTTTTGTTACTGTGTAACACTCTTCATCTTCTTCAAACACTCTTTTGACATTTATTTTTTTTGTAGATTTATGTGATTTATTTATACGAATGTACAATGGCATTTGACGAAACTTGAAGAGGCTTGATCAATGAGGTGCATCTTCGTCATCGCCATAATGACTTGCAGCCCACGGGCTACGTTTACGAATTTCTTCTCCTTTCCAAAAGAAGAACCATGAAACGGGGATCAGGGGGACACTGACGAAAGCGATCAAAGAAGTGGCCCAATGAATCCCAAGGCTGTGAAAGAGGGAAGGAAGCAGTGTTAGTAGAGTACTTTGTATGATATACGATCAGGATGTGCAACTCACTTTTTATACATTGGCGCACCGGCAAGGGGCAAGCCTGCACCGAACAAATTACGAACGAGAACGACGGCACCCAGAGCAGAAGCAGCATATTCTCTGTATGCATCCACGGTCCAAGACATGATTCCATACAAAACTTGAAAGAATCCAACTCCAAAGACTGCTGCTCCAATAAGAGGAACGACTGGAGAAATGGAAGGATAACAAGTCCATGCAAAGATGAACAAACCGATTGGTAATAAACAACAGCCAACCACACCGCTTGCCATTCTTGCTTCGGGGACACTTTGACCTGCTTTTTTGATTTGACGTTGATAAAATGGTTCTTGGGTGAAAAAGTATATTCCGAATCCAATAAATTCACCAATCACAAAACTGACAAATGTGATTTGCACGACACCGGAATGCTGGAATCCATAAGCACTTTCTGGACCGAAAACACTATTGAATGCATCATTGAATAAGAAGATTAATCCATAGAGCAATCCGTTCCATAAAGCGGCAAACATTGTGATCGGTTCAGTGCATAAGAAATATATTGGACGTGAAAGCGAAATTTTGAATAAAGTAAGCATTGACTTACGCTCATCTTCATGAACGGAAACGAATGAATTGTCTCCAGTTGCTTTCTTGATTCGTTTTACCTTATTCTTGAGGATGATATTATGACGAGTTTCTTTCAGTGTGAAGACCAATACGAACCAATGCAAGCCCATGATCAATAAACTTGTCAGGTAGAATACCCATCTCCATCCTAAATTTTGTGCAATGAAACCGGCATAGATATTACCAATCTGTGGACCACACGTTGATCCAACAACATACACTGCCATTGCCGGTCCACTTTCATCTCGACCCCATAAATCACTTATCACTCCACCGGTATTTGCCAAAGGAGGAGAAGAAAAGAATCCAGTCAAGAATCGAAAAACGAATAAGACTGGAATATTTGGAGCAAAAGCGACGCCAAATTGCAGAACAACAAACAAGAACCAACAAGCGACATAAATGATCCTTCTTCCAAACATTTCCGATAAAGGAGCAAAGATTATTGGTCCAATTGCGAAACCTAAAACATAAAGTGATAAACCTGCAATTGCCAATTCTTCACCGATTCCGAATTCTTTTTCAACTTGTGCTTGACCGGTTGAGTAAACACTGGCTTGAGAAGCAACAAGAACGTTGATGTACGAACACAAAACTGTCAAATACCACTTTTGTGCTTTGGACCAATTACGTGGATTTTCCATGTCGGATTCACCTCCGAATGTGAGAACTTTTGTGCCATCTTCATGAAGGGTGTAATATGCATTATGACCTTCTACTTGTTGAACTGGCGGTTTGGAATTCTTCTTCGTCAAATTAACATCTCTTGTAGCAATTTGTCCATCTTCGATATCCTTTTTCTCCTTCTCGTTCAATTGGTTAGATTGTGCCTGCTTTTCAACATCCGCAATTGTTTCTTGAGGTGATGATGAAGAGCGCCTTGCTTCGATGGTAGGATCGATGCTACCGCTCATCTTTGCTGTTAGGGAGCGTTGTGAAGATCACCGTAGTAAAGAGGGAAATGTGGTACTGTCACCCGATCTGGTGCAAATCGATTGTCTTGGATCATACTATATTTCTCCAACCTTTTTCCCCACTTTTGATGCACTTTAGCATTGCATTTGATCACTATGATTCATATTAAGCGAATGAAATTTGGGGAAATAAACACCCTTTTTTTGACCCTCGTCCTCCACCTTTTCCTGTTAGCATGGAGAAATTTTCTTGAATTCGGCAAGAAAATGCATTGCATCTTGTTTTGCATCTAAAACACAAGACCGGCGTCTATTCCACTAAAACACACCACTTATCTCCGCACTGGTTGTGTTTCGGTTGGAACGCGTTCCCGGAAGAATCTCTCCAGTGCAGGGAATATTTATGCCCACGGTTGTAGACCCGTTGAGGCTAATCATTTTTCCATTTATTCTTCTCGTGCATAATAAACCCCCTCTGCATGATGAACATGGCGATATTCATTCTTATAAACAATACACTAATGGTACACATCAATACAATTACGCGTTCCTACTTCTTAGACTTCTTCTTCTTTCCCATTGTGATTCCGATTTCTTCCTTTTCCTTTATTGGTTCATCCTCTCGATCTTTTCGTTTGCTTACCCCTGTATTGGTTGGCATAACAACTTCAACACTTCCCACAACCCCACGAAAAGTTTTCCGTGTCTCTGCACGTAATAGCAATGATCGACAGGTTGAAGTGATTGCATCTTTGGCCGCCATTGGATTCATTCCAAGCACGGACGCAAAGTTGATCACATCATACGGTCCACGTAAACCCATCAAATCTGATGCACCACTACTGATAATAATCCCTTTTCCGTTTGTCATTCGCATCAATTCTCGAGTGGATGAAATGATATTCCTTCTTGCTTTTGCATCTTCTCCATTGTTTACCCCACTTACAGCACGTGAATAACATACTTCAAATACAGCACCATTTTGAATTGCAGCATTGACCAATGATCTCTTCATATAGAATGGCGCTCTTGAATGGGAAGCAAAATCCAACGTGATGATATCTATACTGAATGGTTTCAATTCTGTCAAAGAGAGGCATAATGTCGAGAATGATTGATCATTGCAAGGCTGGGCGGATAAAAGGTCGTATCCCATAAGAGCTGTCTGATTGGTGTTTGTCAGGCCATGACCATGCTTTCCCATCGAATCTTCATCCAACACCAATGTCATCCTTGTCAATTGTCGGACTGTTGAGTCAGGACTTATAGCTTGTTTGCCTTTCTTATTTCTAGTTTCAAGATCGGGAAAAGGAACGTTGAACTGATCCAACTGTTGTTCTGCAGCGAATGGGTTGCTATGTATAGCCCCATCGAATCGAGATCGAACGATAAAGTTATAAGCGATTGTGTGAAATCCTAGATCTGCCGCATCCATCGTCAAAGATCGTAGATCATCTCTCTGTCGTCCTACCAAGATGTCCTTTGCGTCTACTTTTGAACTTTGTCCTGAACCACTGCCACCTTTGTTTTCCTTCCCTTTCTTCCCTCCCGTTCCTGCTGCACCACCCTTCTGAGTTGCAAATGGCACAGGCCATAAGATGTTCAAATCATGAAACATCTCCAGGTGACCTATGCTAAAGTGATGGATGACAAGTAAAAAGTTCTCTACCATTTTTTCTCCTAATTTTCTTGTTAGCGCGTTGAAATTCTCAACTGCACGGACATAAGAAAGCTTAAATTGAATAGAGTCTATTTCAATCATTCTTCTTCCTTCTCACATCAATGATCGTTATGGAAAATGCATCTCCTTTTGGAAGAAATGCAAATCACTCTATACCGCAAAATACAAAACGAGAGGATATAGATCGTCAAGAGAACACAAAGAGATTCGCACAATTGAAGCCAATTTGTGTGGAGTTATTAGGTCAAGTGTCAGCTGCCAATGATACTTCACGTCATGAGACATTACACAAAACACTCAAAAGGCTTAATGATCTTCTGAATACATTCAAGAAATCAAAAGATACCATCTCAGAATACTCACCTCTGAGTCCAGCATTGACATCATACGTATTCTATCCAATCGCTCAACTTTTACGTTCACTCACAAATCCACCCGATCGCATAAGGACATTGCAATATTCCATTCTGGCATCTTTGGCTGATGACTGGTGGCAAGCATGGATAGATCAAAAAGAAGAAGTTGCAAAACAAGGTTGGCAAGTATGGGAACAGCTGTTAATCCTTGGTGTAACTGCATTGGACACAAAATCGAAATCAGGTACACAAATTGCCCGGAGTGAGGAATGTACGGCTTCAATACTTGCATTGCTTCACAGTCTACTTGCTCCTCGTATCGCTCAAAATCCCAAGCAAGATGCTTTGAGTCAGCAGAAACCTTCTTATGATGATGTTTGGGAATGGGATGGAGAGTCTGATTTGCCAGATATGGATGATTACGAAGCTGAAATGGAACGATTAGCAGAAAAGGCCAGGCAGAAAGGAGGAGATGCAGATGGTCCGGTGCTACAGTTTGTGTATCCTACCGACTCCCATCTTTCTCATGCATTTGCTAATCAGACCTGTCAAGGTGTACTTGCACATGCATTATCTACTTCTCTGGAACATGCAAGTATAAAAACGACCTCGAGACAGATCAGATTTGGATGTTTACAGCTGGTACGGGTGATTTTACAAGTATGGACTGCGGGTTCAAACACCATTACAGAGCTAGCAAGGGAGGTGAGCCTGCTCAAGTTCGACAACACAATCTCTGCACGATCTGCTCGGTATGTTTCACCAGAAGCCCAAGCGGATCGTTTGGTGATCTCTTTACCGGCCACAGTGAGCTCTACTGTTCGGATATGCAATGATCCAAAATGTCCAAGCGAGGTGTTGTCAGAGAGTATACAGCTCTTAAAATTTGTGCTTGTGGTTTGCTTAAACGATGCCATCCTACCAGAAACAGAAAAGCCTCTAACAAAAGTATCGGAGGAAGGGCTAGATGAAAATGTTGTCAGCCTGGACCAGCTCATCGCAAATACCCACATAGACGACGAAAGCGAGAGCCTCAACGAAGAGAAGGCCAACACTGAGAGCACACCCAATGCAAAGGAAAGCGAGCAACCATCTACCCTGCGAAGCACTGCTTGGCTAAGAGACACAACATCCAGAATCGCTTTTGCTCTGCAGTCATTTGAAAAGGATGTCGTTAAGAATGGTAATAGCACTGTCGATCTGGCATTGATCGATCTAGCACATGTGTTGCTGAATGATTGCTACAAAACCTTATCAGAGTACAACGATCATGACTCCATCGATTTACCGCGCCTTCTGGTTGGCTGGCTGATGGATAAGTCCTCGCATAAGGATGCATCTAAGCGTACATCAGATGCTGCAATCGATGCATTGGTCTCCACTCTTCAGAAGAGAAAGGCGCAAAGTGACACCATCATCACAGCAGAGCTCAGTAAAGCCGCTGAACAAATACCGAGGCTTCTCTCAAATCCTATGGGACAGGATGAAATTGTCACGCATCTTTCTGATCGGATAGGATTCTTGGCTGCTCTTGCAAGTGGTGCATGTCGAGAAACATTTTCCGCTTTTGATGGCTTGAGCACTCTTTTCGCTTCCAAAGAATTCGAACGTTGGTTAATCAATATAGCATCTAGCTTGACCATGGATGGTAGTTCACTGGGCGACGTAGGAAGCGTTCGTTTGAGTGGACTAGAGGTATCAACTAGCAAGTCTTTTCTCAAAAGTATGAGAGAGCTCGGTGCTGCGGCTGCAAGGATCGTCTTGCAATCGCAAATTCTGGCCACATCAGTCACTGGGCCGATGAACTTTGTCGAATATTTGTTGAGACTGTCCATCCGTTGGCGGTCAACAAATGGGAAGGAGAACAGAATGAGCGTCAATGTTATCCTTCTTGCTCGAGAATCAATTTGTGGAATATCTACAGTACTGGAGGACGGAAAGTTGGCTCAGTTGCAAGGCAGCAAAGGCGTCAAAATTCGCAAGACTGCAAAGCGATTCGCCCGCACTATCATCTCTCTAATCTGTGAATTATGGCAAGCAGATGAAGAAGAATTGCTGAGTGGAGTGCAATTGGCGAATGAACAACCACTCACGGAAGAGGAACGTCGTTTGATATCGACACAAAAGAGTGATTCGGACACATTGACCGAATACACGAAAGGAGCCCTAAAGCAACCAACACAGGCGAAGGAGAACGGTGACACGGACCTACATCTTGGTCCTGCCGTCAATGTAGACTTTGTCAATGCAGCCAGCATTGTCGATACGACAAGCAATGGAAGGTCTGCAGCCGCACCCATCTCACGGCAGCAGCGAAGAAAGAGAGCAATTCGATATGCACGTACGAGAGATGCATTCTTACTGGACATTCTCAGCGAGGCAGCTTTGATTCTTGGCTCAAGTCTCAAATCAAGCTTGGTTCACACATTATACCCAACAATTTGCGCTGTTGCCTCTTCTGATCCTTCAACCCAAGAAGCAGCATCAAATGCGATTCAAAAGATCTCTCACGCTGCAGGATATGCTAGTATTGAAGGCTGCCTACTAGATCATGCTGACTATATTTTGGGCGCTGCTAGTCACCGTCTGATATCCACTCTAGGCGAAGAAATGCATTTTCGAAGTCAATATGCAGCCGCTCAAGTTGCAAAGCAGGGCACGAGTTCAAGATTCGATGCATCACTATTAGCGCTCACGTTGAAGAACGAGAAAGAAGAGGAAGTATACACTCCTTTGATGAGTGCTTTATCTGCTCCACTTGTATTAGTCGAGCTTATTCGTTCTCTCGGTACGGAAGTAGTGGTATTGGTGGAAGATGCGATCGATGAAGTGTTGGATGCAATCGATCGTTTTCATGCAGATCCAAATATCTGTGACGGCTTGCTTTCGGTCCTGGACAGAATGCTTGAAGTGATGTTGAGCAAGGCAACGGAAGAAATACCTCTGCAGTTGCCAAGCCCAGATCGTGGCTACCAACCCAACAAAGAGAAAGATTTGGAAGATTTCAAAAAGTGGTATTCTCAACAGAGTCAAAGAAGCGAGGATGATACGGAAACATTGTTCAACAACCTTGAATCGTCTGGAGAACAAGAGTCTGCCGAGAAAGAAGATCTATCAGACCCAGCGCAAGAGGAAACACCAGCAGGACGAAGTCAGAAAGTCACAGTCTCCATGATGAAAAAGGCTATTCCATTCTTGAGTCATTCCTCACGTACAATTCGAATGCGGTGTTTGCGTTTGATCAACAGAGGGGTAGAGCTTTTATGTCGGCAAGGCTTAACTGCAGAGCCTTTGTCGGTCGTCAACTCCTGCTGGCCAATCGTGATGAGCAGGTTAGGATTTAATCTTTCACGCAATTTGAAATCTGACAAATACGTTCGTAAACTTCCACGATCAGACGAAATGGATGAGAAGGACTTCTTTGTCGCAATTGAAGCGGTCAAACTTCTTGCAACGCTTGCAAGATACCTTCAAGGATATCTTGGCAGTGAAAAGATGCTACGTCAAGCTATGCCGAGGGTATTACTCCTAGTGAGAATCATTCAGGAATCTGAACAAAAATCTGGGGAAGCTCCTACGGCTGATACTTCGATGCCGAAAAAGCAAACGACTTTTCTGCTCAAGGATGGCGGTCCTGCAACCAGTTCTAAGGCGGTATCTCCCTTGCATTTTCGCCCTTTTCGTGAATTTAGTCCGCTAGCAACCTTGATCGATACCGTTTTGGCCATGCTGAATGATTTGGTGTATGCAATGGGTGCTTCGATCACTGAAGCAGATCTATTCTCTTTCGCTTCTCATTCAACCTTCCTTGCCGCTTTGGACACTCGTCAACCAGAGCAGATCCAGAGACATGCTCGACATTTCTACTTCACCACGCTCAAGAATCGAAACGCGGCTATGGTTTGGTTCGTGATGGAATCAACTGTTAGATCCACTACTTCTATCAATCATTCTTCGAAAGCATATCCAGCATTCCTTTATCAGCCGAATCTGCGGTTGAATTTGTCAAAATAATCATGTACTATACATCTATGTGTACCATCAATCTATCTGTACTATACAAAATGCATTTTCTGTCCCAGAGTTCTTATTCAAGCACGATCATCAACACGATGTCTTCGATTGCGAAGTACATCTATTCCATCCTGAACGATACCCATATTATACCTCTTACCGTGCCATTCAATGCTGCCTCCATGTTGATCAGCAAATGCATCTGGATCGATGTCCAAGCCGGTAGCAAGCCTTTGTAGAACAAGAGCAGAGGATAAAAGACTGTAAGCTCCGTAAGGATGGAAATCTTTGGTGACTTGTTTTCGCAGGGAAGTCAAAGGTGGTACGGGCGAAGGATGATAAACGTATCCTGTTTCTGCATCAACTTTCAAAGCAGACGGATTAAATTCTGTTTGGAGTGTACCTGCCCAACTTAGTATTCCATCTTCGCTCAGTTCACGAAATACAATCGGAGAATCGGCAGATCGAATGATGTTATATTCTCCTTGACAAGGTGATAGCCAATGATAGCCTTGTGCTCTACCAAGCTGTAATACTTGATCAGCAGAATAAGTACCCGTCTCAGTCCATTCCTCATCTAGATTTGCGACTGTTTCAGGTTTGGCTGCCTCGGCATAATTCCGACGAATTCGTGTAAAGAAAAAGTTGAGAAATTCAGGATTTTTGTAGCATGACGTTAGGTTCTTGGGAACTGTATCATGTAGGAAAAGCTGACCATGTGTGTCGATTGCATACCTGTATGCACGCACAGGCTTTTCTTCTTTCGAGAGGTGTGCTGAAGATGTAAATGTCCGAATAGCTCCAAATTGTCTACTGCTCACTCTGCACCTTTGTATTTGAGCAAACATGGTCCCATGATGGTCTTGAATGATCAAGGTGTGTATGTGTGCATGCATTGAGGCTATAAGTGGAGACATAAACAAAAAACAACGCGTTACATGAGAAACACTTTTACCGCGTTAAAAGTGCATTCGTGTTTTAAGTGTTGTTCTTTTTATCCTGGCTTCAACTATCATCTTTATCACCTACACATACAATACACATCGTCATTGACCTCATATGTTGGCATCACCGCCATCTCATATCGGTCAAACATGGCTCTATTACAGTCAAACGCCGTAGAGAAGCGTTATCGACTTTCCACGCTTCAAGCGCCAGAATGGGCAACATGGTCTATGAACGCTGCTACGGAGGGTCAATGGAAATCAAGAAATGAAAAGGCACATCTGCGCTTTATTGAAACGTTGAACAAGGTATCGAACAAACCAAAGTCACCAAGAAAAACATCTCATTGGTCAAAATTCAGTGTAAGATCTATGCTGCAAGATGGAAGCGATAATGCTATTCATGCATCTGATTGGAAAACGTATCAGGAAGATGAAAGTATTGAAATCGATCAAGACCGAAATTCTACTCTTTCACAAGAAATTGCTAAGCTTCAACCATGGATGAACAGCGTGCTGGAAGATCTTGAAGGAGCAATCGGAACACTCACGCCCGAAATGCTTAAGCCGGGCTACTTTGATTATACTCCTTTGTTGCCGATCGAGCAAGAGCGAATTCAACGATTCTTGCGCTTAACAGGCTACAAGCCAGAGCAGCCACAGAAGCTACTGTCTGAGCTCGAAGCCTTTATTGGTACGTATCAGCAAAGTCTTACCGATACCAGCAGATCTTTGTCTCAATTGGAAGAAGAAAGCGATCCGTTGGAGATATCACAGAAATTTTTCAAACTTCAAAAGAAGGTGAGGGTGGATAAATATTCCGATGATTATGTTCAAGGACGTGAAGAATTTATCAATATGTGCAAAACAGCCATGCCTACGCGACATACGGATTGGATCCTACAAAAGGCTTTCGAAGATTCACAGAAAGACGTAAAGAAATATGCATTCAGCTCAGAATTGGGCGAGCAGATGAAAATGAAAAGTGTCTCCGATCCCTTGGAATCTATAAGCACAGTGGAAGCGATTGAGATGGTGGAAAATGGAACTATGCCATTCGAAAAAGCTGCTATCGTGATGCATGCCCTTGCAAGTGCAAGCAACATTCGCACCAAAGATATCTTGCTAAGCAAGCAGTATAGCACTGCAGCAAACGTGGAGAAATCTAGGAGAAAGAAAAACTTGGGTAGATGCTTGACCGAATCGGCAGCTTTGGCAAGAACAATGAAGGCACTCTTCCCACACTTTTTCCCTGCGGAAACACAGAAAGCAGACGATGATTCTATGGAATCGGAAGCGAGCATACAGGCTGCTTTCGATACCATTTGTACAAACCAATCAAGCCATGCTAGCAAGAGGAAAGAATTGCCAGTCAATGCTGCTTACCATTCTACTTTACAAGAGGCAAGTACTTCGGAAAATCCATTCCAGCCAAGGGAATATGCACGTACCCCGAAAGAGGAAGCTCGGCTCAAACGGCAGTTCGAGGAACGGCAAATTATACTCACACAACAGCTATATGAGGATCTAGAGGTGCAAAGTGGAGAAGATGAACAATACCAATCAGAGGAGGGTGATTCGGCAGAGCTAGACGACAATGACGACGGTCCTCTCGATGGCATCTTAGATCTTCAAGATTGGGTGGAAACTTGCTACACCAAAACATCGTATAGACAGATGAGAGAGCATTTTTCTGATATGTATGATGGCAAAATACCATCATGGGTGGAAGAAAGGCTCGATCCAAAATATAAGAACCGCTTGAAGGTGAACGCGGAGAAAACCGAATATACTGACGAGCCACTTCAATTGACCAATGTCGAAATGGAAAAGCGAACGCGATTGAAAGATTCCTCAGAGGAAATACTGAAAGTGGATGCGACTCTGAGACGAGCAAGGAAAGAGGCTATGAGTGGGGACAAGAAAGAACAAAAGAGAGAATTAAAGAGAAGGTTCGAACAAGAACAAGCAATGACGAAAGCAGCTCGACAAGCTCGGATAAAGCAAAGACAAAAGGATCGGGAGCAAGCCACAATGGAACGAAAGATGAGAAAGGTTTTGGAAAGGGCTAGATTAGAGCGAATGGATTGTGACAGAGCAATATATGACAAGAATTTCTCGGGACCAAAACGGCTAAAAGGCGAATCTGCATCTGATGCTGAGGAAAGGTTAAAAAAAGCAGTGGAGGAAAGAGCGATCCAAGAGATCGCCTATCTGAGCAAAACAGAAAAAGACATACAAGATTACAGCCGATTTTTACGATCTTTGGCACCTTCTTTGAAAGAGCCCCCTGGAGATTCTCAGGTAAATGTCCAAAGCGAAACGAGTAAAGAGGAAGCGATGGAGCATTATAATCTTGCAAAGCAAAAATGGCTCGCTTCTCTCCGCCAAAGTAACTGAGGTCGTTTGATTTAACGGTTCTCGAATCATTTGTAAATATACACATACCATTCATACCCCATTGTCAATCCCATTCATAATTGATGGCAGAGGAACTGATAAGCCGATAGCACGTGCATTGTCGCGCTCTAAGCACAAAACAAACACTAACAACACGCTCAGAACGCGTGTTCACTGGGAGTAACACAACAACACGTCTGTCCGCCCTAACGCGTCGTTGAAACAACCACTAGAGCGTGTGTGTGATTGAAATGGAGTTTGAATATTCACATTTAACTTCATCAAAAGTGAACAAAAGTAGATTGCAATGACATCTTGACATAAAGTTGTCATTCTATATTACTCCAAAATCACATCAACCAGTGCCTATTTATCACCATATCTCACTCAATCAGGACACACGGGACCAAATCTGCATCCATCATACATCGTTTGCCAGCATCACCCTTTATACTCGGCCAATCGGGCCTTGATTGAGGTTTGCGATTCAACATGGATCTCAATATCCTTTTTGCGCCTCAAGTAGGCCAACTAAAACAATGCTATGCAGATCTAGGATATTTACCACAAAGATTACAAGAAGCATTACGAACGGCAATCGATCAAGAAGTAAACAAAACAATAGAAGAAGTGGAGGAAGCAAAAAGAGAAGTGGATGAATTGATGAAAAGATGTGATGCATATCAAGATGTATTGATGGCAGATGGTGTTACGAACACAGCTTCAAAAGCAGCACAATCAAACGAAGCACGATTCAATCAAGGTACATTCATGTCACGTATCGAAGCATGGCAATCCGAGCTGAAACGATTAGAACGACAATACATGTCAAGGAGAGCACATGTAGATCGATTAATCGAAACACTAGAGGCTTATCGCGGTATCTTGGGAGACTTCGTGCCAGTCATCGAAGGATCAACAAATGCTTCTCATTCCGAATGCTCCAGTCTTGTTTCGCCAATTCCTTCTTTGCGAATCGTAGAGGAAGCTTTAGCATCTTGTACGGATGAATTGCATCGCAGAACAGAGGTACTGCAGGAGGATGTCAATGGAGTGCTACAGCTATGGTGTGATCTGGCATTATTGCCAAATAACGACGATCACATAGATTCATCCATTCTACGACACTTGGGTGTGGCACCTCGACTGGTCGACGTAGGGGAAGGTTGCATGGATTTCTGTGGTGACTTTGACGAAGTTCAAGCGCATGATCAAGAAGAGGATGGCATCCTCGAAACACCATCACGCAAATCTGGCTCTCAACATCAACTATCCGGAAATCCTTCGCTGATGAAACCGGGCGCGATATTGCCTTCGCTTGATAATCTGACAAACGTACATCAAAGAAGACAGGAGCTTGATGCAGAAAGGATACGAAGGACCGAATTATTGCAAACGCTCTATGATGAATTGATCCCGCTTTGGCAACGTTTTGATGTTGCAGATGAAGATGTGGATGCATTCGTTCAAGCAAATTGTGGATGCACTTTGGTTGTTTTAGAAGCATACGAATCGGAATTACAACAAATGCGTGAATTGAAATCACAGCATATGGCGCTCTTCATTTCCAAAGTTCGACAAGATATTGCCGATCTTTGGGATCAATTAATGATGACGCCAGAAGAACGTAGGGATTCGTTCGCACCATTCTTTTACGATCTTGCAGATGCAGCAACGAGTGAAGAAAGCAGAGGGAACAATGCGGGCATTGAGCCTTCCGATGAGCTTTTGGCTTTGCATGAAGAAAAAGTGCAAGATTTGCAGGATGAATTAGCAACAAGGGCAAAACCTCTAGAATTGGTACGACAATATCTGCGATTGCTGGAAGAGGCAAGAGAGCTAGAGGAGAGTGCAAAAGATACGTCCAGATTGACTGGAAGAGGAGCTCCCGGTCAAAAGCGTGATCCAGGCAGATTGCTACGTGAAGAAAAGATGCGAAAAAGAATTAAGATTCTTAAACCTAAAGTGGAAGAAGATCTAATGAAGACCATCCCAGCTTGGGAAGAAGAATCCGGAAGACCTTTCGTTGTGAATGGAGCACGCTTCCTCGATACTGTAGATATTCAGCCTGCTCAGAGCAAGAAGCGACCAAGAGTGATCTCAAACGCTCAATCCAGCTCTGCTGCTGCTCAAGCGGCGGCTGCCACACCTCAACAGAATCATGCTGTCAAAAGGTCTCACATCGAAGGAAGTGCACCACGCTCTGTCTCTGTCAATTCTTCTGCTATTCGCAAAGGATCAGCACAACATGGGCATCATCCTACGCCAACGATGGCCAATGGAAAAGGTACAAGAAATGTCACTGGACCACCATCTGCATTACCCACACCTTCGTCTACATCTCAGAAGAGCCGAATCGCCAGCACTGTGTCTGGAAGCAATGCTAAAGCTCGCTCAGCAACCGTTGCAGGAACTGTATCAACCCAAGAAGCATCTCGAATGAATGCGACGATGACCACTATGACGTCCAATTCTTCTGCATCCCTAGCAAGTCAAGCGACTGATGCAACAACACATATACTCAAAGTTGCTGGAAATCGTGTGAATAGTATGCAACCACCTCCCCTTCCCACACCCAAAAGCCAAGTATCAAAGATTCGCAACGGATCCGCAATGCCTGCCAAAAGACCTTCTATGCTGCTGGGAGAGTCATTACGCTACGCTCCCAGACCGAGTAATGATTTCGTCAAACCTACCAGTACAGGAGCTGGCGCTTCGATAAAGCTTGCCAATGACAGCATTGGACCGAATTGGGCGATTCTCGATGATGAAGACGAAGAGAATTTGCTGATGCTGTGAATCGATTTCGCTTTTATAAGTGCCTGCTTTCGCTAGCAATTTCTGTACTTTCGCCTTTATTTGTACTATAGTCAAAATGTCTTTTCCTTACCTGTATAATGATTTTTAGTGTTACGAATGGATGTCTAGATTCGCAAAGAGGCTCTTGATGTGAGATTATATAATTTTGATTGGAAATCGAGCTGATCATATGACCCGTCTGACTTCGAATTGTCGTTTAACAAAGTACACTTGGAATGAACAAGCTCCGATCAAGAGGAATGCTTGTATGACTGACCACCATTTCACGCGGGAGAATGTCGATTCGGCAGCTGCAGTGGGAAGAAAGGCGATGTGTGAGTATTGATGTGTCTGTTGTTTGAGTGTTTGCAATTCCACTCACTATTTCTATGAACACGTTCACGAATCACAAGATATTCTTGTTCATCTTTGATTGCTTGTAGACCGGCGGCAAGGTCACGAATCTCTCTTTCGATCGGTAGCATTTCGCCATCATCCGGAACATAGATGATTCCATGTACGTTGAAGCTGACAGTCTTATCGGAAACATGGCTGAATTTGTTGCTGAAGCAATACGTGTATCGACCTGAATGTGCTGCCGTAAGACTATAAGTTCCTGTATCTTTTCGTTGAAGTTCAAATAGCTTATCATGATTTGGATCTGTTAGGATCACGTCCACGTCTAAATTCCCACCACCTCCAACTTGATAAGTTAATGTCATTTGATCTCCCGGATTAAGATCTTCAAAGAAACATTCTTCTCCGCTAGGTGCTAATTCGATCATATGCGCTTGTGTTGAGCCTGCCAGCAGACTAAGAAGGATGCATACTATCGATATGATGCAAAGTCGCATCATTGTTGCTGATGCCATTATCGTCAGGTCTATAGATGATGATGGGAAAGAAGATGTGAATCTTGTGTAAAGTATTCATCGCGTGTGACAGCGTGCAGTGCATGCCTTCATCTTAACGCCTTCTTTGAGGGAGGCTAATTTAGGGTTATCCTCGCGCTATCCTTGGGCTGTACACGTGATGGTGATACAAACTGAATAAATGCTGATACTTAAGGCCATCATCATATCAGGTGTGAAAGTCGAACACGATGACATTGATATGAAAGAGAAAAAAGAAGTGGTACAAAAAAGGCCCAAGGGTTGTCAATTAGATTGTTTGCTTAAGTGGCAAATTGCGGAAAAGGTCAGGATATTGAACGAGAATATCTTGAAGTGGCATCCATTCGGTTTGAGCTCCACAAGGATACTGCATTGGATTAGAAGATTGTGCGAATGCCGTAGGCGGCATAGGAATAGCTTCATAGTTATCTCTACCATCAATTTGATAATTTCGTTGAAAAGGTGCGTATGTTGTGTATTCATTGAGATTGCTTTGCATATATGCATGCGGTGCTTCTACATGTCCCCATTGTGATGGAACAGTTACAGAAGGCGGGGACTCTGCATCGTATGGCTCTTCATCTTGTTCTCCTCCTTCTCTTCGTTGCTCTTCAGGTTCGCTTTCTGGTGTTGCACATGTCATTCTTACATTTGATACCGTCCATACGCCACGAACGGCATGATCCGGAACGCGTGCAAAGTTTGGCATGGCACTCAAGATGTGACGAACGGTACCCTGTTCTCACGGAGACAAGTGATGGGTATTGTTAGTGAGTCTCATCTTCCCCATCGTAAGATAACATCCAGCTTACTCACCTTCCAATCACTCTTTCTTTCACATAAAGAAGGTTCCTTTTTCTCCAAAACGGCATATAACTCTTTCAAAGGGAGCATCTTTTCGGGCGCTTCAAGAAGTGCTTCTAAGATTAATTGCTTGAAACCTACGCATTGATAGGGAACTTTTGAACCCATTCTGAAGGCAAAGAAGAGAGTATATACGAGTGTAGGAGAATGATCAAAGAATAGGATGAAGGAAACAAATAAGAAACCCACTCTATCAATGCCGTATTTATGAAATTAAGCCTGATCCTCATCAATCCGTTATACCCTTTCAGATTTGAACTTTTTTTGACCATCGTTACACAGCCATTTCATACAAGAAATCGTGCTGTACATGATTGCCGCGATGAAAAAAGGACCATGTTTTAACTCGTGCCCCGGGCAATTGAAGTGTTTAAAGACTGATTTTATACAGCTTTCTTGGCTTTACACAGGATCGAACGATCAACACATAGCGGTGAAAATTGTCAAGTTGGAAGCGGTTAATCGTTTTAAAGTTTGAAGATGAGCGGACTCGTAGAAAGCAATACATGACGAGTTGATGTTAATCTCTCTTGAGTTGTGCGGGATACACAAAATTGTAAGACGATCATACTGTCATCGAGTTGAAATCAATTTGATGAAAAGGGGGCAAAGAGAGCATTTACGGATGCTAACGGTGTGCTGCGCTTGTGATCGAACGCCGCGCTTTAAGGAGAGAAAGAGAAAGAAGCAGTGCAGTCAGTGCCTAGCGCGCTCTTTCTTTTGTACAAGCACAAGCACATCTTGTGCATTTTCAGTAAAACCCCGACGCCGGCTCCTTTTCTCAATCCATATGCAAGTCTAATGCACGGACTTATGTAATAAAGCATATTCTTCTTACAATACATTCGATCTTGACTTTATCAACACTGCCATCATTCTCTCGTACAACTTGGCATTTGCTGGCATGAAAGAGTAACAATCACTTCATTCAAAGAAGGACTCGATCATAGGTTGCGTATGAGTTGGCTCAAGGTGGCGATATGCGGCGTATGATGGCGATGAGAAGGGGAGTAAGTTACCAGATTCACAACAAAACACAATGGCTTATCACACCTTCAAGGTATTATAGAGGCTATGCAACTCAATCCCCGTCATCATCACCGATAGATAACCCATTCCCTTTACCATCTTCAAATGCAACACCTTATGATATCTTTCATTTACCACGGGATTGTACTTCCGCTCAAATCAAATCACGCTATTATGATTTAGTCAAAATTTATCATCCGGACAAAGCTATGGCAAGTGCAATGACTGAAAATGGTCAGTCCTCAACATCTTCAACTTCCTCTTCTTCCACTTCTACTCTAACTCCGCAAAAGGCTCATGACAACTTTAAGCGGATACGAGAAGCATATACCCTACTCGGCAGCGAAACAAAGAGGAGAATGTATGATAATAGCGGCTATGGCTGGAACGCAAGCGGTGGAGGATCTTCCACAAACAATGCGATGGACGGCTTTCAAGGTCCCGTTTGGAATGGTGGATTTCCACGTAATGCGGCAGAATGGGCAGCTTATGATGCATGGTCAGCTTCACTTAAAAGAGGCGCTCCTGGCTCAATGAATCGACAAGGATGGCAATTCCGAGGTCAAGCAGGCAGTGGTTTTGGGGGCCATGATCGATTTGGTTGGCAGCATTATGCAGGTAATAAAAACAATCCAGGCGCCAATTGGTTTTATGGATACGGTCATGCCCAACACTTCTCTGCTACCAATAAGCCACGTTATACGAGCAATTTACGCTTTATTGCCAGCTTATCCAGCTTGACGGCTGTTTTGGCTATCTTTCAATATGCTAGATTACAACAAGAACGTCAATTGATTGGCGGAATGGAAGACAGGAGACACCAAAGCGCAGTTCAAAGTTTATCGGAAGCACGTAAATTCGCAAGAAGTGAGATAGGAAGAGCAAGAATGGAAGAAATGCGGAAAAAGGCTCGTGAATTGCCTGATTCTGGTGAAAACGGACTTTTATTAATCGAAGACGGAAATAGATCACACGATTGGGAGGGCATCGTCGGAAGGGGAGGACCAAGCGGTAAAAGTGCATACGAAGAAAGAATGCGAAAATTGGAATCCAGTGAAATACGATAACTGAGATCATGTTGTAGAATATTGCTCACCATTCGCATGAATTGCATTGAATTTAACTTGATAACACCCGCCGTTCCGAGCAAAAGAGGCGCAGCAGGACGGGTAGATATTCATTATGACATCCGCCCGCCGTGTTTTCATCCGCTTGAATGTCAATTTCACTCTGCTCTTTCCTTCCGAATCACATTGTTGAACGAGAATCTTGTTTTGAACGCTCGGACATCAGTGAAATAATGAATTCAGGTACGTATCTTAAATCTTTTCTTTGTAACCTTCATCTGAAACTAGATTCTCTTTATCATAATCATGGATAGAAGGCAGCCTCCCACAGGGCCCACCCCATCAGCCGGATTTGCACAACAAAACCCGATCATGGCCACGCCAATACCAATACAGCCTGTTTATAGAAGATGGGATGATGATTGCAAATCTTGTGATACAATAACAGTTTGGTCAACGTATTATGTCAACGAGAAAGGGCAAAGTACAACATGTACAACGACCGAATACGATACTACCACTTTAACAAATCAACCACAAACACTTGTTCCCACTTCAACATACATCACCCAATATCAAACCCTTACGAGTACACTGTATTCATCCGCCGCACCTTCGCCAACAAGTACACCTCCAGTCATAGGAGCACAATCCGTCTTGGTTCAAGGCCAATATTGTGATTGCGAAAAGGCATGGCTACGGTTCTTGTTGGGAGGCGTTCCAAATGGAGTTGGTGAAGTGATTGCATGTATTGCATTCTTTTTACCTTTTGTGGTTTTCTTTCTACTTTGTGCAGCACGTTTGACGAAATATACCTATATTCGTGAAATCTTTTTCATTTTATTGCCTTTTCTCATCTTTTTGGCAATCATGGTGGCCTTTTTACCTACACGAGCATATGCATCAACACATGATTCGACAAACCATATCCTTGCTCAACACGTCATGTTTGCAATCGCAGTTCCGATCTTGTTCGATGTGGCTTTGCAGGTCTACGCTTTGCTCAAAAAACGAGCAATGCTTTCGGGTTGGATCGATGCAACTTCTATCCTTTTGCGTGTCATCAATGCTGCAGCTTTAATCTTGTATGCCATTGCGGCCGCTAATCTTGTTCAATTCGTCAAAGGCTGGGAAGAAGGAACACAGACATGTGCAAGTGGACTGCTCAATCAAATTTCAACTTTAAATATCGTTGCCGATTTCATGGAATTAGCTGCTCTCGTATTGGGATTCATTTTGTAAGTTGATCATCTCATAAGTGGCTCCATTGCAATAAACTGACTACTTTGCACCTCATTCACAGCCTCTTTTGGGCCTTTTGGAGACTACGAATGAACAAAGCTGTTTTGTTCATCCAAGCACACATCTTTTTCCTGTTAATGATCTTCTTTTTCTGGCGAACGGCGCACGATATCAGTGCAGAACAGGCATGGTCCAAACGGGCCGATCGAAGCTGTGGACCTCTTTGCGCTTCAGGAACGTGGAACAAACGAACAGACGTCAATACAATCCAAATTGCATCAGGAGCAAACGTTTGTACAGTTTCGACAAATGGAATCTTTTATTTCTTTCATTTTCCATGGTCTTCCGTTCAAGCGATTTCACATCAAGGCTTGAATGGACAAGCAGCTTTTTGGCTTTTGGCAGTTTTGCCAATCTTTTTGGCCGCTTTGCTTTTGATGATGGTCAATTTACTCGTCTACACTTCTGCTGAACCGGATATCTTAGCACAACCAGATAGCGTTCGGTATAAGCTTTGCTATAATGAAGACACCAAAAAGATGGAATTCGTTCGATTGGACAACGTTGGCGGTCCAGCTTTACCTGATGGACAGCCTCTTTACGAAATCGTTCGTGGAAATGAAGGCGACGGATGGGAGATTCGTGAAGCAAGAACAGCCACAGTTTTGCCTGCTTGGGAGAACGTTACCGTCCGGCCATGGTACAAATGATGATTATAATCAAGAACTTTTTCTTTTTCTTTCTCAATTCTCTCTACTCTCAAACGGTACATACATCTTCTTTCATGCTGTATAATGAATTATGACATTGAATCTATTGTAACGACACCTGAAAAGTACATCGCATCATTATTGCTTCTTTTTGTTTTTGCGCTTCTTTGAGCTGGATCCATTGACAGATGAAACAGCATTCGTAGCATCGTTGTCAAAGCCTTCTCCCTCTGACTGAATTGCACCTGCGTTTCCACCACCGGGGACAACCTTGCCAGCAATGCCTCTTGCTAGATTGAATGCCCATGTATTAGTGAATGCTGGTTTTTGATTTGATGCTAAATCAAGGGGTGTCCATTCCTTTGAGACAGGATCCATAATGAGCACTTCTGATTCCCGAGTGACCAAGGCATCAACGTATCGTCTTGAGCTTCCGTATTCAAGAGCTGCATTGTTGTTCGCTGATGTGCCTGATGCAATGGCTTTTCGTACTGCTTTTTCATCATTATCCCAATAAGCAGATTCATCCTCTTCAGCCTTGCGAGGGGTGACTTCAGGGATGTCTAGTCCGCTTAATGGAACACGGACTTTCTTCTCGCCTGGCACGATCACATTCTTGTTCTGAGAATTGTCACCTGTCTTCAACCCATCTTCAATAGATCGGAATCGCGGTCCCCATGCGAGCACTTTGGCGGTGGTGATTAAGCTCTTGAGGCGGTCCTGGTCGCGTTTGTAGTTCAATCTTTTGATTACCAATTCGATTGAAGATGTGATGAGAACGAGGAATACCAGCACAGAGATGAGACCTGGTCTATACCTTGCATAAAAGTATCCAGATCCACGCCATTTTGGAAATCCATTTGTCAAGAAATGATCGTATCGATCCCTTCTGTGATCACGTAGGATCTTGTTAATGACGCCCAAACGTTCAAATCTTCGTGCGGCAGCTGGATTACTTGCATGTTTATCAGGATGTAATTCCATACTTCTTGCACGATATGCTTTACGAATATCTTTTGCCGAAGCTGATCTTGTCAAATTGAAAAAAGAATAAAAGTTTACACCTTCACCTTCATCTTTTTCCAATGCAGCTTGTAATTCAAATATTTCGTAATCATCTTTATCCCATTGTGCTTTTACCAACAGTATACTTGCCAGTAAAACGAACAAGATTGTGAAAAGTCTCATCTTGTCCAGCGACAACAGCACAAATGATGACGGCGGAGTTGATGGCTGAGAAGGAGTGAAGTTCAAGCATGCATTCAAGCTTTGATTCTTCCAATTCTGCTGTACGCACGCCCTGCATCTTTACGCCCTTCTTGTCTTGTGTTGGTCTCTGCATCAGATTTAAGGCGTTGGCTCAGATTAGCGCCCGCCTTTGGGACAGCAAAAGCCTTGTTGAGCTTATTTTACACGTGCTTGAGATTTTTTTGGAATTTGAGAAGATTAATGGAAAAGAGCATGACATTCTCCACAATTGAATAGCAACACTTCTCCTCTTCTCACAACAAACAGTAACGAAACAATGGCTGATGCATTAGAAGATGACTACATTCAATCGGATGGGGAACAGATAGATGCTGGCAGCGATGTAGGATATGACTCAGAAAGCGGCGAAGCCGGCCCATCATCCACAAGATCAAGGCAAGAAGAGAACGGAAACAAACAAAAGCGAAGAATAGAGCAAACAGAAGTAGATGAAGAGGAAAACCGAAACAAAAAGAAACAAAAGATGAAAAAACGTGATCAAATAAAAAAGCAAAAGAAAGCGGCTGCAAATATGGCATTACAACCTGGTGCATTGGCAAAATATCCTGTAGAAATGCAAGCCGATCATTTACGACAATTGATGCGATCTTGTAAGCAATTCAGTAAATGGACTGAAATGGAATTGGATGAAATGGGAGTCGCACAATCCATGTTGATCGATACTAGTGGATTGGATATTAAGCGGGAAGCCGACACATTAGCACAATTTATCCTCAAAGCTATGCCCAAGGTGACAGAAGCTATTAAATCTGTCAAAGATGAAGGAGTCTGCGGACAACCTTCTGTTTTGGTCATTTCGGGCAATGCTCAAAGGGCGGCTGACCTGAGTCGATCATTACGATCTCTAAATCCAAGCTCAGATAGCAACGGAAAAGAAAAGAATAATGGAAAATCGAAAGGGAAGGTGGCAGTAGCCAAATTGTTTGCTAGACATTTCAAAATTGATGAACAAAAAGCATTCTTGGAAGCTAGTATTTGTCCATTGGCTGTAGGAACTCCGCAACGATTGCAAGATTTATTGACTAATGGATTGGACTTGCAGAAATTACGATGTATCATCATAGATGCGACTTGGACCGATCAAAAGCAAAGGACAATGTTGGATACGATTGAAACCCGACAAGCTCTATTTTCCATGCTTGCTTGTCCTGAATTTCAAGCGAGATTGCATGGAAAGTCGTCCAGTGACACAAAAAGCAACAAAAAAGAAGAGAAGATAAAGAGTGCTGCTAATCGAGCAAAGATTGTACTATTTTAGAGACGCTTTGACCTGTATTATAAGCCGTTGCCGTTCAATGTACTATTTATTGCGCTAAAGTATGAGCATGCTTTCTTGGTTCTTAAAAACATGCATGATATAGACTCAGACTAGGTACAAGCATGCCCGAGGCTGAATATGCTGACATGAAAAAAAGTCTAGTGCCCGATCGCAAAAAGATGGAGAGAATATTCGATGGGCTTTAAATGGATTTGCCATGCTAATTCAGGGCGGTCTTTCTTTTTTACATAGATGATATAAGCTTTTATATCATATGATTTCTTAGCTTATTAAAGTTTGTTACAATTTCGCATTCATAAATCTTATTAGTTCCTGAAATTGAAAACGGCTTGTCTCATATGTTGTCCTGACACATCAACGTGAAAAAATAAGCATTTTTAGTCTTATGTCAGTTGAATGAGGAAGAGGTCAGTATTTTACATGTGGGGTCAAAAGACAAGAAATTGAGAAAGTCAATTTTATGTTTAGCGTACCTTTTAGCTGCAGATTTTACCCGACCATCCCATTCCGAGGCCATAGCGCAACCAATTGCCAAGGCGCAATGCCGCTGCATGCACACAAAACAAAAGCTGACAACGGTCGCGGAGAATTAAAGAGAAAAAACAAAAAGCCAAATTCTGTTTATCTGCAGATCTGAAACAAAGACGTGATTCTAAACCGGATTCTGGCGGTAATTTTATCTTGACTTGCAGGAAAGCGATAAAGTGCTTGTCTTTTGACTGCTTCTCATTTTAAAATTTACTACTCTTTCCTCTAGTTATTCCGCCGTTTTTTCGAATTTTGATTGGGTGGCGTGAATAAGGTGTTCTTTAAAATTTCAATTTCACCGTTTCTACTCACTGTTTTTTTAAAGCTCAGCTGTTCGTTTGCACGATTTATTTATCCGAACCTTAGTGTAATCATGTACCTCGGAACACAAGATAAGTACATTTGGAGTGCGGAGAGCCGTTGTTCGATCGGCCAATAGTTTAACAAGTTTTCTTTTTACCTAGGCACATTTTGTGTAATATGCAACTTCTTAATGTCACGCAGTTTTGAACGTCATTAATTCCTTCTCTTGATAAAATTAAGATTGTGTTCAGATCGCTCTTTCGCACGATTGCACTTTTACAGTCTTTACCCTGCCGCCAAAATAGCGCCATCCTTCTCCAGAATTAAGCGGCCCTCGCTTCCTCTTTCTTCTCGATCAGAAAATCAATCATAACGTCTCTCCCCATCATCATCATCATCACCTTATACTTCATCACAATTCCTGGGCAGTATCACATCCATTTCCGGCGTTCCACCTTGACATCCTCATTTCATCACAACAGCCCTCTCCAACGCCGTTTTGCCAGCACCATTCATTTCCCCCACATGCAGCGCAAAATATAGTATCGCCATACATTCATTCGAGTTTCAGTATCATCTCGCACATTTCAACCAAACAATCATGGCTTCCGTACCTTTAGTCAATGGTCAACTTCCGGCTTGGTCATTGCAAAACAATGCTGGAATGATTGAATTCATAAAATCAATCTCACTCAAATCAATTCCAATGAACCTCAAAAGGCAAAATGATTTTTATATCGCATTCAAATGTATTTTATTGGCAGCCGGACTTACACTTTTGATTCGATTGATCATGACAGGAAGGTTTTGGCTTATGCGAGTTGTGCGAACGCCAAAAGGATTTTTGATTTGTCCAAATGCATGTGAAGCATTATGTCTTTCAGCATGTGTTTTTTATCTTATCGATTTATTCTTTCGAGGTTTTAGCATCAATTGGTTATGGGGAGATTCACTTTCAATGCAAGAAGGAATGCCGTTGCTTTACAGCTTTCGATTATACTTTTTATGGTTAGCAGGATTCATTCACTTGGCATCAACTTTGCTCATCTGGCCTTTCGATCCAATGCGTATCAGACCTTTCTACTGGCATTTGTTCTTGTTTGGCGTTCCGATTGCGTTTCTGATTGGGTTCTTACCAAACTGCATTCGTGCAGAAGTCTACAACAGGATGGCAAATCAACGTCTAGTACCTCTCTTGATCACCCTACAAGGTCGTGATCCTGAAGGACCCTTGGACGCAAATTCGATAGCAATCGCTACTGATGGCTATGAACATGTAGTCTTGATGTGGCAGGCTTCAAGAGATTATGCAGCCGTTGCACTTGCGTTTCTGATCTTACTCACATTTGGTTCGATTGCAACAGGATACCAAATCACTTCACGAGCTGCGAGAAGGTATAGGGACATCAAAAGAGCAGCGACGCAAGTACGAAATGAAACGCCAATAGAAGAAGGCGAAACTGAAGGCAAGCCAACATACAGCTCTGATTCGCAACACAGTGAAGACAAATTAACCAAACAGACGGACAATTCTCCTTATTTATTACAAACAATTTCATCTCAGCCGACCAACGAAGGCGCAATGAATAAAACGGATTCAACAATCGCCACTCAAACGGCACCGTCACGCCTTGTGACAAATGAGGATAAATTGGATTTCAAAGTCAACCCTATAACGGAACCGAAAATGAATCAAACAAAAAATGATAACGATTCAGCCGGTTTACGTAGAATCGAAGTGCCAAAACGAATCGAATGGCGTAAATTTAGCCATTTACGTTTATTACGATATTTTGCCGGTTTGGATCCTTTACCTGCTCAAAATTCAGAATCAGATTTGGCGTTGGCACGGTACGGTAAACCGTCACAAGAGTCTGTTGAGGCAGTTTTAAAGGATTTCCTTTATTTCAGTTTGGTTCAATTTTCATGTTTGATCATTATCGAACTCGTTATGGCAGCTTGTGCTTTCTTGATCATCTTGACCATCATTCCAGATTTACGCAGTCCAGCATACGTTCCCCAGTATACGACAAAATTCGCTTTGACAGCTTACATCTTTTTCGTTTTGGAAATCTGGGTCATCGTTTCGATTGGATCACCTTTGATTTTAATCATGTTATGGAGACAACTTTATCCGATTCGAGTGGACTTCGGTAATGATATTTATACAAGACAAGCACCAACGCTCAAGATTAAGAATGTTGCCAAATTGAAAAATTTCCGATTGAAGAAGAAGAACAAAGATGGAGCTGAGAAAGACGAAATGGAAGCGGAAGAGGTTGGAAATGATACTGGTGATTGGCATCATGTACCTTGGACACCTTCAACAAGGGCAACTTTTATGCCAACTTCTCCTTCTTCAGTTTCAACGAAAGCAAACAAAGAGATTCAACGATCCGCTGGAGCAAACAATATCTCAATCAGTCGAACCACACCTTCTTTGGATGGATCAATACATGGGGCTGAAGAAGAAGAATATGAGAGAGATAATCGATGGTCAAAGCATTATTCGAATGATGGAATTGAACTTGAAGATAACAGAAGAAAGACGAAAGAATCTATCACCAGGGATGTTTGTGGCCTGGCTGGTTCTGATATGGGCGTTCGTAGAATCGTTTTGGATGCTCTTGAATCTAGCAACAAATATCCGACACGAAAGCTTGGCGGTGCAACAACATCTGTTTGGCAAAGGGCAGAAGCTGCTCATTTACACGAAAGAAGGCCAAGCTTACCGTCCAAAGCATCTGAGTCTCAAATGCAAAAGATAAGAGGACAACAACCACAAAGAGGTGGAAGACGAAATAGTCAAGCAGACTTGACCACACCTCCAAGCAGCAAATCTAATTCACCTCCTCCAATGTTAAGCAGACTTCATGGTTCTTTACGTAAAAATTCAAGCTTCTCACAAAAGGACACATTCGGGATCCCAATGTCAAAGTATCAAACAAATTTGCAACCTCCAGAAAATGCAAGATTTGTCACACCTCACGGTTTCGTACAAAGCAGGCCGTACGAATGAGATTAATTTGTTGGTTTGCATGTTAACGTGCAAGAATGAAAAGCGTTTAATTGTATTACCCTCTTTCTAATCACTGTATGTACTTTTTTTTCTCCTTTCTTTCATTCATTCTCACAGTGTATTTATATATTGTCACAATTTTTTTAGCTCTAGAACTATGCGAAGAAGTCTCGGAATCAGAATTCGAACGAGGAGCAGAATGACGTGACTGAGAAGCAGGAGAGGGAGAACGGGTAGGAGAACGTGCACGATGACCAGGTGAGCGTGATAGAGTTCGGCCGTACCGACTTAGTGCCTTCATCCGCGACCATGAAGTCAAGGAATCATCTGTACGTATAGTGGTGAAACCCAACTTTCTTGCTTTATGAAGCATTGAGTTATACTCTGCTGAATCTCCTGAAGAATCTGACGAATGACCATCAATGGCAAGAGCACCTAAAGATTTCGAACTACTTTTCCTACTTAGTGGTCTAGGACTGCTAGTAGCACCAGAGCGAGAAGTTCGCTTGCTGCTCTTTGTACTTTTCATGCTTCCAGTACTTGAATCACTATCACTTGAGCTTGTCCATGATTTTTGATGACGCAATTCACTCCAACTAGATCCTGAAGATGAAGAAGAAGAAGGAGTGGCAGCAGAAATTGAAGTACCGCTCGAAGAAGCGTCAGACCGAGTTGATCGACGGGTAGGAGAATCAGAATGGCGCTCTTGGATTGGAGGCTGATTCGTGACTTCATGAACTCCTAAGCGGATAGGTCTGGAAGGCTCTCCAACAGTTTTACGCTTAGAGGATGATTGCGAGTTCAAGGGCAAACCATCACGGCGAAAGAGGACATCTGCTGCGATGAAGTTGACCTGATTCCCATCAAGTGCTTCTACGAGAGTCCAACACAAAAGAATTTGACTTAGACCGCAAAGAATGACAAGTGTTGCTAGTTTCATGATTGTTTCTCTGCGAGAAAATAATGCTGGAAAGAGAGATAATGAAAAGGGAGTCATTCAGAGGTATTTATAGGCGGAGAGATCAACATAAAACACAGCATTGGTCATCGTTGTATTGTAAGAACGCAATCAATGCGTTACACTTTTGTTACGACCCGAAAAAGAGAGCTGACAGCCACTTCTCGTTATCAAATGCAGCACAATTGGCGTTTGTTGATGTTCATTACTCATCAGGCAATCTTCAGCCCTGCTGATGATCAGATGCAAGTTGTAAGAGAAAGTGTTTTCCGAGACCACAACTGTGCATATACTTTTGACGCTAAACAGCTAGCCTATGAGAATTAAGAGTCAAAGTGTGTGCATCTTAACACTGTACAGTGTAGGCGGGTCTAGCCCCGCGTTTTAGAGCACTTTAAGATTTTCTTCACTTGCTTTAGAGCAAAATTTTAGAGATTGTTTATCCGCGGGTATTGCGTGTTTGTTGTTGAGAACAACAGAAAAAATTATCTTTTTGCATAAACATACATGCGAATCTAGACTGGAATGCATCCTTTCCCCTCCCTCTTTAACCATCATCATCTCCCTCCCCACCAAGATCAACAGGAACGATGTCTGACGAAAACTACAAATCAGAGGTAGAAGATGTTCATTCATCTCGTCAAGATGAATTATACCAATTAGCCATAGAAGATAAAGCAATCACTGCCTCTTACGGTCCTCCGACCGTTGCAAGTATCATTCAAAATAGATATGTTACAGGTGTTGCTTTATGGGCTGTGTTTGGAGCATTATGTTTCGGTGTCGATCAAGGTTTGATGTCAGTCACTCTGGTCATGCCACAATTCACCGCTCAATTTCCAGAAATTGCTGCAAACAACACAAGTGCTGGCTTTCATAAAGGACTACTCACAGCAATGATTGAATTAGGTGCTTTCGTAGGCGCAATCTTTGCTCCTTTTGTGGCAGATCATTATTCCAGAAGATGGTCTTTGCGTGTCGGATGCATGTTCTTCTTGGTAGGCAGTATCATTCAAACCGCAAGCTACACTTATGGCACAATCGTTGCAGGTCGTTTGGTAGGCGGTCTGGGTATAGGTATGTTATCCTTGACATGTCCTTTGTACATCAGCGAACTATCACCACCAAATTTGCGAGGAATTTTGCTCAGTTTGGACGAATTCGCAATCGTGTTTGGTATTTGTGTGGCGTACTACATCACCTTTGGAACTCGCTACATCACTTCTCAAGCATCTTTCCGTTTACCATTCGCTCTTCAAATGATCCCTGGTGTCTTACTGCTATTAGGCTCAATCTTGTTGCCTGCTAGTCCTCGTTGGTTAGCCATGAAAGGTCGCGATCAAGAATGCCTAGCAACATTGGCCAAATTGCGTCAACGTGATTCAAGTGATTTGGTAGTTCAGGCAGAATGGTTAAGTATCCGAGCAGAAGCACAATTGAACCGCGAAGAACAAGCAGAACGTCATCCGGATTTGCAATCTGGTTCTTTGCTTGATAAAGCAAAATTGGATCTTTGGTCTTGGCTTGATACATGGGGACCAGGAGTTTGGAAAAGGACTTTGACCGGCGTTCTCTTGATGATGATGCAACAACTTGTGGGCATTAATGCACTCATTTATTACTCCCCAACCTTATTCGAAAATCTCGGTCTCTCTTTCGATGATCGACTCATTCAATCAGGTATTAATAACATTTGTCAATTAGCTGGTGTCATGCTAAGCTTCTTCTTCATCGATCGAATTGGACGTCGACCTTTGATGGTGGCAGGATCGTTTGCAACGTTTGCCTGTATGCTCATCGTTGGCGTTCTCACTGCAAAGTTTGGAGATGCTTGGCCAACACACAAAGCAGAAGCGAAAGCCGCAGTCGCGTTCTTGAATCTATACATGGTCTCCTTTGGTCTTGCGCTAGGACCTGTGCCATGGCTCATGCCAAGTGAGTTGTATAGCTCCTCTAGACTTAGATCAAGAGGTGTGGCCTGGTCAGTGATGAGCAATTGGCTTTTCAACTTCATTATCGGCTTAGTGGTACCGCCATTCATTCAAGCCACAAATTGGGGTACTTTCATCTTCTTTGCAGGTTGGTGTCTCATTTGCGCATTCTGGTCAATGTTCTTCCTCCCGGAAACCAAAGGAAAGACATTGGAGCAATTGGATGCCATCTTTGGAGATAATAGCGGAAAATCAGACCGTGATCGCAGAGAACGTATCAGTGCTCGTTTGGCTTCCGAGCAATTGGGCAGACAATCCGAAGACGAAAAGTAGTTGATGCCATTCTTTCTTTAATTGTACATTAGCTGGATTTGTCGAATTGCATGACATTTGCGTTTCTGATCTCTTATCGCTGTATGATGGCCTCGCACGACTCTCGCGTAGCCTGCCTTCCTGTTCTCATAAGCTTTGTCAACCTGTGTTCCAAGACATCGTGAATCTTTTGATAATGTGCTGGAGTGTACCAGCCTGATTGAAGAGAAACTTCTTTGGCGATCACTTCATCGCCTTCCGCATAGATCAATTCTTTGACAATCTCATCCTCTATATCGATGAGCATAAACGTGCCCGCATCTGGCTTGGATGTCACACCATCAAAGATGTGTGAACGAGAATCAGCGTTGGCAGTAGGTAAAGCACTTGGCCGAGCTCGTCTAGGCTGCGTAGGCGAGCGTGATTCTCGCTCAAAACTTCCATTTCCGTTATCACGTTCCTCTGCATGATCTTCGTCCATATCAGAATCAGCTTCTAGCCGATGCGTCTTTTGAAATGCCATCCGTTGATAGAAACGAGATTCAACATCATTGCGTGGATCATAGCCAAATCGAACCAAACTGTCACGCCAACAGCCATCAGTGATTGTAAAGAAAATTCTTGAGATGTACTGTCTTTGATTACGAATCAACCTTTGATCTTCACCCGTGAATTGATTGAACAAAGCTCTACGAGACCACATTGGTCTTTGTTGTGCTGCTTCTCGTATCTTCTCGAGCAAGGCAGGATCGGGAAGTTTACGCTCTTTCACTGCAGTCAATGGCTCCGATGGAACCTTTTTCCCTTTTGCCGCCTTGTCATGCAGGTTGAATTGTATCGGTGCTAATTCACGATACTTTTGTCGATTGACGAATCGAAATTGTACTCGGCCATTCTCGTCTGGAGCACCAACGGGAAGCAAGCGAGATGATGGATTCTGTCGGAAACCATAAGTATGTGCATACTTTGTCTTGTCAAAAACGGCAGGAGGCGGTAATCTGACGTTGCTGATCGGCCCATGCCCGTTCACATTGATCTCATAATTCTCCTTTTCCAAGTCAAATTTGAAGGATCGAATGCCCTCGACATCCATTTGCCTTAGATAATCGTGCAATGCCAATGAAGGAGCCACTTCAAGTTCATCCTTGAGCGGTGGATCTACCATCAAACCAGGATCGTAAACGTAATCTGGCATAGACCGAAAACGTGCAACGGTACGAGTAACGCCCATAGCATCAGCTGTATATTCTTTCCGTTCTTCGATACTTCCATCCTTCCTTTTTCGCCTCCACGTTCTCTTTCTGATTTTGCAAACAACGTTGTGAACGTCTACAACATCACCTGCAAGTGCATGTCGGAAGAGAGCATTTGTAGTACGTGGATGAGCAGCAGCGGTAGGCGTCTTTGAATCGCATGCGAATGCTAATTTGCATTCTAATGGACGTTCTCGATCTTGACCAATGAATGAAGCATAATGTTTCAAAGCGGAAGATGCACTCGTATAGCCAACTGGAAGAGGAGAAAGCGATTCTAGCGCTTTGACCAAAGATGGATGTTGATCATGATCTGAAGAAGGGTAGGGTTTATCGGTTAATACGGCTGGGAATTCGATTGAAGCGAATGAGGTTGATGGTAAGGTCGCTTTCGGTGCTACTTCTACTATCCTTCCACCCAAGTACTCCACCGGCTTACGTTCTGGTAATGTCATGCTAAAGCATTACAGCCGATGATGATGATGGATTTGTGTCAAAGACCTCATCAAAATTGATTGGAAGACAGCACAGGCCATTTTGAGTGTTAATTTGACGTATGCATGCATGCATGCAATATTAGACTTGCGTGCGCCTTTAGGTGAACGCGTCTTTTATCCAAATCCAACACTTTTGTTCTTAACCACATTGAATCAAACTTCTGGGATCAAGAACTCAAGATGGAGAACGGGGCTGGGCCTTCTTCCTTGGCTATGGGCTCCAACGGCCAAAATACTCTAGCAAGTGCGATAGGAGGAGGCAGCTTGAGCCTTCTAGACGATGAAGATGTGATGATGCAACTCAACAATCATCCTCGTTCCCGTGAAAATGATGTACGATCGCATCAAAGCATGAAGAGAACATTCGATGCTGATGGAGATTCAAAAAGATACGACATCTATGATGATGGCGTATACGATCCGCAAAATACACACAATGAAGCTTTGGGCCGGGAAATTAATGACCAACAAAGAATCGTAGAGAGGGCTTCAAATTCCATCGAATCGGACAACTCCGATGAGAAGCAACTCGTCATTCATCGTTCAGGTTATGTCTACAGTCCTGCAATGATGCTTCACGCTCATCCTGCTTCCGATTATGCTCCTGACGCGAAAGACGAACCGCTTCATCCTGAAGTTCCAGAACGGATTAGCAAGATCCACAGCGTATTGGACAAAGGAGGATGTTTGGAGCGAATGAAAAAGATTCCAATCCGTGAGGCAACAATGAATGAAGTCATGAAGGTTCATGATCCGGGCATGTGGGATGGCCTCGAAAGACTACATGCTTTCTTGCCAGAAACGCTTATCAAGAAGACGGTCTTTCTGGAGAAATTTTACTCCCTTTATGTCAATCAGCATTCTGCCAAAGCAGCTCGTTTAAGCTGTGGTGGTGTGATTGAATTGTGCGATGCTGTGGCAAGTAGAAGGATCAGAAACGGATTTGCGATCGTTCGTCCACCTGGTCATCATGCAGAACCGGATGCTTCAATGGGTTTCTGCTTCTACAACAATGTTGCAGTAGCTGTTCGCTTTCTTCAACAGAAATACGGCAAGGCAAAGGATAATACCCGATGCGAACGCATTTTGATACTTGATTGGGATGTTCACCACGGCAATGGCACACAGAAAGCGTTTTACGATGACCCAAACGTATTGCTCATCTCCATTCATCGGTACGATGGTGGAAAATTCTATCCATGTGGTACAGCTGGCGATTACACCCAATGTGGTGCAGGTGAAGGATTGGGCAAGAATATCAACATTCCTTGGTCCGAAGGCAAAAAGAACGATGGCGATTACATCGCAGCATTTCAGCGGATTGTCATGCCGATTGCGATCGAATTTTCACCTGACATCGTTTTGATCTCTGCCGGTTTTGATGCAGCTGAAGGTGACGAATTGGGAGAGTGTTTCGTAACACCGGCAGGATATGGCCACATGACTGATATGCTGTCCAGTCTGGCAGATGGTCGCTTGATCGTTGCATTAGAAGGAGGATACAATTTGGATGCAATCTCACGTTCAGCTTTGCATGTCACAGAAGTATTGTTGGGAGATCCACCGGAGGTGCTGGAGCCCGATACGGTGTGTGGAGTCTCGGCACATCGTGTTTTGAAAATGGTCGAGCGCCAACAATCGAATTACTGGAAATGCATGGAGAAGCCAGATCACGAACCGGAAGAGGGAGAAGATGATGGCATCGATTCGTATTCGTTAGCCCGCTTGTTTGCATCACATCGCATTGAGCACATTGCGAAGCGATTCAACTTATTGAGATGGCCAACGGGGGAAAAAGAACCATATGATGCAGGTCAGGTGTTGAGCACTCCAGCAATATTGGAGGCAAAATCGATCATCCTTTTCGCCCATGACATGGGCAATCTTCGCATGGGGTCTTGGGAGAACAACATCTTTGAGCCTGACGTGCACCTCATGAAGATTGTTGACGATAGCTCACGAGTGTTGGACTGGGCACAAAAGGCAGGGTATGAATTCATCGATGTTGGTGTGATTGGCGAGCATCCAACGCGAACAAAGCCCAAAGTGAAAGGTGATTCAGCTGCTCAAGCATTGGAGAAGGTGCAAAAGGAGCAAGCCAGGAACTTGCTTCTCTTGACTTGGGACAATATCATCACGATGCTCACGCAGGGGAGAGAAGATCCGGTCAAAGTCATCTTGATGGGAATGGGAAGTGCTTGTGATGCGATTCTTAACCTGATCGCCGAACGCAAAGTCGATAATGTCGTTGGTGTCGTGCAAATCCCAGGATACGATGCATTGCCATCCACATCGGGAAATTGGGAGCCGAAGCGAAAATGGTACTATCGCCATTCCCAAGTGTTTGTACCGTACGATCATACGGCATTTCAAGGTGCCGAGGATGGCGTTGTGACCGCCAAACGGTTTGGGAAATTGATCCGATCGGATCAAAAGTTTGCCGTTCAAGTTCTTTCTCATGAATTTGAAAAGATAACAGACTTCATCGAAAGTAAGATGCCTCCAACGCAAACTGGTTCCACTCTTGTCTCAACAAATGACACGCCAATGGTTTCTGTAACTTAACAAGACGTTCAAAAACTTTGTATTATACATGACAACTGTACACTCATAGATCGTTTCTTCGTCAATACAAACTTTGTTGTACAATCAACCTCTCTTGCGAACGAGATCTTAGTCCAAATCTTGCAAAGATGCTTCATGTCGAAGGATTGCGGCGTTGTGAAAGATGACAAAGCGTTCTTGAGCATTCATTTTTTGGTGCAGGTCGTTCATCCTGCTTTGTAATTGTTCAAAATCCCGATCCTTCTTCAACGAGTTGAGCTGCAATTCGGTTACTAGCCCACGTAATTTGACAAGTTCAAATTCGTGCTGAGTATGTGCTTCTTTTGAGGCATAGTCTCCGTCATTGGATGACGTACTTTGGCGCTTTCTTGAGGAAGAAGCGTAATCAGCGGGCACATTCGTTGAATGCCGGGTAAAAGCTTGGTCAATCAAACCTGGAAGTGTTTGCTCAAGAACTTCTTGAAGTACTTCTTCGACATGGCTGCCTCCCCCGTTGCTCAAATGTTGTATGTCCTCATCCGATTGTTCCTCGAGCTCATTCTTGATAGACTTGCCATCGCCATTTGTTTGTTGTTCGCCTGCAGCCACTATGCCATTTTCCTCATCTGACGCTCTGCAAAGGCTACCAGCGTGCAAATCTGGCATGCTCAAAAGATTCTTCAAATCGCCAAACAGACTTGATTTGCATGCCTCTACCTTCTCGCCAAGGTATTTCACTTCATCGCATACCTCATTGTACCTTTTCTGTGACGCCTTACTCATTGTCTCAGCACCACCTTCGGCCACTCGGCTCAGTTCGTTCTTTTTGCTTGTGATCATGCAGAGTTGATATTTCGATTCCGCCAACGATTCGATGTGGTGAATTACCTTAAGGATGGGATCCTCGGTACTTGTTTCTTGAGTTGGGACTGCTGCAGGTTCTGTCGAGCTTGAACTTCTTGCTCGAACGGTACGCATGAAGTCTACATTTGATTCAATGCTTTCGTCCATGGGAACCTTTCGCTTGATTCCATTTGGAGGAGGCATACCATTGCATGATTTTGACGTACCTTCTGCAGGTATGCTATTGTCATGATCCCATCTTTCACTAGCTTCCTCAGAATGCTTCACCGCACGAGCTGGACTTGAAGAGCTGCCAGAGGATTGTTGTCGAGGAGGTGATGGACTGGCAAATCTGGTCTTCTTTTGATATGAGGCGCGTGGTCCTGGTGGTGGCATATCACCGTGTGAGCTTGGACTAAACGAGCGTGATCCTTGATTTGAATCACTACAATTGAATCGATCGGATTTTGTCATTCTTCCAGGACTGTAACTTGATGGACGATAAGTAAAATCTTGACGGCGCTGATCAAGGGGCTGACTTGACGTCAGTCGTCGTGCACCCTGGCTTGAAGGGCTGAAAGACATTCTAGCTTGGTATTTTTCTGTCTATGTAGAAGTGGAATGGTTTGAATGAAAATGTACAAAATATTTTCACAAGCTTTCTAGGAAAGGTTATGGTAGTGAAAAAAGGTTGAATTGTATGCATTTATTCATTTTCATGCCAATTGGGGCGCCTCTTTAAACACAACTTCTCATTCTCGACGCTCAGATCACATTGTCCGACCAATCAAAGGCCATCAAAAATTTAAGCAAAAACAACTTTACTGAATTGACAACGCGTTGACAATCCCGTCAATTGGTGGAAATCGGTTGACTTGCTCCGATCTTTGGACATTTGACGGCGTAAGATTGCAATCGTGTAGTTTGCGCTTCTCAGAGAAAGTATACAATTGCCTTTCTATAGTTGTGATTGCACATTAGCACCTTTGACCGTGAACTTGAATAATGCAATCACACTCTTCTTTTCAATTGTCAGCACGTGAGCCTTTCCTCATGATTGCAATCAAGAGACGTTTATGGGAACAGGCTCCATATTCATTGTTGCAACACGCACTTCCCATCAGAATGACTGCAACAAAAAATGGTTTGTACACCTCTTGTCACATCACTCTCTTCGACCACCATCTCTAAAAACGCTTTCAAGTGAGTAGCCCAAAATATTGAAACATGACGGAGTATCGTAGGCAAGAAACTGCGCACCGGTGGGAGAATGGTTCGAGATTTGCGCAAAGAAGTGATTTTTGGAAAGAAGGTCTTTCCATTTCTACCCTGTTAGACATAACCAGCGTAGAATGCGGAGGATTCGATGATCAAGATCGTTTTTGTCAAGGATGGAAAAAGGATGCCAAAACTCCGGCTTCGGTTGTTTCTTTCGATTTGAATGATCTCATGTTATACATTCGTATCGATCATGACGTCATTCAAGCGGATATCGTACAAATCGCAAACATCTTCAGTAATTATGATAAAACAAGATTGTACATCACTTTCAAATATTCTCCAGTCTTTCTTCGTGATGCAATTCCAGAAGATTTCTCCAAACCCAATGATTGGCTCGAGGGAGAATCCTTTGATCTCTCTCATTCATATGGTCGTTATCTTCGTGTTGGTGCTTTTGATGATGTTCATAAGCAATGCGCTCAATATGGCACGGTGTATCGATTATGCATTTCCGATCCACCTCAAATGGATGCTTTCTTTCGAGGAACGTGCGACAGGCTTGAATTGAGTTGTTCTCTAAAGGAAAAAGAAGATGGCCCTTTGGATGCGTTCAATATGGATGAATTCATGTGGACGTTAAGCCAAATGAGTATCGAAGTTGGATTTCAAGCGCAAGCTTTGGTCGTACCCAACGGTTTGCTTCCTAAAGATATCATCGAACTTTCACAGGAAATCCAAAACATTGAATCACGGCTAGGCGTAGGAACAGGAAGTCAAGCAATCCGTCACTTACGCAACTGCGAAATCAATAGAGGTCCTTTTAGTCGATTTCAAGGTCTTAAAACGGTTTCCTTGTTCGAAATGAAGTCGTGCTTGCAAGGATATACAGGTGAAGAGACAGAGATGATCATGTTTAAAAAGCAAGGTCAACCTCCGATCCATTCAGCGTTTCTGACACCTTCTTATGGAATTCGACTAGAGGGTCCAAATCACGATCAAGGTAACCGAATTTTGAGACAATATCCTGGCTATGAGAAGCACTTTTTACGCATTCGCTTCATCGAAGAGGATGGCGCTGATTTGAGCATTCGTAGAGAATATGGTGTTGATAGTCAACTGATGTTGAAAGAACGTTACGGGAATGCTCTGAAACGTGAAGGTATTCTTGTAGCAGGAAGACGATTTCATTTCTTGGCTTACAGCAATAGCGGATTACGTGAGCTCACCTCATGGTTCGTTTGCAACTTTACGAATCAAAGTGGGGAAGTGATGACCGCGGAAAAGATTCGTGAATCAATCGGAGATTTAAGTGGTATCAGCAACCCAGCTCGATTTGCCGCTCGTATGGGTCAAGCGTTTACCACCTCCATGATTTCTGTTGAGCTCAAACGATCTTGGATTCGTGTCGAGCCAGATCTTGCAACACAAGATGGAAAATATGAGTTCAGTGATGGCATTGGTATGATCTCGCCTGCAGTCGGTCAACTCGTTCTTGAAGCTATTGAACAGTTCAAAGGTCCAATCCGCCCTATTCAAGCATTTCAAATTCGATTGGCTGGAGCGAAAGGAATGGTGGTTGTCAACCCTACCTTGGATGGTCACGCGGTCATTCTACGCAAGAGTATGGTCAAGTTTCCGCTGCCAGATGTTGAAGTCGTTATGATGGAAGTGCCAAACTACTATTCCATCCCTTTCACAATGTATCTCAACCGACAATTCATTAATTTGCTCGCAACACTGGGAGTACCTGCAGAAACATTTTTGGAATTTCAAAATGACGCCATTGATGCCTTACAAAAAGCTTCTTTGGATCCGATTGAAGCCTCAGCGTTACACAAAAGCAGCAGTTTGGGAAGAGCTGCAAATTTCAAGCCATTAATCACCATGTTGAACGATTGCGGTATAAATGCAGTTCGACAAGTTGACTTTTTGCGAGATGTGAACAATAGCTTTATCGATTATGCTCTTCGAAAGATCAAATATCATGCTCGTATTCCTGTTCCTCTTTGCCATACACTTGTTGGTGGTTTGGATGAATTTGGAGTCCTGCTTCCCAATCAAATCATTGCTTGTATATTTGAACAAGAAGCAGAAGAACCAAGATATTTGGAAGGGCCTTGTCTAGTCGGACGTAATCCAATGTTGGCACCGGGTGATGTACAGTCGGCTTTTGCCGTTAGACCACCGAAAGATCATCCTCTTTCAACTATTCACAACGTCGTCCTCTTTTCTCAAAAAGGGAAAAGACCCCTTGTGAGCATGCTTGCTGGTGGAGATTTGGATGGAGATATTTATTTCATCGTTCAACATCCAAAACTTCTCAAGATAAAAATTCAATGCGAACCGGCCGATTATCAAAAGAGCGAATTGCTTCAATTTCAGAACAAGTGTACGATCGATGATGTTGCCGACTTCTTCTTAGATTATATTCGTTTGCACAGTGTTGGACCGACGGCTACACGACACTTACAACTGTCCGATCAAAGAGTTCATGGTGCTTTGGATGCTGATTGCATACGATTAGCACAAATGCATTCTATCGCAGTGGATTTTTGCAAAACAGGAGTAACCAATCAATTTGGTGAAATGCCAGTTTGTAGTCGTCAAAGACCGGATTTTATGCAAAGAGAGAGTGATATCGAATCAATTCGTGCAAATTCAAGAATCAAAACTTCTCAACCTTCACGTTCGAAGCCACAATTCGAATATTACCAAAGCAACAAAGCGTTGGGACTACTCTTCCGTGCAATTGACGTATATACGCATACCAAACGATTTGCAGAAGAAGCAGATTTGATCATCAAAGACGAAGAAAAGAAACTTGGTGATAAAAATGCTTCTTGGACAGAGAAGTTGTGGGATCATTTATCCCGTCAAGAAAGGGCACATGGTTGGGTGAACTTTATCGATCAGATGAAACCAAAAGCAAGTCGCTATTACCATCTTTTGACAGCGATTGCAAAAGATCATTGTGTAGGTGAAAAGATGGATGAATTGAGTGAAGAAGAAGTCTTTATGGGCCATATCTTCGCCAGACCTTCAAGTGGTGCACGCTTGAAGCCGTACGATGCTTCCACCGCTTTGCAAGATGATTTTGAAAACCTTTGCAAACAGATGCGACTAGACATTTTGATCAAAAAAGAAGTTCGAAAACACGACCAAGAGCTGTTTCGAGCGATATGGCGATGGATCAATAACGAATTGGAAATCAAAGCAAGCACTAAAGATGTTGAAGCACAATTGGACAAAGCACTTGGCGAAAAAGCAAAAGACGTGCAAAAGAGAAACCAACTTTTGAACAATTGGTCTCAAGAACTTCATTATGCTATCCAGCAAGGCTGCGCTTTCATCGACGTCACCTTAGCAAAGCCTGAGTACGGGAGAAGCGCTCCTTGGATCATCGTTCCTGCAGTCTTGAAAGCTCATCAGTGCATAGACTGCATCGAAAATGTTTGGCTATACAAATCACAATATCCATCAAACAAGTGAACAAATTTCCATATAAATACAAACTCATTTGTTTACAGAATTGTAGCATATCCATCAAGCAAGCTCACTTGTAAATATGGGCTCCTTCACCTGTAGAATATCTTTGTAGACCTTGCTGATTGATTTACGGCTTTCTTGAGACCATTGTGCTCGCCAGAAATGAAGACCGCAAGGATGAAGTTTATGTTCTTCAACCAAGTCACGAACAGAGTGAGCTTTGCGTTCGATACCTTGAGCTGGAGTGATGGCCTTTGACTCGTCTTGTTTGAAAAGAAGCAATCCATATCTGTGGTATTTTGTGCCATTTTGTGGATGAGGAGGAATGTACGACAAAGCGATTTGCTCAGGTTTTATTTGCACTTGTGTCTTTGTTACTGAGAGTGGCACATTGTGTACAAGCCAATGAGCGTATGTTGACAATCGATCATTCTCTACGTCTGGGGCGTCCAGGTCAACCAATGCCAAAGTGTACAAGCATTCTTCAGTATGGAACGGTGTGACAGTGATTGTCGGTTCCTTCATACTCTTGTTCGCATCAACAAAGCATCCCACAGTTACATCCCCTGCTTCACCTCCATGATCATGGATTCCACTACCCTCGCCGAAAGCGACTTGAACATCAGCCGTTGGAGTAAGGTCAGAGATGGCATCAGGCACAACACGCATTAGACGGGCTCGTTCCAACAATCTTGGTAAAGATTTGTCACGCCATGACTTTTCGCGTAAATGAGCAAAAACTGGATTACTCAAAGGCACATTCTTGTCCATCTTGAATCTCCATCGTACTTCTGGATCATTGATTTGGCTGATGATTGATGTTGCGTGTAAATTAGCCTCGGCTAATGCTCTTTCTGGAGAGTGTAAAGGCGCTTTTTCTACTTCAGATTTCAATGAGGCGAGCTGTTGTTGAAGTAAGGAAGATTGTTCATTTATCAATTTGATAGCTTCATCGTAGGCAGGCTCTATTCCTGGCTCGATTGGTAGTTTCCAAGATGTTGGAGATGTGCTGCTGTTGCTGCTTGAGGCAGAAGGAGCAGTCGAAGACACAGTAGCCAGCTGCCTTATAGCTTGTCTATTCATAAGACTTTGCGATTGTAGCCGTACTAGCGAAGATGATGCTCTTGATAAGGTCATGATTGATCGAGTTGGTCGTGTGATGAAGAAAGAGAAGAGGGACGAGAAGATCTTCCTTGTATGCATTTGCGCTAGAGAAGAATCGTGCAGACAGAAATATTCCAAACACGTGCTTGTCTTTCTCATCGGCCCCCCTTATTAGGCTTTGAAGCGTGTGTAACTTTAAGCTGGGTGGTGCTGTGAATGATACACCACCATTAGAGTGACCCAAGTCTGTGCGTGTAAAGCAAGAGAGGACTGACTGACTGACTGCATGTTCCCGTAGATGTAGGTGATCATCATACCTTTGTTCTTGCTGCGATCTCAAAAGCAATCATAACAAAGCTTACACTGAAAGCGCAATGTCTTCTGCTGGTACAGGCTTACAGAGAAGGCGAGGCGGTGGTCATGGAGGGCCTGGTAATTACGAAGATGATGAAGGTCCATCACGCACAGGATCACCAGCTCCCATGACAGGAAATGGAACGGCATCTGGAAGTGGCACAAATGGAGCAACAAGAAGGCGAACAAAAGAAGAACAAGCAGCAGCCTCTTTAGCACAAGACAGAAACGGCGGACCAGAAGTACGAGGAGGAGCAGGAAGCATAACTGTAACCAGTGCAGCGGGAGGACATAGAATAGCATATGATCCTAGAGATTTACAAGATGAAGACGAAAGTGCAGAACATCCTCGATTGACATTGATGGAAGAATGTCTTTTGATGGGTTTAAAGGATAAACAAGGCTACTTATCCTTTTGGAATGATAATATATCCTACACCTTGAGAGGTTGCATCTTGATCGAGTTGGCATTACGAAAACGTATCTCCATCTCCCGGGATACATCAGCTTCACACAGACCTAGAGGAGTTTACGTTGCACCTGTTCAAGATCGTTTGGTAGAGGTCATAGATACTAAGATGACTGGTGAAGTGTTATTGGACGAAACACTGAAATTGATGAAAGCAAGTGAAAGGATGAGCACAGCACAATGGGTCGATTTGCTAAGCGGTGAAACATGGAATGTGACAAAGATTGGGTATCAACTCAAACAAGTTCGTGAAAGGTTGGCGAAAGGACTGGTTGACAAGGGTATTCTACGAACCGAAAAGCGAAATTTTCTCTTGTTCGATATGGCAACTCATCCGATCTCCGACTCTTCCGCCAAAGACGCAGTCTTGCGTCGAATCTTATCGCTTCTAACATCTACCAACACGACGGTTCACTCCAATCTACTCTATCGGGAGGAAAAGCGTCGAATTTTATTCCCTGCAACGAGAGCGCTTTGTCTGCTTTGCTGCAGCTTCAGTGCGAATGTTCTGGAGAATGCTTTGACCCATCTTTCCTATGATGCACGCGAATCAGCATTTCAAAAAGCTGATGACATCTTGACTGAATTTGCTCAATGGCCAATGGCTCCTTCTTCATCCGTTGCGACGAAAAGTGCATCTCAGAGGATCGGTGAAGGAAGTTTGGCACCTTCAAATTCTGAAGCTATAAACGGAGGAGCAAGTATCCTGGAATTAGGCAAAGCCGTTCGAGCAGAGATGCAATCGGATCAGCAAGCAATGGGAGCGTTTGAGGCTATTGCAGGTGTGCTACATACACTCAGTCGGATGGATTCACTGCTATAGCTTGTTAGTAATACAATATATTCCCCTACCAATGTGCTATCCCTACATAACCCAGATTGTAAGTATGATGAATCTGTACAATTCTATCGCGGACATCAGGAGAAAAGTATGACAATGAATTGACCGAAAGACATGGTAATGATACAGATAGGTACTAAACAAGAGTATGTTGGACGGGGATCATGCGTATTGCTCCAAATCAAGGGTGAGTGTGCGCGAAGAGTTGATATCTTGATTGCGCATTACACCCAAAAGAGCTTGACTTTTCTCGTACAGCATTGCCTTCAACGAAATGACGATGAACTGGAAATCAGGACTGGCTCTTGAACGAATGTAGGCAGCAACGCGGGCGACATTTTGAGCATCAAGAGCGGCATCAACTTCGTCCAAGACAAAGAAAGGTGCAGGCTTGTAGCTATGAATAGCAAATAATAATGCCAATGCGGCTACCGACTTTTCACCTCCGCTCAATTGATCGATTCCACGAAAACTCTTTGTAGGCGGCATGGCAGTATACAAAACACCGTCCAAATAAGGCTCATTATCATTTTGCAAGTCCAAATATGCATTTCCACCTTTTGGAGCTGCTTTGCTACGGGTAAGATCTTTGTATACTTCATCCACTTTTGAGCTTATATGATCGAAAGCACGATGATAAAGATCACTGCGTAACTTGCGCAAACGTAAGAATTCATCTTGTGCCCTCTTGACTTCACGACTGGCTTGTTCAAGTTCTGCACCTGCATCTGCCAATCTGTTCTCAGCGTCGCCCATTCGATCCATCATCTTCGCGTTAGGTGCAATCATTTGTTCCAAATCATTTGCAGCTGCCACAATTTGTGCTTGCAATTCTTCGCCAGTTTCCGTGCTTCCGTCACGCTTATCTTGTGCAGTAAGCATGCTGTAATTTGGTTTGATGCCGTAGTCCGGCACAGAAATAGAGCTTTCCCCATTCTCATCTTCTTCGTCAAAGTCCAATTCCATCTCTGCGTCATCACCAAGAGGAACCTTTTTCAAATCACCGCTTGCAAGAGGAAGTTTGATCTCTTCCAATCTGCATCGGCGATAGATTGCTGTTCGGTCATTCGCATGCTTTTCGATCGCTAGACGAGCGTTTGAGATTTCCTTCGTCGCAGCATCAAGAGCTGCTTGTGCTTCGTTGAGCGTACTCTTTGCCAAATTGAAAGCTTTTTTGGTTTTTGCCTCATCCTGCTTCAATTGCTCGATCTGTTCATGAATTCGTTGAACTTCTTCTCGAATCGAAGCAAGTTTTGTCTGCAGCTCCTTCTGTGAATCGAGACGATCTTTCAGCTTTTGCTGTTCACGTTCAACAGCGTTCTCATTTTGTCGCAATCTTTGCTTGGCCGCCTCCAGTTGAGATTGTTCAAATTTGATAGCATTGTTGAGACGTTGCATTTGCAACTCAAACTCAGAACGTGCGTCATTTTGGAGTTGCATGAGTTGCATCTGATGATCTTCGTATTCACGAATATTGCTCACACCGATACGGGCACAAAAGTCTGCAAAGACACGATCATCTTCGGTATTGACCGTTTGCTGAATACCAGTCGTTTGAGATTCGAGTTGCTGTAACTCTGTTTGTGCTTGCGTGACCTGTGGTCCCAATCCAGTCAATTGTTGAGTGACAACCTTGAGCTCACTCTGCACGCCTTTGAGACGAGTATCGATCTCTTTCAATTCATCATCGATAGAATTTCTTTCGATCTCGTACCGAGTGATACTAGATGTGTCCTGCTCAGTACGGTTCAGCTCATGTTGCTCTGCAGCCAATGATTTCAATTCTGCCATCGATTCATCACGTTGGCGCTTGAAGCCTTCCACTTCACGGTCCTGCCAGCGTGGTCCGGATGCTTCACCACTTTGACCACCTGTAATCAGACCACTCTTGTGAATGATGGTACCCTCCAAAGTGACTGCTTTGACCTGTTGACGTTTTTCGTAGACAACATTTCGTGCAATGTCCATGTTATCGCAAACGAGCGCATTTCCACATGCATAACGCATTGCACGCTCCAGGTGGCTGTCAAATTCGATAATATCGATCGCCAATCGAGCTCCAGGAGCGATACTTCGGAGACGATCATTGATATCTTTTGTTTGAATGGTGTCCAATGGAATGAAAGTAGCTTGGCCGATACGTTGTCTTTTGAGATAATCTATGCACTCGATAGCCTCTTGTTGTGTTGCAACAATGATCGCATCTGCATTTTTGCCCAGAATAGTTTGAATGGCTGTATCGTATTTGCGTTGTGTTGGTTTACACAAATCTGTGAATCGACCTTGAACCCCAGGATAAAGACGGCGTAAAGATGCAATCGTTTCACGTAATCGTGCTTCTTTCTCCGATTCACGCTGCATATGACCGGCTTCGACCAAGTTTTGCAAGCATTGTGCCAGTGTGGCATTCAGTTCATCCATTCGCTTCTTAATGGAGTCTTTCTTGGCCTTCATCTCATGCACGGCAGAACGTGCACTCTCAAGCTCTCTTTGGACTTTGTGTGACTTCTCTTGTACATCATGCTTTCTTTGACTTAGAATCTGCACTTCTGATTCCAATTTCACCTTTTGTGCCTCAGTAGCCTTCAATTTGTCCTGCAAAGTCTGAAGGGCCCCTTTTTGAGATCGAATCTTCATCGAAAATTCTTCCAGTTGCTGACGTTCTTTGCGTGCTCGTAGATTGGCCTCCGCTTTCAATTCGTGATATTGTTGAAGGTCATTCTCGCTCAATCTCAATCCACGTTTTGCAGTGATACGTGCTTGTTCTGCGGCCGCTTTATCTGCTGCTTCTTTAGCATTTTGATGATCGCGTTGATACTTTGCAATGCTTCCTTCGTACTTGGCAATATCCGCTTTGACGAGTTTGATGATATCTTCGCTACTGGCAATTTTGTTCTTACTGTGTGCCATACTTTGATCCAAGGCGTCCAGATCTGGTTGGATCTTCTCGGCCTCCTTCTCACGCTTTCGAAGATTTCTCTGTTGTTCCAAGATCGATTGCGCAGCTTCGCCTTGCTTCTGACGAGCAGCCTCAACATTTCCCTCAGCTTCTTCAACCTCGCCGCGAAGATATGGAAGTCGTTCAGAGGCTTGCTTGATCGTCTTTGTCAAATCACCCACATGCTTGCTGATGTGAAACAGTTGCCAGAGCATATGATGGATGACACTGGCATCTCTCTCCTTTTGTAAACGTTTGAAGCGATCTGCTTCATTTTTTTGATCTTTGAAATGTCTCACTTCTGAGTGCATATTACGACGTTTGTTGGAGATGAATGTGTAATTCTCACGAGCACGGTCATTTGCATGTTTTGCAGCATCGTATTGCTCCTTGTATTCCAACGAACCACTGATTTGATCGACCAATCTGCTCAACTCTTTTGGGTTTTGCGAAGCGACGGCTTCAACGTCTCCTTGGAATACGAGAAAGTTCTTTGCTTTGACGAGAATGTTGAATGATTTCAAGCGGTCATTGTATGCGTTCGCAGACATTGCTCTACCATTTACGCGATATTCGCTATTGCCATTGATTGTGATACTTCTTTGGAATTCATACTCTGCACCATCTTTATCTTGATAGACGGCTGTAACAGATGCCCTTTTTGCATTCGTTTGACCCAGAGTTGCCATTGCTTCAACCGCTTGTTCATCTCCGGCATCATCATCATGCATTTCCACATCTTCAGCTGCTGGTCTGTTTCCAGCATGTGGATCTAACCTTCTTCCACGATAGATCAAATCTTTCAATTGACCGCTACGAAGTTGAGCACTTTTGACACCCAGCACAAAGCTGATAGCGTCCATCAAATTTGATTTACCGCTTCCATTCGGACCAATTACTGAATTGAATGAACGAAAAGGACCAATCACCTGCTTTCCACGATATGACTTGAAGTTCTCCACTTCTAAACGTAGAAGAGGCATCTTGATCACCTATTGTGGATTGGAGAGTGATGACAAGAAAGTGAGGAGAATGTATGCACAAAAGCATGACAAGATTATTGGGGCTAGTAGTGAAATGCTGCTGCTAATCATGCATTATGCAACGCGTAGAAATTCGTGTTGTTCGTACCTAATAAACGCGTAAATTTAGAAGATACGCGTCGCGCCACGTTCAAAGCTGTGACAAAGAAGTGACAGTCAAAGTTGTTATTGAATCATATATGTTACATTCTAGACATACAGAGAGTATTACCACAATTCATCGTCATCTTCATCAACTTGAATACCGCGCATTTCATTCATGTTGCAGAAAGCGACTAGATCTTCTTCCAAAAGATTATCGGTAAAAAGATCATTGTCGTTGTCGGAGAAAGATTCCATTTCCTCAAGATATCCATCAGATCCAACGTCAGAGCAATCTTCTTCTGCATCCTGTAAAAGCTCTTCCACTTCACTTTCTGAAGGTGTGAGACCACTACCTTCTTCATTTCTAGAGCCATATGCAGGTAGGCTAGACACATCATCTAGAGAAGTCTGCAAGGATTGCACCGGCAAATGTGGAAGATTATCAGCATCTCTTTGTGTTGCTTTCCCCTTTTTAGAGCTGCTCGTCTCTTTGCCTTTCCCTTTCTTGGCACATTTGCTCGGCTCCTTTTCCTCTCCATTGTCAACCTCTCTCCTTTTTCCTTTCTTGGTGGAAACCGCCTTCCCAGTAACAACTTGCGATTCCGCATCATTCTCGTAAGTAGCGGATGCTGCGCCTGATGTCTCCGTCTCCGTCTGGTCTGGCGAAGTACTTCTTGCACTTGCAACGGCATTGCTTCCAGAAGATTGTTCTTGATCGCCGCGAAACTTCTGTAAATCCTCCTTCATTTGTTCAAGCTCAGCTTTCATGATTGCCGGCGGAGGATATTTGCGTTGATAATGTCGCTTGGTTCTGGTCTTTGCGTCTTCTTCTTTGATTGCTTTGAAAGCTAGATAATCTTGATTTTCTACAATTTGCTCACCTTTTTCTATTTTCATCTTTAACCACTCTGCTTTGACCATATCATACTCGGCCTTCATTTGTTTAACTGTCGGAAGCTTTCTGGAATATTTACGCCTCTTCACCGCGACGATTTCGACGCCGTCTACGTCTAGCTTTAAAGTTTCATCACTTGTCGGGAATGGGGCTTCATCTTGCACTATGCTTTGAAGTTCGTTATTATCTTCATTGATCAACACATCTTGTTCACTTTCAATCACAGGTTTCGCCCTTTCTTCAAAATGTACACTCTTCTTGGAAGTATTCACAGCTGCTTTTGGCTTTCTAGAGGTTGCTGTATCCTCTCTGGCCCTGGGAGAAGGAGCCTTGCCATTCTGTTTCAGTTTTCGTTCTAATTCACGTTAGAAAACAGTCTCAACAGCTTTGATTCGAAAATTTATAAAAACAATGACTCACCTCTCTGATTTCCACTCGCTCTAGCCGCACTGGTCGATGCAATAGATCGCTCAGGCATGTCGATTTCATTCGCCCTCGATGTACCCAAAAGATCGTGAACAGACACAAAAGTGTTCTTCAAAGGAAAACGATCCGCAGGATATGACGTACTGATCTTTTTGGTGACAGCACTGCCAGATATGTCTTCGGCAGCGCAAACAATCACGATTTCATCCAAACCCGTGAGAAAATGGCATTTGATTTCGAGACTTTGTCCATTCTCGGTGAAATTCCAAATGCCTGCTCTTCTCAAGTGGCATTCTTTCGCATTGGCGTTTGTCGAATAGATAATTGTTCCAATCGAAATGGCTTTGCCTTCACGGGTTTGTAAACGAAGCTTCTTCAATTCTGCTGGACTATGAGCAAGATGTATGGTGATCCTTATAGTAGACTCCACTGAACCGTCCGGTTTTGGTTGGACGTCCACCTCTCGAGCTTCAAAGTCGATTTGTGGGATCTTTTTTGCATCATTTATCAGCCTTGAAGCTTGTGTTGTGGTTCTGCAAATCATCAGTGCTAGCTCAGCCGGGCTTGCTTTTGCAAGAGCTCTGATGGACTTAAAGTTGTGCTGAGACAACAACTGCATCGTTCCGGAGCCTAAGCCATCCAATTGCGTCAATGTGGCACCTTCGTCGTCCCAAGATTTGCCATTCAGCGAGCGGGACAGCATGTATGCATCATTCAAGAAAGCTCCATCTTTTCTGTAGATTGCAATATTCATCATGGCACGAGCAATCTTTGGGGCTGTCTTCAAAATTTGTAATTGCTCATTGTTCGCATTGGCAGAAAAGATTTTTGATTCCTTCTCCATGATTTCTTTGATTTTGAATCCTGTTAAAGCTAATTGCAGTAAGACTGAAATTTTTTCGTGTAAGCTCTCTACCCTCGTCGGCGGGAAGCGTAATTTGAGATCGCGAAGGACGTTGTTATACATTACTTTTTCTCCTGCCCTGATAAACAGATCTGAAAATTCGTTTGCTTGAGAGATCGTTGAGATGAGGGATTGCATTGTTGCTCCTTGCTGAAGATTCATGAGCTCGATCATCGTTCTCATACGTAAGCTATAATTTGACATGGTACGGCCATACTCTGTAGAATTGAATTCTTGGTCAGGTTTCGAGCTGTCATAATTTTCGATAAGATCAACCTCGCTGAGTGCTTCCAAATTTTCACGTGTGATGTTTCGAACATTCTCTTCAGGTGAAAGTCTATCTGAGCAACCTTTGATGTTGTAGTGTTCCCAATTCTTGGACATTCGAGTGAACAAGAATGTCTCTTTCAACCATTTTTCAATATTATACGCTCGACATCGACCTCTTGCACAAACTTCTGCGTTGATATGCTCGCCTAGGCTGAGGTGTAATGTACTTTCTATGATGTTTTCACCTTTCAACAATTGTACGTAGTGCTCTCTTCGGTCTTGCTCTGTCATGATGACACAAACACCCTCCTTGTCAAATTGCGGGCGTCCTGCTCTACCCATCATTTGCAAAATAGTGAGATCGCTGTGTTCCTCAAATACTCCGGTATTAAGTTTTGTGCCGCGGATGATCACCAAGTAAGCCGGGAGATTTACGCCTACGGCTAGTGTCGTGGTTGCACACAAAATCTTGATTTTGCCATCGACAAAAGCACTTTCTACCTTGCGCTTATCTGTGATGTCCAGACCTGCGTGATGAAACGCAATGCCATCTCTGCTCAAATTTTGCAACTCTTCATTTGAAAAACTAAGACAGTTTGTTTCACGCACCGTTGGCCAAGGAGTGTTGGAGTTTTGTTCGATACGTTTCTGACAGTATTCAGACAATGCATTTGCCACTTGCTGTGTTCCACTCCTGCTAGAACAGAAGATCAATGTTGCTTTGCCCTTGGAATAATCTTCAATAATAGTAGGAAGCTCTTTGGTAAGCTCTCTTTCAAAATCGTAGTAGCTTTCGTTCAAAGACTTTGCTTTGAAGCCGTAAATTTCCTTTTGCAAAGGACAAGGGCGAAAATCCTCAGAAAAGACGAATGGTGTCAGCTTGCGGGTCTCGGGCTTGTCACGAGGGCTTCGTTGTCGTGAGCCGATCCATTGAGCAACGTCATCTGCATTTGGAATGGTTGCTGAAACTGCAATAATTCTTGTATCAGGATCACGACTCTTTGTACGTGCGATGAGAACCTCCAAAAGGGCACCTCGTACTTTCTCGCGCACTGAATGCACTTCGTCTACCAAGAATAACTTCAATTTTGACATGAGGGGATCTGACTTCCCTGCTCGACGAGTGATAAAGTCCCATTTCTCTGGCGTTGCAATGACCAAGCGCGCAGCTTTGGCTTCCTCTGGAGTTGAGATTTTAGAGTCACCTGTCATCTCTAAAACCTTGCAGTTCATTTCTTTGAGACGATGATTCCAATCCCGAAACTTTTCGGAGCACAATGCTTTGGTTGGTGCAAGATATACTGCCTTCCCCTCTTTGTGATTCTGAAACATGCGAATCAATGCCATTTCAAAAAGAACTGTCTTTCCAGCTCCTGTTGGGGCTGTTACGACAACGTTTTCGTCGCCTGTCAGCAATTCTCCTACCATTTCACTTTGCATCCTGTTAAATTGCTTCATTTTCCATATCTTGCGGTATGGCAGCTCGATTTGCCCGATGGAAGTGATTGATTGCGATGTTCGCTTGGTATTGCTGGGCATAGAAGCACTTTTTGATGAAGTCAAAGGCGCATATATGCGCTGTTTTTTCATTTTGTGATCGCTTGATGACGCGTAGTTGCTATCCACCTCTTCCAATACGCTGAGTATGGACGGCGAACGGTGCGAGGCTTGAGTAGGTGTCGAGAAGGTTGTGTCAGAAGTTGGTCGACGTGAAGTAAGGAATGGCATATGACCTGAAGATTGCGGTGCAGCAGGAAAGTGCGATCCCATACCTTGTTGTCCATTCCACGCCGTGAGATTATTGTTTTGAGTGAATGGTGGTTGCCAAAATTGTGATGGAGTTGGGGGAAATGCATCATATGACTGTCTCAGCTGTGGGATGATGCGATCTGAATGCATATCATCACCATGGCTGTCACCATAGAAGGCATCTTGACTTTCATTTTCAACCGCATACATTGGATCGTGTTGATCCTCATGGACGTATTGGCTGTAATCGAAATCGCTCATGACTTCACGGTCAAAGTCGGCTTGACCTGTTCTTCAAAAGCAAGATGATGATGATGGTAGTAAGGGACAATCGGAGAAATCGAGAGAACAATCTGAAGACCTCTTACTGAAAATGACACTCACGGCCTAAACAAAACTCGGATTGACGTCAAGCGTGTAACAAGAAGAGCTCTGCTTTGTACTACGCGCTACTCAGCCTGTGTGTGCGGCGAGGCGTGCGCACCGCTCAGCCTAAAAGTCAAATGAAGATTGTGCTTTTATGCAGTGCGTCACAATTGCAATCACACTAAAGAGTGTAGCAGCGCTGATAAAGGGAAGGGGCTCGAGAATATCACTAATTTAACTCCTTTTCTTGTATGCACTTCTATTACAATCAATCATCATCGTCACCATCATCGTTCGCGAAGGGATGGACAAAGGGTGTCAAGTATAAGACTTTGCACCCAGGTCAACCTTCAAGCCGTCTTTTCACACAATGGCTCCCATTAGGAATGCAGGTCAATCCAAGGCTAGGACGTCTACTCTTTCGCAAAAATTGCCCGAATTACAACCCAATTCAACATTAGCATGTCAAGTACAAGCAACAAATGCTTGGCGTCGTGATCTCCGTTCTTTATTGAATCATGCTAGCGATCGATTTGCTGATGTTTGTTGGACATTCAAGCCGGAAGATGTGGAGGAGAACGATGATATGGCAGAAAGTTCGAGTGGACATATCAATTTTGCCGCCTTGCATCGATCACAAACTCCTCCTTCGAGTGTTTCGCATGGAAGTATATTTGAGGAAACAACCACAATCTGGGCTCATAAAGCTTTACTCTATGCAAGGGCATCAAATTCATTCCAAGCTAGATACCTACAACTTCGCACGCCGGCCGATAATCTAGGTGCAATTGCAAGCAGTAGTACCATCTCGCTTCCTGTTGTTCGAGCTCCGTCACCTACCCGTAGCACTGTATCGAGAAGATCTTCAAGAAGTGTTGCATCTAAACGGAAGACGGTAAGAGGTCCAGCACCACCGAGTAGCTTCCGTGCAAGTGCGAATCCAAGCGTGGTTGCCGAAAGCGACACGGAAGACGAAGGTGATCGATCGATTCATAGAAGACGGAGCAATTCATCTGTGGACTCTTTTCATATCGGCAGACCGCTCTCGCGAAGGAATCTACAGCCAAATTCGTCCTCCTCCAGTGCATACGGATCCAGCACAACGGAGGATGATGCGCTTTCGGTCATCAGTGGAACGAGCACAGTACGAGCTCCAATGAATCTTTCCGATATTAGTCCCGCATTCTTTGAAGCCACCTTGGAATATCTTTATACGGCAGAAGAGAGTGTTGTGGAAGTGTTTGAATTCTTATTTGAAGATCGTGTTGGCCCTCAAGATGGCGTGGAGAAACGGTTGGATAAACTTCGACAAGATTTGGTGTTCATGTGGAGAAGCAGGCTGTATTCCGACATTGAGATCGTTCTCGGACAAGATCATGTCAAGAATATACCTGATGCTCAAGCTTCAGTCCTTTCACTCAATATTGACGATGCAACAGATGAAGAAGAGATTGCCTCTTTCTCAGCCCATCGAATGATCCTTGCTTCTCGTTCGCCTTATTTTGCCTCTTTGCTCTTGTCGCCCTATGCGGATACCAACAATCGAGTCGTCAGCCTTCCATCGCCACCCTTTACGCCTGCTGCAATGCACTTCACCCTTGGCTTCATCTATACCGGAACCTTATTCTTTTCCAATCGTACCTTTGATCTTTCTACAGCTTTCCAACTATGGCTAGCAGGATCCTATCTGCAAATAGAGACATTGCAAAGCTTGATAAGTAGTCTTATCGCCCAAGATTTCTGTCACGGGTTCTCTTGCTCCCCACCTTGCAAAACATGCACCAAACGTGTACCCCGGACGTTATCTTTTGTCTCACGACCGGACGTCAATGATCTTCATCTGCATTCACTCGCTCAAAGCGCCATAACAGGAGAACACTTTGGTACTTACTGGTCAAAAGAGGTTGGAAATCTGGATTATGCAGTACGGGGATCGCTCGTTTCTGAGCTATGTGCAAAGATTGATCGTCAACCTGGATTTATTGTAACCACTTTACGCCAACTTGCAATCGTGGGAGCGCGGATAGATGTGGAAAGAAGCACAAGTTGGGTGGAGTCTTTACGCTGGATGTGTGAAGCAGTGCAAGGTCATATCAGCACGGTCATGAGTGAATCGTTTCAAGATGTGGTATGCTCGAAAGAGTGGCGTGATCTTGTGGACGGAGTGGGTTTCATGAATGATGTCTTGGAAACTGCCTTGACGGTCTTTCTCGATAATATCGAAGAAAGAACAGCTGCAAGAAATTATGAAGTCTTGGTCGGACAGGTTTTACTCAGTGAGGAAAGGGTGCCATCAAGCGATGTGGTTATGCTAGCAGAAGAAGCTCGCAATAGTTTGATCCAATACATTCGGAAAAGGTGGGTAAATATCAGATCTGTCGGTGGCTTCAACGATCTCAAGAGGTGGTCTCTAAAAGAGATATCTGATGAAATCGATGTAAGCGCTGAAGATCTTTTGTTGCCTGAAGAGGATGCAGGAAAAGCTGCTAGAAAGACAGTGAGGGCTGTCCCTGGTCGTGCAAACATGCAAGCAAATGACGGCTTGGAGAAAATTGGCAGAATGCCTGCTCCTGGATCGATCGTTGATGGAGAGCGGGAAGCTGGGCCCATTCACCTGCGCGCTGCTGTACTTAATCGCAATGCTGCTAGGGTATCGGCATCACAGGGCTTACGAGCAAGTCCTGCTCAGTCTCCGTCTTCGCCATCGAGCCGCACAAGCAGTATCACGGCAGCTTCTTCTCCGCGATCGATTGTCAGCAGTGACGAGCGAGCTTCGAGCCAGATTCCGCCGAACAGACAACCACCACCTGCTAATACGGCCTCGCCTTCCCTTCCTGCATCAAGGTTGGCGAATCGTGTTACAGAAAGACCGCAGCATCACAGCTCACCAGTAGCTACAAGCAGAACGAGTACCACGCAAGCCAGAGCGACAACGACAACAAAAGTATCGTCACCTTCTACCTCGAGGCTCACAAGCAACAATACTGTGCGGTCCTCAATCGCATCGCCATCTGATCGAGCTAGAAAGGTGTCTGCTCAAAGTGCTAAAAGTATCTCGTCTGTAGCCACGACAAGCGGACTGAACCGAGAGAAAAATGCGACACCAGTACGATCCAGAGTGCCGAGCACTGCGAGCGCAATTTCAACAATCACGTTGGAGGGCCAAGCTTCCACACCTACAAAGAGGACAGCAAAGACTACTGGCAGCTTGGTAGCATCGCGTATTGCTGCAATGAATAGCAAAGGTGTTGTTGGTGATCAGACTCCCGCTGTCAAGAAGAAGAATGAGCCGATTGGCCGAACGGTATTAAAAGAACGCAATTTACCCGCAAAAGAAGATCCAGATGATACCATCATGCTGGATAGTGCGCCAGTAGCACAAATACAAAAGAACGCAGACAAACAACAATCATCACAATTTGATGGTATCGGTACAAAATTGTCTTTTGGTATTCCTTGTGTGATTGCGCCGACAACACGCAATGGAAAAGTGACAAGAATTCGGGCAACTGTAAAATACATTGGGCCGGTCATGGATGCTCACCACTCAGGGCAGCCAATGATTGGCGTCGAGGTTGCATTGCCGCTACCGGCTGGCGTGGATGAGAATTCATTTGACTTTCACGATGGTACTTATCAAGGTCATGAATATTATAGCATTGGCCTTTCAAGTTCTTCATCAAGCCAAGACGATTTGCGTCATAAGCCAGAAAGAGAAGCCCGAATGCGAAGGCTAGAAGCGATACTTGCCAGGCCGAACGAGGATATCTCTATGAATGTTGCTGAAGATGGCGATATGACAGTTGGCGGCGATAAAACTGTTTCTGTATCGGGTACATATAGTCCACTTGCGCCGAGCGCAAAAAGACGAAAAGATATATCCGGAATTGGCAAAAGCATTGATGAGGAATCAAGCTCGACCAAAGTTCGTGGATTGTTTATTCGACCGAAAGATGTGCTTTGGGTGGTCGTTTAAACACGTAATCGTGTGTTGTAATATAGATGATGATCTAACGAATATGATGACATTGATTCAACTTTTTTTGCTCCCTTTTCATCTCTTTATACACCTCCAAATGCCGTACCAATTACCCTTCTCCCAACCGCCAAGCTCATGCTCTATGATCAAATCCGGATAGAGTTTTGCGGCCTCATCTACGGTTTTCTCTAATTCACCTTGTTCGAAGACGTGATAGAACCTTTGGAAGATTTCAGGTGAAGATGGGTCGTCGGTAGCTTCTTTTTCCGGGATTGCTTGCTTTCCATTCTGTTTACTGGCATTTTTCAAAATCCAAGGTACCATTAAATCTTGACCTTGATGTGACTTTGATTGATCTTCAGAAGATGCAACTTGTTCGAATTGCCGCCTTGATTGACCACGTTGTTCCAATGCCCAAACGACGATCAAGAACCGTCCAGAGCCAGAACGTAGTCCGGCATAAGGTCCTTCATTGATTGTGATAGGATTGGGCTCTTTCTTATTTGCTTGACAAGGTCGAACAATCCTAATCATTTCCGCAACCGCTTCGATCCTTCTTTGAAAAGAAGCGAAATGATGAATGGTTGCGATACTGATTGAGAAATCGAAACAGCCTGACCTGAAATTTGAATGCATTGCATCACCTACTGCTACTTCATTACGCTTTGCTTCATCAATCGGATCAGGTGAAAGTATCGATCCAAAGTTATGATGTGCTAAATCGATCAAATTGCTACTTCTATCCATACCCAGCATCATGATATCGTTTGATGTGTCTTCTTGGGCAGATGCCAAGATGTTCCGTAGATGAAGATATTTCCCATTTCCACAACCGAGATCTGCACCGATCGATCCAACAGGTAAAGAATTGATAAAAGCTGGAATCAATGGCCAAGGTTTATAACGTGTATCGGAGAAATGAGGTGCGATTGCTTCGTACACGCTATGAACGTTTGATTGTTCAAATGTTGCTGCGTCGAAAATCGGTTGGTTCTGATGACCAACTTGTGCGACTGTTGGGTCGCTCGGTTTGGACATGGCCAATGGTGAGGGTGGGTGTAGAAGAGCAGAAGTATAACAATAAAATGCTAAGAAGCTTTAATTGTCGGACGTCCGACTTCCGTTTGAAGTTACGTAAGATTAAAAGGCGCGTTGATGGAAACGCGTTCAAAGAGACAATACGCGAAAAGTGTTGTTCTGTAAAGCGTGTAGAGAGAAAATGAAAGAGAAGCCAGCCACCTTCATACAACGATCATTCACCAATACAAACACAATGGCAACCGCTGTAGCTCAATTACCAGCCGTAAGGCCGCCGCCGCCACCTACATCTTCTGGCTTTGATGACTTGGAAGATGCAGAGATGGATAACCTTTTATCGGCCATTGATGAGAAGAAACTAGAACAAGCAGAGATGGGAGAACCAACAGCATACCTGGCATACTACAAATATCTTCTACCTTGGAAGCAATTATACCTTTGGCTCAATCGAACATATACTGTTCCATCAAGTAGCTCTACCACAACCCCATCCGCCACAGCTTCATCATCAGGACAAGCAAGTCGCAACTTCACCCATAGAGAATTCGCATTCACCTTACAAAATGAAGCTTACCTGCGTTACAACTCATTCGGTTCACCTGAAGATCTAAAGAGAGAAGTATGTCGATTAAACCCAGCAAGATTCGAAATTGGTCCGGTATACAGTGCAAAACCAAAAGATCGCAAAACAGTCCAAAAGACACTTTTCAAACCTGTTTCGCGTGAATTGGTGTTTGATATCGATATGACAGATTACGATGAAATTCGTACTTGTTGTACCGGAAAAGGAATTTGCAAAAGATGTTGGGCTTTCATTTCAGTTGCTGTAAAGGTGCTAGATGAAATGATTCGAGAAGATTTTGGTTATAAACATTTACTTTGGGTTTATTCCGGTAGACGTGGTATCCATTGTTGGATTTCGGATGAAGAAGCATGCGCTTTGAACGATGATGCAAGACGTGCGATCATTGGATGGGTGGACATCATCAAAGGTAGTGCAAACACAACCAAAAAGGTCGATGTAGGAGGATACGTACCAAACGGGCCAGGCAATAGCAATAATGGTGGCAACGGACGAGCTCTACATCCTTCCCTCCGTCGTGCATTGGAAGGCAATGACGGTCAAGGTCCTCTCAAGATGGCATTCGTTGATGTGATCTTACGCGATCAAGATTGCTTTAAGGAGAAGAAACAATGGGAAACACTCTTGAACCTTTTACCAACATCTGAATTGGACGCAATCACCAAACTTCGTGCGAAATGGAGTACACACCCTTTCCGTCCAAGTTTGGATAAATGGTCAGATGTGACTGAAGCAGCAGCAAAGAGCAAAAAGCAAGGAATATGGAAAACTGCATTAGAAGATGTCATTTTGCAATATACTTATCCACGTGTGGATACAGAAGTGTCTAAACATTTGAATCACTTGCTCAAAAGTCCATTCGTCATCCATCCTGCGACCGGAAAAGTGTGTGTTCCACTTACAGTCACACAAGTGGACAAATTCGATCCTGATCGTGATTGTCCAAGTATCAGTCAACTTTTACGTGAAATGCATGTGGCCACACAAAAGAACGGAATTGATCTTCACAAAGAGAAAGGTCAAATGTCAAGCATGCGTGCCTTTTGGGATCAAACGAGTCTCAAACCGTTTGTTGAAACGATGGATAGACACGTTAAAGCGATCATGCAAGACCTTCGACAGGCAAAGAAGGAAAAAGATGCGAAATCTTTCGATTTTTGATCATTATTTCTCAAACGTACCAGCCAATGTATTGTATTTCATGAATTGTCTTTTATACAGCATGTGAATGAGAGCAAAGAGTGTTTAAAGAACCAATGAGGAAAGACGGCGAGTTTCAATAGCAAATGCTTCCGCATCTGCTTTTGAGGGTATATTCCTAACGGATTTTAGTATGTTGGCTGCTAGACACATGATCATCACCAGCACACCATACACGACCAAGCCTTGAGCCAACCTTCTAAATTTGGCACGGCTGCCATCTTTATGCAAAGAGCTGAACAAGAGTCCGGGCAAGATGAAAGAGATTGTTGTAGATCCCACACTTCCCACATATCCCAAGATCAACCCAAGATCGTCTACAATGAGGGCGATGATGAAAGTTGCCGTAAGAATGATTCCGGTCAAAATGCACAGTCTTTGAATCGACATTTCCGACTGAGCATTGTTACTTGCCGCCAACTGAGGTGGAACATCCACAGAATCATGACCCGCATTATCGCTCGATATGTTGCCTTCATCGTCCCGGTAATGTGTATCGGGTATTCCGTTTAACTGTGTGGAGGGTAAACTGTCCAAAGAGGCTCGTCTGGGTGCCAAGACCTTGTCTAGAGCAGCTCGGCAGGGATGCACCTGGAGAGGGTAGCTACAAAGTGTCAAGATCACAATTGATACACGACCAAAGCAAACGAACAAGCTAGTATCGGGATACATCGTAATGATATTTGCGCCAACGTTGGATCCGAATGAGACATAGCCCAACACTCCCACGATCAAGTATACTGTTCCTGCTAGTGAGATGCTTGAAAAGATTGCTTTACGGGTGCGGAAGAAGTGTAAAGGTCGTGCTGCCCGCATTTCATTGTGAACCGGTAACATGTTTTGAGCACAAGTGAAAGCAAAGACGAAGACGGGAAAGACGGATAAGAAATGATGTCCATCGATGTTGATGATATAGATCGGGCCAGGTTCGGGTAAGTGTTCTTTTTTGGAGGGAAGACTGTAGTAGAGCACAATGATGACCAGATACATCACTGCTAGTAAGCTTAGGTATGAGGTATGCCGTAGTGAATCAAGTCTGCGCAAGAAACAAAGAGGGACAAGGGCAACCATGAAAGCAAAGATCCAAAAGCTGCGGTCCAACAAAAAGCCCGGTAAAGTTTCGTGACTGTTGAGTGCTTTTGCAAAAGAAAGAACGACTTGTGGCATCAATTGTCCTGAAATGATAAGGTATGAGATACTGACTCCGAAGCATTTGATAGCGATTGCTGCGTCGAAAAATCTTGCACCGTTTGGTATCGTTTTAAGAGCTATGCTGAAAAAGCTATTCTTGCGTCCACCCAAAGTATCTGCACACATCGTTAGTAAGATCAAGCCAGCAGCCGAAGTGAAGCCGCAAAGGATGATGAGGAACATGCCCGGCAAAAGACCTGTATATCGAAATGCACCAGGAGTGGCTAGCATGCCTGTGCCAATGATTGTATTGCACAAGTTGGCGATTGAAGAAGCCATGCTGGCCTTTCCCGTTTCTTGTAGATAATCATCTTCTGCCTCTGTGAATGCATGGCTTTCGTCGGCGTCGTCCTCGATTGGCATTGAACGAGTTGCATGACCACTAAAAGGGCCATTTACTGACATGATGTCGGTTATCACTTGATGATAATACTACGACAACATTCAGATTCGGGTTGTATTCCTATCGCACGATGATGGTTAAGAAAGGGATGATTTACAGTTTGATGTGTCTGTCTCTTACGATCTAATAGTATATGCGGCTTGCGTGCCTGCTTCTGCGCCTTGTGATCCGCGCGTTTAAGTTTAGATATGAAGAGAGCCTTAAAGCCGACAAAGCGGGGATATAAATTATGAATATGATACGATTATGATATTCCAATTTCAATTTGCGTTTTAATGTAAGTGCCACTACATTAAACGGTGTGATGGTAAAATAAATGACTTCTTTAAGATGTCTGAGCTTCTCTCTATGTGTGGAGATATCCCATGGCTATTGATGTTGTCTCTTCTAGAAAAGCACGTGAGGGAATGGCTAAGTCCGTTCTCATGGTTATCATTCAATTCCCGTGCATGTTTCCCTAATCGATCATTGTGAAATGTATTGATGCTGTGCTTATATGCAAGTATGAAAGGATAAACAGCGCCACTAGCGTATTTGTTCATGTGAATTGACATGCGTAATGATGATTGATGATCATTAGCCTAAACGGATAAAATGACATATGCGGTAAGATTGAACGCTAATATGATCAAATAAATTAAAGCACTTTAACTGTAGATTGATAAGCACAAAATTCAACAATAGAAGTTTTGTTTGCTGCTTTTGCGTCCGTGCATCATGGTGAACATGCTCTCGGGAATATTACGCCTTTTTGACTTCGATTGATGTGAGAATATGGTGCATTTATTATCTCGCTAAAACGCAGATCAATGCATTAATTGATTTGATTTGAATGAGATAGTGTTATAATGCCAAGAACTCCATGATAGACAATCACTTGTAAAAGGTATATAAGCCCGATCTACTTCACACTCCACTCTTCCTTCTCTTCCACAACAACATCTTTTAATTCTAAAATTTGAACAATGGCTGATCAACAACCCCCTCAACCACAAGGTGGTCAACAAGACGCTCTTGACAAAGTAAGTATTGCATATATCATTTGATAGATGAGAACTATACTGATTTAAAACTTATTGTCTTCTTATAGGGTATCAGCGCCGCCTTGGACAAAAGTGGTCATCACCAACAAAACAGCACCGTCGAAAAGATCTCTGATGGTGTCCGTTCAGCATTCAAGAAGGTAACCGGGTCCGACGTCCCGATCGCTGATAAGCAGTGATCTGTTTACGAGCAGATCTTTGTCAGAATATCTTCCTCTTTTTCCGTTTATGACAACACAACGATTAGTCTTCTATATGTGAGATACCTTATATCTTTCTCAATTTATTAATGACAAACATCTTTAATGTGCGAGTAAGGCCAGAGCTCAGATTGTGAGCTCTTCACTTCTGTCTGGGTCGAACTGCTTTGTAGAACGGGCACATGTGTTCTCTCAAGCGTGTTAATAAGTCTTTGTTTGAATTTTAAGATGAATAAATATTTGTTATGTCTATAAACTGAGAGCAAACAGCAGCTGTACAAATCACGGAGAAAAAAGTACGAGAAACGGAAAGAGGCATTGTCATTGTTGAGAGTGACTTATTGAAGTAGAAAGTCTTCTGCGTTTGTGATCAAGTCGATTATTTCCTAGAGAAGATTTTGGATGTTCAGTTGATCGATTTTCATCGACGACAAGGTGATCTCTCTTGGATTTTCCACGTGTACGTACCTTATCGGCATACTGACATTCCATTCCACGTCGGGTACAATTTGAACATGTTGGAAATTCGTTGGTACAACGCATCTTCCTGCGCTTGCATGCTTCACATGCGATCAAACAACGTCCATTACTTGAAAATCTGCTTGGATCAGAATTTTCCGGGATAGCGTGAAATTGACTTTTGATTTCCACAAACATGCGACCTCCATCGGTATGAGGTTGCGAAACAGGTTGTTGTTGCTGTTGCGGCGGTGGTGGTGGAGCAGATCTTGTAGGCGGAGCAGGTTGATGTTGTGGCATTCCGTGATGATAGTCTTCGTCTCTTTTCGTATATCTGCTTATGTCTTGCGTACGACTGTAATTTGGATGCGGAATGTGTGGTTTGACAGCTTTTGTGGCCTTGCCTTTATTCTTCTTGTTCTTTCCTTTTGCTTCTTCTGCAGGTGGCCATGAAGATGTCCATCCGTCCATTTCCAAAGCTTTTGAGGAAATTCGAAATTGATCTGGATTCTGCGGTTGAGCGAAAACAGATGGCATGTTTGTATTATGGCTACTTGGTCCAGGAGCGGGAGCCATGCAAGAAGGATGTCCATGTTGCATCACCGATGGCAAAGGAGAAGGACTTCGATTCTCATAAAGAGGTTCCCTTCTGTGCATTCGAATAGAATGTCTATACTCCTCTTCCGGTGAGGGCATTCTTGAAACAATAGCAGGAAGCATTGGTACTGATTCTCTTCTTGGAAGGACGACAGATGGAATCATGGTATTTTGAATAAGATGTAATGGATCCACGATTGCATCCCTTCTTTGCAAGTGACTGAGATCATATGGTCCAAGACGACGACGAGGACCATGAGGCACATCGCGATGCTCGTAAGAATGATGAGGTACGCCTGAAGACAATAATGCCAAACCATCTTCGTTTGATGAAGACGGACTTGGCATTAAGCTCAAATCCCGTGACATATTGACAGGAGAGTATTCCGATAAATATCTTTCATCCTCCATGGCTAAAGCAGCATACCTCTGATCATTTTGCGCCATTTGATTAGCGGAAATCGTTGGACTTATTGATGTTCTTGCGCTCGTATTTTGTGAAGGATGAAAATCCGTTCCATTTGATCGGTATTGCGAAGGAGTGTCAAACACACTTGGTACATCACCTAGTATGTTTGATGTTTCATCTTCAAATGAAGTCATGTTGAAGTCATATGAAATCGTACTTCCCCATTCAGATGGCACAACAGCTCCCATACCTGCTACTCTTGATGAGAATGGTGTTCTTGGCCAATCAGAGATGGGTTGTTGTTGCGAATCTTTTCGCATGGGTGATGACATCATGTTGTAAAATGAATTGAAGGGATAAGATTGGTAATTTTTGAAGTGATCGCAGGCAAAAAAAGCAAGTTGATGGGGTGAAGTTGGAAAGATTGAAAACTACAATCTCATTACCTTTTATATGTTGTAGAATGATAAGTTATACTCTTTTCGGAATAGTATGGCAGAAAGTGCAAGAGTGTTGATGTGAAACCGAAATACGATTTCACTATTGTGAGGCAGGATAAGAGCAAGAATGACGACGGAACAATGATAACAAGCAACAAAGGCGATAATGAAATGCTTCTTGAGCCGAATGGAGCAACTTGACTGCCATACAGTAAAGATTGCACGATGCCGTGTTACTCTTGGCAGCTGCATGAAGAAGCGAATAAACAACGCAATCAGCAATCTATCTGTCATTATATCCGATGTCCGCCTTTGTTACTATGCTTGACATCTTTCAACTAAGGTTACGTCAAGGCCTCAGAATATGCATGATTGATTTGGCAGACCTAACCATTCTATTGCGACATTTTATTTTGACGTCTAGACCTATTCTGTATGCAGGCGTGCATATTGAGTTAAGATTGGATAAGTGTCGTCGTACCTGATCCTACTTTATCGCGTTAAAATCAAAATATACATGAATAGTTTCAATCACATAAAACTTCCGTTCTCTCCACATCTACTCCGGAGTTTATGTAGATCGAATGATAAGCACTAAACCCTTGATTAAGATACTTTTTATTGCACAGCTTTCCTTTGTGACACTCCCCGAAGTAAGTGGGTTGAATGTCGGCGACTTTCCTCATGTACTGCTGCACTTCGCTACACAAACGTTCATACTCGCCCGCATGATACTGGTGAAATGCAAAGATTCATTGCATGCTTTTGTCATGTACTCTACAAGAAAACCTCTAAATCAAACTCCATGGCTGAAATCGGATAATTGAGCTCATACGCTGCCAAAACTTCAGGATGAAGAACGCCGATTCGTCCAATTTCCAAATCTCCATTTCCGCTACCTTCTTTCAGCCTTCGTGTGATTGCAGATTCGCTTTGTGCACCTAAAATGTCGGCCAATGCTTTTCCCATCGAATCAGCCACAGTGGAAATGGTTTCCGAAACAGTGGTTTTGTCGGTTTTTGTCGGGGAATTCGCCGGTCGATAATGAATTGCGGCAGCTCGTCCGGGGAAAAAGGTTGGATCTTCACACGCTGTCAAGTAGTACCCTTTACTCTTGTCTTTATCGTCCTTTTTGATTCGTGGAATGCCCAAAGAACGCATGATCTGATCCAACAATCCATGCACGATTTCAAAGTTGGCACTTTTGTCAAAATAAGCAGCCGAAACGTGCCTTTCGTTTCTTGCACAGCGGTCAGGATCAGTCTTTTCATCCTTGAATGCGACGTCTGATACCTCAAAAGTGCGCAGAGGCAAGGCGTGTTTACGATTCTCACGAACAGTCTTTAGTATGCCCGGCAACAAAGATGTTCGAACGACTTGGAACTCAGCTGTCTTTGGGTTCTCCAACGTGATTGCCAAACCATCATCTTTTCGGCGTAAGGAGGCGTAATTTTCATCTCTTGAACACAGAATGAGCGGTAAAACTTCTGTCCATCCGGCATATGCACACTCTTTTCTCACCAAATCAGAGAGCTTGTTGATCGGTAAAGGAGCACCAACGGTGTTTGTTTTGGGGAAACGACGCGGTAGGTTGTCGAAGCCATAGGCGACTGCCACATCCTCCATCAAATCGCACTCGTGCAGCACATCCGGTCTAGTGCATGGAACTTCTACATCGATAACCTCTTCGGGCTTCTCTTTTGATGGGCTGGCTTCATGACCCATACGTTGAAGTAAGGTGGCCACCTCCTTGGCCTCCAATTTTAGACCTGTGCATGAATTGATGTACGAAACACGAGCTGTTGTTTTACGTGCTGCTAAGCTAGGTTGAACTGATGATCTTCCGTCTGCATAGGTAACCTTGACTGGCTCAATAGTGAAAGGCTCTGAACAGTATTGTGAGAACGTGGCGACCAAGATATTGAGAGCGGTTTCATTTCTAGTCTCATCTGTTGCAGTCATCTCGATCAAAACATCTTTGGTATTTAGAGTGATCTTTGAATGTTCTCCATTGATGATTGGAGGCAAAGAGCACACTGTTCTGTTCTTGTCAAAGATGACTGGATAAACGGGAGAATCACGAATGATGTGCAAGTAATGGCGTAATTGACGATCTTTGTCCAATTCTTCCATCAGCTTGTTACCGTCCATCTCTTGCCCTGGTCGATTGAGAGGTGCAAAGACGATATCTTTTGGTGGTAATGCTTCGTATGAGAATGGTCCTTGAATCGTGCTCAAATCATGAGTTCCCATAGATACCAACGTTCTTCTTCTTGCTAAATTTTGATGCAGTTTATCTTGTAAATCAATGAATGTTGCATAATTTTCTGGTGTGAATTTGACGCCTCGTAGAATGGCAGCAGTGACAAAAGGTCTGATTTGCTTTACACTTTCTGCAGCATGCAATTCAACCATTTGAGCAGGTTGAGTGAGTTTCAATTGAGGCTGTTTGATCTTTCCCAAAAACACCAAAAGGGCACGAGAGATACCTTCGGGACAAAGCATGTCATATCGATTTGCAGGAATATCAATCTTTAAAGCAGGTCTTTCTCCCGTTTTGCTTGCTTCTTCGGTTGTATCCTCATCCAGCTCGATTCCAAATTGGAAACATAGTTCATCGAATTCTTCAGTGGTGTACTTCTTTCCGAGTGCTTCATAGAAGCGTTCCTTATCAACTGAAACGGTCGGCATCTTGATTGTCTATCCGATGAGAAGGAAGAAGTGATGATGACGATGATTTCTTCTTTTTTAACTTTAGCGTTCTTAGATGACTGTGCTGCAATTTATGTATGGTCCAGGCGCGGCGACTGCCTCTGGCTGTTATTATAACACGTGTTTATAGATGCAATGTGCGGAGATAGACAAATGCAGAAACAAAAAGTTATACAACACACCACCATCATTCTCACATCAATCACAACAATGTCTTGGAGGAATAAGGCTCAAACAACGGGTCAAAATACCGTACCATTGGGTACAACAATGCGAAAATGGGGCGGTGGAGGTGGTGGAAATGAGAGAAGTGATGGACCATCTTATGCTCCGCCTGATCCTGGACCTTCTTATGGTTCATACGGCAACGATCGCCGTGCCAGTGGATATGGCGCAGATGTTGCATCAGGTGTAAAACGAGAAAGAGATGAAGTTCACACTTTCACATCATCCATGCCTTCATCCGGAGCAGCAGATTCATCAGCGCCAAGAAAGAGACGTTCCCGATGGGGTGAAGAGAAAACAGATTTAGGCGTGGCAACCGCACTAGGAGCAAATATGTCAGAATCTGCACTTGAACGACATGCTATCAACGTAAGAATTGAAGAAATCGCACGAAAGATACAGTCAAATGATGTTGTTCCACCTGAACGCGAAAGAAGTCCTTCACCACCTCCTACATATGATGCACAAGGAAGGAGAACGAACACGAGAGAGGTGCGCTATCGTAAAAAGCTTGAAGAAGAAAGAGTGAGACTTGTGGATAAACAGATCAAATTGGATCCCAATTACAGACCACCGGCAGAATATGCTGCTGCAAAGCGTAATATGAAGCCATCTGAAAAGGTGTATCTGCCGATCAAGGAATTTCCAGAAATCAAATTCTTTGGTTTGCTTGTTGGTCCACGTGGAAATACGTTGAAGAAGATGGAACGTGAGAGTGGGGCAAGGATCAGTATTCGAGGCAAAGGCAGCTTGAAAGAAGGAAAAGGTCGTGTTGGAGAAGAAGGGGAAGAAGAGATGCATTGTGTTGTCACTGCAGATGATGATGAAAAGATTAAAAAGTGTATTCGATTGATCAATCAAGTCATCGAAACAGCTGCATCCACTCCTGAAACGCAAAATGATCACAAGCGTAATCAATTACGGGAACTGGCTTCTTTAAATGGTACCTTGCGAGATGATGAGAATCAAGTCTGTCAGAACTGTGGACGGAAAGGACATCGCAAATACGATTGTCCCGAACAGCGTAATTGGACTGCCCATATCATTTGCCATCGATGTGGTCAACAAGGCCATTTGGCCCGCGACTGTAATCAAGGTCGAATGGCAGGAGGTCCACCAGGACATGCTGGAATGCAAGGCAATGGTCCTCGACCTGGTGATCCATTCAATTCGGAATATGAGAATTTGATGGCTGAACTGGGAGAAGGTGGTCGTCCGGCAGATGGACAGTATCCCGGGATGGATAATAGACAATCAGGACCAGATGGCCCTTCGATTAACTTGGAAAATCGACCTATTGGACCAGACGGTAAAAAGATACCACCATGGCGTGATCCAAATGTTTGGATCACTCCAGCATTTCCAAACAACGGCCCGCCAAGAGGTCCAAGAATGGGCTATGGAGCGGGAGGCAGAGGCAATTTCGAGCAGAATTATCAACAGCCAGGATACCAATCACAACAGCCTTATCAACAGCCACACGCACAACAACAATGGCAAAATGGTCAAGCAGATGGGTCAGGATACAATTATGGCAATTGGCAACAACAAGGAGAAGGACAACAAGCCGCTCCTGCTCAACAACCACAAAACGGTGCATCGGAACAACAGCCTGATTATCGAGAGGCTTGGGAAGCGTACTATCGTCAACAGGGTATGGATCCTGCAGCAGCAATGGCAGCAGCAGCCAACGCTGGAGGTGAAGCTCAACCATCGCAAGAAGGACAGCAACCACAGCAGCAACAGGATTATACGAAAGAGTGGGAAGAATATTACCGACAACAGGCTGCTGCTGGCCAGCCAAGTTGAGATGTTTGATGCTTTGACTAACCCAACTAATAATGCTAATATCGACTGCGATCAAGGTTTATATACTGATCTTTCTCCCACATTGTATTAAAACGAAAATTTGCTTGCTTTGTGGAAGGCATGCAAGCAGCTTTGACCATATGAGACAATAATACTGACAATTCCAATCAACATAAGCTGACTTGAATGACTGACGAAAGTGACTAATGATTTCTCTTGCCAAACGAACTTCTGCAGCCCTCTTCTGTCTTTTCGCAGCAACAGGTCAGAGGTGATCATCTCGACATTAGTGAGTGATTGTTCGGAGATATCGTAATGTAAGATTGGGCATGATATAGACATTATACAATGGAATGATTTATGATACAAGGAAAACGAGAAATTGATGCGACCAAAAGATTTGAAAGAGATGTAGCAAAAAATGATGCAGAACGAGCAAACAGAGGTAAAGATATCATCAACAACAGCCATCGAAACGAGATTTGACAGTTTGCAATGAAACTGTTCCGGAGCGGTTACCGTTTGGCATAACTTCGGTAAATGTGAATTTACTATTCTTGGTGGATGAATTGACCGCAACGCTACGTAAACCACGATCACCATAAGTGATTCCACTTCCGGGTTTTTCAGGACTAATGTTTCCTGATTGAATTGCCGACAAGATGGATTGACAAGCCAAAACAAAAGGTCTTTCGACATTTTCTCCATTGAGTGAAGATGTTTCCATATATTGACATTTATGTTGTAGTGCCCAATCTCTTGCTTCTTGAAAGCTTACTTGACGATCTTCTTGACAATCAAGTTTGTTTCCTACAACTACGACCCGTAAATCAGAAGAAGCGAGTGATCTTGCATCCGATAGCCATTGCTCTAAAGGTTCAAAAGATGCTCTACGCGTGATATCATATACCAAAAGACAGGCACTCGCACCACGATAATAACTCTTTGTCACACTTCGAAATCGTTCTTGACCTGCCGTGTCCCAAAGCTAAAGAAGGGATAGGGAGATCAGCACCTTTCCTATGTATACATTCATCACTGATCTCTAACTCACTTGTAATTTCAAGTCCTTTTCACCAACACGTAATAATCTTGATGCAAACTCAACACCGATCGTTTGCGTCGCATTCTCCTTTACGTTTCCATGAATGAAATGATGCAATAAACACGACTTTCCCGTCCCTGATTCACCGACGACGATCACTTTGAGTAAGAAATCGTATGGTTGACCTAATTGAGATCCATCAGCGACCATGATTGTAGTGAGTCGAAGTGGTTATGTGAGAAGAGGTTTCTATTGTTGTATCTCTTGGTCGGAGATGGGGGATGAATGGTTGCAGGTTTCAAAAGTTGAATCACACATTTTATATCATCATCATTAACATCGGCAGTGGAGGCTGTACTGCAGCATTGCAACTTTGTCGCTTATGTGTTTTCATTTTTACGCCTCCGAACAGTGTGATTGCTCATTGTCAGGGCATTGTCAAGTGTTGGTCTTATGTGCGCGTTAAATCAAACACACGTTTAAGGCATTTCATTTTAGTGCATTGGGCAAGAGTGTTTGTTCAGTTCGCGAACAAAGCACACATACCTAATATTATATTTTTAAAGCGGCGAAGGCGTTTAGAATGGGCGTAAAAAGAGAATGAGTGAATTTGCACGAACCTGCCTTCGTATGTACTGTACTGTATTGTACACAGCATCAAATCTTATTTTTCGATCCGAGCTTTTCAATCAGGAGAATTGCCGTCCCGACTTCCATTAAGCCCCATCCTGTTGTTCGATTGCATGTCTGATCCAACATACCATGTCCTCAAAGGATAAAGCAAAGTTTGGTAAAGGATACCTTACAGATGCAGAAGAAAAGAACGTATTTGTCTTGGCAGACGATCGAGTTCGATTCGATAAAAATGGTCCAGGAGGTGCAGTAAAGGTAAAAGGATATAGAGGTATTTGGCCCGTATTTGGGAAACCATCAGAACGACTTGGAGGGGCAGACGTGATCATCGTACAAGATGATGATGGGGCAACCGGAGCATCGGAAAACACAGCAGCTGGTACTTCTGGAAATCGACTAAACGTTCCGTCAAACGAAGGTGAACACAATCCAAAAGAGGGGCTTGAACAAGATTCGCACAGAAAAGCAATTCACTTTGCCAAAAGACCAATTTGGATGTGTAGCGTAAAAAAAGCTTGTTCACCTTGCGAAAAATCTGAATTTCACAGACCTTATTGTCAACCTTATGGAAATCGTGCTTTGATCGAATGTCGCAAGATTGAAGTGACAAAAACGCCAGAAAGGAAACCACTTCCATCATCAAAAGAACCTTTCAAACCGGACAAGGCAGCCATTGAAGATCCGAAAAAGTTTGGCGCCGCAAATGTACCTCAAGGCAGAGATATTGACACTATATATGGGTCATCGATAGAAGAGATGCTGGAAAGGGGAGACTTAGCGAACATTGCTCCTGCACAAGCAAGCGGTTTGGTTGCTCGTGATGAAATGTTTGTGGGTGGTCATGTATACAAAGGATATCAAGTTTGCGGAAAAGATCGAGCGCGAGAAACGTGGGATTATGCCGAATTTTTGGGAGTCAATCTGATACTTGCTTTGATTGGGATTTATGTATTGTTGATTAGGCAGCGCTATTTGGCCGGACAGCATCAGTCCATGTTAGCAAGACGGATAGGAAGAACATAGACAGCTTTGTGGAATGCATGTATCATGTTTCAGTGTATAGATTATGAATTTTTTAATGTATGAATACAAGTGCAATCACAAAAAAGGTTTAATTTTGTTCGATGCGTGCTTTCATTTGTTCGTACAACTTGTCCACTTCAGCAGTTTGTTTCTTAGTTTCCTCATCGATACCTTTCATCTCTGTTCTGGCCTCATCTGCTCCGATCACTTTTCGCTTTTCATCGCTACGAATTTGTTTTTGTGCTAAATGTCTGGCTGTTCGGATTGATACTCGGGCATTTTCGCAGATCTTGCTTATATCTTTGCTTAGTTGAGCCCGTGTTTCCGAAGTGGGTCTAGGAATGGGAATGTTTAATACTCCTTCTTCATCTTCGCCTGTCAACCTTTGAGGTGATAGCCCTAGCTCAGCCGTATAAATTGCTCGCTCGACATGCTTGACAGTTGAAGGATCAAAGCAAGTCACAATCAACGAACCATCTCGTGTTCCGATAGTTGCAAATTCTCTGATATTGTAGCTTGGTCCTTCCTGTAATCGGGATTTAGTTGGACCTTCTGTTGGATTAGCGTTTGGCAATGAGACTTGAACACCATCCAAGATTGAAGGATCGGCCCTTCCATGGCTACCTACCATCCTTGTAATAGTTTCCTTACATCTTTGGAAAGCACGTCGCATATTCTCTTTCAATGCTTCTTCTGAGAATTTTTCACCTGGCAATTCTTCATTTGTAGTTGTCGTTCTATACCGAGAATCATCTTCTTTTATTGCTTCTTCTTTTTGTGTATATTTACTCTTTGTTCCTTTTGGTGAAGATGATGCTCCTTTTGAACCTTTCCCTTTCGTTTTCATCACTGGGACTTCTCCTACCGTATCGCCTGAAGGCTCTTCTACCCTTGATCGACGAGATTTTGACAATACATGTGAAGTATGAATATTCGCAATCAAGGTTGTTTGCGCTATTCTTCTTTGTGGAAATGCATATCGAGCCCCTCCAGCAATATCTGAGGAAAGGATCCTACCATTCCGTAGAAGTGCTGCTCGAAATGGAGATGTCATAATCAATATAGTCGTGTGATGGTGATAATGATGCTGACAAAAGGATGAATAAATGCCAACTTTTCTTCTCGAGCAAAGCGCGCTAAATTTTTTTCCCTTTCTCCACTTCTTAAAATGATCGTTTGGATGAATTACCGCTTTCAACAAAATTATCTTTTCCAAAATGCAGTAAAGTACAAAGAGTGATGGGTAATATGATCAATGTTATACAAAATAATGATGCTGATTTGCTTGTAAGGCTGCTTTTTCCAGCGTTCAATCTCTACAACGACAGACTGCTACTCCTTCCGCTAGAAGAGCTGCTCGCACTTGGCCTTCTATCCGCTTTCGTCTTCTTTTTTGGAGGTTTCGGTTCCCTAGTTACTTGTATAGTACCGTGTATTATGATGTCTTGTCTGACTAGGTACATCTTGTACGTCTTTCGTGCATAGAACATCTTATCGGGTTTTAATTCTATCCGTAAACGTGCCTTTTCACTTCCCTTCAAAGATACATTTTTGGCACTTAACGATTTTAGAACATGTCCTGCTACCGTACTGAGTGCATAAGGTGGCTTTCGAAGAAGGCCAGCAATTTCTTCGAACGTTGAACCCTTTTTCCAATAACGCAGTGCTGCCTCCGAAGTACTCTCCCTATCCTTCTTTGGAGACCTTGGCTTCGTTGTCGTCGCTCGGTTGTCGGGAGAGGATTGCTCTGAAGGAAGCTTGCGCTTGGCATGTACTCTTTCATCTGCAGTTGAAATTTTTGTCACAGGCAAAGTCTGTTCTGTGGTTGGATCATTTGCTATCGCTGATCCATTCTTCACTGCCGGACTGGGTTTTGGGCGTGAACTTGAATGAAGAGTTTCCGGACTTGGCTCAGAGGAGCTCTCGGCCTGTTCTGCGATCTGATCGATTTTGGAGTCTTCATCCCAGGCATCTTCCAGTCCGCTTGGTAAGGGCAGTTTAGAACTGGTGGCATCCGTCCAAAGGGCATCTAATTCCGAAGAGATGGGCTTGGCATCTCCCGCATCCTTCGAACTTTCTCCTTTTTTATTAGAGACAGAACCTTTCTCTTGTCCAGGAGCTCTGTTAACTTGGACCAAGAACTTTCCAAACTCAGTCGTTTGGAAGACATCCTTTCCTTCCTTCAATGGATCCAGATTGCCTATCATGCCAGCAAGGGTGTGAATAAGCTCTACACCTACGTAAACATCGTTGGCCGCATATTCGCATTGTCTATCGTCTAGATTTGCACTTTCCCATTTCCCAGCTCTTATTTCGATGCTCTTGTCTAGCTTTCTGTTAAGATAGATCCTGCTCAGATCGCGTAACGCAATCATACCAACGTGGCTCTTCCACCTTTTCGGATCAGCGTGTTTGGCAACCGCTGATAATTCCAAACAACCATTCACTTCTTTGTCAAAGTCTCTTCTGAACTTTGCTGCATCTTGCTTGATGGCAACTCCGCATTTCAAGATCGTAAAATCTGCCAAAATTCTAAGCAATCCCTCGGGTAATGATGGCATCATGGCAAGATGGAGAACATAAATATCCGTTGCAGATGCAAGTTGAACGACGCTTGTTTTCTTGCTTTTGTGATTTATTGGATCTACTTCCCATTCCATATCAAAAGATAACATTTCGCCTGCTTCAATCTTAGGCAAACATGCATTGGATTCTTCTATCGTTTTGCAAAAGTGTAGAGTTGGTATACGAACGGGTGAAACGGCAATTCTTGCATTGGTAGATTGACCTTTGAAAACGGCCCAATGTAACTCCGCTCTTTCTGCGTCAACCTCTTCGGGTTTTTTACGCATTGCCCAAACCCTTCCGGCAGGCCTCTTGAATGAGTATGCTACTAAATGCTTTTCTAGACTTGTACGTTCCCATTCTCGCAGGATCTTGTTACGCTTTTTGGACGGCATAGACGGTAGTACCCTCCGTACTGGCTCGGCGGGCGGTATGGGTTTGGATGCAGTTGTAAGAGTTCGTACTTGCGTAGTTGTATAGGCATTGTCTAATTGACGTAAAAGCGATGAATTCGAATTCGTTACGTCTTTACCAAACATTCGTGCAGGAGGCGTCGGTTGCGGTGGCGATGAGGTTAGATCGATGGGAGAATGAGATTGTTCGCCGAATAACCCGGTTGCATTATGAGTAGAGGAGGAGCTCATTTTGTAAGATAGGTTGGGGTTTTTACGTCCTCTATGTGCGCCAAGGCTGTTTGTTTGCAATACTTGCAAAGAGTTCCTCCACGACGATGCGTAGCTAAACCAAGAGGTTACAAAACGAGCAAACATCTCATGGCCAACTTGATTGCGTTGGTATCTCCCTCCCGTTTGAAAAGAATGACTTGATCACCATCTGACCATCATTTGGATTATTTAGGGTATGATAGTTGTTGTCGTGTCACACAAACAATCACTATCCTCGTAGAGTATAAAATTCCCAATTCCGAACGCGTGCCCGATTTGTACGTGTTGATGAAAAGAAAAAGATCCGCTTACCTGGTCTTACGTACGCAAAGAAGAAAAAGGCGCTAGGGCGCTAGACTAGGCACAATATTTTCACTCTCGTAAAAAAAGAGCAAGAAAGGTAGCGCAAAAATAAAGAGGAGCATTCTTCCTCCCTCCGTCCAAGTAATCCTCCCTATAGCCATCTTTTGTAATTATGGCAGGTCCATCATCTATACCCATATCACCTGCAATAGGTCAGAGTGGAAGTACTTCAGAGTCACTAGGATGGCGGGATGCTCCCTCTGCTCTGCAATTGGTACAAGCCCATTACCTCGTTCGACATGGAGAACGTACACCCGTACGAACAAGATTATTGAACGCAAAGCCTGCCATTCCGGCAAGATGGAATATGTGTCATGCAGGTAAAGACTTTCACTCTACCGTCTTGGACTTGACCGGATCTACCAAAACAATTCGAGCAGACAATTGGAAAAATGAAGACCTTTCAGGAAGTCCCGTCTCGATGAAGATTCAAAAACGTGTCGAAAGCACAGATGAAGGAGCACAAAACATTTTGGCAACGCAACCGGGCGAATGCATGCTTGGAGAGTTAACAGATTTGGGAAGATCGACTACACATTTGATAGGAAGTCGGCTACGCAAACTGTATGTCGACAAGTTGGGTCTACTGCCAAAAGAGTTACAAGAGAGTGACGAAAACAAAGTGTACTTCCGTAGCACGAATATGGGAAGAACGATTGAATCACTACAAAGCGTTGTAAGCGGAATGCTTCCAGAGACAAAGGCAAATCATACTGGCAACTTCACTCCAACAATGCTAATAAGGAACGGTGTCACAGAGAATCTGTTACCAAATACGTTTGGCTGTGGCAGACTGCGCGAATTGGACAAAAAGTTCTCGATACTCGCTGCAGCTATTCACAATCCCAAGCTTGCCGCTCTGGATTCACTCCTTGCGCCTCATATGGACGGTCAAGTGCCAAGAGTGGATGGTCATCCTCGTCTAAGCGGTATCTTGGACACGGTACGGGCAGCAAAGGTTCATGGAATACCAATTCCCTCGGCCTTTGAAGATCCGAAAGTCGTCGATGTTGTCGAGACTGCCGTTTGTGACGAATGGTACACGGGATACCGAGCGGAAGACGTAAATGCTCGCGATCAATTTAGACGTTTGGCCATGGGCAGATTCTTGAACGAATTATCGGGACGGTTGAATGATAAAGCTTCGAAGCCTTCTTCTACACCTCTACAAATGGCAGTCTATTCTGCTCATGATACCAGTATTGCAGGTATTTTAGGGACTTTGGACGTTTTTGACAATCGTTGGCCTGCTTTCACGGCTGCTGTGGGAGTAGAGTTGTTCAAAGATACAAATTCGGGCGGTCTATTGAGTACGTTGGGACTCAAAAAGGAGCAACATTACGTTCGTATGAGATATGGTGACAAGGAATTAGCACTACCGGCCTGCTCAGCTAGAGGCAGCCATTTGGAAGGACGTCCGGAATTCTGTACTTTGCAAGCGTTCACCAAGGCTGTTGATGCCTTACGTCATCCTCAAGGTAAATCATGGGAACAAGAATGCGACGAATCTCGCCACGGCGAATAGAGAAGATACGATTACGATAGATTTGGATTGGACAAGATACTGTATTTATAGAGATGCGAGGAAATGAACAAATTCCTCTTTACGGCTTCTTTTTCGAGAAGCTTGTGTGTGATTTTTTTAAAGACTTCTTCCCCTCCCATTCCCTTTACGACCCATTAATCACCCGTCGGTGCCAAATACTCTAGCACCGTCGTGGTTTCATGCCGGGTCAAGATTGATGATTTATTTTTTGCATCGCTTCACTTTACTCTTTTGTCTTGCACCATAATCTCTCCTTTCGCGAGGGAGATTATGGTGATGGCAACAAGGGTCATTCGCGCATCGCACACATTCTCAGTCTTCGTCTATTGTAGATCTGAACAAATTCTATCAATGTGATGATATGATATTTGCAATACTGTTGTGTGTCTACCTTGTTGACCATCTTTGTCAATGATTTCAATCATCTATGTCCACTAGACACGGCTTAAGCTCTTTGTTACGCCCAAAAACGCCAACTTGCATATTCACTCCGCTTAAGTGTACGGTACCCCTTCACCAATTGAATTCATACGGCGCCGAAGCTTATAAAGAATTCTTTAAAAGTTCAACTGTGTTGTATGCCGTACAAGTGAAGGAAATCCCCTGTTTTGCATATTTTTACGTGTACGCCGCGCTAATTTTGCTTGCTTTTTCATAGCATTCGCGGCTAAACGCAACTCAACTCAACCGCACGCACGCATGACCATAAATAACTTCTGAATGAGCTTTATTTTATAGCACTGGTGGCGTGCTTGTTTTTTTGTCCCCGCAAGTACATACATAAAAAGCAAGCATTCAATTCTCAAGCCGGGGATAAAGATCTTTACCTGGTAAACAATACATTCTCATACTTCTCCTCTTCGACCTGCTATCATCCTCTCCATCACAACATATACCAAACAAACGGGAAGATTAGGTATTTGCCAAATCAACTCCCTTGCTGGCAAGGTCGAGATCAGCGATTTCCCAAACAAAAACAAATGAAAATCATCTTGCCTTCGATGACAATGATGAATTCGAGAATATGGCCATCGTGGTCACTCACAATCCTAATAATAGCAATAATCTGCATAAGTTCAAGCAATGCAAGACCATTCAATTCACGTTCTATATCATTAGATGAACGTTATGGAATCAATAACGAACTGTCATCCTGCTTAACAAATAAAAAGGTGGATTTCGTTGATGCTTTAAGAAATAACAGTCACATCTACTTTGAAGCTTCACAAGGAGATAATATGCGGTTTCATTGGCATCCAGTTGCGATCATATTTCCAGCAAACACTCAACAAGTAAGTGATGCGGTAAATTGTGCATCAAAGAGCGGAAATATTCAAACAGTTGCCCGTAGTGGTGGTCATGCATTCACTGGCTATTCATCTGGCGGTCAAGATGGTGCAATGATCGTAGATTTTCGTAAAATGAACAAAATTCAACCTGATAGCAAAAATGCTTTGGTTCATATCGAACCCGCAGCACGTTTAGGTGATGTTGCCAAAGATTTATGGGCGGATAATCAAATGGCAATGCCGCATGGTACCTGTCCTACTGTTGGCGTTGGCGGACATTCCCTTTGCGGTGGTGTAGGACCAACGAGCAGATTCTGGGGCATGGCAACAGACAATATCGTAGAAGTGGAAATCGTCCTAGCTGATGGAAGTATAGTCCATGTCTCGCAACATGAAAATCCCGACCTATTCTGGGCCGTGCGTGGTGCTGGAGTGTATTATGGTCTGGTTACCAAATTCACCTTTTCTACCTACAAGGTGAATCATCCAACAACTTTTATGCGATACAAATGGTCAGAGTCGATTAAAACACCCGATGATGCTGTCAAACTGATGCATGCCATTCAAGATTTCGGCAAACATCCTGATCTGCCCAGTTCAATCGGCTTCCATGTACAAGTTTCTCCTACCGAATCAGCAGGAGCATCAGAAGGGATGATTACGTTGCAATTGAGAGGGATGTATCTCGGCTCTAAAGATGCTTACCTTGACATAGTTGGGCCAAAGCTGTTCGAGGCATTAGAAGCAGTCGGCCTTCCGATCAAAGGTGATAGCTTCAACGAAGATGAGATGAGCTATCTTGATTTGATGAAAGAATGGGATGATTTTGGCTCGCCGACTGATAAATTGGACACGCAACTTGAACGTAAGCGAAGAAACAATTTCGTTGCCCGAACTTCGCTTGGGATGTCACAAAAAGGTTTTTCAGATGAAGGTTTTAGAACGATTTTGAACGAAGTATGGCAAAGACAGGTTGACGAAAAGAAGGGATCTTTCAAAGCACATTCGACTACCGATCAAGATTTCTGGATTTGGAACATTTATTTCGAACTTTTTGGTGGCGTACACAATCGAATGCGAGATGCTGAAATACTTGCAAAAAGTTCATTCTCACATCGGGATGCTTTATGGCTCATGCAATCGAGTGTCGGTGGATTTGAAAAGAAATCTTTGGTACATGAAGCATATGCAATGGTACATAAGATTGATTCGGCGATTCATAAAGCATTGCAAGACGACAATTTGGAAAAAATGGGATATAGCTGTTATGCTGATCCTACTTTGCAAGATTGGAAGCATCTCTATTATGGCAAATCTGTCGATAAAATGACGGATTTGAAGCGTAAATATGATCCAAAGAATTTGTTCCGCAACCCACAATCCCTGATCGAAACACCTCGAGAATTGGTCTCAGGTCTGAAACAGTGGATTCTTTCGCCACATCCCCTACCGTAGGTGGGTTTATTCTCCTTCTCAGACAAGAACAATATACTGTATTTTATCATCTTTAATTTTATGTGCAATTAAGATAAGTGACGAATTGATGTACAACATAGGTAAAGAACTACTTTTAGTAACTTCGTCCAAACATGGTCCATCTTTTTGCTGCTTGGCCACATTGAGGACATTTCTTTCCAGCAATGTCGGGATATTGTTTCTGATCAAATGGAATGCAGAGAGATTTTGCTCCCATAGAAGGAGCACGTTCATCTTGAGGCTCATCGCTGTTTGCAACACGAGCACTACGATCTTTGATGGCATCTTCGCATGCTTCCACTTCACACCAAGGAATGATGACGTGATTCTTGCCGTTCAAAGTAGGGGTGAAATCTGCCCATTCAGTGACAACTTTTCGATGAGCACGATAAGTCTCATCTGCACGTTTGAACATGTCATCATGGATCGTGTTCAACAATTTCTGCACAGAATCTGCCAAGCCAGAAGCAGAAACATTTGCTTTCACACCTGTGTCACGACGAGCAGCAACCACTTGATTCTTTTCCAAGTCTTTGGGACCAATTTCCAAACGGATAGGTACTCCACGTAATTCCCAATCGTGGAATTTGTATCCGGGATTGTAGTTGTCGCGCAAATCTGCCTTGGCACGAATGCCTGCTTTTTGCAGAGTATTTGCCGTCTCTTGACATGTATCAAGGATCATATCACGTTCTTTGGGCGTTGTTTTGACAGTAATACCACATGGAATGATAACCACTTGAATTTGAGAAACGCGAGGTGGCATGACCAAACCTCTGTCATCACCGTGCACCATTACCATCACACCGATCGTACGTGTACTCAAACCCCAACTGTTCTGCCAGACGTGTAAACGACCCTCTGGTTTACCACGTGTCTCTTCTGTTGCTTCGGGATCTTCGACAGTGATGTTGAACATTTTGCTGAAATTTTGTCCCAAGCAGTGAGAAGTACCTCCTTGAATACCTCGTCCTGTTGTTGGAACAAATCCTTCGACTGTTGTTGTGTAATATCCACCAGCGAACTTTTCCTTTTCTGATTTGACACCAGGCACCACAGGTACAGCAAGAAGTTGTTCATACACTGCTTTGTAAAGGTCCAAGATCTGTAGAACTTCCTTTGCAGCGCCATCCAAAGTCAAATGGGCTGTGTGGCCTTCTTGCCACAAGAATTCACGTGTTCGCAAGAATGGTTGAGGATGCTTGAATTCCCAACGAACAACGCTGTTCCATTGGTTGAGCTTTAGTGGTAAATCACGATGACTTCTGATCCATTTGGCGTAATAAGGGTACATGACTGTCTCTGATGTTGGACGAATGGCGACTGGCTTCTCTAAATCGCTCTGACCGGCCCTTGTGACCCAAGCAACTTCAGGTGCGAATCCTTCGATATGGTCCTTTTCACGTTCCAAGACATCAGAAGAAACAAACATTGGGAAATAGCAATTCTCCACACCTAGCTTCTTGATTTCTGCATCGAAGAATGTTTGAATCGATTGCCAAACGTTATAACTCCATGGTTTGAGAATATAACATCCACTCACATCGTAATACTCCAACATATCACCCTTTTTCAACACTTGTTGGTACCAATCAGAAAAGTCTCCATCCTTGCGAACAGTGATACCAATCAATTCAGCTTCGGGGATACGTGCTGCTTCCGCGTGTCTAGCTCTTGCCGCTGCTGCTGCTTCATTGTTTGCACCTGAGGCAGGTGTTGCCCGTGCTGGAGCTGGAGCTGCCGATCCGCCCAATTTGGAGAAGTCAATGACTTTCAATGCAACCCCTGTACTTTGCAGATATTTCTGAACGTCTTGACCTGTCAAGAAGATTGTCTTGTCTGAAGAGGCAGCATGTAGAGCGAAAGAATCGGATGAGGAAGCCAAAGATTCATCCAATACTACCAAGATGGGATGTGATCCTTCTTCTGCATTTGCTGTAGAAACTGATAAAGGTGAAATGTCATCTTTTGTTGCACCAAGGAATTCAGTCATCAGATCTTCTTTTGCTAATCGCATTTCTTTTTGATCAATTTCTTTTCCCAAAGCACCTGTGTTCGTCTCTGTTTCAGCTTTTGCGACAATCAAGACTGGGTATGGCTTAGCTGTTTTCGCCGTCTTTGGCTTAAAGAGTAATGTCTTGGTGGCATTTTGTGAGGTACTTGTACTGGAACTGCTCAATGCTTCTTTCCATGATTCAGGAGAGGTTGAAGCTGCATGTGAGACCACATTAGCAGCATTGATCGAAAGTGTCTTTAACGAAGACAAAATACTGTCAAGCGTGGTTGCTTGGACTGACATTGTTGCTTCGATGATGTAGAGGAGGATGGAGAAGAAGATCAAATGTGTCGCGCGGCATATTCTCAACTTTCAAGAAGAACAGCAAATGCACTCACTCATTGCACTGCACACCTTAATTTTTTTGTTAAGGCCAGGACCGCTAGCCGCAATAAATCTGACCAAAAAAGATAGAGTCATAGACTCAAATCTAGCGTACGTATTTCCGAATACGCGTCTTAAGCTTGAATTCCTGTTGATATTGCATTTGCACTTCAATAAAAACTAATTTGGAAAGAGAGGGGTTCGAACCCTCGCTCCGAAGAAATGCCAAATAAAAGTGATAATCGATCACCTGAAGACACCGCCTTAACCACTCGGCCATCTTTCCGGCTAAACGGATAGGGTCAGGCAAAATAACATATATAATCTATACATCGCGTACGAGCATTTTAAAAACGTTAAACAGACACAGTGGTTTAGAGAAGTGTTGCAACGGGAATGTTATATTGCATTCCAGAAAGGAGATCCTTTTCATTTGCTTCTTTCTATGAAACCTATTCATGAAAAAATGTCTGTTAGAATGCACACGAACAGAGGTTCCTATTTTGACAAGATTTTGGTTATGAAAGATGTTCAAGAAACAAAGGTGATCAAAGGTTCTACAAATTAGCAAATAGGATCATTCTTTTCTTCAAAAAGCGTTCTTGTTATCTTAATCTAGAAAATTTCGTCTCTCAGTTACTTCACTTGTTGATTTCCGGCATACAAAGGTAGGATAGGCAGTCGCACGCAAGCGTAGCTTCAGCCTATTAGCAACTAAGTAAGTGAGTAACAAGTAATAATTCTAGTATAAGCAGGAAGTAGGCCTTAAGATAATTTATATATCATTGAATATGAAGGCATTAAATCAGTTATATATTCAATCAACGGGATTAAATCGAAGGAAGATAAAATCTAAACATAGCTCATGGGGAAGAAGATATAGAAACACAAATCCGGGAGGGTATATAGACAGAAACAAAGAAGCATAGTTTGATACATAAAAGGTAAAAAGAAGGTACAAGTCCTCTTCGGCATCTGAGAGGTTATGGCATTGTGATCAACAAATATCACCTCCAGGGTTCTTTAACTTGATCTTTGTGCAAGTAGCTTACTATCAAGCAATACGATGTGGCTTTCTCCAAGTGAGCTCCCTCATTTCCCGCGAGGTTTATATTGTCCATCAAGTATCGATGCCGCTTTACGATGGTTTGCGGCTATCTCTGCATGTGCTTGCTTATTGGCTTCCGATCTAAATCTACTTTTTGACATATCTTCATGTTTATCCGCTTGGGTACCATGATGAGATATTCTCTCCGGTACGTTGAGATTTTTAGGAGCGAGCTTCGTTGATGGGTTCTTTGTAAGTCTTGAGCGTAATCCGCCTAAAGGAATAGCGTAGCAAAGAAGGCTTGAACGTACGATAAAAAGTATGCAAAGCAGATGCATAAACTTCATATTTCCAGAATTGAAGTTTTTGCGATAAGCATAGAAATGCAATCAATCTGCATTTGTATCTTTATTATATACCTCATTATATACACCCTAAAAAGAATTTTATGCTCTCTATGCCCCTTTAAGGCTAGGGCTTTCACTGCCAAGTCTAGACGGCGTAGGATACGTCAACATATCTCATCAAAGATACACCCGGAAAGGCTGCACATTTATGTATTTTAAGAAAGCTGTGTCGTAACTCATATAGTGTATACTAAACACAATGTTACCGTATCGTTGAGTTATCAAGAGGAGAACATCTGCAGACATTGACGCTTAAACATTCCATAATGGGATTCTGAAATACGCCTCACTTTTTAAACTTGGAAAATTCAACCCTGCGAAGGCTGAATAATGCAAAATAATCTGCCAATAGACATTGCTACAATCAGGAAAGGGCATAAATCATCCTAAAACAAATTCGTCTCACTTCATGAAGGTATACACCGCAGGAAAGAGTTACCAGATGCAAAGAGTTCGGGAGAACATGTTGAAAGAAAAGGAAATAGATTGTCATTCAATAGCACATGAAACTGTGATTAAAAGATCTACAAAAATCCCTTGGGAAATATCAAACTCCAATGAAGGCATTGTATAGATCTCATTGTCCGTCTTTTAAGTTGCTACACTTAATTTATTACTCGACTAAGTATAACTTGCTTCATATTTTCGACCTAGTGAGTCCGCAATTTAGTGTGAGATTTGTGAAAGATACCTATACTTGTTTGAGAATGTACTGTAGCTAAGTGTTCATGAGCTTTCTTTGTAGCACTTGACTTGAAGAAACCTTTGCTTTGCTTTTGATGAAAAGCACTTTGTTCGCTATGAAAAAGTATTTTCTTATCTGCAGGTGCATCTTCACCGATAGTTTTCATTACAACTGGTTTTGACCTGAATAATTCGCTTATCGGACCAGCCGAGCAAAGATTTGCAAAATAAAGTACATGAATTAAATGAATTGGCTTCATTGTTCGTAGAAGAGCTTCTATGAGGATTAACAAAAGCAAATATTTAACCAATTTATGTACTTCACACAAAGAACATTTAGCAGGCGTGCCCTCTTTCAGGCTGTGTTTGTGTGAGTTCGAGGCTATGGGTTTTGTTGCCATTTTGAGGTGGCGTGATACAACACGATCTTATGCTCAATACGCACCGATGACTTACTTGCCATACTAACACTCATAAGATGGGCGGAGCGTTATGCTGTATGGTTGGCTTGTGCAAGAAGCTGAGGAGATAGAATTTACGCCAACGCACGTACAACCCCCTCTTACATCATCATCTTCATACTTTCATCCCATCGGCCGTCTTTTTCTGACACAAACAGTTTCTCAGACCCATCCGCCTCGCCTGTCTTCGAATCTTACTCATTCAGCTGAATAACATGACTATACATCGAGGTAACTTAGATATTTAAGAAGAGAAAACAAAGAGAAGAGTTTGGTAACATAAAGAGAGGCAAAAAAGGGCGTTACACGATAAACTTTGACTGAAAGATTGATATATACTAGTAGAAGATCTATATAAAGCTAAAAAAGGTATGTCTACTTCAACTTTCCGTGTCTTCGGGAAACGTGCTCGTCATTCAATTAGTGGAAATCACTCCAAATCCACTCTAGTACCGAGCGGGATGTGGATTTGGCTTCTGTTGTACAAGTGATTTTTTCGCATCAGCATGCCCTTCTGCTGCAACTCGATGAGCTTCCCTATTTTTTGGCGATCTATACCACTGTGTTGATTTCTTCTGGTGTGCCGCACTTTGTGTGCCATAATGAGAAACTAATGTAGGTAAATCGGCATTTTTTGGAGCTGGTTTTACTTTGATATTCTTCGACCAAATTCCCAACGGTCCAGCAGCACAGATATAACCTAATTGTAAGATAGAATGCATGTAGATTACATAGATAGGCTTCATTCTTCTGGAATAATTCTTAATTTGCTAAATTATGGGATTGACAAACATTCAAGCAATCTACAATTTTGCACGTTATATAGTAAATCATCTTGTAGAAGAGGTATACAGCCTTCCAGGCTATGACTCGGCGTGCTCGGGGCCATCATGTTTTTTTTTTTTGCCAATACATGTTGGCGGAAGAGTACACAGCTGTGTCTATTCAAAAGTACGCCCCAAAATGCTCTCTTGCTGTACGACCATGCTCATTATAACATTTTTGCATCTTACAACTTCGTTAAGACAATCACTAGACGGCCCCAAGGGGCTATGACACTTACTCAACCGGGACCTTGGCATACTAAGGTGGCTGAAGACTATCAAACCAGTGAGGCGGTGACCTCCAGTTCTCAAAACGCATGGGTTGCTGATGAACCGCCTCTAATTCCAGCACAATGCCTCTGAATTAGTACGTCATTCAGACTTATTCGAATGGCGTAGTCACAACTGAGCAAGAGCACGACTGACCCCTCACATTTGATCTAGAGTATCATCATTCGGAAACTGAGATACGCATTTAACAAGAAAGATGTATTAAACCGGGAAGATGTTAATACAAATTGATTAAGACTTAGAAAAAAAAGTGCGGAAACTATACACTTGAAAAGAAGGAAACAAATTCATAACGCGAGTATTGAAAAATTGAATGATAAGAAAAGGTTAAAAAAGCTATCTTTGAAAGTCTTCTCAGCCTACAGCAATATTAGATTCTGCCAAGTTATTGATTCCACGATAAGCCTGCTCATCGTCCTAAGGACCAATGTAACCACGGGGACGATTAGCTTCTTTCACACCGAGTGCTATTTGGCGTGCTTCATCATGCTCTTTGGCTGCATTTGCATGAGCTTGCTTATTTCTTTTCGATCTGAACCAACTTTTACTTGTTGCTTTCTGTTCATGTACCAACGTTTCTTGAGCATGATGGACAATTTGTGTATCATAATCTGCACCTTCAGGAGCTTTTCTTAATTTTACAGGCTTCGAGAAGAGCCGTCCCATTGGTGTAGCAGCACAAACAAGACTTGAATGAGCGACAAGAAGTAAGCAAAGCAAAGATTTAAGACGCATTGTCAAAAAGTGGCTTAATATTTCTAGGAATTGACAAAGATTACAAACAACTTGCAATTTAAATACATCATAGACAAGTTCAACAAATTTCAACAAATCACTCTACACTTTTTTCAGCCTGTGATTTTACGTCCCCGAGGGGCTATAACGATTGTTCGATCTGGACCTTGGCATATTAAAGTGGCTATGATGCCCGTGTCTGCCTGAATCAAGCGAGGCCGTCACTGTATGCTCGGAGAACACCTGTAGGTACGTTGACCTAATCTCCTGTTCTTCATTATTGCTTAATTTAAGATTTTAAGAAGGCAAAAGCTTTTAGTTTTGCAAAGCTGGAAATATGCTCTTGGCAGTAAAAGTGTTGTGGAATACGTACTAGATCAATTGTTAGCACTGGTGTCCATTCCCGAAGCTGATTCAGTTTAGCATAACGAGCTCATGTTCATCTCTAATATGCCTCTTGTTCTTAAGGGTAGAGAGAAATCTTTGTATATGAGCCCCTTGCTCTTTTAACTGTTTGCGTTATTAAGCAAGAGCTTCATTCGATCTTGTCGAAAGCGATGTAATAGCTGAGCAGGATATGATTAGCACCGCACACTGTCTGGGTACATCACACCTGCAATGGGGTTAGGATACATTCATTCATTAATTTTACCACCTGAACAAAGAGACACCGCCAGGACTTTACAGGAACTCAGGAAAGAGTTTGAAGTGAAAAGTTTCGTAGCACAAGATTCCGTGAGCAAATGTTGACAGATTCGGTGAAATGAAATTCAATCAAGCTGAAACGGTGATGGAAAGTTAAATGAAGCTCTTTGACACAATTACAACTTGCAACAAACTTGTCTTATCTGGATACGTCGGTTTGATGGAATTGAAAGCCTTCTACACCATACGGTACTTTATTCTCAATTTGTTGATGGACTTTTTGGCTCTCTTGCTTATGATATAAAGCTGCTTGACGATGAGCCTCTCTCGTTCTTCTCGATTTAAGGATGCTTTTTGATTCTTTCTGGTGCTCAATACCTTCTTTAGCATGATGAATTACCTGATCGTGCAAAGAGCTAGCTTGAGGTGCATGCTTGATCTGAACGCCTTTCGACTTTACCTTTACCATCCCAAAGGGACCACCTTCAGCAGAACAGAGGAGGCATGAAGTAGCAAGGAAGACTAAGCAGAAGACTTGAACACACCACATTCTGTTTGATTGAGTATGCCGTTTTACGTGAAACACGATTACGATCAATTTGCTTTTTTATAGGTTTTCTGTCATGCATTCTGTAGAGTTTGAGATGTTGCTCATTGAGGCTGTCTTTGGTGTGCGTCGGGTGGCTATGACAGTTGGTGTGCGTCCCGTGGCTATGACAGTTGGTATACTCTACAGCTTAAGGTGTCGAAAGATTGCAAACTCACGTTTTCTGCTCGTGATGCGCCCAGAAAGGCTGTACTATCTCAAGTGATTCTCCCCGACTGCTTTTCAAACTGTGTATGAAGGCTGTGAAGATTTCAATGTCGCAGAAACATAGACAAATTCTTGGCAATAAGAAATTTTGTGGGGCGAAGAATCGGCACTGCCACGAACTTATGAAAACCGAATTCTCTATTGTCAAGACCTTGTATGCAATCATCTTGTGTGCCATTGTGAGCAAGATTATCCTTCTGCATTTTTAGCTTCCCCTTTGGTCACGAGATTTAAGAAACATTTTCGTGAAATCAAACATATCTTTTTCTTTCTTGATAAATTTAATCCATATTCGAAAAGCAACTCAGCATAGCTCAGAGGCGATGCTGAAGCTGAGAGATAACACGACTTAACCCTGCACACTTTTTGCATTGCACACAAAGGGCTAAAGGGATGATTATTCAACAATTTGGATTCTCTTCTCGAGTCTGCTATGCTGGGAGTACATGCTCTTCGGAGAGACATAACGGAAGAAATAGTTTACATGCAGAAAGAGGAATGAATAGTGAATCTGAGATTATATGAAGCGTTGCATTGTCGCAATGACCTTGTAAGGAAGCGGTCCTATATGAAACATCTTGCTTTATTAGTCAATCGAGTTTCTCACTCGGTGAAGAATCTTTGCTTGGTACTTGTCCACTTCCTTTTGTTGAGCTTCCGTCAAACCACCTTGATATTATGCTTTTTCTATCTATATTTTAATTAACTTTTTCTATTGCACGGTGCTTTTCGCATTTACTCTGATGGTAAGGTAAGATAAATTGATAGAATGAGTTGAATTGATAGAATGAGTTGAATTGATAGAATGAGTTGAATTGATAGAATGAGATGAATTGATAGAATGAGATGAAGTGATAGAATGAGATGATTTGGTAGATGTATGAAGAATGGAGATAGGATTACTGTGTGCCTGACTTATGCAGCATTCTTTCAAGCACGTCGGCTTCTCCCTTTCTGTTTGCTTGTAATTTTTTCTACTGCTTTTTCTCCTGATACTGGTGTATTTGCTGTTGACGTTTCCTTTACATGAATAACCTTTTGATCCGGTTGAGAGTTTCGTCGACCCGGACGTGGGTGCGGATCATAAAGACTGGCGATCCGATATGACGTAGCTAATATGGACGGATTTTTTGCCTTCATAAAACCTTCTCGCTTTTCGACCGATTGGACTTTCTTATCTTTGTACGTAATCACATGTTCGTGATGGATCAAATTGGGATCTCTCATATTGATGCGATGCTGATAATCATGAGCCGCCTTGTTATGACGTGCTCTACTCGAAGGAAGTATAGCAGACATAGACCTATCGATATGATGATCTCGATGACCTTCTAGATAGCTCTTACGCAATCGCCCTGGAGCAGGGAGGGCTTCTTCTTCAAGGCCTGCTGCAAACGTGTATCGGAGTAAGAATGTGAAAAGGAATAGACTGGTGGTGATACTTGCAAATTGTAAACGCATTGCCCAAATAGTAACAAATTTCATCTTGGCAATGGTTGTTAGAGAAGGAAAGAGGTAGTACGCCCTTTGCATTTATACCTTTCAATAACGTACGCAAAAGTATGCAAAACTTTCTGGCTGACTTTGTGTAGGTTTTCTAAAATAAAAACATCATCACAAGGCACTGAAGACTTGACTTATTGCACTTATGCAGTTTCCAAACGACCCTATTTCACAGGAAAGAAAATCCATTACAATGCAAAAAAGCTGTACAAAGGGGCAAAAGATGGCATACACATTAGCAGACCCGATGCCCTTCAGCCACTTGGAGATGCAAACGGCGAAGAAGTAACAGAAGCTGTGTTTCTCTCGCGAATCAATTTTCGCAAAACACCAAATTCGCAGTCAGAAAAGAAAGGTAAGATGCCCCCTCCTTGACCGCAAAGCTGTTTTTGTGGCGCAACACAAATTTGCATTTCTTTATGAGGTTATAATAATGAATGGCGAAATGATGACATATCTTTCTAAGAAATATTGTTTACTCTGATGACAGAATGATAAATTTGGTAAATCTAAAAAGGATGGAGATAGAATTATCGTGTGCCTGACTGAAGAAGCATTCCCCTAAACACGTCGGCTTCTGCCTTTCTGCTTGCTCGTAACTTTTTCCAGAGCTTTTTCTGCTGATTCTGGTGCATTTGCCGTTGAACTTCCTTTTACGTGGATAATCTTTTGACCCGGTTGAGAGTTTCGTAGACCCGGACCTGGGTGGGGATCATAAAGACTGGCAATCCGATGTGACGTAGCCAATATAGACGGATCTTTTGCCTTCATAAAACCTTCTCGATTTTCAATCGAATGGACTTTTTCATCTTTGTACGTGATCACATGTTCGTGATGAATCAAATTAGGGTCGAATTTATTGATTTCATGCTGATAACGATGAGCCGCCTTGTTATGGCGTGCTTTGTTCGAAGGAAGTATAGCAGAATTATACCTATCGATATGATGATCTCGAAAACCTTCTAACACGCTCTTATGCACATGCCCTGGGGCAGGGAGGTAATGTGGTGCTTTTTCAAGGCCTGCTGCGAAAGTGCAACGGAATAAGAATGTGAAAAGGAATAGACTGGTGGTGATACTTGCAAATTGTAAACGCATTGCCCAAATAGTAACAGACTTGATCCTGACGATGGTTGTTATGGAAGGAAAAAGGGAGTGCTCCCTCAATCGTGGCATTTATACCTCTCAATAACGTACGCAAAAGTATGCAAAACTTTTCTGGTGACTTTGTGTGAGTTTTTTAAAGATGAAAACATCATCACAATGCACTGAAGACTTGATTTATTGCACTTATGCAGTTTCCAAACGGCCCTATTTCACAGGAAAGGAAATCCATTACAATGCACAAAAGCTGTACAAAGGGGCAAAAGATGTCTTACACATCAGCAGACCCGATGCCCTTCAGCCACTTGAAGATGCAAACGCTGAAGAAGCAACAGAAGCTGTGTTTCTCTCGCGAATCAACTTTCGCAAAACACCACTTGCCTCTCTTCCGAGTTCCCAACGTGAACCTCTACAATCCCTCTCGACTAATTCTAAAACGGCAGTTGAATAATGATGAGGTGGATCAAAGCTTATCGAAGATCGAGTATCGGAAGCGATAATGTCTGACAAGTATGTGTTTGCGTCTCGAATTGCTTTGTCAAGCGGCGTTGTGATTGTTGGAACGGGTTGAGCGGTGACGGATTGATTCGATACATTTTTGTTTTGCAGTGTCGTGTTTCCCCCGGCTAACACAGCATTGTTTGTGTTATTGCTACTTGCATTGCTCTCTTGATCTTGACTTCTTGGTCTTGAATTGGCAAAATTACCGCGTAGAGGCGAAACAGCTTGTTCATAAGCCCAAATGATCAAAGCGCAAACGTATTGAACCCATTGATGATGCAAAAGCTCATCAAAACCGGTATGTAGTGGTCTATCGGCAACCGCACCTGCGGCAGCATCTTGACCTTCGCCGGCTGAGCCAACATTAGGAAACATTGTATCACGCAAAAATCGGGCGGCATGCCAAACGGCAATCCTTGCATCTTCTGTTCGTCCCCATTCTCTGCATGACTTACGTGCAACGCTGAACGTATGGTGATCAATAAACCGCCCCATCACCGTTGGCAATCCGGCATAAATTTGAATCTCAACAGCATCCGCATGAAGCGTTACTTGAGCCCATTCGATTAAGCTGTGAGATGCACGCTCCATGATTCGATTGGATGCAATAGATTGGTATCGAGTCATAAATCTTTTGTAGCTTTGCATTAAACGCTCTTTCCAATTTGATATGCTTTCGTTTGTATCAGGCGCTGCCAGTAAAGCTTGTTGTTTCCATTGCAAATCATATGCGACGCTCATTAATCCGTGCAAAAGAACGAAATGTTGAAAACTATCCGATTCTGAGATCGGGAGATCATTTCCTGGTGTAAGTGTTGCTTTGAGCGCTGCAATGAAATACGGAGGTTCTCGACGTTTGTTCTGTCTGATTGCAGTCCAACTTTCTGCACTTTTTGCCTCCCATTCATCCTCCTCACAAGGTAATTGCAAATGAATCTGGAAGGAAGAAAGAGCAGGAATATGACGGAAAATAGTCGCATGTTGTGCATCGAGAATGAATGCAAACAACGAAATTCTTTTCTTTTCTTCTTCTTTTGACCATGCTCTCCATCGATCTTCTGCAGAGGTATGTGGTAATTTGACTTTGGACGGTACAAAGACTGCATTCCTTCTCGCCAGCGTAACGATAAAGTTGTGAAATAGGTGTGCGGTTTCATGTTGTGGTCTGGTGCCCATCATTTTTCCGAATGCTTCGGTCAAAAGCATTGCTTGCAATAACGCCAGAGTTGCACGGGCTGGTCGGAAATCTTCAAAGGTGATGAATGCACCCCAAAGCTTTCGTCCGATTCGTTCTGCCAAGAAATGTGCTGCTTCATCTGCGAAATGAGCTCCGTTCACAATCATGGCGGACAAGAGCATCGGGTCGGCAACTTTTGACGAGAATGTTGGACGATGGATCAAAGGATAGATCGTGTTCAGCTTCGTGAAGTATAGGTAGATATAGCAACGTAACGCGGAAGGTGTGAACAATGGCGATGAGGACAGTTCTGGAACCGAAGAGAGGAAATGCAGTAAACGAGAATGGGTTGGCCCATCAACTTCAAATGCAGGTTCGTCGGGTATATCACGTTGTAAGATTGCAAAGAATGCCAAATCGTGCAATGCATCCGCTTGTTCCAAAGGTTGAGCAGGATAAGGTAAATCTTCACTTTGACCATCTTCGCCGGCATTTTGATCATGTCCATCATCTGTTGCCTGCGTTTCACGTGTTGTGGATGTTTCACTTCGACTTGATCCCATCTCCTCCGGTCCTTTTCCAGTGATCAATGGATTGCTACCATCAAAAAGCCAACCATAATCTGCCATATAATCATCGGCTGTAGGAGCAGAGAATGGAAAGTGTGATGATCCTGAAACGGCCGAATGAAGCAAAGCTGTTGCTTCAGGAAGAGATCCTGCAAATGCGTTGGACATTTGTTCTGTCGAGTTTGCGTTATGAGCAGAGAAGTTCATCACAGCACCAGAATCTGATGTATGCATGTTTGAGCTGGAAGGAAGGAAAGAATTCTGCACCCAACCTGCTGCTCCTGACCCATTCGCTGCATTGAAGGTAGCAGAGGGTGATGACAAAGGTTGATTTTGTCCAGTCGAGCCATGAATGTCCCAAGATGAACGTCCACCATTACGCGAATTTGATTGGCGAACGTAATTGTATGCTCTACCAGAAGGTGAATGGCTGTACTGATGAGGCTGTTGCTCCAACGCATCATACGGCAGAGGCGGTCCAATTGACGTAGCCTGGGATGGGTTGCCCGTATTAGAGAACGGGTTAGTGCCATATGATGCTAGAGACCCACTGGAGCCAATCTGATTGCTTGCATTGCCTGCAGCACCGCCCATAGAATCTCGATAACCGTATCCTGACGGTATCCCAGCTGAATTGGTTCCCGGTTGGGGAGGAGGAGCATATGCGAATGGCGTTTCGTATCGATCTATCGAGGGCAACATGCCTACATCCGGCATAGAGTTTCTTGAACGTGCGTTGTTCTGCATTTCAGATTCTCGATCGAATTGATGACCCGAGTAGTACTGGTTATGAGAGTAGCTTTGATTGCCTCTACTACTTTCTGCTTCATCGCTATCCTCTTCATCCTCTTCCATCTTTACGTCTTTCGATGATCCTTCTCCTGAAATGCTCTTTTGTCTTCCACTCCATCTTCCCAATGTTTTTCCACGAACTGCATGTCTTTCTAAATGTCTTGCTAGCAAATCTTGACGAACGAATGTACGATCGCATTGATCGCACTGAAGTACTTTTTCACGATCATGATTCAATTTATGTCGTAATAAATGGTCAGGCCTTGAGTAATTCTTATCGCATCCAGGACGATCGCATGCGTATCGCTGACCTGGCAATGAATCTTTACGAGCCATGATTGTTTAGTTGCTGCCTTTTTTTGGTGAATGAATGCTATTCACCATCAATGATCTTCGAAATGTAGGAACACGCTTGGCAAAAGGTGGGGAGTGTGGGCCCCCACCCTTATCTGTTTAATGTTAAGGTATTCGTGGTGGGGTGGCAGAATGATCAACTCAGAAATTGAGAGTAGATCTTTTGTTCGAACAATATTGGCAAGAAAAGACGAAAGAAAGCCAAGCTTGAACCGAAAAGAGAAAAGACGGAGATGTTTTTGTGGTTGAAAAGAAAGGCATGTGGTATTGAAATTGGAAGAGCAACAATGCAAATCAAATTAAAATAGAAAAGGGAAGATTACTGCTACTAAAAGGGCAGCCACAGGTGGGGAAAATTGATTGCTTTCCTTGAGGCACTTTAACAGTATCCCTTTAACATTGACGCGCTAAAGTGATAAAACCCACTCGGCAACACATGGATAAGGCACTTTACCAGTCAAATCGTTGCAACACTTCAAAACAGCTACCAGAAGGAAATCAAGCAGACTCAAAAGCAAGATGATGGGTTGCAATGAATTAAGAGGTCATTTCATTATCACTCTTCTTATTCAAATAGACTATCACCATACGTCACATCACACCTTGATGATGACGGGAGAGATAACGCGCTGGACACGTTTTGGCTCCTTTAAGAGTGTGTGAATGACTCCTCTTAATGCTAAGCGTAAAAACGCGCTCTTTTTCATAAACGCGACTTTTGGGGGGTGTACACTGCGCGTTGCTTGCTGCTTGCTTGCTTGCGCAGCGCCCTCCTCCTTCACTGCCTGAGCTGTGCTGCGCTAAGAATATGGAGATTATGCAACTGAGTTGATGGTTTTTGATGAGAAAAGGTAGTTGGCAAAACTGATTCACAAAAAGGTATTCTTTACTTCTCTCTATATCCTGACAAGATTGGCAAAGAAGCAAGCTCGTCATACACATCACAATCATATCCATATATGCACCTCCTTTGAAGCGCTTTCAAAGCGGCGAGAAAAAGAAAAGGTATTTCAACAAATAAATCGCCCGCCCTACTACTCGACCAATTTACGTCTTCCGCTTCAAAGAGACAAGAGAACGATCCATGCTACTATCTGTCAGAACAATCGATCAATGCTACGCTGAGGTCGATAAAAGATCGCCCTGAAGCCAAGATGGCAATTCAACGTAGAAGGGTGATCCAATCATCAGAGAGCGAATTCGATCCCAATAGCGATGACGAGGAAAGCGTTGTGAATGAGTTAGTCAATGCGAATGGCAACGGAAGTACGTCATCTACATCTACCTATTCACCCCCCAAAGCAAGACGATCGAAAAAGGCTTCAACATCCGCCAATAGCATAGCCTCGACATCCAACACACCACACAGATCCAAAAACATCACACCAAATGGCAGCTCGTCAATAGCATCTTTCATCGGCCCAGCACATAAGCCAGACGTCCTTTGTGCATTCTGTCAAGGGACTGTCCAAAACAACTTCAAGACTGGTCTACCGGAAGTGCTGATCAGTTGCGTAGAATGCGGAAGTAGTGGTCATCCCAGTTGTATGAAGTGGGGAAGAAATCAACGCAAAACAGCTGTTGCCCAGGAGTACAATTGGCGATGCATGGAATGTAAGACGTGCGAGATCTGTTGTGAAAAGGGAGATGATTCTGCCATCATGTTTTGCGATCGATGTGATCGAGGATGGCACCTTTACTGTTTAAATCCTCCTCTAGAAAAACCACCAAAAGGTATATGGTCTTGTCCAACTTGTCTACACCTTGGCAATTACGTCAAACAAGCGTTGCAGACAAACAAACGCAAGAAAAACGGTATTTTTCTTAACGGACGTCAGCATATACCCAGGCAAGCTTCGCCTCTCGCTTCTTCATTTGGAGCGTGGGAAGCTGGAGCAAATATCGGCAGTGCCTCTTTGCAAGGTAAGAAGAGTGCTGCTAAATTCAAAGGTCCAATGCGTGCCAGCTCGCCTTTGCCGATGGATCTTTCAGACGACAATGACGATTTACCTTCACCTCAGACGATGGGTCAGGCTAGACAACAACTTCGACCTGGATCCTCTCTGATGGGAAAAGGAAGAAGGATACGAAAACCGACAGATCCAGATCGATCTTACGAGTTGAGTGCGAGTCCATCAGCATCTAGACTTGCGGACGTGCATGAGGAACATCGTATCAAATCTGTAGGAAGACCAAAGAAGCAGAAGAATCTGCCTCAGGAACAAGCAAATCACTCTATGGTAGTGCGTCTGAAAATTAGCGCAAGGAATCGATTAGGCGGAAGTGGTCGTGGATTGGGCAAAGGCGTAACAGACAGATCAAGATCCGCACGTCCATCCTCACTTGCCATTCCAGATCCTTTTCCCAATGATGAAGAAGATTACGAAATGGCTTCTACAGATTCGTCTATTCCAACACCACGAGCTATGTCTCCACTTGATGAAGAAGCAGAAGAGGAAGAGAATTCTGAAGAAGAGGATCCTTTCGGTGGTGTTTTGTCAATGCAAGATGCGGATACGACAAAGACTGCGCCGCAACAAGAGGATAGGCAGCGGTTTGAACAAAGCAGAGTCTCGGCGGAGACCAAATTAGGAGGTGCTGTATCTAGTCTTGCAAGCTCTACGAATGCTAGACAGAGTAAAAAGATTGGAGCGATCATGCATGGAAATGGCATCAATGCAAATGCAAACGGCTACTTTGCTGGAACTTCATGGGCGGGCACGGGCACAGGCGGTGATAAGGTAGTACGCAAGAGCGCAAAAGGACCTCAAAGTGTAGCACCATCGACAGAGCCTTCCACTCCTTCGACACCGATCACATCAACTGCAACGGGCGCTGAAACAGGCAAAGCTATGCCAATCAAATGCATTCGTTTCGCACAGTACGATGTCGATACATGGTATCAAGCTCCTTATCCCGAAGAATACAGTATGGTTCCTGATGGTCGTCTTTGGATTTGTGAGCATTGCTTCAAGTATATGAAAAGCAGATTTATGGCAATGCGACATAGGATGAAATGCAAGATGCGACATCCACCCGGAGCTGAAATCTATCGTGATGGAAATGTCTCAGTCTTTGAAGTGGACGGAAGGAAGAACAAAATTTACTGTCAAAATCTATGCTTGCTCGCAAAGATGTTCTTGGATCATAAGACGCTTTACTATGATGTTGAACCTTTCTTGTTCTACATCTGTTGTGAAGTTGATCAGCTTGGCGCTCACTTTGTCGGTTATTTCTCGAAAGAGAAACGTAGTCCGCTGAACTACAACTTGAGCTGTATCATGACCCTTCCTATTCGTCAAAGAAGAGGTTGGGGAAACTTTTTGATCGATTTGAGCTACCTTCTCTCTAAGAAGGAGAACAAGACGGGATCCCCTGAAAAGCCGTTATCAGATTTGGGTTTGCTGAGTTATCGAAACTACTGGACGCTAGCCGTGTTCTATTATTTACGCTCTGGCCCCGATCATGTGTCGCTGGAAGATATCAGTAAAGCTACTTCAATGACATTGGAGGATGTTTATTACGTATTACGCGAACAAGATATGATCACAATAAATGATGGTCAATCTGGTCGAATTCGAGCACCAGCAACGTCCAAGTATAAATCACGAGAAGGTGGTGTTTCAAGTAGCAGACCGGTCCGTAGTGGTATTTCATCTTCAACGATTTCCGAGAAAGATAAAGAAAGTTCATTGGCCATCCCGACGGATTATAGTATTCACTTTGACCGTGATTATGTGATTGCACATATCAAGAATTACGAAGCAAAGGGAAATATGAAGATCAAACCGGAGAATCTGCATTGGGCACCCTTCCTTTTCGTTCGTTCGTTGAGTCAACCTGATGATTTGCTAGGTAAAGTTGTTGAAGCTGCTGGTGAAAGTCAAGTCGATCAACCACAAGCAGAATTGCAGAACGGGGTGGAGCAAGAAGTGGTGCAAGAACAGCAGGAGGATGTAGATGGCAACAATAATTATGACGCAGGAGAATCAGGCAGAGTTCTTCTACATGATCCTAACCAGCCTGACGTTGTCTTACCTGCAAGCGCAGAATTGATCGAGAATGAAGCTCGAAGTGCTGACTGGTCAGCAGTGAATGGCAACAATGAGAATGATGCCTCTGCCTCTTCTCCAATGTCAACGCCTCCATCAAGAGGATTCAAACGCAAGAATGACATGATCAGAGGTAGTGAGACTTCAGCCGAACCTTTACAAGAAGAAGAAAGACCTGAAAAGAAGACACCGAGGAGAATGAATGGAAATGCTGCAGCCACACCAGCAAAAGACGATATTCAAATGATTGATACCAGTCCAAAAGCTGAGAGAAAAACACGGTCATCTTTTGAATCTCCAAAGGCAGAACGTATTTTGCGACGTAAACAGGTTACAGCTGTGAATCCGAGATATTGAAGAAGGAGGTTTCTAAACATTCCCATCAACACATGTAAATCTCTTTTGTAAATTAATCTCTCACCAATGTAGAAAACACAGAATTATACACTTTGTACAAAAGATGATTTCCAGATCATAACAATACCAAGGAAATCCTTATCTTGTTGATGGCGAGAGCAGGCACGTAGGGTATACCTGCTATTCATTAAGCTAAGATTGCGCCCTGGCTATGTGTGTGCACGCTTGAAGGGCATAGCTTACGTTTCTTGCCCAGGCGCTGTTGCAAAAAACGTGGGTTACGAATAGGGCAGCGTAGGAGCAGAGTGGAAGCCCCTTTTAGCAGCAGTGCATATCGCACGCATTTGACTCTGTAACAGCCTGCGTCGCACGGATACTTTCTCACAAACTTGTCCAATTTGTCAAACATCACTTCTACTTCTACACCATCGATCAATCTGTATTGTGTACTAGAAACCAGAAGCAAGATGGTGAGTAAAGGGAATCTGATTATACATCAACAAATCTGACCATCATCCTCCTTTTTATGTCAGGCGGCACAATCGACCGGTATTCAAACATTGTTGGAGGCAGAAAAAGAAGCTGCAAAGATTGTACAAAAGGCCAGAACATGTGAGTGAATGGTTGGAAGAGAGGATCTGGGATACAGCATATACTTATCACTCTAACACTTCGTAGACCGTACACAAAAGCTCAAAGATGCACGATCAGAAGCAGCAAAGGAGATTGAAGAGCTTAAATCAAAGCAAGAAGATGAATTCAACAACTTCAAGAAAGAGGTAAGAAGGACATCATCACAAAAGGCTTCTCTGCGCTCAATCTGACATTTTCTATTCCCCCAACAGTACGAAGGATCTCAATCATCTTCACAATCACAGGTAGAGAAAGAAACACAGGAAAAGTTGAAAACGATCAATGAAGCTTTCGATAAGAATAACGCAAAAGTGGTTGAGAAGCTATTGGAACGTGTTACACAAACAAAGGCTGAATTGCACAGAAATTTGCAGAAAGTCTGAAAGCAAACTTTTTTCAATCCCGCATCTTTCAACTCTGGCGTTTGTTCTTGATTCATCACATATACTCGAGCTCACAATGCATTCGATATACAGATTATTCTCAGAGGATGAGGAAACTGGTCTTTGATCTTTTGAGTATCCAAGGGTTTAGATAAAAGTACATTAAGGCTGGAAACGAATACTATCGAATACTAGAAAGCAGATTTAGCCGACGAGATGTATGTATGCGGAACTCCTCATCATCTTCTCTTTCTGCGTTTTGGGATGCATCCGGATTATGACTGACTGCTACTTCTTCCGCCAAAGCCCATCTTCGCATTCCGTCTAATGTCTTCTTTCTTCGCTTTTGCTCATGTTGAGCATGTATGTCTGCCGTCGTTTCTCCTTTTTCTGAATTTGCTTCTCGCAATTTACGTAAATCACGCTTTGCTTTTTCACGAGAAGCTTTCGTTGGCGGTCCAAAGATACGAATGCCACGAATATGTGTATCCTTTCCTGCTGCATGATTTGACAAGATGCAAATCTGGACGAGAAAAGCATGAATGGGAGCATGACGTTTGCTTACACCACAAGGTAGATAGTCTAATGGTCTCTTGCTCGTATTCAACTCGGCATGCGTACCGCTCTTTCTTCGATGTTGTAATATGGAAGATGTAGATGATTGGCTCGAATCGGATGCGTCTGAACTGCCATCATTTTCACCATCATCCGATTCGTTTCCGTCTTCGAAATTGTCCAAGATGAAGTGCTTCCATCCCGTTGGCTCCAGTAATTCTCTGTGTGGGGAGGGCCATATCCAAATCTCAGCTTTCTCTTTAAAGGATAATACAGCCTACCATCTTTACTCACCTAGTGCGAACCTCGACGAGATCGTGGAAATGAGTGCCGGCCAAAATGCGAACTTTGTGAGGGGTATATGAATCATCTTCTTTGAAGTCTGTGTATAGTGAGACATGCTGTACGAATAGAGAGTCACTGTGAGCTATGGTGCGGACTGCCTGGAGAGGGAGTTGGTACTTACTGTAAGGGCTGTCCGCCTTGCAAATTGTATGTTGATCAGATGGGGCAGAAGTCCATCACTCCTGTGGGGAAGAAGAAGATAAAAGTGATGGAGTAAGAGGATATTTCAAGGGCAAACGCATGTTCAAATGAACAATGACTCACTGCCAAAGCTTATCGAAATTAGGATCTCGTAATTCCCCCAAACCATGTCCTGGCTTTTGGGAACTCAATGACCACATTGTCCCAGGCTGCGAGCCGACGTCAATTTTATTGGTCAAGTCTTTAAATTGGTTGAGGAGAGCTCGATGTCAGTTCTTTATTCACATTCTTCTGTAAAGCTGACTTACCATTTACGTCAAAGATGCCCATAATGCCCAAACTCGCTTGTCCATTTGACAAAATGATGGAGGTGTTTGGTGTTGTTCTTCCTATTGCATGCAGGCCTGCAGATGTAGTACGCGTTGTATTATAAAATATAATAAGCTCAATGCACAGATATCCAATTTCAACAGGAGACCCTCCTTTCCCCTTCACCTCTTTAGCCACACCATCATCACCTTCCCTTTGTGGCAGGATGGTGTCTCAAGGCAATCGTACAAGCAAGAATGTCGATCCGTCTCACATTGCATGGACAAAGTTCTTTGACAAGCATACTTTAATCGTACCAATACATCGTAACACTGAATCGGGCTCATCTACAAAACCACCCCCTGTTTCACAATCAGGTCGATTCTCATCTCTAGGACCGGGTCCTAATAACAAACCAAGAAGATCTAGATCAGCTCGAGATCTGTCGGACGAGTTAAATGACACTCGAGGACAGAAAGCGATTCGATCTGTGGACAGCAAATATGCTAAACAAACAGGCTTAACGGAAGCAGAATGGGAAGAGACTATGAAAAGGCTCAGGCGGCTTATCCTTTTAGAGGGGGTACCTGGTGATGATGTAAGTAAGCTGTGTAACATTCAATGTGAAAGTTGTTGGCTGATCGTGCTTTCCAACTGCAGTTTCGCCTACCCAACAATCGCTCCACTGCTCGTTCAACGATTTGGAAACTTTTGCTGGATTGCAGGGATGTCGATGCGGCACTCTACCTTTCGCTCGTAGCCAAAGGACCTTCGCCTTTGCATGACAAGATTCGGAATGACACCTCTAGAACACTTGCAACGGATAAGCTATTCAAGAATCGAGTAGACGAAGCTGCCCTTATACGGATGCTGGACGCATTCGTTTGGCGTTATTGGAGCGATGGAGCACCGAAAAAGGTTGTGAAATGGACAGGAAGCAAAGCATTCACTTTCAGCTACGTACAAGGAATGAATGTCCTGGCAGCTCCGTTCTTGTACGTCATGCCGAGCGAGCTAGAAGCTTTTCAGTGCTTTTGCAACTTTATCGAAAATTGTTGTCCGACGTACGTTCAACCGACATTAATCGGAGTACATCGTGGCTTACAATTGCTTGAAAGGTGCTTACAGATGGCCGATCCAGCACTTTCCAATCATCTGCGATCAAAGCAGCTCAATGCAGAGCTGTATGCATTCCCTTCAATTTTGACATTATGTGCATGTACGCCGCCTTTACGTCAAGTCTTGCAAGTGTGGGACTATCTTTTGGCCTTTGGAACCCACTTATCGATCCCATGCATCGTTGCTCAACTATTATTGATTCGCGATGAGCTGATGACCAGTAGTCAGCCTATGAAACTGTTACGACAATTTCCAGATCTAGATGCCAGAAGTGTGGTGGGAATTGCAACCACGCTTGTACGTGATCTAGATGATTCCCTTTATGATGATCTCGTACAGCATACGATCATCTTGTAGAGTTCTTCACGACTCCATACGACCTTTACGATTATTTTACGAACTTCTCACTGTATTTCTATACAATCTATTGATACATTTCTACTTGCGTATAGTCTGATATTACACATTATTTGGGGATTTACCTACCACTTGCGTCCCATCTGTTCAACAAAGAGGAGAATGAATTAGTATAACACTCAAAAGGATCTTACAGATGAACTCACTTTTGTCTGTACACATTCTTTGAATGCCATGAATTCTTTTTCGCATATGCCACGTTCAACTCCCGTTCCTTCTTTACTGAATTGTGCCTTAAAGATGCATTGTGCATACACTTGTCCTTGTTCACTACATCCTTTTGATGCATCGGCAAGTTTACGTATAGGAGACTCTTTGGCTGATGATTGTGTAGATACGGAACTTGCTTGTAACCATCTTGGTGCACTTGCTCTCAGTGACATTGTGATTATTTGTCAGTGTGTGTGTGCTTTTGTGATGGTTAAGAAGAATGTTGTGAATCATACACCCTGGATTAAGTAAAAGTCAGAAGTGGAGAGAATATTTAGTGCTGCTTATATAATTTGCTGGTTGATCTTCATAAAATCGCGTGTCAAAGGCTGGGAACATTTTTATTTATTTTTTTGCTTTTAATGAAACGAGGGCCAAAACTTTTTATTTGGAAGAAATGAAATTTGGGCGGACATTCGTGTAGTGCTCATTACCATTTCAATCGTGAGGCAAGTTCATCACCATCAGCCTAAGTCATAGCTGACACAATGCAAATCGATCAAGTGCCAAAGGCAAGCACTTCCAAACTTCCAAAAGTATCAATATACAAAATGCCAGAATCAAAGCATGAACCTGTTGGACCGGAAGGAGCTCCTCTTTGGCGAATAACGGCAGCTTCAGATCCAAATACGACACCATTAGAGCTCATGCATGTTTGGGCAGTCGAAATTGATCCACGTAAATCAAAAAATTACATGCAATTCTCTAGATCTGTTGCTAGAAGACTTAAAGCTGCAGAACAAGGTGGTGATGCGAATGAAAGATCAGCGTCATCTTCAAGATCCAAGAAGAACAATGGCACACCTTCAGCGCATACGAACGGACACTCACAAAATGGCAACGGACAGCGAAAAGATGGCAGAGATGGAGATGATGAAGATGAAGGCGAAGGATCAGATCAATCAGACAGTAGCGCAAGCGGAACGAGTGGTATGGAAGATGTAGATGAATCTTTGAGGCATTTACGACTTTTCCAAAGAACGGGTGAGAACGGTGAATTGTTTGGCTTGGTCTGTCGTGTGGCAGATTTACCGTCATACGATGATGTACTTTCGCTGCTCAAGCCAGTCGATGTCACATTTGATGGAACAGAACCAAAACCATTTCAAGTAGAAGTTCCAAACGGTCCTGCACCAAGTCGAAACAGGTTACCGGAATGGAAGAAATTTTGGCCGGTAAGCGTAAAGTATGGCAGAGTTTTGAATTCTGTCGTCGTTCCTTCGCTTTCTGGACAATTACAAGCGCCTTCCTGTAGTGCTTCTCCTGGGGTGGTGGATCGAGCTTTAGATGCTCAACTTTGGACACCGATCGCCAAAGAATGGGCAATTCGCAATTTCAGAAAATGTTTAAGGACAGCATGGCAAGCAGAAAAGAATGGAGATGTGCCGATAGGAGTACATGTAACCTCAACTTATCCTGAAGGTGGAAAGATCGTTAGCGGTGTTGGAGAAGGACAAAAGAGTATCGAAGTGCATGGTTGGGATACCCGAAGAAGCGAACGTAATCCGATCAAACATGCGGTCACCAATGCGATTCGTGAAGTTGCAAAAGTACGAAGTGAAAGGGATTGGGAACGTTTATTGCTCTTGAATGCAAAGGTGGCTAATCTTTATCGGGATCCACATGCTAATCCAGATGAGCATAGGCTGGCGATGCAAAAAGCAGAGGCGGCTGTTGCTGCTTCTATGGGTACCAGTACTGGACCCCCCTCTCCTTCTTCGTCTAATGGAGGAACTCCAAAAGGGCTCTTGAACGGACAAGACTATTTGTTGAACAATTTGTCGTTATTCATCACTCACGAGCCATGCGTACATTGTTGTATGGCATTGGTACATTCTCGTGTTCGTGCGATTTACTTTATTCAACCTTCGCCTTACGCAGGTGGCTGTTGTGGTTCAGGCATGGAATCTTCTCGTCAATGCAAATTTGCCCAAGATGGCGGACCGTATGCAGTACAAGAACAACAAGGCTTAAATCATCGGTTTGACGTTTGGCGATGGGTAGGCAATGATGATGATCTGCGCAAGACAGAGTATGATATCCCAATCAATGATCCAACCTTGCAAGATGATATAGACCCGAATTGTCCAAATGAAGGTAGTATTCGATTAGACCACTTCGCATTGGATGCATAGAAGCGATGCAAATAAACGCATATCAATTGTACAATAGAAATGCATAATGGAATCTGATGATGTAAGATAGGGTTCATTTGGTGTTATATATCAAAGCTTATCCTAAATATACTATCTACTTTTTCTATCATTTTCAATGCTTGTTGAATCGCAAAGAATTCGTGATTAGAAAGCATCTCCGGCGTTCTTTGTGAGCCAGACAGATCCAAGCTCCATTTATACATGCCCAACTTGGAAGGGTTGCTCTTTTTATGCAATGGGATGTTGCCATATCTCCATGCCCAAGGTTCACCTTGCTTGTTGAGCTGTTGCCCGACTTTTGTATTATACACAAGGCGTTTTCGTTGACGACTGACTCGGACGTAGATATCTTCCCCTAAACCGAGTAACTTTTGATGACAGACAAAGTGTATTTCAAAATCAGGCTCGGGTCCATTGGCTCGTACTTGGCAAACTAAAGCTGCAAAGACATCATTTGACGGTATGAGGAATTGAGCAATCGTCAAATTCTGACGAAATCGAGTAAACCAAGAAGATGCAAGAGTGTAAAGCTTTTTGAATAAGATAGGATCGATGAGTGGTGCATCGAAGCTGTTGAAAAGTGCCACATTTGATCCATTCGACTTTATTGACAGAGTACATTCCGACCGCGAATGACGATAAATAATCTTTCCATCTTGCCATAATTCTGCTCTACCATACTTTGTACGTTGTTTGATTGGGAACCGGCTTGCACCACTCAAACAAGCGATTCTTGCTTGTTCAAAGAACGCCGGGTGTGGATTCGTGATTGTTATTCCAAGCGCTTCAACTTCACCTCTCTGCCCTTCATTGCCTTCTTTTGGATTACTGACCACTCTCACATTACCAAAAGGTGTTTTACGTACTTCAACAAGTTCAGGTAGAAGAGATGCTTCTTGCATACCTGCATGTTGACCAGCAATGGAAGGCTCTAAACGCTCAACGATAGACCGTAATGTGGTGCTACCAGTAGGGCTTTGAGGTGAAATTTGTTTGTTATTTGTGGTAAAGACGTCTTCTTCATTATTGCTTGTTGCCATTGTTGGATCACATCGTGGTTTACAGAATAGAAGGAGGTCAGTAAGCCTCTTTCACACATTATCGCAGCAATTTGAGCATGTGCTCGAGGAATAAGAGCTACTAATAGCATACCATCATGGTGACCGGTATACACATGTCCATGGGATGGTGCAAGATGACATTTGTTTACTCTTTGTGTTATATCACGTGTTCATTCGCGTCCTTACGCCCAGCGCGTTGAAATGGTAGTGGAGCGTATGCGTATGTGGAACGCGTGCTTGTGTGTGCATTTCCTATTTGTTACATTTCATGATTGTCGTGTTGGGTTTGATCATTCTATCATCACGATATAACTCAATTGATCAGTACAATCACTACATCTTCCAGGGAAGGGATAGTATCACACGCTACTATAATCACACCATGCCTAGAGGTATTCCAAAATCCGGCTCAGCAAGCACTTCCGTGTTGGCATCATCCAATTCAAGTGCTATCCTTGCACCACCTCCAACACGACATGCATCCGCAAGATCAGCAAAAATACGTGCAAATGCATCAATACTAGACAACGATAAAGATATTGATGCTTTGATTCGAAAACACGAAAAGAAAGGCGCTCGTGGATTCGCAAAAGTACGTCAAAACCCATCAACAACAACATCCATAAACGCAATGGAGGAAGATGGACGTTCTGATAGGGAAAACGATGATGAAGCCATACAACAATATTCAAAGGGCAAAAAGAAGACCACAACAAAAGGAACAGCTAATAGCACAAAGCAGACGAAGATAAAGATGCTAAAATCAGCCCAAACAGAAGAGGAGAATGAACATACTGAATCGAGGAAAAAGAAGCAACCGGCAAAAAGTTCCGATGAGGTTGACGAAGAAGACAACGTCTTTTCATCACCTCAGAGATCTGTTCTAGGTGAATCGGCAAGGAAGAACAATCGCGCTCAACAGGCATCTACCCCTCCAAGAATAAAGGCGACAAAGGTATCATCTTCTGCATTTGCGTCCTCTTCCTCTCCTTCAAAGCTCAAGATAAGTTCGCAAAGTCACGCCCTACAATCCTCACCTAACCGAATGAAGTTTTTGTCCCCAAGCAAGAAGCGAAACGGCATGCCAGAGATCCAAATCGAATCCTTCCTGGAGAATTACGACTTAGAGGCCGAAAATCGACTTCGAATGGCTTTGAAAACGCTACAGATCAGTATAGATTCTACAAGGACACAAATGCATGCCAAAGCCATTGCAAAATTGCCAAGAGCCGTACGTCTTATGCGACTGGGGGATTTTGTCAACGAATATGGTGCAAATATACAAGCAGCAGTTGAGAGAGCAGCGGTAGTGGCTGATAAGGCCAGACAAGGAGCATGGGAGGAGGAAAAGATGCAGAGAAAACGCAAAGGAGAAGATGAAGAACAAAGAGAGAATGAAGAGAAACGAGAAGGGAAGAGTGCTAAATTGGACTCCGTAAAGAATGTCACAGCAGGAGCACGAGGTACAGCACAGAATGGTCGATCAAAATTGAAGAACGTCGTAAGAAAGACCAGACAAGTAGTTCGGCCTTCGCCGCAGAAGCCCACTGAATCTCGCAATGAAAGTCCAATGCGACCGCCATCTTCTGCTGTTTTTAAGCCCAATCTAGGTGCTGACGTTGTGATTGCAGAACGTACAAGCAGCATTCCTACTTTACCACCCACCCCAGCAAACGGCAAAGCACGAACAGCAAGAAGAGGAGAAAGCGTTCAATGGCTCAGTATGAACGGTAGTCCAATCATTGGAGTTGTGGCACCTGATGGAACGATCCATGCCATGCCACGAACAATCAGACAATCGCCTTCCGTTATCCATCAGAAGCAAAAGAGTCGTAACTGGCAAGCGATGGAAGAAGATGTTTCGGATGACGAAGATGCAGCAGAAACATCTGCACATTTGCTTGAATTGGCAAAAGGTATTGATGGATTCAAGCGCAGTCGTGATAGCGATGGCCAATCTCCCATCTCTCGAACATCTTTGCATACCGCTCAAGCTTCTAGAAGAGGGACATTGGATACTGCTGAATCTGAAGAAGGTGAATCAATCTTTGAAGAAGCAAGGTCATATCCTGATGAAGAGCGTGTATTGGGTTTGAGCGATGACGATGATTGTTCTTTACCGGATGAAGAAGCATACACTGCACAAATCATGCGAGAAGAAGCACAAAAGCGAGCAAAGATGCTTTCAAGCGAGCCAAGGATTGCAAGATCTTCTGCTTCCTCAAAAGCATTCGGTAATGGAAGTGGAGGAAGAAGTAGCGGATCCAGTAGCTTGACGGGAATGACGAGCAAGGCAAACAATGCAAGAGGAAGTCATTCTACCATCCGTGCCACTTCTTCACGTAAAGATCAAACGACGTCAAATGCATCTCGATCTTCCTCTTCTGGATTCTTGGCCATGCCTCCTTCTTCACCTATGGTACGCAACAATTCTGGTGGTTCATCAAAACGGATCATGTCAATGTCTTCTTCAACATCCTCTTCTCCCAGTAAAGGTCGTGTTTCGATTGTGTTTGGCAGTGGATCTCGTCATAAGATCACACAACTTGGCGTTGAAGATTTAATGAAGTTATCGGCACAAGAACGAAATCAAATGCTCGATATTCTTGAAAAGCTTAAACAAGCTCAGAGCAATCTAGACACAAGATGAGCTGAAGTTTTGCTTAATGTATTACCACGAATAATGATAATGATGCATGATATGTCTAAAGGCCGGTCTTCGACTTAGATTCAATGAATGAAAGGCATCCAAATTGCTAAAATGCGCTATGATACATGAGTAATACAAAGGGGGTGCGTTTATCACCAATTGACAAACTGACGAGCTCGTTCAGCCGTCCGACGAACGAAAGCGGTAATATATCCACCAGATGCAGAACGACGTCTTGCATGTCTATGTCTTTCTTCATGTGACGTTCCTCCAGCACTCGTTCCATCGTCACCGCCTTGAATGGAGCGGCCTGAATATCCAGATGGATGTGTTGTTTGACTTGCATCAGGAGAAGAGAGCCAACCGCCGAACAAGTTTGAGGTAGATGATGCAGACGATTTTGATGCACTGGAAGAGTGGTGTGTATTTTGTGCATTGCTTGTGCTTGAAGGTATCAAGCCGTCGCTTAATCTTCTTGCAAGCTCTACCCGGGATTCTTTTCGCAGCCGATCTAATTCCCACTCACGAATCAACAAACCTCTTCGTGCACTGACGGGAGCGACGACATTGTATCTCCGAATGAGGTTGTTCACATCACGAATGCCAACATCATGATATGCTTGTTCTTTTTGTTCCCACTCAGAATCCGTATATCCGTTCACCAAATTCAACAATTTCTTTTGACCAGAATTAAACATTTCACGTTGCATTAAATCGTCAAATGTTTCATTAGATTGAATTCGAATAGGTTCAAGACCTTCTCGCATATAGGATGTTGCTAGAATTATTCGTGTTGCTCGTCTTAGCCAGCTGTCAGCCAATCGTTTGCGAAAATCGCTTTGCTCGTTCTCCAATTGTACATTTAGCTCAACCCAAGGTGGTGCGGCACCTTGTCTCTGAATAAGTCTATTCATTATTCGTTCTTCTCCTTTTAAATATGGATTACTAGCATGTAGATCCTTTTCTAGTGGTTTGCCTCTTAATGAATTTCGTCTAAAATAATCCGTCTTCATTGCTGCTTCTATTCTTTCATTTGCGATCGACTGAAATCCTCTACCACCAACCATTGCGATTTGCGCTTCTCCCTTTTTACTATCAGAAGCAGATGATAAGCGCATCTCTTGTCCTTCCTGTAAAACACCTTCTGCATTGAGTAACTCCTCTACTTCTTCATCAGACATTGGCTGCTCTTCCATTGTTCCCCTTTCGCGTTCTTCTTCCCTTGTTCTTCGGTATTGCATCGCTTCTTCCTTTACACCGCGCATTCTTCCCGCTCTATCCCACTTTCGTACACCTTCACGAATAGCACGCATCTTGTTACGATCATCGAGAGGTAACGTTTCTGTTTTGATACCTGCAAGCTTTAAACGCTCCTTCCCGCTAGCCGTCTTTGCGCTTCTACGGTGTGGCGAAGAGGGTGGAAGACCAATATATCGTGCATAATAAATAGAAGGATCTGCATCTTTTCCTTCTTTGCCAACTTGAAGCATTGGGTTCACATATACTGCTCTCCAAGGTTTATTATCCGGCGTCTTTGCTAATCGTCTTCCATCTTCGCCTGCTTCAGTTACGCCCTCAGGTATAATCTTTTCCACATCTGCAATTGCTGCAGAATTTGATTCTCTTCCCGCACTTGGAGAAGCCATCATATTGGGTTTTTGAATAGATTGCAATTTTGCATCGGCAGGATGTTGACCGGGAGCAGATTGACCTTTGATACGTAAAGGTTGGTGTTTATCCATCAACATTCTTAAGATTGTATCTTGTACACGTTCATCACCTTGCCATGTAGGTTCACGAGAAAGTGCATCACGTTGTCTTTGCAGTAAACTTTCTTTACCTATATCCTCTTCTTCTGCGATTGCCTCTTGGCTGAAAATATTTCTCTCCGAATCAGCCTCATCATTTGATTGGTTATTCTTTCCACGCCAGATCGTAGATGAATGTAGTCTTCTTCTATGCGGTAGACTGCTGTATCTGATTGTCTTTCGGATTGGCAATCTCGCACCCCTTAATCGAGCTCCCATTGCCACCTCCATTTTGTGCCTATGTATGATCCATTTGATCGTGATGAATGCAGTGTGGCAAGAATGAATGACTGCATGCATGTATTATTATTATTCATCTCTTAGTGTCTTCTTTCTTCTCTGGCCGACGAATGCTTCTCAATCGCCCGGGTTATATGCATCGGCATGCAAGTCAATTTAAGTTGCATAATAGAAAACCCTAATACAAGTAGTAAGCTGGCTTGACATGCACGCTAAACGGTCCAGATTAATCTTACTGTTGTCTTGTGGGCCTAAACTAAGAATCCCTCTCCGCAAGGTACTGTAAAAATGCTAGCCGAACAGTTATTTTTAAAGCAGCTGTATATTAATATGTTGGCTTGCCGTAAAACTTGAAAAGCAGTCAATTCTTCTTTTTCTTTACCAATACCAACCATCATCTCCCCGTGTCCAAATGTCGCTTCCAATCACAGCCAATTCGGCAAGAGGAGGACCACAAAAGTCAGGATTGTCAATCATCAATTCTAGATCAGGTAGGCGAATCATCTTTTTGACTTTATCAGTGATCGCTTTGCTTTTCTTCTTCTTGACGCCATCTGAACATATCAAAAACATTCAATCATCTTCTCAAACCTATCTTCGGCAAACTTTTACACCATCTCCCTCCACACAATGCTCAGCTTCATCAAATGCTCTCATCAATCCAGTCCCTGCAAATAGAACTGCAAAACCAAAAGCAGCATTCGTTGCACTCGTACGCGAAAGACAATTACATGGATTAATGATGACAATGCGTGATTTACAAATTACATTCAACGAGCAGCCGGACAATAATTACAAATACATCTTCTTGTCCGAAAAGCCATTTACTCCCTTTTTCAAAAATCGAATGGCTGCTTTCTTGCAAGATTTCCCTTCGCCGCCGGAAGTGGAATATGGACTTGTTCCGAAAGAAGATTGGGACATTCCAAGTCATATCAATATGACCAAAGCACAAGAACGTTGGAATCGAATGTCAAAAACGAGAATTCCTTATGGAGGCAGTAAAAGTTATCGTCAAATGTGTCGATTCTATTCGAATACTATCTTCTTTCATCCCCTTTTGAAAGATTTAGATTATGTTTGGAGAATCGAGCCTGATACAAAACATTTGTGCAAGTACGTTTCACACTACAAGAAAGGTTCAGACGGTGTGTTGCGTTGGGTCGAACGCGATCCTTTCCGTTATATGAAAGAGCATGGAAAAAAGTATGCATTCTCAATTGCAATGAAAGAATACGCTGGTTCTGTTAGAACTCTATTCATTCATGTGAATACATGGAGATGGGGAAATCCGCATCTGATCCCAAAGGATAATCTCAGAAAATTTGTTTCTGATGACGATAAAGGATACAACAAGTGTCATTTCTGGACCAATTATGAGATAATCGATCTCTCTTTCCCACGATCAGAGGGCTATCAGTCTTTCTTTAATCATCTTGATCAAGTAGGAGGCTTCTTTTACGAAAGATGGGGAGATGCGCCAGTGAGAAGTATAGCCGCTTCATTGCTTCTCAACAAGGATCAGATATGGCATGTCGATTATGCAGGCTATTATCATCCACCTTATGGTACATGTCCACGAGTACCAGATCCCGGAGCTCAGTGCGCATGTGACCCCCATGTCAATTACGATTACGATGCATCACACATCAGTTGCAAACCTCAATGGGATGATGCCATTGGAAATAATTCAACAGAAATCATTCAAAAAATCAACGAAGAGAACGGTTATCCTGGCTTCAAATGGGATCATGCCGAACCACCATACACTCCTTGGCCGATGAGATTGTCAGGATAGGTATGGTTGACGAAAATGCTTCCAATCTCTTGTATAAGTAGAACGAATGCTCCATCTAATACTATGTACAGTAGTGCTGCGAGATGTCCTCTTTGAATGAACGGCGGAGAAGAAATTGTCTCATTATCGTAAGAAAATCTGGAAGATTGGATATAATGCACATGTGGTGGCGTATAGGATATCATCAGACGAATTAGTGATTTGCACCGCTGCAAAGAAGAGAAAAGAGCAGAAGTTTAGCCTTTTGCAGATATTGTTCTAATCAGAAACACTACTTACGCATCAAAGATCGCATTGTTGTCTTTTGCGGGAGCTGCTGCAGACGCACTGCCTCCTGATGGTGTGGATCCGCTTAGGTTGTATGCCGTTACCGGTTGTTCTTGGCCACCAGGGGTCTGGGATGGAATGTATGCTTGTTGAGGTACGCCCTTCTCGTCAATCTCTTCTGCCTGTTCGACGACTTCGTACATTGCTGATGCTGCTTCCGGTGGTGGAACCTTTCCTTCCAATAGATCTTTGGCTGGAATCGGTTGTCCGTAGAATTCACGATTGGCATCCTTGCGTTCGATCAATGCAGTTCCTTCCAAGCTCATGCCTGCGTATAATCCCTTGCTGCGTGAATAGCTAAACATAGGTGCAGGATGAGCGATTGCAGCTTGTACAGAACCACCTGTTCCGATTGGTCCTGCGGCAGCGCTCAAGTTACCACCGATTGTCAAATTGCCAGCCAAGCAGAATGAACGAACGGCTTCTTCTGAATTGAGAACGACGACGAATTCCGAAAGATCGGCACCGATCTGAATACCGAATCCAACACCACCTGTTGCGATACAGCTGGGAGCGGACCAAGATCCATCAGGCAAACGAGCAATCACCACACCACTACCAGCTTTACCTGACCAAACGAAACCTGCTTTGATAACACTAAAGATGGCCAAACCTTTTGCCTGTTGCAATACAGCTTTTGGAATACTATTTAAAGCGGTTTCTGGATGTTCAGGATCAGCCAAGAATGTTTGTAAGATCCTTGCTGCTTTTTCGCATTCTTTCGGTAATGAAAATCCTGCTTGTGCTAATTTTGCACTTTGATTTAATTGTTGACCGGTACTTTGTGCGAATGCGGTTGCTTGTGTGCCAACCTTACCGGCGGCAACTTGGAATTTCTTCAGATATCCGTCCATTCTGTGTGAAATGGGCAATCGGGAATATGATGGCAGAGAGTTGACCATCACTGCACCAATTCTATGGTTGGTTATGCTTGCATTGCCTCCTCCACGAGCATACACTCATCCTAAACCTGGCTTGGGTACGGGCCGAGTGAGAATTTGTTGTTCATGCAGTGCACTTTTAATCCGCGCCACGTTGAAACGCTAAAGAGAGAAATAAGTCAACGTGGGCAGAATACTTATTGGATTATCATTGTACTCTGCTTTTAGCCTGCCTAGTGCAATCCATTGTAGTACAACGGTCAGTATATCGCCCTCTCATTCTAGAGAGGCCTCGCTCCGCGTAACAGCGTCCGGCGAAGGCCCGGGTTCGACTCCCGGCAATGGATCTTTTGCTCTTTTTACTTCATCTTTTTGTGATGGGAGAGATACTTTCTTTTTGCATAATCTTGTCAAATTATATGAGATATCGCTCTGAACTTGGGAAATGAGATGCTGTTTTGATAAATTACAGTATTGTACACATTAGAGAGACAAAAATCTCCAAATACATAGCACATTTAATGCATGTTAGCCGGCATGCCTCCTACTCTTTCAAAGCATTCGATAGGTAATCATAGGATGCATGCGGCTACTTGACTACTCTTGTTGGATATGCCGGCCTCACATCACCACAGGAATAATGCTGATCATAAGAAAAGCGGCATGTTCCAGCTTTAAGGTGTATTTTCATCCGACATTCTGAAATGTGGTGGCCCGCTCCGATACAACCAAAAAAAATCTTAGCAAGAGCATTGATAACCAAGCTTCGGGTGCTTGTAGGATCTTTATCGTTTCATGTACTCAATTGATTACCTTTTTGACTTCTTTTCCCACTGCGACAGGTAATCGATACCAGCTTCCTTTGGTGTAGCAAGTTCCGGTAAGCCTGCCTTACTTCTTTGTTCGTCCAATTGTTTCCATATCTTACTCTTGAGTCTGTTGGGTTTACTGACTGTGTTTGCTTGTTCTGTTGCTTTTGTTTGATCAACTTTGCTCTCTTTCTCTAGCTTAGCTGCTCTGAGATCTTTCTTGTATGATGCTTGTGCATTTATATTACCGTCGTCATCATATCGAAGGCTGTCCCGTTTACTGGATGATGACGTCTGCTTTGATAGAGACTTTGGCTTCTTCTTGTATAGCTTTGCTGACTTTCCCATCCTGGTAATCGCTTATCCTCGCGCAAAGTAATACGGAATGAGTTTCTGAGGAAGGAATGTGTTGCATTCAGAATTTGCTAAACTTTTCTTTCAAAGGGAGTGCGTGAAGTTTGCTTTAGGTACGCGCTAAAATCAGACCCCACCTTTGTGGCCGAGAAGCTTTGTTCGCATTCACACGCCGAGCATTCTCCACTCCTTGTGTTTTAAATACAGACAGCATCTCTTCCCTTCACACTCACATCCATATCCGATCAAGGTGGTCAAGATGTCGGCAAAAGATGCTGCTGCTCCAAGCAGTCCAAGTACACCAAGGAAGGGCAGTCTACCTTTCTGGGGTACGCCAAGTGGAACAGAATCCAATAAACAGTCTCCATCTGCAAGTATTTCAGGTCGATCAAAATTGCAATCATTGGCAATTGAAACGTTATTGACATCAACTTTGGCAAGTGTGACTGCTACGCCACCTAGACTGCCCGTTGCAAAGAATAAAGAACCTCTAAGTCTACCTACAACCACTCGAAACTTTCGTGGCTTTGTTCAAAAATCCGGTCCAATCTTTTACTTTCAAGATGCAGTAGAAGCAACATTGGCATGGGATGATTGGCCATGGACGAGTATGTGGATGGGAATTTGGGCTATCGTTGCTCTTCATCCGTATTTATTATTGTGTGCACCAACAGCAATCCTGGCTATCATTCTCATTCGAACACATATGGCAAGGTTCCCGGTCGGACGGCCAATTGATGAAACACCCACTTCAACAGGATGGACTTCATCGGGTACAGAAAAGAAGGAATTGGCTACACAAACACCAGCCGAAACTTTAGCACATGCGGTCGCACACCCTTCAAGTACGGGACATGGAGCAGTCCTACCACCTTTGATGCCAAATCCTCCTCATGAGGGTACAATCAAGTATTACGAAAATTTACGCGATATCCAGAATATGATGAAAATGGTGACAGACGGCTACGACGCAGTCGCTCCTGTGGTACCTTATCTGAATTGGTCATCATATCGCCGTACACTGCTATTGTTCCAAGCCTCGCTCATTCTGACAGCTGTTATGTTCTTTGGAGCACCTCATATTCCCTTGCGTCCAATCCTTTTGATTGCAGGAGAGGGTGCATTCATTGCAACGCATCCATGGGTAAAGCCTGCATTGACTGGCTTGCTGGGTAGACTGGATGAAGAGAAACGAACGGCAAAGACACCTTTAGGACGTGAGTTGAACAAGATGGAAAGGATGAGTAGAGAACAACAAGCAAAGTTGAGTTTATGGTACGATGAAGATGGATTGGACGATCAAGTATGGCAAAAAGGTTGGAGAGATGTTGAAATGTATCAAAATGAAAGATTTGCACCTGAAACTGCAGCTACTGCTTCTGGTTGGAGTGCGCATAATTTGCAATTCGGAGAACGAAGAGCGTTTACAAAAGGACCTGATGGTTGGACGGCCAAGGAATTAGACGTTGCAGGTTATTCACTTGATATCAGGTAAGTCCGCTTCTGTTCTTTGATGGCTTCCTCATTACTGACAATCAATATTCCTCTCCCACACTCTTTCCACTTCCACAGCAGACAAGTTGCAATGTCCCTTGAACCTGGTTGGGCATGGGTCGAAGGTAGGTTTATGCAACTGGAGGAGCAGTGACGGATTTAAAATGCTGACAATTCATTCTTTTCTACCATATCAGGAGACGACTGGCGTATCGATTGGATCGGAAAGTGGTCGCCAGTTGGTGTCGATGCAGAAGGATTCGTATACACAGATACAGATTGGCAAACGCCAAGTCCGTACCCATACGGTCATACAGGTAATCCTCGATACCCACCTGCAATTCAAGATTCTCGAGCGAATGGATCGATTTTAGGGGAATTGTTAGCAGGGCATTCGAAAGAGGAATCATCTGTTTTTGAAGATGACGATGAAGAGGATCATCAAGGGCCTGAATCTTTGACGGGTATGGAATTCCGAGCAGTCAAGGCAGACACACGTAGAAGAAGGTGGCTAAGACGTGCTGTTTGGATTGGAAAAGAAGAGAAGAAAGGGTCAGAGCAGATTAGCAATTGATTGTACTCTCTGCAATGTTTGTGTTTAATGCAATGATTATTAATAGTACAAATGGCTTCGAGTTAAAACACAGTACAGAGATATACATATGTCTACACCATGGTATCATTCATCCTCATCGGCATCCGTCAAGAGCTCTGATTGTCGATGAGAGAGTCGAATATTGATGGCTTCATTGATAATTCTATCAACATCCAAAGGCGGCAAGCTGAAAAGCATACTCTTTGCTTCTGATTGATCCAATTCTTCCAATGCATCTTTGCAATTTGTCAAAATGGCAATGCAAACGTACATGTGCAAATTCAAAGGATCAGGAACGGCAAAGTAGGTATCCCAAAGTCGCATTAGATCTTCTATTCTCATTTCTGCTGCTAAGAGATGTCGCATCCATGCCGATGCCAATCCGATCACATCTACCTCTTCTTCGTCAAAGTATGCATATAGGTCCGGTAACGTAGTTCGAAAAAGGGTCAAGAAGTTTGCAATTCGAGATGGTAATGGATGTTGTGCGTCGTACGTATCTGATTAGACATTGCGAAGAAAGTCAGTCAAATTTCTACTCTTTGAATCATATTCTCTGATCTACTCACCAATGATAGACATCAGCTTTTCGAAAGCGAAAAACATTCCAGGTTCAGACCGAACGCATTTCACGAATGGAGAACAAAGCAAAATCAAATCTGGATGATAATCAGTTTGAACAAAACAGCCTTGAGAGGTGGATCTCCCGTTCATATCACTAGACGACTGGCCAGAATTTCCGACGATTGCTGGCACTTTCAGATTATCTCTGTTTCCTTGATGTGCCCATTCGTATTCCCTGGGTAACGAAGGGAAGGCAGATTCTTGAATGGTATCGTTGGTGACTTCCTTATGTTCATCGAATGATGATGTGGAGGATGCGGATGATATTGTAGACGCAAGACCTCTACCTCCATTCTCTGGCGGCGATAAGAAGTTATTCGGATTTGGTTTATGGTATCCGGAAGATCCAGATGACACTGAACGATGGTCTTGTTGTGGCGCTTGCTGGAAGTCTAGAGCGTGGAATTGATCTTCAAAATTCGCCGATGGAATTGATTCTGCAGAATGATCTCCGGTATCTTCATCTACCGTCTTGTCTGGCTCCACGATTGTAACAGTGCCATCCACCGAACGCCATTTCCATCTGTTCAGATGAGCACATACGATATTCTCCACTGCTCTACAGAATCTCTTCATTTCATTTGCTGCAGCCGCTTCTGGATCGATCAATACGTCGCTTCCGTCTCCTGTTAGGCTATTCATAGAATTCTCTCCTACAATCCCATCTGATGAATCCCCCATGATTCCGGCCAAGATTTGTGTTTTTCCATCATGAACCCGATTAGGACCTCTAGTGGTGGCAGATGTAGTAACGATTGTGTTCAAAGCAGGAATGGCCACACTTGGTGCAGTGAGAGCGATTGTGGTTTCATCTGTTGCATATCCGCTTACCGTTCTACGATTCTGTGATGCTATTCGATGTGAAGATCTTGCCAATGTACGACCTGGAAGTGGTCTTGGGATCAATTTCCGCTGATAATATCGTACTGCTTCATTTCTTATCCTCTTTTCGTATAAATGATTATGTTTTTCCAGGCTATCATACTCCATGTATTTGCTCCTAACAGATGTCATCTCTTGACTTTTATCATCCGAAAGAACGCCTAATAGATACAACCAAACTTCTCCGCGAACTGCCGGTTGAACGCCATGTCGAGCATAATCTCGTAACTTTTGTATTTCTACATGTTGTTCGGCATTTAGTACTTCGATGAACTCTTCCGTACTTGCAGCCGCACTGCTGCTCATTTTGATGGCCGGGAAGGATGATGATGTCGTGAACAAGAAGGAAGTATGAAGATCAGTAAAACTTTAAAAATAAAGGCGGGCGCACAGGGCAAGTGGCTTTTTTCCGCCATCTTTCAACGATTGCAATTCATTGCACTTTACTTACACCACCACAACAAACATGATGAATATAGTCTCGTAGCCCAGCATCGACAAGTACAAGTAAACAAAAGCTTTGATCTACCATGAGTGGGCAATCGACTGCTTCTTCCCTTTATTCCGGCATCTTTAACCTAGCAAAGTCGGATGAGGCCAGTTCAAACGCAGGTCCAAGTGCTCAGCCAATCGCAGATGCTTCGACGGAATCAAAACCACAATCAAACCCAGCAGAGATTGCAGATCAAAAGCCATCGCTAGACAAATCCCAAGGTAGTCCATCCATGATATAGCAGTCAAGATCGTGCTACGATCGCAAGAACTGACTCGCTGCTCGTTCAGATTTCTCTCTGTCATCTATTTGCTCACTCTTCCATCATCTTTCCCACATTGTACAGCTTGGTCTGCTGCATTGCGATTTACACCTAGAAGAAATGCCGCTTTGAGTAAACCAAAACGAGCACCGATCCAGTCGCAATTATCAACAGCTTTCTCGAATACAGACGTTCATTCTGACCTTGCAGAAGGTTCTTCCTCGAAACAAGCTCCTCAAAAGCAGGATGAAGTAGCATCTGCCTCTAAGACTCCATCTGTGCACTCAAAAGCCGAAGCAATCAAGCCTTCCTCACATCCGAGACAACTTTTCGGAGTGCAAACGCATGCCCTAAATGTTGAGCCGGTAGATTCTGACCGAATTCCACTACCTGCCGTAACCCAGCCGCCATCCCTTTCGCTTTCAGTGGAAGAAATTGAAAAGGATCGAGCACTCTTCCGGTCCAGAGCACTGAAAAGAGGTGATATCGCTTCACATGAGCAGACAGATTTCGTGGAGGATGATGGATGGAATGAGGAAGAGGATGTGAATGGCTTTGCAAATACAACAGAAGGCAGAAAAGCCAGGAGAAAGGTAAGAGTGTACATCATGACAATCTCTATTTCCGTCAAATTTACCCAAACATTTCAATCTTTCTTTTCGCTGCTAGAAACGCAAACGTCGTGCATCGCCTGGACATCATGGAGGATTAGCAGCTTCATTAAATATGGATGCGGATTATGATCCAAGGATACCGAACGACTTTATCGAATTTAGGAAATTACTTGCTAATAGGAGAGAAGCAGAAAGGTCACATCGAAAGCGCTTAACATCGGGAAGGGAAGAGCAAGGCTTCGATGAAGAGGCAAATTATGACGACCGATCTGAGAGGGGTGAAGGTGGAAGAGGTTGGAATCGATATGATAGATCTGGTAAATTTGCACCGCCAGTTGCATATGCTAGTCACTCGAAAGGGAAGCAAAGAGACTTTGAAAAGATGGAGGATGATGACGATGACGAGAAACCATACCTTTCGCCTCCACCCTCTCTACCGCCAGGCCCTCCTCCAGGGCCGCCGCCGAACATACCATCTCCAGCTGTTACGGGTGAAGATGCATACCAGAGAAGGCTGGCAATGTCACAGGCCACAAGTGGGGAAGAAGCATACCAACGCAGATTAGCGATGAGTCAAGGTAGTATGAGCGAATACGGTCCATCATCCAGCCATGATCATAAAGGAAATCGATCTGACGATCTCGCTTCTCAGACTGCGGCTGCAGCTGCTATTGCTGCCAGGCTGCTCAAGACAGCTCCTCAAGAAGAGACGCAGACGCTCAGTAGCACCGCTTCAAGTATCGAAGATCACGACCCTTCTACATTTGCAGAAAGGTTGATGATGAAACAAGGATGGAGAAAAGGCGAAGCATTAGGTGCGGAAGGGAACAAAGGTATCTTGGATCCTCTGTTAGCTCAAAAGGTTGAAGAGGAGCGAGCACGACATCACAGCAAAGGCCAAAGAGGTGATAATGAAGGAAATGATCGTGCAATGAAAAGTGCACGCGGTACGATTATCAATCCGCAAGAAGAGCAAAAGAGACAAGAAGAAAGACAGAAGTATGGTGAAGCAAGCGAGGTGATTTTGTTGGAAAACATGGTGGCCAGTGATGAAGACATTGATGACGATTTACCAGGAGAGATTGGAGAAGAATGTGAAAAACATGGAAAAGTGGAAAGAGTTTTCATTTGGCCAGCTGCACATGCAAAATATTCGTTTACCAATTCATCTTTAGCCTTATCTAATTCTTCTGGTAAACCTCGAATCTTTGTCAAATTTAACGGGATCGCGGCCGCTTGGAAATGTTTAAAAGGGTTAGACGGCAGATTCTTTGCTGGAAATACGGTAAGAGCACGTTATTATCCACTTCAAGATTTCAATAGAGGTAATTACGATCGTTTGTATGATTAAACTGAAATGAAATTGAAAAATAAGAGTTCTTCATTAATATGTATCTCGGAACGTTAAATTGTATTTGCTGAACCGGATGGATAGTAGACTCCTTTCTTGACGTTGGAAAGGAACGCTTGAATTTCTTCTCCAAAGTCATGATGGCTTTGAGAACTCCAGCTTGCACTTTCACGCATTAACTTCTTATTTGCACCCTCGCGGTGGTCAATCTCGAAACAGAATCTTGGAGGGTCTAACGCTAATGGATAAAAACCTGCAAACTCCCAATCGATGATTCCTTTCACCCTTGCTGTTGTAGGATCCACGATGATATTGCTTTGATACAAATCACCATGGCAAAGAGGATAAACATCTTCCTCAGAAGGTGCGAACTGCTTCACTTTGTTATGATGCAAGAATTGACCCGCGCTTGCAAACAAGCACAGCTCTCCAGAGAAGGATTCTGCTTTCGGGCGAAGCAAAGACTTCATTCGATCGTAGATTTCTCCAACTTCTGCACATACTGCTCGAATATCCTCTTTGTGTTCAAGTTGATGGATCTCAACACCTTTGATTTCTTTCGTTGCTAAGCAGCAGTGGTCCCCTGTATCACACTTTGAAATAATTTCTGGTGCTGGAATTTTGTTTTCCGTTGCCAAGAATTCCAATGCTTTGATCTCATTTTCAAGCCTCTTCTGAAAGCTGAACAATTTAAAGGCCCAATCTTCGCTGCCTTTAGCACACAGACTATTGTCCGTTGACGTTTTGAGATAGTAAGCCCCGTCTGTGCTCTCCAAACGATCAGTGTATCTAATCTTCCCTTTGAAAGGGAAGTATTCGTGACAATACTTCATTTTGATGAATAACAGAGATGGTAGATGTAAGTATGAGATGAGGCAATGGATGTCCATTGCCTCCGAGCCGCGTCTAAATACACAAGTTCCAGCAGGAAGAGGAAATGATTTTATTAATAGAATTGCATTGGTTGCTATCGACAACACGTGAGGAAGTGGCCAACTCGGTTCCGCTTTCAGATGGCATAAATACAAGCACCTTGTGCTGGTTGACTGACAAGGACAGCATCAGCGAATTCTTCATCAGTCATATTTGGATATTTCTTGGCATAATAACCAGTTCGCAGTGCATTGATAACTTTTTCCACATTTCCTTGTTCAACCAAAGAAACAGTTGATCCTCCCCATCCTGCACCTGTTGGTCTGCAACCCAAAGCTCCGTTCGATTCGGCCAATTGACAAACAGCTTCGAGTTCTGGGCATGCGTTCTCATAAACGTTGAAAAGTGTTTGTTGAGATGCATGCATGATATTGCCTAATTCTTTGTATGATCCTTCTCCGCCCTCTTGACAGACAGACTTGAAACGTAAAACGTTTAGGGATTCGTTGAAAACGTGTTGAACACGTTTACCAAGTGCGAATGTATCTGCTCTGACTGGGAATTGTGATAAGAATTGTTTTTCGTATGCTCCTCCTTTGATACCTGTCACTTCTTCGACTTCTGCGCGAGAAAGAGCATGTTCAGGCAAGGCTTTTGAGCATAGTTCTCGAAGATGAACCAATTGTGCTGCTTCTTCTCCCCACTTTTCCCAACTTTCCTTCACCTCTCCTTGCACTTCTCCTTGCTTGAGAGGATTTTTGGCAAAGTATACATCTGTCAAAGGCTTTAGTAGTCTTGTGGATTCATCTTGTGGTAGATCAAACTTCTTTGCTAACGCACGGCAGGCCATCATTAGTTCACATACTCGAAGGTTATATTGCACGGGTCCCATCACCTTTTTGTCTGATACGACCAACGTGTTTGCAATCAGCAAGACATGTGGTGGCTTGCTGACGGGCAATTTGGTTGGAACTGCGTCCAGCTCGGGTTCAAAGGAGATATGTAGAGCGCTACCAGTAACGCCAAAGATTGATGCTGCTTGATCCATACCACCCGAATTTACACCGACCAAACGCTCTGATTCGATTGCAACTTCTGCCATCTCACGTCTTCCGATCAAGTTACGTGCTTGGAATGCTTCCAAAACGACGATTGAACTGCATGTTGTCATAGCAGCACTACTGCTCAAACTGCTTTCTGGAGGAATTGTGCCGTCGACCAAGACATCGATTTGTGTAGGTCTTGTTTGTGCATTCAGGATATGCTCTGGTAAATGTGGATAAAGACCTTTGTATGCTACTTTGAAGTAATTTGCCCAACGAGCACCACCTTCGTGTAAAAGTTGAACGGATTCTGGGTCTGCCAAATCACTTTCGAATGTGATTGGTTCGAAGCGTTTTGTTGTGTTGTGAAGGTTGAATCTGACCATTCGTTTTTCACCTTCCTTGTCCTCTGCCGAAGTTGTATGAACGCGAACGGCCATCAAGATATCAATTTCCAATGCGGCAGGCAAGCAGCTAAAACGCATGTGGTCAACATGATCACCCATCAAATTTACACGACCGGGAGCACGGGCGATAAAGTGAGGTGAATCACCGTCAAATTCTTCTTTGAATTGTGTATGTAATGAATCCCATCTTTTTCCTTCTTTTGCTAATCTTTGTTTTGAGTAAATACGATCAAGTCCATCTACTGATGGAATTGGATCTTGTGTTGTACGACTTGAGCTTGGCATGCCAACAAGCGTTTGAGTGAGAGTTTGAGTTGTAGTCATTGTGAAGGATATTTCTCAACAATGAATAAAGAAGAAGATGTGATGTGAAGGAAGAAAGGGAAATTAAATTTCGGACCGCTTCTTTATTGAGCCTCTCCTCGATACCTTTTCGGTTAATGATCAAGAGCAGCAGTTGAACCTATCATGCCGGCATTCTCATAAAGACAGATGGGCAGATCTAACAGGTAAAGTGCCTCTAATGCATTAAAATAACACTTTTTCCAGCCGTGGAGGCAGTAACTGACTGCTTTTCCCCCGCGTACGGAAAAGTCTAATTTTTATTTAATTTGCCGTACGCCCACGGAAGACTGAAAACTTGCATCACTTTTACGTCACTAAAATACTACCCAGTTCTTCCCCGCACTTTTACAGTCACAAAAATGTAAAAAGATTGCCGGCCCTTGTGATGCTTTTTATTAAATGACATATTCCACATGGATCTGTTCGCTATTCTTCAATCCTTCTCCTGACTTATCTTTATGATTAATATGGTGATCATCATTGATATCAATTTGATGGTGATCATGTCTTGTTCCAATATCATGGTACACTCTTAACGCGTACTTTTAAGCTTTTCTTCAATCCACGGAAGAATTTATACTGATTTTGTGCCTTTCCGCGGAAACACTCAAACAGTCGCGTCTCTTTATATCATTTCTTACACGTGCAACGAGTCGTTCATGTTTTGGATATTGTATAGCATTGATCGACTTCTTCACGGTGAGCGTTCTTTTCATATACAGGAAATTGATCATGAATGTAGTCAATATACCTGCTGGACTGAGTACCACAAAGATGCTGAAATTTCAATGTATTCGAAGAGACGATACATAAAAAGTCAATTATTTGGTGTTGTAATCTGTATGTCTGCAATAAATGACAGGGTGTCAGCGATGCTTTACAAGACAATGACGAGATCTTTCAATAATCTTTAAGAGAATACGCACATATGAAAAGTTGACCAAAAATTTGTTTTGCATCGTACTGATTGATTCAAGTTTTTATAATACGATATTATTTCTTTAGGTTTTCTTGCAAATACAATTTTCTTTGTACGGAAAAAAACTTTGTGTGATAGATCGACATTGATCCCAATTACTCATATAATGCTTCGAGTAGATCTCTACCACTTCAAAGCTGATCATATAAGGAGCTTGCTGTTGAAATAATACTGCTATGAAAAATAAATGCTGTAATCGAGAAAAAAATCTACTGTATCTATGGTCACACTTTCTTACATAGCTGCAGAAAAAAAGCAGTGTGGCCATATTAGAGCAGAAATCTAACTATTTCAAACTCTAAAGCAAGGTGGATAAAGACATGTAGTAGTAATGCCAATTTTAGAAGAGATCTACACCATGACGGTGAAGGCTTTGCGCAAAATGCACGTGACATGTTATTTGTTCGCGCTTGCAGAATTTCTCAGAAGGTCTTTAAGCTAGGCTATAAAAATTGGAAAGCGTTCAAGAAACTTCTGCAATGCCTCTCCTGTTCGAGGGATGGTAACGAGTTTCCTTACTAAGCAGTAATGATACATTCTCTTTTTGATATTCAACTTCATGCACGATACATCATTGGTATACAACAATATAGACAGACACGCAATTCGATGGAATATAGGTAATGTTAAAAGAGAATAGAAAGTCGTTTGTATGTTTGTATACATGCAAGCGTGCGAGGATATGCACCCAAACAGATCATGAATAAATGGATTGGAGTATTTTCACAAATGGCATAAGAAAAGGGGAATGATTGCGAGGATTATAAGAGAGAGAGAGAAAAAGTGGATAAAGATAAAGAGAAGATTTGCATAGCTTGGAAAGAGAGATTGATGATTTCTTGTTTTATCTCCATGTACGACAACCACGATTCCCATGCTGAAGGAGGGTAAAGTAGTTTATCGAACGTTGAAAAAGAAAGAGTGATTGTTTTGTATATTTTATGTGCTACTGAAATACACGAGAGATTAAACACCCACCACAAGGACCAACCTGCAGTCTTTTCTTCTCGTTATCCACTTCGAACAAAGTATTAATCGATTGTACTGATTGACCCTTCCACCCTCACACGAATCGCCTAACAAGATCGAAAAAGCGGTTGTTTCTCATCCATTAAGATGTTTAAACACGGCGCTTCAAGTTTGTAGAGAGCCATTCGAGACCTTCGTACAAACCATCTCCACTGGTAGCACATGTTGCTTGGATGAACCATTGACGTTGTCGCAGGCTGTGAAGACCAAGTTTATCAGTGATCTCAGCAGCGTTCATTGCGTTTGGCAAATCTTGTTTGTTAGCAAAGACGAGCAAGAGAGCGTCCCGCAATTCGTCTTCGTTAAGCATACGTTGTAATTCTTCACGAGCTTCTGAAACACGTTCACGATCGTTTGAGTCAACGACGAAAATGATACCTTGTGTGTTTTGGAAGTAATGTCTCCACAAAGGACGAATCTTGTCTTGACCACCGACATCCCATACTGTGAAAGAAATGTTCTTGTATTCGACAGTTTCGACGTTGAAACCGATAGTGGGGATGGTTGTAACAATTTCACCAAGTTTGAGCTTGTAAAGAATGGTTGTCTTACCGGCAGCATCCAATCCCACCATCAAGATACCTGCAGAGTTGAAAGAGAGCTTGGTAAGTAGGTGTTCGCGGGAAGAGACGTTGGCAGTCAGGTGCGTAATCCTCCGCCTAGAGAAGAGAAAGAGATCCCTCTCTCTATGCTTTCCGAAGAGGTGCGACCGATCTGCTGAACATTGCAATACTCACGCATTTCCTTCTTACCGAAGAGTCCGCTCAATAGACGAGAAACTGAGAGACCCATTTTGACTGATTACGAGAGGACGAGAAAAAGAGAGAACAGGACAGAATCGAATTTGATACAAAAAGAAGATCTTTCAATTGAGATCGTTAGACTTTGCTTCTTTTTTGTTGTTTTGATTGATTGATTGTTTGATGGAATCCGATCTACGAATCGTATCAGGGTAAAATCCAACAATGAACACACGAAGGCGAATCAAAAGAGAAAGCGATTTGCGTGTGCGTGTGCGTGCGTATGATAGTGTGTAAAAGGATGTAAAAGAAGAATTGATAGTACTGGCAATTGACACGACACCACTTATTATATTCAATTTCTAGTTTAATTCCTGCACCCAGAGCCAGGGCTGGCTGCACACACTCTCTTCTGCCAGCCATGAACCGTGTGTTTTGTGTGTGTGTGCATGCTTGCGTGCGTGTACAGGATCTGGTTGAGCGGCGTTGGCTTTTACGCCAGAGAAAGCACTGCGCTGCGCAGCGCAGCGCGCGCATCCTTTTACACGCAACACTTCCACATCATTCACACTTTAATACCAACCAAGGTCTATCTTGCCCCCTTTCTTACTTTTTACACGCACACACAGCGTGATTGCTGGCCTACGCGTGATCAATTATCGTAATCAGTAAAACCACAAATTTGTATTGATAGTTTGAAATTATGAATACAAACAAGCAAACTTAAGGTATTAATTATGCTCTGCTCGTGTGGGTGCTATTTGGGGAATACTTGACAGGTTATATAATCGAATAGCATTCTTATGAACAACAGATGGAGATAGCCTTGGAAATGTCCGAACAAAGCGAAGCATTTGATGTGATGGTGTAATTACGACATCATATGTATTAGAAGTTCGGCATGTTTTGTAAGAAAGTTTTAGTTCATCTTGGGCAACCTCCATGACCACTAAGCTCACTGATGATCGAGCATGTGCTTGGTATAGGTTGCCCGGAGAAAGGGGGGAGATTATATCGTCCTATCTGAAATCTCAAGAGCTCTGATGGGTGTCTCACTCTTCTTGTTGGCATTCACTGGTCATTCGTCATTTCAATACGTGGTGATGATGGTATTTGATCAAGCAGATAGAGTGAAATCTGGCAACCCTGATAGCTTCCAGATAAAAAAATAAATGCTCTCACCCACGTGATCTTTCCAAATCAAAGTAAGGCACAGTCAAATCCGCGTGTTTGTACGCGTGCTACGCGCTTACATTCCATAAAGTGTTGGTGTCTGGAATGTGGGCGTAATGAATGATTGGCTTGCGTGCCAGACCCATCCATCGTGCTGTATCGTATGCAGATCTAAAAGAACAACACAGGAACACAAAGGCAAAAAGCATACGACAGTCATACTTTGTGGCAATCAAGAAATGAATACGTATCCTCGTTGGGTAAACGTAAAAGGCAACCCTTATGCATCCTCTGCAGGGCCCGATCATTGGGCTTGCCTTCCTGGGATTGAGGGTATGTGATCTTAACAATTACAGATTTATATGGACTATCAATCTTCTATGCACATATCTTACTACTCAAACTCGCATCTAATAGGAACACTTGACAGAGGCAGTACATACATCCATTTGAGTGGTACACACGGGCGGGCTCTTACTTGTTCTGATTGATTGTCGTCAAAGCAGACAAGCGAACAGCCATGCATATGATCTTTTAGGCTTGCCTTTCCAAACTTAGGCTTCCCCGTCAATTCCTTCCGACCTTCTTTGCAAAGGGTACAATTACCCAATCCAGCTCATTGGCGTATTTATCATTGTTGATGGGAAAAAGGCTCAAAGGGCTTTCTTGTGATCATCTATGCATTGATTCGATGGCAAGCCACTAGCGGATCAGCACGCATATAGATGGCCCTTTTGGCTGTACAGCATTTAGGATACATGATTCAGAATGTAACATACGCATTCTCAGTGACGAATACTCATCCTGCATCAGAGCTGCCTATTTAGGGAAACAAGTCGGCAAGGCTATATGCTCTGCTTTCAATCGAAAGTATACAAAAGATACAACCATACTTTCTTTACACCATCTTTCATTTCCCACCATCACTCCTTCTCGTTTGTTTGATTGCTTTGCACCTTTGCGTGCTTTGCTTCAACTCATCTTCTCCATTTTCTCATTTTCGACCTACGCTCTCGCTACCTTTCTTGCTTCATGACAACGATTTGCATCACTTTTTAGTAAATCATCACATTCGCTTTATCTATCACGCTCACACAGCAACCACATTCGCTTTTTCAATTAAACTTTAACGCCCGATAACATTCTTTCACCATACTATTTGAACATCTTCACCCTTTCATCAACACCTTTGAAATCAATCAGACTAATACAAGATGCATAAATCAACCTCTTTCTCCGATTCTCGCAACGGCAAAACAAGACCTGCAAATTTATCGACCGAACGAAGTGGTCCATCCGAATCACTTCCATGGCCTTCACCTTCTTTTGATGTTTTCAACAACTCGCCTTCAAAGATGAACTTGGGCTTGGCAATTAGTGCCGATCCAGGTCGTCCATCAACTCAAGCTAAAGTCAGCCCATCAGATTTGCCTCCTACCCCATTAACAAGCACTTACAAGCCTCTCGAACTTAGCCCTGACAGAGAGCAACATTTACGTTTGCCAAGTGTTAAAGCAATGCTTGCTCACACTCCACCGGAATCCAGAGGTCTTCGTACTGTCCCTTTACCCGAAACAGAAGAATATGCTCCTCATCATGTTGCACCTATCTCACGGCAACAACCTCACCCAAGTGGGACCAGCCCAATCCGACCTGGATTCCACCCAATCCCTGGTCATCAAGAAGTTGCCGCTGTTTCATCTGATCGTTTCCGCAACATGCCTCAAAGTGAAGAAGTCCAAGGTCTCGGATTAGACTTGGGAGGTGACGATACTCCACGGTTGGGAAGTCAAGATTGGTCTGCAATGCGCACTCCAACTTTGCACACCAACGCTCCTCGCTTGCCTGGTGCTCCTCAAATGACAAGTGCATCAAATGGTCAATTGCCAAACAACATCACTTCTCCCATCAATCCTCCTTTGCGTAACTGGAACACGGATTTGCGCTTCGAAGACCGTCCAGCTCCTCCAATGCCACGTCCAAATTTGGCACCCCGTTCGTTCAGTGAGAACTACGCATCCACACCTATGGAACGAGAATATGCAATGGAATTGGAAAGTGGAATGCCACATTCCAACAAAACTTGGGGCTTGGCACTTTCGATGGATAACGGTGAAACCTATCGCCGTGGTGCATACTTGTATCGACCTGATACGACCGTTGTTGGTCCTGCTGCAATGGTACGTTCTTCTACCGGTCCATCCCATGCTGGACCATCTCGCATTCCTTCAGGGCCACCAACGCCAATGCGTCCAACTGAAATGACAAACGTACCTTTGAGCGCATCCAAGGTTCCATCTGCTAGCAAGCATCTCAAAACTACAGGGTTAACACCTCATATCCATAAGACTCGCTTGACACCCACTTTCTCTACTCGTAGTAAAGGAAGCAACGGTGGCGGCTCACCTAATGGATCGACGGAAAGTCCAAGCTTGAAGATGAAGTCTAAACAAAGATCAGAACAATTGCGCAATCAAGCAGCTTCTGTTGCCGCTCATGCCAATTTGCCTTCTGAACATGCTTCTGTGATGGGTAATACTTCACCTACTTCACCGACGCAAGAGATGCCACCTGCACCCGTTCATGAAGAAAAGATGGCTGAAGATCACGTCTCCCCACGCAAACGTGACCTTGAAATGGCTGCCGAGCCAGAATTGGTTGGTGAAGTGAAGGCAAATTCTGCTTCTTCACCGTGGGGCGTGTTTGAGTTGGGAAATACAAACAATAAATGGCAACCGTTGGGACCTCCTGCACTATCGAATGTTTTGGGTAAATTAAACTTGGACGAAGCAGGAGATGATGATGAAGAAATGGACGATGATGAAGAAGTTTCAAAAGCTCGTCCAACGAAATCTATCAAACGTGCTCGCAAGCAAGGATCCTCTGCTGCCTTGTCTGTCATTTCTACTCATCAACAACAAACCCAACGATCCAGACAAACGGTCAAAGGAGGCAGACCTGTCTCACGTGGAAGTTCGGATAGCGGCAAGAGTGAAGGCAAAGAGAATGACGTCTTTGGATCTTCTGCTTTGTCAGGAGGAAACAATAGCGGTCATCGTACGCCTATTTTGGGAAGCCACAGTGCCAATGCTTCACCCAACAAATCAAACACTCAAGGTCAACGTCGTTTGGTTAGCATTCGTTAGAAGATTTTCCATGTTTCTATGTCATTACTGTATTGTGCAACAATCTTTTCCTACTGTCTTTCAACCCCTTTCAAACTCATGTTTCCTACATTACTAAACAACTTCTTTGCAATCTTATAAACAATATGATACACTACACTAATATACAGGAAAGTTTTTATCAACTTCATTTGACCATGCACGTAAGCCTCCAGTGATGTTTGTGAAACGGATCTTGGCTTGCTTGTCTGCTGTTTTGCTGTTTGAATCCTCGGTATCTGCCATTGCTGCTGCTGCTGCCAAGGCATGACAGGCCAAACGAGAATCATTACCCCTTCTACAAAGCACATACACCTGATGATCATCTTGCGTATTTCCGATTGACTTGAGAATATCTGTATACCACTTTTTCGGATCGCTATCTATTTGACGAAAAGGGATGTTTGTTGTGTTGGGCAATTGCGCAATCTCAAATTCAACTTTTGGTCGTACATCGATGATATGCGCTTTGCTTTGAGGTCGTCCATTCAATTTTGCAAAATTTGAGGTTGTTATCTCATCAAAACCATCCAAAGTACGACCATTTGTCAAACCACAAAAAGCGATGTAATTCTCATCACGTAAATCTTGAGCAAGCATAGCATTGACAAGATCGGCTTGCATTTGTTCAGGATCTCCGCATGCTCTGCATGTTGTTATCCTTCTCGGTCTCAATCGAACGGATCTAGAAGGTGGAAAGCTGAGAGGTGAGACTAAAGTCATTCCAACGATCGGTCTTCCTTTATCATCTTCATCATCATCACCAATTCCAGTCAAAAGTTTAATCGTTTCAAATGCTTGCATCGTTCCCACCAAACCGGTGATTGTTCCTAAAACACCGCCATCTTCACAATCTGTTACCTCTTCCGGTTTGGGTGCTTTTGGGAACAGACATCTGTAACATGGTCCACGTGGAACAGGTTCAGCTGTTTGATCGGATGAAGAATTGCAGACTCCTGAAGCACTTGCACCTGGTCGTAAATCTTTATGAAGCACCACAAGTTGACCGTCAAAGCCTTGTGCTGCACCTGAGACTACTTGTCTTCCACACTTAACAGCTGCATCAGAAATCAAATAACGTGTTAACACATTATCCGTACAATCCAAAACGATGTCATGAGTCTTGATAAGTGGGACTGCATTTTCGACTGAGAGAGATGTTTGCACGGGTTCCACATGAACGAAAGGGTTGATAATCTTACTTGCGATCGAAACAGAAACTGCTTTATTCATTCCTACCCTGTCGTCTGTATGCAAGATTTGTCTTGCCAAATTCGACTTTTCAACCGTATCATGATCCAAGACTGTAATATGTCCAACGCCAGCAGCGACTAGATATTGAATAGAGGGACATCCCAGTCCGCCTGCTCCAATGACCAATACTCTCGATTTACGTAATTTCAATTGACCCGGCAATCCCATACTAGGGAGGATCATCTGTCTGCCATAGCGAGAATATTCTCCCAATGACATGGGTAATTGTTCCTTTGAGGATGAGCTCGAGCCTTCCATACCGGTGCTATTATGTGCATCCATATCTGTGTGCGAGCTTGCTATACTGTGGTATTCATGATCATCTGCTTGAATCTATTGTTATCGAGTGACAGAAGCAAGATTTCTTTTTTCATTCGGTTCGGGAAAAATATATCCGCGTGAGAAAAAGAAAAGAATGAGTGAGTGCTGTGCATGCAGGAACCCGGGAGATCAATTTTGAAAGAGCGGCGCTAAGTGAGAAAATGAAATGTCTCTCAATGTAAAGTAACACTTTTAACAAAACGCTTCTTGCCCTGTACGGAAGGGAAGGATATATGTATGCAGCGCCCGCACCACCTTTGATTGAATCTTTTCTGAGTCGCGTTTGAACTCCACTAAAATGCATCATGCATAACTTTGTTCTTCTTGACCACCTTGTACAAAAATGACTTCTAATGCAAAGCGGAAAACATTTGGACCGCCTGCTTCAGTGAATGGTGGGATTCTTTCATCCGAGTTAGCAGGTCAACAAGGCGGTGCTCCAAGTACATCAAAGCGAACGAGATTTGATGTACCGTCATCCACAGCAGAAGAAGATACAGCGGGAGATTTGGATATTGAAGAACAAGATAGAAAACGATTACAACAAGGCAGAAAAGGAAGAGTGGTAACGGATGGATATGATAGTGAAGATAGTAGTGGAGATGAAGGATCAGATGCAGAAGAGCTTGATCAGGTCAAAGATGACGACAAAGAGGAGGAAGATGAAGATATGTTCAATCTGGATCAAGCACCTGGAAGTGGAGATGAAGATGCCAAATCAAAGGGAAACAAGAAGAAATACCTCGAACTAAACGATATTGAAGGGCAAGAATTCTCAGATGATGAATCAGGAAAGGACAAAGAGGAGGGAGATGCTGAATTTGAATTAGAGGATGATGAAGAGGAAGGTGAAGGTCAGGATGCAGAAGCAGGAGACGAGAACCTACACGACCCCGAAGCAGTTGTGAGACCGTTGAAAAAGTCAGGAAAGAAAGGAAAAGGTCCCGAATCAAAAGAGATGGGATTTCAAATTGAGAAATTCAACATGAAAAACGAAATGGCTACCGGCCGGTTTGACGAAGAGGGAAATTATATTGAGAATGCCAAAGATCCTCATGCCGAGCACGACAAATGGCTGTCGGGTAATTATAATCGGAAGAATATCAAAGCGGCAAAAGAAGCACAAGAGCGAAGGATGCAAGAAGCCAAGATGAAGGAAGAAAGGAGAGAATTCGCCGATCTTGATGAAGATGAATGCAAGATGTACTTGGTGGGCTATATGCTGAAGGGTGAGAGTGTGTTGGAAGCACTGCAAAGGCTAGGCGCACAACAAAAGAAGAAGTCCAAGGCAGGAAAGAAGACCAAAGCAAAAGAGGCTGAAATGGTTGTAGATAATTCTGAAGATCTAGAAAGGGTCAAAGCAGATTTGAACAAGATCACTGCCTTAGCATCAGAGTTGATGTCAAGGTTTGGACTTGTGAACGTATATGAAGCCACATACGAAAGCCTACTGAGAGATGTACAGAGGTCAGGATTGGTACGATCCACTTGGGATCCTGCAGCTGAGAAGAGTAATGGTGCCGGAAAGGATGCAAGTGGCACAATTGCCTACGTATACAAATGGTCACCTGCTTACTTGAAAGCAATGTCGGAACAATCGGGACAAGAAACAGATCCTGAAACAGCAAAACAGACGTTTGGACCTTTCAATGTTACAGATCTACTATCGTGGAAGAAAGGTGGATATTTTGGCGATGATGGTGAGCGTATTCAATTACAGCCTGAAGGTCAGAATGATTCGGAATGGTCATCATGGCAAGATGTATTCGGATAGAAGAAAGTGTAACAATAAAAGTTGTAATTGTATCAGACTACTTACTGTATGTATTTTATGCAGCTGACAAAACGCGACTTGAGGCAATTGACGCGTCCAAAAGACCAACACTCATTAAGAACTTTGTTAAGCGCGTTTAATTAACTCTCTTTACGGGAACTCAAATTCATGCCTTGTGCACCTTTGCAATCATTGTACATCCTATGTACATCAAGCCCAAGTACCATCATTCCATTCAAGACATTCATTATGCACATCTGAACGACTATTCTACTCCCTTCTTCACCACCCTCATCATCATAGGAACGATATCCACAACCCACTAGCCCAATCGGACATGGTCATTGCTGAATCATCAAGATGGGTATTACCGGTCTATTGCCTCTTTTGAAAGATGTATCGGAGCATATTCATATCAAAAAGTATAAAGGAAAAGTTTTGGGTGTTGATGGCTATGTTTGGTTACATAGAGGTGCTTATGGTTGCGCAGAAGCATTAGCATTGGGAAAGCCAACGACAAAATACGTGGAATATGCAATGTCACAAATTCATATGTTAATGCATCATGGAATCATACCTTACATCGTCTTTGATGGAGATCGATTACCCGCTAAAGCAAGAACGGAACACGATAGACATCAACGACGTGAAGAATGTCTCGAGCAAGCTCGTAAGTATGCCTTGGCAGGAAACCAAAAGGAGGCAAGGGAACAATATGCTCGATGCGTAGATGTGACGCCTACGATGGCTTATCAATTGATCAAACGATTACGAGAATCCAAAATACAATACATCGTTGCACCGTACGAAGCAGACGCTCAGCTTGCCTATTTGGAAAGACGCGGTGTAATCGATGGAATCGTGACGGAAGATTCGGATCTTTTGGTTTTTGGTTGCAAGACTGTTCTATACAAGCTTGACAGAGAAGGCAATTGCGTTGAATATCTTCATTCAAATCGTCAAAAATGCAAAAGTCTTGCAATGCACTCTTTTGATGATTCAATGTTTCGACAAATGGCAATCTTGAGCGGTTGTGATTATTTGCCTTCGATACCAAAGATGGGTTTGAAAACGGCCAATCAAATGTTACGACAATATGGAAGTGTTGCAAGAGTATTGAATGTCGCTTTAACGATGGGAATGCAAGTTCCAACAAATTATCGAGAACAATTCGAAAGAGCGGAAAGGACATTTGTTTATCAACGTGTTTTCCATCGTTCAAAACACTCTGACAAAGTTCGAATGACTACCTTAACATCAGTACCGCAGAATGACGATATGTTTGGAACGGATGATTGTATTGGTCCTTTAATGTCGCCTGATATCGTCGAAGGAATTGCAAATGGCGATATTGATCCCATCACACGAAAATCGATCGCAGAGGCAGAAGCAAAGAAGAGGAGTGTTGCGGAAACGTCTGCTCAAACGCAGGCCCGAAGCTTCTATTCTCAAGTCAGACCTAAGTTCATGAGTGGGAAGCGAGGAACGAAGAAAACGCAGACGGAGATACGAGGTCAAGGCAAGTTGGACAGCTTCCTTGTCGCCAAACCTGCTGCCAGAGAGCCATTTGCGGATAAAACAAACCGGGCCAACCAAGCGATTGAGAGTCAAAGTGGAAGCGTAAAAAGAGCGCGAATGGAAAGTCCACAAAAAGCAAAGGAGAAGAGCAAATACTTCTCACACAATGCAACACAATCGGACCAATGTATGCCTTCTCCTACTTCGGTGGCTTCATCAAGTCCAGTCAAAGCGTATGACGGTTATGCAGATCTTGCGCGATTTGCAATGACGCCCACACAGCCCAAAGTACGTTATTCAGTAATTGATCAAGTTGAGCACGATGAAGGTCATATCTCTTCACCTCCTAGCGCTACAACTTCAGCCAGCAAACAACAGCATGTTCAATTTGTGATGAATATCGATGAAGAAGATCAAGAAGATGTAATTCCATCATCTCCTATCGGATCACCTTCATTCAAAACGACGTCACTACAACAATTACCTTTTTCGGCCGTAGGTGAGGATATCTTTGATGACGATGAAGATTATATCTCCAGTAGAGATACAGTTGTGGAAGCCAGACTGAAGAGATTTGTCTATGAAGAAGAACGAGTGGATACCAGATTTCGATCACCTAATGAGACCATTGATGAATCTGTTGCGAATGCACGTCGATTGGCTGTGCTGAACGAACGAACTCCGTTACCGCGACATCAAAGCGATAGTAGAATCTTTTCTGCATCCAAATCCAATTCCCTAAAGAGAACGATGCCTTTTAATGTTGAACATGATCCATTCGATGATCTTGACAAAGTCGATACACCTTTGCGAGCAATCACCAACTCACCAATCATTGCCAGAACACCTCGTCCGAACGGTGATCAGCTCAAAAGATCATCATCATCAGTGCGTAAGCTTGTCATGCTGAATGGTGATGATTAATTTACGCACGTCCATTGAACGGAATGATAAATTCCGACTGTATTATTATCTCTTATTCATATCCAATCAGATCTATCCGCAAATAAAGAGTATTACATTATCATTGAAAGTGTTTCGTGGTTGGTTGATCATCAAGAAGATATGCGTTCACGCAATACCGTGACCTGAATGGAATGTTAATCTTCTAAGCCTTGTTGTGTTCCGCACATTTGATACGCGTATTTAAAAGTCCACGGAATCCCGTTAAAATTAATGGCGTTAATGCTTGCAAGCGGAGACATCTGGTTTAAAAATAATGAAACGCAATCGTTGATCAAATTTACCATCTATATCCGAACATCGGGGTGAGTTTTATTCTAGTACTCATTTTAATGATAATTGCTGAAAATACAGTAAAAGTTGATCACCCTTATTAAAAGTGTTTGATTATGATTAAATGACACTAAATGACCTTTTTCTTAAAGTTGTCGGAAGTAAAACGTTTGCTTTTGTATGTGTGCAGTGCATGCATGCTGCTTCATTTCACTTTGTGTGTGTCTCTAATTTACACACGCACACATTCACAAATGACGTACGTACACAGCGCCCCGTTTGTACACACGCACGCACAGGCAGACTGCCAAGTACCGCTAAACTGCCTCACATGTCATTTATTTCAATCAAAACTCAGACGCATATAAAAATCCAAAACATCAATTCATTCTTCTTACGACGACGACAACGACGACGACGACATCAATTCATACACAAAACCTCGCTATACCCGCGTCTTTCCCTCTCTTTTCATTCATTACCATCAACATTCTAGCCTTGGCATCATTTGCAATTCGCAATCAAGGCTCTTTTCACTCTCCTTTTTCCGGTCTTACCAAAAGAAGGCGCAATCGTATAAAGGGGCCAACTGTTTCAAGTAGTAAAGGGAACAAAAGCAACAATCGAACAACTTAAAACCTCAAATCAACGCCAAACATTACAGCACACCACAGCATAGCCTCACCATCATGTCTTTTCCGGCACCACAACGTACATCGTACACTGTCCTAAACCAAACCTTTCAAGTTGATTCAGGATATGAAGTGACGAAAGAACTTGGTGCGGGTGCATATGGTAGCGTTTGTGCTGCAACACATAAAGCAAGTGGAGAAAGTGTAGCTATCAAAAAGATCACAAACGTTTTCACCAAAAAGATTCTTGCCAAAAGAGCATTACGAGAAATTAAACTTTTACGTCATTTTCGTGGTCATAAAAATATCACTTGCTTATACGATATGGACATCATCGATCCTGTTGGATTTAACGAAGTTTACCTTTATGAAGAATTGATGGAAGCCGATCTACATGCGATCATTCGTTCAGGTCAACCACTGTCCGACGCTCACTTTCAATCGTTCATCTATCAAACACTTTGTGGATTACGTTACATTCACAGCGCAAGCGTTTTACATCGTGATTTGAAACCGGGAAATTTACTCGTCAATGCTGATTGTGAATTGAAAATTTGCGATTTTGGATTGGCACGCGGATTTGCAACAGATGCAGAATTGGCAGCAAAAGGAGCGGCAGGTGGAGGATTTATGACAGAATACGTTGCTACTCGTTGGTATCGTGCACCGGAAATTATGTTGAGCTTCCAGAATTATACTACGGCAATCGATATTTGGTCAGTAGGTTGCATCTTGGCAGAGTTGTTGGGCGGTAAACCGATCTTCAAAGGAAGAGATTATGTCGACCAACTCAATCAGATCCTGCATTATCTAGGTACACCTAGTGAGGAGACCTTGGTTCGTGTAGGAAGTCCAAGAGCACAAGAGTACATTCGATCCCTTCCCTTCAAGCCTAGGATTCCCTTCCAGAACTTGTACCCTGCCGCAAACCCGCTGGCCTTGGATTTGCTAGAGAAGATGTTGGCATTTGATCCCGCAAGACGGATCACATGCGATGAAGCATTGCGACATCCGTATCTAGCCGTTTGGCATGATCCTGCCGATGAGCCAATCTGTCCCACCAAGTTCGATTTCGGATTCGAAGATGTTGAGGATGTGGAAGGAATGAAACATTTGATCTTACGGGAAGTGGCAAGCTTCCGCGAAGAAGTACGAGGAAGAGCAAGAGCTCCACAACCACGTCGTCAAGAGACACTGCCGATCCCATCCAGAGAGGAAATTCAAGCTTCTAGCCCGACTGATAATCAACAATCATTCTTGGGCGCATCTTCGGGCTTGGTACATGGAGGAACGGCAAGTGAGGTGGTTAGTGGACAATTGACAGATGCACAAATGATGGAAGATCCAAGTGAAGCTTTTGAACGTGAAATCGCAGGGCCTCGGTAAAGGTTTTTCTTTTCAAAGCAAAAAAAATGACATTCTCATACCCCCTTTTTCATACTATACATTAAAACCTGTCTTTTTCTTTCTGGCAGAGATGCTGAGAATACCTACTTTGAATATTCATTAGCAAACATTATCGTATCTTGATGGAAAAATCAATAGACAATCTTAGATTTAATATACAATATTTTACATCTTCTTCTATTTAATTGGCTTTGCTTTGGGCGCTCATATCCGTCAGCCAGCTTGCCTCGGCTGCACTGACAGTTCGAGCATAGAGGTCCTTCGTGAAGATCATATCTTCAAAATAGATCACGTTTGGAAGACCTGCGGGACCTCGATTGTTTGAGAGTAACAAAGTGGAAGAAGGATGAATTCTGAACTTGGATTGACCACCAAGTGCTCGTTTGTAGTAAGAAGTTTGTGGGTCTCGAAAGGCCGCATTGACCCTTTTTCCTTGCACCAAACATTTGATAAGGGAAGAATAATCTTCACGCTCCCTTTCTTGAGCGCCGATTGTCTGAAATTGCTTTGCCGAACCGCGAATGACGGTCATTTCATCTTCACCATCTTCATCTTCTCCGCTTTCGGGTTCGATGTCCTTCACATTGGATGATGACCCTGTCATCTGCTTCTCAATAGCTTCAGGTATCCAACCTTGTTGTCTACAAACTTGCAATAATTGTAATCGAATCTTTCTCGTCTCTCGAACTGCTTTCAAGCTCACATAATTTGCATTACACCATTCCTTCAATTTGGAAAGATCAAATGGACGCTTCGATTGATCATTAGCCTTGGAGACTTGAGTCCTACAACTTTCCTCCATATCATCAAAAGCATATAATGCTTGCAATTGAGTAGCATGATCTCCACTAGGATGTGCAAGTCTTTCTCGAGCACGATCCGCTTCATCACGTTTCGATTGATTCGCTTTTCCTTCCTTGTTTTCCGAACTGCGTCCGCCGCTAGCTTCAAGCAGAATCGTCCTTCTTTCTGTACTCAATATCGAGACCAGATCGAGAGCATACCAGAACACCTTACCGTCATCATCAAAATTGCAAGCAGTCAACAGTGTCTTGGATAATGCAGGCAGAAGAGGTAATTTGGACATCCGTCTGCCTAAATCAGTCAGATTAAACTTTCCATCTTTTTTTGGTCCACTTGGTGTCGATAAGGCACCTAATTCCGTCAGATTCAACACAGCAGCAGTCAAATCCCCAGAGTCAGGTTGATCGAGCCAATTGAACGATAAAGGATCCAATCCCATAGCAAAAACGTCAAGAACGACTGAACTTAGATCTGTACGTAAGATCTCCGGAACAGAAGACTCCGGTAAAGTTTCAAAAGTTAATTGTGTGAATAATCTGAAGCATGTTCCAGCCCTTTCACGACCGGCACGACCTGTCCTTTGTCTGGCCGCTGCTTTCGAAATTGCTTTGACCGAAAGCATCTCCATGGAAGCGCCCGCGTTTGAACGATCGGTGGATCCGCCTTGCTCATCCGACATGGATGACTGAAATGTACGTTCTTTTGCCAAACCGCAATCAATCACGTAGGAAATGCCAGGAATCGTGATACTTGTTTCGGCAATATTTGTTGCTAATACAATCTTTCGACTCCCTGGTGGCGTTGGACTGAAACATTTACGAATGGCATCTCCTCCTAAGGCCGCGTACAATTTCACCACAAGTAAGTTCAAAGGTTTCGGCTTTCCATTATCTTCAGCGTACATTTGTAGTCCTTCATCTAACTCTCGCAGTTCAGATGCAAAAGATTCAATCTCTTCTGCTCCCGTCATAAAGATCAAAACGTCCCCAGGCAGCATTGCGGATATTTGTACGACCACTTTCTTGCAAGAATCAATCCAATCTTCGCAAGTATTTTCTGAATGTAACAATTTCACCGGGTATTGTCGTCCTTTGATGTAGAGGATTGGGGCTGGCTTGGATCTTTCATCTACGAAAAAGTTGGCGAAAGACTCTGCATCGATTGTTGCACTCATCACGATGACTTTGAGTTCAGTGGGTTCGTATTCGTTTGTCGAATTTCCCTCATCTGTACGCTCCAGCCATTCCTTTCGAATCCTTTTGCGTTCCCTCTGCACCTGCTTAATCAGACCAAGGACAACATCTGTATGTACTGAGCGTTCATGTGCTTCATCGATGATGATGACGGAGTACTGCTCCAGCAAGCTATATGTCATCTCCTGCTGCCCCTGTTCTTCTTTTCCGTTTTCTTCTACTTTGCCTTTGCCCTTCTTTCGTGCTCCACCGGCCAAAAGTTCACGTAAAAGCCAACCATCAGTCATGAATTTGACTCTTGTCTGTTTGCTCGTCCGATCGTCAAAACGAACCGAATAGCCCACCAATGCCGGATTGTTCCCACTTCCCGGAGCAGATTGCTTGTTCTGATTGTCAGGTTCCGGCACACCCATCTCTACTGCAACTCGCTTTGCCAAAGAGATTGCTGCCACTCTCCTCGGTTGTGTGATACCTATCATCTGTCTCCGTCGTCTAGCAACGTGACTGTTACTTTGACTACCATTTGATTTTGATGAAGAAGAACTGTTATAGCTCGATAATCCTCCATCAAATAAGAATTGAGGTATTTGCGTAGTTTTACCGCTACCCGTTTCACCAAGGATGACAACTGTGTCATTTTCTTTGACAGCATCAACGATTGCATCCCTTGCGATCCAGATCGGTAATTTTGTACGTGATTCTGTTATGCGTGGATCGACATGCGAACGATAATTCTGGATGCCATTCGAAGACCCTTCTCCGTGTAAAAGAGAAGAAGATGAATGTTGTCGTTTCATCTTTCTCATTGGCGATCCATTCAAAGCCGGAGACGGAGGTGCTGAGTTGCCATTCATACTAATTGTAACTCAAAACCGCAATCTGTGGGTATGAATGTCCGACTCTTAAAACGATGATGGTAAGTTGAATAGGAAGAATGCAGATTTTAAGCGCGAAAAATGTTTAAGCAAACAACAACACAAGTTTTTTATTTTTCTTCTTTGTTTAGCGTATTTAGACATGCAGGTCAATTCCATCAGCATACCAATTTCTCCACTTTTGGTTCTTTTATGAAAACATATCATTAATGGTATAAGATACAGATAATACAAAGAAAAATCTATTCTATCGTCCGACAGCCAGTCAGTACTATTCTACTTCTATCTTGGTCATTCCTCTGCTTGCTTTTTGCGTGAGATCACATGAAAATGACTTATGCCCGGTACAGTTCTCAAATGAGCAGGATTACAGAAAAACGCTGTTTCGTACTCTCTAGGATCCCAAAAGTGACCAATAAACTTTTTAACAAACCTTCCCGCCCAAAGGTGAGCTGCTTCCGCCAAATCAGAAGCTGGTCCTAATCCAGTCTCTCCTAGAGGCGATGTCGAAGCAGGATTGCTTGCCATTTCCGGAAATTCTAGCGCTTCCTTAACGATTTCTGATGACTTATCGCCAATGATCGGCAATCTCTTGTCCACATTACCAGTCTCTCCTCGAATTCCATCTGCGATGATCGCTTTCATAAGTACATCTCGCGATCTTCCCGGCGGAAAGGGTGTGTCGGGCGATGCAAATAAGGCAGGCGAGATGATTGGATATTTACACCATACCACATAATGTTTGCAATCTAGTGGAATGGCATATGGCCAATCGTTAAAAACAACTTTGATATTGCTCAAATCATTCATGATGATATCGTTGAAGAATTGCGTGGGAGATGCATTGCTTTCTACCAATGGCAAATCTCCCTTATCCCATCCTAGTCGTTCCTTCACGATGTAATTCTCTAGTCCTCCATAGTGCGCCTTTATACCTTTTGCCCAATCTATGTACTCGTTCTCACAATCGGGATGCCGTATGAGCTTATCTAGATCATCTGCTGTCACCACCTGCATAACAAAAGGAACGTGTAAGAACTAATGAAAGCCAATCCATTTTTAGGTCCATGTGCATACTTACTTTCTGTAGGTAATCCCAGCTCATTAGCTGATGCTCTTTGCTTTTGGGAGTGAATCGTGCTCCTATCCTTAGATTGCCAACACCATTTGGCTCTCCATTCAATATTTCGGGAATGATTGAAGACCGCCGTCTCTTGTGCCCAATTTCTGTCACCATTTTCACTTAATGACACCACTTGTATGATAACGTAAGCGTAATATAGGTCGTCTACTACCAGTTTCAGCTCCTGGTCGGGTCACAGATGATGGTAAAGAATTGTGAATCACGAGAAACGGGCTTCCGTGTACGTGTGCTTTAAGGTGTTGGTCTAATAAACACACAATTTAGTATAAGCTGACAAGATAATAAAAGCTAGGCTTAAATGCGTGCGTGCCTTAATTTAGTCTGCAATCCTTCATTCGGCACGCATACATACATCACCTTGTTAAATCCGGAGATCGGATACTTCCTTCCCTCCCAAAATGTTCTCTACAATATATTATTATGATTGAATCTTTGCTGATTCTGCTTAATGAGATGCCAGAAGGGCGTACAATTACAATAATAAACTTATCTTCATTCCCTGATCACCTCAATAGCAACGACTGAATAACTTTAATTGTCTTGATCAGAGTGAGCTTGAGACATGCTCGCATTGATTGAGTACTCAATCATAAAATTCACATCCAGACTTCTTTGGTTTCTATTCATCCAATCGCCGTGCTTTAAGGCTTCACGCACTCCTCTTTACCTGTATACACGTGGAACCATACTCAGCTTTAACACAGCCTAGGCCCATTGCAAATTAAAAAGGAAGCGAAAAGAAGGAACAGCCAAGAGGCCGCGCCTTCAAGTGCATTAGGGCAAAATAAAAAGGCAAAAGAGCAGTGTACAATAAGCATGATGAGAAGATAGATTGCTTTGAACAATCTGGAATAGGCTACGCTTGCGTCGTACCAATGGCGAATTAAGAAGGAGTACAATAAGATTGCATTCTACCTTTTTTACCACCATTATACCTTTCCGTTCCTTCTCACACAAAACACACAAAAGATGTCTGCCGCAATCGCAAATCTAGCCTTCATGTTCGGCGCCATGCAAGTGGCCAAAAGGATTCCATTTGACGATAATCCAGAATACATCACTTATGCAAGAATCGCATACGTTTCAGCACAAGTGATCTGCTTATTGATCAATTACTATTGTTCATTCCGCGTCAAGAAAGCAAACGATTTAACAGTACTCAAATACGTTGAACCAAAAAGTCCAATGTCACAAGAACCAGGAGAATTGGTTACTACAACACATCGTGATTACGATTTAAACGAAATCAGCAAAGCAACAAGAGGAGTTTTGATGGGTACAATCATGGTTGCCGTCATGCATCTATATATGGGTTACACAAACCCATTGGTGATTCAATCCATCTTGCCAATCAAGAATGCACTCGAATCTAAACATGCTTTGATCTGGATCTGGGGTAAACCAGCAACTGGAGATCTTAAGAGACCTTTCAAGGCTGCCCCAGGTATGTTTGGAATGGCTTCTCAAGGCGGACCTCAAACCGACAAGAAAGCTATCGCAGAAGCAGAAAAGGCTGGCGGTAACAAGAAGGACGAGTAGTCTCCTTCCAGAGATAAATGAACTCCGGAGCGGGAGAGTCATTTTGATGATGGGGAGAAAAGTGTGCATCATTTCTCACGCAACTTTTGGCGCAGTGGCAATGCGAATGTACGATTCTACAATTTTGATCAGCTGGACTTTCGATGCTGAGTCGACCAGCTATTCTGTACTAATGCAATATATTCACAACAGTAAAATTGGATCTATCGGTATCATTGGTTATAAATATACATTGTGTGGAGCGGTATGGCATAGCAATATAGAAAGGTATCAGTCGACTAAGTTAGAGGATTCTGCGAATTTGCTGAAATCCCATCCACCTTGTGGAGCTTTAAAGACGCCAGCCTTTTCCAACAGATCTAAAGTTTGTGTTAACACAGCCTTACTGACCGTTTTTGTGTTTGCATTTTGACCTTTCATAGAGGATGCATTGGCCAAAGGTTCACGTTGATCGAGAGCCCAACGGACGCCTGACCACCATTGTTGAACATCTTCAGGTTTGTAATCGAAATGCTTTTCGATTGCTTGACGAGATTCTGTTTCATTTTTCGGGTTTGTGAATGCTTTGATTGTCTCTTGCAACTTTTGTTGGAATTCTTCCAAAGTCTTTTTCTGCTCTGAGCTAATGGATTTAGAACTTGCAATCGTCCAACTTGGCCAAGGCGTTGGCACATTTCCGATAAAGCGTACTTCGCCTGAGTCTACGAATGGTTTAGTAGTGAACCATTCCCACATGAAAGCACTTGTTTCCAAACCTTCATGTTGATTGACACCATTTCGCAAATTAGCAAATGTATCATTCACTTTGAATTCGATCGATTGTACATTTCCATTTGCATCTGTCCATCCATGTTGCAATGCCATGACGCTTGCCATGATTTGAGAACCACTTCCGATTCTACTAATTCCAATCTTTGTATTTTGCAAATCTTTGATAGAATTATACTTTGATGCTTTTTCGTCTGTACCAGTGATCACTGCCCAATTCAAGCTACTCTTGACATATGTTCCAACTAATTCATAGTCCGAACGACCTTTTGCCAAACCTGCAATCAATGCTTCCGTCAAGGCGATTGCTACATCAATCACACGATCTTCTGGCTTTTCTGCATTGAATGAAGTTAACATTTGTCCTGTTCCACTTGGTTGAGGTACGATTGTGATATGTTCCTTTCCCCATTCAGTTGCAGCTAATTGCAAAAGAGGCATAGAGAAATGCTCTGGAACATAACCGATACGAAGTTTTTGTGACATTTTGAAGTGTAAGGTGTTGTGATAAGATGATGGTGGAGAGATGGGAAGAATATAAGGAGCAATTCTATTAGGAGAGCTTGCTGTCAATTACGGAGTTTAGGTATCCGTTGCTAAGCTTGGCTCGACCGCCGGTATTTTCTTCTTGCCAATTGATGCCGAACTAGGCGGAACTCGGGCGTAAAAACTAAATATAGATGGCGGTGCTTGTAATGTATTTGGTATTTGTATTTGGCTGCAGCGTAAAAATGAAATAAGGATGTTTCAATCAATACACTCAATCAATCAGCCAACCCCTTTGGCGTGGAGTTATTACCTACGTGTTGCTCTCTTTCATATCATCATCATCATCATCAAGGAAGCCATCACTTTCCCAACATTATAATAAAACAAGCTTCCACAATGGCTCATTCGCCTACGTGGAAGCGAGTCCATGCGACAATACGATGGATACCTTTCGCATTTATCGTTTCAATTATAGCATTCGCTTTTGGAGTTTTGATTAATATGCATGTTTCTTATACATTAGCATACAAGCATTGGTATCTTTCATCAATTATCAACATCTTACTAACAACATTCTTTGCTGGAATGGCAATTTGGTCTTTCTTGGTCGCCGTTTTCAAGAGTCCGGGGCATCCTTATGGTGTCGTTCCGGAAAGTTGGGATACAAGAGCACAGCCCGATGAATCTAGATGGGAAAGACATCATAGGCTAAGGGAAGAACAAGTTGGACTACGTGATGATATGGAAGATGACATAGGCTCGGAAGATGGAAAGGATGATCACAATGGACGATCGGCCCACTCACCTCTTTTGGCAAACGGATCAGCCGAAAGAGAAGATCCAAACACAGCAGTCTTTGATGCTCCCATCTTACCCGGTCAGCCTAGAATGCCTTCACGAACGGGAAGAGCGCAACTGAACGACGTCATGTCGGTGGTAGAACGAGCAAGACAACAACGCGATGATGGAAGAGTGTACTTGAGTGGACTACAGGTAAAGAACACCGGAGACAGAAGATGGTGCAAACAATGTAATTGCGAGAAGCCAGATAGAGCTCATCATTGCAGCACATGCGGTGTTTGTGTTTTACGTATGGACCATCATTGTCCTTGGTTGGCATCAAAATGCATTGGTCTAAGAAACCATAAAGGCTTCTTTTTGTTCCTTTTCTATACAGCATTGTTTTGCTGTTATGCCGCTCAGGATTGTGGACGTGCTCTGCTACGATATGTGGACGAAGAGGTAAACGGATACGAAACGACGCCGATTACGTGGGCTGTGATCTTATTCATGGGCTTGATCTTTGGATTGGCATTGGTCCCTTTTTGCGGATATCATGCCTACCTGATCTGTCGTAATCGCACAACCCTGGAATCTATGGAAGGTTCAGGTAGGGTCCGAATTTCTGTGCCTAGACCTTCTTCGCTGCCAAAAAGAGAATCGGTTGCAGATCGACTCAGAAGGTTGGCACCCAAAACTGATGGAGCACAAGGAAGATCATCTCAAGAAGCGTCGGAAAATCAAGAGGGTAACGCTTGGAAGAGAGATGAAGAATTGACGAGAGATGAACGCAAAACACTTCGAAAAGCGAACAATTTGAACATTTATGACATTAACGTTCGAAGGAATTGGTGCAGCGTCATGGGAGACAATTGGATCTTGTGGTGGTTCCCGATAGGACATCCAGAGGGCAATGGCATGAGCTACGAAGTGAATGAGAAGACCTTACAGAAACTAGAGGAAATCACCACAAATGTACGTGATCATCAGAATACGAACCAGCTAAATCGAAGTTCGACCCCAGACAACAGTCGATTTTCTTCTAGCTCAGTAGCACAAGATCATGCCAAACACCGCATTTCGGGAGCATTTTCTTCCCCTGTCAGCTCGATCAGAAGTAAAGTTCGTTCGTCTTCAAACAGCGGCTCGACCGATGCCACATACAAGGCTTCAAACAATGGTCGACATAAGACAGGTCATGGCGTTATAGAGTGGGGTGCTCCACCTAAACGTGATTTTGTTCTATATGGAATTGGCGATGACGATGATGAGAGTGGCGGTGTGTTTGATCATCAGGATCAGGACAACCAGAACGGCGATGCACAGCCGCGGACGGTACGTTCTCAACAGATGGATGCAGACGTTTGGTCGTCTTGAATGCAGCTATGTGTGTACAAGTATTGATGGACATTACAGTTGTGAGGATAATGATACATTTCTTTGCGATTTATGCTTTTGGTATAATTCATGTATGAATAGATTTTCATGTTACAATGCGCAATTCTGCACATGCACTTTCTAAGATTTCTTCAATCTTTCTCCTTGGATGTTGCCAGTCTTTTGCGATCTTTTGCCATATTTCTCCATGCTTTGGATGTGCACGTTTGCATTTTTCTATTACAACATTTTGATTTTGTTCTGATCCATGTGCTCGTTCGAATTTAAGCCACCAAGCCCATCCATCTCCCCAATCAGGGTCGGATTGACAACTACGCTCAAACCATTTCCTTGAACTTTCCACTTTGCCTTCATTCCAGAATAATCTTGCAATTAAATTCAAGACACGGGCATCGTCGTTCGTCCGCTTTAAAGCATCAGCTGCCTTCGTCTTTCGAGAAGGTCTTGATTCTAACCAGATCGAATGTGCGTTAAGCAAGCCGGAAGTAGGACATTCTTGCAAACCACGAGAGAGTAACATCTTTGCTTGTGCCGTACTGCCACTTCGTTCTTCCACATTCGCAGCTTCGTCCCATAAAAATTCGCTTTTTGGGTTGCTCATCCTTGCTTTTTCTAGAATCGCACGAGCTCGAATAGACAAATCCGCTTTTTCCTCCAATCTAGACGCTGCAAGCCAAAGGGGAACAGCGTTTGGACAGCGTCGATAGCCATTACTATACGCTTCCCGAGCTGCTCGTATATTTGCCCCTTTGTCCTTCTCTAGTGTATGTTCGAGTAATTGTCCCAGCATCAGATGGAACTTCCAATATGTGGGGTACTTTGAGATAGCCTCTCGTATCAATGTGATACTTGCTTCCAGATTTCCTTCATCACGTTCGTATAAAGCACTCTTTAGCCATACCCTGGCCGAACCCACTTCAGTTCTTGCCCGCTGCAATAGCATTCCTGCAGCCTTTTTATCACCATGTTGATATTCCATCTGAGCAGCTTCCAAAGAAATAGACTCACTGCCAACATTCTTGTCAAAGGCCCGGGCAAGTACTTCTCGTGCACCTTCGATGCTTTGGTCCATTTGCCATCGTTCTTTGGCATAGAACAACCACAATTCTTCGGATTTTGGACAGCTACTGACGGCTTTCTCAAGCAGTCTTTGCAGAGTAGCCTTATTTCCATGCTGCTTCTCAAGATCAGCAGCAATCTTCCAAATTGATGCTTGATCGGTGAAATGACGCAATGTGTACGCAAGAATGGCTCTAGCAGTTGCGATTCTTCCACGCTCTATACAAGCTTGAGCGTCTTCTACCCAAACAGTTTGTCGATCTTCTTCATCTATATCCATTGCAATAGTTGCTTTCACGATAGAAGCACTAGACCTTGGACTGCCTTCGCTATCTACTTGTTCTGCTTCTTTAAGCCATTGTTCTCGAGAAAGCACGGCTCCGTTCTTTGTCAATCTTTTAATGGCCTGAACCATGATGTTGTCCATCTTCTTTTGCAAGGCATCCTCTGAATCGCCATCCTCTGCCTCATTTGCGCCACCTTCTTGTTCAAGAAGTCGAAGTGCAGCAATCCAAATTTCGTGACTGGTAGGAATCGCAGCGCGGGCCTGATTGATGATTGCTTGAGCTTCCTTAGGTTCACTAAGTCGTGCGAATGCAAGCCATAGTTCAACACTTTGAGGTATGGAAGCTACTGCACCGCCAAGAAGAACCTTTGCATCCTCTGGAGACTCTTCTAGATTTACCAGCTCTTTCCACAATTTGACAGATTTAGGGATATACTCCAAACTTTTTCTCAAGACACGCTTCTTGCTATTGGCATCCGTTTCCAGCTCGGCAGCCTTCAGCCAAATCTTGACACTGTTGCTTAGATGCTGAACTGCTTGTGCCAAAATCACTTTAGCATTTTCACGAGTGTTCAATCGAGCATTCTCCAGCCAAACATCTTCGCTTCTTGGGCAATTCTCACAACCTTGTGCGATCACCTTGCGTGCGATTGCCATCTTTCCGGCAACTTCTTCCAATCGAGCTGCTGCAATCCATCCAGGAGCGTGCTTTGGATTCGTTTTAATTACGCTATCCAACAAGCTCCTTGCTTTCTTGATATCACCAATCTCAGCTGCTGTCTTTTTCACAGTGGATGACAATTCCGTTAGATATCCACTGGGGTCGATATTTGAAGCACTGCCTGCCAATACGGAAGCTGTTCCATCACCTGCTTCATCCAATCGATGAGAAAAGATCTTGTTTCGAGCTTCACCGATATCGATCAAGCTGGTAGTAGCTCCACGCGGGACTGTTGATGATCCACCGTTTTGAGCATCAATAGCACTGTCAACCGCATTACGGTCACGATTACCTAAAAGAATGCTATCTGGAATAGCGAATGACCTTGTATCTCGTGATTCACGTTTCATTGCAGCTTTCCTTCTTTTGCCCGTCAAGTTTCCTGCTTCTGGAAGATTTGCCCATTCATCTTCGGTGACATTGCTTAAGCCTCTTTTTAAGTCTGCAAATTGTGTTTGAATCTTTGGTTTTTCTTGACGTAATTTTTCCATTTCCTCTCGCTCTCTTTGTTCACGTTTCTTTCTCCTTCTTTCATCCATTTGTGCATCTACTCCTGCCCATATCCGATCAGCTTCTATATCATCACGCTCATACACAGCACCTGCAAATAGTCCGGTCTCATTATCTGGATCTTGATCATCTGGTGCATCTTCATTCCTGCCATCATCGTCATCGTCACCCTCTTCTTCCTTTGCATCTTCATCCTTTTCGTCTTTTCCGAATTGAGGACCTTCCCTTGCTGGACCAATATCACTTCTTGTCGTGAATCCGGTCGCGCCTCTTCCTAATCCTGCCACGTAACCTGGCGGTGGTGCTTGACTGAGAAAAGCAAGCTTGTTATTAGCCGCCATCTTAGCACGACCACTATGCTGAACAGTGATGACAAGAAACAGAAATTCCAAAATCAGGAGTGGGAGTGCTTGAGCCACTTGCATACGCGCCTCCCGACCCTCGTTCCATACTTTTTATATACACGTGCTTCAAAAAAAGTCAAAATCAAAAAAATTCCAGAATAATGCATTTAATCGAATTGAGGCCATTTTGGATACACTCTCCACGTTTCCTCCTCACCAACATCAAAACCAAATTATCGCAATGGGAGAGAAGAGCGACAAGAAAGAAAAGCGATCAAGGGACGCTTCCAGCTCTTCTTCAGCTTCCAAAAAGGCTCGCAAATCTCAAGAGGCGAGTGAGCATAGCATCTCCCAAAACGAGAGCGGTGTGAAGAAGGGCAAAGGAAAAGCCAAAGATGGTCAAATTTCTACATCTGCAGACACAACACAAGACAGAGAAACGGCAAAGATAAAAACATTAGATCAACAACATGCGTATGATGTTGGAGCTGTCTTAGTATCAGCATCGGATTTCGCATTACCCAAAGATATACCTTTCACATTGCACCACCAACCTGGCTCTACATCAGCAAGTCAAGAGCAAAGGGGAGCATCTCTAGAGGACGGTCTCATCTTGTCAGGCGAATCAGACTCGATGGATTACGTTGGATGGAATTGGGACCTGAATGCTAGCGTAGGCAATGATTCAGCAGTCAGACGTGATGCAAAAGGGTATTCTGGAGAATACCTTGTAGGCATCTATGATCCTGAAGAACGTACCGTTACCCTACGTGCTGCACCAATGTTCAATTTGAGAAGATCCGTCAAGTCACTGTCAAATCTATCTATCAACGGTTCGAGCGGATTGTCAGATTGGCAAAAACGTGTTGTTGCACGTCGTGATTTGGGAGAAGCGTTCGGAAACCGAAAGACAAAAGCAAAAGCACGAGCAGAGGATCGTATGAAGGTCGATACGAGTAATATGCTGGACATCGTCAACACTTTACAAGATGGCATTGAAGATACAAAGCAGAACATTCCTTCAATCGATGAGATGAATGCAGAGGCTGAACATGCTCGACCGATTCCACCACCAAACTTCAAAGCTCAAACTCCACATGAAGCATATCCATTGGAAGTCTTGATTCCCGATGCAATCTTCCGACTCTTAAATACAAGAACATTGGAAGGTGTTGAATCGCAGGCAGAATTGGCAAAAGCATTGCCGGTCCGTGCTTCACAATCGCCTTGGTTGAAAGAGCGAATTTGGAATATGATTCAATCAGCCAAATTCCGTAAGATGAATCAAGGTAAAGGAGGTTCACCTACAAAAGCAAAAGTTGAATTCGATGAAGATGGATTGCCGATCGAAAATGAAGATGAATCAAGTATGGATACCGCACCTACAAATGGTATCCTTAAAACTTCTCGACAAGATGCACGTACGAAGCTCAAAGTGGCATTCTATATTTCCATCCTTTGGAGTTTCCTGAGTGTGGCAAGAGGAGGAAGCAAAGGTGGCGAAAAAGAGCAATTGTTGTTCAAATTACGCTTACACAACCTTCCAGGAGGCGATCAAATCTTGGCAGATCTATTCTCTCAATTTACCGAACAAGAACGTGGCTCTAAGCGTGGATCAATCACCAATTTCACCGAAACGAAATTGTATGCGTACATGTTTGCTTTATGCTTACATTTGGAGGATTTCTCAATCGATACAGCTCCTCTTGCACGAGATCTTACTGTTCCACCAACAAAAGTAACAGATATCTTCCGCTCTTTGGGTTGTACATCAGCGAACAAGACTGTAACCAATTCAGACGGTACTTCAAGAGCACAAAGAAGAACCATCTTGAAGATTCCATTCGAGCTGCCCAAGCCAAGGAAAGGACGTAGAAATTAATCTTTCTATCGAAAAGGACTTTCTCCAAAATCATGTACATCATACTGGCTGAAATATTATGCAATAGCATTTTCGCATTTACCACTAATCTTCGCAAATTTCTTCCCCAGTGTCGATTATCAAATTATTGTATTTGAGATCGCAATGAAAGCCGTGTTGCGTACTATGAAAACAGATTGGATGTATATGTGCAAGAATGTAGAAACGAAATGAAAAATGATGACAGTGGTGAGGGGTGCAAATTGTGTATACCGAGGGGAGCGAGAATGTCAATTAGTGAAGATTCTATCTACGTTTGCCTGATTGATGAGAAGTGCTTTCGAATTTTCCCGCGCTACGCATTTGTGGAGTGAGTAATCCCTCAGATTCATCATCACCGTTATTATCATCTTTGCGCATTCCGGATGCTAAAAAGATATTTCGGCTACCACCTCCTTTCCTTCTGACAGCAGGTGATGTTGTCTGATCCTCTTCTTCTCCTTCTTGATCAATTGAATCGTCAAAATTATCAACACTTGCAAGATAATCCGGCCCTCCGTCTCCCCTTCTTTGATTAGGCGATGGTGCAACTGCCATTGCACTTGAAGCAATTTCTAGCGAATCATCAGGTCCCGGTTGAGATGGATCCCACATCGTTCGTAAATCACGCTGTGAAGATTGATTACTCTCACTTCTGGGCATTGCTGCTGGCCTTGGACCGACTACGCGAATACTTGATCTATGCGAATCTGAAGGTCTGCTTTTGGAAGAATTTGAAGTGGCTTCAATGATATCTTCAAGATGAGATGGTTCGCCAGTAAATTGAGAACGCCCATGATTACCTTGTGAGCTACTGTTAGGGCTCAAAAGTATTCCGCCTTTCTGTGAAGGCGAAGTGATATCTCTAGAGGTTGGTTGGCTATCGAATGTATTTGACTTTCGATCGTGATGTCCATGTGGGTCTTCACTTCCAGATGCAAAGCTGATTGCCGTATCGCGTTTTGCAGGCATTTGCAAATGAATAGCAGGCAAAGTTTGATTATGCTGCATTGATGGACTGTTGGGCATCGGTCGATCGTGTAATTCGTATCGTTCAAGATCGCGTTTGTTCATCGTATTGAGACCATGCATGCTATTCTGCATTCTACTTCCGTGTTCGTCTGACATTTCTTGATACTCATCAGCTGATGCATGTATCCGCCTTGAACTACGTGCACGCATGATCGATCCAATCACGCCCAATCCACCACGAACAGTATCGATACCCGGATCTTCTACACCGCTGGCATGTCCCTTCTCATGAGCAATGTGAGATCTACTGGCTCTGATCAAGAAGGTAGAGCTTCGGTCTAGACCATAGCTTTCTTTGTCGACCAATTCCTCGGGATCAATCTTGCTCAACTGTAATAGTGTGATTCCAGCACAAATTGTCAAGAAGCCTAAAACGATTGTAACGATCTGAACTGCACTGGCGTCTAGACCTTGGAATAAGATGATCGAGGTGACAAGGGTAGCAAAGGTGAAAAGAACGTAATATGTTGGTGTAACCATAGCCGTGTTGAACAATTCCAATGCTTTGTTCAGATAAACGATTTCCGTCAAAAGTGTGATGATCACAAATCCAATCAAGAAATACAAGAACCAATGCTTGAATTGATTGACACCTTGAATACTCAGAACGATTGCGCTTCCCACACCCGAGATCGTACTGACCGAAAGACCTCCAATGAGCGAACAAACGGAAATGTATACTAGCATATACTTTTTACCGTATCGTGGTGCGACAAAGAAGATGAGACCCAAAGATGCGGCGATACAGATACCGCCCCAGACGAGAAATCCGACGCTTACAAACATCTTTTGAAATTGTTGAATCTCTCCTGCTGCATGTTGTTCAGGACCGTTGAGAGCGATGACTGTTGATCCTACAATGCAGAGAAAACAACCAATCTTGCCAAACAATGTCAACTTTTCCTTTAGGAAGATCGAAGAGAGAATTGCCGAGATGACCACGGAAAGAGCGCCCAAAGGCGTGACCAGGACTGCTGAAGTTACTGCATAGGCGATCAAATTTAATATTTCACCCAATATCATCATTATCATTCCGGTCCACCACATTGGACTTTTGAGGTATTGCATCGATTCTCCTGCTTGTGTGTTGTATTTCTTTTGTGAGGCTATTAGACCTTTCTTTTTGAAAACGAAAGAGGCACCGATCAGAACACCACTTCCAACAGCGAGTGCTATTCCGAGATCTTTCATGAAACTTGGTAATGCTAAATTTCCAGCAGCGATTTTACTTTCCGAACTTAGAGCTGCTGATGCTGATGCTATCGAAGATGATATTGATTTCATCGCTTCTGAAGCAGATGATTGTTGAGCCAGCTTGTCAGCCATACTTGCCGAAGAGTTGGCTGCTGGAGTTGCAGCTGAAGAGGCCGACATGATGTCAGACGATCCTTTGTTTGTTGGCTTCCTTCATCCAAAAGTCGGATAACCGACACAAAGAGCAAAAGACGTTAAGTCAACCTTGAGTGTAGTTCACCCTTTTTCCTTCAAATACAAACACTCCAGATGATGATGGTGATGAGGTTTCATTAGATCGTCTTCTAGAGTGGCATGATATCATTCGAACAAGCCAGGGGTAAGAGCTGCTTTCGGTAGCAAGCTGATGCTGTTCAGGTACCTGTGCATGGATGCTGTGTTTGTGTACAATTGCATAACGCATAAACGTGCGTGCATACAAGCTGTGCTCAATTCATTTTAGCCGGCTCGTAGTTCGAGGGACCTAATCTTCCCTCGGAATCAACAACACCCAAAAAAACAACAGTTTCCCTTTTTAGACCTCTCCCTCCAGGGTGTTGGTTTGGATTCACGACGACGGAGACGCGTCAACAAAGCCACATACACCCTGTTCTCGCGCGTTGCACTGCCTGTTTGTATCTTCACAAGGCTCCCAAAAATAAACCAAGCAAAGGAAAGGCGGCGCAAATCAAACTCACCCCTTTTATCAAACACCAAGCCAAGCCAATAAACCCCTTTCCTAGAAGAGCTAAAATAATACTCCGATAAAGAATCTTCTTCTTGGTAAAGAACCTGATGACCAACAATTGAAAGCAAAGAACACAAAGTGATAGAATTAATATTGTAGTACAGGGAATTACATCTTAACAATTGCATTACCGCCTCTTTCCGATCAAACGTACAACGCTACTCTTGATCACATTTGCAGCTTTTTCCATTTCTTTGCGGGTGAATGCAGTTGTGACCGCAATGCGAATGCTTGGTCTACTTTCGGGACCCGTTTCAAGCATTTTTGGATTGATACTTGGCAATCTTTTATGACGAATCAAAAAGATTCCATGTTCGATCAAATCATCCACAATCGATTGCAATAATCGAGTTTGTTCTGCTTGATCTAAATCGTGTCCGTTATACGAAGGCGGTAGAGCATGTGCCTGAGCCAGATGGGATCGATCAATCTTGTCAAATGGAGTATCCGGATGAGGCTCGAACTTGCTACGGATTTGAATATGAATCAGAGGAGATCTTGCATGACTGGGAATGGATATGCTTTCGACATGATCCAACACATTTCTCAGGGCTGCAATATTCTCGTTCAGTGTAGTCATCAGAGATGGTTGTGCGATCAATCTTTGAATCGCAGTACTACTTGCAACCGCCAACATGGCAGGCAATGCGGCAGAGAACACGAACGAAGTACCGTTAATACGTTGATGGAAAACAACTTCTTCCGTTCCTGCACAGAATCCACCTGCTCCACCTAAAGTGTTTGCCATATTTCCAACCAAGATGTCTACCTCTTTTGGTGGCACTTCGCATAGTTCCGTCATTCCTCTGCCGGTCGCTCCCACTGTACCAAAACTGATGCTCTCGTCCAGGATCAATCGGAATTTGTATTTGCGCTTCAAAGCAATCAGTCTGGCCAGATCAACACACGCTCCATCACCCTCAAAGATACCTTCAGTGATGATAAAGCGACGTGTTAGAGGTCCTCTTCTCCTTTTGTCCTCACGAATGACAGATTGCAAAACGCTCTCCAAAGAGCTCATTGAATTATGATCGTACCATTTGATCGTTGAACGTGAGACTTGTAGACCTTTTTGAATGGCAAAGTTGACACCTCGATCGGCAACGATGATATCACCACGTTTGCTGAATGCAGGAATGACGGAAGAGATCGTACTGAAACCTTGGGAATAGATGATGCATTTATCCACCCCAATAAAGCGTGCAATATCCTCTTCCAATGCCATATGTACATCAATCGTACCATAGAAACCAGGAGGACTACAACTTCCTACACCGTATTTACGTAGCGTTTGAATGGCTCTCTCTTTTACCTTTTCATTTCCAGCCAAATCGATAAAATTGTAACTTGCCAAATTCATCACCTCTTTTGCCTTACCTGCATGATGGGAGGGCAGAGAGATCTTTGGTCTTGATGAGACTGCACCAATGATAGTAGGAACGGAAGCCAATTCTAGTTGATCTGCTGGAGACAGAGGAGCACACAAAGGATCCGGATTAAAATCGTCTACCAAATCATCGATCTCCTTTTCGGTTAATTTGACAAAGTTACTGCTACTGCTATTTCCGCGTGTTCTACTTTGCAAAATCGTTCGTAAAGCAAAGATTACCAAGATTAATTCCAATAAACTTCTGATTGGATCATTCTGGTAACTTGAACGAACATAACGCAAAAGGATCGCTGAACCAGGTAAACGCATAAATCCATCTTGTACAGCCGATAATGCTCCGTTCAATGATTCAACCAGAGGTGAATGTGACGCAGACCCTACACCTGCTGCTGAGGTTGAGCTGTAAATTGGTTGCGAAGCCATCTTTTTCTTTGATCGGCTCGCAATGACGATGGTGAGTGACGAGAAAAGCAGGAGAACTTTTTTTTACGCGATCTGAAATTAGTTGGCTTTAAAATTAGAATTGCATTTCACACATTGCTTATCCGGAAGCAGGCTTCCTACCACAAACACACCCAACACGCGCCGTCGGCGCTCACTTTAATGAAAACGGAAATTAAGGCCGCGGACCTGCTAGGTGTTGATGATCATTCATGCGCTGTACAGGGCGCAATATAGTAATGTACATCCTGATGATGATTCTGAACATCTCATCCAGCTCACATGGTGACAACAGTTCAGATCTTGCTCGCTCGACATTGCTTTAGTACAGTCTCTGCTCTTAAGTCATGCCATAGCTTATATTTGACTAGCGCTGTGCAGCGGGAATGATAATATAAAAAACTTTATTTTGTCTCTGCAACAACGATACTAGTATAACATATGAAATTTTCACAACGTAAAGATTATGACTCTTTATCACTTTTATAATTTACTGTGGAGCTCCTCCTCGTCCACCTCGATTTGCCGCGCCTCCTCTTTGACCTCCAGCGCCACCACGAATGGCAATCGGACCACCAGCCGGTCTTGGCTTTTTGTTTGCATCTGCAACGCCGCCGCCTCCATCTGAATTGCTTGCTTGTGCATTGCCACCTGCTTCAACGCCTTCAAGCTTTCTCTTTTGTGCTCCTACAGCTTGAGCTCCTCCTCTTCCTGTTCCTCGTAGTGCAACACCACCACGACCGGCCGGCCCGCTCGGGATAGGTCGTGCAACAGGTCTAGGTGCGGTACCTCCTCTGATTGAGGCTGCTGATGGTCTGACTGGCAAGCCTGCAGTAGGTGTCTCAGGAGCAGCACTTACACCGGCTGCACCACCGTTCACACCTGCTGTGCCAGCTTGAGCTGGTGGAGCGATCCCTTTGAGTGTATTGAGCTCGGCCGTGAGCTTCTCAATCTTTGTGTCTTTCGTTTTGATCAAGAGCTTGTTGCGCAAAGTAGCCTCTTCCTTTCCTGCTTCATAACGTGCTTTTAGTTGTTCATCATACTGTGCTCGAATCTCTTGTTCTTTGGCTTGAATTGCGCCTTGCCATTCTATGTCACGTTGATCTTCGAAAGCTTTCAAGCGTTCCTGCACTTTTTCTTCCACATTCTCACCTGCACCAGCAGCTGAACGTGCTTTTTGCACAGCAATCTCAACAGCTTGCTTTTGTCTTTCTGCGAATTGCGTGCTGAGATTGCCTTCTTGTTCACGTAATGCTTCTTCGTGTTGACGTTTCAATTGTTCAATATCAGCAGAGCCTTCAGAGATAGTAGCGCCGTTAGCTTGTAATTCGGCGATGCGTTGATTTGCTTGTTGTAATTCACCTTCCAACTGAACAATTCTAGAACGCAAAGCTTCCATCTCTTCCGAGGTACCAGTGTTGCCATTCTCCTGTTTCACGCCCTCACTTTGCTTTTGCAATTCATCTCTTTCCTTTTGTGCAGCTTTCATTTGTGTCAAGAATTCCTTCGCCCTTCGCAAATGCGTTTGCTCGCGTTGCTCCAATGCTTTGTACTTCTCTTCCATTTGAGTGCGTTCAGCATCCCATGCCTTTTGTGCTTCTTCAGTGGAAGTATTTGTGCCCTCTGCCTGGCCTTCACCGCCAACAGTTTGGGTTGGAGCCGTTGTGGCATTCTCCTCAATCTTTTTGGCAAGCGCTTCTTTCTCAGACTGTAAGCTTGCAATTTGAGTAGAAAGTTCTTCCTTCTCTGCCTTGATCGCTTCCAATTCATTTTGCAAGGAGGTAATCTGGGCAGCTTGATTTTCTCCGCTTCCAGCTTGTGCTTCTTTGGCTGTGAGTTCATCATTTTGAGTTTTCAACTCATTGATCCTTTCATTCAAGCTCTTGATCCTCTCGATCGATTGTTGTCTTAATCGGTCAAATTTGCCTTTCACTGCATCCACCTCTTCTTTTGCTGCAGCCAATTCTTTCACACGCTCTTCCAGTTCAGCTTTTTGCTCTTGTAATGCTTTTTCTGCAGCGTCCTTTTGTTCTTGCAACTTCTTCAACTCATCAGGATCGATTCGATTGTATTGTTGTAAGATGCTTTGAGTTCTACCTTGCCAACGTTTGTTATCCTCTTGGCTTAATCTCAACTGGTTTTGACAGGCTTCCAATTCGACAGTCTTGACCCGAGCTTCTTCACGAATCGGATCAAGTTCTTTTGTCAAACTTTCCACTTTAGCTTCCAAAGTTTGTACCTTGCGTTGGGCACGTTCACTTTCATCTCGTAAAGTTGCATTGCTCTCACGTAAGATGCTCAATTGATTAATCTTTTCCATCAATTCTTCATGTTGTTTTGCGCTTGCACTTGCACCAGCATTTTGCTCACGTTCTTGTGACAATTGCATTCGTGCTTCATCAAGACTGCGCTGAGTGTGTTCGACACTTTGACGCAAGCGAGCACATTCTTGATCACGAAGTTCGACTTGTAGATCAACAATCTCTTTCTCTCTTCGTAGGTAGCGAATAACTTCATGCAGCTCATCATTGTCCGATTGACTTGTGATAGAGACATCTCCGACATTTGCAGCTTGTTCTCCACCCACTGATGAACCTGACACACCAGATGCTTGGCGGATGTTCTTGGCTTGTGCTTGAAGACTTTCAAGATGTTTGTGTAAGGCCTCATTTTGACCTCTAACTTCTTGAACCACCTTCTTTAATTCATCCTTTTCGCGTTCAAGCAATTCCTTTTGTCTTGTCCAGCTATCAGTAGAACCAGCCAAGTTTCCTTCAGCAGTTTCTTTTGCTTTTTGTGCTTCGAGCATAGCAGTGCGGACGAGGTCTAATTGTTCTTTCACAGAAGCCAGTGCTTTCACGTCTTCAGCATGTGCCAATAATTCTGCTTCATATTTAGCATGTGCTTCTTGCGTGAGTCGTACTTGACGTTGAACTTCTTCTTGCATACCTTCGCGGGTAATCTTGGCGCGATCTTCAACTGCAGTCACTTCTGACAAAGCATCCTCCAAAGTCTTCTTTTCTGTACGAATTGCTTCGACTTGCTTCTCCCGTTCTTGTCTTTCGTTCGTTGCTTCATTTTGAGAAGTTGTCAACTCACTTGCCAATGCCTCATTTCGTTCACGTAGGCTGGTTAAATCGGAATCCTTCTGTGTGATGGCCGCATCAGTAGTTGCTTTATATTGATCATAAGATGCTTGCAATTGTGAAAGAGCTTCTTCATTGGCTGCAGCAATGGATTTGAATTGTTCGGTGTGGGCGCGTGCTTGTTCTGCTTCTACTTGTGCAGATCGTAATTCTCCCTTGAGATCGGCAATTTCAACTTGCAATTGTTGTTCCCTGGGCAGATCAGATGGAGCAGTAGAGTTGGCCCCAGCATTAGTACCACTTGATCGTCTTTCGTACACAGCTAACTTCTCATCCTTCGATTCGACTTGCTTTTGTAGATCTTCAGTACGGCTTGTCAAATGTTGTACGCTATTCTTTGCCACGGCTACTTCTTCTCGTACCTTCGCCAACTCCTCAACTGCACGATCAAGCTTAGCACGCAACTCAGTCGTCTCCACCTCTCTTCGCAAAGAAGTTTGACGATGGGCCTCTTCTTCTTTCGTTGCCCGGTCACGAAGGTCTCTCGTTTGTTCTTCCAACTTTTCGATTTGCGTCTCCAATCGTCTTCGCACTTCTCCGCTTGACCTTTCCAAATCGGCTTGCATTGATTGTGCGCTACGTAAAAGGTCAGAAAGATTAATGCGTTCTTGCACCGAAGCTTTCTTCTCTTCCATCAAACGATCAGTCGTCTCTTTGTGCAATTGTTTCTCAGCGTTCAAATTGGCCACCTCATTACGCAATCTGTCCAAATTGCCTTGCGCTGCAATCAATTGTTGACTGAATGTTTGAACACTGATTTCCTGTTTAGCCAAGCTTTCTTGAACAGCGTTGTGTCGCTTTTGCAGATCTTGCAATTCTCTGCGTTCGAGGTTGTATGTCTGCTGAGCATTTGCAAGTCGTTCTTCAACACTTTCTCGTGAAGCTTTCTCTTTGGCTGCCGCCAGTGCATTCTTGTTTGCTTCACTGCGTGCTTGGAACGCTTCTTCTTTCAATCGTTCCGTATCGTTGGCTGTTTCCGATCTAAAGGCCTCAAATTGGGCTTGCAATTGACTGTATTGATTCGTCAAAGTGACGTGTGCAGCATTACTACTTTCAGCACTTGCACTGCCAGCTTGAATAGTTCCGCTCACGTTTCTTCCAGCGCCACCTCCTTGCGCTGTCATGGCACGGAACATATCTCTTTCACGTCGAACACCTTCAGAACGTGTGCGTTCAGCTCGCAAATCTTCTTGCAATCGTGTAATGACAGCTTTTGCTTCATCGATTGCATCGCTTTCTTGCATTTCGAAATCAGATCTATACTTTGATTCGCGTGCTTCCATCTCTGTGCCCAATTGTCGAACTACTCGTAATAGCCTACTGTTTTGAGTGATCAGTTCATTCAAGCTGCGGAAAGTGACAAGTTGTTCGGTAATCACTGCTTGTGTGTCAGAGATTGTTGAAGTTGTAGCAGTTGTTGAATCTCCCAGCTGTGTACCGTCTGCTTCAAGTCTCTCTGCCGATGCCGGATCATCTCGAATGAGAATCTCTCGTGTTAGATCTCTTACTTGTCTGGCCAGATCGGTCACTTGTTGATTTAGCAGAACGTTTTCTTGTTGTGTTGCATCCGCACGAAGTCGTTGTTGCTTAGCCTCATGCTCGCTAAAGTCACGCTCTTGACAAGCATTGGCCAAAGCAGTGCTTAATTCCTCAGCATGTTGTTCTAATTGTTCTTTCTCTTCGCGCTGTGCTTGTAAAGCAGGTGCTCGGTCATGTAAGTCAGTCATGACCTGTTCCAAAACACCAACCAGACGACGGTTCTCACTCTTTTCCCGGCGAAGCTCTTCTTCTGATCTGGCAAGATCTGCGTAGATCTGTGTGAAGCTTTTGCCAGACTTTTGCACTTTAGCTGCCAAGGCGGCAGTAGGTGACATAACGGCTGAGCTATCGGGTAGCTGGAATGGTGCTCTCCTCGGTGTAGATGCAGAAACAACGCTGGCTGTATCATCTCCGTTTGCTGCACCGATCTGATAGCCATTGGTACTGATGCCAACGCTTTCGGCCAATCGATCTAAAGCTTGTTGAATCTCTTCTTTTTCTCGGATGATTTCATCTCTTTCCTCTTGCTGGTTTGCTAAATCTTGTCGTAATGCTTGTTCACGATCACCATGCTGAGCCAAGACTTGCTCCCACTGCTCTTCAATGTCGGCCAATCTCCTTTCAGCATTATCTTTCTGTTGCTCCATCAATGCACTAAGACGCTGCTGGGTGCCCATCTCTGATTTGAATGCACCTTCCTGTTCCACTAATCGTTGTCGCAGTTCAGACTTTTCTCTTGTCGCTTCGTCCAAGCGGGAGAGCGTGCTGTCGTAGGCGCTTTGCAAAGAATTGATTTTGGCCTCACTAGCTTCCAGAGCTTGAGTTTTTTGTTGCAATTGGAGAGTTAATGACGAAATCTCACCATTTGATCGTACCCGATGCTGTGTCAGCTCTTCGGTAGATTTTGTGAGCTCTTGATGTGCCCATTTTGCATCGTTTGTTTTCAGTGCAAGCTCTTGCTCTAAGCTTTGAATCTTGAATTTACCAGAGCCTTCAGCACTCTTTGATTCTTGTAATTCGCTGGATAAACGATTGATCTCCGTTCTTGATTCACGATTGCGCAAAGTCAAGCTTTCGATTTCTTCTGATCTTCTTGCACTTTCAATCTTTTCACGTTCTAGCATTTCCAGTACATCACGCTTTTCCTGTTCTGCTTGTTCAAGTCTTCCTTTCACTTCTGCTGATTGTTGAATGCCACTATCGGATGTAGACTGCAAGGCTGCCAATGTTCCTTGAACTTGGGCTAATTGGCCGTTGATCTCGACTTTTTCTTTGATGGCTTGCTCTTTTGCATTTCGATCTTCTTCTGCTCTTGCTTCAGCTTCTGCTTTTAATCTTTCAGCTTCGTGTAATTGACTTTCCATGTCCACCTTTCTACGTTCGTTCTCGCTCTTTTGTGTTTCGTGCAGGCCGATTGCATCACGTAAAGAAGGAATTGTGAGTAAGACGTTGTAGATGTGTAACAATAAAGCTTCATCAGGAGCACGAATACGTTCTTCTGTGATTGCCGATGCGCCATCAGTTGATCCTAAAACGTTCAATAAGGCTTCAATTGGCACAGTGGATGGTATGTTGACGGGTAACCTTGCCAAGCCACCTAATCCACCGCCACCGCCATCTCCAATAGCCATTTCAACCTCCATCTTGGTCAATTTGAAGGATGAAGAGGGAAGAGAAGGATGGATGCAAAAAGTACACTTTGCGATGAAGCCAAAGAAACGGTGGAGGAAGGATTGCAGTATTAATGCACGGGAAGTGGGTATGCTTCACCTGACGCGTCTTTTGGCTTAAAAGCAACTCAAGCGTAAGAGAGGGTCAAACATTCTAGCTTGTAAATGTGCGGAGATTAACATCTTGAAATAGCATTCACTTAAGGGGGGGCCAATTCCTTGCCATTCTCTACTGATGACCATCATTTCTATTTATCTTTCCCCAAAATATGCCACTCTTTAAGAAAAACAAATCTAAAAAAGAAGGTTCAGAGGTATACGGTACTGGTTACCTTCCCAATGGCCAATCTTCATCCGCCAGACCAACACATGAAACCAACAATGGCTTTGAAGGAGAACACTTTCCGCCAAAACCTTTCAAATATGCTCCTAATTTATCAAAGACAAAGATGGACATCGGAGGACTGCCGGTGAACATATTCGGATTAGAAGAATTAACGCCAGCTTCATCAAGAGCTTCAGCTCCAACTCCGCCCGATCTATGTATCGCAATTCACATGCACGGAAGAGGAGGATCGGCTGATAACGAAGAAAAGATTGTTCGTCAGATATATGATAGGGTTGAAAGAAGCAAACAGCAATATGCACAACAATCACAAGGACAAACCTTTGAATTTCTAGCTGTCTCTTTTGATGCAAGAAATCATGGTCATCGAATGACGAACGAAATCGGACAAAAAGGTTGGAAACAAGGTAATAAAGCTCACGCCATGGATCTATACTCAATGATCGTTGGAACAGCACAAGATGTTTCATTTTTGGTTGATTTCTTACCTTCTTTTCTCTTCCCATACGATGAAAGAAGGGTTGTCAATTTTGCAGTAACGGGAAAAAGTTTAGGAGGACATGCCGTTTGGCACGTTCTTGCTAAATGTGATCGTATCAAGATTGGTGTACCGTTTATCTCTTGTCCTGATTTAGGAAGACTTTTTGCTCAACGTGCACCAAAATCATTCGTTACCAACGGTCCTCCCTATATCCCCGCTTCTCTTTCTTCGCTCATTTCACAAGTCGATCCCGCTTCCCTACCCTACAATGCGCCCGATCCTAGTCAAAATCCTTTCTGGGGCAAACGGATATGCATATGTAATGGGCAAGAAGACCGACTGGTACCATGGCCATGTGCGGAAAGGTTTGTACAACAATTAAAAGTTGGACCTCCTAATGTTCAAAGAAATAATCTTCGCGTTGTATTGCAAGAAGGGATAGGACATGAAGTTACCGAACAAATGATCGAAGAGGCAGGCCATTGGATCTTTGTGCATGGTATGCTTTATGAAATTCAATGATTTCTCTATAATGTATTCTGTAATAGTAGCATATCTTATTTTACAAACAATAATGTACATATTAAGCACTTCCTTCTCATGCTATTTCATTTTCCTTCTGTTTCGGTTCATACCACCATGATTTGATCAAAGGTACGCTTTCCTGACCGCTAATCCATTTTAGCGTTCGATTTGGGTTATCCAACGCCCCTCTTTCAGATGAAAGATAGACTTTCCTCTTGACATATTTGGTGTAATTCGTTCCTTTCCATCCTTCTGATAATTCCTCTAAACTCATTCCGCATTCGTCACGAACCCATTGAATCACGCTCGCCACGCCCAAATTATCGTTCAAACGTGAATAAGCCGAGAGTAAAGCGCGAAAAGCCATTGGCGGAAGAATGTTGATTAGAGCATCAGATTCTAATAAATTTGATTTCGTCTTCTTTACCAGAATTTCCTTCTTTTCATCACCATTGACAAAAGCGTCAAACTTTGGACTGATTCGGAATTCCACTGCCCATCGAATTGCCGAAACGATCGAATCTAGCTCGTTCATCTTTTGTTGTTGATAAGCACGAATTCCACCTTTTGCTCTATGACCAGCGCTAAAGTGAAAAGAAGAGAGGACCAACATCGTCGACTCCAAATCGACAGATTGTAATTCTTTTGCACTGTATTGTAACAATGTGCTTGCCAAACGTCTCATTCGATCTGCTATTGCATCACCTCTTTTCGCCTCTCCTGCGTTGACTTGCGTTTTACGAATTCTCTCCGCTCTGGTAACACATCCGATAATCATTTTGTTTATTGTATCAGGATCAGTCGATAAAAGGCCACGTTGAAGCATTGAGTATAGCCACTGCTGTGTGACCCTAACGTCATCAAAAATGTTGTCGATACTGACATTGCTTTCGTTCGATGATTTCACTTCATCCTCACGTGAAATATCAAATTGATTTTTGAACCCAGTCCCTTCTTTATCATACGCAGACATTGCCAAAACATTTTTGCTTCTCATTGCCAAGCTTTCCGTTACACCCGCTTGTTCGCTTAATCGCAATAAGCGTTGAACGAGTTCAATCTTGCCTTCAAACATAGCTAAGTTGAACACGGGTCCAATCACCTTGTCCGTGATAAGTTTGGCAGAATCTTCAGCTTCTGCTCTTTGTTCGAGAAATTCGATGCCTTCTTCCACGTTTGATTCTGCTATTCCGTGAGCCAGTGTGGTGATGACATCTTCCGGATATTTGGCATTCTCTTGTGCGATAGACGAAAGACACTTTTGCGCTTCATTAGAATGACCAAGTCGGAAGAGCATTTGAGAAACATTGATGATATCTTTCTCGTTCCATTTCTCTCGCCTCTTGGACATCATAAAAGAGATTAAGACATCGTAAACCAAATTCATTTTACGTGGTATCAATTCTTCTTCGGATGAGGAACTAAGCCTTTCGTTCGCCTTTTTGTGCCATCTCTTCATTCCCCGTCGTGTAATACTATTCACGATGAAAGCCGCACAGTGAGAGCTTGATGAAACCGTATAAGGCGCACCATCGTTTCTTTGTTCTGCTTCTGTTTCGTCTTTGTTCGCTTCATTCATATTTTCGAACGAGGACAGCTTAGACTTGACCAAAGCAAATGTGATAGGTTCTTCAACACGTACCTCTCTCCATCGCAAATATAGTTCTACTGAGGTATCTCGAAGTCCACCATTCATACATGCTATGATCAATCGCGTGCGTAACGAATCCAAAAAGACCAGATCGATTCGTGCATCTCCAATGGTCTTTTGCCTGTCCTGTACGATCTGCAAAGATTGCAAGAAAGAATGAAATGATACACGATTACGTCTATGTGAGATTTGCTCGATTGCTGAAATGATCAATTGACCGCCAAACATTGCTAAAACATCGAAGCCAGCTGTATTGCCTTCTTTGACGCTATTCAATTCGTTCACAGTCTGTTGTACCACTTGCGCAAATTCTTGAACTTCGCCAGAATCTACGAGCCTACTCCCAAAGTCCCGTACCCATAACAAGTCGTCCGATTGATTGTCAAGAAGAGCATGTCGAATCAAGATTGGTAAAAGGCGAGATACTATCTTGCTATCATAAGTGGCCTTTTGGATTTGACTCGTTGCCGAGCGAAGAAGATAGCGGAAACCTTGTAACAAAATCAATTCGAGATCCAGTATCGTGACTTCGCTTGCAGGAGTGGACATGAAAATACTGTTGAGATCGTTGGACATTTCATAGAGAATGTTCATGCACGCTGAATACGCTCCAGATTGCAACAAAATAGATGCCACTGTCGAACGAGCAAACAGAACAAATTGAATCGAGTTTCTATCCTGTGACGAGAGATTGCATCTGTCCATCAATCGGTCTAGTCTTGTTACTGAGAAAAATGCAGACTTCAGCGAGGTGGACATCCCATGCATAGACACATGCTGATCGACCAAGTCTACAATCTTTGTCGCATAGAAAAGGGCACCTCTTTCTGTACTTTCATCGAAGGTTCGTTGCGCATTTGGATGAAGTAGATAGCGAGCCAAGGTATCAGCAAAAATGCCCATATCACTTACCTCCTTGAAGGATGATGTAGGATGAGCTAGCACAATATCAAGCAGGGCGGACAAAAGAGGAAGCATTTCAAAGTCGACATCCATCAAAGCGATCGAAGTTGAAAGGTAAATTGCTGTTTCTGGTTCGATATCCTGAAAAAGGTTTGAATCTTGTCCCTTCTGTTTGAGCAGTACTGCATCTTCATTTAGCATCCTGCATGCACTTTCCATATTTTTGGTGCAAGCCCTTCTGAAATGATCCACTTGCACTTCGAAGGTGCTCTTCCTTCCCGCTTCAGCGGTTGACTCTTCGAAAGAGGTCTTGAATTTTGATAGAATGAAAGTCAGAATTTCGCTTTTGCGTAAGGGGTCTCTCTGTAAACCGAAGCGATTTCTGCAAAGATCTCGCAAAATTGTACTTAAGGTATGTGTATAGCCTTGTTGAATAGCTTCCTCACTCAATAATCGAATGCCCTCATCACTTATGCTCTCTATTCGATCTTGCTGCCTTGACATCAAATCTTCATAGGCCCCAACTCGATCCAAATTAGGCGTTTCGGTATCATTGAGTACGGATATTAAAGTACCCAAGGGTATCTGTTGATCGTTTGAGTTGATAGTAGAGTCTGATGGCTCCTTGTTTGCTGCGAATGGATTTCTAATTTCTTTCCAGATGGGCTGTGAGGTGTCATCTAATGTTTGTTTGCTGGAAGATGATGCTGCCTGGTCAGAATAAACTCTTCTTTGTTGCCTTGAAAGATAGCCATCTTTGCTGATCGTATATGCGATTCCCCCATTCAACCCTATCCTTGACTGTCTGGCTAGATGTGTTAAACATCGCCAATGCTGTATCTGCATTGATTGCCAAATAGGAATAGCATCAATAGCTAATTCTGATGGAAGTGAGAAGAAGGAAGTGGAGCCGGAAATCGGATCTTGAATGCTTACATAGCGAGCAAAACGGGTTTAAAAGGTGAAATCACACGTGAGAGATTCTATTTATTCGCGTTGAGTGTTGGTTGTGTTGCAACGGAAGGACACACAAACACACACACTAATTTAGCGTATATGCAAGGGCAAACTGTAACCTTAACCCTGAACAACCAACAACAAAAGGACAATCAAACAAATCATCATGATTGAAGATCATTAGCGTCATGCAAATCATATCCAGAAGATACCTTTTCTTCTCTCTCTTACGCCAAAGTCAGGAGAGGTATGTGATTATTATCATCTTTTCCCATATCTGCATGCTGCCGATCGAATCTGTTCAATTGTATCCCATTCATCCGCTGCGACAGCTGCCTGAAAAGGGTACGTACATGGATAATTTTCCCATCCTCTTCTATAAGCTAACGCGAGCCGTCAGGGGATCCTGTTTTTCAAACCAACAACAGTTACAGACCTGACGATCATGATAGGCGTTCTGCATTGTAAGCTGGTAACAATAATCCATCAATAGAATCACACGCAAGAATGGAATCCACCTTGCAGTGTGCAGACCAAAGTTATTACAACAATTGGATTTATTTGGAACCCCTTGAAGAATGCATTGCATTGGTGTCACTATGGAACATGAATCGGTTCCATCTTTACAAACAAACAAGTTTGATCGGGTTCTAATATAGAACTAACTGTGCCTAACATGAAAAGTATAAAAGAGACCTTTGCCACAGAAACGAACTTGTTTGAAACCCCCTGTCCCGGTTCCTTTCATTTCAAATAACCACTTGAAGTGGTAAATACTGTATCCCTATCTCGAAAATCGCTTTCCCCCTATGGCAATACCCTCGACTCCTACAACACTCCTCTTACAATCACCCTTTCAAGAACGCAAACCAACACGAAGCAACATGGTCAATTCATCCTCTTACATTTCTCCATCCGACTCTGCGTCCTCTTCTAGTTCATTCTCCGACGTTGATCAACAAGAGGTCAACATGACACCTTCTGAAGTATCCCTTGATGATGATCGACGAACTTGCTTTTGCGGTCAAATCATCACAATGGAAGAAGGAGAAGAAGAAGAAGTTGGAATTTATTGTTCGACAAAATGTGCAAGACAAGATGCAATGGCAGCTTTAACAGGCGCTCCTTCTACTCCCGATAGATCTCAAATTCGATCTGAGCCAATCATTCCCGCTCATAGCAATCTTTCAAGAAAGGCAATCATTAAACATTCTTACAATTCAAGTATCGCATTACAACAAAAGACCATGACTTCAACGCATTACAGGCGAATGGAAGCAATGGAAACAAAAGATGATTATCCGATTGAAGCCATTGAAGAAGCATTTTTGACACCATCTTCAGGTTCAACGTCTTTGTACGATTCATGTGAACATGATGAAAAAGTTCAAGGCGTGATCACATCCCACGTTCAACCTTCTTTTGCTTTACAAAGATGGATGAAAGATAATGGCTTGCAACTCAATGCTGAAAAGATGCAAATGTATGAAAAGGATGACATTGCACGTCAAAGCAGTGAAATTGATGTTTCTCATCATCCTCTTCAAAATACACAAAAGCGCACAGTTTCACTTCCCGCTTCTCCTTCTTTGGATTCGGATGATGAAGAAACACAAGATCAACGTAAACGTCAAGCTAAGATCGAACAAGAGATCCGAGAAATTGATGTTGAACTTAAACAAAGACTTGAACAATTGGATAAAGATCAAGCTGAAATCTCTTTGCACAACACCAAACCAATCGGAATCTTTGAAGAAGAAGAAGACGTTTTGATGCAATTCACTTCTCCAAAATTGGATTATGAAGCACCTTTGGGATGGCGAAGAGGATCAAAAGTTTATTCGAGTAACTTTTTAGGTTTACAACTTTCTTCAGATGAGGAAGACTTATCTTCTCATGGATCAAATGAAGCACTCGATCATTCTTCTCATCACCTTTCACGAATCGAACGTCTCCATGAAGCTCTTGGAATGGCTATCATTGACGAAGATGTTGAACAAGCCGATGACATCAAACAAGCCCAATCCACTTCACCTGAAATTCATCAGGAATCTTCCCGCATTCCAAGTGCATTGGACATGGCGAAAGACTTAGCATTCATGCAAGCAACTTGGAATGCTCGTCAGCATGTTCGTCAACTTTCTACCACTTCCATTGGTGAAATGCCTCAACAAAGGAAATCAAAAGTGAAAAAGTCAACAAATCAACCTTCTATTTCAAACAAACGTTCTTTGACAAACTTTTTCCAACGAAGACCTTCACAAAATAATTTCGAAACAGGTATTTCGAGTAATTCATTCAACAAGGTGGACCGTTTAACAAAAAGTACTTCACCACGCTTCGCTGCCTTGAAACCGATTCCCGCAAAATAACAAACCATGAACGTTCTTTCTCGTCTTCTATTGTATACTAATATTTCGGACACCTTTCACCATTTCTGTAGCTTTTACGGGTTTGCTAGACACCATCAAGTGAGGATCATGATCTCGCTGCTGTATTTATATCACTTTTCTTTCGACTTCATCATTCAAAGACATTCTTTAATAGATTTTATTTGCTATACAAATGATTGATTGATTGTTTAGAAGTACAAACTGGCCGCAAAGACGATATCACGTCTGATCAATTCCATACACTTCTCCATCTTTGCCCATAAATCAGCATCACCAATCACTCTTGCCGCATCTCGTAATTCGCGACAAGATTCATCCAATCTTGTGATCACACGCACAATCGTTCCTTCTGCGATTTCTGTCATTTGACAAATTTCCGCAAAAGGTGTTCCGCGTGCCCATGCATACGCAACAGGTACCATGTGCGTTTTAAGTGATCTCTCATAATCTTCATGGTTCAATTGACATTGTGCTTGAACGGCGGAAATCCGTTCAGCAGTTTGAACGATTGCTGCATATCCCTCTGCCAACTTTCCTTCTAGCTCTACTTCGCCTTCTGCCTTTTCCTTGAAGACCAAACAAGAGAGCAGACCGACCACTTCTTCGGGTTCGTATTGTGTCCAGAAATTATCCAAGATCAGTTCAGTCGTTACCAGCTCGTCAATCGAATTGATCTCACATGCAACTCTACCCTTGAGCAAAACATTTTCATGTTGATTGTCAATAAAGTGCAAGCGCTTCAACACTTCGATTCGTTGGTGGTAATCCGGTAACAATTCCAAGTTCTCATCCGATATCGCACGGTTCAATCGAGAGATCTGTACGAGCAATTGTTTGCGTTGATGCATCATAGCATATTCTCGCTCAAATGTTGCTTCGTCTGTCAGACCTGACCCTGAAGTCTTGATGAACTTAAAGACCTGATCATTATACTGAGACCTTTGTTGCAATAGTTCCTGGAAATCAATTCTTCGCATCTTGCTCCAATCCACTTCCGGTACCTTTTCACTTTTTGCGATTTGCTTAATCAATGGTACCATCAATCCCACCGTTCGCTGCATAGCTGAAATTCTCAGTGCCATAATCATCGATTGTTCAATCTTGAGATCAAATTCGGTAAGCATGCAGATACTCGAAAGCGGCACTTCACGAAGATCGTAAACAAGACCTTCGGTAGAATACCCGTGCAGAGAAGGCGGCCATAGAGGCGGAACACGTTCGAACTTGGAATCAAGCTTACCGTTCTTACGATCTTCAGAGACGGCAGCCAATACTAAAAATTCTTCCTTGCTAACTTGCTTGACCAAAACTGCAGGCGAGAATGAGGCAAAATGAGAATCATGGAGAATGATCAAACGTCCAGGGTTGAAGTTCTTGCTTCCTTGCGCCTGTTGAAGTGCAAGTTGCAAAACATTCTGATTTGCAATGCTCGCGCTAAGGCTCATGTCGTAATAAGTATCAAGCTTTGCAGCACGCTCTTCGGACGGCATTGCAGGCAAACTTGCCAAATGCTTCTCAATCTCTTTGACTTTCTTTTGTTGGTCCGGCAATAAACGTTGAGACGCATTTTCTGAAAAGCTTCTTTTGATCATCTCTTCCACCTTTAGTGCTTCGACTCGTAAAAGATTGAGAATCATGTTATAGGTCAAGCGGAACTGACTCTTCAGCTTGGTCGCTGAGCCTAGCAACATTTTGTGGAGAACTTCTGTTTCCGGCAATTCGTCTGCAGCATTGATGATCACCACACCCGTGGCATCCAAACCACGACGACCTGCACGACCAGACATTTGGGTATATTCACCAGCCAATAATTCCCTGAAACTATGGCCGTCATGTTTACGGATTCCAGAAAAGACGACACTACGAGCAGGCATATTGACACCCATTGCAAAAGTCTCTGTCGCGAATAGAACTTTAACAAGCCCTCTTTGGAATAAGATTTCCACAACTTCCTTGACAATCGGAAGCAAACCTCCATGATGGACTCCTATACCTCTACTCAATAGGTCTCGCATACGTGCAATTTGCGGCAATTCTTTGTCGGTGCCTTTGAGTCGTGTCAAGCTTCTTTCAATCACGATGTGAACCTCACTTTTTTCCTTTGCCGTACAGAGATCAGTATTCGGCAGACTGCTTGCATTTTCTTCGCAACGTTTCTTCGAGAAGACAAACGTTACCACCGGCAGCAATTCCTTTTTCTTCAGCATGCCGATCAAATGAACCCAAAGACTCTTATCTCCCCTGCCAGATTGACCTCCACCGGAAAAGTTGCCTCCTCCGCCTCTTCCTCTTGGCATAGCACGTCTTGCAGGTACAGCACCTCGTTGGCCAGGTCCACCCCTTTGTCCACGGCCTCCTCCTCGCTGTGGAGCATTGATAGGTGGCAGACCATTGACTTCCCGATCCTTATCTTGTCTTCTTTTGATAGCATCACCCGCTTCTTTAATGCCTTGACCAAGGAACTGTCCACGAGCATCAACAATCTTGTGCATGTCTTTACCAGCGTAAAGGAAGTGCTCGAGTGGCACGGGACGTTTTGGTGTACTGATAACGTATATATCTTTCTTCTTCGTCCGTCCGACCCAATCGGCGAATTCCTTAGTGTTGGGAACTGTGGCCGACAAAAGGATGAGACTGATATGTTGAGGACAAAGAATGATCACTTCTTCCCATACAACACCACGTTCTTGATCGTTGACATAATGCACTTCATCAAAGATGACAAATTCAACATCACGGATAAGGTCTGCTCCTCGATACAACATACTTCGCAAGATTTCCGTTGTCATGATCAGACACGGTGCTTCAGGGTTGATTTGTACATCTCCAGTGAGAATACCCACATTCTCCGCTCCATACGTCTGTTTGAAGTCACGGAACTTTTGATTCGAAAGAGCTTTGATGGGAGATGTATAGATGCATCTTGTCATATGCTTGGTCGCCAAAGAGATGGCATATTCAGCCACAACAGTCTTACCGGCAGATGTATGCGCTGCAACAAATACGCTATCGCCCTGTTCAAGATGGTAAACGGCTTCCTTTTGGAAATCATCCAGCTCAAATGGATATTTGTGTGCCATATCAGGGACCAACTGATGAAAGTTTGTCATCTTTCGGTTCATGTCAACGACGTGAGCCCAATCTCGCTTTGCTTCGAGCATTTTCCGATCTGGTTTTTGGGATGCAGAAGGCCGTTGTATCGGTAAGAGCTCATCTATATCTGCATCGAATTCTTGCTGTATGGCATTTGAGGACTTGGACTCCGCTTCCTTTCCAACATTTTCGTCTGAAGAAGATCTCTTGTTAGACTGAAGACCTGCTCGAGGATCTTGCAGCTGTAAGCCGACAAACTCTGAAGCATCCACTCCATCACCTTCATCTTCGTCCAAGTCTTCTTCGATAGAAGCGCCACCTTTTCTATATTTGCGACGAAAGCCAGGAACATGAGTGCTCAATCCGATTCCCTTTCCAATCTCCTTTTCTATCGATGCGACTTGTCTGGCAATAAAATCTTGCTCTTTAGCTTCTTCGTCCTCGTCATCTTCATCTTCAGCACCTGCTACAATCTCGTTTTCCAGTCCGCCCGGAACGAACATCCTTTGTCCAATCTTACCCCGTACAAAATGAGCACCGTTATGGGCTGCAGCAGATGAGGCCGAGCTTCGTGTGATTGAAGTAATTGTGCCTTGCTTAGTTTGTTGTTTCGAAGCAGAGTTCGAGCTACTTTCGCCAAGTTTGACCGTTGTGCGTGTAGATTGTGCAGGCACTTCCTTCAATCCGACAACTTCACCTTGTAGGCCTTTACGATTGAGGATGAGTTTGGTAGGGAATGGGGTCAGCTGAATGGGCAGCAAGCTTTGAATATCAGGCTGACGGTCCCAATGAATTTGGGATGATCCCAAAAGTGAATCTTCTACTTTCAATTTTGGCTGTAAAAATTGCTGCTCTAATAGCATGGCCATCTCTTCATCGCTATAAAGTCCCTTTTGTCCTTCATTCTTTCCATGCGTTGCTATTCCGGCATGCTTGAGTGCATCCTGCATAATAGCCTCGGGATCTTTATTCTCTGGCTCATCGATTCCAAGCTTTTTTAAAGATGCTAGAATGGACGCCTTGTCCTCCTCATTATCGATCGCCATCCTTTTGCTATGCAATGTAACAGAAGTGATGGTTGCAAGGTGGAGTCTATACAGGCATGTGAGCTTACCAACTCATTCTTCTAGCGCGTACTTGGCTGGGAGTTCGGAAAACGGAGCACAGAGTATGAATTTTAAGAAGAAATTATTGGAATTTGTTACTGCAGGCAATTTATTATTTAGACGTCCTGTTGATCTTCTTGCGTTTCACCATCATTGAAATTCCCCATCATGGCACCTGATACAGCAGCTACTACTGTAAATGGGAAAAGAAAGAGGATAAGAAAGCGTAATAAGCGTACGACAGCAACACAAGCAGCAGAGGATAGCGACTCATCATCATCCTCTTCATCATCCGATAGTGAGGAAGAGAAGAGACCAGCAATTAAACCAAAAGTCAAGTCCAGCAAAAGGACAGAAGCGTCATCATCGTCTTCGTCGTCTTCATCTTTTTCAGATTCGTCAGAAGCATCCGACTCATCAGATTCTGAAGAAGAGAAGCAGACGACAGTCAGTGCGTCAAAACCCGACGAAAAGCGACATCGAAAACGAGTCAGAAAGCCAAAACAGACTACTGGGGCTGAAACAGAAGAAGTAAAGACAAGCAACGTTATAGAAAGATTTGCCAAGCTTGCCAATCCTCAAGAAGACAAAAGGCTAAGCGAAGCAACTGTATCTGCTTTAACGTATGCGAAGCAATATGCAGTAGATAAACCACAATGGAAGTTCAATAAAGCAAGACAAGAACACCTCATTCGACATATGCTCAGTCGAGCACCTGAGGAAAATACGAATGAACCAGTCGAAAAGCCAGAAGATGAAGAAGCAAAGGAAGATGATGCTGCCCAAACTCATCAACCATCTTGGTGGCCAGACGAATGGAACGAATGTGTAGCATTTTATCTCAACACAGTGCAAGGCGCTGCAAAACTACGATTATTGAAGAGGTTGAAGGAAGCCAAGGAGCAGGTAATCCCAGCTCCCATCCAACAAGCTGTTCAGGAACCCCAACCGGTACAAATCCCGCAACAAGCTGCTACGCCTTCGGCTGGCTCAAAATCGGTCAATTTTGCTGATATGGCCACCGCTGTAGATGCTCAACCTTCAATTGAGGAACATGCGGAGAAGGAAGCTGAACGCAATCGAGTCATTTTTGAGAAAGAGAGGGCTACTGCATTACTAAAGCTTATGGGTTAATAGATTATGTACTATTATTTGCATTGTTTTTGGTTTGAAGAATGTACTATAGCATTACAAGGAGTTGTTTGTGTGTATTTACCTGCACTGAAATGGGTTCTGATGATCGGCGCAGTAGCAAATGCATTGTTCAATCAGCATTTTGGAACGTCCTATCTGTGTCAGACATCAGCTTTGCGTCGTTTCCCAAGGAGTCAGCGCTACTTCATCTTTTGGGAAAGTTTGTGTATACTTGTAAGGAGAATCTTCCCAGATTTCTTCTCGTTCTTTAGCCAAAGCACGAATCCATCGTTGAATACGTGGATGCATTATTTGAACAGATTGATTGTAAAAAGGTTGCAGATCGGTAGTCTTGTATCTTTTCTCGTATTCATAGCTTTGCAAAGCCAATTCGAATCGATCAAGATCTTTGACCGTCTTACTTTCAATCGTCTTCCGGTCTTCGTATTCGTTCCATAAATCTTCGATTCGTTTGCCGGCTTTACATCCAGCCAATTGACCCTCGACGATCTCCTTAATCGCTTCCCTTTCTCTTCTCAACTTTTCCTCTTTTGTGACTTTATCCAATGGTGTGATATCACCAGTCAATGCTTCGGCGAGATCGTGCACTAAGCACAATTGAACGCATTTGCCGATATCCAAATTGTGATCCGGTAAAAGCATGCTCAAAACTGCCATTCTGTACATATGATCGGCGATAGATTCTGGTTGTTCAATCCTATGATGATACCAGCCAGTCCGCTTTTTTGTTTTGAGATTTTCAACAGTATGCATGAATTCCAAAACGCTCTCCATATCACCTTCTAATTCATCGTCATCACACTTGTCTGCCTCTGTTGCAGATGCTAAGGTCAATGCATTGGGTCGATGGGCGGGATCAGGTGATAGTCGCATTGTTGCCGATTCTGGAGAAGGTGGAGCAACATAAGGCGGTCTTGGTGATCGAACACGACTACTGCGGCCTGTTCCTGCGCTACTACCTAACATTGGACTTGAGTGTGCACTATCGATCGCAGTTGCTGCAATCTTTGCAACAGACGGTAATGGTGATGATGATCCACCAATGTCAAAGCCTCGCGTAACACTTGAGGGTATCGGGTATTTCAAATCAATGCTACCGCGTCGTGATGATGCTGGATTTGCAGATGCTGCCTTGCTTCTGATAGGCACAGGAGCCCGACTCTCCGATGTCTTTTGACCATCTCTTGGCTTTCCGGGTACCACTTCTTGTACGCCACATCCAGCCTCGATCGAAGCAGGCTTCTCAGATGTATCAGAAATTGTTCCTAGCGAAGGACGACGTTGGAGTTTTGTGCCCGTTGTACTATATTGACGAGTTGCTTTGAGCAAAGATGGCGTCATCTTCTTCTCTTGATATGGCAACGAAGTCTTTGGTTCTAGATCAAAGCCAGAAGTTGCATCGCGATGGATGGATGAGAAAGAACGACCTGCGAAGCTGTTTCGCATATTGATCGGTACAGATCGTGCTAACATGAAATCATCAGCAGTCTCTTTCGCTTGAACAGAGGATGTCACGCTGATCGATTTGGTGTTTTCCATCATCTCTTTCTTTGCCGGAATCATCTCATTTTCATCCCCCTCGTCTTCCTCTTCCGGTAATCCCTCCAAAATATACTTCATCGATGAAGACTTTGCTCGCTTGTTGGTCGACCACAAATCTCTATGTGAAGGTGCATTAGGTGCTAGAAGCCCACTAAGTCTAGCCTCAGCCTCGCCCACCATCACACGGAATCCGATCGAGCTTCTTTGTAAATCATCTGTAGGGAACCCTGAAGGCAGAGCTTGTCGGGCAGCGATCATTCGGAATGACTTTGCTGGAGAATCTTGTTTGTCGACCTGAATACGATCCGAGTGAGTTGACGCTCTTGGGATACTACTTGATAGATCAGCATTATAGACCGTTCGGCCATCAAAGCGAAGAGAAGCTGGATCAAACACGTCATCCTCCTCTTTTTGTGGGATGGACTTGTTTTGCATTTTGCTGAGCTCACGTCCAGCCCTTGACTCAGATTCTGCCATAGCAGCAAAAGAACCGACCACAGGAAGTGATTGAATCACGCTTCCGATGTATTGCGAGCCGTCATTACCTTGTGATCCATCTTGCTCGTCGTTTAATTCTCTTTCGATGATCTCCTTTGCACTCTCTTTGACAGCTGTGGTGCTCGGGTCCAGGGTGATGTCAGATGCATTTGGAGTGGTATCATCGGGATCCATATCTTCATCGATCTCGAATACAGGATCTACTTGCTCGACCGGTTCTTTGCTTTCTGGAGTTGAATCACGTCGATTTGAAGCAACTTCTACCTCCTCCGTTGTACTTGCGAAAGCAACCTTTTTCTCTGCAGAAGCATTTGCCTTTTCAGCACTCGCACCATTGGTCGTCAGATTACCACTACTAGCGCCTTTAAGAGCCCCTCTCTTTGTTGAGCCACTTTGATCGACTCCCACTGAATCAGATTTTGCTACATCGTTTGCTCCCTTGCTACTTTCATTAGTGACACCGCTTCTCGATGAACTCTTACTAGGCGGCGTGGGCGTCTTATTGTGTCCTCTCTCACCAGCGCGACCTCTGCCACGACCTCGACGTTCTTCTTCCTCCTCTTCACTGCTCTGATTAGCGCTTTGTGTACGTTGCTTAACTTGAACGGCACCCTCGTCATCTGAATTGACTGCACTAGGTAAAGCAGAATGATCTGCGTTCGGATAACGTTCTCTCAAACGCTTTTTGTGCGCGAACCAATCTTCTTCTTCCTCCTTACTGCGTTGCTTTTGTTGTTCTGCTACGCCAGGCAAATCACGACCACGCATTGCAAAAGAAGCAGAAAGAGCACTTCCGACATACGGTGTTTGTCCTTGTTGGCTACCGCTGATTGAGACACCGTAATTTCCAGACTGTGGAGATACGAGGGAAGTGCCAAGACCAGTCGCAAGCTGACCCCTTCTGTTTGGATCACTATCTTGTGATGCAGTCTTTTCCAGTCCGATTGGAACCAGAGGTCTTCGTCTTATAAAAAGTGGGGAGCTGCTTTCCTTGTCATCCTCATCTGATGCGTCCAAATCAAGATCTTCTCCCTCTTCATTCGATTGGTAGGATTTTTGTTGCTTTTGACTTTGATCGGATCGAGACGTTGAGTGCGTGACATACTTTTGACGCAATTGGCGAGCTTCATTTCGCAGCTGTCGTTCCAATTCATTGATTTGACTACTCTTCTCTTTCAAGATTGCAAGTACTTCCCTTTGCGCTTTATCCCGTACTTCTTTCAATTTACCGAGAGCGATTTGATCAAGCTTTGCTTCTAATTGCTTTTGCGATGTAACGAATTTGTCGGGCGAGCTTTGAACTGTATTGCTAAGCATTTGTCTCACTGAAGTTGAATTTCCATTGATGTGTGCTTTCTCCTTCACGACACTAGAAGGTAAATGAGGCAATAGGTTCTCTAAAAGATGCAGGGTGTCTAAATCATCCCCTTGTTCTTCTTCTTGTTCAGCCAAAGGCTGTGCTCTTCGACGACGTGCTGGAGAAGGAGAAGCAGCGGAACGTGAAAGCTTGCGAAAGGGAGATGCAGATCGACGGGAATCAGAATCGGAGCGCATCCGTGTGCTTGTACTTTGAGGTAATGTCGATGTAGTGGCCTCCTTAGATGTTGTTGAATTCGTCGTATCAGCAACTGCGACACCATAAGATTTCGAAAAGCTTGCAGAAGAAACGATTGCCTTGATCGCTTCCGAACCGAATTTGCAGCCAGACATGATCCACATCAAACCAACCCCATTTGCTGGTCGAAGAATAGCATCTTGCTCCACTGTTGAAGTTGCGCCAGGTCGTACTGGAGATTCAGTTTGCGTTCTTCCCTTACTTGATTCTGTCGGAAATCCAACCGAGCGCGAGCTACCTGATTGTTGTACCTTATTGACCGCATATACAGTCGTATCACAAATCAAACAGATCAATGCAGTGACTGATTGTCCTTTGGCGAATGTGGGAGATTGAATGATTGAACGTGATGTTAGCAAGGGTTGAGCTACATTGATTTGAATTGTTGCCTTATTACGTGGGACTACCACTTCCTCCTGTAATCGACTCTGATCGTCAAGCGCAACATTTGCCGATGCATGTGCTTCAACTTTTGCCGACTCTTGGTTATTCAATGACAATGACTCTGCCTTTTCAAGTTCGATGCGTACATTGATGCATGGACATGCATATGATCCCAAGCCTGCCTCCATCTCGACTACCTATACCCGCCTTCTTCTGATATCAATGTTGCAGATAATCGCTTTTAACTTTCTCCACCTCTTCCTAATTAAAAGGAAAGAAAAACGCTCAATCAGAACCCAATCGCATCTGCATAGATTGAGTTCTAGCCAAGCAAGCGACTAGAGTCACTCTTCTAAGAGATTGAAGTGAAGTGATGGAGGTTTATGATTAAAAAGTGTTGTTTTCCTCCTTAATCAAGCACGTTGGGGGAATACCTTCTGTAGGTCCCAATTCTTGTGCTTGTGCAGTGCATACCAATAAACACCCACTCGCTAACGCAAGCAACACAACCGCTTAAACGCGCTACGCTGCTGCAACGGAAGCGCTGCGTTGCGCGGCATACGCCCACTCAATCAAACCCCACGTATACTTTACGGAAAAAGACGTTGATCTGTAAAACCGACTTACAACGAAGAAATTACCCCTAGCCATCCATCATATTGGGTCACACGAACCACAATCAATCACTCTTTAGTTAAATATGGTACAAATAAAATTAAATTTTTGAATTGCATAATGTCAATTCCATGAAAATAAGATACGAAGAAATAAGAAAAAACACTTCTTCAAATTTTATACATAAACACAAATGTTCTCTGAGATGGAGTGATGATGTTGTTGTCTATTGGATGTGCAAGAAAGCACTTGCTAAAGATGGCCTCAATCATTAGATCTTCTTCACTTTTTTTTCGAGAGAGGTATAGAAGCTGAAAGGTCTTACGATCAAGTGCGACCTTTGCTTTGAGGAGAAGAGTTCACTTGCTGATTGAGAGCGGCCAAAAGACCATTCGCGTTGGGACCCATTGAAGCAGTTGCAGCATTCAAGGCAGCATTCAAACCGGGATTATGTTGTTGATTCTGTTGGGCAAAATTGATCTGTTGCTGTAAATTCTGCAACAAACCCATTCCGATCTGAGCTTGTGACAATTGTTGTTGTTGCCCTTGACCTTGTTGTCCAACACCCATGTTCAGATGTGATTGTTGCTGTTGTCCGTTCATCCCATTCACGCCTTTATTTGCACTTGCTTGAGCAGCTGCAGTAACGGCGGCCAATTGCTGTTGTGCTTGGGCTAATTGCATATTCCGATTACGATTTTGTGGCAACTTCAATTGCATATTCACATTTTGGGTCAATGCAGCTTGCATAGCCAAAAGCTGTTGAGGTGTGAATTGCGGTTGAGGCTGTGTTTGCAATTGAGGTTGTTGTTGGCCGTTTGCCTGTTGTTGTTGCTGCATATTTTGCTGAGCTTGAAGAGCCGCTTGTGCTTGTTGAATAGCAGCTGCAGCCTGTAAAGGATTCATCTGCGTCATCTGATTAGCGCCCGCTCCGTTCAGTAGATTGATACTGTTTCCGTTCATTCGTTGTTGACCTTGTTGAGAACCTCCCATGGGCATTGCATGTCCTTGAGCAGGTGAAGAATGATAAGAACCGTTTGAACCAATATGGGGAGAAGAGCGCTGTTGCTGCTGTCCTTGGGCTTGAGGAACAGGCGAAGAAGAAAGTGGCCTGTTTAGTTGATTTTGCATCTGTGGACTAGACATTGCATTGGCAGAGAGATTACCTCCTAAACCGCTTGCAAACTGGGCGAGCAAGTTGGCAGCATGTGCATTATTTGGACCGAATCGACCGGCTGCCATTGCAGCAGCTGCACCATTCACAGCAGCTTGATTAGGTAAGCCTTGTACACCGCCAAAGGATTGGGCTAACGGATGAGTGATCGCTTGAGCAGCTGAATGTGATGGCATTTGCGATGTTTGCCCATTGGCTTGTACATTTGGCTGTTGTCCATTGGGAACACGAACATTTGGCGAACCTTGTTGATGACCATGTTGAGCACCACCGCTTTGCTGTTGTTGACCACCTTGTTGATTCGCTGAAGCAGCTGCAGCAGCCGCGGCATTTGCCAGAGCCTGTGCTTGAGCCTGCACTGCACGTTGCTGTTGCTGTTGTTGCAAGGCAAGTTGTAATTGGGCTTGTTGAATTGGCTGCTGTTGTTGTAAAGCAGCCAAAGGTCCTCCAACGTTTGTCTGTGCTGCCCTTGCGAGTGCATTCGGATGGCCAAGAGCAGCTGCCTGTGCTGCAGCTTGCTGTTGTGCGTGTTGCTGTGCCTGTGCCTGAGCTTGTTGAGCTTGAACGGCTTGTTGCTGTTGTGCCTGAGAATATACATTTGTACTATCGCCACGGAAAATGGAATAGCCAGCAGGAATGGTCGATGGCGTATCTGCAGCTGCTTGTGCTTGCATGACATTACTCAAGTCTGTCGATAATTTCATCAAATCCGCTTCTTCCAACAAGTTCATACGGAATCGCATAAATCTCTGATCAAAGTCATCAATGATCGCTTCATCGTCGTCTTCCATACCGCCCAAGCCGCATAATCCCAGACCAGCCCATCTACCTGTTTCATCATCATAACGCCAACGCTCTTGTATACGAGTCCAACGTTCAACTTCATCTTCCGAAGCGATCGAGTCGTTCTCGTCATCATCTTCACCGACTCCTGCCATTTCATCATCACTATTTTGCTGTTCTCTGCGATTCTCTTTCTGTTGAACAGGTTCTTCGCTTTCGTCAATACTGGTAGCTTTGGTGGACGTGCTGATTTTCGAATGGTGACTAGAAGTGGACGAAGATGCATCTGATGCACCTCCATCAACATGATCGACGTTCTGTTGTTTGAGTGGAGAGGATGCAAAGGGACCTGTTTGCATAGTGCGTGATGCTGCAGATGAAGAGGACAATTGACTGGGTCTGATAGAAGCAGAGAATGCGAATGGGCCGGTCAAAAGCTCAGGCAGTTGATCTTTGCCTTGACTCTTCAATCCTGAATCATTTGTCGTTTGTGATCGTGATGGCTGCTTGACTTCATTTTGCTTTTCGTTTGATGATTCTTTACCTTCTTTGCCCGATTCATCTGCTTCTTTGTCTTTTCCTTTTTGTTCGCTCTTCGAAGCAGATTCGGCATTTGCGCCATTACGCGGCCAATCAGATAGGCTGGATGGAACAGGGCTGGGCGCAGGCAATTTACGATCCAAGAAGATACGTCCGCCCCGTCCAACCCTACGACGAAAGGATGCCGGCCTTCCAACCCTGCCAAAGTTGTTGACATTGGAGGGCGAATTGGAAGACCAAGGAAAGGAAGGCATTTCACTTGCATCAGATTGCGAGTCCAAGTGGATGGGCCGAAAGGAACGCAAATGGCTGGGAACGGGAATAGGCTGAAAGGCAGCGTCGCTTCCTTCTTCCCAGCCTAGATCGCTATCAGATTTACGTTGAACTTCTCGTTCAATATACGCTTGTACAGCTTGAACACGATCCAAGATTGCAGAGCCCAATCCAGTCGATGCAGTAGAAGAAGCAGCGCCATTTGTTGCATTTGCTTGACCAGCAGCAGCGGCAGCACCAGCAGTCGCTGATTCTTCTCCGTTGCTGGGTCTTGCTTTGCGATTGGGTATCTTGACCACTCCTCCTTCTTTGATGCTGGCAACTGATGTTGCCGCATCGTCTGCTTTGCGTTTCTTTTTGGATGAGATATTCATTGCCACAACGCCGGCCACTCCGTGCGCATGTTCGTCGCGCTTCTCGACAGAAATCAACTCTTCATCTTCTGTACCATTACTTGGTCCGGCAATATTCCATTGTTTCTTGACTTCCAGCAATTCACGAGTGGATTGCCAGCAAGCTTTGTCTTGTACCAAAGTTGCTCTCTTTGTCTTTTCACGTTGTGCCAAGAGGGATAAGAGAGAGACACTTTGTTGTAATTCGTGTCGTAATCGAACCAATTTTTCAAGATGCATGGCATCTGTTTTACGTGTCTTTCTGACCATCTTCACTTCTCTTCGTCGGAAGCAGACATATGGATCATTGTCGTTGCTTTCATCAAAGTTCAAGCTAGGCATGATTGCCCTTCCCTCTCGGTCCTCCCTTCTATTCTTCCACCAAGGATAGACAACTTTTGCCACATTTTTGAGGGCGGGCAAGTTTCTGTAAGGATTTTCGGGAGACCATTCTTGTTTCAAGTGGGAAGAAGAAGAGGAAGATTGTTCCCACCCCAATTCTGGCAGTTCGGGGAATGCAAGCTTGGACACTTCGGAATCTTCTTCAAAAGAAGGCAACAGATCGTCCAGCGTCGGTAATTTGCTCAAGTCCAGATGTGCAAAAGGCACTTTGTCTGAAGTGACCTGTTCGAAAACTGTCATTACCATTTCAAATTCATCTTGAGAAATCACCTTTAGGTCGACATTTTCACGGGCCAAAGACGCTGCCATTTCGTCGCGAGATTTTTCCTTATTCTTTCCCTTTGCAGAGGATGGAGGGCGAGCTTTAAGCAAAGCTGCATCCAATGCGTCTGCTGCCTTTTTATTACGATCTTCAAGCCAAAGGTCATCATCTTCGTCTAAAGTATACGAAGGTCCGCGAATGGATTCTTCGACAGTTTTTGAAGTTCGGATATAAGTTACTGGATCGGAATAAGCGCCCAATTTGTACAAGTAATGATATTCTCTTTGCATCAAAACAGCTTTGGCATCAGGTGTTGGGATATGGTAAGACACTTTTGCAGGTGCAGGACCAGCACCATTTCCGTTTGCCTGTGCATTTGCCAAAGCATCTGCTGCAACTTGACTAGATGAAAGAGCGGCTTGCAGATGGTGTTCGCTAATTTCCGAAGCATCCACACCTAATCCTTTATCCTGAGAATCTTCATTCTCGATCGCTGATTCAGTTGCACCTGCTAAAGCGGAACTTCCTCTTTGAATGGATACTGATTAGGGGCAAATAGGAAAGAGGTCAGCATATCATTCAAATCATCATGACACGTGAGCAAAACGAGGGTGTCAACCATACACTCAAACGCGTTTGGTCACCTGCCTTGCAAGGAGGGTGGGTACTCACATAATTGTTTAAAGCCTAGCTTTTTCAATCGACGGTTGGGCAAACCAGCAGCAATGCCAGCGCCGGAAGCGATTGTTGTAACCATTTTTGACGGATATAATTTATTTCACGTACGCCGCGCCGCGCGCAAAAAGGGCGTACACGAAATTGGCTTGGAAAAGAACAGCTCTGGAGGGAGAGGCTGCTCAGCGAACCAGGCTTGAAGGCTTAAAGCGCGCGCGCGCAAACGTAATATACAAGACCCCTCAATCGATTCAGGAGTTGTCCAATCGTCAGGGCCAAAAGATCAATGAAACGCGACCCAACTGATTGTGATCGAGAGATAGTCTGTCGGATGACTTCAAACCAGCTTCAGAGATCACGAAAGTATAGGATTGATATCGACCTTTTATTGTGCGGAAATAGAGCCTTAATTAGACAAAATCCATCCGGATTCTACTATTTGCGCGCGCTTGAAAATTGTGGGCCTGCGAAACGATTTTTGCCAGTTGGGAAAGGGGCAAAGAGCCAAAATACGCGTCAAAAAGGGGAAAAAGTGGATGTAAAAAATACAAGAAAACGGCGTAACGCACGCTCTAGGCGTATGGGCTGAAGCAAAAAAGACAGGGAAAAGGGTTGAACAGTAATGCGCGCGCGCTTTGCTTGTTTGGGTGGCAATGCTTGCTGAGCAAATTGGATTCGATCGATGATACTGACGCGCGCCTTTTATCGAGCCGGATTTTGGACCGGCGCGCACCTCTGAATGCAATCAAAAATTGAAAAACGGAATTGTCCTACGTAAAGTAAGATGGCCAAAAGATGTCTTCCACACAATCAAGGAGGCCGACAAATTGACGAAAAATAAGGATGTGAGAACACGAATCGAATCCAAAATCAAAAGGATCGATCGTGTGTTGAGGAAAGAGGTCGTGCGAGGGGACAGAAGGAGGGATTCAAGTTGCAGGGTGGATTATAATTCGATTTTCTTTCTCTTTTCAATTTGCGCGCGCGCGCACGCCAAATGAAAAAAAAAAATTTGTCAGGGGGGCGCCAGCGGACGTGTTTTGTATTGGAATTGTTTTAATGCCTGAATAGAATCCAATAGAATAATCCAACGGAGTCATTTTTCACGAAAGCAGCAAGCCAGCGTGCGCGTTCTGATCCTTTTTCTTAATACTGAATTTGTATTAGAAATGCAGCGTGTTCATAAAACTGTATTACGAGAACGTGCTACTTGCTCTTCAGGCTTTAGACAAGTAGGATCTTCTCGAAGACCCTAAGAGAGGTGGCTTTTGCCAGTTACAGTAGTAGTATGACAATATTTCAGTAGGCTATCGCTTCTCTATGGGTTGGCTACTTTATACAGATGTGCTATTATACATGTCAACAATTTAACCCAAAGGAGGCCTTGCGGTCGGTGTGATCGTTTCAGGTGAAGAATGGTTCAAACTTGCTGGTGCTCCTCTCATACTTTCCACGGTTGCTTTTACCGAACTGATACTTAATCCTTTATTCATTCGACTTTCCACTTCTTCTTGTCCATCCTCTTCGGCATCCACATTTTGCACCGTGACTCCCGGTAGAGAGACAAGTCCGTTTGCTTCTTCGTCTCTTGTTTCACCAACATCATAAGCTTCTTTAGCCAATGGATGATACGATCGAACGGCTGCTTGTCTTGGAGGAATAATCACGGAAGCAGTTGGTGGCGCAAGGCTAGACGATGATGCTGTCCGACGATGACTCTGCGAATGATATGTAGTATTCGATCGTTCACCATCTTCCAGTGGTTCGGGAGTATGACTGCGAACACCTAGACCGCGATCACGCAGAGATCCCAAAGCTCTCATCAGATCATCTGCCAAAGTGTTCGTATTCGGCGGATCTTCACGGATAGGTTCCCATCCAACAGGAGGCGAACCTGGTGGACTGATGAGAAAGTTTCGATCTGTGGTAGGGACAGGCAAATGAGCCTCTCCTTGATCACGAAGACGAGAGAGAGCTTGGGGTTCTCCATAGTAGGCACGTAAGACAAGCCTGTGTTCGATAGAGGGATGAAATATCAGCTTCAACGCTCTACTGAAGCAAAGTACACCTGACCAACTTACCCTTCTCCATCTCCAGCGGATAATTTGCGAGGCTCTACATCCGATCCTTCTTGAAGATCAAGTATGGCCTCATCTTCTCCTTCGTCTATCAAAGGGAGCAAAATACGATCCAAAGCTTCTTTCGCACGTTTTGCACCATCAATCTTGGAATACATCACAATCGCACGACCAAAGCCTGGTAACGTTAGCCACCAATCCATTTCCCCATACGCATGGAGAAGATCGAGCAAAGCAGATGCTAAAGAAGGGGTATAAAACACCTCATTAGGCACATTGACCAAAATGAGTGTTTCGGTAGGGGCGACAGAGGTTGCTTTTGTCGCTTCTGCTGCTTTGCTTTCGTAAAGATGTCTTGGATCGGATGAATGAAAAGATGCAGCAGGACTTGTACCATACCCATGCTCTTCATTATCGTCTGGCATTTGCAATAATGAATCAAGATGTGCCAATGTGGCCTGAGAGATTTAAAAAAAGGGATTGATGAAAATGCGTGAGCTTGCTGTCCTTGCATTTAATAAGGCCTAAACCGGCTATCAGGTGTCTGATAATGATTCCTCACCCTTCCTGATTCGCTTAGATTGATGCTTGGACCTGCATCACCACCCTCTTCTTCTGCATCTTCGAATGCTCCCTCATTTTGCAATTGTGTATGTCTTGCATCCCCGTTTGCAGTGTGCGCAAGACCCGTTCCAAACGGTCCAATGGATGAGAATGGATTTCCGAATCCGCCATCTTCTCCATCTTCCATGATTGATGGATGTAATGATGCACAGTGAGATAAAGTCTCAAACAACTTCTCCACTAGATGGGTTCGCGAAAGGGTCGTTAATATGCGCAGAGATGCTACCGTGTCAAATTTACTCACCTAGATCTGCTTCGGCGGGTACGATCCATAGCTCAGCCAAGTTGTCATCTCCCTCTTCTTCTTCTTCTTCTTCTTCTTCCTCTGTGCCAGCACTTAGATCTAGCTGACAATACACGCATCCTGCTTCAGAAGCTACTAATGAAGTACTCTGCATTGCTTGTGGTAGCGATCTTGAAATTGCATGTAGAGACAAGCTTGGGTAGTCCAATGAGAACCCTTTCTGATCCGAAGGTAAGAATGAAATAGATTCGTCGGTCAGGAACAGCGTTCCTTGATGTACAGCATCTGAGGCTGTTTCGTTTCCATTGATGGCACCCGCTTGTCTTCCTTCGTCTGTCCCATTTGAATGCGGAAATGCTGTAGAGGGCTGTAAATGACATTTGACGTTGTCCAATTGAAGTCTTAAGATCGGAGGTAAATTACTGAATGTGGACGGCGTTGATTCCTGCGATCGGGAATAGTCCTCCTCTGTGACGAAAAGAGGCTTCTCTGAAATAGACTGAAGCGGCATCTTTTGTGTATATGTCTAAGATGACTGTCAAGGAGAAAGTGTTGGGTGTTGGTTTAAGAACTTTGGAATCAAAAACGCGAAGCCCATGCGCTAGTTACGTAAGCGACTTGGTGCATTCATTCATTACCACGCTCTTCTTCTCAATGATGCTATTTGACAATGGTCTATCTTACAGGTAAATTCTATGAGGATATATGCTATAAACACACTATTAACAATCAATAATCTTCGTCATCATACCGCATGGATTTTCCAACTGGCGGCGCTGCATACTGTTGACGATGTCTTTGATTTTGCCTTTCCCATGCTGAACCTCTAGGTTCATTATCCACCACTCCTCCAACGGCTTCTGCACGATCCAAGATTGCTTGTAAGGTTGGTGGTAGATGTTCTTCATACTGTTCGACAGGTAAATCTGTTCCATTGATTGTACGAACGGGCGCTGCTTCTGCGATTGTATGTCGAACTGCATCGGATGAATTCAGATGTCCTTCCGCGTGACCAGGTTCGTTTTGCATTGGTAAATCAGCATCAAACGGTTCCAAGCCAACTAAACCACGCAAGACACCTAAAGCACCCACTTTTGAAGTGACAAGGTTTGCATGTGCACAAGTTTGACTTGTGACGCAACTTGGACATCCTTCCACACAAGGACAAGATTCAATCACCGAGATTGCTATTCGAATCAATCCATCCAAATGTTCAAAGGCTTTCACACAAACGCCTCCGTTCAATCCTGGTGTATCGTAAAAGATCAAACGAGCAGGTCTTTTGCGACTCGTTGGCTTGCGTGCATATTCTCGTTCTGCTACTTTGCATTCTGTTCGAACATCACCCGCTAAGCTGACAACGAACATTGGAGTTAAACTGAGTAAAGCATGTTCGGCAGCATGGATTGCAGCAGCTGCATTAATTGTCTTATCAATCAAAGCATTCACCAACCAAGCAGGAACATCAAGCCAGAGTCCTTTTGTGTCACGGATAAACGGAGGGCTTTCAAGGCTGACTTCGTCCAAAATATTTGCCCTTTTGTCCACCTTGAAATATCCCCAAACATGAGTTGCAATACGAACGTGTCCATAGTATGCTTTCGTATTTGTATCTCGCAAAGCACGAATACGATGAGTTTCCATTGCATCCGTATCTGTGTGATCACGAGGTCGGGTATGATAGTTAACGTTTGCTTGTTTCATTCTTGCGATACGCTTTTCATGATCGATATCTTGGCAAATGTACGATAAACCTTGATGCATAAACACAGCCCCTTCGAATGCTTCAAAGATTGCACGGTCGACTTCCACCTCTTCCATCACTCGAGGACCAGAACGTCTGTTGGGCGAATCATCTATGTAGATGTACGTGAGTTGACGTGCACCACGTAAAGCCACTTCTCGTGCTGGATTCGGACGTAGTTCTGGCCGACAGTGATAAAAGCCATCTTTGTCTTGTTCTAATCGAGTTGCACATAATTTGTCAATCACATCTTCATCGCCAAAGTACTTTGCATCTTCTTCAGGTTGGAGTGGCATTTCCATAGCTGCACATTGAAGATGACTTTCCAAGACAAAGTCATTCTTTAGGTCTACACTGAGAATCGTATCAGGTTGACTGAAGATTTCTTCAGGGTTACGCATGTAGTGCTGGTCCATGGGGAATGGGTCTCCGATCAAAACTGCCAAGGAGTCTTTCTGACGTCGACCTGCACGTCCTGCTTGTTGTCGTAAACTTGAGATCGAGTAAGGAAATCCGAGCATAATCACAGCATCCAAAGTACCAATGTCGATACCCAGTTCCAATGCACTAGTAGCCACAATACCCAACAAAGCACCCTTGAACATATCTTGTTCGATCTTTCTTCGATCTTCAGGAGAATAACCGGATCGATAGGACATCACCCGTGAAACAACATCTTGACGGTTGTCCAATAAGAGATCGTTACGGATTTGATTCATCACTATTTCACAGGTTCGACGTACTTTTGTAAAGATGATCGTTCGTACTCCACGTTCGACCAGATGACGAAACACTTTTGATGTCTCAGCATATGCGCTCACCCTTCCTTGCTTTGGGTCATTGTCATCGATTAAAGGAGGATTCCAGATCAACCACTCCTTATTACCGGCGGGCGAGCCATCCTCTGTGATCACCTCAACTTCTTCGATACCGAACAATGTGCGCATATGTTCGGCCGGATTGGCAACTGTAGCACTACAGCTAACAAAACGGACATTGCGATTGCCGAGTGCATGACACATCCTCCTTAGCCGCCTCATGACAAATGAAACATGTGCTCCAAATAATCCATTGTACATGTGCAATTCATCTACGACAACAAATCGTAAGCCACGTAAAAATCTACGCCATTGATATTCGTTGGGTAAAATACTTTGATGTAACATATCCGGATTGGTGAAAATCACACTCGCACGATCACGAATATCTTGACGTAATTCTTTGGGTGTATCACCATCATACGTTGCAACGATTGTTTCTTGTAATCCATCACAATTGAGTAAAAGATCTTGTAATGTTCTCTTTTGATCTTGCGCTAATGCTTTTGTGGGGAAAATGTACATCGCCGTTGATTCGTAATCTTCTTGTAATGCTCGAAGAACTGGAATTTGATAAATGAGACTCTTACCACTACTCGTACTCGTGCAAACAATGATGCTTTTATTCTCATCCAATGCATTCAGTGCATCGGCTTGATGTAAGTAGAATTCTTCGATCTGTCGAGTTGCCCAAAGTGCGTTCACGATCTCTTGACTAAGCATGAACGTCAATTGATCATATCTCGCAGGTCTTGAGGCAATACTTCTCCTTCCACCTGCGACAATCTGGTCTTTGTACCAGACTTGCGATCGTAATTCTTCAATCACTTCACTGATCGGAGGTCTTTGGTCAGGATTTTTCATGAAGAACTCCAGTCGCATCTTTCGTTTTCTTGGTGTTTCGCCGATGGCTTTTGTGCCCAATTCTGGGTTGACGGGAATATGCTCTTCTGCTGCTGAGATGATCAATTGGACAGGGTCTTCTTCTTTAGCCATACAAGCTGTCAACAACTCCAACACAGCTTGCTCAAACTTAAAGTTACGCTTCTCAATAAGCTTCGTCATGGCAGCCGCTGATGGGATTTCGTATAATTTTGGATTCGGTCTTCCTTTTGGATTGTTCCGTGAAGGTCCTCTTCGCATACCTGGCTTGCCTCGAGCCGTTGCTTTCGGACCTTTCAACGTTCCATCATTGAATTCAAAGAACAAAACGAAATCTTCAACCGGCTTGCCAAAATTTGACGTTGATTGTGCCTCGGCCACCTTCATCAGTGCCTGTGAATTGGTCTGTTGACTTTGCATCATCTCATCAGCATCATCTTCGAATCCGTTAGCTTCTAAGGAAACATGCATAGTCTCACGCATCTCTTCTTCTGCACGATCTGCGGCTGCTTCCTCTTCGATATTCCGTGCAACTTGTGCATATATATCATCCATCTCTGCTCGATGCGCCAAGAACTTTTCACGTCCAGTCATGGATTCGATATCCTTCCTACGTGACTTTCCCATGGAGGAACCTGATGGAAGCTCATTATGAACTTGCAAAAGTTCTTGTTCAACGTATGCGAAATTGATCAAATCCGAGCACAGCGATTTGATTTGTGCAATGTCCATGATCTCTAACGGTCGATTGAGCAAACCTTGAACACTACTTTTGAGGGTGTCGTATGTCGTTGCCATATGTTTGCGACCTGAACAAAACGCATATACCGTATTTAAAGCCTTGAACGTCTTTTCCAATTCGAGGAAATGCTCTGGCCAAGGGAAAGTACGTTCTAAAGGCGGCTTCTCACCTTCTTCTGTTTCATTTGCTCGTTCAGCAGCTTCATGTACAGTGTTGTGTGTAGGAGTTGGCTCTGGAGTTGCCTGTGCTTGTTGCCCTTCTTCATCTTCTTCGGATTGCTGAGGAGGTGTTGATGGTCTGGCGTTGTTTGCTGGGTTGGGTATTCCAAGCATGGCAAGAATTGAATCTACTCTACTGTCTTCCGTTTCTCCATTTGCTGCTCCATTCAAGTCATCCCCTTCTGTCTTTACTGTTAAATCTGCTTCTTGCTTCACAGGTACATTCTTTTTTCCCACCTGTTGCTGATCTTCTTCATCGCTGCTTTCGATAACGATTGCGTTGGGGTGTGCGTCCTCTTCCTCCGTTTTGATACGAACTTGCTTTGAATTTGAGGCGGATTCTGCTTGCATTTCCTTCTCCTTCTGCTTGACTTGATTTTCAAACCGTTCACGACTAGCAAGAACAGCCCCAGCAGCACTTTGTCCTAACAGCCTCCTCCTCTTTTCACTTGGTGTTTCCAGGGGATCATTTTGCTGTGACTTCTCAAAAGCACCCGTTGCTTCTCCTCTAAACAGCTCATCATTATAATTTATCGATGAATGGGTATCATTTGTTGGAATTGGAGAGGTTGCCTTTCTTCTTTGTCCTGTTTGTGTGGGTGCTTCTTTTCCTCTTTGTCTTGCTGATTCTCTTCGCCTTTGTAAGCCCAACTCATCTACCCTTCGTAATTTAGCCATCATGCATTTCCCGTCCTATGAATGCCATGAGGCTGTTGTGAATGATGAAGGATTGATTACAATTTTGACACCATTCTTAATGCAATCAATTTTGTGTTAATGTGGAGAAAATTAATCTTACGTACGCGTACAATACAAATACATCCATCAACCCGTGTAAATTAAACGCGTAAAGGCCATGATATATCAATGCAACATCCCATCCTGTTAAGAGGATGATGTGATCATAAGCATGCTTAAGTATTCCATCTTACATCAGTATCTGAACGAGCTGACATGCATCTTCTCAATCTGAGAGGTTCCAATCAATCTATGCATCTTGACAATTAATTAAAATATAAATCATGCTAAAATGGTGTTAAAAAGGGAAGGGGCCTGTGCTTCTTCGGCAACATAATATTAAATTGGCGCAACGTGGCCGTGCGGCACCGATGATGGTCATATTAGATTATTTGCAGCATCGTATCTGAAGCATACATTCAATGGGCTATACCTCACTCCCTACTTCATGCTCAAATGCACCATATTCAACAATGACGACCTATCAACAAACATATGCTGGATATGGCGGCCAAGAATATTCCTACAATGGAAGTGGAACAAACTCTTTAGGAAACCACTGGAGTTCACTTGACTACGGTCCATCAGCAGCCAATCAAAACAATTATCATTATAACAATCAGGATGGGTCGTACTATTACAGCAATCCTGATGGATCACGGTGAGTGTTATTTGAAATAAAGAGTTTGTAGGGTGTGCTAATTTTATATCTCTCTTAACAAACAGATATTACAATAGTGGAGATGGATATTCTAAATACACACCGCCCGATGAAGAGCAAGATGAAGAAATGTCAGATCAAGAAAATGAGCAACAAGATGAAGAGGAATCAAATGAAATCGAGGTTGAACAAGAACCCGATCGGGCTGATTATAGATTGGACTTCGACAATGGTCATCAAAACAGTGGTACTATAGACAGCAAGGAAAATTCTCGATCTCAAGCGGATCAGACAGACTCGGAAGCAGATAATGGTGAAAATTCAAATGAAAACACTGAATACGTTGGCGATTCGTACGATTCGGAACTTTACGAAGAAGTGTATGATGAGGGCGAAGGTGAATATGTAAGCGATTACGGTGAAGATGATGGTTATGGCGATAGCATAGATAACGTTGATGATTATGAAGATGATTTTTACGATGACGACGATATCTATGACGATGACGATGATTACAGCTATGACGATGATGACTATGACTAATTTAATAGTCTTTTGCTTTATATTCATCTGTATTCATATATAAACAGCTTCAAAGAGCATAAACAATACAATGAAATCAAACATATTCATCCCGCAAGGTTTACAAACTGTATGAATTGCGTGCTTTCTGCATAAGTTGCAGTGCTTTGACAGTTCATATCGGGCTGCAAAAGTATCAACGCGGCCGATAAGCACAAGTGCTTGACAGGTCTACGAAGGTCAAAGCGCAATTGGCTGAGGTTCTTTTAAAATTGCTGAGCAATTAGGAGTACTTAAAGCTTTTTCATTCTGATTTTCTTCTTTCCTTTCTTCTCCATCAACTCTCAAGCACTTCTCAATATTCTCCAGTGTAAAAGCTCAAGTAACAATGACTCACGGCAAAGGAAGCTCAAGTGGCAGTGGTCAAGGTGGCTACACCTACAAGAGCTCCGGCACGAATTCTAACGGCAATCATTATTGTGCAAGAGACTATGGATCTTCTGCTCCCAACCAAAACAGTTACCATTACAGTAACAAGGACGGTAGCTATTATTACTCCAACCCAAACGGGTCAACGTGAGTTTTTGTTTTGGCGATTATATCTAATTGGTACTTCTGCTCACATGATTTCTCTCTGTATAGCTACCACAACAATGGCGATGGTGGCTCCAAGTACACCTCTCCTTCTGGCCAATCTTACAGCAAGAAGTGATTCAAGCAAGCCGGTCAAGTCGATATTGAACATATATTTCTTAGTGATTAGTGTATCAAAATTCGACCTTTTGTAGTGCTATGTAGCTGTCAGCTGACACAAGAGTAACCTCAATTCATCAGAGATCTTCTATTGCTTGTTCGAGAGTACCAGATCCTTGAGAGAAGCACCAACTAGCGCTTATATTCGTTCCTCTTTGAACTATGAAACGCGGGGTAGGGAATCTAAAACCAGAGAGCGTATAGATGTAGATCGTGGCTGTATGCTGCTTACATAAGTCATTGAGAGTGATGGTACTAGCGCGAGTTGAAAAAAGTGGCGTGGGGGAATTTCTTCCTGCTCTTCTTCTTTTCAACCTCCATCAGCATATAGACATCAAGTATGATAAGATCACAACCGATCCGGAATGCCATCTCAGGGTGCAATAGATGCTCAAAAGGGCCTTCATTCACAACAAGTAGATTGGCAGCCCTCTCTCGACAATACAGCTCTGTTACGTCACCTCCACCCAGTCAACAGCCTGACAGTAATGGTCCAAGTAAGACACTGGCTCAAGTTTTGGCAGATTCAATCAAAGCTTCAGGACCTTTGTCAGTGTCTACATTCATGCGAACATGTTTATTGGATCCAGAACAAGGTTACTACGCTTCAGCAAACGCCGCAGGTTCCTCTTCAGATCAAGCCGGAAGAGATGTTTTGGGTGCTAGAGGAGATTTCATCACTAGTCCAGAGATCAGTCAAGTGTTTGGAGAATTACTGGCAATCTTCTTTATTGCAAGATGGCAAACTGTCATGCCCGATGGTCAAACGAGATTGGTGGAGCTAGGACCAGGAAGAGGTACACTTTTGGCCGATATGATTCGAACATTTGCCAGATTTTCGGCTTTCTTCAATACGATCAAATCCATCCATCTAGTCGAAACTTCTCCGGGTCTCATGGCATTGCAACATGATGCGATAGAAGCAGCGCTCACACAAGCCGGCAAAAAGATCGTCCCTGCAGATCAAGAAGTCTTGGCAGATGATGAGGTCAAGCTTGAATGGTTCCCGATCGCCGACAGTGTTCCCGTTCAGAATGACACATGGTCAATGGTAGTCGCACACGAATTCTTCGATGCTCTGCCAACGCATATCTTCGAACGATCTGCAGACGGTTTTAGGGAGGTCCTCGTGGACATTGAACGTGCCAAAACTGGACAATCTGGTATCACAGTTCTCAAGCCAGGAGACCTTACCGGAGCAAAGTCTTCAACTCCATCTGCCGACTCGACAGATGCCAAGTTCCGATACGTCATTTCATCTTCGCCTACACCATGGTCTGTACTTTTGGCAGCTAGAAATCCACGCTTCCAAGTTTTGCAACCGGGTCAACGAGTAGAAGTGAGCCCTGAAGCATGGGCAACAGCACGAAAGATGGGAGAATTGGTTAGCGGCAGAAAGGCAAGAGCGGGTAAACCTGAACGGGAAAGTGATGAACAACGTTTAGAACGCGAAAGAGGTGAATCTGAACGCCTGCAGACTCCTTCAAAAGGTGGGGCTGGTTTAGTGATTGATTATGGAGATGAAAAGGCGTTTGGTGGAAGTTTTAGAGCTTTCAAATCGCACAAGATCGTCGATCCTTTAGATGCACCTGGAACGGCAGATTTGACGTGTAATGTGGATTTTTCTTATTTGAAAAATGCACTTGCCATGACAGACGCGAGATCTTTAGGACCTATGTTTCAATCTCACTTTTTGCAAGCTTTAGGAGTCGAACAACGTGTTGAAGCATTAGTCAAGAATGCAAAAGATGCAGAAAGAGGAAAAGAGATCGATCACGCTGCCAAGAGATTGGTTGATGCCAATGGAATGGGAGCGCAATACAAGGTTTTAGGTATTTGTTCAGAAGCACAAACGGGAGGTCCAAGTGTCAAACAAGTTGAAGAAGGAGTGACTGCAGCTGATCAAGACAAGGTTATGTGTTATCCATTTGAGATGTAAGATAATAGTTATAATAGATTGTACTAATTTTAGAGTTATTGTGTTGAGTTTGCCGTTAGCGTAAAAAGTGGATTGCTTCTCTCCACTCAAGCAGGCAGGCAGGCAGGCTTACTCTGTCTGTCTTGTGCTGTTTAATAAATGAGTGAATGAGAGCGTGTAACCCTGCCCTCCCTTTCTCCTCCCTTTTTTGGCGTAGCGCCGAGGCAGAAACCGTTTATGCGTGTGGAGTTACACAAGCTGAAAAGTTGTGCAAGCAGGAACAAAAGGTAAAAGACGGTACCGTCGGATAATTGAGTTTGTAAAGTAAATCATCTCCATCATCATCCTTCATCATCGTCACCTTTTAGTTTGCCTTGAGGCTCGTGGCTGAAAAGTAAATCGATCTCCAACCTTTTCCTTTCGCTTTCCTAACTACGACGCATACGACATCAACCTCATTCATTCATGACATTACGACCCAACGAATAGATTTCAATATACCTTTTTAGTCAATCAATCATACAAAATGAGTCGAGCAGGCGGAGTGTATGGGTAAGTATACGAAAAAAGATCCTTTTTTTGCAGTTCATGATTAGCTGACACTCTCTACTTCATCTTTCAGCATGTTTGGCAATGCTGCCATGGGAGGAGGAACAACGACAGATTCTGGAGAGCAGGGAGGGTCTGATGTATTCGATGCACAACCAACAACAACCACTGATCTTTCAGATTGGACGATCGATGCTCCATCGGATAAAGCATTGGATCTGGTTTTCATAATGGACGCAACAGGTTCGATGGGTTCTTACATCGCTTCAGCAACAAAGAATATCGAAACAATTTGTGATAATATCATTCGATCTGAACAACTATCAGGTCCAGGCGCTTTACGTTTGGGACTGCTAGCGTACAGAGACCATCCACCACAGGATCATACATACATCGTCAAGAATTTCGGCTTTACACCTGAAGTGAGCGAAATGAAATCCAATCTGAAAACGTTGTACGCATCTGGCGGTGGTGATGGTCCTGAAGCTGTAACTGCAGCTTTGCATTCGCTTTTACAGATGGAATGGAGACAGCGTGCAACCAGGATGGCAGTCTTGATCGCTGATGCTCCACCACATGGAATTGGCGAATATGGTGATGGATTCCCTTCTGGATCGCCTGATGGGAATGATCCTTTGAAGATTGCTAGAATCATGGCAGCAGGTGGAATACCGCTTTACGTCGTAGCATGCGAACCTGCTTTGAGCGGATATACCTATGCGGTAGACTTCTTTCAAGCAATGGTTAGCATTACCGGTGCTCAACTATTACCTCTCACAAGTGCAAGTCTATTGGCTCACGTAATCATCGGTGCAGCCGGAGAAGCAATGGACATGGATCGATTGCATCGTGAGCTAGGAGATGCAGTGGCAGATCGTATGAAAGCTATGAGTTTGGAAGGACGTAATTCAGGCGATGCAATTATGGATGAAGTTACTCGTGAATTACATCAAAGCTTGCAATTGAGAAATGAAAATACAAAACAATTGCTGATCGAATCAATCTATCGTGAAAGTGAGGCATCAAAGCATAACTTCTCAGTCTTCACACAAGCGCCAGATTTGGGAACTGCTAGACCATTACTCAAACGTGTGATCGGATCAAGATTGAGTGAAAAGTACTTACAAACACGTTCAGCCTCTTCTTCCTATCGCTCTTATGGCGATTTCCCTCATCCAAGAGCTTCAACCGCGACTGCCGTCGTGGCTACGGATATCTATGCTGCCAAACATCCAGCATCCGGTTCACCACCGTTGATTACATCTTCTTTCGGTTCAGTTTCCCCGAGCAGAAGTCCGCCAACGGGTGGATCGAGAAAGGTGATTTCTGATTTCTCGACGTTTTCCGCTTCGCCCGGAATGTCTTTTTCCAATGCAGGAGGTTCACCTTCTTTGGGCGGACAATCTTCAACTTTTGGAGCTTCTTCTCCTCCGATGGCCTCGTTCGGAAGTCCACGAACGAATAACGATTATAGAAATTCTGCTTTTAATAATAATTCGAGCAGAAATACGTTTGACGATGATGATGAAGATGATGAAAAGTTTAACAAGCCAAGCAAACCTTTACCGGTGGAGGTAAACGAAGATGGAAGTGTTGAAGTTCGCGGAGATGATGGACAAAGATTAGCATTTAGACAAGGTGCAATCTCGATGGAACAAGTTCGTCGTTTAGCCATGCAAAGTGCTTATCGTTCAGGGTTGGCCAATTGAAATGAAAAGGGGAAAAAGGGGTTAGAGAAGCAAACATATGTACACTTAGAAAGCAAACAATCACCACCAATTCACCCGATTTCAATCAAATTTCAATGGTATTGTGTTACAGGTAAAAAATAAAGGCGGCAATTGGCGCAATAAAAAAAAAGGTTCTTGTTAGAGTTCTATGAGGGGTTTAAGTATCACACCTTTTTGTTGTTGACTTTTTCTTTAAGTCGCTTCGGCTTCTACTGTTGGATGTGCCGTTTGCGTAGATGGAACTCGACCTGCCATTGGTCTTCCGGTAGCCGTACTACGACCGCTAGCATCGATACCATGTTGTAGTTGTGACGCCGTTTGATTTGCAACGTCGGCTTCCGTTGTTGCATTCGCATTCACTCCGCTGCCTGTGCCTGTGATCGCGCCTGATCCTGTACTACTGTTCAACCCGATCCCTCCGCTATTCGTTGCTTGTCCACTGGCACTTGGATATAATTCCGTCCTGACAATACATCTATCCAATTCATCAAAACTTTCCGGTCGCATACGCATCCAACGCATCCTTGGTCCACTTTTCGCATATTCGCTCACTCTGAAACCATAAATTCTTGGGGTATACAAACGTGCTTGTGGATTCCTTTGACCGAGCACTTCGGGAGTTAGTGTAGAAGCAGATGTTGCAACGGCAGTCGTCGTTCCAGCATTGCCGGATGATTCGTTTGTCGCATTTCCGTCTGCTCCTGCATCTCCTTTTCCACTTTGCACAACCCCATTGCTACGTTGAGATATGGATCCTTGTTGTTGCGTTTGAGTATTTAAGGACGCAGAATTGGTTCCTGCTGGTGCGATTGGTGAAGGGGCTAGCTCTCGATAGGTTTGAAAGAGAAGATGAGGGAATGTTGTTCCGAAGAATGCCCCGTCGACTCCATGAAACCGACTCGATGGTGGGGAGTAATTGTCGACGCAATTTGCACAGAATAGTTTGACAGTATCCAACCCGGGTAGATCCGATCGACCACAAGGTAAGACAGGATGAGAATGACAGAACACACGAGGGCAGAAACCAAAGTGACCGCGCTCATACTTGTCTGCCATTTGCTGCAATCCTTGCCGGGTAAGAATATACCGCTGATGAATGAGGCCGTAAAGAAGTTCTGCGCTTGATTCAACAATGGAAACATCGGGTATCTTTAGACTATCTTCTTGTGGTTCAACGTCCAAGATCATTTCCAATGCTTCTTTGTAGAATGGTACTAGCGCATTTAAGCCTGTCAGATTGAAATCGTCTTCGATAAAATCTTCGCTCACTTCAGCAAAATATTCATGTCCAGGCAAAGAGCAAAACCAACTGATCCAAGTCAACGAATCTGTTCCGCTTTCCGAGGGCGATTCTGATTCGTATATATCGTGTTCGAGTTGTTGTGATGCGAATTCTTCACCTAGCATTCCTGCTTCGCCTCCTCTTCCTCCCATAGCTTCATCTTCCTCTTCTTCTTCTTCGTCTTCATCTAGTCCGGGATCACGTTGTTCTAGTGTATTTTCTGCATGCTGTGATGCATCTTCTCCCAATCCGATTTGTGTACTACTCTCGCCTGGCTTTTCATCAAATATGTCGTTTGCGCCTGCTGCATTTGTTGCTGATCTCGATGTCATCTTTTCTCTTGTTGATTAGGTACTCCTATCACGCGCGTGAGTGATGATCAGGGCTGCCAGCGAGCGTAAAGCTGAATTTGAGCCCAATATCGTAAATCGTTCTGAGAAGCAGGATGAGGTCGTAAGAGTAGAATGATATCTTGTCGTTGCCCGGCGATCGGATAATTAATATTTAAAGACGAGGAAGAGTATGTGTGCGTGTATGTTGTTGTTGTGCGTGCGTGCGTGCGTACACACGTTAAGCAATCAATCAACTAAGGGAAGGGCGTGCGCCCAAATTGAATAACAATGGACTAGAAGAAGCACGCGCTAAGAAAAAAAGGCACTTTAACACTCTGATCCAATTCCACAGCCTTAAAAGCGCTTGCTCCTCCTGATCGATTCTCTTCTGCTCCGTAACTCCATCGTCATCCATTCATGCTTGGCATCAATAAGCGCCTTTGACGATGAGATGGGGAATATTTTATTTCTTTAAGCTGATTTTAATGGGTTTGCGTTCATGCTAACACTATACATTCCCTTTCATCGAATCGCCTGTAGCTTGTGATTAACAGAGCATACATTCGAATGATGCACGCTGGGTTGTGTGAAGTCTTCGGTGGCTACGAGCAGACATTCTTCCTTACTTACAGTCTTCTTAGATTGAAAGGAAAGCAGAGCTGATCTTGAAGACTAACAGAGGAATAGACGAGCGATTATAAGATTGAAAGCATATTATTAAGTTACAGATTCTAACACCAATGAGGATAGATGGTCAGGTGCAGGTATGACCTTGATTTGACCTCTGACAAGATTTAACTCACACTACTGAAGCGCATAGACACGGCTTGCCGCTTTGTTTGCCGTTGGTTTCTATGGATGAAATATATTTCACGGCCCGCATTCCTCTATCCACGGTAACCGTCTTTTCGGCGTAAGTTGGTGCGGTTGTACAGTGAGATCACAATCTGGGAAAAAGAAAAAGGCTTTAAATCTCCCGTATGAAGTTCTTTTTATAGAAAGCAAAATAAGCATTCGTGACAGATATGCCTATAACCATAGTCAACCTTTTGTTTCTTCTTACCATCATTGTCTCTTTTGCATTCAAACCGCCGCTCTTGAACAAAAAGCGAATCGGCTAAGGAACGGAGGACCTCTCTCATGATGCAAGTTGTATGCGTGTTGACAATCACATCAAATTCGTAGATTGCACAGGCCAATTAAGCCGCTTAAATACTAAATGGAGCGGAGATGGCGTTGTGCTTTCATCAAAAAAAGAAAAAGAAGGAAAATAAAATCAACATTTCGGACAATAACGTTACGCGCACACACACACAATATTACAGCCCCACTTGCGCACTTTCATCAAAAGGGCAAACAAAGCATTGCTCAATCATCCATCGGGTCAACTCAATCTGCTTTCTTTCCCTTTGTTGACTAACCTTTCTTTATCACTTCTCTCACACTTTACAACTCTTATCTTTTGCAAGTGCGCGCATAAAAGTGAATTGCATGAATCAAAGATTGCTGCAGAACGAATGCAAAGCAGGATAATTGCGCAATTGAACGCATTCCACTTTCCGTAGGACTTTCTTCGTTCGGTAAAACAGGTGCCTTGCTGTACCTTTTCGAAAGAAAAAGGTACCTGCATATTTTCATTTCACAACAATCATCGTGAGTTCATCATACAGAAAGAACGAACAAGGTCAAAACTTCGAATGTGAGCATCGTTCAGCATACCAAAGCACAAACAGCAATCAAAAGCAGAGTATAATCAAAAATGGAGAGGGTAGGGAGCAAACAACTTAAATCATTAGACATCACTTCTTCAAATCATCGTTCCTTTTCTGGCTCACATGGAAGTCACAATTGGAAAAAAGGCCTTGAAACGCCTCCAGTACTAAGCAGAGCAATGAAAGAGCCACCAAAAGAACAAAAAGACTCATCAACAGGTCAATTGATCAACATTCGTCAAGTACTAGCCCGTCCTAGCCCAAAGAAGGAAGACGAGAAAACGAGTACAGAGAATGAAAATAATGGGATCTTTTCTTGGTCAGATGAACAGCTGGCCGAAAGATACAATTTCATCAAAGAGGTCGGATTCGGTAATTGGGGGAGCTGTTGGCGCGTGACAGCGAAACAGGATGCTGTCAACTTGGTTGCTGATAAAGAATACGCTATCAAACTTGTTCATCGTCATGGTACCCCTCCTTCCAATGCTCGTGTCAAAGCACTTTGGAACGAATACAAAGTCTTACGCTCTTGCGGCAAGCCTGGTCATCCAAACTTGGTACATTTCAAAGAGTTTATTATTACTCCATCTTATGCCTTGGTGGCAATGGATTATTATCGTCAAGCAATGAATGTGGCTTTACCAGTTTCACTCTATGCTGGACCGAATGGTTATTTCAAACAGCTGCTTTCTTCTATCAATTGGCTGCACGAGCGAAAAGTAACTCATTGCGATATCAAAGTTGCCAATCTGTTGGTAGACTTGACCGATGATACTGTTCGTGGTCGTCCTATCTTGGTAGATTTTGGCTTTGCCACGTTGCACGATGCAAAAACAAACTTTCAAAGTACGCAAACTTGGGGTACACCAGAATACCTCAGTCCTGAACGAAGCAGAGGTGATCGTCATGATGAGCGACTATCTGACATTTGGGCTTTGGGTGTGACGTTTTTCGAGATTGCCACCGGTCGTACACCTTTCGAGCAAGATGATGAACAATTTCTTACCAAAGAACAGCTGGACGAATACTACAGACGAACGATCAATCCCGAATGGGTTGGCACTTGGTCGATCCCCAAGTCGTTGGAGAAATTATGCAAGAGAATGTTGACGCCAGAACCAGAGAAGCGTATTTTCACAGGAGAAGCTTTACATCATTCTTTTTTTCGAGAGGACTTCTCCGATGATCTTGGTGATATAGACGCTTCTTTGCGTGAAGAGTTGAGAAAAGAATGTCGAGACAGCAATATGACTGAATCACTTGTTTTGGATCCTGCAAATGAGGACAGTATGCTGGAAGCTGATTTCAACGTCAGAACACCGCGCAAGGATCAAAACGGACAAGCGCATAGTTCATCCTCAATCAAATTCAAACAAAGCAATGCAAGTGTACTTCTTACGCCAGATCGCGCAAGAGAGAATGGGTCCAGACAATCTCCTGACGTATCTTTGACCAGCACTGGTTTGAATCACATGTCTGCACAAGAGTTTACACCGCCGTGTGTTCCTAAAAAAGATAACCGTCGTGAACAGGTCCGCATCATTCTTGACGAATCAGATAGCGAAGATATACGGAACACGAGTGGAATGGCTGATTTGACGGCAAGTTCATTCGGTCAGGATCTTGCTTCTGACGATGACGTCACCGATGCCAATCTTATCTTGCAACAACAGCAACACCAACAAGGCACATCTAGCTCTGGTTCAGTGTTTAGAGAATTGATTTGGCAGACGCCACCTCCAAAAGCAGGCAGCCGTACTCGTTCGGCGAGTGATGGCAACGAAAGCACTCCAAGCAAACCCACATCATCAACCATGAAGAAAAGCCCTTATCCTCCATCTTCCAGTCGAAAGACTGCTGTGAATAAAGGGACATCATCTTCCGAACGACGTCATAGCCAACAAGATTCTCCGAAAGTTGGCGATTCATCCATCATCATTCACGGTACGAGTTTCGAGATGGCAACACCAACACACACTTCCTACGCAAAGTCGTATACCAAGCAAGAATTCGATCAAGCTGTCAAAAAGCTTAACGAAAGCGTGCTTAGCATCGATAAGAGTAAGATGAATGATGCGCATTCACCAATGTCGGAAAAGAGAATTCACTCAAACGGTGAGGTCTCACCACGAAGTCCCTCGGTCCTATTGCCACAAAGCGCGCTTTTCGCCAATATTGATGCACAGGCAATGGTTTCCGATCGTGCCTCATTGCAAACTCGAATGTCTGATTTGTCAAAAATGGAACAGCAAATTCAAGAATTCCGTCAATCAACGCTATTGCAACAAGAGAACGCAATTACCGCAAATAATTTGAGAGAATTGAATTCCGAGCAAATTTTCGCGAAATTGGCAGAAATGGACGAATTGGCAAGAACACTGGCAATGATGGTACGTGAGACACGAGCCGCATTGCAACATTACTGTGATCAAGATACAATTTCCAATGCATCTCAGCGTTACATGTCGCCACAACCTCATCAAGTGCAACATCGAATGAGCAAAACGATCATCACTGTTGAAAATCCCAATCAAAAGAAGCACAAACGTCAATTGAGTCTGTCAAAGCTGAATCTCTTTTCTTCGAGACGTAAGCAATCCGTTGCCTCAAATATGCAAATGGGGATGGCCGTGAAACAAGATCAAATCGTTAGCCCGGCGCATGCAAATAGATGTACCAGCAGTATGGCAGGTCCTAGACAATCGAGCGGAGTCTTTTCCACAATGTCTCAACGCCAGAATGGACTTTCTGACAACCAAATGTATGCTGATCCAGCAAATGACATGGCGCAAAAGAGCTCAGAAATTTTAATGAGAGATCAAAACGATCCGACAAGTATGTTCGTTTCGAGCATCCCATCCGCTTCTCAAGCATTGTGGTGGCAACAAACTGCAAATCAAGCGCAAATGCAAGGTGTCACTGGTGCCGACTTGGCATACTCCCCTGTCAATCAGACGAGAAGGGTCGATGATCAAAAATCGAAAGCCAACTATCCGCCATCTTCATCGACCTCTGCGAAAAAGTTGGCATCGCTTAATCGTCCAAGTACTGCTTCAGGTGCGTTGCCATCTTTTGGCCAGTCTGGAAGTGGAATGAGACGTACGAGCGAGCCAGATGCGGGAATGGGTGCACTCGCAGTCTCCTTGGGTAATGATCACGATAAACAAAGAGGCACTTCTTTGAGGCACAAGATGTCAAAAGTCAAGACGTTCACTTTAAGTCGCACAAATTCGGTCACCTCCAATCAAGGTAATCGAACGAGCATTGTGGTTTCGCCGAAGCATTTCGAGCATCATCCGGATAATATGATCAATCCTGATTCTGGCTCTGCACATTCCCATCAAACACAACAAGAACGTATGATGGACCTACAGACGATGGCCATGCATGGAATGCCGGTTTCTCCAATGATGCATAGCGAAGCACATTCACCGAACAATTCGTTGAGTTCGATGCCAAGGTACATCCTTGACGGTAGAGCCTCTCCTACAGTTCTTCACCCATCTCCTCATCTCAATCGTGAGAGAAGCACAAGCGTGAGCCAAAATGCACAATCTCCTAACCATTCGGGAGGCGTATTATGGCGTTTGCTCACAAATCGAGTTCAAAATCAAGGTCGTAACGCAACTTGATTTGCACAAATGAAGATTGACACAAGATTGTATATAGTTTTCTCCTCTGTTTCTTTTAGTCGCCTCTTTCTCTCTCTCCATTCTTCATTTATGACTGAGCATCATATAGAAAGCCGAATCGTCACCATGACTTTCCTTCATCAAGCCGTTTATATACCATTTGAATTAAATGAGTGAATATGTGTTTACAATTTGATGGACGAAAATGATTTTGGGTTTTGCACAAAAGGTATGGCAACATCAATGAGGGTATCGGAATATGCACATACAGTATGCTGGAAGCGATTTAGTCGGAGCGAGTATCCTGACCGTTACCAGAGTCGTCGCCATCCAGTAGAGAATACTGTTTCATCAAAGTGCACTCTCCTCCAACTTCTAGATCGATGTTGTAGCAGTAGAATAGCCCTTCTGACGTTGCACACATGATTTGAGGCGTTGTATTACTGATCGCAACGACAGAAGAGACGCCATTTGTGGGCAACTTGAAGAATGCGAAATCTCTTGAAGGTTCCCACATTTCTGCAAGAGTGTGCGGTAGATATCCCCCAACGGATCCACTGATATTCCTTCCAAATGCCATTGATTTTCGTCTGATCGATCCGCTCAGCCCGCCTGCTCGTTTGCGATCATCAATGAATGCTTCAAAGCCTCCGCCATTCCTTCCGTTTCCCGTTATACTGCCCGAATCCGAGCCATCTGCACTGCTCAAGCCAGGAGATCCCATCGAACTTCTATCTCCAATTCCTCCGCCCTGTATTGCATTATTGGCTCCAGGCTGTGTTAGCTTGAAGATATGAACGGTTTCGCTATCACTTGAAACGGCCAATAAGCTACTGACAGCATTGAATGCCATTGAGTAAATTCTTGCCTGATAGCTACCTCTTCTGAATTGAAATAATTTCTGTGCACTGGGAACGCTAAATACCCTTATCACAGTGCCTTTATCAGATGAAGTGGCGAGCATTGTACCGGTAGAGTTGAGCTGTAAGCTAGAAATCGGTGTCTTGTGTGCTTGAATGATATTTGTTACGCTCAGAGTGAGTAGATCGAAAATGAGAACGTCGCCAGGTGATGTCTGGTTAGATCCAGCGGAGAATGGCGATTTTGGTGACGGAACAGGCGATGGATAAGCCAAATAGCAAGGTTCTGAAGAAGGCGAAAGAGCGCAAATCGCTTGAGGATTTGGACTTGTTTCGATGGTGTGCAGAAGTTTCATATTGGAAATATCATAAATATAAATCTCTTCTTCCAATACGACAACCAACCTTCTTCTGTTTAATTTGACTCCGAGTACGGCTGTGGGGAATACTAGTTCGCAAATTGTTGATTGACGTTTTGTGTTTACGATTTTGAGTTTTCTTGGACTGCTACTTGGTTGACTGTCCGCCGTTCCAACAACGGCTACCAGACTTGTACAGAACAGCATCTCCACAATACTGCAAGGCCCGTCAGATTTGCTGTACACCTTTCCAAACGGTTCCACATTGGCTATAGAATATCCTTTTCGTGTTCCAACGCTCAAACAACTGCCATCTTGATTGAAGGAAACCGAAAGGAGATCTTGGGATGTCTTTGCAGGTGGAGCACGAGACATTGCTGTATATTTTGATCGAGGTTGATGATGCTATCAACTACAAAAGCTGGACCAGACGAATGTGACCAACTTCTTCTTGTTCGTGTGTGTGGTTGATGTAGGTGGTGATGATGATGATAGTTATTTTCCAAAGTGATGCTTCGTGAATGCTTGCTTCTTTACACATACTTTGTCCGTAAGCGGCGCTTGCGTTGTCCTTAGAGCTTAATCTCGCAACCTACGCTCAGTATTACAATGATTAGTTTAGGCGGATGCACTTTCAAAGTGTTGCTTAATTGTGGCCGTGCGCAGCGCGATTGCTAAACAAAAAAAGAAAAGCCCGCCTACGCCCCACGCCCGTTTAAAAACGCCAAGCAAGGAACAAGGTAAGGTAGAGCAGGCGCTAGCTACAACCATAACTATATCGGAAGATAAATGGGATAAATCATAATGATAATGATGGCTAAAGTACATAATGATGCAAATAAAAAGCAACAGTCCCAACACTTACAATGGCTCCAAGCCACGAGTTTCAAATGGCAAAAAGAGCATAGAAAAAGAAGCAACGATGAACAAACTTGCAGAAACAAAGACTGGCGTAGTTGGTTTAGAAGCTCCATAAGCAGCAATGAATGTTGGTAAAATACCAAACACTCTTTGAACGCTCATCGCTAATCCATCTCCTGCTCCTCTACATAAAGAAGGGAAACATTCGTACGTCATCGCGTACAAGATTGCATACATTGCATTTTGACAAAGACTGATTCCGCAATTCCATGCTAATACTTGATTGGGCGTCTTTGCAGTTGTGAAACCAAACAAGCAACATCCTGTCAAACAGGTAAAAAAGGCCATCGCTCCACGTCTTCCTAATCTGGGTAATTCCACTGCCAAAGTTGCAAGCAAGGAACCAGGAATACCCAAAACGGCAAAGATGACCAATTGTCTGTATTGCTCCGATTGTGTTGTCACGCCTTGATTACCACCAGATTCGGCAATGTAGATTGCAATAAAAGCGTTGTAAAGAGGATAAGCCAATCCAATGCAAGACCAACAAAACATAATCAGAATTGTATTTCTGGCCATTCGTGGAGTTGCAAATAATAATTTCATATGTTGTTTGTCATATTGCTTCAAATTCCTGCGAACCTCTGACAAATCATCGAGGCTGATCGGCATCAATCTTCTCCAAATGCTTGGGGAACATTTTGGTAATCTTTTCTCTCCTTCTTTTGGACGAAGCGATCTTTCTTTTACAACCACAGGCAAAGAGGATTGCGGGGTATTGCCGAATTCTTTGGCTCCCTTTTCGGCATCATGCGTACTTGTCACCGTCTCTATGCCGAAATTTGAAGATAGTGCGGTCGACTGTGGTCCTTCGGAAACGGCCAAAAGATGTTCTACGGTTAGTGTGTTGACCGTTTTATTTTGCTTTGCGATAAAGTCCAACGCTTCAATCACTTCTTCATACCTTCCCCTTCCAAGAAGCCATTTTGGTGATTCAGGTACGGGATAAATGAAGAATCGCAAGATCCACAAAAAGCAAGAAAATCCTCCGGTGGTGAAAAATAAATATCTCCAGCCCATATTGCTCTCTTTTGGACAAGGATCATCTGCGCATCGGAAATTCGAAATCAATGCCCAACCGCATAAGCCGGCAAACAGATAGCCCAAAGACCAAAAGAAGGATAGCAAAGTCAAAACCCATTGTTTTGCACCGGGTAAAAATTCGATCAACAAAGCTCCGTCTACTGGAAGTGAACCACCAATTCCAATACCAGCAAAAGCGAGCAAGACACCCGTTGCGGCAAAGGAAGGTGCGCCTCCTACAGCAGTCATGAACACACTTCCGATCAATAGCGTGAGCAACCAGGACAGTCTTCTTCCGATCACGTCACTTCCGATACCCCAAATCACTGCACCGAACAAAAGACCAACATAAAGTGAAAATGTCATAAACTGAACCGGCGTTGAAGATTGAAATTCCAGCTTGATCTGCGGTAAAGACATACTCAAAGATTGAAAGATGATATTATCAACGGCCCATCCTGTTCCACACAAAATTGTGATGGCCCATTGAAATTTTCCGAAACCCATCTTTCGAATTTCATGATTGACCAGCAGTAATTTTCGTTCAAATTCGATATCCAATCCCATTTCCATTGCTCTTTTGTGGCTTTCATCATCTGTCATTGTGGTGACGACGGCTTCTGTTTGATCTGCTTTTTCGAAATCAACCTTTTCCGACGCATTCTGAGTAGTCTTAGATACGCCATGATTGGATCCTGTGATTGATCGATCCACTTCGGTGCTCGCCATCACGCCAGAACTTTTGCCGATGGATGCAGCGGGGAGCTATGCTGTTTATGATGGTCAAAATAACATGGTAGTCAAGTAGACAAATTTGCCGTTTCATGTATACAAGTATATGCATCTTGAATAGATCAAATGCACTTCATCCGACCTGCATAAGAGAAAGAGCTTTCAAGTATATTTGAAATGCGGATATCATTTCATCGGTCGTGATACTTAACCGACTTTTAACAGTAGTATTGCTTCTGAGAATCTTCTGTTTTAGTAGATCTCCAATCTGTAGGGTACATCAACCCTACACAAGCACTACGGGAACTTTAATTCGTTTTTTCTTCCTATGAAAATCCGCTTAGAAAAAATTAAGCTAAAATAAGGAAAGTGGGGAGTGCACCCCTCCCTGCCCTTCGCCCTTTTAATGGTTGGTACGCTTTATTATTATGCTCTCTTTACCATTCTGCTTATTTAATCTAATCTTCAACTTTTCTCATTAAGGAACGTATATGTGATGCATTGTATTATATATAATCCCTCTTAATCAACAACATGGTATCTCTGCTTCTTGAGCTTCATACCAGATCCTTCCACAGGTTGTTCAAAGTACAAATTGCTACGGTATCTGCGCAAGTAAAGGATCGCTCTTTCCTCCAACGTATCAGGCTCAATACCCAAATCAGCAAATCCTAAAGTGCCAGGCTCATCAGCTTTGTCATCATGGTATCTTTGTTCAACCTCATCAGGACTGAACATAGGCCACCATGCCAAATCAGCAACTTTTGTAGCAGTTTTGAGAGCGAACTTGGGTACATTCAATCCATGACGGATAATCTTGTTGTATGTTAATGCTTCCACCAATTGTAGCATTTGAGCAATGGTGTATGTTTTTGGCCCTGCTAAGCTGAATGTTTGACCCATAGAAGTGTTATCAGCATCGCACATGACCTCCAATGCTTGTGCCACATCGATCGAGTGAACAGGTCGCATCTTAGTCTTCATGTGATTGACGTGCCATAGAAGGGGATAGCTTGCCATTTGGTTCAAAAATCTGTCTTCATGACCGAATAGATGACCAGGTCGGACAATAGTTGCTCCTTCGAATGCACGCTTGACAGCTTCTTCTCCCTCTGCCTTTGTACGTAAGAAGGTGCTGGGAGAGTTGACATCTGCGTTCAAGTGAGAAACGTGAATGAAACGTGAAACTCCCAACATCTCTGCAATGGCAGCTAGACGTCCAGCTCCAGTGACGTTTACATCCTGGAACTTAAAGTTCTTTGTATCGTAATTCCTTCCGACAAGATTGTATACAACATCTGAGTGACGCATGCATTCAGCAATTTGTTCATCGTTTCGCAAATCCCATTCCATTGGTACAATTTGACCCAAATCTCCCATAGGTTTCAAATGTCTCTTTTCATCTTCATCACGATAAGGTACGACAACTTGTGTTCCCTTTTGGGCTAATTTGTTGACCAAATACCTTCCCAAGAATCCTGTGCATCCGAAAACTGTAGCGACATGACCTGAAACGGATGAACGACCTCCTCCGAATGGACCGGCACGTTGGATTGGCAAACCAGTCTTCCTCTTGATTGTTAAATCGTGCAATTGATGTGATTGGATTTTTAGGAACGAGGAAGATGCTTTAGCAGATCGCAAGTTTACACTTTTACCGCATCCTGTACGTGATGCCAATGCAATTGCTTGCACCATCCTGCTGCTTTGTTGTGATCCAGACGTTTAAGATGATGGTGATCTACCTTGAATGAATGCCGTATTGTTGCACGCTTGGAAGCAGTTGATAATTAATGTAGGCAACACTACCGCCAGCCAGTAAGAGTGCAGCAAACACGTCCTGCCTGCCACAAAAGGCGCGCGGTGGAAATTCCGATTGGGTGTGCATGGGCATGCTAGCTGATCACGTGTGTTGCCAGTGCCAAAAGCCATCGTTGACAGAATAGCGCCTATTTATTAATAACTTCTAGTGCATTTCACCCTTTTTGCACTCACACGGCGGATAGAGCGGTTCAGAAGCGCCCATAATTCGAGGCACTTTCGCAGTGTATCTTAAGCAATTTCCCCATTGTGTTGTACTGTCGACGCATTAGTGTACTTTACGGTATTGTTGATCTTCACCATCACCTCAAAAGTGACATTTTGATATATTTATCTCAACACCACAATGCATTCATCTTCGAGTCTTGTGTTGGCTGTGGCATTGCTGGGCAGTGCAACAACCATTCATGCTCATTTAGGAGATGAGAATATTCCTCCTGCAGAGATTGCAAATGAAGCACCTCATAGGCCAGGACAGGAATCTTACATTCAAAGACACATGGCCTCTGAGCATCATATCGGAGCATTTGATTTGGGAAGCTTCTTCGCTTTGCACGATTTGAACAGAGACGGTGTCTTGGATCGATCAGAGATTGAGGCAATCTATGGTGTTCATCACAGCACATCTGTAAAGCATTCACAAAAATATGAAGTTCACGACGAAAAGGCAAACAAGATTGTAAAGGAAGTTTTGCGTAGATTGGACCAAGATAACGACGGACAGATCACATTGCGTGAATTCGAAAGCGCCGGAGCCGATGGCTTGCCTACTTTTGAGGAGTTCGGTCACAACGTCTTGGGTCATCATTACGATGAAGAATCTGAGTATTTCGTCCACCACGAACAAGTATATCACAATACACCCGAATCACAAAAAGAAGAAGCATATACCCACAAAGAAGATATCGAACATTTTGCACATCACGATAAGATTGAAGCAGAGGAAGAACGTCGTGAGAGAGCGGCAGAAGGAATGCCCTCAGCAGAAGAAGATGCACGCAGAAAGGCAGAAGCTGCAAAGAAAGGCGAGAAATACGTCTCCCCTTACGAAGCTCAAGTGCCCAAGGAGGATAGCCCAGTCGCACCTCAACATGCATACGACTCTCACGTCGACCACGGTTATGGACGTAAGGAAGGATGGCGTGCAACCGAGCATGTGTTCAAAACGCCAGAAGGTGAACATGTTGTCAAAAGTGACGCCGTGGCTGCTGAGAAGCCTAAGCATGGTGAATTGAAGGCTGCCGGAGCAAGTGCTGCTGGCGAGCTAGACCATGACATACCAAGACGGGTGCCCGGAGAGACCGATGAAGGATACAAAGACCGTTTGACCGCCCATGCCCAGGCCAAGGCAGCCGCTGCCGAATACGCTAAAGCCAACCCCAATTTGTCAAAGAGTTCAGGATTTGATGAGAAGACTGGAAAGGTGATCCAGGCTCCAGGCGAGAGCACAGAAGACTATCTGGTACGCAAAGCTCGTTATCAATTCGCCAACACAGCTGCCAGACCTGCATACGAGCCAGCAAAGAAAGAACAATTACGTAAATCTGCCCCATACAAGGTGAGTAATCTGTTTACCTCATTTCTCAATCTGACCCATATCCCGCAAGGGTATATTAGCGAGGATTGTATCAAACAATCTCGCCCATTGTTGCTTCTTTGTGTTTTGTCACACAAGCTGCATCCCCATCCGTCTCCTTGTCATGCTTACCATCTTTTTCTCCTCCTCATCTTCTTTCTAAATCTCTTTTCTACTCATGCTAAATTGCTTGATGGTTTTTCTAACGTTTACAGTACCCTCCTATCCAGAATCGTCTGAAGAAGTCGAGTTTCTATGTGAGTATGAAGTATGCCACGAAATCGTGTAGCCTTGCTTGCTGACATTGTTTTCTTTTCCTGAAACAGGGAGAATTCTGATTAATTGTTTGCTTAATGCTTTGATTTGTTAATCTTATGTCTTGAAAGTACACATATCTACCTATTCGAATATCATTTATTTCGATTCATCGTCATAGCTTTTATGTGCTGTAAGCATGCATCTAGAGTGATCACGGACATCTTCTCTGAGCTCGAATTTGTTGATAAAAATACTTATGACGAAAGGGTGACGTACTCATGAAAAAGGTGATAAGAAGGGAAAAGTTCCGAGGGCTGAATCCATCTTGGCGATGATGACTCTAAATGACGTTTTTGTTGTTCACACAGATCGGCAGGCTGTCGGACGTCGAGCGACGAGCTAATCCTTTAGCGCGGCGCGGCGCTTGTGTAGGATTTCGTCCGACTCGCTTTCGCACATTAGAGTATGCATGCAAACCTTACCTCCGAAGGATCAAATCCGATTTACCGGACAGTTGACACTACACTGATTTACTGCACGAAAATGTGAGAAAGTGTCCGTTCTAATTTTGGACCATCATTTTTTGCATGCTTGATCATATACGCCATGCATGAATATATATATATACAGCGGTTCTATGGAACAACTTTCTCAACCCCTTCATATCATCACAAACATCGTCATCATCTCATGATATCAAAATGTCAGCTCCAGAAACACTTATTCGGTCTGCAAGTCCCGTCAGTACGGCAACCCAGACTAGAACACAAAGTATCGATATAGAACATGGAAAGGTTCAAGAAGATATCGAACCGCATGAAAAGCAAAGCAACAGTGAAAAGGTAATCAACGATCCCAATGAGGTTACATTCCAAGATGCACATGACCGTGAAAATCCTGCAAATTGGTCTGAAAGGAAAAAGGCCACAGTTCTGATCATTACATCTTTAGGCTCAACTGTGGTTACATGTTCTTCAAGTGTCATGTCAAGTGCATCAGAAAGTCTTCAAAGGCAATTTCATATCTCAAGAGAAGTCACTGTTTTGACAATTTCACTTTTTGTTATCGGTATTGCCGTCGGTCCTGTTCTTCTTGGTCCGCTTTCGGAATTTTATGGTCGTCGTCCGATCTACCTCATCTCATTCGCAGCATTTTTTCTACTTCAATTTCCCGTCGCATTTGCAAACAACCTCCCTGTCTTGCTCATCTTTCGTTTCTTGGTTGGGGCAGCAGGAAGTGCATTCCTTGCAAACGTTGGAGGCTCAATCAGTGATATGTATTCTCCCATTGATGCATATATTCCAATGGCTCTTTTCTCTTCAAGTACTTTTCTAGGACCTGTTCTGGGACCAATCATCGGTGGGTTTGTCCAAGAGTTTTCATCAAGATGGCAATGGATGCTTTATGCATTGATCATTTGGTCATTCATTCAGCTTTTGGCACTTTTCTTTTTCACTCCTGAAACATTGGCAAGTGTGATTCTAGCAAAAAGAGCAAAAAAGCTGAGAAAGGAGACTGGCAATCAACAACTCTATACACAACATGAACGTAAATTGGCCAGTATGACTCCACTGAATGCGCTACTACAAAACGTGAAGAGAGTCTTTGTTTTACTCGCTCTCGAACCACTTCTCGTCCTTCTTTGCATTTGGACAGCAATCCTCTTGGGTATCATTTATTGCTTCTTTGTCTTCTTCCGTGAGTATACAATGCATTTGAGAGACATCATGGATACCATCTGACTTAAGTTTACCTCCTCTTTGTAGCCGTTGTCTATGCACGTCATGGCTTCTCTGAATACCAAATCGGACTGGCTTTCCTCGGTTTGGGCGTAAGTAACGTGATCGCTTTGCTCACCACCCCTTTCTGGAAATCAAGATTGGTCAAACATTCCAAATCCCGTGGAACTCCACCCACGCCTGAAGATCGTTTGGAACCAGCAATGGCAGGCTGCCTTCTTGCTCCTATCGGTTTGTTCATCTTTGCATTCACATCTTATGCAAACGTACATTGGATCGCATCTATCATTGGTTCTTGCATTTTCGGTATCGGATTGATCTTGAACTTCTTGGCAATCTTCAATTACACGGCAACGTATTGGAGACCAGTCGCAGCTTCAGCACTTGCTGCAAACGCTCTTATCCGATGCTCTTTTGCAGCCGCATTTCCACTCTTTGGTGTGCAAATGGCCGATCGATTAGGAACTGCTGGTGCGGCTGGCCTTCTTGCTGGTTTGAATGTCATTATGGTGAGTATTGTTGTTGGTTTCATTAATTACAGGCAATCGCTGACATGTTCACACACTCTCTCCACTCTACCAGATTCCTGTTCCGTTCGCATTGTATCAATATGGTCCCTGGCTAAGAACCAAATCTCGTTTTGTCCAAGCGTAATAGAATTCGAAGCAATATAGATACAGTGATCACTCTAAATGAATGACCTGAAGATGTACAAATACAAATGTATTAAACGTTCCAATTGTTTAATGTGTCAAAAATACTCTGCCATAAATCCTCTTGAACCCAAGGTGGTCTTTCGGGAAGGATACCATCATTCAAAGGTAATTGTGTAGGAGCAATATTTGACTTTGTTGGTGGTTCATGAGCGTTGAGCAATTGCATGTTGTACTCTCCATTATTCCCTCCAGTCTGTAAAGGCACTTGACCGCCAAGCAATCGGAACAAATCTTGATCTAATTGGGAGATGCTCTGGTTCTGCATCAGTTCGTTTGTGCTGGGAGTATGACTCACAGTGCCACTAAAGTTTGTTGCAGGGCTAGTCATGCCGATTGACTGTAGCCCGTTGACAGGAATGGGGTTGGATAAGGTTGGATTTGTACCTACTGGTGGGTCTGATCGAGAATGCAATAGCGAAGCATCCGAAGGTAACGTAAAAGACTCGGCTTGACCGTGTTGAGATGTAGTGTTTACGTTTGACTTTCTCGTACTTGCACGTCTTTGTCGCCATTCTAATCTTCCAGCAGTATTTAAGAGCTGTTCTAGAGCATCGCCAAGGCCATGAAAGACTCCACCTGATGCGACCACTCCCTCTCGATGAATTGCAGATCTCTGCCCATGACTCTTGAGCGCCTGAATTGCAAAAGAGAGACCCTTGTGAATACGTAAAGAATCAAAGCTGAGAGAGGATGGTGCCACATTTGATCCCGTTTCGCCATTAACGGCCAATGTGGTCCTAGATGCTGCTTCACGTCTTCTTGCATTTGGAAACATCGCGCCCTGGAGTAGTAACATCGAAATCAAGGCAATGGCAGCATGTTGAAGTCGGAAAAGTAGTACTGTGGTATTCGACTCTTCGGTGTACTGATTAGAACACTCGAGCAGTAATAGGGCGCCATAAATCGTTCTGTGTTGTGTGAGACCGTACACATCAGGCTGACTCAAGCTTCGCGATAAGAATGGACGATGGATGATAAAGAGTTTATGCCATAATGTACTCGAAAGCAAATTCATCAATGAACAACATTGATCCATATGGCTTTTGAAAGTAGGGATATACTTCCATCTGATCTCAATCTCTTCCTTGCACTCGTCTTTGCCTGAAGTTGTCTGAATTCCAAATCGCCAACGAGATGCTCCCGTCTCCGGTCGAATCCATTCAGGTCTTCTATCCAAAAGATCCATCAACATTTTGTCCAACTTTAACATATCATCATAATGCATATCTTCGTTATATGCCGCTGCTTCTCCACTCAAATCGATAAATCTACGAAAAATCTCGGATGCATTGCCAAGATAAGGCCATGGATCACTTTCTTCTACGTCACTTGTGCCATTGTTGCCTGACTGTCTATGAGGGCATGAAAGATGGCTATGCTTCCAAGTACGTACTAGCCTGACTTGAGGCCATTGGGTAGTGAATGTACTAGGATTGATATTATACGTCCCTCCTGCTTGTGGACCCGAATTCCAATCTCTAAAAGCCAACAAATTCCATAAACTTCTGCCGCATTCGCGTTTATGATGATCTCTAGCAGCAAACGTTCTTGACGCCCAATCACCGGAGGCGAATGTATTGAGAGGTACAGTGGAAACGAGCTTGTTTGTTGTTCGATCATGCCTTTGAACATCGCTAGCGTGCTGTGAGGAAGATGTTGGAGAAGCATGCTTATCTCTGTCGAGCTTATCCCATCGTGTTTGATCGTCATCTGCCGAGCCAAGCCTGTCTAAACCTAGGATACGACCGATACGAACGGCGATATCCAAACGATGGATCATACTGTACCGATTACCAACATTGAGCAGATTATACTCGTATAGGACCAAAGCCTCAAACGATTCGAATTTTGGTATTCTATACAGATCGCCTTGATCGAAATATTCCACAGCAAGCTGCGTCCAAACATCGGCAATTCTCTCATTGTGGTTTGTGTTCAGTGTTGATCCGATCGTGATCGGGAACGTGAGCGAGACAGGAAGCATGCTTAAAGCAGAAGCACAGATGACCAAAACGAGAGCTATAGATGATGCATCAGCATCGTTGACGTTCATCGAAAATTCTTCTTCGTCTTCCACTGTTTGTGCGCCGCCCGGCTGCTGAAAGTTGAAGTATACATTTTCAGTTAGATTCTCATCATCCAGCATCATCAAACCTCCGAATGAAAGATATTGCCGATGAAGTGTGATAAGTTGGTCGGCTTGCCATTTTGTTGGCAATTTTGACCTAGATGCCACAAGATGAGATCTCCATTTTGGCAGGCAATCCCTATTATGATGTACTACGTTTGGCTCGACTGGATCGTTGAACTGCATTGCACGATCTCCCTCATTCGTTCTATCGACCGTTGGATTTTGTTCCAACCTCCCACCTTCTATTGCTGCATTGCTGAGTCTCTCCAGTCGTGAAGTGTCTTGCATTGGTGAGCGTTTGTAGGGAGTAGACTCGTGTATCATTGATTGGTCCTCTCCGTTGGTCTGTTCCGCTACATTTTCAGGCTGCATTTCATCCCTTTCATCGCCATATCTGCATAAATGCACCGTACCTCTCTTTTGACAGTTATCGCAACCTGGCACACCTCCTTCGCATGATTTTTTTCGCCTTCTACATTCTATACAACTCTTTGGTAAACGGGCATACGGAGAAGATAGCAACCTTCTCAACGCATTGCTATGATTTCTTAAAGAACTTCCATTGGGTCGAATTGTAGACATTTTTGTTCGACAGGCATATCTTCCTCGACTTTTGATGGTGGTGGTAAGAGCGGAATTCCGACCAAATCTGTCAAACGTGCATTTTAGCGCGGCGGACTAGAGCCGAACGTGGCTTACTCTTTTAATGATGTTCAAATTTGTATTTGGAGTTCGAATCTCCTTTTGTCCGAGATAATCCGGGGAAACATAATTTACAGCACAGACTTCTAAGTATAAGTAACACAGTATTCCTCTATTCTATAGAGGATCTTACATGAGCAAGAAAAATAATTTGTACATGAAGGTGTACATGTCTCGTTGGATCAATTCAACGAATGCGAAAGATATTGGGACGCTGTATCTTATTTTTGCTGTGTTTGCAGGAATGATTGGAACAGCTTTCTCAATGCTAATTCGAATGGAACTAACGGCACCTGGAGTACAATATCTAAACGGAGATAATCAAGTATACAATGTAATTATTACAGCCCATGCCCTAATTATGATTTTCTTCATGGTTATGCCCGCAATGGTAGGGGGATTTGGTAATTACCTTGTACCTGTAATGGTTGGAGCCCCTGATATGGCATTCCCTCGACTAAACAATATTAGCTTCTGGCTACTACCTCCTTCACTTATTCTACTACTAGCAAGTGCTTTTGTAGAACAAGGAGCGGGGACAGGATGGACAGTATATCCACCACTTTCATCTCTACAAAGCCATTCAGGAGGATCAGTTGATCTTGCTATTTTCAGCCTTCATCTTGCAGGTATTTCATCAATGCTAGGTGCTATGAACTTTATTACAACTGTACTAAACATGCGAAACCCCGGAATGACACTACATAAACTACCACTATTTGTATGGGCAATTTTTGTTACTGCTATTCTTCTTCTACTTTCACTACCTGTACTAGCTGGGGCAATTACTATGCTGCTAACAGATCGAAACTTTAATACTTCATTCTATGACCCTGCAGGAGGAGGTGATCCTGTACTATATCAACACCTATTTTGGTTCTTCGGTCATCCTGAAGTGTATATTCTAATTATTCCTGGATTTGGGATGATTAGTCATATTATTTCTGCCTTCTCAGGTAAACCAGTATTTGGATACCTAGGAATGGTTTATGCTATGTTTAGTATTGGTATCCTTGGATTCCTTGTATGGTCACACCATATGTATGCTGTAGGTATGGATGTAGATACTCGAGCTTACTTTACTGCGGCAACAATGATTATTGCAGTACCTAGCCATCATTAGCACAAGGATAATAACCCCAATAGACCAAAGTAGTACTCGAGGTGATTTGTATGATCCATAATATAGACCTCGTCCAATGTGAAGATATACAAAAATAAAGGATGATTGGCACCAAAAGCTGATGAAATTACGAGAAAGAAGGCGTACGTACAGCAATCAACGGGTATCCTTTGTGAATGGGTATCTATAAGAAAAAAGTATATGAAGTGAATTACATGGCAAAGCCAATTGGTGGTGGGCCTCCCTTAGTAGATTCGTATTTTGATCCTTGAGGTTTGTGGGAGGTAGGCAAATTCTTTTCGATCCCGACGATCTCATTCGATTCGACAGAGACAGGCACGGATCTCTTCTTCAGACTTGATTGTCTCTTTTCTAACTTGAAGTTGCCAGGATGAACATGATCCGTTGAAGCGGAAGCAGGCCGATTACGAAGATCAGCTCTGGCTTTTTGAAGTGAAGCAGAGTCAAATTTGATCGTTCCCATCTGTTGGAAAGGATCGCTAGCAAATTCATCAAAGTATACGCTTTTTGAACCGTCTGTTTGATCTGATGCGTTCATACTTTCTGCATTAGGAATAAAGACGTTGGGATTATTTGAAGCGGAGCTTAAGCCATAAATATTGTAAGAGAGATCAATCATTGCATAAATCGCATCGACTTCGTCCGTTCCATTTTTCTGACCGACAGGATTGACTTTAAGGTCAGATCGATTATCAACTGTCTCTTCCTCGTTCTCCAATTCTTTGTAGCTCTCATTGCCATCCTTGACATTCGATGCAGCAGAATGTCGCTTTGAAGCTTCAGCAATATCTTCGGAGAATTCTGTAAATGAAGAAGTCATCGACATGGATCGTGGTGCAGCCGCACATGCCATCGCCAAAGCAATCTCTGTCCTCATTCTACGAATACTTGCCGCTGCTGCATCTTCTACTTTTTCCTCCTTCTTTTCTTCTTTTGTTTGATGTGATTCGCTGGACCTTGTTGGTGAAGTAGGTGGCAATGCCGGAAGTGCAGAAGTGGGTCGCGGCGGTACTACTGGAAGCGGAGCAGCAGGTGGTGGCAATTGCTGAGGTCGCAAAGACTTGCGGCTCTTGCTTGCCGCCGCCGAGTCAACCATAGCAGTCTGTACTGGCTCGGGATGAGGGGGAGCATTGATTTCACTATTTATATGCGAATGTTGTGCGAATTGAGGAACAGAAGCGCTTCTCTTTCTCGACTGCGCAAGTGGAGCTGGCGAATCAGCAAGACCCAAAGTCTCCTCTTGCTCAACTCCCACTTTGGACTCAGGCATGATGTCCGCTTTGACCTTTTCCTCTACTGCAAAATCTCTGGATTGCACAGAAGGCCTTTTCTGATCCTTTGAAAGCTCAGCAGATTGTTTCAGTGGGGGAGAAGAAGGTGAGTTGAAGGTTTGCCTATCTTGTCTAAAAGAAGGATCCTTTTCCGCCACCATTTGAGCCGGATCATATTGTGTCGCTTGATTGGCTACAAAGGTTGATGTTCGATCGCTATTCACGGAGAGTGAACTGATAGATGTCACAAATCTGGACAAATCCTCATCTTTATTGATATGATAAGGACTTCTGGGACTTGAACGAGGGCTATTGGCGCTCCCATACATCTCTTCGTAACTTTCTGACCTCTCGTGATGAGACATAACACTTTGATAGCCTCCAGAAGAAGCCAAAGTTGATGCTGATGAAATCGAATTGACTGATTGAATATGCTTGATTTGATGCAATGGAGGCCCAATCCGAAATACTTGATCGGCTTCGTTCAAGCCAGCAATTAGAGCACGTAAGATCACTTGCCATTTCAACATCCGATGCTTGGTATCAAATTGTAAGGTCCATTGACTCTGTTGTTGTTCCGCTGCTCTTGTCTTAGGCGGATTGTTTGAAGTAACATGGCCGGCAATCTTTAATGCCCATACTTCACGATCAATGTGAAATGAAGAAGAACTTTCAGCAACAGCAACAAAGCTATGACTGGATAAGGTAAGCCTTTCTTCCTCTTTCGCAAGGCCGGTATCGGATTTGAAACAATGCAAGATCACAAAAGGTTCTTGACCATTAAGATCATTGAAGGAGAATTTTGCCTGACCAATTGATTGGGCACCTGTCAAGCTTGCCAATTTTGCTGAAAGTTGACCTTGAATCTGTCTTGCATTTGTGGTTAGAACAACAATGCGTTCGTTGATATCCTTCTTACGCATCAAACCTTTGCGTACAGCTGCTTCGATTTTGGTCACATTCTCATCCATCAAGCAATTTCGCAATGCTTCCCTTCGTACCAAAGGGAACATCTTCACGTCGGCATGATTTGTTCGTCTTGATTTGTCATCAAATGCATCATTCTGTGCGGACTTGAATGATTGCGTCGAATAAACACTTGGACTGGTCTTTGTGTTGCTCTTGGGTGAGATCACCTTGCCAAATTCTGCTGAACCTCGAAAAGCCGATTGAGTTGCACTACTTGGCGGTGTACTTGTGACACAAGATGAAATAGAGATCGGAGAGCCAAGACCTGCCGTGAGAGCAGAGGTATGATATGTATTCGTATCTGTGCTTGCGCTAGACCATTTTGACGTGAGAATGGCATCATTTGGCGTTCTAGGTCGATCGATATTACCTCTTGGATTGAAGTTGGATATCTCATTCGTTCTCAACGGACGCAAAGGTTTCAATGGTCTGGCACGACTTTCTTCATCTGCCCGTGCCAAGTTGCCGACGCTCAAAGGGCTTTGTGCTTGACCGACTGACTCGCATCGCTTTCTAGAACCGCTTTCAAAACCTGAAGTTTGAGGTCTTTTTGATGCATAGAAGGGATCGATGAAATGACCTTCGGGCATCTGCTCTTGCGGTTTTTCAGTTGGTCTGATACCTGTATTGGAACTTGTTCTTTGCATTGCATATGTGTCATATACAGGCTCGCCCTTTCGCAAATTAACCGTTGATCGTGTAGCCCTTTGTGCTTGACTGACTTCATTTTGCCAGCCCTGAACGTTTGATTGTCGATTGGCAGTACTGCTTGGAGGATATTCTCTGTTCATTGGAGACCTTCTGAAAGGGAGATCGTGCGAGGGAGCTTCATACAGACTACGAACATCATGATGAACAGCACGTTGGCTGTAAGAAGGCACATTCGTTGGGTCCAAAGCATTTCTCCTTGCTTGATTGATATTGGGATGATCGCGTTGTTGATCTTGCTTGTGAATATCTGGGCTCTTCTTATCGTATTCAGATGAACGTAGAGATAGAGAGGAGGTTGAACGATAAAATGTACTCTTCCCGATTGGCGACATTGTAGCAGGCATTGGCAGGACTGGCGGTTTGTCTTCGGTTGAAGAGGAGCCTCCAACGTTGGGCGTACTTCTGATCGTTGAATCGTGGACTGATGTTCCCAGTATCTTATCGACTTTACTGTAGAGCATAACTGGTAGGGATGGGGAAGGGGGAAAGGGAAGGATGATGATGGCGAAAGAGGTGGTGATCAAGACGAAGGATTACTTCCTTTCTCGCCTTTTGTCTGCAACGATCCTCATTACCCTTCAAGTTGATAAAGTCCGAAGCTGTAATTGGAAAAAGGTGAGCTAGATAAGCTTCGATCCACAAAAAAGTCATTCGTTTGTCACATCTTGGCCTAGAATTTCGGCATGGTAATAATCATATTAGTTGAAAGAACAAAGGTATTTCCGTTACCGATCGCGCAAAAGTTGCCGGTTTTTGGCAAAAGGTCACAATACAGATTCACAAAGGCCAAGGAACCGATTTGAACTCCTCAATTGGCATTGTTGCTGTTTCCGTGAATGTGCGGAAGAAGTGACATGACATGAATCTGCTCTGTGTGTAATTAGACATCCTCTTTTTTATTCCAAGGAATAACAATTGGATTGCAGCCAATCTGAGAATGAATGCATGTCGCAAGAACAAAGGAAGATGATTAAGGTGGAGTGAGCCACTATAGCCACTTTAATCACGCTTTCTCCCTTTGTTCCGTTTTTCTTAATCTCAATGGCGCAAAAGTCAAGCCGCCCTTTGTGTGCACAGCAAAAGAAGTTGAATATAAAATTGGGCGCTGAAAAGCGAGCGTGTTTCATTCACCATTTGCCGTTCTTGCTTCCATCATGAGTTGGAACGGATGGCTGAATTTAAAAAGATAGAATAGCCCAGAGCACGGTACCTTTTTAGACCTCGAGGATCGTTTGATAATCATATTCGGACCCGGATTTCTCATACAAACCGATCACAAAGGAGAAGTCACATCCCTAATTAATATCTTCTTTTGCATATCTTTCCCATGCGTTGACATTTAGATTACGCTAAAGGTGCAGAACAAACGCGAATACGAGGAAAAGATGCACGTATCCCGGCGTTCTACATGACATGACAAAGGGAAGTATACATGTACATGAGAAGTTATGGCTTGGATAATCTAGGGACATAACATCTTCCCTCAGGAACCGATTCGATTGTTCAAGCCCATTTCCCGAGAACCGACTGGAAAAGGAAAAGAAGATTAGTAAACGGCTTTTGGCAGGATGTATGCATATATAAACTCACCATAGCGATAGCACCCAAAGTGAAGAAGAAAATGGCAGCAAACGCTCTTGTCCAAGATGCTTTATGCATTCTTGGATCGTGAAGGAAGTCATGAGCGATAACTTGAATGAAGGAGCTATACAATAAAATCCCGGCAGATATGGCAGTAAGAATACCGATAGCTAACAAAGTTGCACGATCGTTTCCATTGAAAGATTGACGAACACCAATTCCGATCGCGATACCAATGGGTGTTGTGATCACAAAGGCAAGATACATTATCCAAACCCTCAACGTACTCAATGTAGGAATGAGCACAATACGACTTGCAAGTGCTAATCCCTCACAGAATTGATGCCATAAGATTGCAATCAAAAAGGCAACCCATCCTTCGCCTGAAGAAGTACCAATGGTGATACCAATGACGATACTATGAACAATGATACCCGCTTCCAAGAAAGTCAATTCGGATTCCTCAAGTTTGATCTTGGAATGAAGATGTTCTTCATCTGCGTCCCTGATATGATTTGGCAATTCATCTTGCCTCTGTTTGAATTCTTCGGCACTTTCATGACTGCTTTGGCTATTCGTCGATCGTAACGCTTGTTGGTTAGTGATTGCCAAAGCAGCTTTTCGACGCAGCGGGCGCATGATCAAAAAGTTGATCACTATCATCATCCAGACAGCCGCCATCATGATAGCGGCAGGAGTGGCTTCATATTGCAATTCCCCGATGCACGAATTGGAAAAGTACGTCAATGCATGGGCTACCAAGTGAACAAATGCGGTACTCAGTAAAATACCACCACCAAAGAAACGTAAAGCAAAGATCACATTTGCAACTCTTGGACCGAAACCTAAATCGCCAGTCAAGATTGCCTTTTCGGTGATTTGTTTATCACTGCGTAGCCATCTCATCACTTCAGGAATCAATACACCGGCAAGCGAAGCAGCCAGGAGGATGAATACAGATCCAATGTGTAGGCCCAAGTTATAATCTTGAAGAGGTGCAATCCCACAACCATATTCTTCTGATGGTCCGTGACTGAAGGATGGGAGAAAAGATTAGCTATTCTTCTATACAGCCCTTTCGAGTGAGGAGGACTTACCTGTGCCCTACATGGCTGTGTCCGCTATGGTCGTGACCGGCATGGCTATCTTCTGAATGATGATGACCTTCATGTGATTCTTCACTTTCGTTTTCGCAATGCCAATGATCTCCGTGAAGATGACAAGCTCCGGCATTTGTTGGACTTGGTTCTACTGTAAGGGTGACTGCTTGCGTTACAGCTCCTTGTGCGACTGCTGTAGATTGTTGTGACGTAGGTGCTTGTGTTGATGCTGCAATTATTCCATCTTCACATACCCATCCACCGTTTTGCAAAACGCAAGATCCACGGCCAGTCGGACTTGGTCCTTGTGAGGCGGCGAAAGAAAGTACACTCAACAGTGCAATAATCGACCACAACTTCATCCTTGCTATCTTGATCTACACTTGTGGCTGGCTTCTGCTGGGGATGAAGTATGGGTCTTGTTCGAACGCTGATCCGTATTTATATGAAAATTTAAACAATATCTGACATTATTGAATCTTTCTTTTTCTTTAATTGCTGCGGGAATTTTGACTATGGGACCATATAATTCAATGCATTCAATGATAGATGTCCGAGGGTCAATTATCTTCCCTGCCAAGATGCCAAGGTGACCAAAAGGTACTTGATGCATGGGTTGATGAACTCAAATGCCAGAATGCTCTAGACATGGTTCGTTGTCATCTTTGTCTAGACGTTTATAGTTAGAAACTCTTTTCTTTAAATCGGGCTAATCAGTATCGCCAAGAAATCCAGGTTCCTAGTGAATGCAAGAACAAATTTTTTTTTCTCTTCCAATCAACATGTCAAACGTCGATCAAAAGCCAATTTTTCGTTTATGTGTACCCGATCAGTTATGCGTGCCAAGAAGTTGGTGTGAAGTTGGATGGCGTTCTATCTCGATGACAGACATAGCGCACGCGTTGTATTTTACCGCTCCTTTGGTATCGTCCTTTACCGCACACGACATGGAATAGCGAAGGTGTTCTATAATTCACCTTGAAAGAATTTTATATCCTACAGGTTCCTGAGAAGTTTGACAGATACTAGCAAAGAGAAGAAGAAGGCGAATAGTTACCCGCCACTGACTGGAACGGTCTTCATTGTTTATTCGGATAGTTTTCCGATGTTTTAGGCAAGTCTGGTTTAGAAAAATGAATATATAAAATGAGATAAATTTTATTTGTTCCTACTTGTTGCCACAAACAAACCCCACCCCATCCCCTTCTCATCACCATGAAATCCTTCTTTCTCTGTGCGGTCTTGGTGGCTTTATTGCCTGCTTTTATCATTGCTACTCCCGGCGGCAGAACACCTTATTTCTACCGTAGAGCAGATCAAGAAGCCAATGAAATTCAATCCGATATCCCCATTCATTCTTCTTGCAATGCAAGTCAAACTATGCAAATCAAAAGAGGATTATTTGATTCAAAAAGACTTGCTCGTGAAGCAGCTGATCATATCTTATTGAGCGGTAATACATCCGATTTATTCCAAACGTACTTTGGTGCACAAGCTGATCCTGCCGTTCCATTGGGCATTTATGAACGTATCTTGGAAGGTGATAAAACTGGAACACTTTTACGTTGTGATGATCCCGATCAAAATTGTGCAACACAAGATGGCTGGAATGGACATTGGCGTGGAAACAACGCAACGGAAGAAACTGTGATTTGTAATCTTTCCTTCCAATCTCGCCTTGGTTTAGAAAGAGCATGTGAAAATGGATTCAAGCTTGGACGCGATAATGTGAATGTGTATTGGGGTGCAGACCTATTGCATAGGATGATGCATTTACCCAAGGTTACAAATGGTTATATTACACATGTTGCCGACACACATGAAGATATGATGAAGATTGCAATCGAACAACCAGATCAATCCGTGAAAAATCAACATTCTATTCAAGAATTCGCATTTGATGTTTGGACGCGCAAGTATATCAGTGCAGAAGGATGTTTAGCAACAGAAGAAGAAATTCATGCTGTTGAACATAATGACCACAATCATTCCATTTCAACAGCAGCAGGAGCAACAGCCACAGAATCAGCTTCAGCTTCAGCAGCTGCTACAAGTACTGCTGCCGTACAAGATTGTCACACCCATGCTGATGGAAGTGTCCATTGTGTTTAAGATGTATATACTTTATCCAATTTATAAGATAAATGATGTGTCTGTTTGATCCGGTTGAGAAAGAAGCCGGTCAATTATCCGCGCTTAACGCGTGCATTTGTCCGGCTGAACTAAAAATGAAAAGAGCAAAAGGGCGCGAATAAAATAAGCGGGGGAGAGAGAAGATTGTCATTTAAATAAGATCCGGGGAAAGGCAATAAATCATACATCTTCCTTTCATTCAACTAACACAAAAATGTCGATCAAACATGGTATCAAAACATTGGCAGTGGTGGGAGCTTCAGGTCAAATGGGAAATGGAATAGCATACGTAGCAGCAACAAAAGCACAAATTCCACGCATTCTAATTTGTGATCAATCTGATGCTCAATTGGATAAAGGATTAGCATTCTTTGATAAATTATTGGCAAAAGATGTATCCAAAGGTAAACTTACACAAGATGATGCTGATCGTGCAAGAGCAAGTTTGACGAAAGCACCAGGCGGGGCAGCATCTTTGGCTGAAATCCACCAAGATGGTCCACCGGATATGGTAATCGAAGCAGCAACAGAGAACCTAAACATCAAACAAAGCATCTTCAAAACATTAGCAAGCACACTTCCACTTTCAACAATCTTGGCCACAAATACAAGTAGTATCAGTGTTTCAAAAATTGCCGCAAGTGCAGTACCAGAAAATGCAAAAGCAGGAAGTCCAGAAGCATGGCAAAGTCCGGCAAGAACGTTGGGTTTGCATTTCTTCAATCCAGTTCCAGTGATGAAATTGGTGGAGCTTATCCCTGCACTCCAAACAAGCAAAGATGTTACCGATCGTGCAAGAGCATTCGCAGAAGCATGCGGCAAAACAATCACAGTCAGTGCAGATACTCCAGGTTTCGTAAGTAATAGACTTTTGATACCTTTCATCAATGAAGCTGTAATGGCATTGGAATCTGGCGTGGCTACAAAGGAAGATATCGATACGACACTCAAATTGGGGATGAACCACCCTATGGGTCCTTTGCAATTGGCTGATTTCATCGGTCTTGATACATGCTACTATATCGGTGAAGTTCTCCTACGTGAGACAGGAGACTCCAAATATAGACCTTCAGTACTCTTGGGAAGAATGGTCGACGCAGGATGGCTTGGTAAGAAGAGCGGAAAGGGTTTCTACGACTACAATTAATGATGGCAGTATACACTCGTAATAAATCACATAGATCATTATCCTTATTAGCTAAATAGAGTACAAAGGACGGCAGTCTTTTGGGGTATACAATTTAAGACCAGCCGCTAGATAGATGTGCAAGACGTTGAGCAGCATCAGTCCAAGCTTTCGGAATAGATGCGTTTTGTTGTGGTTTATTTGATTGTTTCTTTTGTGGCTTTTGTTCAGCGATACGACCATCAATAATTTTCACTCCGGGTACACGGGCCGAGAGGTCGCTTTGACCTGCCATCAAAAACGGTTTCAGTATGCTTTCCGCTTTCAGCGACCAGATCCCTGTGTCTACGGGGGCCATACCATTCGAATGAGCATTACCGTTTGTGTGAGAGCGAGACTTTATTTTGGCAATCGGAAGAACGAGGAATATAAGTAGACCACTTGATTTACGTATCCTTGCTACTTCAGCATGATATTTTTCCAGTGCGCTAGACAAGTGTTGATCGTCTTGAATAGATTGAGCCGAAGCTGTGAGTGTGTTTCCATTGATGCTAGACCGTAGATGCGGTACAGGTGAACTTGCCCTAGGCGTTTTGTCTCCGTCTACTGTGTCGTTATCCTCATCCATTTCATCGTCAAACAATGCCAGATCCGCATTTGTATCATTGGTTTCAAATGTTTCAAACATTACCTCGCAATGTGCATCACAGGCCAATGCCCTGGCCAGCGATAGCCGTCCCTCCTCTTTTCCATATTCTAGCACCCTCCTGGCATCAAATCCTTCAATATGTCCGAATAAGTCACTTATCCGGTCCAAGCTGTCATGATTAAAGTCGGATGTGTTGCTCGTTCCAACAGGCGGAAGGATCAAAGTGATGACGTAATTTGCTGATAAAGTTGTAAGAAGAGATTCCAATAATCTCAAATTGGCAGGTGAATGAGTGAACGTTGGCGGTATAGACAGTGATAGTGATGGTCGCGGTCCTTTCTTTTTTGATAAGATACTTGAACCAGGGCCATTGTCCTTTTTCGAGTCATTTCCCGATGTGAATGTTGTAAATGCATAATACCCTAATCCAGCCAATGCTATCGCACCTCCTATGGCAGCAAAAGTACGATTTCGATTACGTCTCGAAGAGGATGCCATCCTTTTCGATCTTGATATGATATTGTGGGATGATGATAAGAGGTCATTTGCTCCGCATCCAACAATAAAAAGCTTAAGATTCCCAAAGCGCAGCGCCTTAATTAACGCGTATCTGAAATAATCATCCCAAAGCACACGCACTTTATCTGAGCCTCTTGTGCAACATTGCCGATTAACCGGTTATGACTTTATGAACAGACCCAAAGTATGAAATGCAATGATGTTAATTAAACTTGTATGAATGGTGTATAAAGTACAATAAAACACAACCCTTTCTATCCTCGCCTCTCGTACAACTCCAACTTATCCGTCTTTTCTCTTTCATCTTTATCTTGCTGTCCTAATCTTGCCAATCTTCTTAGCCTCTTGACCCGTTTTGTTTCTCTAACCCATTTCTGTTGAGATCCCTTGTCTTGTGCGATTGGTCTTTCGGGAATATCAGCACGAGCTGTTACATCATCACCATTATCAACGCTTGCTAAATGAATTTGTTCGTCAGTTGCTGATTCACTTTGACTTTCTTCAACTTCTTGCTCTTCTAACATGCGAACAGCTTCTGCTTCTTGCGAACTAACATCATCCGTTACTCCCAAAACAACCTGACCCGGTGCAGGCGGCATTCCAGCCGCTTTTCCAGTTCTTCGATCTTCCAAAAATTTCTCCAATGCTTCAGGATTTTTGGATAGCTGCAATTCACGTTCTCGCTCCCGTTCATTCAATGCTTCGACGTTCGGCAACAAAAGCGCTGCAAGATTGGTTTGACGTTTTCGAACCTTCTGTAGTTTTGCTTCAGTTTCTTCCTCTGTTAATTCTGAACGTGGCGTAATGCGATATTCTACCTTCCACTCCAATGGAGGCAGTTCCAACCTTTCCCTTCGTGCAATCTCATCTTCTCGGCTCACATCGATGCTATACCCTTTTGGCTGAGAGAAATTGACGGGACCATGAACCAAAGCGCCTGAAAGGTATCGATCAACGTGAACTTCAAGTAGAAGGGTTTTGCTATTTCCCATTTTCTTTTCTCCTTCGGTCGATTCACTTTGCTCACCGCTTTCCGGCGTGACGAAGACCAATAAATGCGATTCTTCTCTTCCCAAAGGATCATTTTGAGCGTCCATTGTGATCTTAAGTGTGTCATCAGGGAAATAGGAAGTTGCTGCATCCAGAACTTTTTCCAACATTCCAATCGACAAGCGGAACGCCTGTTCGGCCATCTCTTCACTGGAAAATAATCTCTGAGCTAGTTCTTCGCGAGAGAGGTATTGGAATCCAAACATGGTAGATGTGCTATGATAAGCCACCATGATACCGTCCATATTACCAATGCGTGCTTGGAAGTAATATTTAAGTAATGTGCCCCGAGACATATCCCACAATTCACGTTCAAAGCTTTCTTGAACGCCAGTGTTATGTCTGATCATGTAACCTGATGATTCTACCCAATTTGCTCTATCCTGTCGAACAGCAATCACTGCACGTGTTTTAAGATCAAATGTCCTTCTTGGTAGCCGATCATCGCTACAGTCCAATTGCGATCGCATCATAAACTTGTCGGTCTTTGAGTAGTAATATGCCTCCTTTTTCGTCTTCTCCTCTTCCGACAATTTATGACTGTTGATTCGCAAGTACTTTTCGTATTCTTCAGTATCACTTGTCAGTAGCTTTTCCACACTTTTACCCAACTGTGTCAAGACGTAATTATTATTCTCCTTTCCACCTTCTGATTTATCATTGTCCACGGCATAGCGTACGCTTTTCTCTTGACTTCCGTCCAATGCTTCATCCTCAAACCTACGCAAAAGTGAGGCGGCCGGTAGCGTTGCACCAAAGCTGAAGCCTTTGGGTAAATGTTGGAAACCTTCTGTGAATCCTGTCAAAGGAGGATGCTTCCAAGATGAGATGCAAAAGTAGACGTGACTCAATAATGCTGTCAAGCTACTTGTACTGCCCGAATATCGTTTTGCATGCTTTTGTGTCAACTTTGCTAGCTCTTCGTCTATACTGGATGTGAGATAAGGCGGTAATGCTGAATAATCGAACAGATCCACGTCGTATAGATTACGGATTTCTGGGTCAAAGTTGTATATTCCACTCCTTTCATCACGCAGCCAGTGAATACCCGGATTGAACAAGACCCTATCCAGACCATGTGACAGTGTAGCCACATCCATCTTTCTCAGAGGCTCAACTTCTTCGATCCCTATTTCTTTCGAAGATATAATACCACCAATGGGTGTCGTCCATTTCGCTTCTTCGTGCCACTGATCGTATTGTGGCGAGCCTACCGAAGGAATATGTTCAGAAGGAAGGTAATCCCCAATATTTCTATCGCCTACTTCCATCGCTTTTTCGTTGGGTCGTACGATTCTAGCCTTCTCCATTGCATCACCTGTCAGAAGGGTCGTCGGTCGGTAATTTTTATCATCCCCGTCACGAATAGACTTTGGCGGACGTTTCTCTGCGGGTTGAGCATGCTGACTTGAATCGCTGTTCTGCTTCGAGTGTTCAGCTCCTTTAGATTGTCGAATTTCCTGAAAGTGACTGGCTTCTTTCGAATTGCTCGATACGCTTTGCTGGCTGTACTTCTCCTTGTTTGATTCGGGCACCTTAAGATCAGGATAAAGGTACTTTGTACTTTGCGGCTTCTTCTCGTTCAAGAATTCAGGATTTGTACTTGAAATGGCTTCCTTGACAAGTTTCTTCAAGCCTGACCTCTTACCTTTCATGGCCTCACGCTTGGATTTCTTCCGTGTTTCTTTGGGCGGCTGCTCATCATCTTGCTCTTTCGCCGGTTCACTTCCGGTCCGCAATGCAGAAAGAACTCTTGACCATAAAGATTTACCTTTTTCATCGCTTGCTTGTTCTACTTTTGAGGAATCCCCTTTGCTTTTGATCGATCTCTCTTTCGCTTTTCTTGCATTTTCAGTCTGCTCTTCGATAGCTTTGGTTAATTGACCTGCTAATCCTTTCCGCCTTCTTCTTGATCTTATCTCCTGGGCGCTTGTGATTGACTTACTTCGATGAAGGCGTTTCCTCTTTATTGATTCATTGTATCTTGCTGTATTATGAAAACCAGCATATCTATAATCAGGTATTATCCGATTCTGACTTTGAGGATATAATGATGCACGGGTCGCTATCAGAAAGGCTGTAGGCAGGATATCCGATTGTTTCTTATATCTCTGGACAGCTTGGCGAGCCAGTATCCCCCTGGCATTTGAATACATATCCTTCTCCCTTCCAAGTACGATAGGGTGATGATGTTCGAGTCTAAACCTTGGTAGAATGTATGCTACTTTGTGATTACAAAATCATAATTTTTGAACAAGAAATTCTTCTGCCTGAACTCCACTAAAAATTAAGGAACCGAGAGGTCCATGGAAAACGCGTAAAGAAGGGAAGAAATATTATGCACTGCACGTGAAGATGAGATTTTGATAATTTTTGGTAATTTAAAGCTAAAAAACTTGAATTGGAAGAAAGTGTAACATTGACCTATTACCATTATCATCCTCATTCAAATAGTCAAACATGGCATCCTCGCTTGCTTCTCAGCTTGCGCAGGTACGTTCTCATAATGCCGGTCGATTGGCAGGCGGAAAAGCAGCTCAAAGAGTGCAGGCAAAATCTTACCTCTTTCCTGCTTCAGTAGCCTCTTCGCAAGATTATCAAACTTTACATGGTTTAGCTTTGAATGGTTGGGATGAATTATCAGCAGAAGATGCATCTTTTAACAAATGGAACGATGCAACAGGTGCGGCGGATCTTCTATTTGGAGACGATAGTAAAGATCTGGACAGATTAACAAAGACAAAAGAGGAAAATGCAGGTATCGATGACGCTATCTCCGATCTTCTTTATCTCATCGGAGACCGACTTTTGGACAGAAGTGCTGGAAAGTGCATCGAATGGCTAATAAGAAGATTTCGTGCTCATGAATACAATGTGGAAACACTCTTGAGTGCATTCATCCCCTTTCACGAATCGGCAGAATTTGCACGCATGCTCGGCATTCTAGAACTGAAGGACAAGCCGCATTTCGCCTTTTTACTTCCTATTCAAAAGCAAGCAGTCCCTCTACCTTCTTCAGTACTATTGTCCGCCTTGTTGGCTCCTCCTTCTACTACATCCAGTTCGGTCACATTACGTTGGGTCATGGGGCTCGTTCAACGTAAGCCTGCTTCTTCACGATTGCACTCCTTTCAACGCCATAGGCATACCGTTCTGTCTTTTTGGCTTTCTACAATCGTAAAACTATGCTCTTTATGGTCTGGATCAGATGACATGCAACTTCGAATGGGATTGACTAGAAACTTGAACAAGAGGGTGGAATCGCGTGATGATGATGCACAACTTTTGCTCACAATTCTATTGCCTGCCGTATTGGAATTTACCTCAAGCACAGACGTTGAGAAGGAGGCTAGCATCTATGGTTCAATGGCAATCTGTGCAATTGCAAACGCATTCAGTCTCAGCTTTGAAGCCGGTTCACGAATCATTTCCAGCTTGGCTTCCACTTCGATTAAAAAGGCAAAGGGAAGGACTGCAATCTTGGTCGCAATTGCATGCGTTGTACAACAAGTCACAAAAGATCTTATCTCAACACATACAAATGATGATTTGCGAACCGCTCCTAAACTCATTCAACCAACCGTTGCGCTAAAGCTTTCCCATCTACTTCTGGCCGATCTCTCGTTTACGAATGAGGCAGCATCATATGATCTCGACCCTTTCTTCTTACAGCTTTTGTTCGGTCTAACAGACGCTGCTGTGAAAGGACAAGAAGAAACACACATTCAAGGTGCCATGGAAGCTATACTCGGTGGCCAAAAGGCAATCGGAGACAGATCAGCAGTCAGGGCGGTCAGCTATATGTTGGAACAATGCCAAGAGAAAAAGGTATCAGCACTTATCGAAGTGATTTCACGTATTCGTCAAAGGCACCCTCGTTTGATCGAAGGAGCTTTCAAAAATGCAACAAAGGACATATCCAACGAAAAGCGTGCAAAGCTGGATTCGTTAATGGGTGCAATCCTTGCTCAAGCAGCAGGCGCAACAGCTGAAGGAACGATGGAGGAAAAGGAAGATGCGATCGTTTGGTTGGGCATGCAAGACGCCGATCCTACTAGCCGATTAACATCTCTGCGAACGCTTCTGAGAAATGTTCAAGCAGGAAAGGCTGTCGCAAAAGACAAATTCGTTCAGGATTCGCTAGCTTCGATGCTCTCTGATGATAATGCAGATATCGTTGGCGCTCTCTATGCTGAACATGAACTCTTGTTGCAAAGTCTCGGTGTAAACGGAATCGTAGAGGAAGTTCAAAAAGCTCTTCATCATACGGATGGAGATGCAAAATTCTCCAGAAGTGTTACATTATTGCATATCCGCTTCTTAGCCGAAAAGTTGATTGGAGAAAGCCTCGCAAGCGAAGATGAACAATGGGACATCTGGTTCAATATACTCTGGCCAAAATTACTTCTTTTCAAAAAGAGTCGCAAAAGTGGTCAAGCATACTATGCGGCATTAGCAGAAGCTTTCTCAGGCAAAACCTTAAAGAATCTCAACGTGATCGCTTCCCGCATAAAGGAGGTGAGCGACTCTGTCTTGCCTCACATTAATGACGAGAATTTGGCCAAAGCGAATGAAAGCTTGGTGGACAATCTTGCAAGACACATGGCAACGTCAGAAGAGGCGGATTGTGAATTTCTCATCACAGTGGCACTGCCTTCACGAGGTGATACATCATCATCGCCTTTGTCCAGCCGACTCTTGGCTTTGTTGACATTAGGCTCTTTGCTGAGAAACTTGCAAGCCGAGAAATGCGAACGTGTCTGCACAAAGATTGTAGCACGATTGCAAGCGCAAGACGGATCTTACGGTCGTTTAGAGGACTACGAAGAGCAGACGGTGTACGAAGCTATCTACAGCAAGCCTGCATCAGAAAGAACTTTGGGTAAAGTGTACATTAATCTATTCTTGGAGCTAGCAAAGCATACTCCGATTGTGGAAACACACTTTTTGGACTCGACAAGTTCTGGTGCAACAGTCTCGAGACTTTTTGCCATCATTATCACGCACTTGACTTCTGAATTGCGATTGGTAAATTTGATTATTGAATCACTTTTACCTCGTATGCATGATCGTGCATTGGCGTTCCTTGCTTCGATCTGGACAGCATCACAAGACGATCAGCTATACCACAATGCCGAAGTGCGACTTATGTCTCTTAAATATGCGCACGCCTTCTTGAATGCGCATGCTCGAAGCTCGAATTTGTCAGATTATCAGACCATAGTCCCAGCGTTCATGGTTGCACTTCATGATGGAGAAAAGACTATTAGGGTGGAATGCCTCTCTTCGTTACAGACATTACAAGCTATAGCAACAAGCATTGATCCAAAGGCGAACGGATCAGAGACGGAAACCATCTACGGTTACGATGTCATTTATGGTCCTCAAACGGCAGTCTCGCTTTCTTATCTTGATCTTCAAGACGTACGAGAGTTCTTACAAGGTATCGTTCAAGCTCGTCAATCATTTGTCAATGATTCCGAATATTTGGCGCCTTGGATGAATCATCATTTGACGGTGAACGTGAAGGAGGATGGAAAGAAAGTCGTTGCACATAAAGGAGCTATTATCCACTACCTTTCTACTCATATACTCTGCTGGGACAATCTCCGCTCGCGTTTATTCCTGTTGGAGAGCTTATCCGGTGTCAGTCATGAGCGTAAACTATTGACCCTGCAGCCGCTCCTCGAGAAAAGTCTGCATGATCCAGCATCTTCATCTGCTTTACAGAAACAATTGCTCGGTCTTTATGACAAGAGCGTCAAATCCATGATCAAATCAGACTCGCAAGGTGTTTGGACTTTGTTCAAATTTGCCATCGAAGGTGCATCAAGACAAGCTCAGATTTGTGCTGCTTCGGCTCTACAGTCTCAAGTCTTTTCAATCTTGCCTCGCGAGAAGCAAAGAGAGATCACGTTGTTCCTCGCTAATCTGATTGCGAATTCTGCAGTAGCAATGCCAAGAGAGATTCGCACTTGCTTATACACTCTACCCGTGCAACCCGACATGATCGCATCGATCTTCTCTGAACTTCGCAAAACTATCACGGAAGCACTTTTGTCTCGCGGCCAGCCTGCCAATAAGCGTAATCGCATTGATGCTGGCGAACAACAGGAAGGTCCCGGAATTGCATCGCTTTCTACTTTGACTGAACTTTTGGAAGCTACTCTATCCCGCAAGCCTGAAGCAAGTACGCAATTAGTCGCAGAATTGTTCGAATGCGCTCGATTGGGCACAGAATTGCACTTGGCCAACATCAGCACGAGTGCGGAACATGTGATGCAAGTAGCGATGAGCAACCTGACTATCTTGTGTGGATCGATGGATGCAAATTTGACCGCTGAAGTACTCGATCCATTACGAATCGATCTTTTGATTAACGTAGTCAAGACACCTTGTCGTCCGTACACTTTCCAGCAAGCTTTGGACCTCTTGGCCTTAATCGGAAGAGTATCACCCGATTTATTGGTGCATCATTCTATGCCCATCTTTACATTTGTGGGAAGCACTATGCTTCAACGTGATGACGAGCACAGTTTCACTGTGATTGAGCGCACATTACAAAGTATTCTACCACCAGTCGTCGCAGATATTCAACGGAAACAATCGCAGGGATCACAAAAGAAGAATGGTCTGACGGGAAGAGATGCATCTTTATCACTTTTACAAGCTGCACGTCCTCTTCTCTGCGTCTTCACCGATGCTGCTACGCACGTTCCCAGACATCGCCGACAAAACTTCTTCCATCTGTTGGCTAGCGTAATGGGAATGGACGATTTCCTTTCGCCTGTGTGTCTCTTGTTGGTCGATCGACAAGCGTACAAGGTAGCAAAACAGATGACGGATGATGAGGCAGCCTCTGCTTTGCAATTACCTTTATCACTGTTCGAACGTGCTCAAGATGCAAAGAATAGAAAGCAAGCAGCAATTGACATTCAATTCTCAGTCTTGGCCGAAGTATGGAATGAAGCTATGCGTACATGGCAACATCGATCTATGGACCCGATTGAAATGCAAGAGCATGTCTTCTTGGATTGCGTCCGTCACATCGATACTGAACATGAAGGACGAAAGACCGATCCGATCAAGCGGATCATTGCTCTGCTTCGTTTCAGCAAATTTGCCGTTTTCGATAATCGTAGTACATTTGAAGAAGAACGTGAAGTAGAAGATGAAGACGATCGCAAGAAGCGTGACTCAATCCTGCACAACATTATCCAAAATGCGATCCTCTTGACCCGTGTTGATAACGTTGCTGTAGCCTCAGCATCACAAGAAGCACTGGACGAAGTGATGACAATTGTTTCAGTTTCTACATTGAAGCACGTTGTCAACTCTTTGGTACACAGTAAAGACGCCTTGTCCAAGCGCAGTGGATTGCAAATCTTTGCTAATGCCATGGGGGCAATGATGAAGACTGAGCGCAGACAAGCATCCGACTTCACTCCAAGTGTAATACAAGTCTGCTCTGGCCTGTTTGAAAGCTCTGTTGAAGACCAAGTAATTGCTTTAGATACGCTATTGGCCGTTTGCGAGCAACCAGAATCAAAGGAACATTCAGCCTTATCGGAAACCCTCTCAAGAATTGGCAAATTATCCTTGCAATCAGCACGACAAGGTAATTCCTTGGTAAGTGAACGTGCTTTGGATGTTTTGCGCAAGATGGGCGAAACACTTGGACCTCGTTTGATTCCCAAATTGGCAGAATTGGTACAATTATGCAAAAGCCTCATCAAACGTGATGGCTTGCCTACGAATGAAGATGCAAAACATCAACAAGAAGGTGCGCTGTCGGTCTTTGTTGCATTGTTGAGATCAGTACCAACTTTCATGTCTTCGCATTTGTCGGGTATTTTTAACTTGTTGATCGAAACGCCAATCGTTGCAAAATCAAGCGGAGCAAAGAAGGTCTTGGCGAACATTGTGAAATTCATCGATGCTGGTGAAGTATTACAAGCAACTTTTGATGTTCATAATGCAGCGTTGGCCAAGGCAGGCTCAGAGGATTTGACTGATGTGCACATGTTTGCTCTTGATGTTGTTCAATTATGCACACGTTCTATGGACAAACGCAAGACGACGAGCCACTACAAAGCCATTTTCCGCTTCTTGCTCGAATGCTTTGATGTGCGTCGCAAGCGTATGCTAGGAGAAAAGCAATGGACGAAGCTTTCGGATGAAGCTTTGGCTACGATTGAAGGCAAAACGGTTGGCGTTTTCGTACGATTGGTATTCCGATTGAATGAAACAACATTCAGACCGCTCTTTTTACGCTTGTGCGATTGGGCATTGGTTGATCTAGCGGAAGATGAGAATGAAGGCGATAATATTGGAGAGCAAGTGTATGCCCGTCAAACAGTTCTTTACAAAGCATTGAACGCACTTTTGGAAGAATTGGGCGAATTGATTTCACACTACTATGTCAATGTGTTGGATGCAACGATTGAAACACTGAACAATGGCAAAGTACTCCCCGAATCTCTTTGGGAGCCCATGTTGACCAGTGTCAAGCTCAGCTCAAAGGCTGATAAGGGCACATTCTGGAATCAAATGCGTGTGGATAAGATGTTGACCGCTTTAATTGCTCAATTGCGTATTCAAGGATCTCCTGCACTTTCTTCTTCAGCGATGGAACGTTTGTTAGCCGATACGGTTTGTTCCTTGTGTGCAACTGTGTCTGATGAAAATTGCATCAAGACAGCAAATTCGTCCTTGTTGGAAGTAGCAAGACAATTGACCACGCCTTCGATCTATTCCAATGATCGATCATCCAATCAAGTTCAACAACAATCACGTTTAGCTTCTATTCGAATCTTGGACCGTGTCTGGAGAACGAAAGGATGCGAAGATGGATTATTGACTTTGGTACCTGAGACGGTTCCAAGTATTGCAGAATTATTGCAAGAGAGCGATGAAGATATGCAACAGGTGATGAACGGACTCGTTTCTGCTATTGAAGAAATCTTAGGAGAAGGTTTGGATGCCTATCTTCAATAAAGAGAAACATGAAAATCTCAATTGTACTTTTATTTTTGCATGAAGAATTGATTGGTTGTAGTATATATGTTAAATCGTTGCTTTGACGATTGAACCGTGAATTGCTTTCATGAGCTGGCTTACCCTACTTCCAACGGTCGGTCACGTTTAGGAGATGCGGGCACACGCCATTTCGGTTTTTAGGAATTGGTCAGGCCAGTTCTCAGCCCCATCAAAGGACTGATCATGTGCTACAAACTTGGAGGAGTGTTTCAAGGAAACGCGTATATCATACGCGCTGCTAATTCCTTCAACGCGCCCGCACACACAGAGAGAGTGTAATGTTATATTACAAGCGGATCAAGCTTCTATTTGAATGAGTGAAGTTGTTTTTCTAAAAAGAGTGAGCTTTGAGTGCATTACTCCGTTGCATCACAGATCACGATAACATACAACACCATTCTCACCCTTTTTCACCGCTTAGCATCCTAGAGTTCGATCGATCATAAACACACTCTTTTCAGTAGTGTGAACATACACATCTCGACTATACGCCCCGTCCCATTCATCCTTTTTCGATTCGGACAACACATTTAGAGAACCAACTTGTTCTGCCGAGAGGCACAGAAGAAGTGCTTAGCATTCAACGTATTGACATCCTATCGACAAAATGCTACGAAGCTCGAGAGAAGGTAGAAAGCAAGCTGCACGATTTCATGCCAATTCTCCGTCCTCTTCATCTTCGATTGCCGTCTCTTCATTTTATAATGATCAAGGAACAACCAACAAGAACAACATCAATGGTGATGGCCATGAGAGTATAGATGTCACATTCGTTGATCGTGATGATACGGGGAACGATCAAAGCGCTAGTGAAAGACCACAAAGACGAAAATCAGGAAGAAGTGATGGTTTATTACGACCAAAAAGCAATGTTGCTAAGCATTCAGGTGATAAAGTAGAATCAAATCAATTTCGCTCTCAAGCAAATTCTGAAAGCACGTCTAAACCGTCATCTAGCACCAATAAATCACGCTGGAACGAATCAAACGGGTCCAGTTCAATTGCTTCAACAAGTGAACAACACGAAAGTAGTTCAACCGATATACCTGCATTCAATTGGACAACAGTTGCACCGTGGTCACGCGAAACGTCTCTTGATTCACTTTCAAGCGCTGATGCATCTTCCTTTTCTTCACCACCTTCAAGTCGTGCGCCTTTTGATTCAAAAACGATCGAAACTGGAATTCCACAATCAGCATTGGAGGCTGATGTGGAGATGCGTGAAGCTGTACAAAAGCCTGCATATACTAAAACAGCCGCTTGGGAGGATGTTTCAGATACAAGTAGTTTAACACAATTGGACTCTGTAGATGAAGATGCATCTTCTCTGTCGTCTGAAGAGGACGACGACAACGATCAATCCAACCTCGATCAATCGACATTCATCCAATCAGGCGATGAGAGAGAAGGGCAAAGCTCAAGCTCCATTTTATCTAGACGTCCGCAGAGAAAGGTCAGTAAGTCACTCAAACAAGTCGAGGCTGAGGAAGCACAAGCATTAACCCCAAATAGAAGAAAAGCAGGTACGGTTGGTTCGAATTCTTCTGCAACCTCATCACCCAATCATGAAAGAGTGGAATTGAAGGACAAACACGATTTGAATGAAGAAGTGCCTTCTCGCCTCAGTACACCATCAATTGTTGTTCGAGCTAGAAAGGCTCGAGATAGCAACAGTAATTCAGCATTAGATTCATCTAGAGATACACCAGGCCAGGTCGAGCAAGCTGGTACACCGACGTTCGGACGACCAAAGGGAACTACAAAGAGATTCTTGCTTGATCGAGCACTCGCTCATGGATCTTCAAAAGAACAGACGCAGAGCGCTCCTTCTTCCCCTTCACCTTCAAGAGTCTCTTTACGTAGCGCTGCCGGAGCAAAAGATCGCGTACCCACTTCTGTATCGAGTTCTGCTATTAATCATTTACGCGAGACGCTCTCGAAAAGTAATTCAGAGCCTTCAGAATCGCCCGTACCGAGCACATCAGCAAGACCAGAACAGAAAGATAACAAACCATCTTGGAAACGTAAGGTCTTCTTGACCAGTGGGTTATACTCTAACGATCACAAAGTGAACGAGAGTGCAAAGATACCATCGCGTAAGTCGTTGCATAATAGCAATCATCGATTATTGCAAGGAACATCACGACAACGAAATACAAATCATGTTTCAGCTTTTCCACTTCCAACAGATTTTGGCTATTGGGTGCTAACGGAGAATAAGGATTTCAGACTACCATACCCGATCTCACAAGAAATTGACGACATTCGATTGAAGATGGCATCTAAACGAAAACCTCCGCCGTACAAGCATATATCCTCCAATCGATACGTAAGTAGACCCAAATTGCCCGGCGAAATTATGATTTGTCAATGTCCTCCAACGGGTACATGTGATGAGACTTGCGTCAATCGTCAAACACAATATCTTTGTCATCCGAAACACTGTCCTTGTGGAGAACGTTGTACGAATGTTCAATTCGGGAAACGCAAGTCGATCAAAACAGAAGTGCATTATTATGGTGCTAGAGGATTTGGATTGCGAACCAAAGAGCCAATCGCAAAAGGACAATTCATTGATGAATACCGTGGAGAAGTGGTTGATTATAATGAAATGGTACGCAGAGTACGTGATCATTACAAAGACACGGGCAATTATTATTTGATGATTTATGATGCACCAGCTGGAGAGATGCTTGATGGTGGTTTGAAGGGTAACATTACACGTTATGCGAATCACTCTTGTGATCCAAATTGCGGTATTCAGAAGTGGCTCGTTTGCGGAACAGACGAACAAAGAGCGGGTGAATTTCAAGTTGCCCTTTTTGCTTCGCGTGACATCGCAGCTGGAGAAGAATTGACATACGATTATGGCTGGTCAGCATTTTCTCCCAAAACTGTTACAGGCGAAGCGGGAGAAGCATGTCATTGTGGCGCTGCAAATTGTTCAGGAGTTATGGGTGTGCGTAAATCTGCTACTGTTCCAAAAGGTACGGTTGTAGGTGGTAGTAAGGACAAGCAGAAGAAGAAAAAGAAGAAACGTCGTCCGCTTGCAAAAGCTGCCAAGAATGCAAGAAATGAAAATCCAGCTGTGATTCAAAAGCTGTCCGATAATGTAGAAGAGGCAAAAGGAAAGGATGAAACACCGATTCGAAAAATCAAATTGCCTGATGCCTTATTGAGCATTATTCCTGAAGAATATCGTACAAGCAATGAGATCCGCATCCCCAAAGCACTCTTGGACAGGGTGAAAGGAGATCTCAGTGCTGATGTTTCCACGCCTTTAGGACGTAAGAAATGGGAAAGAGCAGTTGCTGCGATCATTGAGTCTCACATCAATCAAGTCAAAGAGGCAGCACAAGCTCAATTACCTACGACTGGTATCTCCACAAAGAGATCTGCAACTGAAAGCATTGAAAAAGGATCAGTGACTCAAACCAAACGGATCAAAACTGAACACGCTGCATCTCCTGCTCTTGCATCAACATCTATGATCAATCCCCAAGTACTTCCAAAGAAGGACAAAATATCGATAAAGAAAAAGAAGAAGTCACTCAAACCAAGCCTACCCCAGCAATTGACAAAGGATGCGGTCCAGCACCCTCGACTTTATGTTCGCGATAGGGTGACGCTTGGCCTTCCTACTGCGCCTACACAATTGATCGATAGCGAGAAGATTCCAATCGTAGAAGGGAAACGACAAAGAAAGGTATCTCAAAGATGGAATGAATCTCAAGAAGATGCGATCAAGAGAATCAAAGTGGAAGAAGAAAAAGCAAAAAAGACGCAAAAGACTGTTTCAGAATTAATGCAAGATTCTGCTGATCAGAGCTGGGTGACTGTTGGAGAATCAAGTACGGCAAGTAATGCGGACAACAGTGTTGCAAATCTTGAATTTTCTTCGGAGATTCCGCCCGACTTCCCTTATGATCTTTCCAAATATCCTCCTGGCACGCAATTTTTCTTACGTTCAGGTGAACCGTACAATTTCAACATTTTGAACATTACCAGAAGAGGTAAAAAGCCAACACCTTATACGAAAGAAGAATTGCACGAAGCCAATGAACGTCATCGTGTCAATTTGAAACGATTGAACGATTTACGAAAGTTCAAATGAAAATATATTTTCTATTACCTTACTCCATGCATTTTGTCTCGCTATACATACTCACAATATGCTTCTTCTATCATTATTTCCGTGTATCCCATACTGTACTTTACACTGCAATTCACACACATTTTCACAGAAAACGAGTTACCAGTGTCTTTCGAGTTTAACAAATGCATTACACAGATCCTATTATACATGCTGAAACGGAAAAAGAATACAAGCGGACATCTCAAAATCCTAGAGCAGATGACATAGCAACAGTATTTCCTGTGCCGAAGCGAGTTTGAAAAGCTAATAATTCTCTCGTCAATTCATCTACCAGAGCCATACTTGATGATCCTCCAATGTTGGCAAACGCAGCTACACCAGAAGCATTGGATGGATCTGAAGCTGGGTTGTCCTCAATCAATATAGGATCGACAATAGTCGGTGTCTCTGCAGCAGTTTCTTCGTTTGGCGCCTTCTCCTCTGACGCATTCGTTGCAGGCTCCTCATTCTTGATCTCAGATGATTCGGGAGCAGCTTGAGCAGTTGCTTCGGGAGCGTTCTCCCCTTCAGTATCGCCTTGTACATCTTTCATGCTGGTATCTTCTTCCTGTGTCTGCTCTGTGTCCTTTACTTCTTCAGCTTTCGCTTCATTGACATTTTCGTCTGCTTCCTCCATCTTTGCTTCTGCAACACCTTCTGCAGTCTTTGCTTCTTCTTCCCGTGCAGCTTTTGCAGCAGCAACAGCAGGTTCTTCATCTCTACTCTGAGATTCTTTCGGTTCACTGCTTGGACCGCTGGTGATCGCACCGCTACTTGGATCACGAGAGATTCCTAAAATTTTCATCCTTCTTTCACGTTCAACACTTTCGATTTGTAATCTACTAACGAATTCCAAAATATTTCTCACTCTCTTTCGCATTTCTCCCATCGTCATTCGTTTGCCGGGGTATTTGATCTTTGTTGTGCTTTCCGTCAAATTGATAATATTGAACGGCTGTGGTGATGCTTTGATGATTCGATCCGTCTTTGCATCTCGTGTAGCACCAGATCCGGTGCTCGCTGAACCTTTTGGACCGCTCTTGGATGATGGCACGCTGACTTTGAGTAGCTCAGGTCCCACACCCGGTGGCAAAAGGAAGGACAAGTGCGCAAGATGATCAGGAAGGCCCCAAGTACCATCACCTTTGCGACTAGAAGAACTTTCTCCAGGGACAGGCGTGCCCATACGACTACTTCCAGCAGTCTCTCGATTGGACCGTCTTGTGCCATCGCCACGAGTCTTGTGTGGGCTTGGACCAGGTCCTGTTTCCGTGCCAGATGCTGCTGCGTTTGCGGCTGCTGCTCGTTTTGTGTATTGGTTCGGGTGTTTTGGACGATCAGGGTCTTTCGCATTACGTTTCTGAGAAGATGCAGCGACTCTTTTGGATGGTTGTGAAGCTGGACCTTCTTCTTCCTCTTCGCCTTCCAAGCCTTCCTCATCAATCGTTTCTACGCCGGGACTCGTACGTCTCCTCTTGGGATAGCCATCATTAGCTGTCTGTCCATTTGCTGGATGAGAAGGTGCGTTCTCTTCGTCCCTTCCACCACGCTTGCGCTTACGAGTTGCTTCCTCATGTGCCTCTCTGGCTTCCGCGTCCCATACTTCATCTTCATTAAGCAGTCCAGGCGGAATGGGTTCCCAGCCATACACTGAATCGCGACTGTTCATCGTACTGCGTCTTTTTGGTGGACTTTTGGGCACTGGAATATCGTCTCGACTGGCAGACCTTTGTACGCGGGTTGAATCTGATTGTTGTCGTTTGTGCGAAGCGCTTCCTAATCCTAGTCTGGCTTGTTCTTCCGAATGATCCACTGATTGACGTAAAGATTCTTGTTCCTGTTGTTGCATCACTGTCCATCCAGTAACTGGATCTCTTCCTTCTAACCTTCGATTCTCATTCTCTTTTGCTAGAGCTAGTACTGCCTCTTTAGCCTCTTTGAGTTCTTTGCTTGAATCGCGAACACCTTGTCGGTTGTGGTGAGTCTTGACTGATCCTTTCTTTGCTCCTTTGACTGATGGAAGGACTCCCAATATCCGCAATAGGGGAACGTGTAGCTCGGGCCTACACTGTTCACAATAATACACATCCGGACATTGCGATTCGGTCATCATTCCCATACAGATACAATGTTGCCAACACTTGCACTCTTCGCATTGAATCATTAGACCGACGTTCTCATCTGTGCTGCCGCATAAGCATCTTGTCACACCTTCATCGCCATCGTCTTCTTCCATGCCAGGTTGAGCTGGTTCCTCGATCGCGTCCCCCTCTACTACCTCAGCATTTTCGACTGGTGGTTCTTCAGGGGCTGGCTTTTCATCCACCTCCTCAACGGCATTATCGGCGGATGGTTCTTCTTTCCCTGCCTCAATTTCTGGCTCCTCTGCACCTTCTTCTTCTTCCTTTGCAGTTTTACGTGAAGCTTCGTTGGGACTCATTGCTGATCTTCTGCTTCTTCGAGGCATCAATGGCTCCTCTTGTCCATCGCCAAGGGACTGCAATCCAAGCCCAGCTAACTCTTTGATTCCGCTTGTGGATCGCTGTCGCCTGGCAGCTTTCTCTTCTTCTGTACCTTCTTCTGAATCACCTTGTGCTGCATCCGCTTCTTCTTGTTTGATCGTTGTATCTGCCTCTCCTTCCGCATCTGCATTTCCTGTACTTGCATCAACGAAAGCATCTTCATCTGCTTCGACGGATTGTGAGTTCTTTGAATTGCGTGATCTTGAAGCTTTACCTTTTTTGCCTCTGCTTGAAGCACGCTTTTTGGTATTTCGGCTACGTGATGTGGTTGCGCTGGATGAGTCGCCACTTCCGCCTGCATCTTCGTCGTTTTCGTCTGCAGCAGCATCGGCATCATTGCCATTGGTTGGCTGTTCGTCAGTTGTGGTTTGGGCTACATCTGCTGCCGCTTCTTCATTTGCAACGGCAACAGAAGCATTTTCTGCTTCATCGGCAGCGGCACTTCGTCCACGTGTCGAAGACATAGTTGCCAGTCAGGATTATGTTCTGTTTAGACGATCGATGGGTGGCTGCACAGTACGTGATGCTTTTGAGGTTGAAGGGTGAGATAGGGATATCAATGATCACTCTTGAGCATGTATCCGGCTTGGAAGAACGATAAAAGATTGCACACGACTGCTCTCAATGATCACTTTTCCTACTGTGAATTGAATGTGTTGATAAAGATGGTCATGGAATGTGATGTTGGTTTTGATGAAAGATGTACAGAATACATACACGCAAGAAGGTTTGAAGTAAATGCTGGTTAAGATGTCTTATCTGCACTTTTGCCTTTAACATGATCTTTTTCTCTCTTTTAGCAGAATCGCGCTTATGAAAAGTACTTCCCTTTTTATTCATTCGACATTCCTGAGTGTGTATTTAGAGAGGATGTCGCACGGGGCAATCGCACGGGCAAAAGAAGTGCTAGCCTGGTCAGGACGGGGGACGGCAAGTTGAATTTGTTCGGAGGTAAGGCCGAAAATGCAGTCAGGCGGCCAAAAAGTGCACTTAAAACGCATGCTAAAGCTGCTACCCCGCAACAAATTGTGGCAAGTGCTCATAAGACAGCACAAAATAAGATATTAAAGCATACATTATGCAAGTCTGTTCTCTTCCACCATCATCAATTCTACTTTCTTATTCTAACAACAATGGCTCCATCTGTCGCTGCTGAACCACCAATCGTAGCCGTCCCCACCAAAGGACCAACAACCGGAAAGGTTGATCAAGCTCCTTCAAAAACACAAAAGGAATCAACCGGCTTCCATTGGCCAGCAAGACCAACGTTCAACTCACTAGAAGAAGAACGTGAATCACGCAAAGAACGTCTTGCATTGGCATTCCGTGTGTTTGGAATGTTAGGATTCGATGAAGGTGTTGCCGGACATTTGACATACAGAGACCCAATCCTCAAAGATCACTTTTGGGTTAATCCTTTTGGTGTCAATTTTAGATTAATGACAAAGAGTGATCTTTTGTTGATCGGTCCAGACGGAAAAATTAAAGGTGGTGGTAAGCCAGACGGTCAATATTATAACGCCGCTGCATATGCAATCCATCATGCTATCCATACCCACAGACCGGACTTAGATGCAGCATGCCACAGTCATTCGTTGCACGGTAAAGCATTCAGCACTTTGGGTCGCAATATCGAATTGACAACACAAGATTCATGTGTGTTCTACAATCAATGCGCGCTTTACGAGAACTTTGGCGGTGTTGTTTTGGGTGAAGATGAGAGCGGAAAGATTGCAGAAACACTTGGTCCACATAACAAAGCACTCATCTTGCAAAATCACGGTATTCTCACAGCCGGGGAATCGATCGAATCAGCTGTGATGTGGTTTGTCATGTTGGAACGTCATTGTCAAGTTCAACTTCTTGCTGAAGCAGCTGCCGGTTCACGTGGACAAAAGCCTATTGTGATTGATGATGCAGAAGCTGAATTCACTCATAAGATGACTGGAAATGAAGTTGCAGGTCATTTCTTCGCTCGTCCCTTGTTTGCACAAGCCCGTGCAGAATACAAAGATGCCCATTTGGCTTAAAATGATTGGAAATTGTATTTATCATGAATGACTGGATTCTTTTCAATGAATATTTTGACGATTTATTTCTCCTCCATCATGATGACTGTTCCAATGAATGTTCTCCTCATGTTGTCTATTTTCGCTCTAAACTACTTGGCATCGGAAATGTCGGTTGATTGTCCGATTGTGAGGGATTGTGCCTTGGAACGCGTTAGAAAAAGCATACCCCGCACACACGCAAGAATGAATTTGTCGGAAATAGAAGAAGCATTTAATGACATACGTCAACAACAACGGAAAAAGGAGTAACAGAAATACATCATTGCTCCCCTTTCTCTTCTTCCATCATCTCACCAAAACAACAAAGATGTCAATCGCATCGCAAAGAACGCTTCTTGCAAAGTCAATAGGACGTATATCTGGCAGGAGTACGATCGCCAGTTCCTATCAACAAAAGCGTACGTTTGCAACACCTGTCAGCAGCAGCAAAGGCGAACATGTACGGATTGTAGAAGTATCACCTCGGGATGGATTACAAAACGAGAAAGGTTTAATTCCAGCATCTACGAAAGTTGAACTAATTCATAAACTACGTAAAGCGGGTGCAGAATGTATCGAAAGTGGATCGTTTGTCAGTCCAAAATGGGTACCGCAAATGAAAGATACGGCGGAAATTTTACGTACGATGCGACCTGATTCCACCATTTCTCATCCAGTCTTGGTTCCTAATGATAAAGGTTTGGATTTGTTGTTGAAGTTACTGGAAGAGTATGGATCAGATAAGAGCGCTTGGCCAACAGATGAGATAGCACTGTTTACTGCCGCTTCTGAACAATTTTGCAAGGCAAACACAAATTGTTCCATTCAAGAATCTTTACAACGGCTAGAAAAAGTTTCTGAACGTGCTTTGAATGCAGGTTTACGTGTTCGTGGTTATATTAGTGTAGTTGCTCATTGTCCATATCAAGGTAAAGTTAAACCTGAAGCAAGCGGAGAGATTGCCGAACAGCTACTACAAATGGGTTGTTATGAAGTTTCACTTGGGGATACAGTAGGATCTGCTTCTCCTTCAGAAATGCGTGAAGTATTGGCGAAATGTTTGCAAAAGACAAGCGGAAAAAATGGAGGTGATGTGAGCAAGTATGCTGCTCATTGTCATGATACAATGGGAACTGGATTGGCAAATGTCTTGGCTCTCGTTCGTGAAGGCGTTCGTTCTGTAGATGCTGCCGTTGGTGGTTTAGGAGGTTGCCCTTATTCGCCTGGAGCAACGGGTAACATCGATACCGAATCGGTTGTATATGGGCTGCACGCAGAAGGGTATGAAACAGGTATCGACTTGGAAGAAGCTGCAAAGATTGGTCAATGGATCTCTGATCAAGTCGGCAAACAGAATAATAGCAGCGCAGGAAGGGCAATCTTGGCAAGACTTGCAAGACAAGAAGAAGAAATGTCTGCTAAATTGTAGTAGCTCATTAAAAATACAATATAAATACAATCTATATATCGATGTACAATGTGTCTGATGAAATCATTCGTCATCAGTCAGCTGTTCTTCTTCCGTAGATTGTGCACCGCTTTGTCTACGTTCAGCCTTCTTTTGGCTCTTTGCGGGTTGTTGTGCCTTTTGTCTTTCCGTCCTGCGATCTTGCAGTAAGTAGACCAACCTCATCTCTAAAGCATAAACAGTATCTGCCAAGATGTAGGTCTCGATTCCGATCGCTTTGGCAGCATACTGCAGTACCTTGGCATATTGATCATGCACCCAGCCTGATTCCCAAGGAGATTGGGCATCTGCTGCTGTGCCAGAGGAGATCATTCGATTATATACAAAATGAGCATCGCCTGGTCGAAGTTGGTCATCGTTCAATGTGATCAAGTGTGGGTAAAGTTGTTTTTTGTCCTTGTATAATTGTGACAGGATATCACTCTGATCATGATTGCCGTTTTCATGGATGTCGTTCCTTCCGTTGATTGAAGTCAATCCTGCACCACACGCCAAAAGATCATCAATCTTGCCTGTATGACGTCGATGTAGGGCATTTGGATGATCTTCCAAGATGAGCTTATCTTCAGCGTAATCGAGATAAGCGTCCAATTGATCGTTTGTCATTTCGTCAATCTTGACAGAATCTGGATCTGCCAAAGCGGGAAATTGAGTTTCACCTCTGGCTTGTTGCACTTCTAACGCTGCCAGCCAAGGATCGAGAGGAGGACATCCGGACCAAATATCCGCAATCTGAGGCTCTTCAAAACGCTCTTCTCCATCCAACCCATAACGCATCTTGATCATCAAAATCAGCGAAGCCATCAGAACCACTTCACGAGGTACAGATGTATATTGCAGACTTACTGCCAATCTTCCATCTAACATCAATGAAGCCTTTCGATTTCGTTGTGGTGGCTTTTCCTGATCGAGGGATAGCGTCGAACATGATTCTTGAACGGCAACGAGGGGGATCTCGCAATATGCAATCAACCGTTTCGCTGCACAGTATACAGTAGGCGGAAGTAGAAGATCTTGCGTGCATCGCCATAGCATTGGCAGTGCATTCATTTCGGGAAACTTGATGCTGAACTTATTGTGAAGATCATTTGCAAGTCTGACGGAAACGTGATGGAGTTTGTCAATAGAAGGAACCTTCTTGCCATCCAATCTCTCAGCATATCGATAGGGTAAAGCTTTGGTCATTGGTCGAGGAAGTTGGTAAATGGCATGAAGAAAGGGTATCTTTTGTTCAATCAGAAGGAGGCGTAGATCGTTCCATCGTATAGGCACTCGGAGTGTGATCAGTCCAAGATAGACGATACATGTCAAAGTCGTGAGATTCTTTGCGCCGGATTTAACATACCCTCTTCTACTCTCATCTCCTCCACTTCGTTGCCCATTCGCCAATCCTTCATCGTCCGTATCCACTGCGGAAGTCTCGCCTGCATCCGTTGAGACAAGATCATCCGTTTCCTCTCCGTCTTCTGCCAACCCGAGCAAGCGTAATTGATCATCGAATCTTTGTGATTCATCTTCCTCTTCTTGTAGCATGGCCTCCCTTTCGGCTTGTTTTGCACGTTCCATTGATATGCTTCTTTTTTCCTTCCCTTTGATCTGCATCCCGGCATCTTCACTTGCTTCGAGATAAGGTTGAGGTTGGAGCTTATCTTGCATTGAAACATAGAATGCCCATAAATCACGACAGACTGCCTCCAAGTCTTCGCCAGGGCAACTAGGGAGATGTTCCTTGACAGCCTCAATTTGGAGACGGAGAATGACCTGCAAGCATTGATAGAACAGATACCGTGCTCGCTCTGCTGACCAGGTTCCTCGTATTGCCGTACTTCTTCGCTTCTTGTTCACATATCCATTTCCACCAACGCGTAACCTTCTCCTTGTTCGTTGTGACAAGTTTTGAGAAGGATCAAACGATTCACCATCATCAGCAGTCTCTTCACGAAAGCCTTGCAAAACATGACCTTGATCACAGACAACCATTGAAGTATCTGGATCACGTCGAAATCTACGTGAACCACATAATGGACAACGCGGTCTTGCCATCTTTTTTCGCAGCCTTTGTGATGATGATCCTCCCTCGCCTCCTCCCATACTACTGCTACCCCTCATCCCAGTATCGTATGAAGATGACGACATGATGGCCTAGCCAGAACACATGATGAGATCCATAGTATGAAGAGAAAGTGTTGTTCTCGACATTGTCTTGCTTGAATATAATTTTAGGTTAATCCCCGTAACGCGTGCGAAACGCTCGTCCCTCTTTACGCGTATGATCTTACGTAATGAATCAACTTGTTCACCAGATCCCTCTTCGGCGTCGTTGCCGTGAAGCATAAGATCTTCGAGTATCACTTTGTCTGATGAAGCATAAATAATGTGACAATATTTAGATGCGATCTAATCCTGATGATATGGATGGAACAGAAAAATCAATTCAGCCAGACTACTTAGCAGCAAGGTAATATATTTTCTGTTTAAATGACAATTATATCTTTATCTGTTTATGGTTGTTCTTTTTAGGAGTTATCAATTGTTTTACATCTGCGACTTGTCCCAAACACTCCTAAATCAACTCATGGTCAGTATACTCATCCTCAAAGTGACGTGTAAAAGACATGCATCTGGATGTGCACAAAGTAAAACAATAATAAAAAGACTTCCATAATACTCTCAATTCTGCACTTCAGGTCCGCGGTAGAATCTGCTATATTCAACTGCCAGTCTAGCCAAGCAAAATGACTACGTCTTCATCAATACTTATACTACCATCACCTGCTTGAAATTCAAATACTCCATCGATCATCACCACTCATCCTTGATCCTAAGTCACGTGTGGTTCAGATGACAATCATTGCTCTCTTTGCAATTTGCCTTGTCTGCCGGAATAAACAAATGTACGGCGAAAAAAATGCAAATAAAATAGTCACTGGCGTGACGCCTACTTTAAACTGCTTTTGGTAATTTGACTCTGACATTGAATCTCAATCGACCCCACACAGACAGACAATATAAAGCATTAAGTTCGGTTAATACAATTACGCGTTACAATACACTGCTTCAATGCCAAAATACAACTTTGAAGTTTGCGGGAAAGACGTGAAGCGGTATAATATAAAATGAATATGTCTGGTCTAGGCGCAATAGCACAGATTCGTATCAAAGCCCCACGCGATGGATGCAGTGTGAGGTACTTCTCTGCTTGCGCGCCGCGCCTGTGAAGTGATTTAGCGTATATAAATCAAATGACTGTAAGGTGCCTAATGAATGAAACCTTTTTTTCTTGTGCGGAACAAAAGCAGAGAAGGAGAAAAAAGTAAAAACGCATTCATCTTATTGCCTGATACACCTTAAAGCGGGTTCACATTTGAATGAGAAATAGTCGATCTAGACTGATCAAAGGGGCCCCATCTTTGGAGGAGTGAAGTTTGCCATCACAACCTATACCATCATCATCATCATCATCCTCGACACTACCTAGTTTCATCCATCCATACGTCTCACTTATCTCTTGGAGCGGATACTCAAAGATTGAAAGGCATTCTTTGGTAAAGGCAAACCCACCGCCCTCATTCCTACTTCTCGATTACCCACACTTTTGCCATTCGCTTCCGATAATAACAACCGAATCGAGTCTCTCACTCCTCCCACCTCCCATATAAACCTTGCAATCAAGATGCGGACGTCATTCTCTTCGCTTTTGGTCGCTTTGGCCACAATCGCTGTTTCAGTCCAAGGTCAAAATTCATCTTCCAGTGCATCAAGCGCTGCATCTTCTAGCACTGGATCAGCATCGGCAAGTGGAAATTCAACTTCTTCCCTAACGGCTTCTTCCAACTTTACACTACCCAACCCAACAGCATCCGCAACATTCCCTCCAGGCTTTGTTATGCAAAGCAGCGTTCCATTCGTTTATACCGATGTCGATACCGCAAACCTTCCAAAGATCAACTACAGTTTGTTGAATGAAACCGTTGCACAAAGACAAATCATTTGTAGCCAACAGACAAAATTCTGTTCGACAGCCGGATGCGCAGATGCAGATGCAAAGATTAAGGAAAACTTCTGTGATGTTGATACGATGGCGATCATGTGCACATGTACAAAAGGATCAACAAATCTAAAACAATGGAATTGGCCAGCACAATTCCAGGATTGTTTACGTCGTGGTAACACTTGCACAAACGCTTGTCAACTTCCAGGAGGTACTACACAAGCACGTAATGATTGCAAAGACGCATGCACAAAGAGTTTTGGAGGTACTTGCGGTTTCGCTAATCAATATTCCGCCAACTATGCTGTCTCTAAACCAGGACAGAAACCTAATCTCCAAATGGTACAAGGTGGAACGGCAGGAAATGGTGCTATGTCGATGAACGTTGCTTCAGGAGCCGTTCTATCGGTTGCCGCTATTGCAGCATTGGTTTTGTCGGTGTAACGAAGATGAGATTTTGACAGATACCCAACGATGTTCAATCTCTCTTTTTCAATTGATCCAAAAATGGCTACACTATCACCTCCTCTTTTGACTTCTTACTTAGCGAACATGCTCTTTTCTTTTGCTTGTATTGTGTTGCTCAGCCACTTCGCTTTTTATCATCATCATCTTTTTTGTTGCGCCTTTGCTCTTTCTTGTCTCGCTTAATTATGGGATCATTACACCTTTTCTCTCTGTCATTATCATTTGCTTCAATACATCTTTTGAAAGTCATCAAGAGTGAAGAATGTTTGATTCGAACATAAAATAGAAAGGCGGGAAGGCGTGTGAGTGAATGTCGTTGTTTGGTTATGACGCTAACGCCTTACAGAGTGAGTGTGGAGAAATATGCATGCAGTTTTTCGTGCTGAGCAGATTGAAATTTGAGAACAGTCTTCCCGTTTTGCATCCATCCATAAGAGATTTTGGATGCTGGCCATCATCAATACAAGAACAATAAGCTTGCTATTACTTCGAAGGATAAGAATTACAGAGATGGTCACATTACGAACACGACAAGCAAAACATCATAATGAAACGGTCATTCCGCCTAAACCAGAAGAAAGTATCGCAAAGAATTTTGTACGACAGAAATCCACCGTCGCCAGCCAGGTGAACGGTACAAAACGTACGAAAGTTGAAAATGGAACAGAAACAATTGCGATCGCAACATCTGTAGCCGAAACACCTTCTCCGAAGAAGCGGAAAGCTACACCAAAGAAAGAGAGCGGGAAGCCGGCCACTGCACATGTTGCAGAAGAAGAACAGCTACCGCTATTAAGTCGTGATGAAGTGAGCAAAGCAACAACGATTGATTATCCAAGACTACCGTTCGATCTGGATGAAGCTGTTTCTCACTTACGCTCGGTAGATTCCAGATTCGATACGATGTTGGAACAAATCGAATTAAAGCCCTATCAGGAATTAGTTGATGGCAGGGTACGTGAATTGGACCTCTTTCGCACTCTGGCAACGTCCATATTGGGTCAACAAGTCAGCTGGCTAGCAGCAAGGGTGATTGTATATCGATTCGTTCGCTTGTTCCATACGGAGCTTCCTGAAAAACCCGATTTTGATGCCATACCGAGGGACTCGCTACCCTTTCCTCATCCTATAGATGTTTGTCAATCCGACGATGCATTCTTGCGTACGGCAGGCTTGAGTGGAGCAAAGGTGAAATACGTCAAAGATGTTGCAAGAAGGTTTAGTGATGGTAGATTAGATGCACGTAAAATCATTACCCTAAACGAAGAAGATTGTATTGCGGAATTGGTACAGATCAAAGGTGTTGGAAGATGGACGGCAGAAATGCTATTGATGTTCGCATTGAGAAGAGGAAACATCTTACCTGTTGGAGATTTAGGCGTTCAACGTGGAATGGTAATCTTTTTTACTTCAAATTCAAATCAACTCAAAATCGAAGAAAAGAAAAGAAAACAAAAACAAGCAAAAAAAGAAGACGTTCACGATTCACAAGAAAAGGTAACCGTCATAGAAGATCATTTGACAGAATCGCAAGCTCAGGTCGAAAGAGAGATTCCGAACATTGATAATATCAAAGACGAACATGAAACTGGACCGCACTTCAGTGCACCTCCCACTAACGGTCACACAAGTTACAAGATTCCGCCACTACCCGAAGGAATCTCTCCTTCCCTACTAAAGACTAGGCGAGAAGGAAAGAAGGCAAAAGGAAACGTATACTTGACGTGAGTATTACCTACTTATCCGAATTCTATAATATCCACTGACATTCTCATATCCAATTACAGCCCTCCCGAGATGGAAGCATTGGCAGCAGAATGGGCTCCTTTCCGCAGTATTGCAGTGTACATGATGTGGGCTTTAGTAGACTGAGACAGCACACGCAAATACTGTATCATACAAATATCCATCAAAAGGTATCATTAAATCGTACAATAAAAAGATATAGTATACACGAAAATTAAAGCCTAAGGACAATCAGTTGAACGTACCCATTATACGACCTATATTGCTATACATTCTCGAATGAGAATGCGGGTAACCGTAATTACGATCAGGACCAACATTTTCCCAACCATGTTTGAAGAACCAAACCCTTCCTTTGATATACTTTCCAATCTTTCCTTCACCATCACCAAGATCCACAACGAATGCTTTTCTCTTGTAAGGCTTTCCATAATCTGGCTCTTGTACAGTGACGGATCCGATCATCGTTTCAACTTCGAAGCTTCCTTCAAAAGCATGTGAATGGGTCACATCGACGTAACCTGTGATTGATGTCACATTAGAGTACAACTGCGTCTCCCGATCTTGGTCAATATAGTTGACGAAAGAAGTTCCCGTCTGTGTGAAAGCATCGACTTCCAACTTCCTCCAAGATAAACTTCCTGAGTGCTCCTTCATAATGTCTGCCGCTTTGTGAGGATCAATAATGGCTAGCAAACCACTTTGTCTAATGTGGTCTTTGTAGGTGTCTTTATGCGCCACCACATCTACCCTAACATCTGCTGTTGTCGTGCTTGCCGAAATTGAATCAAGTGCGCTATATCTGCCTCCCAAAACACCATCTCGAGTTGAACAAATCACCTTTTTCGCAACAGCGATCTGACTGACATTCAAACCGCCAGAGATGGTGTGTAGCTTGACCTCTTCGATTCCCACAACGCCTGAAATCCAGATGGGTCCATTCAATGTAAGCAGATCCACACGTGGGGCTGCGATGATGAACGGTAGCACCTCCGTGAAGAAGATGTCACGAATTTGACCTGTTTCAACTCGCATGCTGACTGACTCATTTGCGAGCAACTTCATTCCAAGTGATATTCCGGCTATTCTTGCATTCGCTGTAATCCTACCAAACGTAACTCCAGGAATAGTTCCATCACGATACGGCTGAGCAAAACCTTCAAAGACGATTCGTAAATTGTCTGCATAAAGATCCAGAGCTGGTATGAATGAGGTTCCATCCCTTGCTAGTCCCTCTTTGGACCGATAAGTTGGATCAGGCAAAAGAACGTTGATCGTGAAGGCGAGAAACTCATTGCCTCTGGTAGGCACACCGTAAGCATTAAGACTGACCCCTTCTGCTATGTTCTCTGGATTCTTGTCGTCGATCACTTTATTCAAGGTGACCAAATCGAGAAGTCGTGAATGCGTGAATCGAGCCTGCACAACTACAGCTATCCGATCCAATCCAGGACCGCCGTGTATGATGTTCCATTCTTTCTTCGTAACCTCATCTGCTGATCCTGTACGCAAGAGCCCGGTAAATGCTACACCATGAGCTCTTACGAATGTCATAGAAGTATCAGCCGGTAAGGAGAAGGACGTATTACACATATATTGCTGTAAATTTGGCGAGATCCATTCATCACGCGGCGCCTCTACGATGGGAGACCAATGTGGTCCTTCAACCGGTCTACCGTCTGATTCCCAAGGTTCACTCTTGCCTTTATTGTTTCCATCATTCGTGAATAAGTCAAAGAAGAGCAAGATCACAATGGCGATTAAAAGAAGTGCTGCCATAAACCGACACGATCGCCGATATTTTGAATTAAATCGTAATTTCTTTTTCAGCAAAATCTTTTGTCTTCTGGTCAGCAAAGGCGTTGATTCTGCATCTGATTCTTCTTCCCCATCTCGTTCAACGTCATCTTCTCTGAATCGAATAGATTGATGCCTCAGCCTTTCACGTCTTCTCTCTCTGTGTTGTTCTCTGTTGCGTTGACGAAAGAGCTCTTCCTCTTGTAACCTTTCTCTTTCTGTTGCATTTATTTCATCATTCGGTCTCTGAGATTGTCCACCTCCAGCACTGGTTGAAGTGGATGATTCTCCTGTTGCTGCTTCTTCATATGCTGGTGGTGGCTGTTGCCATGCTGTATCATGTCTTGCAGCATATTCTTCCGCATCTCTACGTGAATTTCGTTCAGCCTCCTCCTCCGCTTCAGCCCTTTTTGCGTTAATGATCGCCATTTGATTCGAATACTTAGTCTTTTATTCCCTTTCTGTCAAGAGACAGACAGACGCTCCTTTTGGGAGATGGTGGTGAAACGTCAGGAACGTTGCCAAAGGTACGGATTGGCCCGTCAATTGAATGCAGTTGTATTAGCTCCATTGCCTAAATGTACCTTCATGCACTGCACTGCACTTTTTTTTTATCTTTTATCTATGTCCAGACCTTTGGCTAGAGGCGCAAACGCGGGCGTAGCTCCCAAGATTGACGTGCTTATCCGGCTTAGCGCTAAGTAAAACGAAAAGATGCTGAGTCGAAAAAGTGAAATAAGAATTCAACCTAATAAAGTGGTGGTATAAAGCATATAATACAAGAAAAGAAGCAAATACAGCAATCCTAACAAGATAAAGTATAAATTGACTCAAGCAAAGTCTGCACGTATGCTACCGACTTCGGTGGTCATGACAGAATGTGAAATTGGAAATAGCGAAGATCCGTCTGTTCCTCCATCTTTCCAATCATGATTCTTAAACCAAGATCTACCTTTCATCAATCTACCTATTTTACCCTTGTCTACATCAAGATCGACAGTAAAGTGTTTTCCCGATTCGGGCTTCCCGGCGTTTGGTTGATTTATTTTGATGGATCCTACCGTCGTCCGAATATCATACCTTCCTTCAAATCCTGAAGAATGACGAACCATGATCGAGCCTGTAACAGTTGTGGCATTAGACATCAGTAATGTCTTCTTGTCTTGATCGCGATAATCTAAAACGATTCGCCCAGTTTGAGTGAATGCATCAACCTTTAAAGGTCGCCACGAGGATTCGTTAGATGACATTGCTAAGATTCCTGCAGTCTTTTCGGGGTTCAAGATTTGCAACAAACCAGAAGATTTGACATAATCAAAGTATGTATCTTTATTTGCATCAACGTCTATCTGTAAATCAGCCGTCGTGTGTGCACTTATAGAACGATAAGCACTCCATCGCCCACCCAGAACGCCCACAGATGAAGAACAAGACACCTTTTCTGCTACAGCAATATGGCTGATATTAAGGCCTCCTGTGACTGACTTCAAATTGAGATGATCGATTCCCACTGCTCCCGAAATCCAAATCGGTCCATTAGCTGTGGTAACGTCGACTTTTGGTGCTGCAAGAGCGACCAATGTTGGTTCACGAAAGTAAATATCTCTAATCTGGCCAGTGTCTATATGCATTGAGATACTTTCATTTGCACGAATTGCCATTCCAATCGTGATCCCACCCGTTCGAGCATACACAGCAAGCTTGCCAAATGTCCAGCCCATCGTTCCAGGGACGTCGTCATTCAGTCCATCATATCCTTCCACAGCGACTCGTGTATTATCCGACATTAGTTCTAAATTCCGAATCCACGAAGTACCATCCCTTGCTAAACCCTGAGGTGCTGTACGATAAGTTGAATCAGGTAAGAAAACGTAAAAGTTGAGTGTTAGATTCTCATCGGGCGAAAGATGTTTATTTTCTCCATTAACACTGACACCCTCCTTTCTTTCGCCATCTCTTTCATCGATCATTGTATTTATTCGGACCTTGTTGAGTAGGCTTCGATGGCTGAATTTAGCCTCTACCAGAACTCCAATCCGATCGATCATTGGCCTTATATCAAATTCCTGCCATTCTTCTTTGTCAATAGACGAAGCTGGTAGAGTGATTATAACACCATTATAGGAAGATCCGTGAGCACGTACAAACGCTAGAGATTCATTCGCTGCGATGGAAAAGAGTGCTCTACTTGTATATTGTGGAATGTTGGGCGAAGGCCACGACTCTTGCGGTGTATCCTTAACAGGCGACCATTCTGGATCTCGAACTGGCTTGCCATCGTCCCACCAAGGCTCTGGCATATCCTTTTTTGTATCTGCACTCTTGCCCAAGAGATTCATGACCAGGGATAGAACAAATGCACCCAGCAAGAATGCAAATAAGAAATGCCAAAAACGTCTGTATCTCGTTCTGCCTCTCAGCTTTTGCTTCAACTTGATTTTTTGCCTTCTTGTGAGTAGTGGCATAGATTCATCATCTGATTCTTCATCATTGGATCGAGGCTGTGATTGTTGTGCAGTGGCAGGATTGTCAGGCTGATCTGGTATGGGAGACTCATCTGTTGATGTTGATTGATAGTTTGGAGTGCTTCTCTGTTGTGCTACAGAGGAAGAGCCAGAAGGACCACCGGCAGCTTCTTCATACGCTGGAGGGGGTTGATGCCAAGCACGATCATTTCGGGAAGCATATTCTTCTGCTTCTATTCTCGCATTTCTTTCCGCTTCTTCATCCGCTTCTAATCTCTTATTGTCAATGATTGCCATAATGTTCGGAATATTCTGTAATGATCAACTTGGCCCTACGGCCGTTGTAAACGTACGGTGCCGTTGATTTTGACAACCCGATAAATGCTGAGTTCTTGGTCGTAGTGAACATAAACCGATAGCGTAAAAAGCATAACAACTTTAATGACCCGCATGCATGTCAATCCGTCTGTGCGTAACGGCCAGCGTGTAGAGTGTATGCACAGCTATTGTGCCCTTTTTGTAAGTGTACGTGTTGTTCTTCTTGTCCTCCATAAGACTTGTTACCGTCATCATCTTTCTTCGTCTTCCTACTCATCAGTCATGTCAGGTTCAAGAGCCGATTTGGCAGTTCCGCTCTTGCTGCAATCTCCGCCAGGTCAAGTATCAAATGTCTATGAAGATTTACATGGTCTAATCACATGCGAAGAAGATGCAAGCGCAAAGGACGAACAAGAATTCAAGGAGAAAGTTGAATTGGCACGGGAAGAGCATAACGTTGAACAATTGATCGTTGTGGACTTACCAGAAGGAAAAGGGAAGACGATTTTAAGTAAAAGTAACATTCATCCAGGTCATTCTGACCGGTTCATCGCACCTCGTCATCGAATTTCTTTCAAAGTTGATCATGTAACACACAAAACATCTGATCCAAAACCCTACAAGGAAAACCAACATATAGAACCATTACGGTCAGAACTCGAAAAGCTGTTATCTTCTTATGTCGCGGATCGATATGCTACTGGTGTTGTAGAGGTCATTGCCGTCCCTTTGCCAAGACAAGTCGTCGCCGTACAGGATGAGGTAGCGGAAGAAGCAAGAAAGGTAAACAATGAGCTCGAACCAGAAGAATTGGCAGGATCAGTATCAACCAGTGTACAAGACGCTGAGAAAGCAACGGAGGAAACTCCCAAAGAGGAGGCAGAAAAAGCTGAAGTCGAAGATGACCCCGTGCAAACCGCTAAAGATGCAGAAGCAGTAGAGGCAAACACTGAAAATAGCGAACAGAAAGCAGAGGAAACAAAGGAGGCAAACCATGCTCCTTCTGAGAATGCACAGAAAGTTACTCTCCCGAAAGAACAAGAAGACGAAGAGACAAATGGCGAAACAAAGATCGTGATTCACATTGCTGCCAATAAGTACAAATTGTCCAACTTCTGGTCAGGTCGATGGAGATCAAGTTATACTTTAGCATCATCCGATGCTCAAGAGATCGAAGCAGAAAGCAGCGTTCATATACACTACTTTGAAGATGGAAATGTTCAGCTGCATACTCGAAAAGGTCAGACGTTGGATGTGAAACAGAGCACACCCATCTCTTCACAGGCTGCATCTTTCGTCAAAGCTATCGAGAAATTCGAGGAGGAGTATCAACAAGAGCTGTTCAAACAATCTTCAGATTTGAGCGAAGGAGCTTTCCGTGCATTGAGAAGGCAATTACCGATGACACGGCAAAAGATTGATTGGGATAAGGTGAGATTGAATGGTGTTAATACTGAGATTGTTACATACTGACAAATGTTTCTTCCTTTCTGAACAGGTATTGAATTATAAATTGGGAAGCGAATTATCGAAGCAATAGGGGCAGATATCACTGTTGGGTTTAATAATACATCATTATGATTTTTTGTCCTATTGAGGGAATACGATAGCCGCTATCCAATATCGTACTGCGAATGCTACAGAGCTACAGAAAGCTTGAAATAGCATCACATGCCACCAAAGACCCCTTTCGGATATTTGTACTTTGTGTGTAGCCTGCTTCTCATGACCGTTTTCCACTCGACCCGAAGCATCACGCTGCAACGGCAAGGCTCCCCTAAAGACCAAGATTGCATTCAAGATCGTTAGATTTGTAGTGCTGTGTAGCACCTTTCTCTTGTTCTCTTCTCGCCATTCCAATTTGATCAGATGCAGGGCTGAGAAAATTTGGAGAATTATCTGAGCCAGGGTGCCCGCAGGTCTCTCTTCGGTAAATAGTGCGATCGAAGGATGAAGGGACATTGTTTCCAGATCCACATTAGGCACTCGATGACGAGGACAAGGAACAAGGCCAAACAATTGCGGTAAGCTCAAAGCAAAATTGATCAATTGCGGAACAAAGAAGAGCAGCAATGTCTTTGAGAAATGCCCCAGCACTCCTGCACATGCTAATACCTGTCCGGCAAAATAGCAAAACGTATCGCCAACGAATACTCGAGCAGGAAATTTGTTCCACGTCAAAAGGCCTACGCAACATCCACAAAACGGAAGCAGCAAAGCCAAGCTGAATAGATGTCGATCCCGTAATTCAACAGAAGCAAAACTTCCGGGCTGTCCTGCTCTTGGATCCAAATAAAGAACATCGTTGCAACAGAGAGAGATTCCGATAATGAGAGCTTGACCTACTTCCACTCCATTGATGCCGGCCAAAATGTTGATGCTGTGAACGCTGAAAGTCGATACAAGCAGGATGAAAAGATGGTAAAGAGGACCTAATGTGATCACTCGAGCTCCTAGCCAAGTTCGTAGGAAGGTAGGCCAGCCTGGCACAACGACAGATGTTCCTCCATGTCCTGCTTGATAGACGACAAGCATAGGCAAACTTGCCAGTAATGGGATCGGCATCTTTAGCCTCCATCTGATATCAAACACATCATCGATGAATCCAAGGAGTACCGATGATAAGATGGACATGAGTGATGACAGATACGAAGACAGCTCGTGATGCGGAAAGTCTCTTTGCCCATGCATATCTCCGCTCCATCCTCCGTCTGCGTTGTCGATAAGACTGCGTGCCGTTCGTTGAGGAGAATCCGATTTACCCATTCCATAACGAAAAGGAATATAGCTGCACATCAAAAGACAATACACTATACTTGTTGGTAGACCCAAAGACTCGGGAATCTTGTTTGAATTGCCTTTGAGCAGATCTTTGCCCCCGAAGCCTTTTTTCAGGAATGCATCCTTGGTAGCTTTGACTACGTGGTAGGTCAATAGAGGCGCTATCGAAGTCAATGCTAACGTGGGTATCAGCCCTGGGATCAACAGAATTCCTTGTAGATGATCCAATGTCGGAGAAGATGTTTTGGTTTGCTGGTGTATGAGAGCGATGTATGCTATCATAGCAGCGAACGGGACCAAGATTGCTAATCCCCACACTATAGATCCTTCCTCCTTGCGTACATGAGAGGGAGAAAGGCCGTCATTGTCATCTTCTGGCACGATCGGTTCATCGATCTGTTTGCTACTCCGTCTCTGCGGAACACTGAGAGACGTCTTGGCCGGCTTGGCCATCGTGCTGAAATCTTAGCCTTTTGAAATGAAGGAAGGAAGGTAAGAAGATTACCGAAGAGGAAGAATGTTCCAAAGTCTAATTTGTGCCTGTGGCCCGAGCACGGATACTTTAAATCCGACGTGGAACCTTATTAGCTCAAGCATGACTTTTTTGGCAAGGAAAGAAGAATTCATACCGTCGGCAATATGGCAAAGTCGTTGTAATGATGAAATAATCTACAAGCATGAAGAGTAAAATACAAGTGATGTTCAATCGGCAGATGTTGAATAATTGCCGCGAAAAGATGCAAAGTTTGATGGCTGATTACACAGAGCCTCTCAAACCGCCTTCTAGCTTTTGGCTGCCAAGCTCTTTGTGACACTGTCGATATACATTTGCAGCATTTCGTTATCCGCTTCCGCTTTCACACAATCTTGTTGAACGGTTGAGATACGGGTCATCAATCCTGAAGAGGGGAGATTGTCAAAGTGTGAGCCATAGACCTGGCAGTCAAGAATATGAGGTGGAATACGTACCTTTTAGTCCTTCTTGCATACCCAGTATGTCTCTGCAGATAGTTCAAAGAGTATGATAGTGAATGTGTCAGTCTCCATCATCATCAATTTCGAAATCAAGGTTTTAGACATTCAGTGTGAACGACGCTGCAGCTCATTGCAACGAATCTTCTGCTGCTATAGAGTAACTCACTTTACCAGCTGCTGTTTCTCGACCACATCACTTGCACTAATTTCTGTTTCTCCTGTCCATGCTACCGTATCGGTAAAGTCGACAGGTGTTTCAGAAGCTGACATTGTTAGTCGGACAAAGAAGGTTGGTAGCGATAAAGGTACAAATGCAAGTTGTTAACGCGCTTATTCTAAACCTTAAAATATACACTCACACACGCATAGAAATATAATCTCTGTAATTCATGATATTTTTGCAAGATAGAATCCTATGATGTAAATGTACAAGTCAAGTCATAAAATTGATTTTAGAAAAATGCTCGACCAAAATTACCTGCTTCTGCGTTTGGCATCTTTGTACTGCCTTCAAGAACAGAATAATGAATCATATTTAACGCTTTGAGAGCGTTCTTTTGATGAATAACGCAACTGATATTAATCTCATTTGCACCTTGACTGATCATTTCGATGTTGATATTTCCTTCTGCCAATGTGTTAAACATTTTGCCAGAAACACCAACCATATTACGCATATGCGATCCGACCAAACTCAAAATTGTCATATCCTTCACAATTGACACTTCTCCCAATAAACTCAATTCCGATTTGAGTCTGTCTACCACCCTTCCACGCTTCAAGCCTGCTTGACCACCATGCAAAGCCATTGAAACATGCACTTCTGATGTTGAAATCAAATCAACAATAACTCCATGTTTATCCAAAGTGGTAAATATACGTGCAAAGAAGCCATGCGATAAAGTTTTACGATTCGAATGAACGTTTAAAATCCAAATATCTTCTTTGATCGTGACAGCAGTAGGTCTTCTTAGCTCTTTTGGTTCTCCCATCACTGCTGTAATAGCAGAACTTGTCATTGACATGGATCCCCAAGGCGTTGTTGTTCCACTGGTCGAGCCAGGCGTTTTTGGCTGTTTGAGGAAGGCGCCCATCAACTTTTCGGGATCTTTGCTTGAAGATGCAGGTGGGAAGATTACCGTACCAGATCCTTCAGGATTTTCTACGTTTTTTATTCTGATCGGGACGGCTTTTTTGATAGCTTGTTCCATAGTGAAAGGGTGAATCACTTCACTGCCGTAGTATGTCAATTCTGCTGCTTCTTCTGGTGTGATTGCATCAATCAATCTTGCTGTGGACACTTTTCGTGGATCAGCAGTAAAAACTCCATCGACTTCTTTCCATATTTGCAATTCTGCCGCCTGCAGTCCTACGGCACACAAAGCAGCACACAGATCCGTATATCCTCTTCCTACTTGTGATAAAAGTGATCCTGGCACATGACCAAAGAATCCTGTTACCACCGGAACTCCTTTTACTGCTCGTAGTCGGTCTGCCATTTTGACTGATAGCAGATCATAGAAAGCTTGATCTAGATACTCCTCTCCTTGTGATGTGCTTGAGACGTCCAGTCTCGCCCTTTTCGACTGTAGCTCTTCCAAGAAGTTTGCATCAATCACAGTTTCCATGCCTACAAGCTCGGCATCAATTCCAACGTCCAATAAAGCGCCCACCACAATTCGGCAAGATAATCGTTCCCCTATTGACATGATGATATCTTGAGATTTAGGTGAGATTTCTTCAATAATCTTTGCAGCCATCAAAAAGTCACGTAATCGTTCACAATCATCCACGATCTCATGTTCAAGCCTTTCCCGTGCTTCCACATTTTTCGTCACTGCTTCTCGTACAGCAACGATATGATCGTGCATGATACGGTCCACAGTAGCATTGTAGCCTGTAGCAATAGGAGCACCGTTGGACGCAGAATTTTCCATTGTTAAACTCTTCAATTTTGAGTCTAATGCTGAATTCAAAGTAGCAGGACTTTCGGCTCTTTTAGATGTTGGCAGTGGTGATCCTGTCCCTAGCCCTGCTGCACCTCTGCTCGCACTACGGGCTAATCTGGAAAATGTACCGTTTGCAGTAGCATTGCTGCTGTCACGTAGATTTGAGAATGAGTTGGATAAGCTAGAGCTTTCGATCGGACTTGCTGTATCATTTTCATCTTCCGGTTGTAAAGCTTCTTTAGCTGCTTGTAAAAGTAAATTTGTTGTACCAAGAGCTTTTGTCTGTCCTGAACGAGCAGAACATACGATAGCAAGACGAACGTTTGGATTGGAAAGATAGGAAGGAGCGATATGTTGTGCAATTGTTGGTAATTGTTTTCCTACTGAAGTACCACCATACTTTTGTACGATCCAAGTTTCATTTTGACTTGCATCGCTACTACTGCTCATGCCTGCTGAAGATCCTTTTCGGTTGAAATAGTTCTCGTTTCCTCTACCCAATGGTGAAGGAGGAACCATGATTGCAAATCGCAGTAATGATGACTTTATAGGGGATGCAAGAAGATGTAGTGAAAATATATGCGAGTCATCTTCTAGATCGGACGGATTTAAGCCCTGAAATTCAAGTGGGCACGGCGTCTGTGTTGCGTTCAAATCGCGTGCTCTTGTCGATAACTTTTTTCCTCGATAAGATTCGATTCATGCATCTCTGATGATAACATTTTGCATTTGTCTCACGTGGCTTTCAATGAAGTTCCTCTAGCGAGCATTTTACATACGCGTTAAAATATTATGAATAGACCAACACCAAACAAAAGCGCATAGGCCAACTCAAAGAAAAAATCCAGCAAGAAGGTTTGTCATTCTTCTCATAGAGTGTTGCTTTCTTGACTACTCCATCCATCCTTTACTCGCAAAGATGGCCAACTCCGGTCCTTCGACCGAGATGATCGGTCAGCTATCAAAACTCTTCAGTGATACGCTCAATCCTGCAGCTCGTCAACAAGCAGAGGCAACATTAACCTCACTTGAACGACAGCCTGATCAGCATTTCGCTTTACTCTTGATCAACTTAATCTCTTCATATTCCGATCAACCTATACCTGTTCGATTGGCTGCATCGATCAAGCTAAAGAATGTCTGTCGTCAAGCTTGGTCTGATGATGAACAGCTGGAATTGGAGAATAATCAACAATTATCCATATACCAATTAGTACCACAATCTGATCGTCAACAGCTTCGTTCATCTTTACTTCCACTCTTGCTGCAACTATCTCAGCCTAACGCATTGGCAGCAAATCCGATTGGTTTACGATTACAGTTGAGTGAATGTATCTCACTCATTGCAGATAAGGACTTCCCGGAACGATGGCCGACACTGATAGACGAACTTGTGGCAGGCATGCAAGGCCAGTCGCCTGATTCAGTAGCACTGCAAGCTGTTCTACAATCAGCACATAGCATCTTTCGTAAATGGAGAGCAGCTTTCCGATCCGATTCTTTGTACACAGAAATCAATCTAGTCTTGGAAAGATTCGCACAGCCTTTCTTGGAGCTGCTCAAAGTGACAGACGAAGCTTTGTCACAAACTTCTCCACCTCCTTCTACATCTTCAACGCTTCTACTCCTTCTACAGATCTTCCACGATCTATCAGCTCAAGACTTGCCACCCCTGTTCGAAGACAATCTCCAATCCGTCTTTGGTCTCATGCTTAAATATCTCAACCCAAAAGCTCAACCGAATGGGATTTATGTACGCAATCCGGCTTTGGCAAATATGATGGAGGGTGACCCTGACGAAGCATCTCCTCAAGATGGACAGAAGATTCGAGCAGAGATCTGCAGTATTGGAGAGCTGTATGCCCAGCGATACTTGGACGTCACCGAACCTTTTGTTCCTGATTTGGTGAAATCAGTCTGGGAAATGTTAGGGGGCTGTGGACAAGGCGAAAAAGAGGACGTGATGGTGTCTAGAGCAATGGCGCTTCTTTCAACAATTGTGCGCATGCCATCCCAAAGAGCCGCTTTTGCTAGTGATGAGACTCTAAATGCGTTTGTGGAGGCGATCATCTTACCAAACATCTCTTTACGAGAACAAGATGAAGAGATGTTCGAAGATGAGCCTTTGGAATGGATTAGAAGAGACTTTGCAATGGAGACGCTTGATGCAGATACACGAAGAAGAGCAGCATCCTCTTTCTCTCGTGCGCTATTGGATCAATTTGCTGATCAAATCACATCAATTATCTCCAGATACATCACGCAATACCTACAAAAGTATGCAGAGGACCCAGTAAAGAACTGGAGAATGAAAGATACAGCTGTTTATCTCTTGACAAGTATCGCAAGTACAAGTAGTACAGCTGCTGGAGGTGTTTCTTCGACTAATTCCCTGGTCAACGTCGTCCAATTCTTCTCGGATAACGTATTTGTGGATCTCCAAGCTGACACGAACTCTGTCCACCCAATTTTGCAAGTTGATGCGATCAAGTATCTTCAAACTTTCAGAAATCAATTGACCAAAGAACAGCTACTTTCAGTCCTTCCACTTCTTGTTCGTCATTTGGAATCGCAAAGCTATGTGACATCATCGTATGCAGCAATTGCCATTGAGCGAATTCTCTTCCTCAAGTCTCCGCAATCCCGAACGACGCCACTTTTCACACCAGATGACGTACAACCGTTTGCCGAAGCAATCTTGATGGCGTTGTTCCGAAACATTCAAAGTGGATCCACTCCTGAAAAGGTTGCCGAGAATGATTACTTGATGCGTTGCGTGATGCGTCTTATCGTCACAGCAAGAGAGCGAATGGTGGATGCTCGCGGACCTGTTTTGTCGCATCTCACAGCAATTCTATCGGAAATTCTCAAGAATCCAAGTAATCCCAAATTCAGTCAATACTGCTTCGAGAGTATTTCAGCATTGATTCGATTTGTCACTGCTGCAAATGCATCTACTATCTCGGACTTTGAGCAGTCACTTTCGACACCTTTCATGGCCATCTTGCAAAATGATGTGTCAGAGTTCGTTCCATTTGTGTTCCAGATCCTATCGCAAATGCTTGAAATTCGACCTGGAGGTGATGTTCCGCCATCGTACACTTCTTTGTTGCCTTCGCTATTGACACCGGCTTTATGGCAAGCAAGAAGCAACATTCCTGCTTTGGTTCGACTACTTCAGGCATTCTTGTCAAAAGGAAGTGCACAACTGGATGATTCGGCATTGCAAAGTCTTTTGGGTATTTACCAACAATTGATTGCAAGCAGAGTAAATGACGAATATGGATTCGAGCTCTTGTTGAGCATTTTCACGCATGTTGACAAAAGTAGATTAACGTCTTACAGAACGCCCGTCCTAACGTTGATGTTGACAAGATTGCAAAACAGCCGAACAGAGAAATTCTCTCGTGCTTTCGTTCATTTTGTCGCTTCTATGTGCTGCATTCAAGATAATGGCTTCCCAGACTATGTCGTCGATGCATTTGATGGCGTACAGCCAGGTTTGTTTGGTCAAATATTACAAGGTGTCATGTTGCCCGATTTACCAAAAGCGTTACCTAGACAAAAGCGAACGGTGGTAACAGGGTTCTCGCGCTTGTTGATTGAAGGCAAAAGGATGTTAGAACAACCCGGTTTGACGACTGCGTTCCCTGCCGTTCTCTCGGCAATTTTACGAATGACTGAAGATGCTTCATTGGCAACGGCTTTATCTGCCCGAGATGCACAAGCAGAAGCAGATGAAGTTTTCTTGCAGGATTGGGAAGAACAAGGTGGTGCAGGCGGTGCAGGATTTCAAGGATCCTTTGCTGTTTTGCGTAGTTCAACAACAGCTTCAGCAGCAGCAAAGAATGACCTTGCTTCAAGTATTTTGCAAGGAAGAGATATTCGACAATATTTGGGTAACGGATTAAAAGCATTAAATGCACAACAACCTCAAAAGGTTTCTTCAGCTCTTTCTCAAATACCATCAAATCTTCTTCAACCCTTACAGCAATACATGGCATAGCCTTTTTTTGTTCAGTCGATCATTGAATAAAATTACACTGTTTCTTGTATGTACCTTACTAAGTACAGATGTGAGAAGTAGTCTACATGATTTTCGTCTAGATTGCAGTTGGCGGTATGATACTGCTGGGTGGCGTGGACAGTGCATGAATTTGGCCAGAACCAGTCAAGCCTTCTAATTGGAACCAATTGACCAAAGGTGCTTCCCTTCCTCCAATCGCGTTGAGGACATCCTGAGATAAGACTCCACCAACCATCGCGCATGTAGGCGAGAATTCTCCTGGTTGAGACAGACTGATGCTCAGAGCATCAATAAATGCAGTAAAGTCCTCTTCTGATACCAGCAATGTCTTTAAATCAAGACCACGCTCTTCGATGAGACTTTTGCAAGTGCTTGCCAATTCTTCCGTCGAAGGGATCTTGCCATCTCCGCTCAATTCCCACAACGCCAATACACCAAGGTATCCCAAACTGGGCTTCTGACGTCTCAGTTGAGCACGAGGAAGTCCTTTCCATGTCTTGTCCAAGGCTTTTCGTAGGGGCACAAACTCTTGTTTGACCTTCTCCAAACGTTTCGAGGAAGATGGAACAGCTGCTTGTACGGGAGTGGCATCGCCTTGTTGCTCTGCGGTGAAAGCCTTTGCACCCAAAGCAGCACCCTCGACCGTCGAAGCAGGAAGGGGAGCGTTCACTTCTGGCTTTTCGATCACGTATTGATGCGAGTCTCCTAAATCGCTAAAGATGAATCCATTGAAACCTTGACTGCCTGAAATGTAAAATGGTATTCCTAATTGACGAGATCGATCGTTCAAAGTGATTAAAGAATCTTTGTTCCATTGTGCTGATAGACTTTGCGGTCCGGAAGGAATACCGATGACCATGACGCTTGGCTTCAAATCTGCCAATGAAGAAGAAGAAGGATCCAAAAGGTCTTTGAGAGATGAAGAAGGTAATACCTCAATCTTGACCAGAGGATTGAGAGCCTGAATGCGAGCAGCAGCAGGTGTTAATCTATCTATCGATTCACCTACATCTTCTTCTCGCCAGAAGAATCCTGCAGACAGATCATTCCATTGTGTGTGTGGACGAAAATCTATCAAAGTCAATCTCTGGATACCAGCCAAGACCCAATTCTTGATCGCTTCCGTCGTTAGCCCATCCAAATTGATTACCAAGATATGTGATGTACGAATCTTTCCTTGTGCTTCTAATCCCCACAATCGAATTTGACGATCGTAGAGTGCAGCTTCATCTTCTGTGACGCCATCATGCGTACCTTGTTGTGCCATTGTGACCAAATAACAAGGAGGGGTATGTGGTATGAGAGTGAGAATTGTTTGTTAGCAATCTTCTCGATTTGTTCCACGCCTTCATTTACGCGTCAGGACCGTGCTTATTTTAGACTTTAATGTATCTTCTGATCAACAACGCATCTTTCTTCCATCCCTATCACTCTCAACCATGCCAAAACTTATTGAAGTGATCGCCAATGATCGACTAGGGCGAAAGGGTGAGTGAGACAATAAAAGGTTGTATTTGACTAGAAAGCTAACATCATAGTCACTCTTTATCAGTTCGTGTAAAATGCAGCCCGGATGATACAGTGGGCGATTTGAAAAAGCTAATCGCAGCACAAACTGGTACAACACCCGAAAAGGTGAGCAGACATCAATTGATTCAGTGATCCCCAATTTGTGGGTAAGACGTCTATGGAGATCGAATCGATACAATTTGCCTTTCTTTCATTACGAGAGGGAGAGAAGACCGTTCCATAATATTCGACATCTTACCTGGAAAGTGGGGATGAGTCATTCAGCAACTTCAAGCGAGCTCAGAGATCTAACCTATCACCCTTTTTTACATTTTGTCAGATTCAATTGAAGAAATGGTACACAGTTTTCAAAGATCACATCACACTGAGCGACTGTGAGTTCGTCATCGATTTATTTGACGTTTTTGAACTGCTGCTGATATTTTTTTTTCTCTTTCTTCAATCATCCAGATGAAATTCATGATGTGAGTGCTGGCAATAAACATATTCGAAAGATGAAATAGCTGACCTTACAAACTACTTTCCCTCGCTTCCCAAACATCTAGGGTGCAAGTCTAGAAATGTATTAAGATGTTGATCGTTCCCTCTGAGATAAAATGTACAAATATATACCTTGGATTATCAACAATCTTCAAGAATGTCCTGATTATGATCACTTAGCCTACATGTTTCAATGCTAATAATTGAGTAGTTCTATGGACCCTAATCGATAGTGCGAATTTCCTCTTTCAATCTTGCTTACAAGAAGTGGAGCCAAAAATTAAAAGGCCCGAAATGAAAAGCGAGAAAACGCGGAAGCGGAAATAAACTAAAGTGTAACTAACAGAACAACGTTTCTTCTCAAGATCAAGCAACTCTCTCCACTTGACAACCATTGAACGACTTCCATTCTTTCCTTCACTGGTAGTCCAAGATGGTTGCGAGGATAGGATCAAGAAGCTGCTTGCTGGCGAGACAGGATGTCTTTGTTGTGTCCAATAATATCGTATTCCTTCGTGCAGCATCATTCCATACTTCAACAAGAGCTTACCAGCAAGACAATATTGGCGCATCATCATCAACTCGATACATAAAAACACCCTCTTTTCCTCCTCCTAGTTTTCCCAAGTCATTTGGAGCAAATCAAGTTGTTCCATTGGACCTGGAATTGACAAAACGATTTGAAGCAATAATGAAATCGTTTCCAGAACCAATCAGATTCGCATTCGCATATGGATCAGGCGTATTCCCACAAAGTCAAGCAGGACCAGAACATTCAGCAAAACCGACAACAAAAGAAGGTAAGAAGATGATTGATTTAGTCATGGCTGTTAATCATCCACAACATTGGCATGGAATAAATATGAAACAAAATCCAAAACATTATAGTTGGATAGCAAGACTTCTTGGGAGTTTGGGAATCGGGTTCGTTCAACCATTAGGAGCAGGGCTATGGTATCATCCTTACGTTCGAATCGAGGATGAACTGATAAAGTATGGCGTAATGGATATCGATACTCTCTGCTCTGATTTATTGGATTGGGATACTCTGTACATCAGTGGCAGAATGCATAAGCCAGTCACTCTCCTAGCCACCGATGCTAGAGCTAGGCTAGCACAACAGGTCAACTTGGCATCAGCATTACGAACCTCACTTCTACTGCTGCCTGAGCAATTTGGTGAAGCAGAGCTCTACACCCGAATCGCTTCCCTTTCGTACACGGGAGATTTCAGGATGAGTGTACCGGGAGGTGAGAATGCGAACAAGGTACGAAATATTGTTTTAAATCAACGTGAAATGTTTAGGCGGCTATATGGTAGCTTAATCCGAAGCATTGAGACGATAAGCATAGAGGAGACAAGGAAGAATCGATTCACATTAACACAAGATTGTTCGGATAAAGTACGAGCGAAACATGCATCAAAATTACCACTCCGATTACGTGAAAAGATTCAACAACATTATACATCTCATCCGGATAAAAATGATGCATTTTTACAACTTTCCCTTTCGACAAGATCGGAAAATGTTGCAAGAATGCCGGGCGCAAAAGCTGCGCATATAGACAAAGATAAATGGGATAACTTTTGGTTGGCTGTGGTGAAACAATCGGATTTTCAAACTGTTCTTCTTTCAAAGATTGCAGAGATTGTTCGTGGTCCAGCACGTTCGCAAAGCCTTAAAGGCATTTATACAGCCGGCTTTGGCAAGACGATTCGCTATGTGTTGGCAAAAGTCGGAAAGGTGAGTCCGTGTTGTGTTTCTGTAGGTGAAGTGCTATACTGATCTGCTTTCTTCTCTTTTCAGTTCTTTGAAGGTCGCAAGGAGAAAGAAGAAAAGTCGGAATAGAGCATGTATAACATTCAGTCTTCCTGTGGTGGTATCATGATTAGCATAGTTCAATGTACAGTGTTCAATAGTCATCTTTCCCTTTATTGAGGTCTTCCTGTTGCTTTTTTCTTTGCCATCTTACGATCGAATTCGTCTTGTTGTGCTTTTAGAGTAGCGTCACCGGCTTTTTTCATGATTGTCAATGGACCACCTCCTGCAGCTCTTCCTGCCATATCAGATTCAATCTTTTTCGTTAGGGACGCTTGTTGTTTCTGTAGATTGTGAAAATGGATGGGATGGTGTCAGATGGCTGCCATAAGCAGAGTTTGTGCTGAAGGTACACTCACCTTTTTCTGTGATGCTTGTGTTACTGCAGATTGCTTTCGTGGTGCAATCACTCTGGCTGTTTGATAGGTTGTAAAGTTGATTAGTGGATGTACAATTTCAATAGCTAAAGTAGCATTACTCACGTCCTCTTTTTGGTCCAGTCTTTGTTCTAGTGGATGATGTAGTCTTACTCTTACTAGAAGATCCGGCTTTGGATGGTTTGAATCCCTGTGCCATCTTTTCGATGGGTGTGTATGAGACGTATGACAGAGATGGTGATTTTGAAGATTTTGCGAATGTTTCATTGATATCCAATTTATCTCAACCGAAATAAAAATTCCAAAGGGCGTTTTTAAATCCGGCCAAAAATGAAATTTAGTCGGTAATCGGATATAGAAGTGGAGATTTCCACTGGCAGGCACAGGATTACGACGCAGCGCATGCATTGACTGCATGAAATTAGTACACGCATTTCCATAATCAAAGCCGGCCATAGTACAACACTTATTGTTGGTTTTTGAAACGTCCAGGTATTCACTCTTACAACAACTTACTTCCGCCACCCATACTCTTTTCATTACTTTTTGAGTGAGATATAGTTATCTCAGCTCATCTCTATCAGAGATGAATTACAACTTCACAGGATCGCTAACACAGCGAAATATAAACTTAGGATCTGCTCATGAAATCAGTTCTGCCCAACTAGCTCAACAAGCTAGGGATTCAAGAGCTCTTCGTCAAGAGATCAGAGCACGCCATATTGCCGCAACAAACATTCAAAGCTTGTTCCGCGGTAGAAAATCTGCTTCTCAAACCAGAGCATCACAAAGAGCAATCGCCATTGATTCATACCGGCAATTAGCAGCATCACCCTCATTCGAATCTTTCATTCAATATACAAGATGGGTGGCCACTGCAACAAGGAGAAGAGTTCTATATCAAAAGTACACCAAGTCGCGGCAAGATTCCTCAGGCCGCAAGCATCCATCTCTATCAGAAGCGGAAAAGAAGGCATTAGATATCGATGATGAGGTGCTGCTTCAATGGGCTTCTGTATCGATCAAATCAGCTAGCGAAGGTGCTCGCAGTCTGGTACAGCAACTTGCCGCTTCGAGCGATGAATCAGCTTTACTCTCCTTGCAGACGCTTCTGAAAAATATCTTGTTCCATCTAGAAAATCGATCCGATCCTGCACAAACTGCATATGGACCTTATATCGAAACGCTTTCGGTCCTTCTATCAGACGCAAAGTCTCCTGCTCAAGCTTCGACTGTACGTATGGCGAGCAGTTTGGTCCAATGGGGTCTATATCGCTCCCTCAGGTCTCACATTCTAGCATCACCTACCTCTCAGAAAGCACCCGGATCGAATTCGTCATCACCTGTTGCATTGGCATTAAAACCACTGGAATTGTTCTCTGCATCGAAACCTGGAAAGTCTGATTCACACAGCCCTCGATCAGATGTGATTCGTCAGTTCACACGCAGCTTTTTGTCTATCTCGAATCTTCCCAATCGGATACCTAGGACAACTTTGGTGCAATTGGTGGTCGGCTTACCAGTCGTTGAAGTTGCAGAAAGCATAACGCAGAATCATGTCAAAGCCTCAGATGATGTCGATTTGTTGGCAAACTTTGTTGCTCTTGCATGGAAGCGTATACCACACCTGCCTGACGGTGTGAGTCTTAAGGTATATTTGCTAGCATTGACTAAGCTGCAAGATGGTATTCCTCCTGGCGTTCTACGAACATTTGATAATGACAGTAGTACTTCGATCTTCGGTGTCGACGCAAGTGCTACCAAATGGAAAGGTAAAGGCAAGGTTAACGCCGCATCGAATGCCCTTGATTCTGCCACTCTTGCCAGATTACAAATCATCGTTTCTCAAGATCATCTGAGTGCCTTGCTTACCGCTTCAGCAAAGCATCCCACAAGCACTCGAGAGGCATTGTGTGCATTCTTGGCATCGTCCCTTCAGTCGTGGGATTCGCAGACGCAGGAGAAGATTCTTGCATGCGTCGCATATCGTTATGGTGGCTCTGCTACAGCTTCATCCTCTGCCCAATCTCGAGCACCTTCTACACATTCGATCGGTGGTCTGGTGAGAGAGTTATGGAGAGGTTGGATCCGTGGATCAAAGCTTGCCCGTGGATTGTCGAATGAAGCGCTGCAGGGCAGAAGGGCCTTGATCACAATCTTGAGTGATGAAACATTAAAGTCTGCATGGCCTTGCTTGATCGTTCTTTGTCATTTGTATTCGCGATCTTTGCTCACGATTGGAGACGATGAATTCTACCCGGACGAAGGCAGACACGCAACTAGCACAGCAGGCTCCAATGCTTCGGGAATGCGTAATCCGCTCACACTGGACGAAGTCATCACACTTTCTGGCTTATTGAGGAATCTTGCGTTTGCAATGTATTGGTTTGAAGGTACAGGTGGACCATTAAACGATCTCTCGCATAATAGCGTTGTTGGCATGGGCAAGATGGATTTGCTAAGCTTGCGTGACACCGTCACAAGACTCCTGCAACAACTTCACCAACGTGACAGTAGACGTAGATTTGCACCCGACAACCACTGGCTAATGAACAGCGAGCTCGACTTGAACAGCTTCATCCAAAGCGTCGTTATGGAAGAAGATGAATTGAACAAGAAACAGGATGAAGGTCTTACCGATGGTGGGGATACGATGGACGTTGAAGAAGATGAAGTAGATGAGATCGACAGGGATGATGAACCAATGGAAGAAGATGAGAATGATGCTTCATCAGCTGATCGTCCAGCGATCTCATCTCGATTGGCGAACCATAGACCTCTTGGATCTCGTAAACGTGGTCTCACTGCACGAAGTTTGGCATATCTCTCACCTCGTCTAGGAGTGTTGAACAATATCCCTTTTGTGATCCCATTCGAAGTGCGAGTAGAGATTTTCCATCAATTCACCGCTCTTGATTACGATCGATTGCGCAGATCTAGGGCGTACAACGGCCCTCTGCGTGATATCACAATTCGACGTGGAAGCGTTGCCGAAGATGGTTTCACACAACTCAATGGTCTTGGAGAAAATTTGAAACATCGAATTGCTATCAGATTCGTCGATCAATTTGGCATAGAAGAGAGCGGAATAGATGGAGGCGGCCTGTTCAAAGAGTTCTTGACAAGTTTGATCAAAGAAGCCTTTGATACAGATAGAGGTTTATGGAGTGCAACAGACGATCAACAGCTATACCCGAACCCTCATTCGTATGCCAAGCAAGATGACAACTTGCAGTGGTACAAATTCCTTGGAAGGGTGTTGGGAAAAGCACTGTATCAAGGTATCCTTGTGGATATTAATTTTGCCAGCTTTTTCTTGTCGAAATGGTTAGGACGTGGACATGGATATTTGGACGATTTGAGCGGCTTGGAAAGTTTGGACAAAGAAGTGTACCGCAATCTCTTGTGGCTCAAACATTACAACGGTGATGTAGAGAAAGACCTCACGCTTGATTTCACCGTTGCAGATGAAGAATTTGGCGAGAAGCGAATTCATGAATTGGTACCGAACGGTAGAAATATTCCAGTCACCCGGGAAAATAGATTGGAGTACATTTACCGCGTAAGCCATTACCGATTGAACGAGCAAATTCGTCAACAATCTGACGCTTTCTTATCCGGTTTGACGGATTTGATCGATTTACGCTGGCTCAGAATGTTGAATCGTGATGAGCTGCGAATCTTGATCAGCGGTACAGAAGGTGATATTGATTTGAAAGATTTACAAGCAAATACTGTTTTGGGTGGCTATCATGAAAAAGATCAAGTTATGGACTTCTTTTGGCGTTCTTTGGAAAGCTTTACACATGCTCAACGAAAAGCTTTTCTCAAATTTGCCACAAGTTGCCCTTCTCCACCTTTGCTTGGATTTCAACAACTTAATCCCAAATTCGGCATTCGACATGCTGGCGATGATACATCCCGTTTACCAACCGCTAGCACTTGTGTCAATTTGCTCAAACTCCCAAGGTACACTTCTTTCGAACAGTGTAGAGAAAAGCTTCTCTATGCCATCGAATCAGGTGCGGGATTCGATTTGAGTTGATTCTATAGACAAGATGTATATAAGCATTTGTATTCTTTCACTCAAATCTTTAGAAGAATCATTTTATTGGATGTCAATGTAGATGTATAATAGCATGCTAGTTGGAACGAAAATGATGGAGAATAGGAAGCCAGAAAAGCAAGCTAGCCATTCTTAGCGATTTGTAGAGATACACAAGGGATGTAGAAATGAATGAAAAAAGGTCTCTCTCTCTGTCTGTATGTGTTGTCAATCCAAAAAACGAGGCCGGGCGTTCTTGTATGATGTTGATTTGAAATTGTACATTGGTTTGAGAGGTGATGTTGGTGTGTGCATTTGCATTACAAATGCAGATGCGGGGAATCTTGCTTCGAAAGAAATATCTTTACGAAGTCTTTGTTCTCGAATCTGTTGTTTATAGCATGCTCATTGAGCACCTCCATATTCTTGCGAACCACGCTTTGGTGAAGTGATATCATCACTCATTTTTGATAATTGGCTATCTTCTCCCGTTTCTTCTCCGCTCAAAGCCTCCTTAATCATACTGACAGTACTCTCCAAACTTCTTCTTCTATTACTAGGACTACTGGTTGCAGTTGTACCCAAAGAGCTAGTACGTGAATGTCCACGACGATGACTGCCAGATCCCGATCCTGAAATCGGACTGCTTGGTGCACCACCGATAGATGGACTTGCTGGCGTTGATTCGGGCGTTGTTCCCCAACCGGTAAAGCCTGGCTTTTTCATCTTTCGAGGAGCAGCAGAAGCATCTTGCATGGGTGTGTCTCCTCCTGAGGCAGCTTCTTGTTCTTGGAGTAATTGTTGTTGACGGAAATATTCAGCAGCAGCAGCTGGATCATCAGCATCGATAAGATCTGGTGGCAAACGTTCGTTTTCGATATCGGACTTGCGTGCTTCATCGAAACCGTGAATGGCATCTTTGATACCTTCGCTTCCGCTTGCCAATTGTCCATATGGAAGCTTGCCTGTTCCGTTGGCCGATTTCAATTCGGATACACGTTCTGCCTCTTCACGCAACAATGCGAACACACGCGACATTCTTCCCACAGCCAAGATCTTGTTCTTGATCACTACTCTTCTCTCTGCTGCTTCTCCATCTTCATCTTCTCCGCTTTCCATTGGCTCGTTCATGACATCATCGTCATCATCTTCTTCTTCCAGCTCTTCCTTTGAGCAAATGTTCAAAATTGCTATCAGCATATCGGTAATCTTTTCACCAACAAAAGGCAAACTCCACGTGAAGACGTCCATAAAGTTGGGCAACCAATAGGGATGCGGTGTGCAGTTGAATTGACGAATGTTCATCACATTGTTTTCGTATTTGAGAACGGCAGCCTTGTTGTTGTATACGTCCAAGTAGTTCGGGGCTGAGAAGATGGTCATGACGGAAGGAAAACCTGTTGTTTTGGTCTTGCGATACATACGATAGCCTGCATCTTGTGCTTCGTGTGCTCGAATAATGGACAACAGATTATTTCTCTCGAGGAATTGACAAGCTGCTTGATATGTGAAAAAGTATGAACAACCTCGAACGTGATTGTGGATAAAGCTCTCGTTTGTCTTTTCTGCACCGAAATCTTCCAATGGATCTGCCCACAAAAGATCACACATAAGTCCGTGCGTTGGTGGCTCGCGGAATCTGTTGATGTTTCTGAGATCGTCCAATGTTTGCAATTCGGGTGATAGACCTCCATGAATGCACAAGAATTGCTTGTTCATAATTGCACCAAGAGGGAGCGTACAGAACGATTCCATGCATTCTTCATAAATTTGTTCAGAGTATTTGTGCTTGCACTCCAATTTGAATGTGAAATAATCTGTCAAGTGACGACATTCGTGATTTCCACGAAGCAGGAAAAGGGTATCGGGGTACCAAATCTTGAGCGCCCAAAGGTATAGAACACATTCTATGGAAAAGTATCCACGATCGACATAATCACCCAAGAATAAATATCTGGTCTCTGCTGGGTTGCCTCCGACTTCAAACAATTTCATCAAATCGAAGTATTGACCATGGATATCACCACAAACAGTGATTGGCGCGTCCACTTCGAGTAGATTTGGTTCATTACGCAAAATTTCCGTAGCCGTTCGAATGATATGTAAAGCTTGTTCGTCGGTTAAACGACCTTCGCGATAAAAGTGATTCTTCAAAAATGCGATATCAGGCTTTGTTGGATCTTGTCTTGACCAAAATTGTTCTTCTGTTGGCTTTAAGAAAGCGGGAGCTTGAACATCTTTGATCACACGTTCTTGCGTGGAAACTTGTGATCCATCTTCGGTAACGTGAATTGTAAAATCTACGTCTGTTGGTTCATTCTTTGTGGTGATTTGCACCAAGGCATTCTCCAGCCTTTGAAGCTTCTGTGATTGACCGGCTGACATTCTGGTGCAGAATACTTTCGCAAAAAGATTGAAGTGGGTGTAACACAGATAGATAAAGGCGATAATCTTTCGATCTTTGCCTGAAAGCCCCTAAAAATTGCAATTACTTCAAATTCCCGTACGTGTAAGAGTGTTGATAGGGATGTTACCTTGTATTGGTCGTAAGGGCAGCCTAAGTACTTGCTAAAAGGTCCTTTTGCCTTACCTTCTGTGAGTAGGTCGTCGTGAACAAGAAAGGAAGATTGTCACAATCGATTATGAGAAAGATGCACTTGTACGCCTCCGCCGTCAAAAGAGTCTAGAGAGAGAGTACCCGCTGTCGGCCGCGTAGTAGTACTGTTGGTCTCTGATTTGTGTGTGTGTGTGTATTACGCGCCCCCCAAGTGCTATTGCTTATGCACATCATAGCTTAAAAACAAATACAGGCTCGGTGCCCGAGTATTATTGATAGGCTGTCAATCACTAAGGCTCATGCACACATTTCGTCTAGGCCCTTGGCCTTCATCAGCGTACAGGCCCGCTAAGCATTTCAGCACACACACACGTGCTAATATCAATGATGACCGTGAACATATCAATAAGCAAATTGCACAGTAATTCTACATTATATGGGTACAATTCATGCCTTCTTTCCTCGCTTGGATGATGAATTTGACTTGGGCTTCTTTTCATCTTCAGCCTCACGCTTTGTGCCCCGTTTTTCATCCTCCTCCTCCTGTTCCTCCTCATGATCATGATCGTCTGTATTTTCAGGCTGAATCTCTTCTTCTTCGTCTTCATCTTTGCTCGCAGATGCTTTCTGGTCCTTCTTACCAGTAGCTCCTGTTGCTTCAACTCCAGCTTTTGCCCAATCTGGAATCTTGTTATTTGTGCCAGGATTCTCTTTGGGAGGTTGGGGATGTGATTCACCATGTTGTTTGCGTAGAATACCTTCTGCTTTGCCATCCAAAACTTCTTTTGATGTTCCATAATATTTAGCAGCATAAGCAGTTTTCATCCTATTAAGACAAACAGCCTTTTCTGCTTTCTCATCAAGAATCGGTAAAGGATAATCTTTTCCAATGATGCACTTTGCCTTCTTTTGTACTTCCAAAGGAGCAGTATGAGGTGCATAGATAAATTTGTCCGGGTAATCCTTCAGCTCCGGACAATACTTTCTGATCAAAGTTCCATGCGAATCATACTTTTGCGGGAATGTTGCCAATCCATAAACACGAAAGAATTGACTAAAGAACGCACTGCAAGATAACCACATCCAATTACCTGCATTCGCATTAGGATCCCAATCCAATAACCATTCTTCAAACATTTCCGCTCCACGTTCCCAACTGATCCAACATTGACCACGAGTCAAAAAAGATGCAAGACTATGTCTCATCAAATGATGACACCACCCTTGCAAGCGTAATTGACGAATACCTGCATCGATCCACGGGAAGCCCGTTTGGCCAGCTCGAAAGGCTTCTAATCGTTTTTCGCTCACTTCATCTCCTCTTGGACGAGGTTCGATCGGCTTACCGTCTTTGCCGTACTCTGTTGGCAAGTACCAATCCATATATCTGCTAATGGAATTTCCTCGGATATGCTGATATGCATCACCTACTGCAAACTCTGCACATGCATACATTTCTCTGAATAAGAGTTGTCCCTCCATATTCTCGGGGGGTGCCGTTTTGTTACCACCTTTGTATTCCTTTGCAGCGTCTATTGAATCATACCATATTTTGCGAATCGACAAACAACCAAATTTGAGGAAAGGCGACAATAGAGTCGTTGAAGGTTCAGTTGCATCACAGGAAGGAGAAGTTTTTGGCTTGGAGAATGTAGCCATATATCCTTTCTCCTTGCACTTTTCTTCTAATCTCCTGAGTGCTTCATTCTCGCCTCCAGGAACGGCAGCCTTTTCTTGTGCACCGCATGACTTTGGATCCATACCCAAGGAACCCAAAGTAGGAACAGTGAAATGTTCTTCCTTCTTTTGTTCAGGCGCATCAGGTCCATCTACGGTTTCATAACATGTCACCTTTCCATCTTTCTTCCTTTGACCTCCTAGTTCAGCGCTGTTCAAATCCACTTTTGGAGGTCCAGGTTTCTTGTGATATGTGGGCACGCCCTCCAAGGAAGTATGAATTTCTGCTAAGACAGATTGCAAATCTTTCGCTTCCTTTTTGCCGGGTAAAACAGGCGAAGGTATAGACTTTGGTGCTTCGATTGGTCTTGGCGGTTGAGGCATTGAAGAAACGATACCTTGCAATGTTTTCAAGCTTGTGATTGGCTTTCCGGTTGTGTTCTTTTTTACGATTTCTTCGATATCGTACAGATGATGTCCATTTTTCATCACAACCTTTACGCCTGCCTTTTCGGCCAATTTGATAACTTCTCTATCTCTATCCCTTGCATATCCGTTCACATCTTTTTCGAATACCAAATGACTGATCTTCCATCGTTTGAATAGTTCGGGCAATAAAAGTACCGGATCACCTCGAACAACGAATAATTGACTTTTGTTATTGACCTTATGGATGTTATCAGAAAGGGTTTGCATAGATTCCAGCAAGAATCTAAATCGATTCAATCCTACTCGATGTTTATAGATGTACTAGAGAGGCACGAGAAACAGTCAGCATTAAATCCTCTCATTCCAGCACCTTTCTACTCACATTCGGATCCCAACACCATAGAGGGAAGAATGCTTCAGGCTTCAAATCCAAAGCAGCCTGTAAGGCAGGACTATCATGAAGTCTCAAATCTGTTCGGAACCAGTAAATCACGCGTGACATTTTGCGGATGGATGATCAAGGGATGGTGGTAATCAAATAGTAAGCTTGATGACATGCATTCATCCTACCTTTTCTTCCCCATGATCTGCTGATCATGTCAGCAAGTCTACTTTCTCGATTGAGAAGAATGCCTTGATTAGTCAGTGGAGGCTTTTAGGCTAGCAGACCTGCATGAATGGAAAGGGCAGGCATATGCACTGTCATTGTTCTTCAACGCGACTATAGTCGAGCCTTAAAAGCACGCATGTCCTGTCATGTCATGTCATACACACACACACACACGGTCAAACAGTATCCTGCAATCTGAAAAGATGAAATTGATCGTACAAAGAGACATAATAGTGAACATGGTTAAATTTTGATAGATGCAATTAAAGCATCTATTGGGTGCCAACTGCTTGACCGGCTGCCTTGGCACGCTTGGCCAACATAGTAGCAGATTTGTTACCACGTACACCACCTCCCCAGTGACGACGAGATTCTTCGTATTTGTCCAAGTAGTTAGCCTTGGCAGCTTGAACCAATGTGGACAATTCACGTTCATCTTCAGAGCGAACGTCTTGGATTGCACAAACGGCGGCAGTCTTTTTGTGAACAAGAGTTCCCAAACGTGCCTTACCCTTGACAATGACGTATGGGATACCCATCTTACGGCACAAAGCGGGCAAGAAGACTACCAATTCAATTGGGTCAACGTCATCAGCAATGACGACCAAGTTGGCCTTCTTTGCTTCAACCAAAGCGACAATGTGGTTCAAACCATATTTGACAAACAATGGCTTCTTACCGTCAGCTTTGGGGTCAGCCTTCTTTCCGTCAGCGACATCCTTGGCAACGGCTGCCAAACGTTCCTTCTTTTCTTGCTTGGATTCAGGGCGGTACTTGTTCAACAATTTGAACAAGTTTGTGGCAGTGTTCTTGTCCAAAGCATTGCTGAATTGAGCAATGGCTGGGGGAACCTTGAGACGTTGGTTAAGGATAACACGTTGACGTTGGAGACGAACGTATTCGGGCCATTTGACGAATCTAGTCAAATCACGAGGGGGTTGGATGTCTTGACCGATTGCGAAAGAGCGGGAGCGCTTCTCGAAACGGGAGTCCTTTGGTGCCTTGGCGGCAGCCTTGGACTTGCCGTAAGGGTTGGCGGCTGGCTTCTTTGTTCCTTTAGTGGCCTTGGGCTGTAAGAAAAAGAGAAGAAAAGTTAGCTCTACCGTACATCTCTTAAAGGTCATTGGGGGTCATTGAGACGAGCAGATTGTTGATAGAAAGAACAACTTCAATGAAGTGCATCTTCCTTCTACTCGGATCTCTAAACAGGCACAGAAGGCCTCCCCCTAAAAAAGACGTGATCGTCACTGGGTATCGTAGATGAAAAGATAGATCGGAATAGATCTGCTTCTCGCAAGAACAAGATGTTCGATGCTTTCTCCGCCCTCGGATCAGCCAACGATGAGATCTACCATTAGCCTTAGCAAGAAATGCTGCTGACTCTCAGCAAGATCATAAACGAAGGCCACGCATAATAACTATGCACAAGATAGCACAGTATAAAACAGTGATCAATGTCAAAGATGGCGTACGTCCTTAATTGAATAGGTAGGAGCTGGATTCCTCTTGTATGAAATGCTGTCTTGTTGAGATCCGAGTCGAGTGAGACTACAAAAGTCTTTCTATCATCTTGCTCTGCTGCTGTCACAATGGCCGCCCATGTTGATGCGTACCATTTTGATATATGATCTTGATGTGAGTCGAAGGTGATTGGGAAGAAGGAGTGGTGCAAGTTCGATCGAGTTTAATTGTACCAGTGAATGCGCACCGCATAATTCCAGCTCTTGCTTTTTTACCGCAAGCAGCCTTTTTTTCTCTGCGGTCACGAGCTTTGCACTTGCTGATGTGAGCATTGTTTTACACGTGATTGATGTCCTTTCTCAAAGCAAATCCCTCTCGAACCTCTTTACTGGGTGACGCGTAATGTTTTTTCGTCGATTACGTGGGCGGAGAGTTGTTCAATAGGGCTGATTTTCAGGGCGAATGCTTCTCAAAGGCCTGCTTAGAACTTCGCGCTAATGCAATCTTGAAATTTTCCAACTGTTTGCAATAATTTGTTACATGATAATATATTTGCAGGTCACCAAAACGCTCCACTTCTTGATACCATCACTCAAAGAACTTTGAATCATGAGCGGTATTGCACCTCCAGGGCCGCCTCCCGCAAGGCCGGATGCCTCAACGTCTGCAATCTCGGCAACGGAGAATCCTTACCTAGCACACCTTCCGCAATCGGAAAGGTATACGAATGGTGATGCGAATGGATCCATAGATGCTTCTGCTGATGTATTCTCAGGTTTCATTCCTCGCAAAGTGACCGGAGAGCAAGTGCGTAAAGTGATGAATGGCAACGTTAATGCATTTGCTTCGCCATCTGCAAGACCTTATTCGCAAAAGTATAGAGACATTCTCGAAAAACGAAAAGCGCTACCAGTTTTTGCTCAAATGGATGAATTTTATGAGAAATATCATGAATCACAAATTATGGTCATGATCGGAGAAACTGGAAGTGGTAAAACGACGCAAATTCCACAATTCGTCGCTTATTCCGATTTAGCTCATCTACGCAAAGAGAAAGGTTCAGATGGCGTTGTGGCGCCAAAGATGATCGCATGTACTCAACCTCGTCGTGTGGCTGCAATGAGTGTAGCAAAACGTGTCGCAGAAGAAATGGATGTTTCTCTAGGAAAAGAGGTTGGTTATACCATCCGTTTCGAGGATGCAACCGAAAGAAAGACAACATTTTTGAAATACATGACAGATGGTATGTTATTGCGGGAGGCTATGAACGATCATAATTTGGAAAGATATGGAACTATTATCCTTGACGAAGCACACGAACGGACGTTGGCGACAGATATTCTTATGGGTCTTATAAAGGAGGTGGTGAAGAGGAGACCAGATTTAAAGATCATCGTGATGAGTGCAACATTGGATGCCCTAAAGTTCCAAAAGTACTTCAACGATGCACCTTTGCTACGAGTTCCAGGTCGGACGTTCCCTGTCGAAACCTTCTATACTCCTGAGCCGGAACCTGACTACCTGGAAGCTGCAATAAGAACAGTTCTTATGATTCATCAAGCAGAAGACGAAGGTGATATCCTAGTGTTCTTGACTGGTGAAGAAGAAATTGAAGATGCTTGTCGCAAAATTAGAGCGGAAGCAGACGATCTCGCCACCAAAGATCCAGATATGTGCGGGCCTCTTAAGGTGATTCCACTTTACTCCTCCCTTCCTCCCGCTCAACAGCAGAGGATTTTCGAAGCTGCACCTCCACCACTCAAGGAAGGGGGTCCACCTGGAAGAAAGGTGGTTGTGAGCACCAACGTTGCTGAGACATCTTTGACCATCGATGGTATTGTTTATGTCGTCGATCCAGGGTTCTCCAAGCAAAAGGTGTACAATCCACGTATCCGTGTAGAGTCTTTGCTCGTTTCGCCAATCTCTAAGGCCAGTGCACAACAACGAATGGGACGTGCCGGAAGAACAAAACCAGGAAAGTGTTTCCGTTTGTATACGGAAAAGGACTTTGTGAACGAATTGATCGAACAAACTTATCCTGAAATTCTACGAAGCAATTTGGCAAATACCGTGTTGGAATTGAAGAAGCTTGGTATCGATAATTTGGTCACGTTCGATTACATGGATCCACCAGCACCTGAAACGATTATTCGTGCATTGGAATTGCTCAACTATCTAGCAGCCTTTGACGATGATGGAAATTTGACGCCATTAGGAGAGATTATGGCTGAATTCCCTCTTGATCCTCAATTGGCAAAGATGCTGATCGTCAGTCCAGAATTCAAATGCTCAAATGAAATCCTCACAATTGCAGCAATGTTGTCCGTTCCAAATGTCTTCATGCGACCGAATGCACAAAGATCACAAGCAGATGCAGCCCATGCCGAATTTGCTCATCCGGATGGCGATCATTTGACGATGTTGAATGTTTATCATTCGTACAAGAACAATTGTGCCGACAATGCAACTGCATCCCAATGGTGCTGGCAGAACTATCTATCCTATCGTACCCTGCAACAAGCCGATAATGTTCGAGCACAATTGCAAAGAACGATGGAAAGATTTAATTTGGATTTGGTGAGCACATCGTATGAAGATAAGAATTATTACATCAACATTCGTAAAGCTTTGACCTGCGGTTTCTTCATGCAAGTCGCCTTTAAGGAAGGCGGCGGTGGTGGAAAAGGTTCGTATTTGACCATCAAAGATAATCAAATTGTCGCACCTCATCCAAGTACATCTATGGATCATATGCCACCTTTCTTGATTTATCATGAATTCGTTTTAACAACCCGAAACTTTATTCGTACGATCACAGAAGTTAAGCCTGAATGGCTTTTGGACTTTGCGCCTGCTTATTACGATCCTCGACAGGCAAATGATTTGTCCGGTGAAGTACGTCGGGTTATGGAAGGCTTGGTTGGTCAACAAGGCGTTGGACGTACAGGAAAGAAAGAAGATGGTCCGAGTAAAAAGAAGAAGAAGAGAGTTTGAGATGGGCTCTTTCTTTGTGTATTATAGTGCGAGCCGCAAGTCGCTCTTTTAGAGACGGTATTGCCTTTATAATAGATATTTGATGCATTGTCAAATGGTGTGTACGTGATACAAACAGCAAACAAGCAGCAAGAGAATAGAACAGGCCGAGCAGCTTAAATTCAATCAGCATTGTAGCTATCTATCCGGACATTCATATGAAGAGCTCACGATCACTTGGGTTCATGTGTTTCAGACTCGAACGAAAGGGTATGTCATTCTTTTCCAATAAGAAAGAGAGAGTAAAGTTTTACGAAACAAAATGAATGTGATTATGTGTGAGAGTAAAAGACAGTCACTAAAATTGGTGCTCTTACTTGCCTTTCCGACTTGCACTTCTTCCAACGACTTCCATACCTACAGGTAGAGGAATAGCAGGATTGTATCCGGAATTAGTAGGACCGGTAGACTTTTTCTTTTTCCTTTTGATCGAACCAGCCTTACTTCCTCCTCCTCCTCCTCCACTGGCTGGCTCTGATGGTTCTGATTTGCCCATTGCTTTTCCCCAACTTCTACTGATCGATCCGAAATTCCTTCTTGCGGCCGCATATGCATCCTCTCCTTCTCCGTCATTGTCTTCGTCACTGCTATCATCCGTTCTTGACATGCCAATTCGCGTTGACCATCCGGTACGTTCAGGCATTGCGCCCAAATCGATCGGACGTTCAGAATGCGCTGTAATGCGTGGAGGTGCAGGTGGTGGTGGAGCAATACGGCTGCTCAACTTGCTGCCTGAAGATTGTTGAGATCCGAATGCCTTTGGTGTATCTGCTGGTGGCGTTTCTGGTGGTAATTTTACGTCGGGAGCCATACGAACACTCTTTCTTCTGCTCACCGTACTACCAACACCACTTCCTTCTGGCGATCGTTCGTTTCCATCACCTCCATGAGCGGCATGCAAGTGACTATTGCTTAAAATCGAAGCTGGTTGCTTGGTGGCTGTTGCAGTAGATGTTCCAGTATGCTGATGATCGATCGCTTTGGCGGGTGTGTCGACAGGCTTAGCAGGTCTGATGATCTCCTCCTCGTCACTGCTGCTATCGCTCAATGGAATATCTCCAGAATAGCTTCTACTCAATTTCGGAGGGACATGAGTTGCCAATGTTTTTGCAGGCTCTTCAGCTGGAGGCTGCTGCTTCTGTTGTTGTTGGGGAGGTGGGATATTCTTCGGACCCAGAACTCCTCCTCCCACAGAAGCACGAGCGACAGTGGTTCTTGTCACGCCTTCAGGTTGACCTGCAACCTTCTTTGCATCGTCATTTTCTCCGGTTGACATGAATTCATGGTATGCCTTTCTTTCATTTGGTGTCAAAAGTGGTTCTCCATTACTAAAGGTAGGTACGCCTTCCTTCTGTGGTGTGCTAACTTTTCCTTTTCCTCCATTATCGGTAAGTTCAACCCTGAACGGTTCAGAAGCAGGCATATCGATCCTCGGCAATGCAGTTCGGGGTACTTTTACCGTTCCTTCATCTTTGCTCGAATCTCCTTCATTGAGTGAAGAGAAGTTCAATCTGCCAGTGCCATCGATATTCTTGTCTTGCTCGAGACTCAAAAGGGAGGAAGGGTTAGAGGCAACCGAATTTGATCCACCTTGTTTGTCCAACAACGTTGATGCAGGTGGAGGAGCTGAGATTGGTGCAGGAATGCTGGGCAGGATTGGTGCTCCTGTTGACATGGTACTTCCCGAACGAGTAAGGTCAGTTCCCTGCTTCAAGGCCGGCTTCAAAGGAGGACTCATCGTTCTGGACGGTTGCGGAACATGTTTGGGTGGTTCACTTGTGGAAGTAGCTTGTGGTTTTGGAGTAGCAGCTTTGGGTGTTTGACCGGTAACAGCATGTCTTGCCGTTGGCTTGACAGGTGCTGCCGGTGTGGCGCTCGGCTTGCTTTCTTCTTCCTCGTTCACATTGCTCTTGGCGACCCAATTACTTGTTGCAAATTTGCCTGAAGGATCAATTGAACTCATTGCACCTACTTTATTGCCATGTCCATGGATTTGCTGCGTTGACATAGCACTCAACCTTTTCGAGCTTCGTCTAGCCAAAGTGTCCTTTTCCTTCTCCTTCTCCTTTGTTCCTCGCATTGCGCCGTAATTCAAGCTATCACTTCTACGAACACCACTAGAAGCATCACCAGTCACAATCACCGAATTGCGAGATCCTGCAGTTGCAAGAGGTTTTGAGCGTGTTGATTGCGTGCCAATCTCGCTACCTCCATCATTCGAAGCTATGCTCTTTACTTTCTTCTTCTTTTTCTTCGAGGGCGTTGTGGAGATCATCGTTGAAGATCTTGAGAGGCCTTCAGGAGCGGATGCATGACCGACCATACTTTCTGGTCTCTTTTTCTCTTCTGCTTCTTGATGTGCTTTCCAGCTCATTGGACCGGCATTGATCGTTGCACTTGGTGTCCTGCGTAACGATGCAGGTCGCTTGATGAGACTTTTACTCGTTCCAATGTCGGAATTGGACTTTTGCGTTTGCCATAAAGGTGGTCCTTTGTTGACATTACGCACCAACTTTCGCTCGTCGACCTGTTCTTCGTCACTGCTATCTTCTTGCGTTGGGACTAGAGGCTTACTGAGAGCACTTTGTCTTCTCTGCAATGATGATGGATCGTGCACTTTGTAGTTGCTCCGAATATTTGCATCCGTTCTGGTATCCCATTGAGAGCTACTTCTTTTTGGTCGAGCGTCAATGCTTGAAGATGTTCGTGATTCTTCATTCTTTGGATCACCTCTGAATAGACGACCCATTTTTCCAAAGATGCTTGTTTTCCTATTACCACTCAAACGGCTTGCTTTTGCAGTACCGTCGTCGGAGCTATGTCCATCTTCCTCCCTTTTATATTGATTGCGCGACGTCCAATCGCTGCCGCCTCCACGATGGGCAACAGTCCTTCTTTGCTCTTCTTCATCAGAAGAATCCTCTTGAGCGCCAGATGCTCCTGGCATGTATAATTTAGGGGCGGTTGGAATTGGTGCAAGATTGACACCATTGCTATTCAATCTGGGCGCGGTGGGGATGGGAGGCATGGATACGTAATTGAGTTGATTAGGATTGTTGCGCACTGAATCTTCCGCCTCTGTTCGCTTTGACTTCTTGATTGTTGAATTGCGTGACAATCTCTTGCTTTCGTCTTTGGCCGGTGGTGTGGGTGCAGGTGTGGCAGATTGGATGTTGTTCATGTCTGGACTGGCGTTGTAGTGTTGAGCATCATTGTTACGTGAAGAGTGAACAGGAAACATATGTGGTACAAAATCGGCTTCCGTACCCGCTCTCATATCCAATTGATGTGGAGCTGGCAAAACGGAGCCGACGCCTTGATGAACCATTACTGGCTGCGCATTCTCACCTTGTCCACCGCCGAATGACCTCCGCCAATCTTCTTCATCGCTGTCGTATTCTTCTGGGTTGCCGTTATTTTGCTGTTGTGCAACGTGATTTCCATCACCTTCTGCTATAACACCAAAAGGAGCATTGTACATCATCGAATCGCGATTATGGTTCGGTTGATAGACCTGGGACGCAGATTGCGAAGGTGTGACTGATGAATTCTCAAAGTTTGGATGATTGACAGCGTATTGATCGTCTGCACCTTGGTTGTATTGATGATGATACTGATGGTACGGATGCAAAGTGTCTTGTGTCATACCTTGTTGATGTTGAAGAGTGGATTCATCATAAGGTTCGATTGGGCTCATGGGCATCTGATAAGCTGTACTGTCAAATTGATCGAGCAAAAGGATTGCCTCTTTAGCAGCATCAACCATTGCAGCACCGGCATCACCCATGGTCTTCATGCGCATGGTTAAAGCTTCTTTGAACGTTCTTCTTTTCACTCCAACCAGAGCAGCTTCTTCAACAGTCAAAACTTCTTCGCATGCAGCCAATTCACGTTGTGCTTTTGCAACTTTTTCTGCTCTTTCTTCTGGTGATTTCTTGCTGGATGCACTTGCACTCTTTTGACTTGCTTTGATCAATCGGCTTACCAAGATGTCCCGATCACGAAAAACGGTTCGAATTGATGCTTCACGATCAGCAACATCTTTCAAAGCAGCACGATAACCTTCAATTGCAGCAACATGCGTACTTTGCACATCTGCACAAGCACTCAAAAGATTTGCAAGCCTTCCACTTGCATCTGCCACATCTGGTGCTTCACTCGTTCCCCAAGCGGATAAAGATGAACTTGCACCATGAGCAGCATTTACGCTTGAACGTAGATGAGTGATATAATTACGTTCTGCTTTGATTAGATTGCTCAGTAATCTTGAATCGCTCGGTGCCACATGGCGAGTTGCAAAAGCGCCTCCCACGTCCATCTTTGGGGTTTAATTCCGATTTACTGGAGAAGGTCTTCTCCGCGTGGGGATGAGGTGTGGAGTTTTTCGATTGACTTTATTATTTTTCTTGAGAGAAGGATTGAATTTCTCTCACAGTCATTCAAAAGGAAAGAGGACAAAGGAAGTAGGTAACAATTGATGGAATGATGTTTAGGTGAGTAGAAGAGTGGATTCCATAACATGGTATGTGTTCTCGTAATTCATGGCGCCCCACGAAAGAAAGGCACACGTGTACGGGCACTAGACAAGTGTAACAATTGCATTTTACTCTTCCGACGTGTTACCCTGTGGAGGGTTTTTACGCTTGTGTGGTGAATTGTCATTAGAAAAGACTATGCATTGATTAGCGCACAAAGGAATCCTAATAGGATAACAAAACGAATATGGAAGTTGAAGCCGGCCAGGGAGGGGCATGCAGAAGGACAAGTTATATAATGTATATTCATCAATTTGCTATTACAAATAAATGTTATATTCTTCAAGCCTTGATATCACACCGAGAATCACTCTTTAAAGCCCTTCCACGTGAGCGTGTCACTTCTTTAAGTCAACGCGCTGCTTGGGTTTAGGCATAATGAGAAGAAACCTATCACGGTATCGATGCAGTGCTGCTCTAGCGCATTTCCCGAAAAAAAGATGATTGATGACTGGAACATTCACAACTATCATCACTGACATTCTCATTATCAGCATCACACCCTTTGGAATAATAACGGCGGACATCAACAAAGTAAATCACACCCTCTCCTTTTCCTATTCAACGTAAAATATATTCAAACGATAACAGAGATGAAATCCCGGTGACAGATTCGACGCTCAAATTAGAGCTTTCACTTTTCAAAATAAGAAAGTTCCACTTAATTCATTTCAATCTGTCTTGCTGGCAATAACTGTGTGCAAGATGGAGACTGAAGAGAATAACTTACAGCAGCAGGCACATGTCCAAAACCCAATCGCGTGCGACAGCAACGACATCACAAGGCAAACAGAAAATGGCACACATCAAAATATAGCTAAAGCTCTTTCAAAACTTTCCGTTCAAAATGAGAAAGTTGAAAACGAGTCCAACGAACAATCTCTACCACCATCTGCTTCATCAAGCTCCAAAGCACAAACAGAAGACACAATGAATTCAACGAATGAACAAGTAGATCCAGCTTTGGTAGAGGCAATGCGTGTGCCTCGTGATAAAGTGTTCATTCGCAAATATGAGAAAGAGATGGAAGATCAAATTCGCAATACTCAGGTCATTCAATGGGAGCTCCCTTTAATGAACACTTACCAACGCATGCTTGTTCATCGAATCGCAGATCATTATGGATTAGGTCATTCTCTTGATCCGACGACAAGACAGGTTACCCTTGTAAAGAAGGAAAGCACTCAAATTCCTGAAGTCTTGGTCTCAGTCTTGGCAGCAAAAGAACGTTTATCAGATCCAGTCGATTTTCCACCTTTGCATAACAGCCTTTCCGGTCAAAGTACACCTGCAAGTGGATCTACACCCGCACAACGAGAACCACCGACTGGGGTCCGTATCATGCTTCGTGAAGCTGGGAGCAATCGATCGGGATCTAGAAATGGCAGCAATACACCAGACGATGGCAATGGATCCCGCAAAGATAATAAAAACAAAACGATGCAAGAAAGAGAAGCATCTTATAAAGAAGCACGCGAGAGAATCTTTGGAAAGGAGGAAGCCAAGGAAACGAATTCTGAGGCAACAGAGCGTCCCAGTAGCAACGCTCCTTGTCTTGATCGAAAAGACTTGAAGAATGTTGGATTATCGCGTTCCAGTTCACCTTCTTTCAGCAGTGGAAGTACTGTCACACCACGTAAAGCAACGTCGCATGATGAGAGCGGTACGGCTTCATCGTCAGAATATCCTCCTCAAAATGCACCTGTCAGTCATCTGCCCATTTCTTATCCTTACTCCACTGGAGGTTGGCAAGGCATGCAAGTCGATGCTTATGGAAGACCTTTTCAGCCGCAAGCCTGGCCTCCCATTCAAGCGCAGTATGCATATGATCCTCAGGCTCCTTCCTTCCCATCTCCATATGCCGACAATGCGAGCATCAGTAGTCGGTCTACAAGTATTAGCACGAGCACAGAGGGTGCAGGAAGTGCTAATAGTAGTATAAGCGAGCAATTTGCTTCCCCACAACCTGGACAATCCAATTATAGCACATCGTCTTTACTCAATTCGGCAATGATGCAAGGAAGATCGCAATCGGCATCTCCTATTTCACCATTTGTGCCTCGAACGCAAACATCCTCCGGCAATAGTACACCAGGTGGCTCTTATGCTTATCCTCAATCTGCTACCTCACCACCACAAAGCGCTCCATGGGGAACAACTGGTCAACCCTATTATGGTCATTTGAATTATTCAACACCACCAAGTCCGATGGACAACAATAGAAATCAATATATTGCGGCAAATTCCTATGTAAATCCCAATGGTGCTAATGGACAATACAATCCGGGTTACCTTCGTCAGTCTATGCAAGGCAATGGAGCATGGTCACATGCTGTACCACAAGGCACGCATTTTGGCAATGTTCCAGCTCAACAAATGCCACAGCAAGATCCGTACATGGGCACCGGTCGTGGACGTGGAAGGGTCAGTCAAGGAAGTGAACGCGGTCTCTATGACCCTAACAAACCACCGACACCAAAGAGTGCATCTTCAACATCTAGCAATAGACATTCATTGGGGAAAAGCTCCTCTGCAGCAGCGGTACTAGAGAATGGTTTAAATCAACACAGGATGTCTGGCTCTTCAGGAATGAGCACACCTATTTCCTCCAGGGCTATAACACCTAACAATGATCAATTGCGAAGGTCTTCCTCGTCGAATACACGAAATGGGCATCCAGCCCCTCCAGCAACAGGTTCTACCAGCAGTTTATCAAGCATAAGTTCGATCAATCATCCTTCCTTACCTGCACGTCCGAATTGGGTGACGAGACAGAGCGGTTCTTCGCAATCAGTACAAAGCAATGTGACCGAAATCGAAGTCAGCAATGCAGAAAGCACGAATGGAAATGGAATCACATCAAATGCAGACAATGCTGGAGTGACCGAAATAAACCGAGCTGACCTCAATGGCCAGGAGACAAGCGGGAAAGGTATAAAAGAACTTTAGAGCAATATTAAAAATAATATCTATCTGTAACAATGTACTACCTACTCTTATGCTCAAGTCATTATCACATATCTCATAATGCGCAAAAGCTAGAATGCGCCACTTTCAATGTACTCTTGCAATATACAATATTCATTCATATTATGCCCAATATATACAATTGTGATCGCAGTTCTTCTATTTTCCAGTCTCATCACGTACTTCACTACTGCTGAAATTCAAGATTCCTGCTTGATCCAATTTGCCTACAATCTCTTCTGCTTCTTCAACTTTCATCGATCCAAGAATCTTGTTCACCTCTTCGAGTGATTTGGATTCCAATGCTTTTCTGAAATTTTCAGGGAAAGATTGATACATATCCCATCTTTGTTGTAAAACGGCACGAACTTGCTCAACGTCCATCTTTTCGGCCAATTCAGCATCTAATTCAATCTTTTCCGGTGGTGGTCCTTCAGGCACTTCGAAAGAGATGACAGTGTTTGGATCTTCGGCTACCAATTGAATTTGTTCTTCTCCGACTCCTGTACCTGATTCGCCCGTACTTCCTTGTTCGGATTGAATGGCTTTACAACGTTCAGCAATACGAGTGTACGTACTCAAAACGTCATTGAAATACACCACAGCCGCCTTTCCACCGGAACCACGCATACGTTGAAAGAATAAATTAACACCATCTTTGCCCAATTTGTTGCAATATTGAACCAATAATCCTTTTTCGACACACTTTCGCGATAATGCACCTTCTCCACGCATTTGTGCTTGGAATGCTTCTACAAGTAGAGCGTCTGTTGCATTTGTGTCTTCACGAATGATTTCTTTGTGTTTTGATAAATGTTGAACAGCAATATCGAAAGGCTCTGCTTTCACATCACGCATCGGGTTAAAGGTAGGCGGTAGCGATGCTGCTGTGAGCGGTAGGTTAGGCAAGCAGCTTGGTAATTTAGCGAAAGCAGCCACAGATGGAAGAAGTGTGGGTAGCTCTTCGTCATCGTCATCATCGCCGCCAGTCTTCTTCTGCACCTGACCCGATGGTGCAGCTGCTGAGCTTGATCCGGAATTTAGCGTCTCGATACTTGTCTCTTTGGTCTTGCCTTTGGATTTGGATGACGATGCAATCTCTTCCTCTTTCTCTTTGTTCACATATCCAGAAGACCATCCTTCCCGTATTCCATCGCTGGTAATTTTGCGTTTATCTTCTTGCTCGAATTTATCGATGTTGCTGATGACTTCTTTTTGCCTTTCGGAGAGTTTGCCTTGATGTTCTTTCAGCTTTTCAACGAGTGCTGCATCTAGTTCTTCGCCTTGCTTCCCTTTTACAGATTCTTCATCCTTGATTTGCAAAAGGAGAGATAGCATCATATCGTCCGAAGTAGGACCTTCTGGACCATCTTTATTTCCACGTTCTGCTCTCCCTGCTGTTAATCTAGATACTTCTCTAGAATAGAAAGTGCTTCCTTCTGCGATTGTTGATTTGGTCACTTCATCCAACATTGGCTTTAAGGTATCATTGATCTCTCTTTCGGCTTTCAAATTTAGTAAATCTTGTTTTCGCACATCACGTTTTTCATGAATATCACGTTGTTTCCAACGAATGAATGACTTTTTGTCCACGTTTGGATGTACTTCAACATCGCTATCGTCTGATAATTCAAGATTGTCCCACTTTGAATAATTCAGTTTGCCAACCATTTTTACGATTTGAGAATTGGTGATGGTGATGAAATAATGATTGAATGTATGCACCAGAAAGTGTTGGACTCTGGTCTTCCAAAGGGATCCATAGGTTAATTAACGTGGAGCCAAAAATGCATTAAAAGTACCGTGCACAGCAAGCACTCTTAACGAGCCAAGTCACGTGTATTTGTAAGCCTGAGTGAAAATATTCCAATTCTTCCTTGTAGTGGTGAGCAATTGCATATCATGATCATCATCGTACTACTGTCATCAGAAGCATCTGCTTAGGCATAAACGGCTACAAATATACCAACAGCATGCTATCAGCACTCACACAAAGTCTAGGGCGACTCTCACTAAGAACCGCGAGCCCGGCTTCGTCCAACATCGGCGCATCTACTTCCTCTAATTTGTCCCTCTTTCGAACCGGTAATGCTTCATCATCATGGCCACAACAGCAGATGCGATTCAAATCTCAATTAGCACCAAGGAGAACTAAGTACCGTAAAGCACATAAAGGAAGAGTACCGTTGGCTATCGGAGGATCCTTGAAAGGCACAACGTTGAACGATGGAATGTATGGAATTCGTCTTTTGGAACCAGCGAGATTATCCGCCAAACAGCTACAATCTGCCGAGACAGCATTAAAGAGAAAGCTCAAGGCTATAAAAGGAGCACAAGTATTCTTGCGTGTGTTTCCCGATATTCCCGTTTGCGTAAAAGGTAATGAAACTCGTATGGGTAAAGGAAAAGGATCTTTTGAATTTTGGGCATGCAGAGCTACAATTGGAAAAGTAATCTTTGAAATTGGAGGACCGGTAGAAATTCGACCAGAAATAGCAAAAGAAGCATTAAAGCTCGCAGCAGTCAAATTGCCGGTAAAGAGCGAATTTATAACGAGGGAATCAGCACCAAGATTGGGACAGATTGTCGAGCAAACTATTCCACCTGGATCAGCCGTTGGACATGGTGGATCTGGAGTCGTTACTTCTGCATGATTACCTTGAATCCTGGATATGTATGAATAGATATAATTACACTTTCTCACCTTCAAACACTCGATCTACATCAAATAGCCTGATCGTCATGATTTTGCTCCGAATGTGCTTGCTTCAGCGCTTGAGTCTGAGCTACTCTCTCTCTTATTCTCTGCACTGAAGCTTTTTGAACCATTCTTCTCTTTTTGCGGTGGTCCAAAGCTCTTTGTTGTTCTTCTACAGGTACCTTTTCCCCTCTAGACATCTTCTTGAACGTTTCGGCAACTTCTTGCTCTTTTTTAGAATTACGACCTCCAAATCTGCTGACTCGCTTGAGATAATGCTCGTGATGATAAGCCTTTACATGTTCTTGTGCTGCTTGTCGGTCACCTCCGTTTGCGTCTTCCAACTTTTTGATCCATTTTGATTTCGATCGTAATTCGATCTCACGACGATGTTTTGCGTAAGCCGGATCGAGTTTTTTCCTTTCTTGACGTTTTGCACTTTGTCTTGCATTGTAAATCTTTTTCATCTCTTTCGTCAATGATTTTGGTAAATCTGTTTCTTCTCTGCTCTCTAGTGGTGCCTCTGCAGGTGGCGGTAGATTCAAGTCGATATCCAAACCTTTCTGTTGCACTTTCCCACCAATGCCGCCTTTTGGTTTGACTGGGGTGCTAGTGACCTCCAAAAGAAGCAATAGCATGCTTGCTAGAAACCAAGACATTAAAGCTCGAGAGGACATCATATTTATGTGGGATGGATAAGATGCGGTTCATCAATTCTTGGGTTTTTGTTATTTTTATTTGACACCAAATGTGCCCCGAAGTGCCAGTTTAATGTGTGTTCAATTGTTTGTAAACACAGGACGGAGGAATGTGGCTGCTCAAGTGATCAATTGTGAAAAGGATGCTATGTACAGCTGTGTACGTTCTTACATTGGTTTATTTGGCTTTCCTGCATCTAAGGTTTGCCTAGGTTTTTCATTTTTAGTTTGTGTGTTTCGGCTATCTTCTTTCTCTTTCCTCGATATTCGACAACTTTTTGCCGATCTTCCGGTGTGATTTCTTCACCTTTCCGAACAATTGCAATTATTCTTGCGACTTCTTGTGCTTCTTTAGTGTGATGACCACCAAAAGTCGATTTACGTTTTAAATAATGTTTATGATTGGCAATCTTTTTTCTCTCGCTAAGTTCTTTTCTTTTTTCTTCGGATAAGTTTGCATCTCTCTTTATTCTCCATTTCTTAGCGGATTTAGCCAGAGTTGCACGACGAGCTGCAGCATAAATAGGATCTACTTTCATCCGTTCTTTTCGTTTATTATTTTGTCTAGTTCGCCACGATATTTGTTTTTTTCTTCCTTGTTCTTGTGAATCGGAAATGCTGCGATTTTCGTCAGAGTCCGTCGGTGCTGGAAGATTCAAATCTATAAGAAGCCTTTTCCCATGACTCTCGTCTTTGTCCTCTTCTCGCTTGCTACCGGGTTCAGGTTCCATGGCCAAAGCAGTCACGATGAGAATATTAATAAGTGTCCAAATGAACAGGATATTCATTGTACTGCAACTAAAGGGTAAGGTATCACTATGGAAGAACAAATTCATGAAAGTCAAAAGCATGCAGCAGTGATGTTGGCAAATGAACGTTTGCCCCGACAAGAACCGCAATTTATTGCAACCAATAAGCGGCTATACTAATCATGCCAGTCGTGCTCATTCAAATCTGAGAATGTAAGCGTGCCAAGGCAATGTTTTGAAACCAACGATTGCGGTGGCTGTAAATATCATTTCCAGTCGAAACGGTACAAATGAATTCATTTCTCTACAAAGCTCATCACGAGGAGGTTGATTGGAAAGCGTGCGCAGGGCTGAGCTCTGCAGGCCAGTAGTTATCATCGACTTCAAACATATCCTTCCGTCTTTGCTTCCTTCTAGGTTCGTAATCCCTATCCCTTTTTCGCTTTTTCGCATAATAATCGTCCACCTTTTTCTTGTCTTCTACTGAAACTTGTCCAAATTTCATCTGTTCTTTGATTTGCGCCACTTCTCGTCTTTGCTTAATCACCTCTTTACCGTAAATTGCTTTTCTACGCAGATATTGCTGATGGTTTCTTGCGCTGACAGATTCTTTATGTGCTTCTTTTTCCGCTTCTGTCATTTTTGTCTTTTTCTTTAATTCATACTTCATTTTACTATCTTGAACACGTTGAACTAATTCTGGATCTTTTTGCATTCTTTCTTTCAGACGACGATATTTCGCTCTGTAAAATTCTGACGATTTTTTCTTGGCAGGAGAGCTCTTTAATCGCTTTTTATTTGGTCCATCGTTATCATCTGGTGCTGGTTGGTTCAAATCAAAAGGGAGAGGTTCTTTAGCCTTGGTGGTCGTAATGTCAAGGGAATTCTCGCGAATTCTTTTTGTTGCACTGATTTGAGCGAATAGAGAGGCAAATAACAAAATTACTGGAATTTCAATTGAGGGATACATTGTGACACGATGAACATGAAGGATGGATAATGGGAGGTGGATCACAATCGGATACAGAATTGACTCAAGGTTTCCTACTTAAAAGGACAGAAGTTGCCCCGGTTGGAGAAATGCAAACGCAATTTAACGGGGGAGGCAGTTCAATTTTCCTTGTCTGCCTTTTGCTTTTTACTGCGAGATTTTCTTACTGCTGCATTAATTCTCTCTCGATGCTCTTTTACTCTGTTCAAATCTTCCAATGTTGCGATCCCCATCTTTATTTTTTTATTTGATTCTTGCACTAATCTTGATTTAGCATTCCCATACGCTCCTCCAAAACGTGCTTTAACCAATTGGTATCTTTTACGGCTTTCTTTATTACTTCTCTCCTTCTTTTCTTCCATTTGTTCTTTTGTCAGTGTTTCTTTTCTTCTTAATCGAAATAATCTTGCAGCTTTTGCCTTTTGTGCCCTGCGTCTTTCTGCAAATTCAGAATTCAATTGCATTTTCATCCTCTCCTTTATAGTAGCTCTCTCAATTGCTTCTTTGGTACGAGAATAAGTCTTTATCTTCTTTTTTGCAGGTTCAGAATCCGGATTTAGCGGCTTTAGAGGGGAGTTTGGTCGATCAGAGATAATATTAGGAGTAGGAAGTTCAATGATATCCTCAAACTGGTCCCATTCTATGTTAGAAGGCAAATTTGGCGAATGAGGGCTGCCAATTGCGATGGCAAAAGGTAGAATAAGCTGTGATGCCAGGAAGTAGAGAATTACTAATCTCTGAGACATTTCAGGAATGGACGTCGCTAGAACACAAGAGTGAGATCATATCGTACAGATGCTATATAAGGAGAAATTAGTTGCGTACACAGCTCGTATCAATCTTCTCTTGATCAATTCCGAGTCGAAAGTACGACTTACAAACATACGTAATGTTTTCTATACCCGCTAGGGGCTTGTACTGATGGTAAGCAGATCGAGTCACACTTCTGCTTGCAAAATCAGGCCCCTATCACTCGTATGAAAGACGTTCGATAACGAGGCAATGATCTGGCCAATATCGAGCTGATAAACTCGTGAGTTTAGAAGTACATGAATGCGAGGGAGAGACAAAAAGTAACGTAAAACCATCATTCATCCTCCTTCCTTTCAATCTGATCAAGTTATGATTAAGACTCGAGTTGTTTTAATTTTCTCATATGGTAGGTTATTCGATTAGCTTGATTAGTTTTGAGTCTACGTTCTTCCATTTCTTTTGGCGACAGGACTGCTTTCAACCTTTCTCTATGCCTTTGAGTTGCTGCTTTTTTTCTGAGCTTTGCGTCTTTTAGCATATTCAGGATCATTTTGCAACCTTTTCACGTATCCTTGATAAGCTTTGAGCACGGTTTCAGGGTATCGAATTTTTACTTTCTTTTTCGGTTTTGGGACAGGCTTGGCTTGGATGTGGAAGTCATGTTCATTTTGTGCATGCGGTTGATACTCTTGCTCATGGGAAATTGTACTTGGTTGTATCTCAGGAGAAGGGATCTCGAGCAGATTATCTAAACTGCTCCAGTCGATATTCGAAGGCGATTGTGCAGAAGCGGGACTGCCGACTGCAACGATATGAAATGGAAGATGGTATATAAAAAGTATAAGGACGATCGCTAGTAGACGGCTCATCATACTAAACCAAATAGTGGTGGTTAAATTTAGGAGTAGTTTTGACAAGATTGTACCCGTTTACGCAGACTGAAATTGACCTGCATCATTGACCTGCATCCCACAGCCTTGCGTACACTGACTTCAATGAAAGCCAATATTCAATACTGGAACGAAAGAAGGTCAGAAAAGATAGAAACATGTAGCCGGATAATTGATTAATTCGATGAGGGCTCTTTGGCGGCCTTACGTTCTTTGCACGCAACATTTGCCAATCTAAGCCTTTCTCGATTCTCCAAAACTTTTTGAATGTCTTCTATACTTCCTTTACCTGCTTTCATAAGTTTTGTTGATACAACGATTTCTTTAGCTTTTTTGGATGGATAACCACCCCATTTCAACTTTCTTCTTTGATAATTTTGTCGATTGATCTCAGATCTACGCATTCGATACTTTCGCACTTCTGCTTCGGTGATTACCTTGGGTGTTCCCGCGTTCTTGCATTTACCTTTGCTTCTACCGATGATCTCTTTTTCGCTTTCCGTAATAAGTAGTGGTTTGGAAAGGTCTGCCACTGGTCTTCCTTTAGTACGTTTGCGCTTATTTGTTCCTGAGCTCACCTGCACCCCTTCACTTGTCTTTACGCTTTCCAATGAACCCACTTCTTCGTGCAATTGCACAATGCCCTCTAAGTAGAACGGAGTGTTGGGAGGAGAGATCGATGTTGTGGGACTATCAACAGCTTTAACACATCGAAACAGATGTAAAAGGCCACAGAACAACAAAACGAGGTGACTCTTCATCATGTGTGATCGAGGTCAAAATGAAGGTTTATTAACGTTGTCTCTAATAGTGCATTTTAGAGAACACCGCCTGCTCTTATTATGCTCATATGCAGTTAATCTTACGCAGAAAAGCTTCATGTCTTGAACTAATCACAAAGCAAACAAAAGACAAAATAGATGAAAATCGGAACCTATTGAATCATACAAATCATTGCACGCAAAGAGAAGAGAGAGAGAGATTTATGAAATGAGAATGCTATCGAGGCGTCTAGAATATGTTTGTGGATGGGGGCATTAAAGCATGATTGATGAGGTGAGAGGATGACCATATCAATCTTTATGTGTTACACGAGCGCAAAAAATTTCGCTCAAATCCAAGCCAAAAATGCCAAAGAAGAAAGAAAATTGTTGATGTAGAATGTGGTGGCCGAATGACCACTTTCAGGCTGGAATGCTGTGTAATTGTCCTGAGTAGCCATCCATTGAGCCATTTTGAACCGCATTGCTTGGACTTACGACGCCATTCACTGTTGCATTTTGACTTCCAGGTCGAATTCCTAAACCAACACTGATATGCTCCAACAATTTCACAATCTCCGTTGGCGAATCGTGTGGCAATGGATAGGTTTGACGATCTTTGACCAATTCAAACATCGTCGTTAACAAACCCCAAGGATGTGGTCGATTGACAATGATTCTTTCCAATAAAACCCGTAAAATTGCTTCACGAGCAGAAAGTTCATTTCTGTACAAATGCAACAAAGCAGCAGAAAAGTACGTCGTATGTGTGTTTGGATAACGCAATTGATTGCAAATCGCATTCGCCGTCAAATAACGACCTTCTGGCTCCAATCCGAAAAGAGCTTGCAATACAGTGAGGCCGACATCAGATGTAGTATTGGGATTTGCAACAATATTTTCATCCTTTAGCAAGCTTACCATACCGACATGTACAACGATCGAATTGAGAAGAGAAACGCTGTAGCCTTCATTCTCTTTGACCAAAATTTCAGGCAAGATGCTCAAAACAGCCGCATTATCATTTGTTGGTTTGGACAGATAATCGTCCAATTGTTCTTTGAATGCTCCATTGCTAACGTGTGAAAGACTTGCAAGGTAATCTTCGGCAATGATTGGATCATTGTTGCTTTGTTCAATCTTGCCAATCGTTAACTCCGGATCAAAGACATCGGGTAAACCGTCTGGGAAGTCTTGGCGACTGAATGAGCTCAAGATCAGGTTGCGTAGCTGGACACAAGGCAACGGAATCAAATCACTGAAGCTGTTTGCATGTGTAGACAAGAATTCAGGATAATCATGCAACAAGACCAAAGTGATGCGAAGTGTGCCTCTGTACAATACTCTGCTTGTATCTTGCAATTGCATCGAACGCAAGAATGGAGCAAGGAATCGCAAGAGAGAGGAGTACAATCGGTAGTAAGCGCTCCATCCTTCGGTACGCGAAGACAACAACTTCGGCATGAACAATCTGTGCGAGATCAAACTCATCCATGAGAAAGTCAAGCCAGGGAAGAAGTCTGGCTGCAATGTGTTGAGCGTATTGCTGATGGCCAATAAAGCTTGAATATAAGTTCCTTGAAGGTTTTGTTCCACTAAGTGTAAATCGTGCAAGAGACTGCTAAAGAATCGGAAGAATGGCTTTTGTTGGAAATGAGGACCCAATTCTTCATGGGATTGTGCCAATACCAAAACGACAATACTCAAGACTTTTGTTAAATAGTGAATCTTTGCTGATTCATTATTGTTGCCCGAAGGATCGGCGTGATATTTGATCATCAAGACGATCAACTTGCTGAAAGCATCAATTGGTTGGAAGATACCTGTGGAAAGGTTACCACCAACTGCTTTTTGCTTAATGTAAGAATCAACGCTGACTTCTGTGCAAACACGGAAGAACAAACTTGAAATCTCTTCACCCTTCAAGATACCTTGTCCTTGCAATTGCGTGATAAAGTCAATAAAGGATTTTTCTGCATTTGGTGAATGTTGGAAAAGTCGAATCCATTCAGCAAAGCAGAAGGCCAACTGTTCACGCAAAGGTTGAGAACTTTCTACATCCGTTTTGACCTGTAAATGACCATCTTGCAATTCTGCCAAAAAGTCTTCGGATGCTTGAGTAGATTTACCATGTTGCTGAGCTTGTCTGAGCACTTCGATCAAATTACCCAGTTGTTGACGAGTTGCACAAGATGGTTCTTTCAAACAGGTGAAAGCCAAATTTGCAGCAAAATCGACAGAAGATGGCTTGAAATCAAGAGTTTGAATGAACTTGGTCAATTGCACGTCCAATTCAGAAATGTTGACCAAACCAGCGCGAATGAGACCAACAGTCACAGCGACATTGAACTTGCGTTCATCTTCAGCGTAGATTAACCAAGCAGTCACTTCTTTGGCTGCCTTGACAGACACTTCACACAGACGCTCCAACAAGTGAATATAGACTTCACGGGCAAAGTCTGATTCGCTCTTGTACAACAATTGGACCACCTTTTGAGCAAAAGCTAATGTTGTTTCATCCCGTTTGATAGATTGTCCGGACAAGACTGTGATTTGACGGGTCAACAATCGGATGTTTTGACCGTTTTGTGTCTCTTGCTCGTTATCACCTTGCTGCAAGATACGTTCAAGCTCAGTAATGCTTTGGTTGAAGCGCTCAATGCTTTGTTGTGGATTGAGTTGTGCTTCCTCAGATTGTTGTTGAGCCTGTTGTTGTTGCTGTTGCAATTGAGCACGTTGTTGTTCAGCCTCAGAATTCATGCCAGAAGGATAAGGAACCACCGCTTCGGGCATGTGTGCCATTGAGGGTGAATTTGAACCTCTTTCGCCAACGTCTCCGGTTGCTCGAGGCAGTTTACCAAATTCTTCATATACACGTAATTGTTGCATTTGAAGGCCATCAGGTTGAAGCTTGAGTAAGTCAGGTAAAGTGGAAGCATATTGACTCTGAGTGAGTGCATTTGCATCCCAATAATACCCTCTACCGCGCAATTGATGATCTCTTCTGGCCAAATAAGCATTTGCCAATTGTTCATCAACGTCTTGCAAAGATTTCTCCATTGCTGCTCTTTCCACAACCGAGCATGCCAATTCCGAATTATCTTGCATGATCATAATGATCGCTTGTTCGGGTAATGTTTGTTCATTGAACCCATTTTGTAGTAACAAGGTACGAGCATGCGTCACCATACTCATTCGCAATGGCTCTTTGCATGTCACAAGTGCGAGACTTCCGGCTAAATTTTGTGCCATTTGATGTGCAGCTTTGCGCATCTTGTTTTCATCGCTTTCCATTGCGAAATCTTTGGTGATCAGCTCTCTTGTTGAAATAGCGGCAATTGTGACTGATCTTTCCACCACCGGATCAATAATTTCACGAATTGCTCTTTCGATTGCAATGCAAATCATCCTCTTCAATGCCCCGTTATTGACAAACAAGGCAACACTGGGGTTAAACACAACATAAGCTGGCAAGCTTTGCAACATAGAGGCCAAAGTGTCCGGATATCTGTTGACCGACATTCTGTCGAGCCCTTGAGTGATGTTGGAAACATTTTGTCCTTGCGTTTGACCGCCACCAAGACGCATTTGTTGCAGCAATTGCTGTTGTTGTTGCTGAGGTGAAGGTTGGATGCCTTGCAATTGTCTTTGTTGCATACCTTCCTGCTGTGCTTGTTGAGCGGCGGCGGCGGCAGCAGCAGCAGACTCTTGAGCAGCCAATTCTTGAGGACGGTTGCGCAAGATTGAGGTACATTGTACTTCTTTCAAATCGATATTGAGACTCTTGCACAAGACTTCAATCTCGAACTTGAGATTGAGCTTCAATTCGGCAAATTGATAGAGCTCAACCAAAAGTCGCAAAACAGCCATCAACCAAGGATTTGGAGGCTTGAAGATCGTTGATCGGGCACATTGCTCCAACACCTTGCATACGAAGGGAATGGCAACAATGAGACGATTGCTATCGTAGCCCTCGATCAATAATTCCTTGAAAGCAATGTTGCGATGGCGGATGGGTTTATTGCGGGCCAAGGTCAAGTTACCCAACCAAGATCCAAGATTCTTCAAAATCGTTCGCTCTGTGGTCGATTGAACGGTCTTATCGGAGTTCAACAACATTTTGACTTTTGCCAATGTTTCGTGTAAGATGTATTGCAGCAAAGTCTTGGCCTCCAAGCCATCAATGAAATCCGTGTAGAGCGAATGATTGTTTGGCTCAATGCTAACACGCTGCAATACCAAGTAAGACGACAGCCATTGGTGAATTTCTGGCTTGATCAACCGACGTGCTTCGATCAGTTTGTCATGAAGGTTGCTTGGCGATAAGTTGTTAACGATGAACAAGATCTTGTCTGATGTTTGTTCATCAGGCTCTTGAGAATTGACACCTTTTGGCGGAGGCTCAACATTGATCGCTGAGAATGGCGGTTTGCTGGTCAATCCGTTTGCCAAACCGTTGTTACCGGAAGGCACGGCTGTGCCATCCGCAGCAGCACGAACGATGCGTGCGATTTCGGGATGGGATTGCTGAACATTGGGCAAAGAGAGTAAAGCTTGTCCGAGCTGGGGCCATTCTGGCAAACGATCCTGGAAGCGCAGTAGAGCTTGCACACCGAACTTGAACATGTTCGATTCCGGAGGATTGCGTAAAGCATCCAAAACGTATCGAATAGCGATTCCAAGAGGGATGAAATCGATCAGCTGATGTTGGATTAACGAACCAAAAACGATTGCCGTCATTGCTAATTCGCGCGGGGGGTAATACATCTCAAAACAACGATATTCATCGAAAAGTGTGTGAACCATGCACGCAAATACCTGTCGCTCCTTCTCGTTCTCAGAGGCCTTGAAACGTTGCAAAAGGCTAATGAGATCCTCAATCGAGATTTGTTCGGCATACATTTGTCGATAGTAGCCATCCACTTCTGTGTGTACGTCAGGTGTAAAGGTGACCACTGTAAGTCCTGGCTCTTGTCCCTCTGTGCCTGGAGCAAGGTTCATCAACCGGGGATGAAGTTGCAAACACAGATTTCTCACAGCCTTGAAATAATCAATCTCTTCCGGAGACATGTTATCGCCATTTGAACGCAGAACACGCAAGAATGTAGCCACTGTATGAACAGTGAGTGGAACACTCGTATGCTCCGCTTGAGGTTCCTGTTTGCTTAAATCATCCTTCACCTTGACGTCAATAAATTCAAGGGCAGCACGAATGAAATCTGATCCGTTCCTGTTAATCTCTTCTTGTAACCACTTGTCAAGATCGAGTAAATCACGTCTAGAAGCCAAAGCTGCCAAATCCATTGCAAAGAAAAATGGATGCGATTCCAGTAATCTATCCACGATTTTCACTTCTTGCGCTACGTCCAGAATTCTGCTGATGTTCATAGCCGAGTCGTTGTAAGATGCACGCAAATATTCCAACAAATTACCGAGATCGATCTCACTTAAGCGTTTGAATGCGAGTTGGTGATGTGCATGACCTGCTAAGAACATAGCAAAGAGCTTTTTCACAAGTTCTTGATGTATGTGAGACCAAGGTTGTTGTTTTTGATATAAAGCGATGAGAACGAGTTCCGCGTTTGTTGTCATTGCCTTTTCAAGCAAAGCAGTGATCGATGCCCGAACATTTGCGCTATCCAATTCTGCCAAGCCAATCAACGTATCGATGAGCTCTCGTGCATTCCATGTGCTGGTAAGAATGTCGGGAGCGATGTCTGCCGCATCAGATTGTGTAAGAATACTGTGTACAGGCTGTTTTGCAAATGTGAACGATTGTTGATCAGCACCATTCTTCTCCGGCTTGCTCAAAGAGGTTAATCCGTCAAGAATTTGCACCTGTCGAGCTGGATGTGCCCAAATTCCCCAAAGGGCAGAGATCGTAGGCTGTTCGCGTTCCATCGGCGCAAACTCAAAGATCGAGCTAAGCACTTTCCAATCCGCTTCGAAAGCCAAATTCAATTGTTCAGGAACATCGATCAATCGTACGACACGGTACCACGAAATTTTCTGCGATGTCAATCTTGCAATCAGATTGATGATAGTGTGTGCATTGACGATCGAATTGCTGGTACGTTCGCCTTCTGATCGCGTTGTGTCCAGTTCGACGTCGATTGTGAGCAATTCTGCGATAAGTTTAGATACAGCTTCTTCGTCGGGAGGGTTGGACTCCGAGATTCCAAATCGCTCAAAGATGGCGAGAACTGTATTTTGGTCTGTCGTACCATACTCCCCTACGTCAGATAGAAGGCTTGCGAGGGTTTTCGAAGGGTGACATCTTGCAGATGGTATTGTCTGTCGAAGAACATTGGCTAATCTTGCTGGTCCTAAACGTAAGGCAACTTGCTTGATGATTGCTCGCCTTTGAACACGGTTTGCAATCCCGCCGTCGGCAGGTTGATCATCCAAAGATCTAGCTAGAATATTCACGGCAAGGTTGTGAGAGCCATCTGGATCATTTTCAAGTCTTTCCAACGCCGAATTTGTCAGAATGTTTGACAGATCTTGCACGCCATTGCGATTGACCTCATTCATTTGACCAGAGGACATCATGATCTGATGGTTGTTCGAACGGTGTGATTGGAGACGCGCTTTGAAGAGCGGCCAATCAAGATCGTATCGATGTACCGCAACGACGAAACTACCCTCCGCTCTCACTTCCCGCTTCCAATCTTACGAGAATGAAAACGGAACCAGACTTTGTGCTGATGTTTTATTGATCAAGGAGGTGGATGTTGGGATGTTGAGATTGATGATTTTCGTTTGTGCTGATGGAATAGTTCACAAATCGAATCGTTCAACATTCATGAAATATATCGCAATCGTTCTTGATCTTTCAAAGCTCTTTCACTCCACAAGCGAATAGACGAAGTGGATGGACGAGAGAATTTCCCCTTGCTTGTCTTATGTTGGATCTTGAATGATGTAGGTGAAAGCCTATGCGAAGAACAGGAATGCACGAAGAAGCATAGATGATGATGATGAAGGTTTGTGTACAGTTGTCGAGTGACGTGTGTGTGAGTGATAGGAAGGAGTAAGAATCTATTGTGTGCGTATGTTGGAAAAGAAGAAGGGGGTAGGCTTATTCCCAGGCTTTGTGCTTGTTAGGCTACTCTAGGCTGCTCTGCTCGTATGCGGTAAAACGCGTTTGACATACCGTCGTCCGTCCTAATTATGAAAATTGTCTTTTGCGCGGTTTGATTTTCTCTCTCCTTCTGTGCGCGCACACACACGAAGAGTACGCATTCAATGTACACTTTCGCTAAAGCCATCCATCTGTCTGTCTGTCTTACGCTTACCATCTTTGCTGTAAGCGTAGCTGGCATACAATACAGTCACTTTTACAAAAAATGCCTTTCAACCCAAGGTATTCATCGTAATCATGATTATTACAAAGTCATTGAGCAGTCTTTCTCATTGTGCTGTGCGATCCGATTGGTGCATTAGAAGTGACCACTAATTATTGAAGTGATGAATTGAATTACGTAAGCAATATTCATTCCGTGCTGGTTCGTGCGCCATTTCAGAGTTGTCTGTGATAGCGTAGCGCAGCGCCTCGAGCACATTGATTCACTCTTTGATGGTTACATGCACCTTTCTCTTCCTGGCCATATCGACTTTGCCAATATGCCTTACATTGATAAAACTGGTCAAGTACAGGATAATCTCCCAATAAATCAACAAATCGTGAGATTCTTTCTTGCAATTTGGAATTTGATCAAATTATTTTGGGCAACATTGATGGGACAAGATGTCAATACGGCAATTCAAAGAACATCTCGTCGTTCGAACGGAAATGGGGGCAATGGATCAAGCACAGGATCTCGCGGTAATGATATGAATACCTTGAACAGGAGAAATGCACCATCTGTTCCTGGTCTTTACGGAGAAGCACCTTGCTGTGGCCGATGAGCCCCGCATATGGCGAACATTTGTCCATTCAATCATAGTCACTGGAAACCGCCGCAGAATGGTCGAGAATTCCCAAGGATCCCCGAATATTATTTGCATGGCTCTTCACGCACACTAAATCCAGTTCTGTCGGTGGCTCGACAGAGGATTCATACTTCAAATTATGACGCCTTGCGGATATTTCATGCTAATCCCCAGGAGAACGGAGAATGTGGGTATTCGAATTGAAAGGGTCTACAAATTGTCATTGATCTCACTTACACCTCCCATCATCAATAAAGCAAAATAGCAAAATGATAATGGTATACAAGATTGGTCCTGCTTGGATCTTACTGGTATTATTGCTCAGCATTCTAAGGGTCGCATCTTCATCACATGTGTTGAAGTATCATACCGAAGGTGCCTTGGAAGTACGGAGAAGAGATCTTGCGGACATGAATAATGGTGTTAGTATGATGAGGCGACGTGGCTTAACGCAAGACTTCCCAAATCATGGAATGAATAGTACATCATCAAGTCCTACATTCGTGACCCGCGCTTTTCAAAGCGTCAAGAATGGAGTTGGAGCATTTGGTCGTGCTGTGTCTCATGCAGGACGATCGCTGGGAAAACAAGTCAATCGGGTGAAGTCGTATGCAAAAGCTGCCGCTAATCCGTTGAATACAGGCTCTAGCTTTACCAAAGATGCAATGAAGCAAGGTCATTTTCGCAGAAAGATGAAGTAGTTTCAAAACTGATGTGAAGTCAAGGCAAGATCCGGTCATCTATGCCTTCTTTCAACAATCTCATGCGAGTTGGCTTTCCATGCTTTTTTCAACATGATTTGGCCTCGATATGCTATTGCTCTGAACGCAATTAGCCCGTCTACTACAGCCTTTGCGTATGCATGTGTATAGTATGTAAATTTCAATTTATCATCCTATCTTTCAAATGGAAGTGTGATCCCCGATAAGCAAATTCTGCATTTACAGTGGCTTGCTGGATTTTATTTGGAGAGTTGCAAACGTTCAACGGGGCAAGATGGAGCAGGTCTTAACAATGCATGCGGGATACATTTTCACGATCAATTCACGGTGCTTTTGGGGCAATATCCAGCTGCAACGGATGATACCTCCCCGGTTGCATTTTGATCATACAGTGTAAGTTTGAACATGCACAGCCTACTGTCATAAGCTCCGAACAGATAGAGCTCGCTTCAGCTGGGGAGATGCAAAAATGACCACGGATGAACGCAATTCAGCGTTTTGATACCATACACAACTGCAACGACGCCATGGCTGTACATATTGATCTGCCCCATCATTGAAAAGAACTTTCAAGAACATTTTTTGCGTCAGGACTAAGGTATAAAAAGGATCAATATTTCAATCGCCCATTCTCCTCCGGCAAAAGTCAAACGTCATTCATCAAGTGCGTCATCAAGTTCGCACTCAAATAATCATTCGAGATGATTAAAAAGAGCATTTTGAACGTCTTCTTGTTCTATCAATTCATCGTTCTGGTCTCGTCTTTAACAGTAAGCAAAGAAGATCAAGTTGAACTTTTCAAGCGTGGTGCACTTGAAGCCACCAATCGCGCAATCGATCGTACGCAAGCCAAAGCTCAAAGGGCTCATGATAAAGTTACCGGGGTAGGTCATGTTATAAGTGATCACTTTGGTGTCTCAAGTATTAAGAATGATATGAAAGCTGCTTGGCATCCTGAAAGCGCTGGTAAACAGCAAAAGCGAGATTTGGAATCAAGCAATTTCATCAAACGAGGGATGGAATACATTCCACACGCTCCATCACAAAAACGTGGCATCAATGAAAAGATTGATCGTGCTCAAGCAAGCGTCACAGGGTTCCATGATAGAGTTAAAGGTGTGAAGGATGTGGTGAAAGATCATGCAATGAATAATGGTTTTGTACAAGACGTTCACAGCGCATGGCATGGTGAACATCACAAACGAAGCGAGATTATTCTCAAACGTGGACTCAATAGCAAGATTGATCATGCTCAGGCAAAAGTGACAGATATTAATGATAGAAGACACGCTGTCGTAGGTGTGGTAAAGGATCATGCAAAAAATAATGCCCTTGTTCATGATATTACCGCTGCATGGGGTTATGGTAAACCTCACCACAAACGCGATTTGAACAAGCGAGAAGCAGTTTCAATCGATCAAGCCTTGGGTCGTTCACATTCTGGTCATTCTCGTTTGGCAAAACGTGATTTGGTCGATTCGGCAAATCGTGCAATCGATCGAGCCCAAGATGACATCACAGATGCGCGCAATAAAGTGCATGCAGTAAAAGAGGTCGTGGGTCAACATGTCAAAAACGATCCGTTGGTAAGCGATGTGAAAGCGGCTTGGGATACAGGAGATGCAAACTTAAGGAAGTAGACTACAACGGCTTTCTTGAGCACATGAAAGAGGTATTCCGTGTTCGCTTCACTTTATCGCGCTATAGTTTCAACCTTTTGATCTTTTCTCTCTTTCTCCCATATTTGTATACATTTTAGCTCGATCTTCATCTTTCTATACTTCCATTCATGTACAAAGTTTATCGCTGAATACCATGTAATTTCTTCAGGCTTTTGTTTGAAATTTGATGATACTTTACCATATAGTCATGGGAACAGCTTGCTTTCCGGTGTGAAATCGCATCAGATGGTTGAAGGAGTTGATTTCATTTGGCGATTCAGCCTGCAAGTGTGCGCAATTCAGAAACGAGCATTTGAGTATTAAACTTCGCCCCATTTAAAAATAATCTAAACAATCAAATCTTTACAAAATATCATCATTGTGCGTAATGAAGTTATGATTTTCATTGCGGCAAAGCATTTATACTCAATGGGGCGGGAGGCTGAGCGATTTGGCAGATTGAAAGTCCCAGAGACGTTTGAAGCATTTTGCCTTCGACAATACTATTGCGCTGAAAGTCCCGTGTGGTTTTTTTACAAGAACCACATCGTCCTTACTTCAGCTTTAAGTCCCGGCTAAATCGATTGCTTAACCCCAGGGGGCTTCAATTTCGTGACCAATGGAGTTCAAAAGCGTATTTTACCTTACACACAGCCGCTTTCATATGAAAATTAAGTTCAATTTATTGCACTTTAGCATTATGTCTTAAGGTATATAAGCCATTGTTTTTCTCAACGAAACTTTCTTTCTTCATCCTCAGGATAATCATAGAAACATATCTTACTTTCAGCAACAATGCTTCCAACTTACGCTTCTTGATCGCACTTGCAGGTCTCTTTACTAATGCATTGCCATCCATTGCTACGCCAGTTCTGGAACTGAAAGATGGTTCAAACATGGAATATAAACGTGATCTCGTCAATGTGGCAGTCGGCCAATCAAGTTCAATGGTAATGCAAAAGCGTGGCCGTTTAAGTGATTTGAGCAACAAAATTCCTGGTATCAACGGTCCCCGTGCACAAGCAGCCGTTGGTAAAGCAAGTCAATTTATTCATGGCACGGCTGCCACTCCAAGTATAGTTATGGGTGGTGCTAGTAAGGCAGGTATGGCAGTGAAAAATCATCCAGTTACAGCTACAGTGATGGGCCATGTTAACAAAGTGAAACAAACGCCTTTATATCAAGCTGCCAGAAAGGATACCGTAAATTTAGCTTCTTACGTTTCCAAGAAAGGTTCATCAGTGATCTCAAAAGTAGGCTCAAGAGTGAAAAAAGTATGAGAGCATTGTTTTGGTGTCTCTTTTTGTTCCTCTCCAAGCTGGAGCGAGATGGCTGACTTTAATTTTCATTTTGGTTTCTTTATTTTCGTATTTCGTATTGATCTTTTGATGACTTGATTTTGTTTTCATTCCTTTTTCTTGTTTTCCTCTTTTCTCAGTCATACTCATTTTAATGATATTTTTTCAGAATATCCATCTGTGTCTGTAGCTTGTAAAGAAGGTATGAGAGGGATTCAAGACTTTACCAGTGCATAGATCCAGATATTGGCCTTTGAATATGATATATCGCGACGAAGGGGCATATGCTTTTTGCCAAAGGTTTTTCTAACGTTTCGTATTGCGATGGGGCTATGTGAGTAGCCAAGGTTGTCAAGCCCAGAAGAAAGGCGTATTTGATGTTGTAGTCCCGCTTATAACAAAGTGCCTTGATATTGTCCCCGCGACACAAAGTTCTTTACGCAAAATAAAAGTTGATGGAAGTATATATTGTCTTTCATATGCTGACAAAATTTGGACTATACCCATTACCATTCAATATTCGCATTTCAAGTTGCCTATCAAGTAGAAATGCGTTGTCTGTTGTGTTTGCTTTTTGCTTTTATCTGTTTTCAAGTTGCATGTTTCACAGCTGCGTCACCGGTCTTAATGATAAAGGACAATTCTTATTCAAATGTGTATAGACGTCATCTTACCAGTGCAAACGACAATTTGCAAGAAGGCGTGCTAGTACTACAAAAACGTCAGAATGGCACAGATTATGGCGCTGCAATTGTGAAGCAAACCAGTCGTGTAGTCAAGGGAATTCGAAACGGATTCAGTAGAGTTGTGAGCTCTTTCCGTTCTAGTGAAAGTGGTTCTACGTTGTTGGCAAAAACTGCAAATCTAGGAGAAAAGTTCAAAGGGACAAGTGTTGGAAAATCAACGTTGAATAGATACAATCGTATTAGTCAATCGCAACCTGTTATTTCCGTAAAGAAAGATGTCAGTACATTCACCTCTTGGGCTCGTTCAAAGGGGAGAGCATTAGTCAATCGAGTTTCTCAATGGTGACACCTTTGTACACCGCCTTATTACTGCATCTGCATTGCTATTTGTCTTTTCCTCATCCACTTACATATTCCATTTAAGCTCTCCTTTCTACATCCTTGTTTCTTCATTCAATCGATCTCATTAAATGTACACACACGAAGTACGGCAAAAAAGACCGTTTCCTTCAAGGGGGAGTTTCCATTGAGACGAGATTGGTAGATACTTCCGTGTGTACCAGTCGTACAGCTAGTAGTACCACAATCACCATTCCTTATCGCGTTCACAGCTTCACCTCTTCGCTTGTAGGCCTCATGACGTACTCTATGCATTTTGCAGATGCAAAGGCGTTAGGCAGTGTAAAGCACGTCTTGGCTTTGATCAAAACCAAACGCATCGGAAAGGCATATAAGAAGCCCGATTTCGAGAAAAGCATCTGACAATTTCCCCTTTAAGAACTCTCAAAATGGCTTACTTCATTCTCAGTAGATTAATTACTGCTTTATTGATTTTCTGTATGCAAATTTTATTCGTATGCAGTATTTCAGCGATGAATAATTCTCCTGAAGAGGAAGTGGCAATGTTTCGTCGTGGGATTATAAATTGGGCAAAATATAATTTACACCTCAGTCAAGCTTCCAAAGATCATTCCGTAAAGCTCGGAAGATTGCGGCAAGAAGTAGATTGGCACAACCTTCGTGGAGATTCTTCAGCTGCTTCTATAAGTAAAGCCAGATATAGGATCGGCAGCCATTCTACCATTCACGGAGCAATTGCACACGGAAAGGCTATGCGAAGATACATTGGCTTACATAAACGTTCGAAGTGATGATATTCGTTTCATGAACATCTTTATCACACCCTTTTCCCTAATGCTGTGTTTTACACAGCACCCTTCCACATCCAATATCCGAGAATTGGGCGTAGACGGTCCTTCAAGGGTTGGCCCCAGTCACTACACGGAGCTTTCAAATAAACAAATTCATAAACATTCATACACCCTCGGCCCAATGAGCTTGTCAAAGAGGATTTCCCTTCTCAAAAAGGGTATAAAAGAATGTTGATGGAACGTTACTCCTCTTCTTTTCAAAAATCACACAATCACTAAAGGTTTTCGCAATGCTGATCAGTATGCACTTGCTTGCACTTCTTTGCATCTTTGTGGTCGCCCTTGATCATATCTCAGGACTGCCTATGGATCAAATGACCACAAGAAGCACAACAAGTCTCATTCGTCGCGGATTCAAGAAATCGTACAGCGATAACTTTAGTAAGGCTCGTGTCGATCATGCAAATAAAGCGAACAATATCAGTCCTTCGTATCACGCCAAGTCTGGTAATTTGCTTGGTGCAGCAGGCACCGCTATCAAGAAAGCAGTCATGAATCGTTCAGTCCTTCAGACTGGTTTAGAACACGGAAGAGCCATGCGTCAAACAGTTGGTCTTGGAAGATCTTAGGAGTGAAACTTTAGGTACTCTCCTCTATCTCGCTGGTCGAGATGGCGTCTTTTATACATATTTTTTTAGTTTCATACTGTCGAGTCCTTATACTTTTTTCCATACTCTTTTCTCAAGGAATTGGTTCTATCTTGCCTATATTGTAATCATCCATTAATCAGATTTATCTGTACATTTCCATTATCATACGTAATCATTCATGTTTTGTAAGAGTGCTGCTCACCGTGAGATCGTAATCATAAGCAACTTCCTCTTGCTTCGACACTGTGACCCAGATTGAAGCATCGTGAGCACGGCAAAGTGATGATACGGTTCATAGATTTAAGCCCCTCAGTGGTGGGGAGAATTGCTATTCACACTCGTGGCAAAGGGGGCAAGACTTTCTGTTAAGACGAGCCGCGGGAAGGTACCATCCTTAACTCGGGTCACGTAAGACACGCCGTCGGGTTATAGAACATTTGCTGCAACACCCGGCAGGGCGTGTGAATGGATCTGAAAGGATCCTTTCATGTAAAGAAAAGACTTTTGAAGGGTATAAATTTGACGTTTGGAGTAAGACGATTTTTGATGACACCATCACAAACTTAATTCTCAAGAAAGATGCGTTACAACTTTAATTCAATTCTTGCTTTGGCTTCCTTGGCATTTGCTTGTCAGTCATTTGCTACGCCAGTATTGATCATCAATAAAGATGAGCAAGGTTTCAGCCTGTATGAACGAAGCATGAGCGATACAAATGATATTCAAGATGATATGCCGACGTTGCAAAAACGTGTTGTCATTACTACACCTAGTCCGATTTCGTTCAGTAGTATCGGTCGTATCACAACTCCTACAACAACAAGAAGTAGAATTAATAAAAGCGTATCGACAACAACAAATACAAATACGATTCGCACCAACGAGGCTGGCTCTCGAACAGTGACGAGAACGACAAGCTTGAATGGCGGAAATTTTACGCCGATTAGCTTAGGACCGCAAAGAACTGTTAACACCTCTAACCGTCGTGTGACACGCACGCGAACTACGTCTTCTACGACTACAAGAAATACCAATACTGCATCAACGACAGTCACAAGAAATGGTAGAGGAACAGTTAATCGTCTTCAAAGCGGTACCACTTTGAGCTCGCCCACAAATCTTGACCTTAATGTGTCAATATAGTGGTCAGAGCTCTGTGGCACTTCTTTGAGTTTTTACAAGAATATTTTTACAATGTTGTATATATTATGTCTTTGCTTTCTCTCTTCCTCTACTAAATTTCTACGAGTTTCATTGTTGATCGATGTTTTTACCATGCTCCGACTGAATGATTCATTAGTAGCATTCAATAACTAATCGAGCACGCGAATAACCCCGTTGATATTTTGTTACTGATACTTCAGAGTAATTCCATTTCCAAACAGCCCTTCAGGAAAAAAGACGAAAACTCTTTATAGAATCAGCCGCTTTGAAATGCTTTTTACTGCCTGTTTTCGCCCCTGCTACGCAATAGTCATCTCGAGAATTTCCGAGGTGGCGAACAACGAGTATGGGGCTGAGACTGTAGATGGATACAGTTTGAGGCCTGCAAAAGTTTTCAAGAGCGGCCCGAAGCTGCCAAGAGTGAGTTGGTGTATATGTGAAAGAAGAAAGGAAAGGTATAAATGAAGTAGGAATAGGGAAAGCTTCTCTTTTTCCTCACTCGCAAATCGGAGAGAAGCTAGTATCGTCGAACCTAATCAAGATGACAAAGAAGTTCATCGGTTTCTTGACTGTACTCTTATGTGCCATCGTGGTCTCCTCATTTGATACTGTGATATCATCTCCTGTCAAGCAGAGCGGTTCAGATGGGCACATAGAATTATATCGCCGTAGTCCAGGTAATGGAATTTTCCATAGTAATGTGGCCAGAAATCGTATCGATATTGCAACAAAGGCAAAAGGTAGAAGTGCAAGTGCTTACAATCTTTTCAGACAAGGAAATGTTAGCAAAGCTGTTGGTCGTGCTGTCACTGGTGCAATAGGTCAGCATCCAGTGATGCAAGGGGCAATAGCACGAGGAAGAGCCGCTCGTCAAGCCTATGTTTCACGATTGAAACGCAAATGATATACTTTGCGTATTTTATTGCAAGACTTACCCTATGTTTGCTTGTGTTTCGTTTTAGATATATCTCTATCTATACTTTCTTGTTTCAGCTACATTCAACTCAGAATTCCATCGATTTTATTTCTTTGATTTATTGTCGCATTCATAAGATTCTATTAAGTGGTCCGTCAAGGTCAGGAAATTGAAATGTTTGGCGAGATTTGGTAAGCCATGTGACTGAATAAATTTTTTTTTTTGCATCAGCTTTCTAGTTTTCGAATTATCTTGATGTGTCGAAGTAGGGGCGTGGCATCATCTTGATTGCTCATTTCCAGCTCCATCATGATAGCATAGATGCAGTATCCGGGCTGTGTGGGTCTATCCTCTTGACAAACAAACCTCCTTCAGCTTCACAGCCCCATACTGTTTTCCTCTAAAACGTGTTATAATGTGGTTTGAAGCGGCAATGGTGAATTATTTGGCGTTTGATTATGATGTGCATTTGCACAGGTGATACATTGCCCCGTTCATGCATCAGTGGCAAATCAGCACAGTCAAAAGATATAAATTCGCTTTTGGTTTGTTTTCCTGCCAACATCCATCTAACCTTTATAATTAGTTTTGTTGAAGACAGTCAATCGTCATAATCTGAAATCAACGTAGCATGGAACGGAATCGTTCTTCTTTGCGCATTTCAATTATCTGCTACATTTGTCTTTTGGCCATTTCTTTTAGTCATCTCATCTGCTGTGCAAGCATAGCAGGCCCCAAGGATGGACCAATAGCCTCATTTGACCCATACTTGATCCGTAGAGATGATGCAGTAACTGCAACAAACGAAAAGGTCACCCTCTATCGGCGAGCAGTAGAAAAAACGCTTGCAGCAGCTGCAAAAAATGTCGTTTCACATGTGAAAAGTACAAAAGCAATCACAGAAGCACCAAAGTTGGCCCATCAACCTAGCTTATCAAGAAGTTCAAGTTCAGTTTCAAGAGCTTCACATTCTTTATCAAGATCAAACAGTATTGCCCATCATGCAGAAGCAAGTCGTGGAAGGAGCATGGCCCGTGGTAATCCTACAACCGCTCGTTATCATTCTGAACCACCTCCAGGTTCGAGAAATCTTGCCCATACATCTTGGAGAAACATTAAGCTTTCCAAAGAAACGAAAAAGAATAGTGCTATAGCTGGTGGCGCGGCTGCGTTAGGTGTAGTCCTTGGTAATGTTCAATTTACCACGCCTTCGGTAGATTTGAACCTTGTTCATCATGGTGGCAGGAAAATGTCAATGAATACACAATTCGGTCAAGGTGGGATAAGCAGTAATCTCAATGCTGGCGGTACTTCGATCAATATGAACAAGATGACCCGTTCTAGATCTTTTGGTGGTCATGGTAGCGAACCAGAATATTAAATTTGCTTATTACAACGATGTATCTAGAATATTCTCTCTTACTCTCTCAATTCAATTGTCCATCCACTCCTTCCCAGGAAAGTATGTAGAAAGGTTACACCATGCCGTCTTGAATATTACCTTTTTGAATGATATCGTCTTGAACGAATAGCCGAATTCGGAACATCCGATGGCGAAGATTGTTCTTTTAAAGGTGAATCTCCTTTTCTTGATCTGCATGTCGGACTTGCCATAACCCAAGAAATACCACCTGCAACATGAGCTTGCATTGGTATTTGTTGCCAAGTTTCGTTCAAATGACCTAAACTGGTATAAAACATTCTTCCTGGTCCACCGCTATATTTTGGACCATATTCTGGATCATCCATTCCTTGTCCTAAAGGTGTACTTGGAGCATCTAATAAATTACCCGATCGTACCCATGCCAATGGTCTTGGTGGAGGACCGTCAGATCGTGTTCGGTTTGCTGCTTGAGGATCATTAAAGACTGTTGAATTACTTAATAAAACGATTGGAGCAGAAGGTAAAAGGCGTGGATCGGTACGATAATGATAAACTTCTTCGTTAATTTGGAATGAAGCGGGAAATTTACTTGTACTTGGATTATTATTCGTTAACGCTTTGATTCCAACAGGTTGAATTTCAGGATGATAATCAAAATATGCTCCTACCAATCTACCATAAAAAGGTGTATCGTATAAACAACCACAAGCGACATGGAATCCGATAAAGCCACCTCCATTTTGAATGTATTTAGCAAAATTGACCTTTGCTTGAGGTGATAGTAGGGTCGTACTGCCATCATCTTTATCACTGGATAAGTGGAGTAATGAGTTAGTCATTTGATAATCGTTATACTTTTATATTACTCACGCTGTCATGACAAAAGCGATTGCATCGAATTGCGAGAGATAGTTTGGATCTTCCCATAAACTATCATCGTCACTTACTGTGGTATTCCATTTCTGTTTGTCATTGGCGACAGTAACGTCAGCGGAGGTAGTGTTTAGTACGATTTGACCGTTACCTAATCGAGTGATTACATCAATGGCAGTCGGAATTGATTCATGTCTATAAGCACCTTCTGATATTTTGTCGAATGCCAATAATTGTTGAATGGCACTTGCAGATTGGAAGAAGGCGAATAAAGCCACGAAAGATATCAAACGTACTTGAGGCGGAACCGAAACCATTTGAAATAAAGTTTATGAAGTAATGAAAGCTTGATTAGTGAGGGTAATGAAGATGATTGTTGCCATTTTGCCTTCTTTTTATGTTGTCGGATTATTACACTTCAAGCCACTCCTAAAATCAGGACAGGGCCAAAATTGTGGGATATAAAACGTCATTGCGATTATGAAATAGTTCCCCTACTCTAAAGGGATTAAATTTAAATTCTGAGGGGTTCCGCTTCTTGATTCATTTGAGCGCCAAGAATGTTTATATTGGAATTTGTTATTGTGTGTTTATCCGAGTTAATAAATTGTACCGCATTATTCGTGTGCTTAATTTGTGCCCGAAAAAAGATCTTCTTAAGCTTTTTTATGCGGCTAAAAAGGCGGAAAACAAATCATTCATTTATCTTGCATTAGCGGCGCCCTTACGTAGGTACCGGAACCCTTTGGTCCGATTGAAGTGGTATATCAACACGTCAATTACATCGCCCGGGCTTAACAATAATCAACATATAATCGGAGTATGATTTAAACCGGCCAAAAGGCCAACCAACAATGATAAAAAGCGGACATCTTTTAACTCTTTATTATCATTCCCTTCCTTCCTTGGAAGCGGTGACTTTCGCTTTGCCGCTTTTATCTCATAAACGGACCGTATTTGTTAGGGAATGACAATCTTATTTGTTTGGCTTCATTAACTATGATCCAATCCAACTTTTCCTTTTATCTCGATTTCGGAATCTAGAGAACATAATAAAGATGCACACAAATAAGAACCGGAAATAAAGGAAACGCGCCTCAACGCATCGGCACAGCTTAGATATACAGCTTTACTCTACGGGAAATAAATTTTGTAAAGATGCAAAGATATCCAAAAGAATATTGAAGAAATCAAAAATAATGCAAGAATAAAAGCATGGCAAGATTGATCGTAAGAAGGCCACTTGATTGGCATTTTTACGCCTTGCCAAGCTTGTCATAGTGATCTAACCCCGATCATGAGGCTTGTGTGGGGCAAAATCTCGATGCCCCTTCAAGGCGATATAGATGACACACATTGGCGTCTTAATTGCAAGTCATACGAAGCCAGGAAGGGCTGTGTTTCTCTTTTGGTTGAAAGATATAAATATCACTACTAATTTCTCGATGCAAATCACCCACTTCTTATCATTAAAGTTCATCACAGCGCTGGATCGCTGTTCAAGATTTGAATTTCACTTCAGTTTCATTATCATTCAAAACCCAAGCATGAGAGTATTCTATTTATTCTTTCTCTTTTTATTCTTATCGATGACTCTAACCGATGCAGTACCAGCTAATGGCAAGATTCGTTCCATGCTTGGTATTGGGAAGAAGAAAGCAGCACCGGCTCCTGCTCCTGCTGTACAGAAAAAACCTTCCTTTTCAGATCCCGCACCAAACATTCCAAAATCTCCAACGGCAGGTGCAACGACACATAAATCGTCTGGTGAAAATGTGAAAAATTTCCATGGAAAAATTGATAAAGCACTAAATACGGCTGATGCACAAAGGAGAAAAAATCAAAGCGCAGGTAATCAGGCAGGCGTGAATGCGAATCGAAGAACGGAACATTATATGGCCCACAATAGGAATGAAGTCACAAAAGCCTCAAATAGTGGTGATAAGATTGCAGTATCCAGATCACCATCTGGTCGTAATGATTTATATCATGCGGTTCCACGAGGTTAGCCAAGGTATTGAAATACTATAATGTTGTATCAGAAGTGGGTTTCCATTTCGGCCTCTTTATGTTCTGATTTGATTGAATTTTACTGGTTAGACTTCTTCCCTTCCTTGAAATGACGATTGAAAGTGGTGACTATATTGGCCGTCAAAAATGCTTTGTCGCTTCATCTTATAAACGGACCGTATTTGATAGGAAAGTATAATCATATCATTTAATCTGATCCAATTTCTTTGATTGTTCTTATTTTCGGAGTTTAGAAAGCAAAAGATAGAAAAATACACACACAAATAAGATGCGGATATAAATCAAACGCGCTTTACTCCACGGGAAAAAGAGAATTAGGAAAAGTTAGATTAGAAAAAGATTAAAGTTGATTGGCCAAAAGCTTTGCCCGAGCTTCTCATCTTACAACAACCATCACAGATAAAGATCGTTGCCCACCATCTTACTACGTACATTTCTCCGATCAGGAGTGCTACAAAATATACAAGCAGCTCGGATAACCAGAGTAAAACCTTTAAGCATCAACCAATCACATTTCCACCTCAATAGACACCTTTACACAATGCCGAACAATGACCCATTTGCACGTCTATACCAAGGCATGCTACCTTTCCACAATCATTTTAGAGCAGAACATGCACAAATCGTACGAGGAATACCCAATTCACAAACAAGTCCAAAAGTATCACTTTTACGTTTGATGCAACAAGCTTTACAACTCTGTGGACATTTGGAAATGCATCATACGATCGAAGAAGCTCATATTTTTCCACTTTTGGCCAAAAAAGTACCCTCGTTTGCTATGGATTCAGAACATATAAAAGAACATGCTCTAATGCACGCTCAATTAGAGGCTTTGCAGCAGTATTCATCGAAAGTGTTACGTGATCTACAATCTTCACCCGGAAGAAAGGCAGAGAGCGATGGAGCTGGACAGGTTATTAAAGGGGAAGATGAAGATGATGACGACGTAAAGCGAAAGCCTTGGCCGACATCGCTTTATGACGAAGAACAATTCGATACTTTAATTAAAGGTGTCGCAGCAACATTGTTCCCACACTTGCAAGCAGAAGAGGCAAGTCTACGGCCTGAGAATCTAAAGAAGCATGGAATGACACTTGGTGACATACAGCGCATCCCCATGTAAATTTGACTCTCGGGAGAATGTATTATATCAAACGGATAAAAATTGAATGCTAATTTTACAGTGTATGCTTCTTATTTGATCCACTTCAACTCCAAGCTCCACCCAGTCCAATGCTTGGCTCACTGGTCTTACCAGGTCCTCCCCACCCAATCTTGCTATCAGGTTTCTTTGCTACGTTGAATGGCACTTTTGCCTTGCGCTTTTCTTCGCCATTTCTCTTTTTAGCTACGTTCACTACGCCCGCCACTGAGGTCACTTCTTTCGGTGCTTGATCGGCTTTCAAAGGTTGCTTCTTGTTAACGTCCTTTTCCTCAATTTTGCCTTTCTTTGAGGGCATGTTCTGCTCAGAAGTTTCCACAGTACCAGCATCCTCATCCCAGGCTTTCCTCTTCTTTGTCTTCTCAGGTTCAAGGGAGGAAGGCTTTGTACTGGCATCCGTCTTTTTGTCCTTGGCGATGTTCGCCGTATCATTCCTGGCTTTATTATCCTTCTTCTTGGGCTTTTTAGGTACATCACTCACAGATGGTCCAGCTCTCGCACGTATGCGAGCCATTTGCTCATCTTCTTCGTCTGCTTTGCCTTTCTCAGACTTTTCAACCGAACGCAAGAAAGGATCTTTGATTGAATTGCTCGCCTCTTCATCTGCCTCTTCGGCACTTTTCTTCTTCTTTCCACGACCTCCTCGTTTGTGTGGCTTCTTTCTTGACGCTTCTTCGGCTTCAGCGGTGTGATCATGTGCTTTTGTCTTCTCGGGCACCTTTCTATCCTTTGCCATATTGCGATCTTGACCTCTGGGTTGTCTATTGGTCGAACTTGCATCTCTTTGACTATATTCTCCCGCGCTTTCCTTCTCTTCGCCTCTCTTAACATGCTGAGGTCTTGCTCCCTTGGGGCCCGTAGATGGCTGAAGAGCATCTTCTCTAGCTTTTGCAAGAGGGACAGATTGTCTATTTTGCGTTGCCTTGTAACGATGAGATTCTACATCTTTCGAAGCCTTGGCACCTGAATCTCGTTCAACTTTTGTTTCCTCATTGTGCACCTCTGTGCTGCTCTCGTCTTCCTTCTTTTTATCAACCTGTAGCTTCACACTGTCCAAGACACGAAGGGCAGGATGCGCCTCCAAGACTTTTTCCCGATAGTCCTCAGCTTTTGTAACTTCATTTCCACGCAAAGACAGTGTGATCAATCCTCGAACTCTTCTCTTTCGCGAAGGATGAATTGCATCGTTTGTTTCCGCAACATTTCCATTTTGTGTATCCTCATTTGCTTGCATCAGAGGTGCGATTGATGTCCAGTCCTCCAATCCACAATCACCTGCTTCAAATGTTTCAAGACCTGTTCCTTTGCTATCTTTACCGACACCTTTGCCCCATCCGCTTATATGGTTTGGCAATCTTTTTAGCTCTATATTTCCGGATATACGCACTTCTCGCAGATGTGAACACAGTGAGAAGTCTGGTAGCGGAGATTCGTTCTTCGTCCATTGTAGCTTGTTGTGTGTAATACTGAGTTTTTTGAGGCCAGGCAAGTTTGCCGGCATATCTCTCGGCAAAGAAGTGATTTGATTGTGCGATAGCACAATTGTATTCAATTGAGGCATTGAGGGAAAATGCGGTATTGAATCAATAGCATTGTGACCTAGCACAAGGGCACCAAGTGACTGCCATGCCAATAAAGTTGAAGATGGAGGAGGTACAGGTAGATCGCATGAAGATGCATTTAGCACTGTCAATTTGCTGAATTGATCCAATCCTTCCCAAGCATCCTTGCCGGCATGTTCTCCTAGCGATGGATTACCGCTAAATTTGAGCCAAGTCAGCTGTTGTCCAAAGACAGATGAGCTATTTTTGCTCCGACTTCTGCTCTTCGCTACTGCTCTACTCATCCATTGTAGCGTCTCGAGACCATTTGGATTATCATTCTCCTCCGAAGCTTTCATATCTGACATGTCAAGTCTTTGCAGATTGTTCAATTGACTGAAAGCTTCAATAAGACCTTCAACAGGTGGTAGAGGATTACCGGAGATATCCAGCCGTGCTCTTTCTGTGACTACATCCTCTTCCTCTTCTTCTTCGACCTCTTTGGCGGCTTTAGCAGTTGTGCTTTGTTTATCCTGCTCCCTTCTGTCGTTTGCAGCATTCCCTCCATTTCTATTCCTTGAAGGTCCCGATCGACCACGCTGAGCTCCAGACCTACTTGTTTCTCCGTGCTGGCCCACCATTGTTATATAAATGCAAGGTCTTTAGTGAAGCTGACTGCTTCAGCTGTTCACAAGATGATGGCTTTGACGTTAGTACACCTGTTCTTGTATTTTTCAATGATGTTAATTTCTTCCAAAATTTTAGCGCTGCATTACAAAAATTTGTACACTGATGTTACGCTTGAAATTTTTGGTCTTAGGCGTGGGCGGGCGATTGATTGGCTCTCAGCCAGAAAAACACAACGCGAGAAGAATCAATCAAAGAGAAGATGGCTTTAGCGTTTGAATTGCATTTGCAAAAGTACTACCATCATTATCCCAAATAGCACATTTATCGATCAACTTCCAACATCTTCAACATGTCGGAATACGATCCAAGCTATTTGGCTGAACAAAACCTGTATGGGCCAGGAAGGGAGGTATATAGCAACTCACAGCAGAGCGGACCCGCTAGCGGCGGCGGCGGTGGTGGTGGTGGTCATTACCGTTATGGCAGTTCAGCCGGTGCAGGTGGTGAAGGAGGCTATCGACCTCGTGGACCGCGCAGAAGTGGTGGAAGAGGTGGCTGGCAAGGTCATCATGGGGGCTATGGCGGAGGAGGATATCAACGTCCTCGTGATGTATACGATGCAGAGGAAGATTACAAGAGAAGAGTACGAGACTCACTCTTTCGTTTGGGAGATGTTCGTGAAGGCTCCAACGAAGAGTTCCATCCACCTAGCGAGCTTTTTCGCATGAAAGAGTTTCTCGATCAATCCATCGTTAGAGGAGGTCAATACTACGATACCGTAATACATTCATTCAAGGTCATGTCCACTGAACAACCACACAAAACACCATTAACAGCAGCACTCTTGGGATTCTTGTTTCTACAGCCTGTCGCTGCAACTGATCCAGCTCAAGAAGAGCAAAGAGAGACAGCAGTAGACGATAATGCAAGTGGCTGGGATGCGAAGCCTGAAGAGCGAGAAAGTGTGCCTGCAAGCAATGGGGGCGCAAAAGTTGTGAAAGACTTGATCGCTGCTTTCCGTAATGATTTGGATGCTCGTTTATGGCGTAATGCGCGCTTGTATCTACACTTGTTTGCGTCTCTTATCCCACTTGGAATCATTCAAGCTGCATCTGTTCGTCGCATGCTGACATCCTTTGCTGCGGTCCTAGATGAGCCTGGTGTAACCGCAGCTCGCGGAGACAGAGCAGCAATATGCATCATCGAGACCATGTGCAGAGCAGGAAGAGATCTTTGCAAAGACGGAGAAGATGGTGATCAGCGATTCGCATTACAAGAATTAGATGATCTTGTTGAAAGGGTTGAACGATACGCAAAAGAGTACAGGAACGTCGAAGTAGATCTCGTAAGACCGTTCGCGATCCTATCGGAATCTGAAAAAGGAGAGGAGGAAGATTGGATGCATGAAGAGACATTTGATACAGCAGTCATTGCCCTTCAAAAACTACGTGCACGAGACTATAGCAAGTCAGCCTTTTTGCCTTCACCTTTGGATCTTCTCCCACCTCCTATCGTGGCCAGTGTCGCGATTCCACATCCGGAAACGATTGCACTCCCTGATTTGCTCGTACCGCCTGATGATGAATATGCCGACGGTCCATCCACGTCAACACACAATCTGAGCAGCTCTCAAGGAAATGGTCAAGACAGAAATCGTCAACGTCGCACAGGCAAGAGCAGCAATACTGACGAACAAGCAACTTACAGAGCTGGAGCAGGGGTTGAACGTGTGTACAGATATCCAAGATGGTTCAAAGATACTGTACCTGCACCTTCAACACCCGAAGCTGTCACGCTTCGCTCGACTATTCAAGATATCATTGACCTATACCAAGTCAATCGCAAAGAATGTGCAAAGATCTTGTTCGATTTGCCTAGATGGTTGCGCAAGGGAACATTTGCTGGAAAGGGTGTATCGCCATTGGTGGGCATCTTTGGCGAGGCTGAAGATTCATGGCAATTAAGTGCCGATGATACACTGCAGGGCAGTTGGTCGCTTGATGAGCTAATAGTGGAAAGTATTCTGTCAAACAGCTTGGTCTTACCTGTGCCCCCACAGAAGCCTCTATATTATACAACATTATTGCGAGAAGTTGTAACGATCAATCCTCAAAGTATTGCACCGGCTATGGGCAAGAGCGTACGCAGAGTTTACGGTCTGCTAGGTACGGGTAGAGCGGATACAGAGGCGATCAGACGATTTGCCGATTGGTTCAGCGTTCATTTGAGTAATTTCAACTTTAGCTGGAATTGGAAGGAATGGATTCCAGATATGGGGAAGGCACATGCACATCCAAAGCTGGCATTCGCTAGACGCATCGTTGAACTTGAAATCCGACTGGCCTACTTTGAAAGAATCAAGCAGAGTTTGCCGGCTGAAGTACAGGCACATTTGCTACCACCCGCCGAACCTTCTCCGACATTCACATATGCTGCTGAAGACCATCCTTTCCATGAACGCGCTGCCGGATTAATTCAATCCATGCGAGCCCGGGCAACGGCTGAGGTAATCTTGGCTGAACTGCAAAGTTTCCGCAAAGAAATTGCTCCAGAATCATCATCTTCCTTCGTACCGAGCAGCAATGAAACAGCAGGATTCAAGGTCAAGAATGAAGCAGAAGCCGAGCTTGCCATTCGAGATGTTGTGATGCAATCATTGTTGAGCATCGGTAGCCGAAGTTTCTCTCATTTCTTAAACGTTGTTGAACGTTATCATGCCCTCTTGCGTCAATTGTCTACTTCGCCTTCTATGCGATTGGCTATCCTTTCCAGTACAGTACGGTTCTGGCACAGCTCATCGCAATGGATTTTGATCATTGTTGACAAATGGCTGCAATATCGTATCATCGAGCCGACAGATGTCGTGGACTTTGTCTTTTCGCCTCCTACAGATCAACCGGAAATCACTACTGGGACAGAAGATGTGGCTCAAATGCGAGATTGGAGTAGCTTCTTGTGGTGGGAATTGATCAAGTTGACCGTTCATAAGGTACACGGACGTGTTGATCAAGTGAAAAAGCGATTAGAAACTCTAAAGAGAGAAGAAATTGATCGTTTAGAACGTGAAGAAGCAGTTAAAGAAGCAGGAAATGGAATGGAAGATATCAGAAATGAAAAAGATGGAGAACCCAAAGCGGCTTTATTCCCTAGCGGTGCTACGGTGAGCACTTTGCCCAGACGGCCAGACCTTCCACCTGTTCCTAGTGCAGCAGCTGGAGATGATAATGCCTTGGACGCATCTGCTACTGGCCCAAATGCTGAGAAGAAACAAACGGTCGAAGAAGTAGAGACGGCTTATCAAAATATCTCACAAGAACAAAGAAAGGTTCTTATTCGTACTTTGACTGGATTTGTTGATCGACTCAAGGGTGCGCCTGCCACCATTTGGCAAAGGAAAGAGCAGGAAGGCAATGATGAACAAACTTGGCAAGATTGGTGGGTCAAAGGATGGTACGTAGAGTATTGCCGATTGTTCAACAAAGATTTGATGGCAAATCATGAAACAATTATTGGAAATGTCTTTGCTGGAATTAAGGAAAGTGATCCGCTGCGCAACACATTTGAATCTTCATGTCAAATGGCTTCTGAATAAATAGCGAGGATGCATGTATCAATAAAGGAGATGGAAAGTTTATAGCATTTCATTCTTGAATGACAAATAGTACAAATGTGTTTTAGTGAACGAAGACTGTCCATAGACCAGTCCTCTGCGTTTCAGCTTGTAAGTGAGCAGCAACATCGATAGTAGTGCTAGCACTTTGACCCTGCGTATTCTCATCCGAGTCTTTGCTTCCTACATTACTATTCATCAATCCACCTCCCAATTGATTAGCGCCAACTGCTGCATTAGGCAATGCAATCGCTGCTCCTGCTGCAGTTGTTCCCACTCCGCCTGCCGTCTTGGAAGTGTAACGAAGAAGTACTTCCAGAGGTACGCCAGCACCTGGACGTTGATTGACGATTTGCGGCAATTCATCTTGTCTATTTGTACCGAGTTGATTTGCACCTGTACCACTTACACCAGCACTGTCCATGCTCGATCGTGCACTTGTTGCGCTTGGATTTGCGAGTGCGCTTTGTCTTCTATCCCTTTGCCATGCACGTATCCGGGGTAACGTTCGTACAGCTGCAGCACCTTTTTGATGTAAGAATCGCAAAGGCGCTACATGAATAGGCACACTTCTCGTACTTCTTGGCATCAAGTTGGGAACGGTAAAGCTTCGATGAGATTGGATGATAAAATCAGAAGATGAATCGTCGATATTGATGAAAATATCGGCTGCCAAACGTGAAGGGTTCACAATCGTGATCAACATCACGAGTGGTTGTTCGATCGAAGTAGAAGAAGGCAAAGAAACGATCAAACGGGAAAGCAAGTGAGGCGGGAGCAAGAGTGGCAAAGAAAGAACACTGGTGTTGATATTCTTCATGCTTTCATCAACACCTGATTTGTTCTCCCTCTGCCATTCAACAAGAAGCTTTCCAGTGGGTCGAAGACTTGCATCTTCTGCCTCGATTGGCATTCCAGTAGTGCTTTCACTCAGCATCTCGATATCGTACACACCGCCCCATTTATCATCCAGCGTCCAAGAGCCAGTCACATCTGTATTAATTTGCTCTGGTGATTGCGATCCATCCGAGCCCCATATACGCAAATGCTTACTCTCACTGTCTAGCACGATGCTGATGCGGTGCAATCGAATGGCTTGACGAGCTAGAATAGATACACCAACATTCAAAGCTGCGATTGCCGTTATTTGTGTAACATCATCTGCTCCGATCGATGCAGTAGTGATTTCTTTCGGTGTCGATTTGGAATCTTGTTGATCCGCATCACGTAAAAGTGTCCATTGTGCATGATAAGCACTTGAAAAGATTGGCAAAACGGTAAGGGATTTTGAGGTGACAATCTCGCTCGTGATCGCTTCCGAATCAACGTCGTCCTTTTCGTCACTTTTGCTATGTAACACGAAATCGATTGTTCTTGCTGCCAAGTGTTTCTTGAATTTTGCGTATATCACTTGCTGAATAGATTCATTCGGTGCAATCTTGCCCAAAAATACATCACGTAAAGAGCTCAACCTTGTCCCAGCAACATCTGCATCAGACCATACCTCATCCGGATTCAACACCTCTCCTGGTGGGCCCAAAATATGAGCATCAAGAGAGCAAGCCAAGGGTATACTGTCCTCATTAGACACTTTGACCGTGAAGATGAATTGTTCGTCAAGGTAGGCTTCCGATTCGTGCTGAATGTCGATCTTCAAATTGTGTTTCTTTCGTTGCACCTCCAGTCCGTCTTGATTGTCAGTGAATGGTAAGTGGAGCACCTTCAACTTCTTCGCTCCGACAAACCATATCGGTTGCACAATATCGCCGTGTTCCTCCTCTTCCACATTGGACGTGTTGAAATCTAGTAGGAAGGGTGCGTTGCCGTCCTTTTCAAGCACAATATTAGAGATCTGAAGGAGACCAACGTGCTTTGCAATTACGGATCCTTGGTATACACTGACTTGACCCTTTGGCCATGTAAGTGCAGCTTGACCTGCTATCTGCTCGCTTCCTTTTTGCAACGTGCCAAGATCCAAAGAGCCAATCATTGTAAGACTTGGACAAGATTCTGCACTTTCTTGATGGTGCACGATCATCCGCACACTTTCATCCTCTTCATCGCGCATATGAATCGAAAGTCTGTCAAATGAAACGCCCTCCAAGCCTCTGCCTTCATGTGCCGAAATTTGCACTTGGAAAGGCACTGGTTGGCCATCTAGACTGACATTCGATTTTCCAAATACAACATTGACGCAAAGTGGTCCATTTGTCCTGCTGAACTCGAGCTTAGACGGGCGTTTATCTTGCGGTAATTCTTTGTTGGCAATCCACACCTTCACTTGCTCCAGTGCAAGGTCATATTGACCTTCTGATAGTGCACTTCCTCTGCTCAACAATTTCCACAAAGCTTTGCCTTCGCTGTCCACATCACCAATTTTACGTGCTGATTCAAGTGCCAGTAATAGTTGCGAGCTTAGTGGGCCAGACCAATTCTCAAATTGGTACGACTTCACAGTCCTTTCTAAGAAACGTAGTGCCAGTTCATCCTGATTGGCATCGATGTAGGCATTGGCAATTTTTGAAGCAACGAACAATGACAAGCGATGCCTTCTTTGTCGTTTAAACACTTCATGTGCTCTAGTCAAAGCTTCAATGGCCTGTCCAGAATGATCAACCCGGCTTTCCTGAGTAATATTGACCGTACTCCAACTTTCATTTTGTTTGACATCGCTTGCATTGCCATTTGTCTGTTGATCTTGTTCCCACTGTAGCCGTTTATATCGCTCCCATCGCTCTAAAGCACACACACCAGCGATGTAGAAACATTCTCCTGCGCCAGGACACATTTCTGCTGGTACAACATACGATGCCATTGCAGCTTCGTTCGGTGCAGCCAAATTGCCATGATGAGGATTGTACGAAGCTGCCACGTTGCCACTTGCAGTAGGCATTGGCAGATGAAGCGGGTGTAGGAGTATGGTAGGCATTGGCGGAAAGTGCATCGAAGGACGAAAAGGTGGCAACGTTGATCCGGGTATTTCACGCATGGCCAGGTCAAGCAAATCTCCCATCAACTTGTATTGCTTTCCCAGCCAACTCCAGAACTCGAACGTCATTTCGCCAATTCCCCATCCTTGGCTGAGCTCGATAAACTTCTTGAGATGCAATCGGAAATGATCCCAAGCGCCTTCCCCATTGTCTCGATAGAGTAGAAGTTTCGAAATCCGGAAGCTTAGCGTATCTGCCAAAACCTTCGCTTCCGCCCACCGTTTGGTTCTTGGTGGTAGAAGCATAGTAGATGTGAGCAGTTCGTTACACAGAACTTGGTATGCAGTCGTATAGTACGTCAAAGCTTCGTCCAAATTACCACCAAATTCTGCAAAGGCGCCCATCTTGTAATCACATCGTGCAAGCCATCCTTCTTTACTCAACGGTTGATCCTTGATCGGACTTCCACGTAACTCCGATGCTACAGACATGATTTGCGAGATAGTCGACATCGGAGGAGGATATTTCTGTCTCTTCCTTCGCACCCGCCTAAATTGTTCTCGGTAATAATCCATTGCATGGTCGAACAAGGCGTTCTGGAGAGATGTGACAAATTCTCCTAACTCCGCTTTTGACACTGGAGTCAAGACGAACAGAGAAGCTTTTGAGTCTAATTGTGATGACCGTCGAATAAACGACAGCCTTTGCTCCAAGGTAGAAGATTCCAGCATGGCTCTTGTAGTGAGGAGAACCACAGTAAGCTTGATCCCTCTCTCACTGAGCGATCTTTTGCGTTCTGCTATTATCCTGATCAATTCCTCGTCCTTTGCTTTCAGCTCAGGGCCGCTAAGTCCTGGAGTCATTTTTTGATGCTGCTTAGTTTCTTCTTTCCCTTCGGTTTCCGCTACTGTTTCACCCTCTTCGGTCTTTTCCTTGGGCGGCGTAGGTGGTGGAATAGGCATCGCATGTTCGGCCAAACAATGAAAAGCGACAAAAACAGAAGGTACGAGTTCGCGATGTTTCCGTAGCCATATTGGTGCGATCAAACCATCGGGAAAAAGCGGAGAAGATGGGTGTAAAGGTGAAAGAGGTGATCGTGGAGGTAGATTAGCGCCCAAATTTTGCTTTTCTGGAGGTGTTGCTGTTAATGTTCGGACAGATGGTCTTGTCTTGCGTGGTGGTAGCCGAACATTTTGATCGACCAAGACGGTATGGAATACGGCACTATTTGCTTTTGCGGGATCCCATGCAGTACCCCGTCCACGCGAAGAGAAGATGTCACAGAGATCTCTGCTCAAACTTGGAAACTTCTCTGATGCATGTTCCGTGCTAGGTTGTGCAGATGTGGAAGGTTGAGGTTGAGATGGACCAGCGGCAGCATTCGTAGCAGGTTGTGTGAGATCTTTGTCGGGGTTTTCGGGTGAGGCAGCGGCTTCACTGGCTGGCTTATCCGTTTCATTTGAAGCAATTCTTGAACTGCTCTGTGTTGTTGGCAGTTGTGGTCTCTGCTGAGGTGGTAGTAGACCTGCCACGAGCATACAAGCATAATGATGCTGTATGAGCTCAGCAGGAAAGGCATTCATCCTTTCTGAGATCGCCAACCTTGATTATAGTTAAGAAGAGAGAAGCAAGTTGATCTGGTATGAACACGAAGATGTCACTCTCGATTATGTCCGTGCTTCAGACTTTGCAGGCAATAAGAATGATAACCGTACGCGTATTAAAGCCTCTGTGTGTAGAGTCATTCTGTCACTCTTTTTAGGCTATTTTTTGCCGTTAAGAAAAAGAAGATTAAAAGGTTCATGCTTTTAACAACAAACTTCTTCTCATACCACATCAATCGCAAGAATGGTTATAGGAGATGATGAAAGGCTTTGTGTTGGAGTAGTTGCATTACAAGGTGCATTCAGGGAACACATCCTACATATAGAAAGATTAAACAAACAACCTTCCACTTCTACAAACTTACCGCATCTAGAAGCAATTCTAGTAAGAACGCCAAAGGATTTACAACAATGTGAAGCTTTGATCTTACCCGGAGGAGAATCTACTGCCATCGCACTTGGAGCGCAACGTTCTGGCCTGCTAGAACCTTTACGGGATTGGGTACGAGATGGAAGACCGGTTTGGGGAACGTGTGCAGGTATGATCTTACTTTCCAGAGAAGCATCTGGCATCAAAAAAGGTGGACAAGATTTGATAGGTGGAATAGATATTAGAGTAGGACGGAACGGTTTCGGAAGTCAAGTTGACTCTTTTGAACATCAATTGGATATTCCTACTTTGGATAAAGCAAAACCATTCCCGGGCGTATTCATTCGTGCACCTATCGTCGACAGCCTTTTGCTACCGAAGGACATTGATTCGGTCTCTGCAGCAGAAGTGACAAAAGTAGGAAGAGGTCAAGGCGAAGCACAACAATCATTTGCCGTTCAACCTCAAGGACGATTCAAGGACAACGGAGAACCACTTTTGGATACCTCATCATCTTCACGTCGGCCTAGTATTATGGGACGGGCAACGACCGATATTGCAGCTTCTGCTGTTCAACTTACAATCTCAGTTGCACCAGCTTTGGAAGGAAATGGAGAGGCAAGAATGCAAAGGCCACCTTTGGAAATCCTAGCAACCTTACCAAGATTGCCCCGGGGTGCTGTTCCTGGCGTTGGCGGAGGCAACAATGAAACACAGGATGGCTTGATCGGTGCAAGGCCGGAGCATGATTCGATGATCGTTGCTTTGAAACAAGGACGGTTGATGTGCACGAGCTTCCATCCTGAACTAACAACCGACAGTCGTCTGCACGAATTCTTCATTCAAAAATGTGTTTTGCAAAAGTAGACGGTGCAATGTGTATCATTCTCATAGACAGTAACAATCTGAATAACTGATTCATTGTGGCACGCGAACGAGGGTGATGAGTGATAATACAAGTTTGAAGAATGAATGTGGAATGAAAAGGATCGATATTGAAGATAAATGAGAAAGAAAGAAACGGTGCATTGGATTGCAATAAAAGCACAAGTGACATTGGCAACGACTTCAATGGATGATTTTTCCCATATCTCTGTTCAAGGCGCTCACATCCTTGCTTGCCATCAAACTCAAAGCTGGCTCACAAACTGGTTGTAGGAAACATGAGTTTGCACTTTTGGTCTGTTGGTAAGCAAGCTCGATGACTTTCTTGAGCAATTTGTCATGTTGGACACTGTTCCAAGGGTAAATGGCTTGATCACGATGCATCACAATGCATCCCATTTCCGTCAAGGCATTCAAAAATTCAGAACCTTGTTTGAGCACCTTGCTCTTCTGCTTGTAATTGCGTAAGATGGAGTACACCACCTTGGCCTTAATGTCCGTCGGTTTGCATAAGATGCGGAAGCCCAATTTTTCTAAACGGAACAAAAGGATGTTATTGATGACGGTGATTGTGATCCAATGTCCTTCACCGTCGATTGCACAGGTTACGGAACGTGTTCCTTTCACTTCGTCCAGATCTGAACTGTCAGGACAATAGGCAGAACTTTGCATGGAAGGAAGGACCAACGTGATAAACGAAAAACGACCAATATTCATGGTTTGAAGATAGTGGGAAAGGTATTGATCAGAAGGTTGAATCGGGCAAGCAAGAAAGCGACCAAGCATCTCGCTATAATTGGGCATGGGTTGATGATCACGGTAAATGTTTTCGTCTTCTGTGGAACCACGATCGCTCAAACCCCATTGATCCACTTTTTCGCTCAATTGTTCCACCTTGAACGTCATTGGGGATGAAGGGATAACGAGCCAAGGCAACAATTTAGGAGGTTTGACGAGGTTGGAGATGAAGCTGTATCCGTTCACCATCCATGACTGACGTTCTTCCATTTGCTGATGGGGGAAAAAAGATACAATGGCAAGTCAGTGATTCGTGATTCATTTTGGTACTACAGATTACTCACCTGATGGGTGTTTGATTGTTGTCCTTCGTTGCTGCGCAACATTGTCAAGATGGACGCCGCTTCATGTTCGTCATATGACATCTGACGGTAGATCTGTCGAACATGAAAGAAAGGGTGAAAGAGAGTGGATTGTAAGAATCATGCACTGCTGTTATATTGAATGCATGAAAGCGTACCTTCTCGTCGTGTGCAATGGACATTATGAGTAAAGAAAAGAAGAAGATGAAAAAGTAGGTAGCACAGGATTGGATTTGAACAAATGGACAAAGCTAATATGGGGGACAAGAGTGACGGTTGAAGCGAGATGGATGGGAGTTATATACCCTTCATCTTGCTTACTGTCAACGACACAATCTTGATCAACTTAGCAAACGCAACAGCAATCAAACAGTAATCAATACGATGCATATTTACGCTGCTCTTGTGCCGTAAAATACAGAGTTTTGACCACGGATTGCTGTTGCAATACGCCATCCTGCTTGAATGACATTTCTCTGCCGTCCATGATGAGAGTGTTGATTCCCTTCCGTGTCTATTTTTTACGGCAATGAAAATCAAAACAGGTGTCTTATCTTGTCGTTCACACACTTGAGTTTCGGCGTCATTACCGAGAATTGATTGTCCGCAAGAGGTTCAAATGTATTTTTTGTAATGCGTTTACAGTTTTTTATGTTGGCGTAATATACCCACCCCACCCAAATCTTTCAGAAAGTTGTGACTCAATTCATTTTTCTTTCTTGACAGAATATTCCTCTCCGAATCGTGAGATACGTGATTGCACACAATTTTCGTGTGATCTTAACGAATTTTTTACCGAGAAGCGGAGGGCCGCTTTTTCTTTTTTTGCTTTCTCGGTGTGAGTTTTTATGTTGTTGTGGGCGTAAAAATGTCGAACGTCTAAGCTGATCAACAAGAACAACTTCACTCAGAGTGAACATTTATTCAAACTCAGAAACGTTTTGCCATCCTCCGTTCCGTCTGAAATTGCAAATGTGGGGTGGGGGAGTAAATTCGTCATCATTGACTGCCATTTGAGAAAGTTGCAAAGGATGCTAACAAATCAGCATTACAAGTGAAGTCGTTGAGCTGAACACTCTTTCTGCAGAATAATACAATTGATGTTGATCATGATAGAGTACATGGTATGCAAAGAAGAAATTATTTTGTACAGTGAGATCATTCCCAAGTCGAAATCAAAAAAGCAGACCCTCAATGCGGGACCGAAAGCGGCTGCCGTAATGCAGTGCGGGCATCATCCAACAAATCATACTGTCCCCATACGCCAGCTATGACGCAAATGATGATCCAACATCCTTGTTCGTTCTCCATATCGATCAACCCCTCATCTTTGGTTTTGCGTTGGGATCTCGAATGTGCAATGCGACATATGCATGAACGTGCTAATTGACGTAAGATGCTTATGTCGTCACCCACCAAACGCTCATCAAGGTGGGCCAAAAGGGCAAAAAGCCATTGTGAATGGAATGAATATATTGCTGGCTGCACAGCCTTACCCGGCTCTTCTTTTGGCTTGTACCAATTCTCATCTAGCCATATGGTGAAGCTCTGCAAAAGGACCATGATGTGTTCCTGGAAAGGGATGTGGTCAGCATATAGAACATTCATTTTTCTCAAGGAAATCTTACTCACTGTGTGGAAAGAGCGAAGAAGGCTATCCTTTGGCACTCTCAAATTGCCTCCCTTCGAATTAGAATTACTCTGAAGTGATTCATTATTCTCCACCTGTTCCTCTTCATCTTCAGAATACTCTTTGATGCTTGGCTCTGATCCATGCAGATATTTGAACCATTTCTTGGCACTTTTGCCTTTTGGGAAGTTATCAACTTTGTGTGGTTGATCTCCTGATTGAACACGACTTCGCAAAGATTCACGCATATTCTTGAACTTGTGCAAAAAGCTGTCCCTCCATTCTTGCGGAGGCAGAAGATCAGCGTCTTCGATTCCCAATTCTTTATCTTCAAGCTTTGCCTCCATAGAAGCATACTCTTTATACCGGGCTATAGATGGAGCAGCTCTTGCCTCTTTCCGAACGACTGCCAGGTATTGTGACCCATCCAGAGGTACGCCATCAAAGTCTGCTGGTAAAATGGCTACCGGTAAGATTTGATTTCCAGAGCCTTCGCCATTCTGCCAGTCGGGTGCATCGTCTTCCTCTTCATTCCTCGACCTCTTCTTGTTTGATCTAGGCATGTTGTTTGATACTACATCCACAACATTGGGATGGATGATGGCATCCTTCTGACTAGGTGTGGAGAAAAGGAAGCTTGTACTTATTGCATACGCTAAATCTTGTTGATTATTGTACTATAAGAGCTGCCCTCACCGCCTGCAGCTGCACAGCACAAAGAGAGAGTCACGTCAAACAACGCCTTTGAAGAAATTAAAATTTTCTCCGCTTTCCGCGATCTTCCTTTCGCTATCATCAGCTTATCGATTAGACTTATCAAAAAAGATGGAACAACGAAAGATCGGCGTCTTGGGCGCAGGTCAACTTGGACGTATGTTCGTCGAAGCAGCATCTAGATTGAATGTGGAAGTACATTTGTTGGATGTGGGTACCACTGCTCCTGCTAAACAAATTTGTTCTTCAGATCATCATATCGATGGAAAATTCAGTGATGCTTCAAAGATAGAAGAATTGGCAAAAGGCGTTGATATTCTGACTGTGGAGATCGAACATGTTGATGCGAAAGCATTACAGACTGTTCAAGATAAAGGTATCGTCAAACACATTCATCCAACACCTAAAACCATTGCTCTCATTCAAGACAAATATTTGCAAAAGCGATTCTTGTCTGGAAAGGGAATTCCGGTAGCAGACTTTGCATCCGTTGGACCTGAAGACGCAGAGTCCTCTCAAGCAGGAGCAGCAAAGATTGCACCACTACAAGTACAAGCTATCGATGAAGCTGTCAAGCAATTCGGACTACCACTCATGCTCAAAAGCCGAACGCAGGCATACGATGGAAAGGGAAATTACGTTTTGAAAAATGTTGAAGATGCATCAAAAGCTGTTGAATCACTTGGTGCTGGATCAAGAGGCTTGTATGCTGAGAAATGGGCACCTTTCGTAAAGGAGGTAGCAGTCATGGTCGTGCGTAGCGTTTCGGGAGAAGTACGTGCTTATCCAGCGGTAGAAACATATCACGAAAACAGCATTTGTCATAGTGTCTTTGCACCATTGCGTCATAATGATCCCGCTGTTGCACAAAGGGCACAAGACGTCGCTAAGAAAGCTGTAGCAGAATTGGAAGGAGCGGGTGTATTCGGAGTCGAGTTGTTCCTGATGTCAAACGGTGAATTGCTCTTGAACGAAATCGCTCCTAGACCTCACAACAGTGGACATTACACCATCGAAGCATGCGAAACAAGTCAGTATGAGAATCACGTTCGTGCTATTCTTGATCTGCCTCTTGGCAGCACAGCACTCAAGGTGGGCTCATCAGCCATGCTTAACATCTTGGGTGTAGCTGATTTGGATGCAGACAAGGCTGCTATTGAAAAGACGTTTGCACCAGTGGTAGCAAGCCTGGGCGTTCCAGGCACAACAGCTCATCTGTATGGGAAAAGCGGATGTAGAAGAGGTAGAAAGATGGGACACATTACCATCGTGGGCAATAATGATGCACAAGTACGCGAGCGTTATCAAATCTTGGTAGATGCTTTAGACATTGCGAAAAAGGCTGCCGACGAAGGGTCTTCTTTACCAAAAGAGCTTACAATTCAAGGCGCAACAAATGTGTCTCCAGACAAGTTATTCAAGGGCAGATATGCATCCTTACAGGAAACGGTCGATAAGCCCGTCTCGAGTGATTTCTCACATCCTCATCCTCTAATAGGAATTATTATGGGATCCGATTCTGATCTACCGGTCATGTTGCCTGCCGCTCAGATTCTGAAACGATTTGCAATCCCATTCGAGCTCACCATCGTTTCCGCACATAGAACGCCGGATCGTATGCAAGTATACGCCCGTCAAACCGCCGCTCGTGGATTAAGAGCGATCATCGCAGGTGCTGGTGGAGCTGCTCATTTGCCAGGAATGGTAGCAGCTCAAACTGCTTTGCCCGTTATTGGAGTCCCGGTAAAAGGAAGTACGTTGGATGGTGTGGATTCGCTGCACAGTATCGTTCAAATGCCAAGGGGAATTCCGGTAGCCACTGTTGCTATCAACAATAGCACAAATGCTGCTCTTTTGGCTGTGAGAATTGTTGGTAGTGCCGATGTTGAAGTTTTACAACGGATGCAAGAGTACATGGATAGTATGGAAAAGGAAGTATTGGGCAAAGTTGAGAAACTTCGTGAACAAGGATGGGATTATGTAGTGAAGAAATAGATTAGAATGTTGTCATACGTGCTAGATATGTGCATAACTGATTTTATTGATATACAATGATGCTGCCTTTGCTGCAACTTTTGAAGGTCCGAGTAATGCTAAAAGTACAAATGTTTTTTGCGAATTGATTAGACTGAAATTACCGATAGGAACGAGGAGGAGGCGAACGAGACCGTTGGCGGTCATATCTGTCGCGATCACGATAATCTCTTCTGTCGCTCCTATCCCGATCTGATCTGTTGTATCGATAATCGTCTTCTGGTGGCCTGTATGAGCTTGAAGAAGGTGGATAAGCCTGAGATGGTCGTGCGCCAGCAGAATGACCGTTGGTGTAACCGCCTCCAAAACCACCAGCTGGTCCGGAAGGAGGAGCACCGTTTGTGGAGGAAGGAGGACCATTGTTTCTCCGATCACTCGGTCTCCAGCCAACACCTGCTGCAATGAGCCTTCGAGGATCTTCACCTCTATCGCGCCGAGCATCGAATTCGACAATAACGTCTCGTAATTTCACATACCCCAAATGCATCCTTCCTCCGAAATGATCTGCCAATCGTCTATCGGAATCCAAGATGGAAAGATAAGCACCGCAAACATCACAAACACGAAGTTTCTGATGACCACTTGCACCTGCCGTATCGCTCAAGACTTGCAATTCTTTCTCTCGATCTGCTTTTTCCACTTTGAGTGCTTCAGCTTTTTGTAATTCAGCCAAAGATTCTTCAATTTGACCTTGTTCACCTAACCTTTCCACTTCTGCCATTGCATCGTTCATTGCTTTTTCCACATCGGCAATATCTCTCATCAGATTTGTGAACTTTTGCGTTTCTTCCGGCGTTTGATCTATCCTTCTCTTATTTGCTGCAATTTTACGATCGATATCTGCCATAAATGCACGAATGTTATCTTCATATTCTGCTTCAAAGGTTGGGTATTGTTCACCTTTTGCGATTGCGCTGGTATACTCTTCCTTTAACTTGCTCAAATGCGATCTTGGACATGTTCCTAAATCCACTTTTGTATTACTGAATAAATCATGCGGACATGTTCCACATAAAAAGTTTTTACAAACTTTATCATCGGTAAAGTGTAATTGTTGGGTTGTTAATCCCATTGCTTCGGGTCCCATTAACTTTTCCAAAAGTGCCCTTTGCACCTCCGCCTTTCTTCCCATTGTTTCCACCTCTGTTTGTTTGATCAAAATCGAACGTTAGCGAGAGAGTACATATGGATGTCGTGAGGCTGATCGCGCTTGTGCATTAATTTCTTCTCAAACTGCTCATAGCAAGACGGCGTACGTCTTAAACGCGTGTATCACACCAACACACAACCAACATCATGGCACGTATGATGTTGGCGAAATGTAGTCAAAATGGATAGCATTGCCGGGGAAGAAAAGAATGAACAAGATGGCGAAGCTAGTACGAGTCAGTCTGTCATCACCAACCAAAATGATATATGGCCAGACAAGCTGATCCAATCGATGCTTGTCGATACAGCGGGGGACAAGTCTGGTCAAGGATACGACATAATTAAGAAGTTCATGGGTAACACAAGCTATGATGCAGATGCTACTTCAGACGATGATGACGAAGAAAGCGAGGACACTGAAGGAGAAATACAACACTTGCTGGAAATGCGAAAGGCGGTCAGCGATTTACTCATCAATAACGAGAAATACTCTGACGCACTAAAGCTCGCATTCTCGCAAGTACGACTAGCGATTGAAGAGGCAAAGAATCTCAAGCAATATCTTGACCATGCCGACAGCTTGTCCGAACATCTTTCTCGCGGTGCTTCGATTCCTGTTCATTCAGAGAAGATCAAGCTCCCACTATTCCCAGACATCTATCAAGAAATTCCGCGAATTGCATATCAGGCAAAAGAGGTAGAAGATCTTCGGATATCGCTGTCGTCTTTTGAATGGTCAGAAAAGGATGTGAAACGACTCAAAGAGGTTGTATTGAAGCAATGCAAAAAGATTGCGGCTATTCAAATGACAGAAGACGGCAATGAAGAAGACATCTTTGAGACTATCCGGCAAACGTCCGATGAAGACTTGTTGCAGCATGCGATCCCATCCTTGGGTGAAGATATAGTAGACTGGACCCTCATTGCGCGTGAGTTGGGCGAAACGCATACACCAGAAAGTTGTCGAACTCGATGGCTAATGAAAGAGCGACCTGGTTTGAATAAGAAGGATTGGACACAAGATGAGCTTGTCAAATTGCAGACATCAGTCCAAAAGCACAAGAGCACCGGGCAAGGATCAGATTGGGAGGCAATTTCACGCGATGCCGGGAATGGAAGACTGGCCATTGATTGCCTGTCCGCTTGGCAGAAGAATGACTTTGTGGATCAGGATGGTGATGCAGCGAGCCTTACCTCACAAGAGAAGGAACAAATTGAAAGTCTATTTGAGGTATGGGGCGCTCGGTCTGCCTTGATCCGGGAACATCTCCCAACAATCCGGAAGAGATCTGCGATAGATACTTACATTGCTCAATTGCAATCGGAACGACAGAAAGCGCCTGATATGTGGTTGATCGAATCAGATGTAGAACTGGTACGTCATCTGGCCCGGAGCGTAAAGTCTACAAGACAGGTGATTCTACGTGACCCTTGGCGGGTGAAAGAGGTTGATTGGGATGCGCATTTCCCAATGAAGCCTCGCGGTGTATCCTCTGATGAAGTCAGACATAGATGGGAGAGGATTGTGAGGGATAGCAAGGTTCATCCGCAGAAGTATTATGATTTGCCAAAACGTACAGCAGAGGATGAAGTGCTTTCAAGTCCGAAAAAGCGGAGAGGTCGGCCTCCAAAGAAGATTTCAGCCAACTGAGAAAAATAACACGATCACATTTACATGAGAGCACGGATATGTAAGGGAGCATATCTACGAATAAACATCACCAGCCAAAGAAGTAGCAATGGTGAAAGTGGTGTATGTCAAAGTCTATGTACAGTATCAATATATTTGCAAACGATGAATGTTGGTATGGTGCAGATTAAGCACTGTGGTATTGCACCATATTTCCGCTTCTATGATATTTTTCTTGTAATTGTCTTGAGTATTGACGAACAATGTGGATCAGGTACAAGCCTACCATCATTGCCAAAATCCAGAATGCTAGAGTGACACCCCAGCCAACGTTGAATGTCTGCAAAAAGTGAAATCAGTCAGTTTCAAAGATGTTTCTTTCCCGTCGTACCTTTTACTCACATGTCTACAGTCGTCCTTTGACATACCCTTATTGTCTGCTCTGCATTGACGAATGAAATCATCACGGTTGTGCCAAGTAATTCCAAAGTTAACCGATCCAAAGATCAAGACGGAAACGAAAGACATATACAAAGAAGAACCATAAAGTGAGACCATTTTATAATTTGCCATAATTGCACCAATAAAACCGAAAAGTGAAGTTAAAGAAGTTAATGCCATCAGTGAACCCAAAAATCCCAAGAATAACCTTTCTGCAAGTCCTAAACTTTCATGATGTTGTGCTAAACCGACCAAAGTTACCACACCGCATGTCAATGCAAATGCAAACGTTAAAGGTGCAAGAATCAAAACACCCAATCGAGTTGGTAAACAACAACAGAAAGTACGTGTTCCAGGCATTGCGAAGGCTGTGAGGTATGTGTGTTGTGGTTAATGTTTGGCTTGTCGTGTGATGGCAATGAGAGTGTGGATTTGAAAAAGTGAATGGCTGATATGGGATAAAATTGGAAAACAATTTGTCAAAGAAAGGAGTTTAATATATACCCTTTGAGTCCTATTCATGAATTTCGCCATTCCTGCTTTCTCTCGCCATTAGGAGGCGTCATCGCCTTTTAGAGAATCACAAGACAGAGAAAAAATAGGAGGCGTTCTTAACTCCTCCTACACGGCGCCCTTTCTTGGGTTGAGGCAGTGTTATCTTTGCATACTTTGCAGTTAGAGTACGCCTCCTGTTCGCCTTGGAGAAGAACGGCCAAATTGGAAAACACGGAAATCTTCGTCATTTTCAACTCCTGTCAAAATTCAAAAATGCATTTCCGGCGCCGAAAGGTGTTTGCCGTAAAGAAAAGGCCAAGAACGACAACAGCACAGCACGCTTTAACACAGCAATAATGCAAGCACAGCCGACGATCTTTCGTTTACACGGTTTATGGTGTTTGCAATCTCGAGATATGGAAAAGGTGGCGGGTGCGGCGGTAATTGACCCCCCTCTCTCTCGTCATTCCTAAACCTGGAAAGAGGAGGAGACTTTGAATTCATTTTGCCTCCGTTTCAAAAATTTAAACAACGCCCGATGAATATAGTGGTAATGCCTGTACATGATTCGTTGCTTGGCTTTTCTTGGATCATGCAATCCGGTCTGAGAAATAAAAATGTCATCATCTTCCTTTGATCGCGATTTAAAGAGAAGTTTTATTTTAAACAGAGATCGTTGTTAACGGTCACCGTTGAGGGCGTAAAAGCCGATTAAAACACGTCACATGAATAGCTGGCATGTGATGAGCTCTGGATAAACTTGATGTGGATATATCCAATGAAACTTGTATGAATTCAGATTTTTGTTTTTGACGTTTAATTATCCCAATCCAGTATTGTTCAACACACACACAATCACTAAAGCTCATTTAGCCTGTCAATCAAGTTCCTAGCAATCTCAATATGAAATGATGATCATCTTGTTATGAGAATTAGATGATCATCGGGAAGATATGATACAAAGATGTATAGGATGAAGCCATGATGATAATGACGATGGTGATGGATGAGATATGCTTACCTAATCTACTTGTCATTCTTACGGGCGTAGTGCATAATCTGAGTGAATAATTGTGGCGCAATGTAACAACAACAACACGCTAATTCAAATCCCCAATTCGGCGTAGAAAGAGAGAAAGGTCATAAGTCTAACAACAAAAGGTACAATAATAGAATGGATTATTATGATGATCAATTGTGTGTAAGTAGAATGCATCAGAGCATTTCTATTCATTTCATTTTATGCAATCTTCATGCAACACACGGGCCCTTCCTTCCTTCTGTGCTTATTGATGCAATAGTAAACTTTAATTACTGTTTGGCGCACTGCTCTGCTCTTGGGTTTAATAATGTACATAGCGTGATCAAATACAGTAACAGTGGCAGCAGCATATTACCAACACACACGCACACTAACTGCACGGTATCATACTACAAACAGTGCTAAAGTGCCTTTCTCAATTCACAATACACTTTGACGCCGCCGTCGTTCAAAAATACAATTCAATATAACGGAAATCAATTATCCTTCGAATAGATGACCATCCCAATTAGTAATAAGGGAAGCATCATCACTCCATCCCCTCTTTTTACATCATTTGGGCTACAAGGAAAAAAGGGTTTTGTTTGGTTTGATGGCACAAAAGAACCTCCCTCTCATCCATGGCTTTCAATTCGACAACTAGGTAATAAAAACATCAACTCTTCACCTTAGCAACCCTTGATTGCGTAAAAGGCGTTGCGGAGGTAGGGAAATGGCGAACCATATTTATCAGCCTCAAGTACAATCCATTCAAACTGGAATGTATTCTGGCGGCAGTAAAGATCGAAACGGCTCATCATCTTCCCTTACTTTTAAACCTGGCTGGGATACCATTAATTCATCCGGCGTCGGAAATAATCCTTCCGGCCAACACGACGAACAACCATCATTTTCAGCATCAAACGCTTCACTTCCAGGTGCCTTAGGCATTCAGCCGCCTTTTGCCCAAACAGATTCAGCCGGTAGATTCTCAAACGCTTCCATTAATTCAGACATGGACACTTCCGCCAGTCCCATTTCCAGCACTTATTCACGCAGGATCATATCCAACGGAAATTCATCATATGAAACAACGCATTCCGCAATGCATTCAAATCAAAATGATCAACAAATTCGACGTCATTATAGCTCAGGCTTTAATGGAATGGACAAAAATCATGTTGCATCCAATAATGCAATGAATGCTGGTCAAACGAATGGGTCCTCTTTAAATGACAGTCATGAGAGCGCTAATCTCAACCGGACAAGAACTGATAGCATCTCATCCAACGGAAGTGCAGCAACTGCAGCATCTACATCCAATGCAAGCAATAATATGCGCAACTTTCTCGTTCCAATCGGTGCAACTGGTGCTCGTCAAAAGTTGTCAATCTTGAGCGCATCCCAACGCCCTCGTACTGCTCAATCAGCCATCACACCTTCATTCGGATCCACATCAGGAACGGCATCAGGTTCGTTTGTCAAAACATCTTCTCCTTCAATGGCTACATCTACAGCGCCGCCAGCCAGACGAGCAAGGCCCACTACCTCCGAAGGCCATGCCGATCCGAGAACGACATTTCAACGTTCCGAATCTGATTTACAAGCAACACGAAGGTTGAGCGGCGGGCAAAGATCTGTGGATGAATCGCATACTTCAATTCATTCCATACGAGATGATGAAGATGACGATGTACCTTCGATCCGAAGTCAAAGTGCACGTAAGAAAGCATCTTTTGAGAAAGCCAGTCGAGTGATGGGTACGAGTGGATTTGCATCCATGTCAAATCCTCCTTCGACAACGCGCACGAGACGCAAGACAAGCGCCCAGGGTGCCCACGATTCCAATTCATCAAAAGGTTCAGGAGTCTATGCAAATTCAGGAGCTCATAGTTCAAGCGGTAGTATTTCGAGCATAGGAGGCGGTAGCAATCATAGCCGTAAGGGTAGTCTTTATAAGCATAGATCTGGCTCGCAATCAAGTTTGCATTCACTCTCTAGCCTTCGTGACGCAGCTCAGTCGATCTTTGGTGGAAACAAAAACGTTGAAAAGGAAGAGAAACACGATTCAGGCGTCGCTCCGCAACGTTCGGCTTCTCAATCATCGGCGACAAAAAGTAATAATCCTGATCCTAACGCAAACAACGAAAAGCGATCCGTGTCCACCAACAAACCTGACGGCCTTTTTGGCGGACTAGGTAGATCGATCAGCAGTGGAGCAGTAGGCGAATCCGAATCAGGTCGTCGTCCACGTTCATCTTCAGGCACAAAGGATCTCGCAGGACAGGTAAAGACGGGATTCAAAAATATGTTTAGCAGAAGCGGAAAGAATTCTAGGCCTTCTACGGCTATTTCGAGCATTAGCAGTCCACAACCTGTTGCAGGAGATCCATTGGCATCTGGTGCCTCTTACTCACACTACCACCAGAATGCATCACAAAATTCACAGGAAATGTTTGACCCCAGGCGTCCACCGCAGAAGCAACACAGCCTTGATCGTAATGTGGGATGGCAACATACGCGGACATCTTCAAATACCTCTGGTCGTATGATGGGTGCGAATTATGCACCTGAAGAGCAGGATCATTCACGTGGACCACCAAACGGATCATGGACATCGCCTTTACTTCAGCACAGGGTCAGTGAAGAATCAGACGGAGGTGCAAGTGGACCTATGAGACCTCGTATCGTTGGGCGATTGCCGTCGAAAGAGTACGCTTCCGCCTATCCTCCAAGCACATCTCGCCCACGTACTGCACCTTCGGTCAAAAGCTTCGATAGCGTTCGAACTGGCGATAGTGCAACCAATTACGATGATAGAGGCGAACAAGATAGAGGCAAAACGCCAATTCCATCAGCAAATGGTTCTGGTCATAGAACGCCAACTCCTCGTCGTCCGTCAAATTCTTCAACTCAGACCGCATCTACAGCACGCGAGTATGAGAACAATGCTGGCATGCCACCTTCACACCCGTACGACCAACAGGAAGGCGAAACTCGAACATCTCGCGATTTTCCGACAAATCCCGCAAGTGCAAGAAGAATGGAATCGGTTTATGCGGGAGTACTTACAAGTGCCGGTGTCCCTATACAGGAAAGATCGCCAGAAAGCATGTATTCTGCTCCGAATTCCTCTCGTAACCTCAGCCCTGCTCTTTCAGATAGACCCAGCGTTCCTCTTACTTCGCCTCTTTTGGCATCTGTTCTGGGCCAACAAGGTCTACCGCCTATCGCTATCCCTCAAATGCCCGTTCAATCTCCACCAAGGCAAAGGAAAGCAGCTGATCGGTCCAATAGTACTTCTACAATCTCACGTTCTCCTTCGACAGAGGATAGTGCTCAAGTCATTACGCCTAGTACCAGCTCTATGACTGCTATCAGCACACCCTCACCTAAACCTGCTATACCCGTCAAGTCTCGAAATCGGATTGCGTCTATGCAAACTTTGGATGATGCGTTTTCTCCGGCGTCCGATCATCCATCCTCTACGACTTCATCGAGCTATGCTCATTCATCTCCTCGAACGCCTACTCAAGATACCCCTACTAAAACAAATGAAGATGGAGATTCTATTGTGACAAAGACACCTACAAAGGGCGGAAATGTTGAAGACGCTTCAAAGGTACTCAAGGCCAAAGATGGCACTCCACTAATCGATCCAAGCACATTTGTGCCTCCAGATGCCCTTTTACGAACCCGCAGAGGTCTTCCTGTGAGAAAGACGACAATGGATGAAAAAGCTTCTGCTGAAAATGGCGAGGCGCTGAATGGTAAAGGTACAAGCGAGGGTGCCGTGCAGAAACCTTTCAAATCTCCACTCGCTGCGTTGGAATTGTCTAATTCACCATTGATACAAGATGGCTATTCATGGACGCCTTCAAAATCAGACAAAGCCACACCGTCTACGGGAAAAGGACCGGATGGTCAGATCATTTCGTTCAACAGTTCAGATTATGATCCTTTCGATGGCGATGAGAGCGCAGATGCGATCAGTCTACTACCGACAAGTGCTTGGGCTGAAGTTGAAGCGTCTTTGCTGCGATTTAAAGCTATTCCTGCACAAAGTACGAATGATAAAGGACAATTGTTACGAACTGTTCTATTACCGTTCTTGGCATTAGAAGCAGAAACACCGGATACACGTGTTACTGGTTCTGGACCGTATCAAGCGGCAAAAGCAAGGAGGAAATTATTCTTTGATTGGATTCGTCAATTGTTGGTCGAGCTACAATCCATTCAAACTTCGGCTGATCGTGGTGCCATTCTAGAGAGTATTGCATGTATCATCGAATCGCGCAATTTCAACTCGAATATTCTGGAGAACGATGCTGAAGATCAACAGACATTCTTTGGCGTTTTGGGTCACATCTTGAATTATGCAATTGGCGAGTTGAACAAGAAGGGTGTTTATCAAAATACTCTGATCTTTTCAGGTCGTCTATTAGCTGTAGCGTTCTTCCGAATTGAAGGCGTTGCCAGCAAGCTTCTACGCGCACTTCCAGTTAACCGCTTTGCTCTTGAAAGAGTGGCAAACGAAGCCCAATGGAATGATCGACAGCCAGTGGAATGGGAGAAGTTCAAAGGGCAATTCTCGACTTGGTTGCACGACTTTTGTTTTGAAGATGCACGTTCGTATCTAAAAATGCTCGATTCTCAATCCGGTCAAACGGAAGAAGATGATCGATTCCTTGTACGTCAAGAGCACGTTGAGGTAGAAATGTCTGGTAATTGGTTGAGGAGATGGCAATCAGATGATTCGGAATTGTTCTTTAGCTTTTGCCGTAGCTATCATCGTCAATTAGCCGGTGCCTTTGCCAGCCAACAACAAAAGAATGCAGGAGTCAACTTGGAATTGGATCGACAACTGTTCTTCGGAGGTCCTGGATTCGCTCATTTGGCAACATGCATTCATCAGAAATGCCTCAGTTTGGTACACAGAGATATCCTTTCCGTCACTACGCTATCTTCACAAAAGAACTTCAATCCAGGTGAAACAGCCAACGTTTTATCCGGAAGTACGGCAGGCAAACCGAGACACTTGGAAGCAGCAAACCGTCGCTGTACTGCGATCGTGGTTGACATTGTTCGAACATCATCTGCAACGACTCGAACAAGCATGTTTGCCGCAATGCTTGGCATTCACGTCAAATGCTTGGTCAAAAGGACATCTTTGTATGACGTTCAAGGCGTCTTTTGTCTCTTGGATTGGCTTGATGGAGTTCTTAGCCATATGGAAAATGCAGAGATGGTCGTTGCAGAATTTGTTGATATCGACTTCCTCCTGCAAACGGTTTGGCTGTTATTGAAAGATGCCGATCATGCTCTTGCCCTTATGAGAACGATTGCGTTCTGCTATTCAAATTTTGCCGTCTTGACCGATACTCAAAAACATCGTGAACGATTCTTCGAAGACATTTTGTTGCACCCTGCAATTTTCCAGAAATTGTTCTTGTCTTGGTCGTTCACCATTCGTGCTTACTTTTTGCACTTGCTCGTTTTCCGCTTGGCGCGCATTAATGACTTCTCCAATCCAGACGATGATCCCAAGGGAAAGACATCCGTCCGTGTCATCAAATTGTTCAACAGACGATTGGATGAAATACGTAAGAGGCATGATGAGCTTTCTCCTCCGATCTCTTCAAGTGACTCACAATCAGAAGGTGATGAAGAGGATGATTTTGCACGCTTCAAACGCAGACCCCAATCTTTCGTCAGTACGATTCGTCATACGCCTTCCGTTCACAAGATGGAAACATCATCTTCTGCAGTCACTAAAGCAGAGCGTGTTCTAGGTATTGGTATGCCTGATCCTGTCTTATCTAGCAAAGCCGAGAATAAAGCACAATCCAGAGCAGCAAAATGGCTCAGAGCTTTGGGAGGAAAAGGATCAGCAAAAGGCGGCAAAGGTGCAGCAGGTATGGGAGGATCTGGACACCAGAAGATGAGCAGTGAAATGCCAAAGATTTTGAATCAGCCAAGAAATACTTTGCCAAGATTGGATGAGATTGATATTTTCTCAGACGATGACGAAGCAGACGGGGAGAACGATATGAATCGATCAGGATTCACTGCTAGAAGCGATGATGGTGATGTTACGCCAAGAGCTGAAGATGGTTTAGAATTTCACTTTGAGCCGAAAGCAGGTCACAAGGATGTATCCACTGCACACTCGAATGGCGTTCCAAGTGCGCCAATTGATAGCGATACCTCTGCTCTACCTGCAGCTAATGAACACATCAATTCGGAAATGAGCTTCGATTTGCAAAATCCTATGCCAGGTGTTGGAGGTTTACCAGATGGAACGACTGGCAATGACCCTTCTCAACAACGTATTTCACGCGCATTCTCTCGCAGAAGGTCTTTGTTGCCCGGACCAGCTTATAGCCTCGTACACGGAGGAGAATCAGAATCTGAAGCTGATAATATGACTGAAAGAGGAGAGGATGATCAATTTTCTATGAGCGGTAAAAGTTCACTTGATGAAGGTACAGTACGATCTCGTGAAACGCCAACTTCTGGCTTCACAGCCGAAAAGAATCGTACTTCTGTCTTTGTGATTGGACAACCGTACGATCGTACATTACACATTTATGCCGTTCAAAGTTTACGTGAATACGAACAAACTGTTCAAGAACATGATGACTTTTTCAGTTCACAAGAAGATACCGAATCACCTCAAGTGCCCAGATTGCCGATTCAATGGCCAGCAATGTGGAGTGAATAAAGAAGGCATCTTGCTCTTATTTTTTTATTAGATGCTACTTCTAGAAATGGGTTTTAATCTGTGCTAATGTATTTACCTAATATACACTTTTTATCTTTTTTGACATTTATTAACTTTGTGTGAAGAGTATGGTGGGAGGTGGTGTTGCACGCGTGAAGATTAGACGCACAAACCTGCATACAAGGTGGAGTAGTGTTTCTCACACAAACATCATCATCCTTCATCAATCTCAATGAACAGACTTTTCCAAACATACTCGATTCAACAATCAAGTAACAAGCTGTCTCATTCCGGAGGGTAGCTGACAGAGGAGGGAAGACAGCTGGTGCTGTAAAGGGCGGGTAAGGAAAGAGAGTTGCACATACAATTGGCGCGAAGTTTGAAAAGATGACAAGACCATCTAATGATGTGGCTGTAAAGCAGTCAAGAAAAATTACAAGAAATCATCTGGCTCAACTCAATGCAGATGTATTCGCGACAATCTTGTCATTTCTTGACATTGGATCGATGGCAAGGCTAGAGCAAACATGCACATATGTACGAAATTTTATTCAGCAATTCGGATGGACTCGGCTATTGAACAGCGACTTACGGGCTTTGAGTGAAGTTCAAGCTCGAAAAGGACGAGCAATTCCCGCAAAAGAGGTTCTACGGATCAACCTGGCATGGAAGTCTCGTACATTCCTCGTATCACAATGTGACTTGGATAATACCTCACATGGCAAAATAAATGAAGGTGGAAAAATGACAGAATCAAGCTCTACCTCTGTACCTTTCTGTCAGCTGCATTTGCTACCACATGGACTCATTCTCTTGATGGGTAGTGAGATGCGATATTGGCCAAATACAGAATTGGAAAAACGTCAACCGATCACGATGGAAAATTGTACATTATTCAAATTAGAAAATCCTGCAAATCTCGACAAAAGATGGATCACACAACATCAAAGAAGTAAAAGTAGAAAGGCACGGAACCAGGGGGTAATTGCAGCTTCGGCTGTATGGGATATTTGTGCTTCTGCCGTACTGAACAAACAGGGAACCTTGATTGCTCTTGCTCGAGTGAATGGTCTGATTGAAATCGTACAAATGGAAGCACGCAAGGGTGGCATGCCAGCAAGAGTACATTTGGCCTGGTTCTGGCCTGATCACCTGAATTCGAGCGTTACCATTCAGACATTAGCATCATGTCCAGATTCAGGTCTTCTGGCTGTTTGCGGAAAGCAAGGCGAAGTATGGCTCTTGTCGATTCGGAAAAGACAACCCTTACGCCAGCACAAAGTGGCACATGGAACGTTAGACATCCGAGGTCTCTCTCATTGGAAAGTGAATGAGCGTATATGGAGTGCATGCTTTGCTAAGACCAAGACTTCACACAAATGCCCTCCTTGGATCGCGATCGGAACTGGAGGACGTGAAGGAGTATTGATCTACTCACTAAAGACGAAGATACCGGAATGCATTGCCACCTTACATTGCAATGGTAGGTCAATTTACTCGATCAAGACTGACAGCATGAAGTGCAACGAAGGCATAAGCGACATACTCTATGCGGGATGTTTCGATGGCAAGCTTCGGACCTTTGACGTTACCAAAGCAATACATACGAACGAGTCGAATGCCGTGAGTGTGATGTATGACAAGTATGATCCGAGTGCGATGTATTGCCTCTTGACGGGAATAGGCCAAGATGGAATGCAAATCGCGGCAGGAACGGCTCGTCACGGTGTTGTGAAGATGTTCGATGTACGAGAGGCATTCAAGTGTACAGAAGATACAGCAAAGCCTCCTGATCAAAATAACAGTTTAGACACTCTAGATATAGAACGACAAGGATGGTCATTGTTTGCTGCTCATCCTAGCCGATCGCCAACGTATTCACTCGCGGGCGATTTCGATCGTATCTTTGGCGTCACTGATCAGAAGTTATGGCAGGTAGATCTTCGAAATAGGGCAGGTCATATCAATCAAATGACATCTAGCGATCAATTGGTCAAAGCAAACACAAAGAAGGAATACGAGTTGGAGAAAGGGAAGTTGACCTATTATAGACATTCGGATATGCTTTTAGAGCATAGCAATTTACCTATATGGATCGCAAAGTAGAGGGTACAAATTAGTTTGAGAGTATTGCATTTTTGTAGCATATCTTGTACAACAATAGTGAATGATGATTGCAGAATATAGCACTTGTCACTGGAATGGGACCAAAAATATGGTCAGATCTTGGACTTGCACCCTTGTTCAGAAGTATCTCTCGGATATTTTTAACCATCTCGGTTCCTACATTGATTGGATATGCAAGCCGTCGATCAGATTGCTCATTTGTATAAACAACAATCAAGATCGGAAAAGAAGATCGTACAATCTCTTAGCGCAGAGTCATTGATGCATACAACTGATCCGAAGCGATCAAGGCTCAAGATGATGAATATCTGAATATGTCATAAAGTATGCTTCGATCATGACAGGCATTTTATAGTTGTTTTTATATGCATCATCTTCTTGAATAGCAGCATCTTTAAAATTCCCCGGTCAAGTCCTCTGATCTAATAGTAGTGGCAGTCCACGCAATCCCGAAAGCAATCAATCTATGCATAATATTTGCTTGGCTTTTATTAGCGTTTTGAACCGCCGATAATAAAAATTGATCCTTTATCATGGTTTGGCTTTTCGGCATTGATAAATTGAACAAGTTTGTTTCCCCTTTTATGAATCGTACATGCCGAATGCATTCTTTCCTTCGGTTGCATGAATTAGCATGCATATTAATCAAGAAGAACTCTCAAAGGGCATAATGACTGACAACAAAAGAAACGCGTTCCTCTTTTGTTAAATGAGTTTAGCATTACATCTGTATTCTTTAGACGCGTTTTCCTTAATGCCGATAAACGGTACGCGTTTTGTTCTCCGCTTGCTTGTGGTATGCCTTTTTTTACTCTCTCAATTGTGTTCAACTCTTTGGACCTCCCAAAAAAGAATGATCCATTGATGAACAACGAAATAAAGGGACCTGACACATCCGAGCTGAAGAGAGAAGGTCATTGTAATTCGGCATGTTGCTATGAAGTGCACGGCGACTTTTCCCCTTTTCTGTCATTCAGCCCTTGTTGACAGGTATTATTTTCATTGTTCATTCACTCAAACAGTGTTTGTAGCAGTAAATAAATCAAACGCGTCTTGCCGGTGCGCGCGCCCGGGCGTAGGCTTGAGAAAGGTTTGCTGCATTCATGTACCTTTTTTTTTGCTCAAAGTATTATTTCCCTTCGGCTTTGGTGCTCCAGGCTAAATATCTTCATTCCGACAGGTTATGTGAATCAAAAGGCAGCACTTTAACCCATGATCAGCATTTATGTATGTGCACTTGTCTGCTCTCTGCCTGCGTACACACTAAAACAAAAGCAAGGAATCGCAAGGGGGAACAGACAGCAGACGCACTTTACCTCTTTCACTTTATTAGCTCAAATTTCTACTCATAGGGCAAAAGATGAATTCAATACCATACATACACATATGTACATTTTTATCAATTCGTATATTCTTAGTTAGTACTTCATCGTCATAAAGTGATCAAAAATCGTTCGTAGGCGTCTCTTTTCGCCATCGTTCCTTTTCTCTTTTTCTTTCTCGTCATCATACGCACAGTCGTTACGATATCGAATTGAGGAGAAAGCACACTTATCTGGAACGGACATTCCAACAGATACGATCAAACAAAACCAACAAGGACAATTTTTATCATCTAACAACAAAATCTATTTTTTGCTTCTTCAATCCAACTTTCTCTTCGGATCGCATTCACCCTTGACGGGCAAATTCATCGAGGGTAATTCAGCACATTCGTTTGATACTTCCAGCACGTTAAAGTTCTATCCATCCCGCTCAGCAAAATCATCGGAAATTTTAGCACATCTTCTCATTTCAAGCAATCTATGAACGTTTTGTAAACTCTTTTTTTATCGCATCTTCGACATTCCTTTTCACCTTTTGCTAAACATGGACGCCCATACCCTCAATGCCTGGACTCGATTCGCCCTACAAAAAGGAGGAATTGGGTCATGTACTGCATTGATCGATAATCCTGCTACAGACCTAGAGGATCTCATGTTTATGGCCGGTGAAAAGATTGTCGTTCTTCGTAGACTGGATGATGAAGCACAATCGGAAAGCAGTAAAGGAAGAGGTGTGATCTCAGACGCTGATGCTTGGTTCTTAGGATATTGCGAAGGCGTCGTTGGAAGATTCAAAGGCGCACATGTTCAATTTCATGGCAAACTAAAGAAGCCGGTTTTAATGCGGAGAAGCGGAGTGGGCGCTATTCGTGAATCAACTTTACGACCGATGAGTAAATCTGAAGCGGCCAACTTACATGCTTCTCAAGTACCACCAGGAATACCCGTTACTGCTGTCGATTCTGACGAAGAGGATGGTTCAATCGAAACATCTGGAAGTCGTAAAAGTACACAAGTAAATCCAGACACTACTCGAGATCAAAAGTATAATGGCAAGACTGTAGGCCCTTCATCCACATCAATCGATCGACATCGCGCTGAAGAATCCCTTTCATCCAACAAAGGCTTGAACGGAAAAATGGCTCGCCTTGGAGTGACAACACCTCCTCTTTCTGACGAAAGTCATGCTCGTGCTGCAATTGCACGGAAAGCCAGCATTGCAGATGACAGCGACTCAGATGACGAATCTGATACCCATCTTCCCTGGGCTCGCGCAAGTACAGCAAGCAATTTCAGCTCGGCCTCTCACGATACACCTACAAAGGGTAATGGCTCCGATCCGCATCAACAATCATTGGCTCAGGGAACCCTAAGCAGCAAGGCTATCGCGAATTTGAATATGAGTAACACATTGCCTCCTTCACCAATTTCATCCGCAGAATCACCTTTAACGAGTAAATCTGCCGAGCACGGAATACCGCCTTCAGGTTCATTCGAGGGCGTCATTCCGCGCATTCGTGCACCTGGCTCAGGTCATAAACAAAATTCAGACTCCGTCTCAACAATGACAACTTCTGAATCAGAAGAAGACGCTCGCCGTAAGGATCACGCTCTTTCCATTTACGAGATTTACGGTCGTGATAGTGTTGCTTTCCCAAACTTTGACTTCAGATCCTTGAATGGAAAGACGAGCAGTTTGGGTGGTAGATTGACACCCGCCAAATCTGCCGAATCTCTCAGCGTTCCACGCAGCACACCTGCTTCTCCTCTACTTCCAGTTGACAGCTCAGAATTAGGACAAAGACAGCCTGCAATCGCTTTACGAGCTTCGTCTAATCGAAGGCCAACGGCAGCACCACCTGTACCAACGGGGCAAGTTGCTTCAAGCTTGAGAAGAAAGGCGGAAGCCGGTAGTGCAGCCTCTTCAAGCGATCACAGTCTCGGAATGACTGCAAGTGGAAGTGGAAGCGGTAGTTTTGGTACATTCGACCCTCGCAGACGGCCATCTATGGGAAATTTGAACAGCGCCCGTCATCAAGCGGGCAGAGGGCCAATGTCACCTCAAGATGCAAGAATGCCTGGTATGAGCGGCGACGGTTCAAACTTTGTACCACCTATGCCTGCAGCTATGGAAGACTCGAACCATTTCAGGAGACCGTCGAGCGATCGTGTTCTTGGCAGTAATCTTTTGGCTAGACGCGCACAAGAAAGCGGACCAATGAATGATGGACCATCAATGCTTATCGATACGCAAAATGTCTCTCGACCAAACAATCAGCGCAACGATTCGTTCATGAGAGTGACCGAAGGTGCTCTCCCCTCGCCATCTGCTGCCAATTTCAGACGCACATCATCCGATCGGACGTCGCATCGTGAACGGGTAGGAAGTGGTCAATTGAGAAAGAATCCCAGTAATCCACAACCCGGTCCTCATGGCGGAATGACTGCACTGATGATCCCCCCTTCAAATTCCAACCATCAAGGTCAAAATAATACTCCTTCCCGTAGCCCAAGCCCCTTGTCTGCACAATCTGTAAACGGCACAGGGATGCGCCCTTATTCACCTTCAGGAGCATTGTCTGCCTCGCCGAGCAATAACTCTCAAAATCCAGCATTAGGATCGTCACCTTCTCGTTTACCGTCTCCACTATCACCTAATTCACAGGCACAACTACCGCTTGGAAGACAACCTCAATTCGGTGGCCCTCAAGAAGGTGTAAACAGTCCTACAAAAATGTTTTCTGGTGCTAATGCTCCTTTTGCCAATATCAATCCTGCCAATGTCTCTTTTGATAAGCTTGGGTTCCTCATCGGAACAAGTCCACCGTTCACCACTCCGATGGAAGACGCAGAAGATATGAAAGTATGGCGTCAACTTGTAGCAGAGAATAATGTAGAAAGCGCAAAGAAGGGCAGAAAAGTCAAAAAGATGGTTCATAACGGAATTCCTCATTCTATGCGAGCAACCGTTTGGCCTTTCTTGGCAAGTGCTCATGTACGCAGACGTCCTGGTCTATTTGAAGAACTGTGCAAAGTTTCTCAAAGTGCAAAGGGCAAACGTGGAAAAGAAGCATTATACGAAGCTATCGACAAGGATCTTGATCGTGCTTATCCTGATCATAAACAATTCATGGGCCCTGAAAGTACAGGTGTTGCCGATCTTGAAGCGATTCTCAAAGCATACGTTCATTACAACCCAATCGTTGGCTATACTCAAGGTATGAATTTGGTAGCAGGCTTTTTGCTCATTCAAATGCCGGCCGAGGAAGCATTCTGGTTGATGTGCGCTTTATTGCGTGATGTTCACATGGAAGGATACTATTCCGGTGAAATGAAACAATTGCATGTTGATGGAATCATATTTGGTCAATTGCTTCAAGCAATGGATCCTGAACTCGCCGCACGTTTGATCGAGCTCAACGTTGAACCAATCAACTTTGCACCAAATTGGCTTTTACCTTTGTTCTCAAGAATTCTTCCATGGCAAACTCTCTTACGTGCTTGGGATGTTTTCTTCTTTGAAGGACCATCTTGGATCTTGCGGGTTGCATTAGCAGTCGTTAGAATCTTACGTGATCCATTGATGGATAAACGAGTATGCCCAGGTACAGGAGAAGCATTACGATTATTGCTGCATCCACCGCAACAATTATTGACGCCTGAAAATGTGATCCCATGCGCATTGAGCGTGAAATTGAAGGATGGAGAAATGCGTAAATTAGGACGTCAAGCATCCAAATTGGTTCGTAGTACCGTTTTGAATCAAGCCACAAGAGGACGATCACAATCGGTAAGCGCATCAAGCGTTTCAAGATCTTCTTCTGCGCCACCCGTTAAGCGTCAACATGCTGGTCAATAAGCACGCTTTTCGAGAGAAGAAGAAGAAGAGGCCTTTTTCCAAAAAATTGCTTAAAGCAAAGGACAATCCTTAATTATCAAAATATACCTTGTATATTCTCTCTCTACCTCTCTTTTTTCTTTCTTTCGCAGACCTATCAACGTACATAGTATTTGAATTGCATCTGCATCATCCTCTTTTTTCCCTACCTTTTACTGTCTATCCCCTCTCTCTGATCACTTTGGTAACCTTGTAAAGTAATGGAAGGTCACACATACACATCATCATCAATATTGCAGTTCTTATCACATTCTCATTAGCTTAATAAGAGAGTGAAAATTAATAGCGTTTCGTAACAAGGGCACTATATTGACTGGTAGAACTGTTTGAGCATAACAGTGACTGATCTGAACTACAGGACATTCAAAGAACCTCATCTTATTGATTTAAAAGGCTGCATCATCGAGAAATATAACACTAAATGCATTAGCCTACTGAACAAAATGCTCGACATCACTAATCTACAGTTGAAAGTGCTTTTGTATTGATATTTTAACCCTCTACTTTCTTACATCTCTGGCATCATACCGCCTTCTTCTTGTTCGGCCATTTGTGGTGCTCCGCCGCCACCACCTCCGCCTTGTTCACGAGGTCTTCTTGCTGAGACGACATCATCAACACGTAAAAGCAGGGAAGCAGATTCGATTGCAGTTTTCAAAGTTTGAATTTTGACGGCTGCACTTTCCAATAATCCGTACGATTTCATATCAACAATCACACCTGCATTTCCATCGATACCCCAAGAGTGTTCTCCATTTGCATGTTTTGCACGCAAAGCAGTAAGAATCTTGATTACGTTTGCTCCGCAATTGTTGATCAATGTACGTGGGATCACTTCCATAGCATTAGCAACTGCTTGAATAGGTGCTACCTCAATACCTTCGATATTACGTGCGTATTCATGTAATCCTGCTGCTACTGCCAATTCGGTAGCACCACCACCAGGCGCCAAACGAGGATCAAAGACGACATTTCTGGCAACGGACATTGCATCAGCTAAGTTGCGATCGATCTCGTTGAGGATATCTTTGCTTGGTCCGCGTAATAGGATCGTGCATGCTTTTGGATCTTTGCATTTCTCCAAGAATGTAAAGTATTCGTCTCCAATCTTTTCGATGTGGAACAAACCACAGCGGGTACCAACATCGCTTTCACGTAAATCCTCAACTCGGTTCACAATCGTGGCGCCGGTTGCTCTGGCGATTCTATTGTTGTCTGATTTACGTACCCGTCTAATTGCAGTAATGTTCTGCTTCAAGAGGAAGTGTTGTGCCAAATCTGAGACACCCTTCTCTGTGAACACCAAATCAGGCTTGAATTTGATGATTGTGTTGCAAATCTGTTTAATCTGTTCCTCTTCGATTTCCAAGATTCTGTTCCAGTCTTCCTCTTTTGTAATTTCGATATTGGTTTGACTTTCACCCTTTTTGTATTCTAGTGGGCAATCCAATAACAGAATTCTTGGGTTTTCGATTCTTCTTCTCATCTTTGGATGAGTGACATCCTTTTCCAACATGACACCATCCAAAACACGACTGCTCTCGATTTCGCCTCCTGGAATCTTTTCCACACGAGCGTATCTCTTCAAGTCCACCGTTCTCTGTTCTTTGGATCCAGCGCCTGTTTCTGTGACTGCGACTGTTCTGACTGCCTTTAGTGCTAATTTGCACATCAAATCCGACCATCTTGAAACGAATTTTGTTCCGATGGAAGTTTTGATCAAAGCCAGCATCTCTTCTTCATTGTTCACATCAACTTTTGTGGAGATTGATTCGATAATATTGAGTGCTTCTGCCAATGCTTTTTTGTATGCAGAAATGATGACGACAGGATGTAAATTTCTCTCCAAAAGTGGTAAGCTATGAGCCAAGATTTCACCTGCCAAAATGATCACACTTGTCGTTCCATCTCCAACTTCTTCATCTTGTGTTCTACTCAATTCGATCATACTCTTTGCTGCTGGATGTCCAACTTCGATTTCACGTAAGATGGCATTTCCGTCATTTGTCAACAAAATACCACCCATTGGATCTAAAATCATTTTGAGCATCGCTTTTGGTCCTAAACATGTTCTAATCACGTCTGAAACCGTTTTGGCTGCTGTAATATTTGATATTTGTGCTTTACGTCCATGTTGTCGTTCTGGACCTGTGTTCATTACGAACACTGGTTGTTGACCTGCCATGATTGCAAGTTTGTTGTTGATCAGATGATGGTGACAAGATGCACTTTAACTTTCTTCTTATTCCACTAACGCTTTAATTCTGCGAAAAAGAACGTTTGAGAAGCCGTGCAACCAACACTTAAGAGACACTGCTCATACGCCATATTTTGTCAATGCGCGTCAGACTAGGATAGCGTTTTTGTGCTTTCTCAATCATATTCAAACACGTGATTCAAAGAAGGCCATATCCCAGATGATCATGGATCACCATGAGGAGGATGACTGTCAGGCACCCTGATTGCAAAGCAGAATTGCAACTAAATTGTATGTGATCTATTTGACTGAGCTGATGGACAATCTGTGGCATAAGTGAAGCATCGCAAAATTAAAGAAAGCCGGGTAAAGTATACAAATTGCAACTATTATACAGTGATGAATGACGAAAAGATGAAAACCCCACAAGCGATGATTAAGCAATAATGCAGCAATTCCTTCCTCTATTGGTATCTGTGCCTTGTGCTGAAGCGGCAATCACGCCTGGACGAGTACTTCCTGCCGTCATTCCAGCTCTTGATTGATTAGCAGAAGAAGCATGAAATCTGGCATGGATATCGTATGCTGCTCGTTTGAATGCCTCTTCTACATTTGAACCAGTCTTTGCACTTGTTTCGACAAACATGATTCCTTCCTTTTTGGCAAACTCTTCTGCTTCTTTTCGTGTGACTTGTCTCCGCAGATTGGCTTTTGTGCTTGAACGTTTCTTTGAAGGTGTACTTTGCGGAGAGCCTGTCTCATTGCCTTCTTCCTCTTCCTCTTCTGACTCATCCTCGGGACAAAGATCACTCATGTTTCCCACCAATATTATACTGACATCCTCTTCTGCGTGTTCTCGTACATCCTTTAGCCATTCAGCGATATGGAGGAAAGACGGTCTGTGGGTGATACTGTAAACCAACAGGGCTCCAGCTGCGCCTCTGTAGTAGGATCGGGTGATCTGCAAACGTTGTAAAGAGATAATATTAGTAAAAGTTTTTGATGAATGGATGTAGCACATCATGATACTCACGCTTCGAAATGTTTCACTGCCGGCTGTATCCCAACATTGACATTTAATCTTTTCGCCTGTTTCATCGATAGTCACGACATAGCTCCCAAATTCGACGCCAATCGTCGGATCAGGTTCGGCCAAAAATCTTTGATCTGTTAATTGAACCAATAAACTGGATTTACCCACGCCTGAATCGCCAACGATGATAAACTTTGATAAGAAATCCCAGCTGGCCATAGTGTTTGTATCACTTGATGGTAAGCCTGTTGATGGATGTCACTCTAAACAATGGCAGATCGTTGTGCTTGAGGCGGATGACTGAGTTTGAATGCCTTTATGATGGATGCGTAAACGCCAATTCTCTCTCTCGTTGATTGGGATCTGTGAAGTGAGTGAGTTACCGATAGATTTCCGTGTGGAGAATAAATAAAATAAATGAAAGGCACTACACGCGTATGGATTAGGCGACCCCGCTGAGTGAGTAAATGCGCTTTTTCCATTGATAAGGCGTATCGGGTGTTACACTCACACCCTGCTCCTCATCAATCTGGTCTTCCTGGATGATTGAACGTCATCATTTTGTGAAGAAATAATTCAACTCATTTTCAAAGAAGGAGACTCCTAAGCAAAAAGCTGCAATGACGATATTCTACTTCATTGTTGGAAGATGATCATTAAGTAAATCAACATGGGAGGCTAATCGAAGGCTCCTAGTCAATAAAGATGACATAATTTGTCAGCCTATCTCCGATTCTGATATCCTCCTTTACGGTCTCTCAAGGCAGGAACGTATTAATGAACATGAATGATTGCAAACAAAGGGATGTCTTCATCTTGTTAAGCCTTGAATATTGCACGTGTCTTTGAGCCCCTAAAAGACGCGACAAAAAGTGACGATCAAAATAAACTTAAAAGTGGAAAAAGGGGTTACGCGTTTATGAGTGAAAAAGTGCATGAACAAGTGTTGGTTGCAATTAATCCAACACATGCATGATTTATACACTGATCAACTTCCTCTTGTACGGCCAAACCCCTGTCCATATTCTTGAAAGTGATCAGATGCAGTGGTAAGCACGCTAATCCGAGGTATGACCTTTTGTTCACTTTGATGAATCGGTGCTCGCTTCCTTCTCATCTAATGTATTCAAGTCGAAACCGGGTTCGGATCATAAGAAGAGGTTGCAAGCATCGGCGATAACTATTCATTTGATTTTTAATGCATAGACGCGCTGAACAAAGCGGGAAATTGGTTCATCTTTAAACCACAACCATCACCATCATCACTATCAAGGCTGCTTCCTTCAAACGATGATGGAATCGGCAAAATCAACTCCTCCGCCAGCAGCAAGTGCAAATGCGCGTAATTCACCTTTTGCTTATCAGACTAAATTATTGGAAAGGAATGGTTCTAGGAGTGGGGCTTCTTCATTTTCTCTGGCTGGCAGAGAAGGAGGATCAAATGTGCCAGGAACTCCAAATTTAAACGGGAACGGTCAACCTTCATCTGCAGATCCTAGCACACCCCTAAGAGGAATCAATGGAGCAACAGGACTTGCACACTCTAGCTCAATTAGGAGATATCCCATGCCACATCGTCATACCAACTCCTTAGACCCAAATCGTGCTGCTGAACTCAGAACGCCAGGTGGCTCAACCTCTCCTACTTCTGCTATGCATGAATTTGGAGCAAGTAATGGTCTTGCAACCCCAACATCTTCATATCTACCGTCCAATCGATCACCATTGCATACAAGCAACGCTTCTTTCTCAACCCCTACAGGATCTCAACGTCATAATAGGGGTCTATCCATGCCACCCGTTCCACGCGATATTGGAGGATCGACATCTTCCACTTACAGGCCAAGCTCTCCTTCAAAGATGAACAATAGCCCTTTTGCACGACCTGTATCTCCTACTAAAGTATCTCACGATGCACCATACAGTCCAACAAGATCTCCTGGATCCCCCGGAAAGGAAGATTCTTCATGGATCTCACCTCCTAAATCACCAAATAGCGGCGGAAGCTTTTGGAGCTCAAACGCTCAAAATACGCATCTGACACCTTCTGCTGTTCATTTGGGAGGCGTGAGTGATCTGAAACGGTCCAGTGTAGGCGCATTGAAGATCATGCGTGATTTCACAACAAAGACTGATGGATCAGGATTTGCAAGCGATGCCGGTCATCCACGTATGACTGTAGGAAAGAACAAAGGTCTAGATGGAAAGAGGGAACGTGTCGGACTTGGAGTCTTGGATGAAAACAGAGGGAAAGCAGAAGAGGATTGGAAACCTTCCAGACCAGGTAGAATGGAAAGTGAAGATCAAGAAGGTGAGATTGTTTTACCAGGTATCACAACGGGCGCGGAGGATGTTGCCGGCTTGTCTGGTCGTATTCGCTTGGCCCGTCAGAATGGACCGGGAACAGCGGCTTTGGGACGCACATCTACCGCATCTGCTTTGCCGTTCAGCAGTAGCAGTAAATGGATGGATACACAAAGACATCTTTTGCAAGCATATGAATATCTGTGTCACTGTGGTGAAGCAAAAGAATGGATGGAACATCATGTTGGCGAAGATCTTGGCGCGATTGTGGATATGGAAAATGGAATGCGAGATGGTGTATTTTTGGCCAAATTAGCAAGAAGTTTCGAGCCTGAATGTGTTCCTAGGATCTTTGTTCATCCTAAGCTTCAATATCGTCATACCGATAACACAAATTACTTTTTCCGTTTCGTCAAAAAGATTGGCTTACCCGATTCGTTCCACTTCGAGTTAACTGATTTGTACGAAAAGAAGAACTTCCCAAAGGTGGTTTATTGTATTCACGCTCTCAGTCACATTCTTGCAAGACAAGGACGTGCTCTCAAGGTTGGCAATTTGGTCGGAAAGCTAGATTTCACAGATGCTGAATTGCAACAAACACAACGTGGATTAGATGCTGCTGGTGTTGCAATGCCTAGCTTTGGTGCTCTTGGAAGAAATTTGGCCAAAGAGATGAACGAAGAGCCAGAACCCGAACCTGAAACGGAAGAAGAACGAGTGAATCGAGAATTACACGAATGCATCGATAGTGTGGTCGCTCTGCAAGCAATCGCAAGAGGATTTTTGGCCCGGAGAGCATACCACAGAAAACTTGTCGAAGAGCGCAGAAGGCAACGTGAAGCGGAAGAAGAACTTGCCCGTAGACGAGCAGAAGAAGAAGCAGAAATGGCACGCAGACGAGCAGAAGAAGAAGCACGTCGGGCCGCTGCAGAAGCAGCTCAAAGGAAGAAAGAAGAAGAAGATCGCATCGTCAACCGAGCAATGCCATCCGTACAAGCAGCAATTCGAGCAATACAGGCAAGACAAGCCTACCAGAAACGCATCTTTGCTCTGTCAGATGCTACTGAGAGTATAATTGCATTGCAAAGCGCTTGTAGGTCTGTTTTGGCTAGACGTGCTCTTTTGAATCGAATTCGCGCTATGCGTGGTTCAACGGATAGTATCGTTGCCGTTCAAGCTCAAGTTCGTGGTGTACTTGCAAGACGAAACTTTGTTCATCTTCGTTCAGCTTTACATAAAGCAGAGGTAACGCGATCCATCGGAGGTCTGCAATCACTTGCTCGGGCCGCTTTGGTGCGTAAACGTCATGCTGAACAATCAAAGAAGTTGGAATTCGTTCAACCAGATGTCATTGGCATTCAATCTCATATCCGAGGTGCTTTGGCACGTAGGGAATATGAATGGTGGCGACAACATTTGGTGGACAGTGAACCTGTCGCCATTCACTTGCAATCCCTCATCCGTGGTCTATTGGCCAAGCGCTCTTTCCAATCAAAGATGAGACATTATCGTGAACATATGGATAAAGTTGTCAAGATTCAAAGCTTGTTCCGCGGTAAACAACAAGGTGAACAATATAGAAGTTTGACCATGGGCAAAAACGTTCCGGTTTCTACCATTAAGAACTTTGGTCACTTGCTCAACGATAGCGACTTTGACTTTGAGGATGAAATTGAAGTTGAAAGATTACGCAAGCTGGTCGTCAAGAGCATTCGTGAGAATCAAACGCTCGAAAATGATGTTGCTGAACTTGATACAAAGATTGCCCTTTTGGTCAAGAACAAAATTGGAATAGAGGATTTGGTCAAAGCCAAGCACGAGCGTGGTTTGCTTCGTCATATGGATGCTAATGCGCAATTACAAAGGAGAAATTCACTTCTTTCAGCTGCCGGAGATCCATTTGCAGAGCATACGCTTGACAGACAAGCAAGACGCAAATTGGAATTGTATCAAGAACTCTTCTATACCTTGCAAACAAGACCAGAATATCTTGCAAGACTCTTTGCGCGTGTCGGTCGATTTGAAATGGCTGACAAACAAAGAAAGCATATGGAAAAGATTGTTTTGACTTTGTTCGGATATGCACAGAAAGCTCGTGAAGAATTCTTGTTGCTCAAGCTATTCCAAAGATGTGTCAGTGAAGAGTTGAGTCTCGTTCAAGGCGTTCAAGAATTCGTTCGTGGAAATGCACAATTCATCAAATTGGTCGTTCAGTACAATCGTGGTGCAAAAGAAAGACAATACTTGCGCGACTTGCTCGGACCTCTAGTTCGTGGAATCATGGACGATGATGGTTTGGACTTGGAAACGGATCCATGCTCCATTTATCGTGCCACGATCAATCAAGAGGAGATGGAGACAGGGCAGCCCAGTCAAAGACCTCTTGAAGTGAACTTCCATGAAGCATTGGCAGATCCCATGGCAAGAACAATCTTTATCAGACATTTGCAAGCTTTACGCGCTACTACTGAGCTCTTCTTGAACACCATTCTTACATCAACCAACAAGATGCCTTATGGCATCCGTTATATCGCAAGAGAAGTATACCGTAGCCTACAAGAAAAGTTCCCACAAGAAAGTCAAGACGCTCTTTTGAAGGTTGTGGGCAACTTGGTTTACTACCGCTACCTCAATCCCGCTATTGTTGCACCAGAAGGATTTGATGTTGTTGAAAGGTTGGTCGGACCAATGCAACGCAAGAACTTGGCAGAAATTTCCAAGATGCTCACTCAAATTGCAGCTGGCAAATTGTTCTCTGATGATAACCCATACTTGCAGCCATTGAACGAATACGTACAACAAGCCAGTAATCGATTCAACGAATGGCTTTTGGGTGTTGTTGAAGTGGGAGATGCTGAACAACATTTCAATGCGGATGAATTCTTGGACCACACCGTGCCTCACCGCCCTGTGATCTATATCTCACCCAACGAAATCTATTCGATGCACTGGCTCGTTTCACAGCAATTGGATCATATGGCACCATTGCCAGAAGATCCTCTACGTGTCACACTGGCCGAGTTGGGAGCACCACCTGTTTCAGCGACACAAGAGCTCAATACAGCCCGTGATACCGAAATCACGTTCGAGCTGCTTTCTAGACGTACGTCACTCAAGGATCCTGAAGCAGAGACAAAAGCCTTGTTCGTTGAAACGAAGAGATTGGTGCTTTGCCTATTAAAGGTTCAATCTGGCAAGACTCTGGTTGACGTCTTTGTTGAGCCGGTCACTGAACAGAATGAGATGACATGGGAAGAAATTGTTTCTTTGGAAGTGGCTGCTGATCGTCAACGTCAACGTGGACAAAGACCACCAGTGCCCGCGGATATGGCCTTGCAAATGCGTAGCCCTAGACTGGAAGATGTACGCAGGATGTCTTTTGCACAATTGAAAGCACGTACGTTGGAGAACATGTTAGAGTTGGAGAAGCTGGGCAAAGTATCACGCGCAAACAAGTATCAAGAAATGCTCAATGCAATCGCAATTGATATTCGCAACAAACATCGTAAACGTATCCAACGTCACAACGAAAAGGTTGCCATGCACACAACTTTGCAAAACTTGAAAGAAAAGAAGGCTTATATCGAAGAACAAATCAATAGCTATCACAGCTACATCGATGCTTCTATGTCAACAATGCAAAAGAAAGGTCGAAAGAAGTTCGTCTTACCCTTCACACAACAATACTTCCACGTACGCAATCTTAAAGCATCAGGAAAGATGCCCAAATTTGGCTCATACCGTTACACCGCCCAAAGGCTATTCGAAAAAGGAGTTTTGCTATCTTTGGATCAATTCTCTGAAAAACAATATGATCAAATTCATCTAACGATCAGCAGTGATGAACCCGGTCTGTTCACCATCGATGCTAGCGTTTTGGGCGTTAGCGGTGGCAGTGTGGATATTCGTATCGAAGATCTTTTGGAAGCACAATTTAGCGGTCAAAGTACGTTAAGCTTGATGGATCGTGCTTGTACGGTCAATCTCAATTTGCTCATCCATTTAATCAACAAGAAATTTTATGCTTGAAAATTGATGCAAGCTTTCCCACAAAACGCTTTCGCTTTTACATTTGTACATGCTCTTTTTCCCCGCCCTTTTTCCTTTTCAAGCCAAACTGTATTCGATCTGTTGGTTCTTTTTCCGGTCCATGTTTCCTTTCTTGTAGGTTTTCTATAGTCTTTGCTCTTCTCTATGCTATTCGAAAAATAAACATGTGCATTGTATATACGATGAGGATGAAAAATTTATTGATTGTAGCTTTATATTGCGTATCATACAGTGTGTTTATGTGCCTTCCTCAAGCCTCTTGATCTCCATACGACCGAGATGGTCGACTATTCTGATAGGCTCTGGCTGTCTATACTCCGTACAAAGAGCCAGAGTCATCTTTACTGCATCAATCTGCGAGATTCCAACTCCGCTTGAAACGAATAACGGGTTGATGTTATCTTGTGTTCTTACCATATGACCTGCCAGCTGTCCTTGAACGTAAAGTGGTATCGTACTTCCACGAGGGCTAGGTAAAGTACTTTTGAGAGGATGAAAGTCCACTTTATCAGGGTCTTCCGTACGAGTGCGATCTTCATCTTGCATGTTTGAATCTATCGGAGCGCCAATCAAGTATGTTTTGCCAACGCCAAAAGCGGGCAATCCGAACAAGAGACCTAAATGACATGCAAGTCCACACAATCTCGGATGCAAGGTTCCATTACCATCGCACATTAACACAATGTCATTAGCGAGGTCATAATGATTTGCTAGATTCGTATATCTTTCATTGGCAAGCAAGTCGCCAACTACTTTTGCCAGGAGAGGCACCTCGCGAAATGCCAGTAAGCCCGGTATGTATTCAAATGAAGACGTTGGCTGTGAGAGAGCTTTTTGTGCTACAATCTCGTTTTCGATCGTATCGTATACGATCCCAGCCGCTACGCTCAGGTTTGAGTTTGTCGAGTAGCCTATATCGAGTGCTAATATGAACCGAGTCGAAGGTGAACACTCCAGAGGTGGAGCATCTTGCAAAGCTTCTTTCACTCTACTTTCCAATCGCATTGCTTCCCTTTCATCTTTGACATTCTCATACTCTTCTAGTAAAGGTTTGGAAAGGTTAGCCACTCGACCTCTGTCATCGCAGCACATATCACCATGCTTGTGCCTTGCCCATCAATTGAGGAGAGTGGTTATGATTCGGAATATAAAAGTGTTGGTTGTATGCACCAACACTACGCGTCCCGGTCAAAAGGCAGTGTCAGATTACGCAGGGTTAAGAAAACACTTCAATCAATATGTTTGAGAAGGTAAGTATGTACAGGACAAAATTACATGAGCGACTAATGCTCTCTCTTCGCATCATTCCACGGGTATATACAAAGCTCTCATTGCTTTGATAGTCATTGACTGGCTGAAGGTGAGGCGCTGCTTTGTTGATAGCTCGACTCTGCTTGAGAGATTGCCGCTTCTTCTTGATAAGCCTCTTTTCTCTCTTCGATGGCTTTTATTATTTCTTCATCTGCAATTTTATAAATGTTGATCTTATTCGGATGCAAAGAATCATCCTTGTCACCTATATTTCCTTCTAAGAAATCGGCTTTGTTCAACTTTGGCCGAACGTTACGCATGCTTAAATAATCTCCAGCTTTAATATCCTGAAGAATATCTGTATGTTCCCAAACGTACACTGGCATCACTCGGCCACCGCCTTCGTTTCTCTCTCTCTCCATTTGCTTTTTCAATTCATCTTGAGTGTACACATTCAATCGAACATCTTGTGCCATCGGCAGACGAGGATGGCAGGTATAATCCGTAACATAAATGCAAGGCTGTAAACCATCCCACATGGAAACAACCTGTACTTCTGCATTGAAGAAAACAGTTGGTTCAACTTCTGATAATTTCGCCTGTCTACGTCTTCGACTTTCCACCGGAGCAGGTGTGCCAATACTCTTGTACATTCTGTCAAAATGAGTTCGCATCTCATCACAGAGAATCATTGGCCTTGCGATCTCCATACTTTTGGAAAATTGAAATTTACCCGTTTCTGCTGAAAGTACAATCCAGCCTGTACTACCTTTATAGCCTGTTCCTTGGATAGCACTATTGAATTCTCTTGTAGCAAAATTTACTATGGCAAGCATATCACCTGCCTTGCAACTGGGAAGATCGCTTTGCTTCGACTCGAAAAGATTGAAAGTCATCAAAGGCTTATAACCTTGTAACGGAAAAACATCTTCCAAATACGCCGTTAGCTTATAATCTCCCGTGCCGCTTCCTGCTCTGATGATTTGTTCATTTGAAGTGACACGTCCAAAGGTGTTTTGCTTCTTGTACATGCAAGTCACTTTACAGATTGGTGTGATCAAGTATCCCCCTACAGTACGTTGCTCCTGAGCTTCAGCAATTGCCTTTTTGGACATCGTCTTACCTCCTCTGAAAGTGTTGGCTGTCGTGTTGGATTGATTGGAGGTCGCAGGCTTTTCTGATATGTTTGAGCTACTCTTCTTGAATGACGGTGTTGGTGTATTTGTGTCCAGAGGCAAAGTGTCCATCGGACGTCTATCGATGCGAACGGGTGCAGGAGTATCGAGCCAATCAGGCTCTACCGATGAGGCAATCGAACGCTGTTTCTGTGACCGATGGCTGGATGGATCGTTTTCGTCTATCGATTTCCTTTTCGTTGAGAAAATAGGCGAGAGAAATTCTTCCTTGCGAGGATTTGCTTGGCTTTTTTGCGATACGGTCTCTTCTTTGCAAGAAATTGTCTGGTCTTTCTGTTTCCTATTGTCGGATTGTATATTTGAATTCTCATCGACGGCTGGAGGTGTAGGCAAGCTTTTCTGTTGCGGACGATTGACAGATGGCGAAAGATGTTGACTCTGCGGGGGTGTCGAAAAGATCTCAGGTTGTGGTTCTTCATCCGTCGCATCCGCTTTTCTTTCTTCTGCTACTTCGCACAAGCTTGGCTTTTCTACTATGACTGCTTCACTGACATCAAGCCAGCCGTGCCATGCCGAATGCTGATTGTCGCTCTTGAATTGTGAAACGTCTAGCATATACAGACAACAAGCATTTGCCGAAAAGGAAAGTTTATCGCTGCTTGGATGAATGATTGCTCCTGCGCCAGATAAGATGAATGGGTTGTACTGTTGAGGTCGAAAGTATTCTTTAACTTCATTAAACCACCTTCCCGGGAAGGCCAAATTTAACTTTTGATTATCTGCAGTGATGACAGACATTGCCCATACACCTTCTCTACGTCCAAGATAATCGACATTTTTGATCATCAGACATGACATCGCACCACGACTTTGTGCAACTTTGATGATCCATTGTGCCGTATTGCATAATCGACCTAATCTGCCTTCTTTTTCATCATCCAATTTGTATTGTCCGATAAGATTACAGATTTGTTTCTTTCGCAGCTTTGATGCGGTGCTCTCTTCGTATGTTGATGTAGTTATGGCATCACATGATACCAAATGATTCTTTTGTCCTTTCATATTTGTGTGTGTGGAAGGTGATGAATGAATGCGTATTGGAGAAAGACCAACACTTTCTTTATTCTTCATGACGCGTAAAAATACGCGTTCCCAACTTTTAATAAGAGCACAACCCCGCATAGCACTGAACCCACACACACATGCTAATCTTTTTTACGCTAATGAATAATCCTGTTGCTTGCTTACTTTTCATTTTGGCCGCTTTCTTATCGGCCGGCGGAAGCGGGAACAAGAGATTAGCTTCTAGACTTCCAAGAGGCTGTGTCTAACTCTAAGAACTGTGGAGTAGAGGACCACATGGTAAATGAAGATATCACTCTTTAAAGTAGATATGTGTACAATCTTTTCTTATCACTCATACCATCATCGTAAGAACACTTCGCAATCATGTTCGCAAAAAGCTATCCAAACACCTTCATCTCTATCCTGCTTACTATCTCAGCACTAATCATTGGATCGGTAAGTTAAGCTAATATGATCGAAATGTGCTTGGATCGCTGAACGAATCCCTTCTTTCATTCACCCAATCAGCTTGCTACAAAATCAACACCAGCTCCATCTCCTGCTCCTGTGGTATATGCAGTTCCACAACCTTCCCTTCAAACCGACAGTCTAGCAAGTTCGATTGACAGTGTTCCAATTTCAGGTCAATGTATCATCAGTATTTTGCATAATAGTGAAACGGGCGGACCTGTTGTTCCCGTATCACAAGAATCAAATTCGTTCAAAGATTGTGGGGTTAGTCCTTCATTCATTACATCAACAACCACAACAACAGGTTCAACCAGTACTGTCACAACCACAAGCACAATGGGCGGTTCTCTATCTTCTGATACAGCTTCGCCTTTACCACCTTCAGATTTTTCTTCTTCCGCTTCCATCGTCAGTTCAACGTCATCTGCAGCAACTTCTGCTCCGGCTGGCAGTAATGCAGGATCTCCTCAATTTTCCTCTATTCAATCTTTTGCTATCTCAATTGTCATTCTTCCCTGTATTCTCGCTTTTGCTCTTCAATTACTCTGATGTGGCATGTCATTCAATGTACAAATTCGTATGCGTGGTAAAAAGTGAAAGAAAGATACATAAACAGAATGAGTAGATCAACCTTGACGTCTTGATTTGCCAGGACGTTGTGATGATCCTCTGGATTTCATTCCTCCTCTGCCTCCTCTTGAGCCACCTCTTGCACCACCGCGAGATCCTCCACGCGATCCGCCTCGACCTCTACTGCTTCCAAAGTCATTTGTGCTTTCACGAGTGTTCTCTTTAGAATGACGTTTCTTTCCACCAAAGCCGAACTTTGAATCACGAGCATCACGTCTCATCTTTGGTGCTCCTCTCTTTCCACCTCTTCCTCCGCGTGTGGCAGATGATCTATCACCCTTTTCGCCTTCCAAGGCAGATTCCAATCGAATGTTAAATTCATCATCATCACCTCCATCATCTCCGTCTAAAGCGCCATTTCTCTTTCTTTTGAGTCCTTTTACTTTTTCTTCGAAATCACGTTTATTACGTTGACGTTCAAGTTGTTTTTCAACTTGAACCTTTTTACCGAATTTCTTGAGCTCGCGTTGCTTTCTTGCATCTTCTGATGCTTTCAATCCTGCCTTTTCGTCCAACAACTTTTGTCGAACACGTTCCATATGTTCATCAGATTTAACCATCTCTGCGAAAAAGTCTGATGGTCGTGTGAATGGCAAATTGGCTTGCTTTGCCAGATTTCTTCCTTCGACTGCAGCGTGCAAAGCTTGTTTATAGAATTCCAATTCTCGTTTCAAATCATCATCTTTCACTTCTGCTGATTCACCAAGCTCTTCTTGAATCGATTTAGGATATGAGACCGCCAATGTTTCGATCCAAGGTAGCGCTTTTCCATTTTGCCCTAAAGCAATACTGTCGCGAATCCGTTTCAGCGCATCTTCATTGTTAATCTTTTCGCGATACATACGTTGAGATCGAACGGATTCAGGCAAAGCTGCCAAAGCTGCATCCGAGAGTGATTCAAGAGGAATGGCAGATTCATCTCCTTCCTCGTCATCTTCTTCATCCTCTTCATCTTCCTCCTCTTGTACAAGGCCGCTTCTTGCGATACTTTCTGCAAGAGAGGTTCCTTTACCAGCAGGGACTGCAGCGTCTGCTTCTAGTTCCTCATCTTCGTCTTCCTCACTCTCTTCCTCATCGTCCAGCTCTGCATCCTCGCCTAGCTCTTCGTCATCATCTTCATCATCATCCTCGTCTTCTTCAACCTGCCCTGTGACAAGACCCAAATGGGCTCTGTCTAATTCCGTCAATCCATCCTCCCCCAGAGCTTTCATAAGTCTTTCCAAGCCACGTTGACTGACGTCTTGATCTTCGTCCTCATCTGATGATCCTGATTCGGATTCCTCTTCCTCTTCTTCTAGTTCTGCTTGTACCTCCTCCTCTACTTGTGCTTTTGCTTTGCCTTTGCCTGCTGTGGCCTTGGCTTGTGTCACCTTTTTGGCAGGTGCGACTGCTCCTTTTGCCTTTACTGCCATCTTTGTTTGATTTGAGGCAGATTGTGTGATGACTTTCAAGAAGAGTGATAGCAATCCACCATAATATTCACAAGAGCATATGCATACTCTTTTATTCTTCTTTCTTTGGATCCAAAATTTTTGGATTTTTTGCAACACGTGACTGGCGCCTTGCAACGCGCTTCTTCTCGTAAAGACAAATTACCTCCCGCACCTTTTCATTCTACTGTACCGATTTTATGGGACGTCATCATTCTATCATGATCGAAACATTCCACAATATATTAATTGTGTCTCTCACTTTGAGACAATCAAGGGTCAATCGCCCCACAAATGTTATCTATTTGACTCAATTTATGTGATAGTAAGACAATATGCCGTTCTGAGTCTTTAATAATCGTACGAATGATGATTGCAAAGGGGGTTATGCTGATTGATAGGAGGATGTTGAAATTTTAAAAGTCCGAGTGTGAACCCCATGCCATGCCATTGAATTGCGAAATAGGTTGTGTGGCTTTAAAGTCGAGACAATCCTCAATCCATTTGCGGACACGCGGGACTTTTATTTTATGTATCTTCAAGCCGTAGGGGGGTAACACACTCGCCCTGCACACACGCGTTTTTATTGAATAGCCTGGCTTTTTTTTGACCGGTGCGTCGGGCTGTTGGAACGAACGGTTGACCGAGTTGATGTCATTGTTTATACGCTAGAAATGGTCTAGTGAATAAAAAAGGTACACAATGGACATGCTCTTTGTCCACTAATTCGGGTTAGAACAAAAAAGTGCTCTCTTTTAGCCTCTTTCAGGCATAAGATCTTTAGATACTTCATGTAGGCAATCAGATCTGCGAGATCGGACAGAGAGCAACCATCCTATTGTTTAAGAGGGTCTCACAAGCCACTGGCATATATGCATTTGTCTCACAAGAATAGAAATGGATGATAATAACATCGTACGAATAATATAGTGATAATATGCGCTATCTTATTTCCGAATATATTCAATTTGATTCATATTGTTGACATCAGTGAACCACCATTCATTAAGATGACAACTTTTGACTGATGGTTTGCATCGACGATCACGCTAAATCAAACTACCTTTCCAAAAAAGGTACATTACTTACTCCAAACAAGCATCAACAATTTAACAATAAATGAGCAATATAACTTTAAACAAACAAATCTTCCGACTGATCTTTAGGCTGAAAAAGGGGTCTCCGAGGTGTACAGAGCAATCTTTTGATGGTGATTAATAATTTACATTTAAACACATCCTAATCCGGTCCTTTTTTTAATCTCCTCCCCAAAATCTATCATTTGTTCGCATGCATCTTTGATTCAGTCAGAAACCCAATCCCGGCTTGTGGGCAAAGATGTCTAATAAATCTCCGCGTAAAGCGCAATGGGGAATGCATCAACATAGACATAGACGGGATCCATCACCTTCTGGAGCCCAATGGGATGCTTCAATCACGCTTAGAGCAGTTCAAAGTGAATCTTTACAAATGAGAAATCCATCAAACGTATCAAAATATCCTCCTTCTCCAACTTCCACAACCTTTTCATCAGCTTCTTATAATACACTTCCAAGTACAATGATGACGACAAACACATCTTCTACAAGTACGAGTAATCGAACTACAATGTCAAATTCAACCGATCCCCCTATTGGTCAACAAGCAATCAATCTAAGAGGAAGGCCAGCCGGTTTTCATTCTTATAGCTTATCTGTCGATACAGCAAAAGCACAACAACAAACGGCTTTAGGACTCTTTCGATCGACAGAAGCAACTTCTCCAACTTCAACCACCGGAAGTCAATATCATTATTGGCGTGGAGGTGATTCGCCCGTTTTAATGAAAGGAAGTGAACCGCCATTCAATTATGCAGAAAGAAGGCCTTCATGGACCCAAGAAAATGTATCTTCTACTCGTAGGGGGGCTCCATTACTTTCACCCACTTCAACTTCATTCGATCAGCCCAGAACACAACATAAAAGAGCGGAAAGTCATAGCAATCCATTAGACAACATTAAATTGATCGAACAAGAAGCCAAAGCTTTGATGCTTTTGAGATCTGAATCAGGTCAAAAAAGCGAGAAGAATGCGCCCGTGAAGCCGTTGCGGATATCATCAAGGATGCCTGAAGGAGTTACAGACTATTCTTCTGCCGAGAAAGAAGGTAATAAGGAAAGAGTCAGATTTGACGATTCACGGCCTACTGCGAAGAGATCATTGACTGTTGAGCCGACGCCAACATCTCGACCATCATTCTTTAAGAAAGCGTTTGGATCTCCACTGAAAAAGACTGAGAAGGAAGCAAAAGAGGAAAGACGAACAACTCAAACAATGCCAACGACACGTTCAATCGTTCGTAATAGCCATTCTTCTTCTTCTTTACGTCAGAAAAGTAAACAGAGAGATACATTAACGCGAATGATTTCTGCTCCAACATTGATCGAGACAAGTTCAACCGCATCTCCCGTACAAACCCAAATGCAATTCCCACAAAATGACAGAAAGGAAACATTGCCAAAAGCCGAAGATTCAATTGCTGGCTTGAACGGCAATCAACCCAAAAGACGTAAACGAGCACCTCCACCGCCGCCACCGCGAAGAAAACACTCAGAGAATTCTACAAACACTCAAAGTTCAAGATCACCAATCTCACCACTTTCTCCAAGCGAGCCTCTCACTCCACCGGAGGAAAAAGGTGGTGATATAGCAGCCATTGTAGGATATAGCGATGAAGCTCAATTCAGAAAAAATTCTGCTTCGACTATCCGAAAGAATTCGGCCGTACACATGACTGAAGATTTCTCTCTGATCGGTCATATGCCGTTGGATTTCATCAATGGGGTGGGGAAGGAAAGAAAGTTTTCAAACACTGAATCACTCGGTTCAATCTACGATCAAGAAAGTTGGGCAGGTCATACACCACAAGAGAATGAATTAGCATTACCTTCGCCTACTTACCAACACGCCAAATTGAGTGGCGGCAAGAACCGTGGAAGAAAAAAGAGTGATCTTTCTCCTTTGGTCAAAGATCGTATTGTAGAGCTTCAAGAGCCAGATACGAGTATTGATACTTCTGATACAAGTAATGAAAGTCAACAATCTTCTTCGCACTTGCTCTATCTGGATGAAATACGCGAAACACGCAGAAGATCACAAGTGAAGGATGATCGACGAGCAACCGTTTATGAAGATGCAGATTCAGGTCTGGCTTCCAACGAAGAATCTTTGAATGCGGAAAGCGACTCTGAATCACCAATCATCGTTAAGCGAAGACCATCTGAGCCTAGATACTACAAAATCGTTCGAACGACAGATGAAGATTCGAATGAACTGGAGTACCTTGATTCAATCCATCTTTACGATGAAGAAAGTCAATCAGAGCTCACAGAAGAAAGTTCTTCGGTCACTGCATCTTCGATTGAACGTGCGAACAGTTCTTTAACCACTGCAGAACAAGAAGAAATCAATCGATTCGTCAAGAATTACGGAAAGAATATTCGTTCAGTTCGTGCTTCAGCTTTGATGGATTTAGACGATGCCGCTCAAAGACCTTCATCGATCGAGAAAGTATGGCAAGAGAGACAAGAAGGCAAGCGAAACGTGATCAGCTTTGTTCTGGCTACTATCTCTGGCACGATGACCTACTTGACGCCGATCAAATTCAAAGATATCCATCAAATCCGCAATTACAATAATATAAACGAATCGGATCATCAAGTAGAACAGTTTCATATGGAGAGCTTGAAGGATAATTGTGAAAGATTGTTCTTGGCTTCTGTACCGATGTATGAAATGTTGTTTACTCGTCTATGGCATATTTCTCATTGGTCGAAAAAGTTGGAATCCTTGTCATGGTTTACGGCTTACTTCACACTTTGGTACTGTGATGCTCTCATCCCGGGTGCTTTGGCAATCCTCATCTTCAAAATTGTCAATGAACGGGAATCCGGCAGAAAGCGTGGAAGTATGCTCACTTCGGAAGAGTTACAATCACGTTCAAAAATGCTTGAACAATTCAGTGAAGGTGTCAAAATAGATCCGGCTTCTATGTCTTCTTCCGCAACATCTTCTCCAACTTTAGCAGGTGACGAAAACAGCTTCACTTCCTCTTCCTCAGAAGTCACAAACGCTTTACGTCAACATACTCAGGCCATTTCCAACTTTACTGCAAAAGTTGCCGATATCCATGAACGAATGTACAACATGTCAAGATGGTCTTATACGCCTGCAACAGTTCGAACACTGATTATCGTTGGATTCACGATGGCTATCTCACTCTTTTTCAATGCAAGTCAAATTCTTCATTGTGTTGAGTTGATTTTTGGCGTTCACTTTTTCATCCTTGTTCCGATTCTTTCTCGATTCAAATCTTTATCTGGCAAGGCGAACTTTTCAATCTTCTCACTCTTCGATTTTGCCTTATCAGGTGTCCCAAATGACGCTCAAAACGCTCTATTGATCATGCGCAAGAGTAATGCGAACGAAAGTGATCGAGAATCAAAACAATCAAGAGACAAGCGTAAATGCATCGCAGAATTTGATGATGTAGTCATTCAACCTGCTCACGCTCGAGGAGGACGTTATCGCACCAAAGAAGATTCACCCACAAAGATGACCTGGGCAGCGAAAGAAACAACGTTTACAGCAACGTATGATGATCAAGTCGGATTACTGATGATTTCTTCTAAACGTATCTTGTTCAGAACTGGTGGTCCTTCTTTTATCGTTTTGTTGGATATCGAACTTGAACAAATCGCTCAACTTGATAAAGTTCGCAAAGCAACAATCAAGGATTCCATCCGCAACGAAGGCTTGCGAATCACCGTTAAGCAAGATTTCGGTACAAACACAGAGCCAAGTATTAGCATTCATACTTTTTTGAATATGAATTTGCGAGATGAAGCTTTCAATCGTGTTTTGGCTTTAGCCCCACAAAGGTGGCACAAACAAATAGGAGTCAATTCTTCTACCTAATTTCACACATTCTTTCACATCATTATACCACAACATACCTAGCATAACCCCCACCCATATAGAACACTTTCATTTGATTTCAAATTGCATCAATTTTTGATTAAGAATACAAACTACAATACAGCGTAAGAAAGAAGTACCTCTAAAGCATTTGTTGAAGTAACATCTCCACAAACAGGCTTCCTCCTGGTGATAGACCAGGGTGTAATCGATCTACCTGATGATGATCTTGACCGATCATCAACGTTCCCCAATCCATATCCACTACACTTCCTTTTGTTAATCTTGCACTTCGATTTCGCCTTCCCTTTACGATATCATCCCCGGTTGGATATAATACAGACTTTCTTGCCAAGTTTAATGCCATGATTCTGTTCATATGGAACAAAGGATGATCGGTAGTCTGAGTGAGAAAGAGTAGTGGTGTTAGTATGACATCCCAAATGTTCCTAAATGTTTTTCCGATTCAACGCTTTTTAGCAGGGTGGGCGTATGCAGGGTTATCTGTGCGTGCATACGCTTGATAAGATTCGATTTTGATCCAGAAGGTTCTCCACTAAGCACGCGTACTGCAACAGTCAAAAGATTGTCTCCTCTCCATCATCACCTTTAAATACGATTCAAGAAATGCAACAGATATTCCCGTTACCATCGCTGTGAGACTAGGCCGTTTGGCAGAAAGCATTTGAGGCTAGCCAAGAAGTAAGGTTGCTGTGGCTTATATCGCCTGAAGAAATTGACATGACAGCAATTCGCGGACCAATCACATTCCAATCACAATCCTTTGGAAATCCCTTTTTCTCTGACAAGATGAGAAAGAGGACTAGACACGATCGCGATATCCGAAATAGGCTGCATGATCGTTCTGTAACGGATCACAATGCCAGTGCAAGCAGTTGGGGCGCAGCAGATTTCTCAGAATCCGAATCAACAACATCTTCCAGTTCCGATTCTGGCTTTGATGCTGATATCGAAACACCGCTCGATAATACTGCCGATCCAGATGCCACTCTCACACAGCCGCCTCCACGAAAAAGAAGGCATTTAGACGCTGATGATGTTGGTCGTTTTGCTAGCATGTCAATCGAAAGAAATAGCAGATATCGCGACAGGAGAGGCATTCAACCAAGTGAAGTAATCACTCCAGCATCACCAAAGCTCCATCCAATCTTTGACACAAATGCGACTTTGCAAACACCGCAGCAACACCAGGGAATATTTCCGAACGATGTGCTGGAAATGAAACCTTCAAGTGTCGAGGAACCCCTGGAGCCTGATGAAGTAATGCGAGCACGAAGAGGACCAACGACCGTTCAACTGGACTCTGATCGCTTCTTTGTGACATCTTTGGACGATTCGTCATCGGATGAAGAAGAAAGTACAGAGAAAGCTGAAAAGGAAAGGGTGAATCGAGTGATGGAACATGTGACGGATACGCAATTGAGGGATGTATTATCCTCGGCTTCAAATCAAAACAGCAAAGACGACTCCAATCTTGTCATCAATGGCGAATTGATTTCCAAGTTGCAGGCTCTCGAATGGCAACAGAGAATGGGCATCATACGCGACAAAGCCGCACGACCTCTTTTCAGCAGTCCGTATTCTACGCCAAAACTTCGAAGTAGTTCCACAACTCCGGAAAATCTTGCTTCAGGATCGGCGTTAATCCTCTGGCGACAGCCTGACAATCTGACTTTAAATTTTGGCAAGACGAGTTTGCCAATGACTGCCCCGCAAAACCAAACATCTGATTCGCCGGTGGTGTTTGAAGATGGACAGTTTGCATATGTGCATAGGCCAACTTCCACCGATCAATCAGCCGCCATGAATGAAAGCTTACCAAGCGATGGTATGCAAGACGACACCATGGATGTGGACTGAATCTCCGTCTTTTTGTGTCGTTTCCCCTCCCACTGTACCATTAGAACCAGCATCATGTACAAAAGAAAACAATTCCGAATCGTATCACAATTGCTCAATATCACACTCACCGTTTTAGTATCATCCGTTTGTGCTCCTGTCCACCATTCCAACGTAGTTTGCTCTGCATCCGGTGGTGCATGTATGCTACGCCAACCAACTTTTGCCTCTTTCCATGCACTTTGTATTCCGGTAAGCATGTCCACATATCTTGATCGCCAAGAGAATAGCCGGTGTTCGCTCAAATCTTCCACCAGACTTCGCATCATTGTACTGTCTTCGGTTGCGAATCTTGCAAGGTCCCAGAACGAGCTCGATAGGATTACTGTATCTGGCCATGGGTGAGATCTTGGCGGTGGTAAGTTGGGTGAAGATGGATGACTTTGAGCCATAGAATTGAGTAAAGGGATATACAGATCCTCCATCCGATGCTCGAATAAACCCGGTGCAGTCCATGCAGGTAGTCCTTGGAATATATCTCCAATATCGCCTCCCAAATGATATGTTGAAACCAACAGAAAGTCAAAATCAGGAACATGACAATAATGCGCCAAAGCTTTTTGACCTGGATCTGTGCTAATGTATGAACTGTGATCGGTGAGCTTTATTGCATGTTCTTTTGGAACCTTTAATAGAGCTTCTCCCCAAGGATGATAACGATCAACAGCTACGACAGATTGGCCTACCAAAGTGCAGAAATGTTGTAGCAGGAAATGATCTGTTTCATCTCCGATCATCACCACAGTCTTGTTTGAAACCTTATTCTGAATCGCTTCTTTTGTGACTAATTGCGATGGCGGTAAGGCGGTTGTATGGTAAGGTGATGATTTCAAGGCTGCCAATAGAGCCGGTAAATATCCCTGTACGTTGCAAGAAGAATCGTATGTCCGATATGTTGCCAAGCCGGAAGGTAGTTGTGCTAAAAAGCCTGGCAAGAGGAATGGATCGCATGCAGTCGCTTGATCGGCTTTTGATGTACTGTCAATAATGCCTGCAAACGGGCCGAAAGATGCCAAAAAAGAAGCGGCGATCATCATTGCTGATATCATCGTTAGTGCTCGATAACATCTTGGTACTAGATTAGGTGCTTGTAAGAACCTTCTTATTTTTGAACCGCCTGTATAAGTTGCTCCATTGCCTATCACTCCGTTACGATGAGATGGATTGCCGTACCTTGGCTTTACCAAAGGTTTGTATTGATTTGACGGCATGTTTGAATGGTGATTGCTATTAAGAAGACAACTTCATTCTTCTTCTTAATCCCTGCCCTGCTAGCGCGGCACAACGCTAAAGAGAAGAGATCAACACTTCTCATCTCGCACGCGCCACTTCTCGGTCAACCTTCAACTTTTAGAATTTACAGAGAAGCTTCAATTCAGTCCACCATCACAGATGAAGGTGAAACTATGATGCCATTCACACATCGTATTTTAGTTTTCATCGCTGCAATAGGATTGGTGGTCACATTTTGGCAAGGTCCAGCAGTTTCGGCATGGTTGGCATATCATAGTAAAAGTCTCTCATCACAGCAATTATTCAGCTCCAGCTCTCTCGATGAGATCATTCAAAGAAGAGTTGTTGCAGTGGCAGATTTGCATGGTGATTTGGAACATGCACATAACGTCTTGCGAATGGCACATTTGATCGATAATGAGGATGTGCCAAATTGGATAGGAGGTCATGACGTTCTCGTTAGTACGGGTGATATTGTCGATCGAGGAGATGATACGATTGCACTTTATCAAATGTTTCAAAGGTTACGACAGCAAGCTCGATCACAAGGTGGTGATGTGTTGAACTGTATCGGAAATCACGAAATGATGAACGCTCTGATGGATTGGAGATATGTAACAAAAGGCGATTTGAAGAGCTTCGGAGGAGCAAAAGCAAGAAGGCATATCATGTCTACCGATGGTTGGATAGGACAAGATTGGACATCAAACTTTTCCATATCCCACACGATCGAGCTCTTGTCACCCTCTCATCTTCCTCCGTCGTTATCGAAAGCGTACAGCGTTCCTAGAGCAAGCTTTGTACATGGCGGCATTCATCCAAAGTGGGCAGCTTTAGGCCTTTCACACATTAACCAAGTAGGTCATAGCTTATTGGTAAAAGCACTTTCCAATCCTAAACCTCAAGGTTGGCTACCGGACGGCACAACGAAAGAAGAGACTGAATTTTATGGTGAAAATGGTCCGCTATGGTATCGTGGTTATGCACTTGACGAAGAAAAAGCCGTTTGCAATGAAGCGGACAAAGCACGAATAGATTTAGGCGTACGACATCTGGTTATGGGACATACTCCTCATCTTTCAGGCTTTGTCATTCGTTGTTCAGGCAGCGTTTTGTTGATTGATACCGGCATATCACGTGCTTATGGTGGAGAACAATCAGCTTTGATCTTTGATACTTCTGTTCAGCCAATTCAGGGGAAAGACGTCTGGGAGGAAAAGTCAACGATCACTGCTCTGTATAAAGGCCGCATGCCAAAGATTATCGATTCAAAAGTACGTCATATTGAGGTGTGATGGAATTCCGTTGTGAATATTGCTTTGTCTATAATAGATTTATTTTTTCGTTCGAATCTTGGCATGGGAAAGTTCTCTTTTGGGGCTAATGCGTTATTGATTCTGAGAAAGAAGCAATTCTGGTTCTAAAAACATTTTAGAAGAGCAACATTTGTCGGTGCCGAGTCGTATTTCCCCACAATTTATGCGTCATCTTATGTCAGATGATTTTTAGACTTTAATCAAGTAAAAATAGAATTTGCAACTCAAACTATCAATATTGACATCATGGGAACCAGCTTAAGCAAGTACCTTTACGCCCAGCCGGAAAAGTTAGTGCTCCCCCTGAAAAAAAGAATGCATAAATTGTTGTTTGCTTACTAATGAAGTTATGTAACAATTGACTTTCAAATTCAAATGCCGTTCTTTCTCAGACGGTTTTCGTCATTGGTACCTTGATGATGATGAAGCAGCCTTTGAATGAATGTGCATGTGCAAGCAATGATAATCTTTGCATGGAATTCTCTCTCAAAAGATTGTGAATGACGGTCTACGAATGCCGTCAAATTCTGGAACATTTGTTTTGTATTTCAAATGCAAGAGCGGGATTGGAATAGTTGCAAATTATATAATATATATGCATGTGACATGTACGAAACGCCGTTGGATACGCTAGTATCACCATTATAGCCCGTATGTGCATCGCGCAGGTGACTTGCATATACATGTTCTATCCATTGTGATACCGTTTTATCGAATCATCAAAGAAGCAACAATTCAAATAAAAACTCGCTTACAATTATGCTTACTCGTCATTGTTTTAAGAAAGTGAAAATATTCTAGAGCGGATTTACGGAGAAACTATTGAGAATGAGGGGAAGTTGTGGAGACCGTTTTTGTGACTTGATGGAGAATGAAATAAAGAGGTCACATTGTTCGATCTTCTTGGTTCATACTCAGGCACACTTACAACGATCGCTCGATTAGTCGGGATAACGGTTATACTAAACTTGGCACGTTGGATGATATATAGTGGAGGTGATTTGATGACAGACATGGTGCTCTCTTGATGTATTGCTCTCTAATTAAGGTTGATTTTTCCCACCTCCAAAGAATCCAAAATGATCATTTACGCGAAACGCCTTTGGTTAGTGTGATTTGATGAAACTGTGGTGTTCACTGATAAGATTGTTGTACATATATCGTCTATGCGGCAACTCCTCAGTGTATGCATGCGAATGCATTTTTAAAATTTAAGATATGGGAAAATTACAAACTCAGCCAATGGCGCAACACAAGAAGTTCAAATCAATTTAAACATTCAAACTCCGATCCTCTCGGCAGCTACACTTACAGCGGCAAACGAAAAAGTGAACTTTTGCTGTTTCCCAGGCTTTGCTCCAACATGCAGCTTTACTTCCCCCTGGGGTCATCCGTTCATTCGTGGGGCGCACTTTCTTCCTTTTCCTTTTGTGTCTGTGTTTCCAAAACTTGCCGAGTAGTGTGGGTTAATGAACGCGCTAATGTATGTAGTCAAATCTCGCTTTTCTTTTCTTGGTACAGTTCCTGCGCCTACAGTGTACCCCAATCGGGTTTTACTTTGTCTTTCGTCATTTACACAGCATCAAACGGCAAAAGGGCTCAAAGGTCCAAGTTTGATTAAATGCATACACACATTCCATTCCAATCTTGACGGCAACATACCTGTACCTACAGATTGATCTTCAACCCCTGACTTTGTGCATTAACGGAGAGATGATTTTTGACATTTACCCCCCTTTTGTCTTTTGATGAGGAAGAAAATAGAAAGATTTAGGGGAGAGGTCCGAACGGAAAGTCAAAAAGAGGCTTTTTTCTTGCACCAAAGGAGAATTACACAAAAACTTCATTTAGCCTGTAATAAATTAAGAATATGGTAAATGAACTTTTTATAAAAAGCTAAAATAAAGATAAAATTACATTCGGAATGATTGCGTGCTTTTGTTTATTGACGAGGCGGAATTACACTGTTTCTAAAAATTGTTCACACACACACACACACACACTCAACGGCAACCGCAACAAAAGGAAATTAAACGACAAAATCAATTCATTTCACCAGAGGATTGTTTTGCCTCTTTTGTTCTTTAACAAGGAAATTAAAACTCCTTATCAGTTTGGCGAATTTTGAGTGAAGATTTAAATTTGGTGGAGAAGATCGTGGTAACCATCTCCTTGTAATGAAGTTCGTTTGAGTAGGTACCTCTTGAACCCTATCTCATTTCTCTTTCTCGACGGCATCATCATCTTTGTTGGTCGTTGATTCCTACTCACTTCTTCTTCTTAACGACGACAACCAACTTTGAGCGGATCATTGATATCTCTCTTATCTCAAATCTCAACCGCTTTTACCGCCGTCTCCGTCGATAAAAGGAGCAATTAATGCAAGCATGATTGATGCAATCTCTTCTTCTAATCATCAACCTGTCACAATGGAAGAGAACGGAGAGCCGCGTTTATTCGTACATATTCCAATCCAATGGCCTTCCGCCCGAAAGTCCGTATCTTCGACCGAGACAAACAAATTACAAAATTTATTCATTGATCCAAAAGATGAAACATATCCTTCTTCTTGCTCGTCCTCCACTCGACCAAAGATGTCAACAAGATCACTTTCTAATCGACAATATACCTCAACAAAACAAATCGCTGCTGCAGTCTCCACACAAAAGGAAAATCGCAAACGTCGATCGAGAGTGGTTTCAACGGATAGCAACTCTTCCTCTTCTTCTTTCTCAACATCAACAACATCAGAGGATGAACAAAAGATAAACACGTCTGATTCTCAACAAGAACAACAAAAGTTTGCAACACTTCCAAAATCTCAAGCTAATACAATGAGAAAGATCTTGGAACGTCGTCGTCATGCTCGTTCAAATTCTGTACCTGATGCACCGGCAAGATCGTTACACGTTGATACATTCTTGCCTTTGCATCTTCCACCTCCTGATCTTTGTGCAAAATCACCTTTGCTGTCTTACCCATGTTCATGGTGGCCAACAGAAGATGACAAAGAAACAAAATCGGTCAAAGAAGTTAACAAAGAATCAACCTCGTCAAGCCTTCCCATCGTCAATGCCGAATTACGTCGTTCAGAAAGTTTGGCAAGCTTTATCAGTGCACATTCTGATGGCAGCTGGCACGGCGATCACGGTGATGATGATCCTGATGGTCAATTAGCCAGAGCATTGGGAGAAGCACTAGAAAAGGATCAAGTGGACTCCAATGAAGATGGAGACGTTTCAAACAATTATCAAGAGACAAGCAACGCAAAAGATTCCACACAACATGGTCATGGTCCTTTACAAATCTCAACGTACGATTACGATGAGGAAGATGACCACAACAAAGTCCCACATGCTCATGTGACCACCGCCTCATCCTCCAAGGGAAAAGAGGCAACGAAAGCAGAAGAAGAACAGGATATTGCAAAGTCTGCAGGTCCATTGATGCAACGACTTGCAAACTACATGTTCAATTTGAGCATGTTTGGAACGGATCAAAATGATCAATCATCACCTCTTGAAAGTGGTATGTCCCACAGCCAATCCGATGGACACCTTCCACTGTCTTCACCATCAAGTCTGAACGCAGAGAGAAAAGCAAAACAGGTAGGACGTTACCGTCTTGGCAGTTCGATCAGAAGCCGTGCAGCAACGATCGCAGGTGACATAGACTTGCTCGCTCACGGTGAAGTTGTTCAAGAAGATATGGACAAAGCAAGCGGCTTATGGAGCTTATGGCGTTGGATCATTCCAGATATCGATTCCTATATGAATGATAGCGCTGTAGGCAGTGAAAAAGACTCGCAAGCCATGAAACGAAATGTTTCTGTACCATCACTCGTATCGGGCTACAGCTTGGACACAGTTGAGGAAGATGAGTGGGACGAAGAAGAACACCATTCAAACAAAGTCGAATCATCACCCACACCAAGCGCCAATTTCAAGAGTCTTTCACCGCCACAACTATGTTATGCAGAATCATACCTTCGCGATTCAGGATTCGGATTGAAATCTTTTGAATCTTCTGCTTTCAACGAATTTAACCTTTCGGGTGAAGTACCGGCAAAGATTTTATCGATCCGTAACCACTTGCCTACTTCTATCCTCGTACGAACGGAAGATGTCCTAGGCAAGCAAGGTGACAAGGCTGCCAAACACTCGTCATCCGATCCAAGTCCTCTGTGGGATAATCGTTTGGTCGAAGAACCATACGAACGTACTTGGGGAAGCATGTTGGGCTTATCGGTTTATTAATTTTTAAAATACGCACAGTCTTGACCACCTCGATGGCAAGTATAACGATTTTCCTTTTTTTTCGGTTTTGACGTCTTCTCTTTTCTTTTCTCTTATCTTTCATCATCATTGTATTCATACGGCATACCACTCATCATCATCATCATTCATGTACATAGAGTCAATTCACTCGAAACAATTGTTCCATTAGCATTCATACAACAAATGATCAATTAATCATGTTTCTATTTATTATACACTTGTTTGTCTGTGATTATTCGTCATTTGCAAATAATTTTGCGATACTTGCTAATTCCACATTGCCCCCTGTCCATACCACACCGATTCGAATCTCAACCGGTTCTTGTGTGGCATTATTCTTTGTCTTTTCTTGGGCAATCTTGCCTATCTGTTTTGCTACTTCTGGATTATGAAGAATGATAGCCAGTCCAACAGCTGCACTAGGTTCGATGAATTGTTTCATTCTTGTCCATATTAGCTGAAGTGCGTCTTTTATCTGAGCTTCGGTTGCAGTCAAGATTGTAGAAACGTTCTTCTTGATGTGTTTGTATGTGAATGGTGATAATGCAGTCAATAAACCATCACAGATCGTTCTGGGAGGTGTGATGGCAGGTTGAAGGGTATCGGATTGGAATGTACGGGCTGCATCATCTGCTTCTTTTGGTTCAGCTGCAATGACTTGTATCCTTTCATCTTTACCTTTGATTGCCGTTGAAACTCCACTAAGCATACCACCACCACCAACAGGTGCAACAACGATGTCCAATACCGGCTCCTGCTTTGCATCCCTTTCTTTCCATCTAGAGCCATCATCTCGTGGTGTGCCAGCCACAGATTGTGCCTCCGAACATCCTCTCTTCGTCTGTTCAAGTGCATGTACTTGCTGCCACATCTCAAGAGCCAAAGTTCCTTGACCGGCAATGACTAATTCATCATCATAAGGATGAATGAAACGTACGATTCTTTCAGAATTTTCTTTTTGTAAGGAATCCATCAAAGAATTTGCAAGTGCTTCGCGAGCTTTTTGTGTTGGTTCACATTCGTGTATTTGTGCTCCATATCCTGCAACTGCATCCTTTTTGACTTGTGGTGCCGTCCTTGGCATTACGACAACAGCTTTTGCACCCACACTTCTGGCCGCACAAGCAACAGCTGCAGCATGATTACCGCTCGAATGTGTGATTACACACAACTTTGAAGCATCAAATGTGGCATTGGCGGTTGACTGTTCAAGGTACGTTTGCACTGCATTTGTTGCACCTCTCATTTTGAACGCTCCTACTTTTTGCAAATGTTCTGATTTGAATGCTAGCCGAACACGAACGGGCGGTGTGTTTGATTGTACATCATCTTTTTTGAGGAATGCATTGATTGAATTTGTTGCAATTTCATCGATCAAAGTTGAAGTTAATAATGGCGTTCGATGAACGTATGCTGTTACTCGTTTATGTGCTCTTTCGATATCTGATAAAGTGACCAAATTTGGCCGGTTAGCCGTATTGTCGCCGGTGTGTGACATTGTTTATGATCACAATGCGGTGATTTGAGGAAGTAAATATCGTTGATAAGCGTTATCGTGAGCTCTTGACAGGATTCCAATCAACTTAGGAATTCCTTCTTAAGTTGGACAAATGAACAAACTGTCATTTGCAATCTTAAACTATGGCGCATACAAAGTCTAGTCTAGCGTGCTTTTCAGAGTTATCGGTCTTAGTCGCCGAATAGTAGGCCAATTGAAGCACACGGTACCTGAATGGGTGGGAGTGGCGGAGAGTTTAGCGTGCCTTGCGCTAAGGTAAGGCGATTTCGGATACGATGAGGAACCGTAGGTGATGACATGTAATAAGTGACGATGGTGGGGGCGTTTTGTTCGATTTAGAGCCCAGAATATCCCATCAGAGTCCAGAGAAAGGAGGAGACTTATCCGTACTTTTCTCACTTTCCACAAATTAACTAAGGATGAAAAGGAAATGAAAAGGAAAAGCGGCCAAACGAGATTATTGGCCATATTCATCTTCCGATCGATGAGGCACAATCAATCATTTACGCTACGGAAAAGTTAGGAAGAGTTAAAAATTTAGGCGCGGAAGGTCGTTCCGATGAAAGTGGCTTTATTTTTGATGGGAGAGAAAGAGAAAAGATTCATTCATTCATTTGTCCGTCCGATGCATTCATTTCATTTAGCCGCGTTAAGCACTTTTGTCTACCGAATGAAAGCAAGACAAGCACCAAGATTTGTCAAATGCCACCAAAAAGAAGTCATCATGCATATCGGACATCAACAAAGCGATTAGCATATGCATCCATACGCCTTCGATGCTTCTTGTAAGAGGCCGTTGCGTTTGACAGCTGTCATCAGCATGATTGCAAAGCATTTACAGTGCACCATAATGCATTTTTGGTTGAATATATGCGGACAAAGAGACGTGCTTTGAAGGAAGGAAAGAGTAGGAAATGATTGCCTTTAATCCAAAAAATCTTGTTGTGTTGCATTAACGGAAGTACAACGGCCGTGTTTCGGTGCAAAAGAGAAAAGCATTACGAAATGAAGTACTTATTTCACACCAGGTACTCAATCGGCGATTTGGAACGCCAAAATTGAAATTAAAGCTTGGCAAGAATAAAGGGATTTCTTTCATTGTGGGAAAGTGGCGTGATGGGAGAAAATTAAATGGCTAAATTACCATCATGGCATTTCTTTCCTCCGGTCATTGCCTTTCAAATTGTCAATCACAATCAACGCAACCGCGCTTTTTTTTTTTTCTTGCTCAGCACAATTTTGATCACATTGCTAAAAAGCGGCGGCCGCGGTTAGGGCGGCGGGTTGTAACGGCGTAAAAGACAAAACAAAAAGTGAATGTGATTTATGTTTAACTTCATTTTCCCATGATCGTTAATTCATGCTTCTCTTTCCCAACCGATTGCACACAAGTGATGAAGAAAGAAAAAAAAAGGGAGCAAACCGAGTAAAGCAATCGTCGCAATAAGGTGCTCTGATGATGCATACTGGACCGTGAGTGCAAAGAATTCATGTCCCCACACAAGGAGGGCTGTGCAATCCATCTTGATTGTTTAACAAAAGGTGAAATGCCTCTCAAGAAAAATAAGGTTCACTCTTCAAACAAAAAAACAAAAAGTATTTTTTACAATTACATCCATCCATCCATATGATCCTTTTACACAACCAACATCATTTCATCACGTCTTTTCTTTCCCCTTCCTCGTCATAATTATTATCTTCTTCAAGGGAAATTTCTTCACAATCACATCCTCCTCACACATCTCATCAAAATGGACGCCTTGACGGGCAATCCGAAGCCCACCGAATTGCGACGCTCTTGCGTTTTTTGTCGTCAACGCAAGATGCGATGTTCAGGTGATTTGCCATGCTGTACAACATGTCGTCAACGTGAAAAGCCATGTGTTTATGAACCTGTTGCATTCAAAGGTCGTTATGCTGCTGCTGCTGCGGCTGCAAGTATTGCATCTTCACAACAACAGCAACAACAACAAAAGAATTCACCTTCTTTTGGTTTACCTAGATCGACGGAATATGGTCTTGAACCGCATAACTTTCACGAGTATGGTGGTGCAGAACATTTGGATCGTTCAGGCATTCCAACTCATTTGCAGCATCAGCCTATCCCTCCTCCAACGATGGAAGGTAATTTGGTTGGTGATGAATTGACATTTTTGTTTGGTACATTTTTTGCCATGACTCAACAATCAGCTTTAGTTCATAATGCAATTCAACGTTCAAACAATGGATCAAACACTTTGCCACCTTTTTCTGTTCCATTGACGTATGTGGATGCATTGCCTGTCATCACTTTTGATCTGATCAAATTGACAATGGCAAAGCTCAACGCTGTAAACAATGAAAACAGTCTAGGCGATCACACTTCTTTGCCTTATGTTCAAAGTTTGATCACTGACCGTTCCATGACTGTGATTGATGGCTTGGATAATCCAGAAGCAGAGCAATGGTAGGTGACATTCTCTGCTTTGATCTAGCAATGGTTGTACTCACACACTTTCTTTCCAAATCACAGGTTTGGCATCCACGGTCCTCCTAGCAGCAATCAAGTCGAGCATCTATTGGAGATGGCATTCAATCATCATCCTTTGGTCGCTCTGATTGTTCCAAAAACACCGTTCATGCGTGATCATCACGAAGGTCAATCAAACTACTGTCTTCTCTGGCTGTTGTGTAGTGAAGGCATCGAACTTGGCTTACCAATGGTTGGCATCAAGCCAAACACGCCATTGGCTTTCAATTTGCCTTCTTCTGCCTCCTTCCTTCAATTGGCTTGGAAACAGCTGTTCAACTCTCATCAAAATGTACCAGCAGAACGTTTTTGGATTTCTCAAGCATTGTTGTTGCTCGGCTTTCGCCTCCTTTGCCACGGTCATGTCAAACAATCAACTGCTTTTTTGCTCTTGTGCGTTCGTTGTATCGCTCGTGTGGTAACTGATCGCTCTCGCAATCCTGCACTGGAAGTCAAGATCAATGGAATCCGAATGACAGAAGTAGAAGAGCAAGCGATCAACAACGTATTTTGGATCTCTCATGCATTATTGCTATGGATTTGGTCTCAGGTTGATCAGGTTGACGGTGATTTGGCTAGATTCATCTGTCCCGATCCACCCGTTCTGTTCACGGCCATCACAGCAGCAAAGATTCCATCAACAGTCTTATGCGCTGATGCAATCTACAAGCTTGATTATGTCAGTGCCAACTTCACTTCTTTGAACATGCATACTTCCAACGCACGTACGTTGACAGTCTTGGCGCATGTTTGTAATATGATCCATACTTTGATCAACAATGGTACGGCACATGCAACACAATCATCATCCTCAAGTTCGGTCTTCTACAATCAAACATTTTCGCAATTTGGTGAACATCATGATACGTCTGGCCATATGGCAACAGATGATCAAGGAATCGGTTCGGGTAATGCAGATTATACGGGGTCAACGATGTATGCTGCCATTTCTGCAAAGCTTTTACACCAAACCAAGCAAACCTTGACGGCAACCTTGCATCCACATTTGACGGATAAATATACGGACAAGTCAATCTTGTGTGCTGCTTATCTGTTTGCAATCTGTCTTTGTGAACCGTCAAACCAATCAAACACCTTTGCAACATCACAATCACCTCAAATGGCTTACTCACCGGCACAACAGAAGGAGCTGGCTCACAGATTCCGTGCTGCCATGGATATTGCTGGCGGAATGATTCGTGATTGCAAAGAAGATGGTTTGGTTTTCCATCAATTGGCACCGCCAAAGGAACGTGTCTTGATTCAATCTCTCTTTGATCGTGCATCAACAGTATTGGCTCGTATCTTTACGCATCTCAAACAACATGCAGCAGAAGTGACAAGCAACCCAGAGGGTGAAGTGCATAACGAGCAAAGCGAGAACGTCTTTGATACCGGTCTTTCCATGCAAGAGATCACATCTACCATCAAATTGATCGATGATTACGCGAAGAAAAGGGACTTTCCGTTGTGTATGACTTCGTTTGATACGACGTATCGTACAGGATCACTCTTTAATTCTTCAAAAGTGGATTCTCTTGATGACATTGCTGCGATTGCACGCAGCATCATTTCGCCAAAAGGGAATGCAAACGATGGCAATCCGATCAACATTCAAAGGATGAACTCAGATACTGCAATCATGGCAGATCAATATTCAAGGGGCAATGACGGACACAGAAAGGCGTCCATGGCAGGTACGAGTATTAGCAATGATGATGGTCGATCGACCGATGTAGCAGCTTGGCAGGCTCAAGAAACGCAAAGAGCACGATCATTCTCTGATTCAGCAGCAATCTATTCAACAACTTCTCATGCAGCTCATTTGCCGGGTAACATGACTTTTGTTCAACCTCCATCTTATCCGACAATCTTTCACAGTATGCCACCGCCGCCACCTCCAACGTTTACATCATTCACAACAGCAATGAATGCTGCCGTTGTTGGTCATTCAAACGAACTTGCTTCACCAAACGAAATCAATCCAAAAAGTACAAATGACGGAGCACAAGCGGTCGTTGGCGGTGGAATGAGACGTTCGCGAACGTATTCGATCAATGAGGTACGTTCAGACACTTCTTTTCCTTCTTCATTTCCCTCTTCTGTGAGCGGAGGTCAATTTCCTCCTTCACCACCACAAAGTGCACCACCTTCGCATTTGGCTTTATTGAGTGATACTTCTGCTACTTTGCAGGCAATGTTACAAGATTATAACAACAACAATACTTCAACAGCACCTTCAAGCGCAATCCCGTCTGCAAATAGTAATCAAGCAACAAATATGACAAATTATACAAACCAAACTCAACATTCTCAACATCATTATCATTATGATCATCAAAATACCCTTCTCCATAACAATGCTGGTGAAGGAAGCAGTAACGGCAGCAATGAAAATCTCGCTGCTACACGTACGGCTACTTGGGCAGCAAACAATGGAGGCGGAACGATGAACCCAAACAGCACTTCTTCAAGCACCTTTTCAAATGATGTCAAAATGCCATTCCATTGATCTGGGTTATATGGCAATTCTCTTCCTTTCAAGAAGCAGGCAATCCGTCTTCCCCTCGTGCATCTGTGTTTCTTTAGCATCTTACCGCATCGTCGCTCTGGAGCCGCTTTGTCGCATACACTTTTTTCCCATATCTTCTATAGTCACCGTACATTACTGTATACTCGTTCTGTTCATATTCTCTTGGTAAAAAAAGTACTGTACATGTATTCTCTGTCTTGATGAAAGCGTATAAATAAAATTGATCATAATCATGTTTGTAATCGTGTCGCATTGGCTCCTGTTGCGGCCCAACGTGGTATTTTGGTAGCTTGTCTTGGCTTGCCGCCATTTGCAGCTGCATTTGGTCCCCATTGTGGTCTCTTTGGTTCTTCTTCCTTCTTTGTTTCTGTTTGTCCTTCCTTCTCTCCAGATTTCTTGTTTGTATCTTTGACGTACTTTTCGTGTAATTTCCTTCTCTCTTCTTCTAATCCTTTGTTCTTCTTTGCAATCTTTTCCTTTCTTTCTGCTCCTTTTCCACCTCCGCCTGCAGTCAGTTCAACATTGATGCTTCTACCTTGTAGCTTTGTATGGTGGAACTGCAATGCCTTTTGCATAGCATCACGTTGTTTGAATTCAACAAATGCACATCCTTTCGATTGTGGCGCTCCAGGGTCCAATGCTTTGCCTTTTGCGATGGATTTCTGTTTCGACTTAGACAGCTCTTTTGCCTTTGATGGATCTCCTTTTGTCGTTAACAGTCTTACAGATGGCTTTTCTCCACAATGATCAGCAAAATGTTTTGTGATTTCTTCCGTTGTGGTCTTGTAGGACATATTCCCAACGAACACAATATATCTCTTCGAATCGTTGTTGGCTGAAGCACTCTTTGTATCCTTCTCTTCCTTGGTATCTTGCTCTGTTGTTTCCACAACATTTCCATCCTCATCAAATTTCTTCTTTGTAGCTTTTCCATCTGACGATGCTTCTACATCTTCGGCTTGCTTTCTCTTACGTGTAGTTGGCGTTTTGGATGGTTTGCCTTCTGCTTCTGAGGTAGACTCTGCTTTCTTGACTTTCTTTTCCTTTGGCTTGACTGGCACTGAATCATCTGTCACCGCCTCATCAGCCTCTTTTTGCTTTCCCTTTATGTCTTTTGGCTGTTCAGCTTCGATATCTTGCTGTTCATCCACCTTTGCTTCTTTTACCTCTTCATCTGTTTTAGCATCTCCCTTGCCAGCCTTTGCACGGAATTCCAATGCCTTACGTTGCTTCTTTGTCAACTTTGCTTCTGCCATATTGCTGATTGCTAAAAGACGTATAAGCAAATGTGAAGATGATAAGGATAGGGAAGCATGAAACACTGTAAATTTTAAGAAGCTTTCTTGCATATGCTGATAAAAAATTAAACTTAATTTTTCTGATAGAAAATTGTGATTATGTAATTGAAAATTCGCCGGCGCTTACTTAAGCAATAACAAACAACATCTTGTTTAAACCGAAGAAGTACTGAGTCAACTTTGGGACATTTGTGGCTAAAAGCCTATTCAAGATTGCTATTCATAGAACATGGTTGCATTGGAAAAGCTTTAGAGGTGACGCTAACTTTGTCTTTCCCATAGCATAATATGGAATGCGAAATGCATACAATCAGGCTCAATCAGTCAGCCTCAATGTATGGAATTGAAGGATATGTAATTCAAATTCGATTGTTTCTTTATTCAAAGTTACAATGCTGCTTTGTATCCCATTTGTGTGCGGCTGTTTAAGCATTCAGCATCATGGTTCGCGCATGTCCGATGCATGAAGGCGTGTGCACAAGAAAGCTGTCACGCCTGACGAATTCTACCCTTGTCATAGACAAAGCTTACATAATATGCCCTCATATTTTCTAGTCTTTCTCTTTCTTACATAAGCCTTTCATCAACGCCGAATCTCGGTACCGTTATTTTCTTCACCTATAACAATTATGCGATCATGTAGCTACTTCTTTCTTCATCTCCTTGCCAGTGATCATATTTCAATTCTTCTAAGTTACGACTGATTAACTTTGCGAGATACGGAATTACTTCACACGGCATTATCATTCACCTTTAGCGACCCTAAAATACATTAACACTCACGTGCTTCTTATTTCGCTAGTCGGATTGTTACAAAAGCCACAAACTTTGTTTCTTTTTTGTCCTGAATACATAACTATACAACAAGCCAAAGCACTCAATTAGGGGTTCTATAAACACGGCTCACGAATGTTTCAATCTCTATCTCATCATCAACTCTTACCAACGGTTCTTGCAATCTTGTTCCATCGAACCGTCGGGATATTTGAAAAGGTGACATCTGTAACCTAAAATACAACGTTGCATTAGTGTTGAAGGTTTCTATTTTAATGTTGCATGTCCCTATCAATCGGCGGAGGATGGTAGACTAATGAAAAGTACTTTCTGTTTTGCGTCTTGCATGCAGATTCGACGTGCATTGAACACTGTTTTATTACCTTTTATTTCAATTCAATTTCAGATCCCTTTCGATCGATCTTTTTGTTTAACTTGGAAGTCGTGTTTCATTTCTTTACATTCGTTTTTGCGGGTCTGCCTTTACACCGGCGCCCCGCCTTAAAGGGAAAAAAAAAAAGACGTCTTTCCGTTTAAAGCCAGAAGCAGAAGGACCCCGAATTGTAATGGCTGTACACACGCGTATACTGACTGTTCTCTTGCCTGCTTGTCTGTCTGTCTCTCTCCGGTCTGTCTTAACTTACCGAACTCCACGTTTGTATACAGTGTTAATTATTTCCTCTTTTTATATGCACGCAATTCATCAGTCTCTTTCTGTTTTAATCTACTTTTTCTCCTCCTTGTATAAACTTCTTTTTACCCTTCTTATTGTGTCACTGCCGCTATCCTTCCTCTCTCTATCTCTAAGCAGCAATACGCAAATCTACCGGCGTTTATCGTCTAAGTGCATCCTTTTAAGGATCAATCGTTCCTGCTGCTGCTGCTTGTTGATAGGGCAAATGTATGCTCATTCAATCCTTGCTGCTTACTCTTATCCATCCATCCAAAGGTCATTAGCAAGAAACAATCACTCAAAGAAGAAGATCATCTCCGATTATGACACTCTGAACACGATACAATCTTGATCTAACTCTGAGCAGGCACCCTTCTCACCGCGGTCTTGATCACAATCATGAGTTCGGGAAACGCAATTCCCGGACCCAGTAACGGTCCAATGGCACCACCAGAACCAACTTCTGCATTCTTGAGAAGAAGATCTGGTCAAATGAACGATTCACCTCCGATGCAATCAGGCAGTATTCCAACGATCGCAAGTAGAAGACCAGCAAGTAGAGCGATGACACAAAACGATTGGTCTCTTTCACTTACTTCTCTAACAACACCTCCGGGTACGCCACCAATGCTACCAACTCTATCTCGTGCTACAACTCCAACTCCTGCAGCAAGTTCACCATTGACAACACCATTTGGAAAAAAGAGAGCGCAAGATGAAATAAAGGCGGTAACAGAGATGTTGAATGGCGCTGTTACACCCGTCACAACGACAACAGCGACGGAATTTGGAAGTACATTGGAATCTTCCATGTCTAGCGGAATACAGAGACCGGCTTCTGCGCCACCAAGAGGTAGAAGGTCAAGGCGACCGTCTCGTGAATTGAACGATGCAGGTGTTGATGCGATGGAGAAAGCGCCTCTCCCTTCCACAAGAGAGGTGCCGACAACGATAAGTGGAATAGCATCAGAAACGATTGAACAATTCGCCGCTCACCTTTCAGATAGGTCATTGGCAATGCTGTTCATGTTCATAGTGGCGTGGGGAGCGGTACTTTCACTCGATCGACTGACGACTTACTCTTATCAGACCATTGCCACAAATTCTTTCTCTCATCACTCTTCGCTAGCCGAAGTGAATGTGATACGATCTGTGGTGGCAGCTGTAGCAGCATTGCCGTTCGCAACCATTGCTGATTTAGGAGGTCGTGCCCAAGCTTTTACACTTGGTCTCTTATTGTATGCTGCTGGTCATGCTGCAATGGCAGGAAGTACGACAATTCCTGCATATATTGGAGGAGTGGTGTTGTACGAATCTGGAGCGAATGGACTGATATGTTTACAAGCAACTGTTTTGGCCGATATGACAAGTTCGCGCAATCGACTATTCTTTCAAATCGTTCCACAAATGCCATTCTTGGTATTCAGCTTCATAAGTAGTGACATCTATTCGGCAATCTTACCTAGGTGGAGATGGGGTATTGGCATGTTTGCCATCCTTGGACCAGCAGCGCTTCTTCCTGTTATTGCAATCTTGGGACATTCTCAACACAAGACTCGGGCAAACAACGTCGCAGCTAATCGATCAAACATTCAATCTGCCTCGCAAAACGCTCGAAGGGCTAGCTTACAGCAGACTGAATCGTCTTTGACGTATGGTTTGCTGATGATCAAGCACGTTTGGCAGACATCTGATGTTCTTGGTTTACTGTTACTGGTTGCTGCGCTCTGTCTGACTCTGATCCCGCTCACTCTAGCAGCCTCTGCACCGAATCAATGGGAGACACCAAGGATCATTGGAATGATTTGTTCCGGTGTGGTAGCATTAGGATTGTTTGGCGTGTGGGAGTTAAAGATTGCAAAGAATGCGCTCATACCACGAGTATTGCTGCAAAATCGTACGTTCTGGGGAGGTGCTTTAGGTTTGACAGGATTATGGGCATCGCATGCTTTGATGTTGGCTTATTTCCCGACTTATCTGTACGTTGTGCATGGTGTATCAAATCGAGCTCAACAAAACTTTTCAGTGATTTACAGTTTCACTGTTGCAGCAGCATCGTTACCGATTGCCATGATGGTAAGACATTCAAGACGATTCAAGATTTTCACCATTGTGGGCGTTATCGTTTTCACTGCTGGTTTGGGAATGATGATCGGTTATAAAGGCACGGCAGACTCAAATTTTGAGCTGGCAGCATCTCAAGTGGTGATTGGATTGGGTGGTGCTTTGACGATTGCGGTAATTCAAGCAGCCGTTCAAGTGTCCGTCGTTCCAGCGTATGTTGCTCAATCGATTGCCGCTTTGAACATCTTCCCATGCATCGGAAACGCAATCGGAGCTGCTGTTTCAGGTGCTCTGTGGACGGGCTTATTGCCAGGAAAGTTGGCCAGAAATCTGGGACCAACAGGACATATGAACGAATTGCCAACAATTTTTGCCGAACCTTTGACTTGGATTGAGAGCCATGGATTGGGATCTAATACAAGGACAGCGGTAGTCAATGCCTACTCATCAACATGGCGTGTGATGATGATCGTTGCTACATTGATCAGCGCAGTGAGTTTACTGCCAATCCTGTACACGGAGAACCTTCGTTTGAATGACTCATTGAGCGCGGAGGAGGCTATTGGAGAGGATGATATGGCCTATAGTGGAGCTATTAAACCGAGTAAACTGGTCACTCAAAGCGGCAGACTGTTTGGTGATAGCCTATTTGAACGTATGGAAAATGCTCTAGGACGCAAATTGGTCAGAAGGCTACCAAAGAAAGCCATGCCAGATTCGCCTACCGATCTCAAGACGACAAATATGCCCATCCTGGCCTCCACTTCTTCATCCTCTCAAGCATCTAATTTGACGAACAAAAGAGCGCATTCATCGAAATGGTCTAATGCATGGGGTGCTTTGCGTAATTCATCCATCGGTGGTTCCGTCATTGTGGAGAACGAGAGTGGTGAAAACAAGCACATTCCAACGCCAACACTTGTGGTTGATCATGGTACACCTTCTCCCGTATTTTCCGAATCAAATTCGCCTGCACCTATTTTGGTAGTTGATGAAGCACCGTACGAAGCACCTTTGCACCCTCCAACACCACCATCAAGATCTTCCGCTGGAAGCCTGTCTCCCTTGCCTTCACCTATGACGCCATTTACAAGCAATTAAGTAAAGAATTCGCACATTTTCCAGCAATTGTGTCACTATCATACATTGTAGCCATCATCGTGTATTCATTTTGTATTTGTACAATATTATCTCAATCATTACACTTATGTGCTGGTATAAAATACAAATCTGAGCCTGAGAGAATGCAGTTATGAGTTGCTGCTTTGCCCTGCTTGAGTCTGGATCGTCATGGCATCTATGGCATTCTTGTGCATAGATGCCAGTTCTTCTAACGCTTTTCTCGCCCTTTCCAGATTCCTTGCAGTGTCATGAATGAAGACACTAATCTTTTCCAAATTTTCCTGAGCTTTCCGATGGTCAAAAGCGCCTGAAGGTGGTTCAGACGGCGGTTGAAATTCTTTTAGTTGAATACCATGTCTCTTTTTGAAGTTGTATACCCAACCCATGGAAGCACTAAAGTTTGTATAACGTAATTCATTTGCAATCTTTTGTGCTTGTTCACCGATCATCTTGTCGGTCAAACGTTCATCTGTACTACGATGTTCACGATAATCTTCAAACCAATCGACCATACGTTCTTCCAAAACAGGAAAAGGTAATGTGATTTGACGTTTTGCATCTTTGTTTGAATTTGTTAGAGCTAAAATCAAAAAATCTTCTTTATCTTTAATAATCTTTCCAATTGTACTCTTGCTTTTGACATTGAATTTAGCACATAATTCATGTAATTTCAAAAATGGATTCTTCTCGTATTCTTGACAAATTGCAATCTTTGTACTCATTGGGATTCCTCGCCTTGATTTGGGATCATCATCTGGTCTTTTGTTTCGTGCCATTTTGTTTTGGCAATATGTTTCTTGTAACCGGATGGATCGTTGTCGCGCAAAAAGGATTCAATTCGATTAAAGGTGGTTTTGCGCGCGCCTACAAACGCACGGAATTGCTTTTATCGGATTAAAGCACTGGCACCGCTTAGGCCACGAAAGCATCATTGCATACACTCATTGCATTTTAGCGCACGTTTGATCCCCTTTCATCGTTATCCATCACGAACATCGCTCATCATGTCAACTTCACAGGATGGTATGCCAGGTGGCTACTTGGACGAAAGAATGGCTGATCCAGTACAGAGATCAAGTTTACTCCAACAACACCTGCAAAGACAGCCATATGCACATCTCATCAGAGCACATAGCTATGCAGGAGGAGATGATGATGTGGACGATGATGATGAACAAAAGCATAGAAGGGGAAATCGAAGGAGAAGGGCAAACGAAAGGAGAAGGAGGAATGGATATAGTAGTGATGATGATGCTCTCAGTGTAACGACATATGACTCAGAAGAAGAAGCAAGATTGGCACAGGAAGAATGGGAAGAGAGTATCGGACAGCTGAACCTGGCATTACAAGTGATGGTCTTGCCATTCTTTGGCAAGTGGTTGGGTAGAAAGACGAGCTATTGGCGTGAGTATCAGTGTTCATCTCTCCAATTGTGCTGTTATTGACCTTCGTTCCCTTACAGTATTCTCCCGCTACCAACGTCTAGGCTGGACAAGGGCATTCTTTGGCTTAGAATGGCTATGGACTCCAAACACAATTCTACCCGGGCCTGCTGTAGCATTGCTTCAACCATAGAGCTCTTGCTAGAGCGATCACTCAATTTGTATTTATAAACATTCATACCCGACTCATGCTTTTTTCACACCGCTCAAGAGTACATTTTCCGTATTTCATCAAAGTTGTAAGTTTTATATCATGACATGCTAATCTGTTATCAGTGCCGATTCATCTGTAGAACTTATTGTTTCTTGCACTTTAGGTTGCCTCTTTTCCGTTCTCGAATCGACCAAAGTCTTAACGCACCAATTATGGGGAGCGCCTTCCTCGTCGTATGTATCTCCATAAACCGAATAGCCCAACTTTTCATAAAATGGAATAGCATGTTGCTGACTACTGACGACCACAACGAATGGAGGTGGTGGAGAAGGTGTTTTGGTTTTATCGTCCATATTGATGATCTCTTCGCCTCTTAGGTATTGGGCAATGAGCCATCCTTCGACTTGATGCATTACCAATGCTCCCAAACCTTTTCCACGTTCTGATTTTAAAACAGCCAATCTGCTCAATTTTGCACCTCGTACTTGTGGTGCACCATGTTCCTCATCAATTCGGCCTGTTCCATGGGCTGATTTATTAAATCTTCCACTTAGCTGCGCGATTGACAACGGTCTTCCCAGCGGATATTCAGCTTTTGCAATCGCATCATCACTTGCTTCAGGCGGGGCGATATTTGTCTTTGATTCGGGTATATTGCTTTCTGTTGGTCCAGTTGACATGGGCAAGCCACCACTGGTGCCACCAGGACCTCCTCCAGAAGTGACAACACTTGTTGCATCTTGTTCTTGTACATATCCTTGTTCTTCTTCTTCTTTGTACCCTAGCCATTCTTTTCTTGGATAAGGTGTCAATCGAACCGTTGCAACTGTCTTTTGTTCGTTTCTTCTGATGACCAAGAAATGCGCTGAAATAGGATCATATTCATCCACTTCTGTATCAGCTGGAAAGCCTTGTTCATTATGAAATACTTTCATACGTAAATCCAACGATTCCCTTAATCGTTCTGCATTTGAACAAAGTTGAAAGTCATATTGTGATAACAAATCACCTTGTGTAGTCTGAGCATGTGATGAAACGAGTTTGGACATTCTGTTCTTTTGAGGATTAGGGTATCACAATGTTAAAGTCAGTTACAATACTTTGTCCGCAATTCATTCCTGTCCCGCTTATTGTCTGTGCGCAATGCATTTTGGATAATCACCCTTTTTATAATTAACAGCAGCATCCTTTTTAGCGTTGCTAGCATCGCACAGCTTTCTCTGTCAAGCAATATTGGTAAGTCGGAATCGTTCTTCTTCTCAAAAGGGCAATCAAGCTGAACTGTCCAAACACATCGGGAAATTGTTGGTTGTGCATCTTTTACGCTAAAAAAATACAATGGCTGATTAATTAAACGGGTATAAAGGCGGTTGTTTTTAGCGTAAGTGTTAGAAAAAAAAAAGATGGCTTTTTCTATTGCAGCGATACACCAGTCTGCATTCTGCCGCCTTTAAATCTCTTGGCAGGGCCTTTTGCTGCACCTTTACCCTCCACAACTTTAAGCGTAGAGAGGCCAATCAACTTTGGATTTTTAACCAATTGAAGTTAGAAGAAAATTCATTGGCTACACTCAAAAGCGGTGTTGAGCTCTCAAACCTCAAATGCAGGGATAATTGCAGAGCATCAAGTGTCTTCTTCCTAGAACACTCCCCCTTTATGCACCTTTCCTCCGCTTCCGACGGGTTCTTACAGGGCTGAATAGAATTCCTTCTTTTTGTAATCAAAAATCTTCACCTCAACACCACTAACATCCTATCCATTACAATATACCTACGCATATCCTGCTACAATGACTACCCTCAACGTAAAATGCGGGCCTATGCTTCGCTATGATACAGTAGAAAATGACATCTACCACGCTTTCGCACTGATTGTGACTGCTGACGAAAATAGCGATTATAGCTCTCAACCTTCTTTGCAATACAAATGGTCACCTGCTCCTTCAAAGGCTGCAGACGCTGTAAACGCTACTCCTGCAGTCACTTCCGATAGCTCACACAAATCAAGTGGATCGACAAAGATTTACACCTACACCGGAAAGGAAGGAAGTTTCAGCTTCTGGCGTTTCAAACTGGAAATTCCAATGGCCGATCACGAACAAATTGTAGCCTACAGCATTGATGGTCAAGCCCATCCTGATAGCACATCTAATGCAGTAAAGGATGCAACCGGATTCCACTTCTTCGTTCCTGCCAAACAGCAAAACTTCCGTTGGATCGGACATAGCTGTAATGGTTTCTCTGCCAGCTTGGATCCAGCTGAATGGAACGGACCTGATCCATTATGGAACGATTGCTTGAAAGAGCATGAAAAGAAGCCATTCCATGCAGTCGTTGGAGGAGGAGATCAAATTTATTGTGATAAATTGACTGGCGAACCAGAGATGAAGCCTTGGGTAGATTGCGAAGATCCCAAGAAACGTATGAAGATGGAGTTGACTGAAGATATCAAGGTATGCATGGAAAGATACTTCTTCCACCATTACTGTGAATGGTTTGGCGGAGGTAGTTTCTCACGTACAATTGCACAAGTCCCTATGGTGAACATGCTGGATGACCACGACTTGATCGATGGTTTCGGTACATATCCGGATGACTTGATGGAAGCTCCCGTGTTTAACAACGTCGGTCGCGTTGGATTCAAGTTCTATTACCTTTTCCAACAATTTATCAATCCTGACGTCGATGGCATCTCTGACGAGCCTGGAAAACACCCCGTCAAGAGTATCATCATTGGTAGACAAGCAGCTTACGTGCAATATCCTCATATGAGCTTCTTGACATACTTCGGACCAAAGCAACAATTATTGTTGATCGATTGCCGTGCTGAACGTAAAGTGCATCAAATTTGTTCAAAAGAAAGCTACCAAAAGATCTTTGACAGGGTTCGCAAGATGCCACAAGGCGTTGAGCACTTGGTCATTTTGTTGGGTGTTCCACTAGCATACCCAAGAATGGTGTTCTTGGAACGTACCTTGTCATCCTCTTTCAACCCAATTGTTTTGCTTGCTAAAGGTCTCTCACCTGGCTTCACAAACAAGTTCAACGGTCAAGTGGAACTCTTGGACGATCTCAACGATCATTGGTGTGCCGTTCCACACAAACGAGAACGTAATTGGTTGGTTGAAAGAATTCAAGAAATTTCATTGGAGAAGCATGTTAGAAGTAGTTTCATCAGTGGAGATGTTCATGCATGTGGTGTTGGTCTGTTCTTTGGATATCACCAACATGATCCTAGCTTGGATCCCAAGTACATGATGGCCGTCATTACATCTGCAATCGTCAACTCTCCACCACCTCCGGCTGTGATTTCGATGTTGAACAAATTGGCCGCAAAGAAGCATAGAAGTTTGTTCTACATCGGAACAAAAGAAACGATGGTTCCATTATTCGATACGGATTTACAGGGTAAACCTCATAAAGATAAATACATTATGGGCGCACGTAATTGGTGTGCGGTTGATTATCTGGAACAATCGGGTGAATTGGAGTTTGATTTACGTATCGAAACCGAAAAAGGTAACGGAATCACAAAATCATTCCCTACCCGTGCACCTGCACCTAAATGGCAAATCGAAAAAGAACATCATAAACACTTGCACACGAAAGAATGGGAAAAGATTATGCGTCTTTCTAGCAAGGTAACACAGAAATGAACAGATTTAGTGCTTGCTAAAATTCTCGCTTGTTGGTTGTATGTATTCACCACTTTCCTTTATGTTTCGATACCCCCCTCTCTTTGATAAATAAACTGCAATTGATCTTAATATGATATGCTGAATTGTGTGGTATGACAATGATAGAATTGAGGAAGAATTGACTTTTGACAAGGCTGTTTTAGTCACGTGTTCAACAAGAGTCTTAATCCTGAATACGCCGAGTGTCACCGGATCAGACCCAAAACGCGCGAAATGGGCGTACGGTTGTCGGAATATGCGCCAATTTTTATTGACTTTAACGATTGGTTGCTTGCCTGCTTGGGTAGAAGATGTATGTATAGCCCAGGGAGCCAGGAGCACGACACCGTAGATGCTAGCGGGTCAAATATCAGCGCGCCAGAGGAATTGAGATGCTCTGGAAGAATGGATTTTAATCTTGACCATCATATCGAAAACCAGCACACACACACATTCAATCATGGTCATGTTTGCAGCACGTTCGGCAATGGCCGCTTCACGCTCAACTATGCGTTCAATGAACGTTTCACGTTCTATTTTGAACAACAACAACCTTCCTCGATCAATTCATTCAACCGCTTTACGTATGGCAGGCGGAGGTCCACCAATCATTCAAGGTGAAGGTTCTGCCCCAGGTGAAGTTCCAACTGATGAAAGTCAATCGACAGGTTTGGAACGTTTTGAGTTATTGGGTAAATTGCAAGGCGTTGATGTTTTTGATATGAAACCTTTGGAATCTTCAAGACTTGGTACAAAGAAAGAACCAATCATGGTTCAAAGTTTGGTGTGTATATGAGAATACAGTCTGTCGAAGACTTGGGATCCCCTTGACTGACTTGTTGCTCTTTCCCTCCCCCCTTCTTAGTACCCTTCCCGTATCGTCGGATGCACAGGATCTCCAGCTGGATCTCACGATACCACTTGGATCCACTTGAAGAAAGAACACGATTTTCATCGATGCCCTGAATGCGGAAGTGTTTACAAGCTCGACTTCACCGGAGATCATACCACCGACGGAAGCCATCACTAAATGTATTCAAAATTCGTAGGACTTAATGGTCAAGCCATCCAGAACTATCAATGCAATCTTAGAATATGATCGAGAAGTAATAGCGTGATTTGGGATGCATGTGCGGACAAAAGCGATTTGAGTTGTATGACCTCAATGATCAAACATGCCTCTCGCTCGCCTATCCACACATTATGATGGCTAAAGATACAATTTGACTTTGAATGATGTACATGGGTTTGAAAAAGATGAACATAGGTATAGACTGAAGATCACTTGATCTGAGAAGCTTCTCCACGGAGGCTTAGGTACGATTGATCAACGCCAGGTCCCTGTGATAGAAAGGACAGAATGAGTCAGAAAACCGGTATAGAGCTTTAGTTTGTTCACATCTTACGCACGAAGGTTTTTATGATCTCGTAAATTTCCACGCTGTGATAACGCAGACCTGATTTAGGATCAGTGTATGGCGCCTATTAGAAGAGAAGATAAGATCAGAAAACAGCTTGTCAGGCGAGACCTCCTACACTACGCTACTCACAATGAGTCCTGTGATATCACAAAACTTCTTTCGTGGTCTTAGGCTAGGCGGTGCTTCGATGCTCGAGTCTGCAAAAAAACAGAAGGGTGTAAGCTTGATCGATCTCATGACAACAAAGATTGGTTGAATGGACTCACAAGTAGGTAAAGCTCGTTTACGCTTCAACAGCTCTTCGGCTGCTGCATCCAAAACAGCCGGAGTTTGTGTTCCATTCGTACCCGCAAGACTGTTCATTGTCGTATCACCATCTGGTTCCGTCATACTTGCACTTCCAATTTCTCCTTCAGCCGGAGTTGCCGTTCCACTTATATCACCTTGTTCTTCTCTTCTTTTGGCAGCTTTTGCAGCTGCTCCCGTCAATAGTCGTCTTTGCTTTGCTGCTGCTCCTTTCTTGTGTGATCCACCACCTCCAGCAGAAGTTGTACTGGTAGAAATGTTGATGGAATCCGTTACGCCCATTGCAAAATCTCTTTCGGCTGCCAAGATTTGTTTGAGATTTCGTATTCTACGATTCGAGCTTTTTGTATAAGATGGATTTTTGAAAGGCTTTGGTGTGTTTAGGAAGCTCTTTGATTCCAAAGAGGAACTTCCTGGAGCTGGTGTAGAAGTCGATGACCTGCAAAGAGTTGTGCGAAAAAGAGGATTAGTATTTCTTCCTCATTTGGGTTGCAAGATGGTCAAATCACTCACATCTTCTGTTTAATTAGGCTATAATGGATCGAGTGATGATAGCAAGACAGCACATTGACAGCTTGGGAAGGCCTCCATATGCACGAATTGTGCTTTAAGCTGGTGTTGTATTTGCCGGCGTGGACTGAATGTATGCTCCAGGCCTATAAGTGGTATGCTGACAGTACGCGTTTAAAGAGTATTGCGCAAAGTATAATTAATCTTTTTGTTGCGTTTGCTTTTCTCTGTCTGCGCGCAGCATTCATCAATTTCCCCCTCTCCCAGTGTTGAAGGCAAAGGTGAGCCAAAAGAAAGAGATCATTGGGAGCCATCAAGGAGAAAAGCACGGGGCAAGCACAAAAGAATAAACAGTAATCGTAGCAGGGTAAAGAAACGTCAAGAGCGAGAGAACAAGACGTTCTACTTTGCACTCTTAAACGATCATCGAGTGCAAATTGGATGAATAAAGAAAGAGGTGGGGCGGATTGGTAAAAGCGGTTTTCTCCGTAAGGCGGATCGCATTGAGGTGGGAGTATTGGTGGCGATCAAAAGGCTAAAGGTTGACAGAGGGGATTAGAAGATGCAACATTAGGTGTAACCTGAACGATTGACTTATTACCGAATCAAACACCTCATCAACATTCGACTCAGTCTACCTATCAACACACCAATCCACGATGACGACAATGAGCTCAACACCGATCAAAAGAGTAAAGCCAAAGCCTCTGCAAGAGGTATTGACAAAGGTCTTGCAACAACTGCAAAAGCGTGATCAATATCTCTTCTTTGCGCAACCTGTCAATTCTGCCGAAGTACCAAATTATTATTCGATCATCAAACGACCTATGGACCTTGGCACGATGCAAAAGAAGCTAGAATCAGGTGCATATACGACTATGGACCTGTTCAAAGAAGATATGCTTCTCATCACTGGTAACGCACAATACTTTAATTCGATAGATGGACCCAGTGCCATCATTCATACCGAGGCAAGTAAATTAGCCGATTGGGGTTTAAAAGCTCTAGCGAAAGAAGAAGCGGCAGTGCAAGAAAGCCTGGCAATCGCGGCAGCAGAAGCAGAAGCTGAAAAAGAAAGGATACGACAATCACATTCACCTGCATCCAATGCACCGCGAAATCGGATAAGTCTCAAAATACGAAAGAGTACATCGTTCAATAACACCCCTGGTCCAAATACACCTAGATTGATGACACCCTCGCGACTTCAGAACGAGATCAAACCAGAGACAAACTTCTCAAATGTGGCCTCTGACGATGAAGCAGAAGAGGTCGAGGTAAATGGCAGTGAAGAAGAGGAGGAAGACAGTGATGATGATGAAGAAGATGATGATGATGACGAGGACGATGATGATGACGACGATGACGATGGCACTAGCTCTAGGGCACAAAGTGTGTCAGTGGATGACTCTGTCAGCCGACAAAGTAAAGATGTTGTGAGAAGGCGGCGGAGGAAATCAGGTATACGGCGAAAGACAGCAAAGAAGAACAAGAGGCTTTTGAACCGGCAGAGTGCTATCATATCAATATTAGGTCTGTCTGGCAAAGCAAATGGAGGAGATGCATCGATAGCATCGAGCACGGCATCAGGCTCGCAAGTGCAGTTAGCACCTGTTAGTACGTTAAGTGGAGCAATTGCAAGCCTCATCCCTCTTTTCTATAGACGGGATGGAGCAATCGATTTAGAAGCCTTGACAGAGGATGAACGAAGGGCGATCTTGAGACCTAGTGGCTCGGACTTTTGGCCAGATGTGCTCCTCCCGTTCATACAATCACTCGTACCTCTCCATCCTGATCTTCTACCCAATGCACAGACGATGGAACGCAACATCAAAGACACGATGGACGGCTTTGCGGCTGCTTTGGTCAGCGTACCACAATCTCTATCTGCTTCACACACATACAATCTGGAAGGTCGAACGCCGGAGCAACAAGAATTACCCTTTTCTGTCTCTAGCGGTTGGGTCTTCGAGGGCAAAGTTCCAAATATCCCATTGGCATGGCCCCGCCTACAGCAGAGCGAAGGTGGAGCGGAAAGTCAGAAAGAGAAAGACAAGGCTAAAGATGATGACAAGGACGAGTCTACACCTAAGGGTCGTGCTCCCAGAAAGGATAAGGAAAAAGAAAGAGATGATGAAGGTCTTGCTACTTTGGATGACTGGACATGGCCAAGAGCTCATTTGGCAAAGTTGCCGGATGCGCTAGATGTGGGACTGTTCCCTGGCTTGCTTCCTGTTGCATGGACGTCACATATTAATTCGCAAAAGGGTGGACCGACAAGATCAAGACTTCCACCTCATCACTTGACACATGGTCAATCACTCGAAAGTGCATTGCAAGACGAATTATCTTCATTGCCACACAGAGCTTTGCTACGTGGAAAGCCTGGTGTTATTTCCTTGGGCGCCACACAACCATCTGCATCTCCTCTGGACGTTCTTGTTGCATTCGAGCAAGCAGCTTCGCGCGATTGGAAGCCAAAGCCTGAAGACATCAAAAAGCTAGGAGCTCGTGGTTGTGATGTCTTGCGTGAGGCTGTTTATGGTGGACCTTTGGGTGAAGCATATGCCAGCAGTGTGGAAGACTTTGTGATTGGAGCAGCACGCTCTGCAGAAGAAAATTCTGATGATGAAGATCTGGATGAGGTAGAAGAAGAGAAACCTCAAGCTGATGATGGGCCAAAGCCAGATCCGGCAAATCCGTATTCGAACGGAAAGACCTCAAAGTCGTACTTCGATGAGAATGGGGAGATGTTTGATCCTGAGGCATATATTGGTATGGATTTAGTCCCTATTGAAGTACGGAAAGAAGCAGGAGTATCATCAAGCTCAAACGTGCCGTCGATGCGACAATCGCCACAAGCAGTTGACTCGCCACGTGGGGTGAAGAGGAGAAGCCGTAGTCTATCTGCCTTTGCTCCTGCTTTCAAACGGCAAGCGACGGAGGAATTGCCGCAAGCAGATCAAAGCATGGAAGAGGATGTAGAGGAAAACAATGAGCCGGATACTAGAGCGATTTGGGAGAAAGAGGAGCATGCAGCTTACATGCGTGGCACTTTACTTGACAAATCACTCTACGATCATGTTCGCGAACAGTATATAGCGCCTCTCACAAACGGCCAGATGGACACCCTGATGGAAATCAGCAGCCAAGTACGGGGTGAAAAGTCAGCCCCTGATAATGAATTAGACCTCGACCTGGATGAGTTGATGAAGACGGTGGAAGAGGTGATGCCAAATCCCTTGGTGAAACAAGAAGATGATGCAGAAGATCCTATGATGTTCGTTAGTAGTCTCACTCCAGCGCCTCGGCAAGAACCAACAAAGGAAGCAGTAGACAAGAACCGAATTGTCAGCCTTGTGCAACTGTTCATCAATGGCAATTACCATCGTGCCAGATTACAGATGCACGAGTTGATTCGTGCTCAGGGTAATGCGATCGATATGGGCAACGTTGCACGTACAGAGATGGATATTCGAGATGCGTTCTCGCTAGAAAGGAGTACACAACCATTACATGCGCAATTTTTGCCTAATCCGTCCATGCCGATCGACCATGTATTGGAGAGATATGCTTCCGTTTTGCAATTGTTGTCGTCAGAATTGATGAAAACAAATGGTAGCTTGGAACCTCTCTATCTGGATTTGGTGGACCGATTAAGAATCGCATACATCACCTTGGGCAGAAGGGCGCCAAAGTTGCATTTGGTAGCTGGATCGTGGAACAGATGGGTAGAATCGGCAAGAAAGTCTCAGGCTATGCAGGATGCACATCTTGCGGCTCAAGCAGCTGCAGCAGCAGAAGAGGCAAAAAGAAAGGAAGCAGAAGGGAAAGCTTGAGGAGGAATTTATAGACAAAAATTACCTCTGACAAGTTGACACACAATTGTACTTTTATCTTACATGAAAAATTTGGGTATCTACTCTACTCTCACACATTGTACAAAAATAATTCTTATGTATATTCTATCGATGCAATACAATGTATAAAATGGAAAAATGGCAGGTCTATTTGCTAATTTGATCGTGTGACTGTGGCTTTGATTAGTCCGGAAGGATGTTGACTTGGCAAAAATACTTCGGCTTGATCTTCTTTGATGTTTTCCTCTTTTGCCCAGCTTAGATCGATTGGGATATAATGTCTGTTGGGCATTTCAAGATTTACTTGTACGACGCTGCTTGAATCTTTGTCATTCAGGATTGCTTGACCGGTTTGATACATTGTTGCTTGAACAGAAGGAGAAGAGTGTGTTGCAAATGTGGTTAAAATGTGAGAGATTGCATTTTGAGCGATTGCGTCAAACGGAGGTAAATCTTTGCCGGAAGTGGAAGGATTGAGTAAATCTTGTAATGGCTTAGCCGGTAGCTTGATATCATATTGACATTCAACACTTGTACTAAAGATTCGATCGTGCACTTCAGGCAATGTTGTATATTCGTCCCTCCAAAAGCCGTAAAAAGCGCTTCCCGAACTTTTCAAGACGACAAGGTCCCGTAAACCAGATTGCAAAACATCGATCGAAGGTTGGCCGCTTGCATCTCGCTTACCGATTGCACGAACATAGCGTTTCTCATTGCCATCTCTAACAAAACTGTGAGGATGTTGTTTAGACTTATCGAAAGGAGAAGTGCTTGTCAAGCCGCTACTGCTTGCATTTCCGTTTGGTCCATTATTTAAAGTAATTCTACTCCATTTCAATAAATCGATATCGATATGAACGTTTTCGATATGTTTATATGTACGTAAAAAGTGTTCTGCAATCACCAATGCAAACGTTTCCGGAACGAGAATTTGCACGCCAGGCGTACGTTTTGCCAATAAATTCAAGGTATTCTTGATACTATCAGTTGCAACGACTGAACTATTATCAGCATGAGTATAAGAAGGTGCCAGCGATGAACCCGAAAGTAAACATTGTATTTTGTATTCTACCACATGATGAGAAGCGGGATCGTTTGAATCGCGTACGATGCGTAAGATACGTACGTCATCCTTTCCATACGAATACGCCGAAAGTGTATGTTGTTGCTGTGAGGTGGACATTGTTTTTGAGTTAGATGGAATGAATGAAGGAAGAAGATCCGTTCAAGATGGATGAATGCTCTTATATATTCATCCTGTTTTACTCTTTCTTTGTTTCTCCTTCCCCCATTATCGTTATCTGCCTTTAGAGCAGTGTTTAAACCTTATCTTGTCCGTTTACGCATATTTGATCAGGAACCAACACAAACAATAAAACACTGATCAAGTGCCAATTTCCATCCATAAACGCAACCTTTTGCATCAGAGTAGGAATAAACGTTTAGGCACTTTACGCGTCAATCTCGGTTTCCCGGCCGTCAATCCGCGACTATAAAGATTTCTTGGCCGTCATTAGCCTTAAAGCATCTCGGAAGAAGTTTGGATAGGTGAGATCGGCTTCTTCGGTGGATAAGATAAGATTGAAAAAATGGTGTCTGCGATCAGTGTATTATCCTTCGTAGCTGAAAGCAAGAATATTACCGAGATAGGAAAGATCTTATTGGCGATTTACAGTAGAAATTAAGATGTAGTGGGTCATTCTTTATACCTTCTTGACTTCTTCAAAGAAATTTATCTCAATTTGTGAAGTTTCTTGAACATCAAACATCAACAACCATTCTGCTCAATTGTGTCCCAGTTTTGATAAATCAGTCAGAATTTAATACCATGATCTTCCAATAACGGCCATTTTAGATGAAGCGCGGGAGGCAAAAGTAACGCACGGATAATGCGTGTGACGCTAGGCTTGCGTTTCTGTTGCATCTCTAGCGGAAAGCTTCTTCTAAACATTCATCCCAGATCTATACTCTTTCGACATAGAAAAAGCTTGCGGACTAAGCAAGTGCTTTTGTCCATAATGTCGACTCCATAAGTTGTCATTGCAAGTAACATTGAATGCCGCTTCATTCAAGGAGAGTGGAGCAAAGATGGCTTCTTCAACCTCGCAAAAGGTACATTTGATCTTTTTATATCATCCACAAGTAGATGTCACAACTTCACCAATTCCAAATGCAATCCTCAAGCGACTTTCGACTCTTTATGGACATCCAAAGAACCTCTTGATCAGTCAAATTCGATATGGGCAGCTAAATGCTTCCTCTTCTAACACCCCCGCAAACGTTGATTTGGACACACTTCTTTCGCCTAATTCAAAACTATCTGCTACTTCATTCGTACCGACCGATGAGTTCATTCGAGTCAATTCTGCTCAACAGACGAATAATGATGACTCTTTCCTAACAGATACCTGGTCAGACGTACGGGCTGTTCGATCGCGGCCATGGCAAGATGAATTGGACGAACTCATGCTCGGTTCAGAATCGAAACAAGATGCGGTCCTTTGCATTGCAGATGGCCTGGTAGCAGCAGTAGAAATGTTTGCCAGATTCAGCATAACCACAAATCCATTGGCTCGATATCTCGTTCATTTGATTCCCGACTCGTCTTCTAAGCTAGATTTGAGAAATGATATACATCCACACTCAAACCTTGATTCGACACACGATGAATGGAACTGGGATCGTGCGGCAACTGAATTGGGCAAAATCGGTGCATGGCCCTCAACAGTCATCCTTCCCGATAGTGGCTCCTCCTTTGCTATGCTCTCGGTAGAGGCAGAAAGACTACATAGAACCATTTCCGACAATTTACCTCCCACCTTGCCTTCGATTAGCGACGCTCCTAGTATTCTCGGAGCGAGCTTCCGACCTGTCACATTCGCAAAGGGAATGCTATTGTCTGGATATAGTGACGCAGCTGGCACAGCAGCCCGTGCCGCTGCAAATGCAAATATACCCATCACAAGCAGAAAAAGACAAAGGCGACAGAGCGTTAAAGGTGGTCAATTTGGCGGACAGGCAGACAAGAAAGATGAAGATTTAGGCAGCATGGTTTCATCGCTTACTGGTGCATCGGCTAATACTATCACTCAGCCTCTTCCAGACACAACTGCTCGCAAAACTGTCTCTGAGGCACAGGCTATTCAGAAGGTTCTGTTCTTGCAGCAACAGCAGCAGATGATGATGCGGAATGTCAAGATTTTGCAACAGCAAGAAGAAGACAAAGGCTCAAGCAAAGGCTCTCCAACGAGAAACAGACTTTTGAGCCAATTCAGAGAGCAATTGGACTCACAACAGGATACTTTGCGGACTTATCAAATCAAATTGAGTTCGGGAGGATTGGTACCCGATCTCAATAACTCATTGAATGCGCTGATGGCGATCGACAGGGAAGCAACAAATCAAGGTATCCATCTTGGAGGTCCTAGTAATATGCAAGCGCTTGTCGCTAGACATCGTCAGCAATTATTAGCACAACAACAAAAGGCGCAAGAGCAAGTAGCTGGAAATGTACCGAGTACAACTCAACCTTCTGTAGCTCCTTCTACTACAACTGCTGGCGACGCATCCACTCAACCGACTGATGCTACTGGCGCTCAACAAGTAAAAAGGCCAGGTGGTCAGGTATTCTGGACAGGTGCAATTACGTGGAGTATGGCTTTACCCAATAATCAGAGAAACCATGCAGCTACATTTGTGATGGCACAATGTGCTCCTAATACCGATCAATCCACATTGCTACTTCCATGGCCGCAAAAGTTCACCATTAGTGAAGTTAGAACGGTATCTTTGTCCACTATGCAACAATATGCTACCTCGCACAGTACACCCTGCATCATCTTCAATCCCAAACCATTACCGAACTCAGTACAGGGAGATCCTTCGCCGGATGCACCTAGTGCCAACAAAACGAATGAAACGATGTACATGATGCTGGCCAGGATGATCGATAGCAAAAAGGGATGTGCGTATATGAGATTACAAGATGCACCCAATGCCCCCGCCGAGGCTGGGATTGTGATTGTACCTACAGCGCCTGCTCCAGGAAGCACTGCTAGACGTTTGCTTGGATTGGTGTTCAAAGATCCCGTTCCTTGGCACATGTTTCTTCCACAAACGGCTCCGGATGCAACAGCGGTTCAGCCTGCTGCTGCTACGGCCAATGCTCAAGGTACTCAAGCAGGCAATGCGTTCGCTCGTCCGCCTGTAACACCTCAAGCACCACCTGCTTTGTTCCAGCAACAGCAGGCATCGGCTAGACCGGTAATGCCTCAAACGCCGCAACAATCACAACAGATCGGAGGATCAACCGGTGGTACATCTTCTCAGGCTACACCCATTCCTCCTGCGATGGGAGCATTGAGTGCACTTTCTGCGGCTCAAATGGCACAACAGATACCGGCGTGGGCTGCATCAGCACTTGGAAATCAACAGCAGCAACAACAAGCAAAGCCTAATGCATTGCCAACGTCTTTGGCAGCATTACAACAAGCAATGCAAATGAATGCAGGCGGTATGAATGCCGGAAATGCCAACTTTGGAGGAAATAATGAGAACAAAAATGTCAATTTGGCAAATATATTTGGCGGAGGGGATGGAAATCGAATGAATATCGATTTCAATGCATTGGCTTCTCAATTGAATATTCCTGTCAATCGACCTGGAATGCCAAATCAACAACAAGCCCCACAACAGCAACAAGGCAATCCTGCTATTTTCAATCAATCCATCTGGTCAGACAACAATAATTCTAATAATGCTAATCCGGTGATGAATAATGCCACAATCAATCCCAATGCATTCGCCAATCTTAACGCAGGTAATGCTGGCGTGCAACCTACTGCAGGCGGACAAGGGATGTCATCAGCAGATCTGGAAGCGTTACAAAGGATTTTGGGTTTGACAAACAATTAAAAAGAGAGACACTGTTTCACTCACACACATTTGTATACTAGTACATCGAATCAGATTGAAAAATAAAAATAGAAATGGGTATCTTGTATGTGTATAAGAAAGGGAATATATCATGCTTGACCAATGAAAAAGCTGGCAACACCTCCGATCGCCAGACCGAATGTAAGCCACCAACTAATCAAACCAGCTGCTAAGCCACGTTGACGTCCATCGACAAGATCAGGCGAACGTGGTCCAATGATGAATGTATTGGTGGCCAAAAGTCCATTTGTTGTGCCTAATACGATGACCAAGAAGAAGAAAGCAGGTGATCCCAGCGAATTTGAAGAATCGCCAATACCAATCGAAGAAGTTCGTTCAAGGTTACACAATGCCAAAAGTGGAATCAATGCTGTACGTAATAAAGAAGCGATCGAAACGTATCCCATACGTTGAAAGCAAAAGACATTGGGTGCAATTGTTGGCAGAGTACGACCGATCAGATCACTCGTATTGAATGCAACAAAGTGCCACGCTACAAAAATGAGCGTCGAAACAGGTTTTGTCGCTTCTTGAAACGCTTCAGGCCGTACTCTTGATGTTAGCGAGGGAAAGACGGCCAGAGTGACAACGAAGATATAAGCGATGGTGAAGCAGGGAAGAATTGTCTTCCGTTGCACTTCCATAATGCGATCATATAACGCCTCCACAGAGCTACTCATGTATTTGCGAATAGGTGATGCTGATGCGGGAGGTGCAGTAAGTCCATCTCTAGAAGTCTCTTGCGATCGTTCCGCATTGACCTTATTAGCCATGCTCTCCTCCATCTCCCTGTAGATCTTGCTTCTCGTTAATCTCCAATAACAATATAATGCCACAATCATCAAGACAGAATTTGCTACGAAGAACTTCACTGCAGCCTTTGCCGCTTCGCCATCGCCCATTGAAGAAGGACCACGTCCATCAACACTGACATAAGCCACGACAAGTTGAGTATAGCTCACTCCTGCCCCCACAGCACCTTGTCCGGTGAGCATCAATCCCAAACAACGCGGACCATAAGCATTGGATAAGGTGATGACTGCCAATTGCAGATACGAGGTCGCTGCTGAGATGATTAATGTCAACAGCAAAATAGTGGGAAGTGTGAACGTTGTCGAATATGACTTATTGCCTTGAGCTGTGATGGCCGTTAGTGCTGTACTGAACACTAGAATCGAAATGATGACGGCCATTGAAGAGAAGATCCTCCGTTTGATCGAATTGTTTGGCATAGTTGCAGTTGCATGAGCGCCAAAAGCAATACTGGAAATGTTATAAACCAGAATGATCCAGCTCATAAATGATTTCTCTTGACTTGTACCTGTCAATATACTTCTGTAATACTCTGTTGGCGTGATAATCGCATTGAACGGGAGCAAGACAGCAGCTCCTAATAGGACAAATGCTGCTTGAAGGTATATTTTTGCCATAAATGGTGATTGTTCCCATGCTGTCGTATATTCTACACCTTCTGAATTGCCTGAGTTTTCATTTCCTTCTCCACTTGCATGCAAAGGTACTCCTTCTCCCACATCCTCCCCATCTTCTTCCTGACCTAAAGGTTCGTACGTTACATTCCCACGTTCTTCTAACCTTGAGAATACGTTTGGTACATGAAACGTATGCTTTTGTAGCACCGGCTTCGCATATTCTCCATCCATTGTCACGCTTGATGAGTTCTCTGATCTAGTATGTCATCCTTCCAAGATTTCTAGAAGCAATGTTTAAAGAGAAAAGGAACGATCCCTCAATCGAATGATGTGGTAATTTGTCAGCCATGGAAATGACGAACCGATAAGCACTAAAAGCTAGCGTACGCATAAGCGATAACCCTGTGAACCCTAATGGGAGAGAGCATATCCCTGGCGTGCATAAGTACAATTTCAATATTCCAGCATTTATAGCGGGGAAAGCTTGGTGAACAAAACCAGGACAAAATGTATTCAGTGATACTCAAAAGACTATATTCCGGTCAATATTGATGATGATAATATGATTTATTATTACAAATGTGATCTTGAGAAGAAAGAGTGACATAACATTTCTTCCAAGGAACACGCCTGATAGCACACTAAACACGCGCTGCGCACAAGCCCCACTGCATGCTCAAAAGAGAAGAATCCAATTCCATTGTTACACACCATCATTCCCGCCATTGATACAATAAGGAAGAGGAATGGAAAGCTGGGGTCTCAATTGAAAGACTAGGCACGTAAGGGGTAGATCTAGAGCTCTCTTGGGAAGCCACCAACAGAAAAAAGTGAGACGATGTCGACAAATGTCGAGGCCCCGGTGGCTTCGACATCGAAAAAGTACGATTCACTACCAGCATTATTGAAATCGCTTAAATCATCTTCTTCTGAAAATGTATCGGTACCTGATGATATCGATGATCCTAATTCAACCTCATTCAGTCAATTACTCTCTTTGACGACACAATCGCTAGACGATCTTCGAACGCAACCTGCCGCTCTTCATACTGCCAGCTCATCTTTGGAAAGTCAATTGTCCAACCTTTGCTCAAGACATGTGTCCTCTTTTGTTCGTGTTCATTCGGCATCATCTGCTCTTCCTGGCACACTTGATCGATTAGACGTTCAATTGGATAAATTGATCGATCATGATCTGCAAGTGCTCTCTGAAGCAGCTCAAGAATTTCCAAACAACGTGGAAGTATCACTGGCTGCAAGAAACAAGGCAAGAAATTTGCTCGATCAGTATGAAACTTCTTTAAAGGATTTGTTGGACATTCCAAGATTATTGATCACATGTGCAAAGGCTAATCATCCTATCGAAGCACTTCAATTAGGCATACATATGGCGAAAATTGCTCGAGCTGATGCTGAGAGCGGACAAAAAAGTGTTACTGTCAAAGCTTTGAAGGAAGAATGCTGGACGCATTTGATGAGATTGAGAGAAGACCTACTACGTGGCTTGGGCGCAAGAGGTGTGCGATTACCAGCTGCACGAAGATACGTTTCTCTATTACAAAGATTACACGATATCGATCAAGCGTCTTATGGTGAAGGGCGAGATGGACAATCGAGCACAAGCAGGCTCGCAATATCACAAAGTGCAATTTGTCTGTCTTTCTTACGATCTCGATGGATCTTGGTGGAAGATTTAGGTGCGCATGATTCTGATGAGCAAGTCGCAAACATCTTATCATCCCAGATATCCTCTTGGAGAGACCTTGTAGGCGATACGTGTAATATCGCAATGGCGCTCTTTGGAGACAAGGACTTACAAACTGACACAGCAGAAAGCAATGAAACGAGCAGGGGTGATGAACCATCACCTTTATCGCTCATCTCTTCGTTCGGGTATCGATCTATTTCTAAATTGGAACAGCTCGTCTCAAGGGTATTGCCAAGCATTGATGGAAAGCAAGGTTCTCTGCAAGATGCCTTTGAGACGCTCGCTTCTTTGCATCTGCAGTTATCATACTCTGCTGCTTCGTTGTCTCGTCAAGGTCTTGACTTCTCAGACGTGAGCGGAGCGCGTAAGGCATTCGAGACTCAATCGTTAGAGCTATGGTCATCTGGAGTCAAAGGTGTAGTGGAGACATTCGAAAACAGTCTTGGTTCTTCTGCTACGTTGTCTGTCAAGGATCTGACAGGGTCGGAAGATGTTCGTGATGTTTTGAGAGATGTCACTCTGGAGACTATTCGCACCTCAGACGATTGGTCTTTGCAAGTTTCTTTCTTTCCTCCACTCGCGGCATTGGCAAATGGCATATTGGACATTCATGATGCTTTTGTCTCTTTTGCTCCTATCTCAATCGGCAAGGACGCACTAAAGGCTTTTGACTTTGCTACGACTGATCTTTTGGCACATATGTTGGAGTCTTTCCGTAAGGCAGATTCCGATCAAACAGCAACATCTTCCTCGGTTCGCATTCATCCTTTGATCGAAGGCGTACAAAATGACAAAGAGAGTAAGAGTAAAAGGAGATCGCACGAAGCTACAATCACGATAGCAGCCAGATTCTTGGCTACGCTTAGTGAATCCTTGTTGACATTCTTGCGAAGTTCAACGTCGTCCTTATTCGAGCGCGAATTTCCGTTGACACCTTCTCTGATTTCTACATTAAGAAGCATATCTGAATGGACGAATGAGGTGGAACAGAAGTGGAAGCTTGGAGAGGAAGCAAGAATAGCCGAAGTGAAAAAAGCGGAAGATGATCGTTTGGCCACAGAAGAAGCTGAAAGAAAACGTTTTGATGAAGAAAATAGACGATTGCGTCAAGAAGAGGAAGAGAGGATGCGATTGGCGGAAGAGACACTTTTGCGAGAGGAAGCAGAGAGAAAGAAACGAGAAGAAAAAGAACGATTGCATAAAGAAGAGGAAGAAAAGAAGCGATTGGAACAAGAAAGAGTGCGTAAAGAAGAAGAAGAAAAGCGACTGGAAGAGGAAAGGCTGCGTAAAATGGAAGAGGAGAAGCGCTTGGCCGAAGAGCGAGAGAAAAAGCGGATAGAGGATGAGAAAAAGGTGGCAGAGGAGGAAGAGAGAAAGCGCCAAGAGGAAGCGAAACGGAAAGAGGAAGAGGAAGCAAAAGAACGCGCTGAAGAGGAAAGACGAAAGCGAGAAGAGGAGGAGCGACAAAAGGAAGAAGAGAGAAAGAGGCTTGAAGAGGAGGAAGAGAGGAAGAAACGGCTGGCTGAGGAAGAAGAAAGAAAGAAACAAGAGGCTGAGGAAGAAGAGAAGAAACGGCAAGCAGAAGAAAATGAGAAGAAACGCTTAGCGCAGCGGGAACAGAAGAGGCTTGCAGAAGAAGAGAGCAGGAAGCTGCAGGAAGAGGAAGATCGAAAGAAAGCCGAGGAAGCAAAAGCTCGTGAGGAAGAGGCGAAAAAGATCGAAGCTCAAAGTGCTGTTGCACTAGAAAAGCAGAATGATGGATCTCATGATACGTATGATTCCAAGCAGACCGAAGAAAATGAAGGCAAGACATCTAATGCTGTTAGTGAGGATGAAGATGAAAGCAAGGAAAAGAGCGTAGCGGAAACGTCTGCCAAAGACAAGAAGAAGAAGAAAAAGAAAAAGAAGAAGGGAAGCAAAACTCCTGATCTTGCCCAGGGAGAGACTATGGAGCCCAGCTCAGAGGTCACAACGGACACAGCACAGCAGGATGAAAAGGCATCTAACGTACCTCAACTACCTCAAGAAGCAGCAACAGCAAACAAAGTTACTGCTGATGCTGCCAAGGAAGAGAGTAGTGCTACTCAAGAGAAGATGTCGACGGAAGAAGCTGTTCCTGATGTGGCACAACCCGCCAAAGAAGACAAAGTCGCAGAAAGCAACCAGGAAGCCGAATCAAAAGCTGAAGAAGCTCCTAAACAGCCTGTAAAGGCAAACAGTAAACTTGCTGAAAAGTTGCGTAAACGGCAAGAGGAGCGTGATCGTGCAGCGGCAGCTGCAGCATCGAAGGAAACCTGAAATAATTTCATTGTACTTTTATAATACATACGTTTGAGAATTAAGACATCTCAATCAGCTTTGCGATGGTTGCGTTGACGGTTTGTATAGTTTACATCATTTTAGTCGACCTTTTCAACCCCAAATCAAGTGCGACTCAGCCGCTTGTTAAGTTTGATCGTCCACGTCCTCATCATTGATCGACGGAATACTGACATCTGGTGGCATGTAGGTCTCTGTGTTTAAGAAAGGAGCTGATCAGTACTTAGGTTGATGAATGTGATGTCCCCTCTACTGCTCACTTTTTGCCTTATTCAAGAAACCGATATACAAAACTGAATCTGCACCATCTTTCAAACCCATTGCACTGATTGTGGGTTTCTTTTTACGGTCCAGCTCGGCAAACTTGATATCATCTGAAGGTGCTCCATTTGCACCGACCACAGAATTGCCTTCAAAGAACGCGAGATCTTCTACGTTTAGATCTTCGAATGATTCAACACCTGCTTCATCGGGTAGTTCAGCATCTGTGCTTTCTAATAATTCCAAAGATAGTCTTGCCAATTCATCGTATGTAGTGGTCGGATCCACTGGGACGCATAGCTGGAGACACATCAAGATTCAGCATACGATTTTTCTTGAATGTTGCCAATCATTACTTACCACGCTCTTTTGATATTTGATACGTAATGCGAACCCAGAAGGTGAATCAAACGCTGATTCTTCCTGCTGTTCACTGGCCTGGAGAGGGCAAAAGGAATCAGTCAATTGTTGCACAAAAATCAATCGTTGTTGGGACGTACCATCTCTAGTGATCTCCTTGCAATTCTTCGATGATGGTGATGGTGCTTGTTTGAGTGATAGGATGTGGAGAGATTTCCTAACACGCTTTCTTCCTGCAGCATTTAATTAAAGTCAAACGCGTTTTTTAAGGTTTTCCATTTTAGATCAAAAGTTGGCACACGACTCATTTCCTCCTTTCTTGCAACGCCACCATCTGATCAGATTGGTCAACTATCAAAATGTCTTCGCTTGATCTTTCAATAGATTCACCTGAAGCAAAACAGCTACAGGACATCGTACAAAAAGAGATTGCTCGACGTGGATGGAGTGAAGGGGAAGAAGATGCAGTCATGAGTGAATATGTACTTGTGATGGTAGCAAACAAAAAGACTCAACAACAAATCGAATCAGAACTGAAAGATCTTTTAGGCGAAGACCAGCAAAACGCCGAAGCTGGAGTGGAGTCTTTCGTGTCATGGCTATGGCAAGAAGCAAGTAAGATTCTAGGTCTCAATGTCGAACCTCAAATCCAGCACGAGAAGAATGTTGTGGATATGAAATTCCGATCTCGTCGTTCTGCATCACCTGAGAATCGTGCTAGCGGATCGCGATACGAAGACAGACGGTCTGCTACTCATAATCACGATAGACAACAATCAGACAGATGGCAAGCTGGCCAGGACAACAAGCCTACGAGAGAGCTATTCCCACCCAAGTCCGATCCTAATTCCGAAGTAGGAATGGCAGCAGACAGAATGGACGAAGGAGAAAATGATCGGGAAGGACAACGATCACTTCGAATTGCTGGACGGGGTCGAGGTAATAAGCAGAATAGCATGTTCAAACGCAGCTTAGAACAAGCTCATCGATCAAATGGCGCTCAAGGTCAATCCATCTTTGCTCGGGCTGGCGTACCAAATCCAAGAGCGGAAGAGTTTGTGCCTGCTTCAGCTCCTCAACCTATCACAACACAACCAAGTGATCCATCTCAAAATTTGCTCTTCAGAATTGATCCAATGATGCCCAACAATGCCGCTGCTCCAGCATCAAACGGAAACAATGAAGACAGCAACGCTCCCGCCGATTTCCCAACCCAACCTCTTGATGCAGCTCTTTGCCGATGGGGCCTCAAATGCACTTCGCCTACATGCATCTATTCACATCCTTCGCCTAGTGCAGTAACCTTGTCTAGACAAACAGGTGAAGATCCAATTGTACTTCGACAAGAACCCTGCCATTATCAAAAAGATTGCACTCGAGCCGATTGCGATTTCAGTCACATTTCTCCGGCTGTCAAATTCGTTTTGGCAAAAGCAGATCGAGCTGCTTCGATGGCATTTGGTAATGCAACTACTACATCACAACCAAAAACCACTTTGGATTCTGCCTTGACTAGTGGCTCCAACGATAACGACCCTAGCAGTATACCCTGTCGTTATGGAAGCGCTTGTTATCGTCAAGGCTGTCATTTTTCTCATCCTGCCAACAGGACAAATCATGTTTCAGAAAGATTGAAGCAATTCGCAAACGTTGAACCGGAAAATGAGATGGAAGTCATCATTCCTACTGCTTAACCTTACTATATTGTACCAAACTTTGATGTACTTTTAATAAGATCTGATGATCATCATGCTATTGATTTGAAGGCTGAGTGTTGGGATATGACGTATACGGTACGCCTGGCACGTGTACAGGCGTCACTTGCCGTATCACGCCGTATCACGCCTTAACGCCTGTTCCGCCACAAAGGCTGACGAACCACAGTTTTGGTGCCCAAATTAGCCCATATGTCAATTATAAATAGTCTCATATCACATGTAAATTTTACCTACTTTTCTCTACCTCACTAATTTATTAATATCAATCAGAAAGCAGTGCCTGGAGACTACAAAACGTAACACTGAGCTTATGTAATAGACAGCTTAAGCGCGTTAACTCATTTAAAGTGTTGAACGCGATAGCTGGAGTCCAACCAACACTTTTAGAGAAGACAAACGGAAGCGCAAATAAGCTCATCAGCGTCCGGACCATCACCTTGTACGGCTACGATTGAGAAAATCTTGTCATCATGTCTTCTTCTGCAGGAGAGTCAAGAAGACGTGCGGAGATTGAAGCAAAACGAGCAAAACTAGCAGAATTGAAAAGGGCAAGAGAAGAAAGAACGAGTAGATTACAAGTTGGAAGAGGTGACGGAAAAAGTATTTCAGAAGCAACTACGCCATCTTCACGAAAGGATTTAGATGACTTTGTTGCTTCTTTAGTTGGAGGACCGGGAAATGCAAGAGCTTCAAGTAGTGCAAGTGCACGTCAAGGTGGTGCTGCAACGCCATCTTCACCGAGAAGAAGTGTGACTGGCGCACAAGGAACGAGCGAATATGCGGGATCAGAAGCAGGCTTTCCACCGCATAGCACGGGCACTACAATGGTCAATCGTGCAGATGGAGAAGAACAACCACAAACCATCATCGCCGTTCCACGATCAAACCTAGTGGATAGTGAAGCTCAGACAGATTTGGACGACACTGCACCAAAGAAGCCCGAAAAGGTATACTACACAAAAGAAACACAAACGACAAATGTTGGAGATTCTGACGAAGAGGGTAATGATGCCAAAGCGGCTTCGATATCTCTGGCAGCTGAACAAGCCATACGTAACAAAGTCTTACAGGAACAAGAGCAAGAGAGGCTGAAGCGGGAAGAAGAGGCTCTCAAATTGCAGGAAGAACAGCTAGAGCGAGAGATAGAGCAAGGTTTGAGAGAATTATCAGCAGAAGAATTGGAAGCCATTTACGGGGCAACGGAATTCGTCACTTTCGTTGAACAAAGCAGCAAAATCGTCGAACGAGCTTTGACGGACAATTATGACTATCTCAAGGATTACACTCTATTGGAAGACCCCTCTGCTGAAAATCAAGAGGGAAGATTGGTGAAGTGCAATCGAATCTTTTGGGATGAGAACCTGTGTAAAGGCAGAAGTATCACTGACTTGGACTGGTCTGTCAAGCATCCCGAATTGGTCGTAGCTAGCTATAGTCGAAGCAATAGCGTAAGCGATGATCAGCCGGATGGGTTGGTGTTGGTTTGGAATATGCATTTAGCAGATCGACCAGAGTTCATTTTCCATGCCCAAAACGATGTGTTGTCTGTATGCTTTTCACCTTTTCAACCTAACTTGGTCATCGGTGGTACATATAGCGGACAAATCCTCGTTTGGGACACCCGTTCTCGCAACGCACCTATTCTCAAAACACCACTATCCGCTGCAGGTCACACTCATCCGGTATACAGCATGCGAATCGTTGGGTCACAAAATGCACACAATCTCATCACTGCATCTACTGATGGCACTGTTTGCAGTTGGGTGTTGGATATGCTGGCAAGACCGCAAGAGACCGTCGAGCTACTCAACCCTACTCATGCAAAGACGGATGAAGTGAGCGTGAGTGTGATTGGATTCCCAGATCAAGAAACAACAAGCTTTTGGGTTGGAACAGAAGAGGGAAATGTGTATTGCGGTACCCGATATGATCGAGCTGGATGGAAAGCTGGTTTGAATTTGGCGGAAGTGTACAAAGCACATGCAGCACCGGTAACCGGATTGCATTTCCATCCTTTACATGGACCGATCGATTTCTCGGATTTGTTCTTATCGAGTAGTATGGATTGGTCATCTCGTCTTTGGCGAATCAAGAACAATCCATCTTCGTCCAATGCAGTCTCGCGTAATGTCAATACTGTTTCGACAATCGTTTCACCATTGGCATCATTTGAAGAGGCAAATGATTATGTCTATGATGTCGCTTGGCACACCGCCCATCCTTCTATGTTTGGACAAGTTGATGGGACGGGTTCATTGGATATTTATGATTTGAATGTGGACCTGGAGAGACCGGTTGTGACAACTATTGTGGGGACTGGTCGAGCTTTGAATAAAGTTAGATGGGATCGCAAAGACGGTAGGCGATTAGCAACAGGAGGTGCGGACGGAAAGTTGTACGTGTATGACATTGGTACGATGGCCGTTCCACGCGAAGAAGAGTGGCTAGAGTTCCAAAAGACACTATCAAGATTATCGAATGCAAACTCTATTGGATTATCTTCCGATAAGACTACTTCGGCATCAGTCTCTCAACCTGGTATCAATGCGGTCATCCCTAATGCTGCTCAAGCTAATGTGTCCACTCCTACCAGATCTGCAGTTGATTTCGAAAGATTCAATCAACGTTTATCTGTAAGGTGAGCAAATGTGCTTCTCTCTTATTCGTAAATCTAATCAAGTCTGTATATGCATAGCATGTTCACCTTGACTTTATGTACATCGATACCCTTGATAATAACATTAGCCGAATGATAACCATATCCATCCTTTAGGGAACGCGTACTAGCAAAGCGTAAAACGCGCTCATTTAAACAAGAAGCGCGTAAACTTGTGTTACTTTTCTTGAACAACACTTTTCCCTCCATCATCCAGTCCAACAAGATAATCAAAATGGCAGTACCGGTCATCGAACCAGCTCGTGCCAACTTGGTAACTGCACCCACCCAATCTAAACCAAAGTATCATCTGATGGAATTGAATGCAGATTTGGCAAAGTTGATCGAAGATATGACCAAAGATGAACAGCAACGAACGAGAAAGAGAATGCGAGAAGGTGATGAGGAAGAAGATGATAGCAGATCAAGGCCTACCTTGTGCATTAAGGGAAGGCAAGCAGATGAAGCAGTCTTATGTACTGACACACAAACGTATATGGTCCGACAAGTTACACAATCCAACTCGCTACTCCTTTGTTCTTTAGAAGGAAAGCAGAGCGATTCCAGTACGGCGAATGTGAGCGTTCGTGATAATATCGTAGAGATTTTGGAATTGGTTCCGATTGTTGCTCGTGTAAGTAGATTAACCACCCTGCTCGAACACAGTACATACTCCGGAGAAGATGAGGATCTGGAAGAGAATGAAGCAAAGAAGCTCTATACTCCACAACAAGTTGCCAGTATCGTACAAGCAAGTCCTTTAGAACTTAAGAAAGGTTTCAAAGATGCACACATCGTAGAGATGGATGGATATTTAAGAATGATATCGAAAGCATACCTTTTTGATGCATTACGAGCTTTGCTTGCTCATATTGATCGATTGTCTCTTTCGACCGATCGAATTCTCTTGAAGCCTGCTGTTGCCGCTCTTCGAAATACAAGTGATATGCGAAAAGAAGTTGCAGAAGAACTTCTTCGATCATGGTTTGGCAATCCGATCACACCTGAAGAAGGGGACGAGAGTACGGATACGATGACACAGAAAGGCATGAAGGAGGAAGAGGAGATCATTATTCTGGACACGTCTCGCATCTCTCAATTCATAGGTTTGCAATTACTCGAAACACTCGCAAAAGGCAAGCCGGTGGAAATGGAATCATTCACGGAAAAATGGAAGGACGGATTAGGCGCCACATTGGGTGGAAACGAGAAAGCACTCGATATCAATCTGTTGCAAGGAAATTACTTGCTAACGCCTGCTCCACCGGTAGCTCCTACCAAGTTACAACCTCTATGCATTGAATTCTTTGCAGCTTCTTCGCTGCCTCTAGATATCTCTTCTCGCTTCCAAAAGCTGTTTTCTGTTCGACCACAATGGATCGGAGAGGATCTCAAACCGTTCTTACAAGATGTTGCCGTTGATGCGAAAAAGCGTGATGCTCTCTTGCTGAAATTCGCACGTTCTTCTCAAGTAAAGATGCCCATTCAAGAATCCAAACAAGAACGAAGGGCACGCTTAATGGCAGGCAATCCACATGCACCATCAACAAATGTTTCCTTATATTCAGCCCGTCTGCGTTATTAGAAGAAAAGAAGTTGTGTTACATTGTACAATATAATTGCATTTCATACTATCACATTTAGTTCGTGTGTGTATCAGGAGAGGATACCCTCGCTGTAGTACTGGTATTGATCGTAAAGACGTGTGAAAGTAGAGTTGATCGAGCCAGAGATCAATCGGTCAACAAATTCATCGCATTGCGTTTGACTGAGTGCAAGTTGGAATCTGTCACGCAAATAGGTAGATGTCAAATCACCCAAAGCAAAACAAGGCAACTTGCTCTCTTTTTGCATCAATTCAACAATCATGATGATTCTTTCGGCATGCTTTCTCACATCTCGGAAACCTTGACAAAGTAAGCTCTTGAATTCGACAAATTTAGCAGAGTCCAAGCCTCCGATCACATCGATGTATTCTTGCGTGATCTTGAAGGGTGCTGCTTCAAATCCAACTCCTCCGGGTGAGATACCCAACATGAATCCGAAATCGATGTGAATAAGATGCCCTTCGTTGTCCACCAAGATGTTACCGTTATGACGATCTTTGATTTGCAAAAGGTAGGAGATGATCGAATATCCAGCCAATGATTCAATAAAGCGTTGTCGTGCTTTTCCAAATTTGGCAGAAGAAGGATCTCCAAAAGTGTCAATAAAATGATCCAAAAGGCTATAGGTTGCAATCTTGTTCGTAGGCGCAGCAGGTGCAGGCTGAATTGCGTTATCGATCGCACTCATTTGTTCTTGCTGCTGTTGTTGAAGGGTATTTTGTTGCTGTCTTCTACTATAGGCTTCCTTTTTGATGCTATGAACGCTGACGGAATCCGTAACTGTTTCCATAATACCGCTATTCTCACTGGTGACTAGAATGCGGAAGTATCGTACCCAGCATCTAGATCCAGTTTCACCCCAAATTCGTGCAAATTCTTGGATGAGCTGAACTGCCAACTGTTCTTGACGCAAATCAGCTCCAGTCTTTACGATCACACTGAATACGTCCCAATTTTCAAGATGTCCATAGGGAGATGCGGCACGAATGCGGGCCTTCTTTGATGCCCATGATTCGCGGAACATTGCTGCAGATGGATCATCTTTGTTGACAGCTTTTTGCACTGTTGCTTCATCTTCCACATTTGCTCCTCTTCGTATCTTTCTGTTACTGCTTACCAATTTCATCCGCTCCATTCTCTCTTCCTCTAAAGCCATCATTTCTTGCATAATTCGTTTACGAATCATTTCTGTATCGGTATGTACCAACTTCTTCCCTGCTCCGCGTGCTCCGTATCCTTGGCCTGCTGCTCCTTGACCACCAGCTGCAAGGGATGTACTTGAAGTTGAGCCATTGACGGTTGCTGCTCCTGCTCCATTGTTGATTGTGATCACCGGTGCTTTCAAGCCTGCACTTGCTTGGCCTGCTTCGCTTCTGGATCCGTTTGAAGTGGCAGCCCAACTTGTACCCATTATCCAACTGCTCCATCCTCCTTGAGCAGTCGAACTAACGTGAGGATTAGTTGCCACAATCGGCTGAGCAGATGCATTTGTTGACTGATTCAATTGTGCCAACATGATAGCCGCAGTACGCATTCGTTCTGCATATTCATCCAGTGAAAATTCTCTCTTTTTGCTTGGCGCAATTTCGATAGCAGGTGCAACTTGTTGAGAACGATTTGGCAAAGATCTTGACCATGCAGCATGATCATGATCAATATTCACAGCCGCAAGATCTTCTTCATCGCTATCTGGCTCTTCTCGATCACCTCCAAATGCAGCCAGATCAGATCCATACGCCTGTTCGGTAAGATCAATCTCTTCTCCATCGCCTGAAACTTCCTCATCAATCACAGGTGGTGTGGAGGAGTGTGGTGTTAGCCGGGAAAGAGGTGGTGGTGTTCCACGTCGGATCAGATCCGCTCCCAAGGCATTTTCTCGGGACAGAGGTAAAGTCTGGCTCACATCTGCCTTGCTTTCATCCACCGAATCGGCAGCGGTAGGTGTGGCAGGTAGAGATGTATCGCCTGTCACAGCTCCAGAGGGTACGCCAGCACTGGATCTGTTAATATTACCTCCTGAAGCAGAGAATTGTCTGGAAATCAGTGTCTTCCGCCTTCGAACATCTTCTTGCATGACCAGCTTCTTCAAACTTTCCCGATTTGATCTTCGTTCTGGATCAAAATCTAGATCATCCACCAAAACCTCTACATGTAATAGGAATGGAACACGATCTGCTGAATTGAGCACGACTGCTTCACTTGGATTGATACGTACAACGCGATGATGTCTCCCTCTCTTTTCGCCTTTTGGAAGAGGTGTTCGCTTGCTTGTAGCATCACTTTGCTCTTGATTCTCTTGCGTGGCAGCTTCGCACCAGAGTGGAAAACATACTTCAGAGGGTAAACCATGATTGAGCTCAGTAAGTTCTGCACGCAAAGCAGAAAGTCGGGCTGGTTTAGGGAGAAGTAGCAATCTCGCTGAAACATCTTGAAGTGTTTGCAGAAATTGCGTTTGTTTTCTGCAGTAATTCGATCGTAATAATCTTCGTCTGGCTTCAAAGTCATATCGTGCCAGCACTGCCTCAGGTGTTAATGCCAGCGCTTCATCTCCCACTGTTGCCGAAGATCCAAATGGAGAGCCAGAAATGGAAGACCGACCTGGAAGGTTCGCAGATGATGCTCCGACTCGAGCGGAAAACCCATCAGCAAGCGAACTGCGACGATGTAAATCTATCGCACTTTGATTTTTTGTTGAGCTAGTCTTCCTGCGATGCTGTCTATGCCAAAGAGGTGGTGGGCCGGCTTCCTTCCCATTTGCTGCGGGAGCAAAATCAACTCCGAACTTCTGTCCGAACACATCATTCACAGCAGCGACAGTTTTATCACGAAGATCGTTAAAGCCAGTAGTCAATTGGTTGAATGGGTTGACCAATTCTTTTGAATTTGAGCGTCTTCGTTCTCCTCTGCGTGGTGGCGTGTGGGAACTTGAAGGGTGAGATGTATTTGCGACCTTCTTTGCTTCTGCAGCTGCTTTTGATGCTTCAGCGAAAGCGGAAAGATCGGCTTCGTTTTCATCTTGACGTAATGAGCTTCCGCTTGGATTCTTTTCATGTCGCACATTCACTCTCTGATCAGTTTCGTGGTCACTAGTTCCCCTATTGTCAGCGTCGTACGTTCCATCATCGTCATCATCAGACTCCTCCGCTTCGTCTGAACCACCTGACTCGTCTTCATTTGCTGCTATTCTTGACATTCCTGAGCCTTCCAATGGCGCCAAATCTTTTCCTGTAGGTTTCCGTCTTCCTTGTTCGATAGCCGCTTTACCTGAATAAGCTGCCAATCGAGGCATTCCCGGCACGCTTGCGATCACGGCACCCATTCCAACGAAACAAGGTAAAGCATTTGATGGCAGCACTTTATCACCTTTCTTGCTACGTGCTCTAATTCGCAGTCTTTTTCGCCATGTTGAGCCGAGTGTGACGCTTGAAGCTGAATGAGAAGATATGAGATCCGTATCTGCCAGCGGATCATCGTATAATAGACGTTGACATTGATTGAAGACCCTTTGACAAACTTGAAATGATTCCGTATGAGGGTTGATGCTCATATCAAATAGAGCTGCTTGAAAGTGCCATAAAGTCAATAAAGCCACATGAACGGATTCATCACATCTTTGTAAAATGAAATATTCCAATGCGCGAGATTTTGAAGGTTTAGAGATTAGAAGGTGACATAATTGAGCCCAATAAAATTCCACTTCACTTGGATCGAAAGTTGTTCGAAGTTGATCGACGAGGTAGTATGTGATCCCTATACTATCTGAATATGTTTTTAGATAGGATAATGCCAAATGTGGACTGAAGAATTCCGATTGGAAAAGGCGTAGCAAGAGTGCATGAGAAACATCATCAGCATCAGGCATGATGAGTATGAAAGGATCAAGATTTGCCAGACAGCAGGGATTGTGTCATTGAATGTTGTACTTGTGATGAATAAAGTGTTGAATGGTGTGGGATATATGCTTGCCGAGAGAAGCTTAAAACTGGCAATGTCCGCTAAAGTTGTGGTTCTCCAGATAAATGTTGTTGTCACAGCCAACGCGTAGTTGAGTGTTGCTTAAGTAAGCGTTTCATTTTCTCTCTTGATTGTATCAGCTCTTAATGAATACCATGAGTTGGCACCGCTTGATTTCACATTTATTAAGTGATCATGTATCTATTATTAATCTCTATCCGAAGATACTCCTCAAGCTTTTCTGATGGTCTCATTCTGAATGACAAATTATAGTCACCATCACACTGGCATCCCTTCCATTGCATTATAGCATCACGTGTGTTAGCTCCAAAAATTTCACTATGGATATTCCCATTAAAGTTAGGACAATTGTCTCCGCTCATGCAGGTCCCCTGTGCAGTGTAGGCATGTGATTGTGTACAAAATTCGGCACCTATTCCCGTGCATACCTTACATGTCTTCAACTGCTCTCCCAGCAGAGTAACAAATTGAAGCCCAGGCACACTTATGCAAAACAATCTCCACGCGAATTTACTGCACAGTTCTGACCCAGAGCAACGGGAACCGTACCCTATCCAATCGAATTTCGCACTCTACACCATCACAATCATTTGTCCCCCCCCTTCTTTTACACTTTGCATTGCTACTACATACACATTCATTCATCGTAAACATGCGATTGTCAACCTTTGCCTTGACGGCAGCATTGGTTTCCACCCCTTTCACCACAGCATTGGAGTCAAGTTTCAAACAAAAATTAGCACATAGAAGTTTAGTCTCTCTGGAATCAAGAGATCCAACGGGAAATTTTGATCAATTATACCTAGCTTCAAATTATCAAAATGGTTCAACTGCACCAGGAGCTGCTGCAAACGATAATGCAGGTCAACAAGTCGTAGTCGGAGGAACGGGTGCTGATGATGACAGTCAAAGGCCAGGTTGTGATACAATCTTTATCAATACTGCTGCTGTAAACGGAAGCGATACTGGCGGTTGGACTGAAATTCCAAACGTTTTAGGTTTTTATGTTGATCGTAATATCACCTATGGCACAGCAACAATGCCAGTCTTTGTCGAAGCAAACAAAGATCTTACCAAAGTAAAACGTGTCATCATCGGTCAACCTGGGAAACCGCGTGATGCATGGAAGTATTCCAACCTGTTCCGTAATTCACTCAATTGTGCAGTTGCAAACACAAGTATGGCCGTTCAATGGAATGACGTCTTGGTCACTGCACCTGTTTGGCTCGATATGGATGATCATAATGCAGGTGCAGGTAACCCAACAGATTTGTACTTTTCTGACGGTGGCTGGAACCAAGGCAGTAAAGCACAAGGACCGGGAAATGCTGATGCAAGCTCTTTTGAAGTACTTGATAGTTTGGTCACACGATTTGCCAATCAATCAGAATTCCCTGCTTTGACAAGTATTATCGTTGCCGGTCACTCTTTGGGTGGCTCTGTTTCGCAAAGATATGCAATGTTACGCAACAATGATTCCAGTACGGAAGCTTTGGTCAGCTATTGGGTGGGAAATCCAGGTGCCTACGTTTGGCCTTCTCCTCAACGTCCCGTCACTCCATCAAACACATCTTGCGCAAGTGAAGTGGATGATTGGTCATATGGTGTTGCAGGCGGCTTGCCAGCATATGTGAAAGGCAAACCTGCTCCTGATACCTTCTATGCACGTTACCGAACCCGAAGAATTCAATATGCTTTAGGTTTGGCAGATTTTGGACCAGGTGATACTCATTGTGAAGCACAATATCAAGGTTCAAGTCATTTGAACAGAGGTCAAAATATGCAAAAAGCGTTGCAAGCTATGGCAGGTGGAATGCCTAGCACGCAATCGTTCAACTACGTTCCCAACACCAGTCATGAAGATTATTTGATGATGAGCGATCCCAATTCGCAATCATACCTCTTTGTAGAAGGATTGACCGACCCACGTCCTTCCGGTACCGCATCTTCCAGCAGTGGCGGCAGTAGCAATAGCAAATCTGGATCCAAATCTGGCTCTAGTTCTGGTGGCAGCAACTCATTAAAATCCGGCGCAGGTGTGTTGGAGAGTATGCAAGGTTTGATGTTGAGCATTGTTTTCGTTGTCGCTTGCATTGTACTCTAAACAGTGTCGTCTATTTAGACAATCGTTGTACTGGTTATACAAGATTTTATTTCTTATCTCGTCATCATGGACAATTTATTTTCTACACATTCATATTGGACTCTTTAATATTGACAACCTAATATACATCTATCATACATTTGTTTGAAAATTGGGAGCTATACAAATATCGACATAGGCACTCCTCTGAAGTCCAGCTCTCTCTGGCCTCCTGTTGACGATCCACCGATCTCGATCACCTTACCGGTATCGAATCGCTTGGCAGTTGTCGCACAGATCATGGAATCAATCACATCGTCTGTTGGAGTGGCATTGGTAACTTTTTTTCTAACAAAAACATGATGAGTTACTTTGTGGGAAAGGGAATATAGTACATCGTCAACGTTTACCGCACATAAAAGTCCCCTGAACGCTCTTTTCTTGCTTTCGTGATTCTTGAAAGGTGCCGAATTCTTCAAAACGTCTATCCTTTCTATTCTGCCAACTTTAAGCTTTTTTGATTTGAAACCTCGCTGATTTTCCAATTCTTCTTCTTTGTGTTTTGCTAGATACGAAAGGAATGCTAATTCCGGATGACATTCGAATAGAAAAGTCTTACCATTTGATTTTTCACCCTTTGTAGGAGGAATGAATTGCAAGAGATTTTTCTGTATCCCACGTTCGATAAAATCATCCACTTCAAGTATTTTTGGCATTATATTGAATGATTGTATGGACAGCCCAAGTCCGGGTTCCTGTTTGTGTGCAACTTTTTGACGTTTCTTTCCCCTGTTTTGATCGGTGTTGGATGAGACAGTGTTGAATGTATCATTTGCACTTTGTCTGTTCGCCTCTGATACTTCTGCATGTGTTCCTCCAAGCGCAAATTTTTCTAATGCAGGCCTAGAGGGAGGAGTGAAGATCGATGTTGCTCCTACAAATGGTCCTTCCCTGTAAGCTGGATCATCTTGTTCTTTTGAATATGCGATGGCTTTCTTTCTGGCAGCTGCTAAAATTTTACGACCTTCTCTTTCACAATTCCTACCACCTCTTTCTGCTTTTGATGCCAATGCTAAAGGCATATCTATTGCAATCGCACGAATATTTTCTGGTTTTCTGTGATACCAAATTAGTTCTATGTGTGGAAGAAATACAAGTTCTGCATCACCATTTGCTCCAATAATGCAAGCGCACCATCCTTCTCGTGAGCCATCGATTCCAATCCAGCATGGCCCATCCTGAGGAGAATCTTCCACTTCACGAGTTTCATATTCATACCGACTCAACATGACTTTCAGACGGGTATTTGAAAAAGAACAAAGCTCATTATGGCGGAAAAGTGTTGAACGTCAGAGGGGTGCCAACGATACCAATTGAATGAATGCATGTTTGGTTCCTAGGCGCGCTTTTAGTCGGAGTGCCTAAAGTAATGCATGCATCTTAGGTCAATAAACGGCTTGACCTTTTTATAACCGTGCAGACGCCAAACAAAAACCAAAAAAAAAGAAAGGCTTACACTCACAGGTCATGATAAGGTTTAAATTTTACCCTATCTTTCATTAACACTACCACAACAAATAATATTCGAAGCGATCAACGACTTTACCAACCGAATGGCGAAAGTACTTCAACCTGGCGTCTTATATTAATAGAGTTGAGAACGAAACGGAGAGTATCGCTCTTCAGCAACTATCCAAACCTCAAAACCATTCTCGGCAGGATTCTGAAGGCAAGATGAAGTTCTCACATTCACTTCAATTCAATTCGGTCCCGGATTGGGCTGATAAATACATCAATTACTCCAATTTGAAAAAGACAATCTATCAATTGGAACAAGATCAAACAAGTGGTGATGCACTGGCCGATTCTGCAAGCGGTGCTGCTCACGATGATGATATCGAACATGAATCAGCTGCTCTTTTAACTTCAAGCATGTCTACTGCTGATGCAGTCTTTGTACCAATGCTCGACAAAGAACTACGAAGGATCGTAGGATTTTATGGCATGAAGGAAGCGGATTTCCAGAAATCGCTTGCAAAATTACGAGAGGACCTACACAGAGCTGAAAGTGAAGACGTTTTCGATCTGGATGATGAATATTCGGATGAAGACGCAATGAGCGACGCAGAGGGCGGAGAGGACGTGAACGATTCTGCTCCTACTACCTACAAAGGAACACAGAATACCAGAACCCGGAAAGGCAGCGTGTCAGATCTCTTTACCGATCCTCTGCGATACAATGAAGCAAGTCGACAACATAGCGATTTGCATGGCTGGCACTCGGGTAAACCCAAGATGCCACGTAGACGAAGTAGCAAAGCAGTCGATGATCTTGTAGATGCTGAAGTCGCAAATCCAAGCGCTGAGCCAAGTAGTAGTCAGAACATGGAAGCATCGACTGCTACCATTCCCTCGCAATCTAGACGGCTGAGCCAATCCTTCTTGGATGAAGAAGGACCGCGAGCAAGAAGAAGTTCCAACGCTGCATATACTAATACCCCAGCACGCAAGTGGACTTCAATGTTCAAAAGAAGACCATCGGAACGCAAAACCTTGGGTCTGATCTCTGCTGGTGGCAACCCTTCCGAGATTGGTCGATCGGCTGAAAGTGAAGCAGGTGCCAGTAGCAACTTTGGCGACAAGACTTTGAGTATCTGGACAGCAGAAAATGATTGGGCAATCGATATGCGAATCACATATAAGAAGCGCATCTCTGATCTCTTTGTGGACATGAGTGAATTGAAGCAGTTTGTCTCTCTCAACGAAACAGGTTTCAAGAAAATTTTGAAAAAGTACGATAAAATTCTCAAGAGCAATTTGAAAGAACGATATTTCGCTGAAGTGATTAATCTTCAATACCCTTTTCTGCCGGAAACCCGCGCTCGACTTGAAGAAAACATTCAAGAGTTGACCGAATACTTCGCAAAGGTTGTCACAAATGGCGATATTCAGCAAGCAACTGCTCAATTAAAGACCTTGCTACGCGAGCAAGTTGTCTGGCAACGAAACACAGTCTGGCGAGAGATGATTGGTATCGAACGTCGAGCACAAGGAGCGACATTAGAACAAACGGTGATGAAAGCGACCCAAGACGGTGAACAGGCAAAACCAACCCGAATCCGTACACCTTTTGGTGCGATTACATTACCAGCCTGGTTGGGTATCAGTACAGTGCAACTGCTGACTGCGTTCCTCTTGCTCGTGCTTTTGCTCAAAGCACCTGGGCTGCGCTTCTTTAGCCGTGTTGAAGAACAAAATTGTTTGGCAATGCTGATATTCTGTACGATCTTATGGGCAACAGAAGTGATCCCGCTTTTCGTTACTTCACTCTTGGTGCCATTGCTTGTTGTGGTCTTACAAGTTGCTCGAACGGATGATATCGAAGACCGAAGAATGAGTGCGAGTGAGACAACAAAATGGATCTTTTCACAAATGTTCCAACCCAATATGGTTTTGCTCCTCGGTGGTTTCACCCTTGCAGCCGCTCTTTCAAAATACAGCATCGACAAGATTCTTGCTCAAAAGGTATTACGATATGCCGGTACAAGACCCTCAATCGTATTGTTGGCACATATGGGAGTTGCTTGTTTCGCTTCAATGTGGATCTCTAACGTGGCAGCTCCTGTATTGATGTATTCGCTCATTCAACCGATCTTGAGAAATTTACCTTCTCGTTCACCTTATGCATCTGCACTAATCATGGGTATCGCTCTGGCGTCCAATATTGGTGGACAAACTTCACCGATTGCCTCACCGCAAAACTTGATCGCCCTTCAATACATGGACGAACCGCTCGGATGGCTACAATGGTTCGCCATCACAATACCCGTTAGCGGTATCAGTTTGATCGTGATTTGGATCTTATTGATGTGGTCTTATGGCAGCGGAAGGGGAACGGTGATTAAAAAGATGCCCGAAAGGCATGATCGTTTTACTGGCATTCAATACTTCATCTCTGCTGTCGCTTTGGGAACGATTGCTCTGTGGTGTTTGGAACGCAATTTCGAGTACATCTTGGGAGATATGGGTGTGATCGCAATCGTGCCTATGGTCTTGTTCTTCGGAACGGGTATCTTGACAAAAGAAGACTTTAACAACTTCTTGTGGACGATTGTGTTCTTAGCCATGGGCGGTATTGCATTGGGCAAGGCTGTGACGTCGAGTGGATTATTGGCAAGTTTGGATGAATTGATCCAGGATCTGGTCAAGGGTATGCCAATCTGGCAAGTATTGCTCAGTCTCTTAAGCATCAGTCTAGTCGTTGCAACTTTCATTTCTCATACAATCGCTGCTGTCTTGCTTGTTCCGATTGCTGCACAAGTTGGAGACAGCCTGGCACAACCCCATCCTCGTCTACTGATCATGGCCACCACTTTGACCGCATCTGCTGCAATGGGTCTACCCGTTTCTGGATTCCCAAATATGGCTGCATCAGCACAAGAAGATGCAACAGGTAAACGGTATATCACTGTCAAAGATTTCTTGCGGGTTGGTTTGTTAGCAAGTGTTTTGGCAACGTTGGTTGTCGGATTGGTAGGATTTGGTATCATGACACTTCTTAAACTTTGAGTACTTTTTTCAATTTCCTCTAGATCAAATCAGTTCTTGCAAATACTATTCTACATTTTGGGTGTAAACAGAATCTTGAATAAGAAGTGTAAGGACAATCGTAAGTAGAGCAGAAGCAATCGGAGTAGAAGTTCTGAAAGATCCATAAGAATCAAGGAGATCGATATAAGTGCCACAAAGAAAATGATTCCGACTGCTTTACAAAGCAAACTTACGCCTTCAGCTAATTCTCCGTTTGCTTTAAGAGTATAAGGTATTTGAACATCGGCCCAAGGTATATTAGAAAAATTCCACCAAAAGAAGCTTTTTCAAACACCTAATCTCCGACATTTATATCCGCCTCACAGACTTCAGTTGTTCATATATCTAAGATGCTGTCATTCTAAGATTGCTCTTCTTTCAATCTGCTTCTGGCCCGAAGACCCGAATGCTGGGAGTATGACGTAATGGGACAAATAATCAAATTTTATAAAAAGAAGCTAAAATATAATCAATTCCTAAAATCACAAGTAATGAGTGTTGAATATTATAATTAAGATAATCAATCAAATTCACATACTAGCGTTATAGCAAATGTATTGTGGCTTTCGATTGCTGCTTATTTTGCATCTAAATAAGCAAGTAAGTTTCTAAACCGTAAGCATCCTTCCTAGAACATTCAAGCAGTCCGCACAAGCCATTCGGCTGTATGGTATATAAACATCATTACTTCCACTCTAAACTGTATAAGCTCTATACACAACCCATATTCAACAATGACTTCCGTGACAATTAACAAGAGAGATTTCAATCTAGCCGGTTTATTGTTTAAACCTTCAAAGCCATCTTCCGATAAAAGTCCTGCTATTATTGTGGTACACCCGGGAGGCGGAGTAAAGGAACAAACTGCTTCAATATATTCAAGACGCTTTGCAGAGCTAGGATACGTAACGTTGACATTTGACGCTTCCTATCAAGGAGAAAGCGGTGGTAAGCCACACTTTCTTGAGGATCCAGAAGCAAGGACAACGGATGTTAATGCAGCGGTTGACTATCTCGAGAATTTAAATGAAGTAGATTCAAATCGAATCGCCGTTTTCGGAATTTGTGCTGGTGGTGGCTATTCTGTCTGTGCTGCAAAGACAGATTACCGTATCAAGGCAGTCGCTACAGCTAGTATGGTGAATATCGGTGACGGCTTCCGTCGCGGTTGGTATGGCAAAGATGACCCGGCAAAACAAGTAGATACTTTGAAATTTATCGCCCAATCTATACAAGCTGAGAACGGAGGAAAACAACCAGAATATTTGCCTTATGTTCCCGAAAAACCTGACAAGGATACACCGCCAGACATGGCAGAGGCTTCTGACTATTATCGAACACCCCGAGCTCAGCACCCTCGATCGGAAAATAAAATGTCAATGCGAAGTCCTCCCTTAATTTCACGATTTGATGCATTTCACCTCGTTGAGACGTTTCTTCAAGCACCTTTACTTGTCATTGCAGGTGATAAAGCTGGATCCGCTTGGCATAGCACAGAGTTGGCTGAACGCTTAGGAAGCAAGCGTGCCCAACAATTGATTGTCCCAGGTGCGACTCACATGGATTTCTATGATCAGCCTGGCCCAGTCGAAAAAGCTGTTAGCGCTGCTGATGCATTTTTCAAGAGCACTTTTGGTTTGTAATGATTTTTTGAATAATATTGATTTTTCATACGAATAAAGTTGTGCAATCTTTCGTCACTTGTGATGCAGATTTTTTCTGCAACCACGTCCTGGCAGAGGAGATATATCATATGATCTTGCTTCTTCACCATTTTGTCATATCCCATCTCCGATCCTTCCTTTGTGCAACCGATAAGAATGTACAGCACATATGATGACGCATGATATACATTGTGGCTAGACTGCCCGTGTGCAAAAACAGAATAGATGGGAAAGGTTGTCATCTATTGGTTCATATTGACGTCAAGCATCAATCATTCTGCTGTCTTTTTGCTCGATAAAAGAATGCCGTATTTGTCTGAAGAAAGAGAAATATCGTCAGTACTGCGATTAAGTTGTATCAAAGTATTTCCACTCACTTTTGTTCTCCGCCATATTGTTCGAGAAGGGATATCAGATGCTCCTGTTCTTCTATATCCATATCCCCACCTTCAAATGTGTCTATAGCTCTTTGTGCTTGTACGAATGCCTGCCGTAGAGCAACGCTTTCTGATACGATCGATTTGGCCAAATCAGTAGGCTGTGCGTTTCTACCTCGATCTTCTTGTCCCACGCTCATCGATAAGGCTGTCTCGTATCCACTATTCACATCATCATCCGTCGTTGCACCTAAAGCAATATTTGGCGCTGGACCTGAGCTTGAATCTTGGTCAAGTGTGTTGAACTGATCATTGTCCAGTGCTTGATTCGAGGTAGATGCAGCCGCACCACCGGCATCCTTTACACTAAGTGAATTTGCATCTTCACTTGCTTGAACAATCAGATTTGATATTTTCTGAATTCTCCCATAGATGGATGGTAGATGTGAAGGATCGAAGAGAGATGCTGGCTTCTGTGGAATTGCATTGGTGCTACGTCCATTGGAGCTTAGTTCGCCATTCTGTTGAATGATTGCATTCTCACCTGTTCCTATTGAGGGTCTAGGTGTTGTCGATCCACTCAAATCCGCTGCAGGAACACTTATGCTGACTCTTGGCGTGGCAGCTGAAGGTGTCAAGTGCTCAAATTTGACAGTATTTGGTGAACCTGCAAAATTGGGTGATGCCATGTTCTACATCGGTGAACATGAAGGGTGACAGTTACGAGAAGATTGTGCAATTACCAGGGCGTTAGGTTCATTTAAGGTACACACACGCCTGCGCGGCGTCGCACGGTGCATCTTGTCCCGCATACGTTCAACCTCCATCCACTTTATCTTTCTCTCTACCACATCCATATCAAACTCGCAAGATGTCCCTCCCACGTCATTCTTACGATCCCAGAAGGGTTTGTCTTTTGCCTCTACCGCCACTACCGAGATGGGTGCGAAGCAACAAGAGATCATTTGGAATTTATTTGAGCGGTGCTTTGTTCTCTCTAGGATGGTGGATCTTCTTTGATGCTTTACTCATTTCTTCCGTTCGATCAAAAAGACCTGCAGATGCAGATGATCCAACACGTATTCCACCTTGGATTGAACCTGCAGTGAAAATGTCATTCGCTGATTGGCTACCCGGGCTATTGGCAACTTTGGGTATGATTGTGGTCAATTTGATCGATAAATCTATCCTGGCAGAAGCAGGTGGTCTGGGAGCAATGGGAAGTTTTGGAGGCGGTGGTGATCCTATTCAATGGCGTGCAAGGCTGTTCTTGTTTGTCGGATTTGCACTTTTGGCAGGTGGACTGGCAGGATCGGTCACTGTGTTAACAATCAAGTACATCATTGCTCAGCTGCCCGAAGGATATGAGTATTACGGCTTCGCAAATGTGGTAAGTAGGAGAAGCGATGGGCAGATATGGCTTAACGAGAAAACTGACACACATACGACTACCTCTCCTATGCAGGCGCAAAACGCATTCATCATGCTCTCGACTGTGTCTCTATGGATCTCACAAAGTACGGAGAGCGATTACGAATACAATCTCACACTTTGAGGTTTTGATAATCCAATAAGATTAAAGGAACAGTGGATATTGTTCAAAATGACGTACATTTTTACCGGTGCGCAGAGCGTGCCTCAGCGTCAAACAGGCGGTATGAGAAGTGTGATACATGAAGAGGAAAGAGAGGAAAAATAATTGATATGATACAAGTTGGCCGTGACGTAAAGGGCAGGAAAAGTGAAAGTCCGTCGCTTGTTCGAGGTATTGTTAGGCATACAGAGAAGCAGCCATCGCTATTGTGAGAAGGATTGTCCATATTTGTGGCATCGGTACGGAAGAAGCAGCAGAATTGTGTTTTGAAATAGTCGAGCCTGAAGGGGAAGGCGCAGAAGAGGTTACAGAAGCCATACTTCCAACACCGATAGCACCTGCAATTGCTCCCGGATTCGTTCCACCAGATGTTGCATCATATGTATTTGTGACGGTAGAATTGGAAGCTAATGGCAAACTCGATCCAGGTGGTGAAGGCGGAACATCTGTTCCTTGACTTGAAGCAGCATTTTGATCAGAGATTGGTCCTGAGATGTAAGAATTGGCGCTTGCTTTGGCAGATTCGGCTGCTTGATTTGCCCTGCTGTAGTCTACCGTTGTGTCAAACAAGACTGAATCGATCACATGGGCGACTCCATTCTTGTACATGACGTCTGTTTGTGTGATCTGTGCAGTCGCATTCCCGACACTGACATGCAAAGTATACGTTTCGTTTGTACCATTCCTTTGTTGAACGTGCAAATCTTGTCCGCCAGCGGTGATCAAGCTGCCTTGAGATATAAGAAGAGGTGAATAAGCAGCACGATTGATGATTACATGATTCTGAGCAATGGCCTGCAAAGTTTGTTGCGAAAGTCCAGAATGCTGTGATAGAAAGCTCTGAATAGCATCTGCGCTCGGAACAAAGACAGTCAAACCACGAGCATCATTGACGTTGTTCGGCAAGGAAGAAAGCAGTGTAGCAAATCTTTCACTGTTTACAATTTTCCCAACTGTGAAGCTGAGATTGCCAGGTACGGTCAAATAATGATTGATCGGTAAGATGGTAAGGGAACCCGCAGTGAAGCTTTCCTCTTTGCCGTTCGTTTCCAAGAATGAATCTGTATTTTGAGCTTCGTTTACCACAGGGCTATAATCGCTCAATTCCGGATAGCCTTGTGTGCCTGTGCTCATTGCTACTGCCTGTCCATTGCCTCCCGGAAGGTTTGCAACATCTTGCAAAGTCAAAGCTGAGTGCAAAACGGTATGCATAGGAAGACGTTCTAGTCTATCGACAGGTACACTTCCGTTCAAAACGTGATAAAGCAATGCTTCCGGAACGTTTGCCCAAGATTGAAAAGGTAAAGCAGAATCGATCGGAGCCAATAAAGTCTTACTACCGGGTGTAGCATTGATTTGTTGAACTACAGTTGGATTTTGCTCAAACAGAGCGGCCAGCTTTGTGAGATTTGCACCTTTCAGAGCATTCGTCAACTGATCATTAGTGACTGTCGGTGAGTTCTGCCTTCTTTGATACGAAAACGTCTTCCTACGTTCCACTTCTTGCGACGAGGCAACTTGAATGATTGTTATGTATAGGAAGAGGAATAGCAATGTACTATTCCCCATGAAAGAGTGTAGGCGTTTCATTGTGATGATTATTGATGATGATGATGTTGTTGTAGGAGACGAGAAAGATTAGACAACCATACTCCGAAGTTATGTTGATAAGCTGAATCGAAATAAGGCGTCAAAATGAAGAGTGAGGATCCGGTAGTGTTCTACAAAGAATGTCTTTTCATATCATTACTCCATTAAAATCGAGAAGACGGTGCCGCGATGAAAGGTAATGAGCGGATCTGAGATCTCTTGAGCAAAACGAAATTAGTTCTAGACAACCAAGTGTGTACCGGATGCAGGGCAAGGAATCAAGCATTCGAGTAATACTCGCAAATGAGAAGATTGGTGGAGAACCAGCCTTTTCATCAGTTTATGTGTGTATGTATGCACCTCTATATGCAGGTATAGCGTCAATGAGATCAAAATGAAACCCCCTTGAGCTTAACAGTCAGGCATCATGAGACACATCCAGAACACTTGACTATTTTTTGATTTTAAAATAGGCACCTTGAAACCAAACAAATCTGTCATGAGAAGTGGCGGCGCCACCGTTAAATCTCTGTGTTGTTCGGAATACAGGAAGAAGAAGCTATTTGGGTTTAATGAATTGCATATGCTTTTCTTCTACACCGATAATGTTCCTTGATTGAAAGGAGGATTCCATCCCTGCTTATCATAGTCTCCTGAAGCATCCATGCATGAGCATCCGCTCCTCCTCCTCTAGCAAAAGGAGTTGAAATGAGAAAGGAGAGGTCCCATCAGATTTTAATTAACACGACAACCAACACTTTAACTTTTAAACGCGAGCAGTTCACCCCGAATAGTACGCGTCAAGGCAAGTGCTGCACAACATTCCTTCCCCCTTGCTTGAAAGGCTTCTTATGGTTGTGTGCGTAGGACCGCACGCATCAATTCAATTAAAACTCTTCCTGATTAAAGAAAGTCCTTTGTCCACCTTCTGTATATCATTCGGATCAGCTATACACATAATTTATCATCGAGAAGGAAGGTTGTGTATGTAATCAATCTTAAAGGATCACAACAAGACTCACGTGCAGTCTGGTTGAGGTTCACTTTCGTGTGTGTTGTCTTGGGCGGAATATTCTCTAAACTAAAAGCTTGTGTCTGTGCCTGTACGCGTACAGCAAAGGCTGAGCAATTTCAAGGCCTTTCTTTCGGGTCATTTGGTTTTTTTGAGTGGTATATAGTTTTGGCGAGGGTAGAGTTTGCGCATCATCTTGTTTGCCACCCACCATCATCCTTGTCACCACCTCTTTTTCTGTGTTGATCAAACGATCATCATTTGTTGCTGGATTACGTATCGGTTCGCATCGCATATATTCTCGCTATCGGCTTTTGATCGATATAAAATACCAAAATTGCTTCGAAAGAAGATTGATTGGAAAACAAGCGAGTTTTTATTATCTTTTTTAAGAAAGCGACCAACCCATTCCAATAGTTCGCCTTCAGTACAACGGCATTGTCCAATTACTGCTGTCGATCTCACAACAAACAGAACAAATTGATCATCATGGCTCCAGCGGTGGTGGCATCGATGCCGGCTATGAAGCCGCCATCAATCGGACAGGTTAGCATCCGTTTCAATGTTGATATGTCTTCCTTGCGTGATTGGTGACTTTTTGTGATGATCAAGCTCCTGCTAAAAGTTGGAAGCTTAATGGGAGATCTTCCAACGTGGATGCTGGATTTTTGTGCTTATAGATCATGTTCATTGATACTGACATTTCTCTCTCCCTATGCTCTATTTTGTTGTGCAGAAGCCTGTCAAGGGTTCATTGAGCTCTGCTGCTGGACAAGCAGCGAATGCAGAGAGGGCAAAGACGACAAATATCTATGCCCAACCGTTCGCTCTGACGGATCACTACAAAGCAGCACGTTCGACCAGCAATGAGTCGAGCGCGGGAAGGAAAGATGACTTTGTGCCCGAATTGAACCTCGGCTTGGCCTGTCCGGAATGCAAAGCAGATCCTGCTAATTTGGTGGAAGTATTTGATAGTGGAGATATGGTCTGTGCAGATTGTGGAATGGTGGTTGGCGATAAGATTATCGATACTCGATCTGAATGGCGTACATTTGCCAATGAAGAGGGAGATGACCCATCCCGTGTCGGTTCTTCGAATAATCCATTGATGGACGGCTTGACGGAACAATTGGATACCCGTATCAGCTACAAAGATGGAGGATCGGGAGCAGCCAGAGATTTACAACGTGCTATGAACCGCGGCGTGGTGCCATCGAATCGTGTAATCTTGGATGCATTCGATGATATTCAAAGGAAGTGTGATCAAGTTCATTTGCCGCGGGTTGTCTCTGATACTGCCAAGCATATGTTCAAACAGGTTGAACAAGATCAAATCTTGCGTGGTAAGCAACGTGATGCAATCATTGCCGCTGCTATTTATTGTGCTTGTAAGACCAATAAAGTTCCACGTACTTTCCGTGAAATTTGTCAATTGACAAATGTCAGTCAAAAATTGATTGGAAAATGTTTCAAAGAGATGCAATCTGCTTATGGTCTCAACCTTCATCGTGCACCTGATGCTGGAGGTGCGAATGGTATTGATGCCGATTCTGCCGTTTCTCCTACCAATGCAGTCGATCTTGTCGGCCGTTTTTGCAATCATTTGGGCTTGGATATGAGCGTGACAAAATGCACAGAAGATGTGGCAGGATTGTTACGTGACAAGGGTATTTTAGCAGGCAGAAGTCCAATCACAGTGGCAGCAACGTGTATCTATCTGATCACACGAATGCTTGGACAAGATGTCAGTGCGAAAAAGATCAGTGCAGCAGCCGGAGTATCGGATGTGACGATCAAAGGATCTTCGAGAACTCTGTCTTCTTTGCGCAACGATTGGCTAACGCCTGCCATTTTGGCAAAGTACCCAAAGTTTGACATCAATCGTTTGCCTTAAGGTACTTTTTTGGACTATAAACTCTACACCATATGATTCCCTCATCTTAACTTTTTTTATTCAGACACTATGCAAAATCAGCCTCATCGCAAAAGATCGATGGCTACAAAAATGGTAACCTCTTTACCTTTAAAATTATATGTACCATCTAAAGCCAATTGATCCTTGCAAACACATAATGCGTGAGAATGAAAACTCCATCCTGCGATCTATCTGAGGAGTGAGCCAATTGTCTGCTGTTCGTAATAAGCTCAGAAGTAGAAAGGGCATTCTTGGTGAAGAAATGCAGACTTAGGTTCCAAAATGTCTGAAAATCTCTCTATTTCTGAAAAAGACCACACATGAAAGCCCATCACAATCAATATCATGTATTACAATAGGGTTCCTGTTCGACAATGTGATCTGTATGAGACACACGTATTTTGGAATGTACATCTTTCGACATATCTCAACTATTCCCGCTTCCCACTCTTGCAAATCAATCATGTGCTTCATCCATTGGAGTCATTCCTACGGCACCGTTGAATTGAGCTAAAGCCGGTGCGGCCTCACTCCCCCGACGACTGACAGCTGGACTTGGGACACCATATCCACTCTTGATCATACGTGCATCATTTGATGTTGTCGAATCACGACGTAGGGCAAGGTTTCGGATATATGCACGAGGATGACTCAAAGGTGTCATTGCACGCGATCTACGACCTTCTAATGCTGTCAAATCTTCTCCTTCTTCATCGTCAACCGCTGAATTTGGATCAAACAAGATTTGTTCTCTTTCAGCCTTTATTCTTTCTTGTGCTTCTTCACATCTTGATCGTAGGAATTCAATCACTTCTTTTGGATTTTCAGCGTTAAAGATTGCCGTTCCTGCTACCAAAACGTTTGCACCTGCATTTGCACAATGATCGATTGTCTTTGGTCCAACACCACCGTCTACCTCGATATCTAGATTTGGGAATCTTGCACGTAATTCTGCAACTTTTGGCATGCATTCACGCATGAACTTTTGTCCACCATATCCTGGCCAAACGGTCATTACGAGAATCATATCGACAGATTCTCCCAATTCGTTTGAAATTTCGCTTGTGGGTGTGCCAGGGTTGATTGCAACTGCAGCTCTCATATTTGCAGCTTTGATTTTTCTAACGATATCCAAAGGATCATAAGCAGCTTCCAAGTGGAATGTATAGCTTGAACCTCCTGCTTCTGCGATATCTTTGATCCATCTTCCTGGTTCGGTAACCATCATATGACAATCCATAAAGATTCCTGGAACTGCTTTGTATACTGAACTTAGAGGAGGTGCACCCAAAACCAAATTTGGAACAAAGTGACCATCCATTACGTCCATGTGTAACCAATCTGCTCCTGCGTCCATCATTCGTTTGCATTCTTCGTTCAAGTTGCCCATATCGGCCGCCAAGACGGAAGGTGCGACAAGTACACGTGGCATGATGAGCTGAACGTGTGGTGGAGGAGATGGTAGATGGGTTGGGTGTTCTGCTTGCTATCTTTGCTATGACAGCAAAGATGTTTGTATGGAAGAAGTTAGGAAAGATGTTGATCAAAAGGGACCGGAAATCTTTCTTCTTGGTGCAATTCGATAATAAGTTTATATGCATTAAAACGCTCTTATCTGTAACGGTATTTTTAGCCGCTAAGCCTAAAATTCGATAATATTCAAAAAAAGGCACAAAAGCACTGCCTTACGCCAAAGTTGGGATTCGATACACGCGACACTGACTGTGCGTGTTGAGGTGGAGAAATCGGCTTAATTCCCAAAATTCCATGACATAGGCGCGCAGAAGGCTTGCAGCAAAGATGAGACTTAGACTATTCATATAAATACACAGCCAACTCTTGTGTTTGTGTTCCTGAACGCATACATGGGTGCTCACCATCAACACAATAAAAGATGGGCAATACAACCTCAAAAGGTGGCTCGGGAGCAAAGATAACAAAACAAGATCGTGCAATATTGGATCTTAAATTACAAAGAGATAAGATTAAACAATATCAAAAGAAAGTTCAATTGATACTGGATAAAGAACATGATGCGGCTAGAACATTCTTGGTTCGTGGTGATAAGGAAAGAGCAAAGACTGCATTGAGAAGGAGACGGTATCAAGAAACAATCTTGCAAAAGACTGATACACAGTTGGAAACGCTTGAGGGGCTGGTGTCCAACATTGAATTCTCTCAGATTGAAGCATCGGTGATGCATGGGTTGGCACAAGGTAATGCTGTCTTGAAAGAGATCCACAAGGAAATGACGATTGAAAGTGTAGACAAATTGATGGAAGAAACAGCAGAAGCACAAGCATATCAACGAGAGATCGATGAAGCATTGGCAGGAAAGATGACTGCAGAAGATGAAGAAGCTGTCAATGCAGAAATGGCATTGCTAGAACGTGAAGCGTTGGGACTTTCCGATCCAAAAGAGGCCGTTCAGGATCCGGCAAACAAGGTCGATCTACCCTCAGCACCTACCACACAACCAGTATCCGCACCAGCCGAAGAAGAAGAGCAAGAGGTACAAGAACCCACTCGGGAGGCATTACTAGCCTGATATATCGTAAGGAAGATGAAATCATTCCAAGATACCCTATAATACAGTTATGACGATACAGGTCTAGAGCCACAAGTGCACCTTCACTCTTTAATACAAGAGGATAAATACGACGCTTGCTGAATCGAAGTCAATGTCCATCTGTCAAAGATGGACCACATACCCGCCCCTTTGGATAACCTATGCGCTATAGTCCATGGAAATGCCAATGTTGGTCGCATGCCGCAAATTGAAGATAGAGGAGCATGTTGCAAGCCTGCTTGTTGAGCAGCACGTTGCATCTCTTCCGGGCGAATGTACATCCTCCAATCATGAGAATGATCGGGTACATAATGCAATATGTTTTGCGCAATGACGATCGTACCATACCAAGAGAACATGGTCCGATTCACTGTATCGTATACCAACATGCCGCCTTTGTGTAATACTCTGTGTATTTCTCGCATTGCCAATGGAACGTCATGTAGATGCTCAAAGACATCACTACACACGATTGCGTCGATCGAACCATCGGCAAACGGTAGCTCATACGCAGAACCAATAACGTAGGCAAGACGGTTGAGGGGGAATGGTGAATGTTGCCTTGCTTTCGCTATGGACTGTTTTGACAAGTCTATGCCTGCAATAAAAGAGTGTAATATGATATTAACCCGTCTATCTCATCATGAGAACATTAATTGTATACATACCAATCACTTTTGCTTTTGTGTGTTTTGCAATCTCTTCAGTCACTAATCCTCCACCACAGCCGATATCCAAGATCTTCACATCGTCAAGCGACTCGCTATCCTTGCCCTTCCCTTTGCTGAAATGCTGTGAAAGCTTTTTGAGGAAGAATGGTACCCTAGCTGCATTGGCAAACATGAGTGGATTATTTTCCTGTGTGTGCATATATGCAAGATGATTGAATCAGGATAGATACCGCAATATTTTTCTATGATCACACTTACATGCCACCAGTCGAATTCTTCATATAGTTCATCGTTATCAATCTCCACTGCATCTTCCGCTATCCGATCTAATCGATCTGGAAGAGATTTAGGGATCGGGAAGAATAGCCTTAGCGCCAATCCGCCAACGATTGCCGTACTTGCGCCCGTTACCAGTATTCCTGCTAAGATGTCCCGTTGTGATAGCATTTCCCATAAAGTGATTGAAAAGTGATCATTTCGGGCATGCAAAAGATACCTTGATCACCATCTAAGCTTGTCATACTCCACACACAACAATTATGTTATCTTGCAGCGTGTTGCTGCTCGGTACAATAATGTCCGAACTTCAGTCTTTTCTTTAGCTTACTTTTTCGATTAAAAAGCAACTCATACACTGAACCCTCTGCCCCACTTTTGTACGTGTAAATGCAGCTAGAATGCAGCCTTATTTTTTCTTATCATGTCCAGAATACATGTGTTTTCTGTTCTTCGCATACTAGAAGAGAATTAAGCCGCACCTCTTTACAAGCTTATGTTGATCATAAAGGCATGTCTTCTAGCACACGAAGATCATTAAACCGGCTTTAGACCGAGTACTTTCTACTTCCTTCGTGGCTTAACGGATTTCAATTCATGCAACAACAAGAGGTAGTCCCCCCTTTCTCCATAGCCTTTTGAGCTTAAAAGGAAGGCAGTTCCGCAAAGGAGGATTTAGCGTAAGACGCGTTTTATTTTGTCGTCGTTCAGTGGGCGCGCCCAAAAACAACAAAAAAGGGCAAAAAAGGAGGCAAAGAAGTGTAGAAATCAATAAATGCAAGCACGAAGAATAGGGCTTATTGGTTGCTTTGCCCCTCTGGCGCGAACCATATGACCGCGTTATGTGTGAGTGTGTGAGTGTGTTGCTGTGTTTGCGCGGATTATGCTGCTTATGATTCGGCTGCCCGAGAATTGTGAACAGCGCATACACAGGCACACACTCACACACACAAAGCAAGGTATTCTTGTTAAAGCATCGCCTCCCTTTCCCCACTACATCAAGCAAATCGTGAATCAAGATATTGTCATCTTCCAAAGACAAGTTCTCATCGTCAAAAGTTTGAAAGGATAAACATCTTTCATCTACCTTTCTTTCATTCGCTGCAGCTTCTTTGTGATTGACTTCAAGTTCCTTTTGTTGCTCAATCCTTGACTTAGAGCTTTGACCACTTCATCTAGCCGGACCAACATCAGTCACAAGCTAATCAACAATAGCTCACACAAGATCTTCAATAATCAGAATCACACATCTGTGCAGGAACGATAATCAATAGAGCAAATCGTCGCTTGTGGTAACAACCAGGCGTAATTTACCCATTATAAGCGGTACCGAAGTTGAATTCAAATCACATCTAGCATATACCTCAAAGGTCCAAAACACAAGGCTTGCGCGTATAGTCAGCTTGACCTCTTACTTCGTTCTACTTCTTGCTTCGCATTGAAAGTCTGCTTTTCTGCTCATTGCCAGCAACCGCGTTCATCATTGCGCGTACGGAAGATCGACTAAACCTTCTCCACAGCACAACTTTAAACTTTCCGCCAACTCAGGCTTCGATTCAAACAACCTCTCAAATAAACATTCCTCAAATCTCACCGCTATACTCTCTATCTCAACATGTTTAAATCTCTCAGCCGAATGGTCAAGGGAAAATCGAAATCAGGCGATGGAGACGACAGCTTTAGCACTCTAGGCGCTGCAGATGATTCTTCAGTCGGTGCTGATGGCTCTTTCAATAGCGCAAGACAGCGTTCAGGTTCTGCAACACAAGCTTCTTCCGCCACTTCCGCATCTTCACGCAGTAGGCCAAAGAGCGGCCTCTCAGCTTCACAATCTGATGATCCCCACGGAGGTAGAGCGTCGCCCGTAAAGATTGAAAAGAGTGGTGGTTTGAGCAAGCATGAAAGTCCACTTCCATCCCCCTCGAATTCTACAACTGCTTTGAACGGAGGCGGAGAAGGTGATGGCTTCAACGGAGCGGGTGGAGAATCTACAAGTCCTCAAAATCAATTCTCCTCTTCTTTACAGAGCGGAACGTCACCAGCAGCACAAGCCGCAGCACAGGCTGCACAATCATCTCCACCCGGCATACCCACAACGCAAACCATCTTGGCCAACACCGGTGGTGCCAGTGGTAGCGGCAGTCAAGGAAGACCATGGAGCGCAGGAAATGGATCCAGTAACGGACAAGGCGGTAACGCAGCACAGGCAGGAAACTCGTCAGGCGATGCTGTACGCACGTTTGATATCGATGATATGATTGCACGTTTGTTGGAAGCAGGATATTCTACCTCAAAGCTACCCAAGCCAGCCCTGAAAAATGCAGAGATTACTGCAGTCTGTACAGCTGCGCGTGAAGTCTTTCTTTCGCAGCCAACTTTGATTGAATTGTCACCACCAGTCAAGATTGTTGGAGATACGCATGGTCAATATCAAGATCTTTTGCGTTTATTCGAAATGTGCGGATACCCACCACAGAGCAATTACCTCTTCCTTGGCGATTACGTTGATCGTGGAAAGCAAAGTTTAGAGACGATTCTTTTGTTGCTGTGCTACAAGATTAAATATCCAGAAAACTTCTTTTTACTTCGTGGAAATCACGAATGTGCTAATGTGACCCGTGTTTACGGATTCTATGATGAATGCAAGAGACGGGTCAATATCAAGATCTGGAAGACGTTTATTGACGTTTTCAACACTTTACCAATCGCAGCTGTCGTTGCTTCCAAGATTTTCTGTGTACATGGCGGACTGAGCCCTTCCCTGTCGAACATGGACGACATCAGAAGGATTGAAAGGCCGACCGATGTTCCGGACTATGGACTACTGAACGACCTTCTCTGGTCTGACCCAAGTGATACTGCACTCGATTGGGAGGATAACGAAAGAGGTGTGAGTTATTGTTTCGGAAAAGCAGTAATTCAGCAATTCCTGGCACAGTACGATTTCGACCTGATCTGTCGAGCCCATATGGTGGTGGAAGATGGATATGAATTCTGGAACGAACGTACACTGGTGACTATTTTCAGTGCACCAAACTACTGTGGGGAATTCGACAACTTTGGTGCAGTGATGAGCGTATCAGAAGATCTTCTATGTGCTTTTGAGCTCTTGAAACCACTGGACGGAGCCGCATTGAAGAAAGAGATGGCCAAGAACAAAAGACGGCGGTGAGATCTGAATCGGATTCCGGTCATCTTCTTTGCCTTTTCGTCCAACACATTTTCTTGAGTCAATTCTCGAAATCTATCTTTGGATTTCCTGGCTTTCCATTTATCCCAATCGGAAGGAACGGAAAGGGGGATCTTTTTATGTCAAGGTTATCTTTCTATCTTCGTCACCCGGTCGCGCTGCCCCACAAAATCATTTGCACCTTTCAGCATTACCGCTTCACCGCCCCGTCATTGAAACATCTAAAACACACCAGTCAAATTTTAATCGCGCTTTTGGCAAATGACAATTTCCCCGCTCTTTCATGGTAATAAATGAAACATGTTCGCTGTACTTAATTGATGAGAAATATACATTATGATATTGTAGTGATGAACCTCTGAGACAGTCACTTTTTCAACATTTAGTGTTCGCATAGATTCCAGCCTTCTTCATCATCTTCTTGCACAAATTCTTCCATGATTTGACTTCTTTGCTGCATCAATCTTGCTCGATGCCAGCATGCTTCTTCGTAGGTCATCGGTGCTGAAAAGCTAACAACTTCTCGATCTTTTAGCCACTGTTCGGATTCTTCTCCATCTAGGATTTGCTGTCTTTTCTTCCCCATTGCTTCCTTCTTTCTTTGCTCAATCTTTTTGAATTCTTCGAAAGCTTCTTTTGATTTTCCCAAAACTTCTCTCATAATTAAATCGGAAATGTCAAAAGTCAAATTACCAAGTTGAATATTCGGTAATTCATCAACAGTTGTTCCAAATGCAAAAGCTGCTTCACGTTCGTTGCATTGTTGTTGTGCAATTTCTGCCGTACTAGTGATCCTACAATCGGGATCGACTAAAAACATAACAATCATTCGTCTATGACCAGGTTTTGTTGGATTAATCAGCTTGAAAGGTGAAAGTTTATGTTGCATCGTATTTGGAAAAACGATTGCACGTTTCGAAGGGGTTGAAAGATGACCTAGTTGAACATACATACTTTGTACGCTATCGTCCCCTCTTTGTACATGACCAAACAACCTGTTCATTGGTTCAAATTGGTCTTGTTCGTAATTCCATTCGGGCAATGTATTTCCTTCGATCCTTTGACGAAATTGCAACGTTGGATCGGTGATATTCTCACTGTCTAAATAATATATACCTGTAGCACAAATTTGTTCCGAATAGGTTCCTTCTACATGCCATACACCACCATCATATTCTGGTTTTTCCGGTGTGAGCTCAACACTTGCCAATTTGAAGATAATCTGAATTGTTTTGTCTTGCAATTTTGTCCATTTCACGTCTTCTAAATCGGGCGCTTTGAATGGAGTCACTTCGGGCGGCACGAACGTCCGTACAGAGTGCCAGTGCCTTTGTTCCTGTTCATATTCGTCGTCATAATCTTCATCTTCTGGAGGCGGACAGGGGGGAATATCTTTTCCTTCTTTCAAACGATCTTCTTTCCATTCTTGAAATTCTTCTATGGATTTCAAATCGAAGAATTGATCTGGTGCTGTATTCTCAAAGTTTTCGGGTCTGAAATCTGCAAGATGACCGGATCCGTGAACTTCATTTCTTAAAATCTCATCTTCTTGAAACGTCAAAACCCGCTCAAACATTGGAATGAATGCGGACACCAAATCTTGAAGAGGTGAGTAGAGTTGTGATTGTTTCAGAGAATTGATGTAGGACAGTATTTTTGCCTTGCCATCTGCAACGATGCGAACGTCTGCTGGCAACCATTGATACTGGTGTTCGACTACTTTATTGGAAAGGTCTGGTAATTGGAGCGCCATTCGAACCCCGTACGAAATGCAGATAGGGTGGGCTACAGTACTACCAGTACTGCTGAATGTTTTTGTTACTTTATTGAAAAGAGTTAGAGGAAGATCCGATTCAGAGCCTTTGTACCATAAAAGAAATTCTTTGGCCAACGCAAGGGGATCGGTTGACTCGTTTGAAATTTGCCCTAGATGAGATCGACCGAGTGCCAAGCAGTACATCGAAGGATGCACAAGGTCAAGTACCATTTGCTTGGAGCCAGGATGCCAGTCATAAAATCTTTTATTAACCTTCATGAGCTCGCAAAAACCTTTGTTGAGTCTAGACTGTAGATTTTCGTCAATGAGCGCATCCGAATGAAAGACCGAAGGCGGAGGAGACATTTGAACACCCGTTTTTTCTTCCTTGCTTTTGGCTTTAAAGTGTAATGCCTTCATCATCCAATCAAACATTGACGTAGTAAATCCCTGTGTGAAACATTCTTGGCGCCAATTAGCCACAATTGTTTCATCTTGTAGCTTTTGCTGCCAATTTGACTTTTGTTCGATATCATTCATAGCTAGAATAACCATCTTTTCAGTCGATAAGCGTGGTTCACAAATACCTGGAAACGATCTATATTTCTCTTTGTGCGGTACAGCAAAGATGAAAAAATAATGAAGCCATAAAGTTGCCAAACTCAATGCGTCCATAATGCTCCCTTCCATTGCTCTCCAAAGTCTCATTCCTGTCTCATAATCGCCAAGTTGAAACTTGTCAAAATGTTCAGCGAAATAAAACATTTCTTCATCTATATTTCCCACAACATCGATATCTTCTAAAATGTACAGCCATCTTTCCAATGTGTCTTGTGGCCTAAATATGTCGGGAGAGTCATAGTACCTGTCTGTCATTCGTGATATAGCTTTTGTGAGAGTTTCTTCTTGTGGTACAAAAGACGTTGATGAAGGTAATAGTGGCTCTCCGGTTACGATTGCCCAAGCCACAAGTGGTATTTTTGAAATGATGGATCCCCTTGATGTTCGCTTTTGAAGGAACAAGTTTGAGATTGGTGTTTCAGAAGAAGCGAAAGAAGCCGGCGGTAAGCTTGCTAATTCGAGGAGGAGGTCAAAGATTTCTTTGTTCATTTTGAGCTAGATAAGAGGTGATGGAGTTAGGAAAGCCGATGACAGATATTTAGACGAATGGGGATTAAGATGGATTCCATTGATTAGGTGCGAGACACATCAAGTTGTCCATATGATCAATGAATGCGCATGTCCGTGCATGACTAGAGATATAAATTACTGTGAAGGAAAGGTAAAAAGAAAACAAAAAGTCCTTTGTTCCTGAATCCCAGTGACAATCAACGGGCTAATGCCAAGAAATCTATGCTTGATAATAGAGCTTAATTTTCAGCATGCAGACGCTAGCGTGAATCATATCTGGGGAGAGTCTTGTCATTGTGTTAAATACATACATACATGAGATCCAGGATATATACATCAATTCATTTACCATCCTTCTTCATCCATTCGTGAAAGGATCGCAGCAGAAACGTCATCATCAATCATATTATCGAAACTATCATCAGAAGTTGGATGAGCAGGAGCTGATTGTGAGATCTTATTGGAATCATTTGTTCTGTCTGCTGCTTGCTCTTCTTGTTCTTTCTGAGAAGCTTCAATCTTGTCTAATGCATTGCACAATGCTTCATCGTCTAGGGACGTATCGAAAGATACATCTCCTACAGCAGTCGATTCATTAGCTTCTTTGGATCTGTGAAGCGTGAGTTTACCTTTATCTGTGGCCGCTTCCTGTGCACTAGGTGATGCTTTGATAGTTGCCATCCTTCCCTTCCCTGTACTACGTTCTGCTTCATCGTCGGACGAATCATCAATTGTAATCACATCACTTGCACCCGATGTAGATCGACTTATACTTCTTGATCCAGTATTTGCTTGTGTCTTTTGATTCTCTCCTTCTTTCTTACGTGGACTTCTTCGCATAGGTTGCTTAAAAGGTGCATTGACCGAAGCTCTACGTCCAGTATTAGCAGAAGAAGCTGTGCCAGAAAAGATGGAATTCTTGCCACCGATCACTTGATTTTGACGGGATGATGATGGAGCTGCAGATCGACTCAGACCACATCTTGGTGCAGTACGTTGTCTATGAGCGGTTGGAGATCGCTTCTCGGCACACGTATTGACCTTGGATGCCTGTGGCGAAATGGCTCCAGATCTGCTTTGATCTTGTGTGACAAGAGGCATCCCTGCCTCACTGGCGCGAGATCTGCTCTTACTTTGGGCGGCGACAGGCTCCTCTGGCTCACCTTCGCATTTTTCAGCTACTTTTGCATCATTATTGACTGATGTCATCGTTCCTACTTCCAACCTCTCAATCTGATTCATTTGTTTAACGCCTTCACTAACGCTTCTAGAGAATTGGCCCTTTCGTACTTTGACTTGAGGTAGATTTACTGCCGCAATTGAGCGCTGGATGTTTGCATCACGCTCTTGCAACGGTGCTGAATCGATAGACTCAGCCGCCCTTCTCTTGTTGGGACTGGAGCGTTGAGGTCGATTATTTGATTTGCATGGGCTGATATCCATAGCATCAATCGAAGATTTCCTTCCGTGCGAAGCAGTTTGAGGAACACCTTCTGGTGAATGTGGAAATGATCTCTTTCCCAACAAGCCTCCGTCTTCTTGGATGGGCAGAGCAAGGATTGGATTTCTGATCGATTGCGAATCGCTTTGACTGCTCCTGTGAACAGGCATACTGGCAGTACGTGACCAATTTTTCGTATTTCTCGAAATAAGTGGCAGAGTGCTTGCAATGATATAATTACTTTTATCTTGTGAAAATGCTCTGTCCATTCCTTCGATGAGCACTTGCTGTAGATTATCTGTTTCTACTTGGGACGTGTCCTGACTGGCGACTGCAGCTCCATCTTTTGCACTTACTTCGCACTGATCCGCATCGTCTTCTGTCAAGAGATCAACCTTTTTGCTCGTCAAATGTTCATCCAAATCATTCAACATTTGATCAATTTCTCCAGAATCTCGAGCATTTTTTCCTTTACTGTTATTCTCTGCACTTCCAGAATGTGTCGATGTAGAGGCTCCATTACTCTTTCTAGTGGATCGTCTGCCAACTTTGCGAGATCGCATGTTGCTCTCAACACCTTGCACTTTCGAAGGTCCTAGTAATTCATCGCGAAAAGCTTGTGATGCCATTGGTTGAATTGCTCCTGCTCTTGCCATTATCCTTTGATGTTCGGCTTGTTGTACCTGCAAAGAAGGAGAAGGTGGTGCATACCAATATACACGAGCACCACCTTCTTCTTCTACCTTGCCGTCTAGATCATTTTGTGCTTCTTCATAACTCTTTCGAACGCTTCCTGAAGAAGATGAAGATGCTTGGCCAGAAAACCCTGTTCTACTGCTCAAAGGCGTTCGAAAGACGTTTGAGCTCATAGTCAAGCTTGTGTATCGTTGTGTTTCATTTACTTTGTACTGTTCATATCGTCATAAATATAAGTCATAAATAATCACTTGTTGTAGCGATGTTTTTCCTTTGTCGAATGATGGTAAGCTGACAACAAGTACACTTTTGCTCAAATCACACTTTCCCATAAAACGCGAATCGAATCAATTCATCAGTCGAAGTGTTGGTTTATAATGTACTAATCTTCGTTCCCGCATAAATAACAGACTGAACCAGTGCCCTTCAAGCCTTTTAATTCACTCGCCCATTTTATGCATTGGTGACTTTACTCTAAACGCGTCCGATATAAAATTGTGACGCGGAGAACATTAAAGTCACGCGCCGGCTTTAGACCGAACGGGAGTGATTCGGGAGGTAAACAGCTTTTGATCGTGATCACAACGAGAATCATTCCACAAAAAGAAACTGAAGACGAAATCAATTAAAAATAAAGAAAAGATGATACAATACATAAAAATATACATGACAATACTCGTGTGCGGAGAGAGAGAGAAAAAAAAGGATGCGATTGAAACGAATCGAGAAAAGAAATCAAAACAAGAATTTTGAACCATGAAGTAATACACTTTTTTTTCGAGCGTCATTGCTTCTCTATTCATCCCTTTGACGTTTGCGTTGTTGAACACCAGGATAAGCACCATAAGGTGGCATTGCTTGTGTTACCTGTGACATAGCAGGATCCCATCCCATTTGCGGCATCATTGCTTGTGCAGGATAAGGGGCGTGAAAAGGGATAAATGTTTGATTTGCGGCCATCATACCAGAGGCAGGAATTTGCATCGCCATACCAGCCATTGCGGTTGTTGTAGGTGCACCGAATTGCATCATACCGGGCATCGGTCCTTTGGCTTGAGCAGCGGGCGTATTGACTCCAGGTGGTAAAGAAGGCAAAGGTTGTTTTGCTTCAATTTCAACTGCTTTGTCACCGCACTCTTTTTCCACTCTCCAATGACGACGCAAGGCATCACTTCTTGGGAATCCTTTGCCACATGCTTCACACAAGTAAGGCTTGTCACCGGAATGCACACGAGAATGACGTTCCAAATCATGCTTACGACTGAAAGCACGAGGACAATGGGTGCATGAAAATGGTTTGAGTTGAGAATGACTGCGCAAATGTGCTTTGAGATTATAACTTCGATTCTTGGCGAACGTTTTTGTGCAATTTGGATAAGGACATTTTGCTACGCCATCTGAATCCATCTTTGCATCCATCACATTACCAATCGCATTAATCATTTCATTGCGTGCGGCTGCGTTTGCGCTTGCATTTGCACTTGCATTGCTTGTACCGCTGTCATTTGATCCCATACTCAAACGTTGTCCTTGACCGAATGTCATCAAATTGCCATATGCACCACTCAGATCCTGACCGTTATTGCCCGGCCATGAATCCGTTCGTCCAGAATCGCCTGCCCAACTTGCCATTCTTGCCCTTTGATTGCCTGCATTCTGCGAAGGAACAACAGGTTCACGGGGCGCAGAACGACCTTCAACTGCACCACCGTTGAGCTTATGAGCATTGACATTTTGACCGTTTGGATCTAAAGATTGCTGAACAAAAGAAGTGGCCATTCTACCATCGAATGAACCACGTCGTCTTTTTGCGTTTGGCATTTGACCGGCATTTCCCATCGTTCCTGCTGCTCCAAGAGCCATATTCATCACGCTTGGATCGATCTTCCAATCCGATCCACGAGAAGTAGGCGCTGTTGATGGTTCAAAAGGATATTCAGAACTGCTGAGCATCGATTGTGCATCTTGAAAAGACGCAAATCCTTCTGCTGAACTCAAATTTTGCGCCCCGAAACTACTGCTGGAATGAGGATCAGGCAAAGCTGCATTTGCGTCTTGATAACGCCATAGATCGTCCGCGCCCATCGTACTTGCGGCAGCAGCTGCAGCAGCCGCTGCCAAATTATCCGAAGTAGCAGCGGTCATCTCCATTCCACCTTCGTAGTTGTCAAGACCAAAGATACGTGCTGCTTCTTCGTCACCTGCTCCTGAATAATCTTGCACAGCATCAAATACGTTTGCTTGCGTATGAATTGACTGTATGACGTGGCATAACACAAACGAAATTAGTGTCAAGATCTATTAATACCTCTCTGTTCCGAAAATAGAGTTACTCACATATTCGTATTCTGGCGCTTGATCCAAAAGGGAAGCGGGCAATTCTGGAAATTGAAGCAATCCCATAGAAGTGAAATCAATGTCAGATATTGCCGTTGATCCTGCAATATTGGCTGAAGAAGATGAAGGATCCATGTGATGAAGAGGGGAGGGTTTGGGATGTATGGAAGGATTCGAAGTGAGCACATTGGACGCCAAGAATGTTGAAGGGGAACGAGGGTAAGAGGTGGAATGTCTAACACTTTCAGACGTTGAAAGGCTAGCATTGAAATTGTCCTGTATGCTGGCAAGTTGTTTGGCGGCGGAAGAGGATGAGGGAATCGGTATTGATAAAGATGAAGGATCAAACGGTCCAATATCTTCTGGCATCATTTCACCTTCATCCTGATCACCCGCTAGATCCAAAGAGAAATCTATTCGATGACCAAGATGTTGGGTTGCCAAAGCTAAAATCGCTGGATCCTCAAAGATACCACGAGCGAAGTTTAACGTGCTAAATGCATTATCTGCATTTGCAGCGCCTTCTTGAGGAGCTCCTGGCGTAAGAGCAGCAGCTAAAGATGATGATGATGGATTGCCAACATTTCCGGGGTGTTCTAGAAAGAAATCTTGGCCATGATGATACCCTCCTGCCATCTCTGCCGAATGTCCACCTAAGAACGTACCTGGTAAAGACGGCGGAGGCGATAAAGCTCTTCCGCCATTTTCGTTCGAGGTATCGTTGTTGGCCAAATTGTCGTTTGTATTGAACGAATTTCCGCCAGGAGTGATTGCACTGCTGGAAGAAGACATTCGAGGAACAGAACGATTAAACGCATCATCATGACTACGTTGTGCCGAAGAGTTCATTTCGCCTCCAGGTTGTGTAGATCGAGGTCGTTGCATGACGGTTGTCATGATTGTTTGACGATCGAAATCTTTTGAAGATTTGAAAAAGGTGAAAAACAAGGCCGTTTTAATTCCCCGAAAGTTTCACAATTCTTTCTCTTTGTCTTGCTGAAGATGGAATGCTCTTGTGCAAATTCGGTAATTTCTATGCCGCGAATAGATCGGAAGAGAAGAGCAGTCTTTATGTGGTGAACTAAATTGAGAGAAAAAAGGATTGGGCGACAGGTGAGGAAAGGATTGTCAGTACTTACTTGCAAAATATCGTTGCCAAGAGACAAGATTAGGGGACGGGCAAAAGTGAAAGAGAAAAGGTAGAAAGGTATCGGATGGCCCAAGACAAATCTTGTCTTGAACGACCTTCTTTTAAAGGCCAGATTGTATAGGCGAAAAGAAATGAGCCCAAAGAAGGAGAAAATTGCTTGAACTCGTCCAATGCACTTCTTTTTGAAAATCAGCAAGCTCATTTCATCTCAATATCCATGCAGAGTAGGAAATTGTGCCAAACGGCTTTTTGGCCATAGGCACAAGAAGCATTCCGGATGATTTTGTGATCTTGTAAAAAGGAAATGATATCATCGAAAATGAGGCCGTTTGCCAATGGCTAGCGGCCCGTCTGGGCGTTTATTGAATGGTTTCAGCCCGCGCGTGTTTGTATACGCCCTTTGGTTGAAGGGCAGGAGAATGATGGGGAAGAGAATGTGCTTTCTCGAAAGTGCATGTATGCATGCAAATTGATGAGCACCACGGGTCCAATTCAAATGGAAGTCATTGTCAAATGAGCTTACACATGTGATTGAAAGCAAGTGTGATCGGACACAAGAACGAGCGATCCAACGGTGTCTTTCTCTGCGCTCATCTCGTCAATCGCACGAAGTGGAATATGCTTTGCACTGTGACAATGGACAGCACTTCGATTAGCTTTGCGTATTGTAGTCGCAATTCAAAACACCGACGCTTTCCTTGTAAACCACTTTGGGATATGGAAACGAATGCCAAGAAATTGATCAAAGATTTGCGCCACAGTTGGATCAAAAGACGTTAACACTGAAGTCCTGCACGATCGAGCAGCCATCGAGAGCAGAAATGTGTGATGACCCACGCACGATTTCAAGCTCAGAGTGGCGGAGCCGTTGACTGAGTTGACGTTCATCGTTTTCGAATGACACAATTGAAAGGTGATGAGGAAGAATTGAAGCATGAAAAGAATTGCCGGTCTGCCGCAAGTGCCACATCGGGGAGGTTATGGAATCATAATTGCTTCCTCTCCCCATGTGATCAAATGCTCAGTGTTGTACAACACTCAACTCCGTCAATGCAACCTCTTTTTCCCCAATTCTCCTTCCGTCGGTATTCTAGTATTCACATCAAAGCGCCTCCGTAAGACGCCAAACGCCACACAAAATCAGTCGAGGGAATGTAGGGATCTCCAGCGCCCAAACTATAATGAAATCTCGAAAGGAGACACAACAAAGCGATCACTTACCTTTTCTTCGATCGATCGAGTGAACAACGATTCCTGCGTAAGAAATCGATTGGCGTTTTTCTTTTGATGGCGTTAATTGAAACAAATAAATCGAGCGCCTTTGCTGATTAAGAGATGATCGTTCAGTTCGGATAATAGAAGACCGAATCGAATTTTGTGTGTCCAAAGAAGATTGATGATTCGACCAATAACCGTATGCGCGTATGAACGGAGGCCGAAGAAGTTGAAATGATCAAATGTGACTTCTCCAAAGCTGCTTCTCTGACCAAAGGGGGGTAGTTGGGTATCAGATTGAGAAATACTTGAAGCGTTCTTTCTTTCCTTTCTGTTGTGAGTGTATCAAGAGGGGGAGGTTTTTGACGTTTTTGATTGTGATGATGGTGAAGGGAAGAAATGTTTTGTTGACGTTGACTAGAGATGCAAAAAGAACAAATTTCCTCACAATTAGGGGAGGAAACACAATATCATGAAGATCGAATTGCTTGCATGCAAAAATAGACATGCGCTCTCTCCTGTGTAGCGAAAAAAGTGGGACAAAACTTCACTGCCTTTTTTCGCGCCAAATTGAAACGGAGACAATGATTTCGAAATCGGAAGCGATGTGTGTTTGTGCGATTGGCAGTTGATGTTCCTGGGGATGGAAAGAAACAAGCCGGACCTTATGCAAGCGGTCGGGGCTTTTGTGATGATCATGCAAAGCAGAGAGCGAGAGAGAAAGATTGAATGGGTATGAACACATTTTCATGCTGAACACTTTCATGATTAGCGGGCCGACAAGACGCTAAAATAGGATCAAATCCATTATTCAGAGTTTAGGCAGAAGTGAAGTCAATGTGCGCGGCAAATAAAATGATGCATACTTTTCTGATTTTGACCCGGGGGAAAAATGCGGTCTGGCCTTGTTGCTCTATTGACTAGCTGTTCCTTCAACTTTTGAATGCATAAAAACACTCTAACGTCCAATTACAATTGTGTGTTTGAGAGGAACCACGCGGTTGCACTTGCGCTGTGCTTTTAGTTCCTTTTTTTCATGGGGCTCGGCGCAGCATAAATTGGCGTAATTAGCGTAACCCGCACAAACACATCATCTGCCCCAAAAGAACAGTATTCCTGCAGATGGCGTAGGCCCGAGATGGCGTCGTTACAAATCCGCAATAAAATGAGAGAAGATCTTAACAAACACACAATTGCTTACCCTATTCTCGCTAACCCCGAAGATGCAAATACCGAAGTTGTCCGAAGTGTAAACATTGTTGTCAAGATTTGCGATTAAATACAATTTCTCCGCTTGTCAACTCGGGGTTTGACTTGCGTGCGTTCTGACTTTAAAGCATAGCTATAGGATTTTTGTTGTTTGCATACTGGTTCAATTGTCAAGTATGTCTCCTCATTGCTTATAAATAGACTGTATATATATATATATATATCGCCTCTTTAGTCAAATTTAACCTAATTCTCCTAGCCATGTCCGTGTATTACTGATGTCCCCTCTATTCTATCCGCATCTTCAAAGATAGGAACGTGGATGTTTGATTGGATAAATAGGGTGAACATATCTGTGGGTTTATGTTTTAGTGTGAGTTTCAGAATACAATGATCTAATAAAGACGCTAAATTTGAGTGAAAAAACGAATGACGGGGTGAATGCATTGCATTAGCGTAAAAATCAGAATAAAACGCCGTCATCTTCCTTGCATCAATGGAAAGTGATCATCTTGAATTAACCGAATTTAAATGAATAATTGGGCGTAATTCATGCTTCTATGGGCGTAATTCATGCTTCACCATTGCTGTTCAGTCAATCATAAAGGCGCAATAAGTGAAGGTAATCTCTGTAAGGGCTTGGAGCTAATTCCGTTCATACTTGCTCATTCTTACGTCAGTCCTGCTTCGCTTAAATACATTCTGTCGATCAAGCAGAATGAAATGTGAAAAGACTTGATCATTACATAATCTCATCTAGATTCTCCGGTTCCAAAGTCATTATTTTGTCAAAGCTGTTGATCTGATAGATTGAATGAAGCGATCCCATACTCAAATATCATCGCTGTCCAAGTCATCATCTCCTTGTTCATTACTGGCAGCCATTGATCGTAATTCGGAATCTTTGCTTTGAGCGCCGATCGCTTTTTGAATCAACCTCGCTTTTTCCTCATAAAATGAATGTCTATCAAAGACTGCATATGTTCCAAGAATCGAATGTGGTAATTGTGAATCTTGTGGATGTTGTAAAGTAGATGAAAATGCTGGTGCATATTTGATCGGATGACGATTCGAATGCTGATGTTGACTGGTCATGTTTTCTTCATCGCAAAATAACCTTTTGCACCTGGATGATGCCGTGTGATAGTACATCGATCCCAATCCTTGCTTTTTGCGTTCTTCGCATTGCTTCTTCATCTCTCTAGCCTTTGAGTTGGGCATGATTAGTTGCGATTCGTTGAATTCTACATGTAGCGGATGATGAAAGCTTTGTCAGACCTGTTCAAACATCTCATATATTTAAAACGATTACTTACCGCTCAATGCATTTTCATAATCCCCCTGTTCAAAATTTGCTTTTCCCATCCAATATTTACAACGTGAAATATGTTTTCGATGATCGGCCATTAAACTGCTCAATAATTTATCCGAAATTTGTTTTTGAAGTTCTCTTGACGTTGAGTGTCTTTCCACCCTTTCTTTCATTTTCATTGATATTTTTGCGTCTTCATATGCTTGTTTGTAGCTAGGCGGGATTAGGTCTAGTCAGTATACCACCCTCTGACTGGCTGAAACCATACTCACACGTGCAATGAGAATGCACAAATGCCTCTGCTTAAACGATATTGAGGCTCATCTTTTCTTGCTGTGACGCTGCAAGAGGGAAAGAGACAATTTAGTACCGCACTTGCAGAAAAGGGACGTAATTACCATACCATATGTCAAAATAGACGTATGCCCCTCTATGATCTCCTCTTTCGTAGAGTAGAGTGGCCTAAAGAAGGGAGAAGTTAAATGTCAATCAGTTCTTCAATTGAGTGGCTATGCTGGCATACCTTGTCGTACAGCACAGTGATATCCCGTATATCCTGTATATCGCGTGTGATTGTATGCTGTAAAGAACGAAATGAAGTTGTCTTTTTGACTTTCTTGGACATGTTATGATGGTATTGTCATGATCATGTTGGATGTTTGAGTTGTAAATGTTGTTCTACTTCGCGGGGTATACCTTTCTCATTTCGGTACTGAACGCCCTCCGTCATTATCGATTAGGGTAATGATGGCTGAAAGGGCCCAAGCGTGCGGCCGCGTGGAAACGGAAAAGGCGCATTAAATGAAAGTAACACACCGACATCCGCCTTTTTCTCACAAGAAATGAATCGGCTCCGTCCTGAACTTTAATCAATCAGGTCTCATATGAGTCAGGGAAGGTAGGAACGTAAGAAGAATGTTACTCGGCGTCACATCTTGCTCTCCTTTTGATTTGAGAAACAAACAGTAGAAAGCCACACCTAAAAATCAAGGAAAAGTTTATTTTCATTTATAAATAGAACATCACACCATAATGAAGCCGTGACTCCGTATTGTGCAAAGCTAAAAAGAAGAAAGAAACTGAGTAACATGTTTGGATTCGGATTGTATTAAAAACTCTTTTTGGGTAATGATATAAAAACATGTTTTCTTTTAAAAAATCACTTTCTCTTTCCGACCTCATCCAAAAATTTTCTTATTCAACTACACTCTACCCTCATGCTTTCCTTCAACATCAAGCTTGCCTTTTTCGTCCTCTTTATGGCGCCTTCTGCTTTTGCATGGCCAGTACCGGGAAATGCAGCGTGTATGACCATGAAGGCTTGTAAAACCAGAGACACTAGCGAATACTCCTTTTATCCACAAAATGATTCAAAATGCGGTTTCGGTGAAAATCTTTGCTATGGGTAAGTAGAGAGAGTTGCTGGGATAAGTGATATTTACTAAACTCTTCCTATTTCCCATAATGGTAAAACAGCATGAGCAGATTCAATGTATCCGATGACAAATCTTGCCCAGCAGGCACTATTGCAGCACCCATCGCCAACGGTCCAACATGTAACTGCTATTATTTCGTTACCTAACAGTCTCTACCGTCACTCAGTTCATTCTTAGCTTGTTCTACGTATTGGTCTAACTTTGATTGATTGGTTGATACAAATAAACATGAATGAATGTCTTTTCTATTTAGAGTTACCTCCTCTCACGGGCATGTTGGCCATGTGGAATTGATTGCGTTGACCTGTAGAGAATCCAATTTGATCTGATCATCTCCCAATCCAACGCTCAAAGAAGATGGTTTAGCTTCATTATCCCAAAAGTGTAAAATTGAAGCAGAAGCAACACCATCTTGAACGAAAAGTTCACTTTGCATACGATCAACGATCATATGAACACGAACGATTTGTTTGGTCGAATTATCCGTGGTGATTGGGTGGAATTGTTGACTGAATCGATCGGTAAAGAATGGATTAGAATCTGACCATTCTTTTCCGGCTAATCTACGGTCAACGTATACCGTTGTTGGATCTCCGTACAGAATTCCTACTTTGAGGTATTCACCTTGGTTTGGGGTGTGAATTAGGAATTCTGCTCGTGGATTGACAGAGTAATTTGTTGATGGATAAGATAAGTTTGCCAAAATTTCAAATGCTCCATTTCCATCCAAGCTTACGGTTTGATTACCGTTAGAAGAGGTCGTGTTTTCATTTGTTTGTCTAGCAACGGGGGCAACAGCATCAGCAGTTGAGGTTGTGTTATTGTTAGAAGAATCGGATGAGCCTGAGCTGGTCAAAGACTGCTTTTGCAAACTTTCCAATCCATAAGGTTCCATGGTCACTTGGTATCCTTTGTGCATAGGGTTCATATCAATATAGCGAACTGTCATTTGTCTCGGAACGGTCATCGAACTGCGCCATGGCGAGGTGGGCACAGCGTTTGCGTATTGCCAATTACCTACCCATCCAATGAGGATAGCTTGATCATTTGGTGCATTGTAAAATGTTTGAGCAGCATAAAAATCTTTACCGAAATCAACAATCTGAGTTGATCCGTCCCAAGGTTTAAAGTTGGTACCGTCCCAATCTCCGATGAATGCTTGAATGAATGAGCCACCAAGAGGAGCTCCAGGGTTAATAGACAAAACCAACACCCATGCCTTTTGACCGTCTTTGTCGCCACCTGAGATGGGAATTTGCAACAAATCGGGACATTCGTATTGATAACCCAAAATACCAGAAGGTCCAAATCTGCTTACTTCATTCCATTCACGTAAGTTGGTAGAAGCATAAAATCCAATTTGGTAATCTTGCGAATGGGAAACAGCCATTACCCATCGAGATTTCTGTTCATCCCAGAATACCTTTGGATCACGGAATTGTGTAGTGTTGAGCGAGATGACAGGATTTCCAGAATACTTTGTGTAATTTTGACCATCAGTTGAATAGGCAATATTTTGGTTTTGGGCAGTAGGAGTATTGAGAGTATAAATTGCAACAAATCTTGAATCAGCAGGAACTGAATCATTAAAGAATCCACTTGTATTGTTTACATCCAAAACGGCTGAACCGGAAAAGATACCTTGATCGTCTGAATCTGGTGCGATAGCATAAAGATGATTTTGCCAATGATACAAATCCTTACTCGTAGCATGACCCCAATGTTGAAAGCCTGCAACTGTTGCGTTTGGATTGTATTGGAAGTACATATGCCATGTATCTCCCGATTTTACTAATCCGTTTGGATCGTTCATGAATCCTGTACTTGGTGAAAAGTGAATTTGAGGACGATAAGGTTCGGTGTATAATGCTGGTTTGATAGAGCTTGGATTGATTCCATTATTGGTGGCACATGTTGTTGTATTTCCACTGTCTGACTGTTGTCGTGTGAATAGAGTGGATGAGGTCATAGGAGAAGCCAATGTCCATGACGTGGCAAGAGCGAGAGTGAGAGCAGATCGAATTGCAAACATTGTAAGGAAGAGGGATAGGGGGTGGGATGAGAAGAGAAGAGGGATTAGCATACATCGATTGCCACTTTATATCTTTTTTCTTCTTCTTCTCACTTTGTCGGATTGCCGGTCTATCTTCCGGAAGTGCTGCATTTTCTCCATATTCTTGTTCCTGTGCCTCTCTTCTGATCTTCTGATCTTCCGAAGAGGATGCTTATACTCTTGATGTTCCTCTTGTGAGACCTTCCGAAAAGGACGCTACGAGGTGCATATGACGGTCAATTGCACTTTCGGCAAGAAGGTTCTTCCCCTCCTACCAAATGTGACAAAAGAAAGCTAAACCCCGAGATTGATCTCTTTCGGTGTGATTATAGCCCAGACAAAAACTGTGATGAAGTGCTCCTGCTTTGTTTTAGTGCCGGTTTTTGTTCGGTCACGTCGGTAAGTTTTTTGTGGAGTGGGCTGTACGACAGTGTGCTTTGATCTGCAAGAAGGGGGAAACAATTCACCGAATCAGACGCAATGCATCCAAGCGAGACTCTAGTGTTTAGCCGTCTCCCCGCGCAACGCGTACACAACAATACAACTTGACACAAGATTAGATAAGTTGTTACTTTTTGATTATGCATGCATTCTTTATTTTATATTTTGAGTTATATCAAGCAAGCGCCACCATCACAAAAGATACTCTTTTTAATCGGTCCGTCAACCTCCGAGAAAGGGCGTTTTGATTGTCTTTGGCTGAAGGTTGACATGGAAATGGGGTGCACGAATAAATGCAATCCAAAAAATACACCAAGTGAGAGAACATTCGCATGATTCGCGGCCAATTCATGCAAAGAAAATGAGAAATCTTCGCCGCCTTTAAAAATATACAATCAACTCTGCTCTTCCCACCACAGCATATTAAAGTCACTTGTGATCGAGATGGTAAAGCGTGAAGCTGTCAAGGTAGAGGACAGCTTCGTGAAGCAGGAAAGTGTCAAGGGAGAGAAACATAGCCCTGTAAAGCAGGAGATCGTCAAAAAGGAAGAAGAAGATGACGATGATTGCATCATCACTTCTGTTGTAACGGCACCGGCAAGTCGACCTGGTCCGTCGACATCTCGCACATATGAGTCCGACAGAGCTGCTCGTGGGCGAATGAAGGGTAAAGCCAAAGCAAAGCAAAATGCAATTAAAAAGAATCAAGAAAAAGCACAATCTAAGAAACGCTCATCAACCAATACCCAAACCAAGAAGAATGTGAAAAAGGAAACAAAGGTGAAGAAACCCACGAAAGCATCTTCAAAAATCAAAGATGAAGATCAATTCGACAAGATACGCGGAGCAATATTCCGTAAAGCACCGTCACAAAAGGTTATGGAACGTGTTCATCGTGTGAATTGTCAACGCATGTTCTTGTTGGATCGTGAACAGAAGCCAGAAACAATTTTTCAACAAGCATCTTCCTCTTCAAGTGCTACGCAACCTCTTGTTATGCGAGAAGAGTTCAAAGTATTGGGCTCGACCGGTAATGTGTATACGGTAAACATCGATCGTCAGCCCAGATGTGATTGTCCGGATTGGATGAATAACGGAGGTAATCCGTGTAAACATACAATTTTTGTCTTTTTACGAATTCTCGGCATCAGTCAAAACAGTCATACATGGTATCAAAAAGCATTACTGCCTTCTGAATTGCAAGACATCTTTGCCAGTGCACGACCTGATCCAACGCATTCAAACCCGAGCCTTCAATCAGCCTATTTGAAAGCTGTTTCAGGTAGTAAGAAGGAAGATGAAGAAGAAGACACAAAAGCTGAGGGAAAACGCCGTATTCCACAAAAAGGTGATGTCTGTCCAGTCTGTTATGAGGAATTTGCTGAGGGAATCTCAAAGGATCTGGTATTCTGTGAAGAATCTTGCGGTAATCCTTTGCACAAGAAATGCGCTACTGAATGGTCAAAAGCATGCAAAGGATCGTTCCAACAGGTGACTTGTATTTATTGTCGTGCAAATATGGCCAAGAAGGAAGGGGTGACATTCACCAAAGAAGGTAATTATATGAACATGGCTGGACCTTCATCTCTTGTTGATCGGACAAGAGATTTCAGTGTTTATAGTTGGAGTAGCATTTGGGCTATGAGAAGAAGCGGCGCAATGACCGAAGAAGAATATCAAGATTACGTAGCCGGCTTTGCTAGCGAGGGAGATGAGAGTTACGATGAAGTTTTTTGAAGAAAGAGATAATTTACCCATGACTTAGAAGCAACCTGTACATCAATCAATTTATTTCATCACATAATGTATAAATGTTTCGATCACATCACCAAATCTGTGTTGAGACACGATGACTGTACAATTCTTTTGATCGGAGCGAGATGGAACGGAGTGCGCGAAATTACGCAATGGATTGTCATTCATTCGATTGACGAAGAAGTGGAGTTTGAATTGAATGAATTGTCCGAAATTACAAACCTTTCATGCGATCATCACACCTTTTCATGCCCGCAACCATCACAGTCTCGTATGTATCTTTTCTTTGAAAATGATGGACTTTGAAGGTATTTCGATGGACTTTCAACATCTTTTCAAAGGTCATGAAGAGGAGGTGAAGCACGAGATGACGGATAGCGTCATGTATCCTCCTGCAACAGAGTCGCAAGTCACATCTGCTACAGGAAATATTCAAGCTACTGAAATTAGTGAAGCTTCAGCATCAAATTCCACGATTGCTGACACAGTAGCTGTGATCTCAGCAGCAGCAATAAGTCAAGATGCAACGGCATCTTCTGAATCAATTGCGACTGAGCCGGACGTGGAAAGGAATGCGAGTGAAAGCCTCAAAAATGAATCTAAGCCAAGCAAAACTCGTTCTACAGCACAATCTTCCCCCAAAAAGGGTGTAAAGAGGCCAAAAGTTGAAATCGAAAAAAGAGGTGCAAAATTTCGACCGAAACCATCGATCAAGGCAATGGAACGTAATGAACGTGTCAATAATCAACGCATGTTCCTTTTGCATCGTGAACGAGAACAAACGACAAGTGATCAAAGTTCACCTTCTTCATCAAATCAGACAGCTGGAACTAATATCATCTCGGAAGAGTTTGTCGTCACCGGATCTACTGGATACGTGTATACGGTCAATATTGATCAAAATCCAAGATGCAATTGTCCTGATTGGAAGAAACATGACGGTAATCCATGCAAGCATACGATGTTTGTTTTCTTACGTGTCCTTGGCGTAAACAAAGATAGTCATTTGTGGTATCAAAAATGTTTACTTTCCGATGAATTGAGACAAATCTTTGCAAACGCACGTCCGGATCCGGCAACGTCTAATTCAAGTTTACGTTCAGCCTATCTTACAGCAACATACGGTATTGGCTGTGAAAGCGATGACAAGACAAGCAAAAAAGACGAGAACCGCAGACTTCCACAAAATGGAGACCTTTGCCCAATCTGTTATGAAGAATTCGAAGAAGGAATGACGAACGAATTAATCTTTTGTCAAGCTTTTTGTGGTAATCCTTTACATAAAAAATGCGCAATCGAATGGGCGAAATCGATGGGAAAACCTTTGCAAGAAATGAAATGCATTTATTGTCGAGGATTGATGGCTAAGCCCACAAAGGGAAAGGGAAACTTGAAAGTCACAACGAAGGGCGAATATATGAATGTGGGTGGCTATAGATCGGGGTTCTATGGAGACAGGTAATGGTCGCCTCAAATACCTCCAGGCGAAAGACTATTTCAGATACAGATTCTCATTATGTCTTCAAGCAAACTGTACATCATCACGACTAGACTGTGGCACAAATAACATTTTAAAACAGCGTTTGGTATCTAACTGATATGAAGCTTGCGATGAGAGAAACTTTTTACTTTTCATTCTCCTTGTACCAGGCAACACTCCTTCTGATACCTTCTTCCAAATTGTACAATGGCTCATATCCCAACGCTCTTCTTGCTTTCTCGATATTGAAGTATCGTGTAACGGTTGTATATCCAACTTTATAACGATCAAACGAACCTTCCTTCTCTCCTTTGAACCAGTATGCCCATTCGGCAAGGTAGGCCATACTATAACCCAAATCTTTGGGGATGTGCCATACCTTCTTCAGATCGACAGACGAAGGATCATATTCACGCCAAACACCACGCATGAAATCCCAAAATGGAATTGGTTGACCGTTTGTGATGAAAAAGATTTCACCTGCAACTTTAATATTCTCTTCGGCAATACTGACAGTTTCCGGAATCGGATTTCCAGCGCTAGGAATTTCTGGATTGACAAGATGGAAGAATTGATCAAACTTGTTCCGGATCACTGGTCGTATATCGGTTGCCGGTTGTCCATCAAAGGTGGTCAAATTACTCGATGTATTGGGTATCTCTCGTGCATAATCTTTTGCACCGGCAACGTCTGGCCTTTTATCGCTTGTTGGCACTCCACGTTCCAAGTATGTGTCTGGCTGTGCAGCTCCTGCATTGCGAATAGGCAAATGAACAGATGCCAACAACTCACGAGGGTATGGTTGAGCACCTTTCAGGAGCTTATCAGCTGCTAGCAGATGTGCATGTGCTAAGTTCTCAACGTATGTCCAGTCTGACAAGTTCATATTGTCACCGATTTGTACATTTTGCTTGCCCGTCTTTAGAACGTTGATTGTTTTTGGAATCGCTTGACGGTCATTTGGACCAAAGATGCCCGCTGGACGTAGAGCGACTGTCTTTAATCCTTCTGCGCCTTCATCAGTGTTGGCTGCCAAAATGAGTCGCTCGCCTTCTGCCTTTGTCTCATCGTATGTATCAAAATGTTTCTCTGGGTAAGGCATCCGTTCATCAACATTGACCAAATCTTTTCCTTCAAAAACCACACTTGCACTGCTGGTATACACGATTACTTTCACGTTTGCACGTTGAGCAGCTGCAATAACATTTTCAGTTCCTCCTACGTTGACCTTTCGGAATAGCTCAGTATTGCGTGAGATAGCTGCAGGTGAGGCTGTATGGAAAACGACATCTGGCTTAATCTTCTCGAATGCACTCTTGAGAGATTCTACTGAAGTGATATCAGCAGATTGAAATGGAACGCCAGGAACGCTGAGAGATCCTGAAGGTTGATTCAAATCTATGCTGTGAACGTTCTTTTCTCCTCGATTGACAAGGGCTTGAATGATATTGCTGCCCAAGAAGCCGCTTCCTCCAATCACCTGAATAGAGAGGTATGTAAGATCGAAAAGTCAGTAAAAGGACAAGCATTTACATAAAAGCCTTTTTACTTACCACATACTTGGCACCATTTGCCTTACTTGTTGCCATGTTGATCTTTTCTTCTTTTAACAATGTTGCTAAGGAAGAGAAAAGAAGAACCGGCAAAATTAAATTCAGCCCTAATCAATCCAATCAATTCCCCCCACGCGCAACGCTGCGCTTTTTCCGTTTTCCTTTCTTTGGTTCTTGTCTGTCTTTGGGTGAATTGGTTATTGCGCTGCGCCCGTTTAAGCTTCTTCTTGTGTACGGAGTAGTCTAATCTGTCTCACTGCCAAATTGCCCCCCCTTGGCTTAGATTTCCTCCACGGCTGCTGGCAGCATACAAAGGCACTTCAACAGTCAAATCAGTAAGGAACGGCAAACTACTGCACACTACAAAGAACAACACATCCTTGTTAAGAACATCTGCCACCACCTTCAATCTTAATCCTCTCTATTCTTTTCCTCAATCCATCTTCAAGATGAGCAACATACCAATAGACGATAGTCTAAAGAAACTCTTTGACGATATAACACAAGGAAGATCAGGCGAAGATCCCGAAAGAGCAATCCTTGTACAAAATGACAATGGCATATTACGTTTGATCGAGTCAGCACCGGCAAAAGGATCGGATCGTGAAGATTTTGATGATGTATTGGGAAAGTTGTTTGCAAATGAACCTACGAAACCAGGATATGCTTTATACCGTTTAGATTCAAAAAGCCCCGCTGGTTTATTTGAATGGATTAATTGTGCATTCAGACCAGAAGGTGCTAAAGTTCGAGAGAAGATGCAATACTCAATCACACAAGCAAGTCTATTCAAAGGCTTGAATGAACAACACTTCCTCGAAACAGTCTATGGAGCAACATCTAGAGAATTCTCATTCCCATCCCGATTACGCAATTCACGTAAACATGATTATCAAAATCCACAATTATCAACAAAGGGTAAATCAGCTTCTGAGGCTGCAGGAACAGATGCTGGTGGCTTACGCAGAAACTTTGAAGCTTTAGCAGCAGGCTCAGGTTCATCAAACGGAAGCAGTCCCGCTCAAGCTACAAACGCTCCAACAAAGCTGGTAGCTACTATGCCAGACGTAGCAACAAGCGTTCAAGCAGAGCCCAAAGCTGTCCCACAAGCATCTCCTTCGCCATCCCCCGCTGATCAACCTTCTGTTACAGCTGCACAAAAAATCGAAGAGCCCTCCCAACCAGAACCTCTTCCAGAAGCTGAGAAGGAGGTCAAAGTTCCGGAGCCAGAGCCCGCACCAAAATCAATTGACACTGCCGTACAGGATGAGCCAGTTAAAGATGAGCCAACCTCAGTAATTCCCAAGGATGAGAAAGCTGAAGAATGGGTGCAAGTCTCGAAGCCAACAACTGAAGCGTCAGAATCATCTGCAAGCGCCACAAACGAACCAGAAGAGGCAAAACCCGAACCAATCTCGCTTGCATCTAAGACCGCCGTCCCGGCTGTCGCCGCTGCTTCTGTCGCTACTTCATCAGCAGCTGCATCATCGACAAGAGAAGAGGAGCTCAAATCATCCACGCCAGCATCTACCGATTCTCAGCAAGAGAAAGCCATTCCAACACCCACTACGCAGAGCACGTCAAGCATTGGTGTTGGAAAAGGAGCTGGTGGACTAGAGACTGAAAGAGAGAAGCAATTGGCTGAATTGAAATCTGAAGAATCTCGCTACAAATCCAGTGCTTCCTCACAACAAGGCGCTGGAGGTCCTCATACAGGATTTGCATGGAGTTCAGATGTTGATGGAGCTCTCATTCAATTGGCCAAATCAGGATCATCATCAGCATCTGCAAATTTGGTTGTGTTGAAGCTTGATTTGAGCAAAGAGGAAGTGCAATTGGCTGGCGAGCCACAAAGTGTTGAACCATCTGGACTGACAACAGCGTTGAGTTCATCCAATGTGAAGGAGCCTAGCTATGCATTTTACGCACATCCTGAACTTCAAACGTCAGAGAATCAAGAGAGTCACCTTGCTATCATTTATATTTGCCCAGCAAGCAGTACCGTTCGCCAAAGGATGCTGTACTCTGTCAATTTGGCTGTTTTGTCGAATCGAGTAGACGGATTCGATGGTATAAAGATTGTCAAAAGAACAGAGACATCAGATGTAGAAGATCTAACACCGGAATTCTTGGCCGATGCTTTGTCTCTAAGTAGTGCTGCTGGATCCCAGCAGAATGGTGGCGCAAATGCTTTCTCTCGACCAAAGCGTCCTGGTCGTCGATGAGTTATCATCTCAGTATCACTTTTTGTCTGCAATTACTGATCAATATAATATATAATCATGGAAAGCTTGTTTGTTCTATAAGTACAATTGTAGATTGGATAGGAGGATCATTTGGTCCATTGTTTACCGCTTTGCTTACGTTGTTGCGATTTATGTATTGCGTGTGCTTTTTCGGATCGTTGATCACCTTTTTGCTTTTTGTATTGCCGTCTTTGTCCGGCTCCATTACCTCTAATGTCAGCCTTGGACGCCTGCTCGGCCTCTGCATCGCCCGTCACTTCTTCTTCGTCATCCTCTTCCTCCCCATCTACTTCTTTACGTTTTGCAGAAGCTTTGGTGTTCTTCAACCCTACGGCAATATTGACTTTAGGTGGACTTGTGAATCCGAATGATCTTGCCACTTTTGTCAAATCGAGATTGTGAACGTCAAAGATTTTCTTGAGTGCATAACTATTATAAGCCATCAAATAACTTCGGAAACCTTCTTTAGCGCTTTGATGCAAATAATAATTCTTGCCAATCAATTTTTCGAGTTGTCCTTGCACATTTGCAATCTTGTTCATCGGGAATGAATATTCGTTCAAAGGTACCTTTGCAACTTTGAGGAAACGCAAGAATCCAAGTTCGGAAGGCAATAAGAACAACAAACTCTTTCCACTCTTTCCTGCTCTGGCCGTTCTTCCGACTCTGTGAATGTAATCACGCGGATCATCTGGAGGATCAAATTGAATAATCCAATCCACTTTGGGAATATCCAAACCTCTTGCTGCAACATCTGTGCACAACAGTACACCTGCTGGAGCGTTGCAGAATTCAAAGAACGTAGAGGTTCTTCGCTGTTGTTTTTGTTTTCCATGCAAGTCCAAAACAGGCACATCGATGTAGTTGAGGAGCTCAGCATGGTATTTGACTCCGTTACAGCTACTCATGAACACGATAATCTTCTTCCCTTTGTTGCGCTTGAGGAAAGTGAACAAAAGCAAGAAGCGTTTGTCACTAGCGCACACCACATATCCTTGCTCTAATCTTGCAACAGTCGAGGCTGCAAGATCGGCATGTACATTGATGTATAGCGGTCCAGGTCGCAATGATATCCTAGCAAGGTCCTGCACTTTTGTAGTTTGTGTTGCCGAGAACAGCATTGATTGACGATTGTCGTTAGGTAGAATACGCACAATTTGCTTCATTTCTTCTTCGAAACCGATTTCGAGGATACGATCAGCTTCATCGATACAAAGTGTCTTCAAATTTGAGTAAACGAATCCTTTTGTATTTTGCAAATGATCCAAAAGACGACCAGGCGTGGCAACGATGAGATTGATACCTTTGTTCAATTTGTCTGCTTCTGCTTTTCGATTTGCTCCTCCCATAATGATATCGAATGTTTGATGATGTCCATGCCCCATCAATTCTTTTACCACTCCAAAGATCTGTAACGCCAATTCACGTGTAGGTGAAATGATGATTGCACCAGTACCATTTCTTGGCTTAAACTTCAACCTGCTTAGCATTTCTATTGCTGGAATGACAAAAGCCAATGTTTTACCACTTCCAGTTTGTGCAGCACCCAAGACATCCTTTCCCGCCATAAGAGGTGGAATGCATCGAGATTGCACTTCTGTCATTGTACTGAATCCCATCGTTTCCAAAGCACGGCTGGTAGGAGGTGACAAGTCCAACTTAGAGAATGGCTCACGCTGTTTTGTTGAATCCGTGCCTTTTGCAGATGTTGAGGTGGATGTTGATGCTTCTGCATTGGCAACATCTGAGGCCAATTGAGAAGCCAATTGCGCTTCCGCATCAGCTGCACTTTTATCAGCCATCTTGACCTTTACTGATGCAAATCGAATGAGGTGTTGATGGATGATGGTAAAGAATTGCTTAGAGTAGTTGTGCCTCAATCTTCTTCCAACTTTATTATTTGAACACTCCTGCAAAATTTAGCCAACTTTCCCAAAATTTTGGTAGCACGTGCCCAGTATTTTTTGTAAAAAAGGCGCGTTTATTAAGAATTTCCAATTTAAAGAATCAAGACTGGTAAAGTACCACAAGAAGAATATTCTTGCCATTACTTCTCCTTCTCATCATCATCAAAGAGGCTGACAGAGCAAGATGGCACTCAGTAATGGTGCACCAGCAGCAAAGAGGGCTCGTTCATCTGCTGTCCAAGGAAAAGGACAATCGAGCAAAGCTGTCACTACGAGAAGGGCAAAACTATTTCAACCTTTTCGAGCATTAGGATTGGTGACAGATGATGTTCCTTTTGTGCTTCTTGTTCGACATGGAGGTAGAGATGCTGTCAAGCCGGATATCTACATCTTTACATGCATAGGAAATTCATGGATGATGTGGGATGCTGATAGAATGACTTTGCTCTTTGTTGGAGAACCAGTGGAAAATGATATTCGATCTTTGCTAATCATGTCTGGTAGCAGTGGAAAGGATACCGTCTTAGCAGCAAGTGGATCTAACATTCACTGTTTCATACGAGGAAAGCTGGTAGATACAATGACGACAGAAGATGAAGGGATAATCAGCGCCGGACAGACGTCCGTTCAATTATCGCACCTTCTTTCAGTCGGAGACAACGTGATGGCATTGTCAAAGCAGGAGGATAAGCTTTACGTTTGGTCATTCGCTCAAAAGAGTCTTTTGCGCACAATTGACCTGGGAAGGCCTATTGTCGGTACAGATGATACCTTTCATGCATCTGCGATTCTGCATCCCTCGACCTACGTTGACAAAGTATTGTTGGGAAGCGACAATGGATATTTGCAGCTGTACAACTTCCGCAATTCAACGCTTCTACACACATTCAAGCGATCTTCCCTATTGGAGTATATGGACATAGAGGAAGCCCTCGTCGACCCAGAGGAATCTTTCGCGATCGTTGATCTTGTGCAAACACCTGCAATCGATATCGTGGCAATCATGTTCGAAGCAGGATATGTCTTACTGATGGATATACGATATGACGAGCCAATCTTATATGCTAGAGCCGCTCGAGGAAACGTGAGCCAAGGGAAAATACTGGGAAGAAGCTCAGTGTCCTTTAGGACAGATGGTATGGCATACACAATGGCAGTAGGAACAAGGCTAGGTGACATTATCCTTTTCGATTTGGAAAACAGCCTAGCACCCGCTCCAGGTGGAAGGAAAGCCCGTCCCGCCCAGCTTGCACACACAATCCGTACTGCTCACACCGGAGCAGTCTCAAGTGTTCAATTTCTGCAAGGGCAGCCTCTCTTAATCTCAAATGGATCCGATAATGCTGTTAGACAATGGTTCTTTGAAGTGAATACGGTTACTGGGGCTGGAGACCTAGGCGGGAGTCAGTCTGTCCCATCAACAACTGCGCCTCCACGACTATTGAAGACTCGTGAAGGACACAGTGCACCTCCTCGAGTAATCAGGTACATTGGAGAAGGAGGAAACACAATCATTAGTACGGGTGGCGATGATCGCAGTGTACGATCAGTCAGCGTGATTCGTGATAGTCGTAGTGCTGAATTAAGCCAAGGGGCATTACAGAAGAAAGCCAATCAGATAGCCCGTCCAGTCATCTCTCTCAAACTTTCGCCTGCCATTTCGTTCGCCCATAGCTCAACGCGAACCCGGGATTGGGATGATTTGGTCACTGTACATTCCGGTCTGCCATTTGCACAATCTTGGTCAACACGCAACAATAAGATGGGCGAGCATAGAATGCGATCCACCAAGCTCGATAAGAGAGCAGAAGAAAGCGAGGCAACCGCTGTAGACCTCAGTGTCTGTGGAAACTTCTCTATGGTCGGAAACGAGGACGGATATGTGGAAATGTACAACATTCAAAGTGGAAGATATCGTCGAAGATATGATACCCGTACGACAAAGAAGCAAAGGGTGGTCAAAAAGCTTAAAGGAGGTGTAGTACAGTGGAAAGAAGAAGTAGTACCTATAAAAGGTGCAAAAGTTACAGGTATTGCAAGTGATGCCATCAACAAGACTTTAGCTGTCTCTACAGCTGACGGAAAGCTGCACTTCTTCGACTTCCATGATGGTCACCTTATCGATTCAATCCAGACTCGCTCTCCAACCTTGTCGACTTCCCTACATCGATCATCAAACTTACTCGCTTGCACGCACAGCGATCAAAGTATCACACTATATGATATGGAAACCAGAAAACAGGTTCGTCTTTTCCAAGGCTTTGCAGGTGAGATTTTGGATATTGCATTCTCGCCTGATGGTCGATGGTTGGTGGCAAGCAGCAGAGATGGCTTCGTTCGAACATTTGATATCCCTACAAGCCGATTGGTGGACTACTTTTTCACAAAAGAGATTGCTATCAGTATTACTTTCAGTCCGTTGGGTGACTTTTTGGCAACCGTTCATGAGAACAGTCGAGGTATCTTCTTGTGGGCCAATCGCAATCAATACTTGAATCTACCGCTTAGCGGTATTGATGAACAAGAAGTGCTGACTCTTGCAGCTAAGAATCAAGCACAAGAAGCTTTGCCTTCCTTGCGCGGTGTGGATTTGGATGAACTTGCTGATGAGGATGCCAAGTTGAAGGAATTGGATGCAGGTGAAGCAGAATATCAACGAACATTCACCAGCCAACCGCAATTATTTGTTTCTGATGAAGCTTCATCTGAAGAAGGTGGCTTACTCACTTTGAGTACTATGCCTCGCAGTAGATGGATGACACTATTGAATTTGGACATCATCAAAGCACGTAACAAACCAAAAGAAGCTCCAAAGAAGCCGGAAAAGGCACCTTTCTTCCTACCTGTCGGTGCTGGTAGCCGTCCTGATTCGGCTATTGACAGGAAGTCCGGACTTTCGCTTGGTGAGGAGATCATGGCTGATGAGGAAACAGACAGTGGAAATCAATCAAGACGATTACAAGTTCTTGCCTCGAATGGCCTAGACTTTCAAAGTGAATTCTCTCAACGTTTAGCTGGTGCTTTGCAGGATGATCAGATGGATGCATTGTTTGTCTATCTGAATGCACTCTCACCTCCTGCTTTGGATTCGGAAATCCGCTCTTTGGCACGTTTAGAAGATCTGACATGCTTTTTGAATTGCATGACAAGACGTTTACAACAACATCGTGATTATGATGCAGTTCAAGCAATGGTCTCAGTTGCTTTAAGGATTCATGGAGATATGATCGCTATGAATGGAACAAAGTCGGATGCAAACACTACTGACGAAGAGGATGCTGACCAAGGTGAACAATTGGGAACTGCAATGAAAACACTAATGGCTGAACAGTATCGTGAAGGCAATCGATTGTTGGATCTTGTACAATACTGCATGGGCACTTTGTCATTTGTGCGTGATATGCCTTTGGTATGAAGAAGAAGGAGATTTGTTGCATTCATTGTATTCTAGTGTTACAAATAGCAATTGCATATGCTTACAAGATTACTATTACAAAGTCCAACTACATACGAGGTTATGCCTAGATGCCGTTCTTAATATTGACCGATTGCAGTTCTTTTGTGATCTCGTCTACAGATGTATCATCCTTTCTTTCAACTTGATCGCCGCTATGGTCATCGTCATCCCACGATTCAGGAACGTCTGATGAAGGAGGCTTTTTGATGTGTTTGACATTGCCATTTGTTGAGGTGGTCTTGCCTGGCAATTCTTTGTTTGAATCTGTGTGTGAGTTAGCATCGGAGGTTTCTGAAGGAGAGCTTGAAGCAATCTGTGGCTTTCTGTCCTGCCCTACGAGTTTAGCATGGGTTGATGACTTCTTCGATTCCGTGGAGCTTCGTGTTTCTCTACTTGCAACTCCATTCGTACTCAATTTCGATCCACTTGCAGCAGCGTCTGCTCTTGCTTGCCTTACTCTCGAAGGTACAAATCTGGCTACATCTTCAACGGGCGTGAATCCTGGTCTTACCTTTCTTTCCTTACGTATACTACCATCTGCCCTTCTACTTTCGGGAATGATCCTCTGCTTTGCTCCTAGACCATTACTAGCAGCATTTGGATCATCTATTATTCCACTTGCAGATGTCTTTGAGGAAGATCTTTCCATCCTCCTTCCGAAGCCTTTTATGTACGTTGTGATCGATCGTATCTTCACTGCAAGCGTTGTATGCTTTGATTGACTGACATCACTTGCCTTGCTTAAAATGAAGAAGGATTGATAATGTAAGAAAGATGAAACTCTCGATCTTCTTTGAATGTGCGTCTTTGTCTGCACTTTAGCGCGACTCACGCAATAAACTCCACGCAATTGAAGGGTTTGATCCCTGCTCACTTTCATTCTTGACGCAAACGATATGGTGTGAGGCCTTTAAAAAGCAACGCATACATTCATCACTCTTTGATCTTTTCTTCCATCGTTAGATCAAATTCACTCATATCATTATTAAACTATGCCAGAATTCAAACACGGAGGTGGTGGTACAGAAACATACAAGCCACCCGTTTCGCACGGCCCAAGAAGGATTTTTTTAGGTTGGACAGCACTCGTATTCGCTGCTGCTGGAGGTTACTATTACGTTAAGACTACCAACTCAGAAAAAAAACGTAAATACTTCGAGGCTGTTGGTAACAAGAGCGATCCTAATTTGGGAGATCGCGCTTGAACTCTGCAACAAAAACATTCTTCATCATCATGAATGCGGCTACAAGTGATGGTGTGATGCCTTTTCCAGATGAAATCATTCAGATCATCTGTGAATTTGCCGCTGAGCAAGATCAAAGTACAGCTTACGCTTTAGCTTTGACTTCAAAACAAGTTTGTAAATGGACTGCAAAAGCACGTTGGAGAACTATTTCAATCACTTCTCCCAGACAATTGATTTCGCTCTGGAGCATAATTTACGCTTTACCCAAAGAGATTGTAGAAGGATTTTGGAAGCTGTATGATGCTCAAGAAGAATTACAACGAGGAGGGACATGGTCGGAAAAGACTGTGACGGAATTATATCCACTTCAAGTGATTGTGGAAAGGCTGGGAGAATCAAAGCGACGAAAAGTTGATGGCATCTCTTTTCCACCGGGCGGTCACCCTCATGTGTATGTCAAAAATCTCTTTTTTGATCTCGTAAATGATCGGGCAGTGGGAGATAAGTCTTCAAGAATGTTCTTTCAAATTTGTACTTCATTTTTCGAAATTCTTTTAGGTGGAATTTGGCCTGAAGGACTAGCCCTCAATCCATTGTATTTACTGCAACGATGGAATGGCGAGAGCTCCTCTGTGCTGGAAACAGTGTCTATAGGACCTCTTGAGGCGCTTCATTTGAACCATCGATGTGGTCCGGATTTACCCATCAAGGAAATGACGATCACTGTGAACGAAACCTCGGAACGTCTCGCCCTAAATCACACACTACCCGTATCCTTGCAACGCTTACATCTGATCGGCGCAAGTGTTGATTCTCCCTTATCGGGAATGACGCCTCCTTGGTCGCTTTTCAAATCTTTATGTACGCCTTATATGGGAGATCCAACTTCCAAAACTAGCAAACGCAGATTGACACATATTCGATATGACACTCGTCGATTTTCCTTCAAACCTGCTGAAATCACTGCTAAACGTATGGGGCCTCTGTTTCGGGAACTCACGCTTTCTCCGTCGGACACACATCAAACAACACACACTACTGCGAAAGAGGCAACTGCTTCTTTTCAATTTGATGGTCCTCGTCATGCAGCTCCTTCAAAAGGATCAGGTAATGTTGCCAGATTGCAAAGTACTACCAATCTAGTTTCGATTCATAAACTTGCTCAACAAGGTGATCCAATTGCACAATATATGTGTAACATTGGAATTGGTCAGCTTGCTTTCTTACAATTTGCTTGGGAACCTATGACTGGTTCGAAAGAGATGCTAGAAAGTGTCCAACCATGGTACAAACGAAACGCAGACAGCGCTGACACGTCACAGCAAAATGAAACGGATTCAAGAGAAGATGGTAGACAGCATGGCATGCGCGACGAGACTGGTGGGTGGCCTCGGGAAAGAAGGGGTGCCTGGACGGAAAGGTCAGAGAAGTCTATCGATTCATTTGGAGCGGAAATGAGAGAAGCTATCGAAAGCCAGTGGGGCTGGCATGGAGATGGAATAGAAGCGGCAGGAAGGTATTGTAGGCAATCAGAGGAGAATATAGAGGATGGAACTACTCGAGATCCATTTGAACGTAATTCGGCTTTCACACCTGATGGCGATACACTTTCAAAAGAGAAGATCGAAAGCAGACCTGATCTCTACAATAGCGAAATTGCAGAGATGCAAAAAGTGACCGCACTGATAAGGCAAAAGTTCCCGAATTGTAATCTTTCACATCCCAACTTTGCAAACGATAGCGAAAGTCCACTCTGTTTCGGTATCAGAGCCCCAAGAAGTCTGGTTCATCTCGGAGGCAAGGCATCTTTCACGTACCATGATCGACTTCGATTGTTCTACGATCGTGCAAATGGGGGCAAGGGTGCATGGCCTTAATCCCAGACAATCTTCAATGGTTTTGCACTTTAGTCTATTGAGTTGTAAATCATGAAATAATAATCGTACATCATTGTTATTAAAGATGGGGTATTTCTAAAGACGTAAATCCTATTCTTAAGCCATTCTTCTTTCATCAGCTTGTGCACCTATGCGAGCTGACCACATATCAGCACGTAATCGATTGACTTCCAACCAAACCTTTTCTTCCCAAATCGGTTTCTCTGCATTCTTGATGGGGAGCAACCTTCTAGGCTCTGGACCGAGATCGATAGGCTGAAATACTTCAGCAGCAGGTGTGCGGACACGACGTGGTGGTAAAGCAGGCGGAGTATTGTTATTGTCAGGCAATTTTGGAACAGGTCTTGCAGTCTTTGGCAAAGCCGGTGGGCCATTTGCAGGATTGGCAGATTTGGGCAAAGGTGACGGGACTGGTGTTTCATCTTGAGTTGGAATATCTAATGCATCCGTTGAAGATTTCTTGTCTGACGTTTCAGTCGATTCTACAGCACTGATAGAGGTATCAACTGTTTCCTTTCCTTCATTGACTGTGATTGTATCTGCATCCTTCTTGTCAATACTATCTCTTGTGTCTGTAATCGGGCTTTGTTCTTCTTCATCGCTTGAATGTTGACTTTTAGCGTCCGCGAAGTCGTGTTCATCCTCTACATCAGATGCTGTATGAGATGCTGAAACTTTGCGAGATTCCTGTGTGTTAGCTTCTTCGTCCAATGAGTCTTTGCTTTTCTCTGATTCGGCTTCAGCCGTCAGCTTCTCATCTGAAACTTTGCTGTCGTCGTCTGCTTTGGCCTCTTCTACCGCTTCAACTTCTGCCTCATCACCCTTCTTTTCTATAATTTGTGAATCTTTTTCGACAAGACCGCCTTTGTTCAAATCGAAGTCTTTTGTCGGCAAGCGAGGTGCAGGCTCGTCTTCTGTATCTAATTCATCATCCCACGCAAGTTTGCCTTCAAGAACGACTGCCCTTTCAAGATTGCGAACATATCCCCAAAAGTCGCAAATAGCACGTATCCTCTTCAAACAATAATCAGGACATATCAAGTAACGAGCTGAAGACGTTTCTGAGATACGGAATATATGTGTTGGAATTGCAGGTGGTCTTGCGGCAAATTCATCTTCTACCACACCTACAGTTTGAGAATGCCAAGAAGGATTTTCGGTCGTCGGTGTGACTACTGTTGGCTTTTCAGTAGCAGCATTACTCTTACCGCCACTAATATTTCGAAGGGTATTAAAGATACTCGTTCTATTCTTTGTCAAATCCTTTGGTGTTTCACTTCCACGACCTGATCCTTGTGGCGGTGGAGATGCCGTCAGATCACGAACAGGCAAAGAACTGGCCATCGCATTGACGCTGGCCTGCAAAGATGAAGCAGCATTCATCCAACCACTTGCATCGGATAAGTTGCCTCCGCCAGGCAAAGGTACGTTAACGACGGCTTTTCCACACATTGCACACGCTGCAGGAGGTGTTCCGACCGCTTTCATACGTACATCTTCTTCATCGTAAATGCCTCCTCCAAAGATGGGTTCGATCATAAAGCTGCCATCCACAATAGCCGTTCGCATTTGTCTTTTGGATAACCAATTCAACCCAGGTGCATGGTCTAAGCCAAGACATGGTTCACAATCCTCTTCGTTGAAACGCTTCAAGAAGGTGAGAGAGGATAATTGATTTGGGATGTAAATCAATTGTTCCACATTTGCGGGTAACGTAGGAAAATCACGATGTCTCGATACACCGGCTGCAAGAAATGGCGAAGCTTGAAATGGATTTACGCCGGAGGGTCCAAATTGATGCGGAGCAGGCGATCCAGTTCTCGAGGCAATTGGTGTCTCTTCAGTGGACGGTGTAACGTCATGAACAGGGAAGTTGTAGAATGGTGCCAATTGTAAGCGAAGTCGTCGTAAGTGATTGAGGAAGGAGCGTAGTTCGACGTATGGGATGATGTCCAATCGTAGAAATCCATTATTTGCAGGTAATAAAAGAGCATGATCATGATTACCTGATGGTTTACTCAAGAGGCCTGTCGAATGGATTGACTCATTTTGTCGCTCATCAAACGAATCTTGTGAATGCGGAGTCTCTGAAGCGCTTTTTCTTTCATTCTTTTCTACCAATGCTTGTAGTTCTACCAATCGTTTCTGCTGTTCACCAACAATTTCTTCCGTATCCTTTAATCTTTCTTCCATTGATTTGCTCTTTTCTTCAGCTCTGGCTCTAGCTAGTCTTTCAACAGCGACCATCTTGTTCGCTTCACTAAACAAGCTCGAGCTCAATTCATCAAGTTCCGATTCAATCTTTTGCCTTTCATCAACAGCTTTTCCTTTTTCCGCTGTTTCCTGTACCAAACGTTCCATCATCTTTTGCATTTCAGAAGAGACATGCTCTTTCTCTACCAATAAGCCAGTATTTAAGGCAGCCAAATGTTCTTGTCGTTCTTTCTCTAATGATGCAATCTGTTTTTTATAGTTTGCCACCATATCTTGCATTTCCGATAAATCATCTTCCAAATCTCCTATTCGCACGAATGATGTCACGAGTTTGTTGTTTAGGCCTGTGACTTGTGTTGTTAATTCAGTCACTTGCTCTTTAAGATCGTTTGGGTTTGCTGCAAATTCGATAGACTGAGCCGTAGAATGCGAAGGAGTTTCATGTCCTAGAAATGTTGAAGTTTTTGGTGTTGGATCATTTTGAGTGACCGTGTTTGCAGATGGAGGTTCTAGAGATACGTCTTGCATTTGTTTTGATATTCTCTTACTTTTACGTTTACCTCCTCCTGCATCAAACAAAGCGCTTACAGGTCTACTGCCTCCCGCTTCGCTGTCTGATTCCATTCCTAGCAATGTATCTGGATCTGCTTCATCGGCCAAGATTGCGTCTGGACTTGGTCTGATAATATCAGAAGTCGGTATCTTATCTGCACCAACATCGAACGAAGATGCGTTGACATCAACAGGATTCCTCCTTGATGACATTGAAGACATTGTGTGAGGCTATCAATTGCACCCCAACTTGTATGATGACGGGAAGCAGAAACAAACAAGACAGTGATTATATATTTGATTGATTTGATTAACCCCCCTCCCTCCAGTGAGTGAACCTTCCTAATCTTTAGCGTATCTTGCCCTGAAAGGCGTCAAAGCAGGGGGCTCTTGCGCCTTGTTTGGCCTTACTTCATATAATATTTCCTTTTCATAGTGCAATAACGCTGCGCCGCCCGCGACGCTATAGGGTTTACCCGCCCGCCAAATCGATTCTAACTTGCGGGTTGTGTGGTGTAGGCGCTACGCCGGCGCTGAGTGGATGTGTAGAACGTGGATGCGCTGCGTGCGCTTAATTGTCTGGGGTAGCAATGCCTGTACAGAAGTCATTTTCCCCACACTTGCAGATATGATTGTTTGAAAGCGTTTGAAAAAAATAAGGTTGTATTGCAATTCATGCTACAGACGATGAACAGATCCGGGACCATTGGATCATTGTAAACCTTCATTCATTACATACAAACATCGTCTCTCCCACCAACAAACACATACAAGCAAGGAGAACCTCAAATCAATCATCATGGCAAAGAAAGAAGAACAAAAGAAGGATGACGGCAATTTGCTCGCAATGATGCTGGAACAAGCTGATGGTCTCGACTTCTCAGATCCATTCTCTGAGGATAGCGGGGAGAATAACAACCCAAGAAGATTACTTGTGGAAGGATTTGAGTGAGTAAGAAGGGAGATCGAGCTGGAAACTGTAATGGAACTGACAGCGTAGTTCTTTCCTCTCACAGAATCTCGAAGCTATTCACTATTGTAAGTCCTGCATACACCCAGCTCAGGAAGGATCAATCGATATTAACATAAGCTACCACATCCTTCCACAGATTGAATTCGCTTTCCTCCATGCAAAAGACGAAGACGGTATCTTGGCCGGACTGGATATGATGTCACGTCAAGAGGCAATCAAGAAATTGGTAAGTAGAATGAAAAGGCAGGGAGATCCTGAACAATGAGTGCTTATCGTATCTTTCCTTATCTACCCTCCTTAGAACGGCGTCTTTCTCTTCATTGTTACCAACCCTGAAGGTAAAAAGCAAGAATTCTTGGTGGACATGCGTAAAACAGGAAGCTTTTATTTGGGCAAATCCGTTCCAGGACAAAAGCTAAAGCCGGATGTGACTGTTTCAGTGAACGATAAAGATATGGTTGCATTAAGCACAGGAAAGCTTAACCCTCAAATGGCATTCATGAAAGGAAAACTTAAAGTCAAGGGTAACTTGATGTTGGGTCTTCGTTGTCAATCAACATTGCAATCCGAAATCCAAAAGATGTCAAGACTCTGATTCGGATTAAGAACGATATTATTACTCTGCTTTCGTTGCGTAAGACCCTTTTCAATTCCTGTCTGATTTTTATTCTCCTTTACCCTTCTTGCCTTTTACGGCAAATTTTGTATCTATTTATTCGTGCGCTTTGGAATGCTAAGCGGTGAAAATCATTTCCATATTGAATCATCTTCGATGAGCTTTATGCTTGTCTTTTCTCTGATGGTGTGTATGGCGAATAGCACGAATGGAGTATCAACCCTTATGATTTTGAGGACCAAAGGAGAGTGAGCCGCACAAGAGGGAGGAGCGGAAAGCGGAAACCTAAGCTGGGACGGTACGACCATCATGTTTAATGATTGGCAGAGATTCAGCACCTTGCGGCTTTGCACAAAGGAAGTGCTAAGAAAAAACCAATACAGCTGCATCCAATCCGCTGAATATCCTCAGTCGGGCATATCAGGCTTCCTCGTGCTCTATCCAAATAAATGTGTACACATTTCTCGCAAATGAATTGTACATCTTCACATCTTCTTTATTAATTAGAAGCAGCGGGCTTGTATCGCCATTCGCCACGTTCATCGAGACGTTTACGTGCTTCCTTTTCTGCCCACGATCCGATGCTGTAAAGGAGAGAAGGAGGACGCAGTGTTAGTGATAAGAAGGACTTCTTTGTGTACCCTTGCACATCCTTCACTTACTCTTCTTTGGGTTTATAGATATATAGTACAGCTCCCAAAGCCAATCCTCCAAACATTCCAAAGTACCAAATGTTTTCCCAATCGCCCTTTTGACGCTTTTGTCCAGGTGGTGTGGGCTAACAGGTTTAAGAAGGAGAGTATCATGAAGAGATGAGGGAAGGGTCAGCAACACAACTCAGTCGGATCACATTGTCATGTTTGTTACTCACCTTCTCAGCGAACAAGTAGCCTGTTCAACAAAAGATTCGTTATGAAAAAGAGCGATCAAAATCAGCAATGTTGTTTATCTCCATCATAACCCTCTTTCACTCACCTGTTGGTTCGTTGTAACCACCTCCGCCTGAAGCGTTTCTCTTGACGATTAATGATTGTCGTAATGCTGGCTGGCGAAGAGTGCCATTCGCTAGCCTTGAAGCTGCAATTCTTGTGACCATTTCCGTAAGTTTAATGTTGTGCAATGATCGTGATTGTGATGCGATGACAACCATTAGAACTTCTTGAATGGCTAAAGCAACGCATTCGGCCTTCATTGGCTGCAATTCCACTTTAAGCGCGTGTCATCGGTCAAAAGGGCGCACGTGTGGGACAAAGCATTGGCCCTAAACAACATTCCCTTGCTTTTTTTTTCTGGGCGTCAAGTTGTAAGCGTTGCATTTTACCCCAAAGTCTCTTTAAAGGCGTTGCGCTTAGACCTCGTGTGTGTGTATGTATGTAGATCAATATACATGCAACACCCTTTCCCGTCCATCATCCATCATTATAGCCTTTCGGTCATACTTTATCATGTGCTAAGGCAAAGCCTTTCAATAGGCAATCGTACATTATTAACAAAGCATAATGAAGACTGAAGCGACACAGCAGAATAGCTCCTCAAGTGGCGGCATGGGCTCAACACAGCCTATGAGAACGTCATCCACACGTTCTAGCGTACAGCATCAAGAAGGAATACATCCACATACTATGGATCATGCTGCAGAATCAATGGAGGAAGAAGGGGGCTATGATGGAGAAGATGGAGAAGATGACGATGACGAAGGTATGCCGATCGGACAGCAAGGCGGGGAACAGGAAATGTTGAGCGAGACCACAGTAAAGAGTGGCTATCTTTACAAACGCGGAGAAAAGAGAAAGAATTGGAAGAAACGTTGGTTCGTGCTTCGATCCGCAAAGCTGTATTACTACAAGAACGAGAAGGAATACCAACTTTTACGCTTCATCGATATGACAGAGGTACACACGATTGCATCTGTCGAATTGAAAAAGGTGGAACATTGTTTCGGAATCTCAACGTCCAAGCGTCAGTATTATGTCCGTGCAACATCAGCAAAAGAGATGGCGTCTTGGGTGGATGCTTTGCGAGATGTACGAGAACAAGTACGTCAACGCAGTACACTCACTAGAGATATGGCTTTACTCGATGTGGGTAATGTGTCATCCGGAGGCGAGCATCAAGCACCTGCACACGCTTCAGCCACTCCAAAGAATGCGTCTCAAGCCGCAAGTCCTACTGTCAAGCCAATCGATCAAGTAGGCAGCCCGAAAGGCAAACAAGGTACCGGTAGTCAGCCGATCAGCATCATGATCCCCGGAAAGGGCCTATACACCGCTCCAACCCAATCGAGGATCACATCTGCAAATCCCGTTTTAAGTCCCCTGACAGCCACTTCCGATAGTGAAGCCGGTGGACCGAGCGGGGCGGAGCAATTTGGCTTGAGCTATGCTAGTTCCGCAGGACAAAGTTTGGCCAGCAGTCCAGGTCGTTCAGGTTTGTTCCATCACAGTGGTTATGTTCTACATCAGCAACATCAAACACAACAAACGGATTATAGCAGCGGTGGAGGTCACAGCCCACAAAGTCATTCAGGAGGCGATGAAGGCGCGGAAATGATTCGAGGCAAACGTGGCCCACAAAGGGGATCAGGATTCCGAGAGGCGTCTGTGGGCAGCAGTACCGGAGAAGGGGCAGCAACGGGTCTCGCTCGAAGAAGAAGCGATTCACAGCAGGCTGGACATCCTTTGAGCAGCAGTGAAGACGAAGGTGAAGGCGAAGGAGATGATTGGGACGAGGAAGAAGAAGCGGACCTTGCAATGCCACTTCCTAACACTGGAGGACTGAGTCTTATGTCGAGCTTTTCGCATGGACATGGGACGCAAGCATCTTCCAAGCAACCGCAGCCTTCAGGCTCTGAACCCTCTTCATCTGTCGTCACCACTGTCTCGAAGCCGAAAGTGGGTCCTGAATTCTTTAAAGATTCGAGCAAGGTGATTCACCAAGGATATCTGATGAAACAGAGCAACAGGCGGAAGCACTGGAGAAAGCGATGGTTCGTCTTGACAAGTGGAAGCTTATCGTATACCCGCAGCCATATGGACGCAAAGCCACATCGGCAAATACCACTTTCATCCATCTTGGATGCAATCGAATATACATCAAAGAAGGCTAATCAACATTCAGCTCCTCTCAGCCCGAGCTTAGGAGCATTTGCAGGCAGTAATCCACTGGCTTCGTTCGGAAGAAGTCCTTTGTTAGGCGGAGGCGGAGATTCTACCAATGCACTGGAAAGACGAGGATCAACTCAAAGTAAGGGAGCATCAGCGTTACAAACCTCCAATGCAGGTTTAGTACCATCTTCTGATCATGAGCATGGTGCTATTTCGGCTAATGAAGCAGAAAGCGGAAATGAAAGAAGAGGATCAGGACCTAATGCAGGTGCAGACCCTAAACAACCTGCCACGCCGGCGAAGAAGAAGAAAGAGAATTGTTTCAAGATTATTACGCCCAAACGTGTGTACATCGTTTGTGCTCCAACAGAAGAAGAGGAATTGAAATGGTTAAGTGCACTACAGGCATTACTGACTCATTTTCATGAGAAGGATAAGAGTTCTGCTCCTGCTTCTACAAATGCCAATGAAGGTTCACAAGAAAGACAAGAGCAACAAGTCACTTCGCCAATACAGCCCGGATCACCTGCGCAAACACCTGTTGCTTTGAATCGATTGAATGCACCTTCAATTTCCCTTTCTAAACCTATCCGTCAAGGAAGTCAAGATGATACCCGTGCAACAGCACAAGAAGGTCTAAAAGCCACTTGATCTGATCTTCTATACTTGATAGATTTGATGTATAAAATGAAATTGTGCTTCTTTGTACTTAGTCTGAAAGTTCCTTGATTCACTTGGATTGCAGAGCTTGAACGAAGCTTTTTGAGCATACAGTGAATTTAAAGCCTGCTCCGTGTAAAATTTCTTCAACATTCTTCCTGCCATACCCTTTTATGCCTTTGTTTTCTTGAATGAATAGCTTGCTTAGCTGATTAGCTGAAAGCGTTCTGTTCTTCTTAGCAAGCTTGATAAGAGCTCTATCGGATCGAGCTGTCCTTTCTAAAGGTCTTCCTGACCGTTCGGCTGGGAATATTGAGCCGGTCTTTTGATACGCCCGCCAAACGGACCGAACTCGACTTGGTGTTACACCGAACTTTTTTGCCGCATTCAAATACTTACCATTATCTATGGTCACTTGAGTAATAATTTTTGCCTTTAGATCGATATCTGTTTCAGCACCTCGACCCATTTTTGCTCGATTTGGTGATCGAAACCAGGTTTGAAGTATGATGGAGAGGAGCGTGTTGGGAAACGCGTAAATGACTGGTGCTTTCCTCGCGGCACCAGTGCTGCAATACGCGTTATTGTTTATTGAGTGAAAAGTGTTGCTCTTTGTGTTGTTCTTCTTCTTTTTTTTGCTCTTCTGCTCTTTTCTGATCATCATCTCCAAAGATGGACTTTACCGATGCTTTTCCCATTGCCAAAGTGGCACCACATTCAGCATACCAATACTCTCCTGGTTCAACCTTCCTGGCTACCATAGAACACATTTCGCAAGATGAATTGGATGTCAGTATATTGGGACAGCATCCATCAAGTAGCAGCGATGCTAGCACCATCGGTCCAAGCAGGCTAGCTTCATCTTCTTCTCAAAATCGATACAGAAACGGTAGCAAAATGTTAGAATCCTTGGGCACTATCCTACAAATTCGAGTCAGTACCACTCTGCAAGTTGTTCGTGCTTGGACCCTACCTTTTGCTGTTCAATGCGTCAGATGGTCTCCTGATGGATCGATGATTATGCTTTTGGGAAAGAACCGCATTCGCATAATGGCTGTTGATCCACGTACAGCAGCGCACTTCTATTCAGGTGATCAGACTATAGATGGAAATATGGGTCCTGATGCAATCTTTAGCGTTGAGGCTGGAGCGGAAGGATTGATTGGAGGTCAATGGATCAATAACGCAACGATTTGTGGATTCACTTCTGATCATTTACAAGCTATGCTTTATGATATTGAAACGGGATCAGTAGCAGTGATCAAAAATACAAAGTCCAACAAAGCTTTCATCAGTCCAAGTCATTCTTACATCGCCTTCTTAACAAAGCAAGATGGAAATGATTTCGTGACAATCTTGAAATCTTGCAAGAACGTACATGAGGATACGTCTGAATGGCGTGTCATGCAAGAGTTCTCAGCCAAGACTAGTGACTCTTCCGGTATATGCTGGTCACCAGATGAACGGTACTTAGCCGTTTGGGAGGGAATGTTGGAGTACAAGATACAGATTTTTTCACTCTTTGGTCATCTACAAGCTACATACGCGATCGAGGCAGACATCCCGACAACAATGCTACCGTCAGCTTTGCCAACTAATGCAGGCTCGCTCATGTCCCATTCAGCTGCAGGATTAGGGATTCGAGAACTACGTTGGAGTCCAAGCGGCAATTTCATCGTCGCTGGAGATTATTACGATCGCATTCGATTGGTAGAAACGCGGGAATGGAGTGAATGTATCTCGTTCGATCTTTCGTCCATCGCATCTTCAAGAGCACAAACGGATTCTGCCCTAGGCTGGAAAGAACCAAGCGAATGGGAATCTAATGCCAGTGATCGAACGATTCAATCTTTCGACCCTTTTGGGTTGCCTTCCGTTCTTCCGTCAACGCAAGGAGAATTGAATAGGCTAAATCCTAAAGCTGGTATATCGTGGTTGGAATTCAATGGCAGCGGAGATATGCTGGCCGTAAGAAGCGATAATCTCGCAAACACGCTTTTCGTGTTTGCAATTCCATCATCTTCATTCGACGGACCACCTTCCCTTCTAGCGGTGATCAATCTTTCTTGCCCAATCTCACAGGCTTTGTGGCGTCCAAGTAAAACCAAAAGTGAGGGTACAGAATTCCATACTGATGAGTTATCGTTCATGTCTCAAACAAACGCCATTCACACCTGGAGAAGGACACGATCAGAAGCGGAAGACCTGCAAATTGTTGAAGCAATTCCTATTCCGATTGACGCTTTTGCTGCCAAGCACGCATCCTTTTCACCCGACGGACGTACATTGACCATCACTTCTGATGACAATACGTTCTGTTGTGCAATGGACGCAGTGCAATCTAATTCACACTCGGATTATTCACAAAGTCATCTTTGAGACATTTCTGTACTATACATAATCATTCTTGGACACCTCTGCTGACAATACGATGTACTTCTACAATAAGCCTAGTCTTCATCATCACTATCTACGATACGACGACGACGAGCGCTAGCACCAGCAGCATCTGCTGTCGAGGTGGCTTCTGTTTCGGCTCCTGCCGGTGCATCCGTACTGGCTGGTGCTGCTCCATTGCTGGCCTTGTTTGCTAATCTTAGTGCTTCTTGTTTTTCCATCTCTGCTTCCATTCTGTCCATTTCATCTGGTTCATCAACCTCCATCTCACCTTCACCGTCTCCTTCGTCGTCTTCGCCTTCAGCATCCTCTTCGTCCTCATCATCAACGACGAATCCATCATCGTCATCGATTACTGCACCTTCTACATCATCCACAGCATCTAAATCAGCATCCAATGCTGCTTGAGAGGCCGTAGCGCCAGCTCTTGCCGCACCAGGAGCACCATGCTTTCGTACTGCACGTCCCGCACTTGCCCAAAATGCATCATCATCCTCTTCATCTGCACCTCCTTTGGCTGCACGAATTCTACGCTGTTCACGCAATCTAGCTTGTCGTTTGAACTTTTCTTCCTTTTCTGCACGTATTTTAACCAATTCTGGATCTTCTTTCGTTACAGTTTCTTTGACCAGCGTTCCTCTTTGTTGACGAACGGCTTTTGCTAACCTTTGATGAGATTCAGATGAGATTGACGTTGGTCTGAATGTCATACTACCCATAATTGGTGCTTCTGCTTGGAACATATTCACCTGATCTTGTCCATCATGTTTAACAAATAAATGTGTGAGATGTTGAACGGGTTGTGGTGGTATGATGGATGCTGAAGGTGCAACAGTTGCCTGTTGCGATTGAGAAGATGATTGCGTTTGAGGTTGCGACGATGTCTTGTTCTGTACTCTCTCGGATGTAGTTGTGATATCGTAAAATTCAGATCCCAGCTGCAAAGAAGAAGTGCCGTCGCTCCATCTCACCACACGAGCGTTTGATTCGGGTTTACGAACGCCATTTGAGTCACGTTTATTGGACCATCTCCATCGAATCGTGTTACTGGTCGTCAACAAGCTTCGCAATCCTTCATCATCGATCCTGATACCTTCTCTGTTTTGTAGCATTTCATCTTCCAATTTTTCATCAAAACTTTCAACATCGAAAGCCTCGGCACGATATTGCAACAGATTAGGCAAACGTGCGTAAAAGTGGGCTGCACCTCTTCTGACAGGTAAAGATGGAAGACTGAAAGATGCTTCTTGCACTTCACGTTGTTCTTCTTCTGCACCTTCTCGATATCCCATCGGTGCTTCAGCTGACATTTCCCGGAATTCTCTTGGATCGACCACGCCTTGTGATGATGCGGTAGGCGATCTTGATCTTTCTCTAGAAACTGCAGCTGGAGAAGAAGAGTCTACTTTCCGCCTCGCCCGACCGGATGGTTTGATTGCATCTTCATCATCGTCATCTGCAGCTTCATCTTTTCCGAACAAATCGTCATCGTTGTCGTCGTTATCACTCTTTTCTGCTTGTTTATCTACTTTTGGTGAGCCTGAAGGTCCTGCCTCATCTCCTTCATCGTCTGACTGTATAATAGCCCGTCTCTTGTTTGTCTTTTTGATTTCATCCTGATCTGCTGTTGAGCCAGGACTTGACATTTTGATTAGAACAATGGTGGATGGATGTGGTGAACATGGCTTGAATTGTTATCCGCGTTTCTTCTCAAAGTGTTACTGTTTTGGCGCGTAGGCACGTGCGTGTATTGCTTGAAGCATTGTGTCCTTCTCGAAGATTGAATTAACACGATCATCATCAGTAACAATGTAGTGGTTCTTTATATCGAATGTGCAGTGACGAATATTGATGGAAACTGAAGAATGCTACGAAGGCTACCGAAGACTATCAGTCAAGCACGAGCGGCATGTTTTCCAAATTTGAGTAGGCGATACTTCCATGATACTGTTAGCCGTACCGGGATGAACGTACACGTTTTAGGTGCCGGCTCTTCAGGATGCTTATTGGCCTACCATCTTCAACGTGCACGAGAAAGTCTGCCAAACTATTCATACGAAAAGCTTAATTTGCAACTAAGGACACCACCAAGTGACGGACAAAGAACAGCAACTGTTCGCGTCTATAATGATGATGAAACATTGCATGGTGAATGCGAATTGCCATATGAAACGCCTCAAAAACACTCCGAAGATCCGATCGATGTGCTTTTCGTATGTACAAAGGCAGATCAAACAATAAATGCATTGAAGCCTTTGTTACCCCGATTGACTTCCCTGCATCGGTGCGGACCTCCGACGATCGTCCTTACACAAAATGGAATGGGCTTGGATGATGCACTCGTAGAGGAATTTGGTTGGGAGGGAAATGGTGAAAATGTGCCTTTTCTGGTCTCAGGTATCAATAGACATGGCAGCTACTTGTTGAAAAGGTTTGAGACAGTTCACGCTGGACAAGCTTCTATTCCGTTTGCACTTTCTCCAATCACGGAAGCACGGATCGGACAAGATACTGGGATCAAATTGGCAGGCTTAGCTAATCGGCAAGATGGTACGATACATGCTCCCTTTCAAACACTTCAATGGACTTTTGATTTACTATGTACTCCCTATTTGCGTGACAAGTTGGGCTCCAGTGTAGAAAGATTGGCATCCGATCTGCTTATCCTTCAACAACAAAAATTGGTGGTAAATTGCACCGGAAATGCGCTTACGGCAATTCATGATATCCGGAACGATGGTCTTATAAACGATCCAGAGTTACGAAAGTGGGGCGATAAAGTGGTGGAAGAGTGTGCTTACATTATTGGCGCTCGATTTAAATCGAAAATTGAATCGGAGAACAAATCGGAAATTGACGTACCAAAAGAACTTTCACTAGATTCTCTAAAAAAGCAAGCTTGGCATACAATCGAAATAAATGGCAAAAATTGGAGTAGTATGGTACAGGATATGCGTAGCAAAAGAGGCGCAACAGAGATTGATTTTATCAATGGAACGATCGTTCGCTGGGCGTACGAACTTGGCTTACAAGCTCCGATCAATGAAGAATTGGTGAGGTTGGTAAAGCAAAAGACGGAAGCACAGAAACAGTGATGACTTGTATGTATTTTTAATTTGGCGTAAATCCAATCCAATGAACAAATAGGGTGTGCCTGCATTTAGTCGGAGTAACAAACCGAGCCTTGGCCATTGGACGGAACATTTGCGTCCATTGGTGTCATGCGGCTAGAGTGTATAGAAGTAGACATATCCTGTATGTTGCCGCACTTCACGCCAAGTTTCCGCTCATATCGGATGGGAATGATTGTAAGCGAAAGCCAGTAGATGTGTGCAATCTTTTCTCACCGAACAAACAGTTACACTACCATCCTCCTGCTTCATTTAATCATTCGCTTACCCATCGATCACTTTTGAATTTACCACCCATCAAAAGCACAACGCATTCTAAAGGGTGAGCTTTTCATCAGCAACAATTCTTACAACTCAACAAATTTCTACTTTACAGTATCACTCTCAAACAGTACCATAATTATTCGTCACATATCAATTTATCATCCACCGTCTGATCGCCCGCGATGGTGTCTTCGCTCAACGATAATAACAACAATGCAATGCAAAAGGGCTTAAAGGTCAAAGACAGGGATCGCAAGACTCGTTCGTTCATGCAACGCTTAGGGCTGGGTCCATCCAACTCAAAGCAACAACAACCACCTTTTCCGCCACCAATTCCAAGTCATGCTCAGAATGCAATGCACAATAATAACATCGCTTTCAATCCAAATCAAACAAGACCTGTACTTTCTTCCCCTCGATTATTGGCAGCTTTTGGTCATAATCAAGGTATAGGTGCGCCAGGTCAACATCCCTCCAATTATCCTTTACACATGGTCAGTGCTTTGGAAAGAGCAGGTGTGCCTTTGCCTGCTTCTGATTTGGTGAGAAGAAGCTTTGAGATTCCTACACCAAATGAAGGATCAACATGTGTGGATGATAGAGTGCCAAAGATTCGTTTGAATTTGTCGGATGTATGCAGTCCTTTGGATTTCATTCCTGAGCCTGAACCGATGCCGGAGATGGCTGTAAGGGAGCAATCACCTGTCATGCCACAAGCCGTACACAAATTCATAGTGGACCCAATGCCTGCTGCAATCGATGGCCCTCCAAAACAGACGCATATAGCATCTTCACGGAGACCTCGCAGACAAAGAGACTCAATACGCAAGAAACGGATGAGCAAGTTTTCCATTTCTACTGATAGTACGGTGTCAAGTAGTGAGTTCAGCCTTTCCGTCGCTCTTGCTCCTCCTGATTGCAACAATGGTGTCAATTCAGTACACAACGGTCAGAATCTAGTATCAGCATACGCGGTCGCACATGCACATGCATCCGCTCTTGGCTCTCCACTGGCAATCTCAACAGCATCCTTATCCGTGAGAGGTAGTGGGATGTTACGGAGAGCGATTTCGACTGGCGATTTAGAGTTTGATCATGAAGAAACACCAACGGAGCATGAAAGAGACGGAGAGGGACGCAATTCACACGTGCTAGCAACATCACGATCCACTCATTTCGCATTGGATGGCGATCTACGATTCGATGATGTTCTTTTGCATACTCCTGTCTCTCGGACGAAAACAATGGATGACCGAAAACGCCATGATGTCAATCTGACAGGTGAAACTTCGGAGATAGATGCTTCATTGAATAAACGTACGAGTCTTAAAGATTGTCATTGTTCAAGCCATGAAATGCAATGCAAAGATGAAGATCACAATGACCATCAGATGATTTTTGCAGAAGATCAAAATTTGACACCAAACAATGCCGATCAAAATCAATCTCCGTCAATAGATGCAGGTACGCAAGCAACAAACAATGGCTCACATGGGACAGCAGGAAGAAGGAAGAGAATCAAATCAGTTGTAAACATGGCAGTAGCAGCAGCCATTGCTTCTCAACAACAATATGACCATCATGTGATTGATGTTTGTCGAACGCCTCAAACGCCACGAAGAAGCACGATTCAGCCCAGACCACAAGAAGCAAAGAAGCGCTATCAAGGCAGTCCACCACCTAAATGCGAAGAGATTGTCAGTCCAATTGAAGCAGTTCCCTCTACGCCTATACAATATCGAGTTGAGCCGCGTCGTTCAGCAGATTCGATTGGTCTTCGGTCATTGAACATCCTTAGTCCAAAATGTGAAACCGAAATGAAACAAACAAAACAACAATGCGCCCGCACCCGAATGACAAATACAACAACACAGCCACCAAGCCTTTCGACTGTAAAAGAAGACGCGTCAAATTGTCATCAAGCATTTGCCGACAAGACACCAAATCGTGCACATTGGCAGTATGCAAAAACAAATTGGCGGACCTCTATGCCGGTACAGAGTGACCAAAGTTCGAATTCGGCAGCGAAAACGGAAAAAAAGTCAGACAAGCAAGACACAACAAACAAAGCAGAATGGCCAAAAATAAACAATTATCCTTCTCAGGCTGGAGAAAAAGAAGAAGCTATATTTCCGGCTGCAAAGTCTCTCAAAAAGGATGAATTGGCCAAACATTCGAATGAATTAAAGTCCCGTTCAGAGCTTCGTTCGATTCAAAGTTCAAATGATGTGAATCTTAAAGAAGGTGATTCATCACTGCAGGCAAGTCAAAGCGCGCAGGAAGATGGAATTCAATGGCAATTTGTCAACGGGATGGAAAAAGCAACATTTGCTGCAAAAGAAGGTAAAGATCAAAATGAAGACAGTGGTCATGCATCTAGAAACGCACAAAGAGAACGAATGAGAAGATCTTATTGCAGACACAGGAGTACCGAAGAAGCTGAAAGGAGAAGGTCCGTTTATTCTGCTTTTGAGCCAAGAGCAATTAACGATGCAGGTCAAAAGGAATCATCTCACGTTAGCGTAAATGATTTCGCTCTAGACTCAGCTGCAAGTAAACAAACAAACAAACAAATAATCAGCCACAAAATCCTTAATCAAAGCAGGGAAGGATGCACTGCAAATTGTTTGAACGCGGAAAACTCTTGCCGTACGAATGCTTTGATGCAGAAAGATGCACAAGACCACTCTTCAACACAAATTCAGGCTTACCGTCGGGTTTCCCATGCTTCTCGGGAAGGAAGCACTATTTCTCAATTAGTTAACAGCCCGGCTTCCCGGGAGAATTCATATGCAACCTTTGCACCAAATGCAAAACAAATATTGACAGACCAAAAGCCAGAACAAACAAATCTGAGACAGAAGAGATCCCAACTGGAAGAAAGTTCTGTTTTTGACAACAAAAAGGTGCATGAAGAAGGCCTGGAAGAATCAGAAACATTGCAGGGTGATGTAAGATTCAAGCAAGAAGATCAACACTATCGCCGACAAAATAGCGAAAGACCGTGCGTTCAAAGGCAGGATGTCGGAGGAAATTCTACCAAGGATCTGGACAAAGGAATTCACAATTTCGACAAGCAATTTACCCAAATTAAGGCACAGAATGAGTTAAGCACAGCTATCAGTGGAAATGGTTTATTTTCTTCTCGCAGTGAAATTCATCGTTGGGCATTGAATCAGATTGGGAATGACAAGAATATGCATGATTCAAGCCTGTTATTCGGCCAGAAAGCGAGACATGAGCTTGGCATAGGCGGTACCGATAAGCCAGGCTGGACAAAAGCTGAAAGAGGTATGGGAAAATCATTTGGCTCAGAATCTGACCTTGCATCGGTGTTCGATGAAAGAGTGAATCGATCCAACGGATGTTTCAACGAGATCAAATATAAGGACAAACGTACTTTTGCATATCCCCAGAATTCATCCTTTCCACCACAATCTTTCCGATCGAGAACACGATCATACACGTTATCTTCTCTTTACCAAAGTGTTGGAGATTCGAAACCATCAGTCTCATCCGTACTCAACCGACAATCAGTCTCTTCAGTCGCACCAACCCTGGTCACCGCACTTGCATCTTTGCCTAGCGATCGTTTCTTGGATTTTGAAAACGATCTATCGACAAACGTGAATCTTTCTTCCTGGTCTTTGAGCAGCTCTGCAGAAAATTTCGAGATTCCAGGTTCATTTGACAAGCCAAAAAGCAGCCCAAGAAAGAGAGAAAAAATGGCACCTCTACAAAGATCAAAGTCACTTCAGTCGCTTGTCCGAAGACGTGAGAAGAAACAAGCTTCATCGCCTTTACGATCATCGGAAAGCTCAGTTTCGGACACGTTCAAGAGTGCATGCAGTGAGAATGTGATGCAACAACAAAAGCTATCAAGTGGCTCCCGCACCGCTTCAGCAAATTCGCAGGAAGAGGCTCATTCAGAAGAAGACAACGTCACATCTCCACGATTGCTCATGATGCAAAAACAAAAAGCTCAATTACGCGCTTCTCACCTTATTGACAATCCAAGCACATCTGGTCAAACGCAAGAGCAGGCTTCTTCACGGCAAACTTCATTCTTTGATCAAATTAATACTGAACATGAAGAGGAAGAAGAAAATTTCAGAGAAGCTCACCGCGTTCATCGAAGATGCTCAAGCGACATCACATCTCATAATGCACTACTCAAAGGTTTGGGTTTGCGCTCTGATTCTGTAAAGGCAGAGCAATCCGTTTTACCTCCTGCCAGACCTGCGCGTAGATCCAATCACGTCAGTAGATCTTCTGAAACGTTCTTGAACGATTTGGGATGTTGGATGGAGGAAACAGAAGAATTAAAGACGGACGTATTGAACGATCGAAAAGCAATCGTTGAAGAAATTGCAAGTTGTGCTTCATTAAGCGGTGAACAATTTGAAACTGCCATGGAGGAAAGCTCTGCCAGAGTCAATCCAAAACGCAGAAGTGCAGCGCCTCCCGTTCCACCACGTCGCCGGGTCAAGAACCGTGACCTGGCGGATTTGGACGGCATTCCAGCTTCTGGTAAGGTTGTTTCTCCTGCTGCAAGTGGCTCTTCCGATTCATGGAGCAGGCTCAGCAAGGTGCCGATGTACGTTCGATTGGGTCATTTGCCCAATAGACTCATCGATGCACCTTCAACGATGTCTTGGAGATCAAGAATCGGACAAGCAGAGTACAACGATTTACTTCAGAAGTTCGACCAACGGGAGATGCACCGTCAAGAAGTGATTGAAGAACTTTACGTCACAGAACACAATTTCATCGTTCAAGTAACGAGCATCTTGCGTACATTCAGCGAGCCTCTTCGTTTCTCTGATTATGCTTTCCATGACAGTGTTCCCGTTGAAGTTGCACGTCTGTTCCATGATTTGGACGTCATCTTGGCCGTTCACGTCAGAATGTTCAAAGCGTTGGATGCCAATATCAAAGCACACCCTTCTTCACTTGTTGTTTCCTTGGCAGATGCTATCAAGCCAATGATTGATAGCCTTGCTGCTTACCAATCTTACTTGATCCGATACGATTCGGTCATCAAACTTTTGGAATCTTTGTCGATCTCAAGCGATAAAGGCAGTCTTTCTTGGTTTGCTGAAACGATGGACAAACAAGCAAGCTTGGATGAATGCAAAGGATTGGGTTTCGGAAGCTTTTTGTTAAAGCCAGTTCAACGTTTGATGAAGTACCCTCTTTTCTTCAAACAATTGGACGAATTGATGGATGAAGCACACCCGGACAAGAATGCAACTACATCCCTCTACCGTGCAACAGAGCGTTTGATCGGAAACATGAACGCTGTCAAGGCGCGTGAAGAAGATTTCGAGCTCATCACTTCTTTGGAACAACGCATTTCAGGATTACCTGAAGGTATGTTCTTGGCAAACAGACAACGCAAGTTGATCAAGCAAGGAGAGATCCGTTGCGTTCGCTTGACAGAGATGGAAAGATTGACTCTGTTGGAGAGATCCAAATGGGACTCACCAAGTCTTAATGGTCAAAGCCCATTGTTGAGCTGCTTCGATAGCGCCCATCATTCAAGCTTGCGAAGATTGAGCTTGCTAGGATCTTCGCCTGGCAGTTCTCCCGCTTTGTTGGAGAATGAACCTGGATTCGAATCTGGCAGTGCTTCTGGCTGCTCGACTTCTTCCGTCTCAGCTTCAACGCCTTCTGCTGGCTCCAATGTTACAATCTCAAGCACAATGACTTCTCCTGCCTTGTCAAGCACGTACTTTGACTTCAAAGTTTCAGATGAGGCAACTGACAAAGATGCAGCAGAACATCAAACGAACTCTCAAGCGCCCAAACGCAAATCAGTTGCAGGATTCTTGCTCCGTGGCAACAACTCCAGCCAAACACCACCTCTTCCTTCCCTTGATACCGGCAACAAGGGCGTCAACAGAGTCCACGAGGAAGAAGAGCTTTACGTGTTTGTCTTTGATGACATTTGTGTATTGACAAAGCGCGATGCACGTTCATTGAAGGTGAAGAAGAAAGGCAACGCACCAACAACACAAACCAAACGTGGTCCAAACAACGCAAAGGAAGATTTGGACACATACACTGCCTTGGGCTATATTGGTATGTCAAAGATTTTGGCTGTACAACAATGGAAGAATGCGCTCATGGGTCACAGTGACGTTCTGGAAGTGGAAGTGATGCCGATCAAAACTGAAGTTGGATCCAAGAATGGATTGACGGGTACGATTACCTTTTACTTCGAATTTGATTCTGCTACAAATCAAGGCAGCCAATGGCATCAATCTTTCGAACGTTCATTCTGCACAAGTATTCAAGCACGCAAAGAACGCTCGACAGCAGCAAACAACTCTACCAAAGAGATGGACAAGAAGATTGCTGCTCAATTGGAATGGCGCAGACGTGAGAAGCACATTGCTGAAGTTGTTATCAATGCTGCTCTTGCAGTGGACAGAGTCAATCTTGCCGCTCTTCTTCAAGCTGGTCTTCCTTTCCCACGCTCTCCATCTCAACAAAATCTCGCCGATGTTGCTTTCCGTACAGCTGCAAAAGTTGAATCTTGCGGTTTGGATGTAGGAAAGAAGAAGGAAGCTTTCATTGACCGTCAACGTGCAACCTCAAGCGGTCAAACTTTCTCGACATCCCCTACTTCGCCTAATCCTTCTCGTCCTTCTTTGTCCAAATTGCGACATGCAAACTCCAATCCTAGCCTACGTCAAGCAGCACAAGCAGCTGCTATTTCTGCTTCTCGTCAGATTGACATTGAAAGCATTCCACGTATTGGGGACATGAATGCAATGTGTGGAGGCGCAGGAATGGGAGCTATTGTCTCATGGGAACAAGATCGACAAGAAGAACGCAAATGGTGGAGATTACGTTTGCGTGATGTGGAAAAGGAGATCGAAAGACAAGAAGAAGTTGACAAGATGGTTGAATTGCGTAGATCTCGTGCTTCTATGCCTTCGCCTTCTTTGCATCCTTCAAACATGACTGCATTTGATCAATCAGTCTTTTCGCCAAACCGATCTGCCAACACACTGACCAACACTCTTTCTGGCTTTGAAAAAACAAATGAAAATGTCACGATGGATGCTTTTCATTTTGCCACACCCAGTCCAGCTCGTACTGTTCGTACAAACAAGGTTCGCAAAGGATTGCCAATTTTGAAAATTAACTAAAGTTCCTCTTATACATTATTTATCTTCATTCTCAATACCCTTCAAACAGAAAATCTTCTTTTCTCTGTTTGGACGCACATTTATCTAGCATATCTCTTTACTGTACAATTATACCCTCATTCTGTAATCGACTACATTTATTAATTGAATCAACTGCTGTACATGATGACTATCGTACAAAGTGTGTGTGTGTAATTTTACATGATGGCTGCAAGAGCATGTTTGTGACTAATTAGATATGAGCGGCTCGTGAATCTGATAAAATCTTGAAACGCTTGTTGCGCCAAGTGACTTTGTTATCACACAAGGCCACGAACCAGATTGGTAAAGCCAACAACTCTCTTGCAAGCCATGCCAATCTGAATTTCAAAACGGTTTCTGGTTTATCGAAATCGACCAATTGAGCAGGATTGGAGGAATTTGAGACGGATGTCGAAGAGACAGAAGATGTGATGGATGGCTTGCGACCTGCGATCTGAATACTTGCTAAAACGGCAAAGTCAATCATGTGCCAAAGTGTCAGGTGAATCAGGAAAAAGGCAAGTCCAAGCAAATATCGACCCTTGTTAAAACCTGGAATGCCAGTTTGCGTAATTCCAAGCCATGGCAACCAAACGTGAAACAGTGCTGTAGTTGCAATTGCACCGCAAACAATTGATTCGGTAAAAGGTTCGAGGTATGTCGCTGTGGGAACCATGTGTCTCCTTACTCTTATCCAACGTACTCGCCTATTCCAATAATCACCAAGGCTTTTCACTTCACCAACCGATGTTCTAGCAACATCATGAGCGGCCAAAGTGTGTGCTAGGTTCAATGGTGGTTTCCAAAGAGAGGTTGCTAGCATGTTGTCTTCGGCCAAGTAAATAGAGAAGCGTGCCAGCGGTCTTGCTGCTCCTGCCGAAACATTTACTTTATCTTCGCTATCAGAAGTAGACTCATTCCATCCAAATTCGCTTGCTCGTTCTGCAGAAGAGAAAGCAATACTCCCAATAGCACCACGTTCTCCTCGCGTGCCTTCTGCACCAACGTTGAAGAAAGAATCTGGCACATTTGCCAAGTCACTCTTTCTGTACAAGTTTGATTTACCCATCACGCAACTATCCACACTAAGAGCGTTGATTGCAAGGTACATCTTTGCATGATTTGTACTCAAGAAGATTGCTTCTATGTGCGATCCCATCGAAGTTGAATGAGGTGTGACACCTAATGGCACATGGTGCACCAAGCCAACTCGAGCATTCTCTCCTCCATGTGGTAATCTGTTCATCCATCTAGGCGCAGGTTGACGAGGTTTATCTTGCAAAGCAGCCACTGCACGGGCTAATGCATCAGGAGACATTTGAACTTGAGCATCCAATGTCCATATGATATCAAACTGAGCGCTTGCATACGGCTTGACCAAATTGCAAATCTTTGGATTCACGCCGGCTGGTTCATCTCCAATGATGATTCTTGATTGAACGTCTGGATAACGAGCACAAATTCGCTTTGCAACGGGTAATGCTTGATCATTCTCATCACGAACCGAAAGGATGATCTCGAATAAATCACGAGGATATTTTTGTTCAAATGCAGATGCGAGATTCGAAGCAAGATTATGATCCAATCCCGCCAAAGGTCTCAAAATGCTCACGCCCGATTGAAATCTTCGCTCTTCTTCTTCTTGTGGATTTCTGGAAGTGTCTGGTGATGAAGGTGGTGAGATTGGAGGTGAAGAGTACGCATTTCGTAAAGGCAAAACGGGCAATTGATTAATACTTTGCTTACTTGCTGGCTTTCCAAATAATGTCCGTGCTTGACGTAATCCTAAAAGAGAAATTGACCAAATTGCAATGTAATACACCAATGCAATAAAGCCAAGCAAGGATGCCACGCTGGAAGGTCCAGGCATCCCTTCCTCCGGTGAGGTCGTCATGCCTTCCATGACCTTTTTACCCTTTCGATGATGGTGGGTTATAGGACAGCTCCTTACGTTTGGAAAGAGGGATCTTCTTTTCCGGACACCCGTTTTTTTTGCGTTTTGACGCGGTGTTGTTCTTGAACGGGCTCCCCATTAGATCAATTGAACGGGAGAGAATTCGGGGGGACAAAAAATACGCGCTGCATATGCTGTAACAAAATATGGAATTAATGGCTGGCAGAACATATGATACAAAAAGTCTATGATAAACAGAATGAAAAGTGGTATCCTGGGTAGAATTATGCATTATCCATCCATCTTTGTATCATTTGCTGATTGGGAAGTTTCATTGTTTCCCTTTTCTGCATCTAATCTCCATTGCTTGCTTTCTTCTGAGTAATCTTCCACTTTAATATCGTTCAATCCTAAATCTTCATTTTGATCCCATGTACGTTCGTATTCTACTTCTTCAATTTGTTCATCCTTGTCGGGAGCATACGGATTTTGAATGTAACTGTCGGCCAAAGGATCATCTAGGATGACGGTATATGGGCATAATTGTGCACTCATTACACCTTTTAGCTTGCCCAAGAAGCCTTCCAAATTCTCCTTTTGAATGGAAGAATCACCACGCATTAGAACACGTTCGGACAATTCGTCATACACCTGTTGCAAAAGACCTTCTAAAGTGGTGAAACGACCTCCCAAGGTTCCTGGCGCAAGATGTAAATCAATATCTGGAATGCTCAAACCAGCAGATTCAGATTTGAGAATGTCTCTTGACAAATCTTCGGCATCCTCAACCCGAAGTGTGAGCTTTCTACCTTTTGGTGGAATTGCTGAACCGCTCTTCACTTCGTTGTCCCGATATCCACATGAGTCGCAATTTGTTGACATGATCAAGATATCCTTAAAGTAAGGGATGTTGACTTTCTTCATATTCGTTTCCAAAGGAGCAGAGCAACTACTGCAAGTACCAGGGAATGTGAACACTTCTTCATTGTCGAATTCAGTCTCCCCTGCATCTCTGTTAAATCCGCCACCAAGACCCGTTGCATCGATTGCATCTGCTTTGCTTGCCATAGGAACAGCTTCGCCATCTTGTCCTTTGCTTCTCTTTTGCTCGCGTGATTCTGCCTTTGAGTCAGTACTGCCTCCCTTTTGAGGTCCAGTTCCTGCTTCTCTAGTGTCTTTGTCTGCTTGTGGCTCCTCTTGATTGATACCCAGTCCCAAAGCTGTATTCTGCTCTTTCGTTCTTGGGTAATCACGCTTACTCCATTTGACATCACTCATTCCCTTTCCTTCGATCGAGCCTGTAAATTCGACAAAGCTGTTACCCGTAGGATCATCGATCTTGAAAGTGAGAGATGGGAATTGTCGTGATTCGTCATCTTTGTCTGCAGTCTTTCGCGAGTTGCCCACAGGTCCTTTTGAACTTAGACCTTCTTGTGCTTGGTTGTCAGCTGAGCTTGGCTCTTCACCTTCTTCTTCTTTCTCTTCTCCCACGACAATACGCAGCCTAGAACAAATTTGTTCGATCTTTTCGTATACTTCAGGTTGCATGTGCTTTCGCAAGGGTTGATCCATCTCTAGGTCACGTAAGGTGTCGCTCAAGATACCTTCGATAGTTGTCAATTGACCGCGTTTGTTCGGGATGGTCAATTGGATCTCAGGAACAGTAATCGTTGCATGTTCGCTTTTGACGACCTGTCTATTGAGATCAGAAACTGCTGTAACATGAATTGTATAAATGCATCCTTTTGGTTGAATCATTCCAGCAGATTGGATCTCGTTGTTCCTGTTTCCGCAATGTTCACAATAGAAAGAAGCGATAATTACTTCACGAAAGTATGGAATGAATGTTAGAAGCAGTCTTGTTGATCCCATCTTACCGCATTCCATACATAGTGATTCAATCTCTTGAACTGGTTGATCTTGATCTTGTTGTCCTTCAACTTCAGAGCCTGCAGTTGGCGTTGCCATTTGTTCTTCCCCTGCATTATTTGCCACCTGTTCTCCGATCGGCTTGAAGAATGGATCGTTTGAATTGTTTGCTGACATTTTGATCTATATTTGTTGAGGATGGATGATGGAAGAGAGAATGGTTATCAGTAGGTATTCTTGTTCTTAAGTCACTCTCAATTTCTTAGGGATGAACCTCCACGCCACGAGAAGCTTCTAAAAATTTATTATTCAGCACGTGTGCACGCTAAGTCGCTAACTGTCGTGTGCGTATTGCTTACATAATCTCGAGCTGGAGACGAAGGATGTCTTACGACTTGGACATTGGATGCTGGGACATTTTTCTAAGAGTATGAGAAAATGCAAGCTAGCAAGATTAATTACATCGACTTGCTCATCACCATCCAATGTCTAATTAAGAACCGAGTAAGCCACTACTATACATTTTATCGGTATTCGGGGAAGTAGTAGTTGAAATGCGGAAAACGGGGTAGGAATCGCTTAAATTGTCGCTTCATTTTTGAGAGATATATAAATTGTATAGCACAAAACAGGTGTGATACGAAGTGCGCTGCCAGACAGTGCAAGGTTTACCCGACCCGGCACTTGGCTCGAAGCATGTGGGGGGATCCGAACGCGCGAGGAGGATACAAATCTTAATATACATTGCGTGCGAGTAAGAAGTGTCTGCAATACGGCAACAGAAAATCAAGATTACTCTCGAGAAGCTTTGCTTCTTCCCCGCATTCTAGAAAAAAAGGGAAAGCATTGCCGTGATTACGATTGAGGTCCGTGTAAATGCCAATTAAATTGAATATAATTAATCATCTCCATGGATCTTGATCGATTGCTTAGCATGCTTTGGCCTTCTCATGATCTTTCAACATTTCTCCACCTTTACCTTTCAGCATGAATGATTGAATCATTCCATGTATCAAGGCACCGATTGCATTTTGTGGCCGTTTTCCGTTCTTAGAAGAGTCGCGCTTATATCACGTTACTTATCACGCGGTTCTCAAATCGATTCCACTAAAATAATGTTATTGCCGCTTCTAAAACCAATAAAAAGTATACTCGTATAGTCCACAAACACGTTCACTTTAGTCTTGATGAATCACACCTATTTCTCCACTCATTCTTTATACTTCAACGAAGCACCAATGTGTGAAAGAGTCTCGATACATCTGTAAGGATATAAATAGATAGAAGTCATTCATCATCCATCATCCCCTCATCGATCCACCCCGCCTTCATAATGCCTCACACATATTGGAACAACATAGTGTCCACCCCGGGATCTTCGGCTGGCATGGGTCAATCAAACCAAATCGTTGATCATGCATCAAATCTTCTACAAGCAACAATCGATCGATTTGGCTTGATCTTGCCTTCAGCTGTTTTGGCTCTTTTGATCTTAGGATTCATCTATCATGATCGTCTCGTTTTCTCTCCTGGCAAACGATCAGGTATTTATGATATTCCAGGTGGGCTACCTTTAATAGGTCATACACATCAAATCATGAAATTTGGCACAACGAATCAATTTCACAGATTTCAAGAATTAGCACTCATGTCACCCACACAATGTTATAGGCTAACGTTTGCAGGTGTAGGTTCGATGATCATGATCAATCGTCCAGAATACATTGAATACGTTCAAAAGACAAACTTTGAAAATTATCCAAAGGGTTTTCAATTTCGTGATAAATTGGGCGATCTTTTAGGACATGATGGTATCTTTGTGGCAGATGGCGATGTTTGGAAAACGCAAAGAAAGATGGCAAGTCATATGTTTAGTGCAAACCAATTCAATAATTGGGTAAGAGTTGTTGTGCATAACGAACTAAACACGATCGATACAATTTTGGATAAAGTCGCTTCGCAAAAACGTTTTTCTATTCAAGGTTTAGATGGCACAACTTCTGGAATGAGTGATGCAAAAGGTGGAATGGTGAATATGACAGAGCTCTTTTTCCGATACACCTTATCAAGTTTTGCAAAGATGGCATTCGGATCGGACTTAGGATGTCTAACCGAAGATCCTGCTTCGTTAGAAAATCCACATCCATTCGCAGTCGCATTCGATTTCAGTCAAGGTGTGATGAACAAAAGATTCGTAAATCCTTTCTGGAGAATCCTCGAAGCAATCACGCCTGAAGGAGCACGCATGCGATCAAGCATCAAATTGATCCGAAACTTCGGAACTGCAATCATCAAACAGCGATTGGTAGAAGCAGGTATCAAGATTGATGGAATCGACTTGAACGAAAAGAGTGAATTCAGTCAAGAGCAGTTGCATAAATCTTCATTGCAAAGTGAAAGCAGTAAAGACTTGTTGGCATTATTCATGGAACAAACACAAGATCCTGAAGCACTTTTAACAGTCGTTCTAAATTTCATGATTGCTGGTCGTGATACTACCGCACAAACACTCTCATGGCTATTGTACGAACTTTGCGCAAATCCAGAACATGTCAAATTGATTCGTGAAGAAGTTGATCGTGTTCTCGGTCCCGATGCTGCTGAACAACGTGTACGGGTCAATTATACCGATTTCAAAAAGTTCCCTTACACTTTAGCTTGCTTCCATGAGGCAGCTCGCTTACATCCTTCCGTCCCCAAGAATGGTAAAGAGATTTTGCGAGATGATGTGATCGTACCGCAAGGTCCAAACCCTCACAACCTACCACCTATCAAGGTATACGCCAAAGAAAGAGTTGGATGGTCAGACTGGGTGATGAACAGATTACCAGAAGTTTGGGGCGAAGATGCGGATCAATTCAATCCCAAGAGATTCCTCGAAAAGGACGAAAAAGGTGGTTGGTCGTACGTACAACAATCTCAATGGAAATTCCATGTCTTTAATGCTGGACCTAGATTATGCCTTGGTATGAATTTGGCCGGATTTGAAGGAGTTTCTTTCCTTGCTGCCATGTTACAAAAATACGATTTCACTTGGGCATCAAAACAACAAGGTCAAACCAGCGATTGGCCACCAATGTACGCCAATAGCGTTACACATCCGATGAAGGATTCTTATCAATGCATCATCACTCCACGTAATTACAACGAGTGAAAACTTTCTACTGTATTTATTAATGCTTTCTATTTGCCTTGCTTTCTATCGTATCTACATTTTCTGACATAATTTGATTTGGTTATATCAATTGCGTTTGAATTCGGGGCACCTTTGTTTTACCTCAAAAGCGTTTGGGTTCGGGGTATTTTTACTTTACCCCACTTAGCAATTAAATTTTCCGCTCCTCCAACTCCCTCACTTCAATCATGAGGAAGTGCTTGACGCTCTTATACTTTTCTTCGCTTCTCTTGAGCGGCCTTTATCCGCTTTGCTTCGCCGTAAGCACATCGAAGGGTCGAAAAAATGTCAACGCTGACCTGAATAGTATACCAACGGAGTTGGACCAGGGAAGTGCAGATCCGAACATTCAAAGTAGCGCACAAACACTTCATGATGGAGCGATTTTACCGCAGACTAAAGGCAAGAAGGTTAACGTTCCAGACTTGAACTTCCCTGCATGCGATATCCATAGGCCCGACTGTCCTCATTGGTCACATTTAAACAAAACAGAAAGAAAAAGAAACAACCAAAGGTACAATCGGAGCTTGAAGGTAAGAATCAATTGAATGAAAGACAAAGTGTATTATTCGAATTTTCATGTTGACGAAATTGATCGATATTCTAGACAGACGCAGAAAAAGAAGAGATAAGAAAAAGAGAACGTGAATATTATCGCAAGTTACCTCAAGAGAAGAAGAAGTTAATCAGTAAACGAAAGTATCATGATGAACAGAAGCGATTTTCAAAAATGACCACAGAACAACAACAAAAACATTTGAAGCATCGGTCAAAGATAGCGATAAAATCTTACAGTGAGTGTACGGCTCCTTCAACGCAGTAAATTTTGCTGAATCGAAACCGCATTTTCATTTTAATAGGGAAGAAAAAGGCGAATGATCAAGCAGATCAGGAGTGAGACGACAGACAGAGCATAATCTGACCTGTGTACGAGCATGCAAGCTATGCTGACGTTATCCCACAACTTTGAATCTTTTGAAGTGAATAAAGAATTAACACCTGACAATTCCGACGAGGCTTTAAAGCGACCTACTCAAGCGCAAGTTATTAAAGCCGAATACTTCCATACGATTTTCATAAATACATAATCATTGCAAGCAAAAACAACAAGTGAAGCCCCTTCACTATTTTTGTTAATGCTTTCTATATGCCATGCTTGCTATTGTAGCTATATTTCTGACATTACGTGATATGTTCGTGAACATTGCGTGTGAACTCGGGGCTCCTTCAACGTATTTCTGTCTAGAAAGCGAAGCTGAAACTTTTCTCCCTTGAACTGTAATATGAAGAAGAATCCGACTTTCCTAAACTATTTTTGGCTACTCTTATGCGGCTTTTTTCCGCTATGCTTCACTGTGAGGGAGGATATCAACATTGACTTGAACGAACTACCAACTGAGCTCGACCAAAAGACCGCAGAACAAAAGCATCAAAGCAGCACACCAACTATTCAAGAGGGAGGTCCTTTTTCGGATTCACAAAGCAAAAAGACAAGTATCGGTATTCCAGACTTGAATGAACCACAATGCGAGTTTCACAGGCCTGGTTGCATTCATTGGCCAGATTTAAAATATTCAGAAAAGAGGTTGAACACCCAAAGATACAAATGGAGCATAATGGTGAGAATCCGTACAACTGTACGATATGATCTACTAACTAACTTTTCTGCAACATTACAGACAGCAGCAGAAAGAGAATTGAACAGAAAAAAACAACGTGATTATTACCATAACATACCACTGGAAAGAAGAAAGAAAGTGAACAAACGTAAATATCGCGACGAGCAAGATCGATTCTCAAGAATGACTATTGAACAGCAACGAGAATACAGACGGTATAGAGTGAGGATTACACAAAAGTCTCTTGAAAAGCGAAGTGAGTATGGAATAATGAAGTTAGGGAACATGAACTATACTGAACAAAAGCCACCGTATTAACAGGAAAAATCAAGGCAAGTGATGAGCCAAAACAGCATTGAGACCATATGGGCACCACATTCAATGACTTGCGTACAAGCACACTATGCTTGTAAGCTGACGTCATGCTACTGCAGTGTTATCAGCGAAGGTACGGGGCGTAAGTTTTAAGTTTGTTTATGGAAAGAGCTTAGGTAGTTACGTTTCCTCTTTCTTTAAAAGTATCGCCCTTCTTGAGATTCTATCTTCATCAAGTATTGTGCACAAACTTTTCTCTTTCTCGCTTTCATCTTCCGCAAATATGCGGAATGTTTCATTGAACGCTCAAAGTTTTGTGCTCATCTTTTTCGTAATGTCTGTGGGGATATTGTCCTTTGCAAACCGTGTAAAAGCCACTTCAACAGAATCAGCGCCTAGTACAAACGCGCATGTTGGAATGAAGCGAGAACGATCATTTGATTTGAATAAAGAATTGACACCAGAAGATTCTGAAGAAGCATTCACATCACCTGCTCAACTGCAAACTGTCCAAAGTGAAAAGACTAGACGTTACAGAAGGCGTAAACAAGTGCAGTTGTCTTATGCGACTGAAAAAGATAAATGTGACCATGATAGAAGATGTTTGCATTGGAGTACCCTTACGATGAAAGAAAGGAAAGCGGCTTCTGATAGAAAGCGTTATCATTCAAAGGTATGTTTTCTTGCCTGAAAAGAAAACTTTAGAGTATCTTACTGATAACCAAATAATATCTTAGAGCAACGAAGAGATAGATGAAAGAAATAGAAGAAGAAATCTGAAAAACAGTATGCTAACAGAAGAGGAGAAGAGGCGAAAATACGATATAAACAATGCTTATCGCAAAAAGAAAAGGCTCGCAATGACTGATGAAGAACATGCTGAAGCTAGACGAAAAGAGGCAGAACGATCGCAAAGGAGGCGTGATGCAAGAATGTGAGTTTGATGGCATTAAATTAGATTAAATATCTGGAACTTACGTATATGCCCTTCATAGTACGCAAAAGAAAGATGAAAATCAATAGAGATGCAGATGCGAATCGAACGGTATTATAGGAGGAAAAGACGGACATCTAATGAGCTACGGCAAGACTAAGAGCATAAACAAAACACATTTCACATTGCGTATCTATGAGCACGCAATGCCTTTATGCTCACCTTATCCTACTGCATACGGGGCGGGCTTTTGTTGATGACATAGCTTTTGGCAATTGAAACTTCTCAATGATTGCGCAGACATGTACTACGAGATTCATTTTCGGTATTTAAGGTACTCAGGTTTTCTTTTTTCGCTTTCATCATTAGCAAAAATGCGATGCATAATTCGGTATACACGAAACTTTGTACTCATCTTTTCTCTGATGTATACATTGTATTTGTTCTTTGCAAATAACGTCGTAGCAAAACCAACAACTTCAGAGTCTAGCGTTACCCATACCGCTGGGGTGAAACGACAACGCTCATTTGATCTAAACCGAGAAGTAACACCAGAAGACCAGGAAGAAGCGCAAGATGTCAAAGAAGGCGAACTTATCAGTAAAAGACCTCATAAAGAGGGGAAGCAAATTATACTCTCTTATGCGATAGAAAAGGATAAATGTGATCATGGTAGAACATGTTTGCATTGGAATGATCTTTCGTATAAAGAGAGGAAAGCGGCTCATGATAAAAGACGTTATCATTCGCAGGTATGTTTACTACCTCAGATTGTTACGAAACTACGTTGCTGATTGCCATATATATACACCTCAGACCAAAGAAGAGATAGAAGAAAAAAAAAGGGAGAGAATTGTCCCACGAAAACGATTGCTGTCAGAAGAGAAAAAGAGGCGAAAACAAGAAATGAACAATATTTCACGTAAAAAGAGGAGGCTTGCAATGACTGTTGAAGAACGTGCTAAAGAAAGACGAAGAGAAGCGGAAAGATCGCAAAGCAGACGTGATGCAAGAAAGTGAGTTTTATAAGATCAATCTCGATTCGAATGTTTGACACTTACGCATATACACTTTATAGACTTCTTGCATTGACACAAAATACGCAAGCGAAAGGTAAGAATCAATAGGAGAGAGCCAAAAAACTTTGCTATTATCTACACTCTTCTATCATGAGTTCTATATTACACATTTTGCGTGGCCCGAATGGCATAAGCACCCCAAGAAGTGATTGACTGAGGTGCGAATCCAGCACTACGATGAAACGCTACTGCTACAACTTTATGTTGTTCGGCATCCGAGATGATAGGTGTAGGTAACTTTTCGAAATCAAGACAGCCTGCTGAACTTAAAGCATCTTTCTGACATTGAACGAGCATTCCAGCCATTAAGGCAAGACAGACCGTGCCCACACCTTGTTTCTTGACCTTGTCTCCACCGTCTCTTTTCAAACGTCTATATGGTTCAGCAACATGGAGAGACCCTAATGAGAAATCATCGTGTGAGTACGCCCAGCCAGCAGGAGCGCCAGGATAGACCTTCGTTGGATATTCTTGATCTTCCATTTGCATGTGCTCATTGAAGCCTTCTTGATCACGTAAAACGACTGATAGATGACGGCGTCCCTTGGTGTAGAACATTGGATATCTTACATTATTGCTCTTGACCACCATTTCCAGCTCTCCGGGATGATCACCCATGAGACCTACTTTCCATCTTGATGCATCTATGTCATTCTTGAGATGAAGAGCAATATCTTCAGGCATTGTGAAATTAACGCAAGGATTACAGCGCACCATCTTGAAAGAGTGATCGTCGCCAGCTATGTCTTCTTGAATCGACTGCAGTTCTTTCATCCAAATGTGGTTGATAGCATGCAAATCAGACAGCGTGAGAGTGTTATCATCTTCGTACTTTTTGACGTTGCTGTGAGCAGGTAAACTTGATGCAATGTGACTGAATGCTTTTGGTAAATGCTGTTGAAAGATGAATTTTAGTAGATTTCTTTCTTGGACAGAGGCTTGACGTACTTGATCCGGTGTGATTTGTTGTTGAAATGGTATTTCTGTGCTTAGCCAGAAAGTGGTTCGAATAGCATTCCATAAGGAATCACATTGGTTTTTATCATAATCCGACAAGGTCACCCAGCCAGGTGAATAGCTAGGAAATACTGCAACGATTGCCCATACACTTTCTTCGTTTGGGTCATCCTGTAGATGATCTCCCTTTCTAACGCTGGCTGGAACGTCTCCGATTGCTACAATCACAGATCCTTTTCTGTAATCGTGATACGTACGCCATGGATCGTCATCGATTTGCTTATCGGCCAAATCAGGATGTTTCACATATGCTCCGTATTGAGCTAAGAAGTGATTACGAATATGTTGACTGCAAGGGAAGCCAGGATGAAATGATAGATATCTGAGTAATGCTGGGTAGTCAAGTTGATGGTGTGGTACTATTTGTATCTTTTGTTCATCATTCAGTCCCATGATTGATTGATGTTGATTGTCAGGGAGGAAGAAGTTTATTCTCCAATCTAGTCATTCCAATTTCGCGCTAAAATTTTCTCCACTGCATCGGAAATAAGGGTTAGGAGCATCTTAAATCCGCCACAATGGAGAAGATGATTACAACAAAAAAAGAGTATACAACACAGTAAGTGTTTCCTAAATATTGTGTTCTCTCGCTACTTCAGACTTTCATTGTCCTTTTGAGCCTCTGAAGCCAAAATATGATTTTGTTGTTCATCTTCAAGCGCACTGCTTCGGATCTTCCTTGCCAATGCGATTTGAACATTCATTCTCATTGCAATTGAAACAGATTATTCTCTCCTCTACCAACAAGATGATCAGACTAATGCTATATGTTCTAATAGCAACAGCTTTGCATGGCAGTTTAGCTGTAGCTACAGGCTCACAAAAGCAGGAATCAGAAAAGAAAAAGCTATTGAAGCTTGACTTAAACCTCCCTCCGCCAGAAGAAGATACAAATAATCAATCCACAATCCATTCTGACCATGAGAGCACACATCATACAGATCCAAGCGGACAAGACACGAACAGGTCTTCCAAGCCTTCAGCTCAGACGACCGTCTGTATTCATAATCCTGCCTGTGGCCACTGGAAATCATTCCCTCACAAGGAAAGGAATAAATTGTATCTCCGCTGGCATCGACTAAATCGAACAGAAGAGCAAAAAATTGCAGATAACAAATCTGCTTCTATACGGGGTAAGAAAAGATATCGAGAATTTACAGAAGAACAAAGAAAATTTCATAACCAGAAGAGCGTACAAGTACAACGAAAGAGACTAGAAAGAATGACTCCGGAAGAAAGAAAAAAATGGCACAAAAAGAAAAATGATCGAAGACGTAAATCGGGACAGCTTCAAGAGCCTCAAGATCAATGATATACTAATGATGATGGTAATATCGTTCATGAATGTAGCTTTATGAGCGCATCTTATTCCATATTAGGCAGAAATAGTCAATCTTGCTTTAAACCTCCGATTTCAATGCAACTCCAGAAAGGGTAAGTTCATATGGAGAGGGCGATTATAATGTATAAAAACACGAATTGTAAATGCTGATGACCCAGATGCATTGTTTAGCTTCTTGATGCCCCGATAGTATGTGGTACTTCTCTGTATGTAGCAGCAGTGCTTAGGGGCATTCTTGTCAGTGAGCTTTCTTTGATTTTGTTTGCAATCGTGAGCTTTGTTCCATCAAGTTGATCTCCCATGCCGATAAGATGATCAAATTTGTTATATTTGTCTTGGTAGCAACACTCCTGCATTGCACACTTGTTACAGCCACAGGCTCACCAAAGCAGGACTCAGAACAAAACAAGAGGCTCAAACTTGATTTGAACCTTTCACCGCCAGAAGAAGACACAAATGAGCAAGCATCCCTTCACATAAGCCATGTCAATGTGCGTAGTGCACAGCAAAGCAACACCCAATTTCCAGATTCTGGTCTTGCTCCAGCTCAACCAAAGGATTGCAAAGTACACCATCCTGGCTGTGATCACTGGGACTCAATTCCGCGAAAAGATAAAAAGAAAGCGTATTACCATTGGCGTAAAGAGAGACGTACGGAGGAACAAATAATTGCAGAGAGGAAATCTTCCAGTATACGTAGCAAGAAACGGTATGATGGTCTCACTGAACAAGAAAGGAAGCTCCGTGGCGACCAGAGTATGTTTTCACGAAAACGGAAACTTGAAAGCATGAATGCGGAAGAAAGAAAGGCTTGGTACAAAAAGAATAATTCTTATCGACGCAAACCGAAACAGGCTCAGACACCTCCAAAGAAATGATGTACTCCTCAAGGCGGTGTTGTCTATTGTTATAGTGCTGTACGCAAACTCATTTTCACGTCAAAGCCGCGATTCTCAATATTATTTCAAAACACCTTACTCGAGTTTTGTACTTTCTTTTGTCAACAATCATGTTCTGTCTGTATGACTCACGAATGCTTCTCCTTTGCTTTTTACTTTCTCTATTCTATCCTTGTGTGTTTTCTTCAAGCAGTGAATCAAGTAAAGCAGAATTAATTAGCAGCACAAGTCCGAAAGTGGATAACCAAGATCGGATAGGTGGTTGGGGTGCCAAAAGAGCGAGGACAGCGAGGTATGAAGTACAAAACATTGAACCCGAGCCCGGTCATGCCATTGTCGTTCCAAACAGTCAATCAGGAGAACTGGAAAAGTCATGCGATATCTGTCGGCCAGATTGCCCTCATTGGCGCTCTCTTAGCCGACCTCAACGTAGTAAAGAGTCAATGAAATGGTATTTAAAAAATCTAACCAAAGAACAGAAACTTGCAATTCGTCCTCACTACAATACAGTCAAACGTCGATGGTACTCAAACTTATCAAAAGAACGAAAGGAAGAGATGTTGAGAAAAGGAAGTGAATCACGAAAAAGAAGATTTGAGAAGTTAAGTACGGATGAGAAAAAAGCAGCTCGAGAAGAGATTAAACATAAACGGAAAAGAAGATTGGATAACATGACTCCAGATGAAAGGCGTGAATGGCACAGAAAGAATAATTCATATTCTCGCAAATTTTCGAAGACAGCCCATATCTCCCAGAAGTAGTTTTTGTTGATTTGTGTAATCGTCTGTACGCAAAACTCTGCCTCATTGTAAGTCGCAGATCAAATTTCGTACACAGATGCCACATTCCTCATTGTCATTCCCTTCTTTATCATCCACGTCGAATCATTAAAGCTAATGCGGCGTCACTTCTTATGTATTTTGTTCAGCACGCATTTTCTGATAAAAATCTATTTGTCTGGCAAATCAACGATAGTGCCGTTCGAAGAAGTCGCAGACTCTCCACTGACGGACATGCCAGCTTGGGGAGCCAAAAGAGCGAGAACGGCAAGGTACGAGGTAAATTCCCCAGGACAAAAGCTGAACAATGAAATTTCTTCTTCCTCTATTGCACCAAAGGCTGACACTATTGAAAAGAAGAAATATTGTGCAATATGTAGACCAAATTGCCCGCATTGGAAGTCTTTGAGTAAGAAACAGCGTAACTCAGCTCGAGTACGATTCTATTACAGAAATCAATCAAAAGAACAGAAACTTAAACGTGTCGCTTATCATCGTCAGTACGCAAAGATACGTTATGCTAATTTAACAGAAAAGGAAAAAGCTGAGCGTACCGAGGCTGTAATAGCACGCCGTCGAGATCGATTAGCAAATATGAGCCCGGAAGAGAGAAAAGCATGGTACAAGCAGAACAGGGGGACTAGAAATTGATGATTTAGGCTTGCAGCCTGATACTGTAGCTTTTAATGACTGTGGCAAATTCAATGTTTTACATGCCAATTGTCGTACACTCCCTTACAAATAGCAGAAAGCCAAATTTTACAAAATTTATTTTTGGCATCGTACACAGAGCGGTGCTTGAGTTTAAACAAGATAAGAATATCCTAACAGTATGTTCCGCTTTTGTTTCCTGTTCAATATCACGTCAGTACGATTTAAGTCATGGTACCTCCTCATGCATTACTTATCGCATTATTACTCCTTAGGATGATAAGCTCAGCTACTGATTCAAGCGCTTCTACTTCTGATCAGAGAGCGGCAAACGAACAATCTCACGATCACACTGAAGGCAAGCTCTCCTGGGGGTCCAAAAGAGCAAGAACAGCAAGATTTGAGGTGAATGCACCCGAGCAAATGCTTTCTCTTTCTTCCGCACTAAAGAGTGAGACGAGTGAGAACAGGAGTAAATGTGTATACTGTAGACCGAACTGTCCTCATTGGGAGTCTATGAGTAAGAAACAACGTGAATCAGCTCGTATACGCCTCTATTATAGTAACCAATCAAAAGAAGAAAAAATGAAACGCAACGCTTATCTTCGTCAGCGTTATACGAATTTACCTGAAGAGGTAAAGGCTCAGAATAAACAACTTTATATTTCACGCCGTCGAGAACGTATAGCAATTATGAGCCCCAAGGAGAGAAAGGCATGGTACAAGAAAAATAGGGGTGAGAAGAAGCAGTGATGTAGATTTGCAGCATTGTCATGAAATACATGGTCTTCTCAAAATCTTTCGTATAGGAAGCTTTACATATCTATAAGACTTCATATGTCGAATTCCATACACTCACTTTGAGCCTATGGGAAATGCTTTAATTTGACTTCTTCGGCCTTATACACAACATACTGACAGTGATGCCCGGGTCTAGCCAAGATGTAAATGCGAAATGCAGACTTTAATTATTTAAAATAATTCTCGGACTGCACCGTTTTTCTCTTTATGAATGTGATGTCAATTAAACTAGAATGACAAGAACGTTGCCATTTGCAGTTGCCATCAAGATTGTATGTGACCTTGCATGGAAAGCGGTGCTCGGGGCATAAGAAGGCAAGAATGCCAGTTTCATACTTTCGATGCCATTCTATTAGCTTTTGTTACATTCGACTTTTTTCGTCTCAACGAGTACTTTGTCAGCATAGTTATATGAGATGCTAATACTTCATTTAATATTTCTTCTGTCATTTTTGATGTTGACGAAATCAGAAGATGATTCTAGTGGCTCCAAAACTGATGAAACAACAGCGAAAAAGGGTATTTCACAGGTCAAAGAAGATGCATTATCATGGGGAGCCAAAAAAATGAGAACAGCAAGATACGAAGTGTCTGAAGCTAATGCTAAGAATGTACAACTTCATCCGACTGGTAATCCGCACGAACAAAGCAAGCGGTGTGACATTTGTCGACCACATTGCCCTCATTGGAAATCGCTGAGTCGGTCAAAACGCAATACAGAAGGAGTGAGATGGCATAAGAAGAATCAAACGAAAGAACAAAAGATTGCATACGATGCTCGACAAAGGGTCATAAAGAAAGAATGGTATGCAAATCTAACAAAAGTGCAGAAGGAAGAAATTAGGAACAGAGGTGCGCTTCGTAGAAGAGAACGTCTAAGTAGATTGAATCCTGAGCAAAAAAGAGAATTTTGGAAAAAGAATAGGGAATACTCCTCCAAGGAAAAGAAGCCGATATGAAATACAAGATGTTCATGAGCTCTCATACGGTTTCAATGCTGTAAATGATCAGTCTACAAATATATTTATATCATCTTTACTGCTTTAAGGGCAAGGGTAACGACTGAGAAGCCCTGACTCTCTACGCAACGCTGTGAAAAAGATTCTCCGGGGCTTCAAGGTTTGTAGTCACGCGGATGTATTTGGTTTCACAATTGATCAGAGTCTGGCATCCAGCATTCCTCGAACATTTTGACCTTCAGGATCATCTCGCACAATGGAAAGGCTAAAACTCTTACTCATTCTGTATTTTACAGGCGTTCGACTTGTGATTGGGACTTCTGCTCCAAAAGATCAAAGCATCGATTACTCACTTGCTACTCAAAGTGATTCTCGTTCGCTTCCTTCTTTGCCGCAAGATGTGGAAGGCCCCATAAGCCTTCCCGTTGGCTGGCCGCAAAAGAAACAAAGAAGCAAAAGATTTGAAATATCTGAATCAACATCGCCATCTTCGTCAAGTCACGAATCCGATGGAGGAAGCTGGAATATGACAAAAGAGCTAGCTAAGCATAAGCCAAAAGTAGATTCAAAGAAGCAAGTAAGTATATCTCATTACAGAAAATGCATATTACTAACGCAGTGAAATGCTTCTTTTTTCTGCTTTCATCCAAAAGAAAGGCACGAAGTCTCAAACAAATGATAATACTGTCACACAGGGCAAAAGTTGCTCCATACATCGCCCCGGTTGTGATCATTGGGACGATTTAGACAGAACAGAAAAGAACAAAAATGCCAAAAGATGGCAATTCTTTAATATGGTTAGAAAAATTACATGGAAATGTTACTGGTGTATGACATCAAAACTGATTCAACTCTTTCCGATTCTCCAGAGTAAGGCAGAGAAGGAAAATTTCAGAACTCGCCGGAGAGAAAAATATGCAATGGCAGGTGACGAAGCTAAAGCTGCAAGGATCGAAAGGCAGAGAAGTCAACGGAGCAAGAAATTCTTAAGCATGACAAAGCAAGAACATGAGGCTTTTCGTATTACCAGAAACGAGTATAGACGTCAACTTAGACTTCGAAAGCAGTAAGTAGCCCCTATTGAGTGATGAACTTGCTGGGAAAGTGCTGATTAGTTTGCTTTACGCCAGAATTGGTGGTCCAGTCCGCAAAATGAAACCTAGACTCAAGCGCGGCTGACACCGTAAGCACTGTCAATTCGACAGCCCCATAACATGAACGGTTTTTTATAAGCATTATAACTCAGCACTTCATGTAAATAGTGTGCATGGTACCGAATAAAACGTATATGTTTATCAATGCGTGAAATCTGTCAAACAGTCAAGAGTATAGACTTAGTTATAATGATGTTTGATAGAGCATCTTCCACTGAAATTCAAGATTCTCTTCGGATCTTTCTCTGACCTGACGGCAGTTCCCTCGCAAGGTCCACAGCCTTTCGTCTTCTGCATCATAAAGAGAGATGGGAAAATTAAGTCAATGTACATTCGATGAACCTTGTTTCGTACTCACACAATCATTGTCGGCTAATGTTTTCGTTTCTCCCCAGCATGTGGCGCTCTGTAAAGACAAAAGGTGTGTAAATATTAAGCAATTATCAATCTAAGCCGACAACTCACCCTACAACTTGAGGAAGAGCGCTGCAAACACGATGAAAATTTTTGGGTAAGTATACGACTCAGCCTCAAGCCTTACTATTGCTTCTTAAGGAACACTCACTTCGCCGGCTGGACCACTTGATAGCTTCAAATAGCCATCTGTAGATCTTCCGCCATGACGAATCGCATGAACACTATCCTCTGATAGTGTTGATTCTGTCTTAGTTTTCTTTCCGCTCAGTAATGTCCTTGGCGCTTTGTAACGATCTTCACGATTGTCTCCTGATAATACTGACGCTATCAAAAACCATAAACAAAGAGAAATGAATAAAAAATTGAAAATCATATCTGAATGAGCGTGATAGAGTAGGGCAAAAAGACAGACATGCATTCCGAAAGAAATAACTTTTTCATATCTCTTTCATGTTTGCTTTTTATTCGCCCCGGATGTATCATGGTAGAGACAGTAATTGTTCGCCGCACGATTCTGAAATGTTTTGGGGCGTCTTTTGTTGGCTCAATGCTTTCATGAGTAGAATTGAATGCCCCTGAAAAGCAGCAGTAGGTCAAAATGTGTTTGTGGCCCGTCTTTGTAAACAGAAAAATGTGTCAGAGCGAGAATAGTGAGTAAAAGCTCGCAGAATCGATCGCTACTCACGCTTCTGGGGGATGATAGCCGGGATCGGTATGAACAGGATTTGGTTGTCCCATTTGCCGATTTGGGTCTCTCTGTGAATGAGATTGAGAAAGAAATCAGATTGTCTTCCCTAGCGAGCAACATTTACGCTATACATCAAACTCTTACCTTGCCGTGCTCAATACTGGTGGGGTCCTTGGGAACTGCCAAGTAAAAGAAGATAATGAAGATGAACTTTGCGACTGGTGTCAACATAATTGAATATTGAAAATTATAGATTTTTATAGCTTAGAAAGTGTCAACAATATTGACAGAATTAAAAGCCCTTTTATACTTTTTAAATTCTTGATTGAAACATTTCAGCTCTTCACACATTAAAAGTGGTCACTTCCACTTTACAATTGTACAGCAATTCAGAAAGAAACATGCAAAGATTAATCTTGACTGCCGTGGTCAACTGACAGAATGTGCGAAAAACCGTGTACCTCATGATCAGGGTCTATCAGGGTTCATAATGGTCAATTGACCTTCTTTATGATGTCCAACTCATCAAGGAAGAGCTCCTATTACCGTTTTTGATAGGACGAAGAATGTCCGCAATAGTCGTTTGCTCTTCATGAGATTGAAATCCTCTTGCGTATGTGTGGAAGAACCTTTATCCTAATCTTGCAACCGATCGCGAGATCCCGGATCGTTACATTCCCCGAAATCAAGATGGTCTCAATTTAGTATCTAATCTAGAACGAAAAGTCAGGGTCTATCAGGGTTCATAATGGTCAATTGACCTTCTTTATGATGTCTAACTCATTAAGGAAGAGCTCCTATTACCGTTTTCGATAGGACGAAGAATGTTCGCAATAGTCGTTTACTCTGTATGAGATTGAAATCCTCTTACGTATGTGTGGAAGAACCCCTATCTTAATCTTGCAACAGATCACGAGATCCCGGATCGTTACATTGCCCGAAATCAAGATGGTCTCAACTTAATATCTAATCTAGAATGAAAAGGTCCCTAAAGGAGCAAGGTATTCGGAGATTGCGAGCTAAGGTCACACATTACGGAACAGTAAGAGTCAAAAAAGCCATCAGGAAAATTCGATTTATTGCCCTGAGAGAACATGACTGCGATCAATTGCATTCCGACGTGATCTTATTGTGAGCAGGTGACAGGCGGGTTGGTGTGCTTCTCCACTGCATTTTTGGGCAGGATCTCATTAGATATGACAGCACTTATAAGGTACGGTGATTTGCTCACGAGACACAAAATTGGCAAGACCCTCTCGCTTTTGTCACATGGCGAGCTTTTTGCTTTGGATCTGTGAGCGCTTGTACGGGCAAAGAAGTGATGTGTGTTTCAAGATAATTGAACTGTGACTTTCTTTTTTGTGTCGGTGCAAGCCCACATCACTCAAAAATTTGTACCATTCTTTCTAGAATGTTCTTCATAGTCTGATCAGATATCCTTATGAAAAAGTTCTACACAGGAATAGTTTTACGAATTTGTTTAGCAAGGTTTGCTCAGCCCAGCGTGACCATGCAATTCTGAAGTCTTAAATTGATGTCAAGTCGAGTGACTATATTTTCTTGGTATCTGCATGGAAGCTGCAATTGTTTGACTTGAGTGGATCCTCCGATGAAATATACTGATCTTGTCGCTGACAGAGTGGTTGAATATTGATGATCACTTATCCTTTGCAAGACTTTTTGTTGACTCCTTCTATGAATACACGAGAGAATGAGAACCCAGATAAGCTGCATGGTATATAAAGTTGAGATCAATTCTTTATTCTGGAAACTTGGATCCCCATCATCACTTCAAAGAAACTTTCTATCTCCTCATTATGACTAAAGCTCAAATTATTTATGCAGTATTGCTTCTTGCGTTGTTAAGTGGTAATACTGCTTCCGGCTTTTCTGTGCAGGTGTTTGTGAGTAAATACGATCATGGTTCACCCTATAAGAAACCTTTGTCGCTGAAATCTGTACTTTATCCTATCAAGGTGAAAAAGGATAAGAATCCTGGCTTTTCCGGAGGTGGCACGAATCCCGGAGGCTGGCACGATCCACACCATCCACAATCAATGAATGGTAGCTCGATCACTGAATGGTAGCTGGCTTGATCCGGCTCATACGAGTACGAACGATTGCGGCTTGGTGGTTTAAAAGTCCTTAAGACGCAAGAGTGACTACTTCCATTTATACCCGTCATGTGGTTCTTTTTTGAAAAGTTTCGGGTAAAGGGACGATTTCTGTGAATTCCAACAAAAGCTCCTTCTGTGACGTCACGAAAATGGATCTTGTATAAACTTTTATGATATTTAAAAAAACATTGATATTCGATTAAATTTCTGAGAAACGTTTGCAATGGGGATGTAAGGAAGTAACGTTGTTGAATAATTAGAGAGAATTGCATAGCGTAATCGCCGAGTTATGACGTGGAAGGCTCTCCTGAAAGGAGAATAGAAGAATCAATATCCACATACGCTGCTACGATGATTTCTATCCAAATCACTTTAACCACTTACACTTTTTCGTACCGTAGCCTGGATCCGTATGAACTGGATCGACTTGACCTATTTTTGCACCGTTTTTATCTGAAATGAGAAAAAGGTCATGGAAAGTTTAGATTAGCTTATCGTGTTCTGAAGATGGCAGTGATGGCTTATTCGTGCGAATCGCAACGTCATTAATCGCACCTGTGAAATCCCGTTTTTTATGATGTGGATCTTCCCAGCCTCCATTGTTTGTGCTACCTGCACTGCTATTTCGATATTTGTCTCTCTCCAACTTGGCGGGTTATGTGATATATATTAGCGCTATACCTTGTGATTTGGTGCAATCATAAGTACTCACCAACAATTTAACAGGTAAACCTGAGACAATGTTGACGAGAAACAATATGATGAGAGATTGTGTGATAAAAAAACCGGGTTTCATCATGAGTGAGGAGAATTTTGTGAGTGATAAAGAAGGTTGTTGTCTTTATGAAAAAGTGAATTGGTTACGAAGGATACATTCTTTTATATGCTGGCATCCTGATCAATATTATTCTTTAAAGAAAGCCACGAGACAATCAGCACAGCGCACAAGTCTTTGCCTAGGATTAATACGGTTTCCCCATTTTAGACACCGACAAGATCAATGCAACAAAAAAAACAGATCAATGCAACGATGGTCAGATCAATGCATCAATGGTCAGATCGTTGCATCAAAAGCCACTTGAGCAGTTAAAAGCCTTATATCCCAAATCTCAAACACTTTTCACGGCACCGAAAAGTCAAGATGTAAATTCAAAGCGGGAGCGCGAAAGAGCGGCGCGGCGCCATGCATTTGCATCATAGGGAAACCATATCACGACGCACTGACAGAGTAATGTCAACAATGGACAGGGTAATGTCTGACAAAGGTACAGGCACTTGACCAGCCAAAACCTTATTTTTTACTCGAAATCTCTCTAATATCTTCCCGAAAACCGCAAAAAACAGCTGAATTGCTCGTATTTTTTGTTTTGCATTTGATGTGTCCATTTGTTGCCCCCCATTGATCCTGTCAAAGCTTCTCAATGTGGGTGCGGCGTACAAATGAGTTAGAACTGCGGTGAATGAAATGTCCAAGGTTCAAGAATTTTGCGTGTTACAAAGGATTGGGTCAAAGGTTTGCTTTAGTAATCCTAAGATGCAAAGTCAAAGTGCATTGGCTCAAAGATTGCTTCGTAGCTTAAGACGTATAGGCAAAGTGCAAATTGCATCAATAATAGGATTTGCTTGAGGAATGCTGAATATCTTTCAATGTGGCTGAATGCATCTTGGGCGGGCTGCATTTGTTTGGCGAGATCGGGACCCGAATTCCAACATATTATTACGCCTCACTCATTTCACAAGGAACAAAATTCAATGTCGATCATAAGACGTGTAAGTGAGTAAACATCTGGCATCTTTTGCCGTTACTGAAAATTGAAATGAACACAATCGTACGAATAAGGATTACCCGAGACAAGAATGTTGGGATAAATGTTGGGATAGCAGACAGAAAGCCGCATCCTGAAGCGAATGTCTATCCTCCTTAACATACTCCGATCAAAACAAATATATAATATTACGACAATAAAGGAATGAAAAGATTACATAGCATCTAAAGTTTATATTTTCATAATTTCACCTTTCCTGCTTTGAGAGCTTCCAAATCTTTTGGCTCGAAAGGAAGGTATGCTTTGGAACTTGGTGGAAGCCAGTATAACGGATCAGGTCCACACTGTGCATGTTCGATACCTTGATTACGCAAAGCAACCTTTAATTGCTTTGCCGTTCCTGTTGATTCCATTTCAGGAACGATGCGTAAAAAGAGTGGGACACTGTATTTAGGTAAAGATTTACGTGCATGTGTTGCCAATCCTACTAAATCTAACGTTGCAGCCGCATTTCTTGGAATTGCTGCACATCCTGCTCTTCCATCATGATTGGGCACCAAAACCCCATAAACGTTTGCTTCTGCAATCTTTTCACCCAAAACTGAAGCAACTTCCGCCGTACTGACATTCTCACTGCGCCAGCGGAAAGTGTCACCCATTCGATCTCCAAACCAATAGAAACCGTTCACATCCATTCTCATCAAATCACCTGTACGGAACCAAGCATCTCCTTTGGCCTTGACATCACGCAAAATCTTCTTCTTTGTTGCATCAGGGTTACCTGCATATCCTTGGAATTGTGATGATGCTCTGGATTCATTGATTCGGCACATGAATTCTCCTGGTTCATCAAAATCGCATTCTTCGCATAATCCATTTGCTCCACGAACGACATCTTCTGTGATTGGATCAACACGGAAGATACGGAAATCAGGACGAACCGTTCTTGCCAATGAACCGAATCTTCCAACTGCTCCTGAACCAAACTCTCCCGTGTTGTAGTTAAGCAAAGCACCATTTCCTTCAGAAGATGCATAGAATTCGAAGATATGAGGGATTGCGAAACGATCACGGAACTTGTTCCAGACGTCAGGACGCATACCATTACCGTATGCTAAACGAACACGATGGTTCTTGTCATCTGGATGAGGTGGAACGGCCAAAAGGTAACGTGCAATTTCACCGATATATTGAACAACAGTTGCATCAGCAGCACGAACTTGTTCAAAGAATTTGCTTGCACTAAATTTGCGACCGATGATCACACATGCACCAGAACGGAAAGCGACACCTAAGCACAAAAAGGCGGCGGAAGAGTGATAGATTGGCATGGCAGTATAAATTCTGTCCTTGTTTGTGAAACCTCCCAATCTAGTCCAAACGGTTGTTGCTGTTCCGATTCTACCATGACTACAAAGGGCTGCTTTAGGCAATCCAGTTGTTCCACTTGTGTAAATGAGTGCACATGATGTTGCCAATGTTACATCCTTGCGGTATACTGGATCGATTTCTTTGACACTTTGAGCTGCGTGTTCGTTAGGACCGTAATAGACGGTGTTTTCGATTTGAGGAGGCAAATTGACCTTTTCGTTTTCATGTCTCAAGCCATCATCGAAGCACAAATAACGACGTACTTTTGAGTGTTCCAATAACTCTTTTGAGACTTCTTGTAGGGGAGCTTCCAATTCAGGTTCAAAGATTACCAAAGGTGCTTCTGAAACGGCGATACAGTGCAATAATCCTTTACCGGTCAGACCGTTATTGATGAAAGCAGGAGCGATGTTGATCGACATGCATGCGAGCCAAAGGAGAGGATAAGTCGCAGAATTGTGCAAAAAGACTGCGATACGATCTCCAGGTTTGATACCTTGATTGAGCAAGAAATGAGCAATCCTTCTTACGTCTGCATCTGCTTGTTCGAATGACCATGTTTTACCTTCGTACACCAAAAAGTCACCTTTTGGATTCGTCTTTACGGTTGATTGAAAACTTTCATAAAGTGATGCTTTTCCACGCCATTCAGCTATCTTTAATCCTAAATCAGCAGCAGAAGTTGCACGACCTGCACGGACATCAGATGCAATGCCATATTTTGCATCCAAATAGGAAAATGTAGCAAGTCCGACGGCTGCCTTGAGTACTTGGGATGTCATGATGAAAGGTGGGATGTCTTCTCTTTCGTGGTTTTGTCTATATTCTTTTGGTTTACCACGAAAGGGGGGATTTGATGATGATGATGGATTAAATGAAAGAAGAAAAGTTTACCTCATGCATTCAACAGCATAACCCCGCTGTATACGAAGCGGCAATCGGAAAATCTGTTTAAGCGGTTGAAAGCAGTCAAATGAACTGTACTGTGTATGCGCGTTCTATTCATGCACTTTACCACTATTCATAATTCCCCCACAAAGAAAAGAAAAAGATGAAAACGAAGGACGTGTGCTTTTCATAGGCTGTTCCAGACGTAACACTCGCGCTGAGCCATTCGCATTTTTGGCATTTAGCTTGAGTGTGAAAGAGGGGGGGAAACGTTTTCTTGAGTTGATTCAAAAGCGCACACGCATGTCCTCCTATACACACATACATACATGTACCATACATTCAAGAGAACAAAATACGAAAACATTGATATATAACACATTTATATACATGCAATCAGTTCAGCAAAGATACAAAATTACTTGGGAATGTATTCGATCCTGGCCGTCTTCTAGCATCATCCAATAGCTCCCCTTGCCACCATCCGTCTGCATTGGTCTCCCAAACAGCAATCACATCCCCTCCTGTAAAGCTGAATTCTTCTTGCAATTGGGCTTCATAATCATATAAAGCCTTTACATAGAACAAAATTGGTTTACCTTCATTGGAATATTGTCCTGTCGGAGGAGGCTGATTGGCATTCGGTGCAGGTGCTGTTGGGGTTTGAGCAATAGGCTGATGAACTTGATTGTTCGGATAAGCACCATTAGTTGGAGTAGGCTGTGCATTGGAAGGCGCATTCCATTGACCATACTGTGCTTGCTGCGGTCCTCCTGCCATTGATGGATGCTGTTGAGCTTGCATCGGTGGCTGGGGCTGTGGCTGGTAGGATTGTTGTTGATATTGATGCATATATGCACTAGCAGCTGTTTCTTGTGGTGCAGGTGGCTGTTGACCATACATTGGCTGTGGCTGCTGTGGCTGCGGCGGTTGTGGTTGCGCGTATGAATGTCCTGGTGTACTGACCTGCGCATTCACTGGAGGTGCAGTAGCAGATGCTGGACGTTGGTTATATGGCGAGGGAGATTGATAGCCTGCCGATGCTCCGCCTGCAGCAAATGGTGCTCCTGTTTGTCTGCCCAAAGAATTCATCGTATCTTGACGAGCTTGTTGAGGAGGTGGAGTTTGCTGGTAACCGGCAGGCGCGCCTGGTGTACCGTGAGTAGGAGTTTGTGCATAACCACTTTGTGCTCCAAATTGCGGTCCTTGTCGAATCGGTGTGGATTGCTGACTTGACACGGCAGAGTACTGTGATCCGTGTTGTGCTCCAAAAGGTGATTGTTGTGATGGATGACCGCTATTGAAAGATGCTTGATGTTGCATATGGTGAGGCAAACCAGAAACTTGCTGAGGCGGCAATTGCTGTGGTGTCATCGTATGTCCTTGTTGCGGTCCAACAGAACCTGTCCGTTTAATAAAGTCATCTGCCATTTGATCGTGCGTCACAGATCCACTTGCATCCAAAGAAATACCCAAAGGTGTTGTAGAACGTTGTGGTGTATTGAACGAGTTGGATTTCGGTTGGCCTGGCCTGCTTTGTGGTATGGAGCCTGCTTGTCTTTGTTGATACTGACTTTGTTGGCTTGCCGGTGCTTGAACAGATTGACGCTGCGGTGATCGTCCAGGCTGTTGTTGGAAAGGTTGTGGACTTGGACTTCTACCCCGTGCTCCAACGCCTGCGAAGCCTGAAGTATCACCCATCGGTCCTGGGCTGCGTGCCCTTCCTGGAGCTTGTTGTTGACCAGGAGGCGGCGCTTGCATGCTCAAGCGACTATGACGAGAAGCGTTTGAATTCTGACGTGAAAGGGTTCGACGTTCACCTGGGAACGATTGTCCATATCTGCCTACGATTTCCTCATCTGGTTGAGGGGAAACAGCACGCTCAGGTCCTTGCATGAATGCTGCGGATGGCGATCTAGCACGATTCTCACCATGATTAGATGGACTTGAATATGCACCTGGTGATGTGGCCATTTCGCCTCCTGTTTGCCGTCCAACAGAGCCAAAGGAGTGCATCGCACCACCTGCACCAGGTCTGCCCGAAGGGGTAGGTCCTCGGCCTTGTTGAGGCGCTGGGCTTCGACTGGGTTTGTTGCGCAGATCAGCAAGAGCACGAGCAATGGGATCATCATTGTTGGGTTCAGAATTTCCACTTAGAGTATCAACACTGGCAGGTGGTAGAGCAGGCTTGATGATCGTTGTTCCCATCGTTCCTGTAGTATCGGAGTTTGATAGAGCGTCACTTTGTTGAGCATTGGAATATGTAGATTGAGCAGACTGCATTCCCGCTGGACCATTGGTGCCACTTTTTGACATACCGGTCTGACTTCTCGAGGGCGTCCTCTCCAAGAATTTCTTGGCTGATATTCTACGATTGCTATTTTCACTTCGCAAAAGAGACTCGCCTCCACCAAATCCATCTCCAGCCAAAGTGGACGCAGAATTAATCATACCGGGAAGTGCAACCCCACCAGGAGGAGCTCGGCTGCTGTTCACATTTTCATTTTCTTGATCGCCAGAGATCGTCTGCCGAGAGAATTCGCTTGCCAAACCACTTACGTCCCCCGGCGGTCCACCTCCCCTGCCAAAACTGTCTCTACGTGATTCTGATGGAGGTGGTGCATTAGCAGCAGCCGGATTGATTGGAGGTGCTGTTGGTGCAATAAACGTGGAAGGACGTGTGCTGCTTCGATGAAAGTTTGCTGTTTTGTATGTTGGACGAGCTGGTGGTGGCTGACCGCGTCCATAGTTGATATACTCTGGCGGATCTGGAATTGCTGCTCCTGTGCCTGCACGATGAATGAAATCCATAATATCTCGAGGTGCTTCGCATGCCTCCAAAGATACTCTTACCCGTTCGCATGATTGATCATCTGCGACGCATACAGCAGAAATTGCATTTGCATAGTTCCATAGATTACTCTTTAAAAATTCCAACCGTTCTTCTTCCAGATCTTGACATTGATCCAAATAAGACTTCCATTCGGAATTCCATCGTAAAGTTGTATCCTTCAAAGCGCGAACAAAGTTTTGGTAATCTTTATCGTTTCCGTTGACGGTAGACTGTGCTTTGTCAAGTTTGGTGGTCACCTTTTCTAGATCACGTCCCTGGACCAAACTACTTTGTGCAGTGTATCCATTGATACGAATGCAATCTTGTTCGTATTTGTCCCTAGATTTGTTCACATAAGATTCTTGCGTTATTTTTTGTTTGTACAACTTTTCGATATTGGTCAAAGGACCTTTCCGTTGCGATTGTATTCTGTTTTGAAATTCGCCTAATTGACCTTCCAAGTCTTTCTTAAACACGTTGCTTAGATCTGCATGTGTTTTTGCCGTTTGTTCAATTTCACCACGAACGATCTCTAAAGCGTGTTTCATCGAACCTGTTTCATCCCTACCGAATTGTTGTTTTGACAGCTTTGCTAATCGTTTTGCATATTCTGCTTCGATTTCCGCTCTTTCTTTATACATCGCACGAACGTCATCCACAATCCTTGCTGAGTTTTTCATTCTTGCTTGCATGATGGGATAACCTGCATCTTGTGAACCCCAGAATGAATTGCAAAATGTTGTTTGGTCTTGTAATTCACGTCTGATCAATTCATCTTCTGCTGCCATCCTTCTTCCTGCTTCTCCTCCATCTCTGCCCATAGATGAACTGGCTCTAGAAGCAGCACTTTTGGCTGATCCTGCCGAGCCTGACCTTTCTCGTCGATCTGAAGGCATTATACAAATTTGATCATACGTTTCGTTAGTGCGACACCAGGTCGGGATTCGTTGCTGGTCAGGTAGAGGATATGATGATGTTTTGGTATGTAGAGTGAGTTGTATGGGATGTATGATTGTTGAAAATGAACTTTTGATTTCAAAGTCCGTGCAGGGGTGAAAAAACATTCCAGACGCGTACAAGTAGGGCGTCGGCTTAACACAGCCATACACAATACATACTGTAAATCATACGCGTAATATTCAGGCGGGCAACACGCTGGCTGTGATTGAATGCAACCTTTTACTCTTTGCCATCTTTCTCTTTCGCTTTGACTGGTTTTCGAGTTTGCCAAAAGGGAATCGATTTATTATACCTTCTGATATGTTCACCTTTCCTGTTTTCATTTCAAGGAATGTTAGCGACTATAATGCAATATTCTTAGTATAACCACTCACTTTCGTCGTTCAACCAACAATCTCCTTCTTGCTGTCTGTCTTCTTGAGTCTTGCTTTAACTCTTCCTCTGTCTTGTTTGCCTTTTGAGCAAGCAACCTTTTTTTGGCGCTATCTTTTGCTTTCTCTTTTGTCTCTTGTTTTAATCTATAATATTTCTCTCTATACATCCTCTTCCTATCTTCGGCATCCTTAATAAAGTAACGGGATAAATCAGCAACAAAGTTTTATTACAGATTATTCAACTTACCATTGTCATAGTGTTCCATTTCCTCTTATGAATTCCTCGCTCTTTCGGTTCCAGTTTTAGCCAATGTACGCATTCTGGACGATAAACAATGCAATTGCCTTTGTCATCAAGAGGTGAAATCACGTCTGAAGTTCTTTTGTACTTCCTGCTCCTTCCGTGATGGGGTGACAATGTTTTGCTTTGTGCCGAAATTTGTTGCGATTCCTGATGAGAACTATCTTGACTGACATCCACATCTTCTCTTGACTCTATTCTTTCTGTTGAGGGCTTGTTGAGATCCCATAAGAATGGTGTCTTTGTTTGTTTCGTTTCCAGGATGAAGGATTGCCAGCATAGGAAAAACAAATTTAGAAGATAAAATGACAAAATAATCATCTCTACAAATATTTTGAGGAAGTGTAAAGGATGCTCGAAAATGTTATAAGTGGAATGCAGTTTGCATTTTCATTTAAATGGCAAATTAGAATGCTGTGTTCTGCAATCGATTTCACGTTCTGCCTGCGTATGCGTATTCTGAGTCTACAAGTACATTCTCTAAATGTCTTTAGTCACTACAAGACAGTTTCTATGAAGTATTAGACTGGCCCTGCCTGTCGTTTCCGCTTTGGAGCTTTCTTGCTGTTTGTCTATGCTTCCAAAAGTACGCTGAGCGTTGCTCTTTTGTCAATTTAGCAAGTCTTTTTCGACGAAGATCCGAATTTCTAGCGATAGATGCTTCTTTCTTTTCTTCTGACAAAGAGTGATAATAGTTACGTGATCGTGTACGAAGTCTGTCTAGCTGCTCCTTTGTCTGAATGACAAAAAATCAACAAATAATTCGAACGTACATTTCATTTTTTACCGACATTACTCACAGCATTTTTTCGATATCTCTTATTCTTGGCAGATTTTTTTTCTTTCTTTGTTAACTCTTTCCAATGTTCGCAATCTTTATGATGGATTTCACAAACTGACTCCGTACCTGCATGAGATTCAGAGATGGGCACGTCATGAGTTCGAGCTGTAGCGACTCTGTCTTCCAGCCTTGGACTTTGAACATGCGAGACAGTAGGTGAATGTTGTCGTTCTTCCGCTTCTTCTATCGGTGCAGGTTCGTTCAAGTCCCACAAAGGCAAAACCTTATTAGTAGAATTGACGCCATTGTTGAGCAAAAGAAGTAGGGAAAACCGTAGAAGCCAAAGTGAAAAATGTTTTGCTCTCATGGCAATGTATGATCAATGGTCGAAGATTCAAAAAATTGATCAATCGTGTAAATTATATGTAAAAGGGTGGAATGATGTACGCAAAGATGAAAGCCCCTTCGTACGCAAGGATTAAGTCTTTACGGGTGCTAATCGGTTGACTCGGACATCAGATTGATTGTTGAGGTAGTATACAGTTGTAATTTAATCGTCAATAGTGCTACTGTTTTGATGCATGATGTTATCACAGATTAGGAAGCAAGGTTGCGTTGAAGGAATGAGCATGTTGCAGTCTATATTGAGATTCGATCGTTCCACTCACAAAATCCTCCTCACTTCGTGCGAAAACCGTGCCATCTCCATTTCTTTTTGATTTGATTTGTCCCGCTTGCACTCCAAAATATTCCGCCACAAAAACTCTCATGATCATCGTCCAAGCATAAATGGTGGGATAATCCAATGCAGACGCATCATCTCCCATCGTATGCCAAACAGACGGAAAAGGACTCGCGATCAAATGCAAAATTGGCACTCCATTCTGCAGAAATGGTCTATGATCATCATCAATTCCTCCAAAACCCATATGAATTTCTGAAAAAAAACTCGCTCTACGTTCTCTACCACCATCAATCTCAATCATTGATGTCGTAGATGTTCCGGCAGGAGGAAGCTGCAAATTGCCCTGACCATCTTTTGGATACAAAGCACCAGTCTTGGCCAAACGACTTTCTATATCTCGAAGTTCATCCCACATCCATCTGGTGGAAGTGTAATAAGGAGGTATATGAGGTTTTGGCGTTCCCAAAAGGTCCAAAAGAATGAATTGATCAATCGAATCGATCAAACGCATATTCGCATAACCTGGCGTAGTTCTCCGTTTGACCAGCTTTGGACTAAAGAAGGATTTCGTCCATCCATCGGCTAAGGCCCTACTTCCATATAAGCTGTCTTTGTGCGTCCATTGTACATAAGCCTCTTCTCCGTCAAAGAAGAGGAGTTGTAACCCTGTCTCTCTTCCCCTTTCATGTCCGCTTGTCTGTTGTTCCAACATATGTCCCACTGCTAATGCAACATCTACAATGATCGCACATGGAACTGCGCTATCCGTTGCACCTACAAAGCCTTTTGGTGATACTTTACTGTCATGATGAGCTGCTAAGACCAATTTACGCGGTGCGTCAACGTTATAGGTAACGATTAAATTTGTCATCGTTTTCTTTCCTTGTGGTGTATCGGTTTGGAATTTATGTTCTTCGATCGTCCAACCGGGTTTATTGCGAAATGGAGCAAGTAATGCTTCTCGTACTTTGGCATTCTCTTTCGTGTCTGGCGGTCTGGGTATCAGTATTTGTGATAATAGAGACTTTGAAGTACGATAATCGATTTGTGGACTTGGGTCTTGGAATTGTATGACAGGATCCAATGCTTCTATCCGAGCATAATCCCTTTCCATAAGTCGTGGTAAGTCGTCCGGTCTTGTTGAAGCGAGCGAGAAGATTGTAACTGATAAAACCAGTAAGAGGATCGCATGTATAGAAGGTATGCTGTACCGCCTCCGTTTGAAGATCATACTGGATTGCCTTATATTCCTCGTTGCCATTATTTCAAGATGTTTTCGACCACCATTTATATCCTCATCCCTCATGATTTGGCCAATCGACGCATCAGACCATACATAAGTTGCGGAGAAAAGGATGTTTTAAGATTTACAATAACACTCTAACAATCTAAGTTTGTATGTGCAGCGCGTTGGCGCTCGCGCCCAAGATATGCACCGTGTCTGTCACTGTATGCGGCTTAGGTCTTGGCATCGATCATTGCTGTTAAAGAGCGATCATCTTTGGTCCATGAATCACTTTGGAAATATTATTCAAATCGGTAAGATACATTCGATGCCATCCTAGAGAATATCATTATTTACGTTGTCATCAATGTGACCAAGAGTGGAGCCCGAGATTACCCCTTTAAGTCCGCCTTACCGCTTCAAATAAGTGATTACATAATCCGGAAATTTCAATTTCCAATATTCCGTAATTCCCGCTTTGCCGAACAGTAAAGGCCGAAATCCCATATGATGATGGTCTGATACATGCATGTTAAAAGAAGCTAAATCAATGGCATTCGAAAGCCGTACTGATAGAATGCATACTGATAGAATCGGATAAAGAAGGCATACACTAATTGTCCCGAAAAAACTAAAATTAGACGAAAGATCAGGTCCAGTCAAATGTTTTTAAGTATACTATGAATAGTTCGATCGAAAGTGATTGTGGGTTGAATTGTTGCTGATGCTGATGCTGTTGGTGTCGCTACGCGTGTGCGCGGTTGTTTTGCATTTTGTGCATATTTCCGAACAACAATGCAAAAGCGGAGATGTAATTAACATAATCCCGCAAATATTCAAAAAAGGCAAATAACCCTTCTTACCAATCAAACATTGCCATCTTACCATCACTTCATCCATTTTTTGAATCACATACTAGGCAGGCACTACAAGATTGCCTTTTGCCCCCTTTTTTTCTCATCCGACAACCACAAAGATTGAACAGAATATGGTCATTACTATTTCAACGTGCTTGTAAAAAATCACAATCCCCGCCAGCTTATCAACTTGCAAAATGAGTAGCAACAACTTCCGTTCTTCTGAGGCTGGTCCATCATCAAAAAGACCAGGAATGCATATCAACCTGCCAAAGCCACCCAAAAGGAGAAAAACACCAAGAGCATGCGATTATTGTCGAGAACATAAATTACGTTGTGACTTTTCCCATGAACTTACAACCGCTGAAGGTCAGCCAGTATGCAAACATTGCGCTGATTTCGGAATCGAATGTAACCTTTCTTCTCCGTCTGAACGAAGAAGGGGTTCAGTATTACATTTGGAGGGCTCTTCACTTTCTGCTCCCGAAACTTCTCCTTCTGTTTTATGGCAAGTCGACGAAAGGGAAATAACCGATGCGAGATATTCAGGTGAATCTTCCCTTTCTGCAATCATTTCTCAATTCATCGTAATGGTTGGTGGAAGAGAGCAACAATTACGTTCCGTTCATAGACAACTGAACGCAGATGGTGTTCAGCCTACAGGTTATGATAACTTTCTGTTGCTTCCTCTAATACGGTATCCGCCCCCTGCTGAACCTGGAGAGAAGAAGTTAATTCACGCAAAATTGGATCGCGATACTATTAGACTTCTAATAGATCATTACATAGAGTATCTTCAACCACTTAACGCTGTCGTTACCAAGAATGAAGTCTTTCAGTTGGTAGATCTAGGCCAAAGTGAAACGCCAATAACAAAACTTTCCGGTTTAGCATTGGCCGTCTTGGGTGCTTCTGCTATGTTTCGTGGTATGCCGAAATTCACAAGAGCGGCACTCTTATTCCATCTTCGACAACGCAGGACAGCAATTTTTCGGACATCTCTTGAAACAGTGCAAATGTTGATCATCTTGAGTCAAAATATCGAATTGATGGCTCCCGATACAAATGATGCTGCTGGAATGAGTTTGAACTTGACTGGCCTTGCTGTTCGAATGGCGCATGATCTGGGTCTACATCGTGATTTGACAAGTTTAGGAGTTCCTCCTGCCAAATTACGCAAAATGGCAAGAATATGGTCCGCTCTGGTCATTCAAGATAGATGGTATGCACTTTGTTATGGACAGCCAAGTTTGATTCATTTGGAAGATGGTGATGCTGCAGAACCTTCACAATACGATGACGAAGATGAACCAAGAAAGATTCAAGCCAACATTCACGCTTCCGGTCGACCTCCAAATCAAACCCATATTGCCCATTACAGAATTGCTTTGCTTGTTGGACGATTGCATAAGATCGTCTTTGGACCTAAAGGCTTACGTCCTTCTTCTTTCAAAGAATTCAGATCTATTGTTGAGGAAATCAATGAATGGAAGGCCACCCTTCCGCCTGCTCTTTGGTTCAATTTGCGCTCCACCCAACCTCCAACGGTCGAAGCTGGGTTCTTGTATTCCCTTCGTGTTTGTATGGACTTTTTGATCTATCGTGCATGTTTAAGCCTTCCACCTGATCAAAAGAACATTCAAAGGCCTGACGTTTGGTCCGTTCTCGTTCGTGATTCAGCAGATGCATTGGAATGGCTTGCAAGTTCTGATGGTTTACGTTGTTTGGATTCTTATTCGATCGTGATGTATTTCATGATTCAGTGCAGTATCATTCACTTTTACGAGTCAAGCAGAGGTGGAAGCTTGCATAGCTTACGTGTCGCCAGACAATGCTTGCAAAATCGTGGTACAGTTGCTACTCAACTTGCATCTCGTCGTGGTAATGTCTATGATCCATATGGAGAACAAGATCAAGATTCAGAAGAAGCCTCGACGGGAGGCAAACGTGGAAACCAATCAGTATCGCGAAACGGTCGACCTGGTTTGCAAAATACATCGCCCTCGCCTGAATCGGCTGGAGGGCCTCCAAGATTGTTGCGATTACGTGTAAAGATTTCTGCTTTGGTCAGTATGTTGCTCGAAGTAGCAGAACATAGAAGGGCGGCAGTCTTAGCACGTAACGAACAATCTGATGCTCAAAACCACAGGCGTAGAATTCAACAACAATCTTCTGAGAGTTCACACGCACGATATGGTAATGGTAACATATACTCGTCCAACGATCATAACAACGCCTCGCCAAATCCGGCCAACGGAAGACATCCTTCTCAAACTCCTCATGCCAGACAACATAGTGCACCTTCCCATCATTCGTCTCCAACGCAAAACCATCCGACAGTAAGCTCTGACGGAAGTAGCGGGTCTCATCAACCTCGCTCGGACCCTGCTTTTCATTCAAAGGAGCATCATATGCGTATGCATGGCAGAATGAGTGAACATGATAAGCAAGGTCAATCTCCACAACAAAGCATGGCAATCATGCCACCGGGTGGAGTGATTTATTCTACAAATCAATCTGAAGCTGGTGAAAGCGTTCGTGGTAGTCTAAACGATTCTTCTTCAATGGCTTCTCTTTCGCCGAACAACATTGAAGATCTAGATTTGATGACTTTGCAACGTTGGGCAGATGCACTTCTACGAAATCCAACTTCGTTCGAACAACAACAGCATGCCATTAATGGTAGAAATTTTGCAGTTTAAATTTCTTTAGTATTTTGTACTTATATATTTATATTGTTGTCTCTGACTAATCATATTGACTTTCATGCTCTCAATCGTCTTTTTTAGATTGTGAAGGATAAGATGTCATTAGAGGAGAAAAGATAAAGCAAAAGAAACAAGAAGAGAATGATGAAAAAGATAAAGTCAAGAAAAGGGGAAGGGGGTAAGATCTAATGAAGGGGATTAAGGTAGAGTTTCTAAAGATAAAGAGAGGGGAGATATGGATCAAGCGTTGTCTTTTGTTTGCACCAAGATTGCCATCACTTTATCGCTCGCCATTTTAATGTTGAGAATTTGAGGACTAATAGGGCTACCATCACGTTTTGGCATTCCACCTGTCATGCCGCTCAACATGTTTGTAGGAACCAATGAGGAAGATGGTGTACTACTACTTGTACTACTTGTACTACCTGTGTTAGCACCTGCTGCACCACCCAAAAGGCCGAAAATCAAAAGGCGATTATCAGGTAAAGACTTGACATCAGTAATCTTTGTAATCATACCGGTAAAGTCTGGAACGATGCTGGCATCATCCCTCTTTTGTTTAGGGTTTTGTTGTGCAATACTTGCAACGTTGATTGCAGAAACAACGTTTACAACCATATCTTGTAATTGATTTGTTGGCAACAATCCATCAGCACGACGGTTTGGAGTGACATTGCTTGATACTCTGCTCGTGTCTTGAGGTGTTGTGCCTCCTGTGATTTGTCCGATGCTATCAGTTATTTGCTTGGTGATTTGATCGATTTGCAAAGGGCTTAAGCCATTTGATGTGTCATCAGCACGACGGTTTGGAGTGACATTGCTTGGAGTGACATTGCTTGATTGTCTGCTCGTGTCTTGAGGTGTTGTGCCTCCTGTGATTTGTCCGATGCTATCAGTTATTTGCTTGGTGATTTGATCGATTTGCAAAGGGCTTAAGCCACTTGATGTGTCGTCAGCACGACGGTTTGGAGTGACATTGCTTGGAGTGACACTGCTTGATTGTCTGCTAGTGTCTTGAGGTGTTGTGCCTCCTGTGATTTGTCCGATGCTATCAGTTATTTGCTGGGTGATTTGATCGATTTGCAAAGGGCTTAAGCCACTTGATGTGTCTTCGGCACGACGATCTTTGTGCGACTCTTGTTCGCCTTCAATCGATCTCGATTGAGGAGTAGTGTTCGAGACATTTGGCGTTGTCGATACACTACTAGTTTGGCCTCCTAAAGCTGGGAAATTAGCAGACGACAAGATCCTGGCGATGCTATCACTCAAACCGACCATATCAGGAACCATTCCAAGACCACTTTGACTCGTTGCATCGTCACGGCGTAAGTTTGGAACAATACCGTTAGTAGAGGTAGTACCTGAAGTAGTACTTGAAGTAGTACCTGAGGTAGTACCCATGTTTCCTATTGGCACGAATTTGTTGATCGAGTCAAGGATTTGACTAGTGATTTGATGTACTTGACTTGGAGTCAAGGCGTTTGCGCTTTCTTGACGAGGTTGAGGTTGAACTGATTGGGTCTTTTTGCTGTCCCCTCCGAATAAGCTCGATGGGTTGGTAAAGACTGATGTAATACCGTCTGTCAAGCCACTGAGCATGTTACTTCCATCACGGCGCATGTTTGGAACGACGCCAGTAGTAGAAGTAGTACCTGAAGTGGTACCTGTTGTGGTACCGGTATTTCCCATCGGCATGAACTTAGTGATTGAGTCCATGATACTACTGGTGATTTGTTGGACCTGAGTTGGGCTCAAACCGCTATCTTGACGAGATTGGGGTTGGACTGAATTAGTATTCTTGCCCCCAACTCCTCCGAATAAAGTAGTTGGATAAGTCACGATTCCTGTGATGGTGTTTGTCAAAGCATTAGTGTTTGGAACCAAACCACTTTGACTTGTTGTAGCTTCATCACGTTTAGACTTTCCGGTTGGAAGAACACTTCCAGCTTTTTGAACTGTCCCGGTGACTGTACCAATCAATTGGTTTGAGATTTGACTTGGCTGCGCCAGACCTAAACCGCCGTTATCTGCACGACGTTGTGGCTTTGCAGGTGAAGCGTTGGCTCCTGATAAAGCACCACTAGACAACAATTGATTGACCGTGCTTAAATCAAGTCCAGATGTTTTGCCAAGTGCACCTCCTACAGGCAAACTTTGTAATGGCAAACCTTGTGTGACACTTGACAATTGTTTATTCAGATCGCCCAAGTTTAAAGCGGGATTTTTTCCATCACCTAAAGAGGACAAGACTTGTGGACTGAGACCTTGTAAACTGTTCAAATTTGTCAAAGACGTCAAAGATGGAGCGAGACCTTGAACGTTTTGTAATGGCAAATCGACCGGAGCAGCATTGACACTTGCTGCAATGGCGATAAATGCAAAAGCGATAAGAACTTTATTACAACGCATGCTGTTCCGAAAAGGAATGGAAAAGAGGATGAGTTGTGGTAGAAGGGATGGAAGCAATCTTTTGAGGACGACCGGCTATTTATCTACTTTTTCACCCATGGCAAAAGATTTGTTTTGCATAGGGAGCATCATTTAAAGTACTCCGGAATGCTACAGGAGATCAATATGTGACCCTAGATAGAGAGAATTAGGAGAGTAAAGGGGGGTAGATACATGCTGAAGTACGTATTCATGTACGATTTCATGACGTTAATTTGCATGGGAGAGATTGAAAATGAAGCATCGTCTCCTGAATACAGACCATGATTCTGTAATAGGATGTAGCGATTTCAGGTTTCGATTGAGATATCGAATGTCGTAAATGTTCATTTTATGGATATGGAAGTGAAGGATGAGAATTTTTACATGCAAATAGCAGCTGTGTACCTTTTAGTGAACCTGCTGAAAAGTTTGACAGGCTAGTGGAATTGTGCCTAAAAATAAGATAAAAGTGCACGTTTGCATTTATCCTGCGCGCTATTTGCCGTACCTAAAACTTAAAAAAATAACAGGAGTTGTGTTAATATTTTACTCCCCTTTTCTTTCCTCTTCATTTCAATCATATCGGCTATCATCATATCATCATCATCATACTTTCGGCGTAGAGGCATTTATTGCCTCCTTTCACATTCTCCTATTCGGTCACTGGGAATTGGGCTATGTATTAGGCCACCCATGTCTTTACTTGAATCGTCTTTCGCCTTCAACGCTTGAATGGGAGTGAAAAGAGCCACACCGGCCTCTATGGCACGGCTATGAGCCAAAAGGAATCGAATGAAGGGGCAAATGCCCCTATAGCTGGTCCGTCAACTGCAGCACAAGAGCAAACAGGCAATTCAAGATCAAATGAAGAATTGAATTCATCTGAATCGAGGAGATTAAGCGCGACAGATTTTAGCAATGTGGATGCCGAAAAAGCATTTGCAGAGGGATTAATCGCCAGAAATGACGTTCGAGAAGCCGAAGATGGAAATGAGGCAGACGTAGAAGCAGCTCCTAAATATTTACCTTCCAATAAATCGATTTTATTACCGCCAAAAGCACGCTTAAAGATTGGAAAAGGGTCTTCAGATGAAAATGCAACATACCTCAATAGAGCTGGTCCTTCTTCATCTGTACAAGACAGAAAAAGGTTGAATTTCAATCTTCATCCGCTGGTTGTACATTCCAATCCCGCCTCTGGAGCTGAGGCGAGCCCAAGATCATTCCGAATAACCGACAGGGACCGGATGAATATCAATAGGGGAAGCGTCCGACAGACCGAAGATAGAGCATTGAAGCAAAATGAAAGCATTGATGATCAGCATAGCAGCATAGGAAGAAGCAAAGAAAGTGACGCAGAGTCTTTTCGATATCCCAAATCTCCGTCAGTATCAGAATGGGTTTCCAGAATAAAGCGTGGTATAGGAGCAGGTGGAGAATCCAGTACGACGGCTGTGTCGAAGCCAAGTCAATCACGCCAAAATCGATCGCGATCTAAGCATCGTCATCGGAAACCCAAATCAGGAAGGAGTCGAACTTCATATCGGTCAAATGATCAAAGTCGCGATGGAGATTCGACGTTCGGATCGGATCATGAAAACGAACGTGTACGACGTGGGAGTGATGACATTTTGGTTACTATGGATTCCATTGAGGGAGGTAGAACATCGTTTGATCATGCCGTCAATACAGATATACCACCACCTCCTAATGGACCTACCGCAGATGCTTTATATCAAGTAGCCTCACGCAGTCTGGGTAAGAAACCAAGATTACATTTTGCACCACAAAAGCGAAATATCCGAAGGAGAGATTTGCCTGACAATTACGAGGCTGGTGACATGTATCGAGGATTGGAAGATTTTGTCAAGGATTCCCGAATACGGAGAAGAAATCAGCGGAGATCAGGAAGGAGGAAATCAAATGATAGCGCCGATGGAAAGAGTAGCTCTGGAAGGAAGAGGAGAGGTAGTCGTACAAGTCGAGCATCATCAGCCAGCAGTATTGAATCTAGCAGTAGCAGTTCATCTTCTTCTGATGACTCTTCTAGCTCAAATTCATCGAGTAGTTCATCTGCCTCCGGTCGATTGACGATGGCTAGACTTCGTGCGTTCTTTGGTGACTCGTCTAGCAGTTCTTCCTCCTCTTCTTCCTCTTCGTCATCGTCGTCTTCATCAACAAGTTCAGACAGCCATTCCGATGTCAGTGAAGCCCGTTCAAATGCCTCGGGTCCAAACTTTAATTTCTTCAGACGAAGAAGGCAATCCACACATGGTGATTCCTCGTCTATGATCGAGACTTCTTCAATACCAAATACACCGCGTACACCAGCTATCAACTTCCAGCTGAAGGACGTCACGCGAAGCAGAAGAAGGCATCGAAGGCAAAAACGTACACGAGATGTAGAAAAACAATTGATCAAAGAAGGCAAGTTACCCGTTCGGGCGAGCAAAGCTGCAAGAAGAAAGGCAAAGAAAGCAAGGGAGGAAGCTGGAGGAATAACCGAATATACCCTTTTCACACCCGTTGCGCTCTCTGATATTACTTTTCATGGGCATTCTTCCCATCGCCAACATGGAAACAGAAAGAGTACTTCAAGGCCAAGAATGCCTAACCGTGGATTTACTCAACAACGAGTAAGTCCGCATCAAGGCACTGCCAAGGACAAACCCTCAGAAAAGGTATTGACTACTACGTCATTCGAAGCTGTTCGTGGACGACTACATGCGCTGCGTCGGTTTAAGAAGCAACTCGATCATTTACAAGGAGATCCGGGTGAAGGTCTGCGGGACGCAGAGAAAGATGAAGAAGAAAACATTATGTTTGAGCGGGTGACAGGTCCTCAGCATCAAGAAAAACCATCCACAGAACAGGATATCGGTGATATGCTATTAAATGAAGAAGATGGCGATCTTGCATTACCGCCGCCTGCCATGGACCTGCCTGAAGAATCGGAGTCGGTAACATCCAGTAAAAAGCAAAGTCAACAGCGTACGCGAGAGCGACGAAAGTACATGTCTGATGTCCCTCTCACGCCTCGTGTCCAAATGGCAATCGCTACAGAGTTTTCCCGCGGTTTCGAAGTTTCTTCACCCAATAAACCATTCAGTCCTAGTTTGCCGACTCACAGCGAAGACATCCTTCAAGAATCTGCCAATATTTTTGGTAAACCTATGACAAGAGAATCTTCTTCTGATGATCCAATCATTCTTGACCATGCACACTTTGAACCCACCAAGGAAGAAAGCATACGGACCAAGGTTCCTTCTCCCTCGGATGGGAGTGGAGCAAAAGGCGATGATGACGATCGCAACGCTGCTTGGTGGCTAGATGTGAGCTGTCCAACTTATCGGGATATGACTGAATTAAGCAAAATGTTTCCTCTTCATCCTCTTACCGTCGAAGATGTTTTACAACAGGAGTCAAGAGAAAAGGTCGAATTGTTTGAAAGTCTTGGATATTATTTCATCGTAGTTCGAGCGATTGATGAAAAGTACTTCAAATACAGTACCGTCTCTAGCGAAGATGTGACCTCACAAACATCTAGTCTTACGCAAAAGGATGACGAGTATAAAGTTGAGAAGGGAGACAGTTTGGAAATGCAAGAATTGAAGAACGAGTGCCCACCGTCAAAAGATACCTCACGAGATGGACAACGGTCTCCTAGGCGGAAGATGCGGGTAGACATCGTCGAAGGCCTCGATGGCAAGGAAGGTGTGGAAGGCGTGAGCGTTGGTGCAATTAATTTGTACCTGGTGGTATTCAGTCATGGAATCATTTCGTTTCACTTTGAGGATATATCAAAGCACACTGATCGCGTCAGAACCCGATTGGTCGATCTTGCACAACCTGTTGAACTGACAAGTGACTGGATTGCGCATGGTCTTTTCGATTCGGTCATTGATGCATACTTTCCACTTCTGGCTTATATTGAAACAGAAGTAAAAGATTTTGAGCGATTTACCAGTGATCCTTTGCACATGCCTTCCATCTCCAATGGCATAAGAAGATCAGCGAAGAAGGGCAAAAGTGGACAAGTTGTCAGCATTGAAGGCACGGATGAAATAGATCACGATACGATGCTACCTATGCGGTATGCCAACGAAAGCAACATGGTTACTGTTCTCCGAATTCTTCCGCGTATGGAGATTGGATCATTTACCCGTAAAGTCTTTCCGGAAAGTATGATGGAGCAAAGGGTGAAAGTGAGCCGATTCAGGATCCACGAAGGAGGTAAAGATGTGATCCCAAGTGCTGTCCGAAAGTTTTTGCAAATGCCTGAACCGAAAGGTCAATCGACTGCATTTTTGTCCAATTCTGCTCAAAAGCAAAATGCCATGCTTCGTCACATTACCGAAACTCGCAAAATTGCCATGGGATTGGCGAGAATCTTGCAACCTAGTAATGATACCGTTCGTGCATTACGTAAACGATTGGTAGAAATGCGTGGAACGAGTTCAGCACAAGAAGAAATGTCAATTTATATGGGAGACGTTCATGATCATATTGTTTCTTTGTTGACTCAACTATCTTCTGATGAAACGAGATTAGGTGATATTCATGCTTCTTATTTGACAAGTATTCGAATAAACAATCATCGTGTACGACAAAAAGTTGATCGATCTTTGGTCACTTTAGTTGCTGTTGGTACAACTGTGATGACGACTGTTTGGTCTATTTCTATTTTTGGTCAAAACGTTTACGTGCCTCAAAATGCAAAGCCATCCAATGATTATCATTGGTTTATTGGAATTTGCATTGGAGCTTTAATTATTCCTGCCATTTTCATTACCCGTGTTATTACTTGGATTCGTGCTGCAAGAAAGCGAGCTATAACGAATCGGGCTCGTCGTTAGAAGCTCATAACATACAACCTGTATATTACGCATGTTTGATTAGCAATTGCATCTCTTGTAAAGTTGACAATATTGATTGCTTACTTAATGTACCCTTTCCAATTTTGTTTCTCTTTCACGCACTTCATCTAATATAAAGCCGGTCTAATCGGGTTGTAGTGCGCGCTGCATGTCACGCAAACACGCATTCTCTCACCCGCTCCCGTAATAACCGGGGGAGCGCCTGCTTGATCAGACTTTTCTTCGTACGGTACAGTTGTTATCCATTAATTCCGTTGTAGAGCCGGTTGTCTATGATTAAGAAGCGATATTACGTCCTTCTTAGATCGGTAAGCATACGCACACAAATCATTCATTATTCTACGCCGGTTCGCGCTCAAAAAGGTGGAGAATTCGGCCACAGATAAAACCGGTCATTAGATCAGTCAAGCGCAGGCGGGCGCACCTTGCTTTACAACGAGCGAGATAAACCGGTTCAGCGCTAGTGCCCCCCTTTGGCTTATTCACTTTTCACATTGTGGCAGACAGACATAACACATTCTCAATTGGGACAGGTAGTGTACCCCGCAACACCACACAAAGAAGATTACTATCCTTCTTACCTTTTCTACCATCATCATTCTCACCATCTCAATCATAACGGTGACCTACCACGTATGCTAAAAGGCTTTTTGCAGTGATCATACAAAAAGCAAACAGGTAGTCTATACAAACATAACAAAACAAAACAAACCACTCTTTTCCTCTTCTCATCATGTCTGATTTCCCCGTTACAGAAAACGGTAAGATCTCCTACAAAGGCCGTGTGGCTATCGTCACAGGTGCAGGAAATGGTTTAGGTCGTGCATACGCTTTGGCTTTAGCCTCTCGTGGATGCAAAATTGTAGTAAACGATTTGGGACCTTCAACACAAGACAAAAATCGTAAAGCAGCCGAAGTTGTCGTTGAAGAAATTGAAAAAGCAGGAGGTGAAGCAATCGCAAACTTAAACTCAAACTTGGAAGGTGATAAAATCGTACAACAAGCTGTAGACAAATGGGGAAGAATCGATATCTTGATCAACAATGCAGGTATCTTGCGTGATAAATCTTTCAAATCTATGGGCGATCAAGAATGGGATGCCATCACCGCAGTTCACATCACAGGTTCATACAAATGTGCACATGCCGCTTGGCCTCATATGCGTAAGCAAAAGTTCGGTAGAATTATCAACATTGCTTCCGCTGCCGGTATTTATGGTAACTTTGGTCAAGCAAATTACAGTGCTGCCAAATTGGCAATGGTTGCCTTTTCCCGTACTTTGGGTATCGAAGGTGCAAAATACAACATCTTTGCAAACACAATCGCTCCAATTGCTGCCTCTCAAATGTTGGCAACAATTATGCCAAAAGAGATCTTAGATCAACTTAAACCAGAATTCGTTGCACCTTTGGCTGTTTTCCTATGTTCAGCCGCAAATGAAGAGGTCAACGGTCAATTGTTCGAATCAGGTGCCGGTTTCGTTGCTGCTTTGCGTCGTCAACGTAGTCGCGGTGTTGTCTTCAAGACTGACGATTCATTCACGCCTGCTGCCGTTCGTGAAAAGGTTGATGAAATCTTGGACTTTGACAACGAACCAGAATATCCTGAACGTGTCACTGATGCAAACCATATGGACTTCCTCGAACGTGCCAAAGCAGCCAAGCCAAACGACCAAGGTGAAGGACAAGTCAAATTCGATGGTCAAACCATCCTCGTTACAGGTGCTGGTGCAGGTTTGGGTCGCGCTTACTCTCTCTTGTTCGGTAAGAATGGTGCAAACGTTGTTGTGAACGATTTCTCCGAAAAAGCAGCTCAAGCTGTTGTTGACGAAATCAAGAAAGCAGGCGGGAAAGCTGCACCTGCCGTTGGTTCCGTCGAAGATGGTGACAAGATCGTTCAAGCTGCCGTTGATGCATTCGGTGGATTGCATGCAGTCATCAACAATGCCGGTATCTTGCGTGACAAATCCTTCGCCTCTATCGACGATAAGGGATGGCACGATGTGGTCAATGTACACTTGCGCGGTACATACAAGATTTGCAAGGCTGCATGGCCAATCTTCCTTAAACAAAAGTACGGTCGTATTGTCAACACTACTTCTGCTGTTGGTATTTACGGTAATTTTGGTCAAGCAAATTACTCAACCGCAAAAGGTGGTATCTTGGGTCTCACCCAAACATTGGCTATCGAAGGTCAAAAGAACAACATTTTGTGCAACACAATCGCACCAAATGCAGGTACCGCAATGACTGCTACCATTTGGCCTCAAGAGATGGTAGATGCATTCAAGCCTGAATTCGTCGCTCCTGCCGTTGGTTACTTGGCAAGTGACTCCAACACTGAACACACCAAGCTCTTGTTGGAAGTTTCAGGTGGTTGGATCGCTGCCGTTCGCTGGCAACGTACAGCCGGTCACGCCTTCAGTCACAGCAAGGAATTGACACCTGAACAAATCCAAAAGAAGATCCCTAAGATTATGGACTTCAACCCAGAAACATCAGTTTACCCTGCCTCAAATCAAGAAGCAATGACTGAAATTATGGCCAACATCGGAACTGATTCTCAAGAAGAGGATGATGAAGATGAAGGAGGTGACAATTACGATGACCCAGAAGATTCTGATATCGTCAAAGAAGCAAAGAAGGAAAGACCCGATGCAACTGAATACGAATACAGCGAAAGAGACGTCATCCTTTATAACTTGGGTATCGGCTCAAAGGCAGAAGAGCTCAATTACGTCTATGAAGGTGCAGATGAATTCCAAGCTATTCCCACGTTTGGTGTTGTGCCAATGTTTGATGCAATGAGCACTTTCCCATTGGACTTCTTGCCAAACTTCCAACCAACAAAATTGCTGCACGGTGAACAATTCTTGAAGATCTTGAAGAGTCCCGTTCCAACAAGCGGTACCTTGACATCCAAAGCACAATTGATCGAATGCTTGGACAAGGGCAAGGCTGCCAGTGTTGTTTTGAAGGTGATCACAAGTGATAGCAGTGGTGAGCCAGTCTTCGAAAATGTTTCTACATTGTTCATCCGTGGAAGTGGTGGCTTTGGTGGAAAGAAGCAAACATCACGTAAAGATGAAACAGTGGCAGCAAACAAGCCACCACAACGTGAACCAGATGCAGTTTTGAAACAAAAGACGACTACCGATCAAGCTGCATTATACAGACTTTCGGGTGACAGTAACCCATTGCACATCGATCCAAGCTTTGCATCGATGGGTGGATTTGATAAGCCAATCTTGCATGGATTGTGTTCGTTTGGTGTTTCTGCTCGTCTTTTGCAAAACAAATTTGGTTCGTTCAACCAAATCAAAGCAAGATTTGCAGGTACCGTTTTGCCAGGAGAAGAAATCACCGTCAAAGCATGGAAAGATGGAGAAAAGAAGGTCATCTTTGAAAGCTGGGTCGGCGATCGTCAAGTTTTGAGCGCTGCAGGTATCATCTTGGCTTAAGAGAGATCCTTTCTCTCTTCTTTGTAGATTTCTTGGAATTAGCACACTATTCTCTTCTAAGTTTCAATCTCTTTTCTCTGTCTCTTTATATATATACTGTTTTTGATAAATAAATGAATATGATCTTGCTATTGATTGATTGATTAATCGTTGAGGATGGCCATGATGACACGTGATTGTTTGCTAAGGTGTTGCTCTCAAGTCGCCCGATGTGCGTACGCGTGAGGGGTGGCTTAGAATGATAGGGCTTGTGGAGAGCAACGCCTCTCTTTTTGACTGTTATAGTGCCCGGGTAAATGCAGCTGTCAGGCAATAGTAGGCCGTGTTGTTTTGTGGAAACAAGACAACTCCTTGGTCAAATCATTCTTGCCTTTTGAGAGTTAAACCATCATAACATCTTCTAACTTTCTTCAACATGTTATCCTCACGCGGTGCATCTTCAGCAGCGATAAAACGATTAACAATCGAATATAAACAACTTTCATCCGATCCAAATAGTTTATTTCCAGCAACTGGACCGATTGATGAAAGTAATTATTTGGTTTGGGAAGCTCTCGTTCCGGGACCTGAAGGTACCCCTTTTGAAGGAGGTGTATTTACCGCCAAACTAACGTTTCGTATGTATCACGAAAGCTCGTCTTTACGGAAGCGATCACTGACGAGCTGTTTCCCTATCTCTACAGCACCAACATACCCACTCGAACCGCCAGTAATGAAGTTTGAACCACCACTATTTCATCCTAATGTTTATCCAGACGGAACAGTATGCATTTCTATCCTTCATGCAGCAGGAGACGATCCAAACAGTGAGTGCTTTATGGGATGACAAAGTGCGAATGAATGCTTACCTTTTCATCCTAAACAGTGTACGAATCTTCGTCAGAGAGATGGTCACCGGTTCAATCGATCGAAAAAATTCTTTTGAGCGTTTTGAGTATGTTGGCAGAACCAAATGTGGAATCAGGAGCGAATATCGATGCATGCAAATTATGGAGAGATAATCGAGAACAATACGAAGAAAGAATTCGGGCAGACGTTAGACGTTCTTTGGGATTGTGATTGCGGGTCATGGGTTTCTACTTGTATTCAACTTATCTTTCTACCTCGTCTTGCCCCTCGCTTTCTCAATCAAGCAATATTCACAGCAATTACTGTATCACAATACTACATCTATCCCAACTCTATCAATGTCACTATAGATTTACCCTCCCTTTTGCATATTTCAGTATGATGGTAATTATCGAATCTTGTGTGAGTATGCTACAATATGTACAAAGAATGAAGAAATAAGGTATCGCATGAGCAAAAGACAGAAGCAATCAAGATCCAAAGAGATAAATAAATGAAGAAGCGATTCGTGACGCTCGTTCAACAGCCCATGCCGTCAAACGATCAGTTGCGAAGTGGGTTGGAATGGGAACACCTAGAAGGCCATATTGGTATTGACGTGATGATTCCAATGCTTGTTTTTGTGAGAGTGAAAGATGCAGGTAGCTGCCGGAATTATACATTAGCTCATACCGAGCCAATGCTGTTGATTGTTTTGCAGATGCATCTTTTGAGCGGGATCGATATCGAGACGGGTAGGTGTCTATCAGGCTCTTCTTGCCTGTTCTAGAGCTTTTTCTTGAGCGTACAACGTACGGATATTCATGTTTGTCTGGCCTTGAGATCGGTTGCACTTCATTTTCACCTTGGCTCAATGTAGGCGAAGTGACCACTAAGGAGGCATGCTGAGTGCTGCCTAGACTTTTATCGATACTGCTTCGGCCTCCGTTTTTTGTCTGGTTTCCTCTTAGCTGGTAGAGCGAATCCATCGCAGTAGTTGAAGGGTGTGCAGTCTTGCTTTTTGACTTCGTTTGTTGGTCCTTTCTGCTGGTCTGTTTGACCTCCTCCGGGTGATTAGCACTGCTTTGATTTGTCACATCTTTCAATGTTCTCTTTGTGCTTCGGCTAATTTCACTCTTTTGTCCATTTGCAAAATCTTGCGACTTGATCGAGCTGCCTTCTTGCTTCTTCGCTTTTCCAGCTGGTCGGGGTGATGCTGAAATGTAGGTTGTGTCTGTTGAAGTAGATGAAAGAGCTGACGATCTCGAAGGTGATTTCATAAGACTTGGAAGTGTAGCGGTTGAGATATGTCTTCGAGATGGTGTTGGTGGATTGGTGTGCTTTGATGAAGCTGAATCTCCGTTTGTACCTGATTCCAATGAAGTGGAAGAGGCTGCCGAATCTTTTCGTTCTCGAAGTGCTTGATCTCTTTGCTGTGTAACACTCAAGAGATTTAAAGCTGATCCTGAATGTTGCTCATGCTCATAGAGGGAATTTGGACCACTTCCATTCATTTGACGGGAATGCTCATTCTTCTCCCATTCTCCATCATGCGAGATCGTAGGTGAAGATGGAAACTCTACACTTACCATCGAAGAAGGTCTAGGACGAGAGATTTTGAAGCCAGGCCTTTTCACATGTTGTTGTTCTTCTTCTTTTCCAGGTTGTAATTTTTGGGAGGATGATCGACCTAATGACCATGATTTCGGCATTATGGCCAATGTCGTAAAGAGAAAGGGTGAAAACCTTGTCTCCTTTGCTTATATTTGGTGTTAAACTTTAAGGTTGTTAAAATGAAACACCCAAAGGTCATTCGGAGCCTAATCAATGACCAAACCAACACTTGTATATGACTTATGTAATCAGTCTGTGTGCTGCAGTGCTTCTGCCCTTCAACCGCGTGGAATTGCCCGCCTGTCTGCTTTGCTAGCGTGTAAATCTAATGCACAAACAATGAAACTCAGAAGCATCGCTTTTTATAGTGAATGATAACGCTATATACTGATGAAATGCCTTGATTCGATAGCAAGAATGCACCGTGCGTTCATTCGATCTAAACTAAAAGAAGAATTGACAGGCATGAGAATCGGCATTTATATACAACACATAAGCCGCTGCTGCTGCATTGAACAACCTCCTCCTCCTCCTTTTCACCATCACCCCTTCCTAGCAATCAGTCATGTCTGGCATTAAATCAAAAGACATGGCCGCTAATGGCGCGCCTCAACCAGACGGATTGGCAGATTTAACGAAAAAGGATGATCAAGAAGCAAATGCATTAGCAAATAAATTACAACATGACGAAAATAAAGGTGCTCGAGTGATGGAATTCGACGAAAATGCAACGCCCGAACAAAAAGCAGCAGAAGCAAAGAAAAAAATGGCAGAAATTAATCCTCCAAAAGGTGAAAAAGAAGGTAAAGGATTAGGTTTGGCTTCCGATATTGGAGGTAAAAATGTTAAAACCACAATGACTGCTGCTGATGTTGATCGGATCAGTAAATTGGAAGGACAAAAAGGTGACGGAAGCGGTGTTAAAGCAGGTCAACCATCCTCTCAAATTCCTGACTACTATCAAGTTGGTCATACCGGTGTCAGTAAAGCAATGCTCAACGGACAGCCCGCTCTTCAACCTGGAGAAGAAGAAACCAGGCGACACATTGAAACTGAGATCGTCAGTAAATACCTTACAGATCAATGGTACGGACGCTTTTGGTTCGACGGTGCTGCATGCTTGGTAGCCGTTCTAGCTACGTACTTTGCAACTCGCTTTGGAGGTGGAATCATTGCCATGCTTGTGATCGGAGCAGTAGTGACGACCTACTATAACACCAGCACTCGTCGTACAAGACAACGTCATCGTGATGATATTTCGCGTGAATTGGCAAAGACTAAGATGATGTCCGAGAACGAGACTGCAGGATGGATCAATCAATTCTTGCGCAGATTCTGGCTGATCTACGAGCCCGTTCTTAGTGCAACGGTCATCTCAACGGTCGACGCAATCTTGGTACAACAATGCCCCTCTTTCTTGGACTCGATCCGTTTGACTACTTTCACCTTAGGTACAAAAGCGCCCATCATTGACTTTGTACGCACCTTTCCCGCTACGGCAGATGATGTGGTATGCATGGACTGGAAGATCTCTTTCACGCCAAACGATACACAAGACCTTACCGTACGTCAAGCGGCACAAAAGATCAATCCAAAAGTATGTCTCACCATCCGTATTGGGAGAGGTATTGTCGGTGCCGGTCTTCCGATCTTGGTTGAAGACATTTCCTTCTCGGCTCATGCCAGAATCAAAATGAAGCTCATCTCAACGTTCCCGCACATCCAAACCGTTGACGTTTCGCTCATGGAACCACCTGTATTTGACTTTGTTTTGAAACCTATCGGTGGTAACACCTTTGGATTTGACGTCATGAGTGTTGTTCCAGGTCTGGAAGGATTCATTAAAGGTCAAGTGGATGCAAACATGGGACCGATGATGTACAACCCCAACGTCTTTACGATCAATCTTGAAGAATTGTTATCCGGAACTCCTCTTGATACCGCTGTTGGTGTCTTGCAAGTCACTATTTGGAACGCACGCAATTTGCGTGGAGTCAAATTGGGCGGTGGTTCTCCCGATCCATACATTGCTATTTCCGTTGACGACAAGGAAACCTTGGCAAAGACAAAGTACAAGCCAAGCACCACGAACCCACAATTCAAGTCTTCTCATTTCGTCTTGTTGAACAACTTGAATGGTATGCTTACGTTGAATGTTATGGATTGGAACGAGCACCGTGCGGACAACAAATTGGGCTCTGCTGCGTTTGAATTGAAGGAATTAAACGTTGAGCCTGAACAAAACAACTTGTCAACACCTGTGATGTTGGAAGGTAAAGAGAGAGGTGCACTGCAATACTCGCTTTCATACTACCCAGTCATCAAGCCAGAAAATGGTCCTGATGGTAAAGCATTGCCTTTGCCCGAAACTCATGCAGGTGTTGTTCGCTTGACAATCCATCAAGCCAAGAATCTTGAGAAATCTGTCGGCCTTTTGGGCGATTGCAATCCTAAAGCCCGCATCACATTGAACGGAAACAAGGTGAAAGATACCGCTCAACTCAAACGTACAACTTCTCCCATTTGGGAAGAACACTTTGAGTTCCTCGTTACTGAACGTCGTAAGGCTGTTGTCGGAGTGCAAATTTTGGACCACGATCAATTGACAAGCTATTTGAATGTCAAATTGGACGACCTGTTGAGCGCAAAAGATCGTCAACAAGATTGGTTCCCGCTAAGCAAGAGCAAAGAAGGTCGTGTGCGCATGTCTGCAGAATGGAAGCCTGTCATGATGAGCGGTAGTATGAATGGTGGTAGTGGTTACAGTCCCGCTATTGGTGTTGTCAAATTCTGGTGCCACAAAGCCGTCGGCGTCAAGAATGTGGAAGCTGCTATGGGTGGAAAAAGTGATCCTTATGTTGCCTTGCGCGTTCGCGGTCAGCAAGTTGATGGTTCTTCTATCATTAACAATGATCTCAACCCTGATTGGAAGAGTGAAATTCTTTATGCTCCCGTTCATTCCCTCAAAGATCGTATCTTGTTCGAAGTTATGGATTACCAAAATAACACGAAGGATCGTTCTTTGGGTACTTGTGAGATTTCTGTTGCTGATCTGGCAAAGGAGACGCCAAGTGACAACAAACACCCGTACGCAAGTATGGGAAAGAAGGCACACGTTGAAAAGCTCAATTTGGGTAGAGGAATCTACAAAGGAGAGGCTCACTTTGACTGTCAATTCCTGCCATCCGTCAACCTATCCGGTGTCGAATTTGCTGGAGCTGGAAATGAGGCTGCCGAGAAAGCAGGAGAAGGTGACGCAGCAGGAGGCGATCCCGATGCCGGAAAGGCTACCACAACAGAAGCAACTGCACCTGATGTCAAGACGAACGGTACTCAAAATGGTACAGCCGATGAACACAAGCCACGATTCCCCGTTTCAGGAGGATCATCATTGCGTGGTCATAAGAAGGGAATGGAGTCTGTCACTTCAACAACCTCCATTGCAACTGCAAAGACTTCTGCCACAGCCACAGACGATGATGAGCCAAAAGTTGAATCTGTTTCTATGTCTACGGAAGAGCTATTGCAAACCCAATCAGGTGTCCTTGCATTTAACGTCTTGTACGGAAAGCTTGCTCATAAAAATGCAAGATTGGAGGTATTGTTCGATGATGGTTATTGGCCTACGTACACTACTGAGGAAGCACGTACAAAAGATTGCACTTGGGATGAAGTAGGAGAAGCAATAATCAAAGAACTGGACTGGAGCAGAATTTGGCTCAAACTTCGAACGGGCAATCATAAAGATGATCAGAGTGTATTTGCTGAATTCCAAGGAAACACAAAGGATTTCCTGGAGCGTACTTTGAACAAGAATGCAGAATTCACATTGGCAAGTGATGCAGGAACAGGCTCCTCCACTGTAACGATCACTAGCAGATACATTCCAACAGATATCAAGATTGAACCCGTAGAATCCGTTAACAATATGGGCTTCTTGACTGTTTGGGCTCAATCCGCCAAAGGATTACGTGGAGCAGACCGAGGAGGAAAATCTTCGGATCCATACGTAGCATTTGTCTTGAACGGAGAACGTCAAATGAAGAGCAAAGTTGTCAAAAAGACACTCAATCCCACTTGGGATGAGAAATTGGGAGAATGCGAAGTACCCTCACGTGTTCATGCCGAAGCCATCTTTGAGGTGTTCGATTGGGATCAAGTTGGTAATCCGGATAAATTGGGTCAAGCACATGTTAATCTGGCCGAACTGGAACCATTTGAGCCATTAGAGAAAACGTATCCATTAACTGGCAAAGGTGCTTTAGACGGAAGTTCAATCACGCTCAAATTCGTCTTTAGACCTGAATTCATCAACACACGTGGCAGGAAGGGTACCTCTTTGGGTAGAACCTTTACTGCCGGTGTTGGTGGTGTGGGTCGTTTGGGTGTGGGAGCAGCAGGATTGGCAGGAAAGGGTGTGGGAACTGTTGGTAAAGGAGCGTTTGGCGTTGTTGGAGGAGTGGGCAAAGGTGTTGGTGGTGTTGGAAAGGGTGCATTTGGACTCGTTCGTGGTCATCGTAACAGTATACAAGGTGGCTCAGAAGGTATTCCTGAAGTACCAGAACTTCCTGACGGCGTCACACCTGCTCAATTGGCACCGGATGGTATGCCAGTCGATAATTCATCAGCACTAGGAACAAATAAAGGATCAGGATTTGACTCTGGTTCGATCGCCGACAGTACAACTACCAGCAAGCGAAAGAGCAGGCTCCACAATCCGTTCCATAGAAACAAGTGATCTTCCCTCTTATATACCTTTCTTATCATTCTTACTCTGCCCTTTCCCCTAAATGTCTCTAACTGCACTACAAAACTCTCTCTATGGAGATCTGGATAACGAAACTGATTTTTAATTGATGAAATGGAATACTTTTTAAACACTCTCAAGCTCAGACTTTTGAAAGATAAGATGATACAATTGTATTTGCACGAATGAGGTATCTAGATAAGGATGCGATTTGCATCTTGTAGTTTACAACAGAATAAAAAGTTCGAGGGTAGTACTCGAATGTTATAAGGTTAGGATATCTTTGAGAATGATGTTGGTACAATGCGTTCCAGAGTTGTGGTTTGAATAGTAGAAGTACACGAAGAAACGATCCGGAAAAGGTTGATTGAGTGAATTAAAACCTTCTCAGGGATAGGTCTCCGCCTGCCTGGAGCATTGGAGCATCGTTCAAGGTGATCATGTCCGATTCCTTATTGGCCAGTCTTCTTTCGACAGAAGAGTTGTACAGTCCTGCGGGATAAAATTGAGCTCCTGTTGTTCCTTGTTCGGTGTCTTCAATTGTTGCGATACTGTGAGCGTCATCGCTTGAAGCATTAGAAGAAGATCTAGATAATTCGTGGAACAAACTTGGTGCTCTTGAGGATGTTGGTGTACTTGTAGGAGTTTCTGTTGCAGATGAAGAAGCAGTAGCTGCAATTGCTTCTTTTCTGGCTTGTGTTTGTATCGATCGTTGTTCGATGTGATAAAGATCACTGAATGATTGAAAAACAACGTGATTTTGATATAGTTGCAACATTATGATTGTTATTTGTAGGCGTGGTAATAAGCACTGGTTTTGTTATAGTCAAGCTTTGATTTGCTTTTTGTTGTTTAGCAATGAGTATTATTTGTATTTGCTTGAATGTGAGGTAGGGATGATGGTTTGACAGGTGACAGGATGGTGGTTATATATCTTTTTCTTTTGTGTCATCCTTTGTCGGGGTTAATTTATCCTTAACCCCTTTTGATCATCATCAAGTTTTTTTCCTTCGTTTTCTCCGTACATATCACTTTCCTCGGCGGAAGCGAAGAAAATTATGCATGTCAAACCGAATGACTGAGCCCGAAAGACAGTTTATGTGCCTTGAAAATCGTCTGGCTCAGCCGATAAACATGCTTACATCCGCGGTTTATTCTACATACGCGTAGAAGGTTAAATAATCGCGGGCCTGAGTCATTTTTTGGAGGAAAGGTCCGGTTACTCATTCTTTATAGCCGGCCAGCTTAAAACGCGCAGTAGAGAACACGCACACACAAACGCGTGCAACCCTGTCCGCGGATAAGCTTTTAGCTCTTCGCCCATATTCGGACGTAGGAACGGGCCGTTGATTAGATGTAGATGTGTGGCGAAATTACACACACACACCCCTACGCTTACGCTTACGCCGCCCGGTAAGTGTGGAATTAAGTTCCGCTCTTATGTGCGCCGCGCAATGCCCTACCTTAAGGAATGCTTCTTTACTCCGAGAATGAAAAGAAGTCTAACGGAATTAAGGAATGTCGGCGTTATCAAACGTTTAATACATTGATGACTCTAGAGGGATGACACAACGTATATCCGCTTGCGTACTTTCAACGAGTCATCCTCTACTACACAACAGGTAATCCAATCGTACCTGCTTTAATACATTCATTTCTCCACATTCTGCATGGAAGGACGTCGAAATAGATCATACTAATCTCCGTACGGGTCCACCTTTCCATCTTCCCGATTCCACGTGCTCTTCTAGTAGTTGGGATACTAACTCAGCATGATGAGGAATGAATATATGTTTGTTTGTAAGGGCAGGAGGTGGAGGAGAATACCATAGATAAATATAGAGTTATATACGAACAGCACAACAGAATATACGAGAATCATAACATGAGAAAAGTGCTGAAATGAGAAAGATATCATGAGAAGAGTGTGAAATAAGGTTCAATTATGAAAAAAGTGTATCAGCTTAGCCTATGGGGTTGCTGCTTGTCTGGATTGGCTACGAGTACGACCTCGTGGAGGACTTGCATTGCCCGTGACCATGTTTGTAGCTAATTGTTTTCCCACTTTTTCAACCTTTCGAGCCTTTTGACGAGCTTCTGAAGCTTTTGCAGAAAGTTCTTCAGCATAAGCCTTACAAAGGTCTGTTTGTCGCAATTCCATCATAGTGAGAAAGGAATTCATTGTGTTTGGCCAAATATTCATGTTTATCAGCCTCCTTATGTAACGCTTGAGATGTTTGATGAGGAATGGTATTAGACGCTGCAATTGTTTGATCAAACAATGTATTGAAGGTACAAATTGTGATCAAAAGGATCATGGAAAGGATTGCTTTGCAAACAGCCATTTTGAAAATTAAAAGTGATAAGGATTTAGAAAAAGGTGTTTTAACACTTTTTACTTGTATTCATATGTTTATCATACTAGAAATTTTTCAAAACAAAAATAAAACTGATGAACGGCGTTGTGTAAGTATGCCATACAAAAGACGGGTCGTCAAAGCGATGCAATACGATTCTTGTTGATGCATCGTTTCACACAAAACGGAATGCTACTACAAAAGCTTTGATATTTGTTGTCTTAGACAAGCTTTGAAAAAATCTGTTAACGCAAAAGCTGTGAGAGAATGACTAAGCCTCAAAAAATTGTGTTACACAAAAATGAAGTATTCGTTGCAGTTATAAAGGCATGACAATCCTTTGCAAATGCTTTTCAACGATGATGGTCTTCAGTAGGGGCTCAGAGGAGCACTTCTGAAATCGAGCAGAATAAGGAACGAAAAGAGATGATACAATAGCCATGCCTTTTGCGTAAAAGAAAGTCTGAACAGGGCAGTACACTTTTTGATGAGCCAAACGCTATTCGGGTCTTCAACGCCATTCACAAAGTAGACAAATTTGCAATGTCGTATTTTCTTACAAGGCGGTACACTATCCTCATGACCCGAACAGCGTTTTTGGTATGCTCACCTCACAAAAGAGGTTGTATACACTTGTAACGCAGAAATTAAATTAACTTAGGGGCTTATGATATTTACTGTGCTACATGACATTGAAGGCATTTATGTGTAATCTTTATATCGTCATGCCCCTTCAGCGTTCACGGTAGCACACAAAGAGCTGTGTAGCAATAGCACTGCAATGCGTACTTCATAAGCCTCGTTATGCAAAAATGCAAATTTGCAATTGCCATTCTGGATGATCTGAATTATCCTAAAACGAAAATGACGTATACGTTTACTCCCATACGGTTATCTAGACAAAATGTCAGCTTATCCTGTACTCAAATCATCTTCAATGATACTCTTAATCACGACAAGCATCGTTCTTCAGCTTTTCGGTGTAACCTTGGCATTAAACTATCGTCCCGCACCATTAGATTATTCATCACCCAAGAAAACAGCTCAAGCACTTACTTCGCGAGCTGATGATGTTTCATACGCTTTGATTAGTTATTCATACAATTTTGCACTCAATCCAAACAGAGGATGGCACGGTAGTGTGGGACATAGATTGGAGCAAACAGCTCAGCATTATGATAAGAAAGCAGCTCAAGTGGGTAAATTGGCAAAACAGTTGGAGACGAATACCGTTGCGGGTAAAGCACCTTCACCGCGAGCTCGTACTAGAAGCCAAACCAGAAAAATGGCAGCACCATATAATCAAAAGCAGTATTGGCAATCTTTCAACGTAAACCTTTTCATACTCGACAAAATTCTTACTCATACTAGCGTAACCGATATCTTTAGACCTTTCTACTTCAATTTATTCAGCCTTTCTTTTTATTTATTCCTTGTCCGTTTTTTTCTTTCATACCTCTTATAAGTCAATTCGATGGAACTATCTTTCCAACTTTTAGATGACGATAGAGTCTTTTTACAAGATTTATGTACAGGTGTAGCAGCGATGCCGTGAGTACTATGCTTTACCTTTCTTCGAACAAAGCAAAGTAAGATTCAGAACTTTCGGCTTTATTGCAGATCTGAGCCATGATCGGACCGGACTGAGAATGATAAGATCAAGCTGATCTGAGTCACGAGCGGACCGAACTGAGAATGTTCTTAGAAGCTGTACAAAGTGATGTAACACATTTGCGTTTAGTTCGAGACGGCTGAGATTGCCGTTGGCTAGCGTAAAGCTAAAAAAAAGAGAAGGTCTTGCAGCTTCAGAAGTTGGGCAGAGTACGTACGTATGTATGTAGGCATCATCATTTATTAGCGTATGTGGAAGATCTGCAGCTTCTCCGCAATTCTATTCCCCGCGATGTGATGATGATTTCACCGTAATCTATGAATAAGAAAGCTATATAAAGACTGTTTAAGTCATTCCCTCCATCTCACAATTTCCCGCATCTCACAAGGGCCTACAAAAGCTGAAACCACGCAAAATGGTGATGATCAAAACAATCTTGCTCTCAGGGCTTATCATCAAAGCTTGCTGGGCCGCTGCGTTGAAAGAACAATCACAAAACACAATTCATATACCTTCAGCAGATCAAAGTCATCCCTTGCTAAATGATTGGTTCGGTTACTCTATCGAACCAACTGCGATGGGACCTTATGTTGAGAGCAAGATAGCATTCAACATTCTTGAATCAATCGAAAAGATTATCGGACAATCTGCTCCTATTCGTGTTGGTGGAACAACTGCAGACGAGTTCAGATTCGCAAAAAGCGTGAATAATACAAGCGACTTACAGACCTTACCTGCAAGTGCAGAATCTATGAACAATCCCGTTCAATTGATCACACCAGAATGGTATAACACATGGAAAGATTACTTTCCTCAGAGCACATATTTCATTTATACTCTCAATTTCGCCAATACAACGAATAATTGGGAAATAGCAAAAAACGAAACAGACTTGGTCCTGGAAGCCCTCAAGAGCAAGCTGCACAGGTTTGAATTGGGAAACGAGATCGATCACTATATCACAGAAGGTTGGCGTAAACAAGGCTGGGATGTTGCACGATATGTTCCGCAATATCGCAATCTCACAGCAGACTTGGAAGGCAGGAAATCCTTCAAGCAAGCAAATCCAATGCCTTTGTTCCAAGCTGGCGTGATTGCTGATCCTCCTCTCGTGCCTGATCAACAGGACGAAGTTGATGATTTTAGTATTTATAACCTGACGACCAAAGGACATTTGACGAATAGTAATCATTCAATCTCATCGTACGCCGTTCATTTATATCCTCAATCAAATTGCGATCCTGAACGTATTGCTCGACTTTCTTTAGATCTGCTTTCTAATCATTCAGTCTTGTACAAAAATGTATCACAGTAAATTCCTCAACAAGAAGCTGCTCAACGTGCAGGTGCACCATTGGTGTTCGGAGAAACAAATAGTGTTTCTTGTAGCGGAAAGAGTGGAATAAGTGATACGTTTGGAGCAACTCTTTGGACGTATGATTATGCCATGATGTCTGCAAGTCTAAATATTCCACAAATCTTCTTCCATCTTGGTGATCAATCTGAATACTCAGCTTTTACACCTTTACCGTATGAGTACAAAGGTGAACAATTACAAGCAGGTATTCGTGCAAATCTGTATGGTCACTTGTTTGCTGCATACACTCTACAAGGCTTGAATGGTCATGGAACCGTAAAAGCACTTACAGATGCCAATTCGTCTGATTTGAGCGGATATGCAATTTATGACGGTAACAAATCCCTGAAAAAGGTTGCTTTATTGGACATGGGCGTATGGAATAGTACTGAAGGAACTGCAAATCCTTCAACACTCTCAAGTGCTGATTCTCATAGTTCAAGTCCAGGCAATCGACCAAGTAAACAATTCAACATCCAAACATCATGGAAGCAAAACTCAATTGTGAACCTCCTTCGCTTGCAGGCTCCAGGCACAAACGCCAAGAGCTTAGTCAATGTTTCTGGTCAAACGTTTGACACAAAAACAGGTACACTGGGAGCAGCACCAAAAGCAGAAAAAATCAAAGTGAACAGAGATGGAACAGTGTCAGTCACCCTCAAACAAGCAGAAGCTGTGCTATTGTCGGTTTGACAGTGGGATGTAACGTCTACTTCAGCATGATAGGAATAAATACGTGATCTTTTAAGATGGCAAGAGGTGAATAAGAGTGCTATCGATAATAATTGTAAGGCTCGTGGCGGAGTCATATACGAATAGAACGATAAAGAAAAGGCGTGAAACATATCATGAAAAGAGTGCATAACGAGAATCAGCTATCACAAAAAGCGGTTCAGCTGAGCTTATGGGGCTGCCACCTGCTTGGATTGGCTACGAGTACGACCTCGTGGAGGGCTTGCATTGCCAGCGACCGTGTTTGTTTCCAACTGTCTACCCAAGTTTTCAACTTTTTGAGCCTTTTTACGGACTTCAATAGCTTTATTATGATGTTCGTTAGCCCATTCCTTACGCAAAGGTCTCCATGATTTGATTCCATCATAACCAGAAGCAAGACGATTATATTCTGCTAAAGCTGCATGTTTATCAGCCTCCTTATGTAAAGCTTGAGACGCTTGAGATGGATTGGTAGATGCTGCTATTGTCTGATCGATCAGCGTAACAAAGCTGTATGTTGCGATCAACAAGATCAATGAAAAGATTGCTTTAAAGGAAGCCATGTTTAGTCGGTGAAAAAGATGAGGATTCAGAAGCAAAACGTAAAGCACTTTTTTACCTGCTTTTATATAATTTGACATGATACTATGAATTCCTGTACACAATTGTTGATCAGCATTGTGTGTAAGAATGCTAAGATATAAACGGGTCGTCAAAGCGATGATTTCTGATACGTCATTTTACGCAAAATGGACTGCTACTACGTTATCCGTTGATACTTGTTGTTCAGACAACCATCAAATCGAACTTTGCTACCGCAAAAGCTGTGAGAGAGCAATCCAGTCTCGAACTCTGCATTACACAAAAGCGTTATCTTTGTTGCAGCTGTTGCAGCTGTAAAGGTCCGATGGTCTTTTTGTCTTTGATAGGGGCATAAAGAAGCATTTCTGAACATCGCTGAGCAGAAGATTGAACAAAAAGTGATGATACGGTAGCGAAGCGCATTGCGTTAAAAAGGGATAAACAAGGCGATACAATCCGAACGCCATCCAGGTCTCCAACGCCATACACAAAGCTAGGCCCCTAGAAGGTAGTGGATTATCCTCGTGACCCGAGTGGTCTTCTTCGAGCTATGAGTATCATCGCCTCACAAAGGAGTTCTGTCTGATAAAGGGATGCATTGTGATGTAACGTTCTACAATTGTCTAAAGGTTACATGCAATGCCGGGTATTGCATTATTGATTTTATTCGCGAATTGATGATTATACGAAGTGATACGTTTTACTACACAGCCTGTGTTGCGTCGATTTCGATGGCAGGAACAATGCTAGCCATAAATTTGAGGAAAATGAGCAGGTATTGATCAACACGGAGTCCTTCCACCTCGGTTGTCTGACCTTCTTCATCCCCTCCGGCCGTGTTGGCAGGTGATTCCGTATTACCCGTACTCGCCGAAGGAGTCTGAACACCACTTTCTGGCGTACCGCTACCTCCAGCTGATTCTTTGCTACCCGAAATCTTCTTCATCGCTCCGCCTAATCCCCATCCTTTTTTCTTCTTTGTCGCTGAATCACCTGAAGCTGAATTGCTGGCCTTCTTCTGTTCTTCGATCACGCTTGCATTCATCCTTTCAATGACTTTCTTCATCACGCTTGCATGTTTGCATGGGTGAATACTTGCTGTGCTCAAATTTCCATGAGGAAATGGTTCAACAGTGACAGTCTTTTGGGCATAATCGCTGCTTACGTCTTCAAAAATTTCTGCCGGCTTGAGAGGTTGTCCTGATTCATTGTATCCTACCAACCACATCCTTGGTGTTTGATAATATTTGTCATATGTGATCAAGCAATCATATGTTCGAACAGAGATCAGCTTGCTAACCGTTTGACCTCCCGCAGCAGATGCTGTGCCCTGCTGAGAGGTTGTCCCTCTATGTACATTTGCAGTTGCCGGATCGTCCGCTTCCACTACACCTTCGCCCAAACCGCCCAATTCATCATCTTCATCGTCCATGTCTGGTATATCACCGATCTCAGTGCCGGTATTGACGTCATCATCACCTTTCCCAGCCCCAATTATTCCGCCTTGTGACCCTGCTAAATGTGTTCCTGCCACCCTAGATGCCAATTCATCTTCTTCTCCTGGAGTTAAGGATGCCATTGGAGGTTCTGAATCTGGTATATCTGCAATATCTCCTGCGACTGCCGTATGCGATGGGTCGTCATCCAAATGTGTTGCAAGCCAATCATCTTCTGTTCCCTTTCCTGCTACCTCGTCTCCATCATGACCTTCGCCGAAATTGAGTAATCTTTCATCAGTTTCACCACTGTTGCTTTGACCTGTTTTTGAACTTGAACCTAAAGCAGCTTTTTCCATTTGACTTACTCTACGTAAACAAGGCACTCCACGAGAGATTAGATATTGTTTATCGGAAGGCAAAAAATCTCGGGTATATTTCGCATCGCTTGAAGAGGCAGAAGACCATGTCCATGTTGGAAATTTGTATGTCAAGAAATCACCAGCGGCAACGAATTCCTCTGGGAGACGTTGTGAGAAGAAGTGGTCAGTTAGTCTGTGTCAGTGTGCTCGGTCTTCTTCTCACTTACCTGGTGTGATTCGACCATGCTCTTTGAACTTTGATTCTCGTAAAACGGGAGCTAGATAATCACGTACAGCCCAAAAATGGGTCTAGAGAGAGAAAAGGATTAGCAAGACATGTGATGTGACAAATAGGAGAGATACGTACCTGAATCGTATTCATCACAGGCAAGCCTAGCAAATCTTCTTTTGTTTTCAGATAGGGAGATCGTCTAGAAGAGTAATAACGAGGGCGCTGCTGGAATCAATCAATCGTCCATTGAATAATTGAAAAGACGTCTTTTGCAAGCTGAGCTGTTTAGAGTGATGTATGAAATGAGTTACTTACTTACGGACCGGGCACGGCTTTATCGTCATACACAAGCACAGCACACACTGTCGGCGCCGTAGATTACTGTAATGTCAAGAATTACAATGTATGTGTATTGGCTAATTTAAGGTTGACGACGTGGAGTTTTGGTTGTATTGAATCTGGGCGGCGAATTGTATTTGGAATATATTGATTGTGTATTAAATAAATACAAAAATGGCATCATACTTTGGCACAAAAGGCGGAAGGCCTATTTACTCAGGCGGTACGCCCAAGCCCGAGTTTTGCGTATTAATTGGCACAACACTCAGGCAGACGAGCAGCACATATGCACCCCGCTGTGCTGTGCGCCGCCCTGAGCCGACGAGTTCTAGAAATAGCATATATATATGATAAGACTTTGTTAAAGACGATTCATTTTTATCATTCCTATCACCACAACCTCGTCTTTCACTCATTCCATCTTTTGGAAGAGCAAGACTGGTCACTCATCATGCACGATCCTCGTCCAACTTTGGGCTCCACAGCAAGTAGTGGCAGTAAAGCTGGGCCCAATCACACACTCTCGATGGATGACCCTTTAAGGAGAACAGGCGCAAATCATGAGCCAACAGAGATGGCTGGAATCAAAGATGGCATTGCTCTTTCACCCGAAGAAGAGCGCTCAAGTCAGCGTAATAGTTTATTGAGATCACACTCATCACTCTCCAATGCTGTTCGTTTGGATATCAAATGCCCTTCATTAACCGGATCATCAGATTCCTCAATCTTGACAGTCTCAAAGACTAGTACCATCGCCCAAGTCAAGCAAACCGTTGAACAAACATGGCCAGGTAAACCAAGAGCTAGCGGAATGCGCTTTTTTAAAGCAGGTCAAACCCTTTCCGACGAAATGATTGTTGGGAATATCGTAAAGGAGGAAGACAAAGATGAGCCTACTCCTGTCCATCTCGTTATTCGTCCAGATGCGTGGAAGCAACGTTCTCCCACCAAAAATGCAGCACCATCAACGCAAACAACCTCAACTCGACCTTTGGCATTCGCTTCCCAATTGACGCCAAAAATTGATACCCGCTCTTCCCAGACATCTTCGCTACCTTCGATCGCCTTGCCATCATCTCAGCTATTGCAAGATCATGCAGCAACTGTAGACCGTAGTCGTCATTTGGCAAACATGGTTGAAAATATGGATCCATCGCAATATGACACATTCCGCTCACTCATCTCTTGGACGTATGCTCGTTATGTCGACATATACGAGAAAGAATGGAATGCAATCTATGGCGATAAAAATGCTCATGTTGGAAAAATTGGAACAGAGCTATCGGAACTAGCAGCTGGAATGGGATGCTCACTTGAAGAAGTGAATCTCTGTATTGATCAGTTGGAACGTGATGTACTCTTATGGGATAGCGTTGACGAAGCTTTCTCCTATGAGGCGGTAAAGAATCCCTTCAAGTACAAGAATGTTACCATCGATGGACTTCCCTACCTTTTACGGGTTGAACAAAGCCCTCAGTCCGAACGATTGCGCTCATTGCACAGCAGAATTGAACAGCTTCGTCTTCTCTATCACCAAATCGAGAAGCTAATCAATTACCACTCAATTTTGGATCGTGCTGTGCCAACATCCGCTCACATTGCGAGCCCAGACGTTTTGGCCGTTCGTGGAAGTGGGTTGCATCCCGTTGGCGGAGCAATGGTTGCGGCTCATCAAGCACAAGCTATTGACAGAGCGATCTTTAGAAATCGATTCGTAGGTTTACAACGTGAGGATTGGTTTGGCGTTCTATTTTCGACCTTTTTTCTCACTTTGAAGATTGGGTTGCTCGTTTACGTTTTCACAAGAGGCGCTTCACCTGCAAAGCAAAAGTATATGGTCGGTTTTGCATCTTTGTACATCCTGTATGAAGGCTATCGGGGTTTGATGAAACGAGTGCAAGTTCGAAGACGTGCTATCAGACGTGCGCTCGGCAGAGACGGTACAAATGAAGGCCGTCCAAACGCTGCAAATGCAGATAATAATCGAACAAACAGACAACAAGATACACCACCAGACTCGCCTGAAGGTACGCAAAATTCAAATCAGCAAGACGTCACAGTCCCACCAGCACCGAATCGTTATACGGTATTTTCGCCATTCTTGCTGGAATTTTGGATTGAGAGACTTGCTTATTGGCGCATGAGGGAAGAAGATCGCGAGATGGGTTTGAGAATGTCAACAGGAAATCGAAACAGAGCACATCCTGTTCAACATGATCCTATGAGCAAGCTAGTTGATGTTGTGAATGATTGTATTCTCATGCCTGTCATTCTTTTCATTAGCACATTGATCCCTGAGATCGAACAGAGGAGGAGAAGAGCGATCGATCAACGTGATGAATTGATTCGCTCTACTGCTCGAAAAGTGGAAGAGCAAGAACGTAGATTGCGAGAAGAAGAAGACAAGCAATCAAAAGAAGGTCCAGATGGCAGTGCTAAAGATTCATCCGAATCTTCGAGCAAGGTAAACAATAGCACACTAAATGCGTCCACTACCTCGGTTCAGATCCGTCAGCCTGCCTTACTTCGCAGCCGATATGCGCAAAGAATCTTGGATGAAAGAAGATCAGAAGGCAGACAGATTGATATTGCCCAAGAATTAGAGGCAGCTGCCGCTGCTGCGGCTCGAGAAGATGGAGAAGGAGCGATGGAACAAGCAGATATGGGTTTCATTTGAAAGCGCGAAGCTGTCCTTTTCTCACATCATAAAACATACTGTATTTATACTTTTCACTTTATTTACCCCTTTATGACCATAGAGATTTACCTAATCTATACGATTGTCCATCAGCGAAAAGATTAAAAAAGACAGGTCTGGATTCCCGATCTGCGCCCGATTCTAACAAACAATTTGACGCTTTTCACGCTTTTAATGTTGGGGCTAATAAGGCTCGGTAAAGAGTAAAAATTGTGTGCGGGGGAAAGATTTTTGTTTAGTGCGTTTTAGAGTGGTGATTTACCTCCACTGTCAGAAGGAACGGAAGAAAAAAAAAGTGTTAGCTGCTTGCTGTATTCAATGCATACATCCGACAAGCACGCTCCTTGGCTCCTGGTATACCGTTCAGTCCCGTCCACCAAGAAGTCTTTCAAGCCATGTTCGATCAAGCTTTCGAGCAATTGGCAGCATCTACTGGTACGCCAGTAGATTATGTCAAGGTGAGTAAAAGAAGTGACAGCGCTCATATCATGCAAGAAGGTTCACCATACTGACTTGTCTCTTTGCTCTCTTAGCTCTTTTCGCTTTTCCTCGTGTCCTATCCATTGGCAATCCCTTTGGCATACTTACCTGCACGAGTCAAGCATACCGTCAATATCAGCGTGACAACGTTCTATCTATATGGAATCTTGCAACTCAAGCTCAGTTACCTGCAGGTTTTGGCCAATTGTTTGATCACATACTACATCACCAATGCCAATGTAGGAGGTGCGAAGAATATGCCATGGATCGTGTTCATCTTTCAAATGGGTCATTTAACCATCAATCATCTGGTAAGAGCGTTTGGCAACATTCCTCTAACCACGATCGAAATCACTGCAATGCAAATGGTTCTTTGTATGAACTTAACAAGTTTCGCTTGGAGCGTTCATGATGGAAAGAATCGCAATTTGGAAGAATGTGACGAACAGCAAAAATCACACAGAATTACCGAATTTCCTGAGTTGCTTGAATTCTTGGGATATGCATTCTACTTTCCCGGTGTCTTGGTCGGACCATCTTCTCGCTTTACCGATTACAGAGCATGGGCTAGCGGAGATCTGTACAAGACTAAAGACAAGCTTCCTCCGTCTGGACGTTTCGTAGCCGGGTTGACAGAGCTGACACTGGGATTAGCATTCATGGGATTTTGGTCAGTCTTTACGCCAAAGTACTACTATGATGCACTTCTGCTGCCAGCGAACGATCCAGAGAGTGCATTGCGATTGAGTCCATTAGCCCGTATCTGGTATGTGACCATCGTCGGTATCACTGCTCGTACAAAGTACTACGGTATTTGGAACTTGACGAACGGTGCATGCATCATTTCTGGTCTTTCCTACAATGGCATCGCAAAGGATGGACAAAGTTCAAAATGGGATCGATGCAAGAACATCAATGTGAGCGGAGTGGAATTTGCCAATAATTGGAAAGAACTTTTGGATAATTGGAATATGAACACGAATGTCTGGCTAAGGAACAATGTCTACAAACGTGTTGCTCGTCCCGGAAAGAAGCCTGGATTCAAGAGTACGATGATGACTTTCCTTACCAGTGCATTCTGGCATGGCGTTGCTCCCGGATACTACTTTACCTTTGTTTTGGGAGGTTTGTTGCAATCGGTTGGAAAATCAATGCGTGCACATCTTCGTCCGTTTGTGTTCGCTAATGTACGCACACCCAACCCAACTTACTCAAGTGTGACAAAATACACGCCCAAACAATTGATCTACTGTACCCTTTCTGTGGTCTTTGTTCAATTGACCATGAACTTTGCCGCAATGCCTTTCATGCTTTTGGAAGTCGGAAAGAGTTGGGCAGGATGGAAACATCTATACTTTTATGGTATCGTTGCTGCTATTGCGCCTATGATCGCTTTCCGAGCAGGACTCGGTCGTGCTTTAGACAACCTCTCTGGCGTTACTGCAACCAAGAAGCGTGAGAGACAAGAGCGTGAAAAGATGGCAAGTCCAAGCAACGGTAATTTGCAAGTGCCAAACGTTGATGCTGTGGAAAGAGAGGCAATCAAAGCAGGTCAAGAAGCAAAAGAATCGATTGAAGGTACAATCGAAAAACACACAAATTAAAAAAGAGTAGGGAAAGTCAAGGATACCTATAAAGAAGAGTCCCGACAGACTAACTATAATGTCAGATTAATAACAGAAGAAACCTTAATACCATAGACATGAGAATTATCAGCGTGCATGCGACTTTTATTGCGATCCGGTGCATTATACAATACAGTATGATAGTCTATAGTCTAATTGTTATGATGAAGATCCTGCCGTGATCACCCTCTTTCGTGTTGCTACAGGACCATTCGTTCCGCCATCGGATAGAAAAGTGGAACAATAAAAGATGAATCCAAACAATCCCGTTACTTGCATAAATCGTACCAAGTGACTAGATGTTTGACCGCTTTGATCATACATAGATGAAGCCGCATCTCCCCTTCTCGTTCTGCCATCTCCTCCACTATTTTGCTCTTCATACCTTGCTTGCATTGCTGCTTCACGTTTACGTTGTTGTTCAGCCAATCTTTCAAACATCGATCTATCCTCTGCCGCTGAATTCCCGTCATGTTGATAGTGGGTCCTGTATGTGCTATCAGATCCCATTCCAGCTCTTTGTCCACTTGCTGATTGCGAAGAAGCATTTGCCTTTTTAAATGCTCTAGCTGCATTTCTTCTTTGATAATCCCATGCATAACTCGCCGTTGCTCGTCTTTGCAAATTATCACTATCGTATCGCATCCCTGCTCCTCCTCCTCCACGTCGTGCTCCAAATCCGGTAGAAGATCTTTGTCGATCGTATTGTTTTCTGGAAGATTCATTACCCAAAGTAGCATAAGCTTCACTAACTTGTTGAAATTTTACCTTACTTTCTTCTGATCCTTGATTAACGTCAGGATGCCATTGTTTACTAAGTTTATAAAATTGTTGTTTGATATCCTTTTGATTTGCACCTTGTCCGATCTCTAAAATTTTATAGAAATCATCCTCTCCTACCCTTGCATTCGTACGAGCAGAAGTGCGGAATTGGCGTATAGAAGGTGATCGTGATTGGTTGTTGAAACAAGATGCTGATATTGTAGATCCTGAAGATCCGGACGGTAAAGAGGAATTCGTCCAAGTGCAGGAAACGAAGCCTCGTCTTAGAGCTGACATACTTCTGCTATGATGTTCTGCAATCCTCCAATCCTGACTTTTCTCAAAAGTGTGCCTGCACGACCTTTTAGGATAAAGCGATTACCAGCGATTATAACGATAACACAGATTAGGAAGATAGTTTGAATGATAAAGACAGAAGTAAGATGTCAAACTGATGAAGTAAGCGAAGATTTGCCATCTGTGTTAGGGTACACTGGCAAGATGCCTAGAGTTTCGCACAATCCTCCACTAAAGGCTCATGCTCACGCGATCATCTTCTGGTCTCCCCGCATCTCTATCTCAAAACCTTGCATTCAAGAAGTTTAAAAAATGAAATACACACGTTAAATGCTCTACTGTACATCTTTATTCTACATCTTGAATTCTCTTTGAGATCGGTATTCGTAAAACATCGAGATCCCAATATTTTCTTAGGATTCCATTCCATGTTTCGCTCGTTGTGCTTGGCCTAATGTCGTACCATTGTGTATCTAATCCCATCTCCCTCAAGTCCAACTCAGATACACGTGTGTATATATCATACAGGAATCGATTCGTGCCTGCTAGACCATGGAAGAAGGAGAATCGAGCGTTAGGGTTGGACTCATCCAAGAGATAGGGTACCTCTTCGAAGAAGTCACGCAATTCACCATATCCTTGAGCATATGTGTCCCAATAAATCACATCAAACAGCTCCCCATTGGCTAATTGATCTAAAGCATCCTCCCATTTTGCATGGATGAGTTCCACTCCAGGTTTCTCATGCCAGCCATTCTGACGAGCAAATGCAATAGCATCAGGATGTGCTTCAACAATGACATGTTTACTAGGCTTGTATTGTTGAAAGAATTCGTCCACAATTCCCAATCCAAATCCAACATTTAAGATTTTGAGGCCTGTTATCGGCTGTCCTGTCTGCTGATCTGTGCATAGAAGTGTTGCGGTCTTTTGCATCACATCTGTTTCCCATGCTGCCATTACCAATCCTCCATCTTTGTCCATACATCTCATCTTTCCTTCACCATCTTTGACGAACGTCAAACGAGATTCGAGGAAACGATCATTTTGCGCAGATACTTCTCCGCTAGATTCGGTCACCTGTAATTTCAAAGTTGAGGATTCTCCATTCTCACCAACTTGAACTCCTTTCTCGCCCTCGCCATCTTTTGCAGTTGCTCCATTGGCACCTGGATCTCTTGATGCTGATTGTGCTAAAGCTTTCCTGTCCAACAGGTTCAGTACGAGTGTTTGACGTACACCTTCTTCGAATAAGATCCAATAAATTTCATCATTGTTCAAAGACCATGCATAATCAGCCGGAGTGAAACCCAATTCATCAATTGCGTTCCATATTCCTCCTCGTCTAAGTAACAGCTTGACAATGTCACTATGACCTCCACTGACTGCGAAATGTAAAGCGTTCCACCTCAAATGACTTTCGTCTTCCCACCATGCATCCGCTCCATTTGTTCCATCTTCATCATCGTTCAATAAAGTTTCGCATTTAGTGATGTTTCCATCTCCTGCAGCGATGTGAAGTGCTATGTTTCTGGCAATCCGTTCTTCTGGCATCCCATCTCCATCTTGATCCATAGCTTGAGCTTCGTCTGCTTCTACCATCTTGGTGTTGATGTTGTTGTGACAAACGAAAGTAGATAAGATTTTTTCAGAAGAAGTGTTGTTCGGAAAATTAAAATTTAGCGCGATCCCTTGACTGCGCTACTGCTTGTGCATGTCTGCTCTCACAACCAGCATCTTCTATAACAAAACAAGGTGAACGATAATAAAATAATGATTGCACTTCAATAGAAAGCATAATATACATCACTTCTTAAATAGACAAGGATCCCAGTCTCTTGTCTTCTTTTTACGTAATCTTCAGATCAATCCATGTTTGATCAATGTTGCTCTCCAAACTTCACTTTGCGCTTTTTCCAATGCCAATTCACGTTGCAACGCTTTTTTCTCCAAATTGGCTTCATTTCGTTGCGATTTGGCTTGTCTGATTTCAGTTCGAAGTTTGACAAGCTGTTCATCAACGGATTCCAGCTGAATGTCATCGTACATCCTGTCCAATTCTTCATTGAATGCTTTGTGTAATTCTGTATTTTCCAAACGTCCATCACGTTCCAAGGAAACCAGTAATTCACACTTTCGTTCCACATTCGCTAATTGTGCTTGCAGCTTTTGCACTTCATCTGCTTTGAACTCCGCAGATGGTGCACTCGGTAATTGAGCAGGCTCCGCAGAGTTCCATTCTTTCATCGATTTACGCAACCGTTGAATAGCATCATCCGTTGATTCAAGTTCGGTGAAACAATCATCAATCTGATCAATCGCTTCTCTACCGCTACTCAAATCATTCCGTGCATTCGCAAGAATCGATTGTGTATTTTCACACGCCCTTTGCAAGCTATCCAAATCACGTTGAATCTTGTGCATCATTTCCGATCGATTCGATTGTCTTGGTTGACCACGATCTTTGCGAATACTCAAAGGTTTCACACTTCCTACCCTGCTCTTTGCATTCACACTTTCATTTCGCATTGGCGTTTGTGGAGCAGATGCATAATTTGTAGGCGAAGGTGAAGGAGGAGCAGAGATGGCCTCATCATCATTAGTCAAATCACCATTCACGCTATCATGTCCGTGTGCGATCCGCTTCGCCGGTTTGGCAGTTGGCGTTGCATCGACCGGAACTTCACGTTTGGATCCAGAAGGTACTCGAACGGGAGTTCTATCAGCTTGTGGTACTGGTTTGCGACGGACGGGAGAATTTGCGCCTTCTCTTCCGCTTGGTGAATGTGAAGGCGATCGCATAGATGCATCTGAACTCAATACCGAAGTCTCATTTCTTGTCGGTGTCGCCATTTCTGCATTGGATCCGGGCGACATATTTCTGTATCGTTCGATGTTGGCTTGCAGATCGTTCACTGGTGTTCCTGGACTTCCATTTCGTTGATCTTGCCTTCCATTGACGGAATATTGCAGCATATCTCTACTACCAACGCTACTCGTATTGGCTGTAGAATAGGTCTTTCGAGTGCTGACAGATGCATTTCGGGTATACTGACTGCTTCCCTTACTTCTCGTCCTTTTCACTCCGAAAAAGTCTGATCCTGTAGCAGCACTGCGGATACTACTTGGAGTACCGAACAAGCTACGTCCAAATTGTTCCAAACCAGATGCAAGTGCTCTACCGCTACGATTAGTCGAACCTGGAGTTGTTGGACTGCCATGCCTTGGATCAAAGCCATCAAGTGCATTCCGATTGAGTTGTTTTGACGTTCGGAGCATCTCGTCCGAGAGACTGCTGAGTGACACTTGATGAAGTTCACCAGCATCGGCCACACTGCAATTGCTCTTATAAGAAGCAGTATAGGTACAAAAGGCTGTGTCTTCGTCCATAGAGTGAATGCGAACAGAAGCAGACGGTGGTGCATCTTCATACCCAAAAGGCAACGCATCTGCCTCTCCATCAGGATTGACGTGCAACACAATCTCAGATTTGTGTGTTTCGGCAAGATAACTTCTTCTTGCATAAACGTTCCAATAAATCACTCTTCGAATCTTGTCTTCGTTTGATGTGCTAGGCAAGATCAATGATCGAACATGACTTTTGTGCTCTCGAGCTTTGTATAGAGCTTGTGACCTCCATAAATTATCCAAAAATCTCGCTTTCTCTTGGCGAGCAAAAGCAGGATCAGGGCCTTGATTACTTTGCGCATCGACTGTTGCATATTGACGAACAGCCCTGCCAGCCCACTTATCACCAGAGATATGTGTAGGTGGACGCATAAACAACATCTGGAAATCAGGTCCTCCCATATCGATTGCTCGTACTTCAGAAACGTCAATTAAACCACGGAAGCCCAATTCGACCTTTGAAGGACTTTTAACGACCGCACTACGTTCAGTATATGATTTCATCTGATCTGCCAATTTGCTCAAATCGTCCAAACCGACCAACGATCTTCCGCAACTTGCCGAACTTGCCCGTTTTGCAATTGCAATCACATCGTCAAACAGGAATAATGTGCAATGAATCGTACGATAACCAGATGTTGTGGCTGAGCCTGGAGACAAGAGTGTGTTCATCGCTGATGGACCTAATACGTCAATGGGAAAATCATCAACATCGATACAGTCAATGTATTGTCGATGCACACTGATAAGTCCAGCAGGGAATCCATCCACATTTCGACTAAAGCTCCACAGTACAGCAGCACGCTTCGTTTTGTCATCAACTTCACAGCTGGCAATCCTGCCTGCCAAGACCACAGCTTGTTCCAATCTAGCACGATTTGGGTCGGCAGTGGGAAGGTTGCGTATCAGACCATCAAATAAGAGTGTATAGCGAGGAATTCGCTGAACCGGTTCCATAATAAGCTCACGTAAACCAATATTGCCCATTCCGGTGATGCTGTACTTTGTTCGATCGATAAAGTCGCGAAAGCCTCTGTTGTTTCGCATCATGCTCTGTTCGATATGTTTGGCCTTTTCGAAGTTGTTAAAGTACTCGTTGTAACAAGAGAAGCATGCGATATTTCGATAAATGATATCTCCAAGTTCACTGCCGCCTTCCTTCGTCTTGCCTTTCACGCGATCAGATAGGTATGTCTCCAATTCTCGCAGGAATGCCATGTTTGCACCTACAATTTCTCCAATATTGCCAAAAAGACGTTGCGATTCATACAAGGGAATAATTGCTGTATCCCTGTCCCTTGCCATTTGTCTGAGAGGGACCGCATATCGTTGATACAACACTTCAATCCTTCTCACATAACTCTTTTCTGTTTGTACCAATTCATGCAGCATAGATTCGAATTTCGTGCTGCATGCTGCACTTCTCTCCCCTTCAGGTCTTCGAGATGATGGAACAGCTGTTATGCTTGAGCCACTTGATGATCTCGTTAACTTTGATGCAGTATCCCCTTCAATGCCACCTGACTGGTCCAGTACAATACCTCCAAGATGCGTCAAGATTGCTTCCCCATGTTCTCCTTCGATGACAACATCATAATGCTCTGCTCTACTCAGCTGACTAAGATTTGGATTAGTCGCAGCTGCGGTTGGTGATCCACCTGGACTGGTACTTGGGCCGGCAAAGACTGCACTGGGAGCAGTTGGCATATGACTTTGTTCATAGCTTGCGCGAGGATCTTCGTTGGATCCTGTATTGAACCATTTCGTACTGCTCATACCACGAATTGGTGATCCAGATCGAGAAGGTGATCTAGATGATCGCTTAAAAGGCGAATGAGGTCTTGGAATCATGATTGCTTGTGAAGGTAAAGAAGAGAAGGTTCTTGTATTTCGCGCGTTTATCCTTTTTCTGTTTGCCTCTTTCTTTGTCTTTTGCAGACTATCTTTGAACTCTACCTCTCATGAAGAATTACGGATGTATGAGTGGCATACAGAGCCCGGACAAGGATGGTGTGAGAAAGTCTAGAATGTTCACAAATAAAATGAAAAAGACCAACACAAATGTCATTGTTCAAAAAGGCAGTTTTAAAGCCACTGAGAGAGAGAGTACACGGCATGCAGGCAAGCCTGTCAATTGTGTGCACTGCATTCAAACGCGCAAATTGTCAACCAAATATCGGACGCGCTTTCTCGCGTGTTATGCAGTCGTATCACGTGAAAATATATGGTACAATAATGATCAATTGATGATGAGCATCCCTATAAGGAAGAGGTTGCTTGGATAATACAATGAGGTGGATCAATAACAAGATCATCTGGGACTACTACTCCTTCCTCCTGGATATGATTGAGCTTGAACATTGCTAATCGCTGGTGAATTGCGTCCGCTATTGGGCAGATTTCCTCCTCCGATTCCTGATTTACGCACGCTAACTTGTCTTTGAACAGATGAACTACTTGTCGTGCTAACCCTCTTTGCCGCTCCTGTGACCAAATCTTTGATTAATCCGTTGTACATTTCTGCATCGGTAGAATGTGACTCTCGCTGAGATAGGTAATGAGTCAAAACTGTTGACGCTTGTCTTGTCAAAGCCTCTGTCTCTCGCTGTAATTCCCTTAGAGCAGGTAATCCCAAAAGTGTCAATTGATCTTCTGTCATTGCGACGATTGATTTTGCTCTTTGTGTGTCAAATTCAGGAGGTTTGTTGTCTCGTTCACGTGTTGATTTAGCACTGCCAACTTTACCGTCATTTTGACTGGTAGGTCCCGACTCTACTTCTGATCCTCTCGCTCCCCGATCAAGCTTTAGAGCCAATGGCGGTAGCGCTTTGGATCCATTTGTGTTGGTTGTGTTTAGCTCGTCCAGGTTGATCGGCACCCCGACGGCGATCAGGTATTGTCGCCTTGTCTTTGAACGCATCCAATCGACAGGTTTCAATTCTGGCTGTTTGGAAAGAGCAGACCATGCCGCCCGGCTTTCCTCTCTGACCAAGATTTGCGAAGGTCCATCTACCTGTCTGATCTGGTCTTGTGATAGCTGAGAAGCCGCACCGTCATGGAAAGGGTACGTGCGACCATCCGAAAGTGGAGCTGACAAGAGCTGACGTACATCGTTTGCTATCGAAGCTGATGTACTGTTCGGAGTGATGGCAAGAGGCTGCCAGCTTGATCCGCTCGCAAGTTGTGGTGCACTTCTGCTCTCTTGCTGAAGTGGCACTTCGGGCTGAGCGGGTGAGCCAAATTGATCTGTTTGTGCTTCTTCTTCAAATTCCCCAAAATCTCCAAAGTCATCATCATCTCCTTCGTCAGGTCCCTCTTTGAAATCTTCGAATGCGGCAAGATCTGATTTAGGTGTTCTGTCTTGAAATCCAAATGGTTCATCATTATCTTCGTCATCACTGATAAATGTATGCGGGTCATCATCCTGTTGTTCATCAGGAAAGTGCTTATCTCCGTTTTCGCTTTTATATCCTTCATTTCCTGTCAAAGCATCTTCAAATTCTGGATCAGCATGAGATTGTGATGGTGCTGTAGGTGTGATCGGCGCTGGTTTATCAAATGATGGCTGATCACCATCCGGTGAACCCCAGCCTGCATCGCCTAAATCGTCAAATAAGCGGGGTGCAGGTTTTGATTCTCTTCTTTCCAAAGTTGCCGGCCTTTCGCTACTTTCGCCAATTTCAATCTTTTGTGATTGTCCTACTCCATCATCGTCTATGCTTGCACCCCAAACGCCTGCCCCTTCATCTGCCATGATGAGATGTGATTCGTCTTGGTGTTATCTTGAATGATAGAGCGGAATAGACTAATATTAATAGAATATGACAAGTGCTGTGAGTTGGTGTTCCATTTCACACACACGTGGGATGGCGCCCTACAAGCGCGTGTGTAATTAAAGCCTATAAGAAGAATGGAGGAAATATGCAAGTCGACTTAAAATCTAAGAGGGGCACAACGTCAGTGCATTAATTCGAGGCAGTGTTGTTTGATGTGTTGATTTGCTTTACTCCTTTCTCATTTCACTACCACCGACAAATAGACATGATGGAATCTTTCCAAAGAAATCAGCAAAGGTCTGTACCTGGTGGCGTACGTGGTGACAACATTCGACCGATGCCCATGCCAATGCCGATGCCTCAACCTGTACAACCTCAACCTAATCAAAATGTTGTAGATTTGACCAAAGATGATGGCCAGCAACCTTTGCCTTCCTCTCGCTATTTGCAATCACAGACAGGCAGGCCCACTCCTGGACCAATAGCTTTCAAAAGATCTACCGGTATGAGCAATCCGAACAACCCCAATAGACCACAACCACAAGGACGCCAATTGCCTCCAAAGAATAAACATGCTGAGCCGTCTAAGATTCGAATGATCGATACAACAACAAATAAACCATCTGAAAAGGGGTCGAACTGGGATGCTTTTACCGACTCTCAACCTTCATCGCAGTCAAACTCTCAGCAGCGTCATAGTGCACGTCAATTCATGCGCGATGGAGCAGAAGTGGTCAAGCATGCACTCAAAGATGGATTTGCTCGTGCGCAACTTGCCTTAGAACAGGCCAATCACGGTCAGGCAAAAAACCCTCGCCCTTTGCCGTACTCCAATGGAGGATATCGTCCCAATCACAGTAGCCAGAATGGCAATGCATTCATCGTGAATGATGATGACGTCGATGATGATCCATTACCTTCTACATTTGGAGGTTCCACTATGACAGCTGAAGAGAGAGATCAACAACTTCAGGATATGTTGAACAGCATGGTCCTTCCTCCAGAGCTTGGTGACATTGACTTGGAAAAAGCAAGCAATGTGAAAGGGTTGAGCTGCAAGTTAATGCCTCATCAAGTAGCTGGATATCTCTGGTTAAAAGGTCGCGAAGGTGGCAAACATAAAGGCGGCATATTGGCAGACGATATGGGTTTAGGAAAGACTGTTCAAATGCTGGCTCTGATCGTTGGAAATTCGCCAAATAGCGAAGATACGACAATTACAAAAATTCGCATAGAGCCTGAAAAGACGACAAAGAAGAGCAAAAAGAAAGTCGTACCTGATTCGGATGACGCACCTGTAAAAGAAGAATCAGTTGAGATCAAAAGCAAGCAAACATTGATCATTGCACCTCTTGCTGTGATTCGACAATGGGAACGTGAAATTAAAGAGAAAACGTCGCCTCCGCTCAAGGTTCTCGTGCATCATGGAGCAACCAGAACGAAAACAGCAGATGCATTCAAACGTTATGATGTTGTGATTACAACATACCCCACAATTGCGTCAGAATGGAACAATGTTGCGGGAGTGGAAAAGCCCAAGAAGAAAGGTCAACAAAAGAAGAATGTCGTACCGGATTCGTCTGAGGAGGATGAGAGTGAATCTGATGATCAAGACAGTGATGATTCTTTTGAGGTGATAGATGCAAAGAAGAAGAAAGCCGCCAAAGCACCAGTCAAGAAGTTACCTCCTGCTCCTCTTTTCGACCATGACTGGCTGCGTGTTGTATTGGATGAAGCACAAAATATCAAAAATCATCGAACAAAAGCGTCTAGCGCTTGCTCGGCTCTCTCCAAACGTGCTCTGTCGAAATGGTGCTTGTCTGGAACACCAATTCAGAATGAAGCTTTGGAAATGTTCAGTTTGATTCGTTTCTTGGGCATTCCGCCATTTGATGAGTATGGACACTTCCGCGAAAAGATTTCTGATCCTCTCAAAAGTACGAATCAAAATCGTGTCACTTGGGGAATGAAGAGATTATGTGCAGTGTTGACAACAATCATGCTGAGACGAACAAAGGATACGAAGCATGACGGTAAACCGATTTTAAACCTTCCAGATCGACATGTAGAAGTCATTTCAACAGACTTTGAAGATCACAAAGAGAGAGACTTCTATAACGATTTGGAAAATCAAGTGAAGCGTAACTTGGAAGAAGCTGAGGGAGCCGGAACAAAGGTGAATCATATGGTGACCTTATTGATGTTGTTACGTCTTCGTCAAGCATGTAGCCATCCTTCACTTGTGAACCGTAATGTTCGAGTGGATGCAGGTGCAGCAAATGGACCTGCAATCCAGGCAAAAGCAGACGGACAAGGAGAAGAGCAAAAGGTGGATGATGACGACGATGGTTTGACTGAGCTTTTGGCAGGTTTGTCAGTTGCGTCAAAGCGTTGTGACAGATGTCAAAAAGAAATGACACGCGAAGAGATCGCCAAAGGTGGCGAGCATTGCAGAGTTTGTCAAGATAGAATCCAAGCGGAAAAGATGCAAGGTGGAGGAAAATCTGCTTGGACAGGAAAAAGCTCTACGAAGATTCGAACGATGTTGCGTTTACTGAACACGATTCGTGAAGAAGGAGATGAGAAGACGATTGTGTTTAGTCAATTCACATCTTTCTTGGATCTTGTGGAACCATTCTTGCGAGAAGAAGGACACAAGTTTGTTCGATACGATGGATCACTGAAACCCGAAGAACGTGAACGTGCTTTGGACCGTATTCGATCTGATCCAAGTATTCGATTGATTTTAATTTCTTTCAAGGCTGGTAACGTTGGGTTAAATTTGACATGTTGTTCGCGTGTAATTTTGATGGATTTATGGTGGAATCCAATGTTGGAAGCACAATCTATCGATCGAGCCCATCGATTGGGTCAACAACGCAATGTGCATGTATACAAGCTCGTCATCAATGATTCTGTGGAGGAGAGAATTTTGGCTTTGCAAGACAAGAAACGAGCATTAGCAGAAGCTGCTTTGGAAGGCAGTAAATTATCCAAAGCAAACAAGTTGGACCGCAAAGAGCTCATGTATCTGTTCTCTGGAGGGCCAGTCTCTTAGTCTGAGAGGTGACTGTATATATATCTCACTTTCTATTTCACTTGTATCATATCATATATATACCCCTGTTCTAGAGAAAATCTTCACGTTATGTTCATTCAATGAAGCATATATTACGAGCAGATGTACAGGCGAAACGAATCGAGAGAACTACAGAAAGCGGGAAAGAGTAGATGGTACAGAACATCATATCATAGTAATATTGCAGGCTTGACAAAAGAGGTCATATGTACAAATGAGGATCGGAAACTTTTCAGACTTTTTGAGCTGAATCGAAGAAAGCTACGCGGTCTTTGATACTTGGCCGAGAAGGAGTTGAAACGGTTGAATTGGCAGCAGTCGATAAAGAACTTTTGATTGTGTTTCCTTTGATCGTATCAAATTTTCCTGGCGTCAAAGGACCTGCAGATTTTTCTTCGCTGCTATCTGCACGATCACTTCTTTGACCTGTTGATTTGATAGAATGAGCGCTCTTTTTGAAGTTTAATGGGCGAACAGAAACGGCTTCTTCTGAAGTTGGGGAAGGGAATTGCACCTTAGAGGCAATATCACCGGATCCATTCAGGGTCCGATCACGTAAAACATTCGAAGATGAACTTGATTTCAACGGCTGAGCCTTACTGGGAGAAGATGGTGGCTGTGGACTTGATGAATTCGAGATGCGATTCCAAGAAGATGAATTGCTTGCACTAATATTTGCACTGCTCAATCCGCCGCTGCTGCTACTGTTCGATGGTTGTTCTGCATTTTGCAAGTAGCTTTGAGCACGAGCACGTAAGCCGTTAGAGGCATGAGTTGCTGTCTTGATGTTCGTTTCGTTGGGAACCATGCTGATTGGACTCGTTGATCCCTGTCGTGTGGGCGTCGCTAATCTCAAAGAGTTACCTGTCAGATTGGGCGACAAAGGCATTCGTCCAGGCGAAGTTGGAGTACTGATAGCGCGAGAGTTGACAGATAATGAAGATTGTCTCTTTACACTCTGTTGTTGTTGCTGCTGTGCAATAGATGGCTTGATGGTTGTATCTGTTTGCGTAGAGAAGTTTGAAGGCGTTTGCAAGTGCTGTGATCGCTTCGTAGAAAGATCAGGCACAACACTGACATCGTCACTTTCATCGTCAGTAGTTTTAACCATGACGTCTTCGCTAGATTGACCACTTGCAGATGTAGCACTTGCTTTGCTATCTCCTCGTGCCATGACGAATTGATAATCATCTCCAATTTTAACGCTTGCGTTACGCTTTGGCATCGGTATCTTTTCGAAACTGGTATCATCGCTGATACTTTCATCTCGACTGCCAAATTGATTCGCAGCACCATGCAAAGACATTCCACTCTTCAAGCTGCTATTAGCATCTTGCGTATTCAGGCTTGGACTTCGGCTTTTGTCCACCATCAAAGCCCTCAATCTCTCATCAATACTGACAGTACGACGTGAAGCAGAGGAAATGTCACTTGGAGAAGGGCTTGCAGGTGTCTCCGGAATGAGTTGATCAATCTCTTTCTTGGGCGAAACAAGTGGTGAAATCTTGCCATCTTGCATTGGTCGTCCTAAAGCATGAGTGTATCGTTTGCGACCATTTGGACTTGCATTGGAGGCCGGAGCAACAATATTTTCTGGTTTAGGAACAGCGCTTTTGAAAGAAGAAGATGAAGCGTTTGTTCCTCTACGAGCATCGCCAGACAAGTTGCGAGATAGGTCGCTTGGCACCTTTACTGGTTCATTCGCCGCGCTCACACCCTTTCCTTCACCGCTCTGTACAACAGTAGTATTAATTGGTGCTGGAGATTGTGAAGATAAGAAACCGCTTGAAGTTGTACCTACACCTTGATTTTTGGCCACAGCTGCTAGTAACTCTCTCGATCCTCTCAATTCATGTGTTGCAGCTTGTAATTGGCCAACTTCATGACGCATCAACTTGGTCATTTGACCAACCCATCTATCCATTTCACGATCACGAGCACTATTTGCGCTCATTCCATCTCCGTTTAGAGCCATCTGATTGTCCCTTTCGATATCGATCAATCTACCTTCCAAAGACCGCATCAATGGAACTGCATATCGTTCAAATCGATAGAAACGTACCATCATCTCTTGAAGTGCATGGCTCATAGGCATGTCCTTTGGCATTGGGCCGGTGCCAGCCGTCAACCCGCTTGGGCCTGCATTGCTCAATGTACGAGGTGCAGGTTGTCTAGGAGCTGTTTGCACGGGTTTTGACTCTTTGGTCACAGTATTGTTCACCTCTGGAGTTGATTGTTGCACTTCAGAAGCATGTGGTGATTTTGTCGGTAGCGTTGGTGGTCTCTCACCACCATTAGAAGATCGTCTGTTGGTATCAAATCCTCGCTGGACTTGTGTATTGATTGATTGTTTGCCCTTTGCAGATTGACTTAATTGTCCTTTTGCAAACTCATCATCAAGTGTTGACATTCTCGAACGTGTTTCTGCAATGATTTGTTGAGCAGGAGTCAATTTGCCCTCCAACTTACTCAATCGATCTTCAGGATCAACTTCTGTTGCCACTTGTTCACGTTCTTTTTGTGACATCGCCTCCAAATCTTGCGCTGTGAAACGTGGCGCTGGCTTTCTTCCAGGTGGACTTTTGCTTTGCGGTGGATCCCATTGCTCTGGCTCTTGAGAAAGAGGTGCGTCTCCGATCACTTGATGTGGCAGCCATTGTTTCGGTGCGGCATTTGTTGCATCCATTGAAGTCTGTTGATTTTGAGGAGCGTGTTCTCCACTGATGAGCCTATTGCGATGCTCATCTTCAATTCGTGCTGCCATCATCATTGAATGCTTCTTTCTTGCCAAAGCTTCTGCTTCTACAGAATCACGACGAGGATCACGTTGATCTCTTGCCCCACTGCCAGCAAGGGGAAGACCATCTGACCAAGCATTTGGATTTTGTTGCATCATTGCATGATTTGGCGATTTGCCATCAGCAGACATGCTTTGACGCATCCAAGAACCTTCATTGCTATATATACCATCATCCCGATCTTCCAATCTTGGCGATTTGCCAAAGATTCCTTTGAACCATTTCGATGCAAAATGAGGACTGCCAGGTTGACTGGAATTTCGATCTTCATGGGATGCACCTCCAAAGTATCCCGGTGAGCCTGCAGGTGAAGCGGATCCTAAAGGCGAAGCACCGACCCTATTGGGCGAATATGGAATCTTGACCGGTGATGGAATACCTTCCAACGGAATCACAGGAGGCAAACCTGATCCGGGCGGGATATGAACGGGCATGGAGAATCTAGAAGGTGATTCATTTGCTTGAGCGGAGACGTTGGACACGGCAGGCGCAGCTGCTGAACCTGCCAAGGGGCTGGTCGGATGCGGGGAGGTACTGAATTGTCCAGAGCCTGTAGGGAATGGGCTGATGCGTGGTCCTGATGGTGTTGCTGCTGATACATCACGTAAGGAAGGTGTATCAGACAGCCTTTTTCCTTGATTGCTTTGCTTTTTGGCAAGCATCTCTTCGTGTTGTTCAGCTGCTTGCCTGTAACTCAATGGACCGGGAGCAATTCGACCTCCACGGAAAGCACCCGCATGGATTGCACCGGGACTTGGAGGACGGTTTGGACTCTTGCTTCTGCTCCTACCACGCTCAAAGGGTTGTTCTTGACGTTCAGGTTCCGGTCTTCCATCGTTTGTACTTCTTGCAGTGCCATAGCCCGTGCCACCGCCAGGTCCTCCAGGTGGAACGCCCAAAGAGATAGGGCGACTTTTGACTTGTTGATATGGATAGCCAGGTTGATGGACATGTTCATCAGCCGGTGAGCCATGCACATCTGTGATATGAGATACGCCTCCTGGTTGTTTGGTGACTTTACGAACTACAAAAGAAGAAGGGCTTGAAGGACCATCTTCTACATGATTGATCGAAGCAGGTGAAGCACTTCTACTTCTGAACCAATTCAAAGCTCTTTTACCGGGTGAAGAACCTCTTCTTTGACGTGATGCTTTACTTTCTGTTGATTGATCGCCAATCTCTCCACCGACACCGGGTGAAGAAGGTAAATATCCATTTGAATCCACTCCATGTTGCATTGGCGTCCAAAATGATTGAGAAGGGGAGGTGGAAAAGGACACCATTTTTTGCGAGTGAGTTGGATGTGGTTGGAAGTCAAGAAGAGAGTAGGTCTGATCTCTTCTCTAATTGAACCTCTTTCTTTCTTGTATCTGCTCTGCTCCCCTTTTCTTTGTCTTCGGCACCATTGCAATTCATCTTGACCGACTTTCTTTAGCTCATTTTATAGATAAACAGACTGCTCTTGTGCCTTCATGCAATCTACCTGCACAAAAGTGTCATTTTTGTTTATTTGTTGCGCTTATTTTACAGGCATCAGACCACTTTCACTTGCTTCCACGCGTTTGTTAATCTTATTTTTCCCAAATCAAAACAATTAGGGGCTAAAAACGCGAAGCTTATCGTGTCTTCTACACGTGAATGATGGCATGGAAGAATTATTGGTTGTCATGGTATGTTATTGTTTTTGGATGCATGTATAAAATACAAGATGACTGATACATAATCATTTGAAAGAAGTGAATGCCTTTGACAAGATCATATTCCTTCTAACTGAAATTTCCCACCAAGATTCCCAACAATGTCACCCAAGCACCACGATAAAGAGCTTCAATACCTTCTTCATCCACTAACTTGTTCAAACAATCCACCATTCCAGAATATCGTTCAACTGTAGGCGCTCCAAATCCTTCTGATTCTGCTCTTGCTGCTTCTTCTGCTGATAGAGGTTCATCGCAAGGTCGTAAAGCGATCACAGGTTCTGAAGGCTCACTTCCTGCTCTGTGCCAATTTGTACTTGGCGAAGGAACAAAAGTGGAGGGATTCTGAGTATTTGTTTGTGGTCCAAGTACACGATGAGCAGTGTTATCCGTTGCAGGAGCTGGATCAGATTCATCTCTTGCTTCTTCAACTGTTGTTTTGTTTTCACTTGCTGGCTCTTTCACTCCTCCAATCGGCTGTTCATCATTATCGTCATCATCTTCAATTGCAAAGCTGGGTCGGGGAGCTGGGTCGGTGGGTTGAGCATCGGGTTTGCCATTTACATTCGCTTGATCAGAATATCCTCCTGTTTGATTTGCTTCTGGGTTAGCATTGCTGTTTTGTTGTACTTGAGCTTGATTGTTGTAAGGCGCAGGTCCTGCTGCTGGTGCTCCATTAGAGGATAGACGTGCATAAGCGAGATGGAGAGGTTGTTGCCTTTCTGGCCTTTGGACTGATAGTCGCACCATTACACACTCCAATGGACTCAAGATCACCACACTGAGCACACACCAACTGAGAAAGACCGCCAAGCCAAACGTAGTGACTGACATACTTCCGTCGGAGGAAGAAGGTCCTGAGTAAGTGTCATCGTTAGGGCCTGCAGGTGTCGAAGGAGGTAGTCCTCCAAGTGAAGGGACGGTCCAATGCCTTACAATTCGTGTTACGAAACCGATCCAGAAGATGTGCATAAGTTGAACTGGCAAAAGACCGGGCAAGAGGTACAATCGCCAAGGCTGACTGAATTCAGAGTACGATAGAAGCTCTCGCAGATTTTCTCTTGCATTTTGAAAGCTTAGGATTCTCGGGTGAACGATAGCACGATTTGTGATCACATTGAGCGGAAGGGCTACTATGCTTGTGATGATCATAAAGATCAGATTACCAAAGAAGCCAAACTGATCGGGACCGCTAGGTGCGCTACGATAAGCACCGCCTCCGGTTCCTGTGATCCCGCCAACGTTGAAGATGAGCAGAGTAAAGAAACCTAAAACGATCAATTGAGCAGCAACGGGAGCTGAACCTTTGTATATTCCCGGCCAACCTTCCAAGCGTCTTGTTCGAATTAGCATTGCGACAATTCCACTGACTACTGGACCAATCTTTGCTGCACTTTGTCTTTCCCGTAAAAAGTATCCGCTTATCGCACCTGCCGTTACACCACGTACGCCTGAAGCGCCTGGTTGTGCACCATCTTCCAAGACGTTGTCTAGAGATACAGCTTTTGGTAGATAATTAGCACGTAACCGAACCAGTGCACCTGTGAATGGTTGTGAGATTAAGATTGAGATAACTACTGATAGTCCCAACACGAACAGTGCCAATATCAATTCGAAGAATCCCATCAGCATTGTGGGTGTGGATGCAGTTTTGCACGTTGAATGACTTTTGTTATTTGAAATAAGGTTTGGTTAGGTGTGTCTCAATTCGTGTGCTTTTATTGTTAAACAGAGAGGCGGGATGATGAATAGTAGTCAGGAAGATTGCATGTCTCTTGCTGTTGTTGTTGTTGATGATGTAGATGTAAGTCAAGTGTAAGACATTGGTTTTCATTGTAATGAGTGAGCTTATTCAGGCTGTGCACGTCCCCTTTTTACACTCTCAAATTCACGCTAGAACATTATCAAAGAGGGGGTCTAACTTTCATGATCCCTTTGTCGTGAAAATGAATGATGAAAGATTATATAATACACCAAGTAGCATCACACATTTTATCATTCTCTCAGATAGAATACATTAGATTAGTATCATCTAAACTCCTATCCTATCTGCGGAATTGATGTGGCCCTAAAGAGGAAAATTATCTTGACTCCGCTCGGCTGTAAAAAGGGACGCGTGGAAGGTTAGGTTCCGATTCAGCAAAAGTGCCCACACACAAACCCCACCCACACACTACTTATTGCCCCGCATTTGCAGTGTGCTTAACAAGCCTAAGACAAATAAAAATTAACTTTCCTCTTCCGGTAAAGATTTTGATGGTATGATCCCACATTTGTACATGCCTTCTTATCAATAAAGAACAATGACAATTTTATTTGTTTCGATGCTAAAAGCATCAGAGGACTTGACACCCTATCTGCAAAGATCAAATGGCGTTTGTGTTTGGAGCATTTTTTTGTTGAGATCTGCATCGATGGGAAATAAGAATGTATGCACTGAAGAAGTGACTGTAAAGTGGGTCTCACTTACGCTTCTTTATGGTGATGAGGAGTATGAAATGTGGGCAGAAGCGTTAGTGTACTCTCATTCTGGGTTGCTCTGGCTCCCGATTGAGGCAACCAAGAAGCTAAATAATGTCTGAGGTAAAAAATGACATGATGATAACCGAAAAAAGGCTACAGGAAAAGAATTTGTAAAGAAAGTTAATCTTGAGATTTTAGCTAAAGTAGGTCGGAGTGATTATCGATCGTACGGATTAATGAAATGCAGGAACGATGCAACTTCAAAGAGTATATAAGTAGAAAGAATCTAAGAAAAAACTTATTCCACTCCACTTCCCCCATCTCCTCAACATTATGACCGACACAGTTTCCTTCGTTGCCAACCCGTCCTTCGGCTGGCAAGAAATGGATCCTAGATTGCAAAACGCAAATAGAAGAAGGACATCTTCCATTCGTAGAAAGAGAGTTCCTCATACAGACGGTGTAGATGCTATGCCTAGCCTCCAACGCAGCAATTCAAACGCAAGTACTTCTTCTAAGAAAAATTATGTGGATATAATCTTACCTCCTACTTCGAGCGATTTAGACGTTCAAAGAAAGCTCAACACCAAAGGTGTACGATTGGCTTTCTCGACAGATACAGAAACTGCCTTTTCGGATGACGAAACTGTTGGACCGAGTACACCTCGAGTAGCTGTTCATGGTGCAATAGAGGAAAAAGACGATGTAATTTATCTGGCAACACATTCAACTTACACCTCAAGAACTACCGTTGAAGTAGAAGAAGAGGTTGTTCCTTTTGACAAATTACCAAAGATCGTTCAAGCTAATCCAACCTTGAAGATCTCATGGGCAAAGAGAACGCCAACACATGCAATCATTGAAACATACATGCCGCCAACGTGCACAACATGTTTGAAAGAATTGGAGGAAAAGAAGTTGAAGAGATTGAACAGGAAGAAGGTTCCAGATTTGGACCTCTCTACACTTCACTTGTCCCAAACATCAATACCATCATCCCCAATCACATCGGTCTCCAGTAGCTTATCAAATTCTGCAAGTCAGTCACCCGTTACGAAAACTTCTCAGCTTCCAAGTCCGGCTGGAGAGTCGTGGGGAATCGCCATATGACCAATTGACGTATTGTATCTTTACCGTCACCGCTAGACTACACATTCAAATGCGATGTTTGATATTAAATTATTGCATTCTATTATTGCTTGATATGTTATAGTACATCATTCCATTGTTTTCAATACTTTTTCGTCTTTCCCTCTGCTTTTGCATCATCATCTTGCACTTTAACTTGTTCTCGTGCTCTATCGAAATCAGCTTGTTCTTTTTGTCTTGATAACGTTTGACTATCAACTCCGCTCATCGCACGTCTTGCACCCAAAAGATTAGCAGATTTTGCAAAAGCAGAACTAAAGCTGAAAATCTTACGTCGGGAAGCATTCATATCGCTTAAAGCTTCAAAGAAACTTAAACCTCTATAGAAGTAGATATAGTTTGCAAGCGAGGAAATCCAATCGCCCAATAATCGGAACGAAAATCCTTCTTTCTGCCAACGTTCTCCAAGGCTTTCTCGATCATCTTTCCATACAGCCAAAGCGCAATAACGTGCAGTGATAATGAAAGGTCGAGCATGACCATGGGTGGTATGCAAGTTGGCATCTAATGATCGAGCAAGATCGTTTAGCTTCAAAACCATCAACATCCGTCTTGGAACCTGTCTGAGAACTTTCAAAATATCAATGAAAAGACCTTCTTTCTCCATAACCGTTTTACGTATATGTTCTTGCTCTTCATCCGTCATTTCTGATCCACTGTCTAAGTCCAAGAGACTACTCTTTCGCTTTCCGCCGCCTACTCCGTTGGGATTCTTATCGTCACTGCCTTCCAAACCACTTCTTCCAGTGATGGCACTTTCGAGAATGTGGTACAAATCATCGTCGATGTTCGCGATCGATTTGGCCAGTCGTCTTCTTTCTGCCATCACGCTTGGTGTACTTTTTGAGAGAAGAGCAAGCCAGAATCGAGCATAATTCGTTCGCAGTTCTTGTGAGATATCAAAGTATAATCCATGATCCAACAAGACTACCTCAAAGTTGAATGGCGACCTACTGCCTTTTGGTGCAGGACGGATCAGCACATTTCCTCCATGAGGATCAGCGTGGAAGAAGCCGTGCATGTACAACATTTGTGAGAATGCTCTGCTCAATTCTTGACTGACTCGATTGCGATCGATGTGATGGTCGGAAAGGTATTGTAAATCATCCGGTCTTCTTCCATCAACGAATTCCATCGCCATTACACGCTTGTACACCCAAGGCACTTTGGGAATATAAACACTTGTCTTTTTGTATTGCGCAAAATCTTCTGCTGCTCTACGTGAATTACCGGCTTCATGTCTAAAGTCCATCTCTAATGGCATATTCTCGTTCATCTCTTCAGCAAGCCAAGTGAATTCGAAATCGGGAAATGCTCGTTTTACCCAACGAACCAACACATTGACCGTTTGCATATCTACTTGACTAAAACGTTCGACCTGTGGATGCATGAGTTTGATGGCCAATTGCTGTCCCGTTTGACGATCTACCGCTCGGTGTACTTGTGCTAAACTTGCAACTCCGATCGGCTTCGCATCAATTTCGCTAAAGGCTTCACTAAATGTTCTTCCGGTCTCAGTGCGGAACATCGCTTCCAATTCTGGAAGTGGGGTAGGTGTGTTTTGATCTTGCAGTGGTTTCATTGTATTTGTCCATTCTGGAGGGAGCAAGATGATGGATGATAAATGTTGACCAAGCTTGATATACAATCCTCCATTCTCTTGCAAAGCCACCAAAACTCGATGGGCGGAGCGTAAATGGCATTGACGTAATTCTTCCTGTTCTTCGGCTCTATCTTTGTACTTCTTATTGAGTGTCTGTCTGTAATCCCACATGCATAGAATTACCGCCTTTCCGATTGTGGCAGATCGTTTGATGGCTAGAACGGTATAGCTTCCTTGATTTTGGCCCTTTTGTGCTTCTCGAATCTGCTTTTCCAGCTCTTCGTGCGTGATGGCCATATTCTTGACAGTAACATGTTCGTGTTGTACGCTTGACAATTCCTTTCGATCTAAGACCAATTCTTTTCCGTCATCTGCTTTTCCGACTGTGAATGTAAAGTAGATTGTCGCACCTGCCAAACCCAAGGCACCCAGTACGTATGCTGCTATTTGAGCTTGCCTTCTGAATCTTTTATGAGCTAAAGCAGTCTCAATTGGATTTGCAACGGCAGGTTGATCAAAACTTTCCGCTTCAGGTAGCGGTCGAATGGGCGGATACTTTTTTCGAAAAGGTCGATCATCCTTGGGGGCACTTTGTGTTTTGACTGATGCATCATTTTTGTTACCAGGTGATTGAGATTGTTTACTCTGTTGCAAAGAGAAGCTTGACGAATTGAATTGTCTCAATGCAGTTTGTGACAATCGGCTTCTTTGTATGGAATTTGTTTCATTGCGCAATGAGTTATGACAAGGTGCGTATATCCGCCTCGAACACCTTGATACGGAGCCCTGTATGCCACAGCCTGCCCTCTGCCATACGGCTACATTCCGTACCCCGAGCATGATGAGGTGCTTGAATCTCTTGAGACGATGCCAAGGTGATTATGGTTGTTGTGCAATTAAAGCTTCCTCCCTTTTTCGGGTTGTTGTTTCATTCCGCTATTAACCGTCACGACTCCACACACGCCCAATAAGCCTTTTGATTAAATTGACAGCCCGGTCGATGATGGATTACATAATACGCACAGGCTATTAGCTGATGAAAAATAAGAAAGGGACCGGGTGTTGAAAGGCTTGAATTGCTGCTGAGTCAAGATCTCAGTCATAATTTTAGCTCAATTCATTCCCTACAGTCCGTGGAAATGGGGGAACTTGACTTTGCTTCTTTCGAGTCTTACTCCGGGGAGCCAAAACACTGGTACACCCACATGTTCTCATTTCATTGAAGACTAAGGTTCAATCTATTGTTCCTCTTCCACATGACAAGCTAGTTCTTTCTGCTGAGCAGCATGAACTTTCACACGTCAGTCCCCTCAATGGACTTCCTCCTGCGTTGCACCGCCTCCTCAAGCTGAGCACGGTGTTATACAATGCGCATTGTAGCATCTGAAAGGGGTAAGGGTATATATATGGCTTGTTTACATGACCTGTACCCCTTCTCTTCCCCATCACTACTTCCACCATAGAATCTAAACTACAATGCCTAACGCCGTGGAAAGATATTCATTTCCCGGTTTAGAAGTTCTGCCCAATGAAACAGAATACAAGCTGTACGCATTCATTTGTCAAAAACATCCTACTGCTCAGATTTTGTATAAACAAACTCCAAGCTGTAACTCGTTTGGATTGATTGATTATCTTATTCATTCAAAAGTCTTACCTTCCTCTATTACGGAAGTGGACACTGACGTAGCCGAATTGGGATTATTACAAGGTCATTTGAACATCGAATGGAATGAGAATGCTGGCGATCGTCCCAAAAACAGAAACGGAGGATTCCCTGCAAGATTTGAAGCTGCAAATACACGATATGTAATGGGAAGCAGTGATCCAAGTAAAGGTGCTTCATATCTCGAGCCTTTAAATTGCACTTTACGATTCGAATATGAAAAAGTGTATATGACTTTTTACAGATTCACAGTTCGTGCTGGCTTTGATACAAACGAAGTTAACTTTTTGGTTTGGAAAGATCATTATACACCCCATAAAGGTAATGCTCTCGGCAGTAAATTGTTCGATGAAGTTTTTCGTTTTGAACGCTCGCTACGAGATGAAGTTTGGGTATTTGATGAACGTTGGATGAAGGACTCGAAAATGTTTGCTGCTTTGAAAGATACACGTAAAGATGATATAATCTTACCACAACATCTTTTAGAAAGCATGACAAAGGACGTCGAAACATTCTTTGCGGGAAAAGAATCATTCAAAGATGCTCGAATTGCATGGAAACGTGGAATGTTATTGTTAGGTCCTCCAGGTAATGGAAAGACGGCAACGATTCGAGCATTGTTACAAGATCATCTGGACATTCCTATCTTGTACGTCAAATCATTTCAAACCGGAAGATCAGGCACTCCGGAGAAAGGGGTGAGAAACGTCTTCAATAAAGCAAGAAATTGTGCACCTTGCTTTCTCATTCTTGAGGATTTGGATTCATTGGTAACCGATTCAATCAGATCATTTGTTTTGAACGAGATTGATGGTTTGACGAACAATGATGGTATCATTCTCATCGCTTCGACCAACCATCCCGATAAGCTGGACGATGCATTCTTACGAAGACCTTCAAGATTTGACAGAAAGTATACGTTCAATTGTCCATCTCCTGAAGAACGAGCACGATACTTGCAACACTGGTTCATTGATCGTCTCGAAGTTTCTCTGAAAATCGTTGAAGATACTTCGTTGACAACAAAGATTATCGAAAGTACAGAAGGTTGGTCTTTTGCTCTGCTGCAAGAATTATTCGTTTCTTTTTCCATGCAATCCTTACGTGCGAAATTGCAAGATGGACAAAAATCAAAAGAGGATTTGCAACGTTCAATCTTGGAAATCGTTGAAAGTTTGAATATCGAACAAACGCAAGCATTGCAAAAAGAAGCCGAAAAATCAGCAAAGGAAGATGCCAAAAAGGCAGACGAAGAGGAATAATTCTGAAGAAAACTTTTTATCTATTATTAATGTACATATACACTTCCATAGGCGTCCTCTTACCAATTCGAATGTTCCAGATCATCCATTGACGAATACCATCTCCAAGCTCCCGTTGCGATTGCACTGATTAAAAATGTACCGTCAAAAGCAGATCCAAAGACGACATTGAAACTTGGAAGCGTAGCCAGTAAGGGTCTAGATGCATCTTTGATAGCATCACCAGCTTGCGCGATTGCCGAAGTGATGATGTCCCCAGCAGCTTCAACGGATGAGGTCGAAAGTTCAGGGATCTCACCGGAATACTTGGATGGAAGTGAGACACGTAATTGAATCAAAGTTGCTAACAGATAGATCGTCAAAACCTCTGCAAGGAAAAGGACCAAGAAACTCGTACTGATTCCTGTTGAAGCTGCGCGGAAGAATGTCGATAGATTGGCCAAGACAAATCGCATGCGAATCACGATCAAAGCACCAACGAACAATAATCCAAATAATCTTGTCCATGCAGCGAGATCGATATTGACATTCACATATTTGACCAAATATGCCAAGCTCAAGGAGACAAAATCTGGTGGTGCTTGTTCTTTGTAACCCAAAATAGCTAAACTTAAAGCGGCCAGCAAGACTCTCCAAACACAATAAACCGAAAATAGATGTCCGGCTCCCAGAAGTATTTTGCCTTGAATGGTTTTGGCCCACTTTCCATCCCTATGTCTTGTTCTCAACTTATCCAAGTCATCTCGCATTGCACCTGCCAGCGTCTCTAATCCGAATATCTCCTGTGACAATGATTTGATCTCTTTGCTCCTCTGTGATGAGCCCCACATTCTGCCCAACAAGCCAGTCTGATCGTTTGGATTTGCCGGTGCATCACGTACCTGTTCCAATTGTCGCCTTCTAGCTGCTAAATCTGCGCATGTTCTCGTGAATGAACTCTCTGCACCTTGCACTTCTGATGCCGTAACAGGTCTTGGTTTGCGTTTCGCAAAGAATGCCTCATACGTATCGTAAGCAGAGCTTGCAGCAGCTGAGCCAGAGAGTATACCGATCAGAATGACACCCAACAAAGCCATTCGTGCCAGTGCTGCGTCCAACAGGCCAGTCGTGTGTGCCAAAGCGGCCGGTAAAGGAACATTGACAAAGATTATTGACCATATCGCAAATGCAGGAATTGCGAATAGTACTCGTTGTAATGGCGTTGCACTCGATATTCTGAAAGTAATCAACAAGCAAATGCAAAGCGGAATCAGTAAAGCCGCCAAGACCACGACCGAAATTAAGCTGAACGTCCAATTGCGTCTTAAGGCTTGTGTCGACAATCTTCCTGTGGCTTCCAATAGTACGAGAACGAACAAGATTGTCGATTCCTCAAAGCAAAGTGAAAAAACATGACTGGATGCTTGGTGTGGATCTTTGAGTGATTGGATCATGCCCTTCCAATCTGTCAAGCCATTGCGAGCTTTGGTAGCCAGTGAAGCACTATTGCGGGCGTTTGAATTGTATGTAGTAGCCGGAGCAGGTAGTTGATTTAATTCATATTGACCATTAGCATCCGTTTCGTCTAAGGAAGCATAGCGAGCCTCTCCCAATAATAGCGGTAATACCGTCAAGCGACATGTAATAAATAAAGCCAATCGCAATGAAGCGATCAGGACGACATTGTATACTGCCATAATTGATCCGATCTGTTGAAAAGAGGCGATCACAATCTGCTCTCCATTGATACTGTCATGAGCTAGAAAAGAGTTGCAGTAAATGAAGTGGATGAGGGGGGGGGGAAGAATGAATGATTGGCATGTGCGTTAAATTGACGTGCATTTAGGCTGAAAGGCTTTTTAGCCGGTTTATTAATGTTAAGCAGGCAGACAGGCACCCGAAGCCATTTCGGCGCCTATTGCTGTAATCTGCCGATCGCACGTTAAAGCACTGCCTCATAGGCTTATTAAACATCAAGACCCCTCTTTTTTGCTGTGCTGCCGCCTTTGAAAGAAGTTTAAGCGTTTTTTTGTGTTTGTGGAGCGAATGTTTCACTTGTTTTCTTTTTAACTCTCTCTTTCTCACCATCTTGAATATCATTTCATCACATCTTTTTACTTACTGAAATAATCTTTGTCGGAAATGAGCGGTAATGTGCCGCCACTCTTGGCAAATCAAAGGAGAGTGAGCGATAATATGATGAATAATAGGTCAATCACTCAACGTTCTGTTTCTGATGAAAGAGTGCCAACGAATGGTACACAAGGAAGATCCTCATCATCTTCCAATCGAAACAGCACTCTTGGTTCTTTATTCAGAACGAGAGTCGATCAACAACCACAAAGATCTTCTCAACAATCACAGAGGCCAACTTCTCAAAATCAGCATAGACCTGCATCGGCATATTATCCATCACATCATGCAGCTCCAGCATACACTCAAAGCTCTCCAATCTCAGGTTTGCCAGCCACTTCAGATTCATACTCTTCCACAATTCCAGGATTACCAGCACCAATGCCCAATCCATATCAATCAGGCTATAACCAAACCCAATACAGACCACCACAATCAGCACCAAATCAACAGCATGCATTCAATGCATATCCTCATCCACCCACTTCAGCTCCAGCAACGTATGGATCTCAACAGCAGCAGTACAATGGCAGCTACTCATCGCCACAACAGCCCCCGCATAATTCCGGACGTGTGTCTTCACCTTCAATACCACAGGCATCAGCTGGGCAGGCAGAAGGGGATTCAGACTATGAGGCTGTCTTGCAAGCGTCGAGGGCAAGCGCTGCAGAAGAGGAACGAAAAAGAGAGCAAAGAGAGAAGGAAGAAGAAGAGCATTATATGGCACTGTATAGATCAGAAGAGGAAGAGCGTAGGAAAAGGCAGGAAGAAGAGGAAGAAAGGAGTTTGATGGAAGCAATGAGGGCCAGTCAGATAGAGGATGAAGAACTAAGAAGGAAGAGGTTGGAACGACAAAGAGAAGAAGAGGAAGCAGCTACAATCTTGATTGAAGAAAGCAGACAAAGTGCATTACGTGAAGAAGAGGAAAGAATGCGACGTCAACATGCTGAATTGCTTGAGCAAAGTAGACGGGAGGCAGAACAAGCAGAATTATCAAGAAGACATGCATTAGCAGAACAAGAACGGTTAGAACAAGCAGCTGTAGAAGAAAGTCTAAGAGAATTAGAGGAAGAATGGCGAAGGAGAGATGAGGCAGAAAGAGCAGATGCAATGCACATTCAACGTGGCGGTGAGATTGGTGATGTGTCTTATTGGCAACATCTTGATGAGAAGAAAGCACATAGACTGGCATTAGAAATGAATGAACGTTTCGCCATCAACGGTGGACAGGCTGCGGGTCCATCGAACAGCAATGTTGGTGCTTCAAGTAATAATAGACACTCAACTGTTCGATCTCGCCGCCGACCATTACCTCCTACACCTAGTATGGCAGCACAAGCAGCAGGTGTAGAAGTACCAAGAATTCTAGTAGTCGATGAAGAAGGCAGGACAACCGATAAAAGAGACTATGTCGATGATGATTGGGAACTTAGTGATGATGAATTCATGGCAGGTGATGGACAAATACAAGAAGATGGCTCTGATCCTTTTGGCGATCAGGCAGAAGCACCGCCAATGTACGATGAAGTGCATAGTGACCGTCCTCCAGAAGCGCCAACGTCCATTCCAACAAACGTTCAGTTTGTTCGACCAGACTTCGGACCTCGACCAGATCATGATAATACAATTTCGACCTTATCATATCCAGTGGACAAGAGTGCGGCTTATTCCTCCACAGTACCAGGCTCAAGATCAACTTCACAGTCACCGCCAGCTCAGTCATCAAATCTACCAATTGCATCCACCTCAAGCCAAGCAGCACATAATGCTTTGCCTTCTACTTCTCATGGATCACCTAGTCAACCTGCTGCAAGTTCTTCTCGCCCTGTAAGTGGAGCCCCGGGGAAGAGATTACCAGACATTCCAATCGATCGTCCGCCTATTCCTGTGGCAAGAATCTATACTGATCAACAAGAGACAGTCTCATTAAATCGCTCGCAAAGTCAAAGCACGCAACCGACTGAAGATTCAAATCGACCTTCGGAAGAGCCGGAGAGCGTACCTACAACACCTGACGAGGCTGTGAACTTCCAGCAAAAACAAATGAAAGGGACCGATTTCGGCTATTCGGGTGAACCTTTTGGTACGAGCTTGTATATTCAAGGCCTATCGGAAGCAAAGACGACATTTCCAAATATCATCACTTTAAGCAAGTGTAAGACAGACGGTTCTCTGACTGATGAAAATTGTTTCTTCGTTGTACGAGCACCAAGCTGGAAAGCTCTTGTTCGTGCTTTGGCATGGTATGGAAATACGAGAATTGAAGCAGGACCAGAAGAGATTGTGGACTATCCCGAAGGCGTGCCTTTGCGGATCGAAATTGAATTTGTCACACCCTCAAAAGTCAACAAACCAAACGAAAGTCAATTGCAAAAAGCACATGTAAGCGTTTGCTTCTCTTTGGCTATTCCCTCTCTCAAAGAAGCACCTCCAATGCCATTGCTCAAAGCTCTCAAAGACTCTTCACGTGCACTCGATTCTGGTTATTTACGCCAAGGTGCAACCAGAAGAGTGATCGCCTTACCAAGTCAACCGCCAAAATTACCATTAGATGTCGTTCGATTGGCGCAACATATGCATCGTGCTCATACGTTCAGTGCAGCATGTCCTTCGACTGGCGCAACTGCTTTACATAGTCCGCGGGATTTGCATCATGCAGTTGAAAGACATGATGTCGGCTATGTTGCCAAATTGCAAAGGAAACGAAAGGATAATGGATTAACGGGCGCAACTGTTCCGTCGGCGTCCGAAGCTCAGAACGCCTCGGATTCGAGCATGAATAACACCGCTACAGGAGGAAATACAGGCCAATCTTCTTCCTCAAACCAGCCTACATCTGATGGCGCTCGAAGGCAATCCAAGATCCTTCAGCCTTCCAGCTCGTCAATCATGAATCAAAGCGGCGGTACAAGCACGAATGCTATTGAAGAAGAAAGCTTGGAAGGCGAATTGAATCATACGGAAGAACACGGAGATTTCTTGGATGCAGGCGCAGTTGAGATCGTTGACGGTGATGATCGCGATTCAGGTCGTATGGCTAGATTACGTGCTCGCGTTCATCGTAGGTTGGGTAAACGATCTGGCGATCCGAGAACGGTCGATCAAGACTTAGAATCGTGGATCAGTGAGTAAAGTTTAACTTTTGGGTAGAAAGCGAGTGATATGATACTAACAGTCTTCTTCTTTCAGCGCCTTATGATATGACACAGCATGGTTAAAGAATACCAAGACAATAGTCAATTTATGTAGCATACTTTAAATATACCCTTGCAAGAAGACATGTTCCGTGTGTTGGTTGTAGGAGTATGGCTTTAAGGTTGCATCGCCCCGTACGCCTTTGGCTTTGTCACAACGCTATCTTGGCGTGCCTTGCTGTGTCTTTGCCATTCAGTTCAATGGAAAGGATAAATCGGGCGTCTGATTGGATGAAGAGATGTTGTCTATAAAAACAGACTTTCATTTTCCGGTTTTATCTTCACCTCCCTGTTCGCTTTACAAACCTTTTCGCCCTTCCTTCATCATTTGAAGAGCAACCTTATTTCACTTTTTTCCTAAATCCAAAATTTTGTAGGCATCCATCCTACGATACTCCCTTTTTGTAACGATCGTTTGTTGTCGTTCATCAGTTTGCTCCTGGGTTCGGCTGGTATCCGGATCCGAGTAGATCATTCATCCTCCAACAACGTATACATCCTATTTCGGTGCTAGCAATAGTCTAACATCACCCTTGTTTTTCATTCATCCACTTCACGTCGTCTACCCGATCATCATTTTTCATAGGACACCTTCTCTCTTTCTCTTTCTTCCATTTCAACGACAATCTCTTCCATTTTTCACCATGACACCAACTTCTTTTCTTTGGTCTCGTCGAATGACAGCTGCCAATGTGTCACTCTCACCCCCAAAGCTGACACCTTTGAGTGTTTCAAGCTCTTTCTCTAGCCGTAAATCTTCTTTCGATGAAGTCAGATCCGAATACTCGAATGCCACAACAGCACCTTCGTCACCATTTCTTTTTACACCAACAGAGATGGCTGGTATCCTTCTGGGTGACTCTCCTACAAGTGCAATTAAACGTTGTCAAAATAGCAAAGAAGAATACATGCGAATTCAAAATCAATTTGATCCGTTTCTCAAATCTCCCTCTTCTGATTCGTTTAACGTGTTGCAATGTGGCAACACTATCAGTCATCATCCTGAAAAGTTGAGTGACTTGGACGTTGAACTTGACATGGCTTCTTTGGCAACAGAAGTAGCTCTACGCACTTTGGACTCGGAGGATGAAGAAGATTACCTTGGCGGTAGTACTACTTGCAAAGGCGAAAAAGATGATCCACAAGCCTGGCCTCAAGGTGTAGGGCAACCAAAAATGCGTTTATTGCCCTTTTTGCCATTCCCACCGCAAGAACAATCATCAACTGACCAAGAAGCTGCTCAGCCAACTGCTATGAGCAACTCTGACGGACACGAATGTTTGCCGAGCGAAACAGTCGATGAAGAAGAAGCACCTAAGCGAAAAGGCCGAGCAAGAATGAGCCAAGAAAAGCGAAGACGATTGGCAAGAAGACGTGAACGTGAAGCCTTGCTGCTTGGGTTGCCTTCAAGTCGACCATCTTCTGCACCTGCACAACAAACAAAGTTTTTATTGGAAGAATTGAACGGAACGGTGCCAAAGGGTAATCAAACGGCTTGGAGAAAGAACCCTTCTTTCCTTACATCCTCCTCACAAGCATTTCCGTTGCCATCACATCCATATCGAAACGAGCTTCAACAAAGACGTGACAGCTTGATGAAGCCATACTCTGTCAAATCTTACTCGCAATGTTTGACAATCCCAAGCGCGTAAAGTAATCACAACGAGCTACACAGCCTCTAAGGATGTGCTGTGTATGCGTATCATGTCACACAGCGTCTCGGATGATGCCGGCCCTTGTTCAACTCTTGTTTTACGTTTTCATAGTCACTGTACTATTGCACATGTATCCATATCAATTCATTCTTTTTACCCATGCAATTTCCGTGTGGCTTGACTGTCTTCAGAAGAAGAGTGACGATTTCATTCTCCGATTATCTATCTTTCATGATCATTTGTATTGGACAAAGAAAACAGTTTGTATTCATGCATTAAAGTGTATTGACCTCTTCCGTTATTGCGCCATCAGTCTTCCTTCGATTTGCGGACATTGATGCAAGCAAACAGCCTTCCTTAACAGTCGTCTTATTCGCGTTTGCGGTCCGCCTTCGCTCGCAGGAACGACGGAGAGTGAAAGTGAAATGAAGATAAACGGCGTTAGAAATTAAATCATCGTTCTTTGTTCTGTAACTTCATCATATCTTTGAAAGATTATTGGTGATCGCTATCATCAAAATGCAACAACAACCTCCTCTTGATTACTCTTTGCGTCCTAAGCATGGACAAGGATTCGCCTTACCAAAAGCATTAAGAAAGTTATTTCGTGAGCCAGGCCCACCGCGTACTTCTGATATGCGAAGTAGAAATGTCTCTTTTGAAATTCCAAGTCCAAATATTTCCTCGCCCTTGCATCCTGCTCAACAATTTCAAGCAAATTTCACGCCACCCTACGGTCAAAGTCACTTGCAAGCACCTTATTACGGCTCAGCCGGTGATGTGACTGGATTTCCACCTTCCACTGATACTTTTGATGCTTCTTTTCCACCACAACTTCCATTTCAAGAAGCCTTTCCAGCAAGAGTCTCTTTTGATCATCGTCCATACATCCCTCCTGTTGACGAAGAACCATCACCGGGCTGGGCCAAAAAAGTGCTTCAACCTTTCTCGCGCGTCAGAAAGCTGAAAGAGTCAATTTCAGTGCCAAAAGATGACAAAGGACCAAGCTATCCGATTTTCACTCACCGTGACTTAGAGCGAAACAATATTCCACAAGCAAATGTAGCAAGAAAGCATTCTTTGCAAAAACGCAAACCTGTCCCGGCACTGAGTGGAAGTTCTTTGGATTCGCAACTGAATCGTACGATTGGTAGAAAAGGCTATCCGTCCAACTTTGAAATGCCAAGAGATCCTTTCATACGATACTCTGTCGGCGAGGTAGTGCCGTGCAGTCGACCTGAAGCGAAGTTTTCGAACCAGTTCACCTCCTCTGACTATCAAGTCGGCACTTCTGCTATGCCACGTCAATCAGCTTTAGGCTTGGATTTAGGCGATTATAACTTGATGAATGCTGCTTCATTTCCTTCCCCGCGCTTTACGAATGGCCAGTACATGTACAAGACTGAGGAGAAGCCTATCACATCGGAATGGTCATCCGACACAGTCAGTCGAGCAGCGAGACATGCATTGCCACTAGACGTGGCGCCTCAAGCAGCAAATCAACCTCAATTCATTGACCAAAAGGATGAGGATATGTCGATGGTTGAATCTGCCCCTACTGGAGAAAATGTCAAACTGGCAAAAGAATATGCCAATAGAAAGTTCGATGAATGGGTCTCGCGCACGCCAAATGTTTCTGCTTTTCCTAGCTTGCACAACTCTTTGAACACGAAAGGTGTACAGAAGCACGCACAAACTGAACGAGTGTCCTCGAATGAGCCATTGCAGACTGCCAAAAAAACAAATCCACTTAGCATACCCGGCAAAAGTGGTCAAATGGAAGATGATCAAAGGGAGAACGAAAGTCGTCGAATATCGAGCAAGACACCCGTGGATCTTTTTGACCTCGATACTCGTTTGTCCGATCTGGTTGTTCGTTCTCGAAGAAACAGTGCTTTGAAACGCACGTCACATCAAAAACGTACCGCTGAAAGAAAGTCAAATGGAAATCTATCCCGCAATCTGGCAGCAAAGATGATGAGTGACACGCCAACCAAACCCGGCATTCGCTCTAGTGGCACAATGTGGCCCGAAGATCAGCCTACAAACGATGAAGAGGGTGAAAAGCCTGGACAAGTGACACCGAAGCAGGACGAAATGAAGAAAGAAAATATCACTGTTCCCTCGAATGTCGTGAAGTACAATCTGGAGGAACAAATTTGCGCGCCATTGGAACAAGAGGAAGTGTCCACCCCCACTAAACGCAAAGATCCAGTCACGCAGACAACTACAGCTCATGAAAAGTTGCAACCACGACATTGGCGTTCAACGGAAGTACTTTACCAAGACACCCGTGTGGGAAATGATCCAGACGTCGTAAAAGTTCCAATTTTGCATGAACATGAAGAAGAGGATTCAGACAGTGCGATTGGTGTTGTTGAGCCCATGACGATCAGTAGCGAAGAATTGGAATTATTGAGTCGCGTTCAAACATGGCGTTCATGTGTTGGTATTACACCAATGAAGAAGCTTTATGCTCCAAGTGCTTCTGCGACAGAACCTAGCACGATGACTGGCATGAATCAAGTGAACACTGGTGCAGATGAACGTGCATCAGAATGGACGAGTATCAGCAGACGTGTAGAAAGAGGCGTGGAGAGGGAAGCAGCGCCAATGCAAAGAGAAACTCACTACGATTATCCTCAAAAATACGATGAATTTAATGATCATCGAGCTTCAAAGAGCTATCAAATGGCGGAAACAAGAACGTCAATGCGCTATGCCCCTGCACCTTTCAGATCGCCAGCACAAGAGTCTGGAGATAATCCAGCTCATATATCCTTCCAGGGACCACCTTCAGAGCTCATCAGATTTCTTCAATACTCTTTCGACGTATCGCAAGCCAAAAGAAATCAAGATACCCCTCAAATCTTGCCAAAGAAGGAAGAAGAGCTTTTGATTGATCTCAAACCTCCAGAAATGGAAAAGCGCCCCCAGAAATTGCAATTTGGTACTCAGCATATTCGTCAAATGAGTGAAGCGGACTCTAAGCGTCTGTTTGACCTTATCGGCGATAAGTTGAGTAACGCTCCTCATCCTGAAGAAAATGCTAAGTTTGAAGAAGTTCCAACTAAAAAGCCAGAAGCGAAAACATCAAAACCACGATTCAAGACACCAGAAACTATTGATATTGCGAAAAGTAAAACTAAAGAGGATGAAGCCAAAGTTTGGGAATTGCTCCACAAATCTGATAAAGACGGCCTCACAGCGATGGAAAGGTTGTTGAATGCATATGCCGAGGGGTTGGGCAATTTTGCACGTGGTAATGATCACACCAAATCACACCTTCCTCATTCCGTTACAAAGCAAGAATTGACCAATACGGACAAGAAGCATAGCATGCCAATTACGAAAAAGAAGACGAAGGAGATATCCAAGCCATCAACATCGTACAATACATCCAAAACAAAGGTAGACGATGAAAAAGTAGAAAATATTCTTCAAAGCATTTTTGAATATGTTCAAGGAGCAGGAGATGTTTCACAAATTCACAGCACGCTCATTTCAATGCATAAAGACCTGTTGGATCGTACAAAAGATCCTGGACAACGTAAATCGATTGACGAAAGATTAATGAAATTGGAACAAGCAGTATTTGCAAAAAAGTGACAAGAGCGCTGGCCGCTGTATCATAATGACGAATATGATGTTTACGTATGATGAAATCAAGAAATTTTTTCTTCTTTTAAAATTTCTCTCCGAAGTTGTATTTACCATTATTTGTATCATTCCAAATTGAATTTCTGTGTAGCTTGTGTTCAAAGAAAAGTTGGTGTTATGCGCTCATTGATAAGATCGAAATTAATACGATAAGCTGGAATGAAATAGAGAAGATGATAAGCAGACAATGCAATCAACAGCGTGATTGTCAAGCCTCACATCTTCATCGGTGGTATGCATGTGAACCTGCGACATCGATAATGTTAGCGTGACATCAGCAATGAGATTGCAACAGTTGATCAACTCACATTAGCAAAATTATCGCTTACGAAGCTGGCAGTCAGAAAGGCACGTTAAGAGACACATTATCACAGCATGGCGCTTTTGAATTGTTGTTTGCTTACCCAGTGATCACGCCTGCAAAAAGGTTATTTGCAGTCAATCTGCATTAGTTCGATCAAGACAATACCTTCATTCAAATGCACTCACCTTTGGCTACGGCATCTTGACGCTGAAATTGAACTTGGTCACCAATTTTGAATCCATGATGATCCATTTCGTTCGTTTCAGAGCTAGTTGGAGGAGTTGACGAATTCGTTGTCATACTTTGAGCAGTCTTTTAATTTTGTATTATGTCCAAATCCAAGAAAAGGTCCTGAGGTGGTGGAAGACAAAAAGGAGGAGTGGACTTCGAATATGTGTTTTAAGTATGTTTGTGAAAGTACCTGCTATCATCCAAAAAGGCGTAAGACTTTCATCCAAGACGGAGCATGTGAACGGTTAGATGAAGAGCCATGACGTGATCAGGAATGATAAGGGACTCCGGCTAAGATCCCGAGCTTTTTAACCATACCTGAACTGTCATGAGGTGTAGCTTCGCATAAAGGGATTTATATGGCCGAAATCACCGAAATCACCGTTGTGAGAATGAATCTACTATGAAATGAATGCCGCCCATTCAACAAGAGCGGCGTCTTTTTTACTCGGCCAAGACCGCTAAACATGAAAAAGCTTACAAATAAGATCGAAGATAGTGCAGAGCATACAACGTCACCCTATCCATGCTGTCTCACTTTACGCCCCTTCTGGGATAGAAATATCGATTGAAATAGAAATACAATTAGATTATTATCATAATTACGGCGCCATTTCACGGCCACCAGTTGCGCCTTCAACTCTACCCGTCTTTATCCATTCGTCCAGCAAAAGCTCTAATCGTACACGAGCGGAATTGGCCGATTGTTGTTTTGTAAATCCAGCTTTGCCATTTTGTAATCCTTCGATGCGAATCAATTTCCAAACTTTTGAAGTCTGTTTGCCGTATCCTGTCAAGACTTTCGGACCGGCAATTTCAATCATGACGGAAAATAATGCAGGTGTGATTGTGTGTTCCATCATCCTTGGCGAAATCATACGTGCTTGCCAAGCCCATAACGCACGTAAACGGAAATGCGCAGGAATGCGGGAAAGATCCACTTCTTGATTCGAAGGAGGCTTTGAAGGCGTTGTTTGGCAAATTGCAAAATACATGGCAATAATACCTGACATACGAGAAGTGTGTTGCAAAGATGATTCATCAACTTCTGCCTTTCCTAAGATTTTTGCATACGTCTTGTCATCTTGGTCAGTCTTTTTTGGTGGACAATATGCTATACACCAACAGCACTTCTTTGCCAATCTGGCCATTAGTACATCGCCTAGTTCACTATGACCTTCCAATAAGAGCCATTGCACAACACGTGCCAATGGAAAGGCTGTATCTTGCTTTGCTGCCACTTCTTGCTCTGCTTGTCGAATAAGACATTTTGATAAGTGATTCAAGATCCAGGTGTATATTTCGCCACCTGGAGATGCACCTCTTGCCTGTGTCATCACCTCACCGATTGCTTGCGTGATTCTGACAATTTCTACTCTTGAATTTGTCAATTGACTAACACTACGGGTAATGATACGTTTTGCAGAGAAACATTGTTTGCGCCATTCTGTATTTTGTGATACTGCTGGCAAAACGTTTTGTTTGATCTGTTGAATCTTCTGCCACCAAGCTTCATATTCTACCCTTGCATTTGCCTCTAGTGCATTACCTACTCCTCCCATACTTTTCTCTTTGGCTTCTTCTGCAGCCTTGCGAGCAGCTTCCTCCTCTGCGGCTTTACGTTTGCTCTCGTCTTCTTGCTTTTGCTTTTCAGCCTCTTCCTTTTCGCGTTTTATCCGTGCTTCTTCAGCTTCTTTCTGCTCTTTCGCTCTTTTCTCATCAGCCTCTTTTTGCTCTTTGATCTTCTTTTGCCTTTCTGCTTCTTCCTTTAATGCCTTTGCTTGCACATCTTCTGCATGCCGTATGCTCGTTTCTATCGAGTCCCACAAAGCTTTATTTCTCTCATCGAAAACTTGCTTCTCTTGTTTTTCCTCCCTTTCTTTCTCTATACGCATGCGTGATAGTAATCCTTGTACTTGATCAAAGTCATCCTCGACAATTGTCAACGTCTTTCGAATCGCATTCGGCGACAGAGGCACAGAAACTTGCCTAGAATTCGATCGACGCCTTTGAGAGGTAATCTTACCTAGAGGCATATCTGAATAGTCTGCCTCACTTTCTAATCGGATTCTCTGACTTAGCTCTTGTGCTTCAACCGATGCTTCTCTTCGATTTCTGGCACCTATTTTGGATGTTTGAACTTTTGCGAATCTATGCGGAGCGACAGGCCATGCTTCTTCTTCGCTATCAGCGTCTGATTCCATGTCTGACTCTGACAGCCGGATCATTGTACCATTTTCCTCTTCACCATCATCATCAATAGTAGCTTTTGGAGTAGATTCCCGCATCCATTTTGGCGAACGATATGCTGAAGGAGACGACCGCGTTCCGTGTACGTTTTTTGCCAATTGTCTAGCTGCATTGACTTTATCTAGATTTGATGTCCGTCTTCTTCCTGGCGAGAATGTTCCATTGTGGGATCGCGTTGGGGTTGTCTCTTCTAGAAGCAAAGATGATGTTGATGGCGTTCGAGATCGTAAACGTTGCAGGTTCGAGATTGGCATACTTTGTAAGTTTTGCTGAGAGATTGAAACTGGAAGTCCTCTAGCTGACCAGCTTAAAGATTGTTCACCCTCGTCCAATCTTTCACCATCTGAAATTGGCTCAACATCTGAGCCAGATGCTGAGCTGGACGATGCGTCCAATGCGATTCGCATTCTCTATTATTTGATGATCGTGTGATGGTTGTGTTGGATGTTTAACTTTTTTTATTCGCGCCAGATTCACTCTTACGCCAAAAAAGTAAGCATGCGTTCGGGCCATTTGACTTAATCTATTTTTCTTTTGCGGAGGCCCGCCACTTTTAGAACTTTCTTCCAACACGATTCGGATCCGATATCATTCCTATTCAACATTCTGACATTACGATCATTCTCTCTGCTAGGCTTTAGTGATCGTGCAGGACACATTGCAAGGCTGACATTTAGACGGAGTATGTCATCAAATACGGCTTTTCAGCCACCCAGACCACCCCCTGGTTACACTCCTTTACCAGTATCCGCATCTCAAATTCTTCTACAATTGACAATTTCAAACAAATGTGGACAAGCATTTAGATGGCATGGCGTAGATGTGTATGAACCAATAGAAGAAAGAATAGCTGTGAAGAAAGAAGAAGAGGATGGCAATGCTTCAATACCTAGAATTAGAACATACAATAGAACGACAGAATGGTCCATGTGCTTATCAGACAGGATTGTATTCGTACGTCAAGATGTGGAAAGGGGTTACATCTATTTCAAAACACTCATGGGAGAGTCTTCAAATGCACCAAAACTCGCAGAACAAGTCGACCCTGCAAATATCGAAGTACAAACCGCTGCGTGGCTAAATGACTATCTCAATTTGGACGTCCCATTAGCTTCCCTGTACGAAGAATGGAGTGAAAAGGACAAAGTTTTCGCTCGATTTGCCAAAAGGTTTGGAGGTGTACGGATGCTAAGACAAGATCCATGGGAAACATTGTGTGCTTTCATATGTTCATCCAACAATAATATCGCTCGAATAGGACAAATGGTGCAAAATCTATGCACTCATTTCAGTCACCCTATGGCAACTGTAACGTATCCTCCTCCACCTACAGAGGTGTTTGCTGGCGATGAAGAAGTTCAAGCGATGCCAACAACGATCACATATTTCCCCTTTCCATCTGTGGAAAGACTAGCAGAGAAAGATGTTGATGCGAAATTACGCAAATTGTCTTTTGGATATCGTGCTCCTTACATACAGGATACAGCACGTCTACTTCTTGACACAGTTGCAAGCTCTAAAAAAGAGACGGATGGGATAGCCTACGATTCGCCTTACCAGTATCTGCATTCGCTACGTACAATGGATTACCCGTCCGCTCGCCAGGAGCTCATCCGTTGTCCCGGTGTTGGCCCAAAAGTGGCAGATTGCATCTTGTTGATGGCGATGGATCAACCCTCGAGTATACCGGTGGACAGACATGTCTTTCAATTTGCAGAGAGATGGTACAAGATTCGAACGAAAGGAGGTCATAAAGGCTATGAACATATTGCAGATACCTTTAGAAAGCTATGGGGACCTTATGCAGGTTGGGCGCATTCAGTCTTGTTTACAGCCGATCTTCGTGCATTTCAAACGTACAAGGTGGAAGAGACTGAACATGTGATCAAAAATGAAAATGGAACAAGTCAACCTATGCAGGCAAAGAAGGAAATTGTGGTAAAAGAAGAGGAAATATCTTATCCGCTTTCCAACGAAAGCCACAACAATCAAGAGCTCCTGGCCAACGACACTGAATCAGAGCGCACAGTAAGGTGGAAAAAGCGTGTATATGATAATCACGTTGCGATACCTGCACCTGAACAGGATGGCACAGAGATAACAAAAGCATTTAAAGTTACAAAGAGGAGGAGACCCGTTTCGGCCAAAAAGGGAGAAGCTTAAGCCGACTGATAATGGCATAGCACAATCCGTAGACTCTTTTGCGGAAATATTTGCTCCCCTTCTCATTCATTGTACCGAATTCCCCAGCAAGCAAGTCCGAGAACCGTAAAGCGAGCACTTAGGAACCAGACATTTTGCCGTTCTCGGTTAGTCGCGGCCCGCTGTCACCTCATTTAGGGTACTCGTTGGTGACGATGTAGTGCCGAATTCCGCGATTCGATAGTTGGAAGATTTCGGCGCTGGTATGACCTTATTGTGTTAAAGTTTGTAGTGTTCGACAAGGTATAAAATGTTCTTATCTTAGAATCTCGAGGTCGACGAATCCCCATAAACCTTCTCATTTTTACAACAAGAATTTTCACATTCACAACTTTCAGTACATCAACATGAACGGCAACGGACGTACTAGCGACGTCGATTTGGACGTAGTCATCGTTGGCGCAGGCATTGGCGGGATCTCAGCTGCTTATTATATCGGTCAAATGGAGAAGTATTCCTATGGAATCTTTGAAGCGCGAGAAGCACTCGGCGGTACATGGTCAAGCTTTACCTATCCCGGTATTCGCTCAGATTCAGACATGTTCACGTTGTCATTCCCATTCAATCCGTGGAACAAGAGCAACACGGTAGCAGAAGGAGGTGAAATTTTGGAGTATATCGAAGAAACAGCAAAAAAGTTTGGCATTGACAAAAAGATTGTATATGGTCACACTGCCACTAATATGGATTGGTCAAGCAAAGACCAACGATGGACTTCAGAATTTAAGAAAACAGATGGAAGCTCAATTGTTGTCACTTCGCGATTTGTTGTGGTGGCCACCGGATACTTTGATCACAATGAGGCTTATTTCCCTGATTTGCCCAAGAAAGAATTGTTCAAAGGTCCCATCATTCATCCGCAATTTTGGCCAAAAGGGGTCGATTATGAGAATAAGACTGTAGCTGTGATTGGTTCAGGGGCTACTGCAATTTCCATCGTTCCGCATATGGCAGACAAAGCAAAGCTTGTCACAATGGTTCAACGATCGCCAACGTATATCACAAGTCGTTCAAGAGTTGATCCGGCTGCACAATGGCTTTTAAAACTTTTACCCTTAAAGTTGGCATCAATCATTTTGTTCCTGTTTTACGAACTCGAAACAACGATTATGTTCTTCACATACAAAATCTTCCCAAATTACGGTAGACGAGTATTGCAAAATTACGTCAAGAAGCAACTTCCTCCTAATGTTCCTCTCGATCCACACTTTGTTCCTAAGTACAAGCCATTCGACGAACGTTTATGTTGGGTTCTGGAAGATGATCTATTTGTTTCAATGCGTGAAGGTAAAGCAGCCGTCGTTACAGGTCATATCAAACAACTGACAAGCGGTGGAATTGAAATGCAGGATGGTCAATTCGTACCTGCCGATATTATTGTCCAAGCAACTGGTCTGAAATGCAAATTCCTTGGCGGCGCAAAGATCAGGATCGATGGCAAGAAGCTCAACCTCGGAGACACTTTCTTCTATCGAGGAATGATGTTAGACGGTGTTCCAAACGGTATTGCTTTACAAGGCTATTTGAGTACATCTTCATGGACACTTGGTGTTGTTCAAACTTGTGAATATTTCTGTGATTTATTGAAAAAGATGGAAAAAGAAGGTTATCGTCAAGTTACTCCAATAGCCGGTCCTGAAGTCAAAGCAACGACTGAGCCTTTCCCAATGACGTCTGGTTATTTGATGAGAGCTCTTGATCAGATGCCCAAAGTTGCGGATGGCTTGGTTTGGCGTCATCATTTGGATCCGATCGTTGATTGGCTTGATATGAAATTTAACAGGAGGTACCAATCTCTTGAGTTCAAGTAGTGGCTGCTATCGTTCCTTCCTCATCCATCATTTATGCTTGTGCTCTCATTTTAATGTCATATTTTTGCGTGTCTTTTGACGTTTTCGTGCTCTTATCTGATCATTAAGAATAGTATCGCTCGAATAGCCCGAGAACTACAAGGTGACCATTCGCTCGGTTCGCCGCGGCCCGATACCTGTCCATTACGCCAAATTCTGCTATGATCTCATTGGAAGAAATTGGCGTCGGGGTGATTTAATTGTGGAAAGTCATGCAGCATTTAAGACAGAAAACAATGTCTGTTCGAGGTTTCCCTCTTCTTGTCTTTTCTCTACAGCAGTTTCCTTTACAAAATGAATAGTCAAGAACACCAAGATGTTGACTTGGACGTGGTGATCATTGGAGCAGGCATTGGCGGTATCTCAGCAGGCTATTACATTGGACAATTGAAGAATTACTCGTATGCAATCTTTGAAGCGCGAGAAGAGCTTGGTGGTACGTGGTCCAGCTTCACTTACCCAGGAGTTCGGTCAGATTCAGATATGTTTACGCTATCTTTCCCATTCAACCCATGGACCAAGAGCAACTCGGTAGCAGAAGGTGACGAGATCTTGGAATATATCAAACAAACAGCAAAGAAGTTTGATATTGACAAAAAGATAATTGTTGGTCATAATGCTACTGATTTGGACTGGTCCAGCGAAGATCAGCGATGGACGTCCACATTCAAGAAGCTAGACGGTTCCTCTGCTGTGATCACTTCTCGCTTTCTGATGCTGGCTACTGGATACTTTGATCATGAACAAGCCCATTTTCCTGATCTTCCTGATAAAGATACATTTAGAGGTCCGCTCATTCATCCACAATTTTGGCCGAAAGATGTTGACTACGAAAACAACACTGTAGCTGTCGTTGGTTCAGGAGCTACGGCGATCTCCATCGTCCCACACTTAGCACAGAAAGCGAAACTTGTGACAATGGTACAACGGTCACCAACCTACATCACTACTCGTTCTAGGGTTGACAGTATTGCGAAACTGCTTTTGAAACTTTTGCCTTTGAATTTGGCAGCAATCATTCTGTTCTTTATATACGAGATCGTGTTAACGATTAAAATTTTCCTCTACAAAACCTTACCGAATTTTGGTAGACGGCAATTGCAGGGCTATGTCAAAAAGCAACTACCTAAACATGTACCGCTCGATCCGCATTTTGTACCCAGGTACAATCCATTCGCTCAACGTCTTTGTTGGACAATAGATAGCGACTTGTTTGTCTCGATGCGAGAAGGAAAAGTGTCAGTCGTGACGGGAGATATCAAGCAAGTCACAAGCGGTGGCATTGAGATGGAAGACGGCCAATTTGTCCAAGCTGATATCATCATTCAGGCCACAGGTATACAGTGTAAACTTCTTGGAGGCACAAAGATTACGATTGATGGCAAGAAATTCAACCTTGGAGAGACCTTTCTCTATCGTGGAATGATGTTGGACGGTGTTCCGAATGCGGTTGTGTTGTTAGGTTATCTCACGTCCTCTTGGACAATTGGTATTGCGCAAACATGTGAATACTTTTGCAACTTAATCGAAAAGATGGCAAACGAAGGTCACAATCAAGTCACTCCAATAGCTGGTCCCGAAGTGAAAGAGACCACTAAACCTTTTCCTTTGACTTCTGGCTTCTTGGTCAGAGCGTCTCATATGCTGCCAAAAAGCGCTGATAGCTGGGTATGGCGTTACCGCTCGGAACCACTCCTGGATTGGCTCGACATTAGGCTCAACAATAGGCATCAATCTCTCGAATTCAAGTAGGAAGCTATTCATAAATTCAACAGAAAAGATAGATATATTTCAGTACCGATAGCCGCTATTCGTATATCTTTCTGATTTGTATATCTTATTCAAAGTCTAGACTTTGATATCGCTTGTTCAGCCTAACCTCCAACCAATCAATAACCGGATCCAAATGATGACGCCATACCAAACCATCTGATACTTTAGGGATAAGATGAAGTGCCCTAACGATAAAACCAGATGTGCACGGAAAAGGTTTGATACCTTTTTTGATTTCCGGTCCTGCTCTTGGAGTGACTGTTTGGTATCCTTCCTTTTCCATCTTTATGAGAAGTTTATAGAAATAGTCACATGCTTGATTTATTCCGATCGTCCATGAAGCATGAACGAATCCGAATAAAGCGATCGCATTTGGTACGCCATCTAACATCATTCCACGATAGAAAAATGTATCTCCAATTTGAACCTTTTTACCGTCAACTGTGATCATCATTCCACCCAAGAATCTACATTGAAAGCCGGTTGCTTGAATTATGATATCGGCTTGTACGAATTGTCCATTGTCCATTTCAATCCCGTTTGCTGTGAGTTGATTGATTGTTCCGGTAACGACACTTGTTTTGCCTTGTTTCATCGAGATGAAAAGATCATTCTCCAATGTCCAGCATAAAGGTTGATCAAATGGCTTATACGCCGGGACGAAATGCTGATCAAAAGGGATGTTATGAGGAAGTTGCTTTTGAACATTCTTTTGCAATTCATGCCTACCCAAAGACGGGAAGATCATGCAAAAGAAAAAGAAGAGAGATCGTTCTAGCTCATATATAAAGAAGAGGACCATGGCTGCAAAATTCAATGGCAAGAAATTCATGATCCACTCAGTCCTTTTATCAACTTTTTTACGATCTTTGATATACGACGGAGATCTTTGTACCATCGTTACCAGCTTTGCCGTTTTTGCCAAGTGAGGTATCATTGAAATGGCAGTAGCTCCTGATCCGATCACAGCAATAGTCTTGTTTGCATAGTTAAGATCTTCAGGCCAGAGTTGTGCGTGAACGATCGGACCTTTAAAAAGATTCTTGGCAGACAAATTGGGATAATGGGGCTTATTGTGATTGATAAAGCCAGTGGCGATCATCAAAAAGCGTGAAGTAACAGAGATCATGGAACCATTTGATTGTATAAATGTTGACGTCCACCTTTGCTCTTCGCTTGACCAGGCTAGAGACGTAGCTGTATGGCCGTACTTGATGTGTTTGTCAATGTAAAACTTTTCTGCAGTTGATTTGACATACTCTAAAATTTCATCGCCTGTTGCAATGGAATGTGTCTTGTTCCATGGATTGAATGGGAATGACAAAGTGAACATTTCTGAATCCGATCGGATACCGGGATAGGTAAAGCTTGACCATGTACCACCAAGTTCCTCTCGAGCCTCAAAGATGGCATAAGAGTATCCTAACTTTTGTCCGATATAGTAACCAGCTGAGATACCACCAACGCCAGCACCAATGACGACCACGTCCAAATCAACATCAGCTGTGCTTTCGTTGCGATTCATTTTGATGGGGGAGAAGAGTGATTGTAAGAAAGTGCGGAAGAAAAGTTGGGGTTATAAATGAATGAATTGGACAATCACGCAATATTCAACTTTTACGCCAATGACGCACTTTCCGTCCTGTGAGAATCGGAGGCGTAAAATGATCGACAAAATGATTTATCCAGTTGAAAAGGAAAATCTTCTTCTCTGAAAATAGAAATTATTCATGTTCTTCATTAGAGCATATCTTTTAATTGTCATTTCATTAGGCAATTCCAGCAATTCCATATAAAGAAAAAAAGATGAGTTTAATGAGGAGCTCCCCAAGTTCCACTTGAAGGTAATGGATTTTGTTTCATGAAAGCAAATAGCGTATCCGAGTTTCGTACTGAAGGCCAACGAAGATGGGCTACCGTACCGGTTGTGACTGCACAATTACCTTGGCAAGCTTCTTCGCATTGAGAATTTCCATCTGATGACTTGACTGCCGCAGTCGCAACATCAATAATGACGAGTTGTTGTTCTAGACTTGGGTATCGATTGCGTAGATCGTCATAGAAGTATTTTCCGGTAGTGCAAGTTCCGATGATATCACAATAATTATGGATAATGGAAGTTGGTGTAGCGAATGGTGGATAAGGAACTTGAGTACAAGGATCTTGCGAATCACGATAAGGATCCGGAGCGGAATAAACGCTTGAAGCGGCAATTCCGTCAGTGTTTAAAGCATAGATCGTTGCCATTGAAGCTCCATTTGACCAACCGGACATGAAGACTCTTTGTTTGTCAACCGGTACATTGCTTTTTGCATATGCGATTGATTTATCGATCCAATCTGCATCTGCATTCAAAGCAGATGAAGAACGATCAAAATTACGGTACCAATTATCCCAGCCGGGCGTGTTGTTGTCGGGGATAGGGTATTGATGAATGGTATTACGTCCTAAGGGTAAAATGTACGAGAATCCGAGTCTTGAAGGGTCTTGGTTATTTAAAGCTTGTGTTGTACGCACTTCGTCAATTCCGGTCAATGGGAAAGAGAGAGTCGTTTGAACGGCAGAAGGATGCAACCAAACCACGAGTGGCAAAGGTTTATCTTTCGTAGAAGCAGGATTTGCATAAAAGCAAGCAGATCTCATCTTTCCTGTATTATCCGTTCCATTAATGATTTGTCCATGACAAATATCGATTAAATCTTGTAATCCTGTTGGCAAACTTTCTAAAGGTGTTAATATTTTTGCTGGTGGATCTCCATATTTTGTACAATCTTTTCCTGTTTGAACAGTTGTAACGGCAGATTTTGGATATTGTCCTGTTGCTGAGGCAACTTGTGGTGGTACACAAACTGGAACGTGAGGCAATAGATCGCTTTCCAAAGTGCTGGCTGAAAAGGAAAGTGGACTTGCATTTGACGTATGGGAAGATAGCAAAATGCTAGCAAGCGTGAGGGAAAAGGCGGATTGGATCTTGTTGAAGTACATGTCGGAATGTAAGGTAGGGATTGGGGGTGGTGAATAAATTCATTATGATCATGATAGAGTGTTACCTTTTTATATGATTCATTTTCTCACAATTCGTTCGGGTTCTTTTACCGAACATATATGATATCCGCTCTTATTGTGCCATGCTGCTCATTCGGTTAACGAAAATAAGGGGGATAACCGATATGATTTGTCTTAAAAACCTTCCGATACAACATGATCGGTCCGTTTGTTTGCATGTATGATTTTGTTTAATTATTGTGCCTTGTAATTTTGTGGGGAAATTAAAATTATCATACGAATTTGCGAGTTAACAAATCCTCAAACTCACGCTAAAGGCAGCAAACCGTTGACGCTACCGTTGCATATCCTCTGCAAACAAACAATGGTTGTACTGATTTGTCTCACTCTGATCATTTCTAGCGCACATTTTGATGATGCACTATAGCAGAGTCCACAATTTTATAAACCTCGGCCATCCACTTCTTATTAAACGGCAACTAAACATGTGGTCAGATTAAACTCAAATGTGGGGAACTCACGCTTACGTGGATAATGTCAATCAATAACATTTGCAAGCATGTGATGCAGAAAAATTACGTGGGTGATAGTATAAATCATAAAGAGGGGGGGAAGAAAGCAACGATCAAGTGCATACTGATCGACAGGCAAAAGATCTATGCGGCGAGTAAAGTACTAAGCAAATGTGGACGTGATGTCAAAGAGAGTTAAAGAAGATGCAAATCGCCATCCTTAGCATTTTCCAAGGTTGTTGTACACCTTCATCTTATAGCCCATTTTGCCTTGAGCCCAACCATTTAGCAATTGATTAAGGTAGTCTAAATTGTTCTGTGCATGGCATCCGTATTGCTGACTGGTTGCACGGTTATAGGTCAAGCCCTTTTGCCAGCCGTTGTAAATACCAATAGCTTGAAGAGCATTTCCGCCAAAGCCATCCAATTGAGATTTGAAGTATTGAGCGGCTACCCTGACATTTGTCGTTGGATCCCAGCAATTCTTGCCCTTACATTTGTCCGGTGTTAATTGCATCATTCCAATCTCACCGTTTTTGCCATGCACGCCAGGGTTGCATGTTGATTCTTGCATGGCAAAGGACATCAACAAGACTGCTGGTACACCCGTTGATTTTGAAGCACTGTCAAATGCTGATTTGTACTTTGCACAACCGCCAAATACACCTGATTTGGCTGCTTGAGAAGAAGAGATGAATTTCAATTGACTCATCTTGACGTTGGGTGGTGACCATTTACCGTTGGGATTATTCTTTGACAAACCACAGTTTAAGAAGTTAATGTCACCGTTGGGAGATTCTTTCGATGCATGAGGGTTGCTGCATTGACCACCGAAACTCAAACCGAGCAAGCCTTTAACACTGCCAAGGGGGCCAGAACCACTGGACTTGTCATCATCACTGTCGTCGGAATTGTCCTTGTTAGACTTTTGTTCTTTCGAACTTGATTCAGGTTTGGGTTTTACTGGTTTTGCTTTACTCTTTGTCATTTTCTTGCTTTTGTCTGGTTTGGGTTTCTTATCGTCCTTCTTGTGAGCGAATTGAGATTTGGATTGGCTTGATGCTCTGCATCTTTTAACGTGACGTTGTTTGCCCATTCCAGTGTTTCGTTTCCAAAGTGATGTTGAACCAATGGCTTCTTCCGTATCGAGTGAACGGCTTACAGGTTCGTTAACCATACCGTTGATGCCTGCATCAGCGGCAGATGAGCTGACCTGCAAGCTCATGATTGTAGCCAAAAAGACGGTCAAGATGATAGAATTGAAACGCATTTTGTTGTGAAGTTTTTTCTGTTTGTGATTGTTGTGTTTTCTGTTTGTAATTGTAAAGAATGAAGTCGAAAATGGATTTGAGGAGGGAGTGATGATGATGGTAATAAAGTGTAATATGATTGTTGTTGCTTGATATGCTATAAGTTGATAAATGCTGCCGGAGCTTAATGCAAGAGATGGATCTGTCAAGAATGACTACACGGAACAAAAGGCCGCTAAGAGCGATTAAGATGTTCTATCAAAGAAGTTCTGCAAGTGAGAGAAAGATTGCAATCGATAATGCCTGCGCTTGCGCACTTATTATAGATTGATGAAAGAGGGTGAAATTCGGATGGCTAAATATTCTTTGCCAAGAAAGAATGTTTTATTACGGCTACCGGAGCGATAAAATGTGTTGGTTGGAAGTAATGAGAAAAAGGAGAGAAAGAAAGCAATGCAAAGATTATAGGAGTATGGCCAACATACTTACGTATTTACTTTATTCATTTCTTTGTTCAGTCATGTCAAATGAAGTTTTGGTTGCCAAGCCATGAATTGGATTGTTTTACATAAAGGCACATTAGCACTCTTTAACTATTTTAAAACGACAAACATGTTTCCATTGTTGTAAAACATACCGACAAATCGCCCATTTATAGAATTACAAGAAAGGGGGGGAGAGATTTCATTTTGATAAGAATACGCTAATTTGTGTTAAAACACTGCCATTTTGGGAGAGAAACGCGTTCAACACAATCACAACGCGTTTGAAGTCACGCTAAGCATTGCCAGCTTGAAAGCAATTCGCTTGGCAAATGAATCAAGCTCGACCCTACCCATACCCTAGCGTTGATATAACATACTAACTCATGCGAGGTCACACACACTACATACACCACCTCATGGCAGCCAAGTATCTTAGCTGAATACACATATGGAGACACAATATATACAAATTAAGCATGTTGTTATATACAAGAATGGTGGTATGGAATACAGTAAAAAAGGTTTCGTTACTTTCGTGAAATCTTTCGTTTGGCCAGCGAGTTACGTTTATGAACTCCTCTTGTTTTGACACTTCGTTTGTCGGTTCAAGTCTTTTGATTTGTTTTGTACAGCAGAATATACAATTTCCATTTCCTCATTTGTGCTCCTTCAATCAGTTTCAGAAACCGCAGTAAAGTCATATCCAGCTGGATCAGTTACACCTCTCTTTCGTCCGTGCAATGTTTGCATGTGAGCTTGATGCTTTGCTTGTTCGCCACGTGCATTTTCCTGTACTGACATGGCTGCCAAAGAGGAATTGCTGGATGATGTCATCATTTTCACATGCGTTTGCAAAGGTGAAATAGGTGCTGATAATGGCAATGTCACCCGACGACCATGAACGTTGGACACTTTTGTCACATCAGTTGAAGTTGATGAAGATGACTGCGAGCCAACAGCAGTCAGATTTGGCTGACTTGCTGTCTTGCTTTGTGGCTCGGTTCGATTGACGCCCTCACGTTGAGTGGGCACCACTTTTGAAGGTGAATTGCCAACGTGAACATTTCTTCGACTTGAGTGAAACGAACCACTCGGTGACGAGACATGTTGCGGAGATGCACCATACTCTCCTTGTCTGCGTGCAAAGGAAAGTCGGCGAACACTATTTGAATTTTGTTCACCATTTGGAGACCTAGTAGCAGATGATGATCGTTGAAACAACGGCATGCGCGCAGGTGGTCTACGCAAGAAGGATGTATCGGTAGATCGAGATTTTTGACCATCTTCCTGACCGATTGAACTGGCTTCACGGTCAAAGCCACCGACGATAGCGATCGCATGCCCTTTTCTTGGTGAAGCGTTGTTTGAACAGCTTTGATTGTTTTGAGAAGAAAGCTTACTCGTGTTGCTCTGTACGTTTCCTTCCAAGTCGTCCAATGTTGTAAGAGAATCGAGTGCGCTTGTCAATCCTTCATCTTCTTCATCCCAAATCATATCCAAATCTGCCGCTGAGGAATGATTGCTTTGACGACGAATGCTATGTGAGGATGTAGAGTATGCCAATGACAATGGCAAGCTGGAAGGCTCTTCATCTTCGACTGCAACTTCGATTGCTTCTTCTCCGTCATGCAAATCGTATTTAGCTTCTTGATCATACCCTTGACCAGAGAGACTGTTCGTTTGAACTTCATCATCGAGACTAAAGAGAACTTCTTCTTCATCCAATTCCTCTTCGTTGGTGGAAAGATCTGTGCTCTCTGCATCTTTAGCGATCATTTCTGAATCTTGACTTGTGCTTTGACTGCTGTTGTAAGATAATTGAACCAAAGTCATTGGACTTCGTACAGGTGAATGCTTTCGCTTTTCACTTCCTCCTTCAAACATTAATGGTCTCCTTGCAAATGTTGGAAAACGCAAACTTGCTTCAACAGAATCGGCATCTTGATCATCTTCTTTCTCTTCATCCTCCATTGTTGCAGGCGAATATGTTCGTTCATTGCAAATGATTGTGCCAATGGGAGAATTAGAAGAACGTCTTGGCTTTGCTGTTGTGGATGATGAGAAGCGCTCTTCATCTTTCAAGATCAGTGATCGTGAAAAGGAAGATGACAATGAATCATCTGCATACGTTGGAGGCATTCTCTTCTTGGCCGGGATGAGCAAAGGATGTTTTTGAAACGTCATTTTGTCTGGCGATGGTGGAGTGATGAAAGAAGAAGGACCAGCTTCTGATACACTCGAGGAGAATGGGATCATTGTGTGCTGAGCAAAGCGAATAATTGTCGCTTAAGTACGTTTCAATCCAGAATGAATGCGCTTTCTTTTGGTTTCTTCCTTCCTGTTACGCAAGGTGTGTACGCAACAGGTGAATTGTAAGAGGATGTTCTGTTAGCCCCCCAGTACTTCTTGTGTGTGTGATTTGAATTGAATTGCTATGTCAATGCGGTGTGACTCGGCCCTTTGAGGAAAGGATGTCCGAATCTAGCCGCAAGTCAGATTTGAGCAGTCTTGACAGTAGGCAGCCGAAAGTGAAAGGAAGAAGAAAAAGGGGATGGCAATGAAATATTGAAACGCCCTCAATAATCAAGCCACGTCAAAGGCAATCCTTCTGAACAAATTCCTCGGGGCAATAATAATTCAATCCAGTTATGATAGAATGTTAATCTTCTTCGGCTCAGTTGCGTGCGCACATTAGCCAAATGACGCCATCGACAATTTGTTCAGGGGAATATGACTTTCTTCCGTATGCCAAGACTTTGCTTTTGTTTTCGTCAAGACGTGTAATTTTGATATGTGTGATTTGTATGCAAAAAGAAAAGAAATTGTGATGGTGATGTGATGTGTATTGCGCACGCACAGCAAATGGGCGTTTGTAAACTGATTTGAAATCTTTGACAGTTTTGATTGATATCAAAAAAGAGGCGCTGCTGCTTGCTCTTGCCGGCGTAAAATGTGTTGAGAAGTTATATGACGCCCTTTTTATACAAGTATTATTTGACTTTTTGTCTAGACCGAATGGAACGAGTTGCACAAATGACCAACAATATTTTGTGGGGGCAACTCCCTTTACGCCTTTGAGTGGTCGATCGTCAATTCTTCTTTGTTGATGTCAAGACACACTCTCCTTGTGTGTGAATGTTAAATCAATTTCGGAGTGGTAATGAAACTGTGTCGGACCCTAGGGTTTGGTACATAGACACGATTTGCGGAATATGAATTGGTGGTGTTTTACCCGGATGTTAATAAACCGTCGTTTGTTGGCAAGCCGTATGGAGGGAGAAGGCAATGCTTTTTATTTTATTTTTATAAATCCGAATATTTTTCTTTCGGCTAAGGAATGTCAAAGAATAGAAAAAGCGAAATGAATTTTAACGGCCTCCGTCAATCGAAATGAGAAATGAAGTTGTCAAGGTTGATGATGATGATGACCAAGAAAGTTATTGGCACTAAGGATAGTTTGGGTTAGCCTTTAATAGTCAAAATGAATGGGATTGATTGATGACAGGAGGGAGATAATGTACGCTACTGTATTATGTATTATATGTATGGGGTTTTAGCGTTGCGCTAAGGTGCTTGAGTTTCAAAGGGTTTTTTTGGTCTTGTTTTTACACAGCAAACGGGCGCAACATCTTTCCCGGCGGCACAACGGCACATCGTGGGGTAGATTGTGTGTGTCAGTATGCGTGTGCTGTGCATTGCTCTGATTGCTGTTGCTTGCTGCCTTTTTGTATAACTCGGAATCGGGTATCCGTAAACTGCCACTTAAGAATGATCTTTAATTGCAAAAAGTTTTAATTTGTTTGACTTGCATGAAGTCATAAGCATGCATATATGAATCAATCACACTGTGCCTGAGAGTGAGAAAAAAGAGAAATTAAAAGAAGTTGAGATAGCAGCCGATTCTTTCAATTTAAGCAATACATGCCGCAAAAATGATGAAAGAGGCGTGCCCTCATGGAACACACATCTTTAATGATTTTGCATAAGACTTTCGATCACCTTCTCGATTCGTTCTACCGCATCTTCCGTTCCTTTATGATAACGTTGTAAAGTTCCAACAACATCTTGTAAACGGGCTATTTGCACTTGATGATCGCATCTTTGAGCGACAAAAGGGGGTGGAAACCCCATAGGTAGGTGCGGTGGCTGTTGATGTTGAAGATGATAAGGCGGAAGGAACTGTGGTTGCATATGTAAAGAGGGACCACTTTCGGGAATACCTTTTGATCGTTTGTAATCATCCGTTGTACGTCTAATCCTATTCATTCCTTCCTCGGAAAGATCTTCTCCTTTTAACGAAAGCCAATAATCCGATTCTTTCACAATCTTCGTTACTGCCGTTCTTTCGATTCCAAACATATCGGCAATCTTTTTGTGAGAAAGATAGATATCTTTTGCTTTTTTACAAATTTCAATCTTTTCGAATTGCGTAATGGTTCTTCTTTTCTTGTATGCATGTGGTGAAGATGAGGATCTACTTCGTTCAACATTTGAAGTTGTGCTTTGATCGGCTTCTTCAGCTTCTTCTTTAGTTTGATCGGAATGTGCTGTTGATTGCTGTGATTGCTCTGGTGTGTTTATAGGTGGATGGCGATCGCCTACTTCTGCATCAGCAGGGCGTTTCTCTGGCCTTGAAGTCGATGGATTGCCATTTTGCACGTTTCCCTCCACGATTGGTCTTGGTGGTGGTGGTGATGATCGTTCTGGCTCTTGACTGGCTGGACGAGGGCTAGCATTGTCTCTTGGGCCATCGAAAGGTATAGACGTTCTTACTTTTGATGTACGACCTGCTGAACGTTCAATCTCAGGAGCCATCTTTGCAGGAAGGTATGTCAGTCACCAGTGATAATGAGTGAGTATCACAGAAGTAAAGAGTGATGCTGATGTTTTGTCGCTGTCGTTCTTTGAATGGATGCAGGATTTTTACCTCTTCTTTGACCCTGCGGTGCGGTGCGGCGCAGTGCAGCACACAATGAAACAAGCGTGCGTGCGCGTAAATGAAGGAAGGTAATAGTGTAAACCTTATCAAGGCTGCCTTTTCCCGCCTTGTCTGCTGCCTGAAGTTCTTTATCACCTGTGTGCTAAAAGGGAAACATTGAGGTTAGTCACTTCTTCTCAAGCTGAATCTATCACTTGTAGTTAGTGAGAAGGAATTAGCTTTTCCCAGCAGGAACAATCATCTCATCGATCACGATGCGTTTGACTTCATTCGCTGTCTGGCTTTCTGCTGGCTTGACCCTTTCAAGAGCTGCTCAGCTACCCTTCCTTGCAGAAGGCCCAAGCGAAAGTCACGATTATACCAACAATGTTGACCGTCCCTCCACCTTTACATTTAGTCATCCTTCTTTCCCGGCTCATACATTACGATTCGTAGAGCCACCAGGAGATATTTGTGAAAGACACAAAGGTACTAGAAGCTGGTCAGGATACTTGGACGTAAACTTGGACGAACTTTGGAAGAAAGAACAGCAAGATGCACAAAACGGTAACGGAGTATATGCACCTCGTTTGATGGAAAGGGATGAAGAAGAAGTGTATGCTAACAAGGAAAAGCATCCTGAGGGCGTCATTGAGCACTTCTACTTTTGGGCTTTCGAAAGCCGTAACGATCCAAAAGAAGATCCCACAGTCCTATGGTTGAACGGTGGTCCAGGCTGTAAGTATTATGGTTGCTAATTGTATCTAGATTTGGACGCTAACATCTTTCCGCTTTCTGTAAACAGGCTCAAGTGGCTGTGGTATGCTTATGGAACTCGGTCCATGTAACGCTCAAAACTATAATGGAACAAAAGGCCCCCACACCAAGTACAACCCACATTCATGGAACAACAACGCCTCTCTGATTTTCTTGGACCAACCCGTCGGAACAGGATTCTCTTATGCATCCTGGTCAGATCCAAAGAAAGAAGGCAAGGCACCTTCCAGAATCTATACCGCTCGCGAAGCTGCTAGAGATGCTTCAGCTTTCCTTCAATTGTGGGGCTCCCACGCCAAAGAATTGATCGGACAAGCTCCCTCATCGTTCCACATTGCAGGAGAAAGTTATGCAGGACGATGGGCTCCTTTGATTGCATCACAATTGATCGAGGACAACAAAAAGGCAATCGCTCATCCTGATCTAGGTTTCAAGCCTTTGCCGCTTGCATCTGTCTTGATCGGTAACGGCTTCACATCGCCAAAGCATCAATTCCAAGCATACGTTGAATACTCGTGCGCCAATACAACAGGTTTCGGAACGTTTTTGCCCAAAGAGCAATGTAAAACAATGTGGGGAAGAGTACCAACCTGTCTTGCATTGACAGAAAAGTGCAATACACCAACAGAAGGTAAACCACACGATACGCTTGCATGTAAAACTGCTTTGGATTTCTGTGAGACTGCTTTACAAGCACCTTGGACGGATACGGGAATGTCACCTTATGATTACGAACATATGGGAGATTATGAAGAAGATGATTGGTTTGCTACATTCTTGAACGCTACAAAGACAAAGAAGGCATTGGGAATCGATAAGAGTGGAGCAGGAGATAAACATGACGGATCTTATGCAAGTTGCTCAGATAAGGTCTTCAGCCGATTCTCAAAGACGGGTGATGGAGCAAAAGATAGTACTTGGGCAGTGAAAGATCTGTTGGAGAACGACATCCGAGTGCTGCTGTATGCAGGTGAACGTGATTTCATTTGCAATTATTTGGGTATTCAAGCTTGGTCTTTGGATCTTCAATGGTCTGGACGTGATGAATTCCGAAAGCAAGAATTGGTACCATGGTATCATCCTGCTCCCAAACAAGAAGAGGTAGCAGGTGTTCAACGTACATATGGAAACCTCACTTTCTTGACCATTCGTGAAAGCAGTCACTTTGTCCCTTACAGCCAACCAGAAGCAAGCTTGAAGATGTTCAACAGCTGGATCCACGACAAGAGCCCACCACAGTAGAAGGACTTTTCTTAACAATCTGCTCGGAAGAAAATGCTGGAAGTTTATGTATTAGAGTACAAATGAGTTGTGCAATTGTCTAGTACATCTAGAAGTACAAGGATAAATGAAATGAAATACAAATACAAAATTTTGACGAGCTCTATCTTGAAATCCTAATGAGCATGTTCGGATTGTTGTTTCTGAGAACGTCCAAAAATGTCTTCAAAATTATTTGACCGCCTTGTTCGACTCTTGTCAAATCGACTCGAATGAGGACCCTTTCTCTTTTCCGAAGGTCGGCCTAGAGCAGCCAAACGACGTTGACGGTTTGCTCTGATCGATTCCAAGCAATAATCGATTGCACGTTCGGTTCTTGTTTTTAGTTCTGCAGCATCGGTATAAAATGGAAAAGCGATAGGGAATCGCATAGAAAGCCAACGATACACAGTTAAACCTCGATGTAAAGTTTCCAAGGCGATCAGTGTGTTGATGTCCAAAGTAGATTCCGCTTCAGAACCAGATCTGACAGGCTTATCGTCTTTGTCATTTACAGCCTCCACGGCCTCATCCACAAACTCTTCCGGCTTGTGTGCACGACGGATGGCCTCAACGTCACGAAGGGTATCCAGTAATCCTGAACCCTTGGCAACGTCTTCGAACGAGTTCAAATTTCCATATGCATAAAGTCTGATCATATTGCCAAACAATGCTACCAATTCTTCATCTCGGATATTGATAGGTGCATTACTAAAAGCACTGCGTTCTGCCAGTGTAAGTGGTGCATGATGTGGTATTGAGGCTTCAATGATCGGCATCGTTTCGTTTTGTTGTCCGAATGATCCCGCCACGAACTTGGAATGATCGATGCGAAATAGCAGAGATGCATCTGTCAACAATTTGCCATACGGACGACCTACTAATGTGCCTGATTTCTCAGAATATTTTACCGGGATCAGAGTAGCCAAGCTAGAGATGTGCTCCAGCTCTGGTGTGATAGATGCATGTGTGATGGGCTTAAGTGGTGCTTGCAGTGCAATTTTAAGTGTTTCCAAATCTTCCGGTTTGAGAGTAGTTGCGATTCCACCTTCATTAACTACTCCTTTTTCAGTCGTTCCGTATCTGCCTGCCCGTCCAGCGATTTGTTTGATTTGCGAAAAGGAGATCGGCGCACGTTGCTTTCCATTCCATTTACTGACTTCAGTAAAGATGACCCGTTTAATCTTCAAATTTAATCCCATACCGATTGCATCACTTGCCACCATCACGTCAACGTCATTGTTTGGATCATTGAATAGCTTTGCTTGCTCTGCTTTGGTTTCAGGTGGAAGTGCTCCGTATGCTACTGCGCATTTTAGTCCTGTTAACTTTTCGATCTCATTCTTGACGTTAAAGATCCCAGTCCTACTGAAAGCCACGATACAATCACCTTTTGTGATTTTGCTCAAATCTCCCAAAGGTTCACCTACACGCAAAGGAGTTAAACGCTCGTATTCGTGTACGATCACTTCGTCTCCGCAATCGTCAGCAATCTTCTTGATAAGCGGAATGACGCTGGCTTCTCCGCACAGGTGCATCTCTTTAGCTGCTATACGAAGCACAGCTGAAGTCCAGGCGAATCCTCTTTGCTCATCTGCAATCATTTGAATTTCATCAATAACCGCCACATCAACAATTGTATCCGGTTTGACCATCTCTACTGTGCAGGCCAAAAGACCGGCAGTTGAAGACATAGTCTTTGTTTCTTCTCCCGTTACCAGATTGCATTCCCGTGGTGGAATATTGGGTGATACCAAACCTTCATTGATTCTATACCAAACCTCATGAGCGAGTAGGCGTAAAGGTCCAGCGTAGAGACCTGTTTTTGCTTTACATAATGCTTGTAAAGCACCATGCGTCTTACCACTATTCGTAGGACCAACGTGAAGATGAATCTTTCTCGTTAGCAATCTTGCAGTATCGTTTTGTAAAGATGGAAAGCGCATGTCAACTGCTTTTTGTAATAATCCGAGATGCGTCACCAAGTTATCCGAACCGCCCACTTTAATCAGACTACGTTCTAGCCACGAGATGAACGAGCATATCACCAATCTATGAAGCTCGACGCTCTTAATCTGGTCTTCCCGTAAATTTGCCAGTGCTAAAGGATCCCAAAATTCTTGCTTTTCGGTAGGTTGATTCATTGCCACATCGATGAACGGCTTAGCCTCTTTCCACCAATGAACGAGCAATCTCCGAATGGTTTCCTGATCGTTGGTTTGACTGGAGTCCTCTAGAATCTTTTCCGCTCCTGATCTCAATTGCGATCCACTTATTCCCCAACTAATAATCCGATTCTCTGGTCGAGTTTTCAAGATATAACTATTGATTGAATCGGTTATTTGTGCAGAATTTGCAAGCACTAATTCATCGTCTGCGATAATATCCTTTCCTTTTCTATTGGAACTTCTCCCGTCCCTGCGACGTCTGTTACGCTTGAACTCTCTACCATTATCTTGCTCAAGAACTCTTATGGACGAATGAATTGGCCGGATTGCTTGGTTATAGGATGGCAAACGAGAAGGTCCTGCTTGTCTTTGAGCTGTTATTGGAAGACCTTGCACAGCTTCTGGCCCTGTTCGTAGCCGTATTCGACCGGCTGGCCGAACTATCCTTGCTAATGAAAACATATCCTATTGTTTTGCAGTGGTGGTCACCTTATGAAAGAGAAGACTCAAATGCTGACAACTTCTTTTCTTTTTTGAAATCTAAGAAAAAAAAGACACGCTAAATGGCCCGAGATCCGAGACAGGCTATAACACAAGCACGCTCTGTAAGCGGGCATCCTATTCATACTGCACTTCCTCTTTCCCATCATGTTCTCAGATGGCATCCGATATTCACGCTTCATCTGCATCTATGGCATCAGGATCGAGGAGCAAGATTCCAGTCTGCTTTGATGTGCCCGAATATGGTCCACCACCAGAAGCAAATTCACAGTCCAATTCAAATACATCACATCAATTACACGGAGCTGATGATCTTATCACACTTTTTAACCTTGGAGGACTATGGGATAGAAGTGTGAAGCCTTATTCGAATCCAAACAAGAAGCATAGAGAGAATGGAGGAAAAGACCACGCAGAAGATGGCGGAGACGAGAAAGGGAAAGTGATGGAAAAGACATATGTGGATTACGTACATGATTTACCCGGAAAGGTAAGACCGGCAAAGAGAACGGTAAGCAGATTAAACACTGCTACTGCCAATGCAAATGCAACAGGTCAAATGCCACCTCCTATTCCCGAAGAGATCACAGGTCGAGCAACGATGCGTGATATCGTATTCCGACCTGAAACGACTGTCCAACGTGTTGGGCCATTTGATGAAGATCTTTTACGTGCTGCGTTCACAGTTCAGGCTGGTAATGTTCCGGACATTGATTTGTCCCTACTTGAATCTGATGAGATCGAGAAACAAAGTCCAAGCAAGAAAAAGAAGAAGCGTAGACATGCACCGAATCCAGCAGACGAGACTGCTGCTAAGCGTAGCAAATTGAACAACTTCGCTGGTGGCATGAGCAAGTCCGGACCTGGTCGCTGAAAAACAAGAAAGAACATCCCATGATTTTGTATTATACCCATTGATGTATTTGTATCCACATTTCCCTGAGCATAAGAGTAAGATCACACTTCAAACGATAGATGTCATTTGACTGATCACGCTCCTGACGCGGAAGTCGGGTAGATAGACAAGTGAGAAGAAAGCAGGTGGAGTTGATATTGTTTCTCAACTCCTTCCTATCATCTCGTAAGTGAACTCTCAAGCAAATGTTCAAGAAGCCGGCAACACTGAAGCCTGCTTCGACTTTGAAGTCTTCGGCCAGAAGGGCATTCATCACTCATTTGCAATCTTTATATCCTGCACTTGCACATGCCACGCCTGAACAAATAGCAGAAGTTGTTCCTGCTGGATTGAAACAATGCGGTGCAACGACGAGCGGTGGACATAAAGCAGTCATTTATACAGACGAAAAAGGGAAGCCATTATGGTTTGAAGTTGGACATGAAGCCGCTTCTGCATTACAGCAATCGCAACAACAACATAAAAAACAGGCACACAATGGCAAGGGAAAGGCAAATAATGTACAATCAAATTTGGCAGAAGTGATTCCAACAATTTACGCTTTATGGTTGATGCCGACTCTACTGCCAAGACTACCCACATGGCCTCAGATCGTTGATCCTACACTTCTGGGAGGCTCAGCACTCATGATACCCGGCCTGCTTCCTTCGCCTCACACATTTCCCGACGATCTTCAATGGCGAGAACCTGCAGAACAGGGCGATGGAACAACAGAGGGAGATAAAGATGGGTCGAGCAGCTCAGGTAGCAGCTTACCTCAAAAAACCTCGCTCGTTGCCATTACTGCATATCCCTCACCCGTACCGCTTGTGATTGCAAGATTGGAAACTGATATGAAAGACATAATCACCAAAAGGGCAAGCGGCGAAAAGGGTAAAGCTGCTTCAACGCTCCATGCCTTGGGTGATCATATCTGGGAACTGGGTGGAAAAGAAGATCCTCCAAACGATGAAGAGGTACAAACCCGCTCAGCTGTAGTCCAACAACCTCCTTCTGACGACGCAGCTTCGAACGTAGAGAAAGGCGTGGAAAGTATTACCCTGTCTGATGATAAGCCTGCCGATACTGCTGCTGCGGGCCAAGAAGACATCAAAGATGAAGGAGTGGATAATAAACAGAAACCTGGTACGGGAGAGAATAAGTTCACAGTAGATGAAGTTGACGAAATTCTACATTTGGCCCTTTTGCTCTCTCTAAAGCAGATTGCAAAGCAACCAGGAACTACTTTACCTATGCCCACATCTGCGCTTTATTCGACGTATGTGTTACCCAATCGATCTTCTCAATGGCCGCCACTAGATGCGAAAGGAAGGAAGAGAGCACGAATAGCACCTAGCCTAGTAGCTTCTGCAATTAGCGATAATGGGAATGATGGTAAGATCTTGGAAGCAGAATCGACCGATATCCGTCACTGCTCAGCTAAAAAGTTAGCCAAATGGATCAAACAAGAAGAGAAACATGGCTTGTTCAAAACCAAGGATGTAAAAGGGAAAGATACGGTGATCACAACCATCAATGATAGTCATGCAGATTTGAGAGGGCTTGAAGCCTATTTGACGATCGCACAAGCGCAACAGCAAGGAGCGACGGAAGCTGATGGCTCGACAACCGCAAATGGCCCAAACGGAGTGACAAACCCTTCGGCAACAACAGCTCCGAAAGCTATAATCGTAATAGAGCGCTTTTGGCGACCTTCATCGTCATGTGTTAAGCTATTCCAAGAGATGGGTTGTGAAACATCAAATCCAGTTTCCAAGCCGGTGATCCGCAAACATGTTCTTCAATTTATTCAAGAGAAAGAACTTGTTGATCCTCGTAATCAAGCAATGGTTCGGATTGAAGATCCTCATCTGACACATGCCTTGTATCCTAAAGCATCACTGAAAGACATTCCCGCTGCACTTCGTAGGGAAGAATTACTGGAACGTCTTTTGTCAGTCTCTTGCATCGAATTTCATCGTACCAGTCGTCTGACACCGGAACATGCTGCCAAAGTCACCCAATCGAACGCGAAAGGAGATGATGCCTCTGCATTAGAAAACTTGGAGCTCGACAAAGAGAAAGGAGAGATTGTTGGACAGATGACAAAAGGTGCTGCACAACTTGTAAAAGTGGAAATCAAGACAAGACAAGGTAGAAAAGTGATTTCATTAATCACAAATGTAGAAGTTTATGCGATTGATGCAGAACAATTTGCTGCAGATTTGATGAGAATCGTTGGAGCAAGTGCAAGTTGTAGTACGCTACCAGGATCTACAGCCAAACATCCAAAGCATGAAATCTTTGTTCAAGGCGATCAAAGAAAGGCAATCTTTGATCTTTTAGAGTCACAGCATGGTCTGGATAGAAAGCACGTTCATATTCATGATATGACGAAAAAGTGATATACAGTATTGTACAAATATAAAAATACAAATTTGCAATCACAAATCCCACTCTTCCTCGTGATCATCTTCGTATTCTTCATCTGTTCCGATTGCATCTTCCTCTTCGGTAGACATGATTCGTCCTCCGGCCAGCCCTTCTTCGTAGGCTCCTAATAATTCTTCCAACCTTTCACGAACTTCCATCAATCCATCACGACCACCCAAGAAACCTTCCGTTTCTTCACTTGCTGCTTGTCCTGCTCCGCTTCTACCACGCGAGCCACCGATTCCATATGCAGTCAACGGTTCATGACCTTTGATTAATGTCGAATCGATAAATTGACGTGCATCAGCGATTAAATGTGCACTTTCCGGCGTTGTGCTCAAAGAGGCAAGCATAGGAACACTTTGAACTTTTGTACGACGTTTCTTTTGCTCTTCTGATTCATTCGTGTCCTTGTGTGTTGGTGGAAGCGGTCTACCATTCGATGTCAGGCCACGGAACATTTGTGGGAACGAAGACCATCGCACATTGAAAGCTGCAGGAACAAAACAACTTCCACCGGCTGGCTCATCAAGTGCGCTCCAAGCTTCCAGTGCTGCTTTTGTGGGTGTCTCAGCCATTCGATCATCACGAGCGGTTGTGAATTGTGCATACGGTTTATCTTTCCCGTCATGTGCATTCTGCCCAGGTGCAAAGCTTATATAACTCTTTTGAATAGCTTCAGCTGCAATCTTTGCACGTTCTGTATCAGTCATTCTGTTCGAATTCTTGCGATCTTGCTTGCGAGGGTCATATCCGCGAGCAGCAAGTAAAGCTTCAATCGGATCCAAAGGTCGATCCACCACAGCATAAGGCGCAAGGAGAGGTGTAGGAATGCATCCTCCCAATTGTCCAATCGGTGTATCCCTTCTCCAATTCAAGCTGTTGATAAGAGTTGCAGTAGTTTGACGAGAACGCTCGTTGTGCAATCTGCTGGATAAAGTCGCCGTATCAATGTGCGCTGCAAATAGGCCGCTCAGATGATATGGATCACGCCAGTCATTTCTTGAAGAAAGGTACTGCGATGGAGCAGTATTGCTTGAAAGTTCTTGTGGGAGACCCATAGGTGTGTAAAGCGAGGCTGACGAAAGGGACCAAAGAGACAAGGCATTATTGGCTTTACGCAGGCGAGCCAAGCGATCTTTATGCAGACCATCTTGCACATCTGTGTCTATTTCCTGATCTGCACCCCAGGCAAGTACGGGTATCTTGGGAAATTCGTCCGATAAGAGCTGTACCATTTCATGTGCCATACCCCCAAATCCATCAAACGTCGATGCTGACAATGAGAATGACTGCAGAGAGTCACTATCTTCCGCGAACCACCTCAATTGTTCGTCAAGCAGAGATTCTTCTTTATCCATCTGCCTGAAAAGACCGATACCCATCTCGAAAGTGGTGAAAGGCACTTTACCCTCTTCCTTTTGTACATCCATAGGCACGAGAGACCCACCTCCAAAATGATAGGGCAGCGATCGAGTACTGCGAGGATGATGAGGATTGTGTGCGTAAGATGCAGGTGTTAAATTCGTTCTCTTCGGCTTCCGAAATTGTCTCTTTGCGGTATCATGTAATTGTTCTGCACTTCCATTCGTGGCTGTATTTGCGTGCTCTTCTTCATCTGAATCCTCGTAATACTCGTCACCATCAGCGTCCAGTACCGGTCCAAGTCTCGTACTTTTCACTTTACCATCTGTTCCTCCTACCCATTGCACCTCTGCAGCATTGTTCCAGGCATGATATCCTTCATTCGCAGCCTTGCTCGGTCTCAGTACACTATATCCATCCTGATCCCCCTCATCTTCATCTTCAGCATCATCATCAACGACTACATTGTATGCATCCCATGCCGTTCCTAGATTGTGCTTGAAATCAACGACTAGCTGCCTTGGAAAGAATGTAGGTTCTGATCTTCTTGTTCCTATTCCTTCTTGAAAATCTACAGCAGGATCGAACAAAAGCGGGTCTTCCTCTTTATCCGAATCATCATCATCGTCATCTCTTGTTCTAGAAGGACCTGCAATTCCTTGTTCCGGATATTCGAAATGTGATGCTTGTTGATTAAAGAAGTGTGTTGTGATATGATGTGAAAGTGTTCCGAATGTCAAATGAATGATGTCCTTTTGCGAAGGCATGATTCCCAGACAGTCAATGATGGAAGTATGACAATGAGCACCTCTCTCCACTTTCCCATAACCTGGTAAATTAAGCTACAAAGAATGATTTGACTTTTAGCGCGGACAATCTTCTCACCGAGAAAAAAAAAAAGACTGAGTTTCACGTGTGACACTAGAGCAGCCAGGCTCAATTGCCTAAGAAATTGTTCATAACCACCTTCTTCCTCCTTGTCATCATCAACAACGTGCCTTGATCAGTATGATACCGACATCAATAGCGAGAGCTCGATCGGCGTGGAAGGGTGAGTATTGTACACTACTGCATACCGCACAATTCGACATATATGACTAATCGGACCCACTATCTACATCACAGGACCATTCTTTGTTGCATTTCCTAATCTCGCACAAGCATTAAAGAATAACACACCTATTCGGACGAATGCAAGGTCATGTACAATCCTTCCAAACTTTGTCGGGTAAGTATTGGCAGGAGTGGCAGCAGTCTTCGAGGCTTCTAATCGCAAACATCTTTTCCTCCTCAGTCTGAAATTCTTGGTTCATAATGGCAAGGATCACATTCCAATCTCTGTCACTGAAGAAATGGTCGGTCATAAGCTTGGAGAATTTGCACCGACACGTAAACGTTTTAGCTACCGTCTGACAAAGAACAGATGATCGGACGACAATCACAAAAACAAAACAGTTGCATCGCTTACAGTATATGCAACTATCTGTCATTATTACGTTGTATTTTTAATCGATTCGTTCAGCCTACATTGCAAATTCTCAGCAGCTATGCCGCAACAAAAGATACAATCATCTACTCAGGCATGGATGATGGGGTCTCAATGCGAGTCAGCAGTCTACATTGATGCGATAAAGACGCAAAATTTACAAAATCTGATTCAGGTAATCTCAGCTCTGCTATCTTACAACTTTGCTTTCTCGTCGGCCTTGCTCATATCTCGTAAGAATCTACGAAGGATCTTTCCAGATGGATTCTTTGGAATCTCATCCAAGAAAATCACGCCTCCTCTCAAACGTTTATAATTGGTAACTTTGGAAGCGATAAAGTCTTGAATTTCTTGAGCTTTTTTACCGTTGCTTGGTTGACAAGCTTTACCGCTTTTTGGATCGAAGGAAGGTGCATCCTTTGCATCCTTTTGATCAGGTCGTAAAACGACAAACGCTCTTGGTACCTCGCCTATTGATGCATCTTCTCCCACAACACCAACCACGCCCACATCCATCACAGAAGGATGTGTTAGCAGAATGCCTTCTAGCTCTGCAGGTGCAATTTGCATGGCTTTGTACTTGATCAGCTCTTTCCTGCGATCGACGATGTACAGAATGCCTTCATCGTCCATGAAGCCGATATCACCAGTACGAAGCCAGCCGTCCTTTGGAAGGGGTGAAGGAAAGAGGGTCAGTGTACAGTACAGAAGCAGCACTATCGGATCTCACTTACATCAGTAAAAGTTTCGTCTGTTGCCTTTTTGTTGTTATGATAACAAATCATATTCAAAGGTCCACGAACCAAGATCTCACCAGGCTGGCCGTGAGGTACAATTCGATCTTCTTCATCGATAAACTTCATTTCCATGCCCGATACGATTTGACCACAACTTCCGCCTGGTGCCTGTTTGAGCGGATTTGAAGCCGTCACTGCTCCTGTTGTTTCTGACATTCCCCACAATTGACCGATATTGACGTTGAGTTTCTTTTGCGCTTCTTCTTGCAAACCTTTGCCTAAAGGTGCTGCAGCACTGAACATGAATTCGTATGTGCCTTTGAAACCATCTGGACCTGCTAAGCCGAAACGTGTGATGGCTAGCAATAGCGGAGGAACAAAAGTTTGCATCCTCGGTCTGTACTCTTTAATAGCTTTGACGACCATTGGTAAGTCCATTGGATTGGAAAGAGCAAAGCAAACTGTTCCACCTTCGGATAATCCTAAGACCAAAGATGCCAAACCAGCAATATGAAATGCCGGCAAAAAGATCACCATGTTAGCCGGCCAGCCATCGTTCCATTCAGGAGTTGTTTTCCATCCTGGAATACTGGTCAAAGCGGTACGAAGGGAGATCAAGCTTCTATTTGAGATCAAGACGGCTTTTGGCAATCCAGTCGTACCTGAACTGAAAAAGATACCACAAGGATCATTCCAATCCAATTTATTGCAACCGGCATTTGCTAAAATCTTTTCTGATTCCTCTACTGATCCCACAAGATTATTCCATAAAGTTGATTTACCTTTACCATTTTCCGCTGAAGGTACAGCATCCACAATGATTGATTCATTCACCCCTGCTTTAATGAAGCTTTCTTTTAATGGCGTTGCTGTTAAGACTAATTTTGCATCTGCTACCTGACAAGCATGACGAAGTTCTTCGGGTGTATAAGCAGGATTTGCCATTGCCATAATGATACCCGCACGAAAGCAAGCCGAAGTTAAAAGAGCAAAAGTTGAAGAAGTAGGAAAAGAGATGAGAATATGATCGCCTCGTTTAAGGTTATAGGTTTTCAATAAAGTTGCAGCTAATCGAATGACGATATTTCTTGCTTCTTTTCTGGTATACTTTTTGCCAGTTGTATAATCTATTAATGCAATTCTTTCTTCTGCTCCTTGTTTTTGATGTGTTGCACAATGCTTTCCCCAGAGATGTTCATACATCGTTGAAGGTTCTATCTCCTTGAATGGACCATAAGGTGAAGTATAGATCCCTTCTGGAGAACGAAAAGCTGATTCTGGAACGTTTGACATTGCTAGAGAATAAAGAGTTGCTAGATGACGGAAGAGATGTAAAATACGCCGCTATGAAGGCGTTTATATATCACTGTTATAAATAATCTATCAGTCTCCAGAGCCACATTCCCATTATCCGTCATTTTTGCTTACATTCTTGTTTCCCCACACTTTCTCTTATTTCTCATGAACCGGTAATATAACATGACCGGTTCATTAACACTGCTCTACCCTAACCAACCCTGAATTCAAAAAATAAAAAAGCGAGCTATTATTAATTGTAAGCGTATTCTCTTAAAAGCACAACTTTGACCGAGGATAAATTAGCGATACACCATATCTTAATCCGTATCCCGGGAAGCCATCTTCTTGCTGAATTAAGACCGAATTAGCATATTCTATTATGTCGGAAGATATTATTCATCAATGGTGATGAGCATCTTCTCCCAATGGGCCATTTTTGAACAGACCACGTAACTGATTGATCACGTGACTAATAGGAAGGCGCGTGCGTTCGATGGGCTTATGGATTATCGGCGCCTTAAAATAATAAAAGATGATGAAATGATGGAGGTTGTTCTTCTTTTCTTTCTCTCCGTTACGACCACTTTCATTTGCAATCATGTCACATCCAACGAACGAATTTGATCTACCCACCGAAGGGGATCTACCCGCTGGAGCAGGACAAGGCAGTGAAGATGTAGATGATACAGCCGCTTTGGATGCAATGAAAGCTAGAGTAGCAGAAATGGAAGCAGAAGCAGCAAAATTACGAGAAATGCAACAAGAAGCAAATAATGGAATGGGAGCAGGAACAGGACCTGAAGGTGATCAAGGTCAATCATCTGAAATTCCAGAAGAAGATAAAGAAGAAGTGGATTCTAGAAGTGTTTATGTTGGTAATGTCGATTATGGAGCAACACCGGAAGAAATTCAACAACATTTCATGTCTTGCGGTACGATTAATCGTGTTACCATCTTGTGTGATAAATTCACCGGACATCCAAAAGGATATGCATACGTCGAATTCTCAGATCCCTCACTGGTTGCGAATGCAATGGCAATGAACGAAAGTCTATTTCGTGGAAGGTTGATCAAAGTGACTGCAAAACGTACAAATTTACCTGGTTTGAATGCTCGTGGAAGAGGAAGAGGGCGAGGACGAGGCAGACCATTCCGTGCACGTGGTCGTGGAAGAGGATTCCGTGGATACTATTGAGCAATCAAGTGTTATTGTCTATTATTAAAATTGTACATGTATGAATACCACCTTTAACAACAAAATAACGCACTTTACTGCTTGCCCATCATCATCGCCATGAGATTCTTAGGTGCAACACGCTCAACGTCTCGCAATGTCAGGCTGTACCGTAATTGGCGTTGTAAGGAATGGTCAGAGTTTGAATCACCACCTTCTTTTGCTTTTCTGATCGTATCCCGAACACTTGTATCAGCGACCATATCACCATTCGTTACAGTAGAAAGATGTTTGTCCTCATCTATTTCTCGCTCAGCAATACCATGTAAGAAGTACTTGTACGCGGCTCCTTGTGTGATGAGCAAGCTTCTAGGTTCTTGAAGGATTGAGAATCGAGGAAGTTGTTCACGAGCTTTGGCAGAAGAGTCAGCTGGTTTGCTTGCGTCAGATTGAGCGTCTTGAGAAGCGTATCGATAGACGTCTAACAGAGTATGACCACCTAAGCTGACAGTAGCAACCGTTGGGAAATATGCACTCCCATCTTCGTGTGGCTGCGAATTAAATTGTATGGATTAGCAATAGCGTTTATCCACACTCACGCTATTTGTACTCACTAGAATTCCCTGTCCTGGCTCGTACTCATTCATCAGCTGATATTGGGATCAGTATGACACATCTGTCAGAAACGATCATTTGTACCTTACACCTTGTGACTCACACAATGGTTCGGCTCCCCATGTTTGCTTCCTTGAAAAGCTCCCGTTTCTCGTATCCGTTCAAGCAAAGGCGGAAACGAAGTCAAGAACTCAGGAAGCTGTTCAGCAATCAATGCTTGCTTTGTCACTTGCCCACCCCAATTTTGTAATCTGCCAATTTTTTCACCGCTTTTCAGTAACGATTATGAGTAAGGGTTTGAGGTTTGTGAGAAAGAATGATTCTAAACTTACCTTCTGGCATGTAATGTTCTCCATTTGGGCTGTGGAGCGGATTGAATCTGTCGGGTAGGTGAAAAGATGATTAGCATGTGCTTTTTCTTATACTTCTGAGATACGAACTTTGCTTATTATATGCTCCTCTTCTGCTTCGCTAATAAAATTGGGTATGTAGAAGAAACCATCGGATGAATCGTTATCCAAGCATCCTTTGGCTTCTGTATCCTGTATGTCCTTCAGAAGATCTGCTGGAAGGACAATCTTGTGAGGTGTTAGATTCTTTATCTCGTTCGTATGCTGTCCATCTGTTGAACTTGATGCCATGATCATTTTGAGGATGGCGGAGTTAAAGCTACTCCACAAATGATTTCTTTATGCAGGCTAGGCGTCTATTCACAAGCCCTATAATTTGATTACATAATCTCATGGAAGCAATCGGAAAATGATAAGAAGTTTTATTTTCAATTTCTGTTCAGCTCACCTTTAACCACAATCTAGGCTCAAGGAGTATCATGGCGGCGGTCAATAGAGTCTTGCATACAGCAGGAAAGTCATCCAGTATATCATTGGCTGAATGCTCTTTACGAGCAAGTCAAAGATCAAGAATAGCCTCCAGCAGCCGATTGACAACGCAAAGTCAATCCCTACGTCTCTTCTCCAGCTATCATGCTCAACATGCTGTTCCCGTTACAGCAACTTCCAGTCTAGGCACAGAAGCCGATGCAAAGGTATTGCGAGAACTATTCGATTCGCCCGACCCGAAGAAATCAACGACTGATTTGAGTAAAGGTTCAGCCGGCTTATTCTTATCCGATGCTCTTTCTTCGACCGACAGCTTTGAAGCACTTGCAAAGCGAACAGTATTGCGATGTCAACTTATAGTTTCGAGAATATTGTCAGCACCACAAAATGGTCCAAACGAAATGCGAAGAGTGGTTCGAAATTTGGACAGATTGAGCGATCTGTTATGCGGAATTATCGATTGTGCGGAACTGATCAGAAACGCTCACCCAGATAAGAGTTGGGTGGACTGTGCAAATCGGACTTATGAAGGATTGTGTGGCTATATGAATGAACTCAACACCCATACCGGACTATATCACGTCTTGGCACAAGTTTTGAACGATCAAGAATTACGTTCTCAATTATCGCAAGAAGCTTTGGCGGTCGCTTATGTCTTTTTGAGGGATTTCGAGAAATCCGGCATTCATTTACCCGATCAACAAAGAGCAAAATTTGTTCAATTGAGTGATGAGATTCTTGTTCTAGGGAGAAGCTTTCTACAAAACGGCGCAGAAGTACAATCTGGAAAAGGTGAAATATTTGAGGATATCCCGTTAGAATGGCTCAAGGGAGCTTCTAATCAAATAGTGGATGCCTTACGCAAGTCACACATGGAAAAAGACGGAAAGCTTCGGATTCGTCATAATTCATGGGCTATGCAAGTGCTTGCCAAGTATGCCCCTGACTCAAGAGCTCGAGAAGTAGCATACAGAAGTATGAATTCGGGAACTCCTTCACAACTCAAAGTTTTGGAGAACTTGATCGATCGAAGAGCAGAATTGGCAGATCTGACAGGCTATGAATCTTTTTCATCAATGACGCTAGCTGACAAGATGGCAAGGAAGCCAGAAAATGTTGACCGTTTCTTAAATTCCTTAACGGATCATCACAAACAACTAGCATTTAAAGATCTAGAAAAGCTAAGCGAATTGAAACAGGCGGAAGAGGGCACTTCGCAACTTTACGAATGGGATCGTGACTATTACGCAGAGAAATTCATTCGAAATCTCAACTTAAAATCTACGGCCCCACCAATCGGAAGTTTCTTCAGTGTGGGAACAGTTTTCGCTGGCCTTTCACGTCTCTTCGAAAACCTTTATGGAATCACACTTCGAAGTGCAACTCCACTCAAAGGTGAGACATGGGCGGAAGAGGTGAGCAAAGTGGACGTCTTGGAGGAAGGTCGTAAGATTGGTACAATTTATGCTGATCTGTACAATCGATCGGGCAAGCCTCCCTCCGCGGCACACTATACTGTCAGATGCTCTCGCAGAACAGACGATGATGATGAAATGGGTGATTTCTACTATGGCCGTTTATCATCTGGCGAACAAGTGAGCGTTGAAGAAGGAATGCGTACACTGGCAACACTCGATACTAATCCGGTCAGTGCAACAGACCGCGAAGGAATGTACCAATTGCCAATCGTTGTCCTCTTATTTGATTTCTTACGCCCGACAACAACCGGTCAGCCAAGCCTATTAAGTTGGCAAGAAGTCGAGACACTATTTCACGAAATGGGACATGCAATTCACTCTATGATCGGTCGAACAGAGTATCACAACGTATCAGGAACGCGATGTGCGACTGATTTCGTTGAATTGCCTTCAATCTTGATGGAATATTTCGTATCTAGTCCAGAAGTGATAGGCTTGGTTGCACGACATCATGCCACAGATGCTGCTTTGCCCTATTCTCACTTGCAATCTCATTTGGCCGTTCAAAGATCTCTCGATTCGCTTGATACACACAATCAAATCGTTTTGGCATCTTTGGATCAATTGTACCATCGACAAACAGTACAAAAGCCAAGGGATGATACGACAAAGATGATGAAATCCTTACAATCACAGGTAGGAATACTTCCTCCAACCAAAGGAACTTCATGGCAAGTCAACTTTAGTCATTTGTTTGGTTATGGTGCAACATACTATAGCTACTTATTCGATCGTGCAATCGCTTCTCGGATTTGGCAAAAGTTATTCATGAAGTCGCCTTTAGATAGAGAAGCAGGTGAAGCTTTCAAGAAGCGTGTTCTGGCTCACGGAGGCGGTCGTGATCCATGGCACATGCTTGCCGATGTCCTTAAAGATGATAATTTGGCAGAAGGCGCAGAAAGTTCAAGAGCAATGGAAGCGGTTGGAAGATGGGGAATTGCTGATGTAGGCACAAAAGTATAGATATGCACACCACTTTCACACATATTAGAAATCATGTAATTTTTTGGCAATTATAGAATACAATAGTAACAGATCATTTTGACCTTCTTCCTCGGATGGCTAGTAATGCGTCTAGTAGTGTTCTTCGTTCATTTCTCACACATTCCATGGTTGCAATGATGGCGAAAGTCACACCCATGATCACCAAATTTATTGCTTTCGTTGACCATGGCATGTGCCAATCCTTATTTGTGAGATAATAAGCTTGTCTATATAATATTGCCAAACTACCCAAGAAGATGGCAATCGTCATACGTTTTGGCAATATCGTTCGGATCGAAAAAGGCTCTTGATGATCGTCCGAGGAGAGAAATTGGCTTGCAAAGCGGAAACAATAGATCGCTCTGATGTATGTGCTGAACATGCTTGCCAATACTAGAGCGATTTCTGGTGTGATTGCAGATAGCGGTAGCCTAGTCAACGGAGACGAAGGCGATGTCAAAAGTGCTAGGAAAGCAACAAAAGATCCACTTGCGCTAATCAATACCACATCATACCTTGCCAGCTGTTTTGAAGATGCAGATGCTTGTAGAAAGCCTTCCAACAACCCATTGAAGCCCATAGCAGGCAAATAAGCAGCTCCATATACTGCCAAGATCTTTGGTGCACTTGTCTCTAGAGCCCACCTTTTCCCTGCGATAATAGTCAGCAGAGGCGTTGTGAGGGGCGGACAAAATGCTACCAGATACATGGCAAACAGGGAATAAAAGCTCAACAGATTACTCAACATGTCCCGAGCGTACAACATGGCAGCCTTGGAAGGCTTTGATGTACTGCTGCCCAAGTTTGAAGCAAATGTCAATCGAGCACTTTCTTCGATTGGTTGATATAATAGCCGAGCAATGAGCGAGCCATAATTGCTTGCCAACGCATAAGCACCTTGATCACTCAATGATCCCAATCGAGCGACTGCAAACTTGTCAGCTTCGCCCAACACATGTTTTACCACATTTTGCCGTGTCATGGATTTTGATAGCTTCAACGTCTCTTTATCAAATGTTGATGATCTTTGCTTGCCAAATCGAAATAGGTATAATTCCACTGTACTTCCCAATCCACTTTGACTGATTGAGTGTACTGTAAATACAATCAAGAATGCCAAACCATAGAAGAATTGACCAACTCCGAAAGGCAGTAAACTGTGACGAAGATCTATTCCATCGGAGAGTGAGCTCCTCTGTAGCCAAATCATGCACAAGAGTGTACTTGCACCTTTTGCCATTAAGCCAGCCCCTTCTGACCATATTCGAGGTCCAAGCTGCACCTTTCTCAACGCAGCAATATACAGTGGCTCAGAGATCAATTCCAACAATGCTCCAGCCAAAAAGATTGCACATGAAAGGTGAAAATGCGGATGAGATGCCAGCTGCTCAGGAGCCAAATGGTTTTGATAAATCGACATTACCACAAGCGAGATTGGTATCCCGGCCAAGATGGGCAACAACGCTATATTCTGCAAGCTCTTCTCTCGTCCTGCGTTTTTTGCATCAACATTTCTGCTGCTACTTTGACGACTTGATGCGTTTCGTACACCTTCTCGAGAAAATGTCAAGATTGTACCTAAAACTAGCTCCAGCTGAATATTTGCCGCTCCAAATGCTTCTGCACTTGCCAATCGAACTTGAAGCTGAGCCATCAATACAGTGATCAATCTAGAAAGGATCTGTAGCCCGATCAGCATTCCCGCTCCGGCTACCGGTTGAGGAGGTGAGTCATTTTCGACGCTCTCGTCTGTGTTATCGCTGATGACCTCAGTGATCTTCTTGTCATCCATTCCTGCTGCTTGCCCGACCTCATTCACCGTTCTGACATGGTGACCATCAAGAAAGAAGAAGAGAATTTCGAAAATAGCGCACAAGCCAGTCCTTCTTAAATTCTACGCCCTAATCGCGTTTGCAGCTCAGCAGCAATTTTTTGAAAAAAATAAATCAGGAACACACAAATCTCTTTCTTTTACGATCATCCTACTTGTACTATGCCTTCGATTGCGGATGGATCCGCATCCCCTTCAAGGCAGGCGGCTACCATGTCAGCCAATGAAGGCAAAGGGGAAGCCATCCGGCAAGAGTTGGCCAAAATGGCAAATACAAGGGCAGGTGGAACGTATATTCCACCGGCTCGCCTACGAGCAATGATGGCCGAAGCTCAATCTTCCGATCCTGGCAGTGTAGAATACCAACGCATGAATTGGGACGCATTGAAGAAAAGCATCACTGGATTGGTGAATAAAGTGGCAATAGAAAATATCAAATTCATCATTCCGGAATTATTTGGTGGAGCAAATTTGATCAGAGGAAGAGGATTGTTTTGCAGATCGATCATGAAAGCTCAGTCTCAGTCGCTGCCATTCACACCAGTCTTTGCTGCATTGGCATCTGTTGTAAACACAAAATTGCCAATGATTGGAGAATTGTTGGTAAACAGATTGGTCAATCAATTCCGCAGATCGTTCAAACGAAACGACAAAGTAGTCTGTCATGCGACTTCGATGTTCATTGCACATTTGGTCAACCAAAGGGTCGTGCACGAAATTCTGGCTTTGGAGATCTTAGTCCTGCTACTCGAAAAACCAACTGACGACAGTGTGGAAATCGCAGTCGGCTTCATGCGTGAAGTGGGTGCCTTTCTGGCCGAAGAAGCACCGAAAGCGAACAACAGCATCTTTGATCGATTCAGAGCGGTGTTGTATGAAGGAAACGTCAGCAAACGTGTGCAGTATATGATTGAAGTGCTCTCTCAAGTACGAAGAGAACGATTCAAGGACAATCCTCGTGTGCTCGAAGCTCTTGATTTGGTGGAGGAAGACGATCAGATCACGCATGAGATCGGTCTGGATGACGAGGTGAAGATCGAAGAAACATTGAATGTCTTTAGAGCAGATCCAGACTTTTTAGAGAACGAAGAGCGATATAAGGAGATCAAAGCGGAAATTCTAGGAGACGATTCCAGCGGATCGTCCGATTCCGGAAGCGAGAGTGATGATGAGAGTGAAGCTGAAAACGGCGAAGCTGCCGATCAAGAACGGGTGGAAATTCAAGATCGAACAGAGACCAATCTGATTAATTTACGAAGAACAATTTACCTCACAATCATGTCATCTGCTGCATTTGAAGAAGCGGTGCACAAGCTAATGAAGCTCAGTATTCCAGAAGGACAAGAGAGTGAATTATGCAATATGGTGGTGGAATGTTGCTCTCAGGAACGCACCTTTAGCAAATTCTATGGATTGATTGGAGAACGCATGTGCAAATTGAATCGAGTCTGGTCCGAAGGTTTTGAGATGTGTTTCAGGAATTATTACGATTCTATTCACCGATACGAAACCAATCGTTTGCGAAACATTGCACGCTTTTTTGGTTGGATTATTGCGGCTGATGGGATCAGTTGGGCATGCTTCTCTGTGGTACACATGACCGAAGAGGATACAACGAGTTCGTCGCGTATTTTCATTAAAATCCTGATGCAAGAGATGAAGGAACGATTGGGCATGAAAGCGCTAATAGAACGATTCAAAGAGCCTACAATGCAAGAATCTTTTGAGAACATGATGCCAAAGAACGATCCCAAATCTACTCGATTCTCAATCAACTTTTTCACTAGCATCGGTGTACCTCAATTGACTGATGGAATGCGAGAACACCTCAAAGTCGTTCGAGAGGAAGCGTTGGCAAAAGCACAATTGGATGAAGAGAGTTCTTCCGATTCTAGTCTTTCGTCAAGCTCATCATCCTCTTATCTGAGTGACTCAAGTCGCTCCTATACCCGATCCCCTTCACCTCGTCGTCGACGACAAAGGTCATATTCTCGGTCTTATTCGCCAGAATCGCGTCGCCGAGAAAGATCACATTCTCGATCTTATTCGCCAGAACCTCGTCGTCGGGAAAGATCATATTCACGATCTTATTCGCCAGCGCCTCGTCGCCGAGAAAGATCATATTCACGATCTTACTCCCCGGAACCTCGTCGTCGTGAAAGGTCGCGTTCACGATCTTATTCACCATCCCCACGCAAACGAAGATCCTACTCGCCGTCTTGTTCGCCCTCACCACGCAAAAGGAGATCTTATTCGCGATCTATTTCTCGCTCCAGATCATTATCGGATTCTCGTTCACGTTCGCGATCACGCACTCGAACACCATCTCCGCCGGCAAAACGTCGAAGACCTGCTCGTGATGCTTTTAGTCCTGAACGGTCACCATCGCCAAAGCGATCCAAAAGGAGTCCAACGCCCTAAATGTAACAATAATGTATCATACAAACAATCTATACCGTATACACGCTTCCAAATGATCGACAACAATTGCCTTTACGGGAAACTCTGTTTCATTGTTCTCGGTCGAATTACACTGTACTGCTTAAATATCTCTAATGCGTCGGACCGATGCGTTGACAATCGGATAAATCTGAATGCCGAACCATTAAGGATGGGAATGAAGAAGTTTACGCGTAAAATTGACATTTTCGGTTAGAATTTTTTAACTTTTTAAGCGGAGACAGAAAAAGGTTAATAGTTTCGCCGAGATAGTAAACGGCGACCTTTTGTTATCAATTATCGAACGACGGTGACCTTTTTGATGATCAATTCTAGATTATTTTCTTTTAATTCTCAGATTGCTGTTTATTGTGAGGAAGACCATATGATTCGGTGATTGAATTACGTGCCGGATCAATTAGTGCAAGGAGAGTTTAAATTTAGTACGTTCTGACTAGACCAGCAAAAAGCAGCTGAAGGAAAAGTTTAATTAGCGGTCAGAGCGTTAAATTAAATTTTTGCGGGGCTTAAAGCAGGTGGTTGAGAAGCCGTTGAGGTCGAGTTTGCGTTCCTGTTTTTTGATTTTAGCGTGATTAAAATTCTTCTCATCAAATTCAATTACCGCCCCAACTTTTTCATTTTCAATGCTTCCCCACAACAACAATATCAAGAGACCGGAAATGCCAAGCTAGTCATCAAATTGCATGATTGTTTGAAAATTGATGATTTTGGAAGAGTTGATTACCAATTCATATCTCTTTTTCTAAAATCCGCTTCCGCTTTTGAAAGAATGTCCTTTTTTTTTCAATCTCTGCTGATTGATGCAAGCCATCGAATCGTATGCACCTAAACTGTGTCTCAAATCGAATATGTAATGCAGACGCGTGGTAGAGTAAGTACATAGTAGCGCAGGACATTGTTCGCCGTGCCGTTGGATTGCCTGTTCCTTGCAAATAATCCACCAAAGATGATGGATGAAAGGGTCCAAATTCCCGCTTCTCCTATTCAACCTATTTCAAGTTAGTTGTGTTCTGAAAAGTGCTTCTTTATTCTCCTAAATTGTCAATCAAGAGTCTTATTCTATACGCTAAAAGCATTCTAACCTAATGTCTAAACCGGTCCCTAATTAGGATCAACGAGCTTTATTTGTCTTAGCCTATTTGCTAAGCAATTGAGTAAGAAGAGTAATTTTAGATCGGCTTTAACATACATACCACAAGGGACCCCACACCCCCTAAATGTCTATTCCTCCCTGCTCCGCAAACATTCTTACCATTCTATCCGAAATATAGCATAAATAAAGCTTTTCTTATTGTACAATCTTACCGAAATTGACAGATTACTTTCAATTAATCTAAGCGAATCATATGTTTTTATTCGGCGAGACTTTGAAGTTGATGATGATCATGGAGAATGAATTCAGCCGAAAATGATGATAAGACGCGTGCGTATTCATGCCTTTTGTTATACTGCGCTAGTGCATGCATGAGAAGTGTGCTTTCTGTCTTGGCAGTGTACCACTGTTCTCTTTCTAAAGACCGTTTAGCGTAAATCTTTGCCCCAAATAGATGATCTGGTCAATGTCTCTCCATGATTGATTGTCTAAGAAAGGGGCCCTTGTTTTTTCTTCTAATCAAAATCAATGAAAGACTTACGTGGCTTCTTTCTTCCCAGTGAACGAAAGAGGCTGAGTATCAATTTCTATTTTGGAGGAAGCCCTGCCGCTGCTGATCAGGATCGGATATGCAGTGTTATAAAATGCAGTTGCATAAAGCACGACGGCGGTATGCCAGCGTAGTGATGAGAAGGCGTACATGTACTTTCACCTGCATGAAAAAAGACTGCAATTGCACTTTAGATTACCTGCCGTTTTTTCTTTTGTATCTCATCCCGCGTTTTTATTTGCATTCTTGTTAGACAGCTATTTCGCCGAAAATTAAAAGATGGGGAATTTTGCAAACCCCGTTCTAGCTTGACTCTTCTGTTCCCCTTGCTTACACAAAAAAGATGTTACGATTATGCCATATGCAATTCAATTGCACACTTTTTGATAATTTGATGATTTTTGGATTTTGATTTTTTATTCATTTTTTTTTGTATGGAGATGTGATGCATATTCAATGCATCTAACCTGCATAACAATTTCACTTCTCTTCTTTGCTTCCCCCTGGATTGGAATTGGCCGTTAGAGAATTGATGCTTAAGCTGTGCTGCTGCTGCTGCTTGTAAGCAACTTGCTGTTCCTACTCCTCGTTCAGGGTCATCCGACAATCCGCATTGGCGAATACCTAGACCCGTAGATCAAATTAACCTTTTAATTTCAACATCTTTCTCTTTATCATCATCATCATCATCATCATCATCAACAGCTCAACGATAAGGTGAGGTAGGGGAGTTTTAATTGTAACTCCTCATAAAACCTCATTTTCTATTCTTTAATGTATAAAGAAGATCAATTGTTATCAGACAGGTGAGTACAGTAAATGCTACGTGGGAAAGGGGGGTTTGGTTCATGGCGCAATCAATAGAAAAGACAGGGGAAGGGCAACTCTACAATGATCGGAAGGCATCAGGGGCAATGGGAAGCAACACTTCATTGCAATAAAGCATAATTTTGGAGCATTCATTCGGCCAACATCAGCGACAGTCAACTCAAAGGTGGCCAACGGCTCTATTGAACGGTGTATGGTCACAGGTGTATATGCTCTACAATCAACCTGGCACCCCACAAAAACATCTTCGAGTTCAACGGCACAAGCAATATCCACTTTCATCATCAACATCTCCACCACTACCACCCATCTAGTCATATCGGAGCAATTCTGTTTGACGCCCTTTTGGATCTCGGTAGAATTTTCCCGCTTTAAGGCGCTATACGCAGGCAGACAGGCAAGCGCGGCAACTCGTTAGACGTGCATTGTGCCGCACAAAGTTGGGGGATTTGTTTGCAAAAGCCAAAAAAAAATAAAAATATCGAATTTCTAGATAAAGGCACGCGCAAGATATGCATGCAAACGCAACAGGCTCAATCGCACACAATGGCACAATGACACTGAACCTACAAGCATGAGATTGAAAGATTAGTATGCCAAAGGATATAAGATCATTCAATCATATTTTTGAGCAACAACAACAGAGGATCTCTGGTCTAACGCGTATCAAGTGCACCAACAACTTCATTTATTCGGGCCTAAACCCCTCCACGACAAAATTGCAAAACTTTTGGCGGATATGCACTCAACAGTCGACTCATATCGAGATTCGCGTTCTTCAGCCCTTTATCATTTTGATATATGCTTTAATCGCCAATTTTGACTGTGCTTCCATACGATCATCTCAACCAAAGAAACAAATGGAAATGCTTCTTAATTTACAACTTCCATAACAAACGATTCATATCAATCTGTTTTCCGTTGTCTCGATTCAACGCATCATCCCGCTCGTGCAAGTCAACGTCATTTCAACGTCTAGTGCTCTCTGTTGCTCCTGACCCCTAGCAATTTTATCAGCCAACGGCACCTCCTCTTCCCACATCCATCATTGATTCGAGTTTCAGGCAAACTTACCGTTTCTCTCTTTCCTTCTTCTTTCTTTCTTTCTTCGATTCCTACGCCATATCAAAACTCCGTTGACGACCTCTAATGAACACGCACTCGAATACAGTTTGATCCAATTCACCTAATTCGACACTTTACATTTCCATTTGGAAAGTTTCAATAGAAAATTTGCAAGCTAGAGCCCCGAATCATTCTCCATCTTAACGCTGGGCTCAATCATCTTGGTCAGACCACAAATCAACCTCGGCATCAAATCCCAAGCTTACTTCACATCCCAAACTTTGGGGCATAGAAGGGTGAGTTGATTAATTCGCGTAATTACCACGGCACTTTGTTGGATCGAATCGGCTGTGAATTCAGCCAAGACGATTGTGATTCAGAACAAAAACCTTCGGCGCCGATAGCTTTCTGGGCAAACGTTACATCACAATTTCCTGTCGTGAACTTTTATGCCTATGAACTGTTGTTGCCCAGCCTTTGCGTTTCACGTCCGATAAGCAAAACGGTCTTCTGATTCCGAATCTTGTAAATTATGTACTGACATGCCTTTCTCCTCCCATCTTTCTTCAGCCACCATTATCTCGCATAGAATCTGTCCCATAGCGTGAGCATGCTTTGCTCTTCAACTCATTCAAGCGCTATGTTACCATATAGCTCTGCTCATGGTTTAAATGGCGTTGATTCACAAGCATCTTCTTCGTGCGCCGGAAATGTTCGGTCATCCTCACCTTCGATCGGGGGAAGTATGGCAAGACCTCGTCATCATGTCCGCAGTTTTTCGCAAGAGAAACGATTTGGAGATGCTACTTCAACACCATCATCAAAGTCTACAACACCTTTATCGACGCCTCCGGTAAAGCACGCATTGCCAGTAAGAGCCAAACGCTCGCCGTCTATAGAAAGCGCAGAACAGGGTACTTCAACACCCTCTACCGCTTCATCTTCTAGAACATCATCTACATCATCACAACAACCAATGCCAAGGGTGCACAATACACACAATGGAGCTTCAACTTCCCCACAACGGGAATCTTCTCCACCCAGAGCATTGACGAAAGAGGAAACCGATGAAAAGGAGCAATTAGCAAAACTTCGTCAAGCACAGGCTAGTAGACGTCCTCGAGTTATGCGAATGACGCCTGCTTATTCAAGCTTGCCAGGCCGGATGAATGCAGATGTAGCAAAGAGCGTATCAAACGCTCAAGGCAGTGGTGAGAGTGTTGAATTTCCATCCAAAGATGGCGCTGGATCGGAAGAGCCAAGTGCAGGATTGCAAATCGATTTGGCTTGCATTCCCTCTCCATCTTTGCAAGATTTGCATGGACCAGTAACGGAATCCAGATTGGATAGCATCATCCGTGACAGAAACGGTAACCCAATCAAACCATCTCTCAAAACCGCAAGAAGCTCGGTAAGCCACTTTTTGCCCGGTCGTACAACCAGATCTGATAGCACGCCAACTTTGCCTATAGGTAACTTGACATCAAAGAGTGTGCCAACCACACCAACGGTGCCCAAAAATGTCCACTTTGATTCGCAATTGGAACATGTCAAAGTGTTCAAATTCAAGCAGAGACCAACAGCCGTATCTCGTGACGGAAGTCCGGAGCAAACCGAAACGGAAACCGAAGAGGAGAAGGAAATGTTCCCATACATTTGGAAAAAGAATGGCTCTTCAAGCACTGACAATTCTCCAACTTCTCCTTCTCGTGCTCGTGCAAATTCTCCACCGGTTGATGAGCAACTCGTCTTGCGATTGCCAAATTTCCCATCTTCCACTCGTTTGTCGGTTGACCGTGAAGTGTTCCTTGAAAGAATCTATTTGGCCGAAGATCTTCGTTCGGTCAAAGGTACAGTTCAAGTTCGCAATATGTCCTTTGAGAAATGGGTTGCTGTGCGTTACTCTTTGGATCACTGGGCAACGATTGGCGAAGTGTCTGCCGAATACTCTGAATCCATCAAAGGTGGCCAAGCGGACCGATTCACTTTTTCTATCAAATTGAACGAGTTACTCAATTGGCCCCGTGGATCAGCAGCTCATGAAACAAAGAGCATGTTCATCTGTCTTCGATACACAGTGAGCGATGGCGAATTCTGGGATAACAACGAAGGTCATAATTATCAACTTGACTTCCGTAGAAGACCAATGCCAACTACACCGGTCAGCACGCCAATGGCTCATTCCGTTCAGCCAAAGGCAAACGTTCCCGAGTCTATTGCCAACACGGCAACACGTACACGTGTGATGGAATTGGCTCGTCGAGGTGTAGGAGGCAGAGGTGTTTTCGCAATGGAAGATCTGAAGAGGGAATTGGAGAAATTACGTTCGGATGACGAAGAAGAGATTCCATCAATTCCAGTTGAAGCTTTGCGAAAACGTACTTCACCTCCCGTTTCACCGGGTGGCTTACCGCATACAAGATCATCTTCTCCGTCCGTTTGGACTGCACGATATGATTTCGGTCAATCTTTGCGCAATCCACGTTCTGGAAGCCGTAAAACAGGAGAGGGAAGGGCGGCTGCGTTGGATTATTTCTCTGCAAGGCCAATGAATGTTGCTGCTGCAAATAATGCACCTGCTAATACTTCTTCAGCATCTGCAACGCCTTTGTTCACCGTACAAGCAGCTTCGCCTCCGTCGAACAAGACAGATTTGGTTACCGCTTTGCCTGCATCTTCCTTTAATGCACGCTTCGGTATGATCTCTCCTGGTCTAGGTGATGAGAATGTTGAACATATGCCTGTCAACGCAAGCACAACACCATCTCCTGCTGTCACACCTACTTTGGCCGTTCAAGCATTAAACGGAAGTTACAGCCCTGAAAGATTCCATTCCTTCCCACCATCCCGACATGTGAGCTCACCTGGCTCAACGACGCCTACAGGACCCAACCGTCTTTCTCCGGTTTCCTCTATGGATATGTTGCGCGGTAATAGCCGTGACAAAGCTTATTCACCTCTCAAAGCTTCCTCCACAATCCCTCAAGCATCATTGATGACAAGAACCGGATCAGTGGAGGGCATCAAACATGAGAAAGGAGGAAGTTCAAGTTCAACAGAGGAAAGCCTGCAAAGCTCACCACGTTCTTCGCCACCGTCGGATGGAGGATCGCCAAATCCTTTTAGCCCGTCGATGAGCATTTCTTCTATGGAAAGCGATACGACAGTGTCCAATATGACATCGCCTGAATCTCTGCATTCAGTCACGAAAGCTGCCTTGGCTGGTCGTAATCCAAATGGCATAAGTGCCGATTTGAACGGAAGCGCTGTTTCTTTGACATCTTTATCGTCGAACGATAGCAATGAAACTGAAGATGGCACGAATACAAACAGCAGACAATTTCGACCTGCAAGTATGAGTGATTATCAAGAATTGGTGAATAAATTTTGTTGGAATTCCGATTTAGTGCCAAGTGGCGGAAGTATGGTTCCTGATATGCCTATCAATGGTGGTTTGGGCAATTCTAGCGTAATGATTGATGGACAGCCAATTCATATCGTTGCACCTTTGAGTCCAAGTTATCCACCAACAAACGGAAGTGGAAGTGGATCGTCTACACCGACACGATCACATTGATTCTTGCTCGATTTCTCTTTTTTCTTTTAAACTCACATGCGCACACACATTTGTTCTTTTATTTGCATATCAATCATCACAATTATTTTCACTCGGTATCACACCTTTAGGGTATATCTATGCAAATATCTCATATACATATATAATTTATACATTTTGTTCATAGGATCACAATCATCATTATCATTATCATCATGCTCATACACACATACTTGTTGCATTTCCAAAACTCCGCAATATTTTTTATTTTGTGTTGTGGTATGAATTGTTATATAATCAAGTTTTTGTTACGCGTGTGTGATTTATTTCATTGTTTGGATCCGCTTCTCTCGATCGCGACAGTCGGAGAATGAAAAAGGGTCTTTTGATCGAATATATGCACAGTAAGCATAAAAGCACTTGAGCAGAAGCGGAGATACATTACATACATCTCCTGTTAAGAGGGGCTGAGTGTAAAAATGCGATGTCAAAAAAATAAAAGTGCGCCGCGCTAAAAGCCAAAAACACAACTCCACCTTTTGACCCTCGATTTGTATAGCACTTCAAGGCTTTGACCGCTTTTTGCTTTTCGGATCGATCCTGCCTAGCGCACAGCGCCTGACAACGCTTCCTGTGTGGCAAAACTTGTTTTTTATGCACTTTGCCACTGTTACCCTAAGCCTCAATGCAGATCTTACAATGTATAGGCGCAAGGGTCCAAAAAATGCATGCAAGCGATAGAAAACAATAACAATAAACATGCATACAACTTTCACTCTTCTAATGCTTGTATCGGGAATAATATTCATCAATACACTCTTACTCTCTCTTCCTCCATCGGAGATACACACATACATACATCAAATACACTCATTTAAAGCAGGAAGATTTCATCTTTGAAAAGTTGGCTAAGCTTTTTGCTTGTGTGTGTGTGTGTGCGCTGCGCATGCATACCTATTGACGTACGTAAAGTCACAATAGAAAAAGAAAGAAAGTGATGTTGTAATAAGCTATGCTGGGTTGTAATTAAAGCTTGTTTAATTGGTAAACTTTTAATACCTCCTCTTTCCTTCATCGCCTTCACCTGATTTCCTGAACAATAATCGGGGGTAATGAAAAAAGGCGGCGCTGATTTTTATTTACCTGCGATAAACTCATCTACGACCATATCCGTTTAACGAATCTCCTCCTCCCTTTTTTTCATCTCAGGATTGCACTTTCGAATCGCCACTCACAATTTTCATTTTTTTGCGATACATATTCGAATCAACATCGATAGAAGTTCGTCACCTTTTCATTTTGTCGTGGCACTTATTGCCTTCTAAACGATCAACGATTCTCACAATGTCAGAACATACTCAGAATCAATCGCCAAAAGTTATCACAACAAATTTACGAGATGAAGATTTTTTAAGTGAACATCTTGGTCAACTTTTGGTTAGACAGCCGATGTCGCCTAAATCACCCGCTTCAAGTCAACATGATTTACCGACAGATTATGCAAAAGGACCTACATCAATGCGAAGACATACATCGCAAACTCAAATGGCCAAATCGAAATCTAGAAATAGTGCTTCATCCATCTACGCCACATTAGGAGCAACAACTCCTGAAGTCACTTCTCCAGGTTGTGATGATTTATTCAATTCGTTCTTTTCAACTCCGAAACCGGCAGTAAAACAACAATCAGCAGAGACAAAGAGTACAACTAGAACAAACCCTGCATCCGTTTCGATGAGCACATCTTTTGGTAGAAAACAAAAACCGGAAAGAAGACCACTTTCACGTACCAATAGCGATAAAGATAGTTCGGCAAGTTTGAGCAGCTTTTCACAACAACAATTTCCTCCTTCAACTTCAAGAAGAACATCTGAATCAACAACAACTCAACCATCAAACGAAAGTGGAGAATTGGAACAAAGTGCTCCTGAAACACCGCCAGAAGGCGTTGCACTTGCACCAATCTCTTCTTGTGATGAATCAGAAGATGATTCACAATCCAACTCCAGTTCCATTCCTGCAAGTTCAAGTGCAAGCTTTGGATTCCAGCAGTATGGTACTTTGACCGCGCCAAACGAAGAAGAGAAATGGCAAATCTTCAAAGAAGGAGGCGTTATTGAACCACCAGAAGCGATTGAGGTCAACACGATCGCAAGAAAGGACGTTCAAAATGCTACTCTATTACCTGCTCAACGCCCAAGAGCTTCCTTGGGCTTAAGTTCACATACTTCTCGTTATACATCAATGACATCTTCTCGCTTCCAGTCGTATCGTTCAACGTTGTCAACTGTACCGACAGAGATGGACATTCATAATGAAGAGAATGACTTTTTGATGGATAGCAGAAGGGTAAAAGGAACAACTGCACAAGTTGACAAAGCAGACGCAACATCTATTGCCAAACAATTAGCTGCACGTTCAAACAGTGTCACTCTCGTTCCTTCAGGCGATGATGGTAGATCGTTCGTCTTTGTTTCACGCGATACAGAAGGTGGTGATCCTTGTCCTGTTCGAGGATTACGTAGGGATGGATATACTGTTTAAGATCCACATTTTCTTGCACATAAAGCAACATACACGAACACACAAATACACAAACAAATACACTTCTGCACAAATACACGAATACCCAAACTTCTTGTTTATCTCTTTCGGCTTCTGTTTTTATCTTGGTTTATTATTGTCGGTTTTTACTCAACTGTCGCATTTGTACTTTTATGCATTATTCATTCTTGTAGGGCATTATAACTGTATCTTTAGTCACATTCTATATACACGATGAATTTGATAATGATTTCGATGATGAACAAAAGCAACAAGCTTGAAGATTGAAAAGCATACGCCTTAACCACCCACCAATCCAATCAAACGCGGAGATCCGGGAAGTCAACGTGCTTTTTCCGAATTTGAAAAAACAGATTAGCTATCTTGCACACCACCAACACAACATGCTCATCGTGCGACAATAAAGGAAGGAACAGAGATAGTTGGCATAGCTTCGTTTGATACAATGGCCGAACATGCATACATCCCGCCTTTCCCCATCAGGCAGGATAGGGAACAAAACGGGCGTAGCTCCTTGTTGGATACGCTGAAAGGAGCATGTAAGGACCTCAAGCCGGGACAGATGGTTTCCGTTCCCGAATTGACATTGATGGACGCAATGGCTGCTATTCAAATTCTGGATCCTCGGGTAGATGGAGGAATGGAACCGATACCAGCTCAGCTGATGGCTCAATGCGATCAAGTACCGACACAAGAAAGCTCAATGCATTCTTTCGATGTATATGCACAACTAACAGTTTCGGATATCATTTGGATAATGGATCGTATGCTTGCCTGTGAAGCAGCATGGCTGGAAAGTTCATCGCTTTCAGGTGCTTCACTTTCGCAAACTATACATACATGTTTGTATGTACATCATCTATCTTCCATTCACCCGAATACGACCAAAACGCCAACACTTGTCGGGTTCATTTTACGCCCTTTCTTGATCGCCATTCTCAAAACAGTGGGGTTGGTTTGGGACGAACTGGCAAAAGGAAACATCCTGGACGGCGAGGATTACATGGGAGATAAAGCTGGTGTTTCACTGCTAGAAGATTTGGACCCACAGAATGCACTTGGCTTGCTTGATAATGCTATGAATTGGTTGGATCACAACCAGGATTCAATAGAAGAAAATGAACGGATCGCTTTGCTCGATAGACTCTCATTCCGTAAGCATTTTCTTTCTGCCATCACTCTATTCTCTCGTATGGATCCAAGCACAACATTTCGACGTACAACGGATATCGAAGCAACTTTGCATCAATCGATCGGATATATTGCTTCTGCCGGCTCACAGATAGAGGTTCTCAGTCAAGGCACAACCAAGTTACGCCAGCCAGATTTGGCGAATGCTCCCACCTCTCAATCACGAAACGCTTTCGATCCTTGGTTCTGCAGACATGCTTCTGACATCAAATCGTCATATACTCCAATATCCATCGCTCCACCTCAGCCTTTGGAGCTGAATACTCCACTTGAAACGATCAGAGTATACAAGACCATTTTTGAGGGAATGCAAGAATTCTGTCTGTTGGCAGGAAGCAAACAAAGTTGGTTTACATGGAAGCAATTTTTTGACAAGAAAGCGATTTCGTTCCAGCTAAATCCTGCCCCTCCTTACGTACGGTCGTTATGGCAATCGGCGGTATGTACAGACACTACCATTGCCCTCACAAAACCACTTCGATTCATCGCTATAAGCTTTTTGATTGATGTTGTGGGTGTGAATGTTGAATCGATACCCCAAATGATCTGGGGCATGCCAGGAATATCACCCGATCGGGCTACGATGTTGGAAAAACGATTGGTACGATTCTTAGACAGAATGTCGGGACAATTGGTAGCTCATTTGCGAAACCTAGCACAGAATAGATCCAGGTCTAAACGTAGATTGGGTCATTCGTACAGCGATCTAGTTGCATTGGCAGATGAAGCGAGTACTCTTGGGTCCGAACTAGCTGATACACTCGGCGGCAAAACTGTGCATCCCGACTTGCTCTTTTGGGCTATTCAATCACTTGCATTGGATACGATGCTGCATTGCATCTTCTCTGGAATAGAACTTGAACTTTACCGAACAGAGGAGCTTTTGTCGGTATATTGGATGACATGTCAAATTAGCAAAGAACAAATAGAGCTTTGGTCAGCTCTTTCGATTTGGTCCAATGGCTCAGTGTCACAGTCACAAGACACGATGCAGAGTTGGACGTCGATCGTTTATCATACGAGCAGGGCCCTGTATCTACTTTACAATGACGTATCGGGAGATATGGAACGTGGACAACGTTCTTGGCTTGGACAGCCTAAAGATGATCAAATTCAGCGAACCATGTTTCGTAAGCGGTTCAAGTGGCTTCAAGTTCGTTCACAGCCTCAAAACATCGCTAAGTTCTGGGAAGCATTCCGAGAGGATGTAGAGATGACCCACTCTGCCGAGATTGGGTTGGAGGAACGAATGCGGGAAGCAAAAGGTGATTTAGATCAAGCTATTGTGTGTTGCGAAAGCATGACTTCGAACGCACGACAACCTGACCACACAATCACAGTATTGAAGCAAGATCTGGCTATTATTGTGGAAAATCTTTCGGTCGCTTTGCGGGATGATGCGAAAACCAATACCGCTGCATTAGGACCGTGCTTGATTCCGCTTGTGTATTCTTCTACTTCCCATCCCTGGTTCCCTAGCAGTAAAGTGTAAAATAGAACACAGTCAAGTGCTGCAATATTATATGTGAAAGTTGGATGTATTCATGACACTTTCGTAGGGGCTTACAGATGTCACATACTCGCCTTATATATCTCACATGCGTTTCGTAAGAAGGGGCTTCATAGGCTGGCAAGCAGTTGAGGTTCTTTTGAAAAGTACAACTTCGTATCTTATTTCCTTGCTGCCATCATACACTGAATTATGTTGATGCGAGCGCTTTTTCTGTGCTGTATATCTTTAGTCTATTACGTATTTGTCCAGTATGCTCAATCGATGTATGAGCTAGATTTAAATCATTCACCGCCACATTCGATCGATTTGAACCAGCCAGCATCGTCATTGGCCGATGCGGAAGTTGTTGGGCCTCAAATGACAGAAGCGACAATCTCGAAAAAAGGACCACCTAAACCCAAAGTGTATCGCACGAAGATCATACAAGATCAATCTTATGCTCGTCCACATAACAAACCTGAAAGGGTAATGTGTACACCCACTCGTGTCCATCATATCGGTTGTCCGCATTGGACAGGAATGTCACGTCTTGATAAATCGCGAGTTTATAAACAGCTTGCTTATGATTCAGAGGTGGGTAATAATTGATGCAGTTCATCTGAATGTTACTGATTTCATTTTTCTACTATTCCCCTAGAACAAGAAAAAGATTTCTGCCAAAAATAAGAGATATTACGAAAATCTTACGCCTGAACAAAAGAAAAATCGATTAAAACAAATTTCATTGACAAAGATTAAACTTTGTTTGAAAAAAGGCGCAGCGAGAACTTCGGAGCAAAACAAACATAACGCAGAGTACATGAGAGAGTATCGCAAAGGATACCGCAGCCGCGATAAGAATGGTACGCAGCAGCAGTGAAAATATGTTTTGTTTATCAAACTTTCAGAATACTCAATCTTGTGTGTCAGATATATAAGAATGCCAGTAAACCGTCTTACTACGCAGAAAGAATGAGTTTGCGTATGTGTATGCTTTCGAAGGCGGTAAAAATGTGTATACTGATCATTTAACTCCTTATAATCTGTTTTTATCCTTTCAAGAGAACTCACCATCAAACCATTCGGTATGCGCCTGAAATTTGCCCAAATCATATTCTTTCTCGCCTTTCTTGGACTTACGCAAGCTGCTAGGTCGATCGACTTGAACAGGACGCCATCTCCCTCTTCTTCAGATCAAGTGCAACAGGATGAAGATGTGGTACAATCTACACCTGTGGATGATGCGAGCACAGATTGTGACATTCATAGACCTGGTTGCAGACATTGGCATAAATTATCCAAAGAAGCAAAAACTGCGGCAAGCTCTAAGGCATATTATCATCGCCAATCACCGGAAATACGGAGAGTGCTTGCTGCAAGGTCGAAACAAAATTATCACAGTATGACTAAAGAACAAAAACGTAAACGAATCGCACAAATCGCTATAGCAAGAAATATTCGTGATAACACAACAGAGAAAGATGAAACAGAACGTATTACAGGACCTAAGAAAGCAAAACATTCAGATACATACAAATACAAAAATCCAAGTCATCATAATTGGTACATAAATCTAGACGAAGAGAGATTGAAAAAGCAAAGAGAAAGGGGAGCAGAATATTCACGTGAATACAGAAAAAATATGACACCTGCTCAACGATCAAAACATAATGAAGATAAGTTGCGATGGAAAAGACGTAAGCGTGAAGAAGCCAAAATTGAAGCACAAAGACAGACAACACAAAGGGTGAATTAATAAATGCCCGTATCTATCATATCGATTGTCCGCATCGTAAAAACATGACAAGTCTTGATAAATCCTTTCTTATACCGTAAAAGACAACGCAGCCACAAACAGACAAATACGCAGCAACAATAAAATTCTAATGCATTTCAATTCATGATGTTTGTGTATATATACGCAATATTGTGATTTAAGTTTACGGTATTAATAGGTTGTCATTTGATCATGCAGAAAATTCGATATTGCTGATTTGTGCGCCTATAGAGGCTGTGCAAGGGTACAGAACGAATGAACTACTTCTTAAAATATATTCCTCATACTCTCAAGACAAATCCTCCTCGAATTTAACGCTATGCGAATTGCTTTTATCCAGTTTTCATTATTTTCAGCTCACTTTGGACTTATACAAGCTGCCAGGTCGATCGATCTGAATAAGACACCATCTCTTTCATCGTCTGATACCGTCCAACAGAATGATCATGTCGTTGAAGCTACACAGGATCAGCATGAAAGTTCAAATTGTGATATCCATAGACCCAGATGCAAATATTGGTATAAATTGAATGACAAAGATAGGAATGCGGCATGCTCTAAAGCTTTTTATCATCAACGAACACCAGAGCAACAGAAATCACATGCTGCAAAAGCTCGAGAAAGATACAATAATTTAAGCCAAGAAGAAAAAAAGAAACGGTTTGACCAAATTGCTGCAGCAAAAAGAAAACGAGTTAAAGCTGAAGGAAAAGTCGAAACAAGACCCAAAAAAGCAAAACACTCAGACACATTGCAATACGCAAATCCACATCATCATAAATGGTATATAAGCCTGAACGAAGATAGATTAAAAGAAGAAAGAGAAAAAAGAAAAATATATGCACGAAAATGGAGAGAAAACATGACACCTGCTCAACGTTTAAAACATCATGAAGATAAAATTCGATGGCAAAGACGCAAACGTGAAAAGGCCCGAATAGGAGCAAAGAAAGAGACAAAGGGAATTGATCCCGCGGAAGGAGAAGGCGCCAAGAGGAGATAACGATCCCCACACATAGAGGAGAGTCCCCTTTTGTAATAATGAGATTAGTGTATAGGATAGAATCCCGCGTAGAAGCACGCACACACGTCAATCATTGCTTCCCGCTGCTTATCTCTCTCCTTTGCTCCTCCTTTGAATGGATTGTGTGATTTATGGATGCATTTTAGCGTACTTTAAAGCTTGTTTGTTTGTTAAGGTGAAATGACTCAAACGTGGGGGGAGAAGAAGATGATGATTTGAAATTGCAGCCACATGGAACATGCAGAACATTATGCCAAAGAATACATCCCTTTCTCCACTTCCATCTTCCCCATCCCACATTTCAAGATGAGGTCCAACATCCTTTTCAACTTTGTGGCCTTGGCTACTCTGTTGATGATTGCTAACGTTCATTCTATGCAATCAACGCCTCGTCTCATACCCGGCTATGAGAAGTTTAAAGCACAACAACAACAACAACAACAAAAACAACAAGCAAAGCAAGTTGATGGGAAAGAATACTCCTCTACTTCACCTTCAATTCGCGGAAGCAGAAGAGCACATGAACAACTCTCTTTGCAATCCTTAAACACTCCAAGACCAGATGCAGAAATGGACACAATGGCTAAATATCCCGATATCAAACTTGCTAATCTCACACAACCATTGGATCATTTTGGACATTCAACCAATCTCACATTTCAACAACGTTATTGGTACTCTCTACGCCATTACAAGCCTAATTCTGGTAAACCAACTCCGATCTACGTGCTAGATTCTGGAGAAGTGGACGGATCATCAAGACTTTCTTATTTGGATCATGGTATCTTGGATATTCTTGCAAATGCAACAAACGGAATTGGAGTTGTTTTGGAACATCGTTATTATGGAAAAAGTTATCCTCCTCGTAAAGCGTTTGGAAATGGAACGGTTTGGGGTGTTGATCAATTGCGTTGGCTTACAACCAAACAAGCACTAGAGGATAATGCACAATTTGTTCAAAATATGACATTTGAAGGTGTACAAGAAGATGCAAGTCATTTCCAAGCACCAAATACACCTGTCATCTCGTACGGTGGCTCTTATCCCGGAGCAAAGAGTGCCTTTGTTCGACTTTTATACCCTGATTTAATCTTTGGCAGTTTGGCTTCAAGTGCAGTCGTGACTGCGATTGAACAATTTCCTGATTATTTCTACCCAATCGCTGCTGGTGCTCAACAAGATTGTACACAAGCCATTCAAGCATCAGTCGGATGGATCGATACCATCCTTGCACCTGAACCTCAAAAGGGACAACATCAACCTAAACGTGATGCCAGCAAAACTCATGAATTGTTGGACTTATTCGGATTGGCAGATCTGAAAGATCCAGCTGATTTCGCAAACGTGTTGACAATCCCATTGGGAAGCTTCCAGTCTCTCAACTGGGATCCTTCTGTTACATCATCCGATTTTGCTGACTTTTGTACAGCTTTGGTAGGAGAGCCATCAGGACCTATCGAACCTGCTCCCCAACGCAGAGCAGATTCTCTAGATGCACCGAAAGTTGTACAAAATTTGGCAAAGTTCGTCAAAGAACAATACGTTCAACCGTGTACATCGGCCAATGCAACCGTTCAAGAATGTTTTGGCTCATCTAATTGGACTTCTTACACAAATGCGACCCATTTGACCGATTCAATTTCTTGGACTTTTCAATTTTGCACTCAATGGGGTTATTTGATGACCTCACCACCTTATGTCAAAAAGTCAAACAGTCCTTACGATTTCACACCTTCAGGACCAAAATTGATTTCCAGTTTGATTGACTTGGATTATACCTCGGAAGTATGCAAGAAAGGATTCTTGCCTGGCGCTCATTACACCGTACCTGATCATCCACAAACGGAACAGGTTAACAAATACGGAAATTTCACAATCGATGTTGACCGTTTGGCTTTCATTGATGGTCAATACGACCCTTGGCGTCCTGCAACCGTTCATTCAGATCAATTTGCATATGGAGGAAATCGTATCGATACTCTCGATCGTCCGTTCAAATTGATCCCAGATTGCTGGCATCATTGTGATGAAAATGGAAACAAAACTTATGAACCGCCAAGAGTGCATAAGATTCATTCACAAGAAGTTCAATTCGTTGAACATTGGTTGACCCAATGGAAGGACAAGGAATGATTGCAGCAATAAATACACATTCTGCTTATATTATACAGACAATTTAATGAGATTATAATACAAATGTTTCCCTTCCACTTATCCGACATTGAGTGTCAATTCATCTTGATCAGCTAAGTTCCAATATGCTAACGTTTGACGTAATGTAGTTGGCTTATTACCTTGTACACGTAGCTTCAAACGACTTGCTCCAATCTTCCCGCCGAGTGTTTCGGATTGCAATCTATCACGAATATTGGCGATCGTACTTTGCATCGGCAAAGAGTGCAGAGTGATACGGCTACCATCACAAACGCTCGAAATTGCTTGTGCGTTCGGTAATTGGATCACTAAGCTGATCGGATGAGGATGATATTGCATCCATTGTTCTTCAGGGTGCAACCCTCCATCAGTCCTCTTCTCAAGGTTGTACTGAGGTACTTGATCGTAAGGATTGCGATCGTAATGAGTTTGCTGCATCATTTGGCCTTGTGGATAATGTTGCTGACCGTATTGAGCTGCATGATACCCATTCTGCTGCATCGGATTGGAAGAGGCCAAGGGCACGGTGGAAGGTTGTGATTGAATCGTTGCACTATCTTGCATATGAATAGGCGATGCAAATTGGGCGGGTTGTTGATCGTACGCTTGCGGTCCCAGATAATTCTTTGGCTGATCAGTCTTGAAGCGTTTCTGAATTTGCTGCATCTCCGATTGCAAAGCGTCAGGTCGGTTGAATTCTGCACGGGTATCCACTCTACTGGCCGCATGACCATCCCAAACAATACTCTCTCTTTCCTTTCGTTTTCGTGCTTCGTCTTGTTCTCGTCTCCTCTGTGCTTCTTCTTCCATCTCTCCACCAAAGATGTCCGTTCGATTACCTGCAAATTGTCTGAGAGATCTACTGGGATCCGCACCTTCCGTCAATGCATTGTGTTGTGCTCGCTTACTTTCCAATTCCCTTCTTTGTTCTCTGAACCTTGGATCCAGTAGCTCATATCTGACATGCTCATCCATTCCATCAATCGGTACACGCTCTCCACAAACTGGACAGCTGGTTGTCTGTGAGTTGCCAGCTGCCGCAGCTTTTCGTTCGGCCAATGTTTTTGGCTGATAATCTCTTCGAATCTTCATTGATCCTGATGATGAAGTCGAAGAGGTGACTTGTTCTGTTCTCTTGCCAATATCTTCAGCTGGTCTAGCTGCTGGTTCTTGTGTGGCCACGTCCACGTCTTCCTCTTCTGCTTGCCCTTCCATGATCATTGCTGCCATACGTTTCTGTGCGATACTCATTGTCTTGACTTCACGCAATGACATCGGAGGAGGTAAGTCCGAATGCTCATCAGACTCGGTCAACTCTACAGTTGCTGCAACAACAAAATCTTGCCAATCAATCTCATTGAACGCCGCTCTTTCTTTTTCCTCTTCATCTTCAGCCACTTTCCTTCTTGCCTTTTCCCATTTCTCCCATTCTGCACGCTTACGAATTCCCTCCAAGATGTGTGGTCGTGCACCCCCTCTACCCATTCCAAGCATAGGTGTTGCACCTTCTATTGGTTCTTCGTTGCCAAAAGCACCCATCCGTATCTGCTTGCTCATCTCGGGAAGTGGTTCCATTACCATTTGATATTGCTCCACAAGTCGATTGAAAAATCCAAAAAGCGAGTGGGACGGTCTAAGGAATTCAAACTGATATGATCTCCCTTCCCGTTGTTGAAGTGTGGATGCAAACGCTCTACCTTTCTTGGCTACAAATAATGCTGTAAGCTTTACGATGTCCAAATCCAAAGCGGTAATGTTTGGCATATCAGCAGAGAATTTGAATGATTCAGGTTCGATGGGCTGCTCTTCTTCAGCTGTTGCTTGTTCTGCCGGTCGGCCAGTGATCGCATCTGCATTATCGCCTCTCGAATCTGTATTGACATTGGCCAAAGGACCTGTTCCACTCCGCAAAGCTTCTAGCTTTGCTTGATAATACGCATGATATGGATCCTCTTCGTTCAAGAATGCTAATCGATTATTGCCTGTATTTTCATCACGAATCTTGCTTTCAAATTGAATTCCATTTTTGGCAACAAATGATGCTGTTTTATCGACAGCGTTCCTTAATTCTGGTGGTGGATAGATTAATCCTCCAGTATAAAATCGATCTTTAGTCGATTGTTCTGTGATTTCATCCACATCTTCCACCCTAGCTGCTTTGCTTTTACTTGGTCCGGCAATCGCATCTTCACTCTCTACCGCATTCTTTGGTGCTGGTAAGTTCAAAGCAGGTGCCATGACTGCATCCCAGAACTTCAGCAAGAGTGTGATGATGGTGAATAAGTAACACGACATTTTCTCACGTGTGACATAAGCAACTCAAAAAATATCAAGACTCCATTTAAGCGTGGGCTGGCTTGTTAATTTTTTTGGGCTAATTTCACTTCTTCGGCTGCGAGTCATGGAAGATTAGGGTCCGGACATAACGTAGCCTCATTTTTCACTCCTTTTCATCACAACAGCTATACAAGATGACGATCGAAGAACCGGTATGTAGACAATGTTGACATCTGTAGAACTAAAAGCTGACCTATTTCCTCGCTCAGGTCATTTCACCCTCTCTGGAAGAGGTAACAAAGCTCTTGCTGGGATCAGAAAATGGTCAAGCAAAAGGGAACATGGTTCCGGTATATATGAGCATGCCAGCAGATCTCATCACACCCGTCGTCGCATATTTACGCTTATCTGATGGCGCATCTGAAAAGAAGAGGAGTTTCTTATGCGAAAGCGTGGAGACTGGACAGAAGATTGGAAGGTATAGCTTCATTGGAGCAGATCCATTCAAAACCGTTCGAACGGGTCCAGGATACGAAGTAGAAGGAGATCCTTTACTCTCGGTCGAAAAAGAACTTTCTCCTTTCAGGTATATTTCATTACCTGATTTGCCAAAGTTCACCGGAGGTGCGATGGGCTATATTGCTTACGACTGTGTCCAATACTTTGAACCACGTACAGCACGACCTGACCTAAAGGACAACATCAAAATACCCGAAAGTGTGTTCATGTATTGCAACTCGATTGTGATCTTTGACCATATCTTTCAATCGATCAAATTCGTCTCTCACGTTCATCTACCCGACGCATCATCCGATAACAATGGCGCCTCTGCCTCTCACACGCCCGAGACAATCGCAAAGTTGTACAAAGAAGCTGCATTGAACGTTCAAAAGATCAGTGATATTGTTCTTGGGAGTGACAAAATCCCACTGCCTATCCAACCTGCCGTACAGGCATCTCAAGAGGCGGTCTCTAACGTTGGTAAATCAGGATATGAAGGCTTTGTCACCTCTCTACGTAAGAATATCGTACAAGGTGATATCATTCAAGCTGTTCCATCCCAAAGACTTGAACGCAAAACTGCTTTGCATCCTTTCAACGTATATCGTCATTTACGTCAAATCAACCCTAGTCCATATATGTTTTATTTGGATACTGGTGATGCTCAATTGGTTGGAGCAAGTCCGGAAACGTTGTGCAAGATTGAAGATAACAAAGTTGCCGTTCATGCGATTGCAGGAACGGTCAAACGTGGTAAGACGCCAGCAGAAGATGAAGAAATGGCAAATCAATTGGCAAATTCAACAAAAGACAGTGCTGAACATGTGATGTTGGTGGATCTGGCAAGGAATGATATTAGCCGAGTATGTGATCCACATACGACTGAAGTGGAAACATTTATGCGAGTGGAAAAGTTCAGCCATGTGATTCACTTGACAAGCAGAATTACGGGAATGTTGCGAAAGGGGAAATCAAGATTTGATGCTTTGCGTTCCATCTTTCCTGCTGGAACAGTATCTGGTGCTCCAAAGATTCGAGCGATCGAATTGATTTCCGATTTGGAAAAAGAGAAAAGAGGTGTTTATGCCGGTGCTGTTGGTCATATCGACTTTGACTCAAAAGAGATGGACGTGTGCATCGCCATTCGTACAATGACATTCAAAAAGGATGATAGCAAGGATGCCAAAGAGGGAGATCGAATTGTGTACTTGCAAGCAGGAGGTGGAATTGTTTACGATAGTGTAGAAGAGGAAGAATACATTGAAACGATCAACAAGCTCGGCGCTAATGTTCGCTGTCTTGATCAAGCGGAGGAGTACTGGCGCAAGCAACAACAGAGGAGTGGGTGACTTAATCTCATGACATACGATCATGTACATATACCTCTAATTCCTGTCAATAGACAAGCTCTAAAAATTGTTGCACTGGTATAATTTTGAGTGGATGTGCTATCCTGTGATTTATAAATACATCAAGCATGCGAGCATTCCGCGGAAGTTTCTTGTAACGATTTCAACCCTTCACTAACAGCCGACTTGAGAGAGAGGATAGTCTCCAATCCCACCACAAATTCATCATGAAGTTCTTTGCGTAGGGTTGTATCCCTTTCTCGCACAAGTGTCAATTGCATCCTTGCTTCTTGAAGACGTGCTTCGGCTTGGTCTAAAGCCATGCGACCTGATTGATCGATCTGAGCGATCGCCAAGCCGTTCTTCGCCTCCAATTCAGCCTGAATGCGATTTTCCTCTTTACTGGCAGCATTTGCCATTTCATTTTGTTCACGTATACTTTTCAAACGCATCTCCAGCTTATCCATCGATTCTCGCTTCTCTTCGACTTCTTCCAACAAAAGATCGTACGACTCTTGATCCTTAAGCTTCGTTCCAGTCAGGTCGCGATATTGACGTGCAAATCTGTCTCGCTTTTCTGTGATTTTGCGTTTCACGTCTTGTCGGAAATCCAATCCTTTTGGTAAAAGTGTAGATGTATTGCTAGCTGCCATTTCGAAATCGTATACTGTTCGTCCATCTTGCAATGTGAACGGGAACATATCGATCTCACGACATTGATCGGATAATGTCTTCAAATCATCTTCTACACGTGCTTGACGATTGCTCAATGAGATCTCTGTATGTCCATTTGTCGAAGATCGATCGTGCAACTTTGTCATAATATCATCCACTTGTTTCAACAAAGCTTCACGTTCACGAGACATTGTCTCAAAGTCATCAGCAGAAACATCTTGAGCATCCACCTCTCTGCGCAATCGATCACGCTCTTCTGTACGTTGATGAATCTGTTCTGAATGCATCGCGCTATCCGCTTTGAGCTTTTCGACGACATTGTTGTACTGTTGAATTCGAGGCAAAAGGACTGCATCACGATATTCGATGAACTTTTTCACGTCACTTTCCAATACAGCCTTTTCCTTTTTCTCCACCTCTAAGGGTGAATCATTTTCCTTCAAATCTTTCAGCTTCTCCTCCAAATCCAACAGCTCTTCTTTCATCCGATCCAGCTCCTCCTTTGTCCTTGCTGACTTTTCCTCGAATATTTGTTCAAGCTTTGCTTCTTCTTCCGGGTATTCATCTTTGCTGTCCCAGAATTGCTCATAACATCTCCATAGATATGGGAAATAATGACAGAAATCTTCATCTTCCGCGCTTACAGGTCGTTCAAGTGGTCCCCCATGATATCTTGTGGTGACAGTTTCCAGCGAGCTTTCGATACAGACTAGCCAATGAAGCATTCCACAAATCGGAGGCCAATTGTGTATACTGCCTGGCGCAGCTAGCTTTGTCTTTGATAGATCGGTGATGAGAGGGTATTTGATATCATTTAAAAGCTGTAGAATCTCTTCAACTTCTTTCTTGGGTTCGGCACTGAACGTATATCGCAGATCGACACACTGGTGATACAAATGCCGAAAAGCGCTCATCACCAGTGCTTGTGAAGGCATATGGAATTCGCCACTATACTTGGCTGGAAAGGCGAAACCGGTTTGAACGAGAAAATCTTGAATTTCCATTTCCATTCGTGCCAGGTATGATTTGTCTTCACGAACAGGTCTAGGATCAACGACTTGCATGGAAGCCTTGCCATTCATTCCTCCCATCCCTGCTCTAGGTGCTAATGATACCCTTCCCATCGATTTACGACCATTAGGAGTGGGTGCAATACTCGCCCTACCGGCTGTTGCATGTGGTGGTGGAGGCGCCATACTTTGTCTGCTGCTCTCTCCTCTTCGTAGTGATTGTTGATGATGTGGCGTATTACTGACAGAGTGAGAGCCCCAGCCATCCATTTCCATTCCTCCAACGGATGAAGCTGCCATACTCGGCCTAGAGAAACCACGAACAGATTGTCCTAATCCTGCATCCCTACTCGGTTGAATGACTGAATGTCTGGGGATCATTGATTGTCGTGATCCACTTTTCACAACATTCTTTGCGACAGAATGTGGTGTATGACCACTATTCATATCCATATTTCCCAGCATAGAGCGTGATCGCCCGCCGTCAAAGGCCATTTTGGTGTTGGAGTAATGATGGTGATAGGCAAGATGGCGCGTAATGCAACACTCGCGGAAAATGGCACTGCCCTTAGACGCGTCGTTGCGAGACAAAACACGTGAGTGAGTGTTGATCTTTTTTCTGTTGCATTAGCCCTTCCGCCTTTATGTAACAGAGCGCTTCTGTTAATTACGTACCACCATTCAATCATTCAGGACATACAATGACAACACCATAGAAACCATCATATAAGTAAAAATGCCGGTGAGGGGGAGGGGAGCATTCCCAAAGCCTTCGGCCGTACATCGAGAAGAAGGAAGTGGCAGTGGAGGCGGGGTGATTGTGGAATATCGTGCATTGAAAAAGCTCCAAAACAGTTCAGAAGCATTGAATATTTTACGTAGAATCGGAGCTTCTGTTCGACCGATCATGATCAAACATGGATGGCGACTTCCTCTGCTAGTCGAAATGTATCCTAAACAAGATAATCTTTTGGGCCTAAACGTAAATCGAGGCAAAAAGATCGCTTTAAGGTTACGTAGACCGTACAATGATTTGGACTTCATCGATGAAGAATCAATCACTGAAACGATGTTACACGAATTAGCCCACAATCTACGTGGACCTCATGATGAAATCTTTTTTCAACATTTGGAGACACTTACGCAGGAATTCTATGATTTACGTGCGAACAGACCCTTGCCTGGTCTGGGATTCATGTCAGCCGGACAGAAATTGGGCGGGAGCGGACTAATCAGTGCTGCCGATTCCGCTCAAAGAAGACGAAATATTTCTCAAATCATCGGAAGTGGGTCAAATAGGGTCGGCGGTTCTGCTATCGCGGATCTATCACCTAGAGAAGCTGCTGCTGCTGCCGCTCATCGCCGAAAGGTGATTTCGATGGGTTGTCCAAGCAGCAATTTAGCAAGCACGCAAGAGGCAAACGAAGAGCAGGAACAACAAGAGCTACTGCATGGCGTTGAAGTGATCACCATTGGGGATGATGATGAAGAGGATGATGACGATGACTTTGAAATCATCGAAAATGGACAGACACAAAAGGAGGAAGATAGCGATGATGAAATCGTAGTCACAGCGGTAAAGAGACCAAAAAAGGAAGAAAGTTCAACTGCAATGCAATCCGGCAGTTGGAACTGTCAGACGTGTACACTGCTTAACGATCGTTATGCCGAGACATGTGCCGCTTGCGAGTCTGTGAGGCCTGGAGTTGATTGCTGGGTTTGTCGATCCTGTCAGCATCGTATGATTGGCACATATGCTGCATTTTGGTGTTGTACTCAATGTCAAACGGTCAAAGTTGCTTAATTATATCCAAATCACACTGTATCATATTTTATAGTTCGAACAAATGCATTTTTAAGTACGCCAATAAAGGCTAAAAGGTATTACTAGGATTTGTGATTAGGGATCAGTGAATTGCAAGGTGCAATCTGGCAAAGATGATAATTCTACAGAGGCCATAAGATTGAAAAAAAAACAGAGAAAGAGCACACATTTTAAGCTGTTTCAATCTTGGTTTCGGGATGTTTGCGAACGTTATCACGTTCTTCGCCCGTGACTGGGTCGGGCTTAGCCTTCCATGTACCGTCTTCGCGGTTATCGGGAATATGTGCAATATCATCGGCATCTTTCTCTGATTTCTTGATATCATCACGGGTTGAGTAACCTTCGGGAACCCATTTAGCACTACTCCATGCCTTGACGTTAGGATCACTGTACATTTGATCAACGCCTTCGAGAGTAAGATCAGCAGTTTCATAGACGAAAAAGTATGCAATGATCATATTGAGGAAATTTGCACCGGCAAAGACGAAACCGTATTCGAAATGAATAGAATCAGCGATTGGTCGAGAGAAATAGGCGATGAGGAAGTTCCAAATCCAATTGGACAAAGTTGCGATACTTGCTTGCTTGGCACGAGTACGACGGCTGAAAGATTCACCACAGAACAACCAAATACCTGGAGCCCAAGTACTGGCATATCCTAAAATGAAGAAACAGGCTGAAATAATCAACAATTGACCGATAGGTGTCGAAGTAACAGTACCGTCCGGATTGCCTCCCAACGTTCCTGCCAAGCCGAAAACCAAAAGCCAGACGACCATCCAAGCTGCTCCAATAATGAGAGGAACTCTACGACCGAATCTCTCCAAGAGATACAGACCTAGGAACGTGCAAACAAAGTTAACCGCGCCTAAGATGATCTGGGTAACGAAAGGATCTTGCAAGTTGACGGCTGAGAAGATGGTCGCTCCAAAGTAGAAGAAGTAGTTTGCACCGGTTAATTGTTGACCTGCTTGTAAGGCGATACCCAACAAGGTACGGTATAAGACACGGTTTGGTTTCTTGAAGCATTCCAACCAACTTCCAGCTCCAAGTTTGATATCTTGTTCGTAATTTGAGATCAATTCTGAATATTCAGCTTCGACCCATGGGTTTGAATCTTCGCGCTTCGCGCCACGGACGATGGCAACGCTACGGTATGCTTCGTCATTCTTACCGTGTGCAACCAACCAACGAGGTGATTCGGGTGCAAACAAGATACCGATACCTAGAATAGTAGCAAATGGAATACCCAAAGCGACAGGAATACGCCATGAGCCGGAGTTGTCCAATTCACGAGTACCGATATTGATGCAGTTGGACACCAAGATACCGAAAGTGATGAATAATTGATAAGTACCAACCATAGCACCACGAATTTGACGAGGTAAAGTTTCTGATTGATAAAGAGGAACGGCAGCACTGAGAGCACCAACACCCAAACCGGTGATTAAACGTCCAATACCAACTTGATACCATGCATTGAAAGAAGTAACTTGAATGATAACACCGATATCGAAAACGATAACTTCGACAAACATTGCATATCTACGACCCAATTTATCAGCCAAAAGAGCACCAACAAGAGCACCAAATGCCGTACCAATTGAAAGCATACTAACGATCAAACCGATCAACCATTTATTGAAAGACATTGTTGCGCCTGCAACTGATCCATCCGGTGGTTCAGTACCAAATCTGCTAACGAAATCAGCCATTTCTTGAATACCGGAAATTTGACCGGTATCATAACCGAACAAGAAACCACCCATACTTGCCAATAAGGCAACAGCGATGGCTGACCAACCGATTGGAGCACCACGAACGTTGAACGTGACTGCCATTGTTTAAAAGATGAAAGGAATATATAAAAAGAAAGCCACTTCTTGAGGAGATGGTGGGGTAAAGGAGAAAGTTGAAGAGGGTATGCAGATGATATTTTATAAATACAGCAAAGGTTGAGTAGCGGACGATGAAATCCGTTGTGTTTTCTCAATGTAGGGGCGCAAGATCAGGCGGCGTTCAGGTACACAGGAAAGCAATGATCTACCGAATTGATTCATGAAATATAATTCATTTTTTACACAACTCTAGTGGGGCTATAATTCATCCGAGGAATAATTTTACCTATCAAATCCACAATTCCCCAACTGGGGCCCTTGCGGGGAGATATTCATCAATTATTTTTATTTAAAATTGACCGCGGATGTTTATTTGCCAAGCTAAAAAGAACTAAAAGTGATGACATCGTCTGAGTAAATACACAAAAAAAGGAGTGGAGGAATTATTTCGCCGTTAATGTGCAATGTAAGTGCTTCTCTCTACTCCCTTTCGGCAAAATACGCGTGAGAATTTGCACTAACCCAAGAGCATCTCGCGTAATTGATGAAACAATCGAACAATCTCTCTCTCTCTGTATGCAGTTTATCTACCTCCTACATGCGGACACGGAGGGAGGGAAGGCAAAATGCGCGTCATCGAAAGCGGAAAAATATTAAAAATAAAAAAGGAGGAAAAAGACGCCGATATTTTTAGCATTTTTTTTGGCTTGAAATCCTCCCGAGAATCCTACCGGTTGTAATCAATCCCCCCCATCAAGCGAGACAGTGCTGAGCTCATTGTATAAATTTCTCGCTTATTATGTACACACCCAACATAAAAAACAGGTCTTACATCCGCAAAACCACAAGGTTGAAGAACAATCGGCAAACTTACTAAACATCGGATCTTCTTCGGCTTATTGTTTTATTCGGATCATCATTTGCCGTTCATACCGTCTTGGCAAAACGCTCTCGGCCGTATGCAGGTACTTAACGGTTTCAGGAACACTTCCTTAGCTTCAAGAAGAAGAAGAGAAATACATGTATATTTGTTTTTGTCAAAAGCTGCCTTCTACACCGTAGAGTCAGGAATGAAAGAATGTATGTATGTAAGCTTACGAAAAACAGAAGTGCTGCTTCCCTTGACAAAGGTGACGTATGAGAAAGAGATTAGAGGAGAAAAGGTGGATAAAGTACCAAAGTGGGGGAGAGAAAAAATTGATGTGATGAGAATACAGATCTCTGAATAGAGAGAGCCCTTGAATTGCTGGTTCCGATGCCATTTCGAATAAATGTGAAAAGATTCCCTTTTATGTACTTGGTTTTTATTGTGATTTTTTGTTTTTTTTTTCTGTGCCCGATGAAGAAAAGGTGACGAGAATTCGCATGAATAGGTTACAGTGAGCATCATGCTCGTGCTAAAAGAATCCAAATGACCGTGAAAATATACTGATTAGAGCACAAACTTGCTAATGTTGTTAGAGCTCTTGCTGAAATTGTTGCTCTTGTGATTGATCGTGTTGTTGTTGCGCTGCGGCTTGTTGTTGTTGTTGCAAAGAATGGATACGTGCGCCTTCTTGCGCGATAGGATCAAATCCAAGTGGAATAGCGGGTGAGATCATTGGATCATTACTGCTAACCGCCATTTGTGGTAATTGATTTGCCATTTGAGGCATCGATGACATAGGAGTCAAGGTTAAACCAGGATGACCTGGAATTGCTGAAGGTGCATTGACAACATTTCCATTCATCATCATACCCGTTTGATCAACATTAGGCTGCATCATGTTCATCATTTGAGGTTGAGAAGCTTGAACTACTTGCTGGATTTGTGCCTGCATTTGGGCTTGCATCTGTGCATGTGCCTGAGCCTGGGCTTCTGCTTGTACCTGAGCATGGATTTGAGCCTCAGCCTGTGCTTGAATTTGAGCCTGAGCTTGGCCTTGTTGCACGCCGAATTGATGTTGATCAACTTGTTGCTGTTGTTGTTGTTGGTGTGCCTGAGCGTTTTGTTGATTTTGCACCTCTTGTGCATGTTCCATCTGTTGTTGCTGATGCATTTGGTTCAACTGTTGGCGGATCTGATCTTGTTGATCCTGTTGTTGCGATTGTTGTTGCTGCTGCGATTGCTGCGATGCAGCTCGCCTTCGTGCAGGAGGCATATTCAACGGCATGGTTGCAGCAGCCCGTTCCTGCCTTGCCAGCAATTCCCGAATTTGATTCTTTTGGATTTGTTCGAACGGCTGCATTGCACTTCCCCGCATCTGCGGTAAAGGTGCAGAAGGTAACGGTTGTCTCGCAGATTGCGTGGCACTGCGCAGATCTTCATCCAACTGAGTCGTCTCGCTCGCGCCACCAAAGTAGTGCTGTCTAGGACCGAAAGCGGCAGGTGGCGTATACGGGAAGCCGATAGAATCCATCACATTAGCAACTTGTCCAGGTGCAATGACCATCTCAGCCTGTTTCATCTCTGCCGAATCGTCCATCACCGAATCTTCATTCGCTTCTTGTTGAGCGGAGAGCGGTGGCATGGGTGATTCCAACAAAGGCATGATGTGCAAATCTACAGTTGCAGACAATTTGACCAATTGTTGATGTCCTCGAGCGACATAATGAGCAGTAACAGTAATCTGCGTAGAAGGGCAGGTTGCATCGGGAACACCGAACAAGATCGGATGATCGCCTTCTTTCCAGCGAATCCATGGCGGCAAGCTATGTGCCGCAAAGACAGCTTTGATAGAAGTGCTTGGCGCTTGTGGGTCCCAAATGCGAAGCGGCCATGACCATTCAAGACCGTGGTATGCAACTTGGGCAGGAGCAATGATCTTCCTCTTGAATTCTCTGAATTCAAATCTGCCTTCACCATTCTTTCGTGCTTCCACACGCCAGACATGGTTACCCTTACTCTTCTCCTTTACTCCAGATTCATTGAAACGAGCAATGTAATTGGAAGTCCAAAGGTAAGCCCTTGTTTGCTTGAGATTGCACTTTTCCTCACCACCCAAAGCGCGCACCACATCCTCATGGAATGCATTCGTGAAAGCTTGAATACGGAACTTGAACGCTTTGAATGTTGGTGAAGAGATTGAAGATCTGCTCATCTTCTTTGCAGTCAAAATTTGATGAAGATGTTCACCTTTGCTATCGGCATAATCAACATTAGAGCACACTTTTTCCAAAAATTCAAAGAAGAGTGTGTCCAAGTTTGCTTTTAGGTCAGGTGGAACCATGGCTCCCGACATTCCGCGTTCTGACGGCATCAATCCCGTCTCGGCCAAGTCGTCATCTCCACCAGAGGATGCTGTTCGTCCTCCAACGCTTTGTTGATGAGAATGTCCGTTTCCTCCAACGGAAAAGGGATTAACTTCCCCGTTTCCACCCTCGACCGGTGATGTAGGACCTGCAGACATCTGCTGACTGTTAGCGCCGGCACTGTTCTCTTGTGAATGTGCGAAGCCCATTGCTCCATGACCAATAGAAGGGCTTGAAGTAGTTGATGGTCCCAAAGAGGGCACATTGCTTCCTGCCATACTGCCGTTCATCATTACCCCGGATCCCATAGGAGCAGAAATTGAAGTGAATGGAGGCGCAGAAACGTTTTGGGCTTGAATGAATGCATTCAGAGACTCTTGCTCCATCATTGCTGCCGAAATGGCTGCAGCGTTGCTATGTGCTGTTGCAGGAGCAGAAGTTGGTCCACTCGAGAAGAACGGTGGAGCAGAAGGAGGATGTTCTGGTGCTTGCGATGCTGGTACAATCGGACCAGAACTTGAAGCAGACAATGAGCCCAATCCACCATCTACCAGGGTTGGAGGAGCAGATGGAGGCGGCTCAAAGGGCGCCTCAATATTGTTCGTACTAATAGCTGAAATGGAGGGCCTAGTAGACTTGAGTGTGATATTATCAAAAACATCATATGGTCGCTTTTTCAATGAAGAGTCTGTCATTGTTCGTCTGTGACGGCCATGAGAAGGCGTACGTTCCATTTCCGGTGCTGGTGCATTTGGCTCTCGTCCTTTTACTAGGGCTAGACTTGCTGCACCCAATTCTCCAATCTCTGTCAGACTCTTTTGCAAGTCGCCCAAGCAAAGGCTGCTTTGAGCATGCTGTCCTTCCATGAAAGATTGACGAGCTTGCTGTGCTAGATCTGTAACCCTGTCCAACAATGAGCCAATACGTGCGATTGTTTGAATACTTCCATTTCCCTCTCCATTTTGCGAAGCATCACCATTGCTTCCATCTTGATTGTGATCGGGAAGAAGGTTCATTCCGTTTCCCTCAAAACCAGATTGGATCCCTTGTCCAACATTATTGAAAGATTGCAAAGTAGAACTTTGTGGCTGTTCGGCAATCGGAGTGCCGTTCAGATCGGGAATGCCATCATTCATTGGGCCTGAATCGGATGGCGTGATCGGAGCACCGGGCGAGCGTGGAATCGCTTGAGGAGCAAGAGAGCTAGAAAAAGTTGAATAGAATGTATGATCGATGTCTAACTCCGGCCGATTAGTCGAAAATGGAGTTGAAGATAGTGAAGATCGGTGAGGTAAAGATCGAACAGGACGAAATTGTCGTAAATTGTCTGATTGTGGTTCTTCTTTGACCGTTTTTGTTTTCTCACCTACCACCGCCCCCGGTCTTGATGAGGCGGCGGATGACGTATTTACGAACAGAGACGGAGTAGCTGGCCTATCCCGCTTGAAATCTGCAGTAGTATGACTTGTGAATGGGAAACTAAACCCTTGCAGGGTATTGTTGATAGGTGCCTGTGGTGGATGTGGTGACGACAGATTGAGTGTTGACCGTATGCTTCAACTTTCCACAAAGAGGAAAGAAGATGCAATTGCTGTGGAGAATTCGAGATCGAACGAAGATTAAAATAAAGGAGAGAACGAGCTCGAATCTTCTTTTATCTTTTGCAACGACCTGCGTACAAGCAATTCAAGAAAAGTGTTCTTCTTTGTTAGGCGAGCAAATGCTTTCAAAGTGACTGAATAGACGGAGCAAAATTTGAACGCATGAAAAGGTTGAAAGATGAATCACAAGGCCGGGCTTGTTATTGATTCGTTTTTGTTTTTCTTTTTTGAGAAGAAGGTCGGAAAATGTGTGATGTGAATGGATGGCGGATGAGAAATGTGAAGAAGGTGAGAAAATGATGGAAAAGAGTGATTGACTTTTTTGATGGAGCTTTTCTCTGTTTGATTCAATCGTTGAAGCCGAGCCGATGTTGGTGCTTCACACTCTTCGCGCGCTAAGAAAAAAGAAAGAGGAATCAAGAATTGGCGCTGTTCATATACAAATATATGGCAGAGTGACCGTAGTGGAAAAGTGCTGCTGCAGTAGGGGAAGAAGAGCTGGATCCGAGAAAAAATAATTTCAATGTGCAGCGTTGCGCATACATACAAAAAAATAATAAAAAAATCTATTCATAGATGCAATTTAAGTACTTTTTTGTATTGTTTGTTCGCAGTACAAAAAGGCTGTGTTTAAATTTAAACTGCGCGTAAAGTCAAGCGGTACACTGTGATTGTGCATACCACTCAACTGCGCGCACACACGCAAGGCAGCCATGATGTAGGTACTGGGTAAAGGACCCATATGGATTGCATAAAGACAACTCATTTTCTCTCCGATGCTGCTGTTCTTGCTCTTGCCGCTTACGACGCCGCCGCCTCCGCCTCCGTCAAAATAAAATAATTGTTTAAAATGACATTTTACGAGTAGAAGAGACTTTTTCTTTTTGTGCGGTAAACCCCTATCAGGGGCTGCTTGCTTTCATTTAATAAAAGACGGTGTCCGTTCTGATTTATGAAGACTGATTTGTCAAATGATTTTTGACCAGAAGCGCTCCACCTGAGCTTGCTGTCAAACGAACAGACAATTCAACGGGTTGTATGCTCCTTTTGTAGGGTGTACATAAAAATGCATTTAGGGTGGACTTATTCTTCTTGAAGTCTAGAATAAAAGCACAGCAAAAACGGAGAAAAGTGGTCGTTATCCGTTATCGACAGTGTTAAGCTTATGTGTCGACTGCGCCTCATACATGTTCCCGAGACAACTTTAATTCTGAGGGTTGATTCTACTCATAGTCTTGTAAGAGCGAATAGTAGAGAAAAGCGGTGTTTTCTTCGAATATATGCGTATTAAGCTCAATTAATTGACCGATTTAGCGTAAAGTCACAAAGACGTTGTCATGTTTGACCGCTCTTGTCCGGCGGATAGCATGAGAGAATACTTGGCAATAAAGGATTGTAAGAATTATGGACAGGATCGACAATTGTGGGGTGATTTGAAGATCATGGTGGCGCTGGAAATATGGAAATCATCTTGTCGATAAAATATTTTCGGCAATGGGAAAGCACATGGTATCATACGACGTTTAAAAAAAAGATTACACAATGCTGTGTTCTGTATCAATACCATGACCCCAACCCAATTCAGAGAATGACAATAGCATCAGAAACTTCTTCATTCAGGAACAAGTGTATGTCTCACATGTAGCGAACGAGCTTCTTCCAACGCTAACAATGAAGCACAAGCACGTGACTTTTGCGCAATCTTTTCTCTTATGATACTCGGTGATAGCCGGGCGTGGAATATGATCTCCGAACAGATAATGGACAGGAAGCGCGTGCATTGAACATCGGGCAAAAGAGAGAAAATAATAAAAAAAAAGACACTAGACTAGTAGAGAGATTAAGAAGAAACGCATTTAGTCATAAAGCTCAGGTAATCTAAAGTAGATCAATAGCATACATACACTTTATCTGATTTCATACAAACCTTCTTACCCGATTCAACAAGGATCATCTAATCAACTTCACTTAAGCTTTATTCTATATACACACTGTCACGCATCAACGGAATTATATCCGATCTCGGCTGTACAGAAAGGTGGCACAACATAAAGCCAAAAAAAACACTTGGCAACGAATCAATCTGTCACCTTCATTTTTATCAAGTTGATTCTGATCTCATCACGACATCTATAATATACGGATAGCAAATATATTTCATCGCCACACACTTATAAGTCAAAATACGAAACAGGCGAAATGCTTTTGGAATTTGACTAAGAATAAGCATCAACTAGCATCAACTGTCTCGTTCGCTATACTGAGGACTATCAAGTTTGATTCCCAATAAAGATGACGAATATGCTACCTTCGAGCAGTTTTGATGCATTTTACGTTCAGCATGCGGCCAATAATGCACCTGGGAACTTTGGTAGAACATCGCATAGTCCATCAGCATTTAGCACTTATCGTGGCAACGTAGAAGGCGGAAGTGGAGATTATATCAATTATGATCAAGTAGGATTACAAAACGTTGCTGGTCCTTCTGACCTAACACAACATTATCGTAACAATAGTCATCCATCACATCTACATTCACACGGCATCATAAATGGGCATCACCATCATTCTCAGCCACATCAACAATTTTTCACACACAGTCAAGATGATGGCCATCAGCTCGATCATTCTGCCGCACATCATTTACACCATCATCATCCACAACATATCGCTTTAAACCCTTCTTCTGACCCTTCGACATGGTCACCGGAAACGGCTGCAGCGATGGCAGTTGCAACTGCTTCCGCCACTGCTTCTCCGCACGAAGAGCCAGGAATGAATCATAGTTCACCTTGGGCAGGGTCCGTGTACCCAACGCATTTGCAACATCGAACGTATTCATCGGATACTATAAGTAACGGATCCGCAATCCCTTCTTCTTATGGTGGTGTGGATAATAGTGCTTTGGTGGATAGTGCAACTTTTGGATTTGGAGCTGATCAACCACTAATGTCGCCGGTTGATGCTGATGAATTATTGGCTTTGCATCAGTATGATCTTGATAATATAGGTGACGATAGTGGAAGTGGAGGAATGACGAGACCAAAACCGAGAAAGAGACGTAGAACAGTAAAGCAGAAAGATGATGCTGGAGCGAGTGCACCTACATCAGGATTGGCAAATGTATACCAGCAAGGAGATGAAGAAGAAGAGGAAGTCGACCGGATAGGCGAATTGGATCTAATAAATAATCAAGGCGACTATACGGAAGAGGATACAAAAGATCACGTCGGGATAGAAGAGTCCATTCATACTCCCGCCAGTGCAGAAACTGTAGGTGGGACAAATGAACCGGGAGCTTTACAGCAAGGCATGGATGGAACGGAAGATGAACCATTGTACGTGAACCCAAAACAGTATAATCGAATTTTAAAAAGACGAGAAGTACGTGCAAGGATGGAAGAAAAACGAAAGCGAACGGAAGAAGCAATTCGAACTGGAAAGTTGGTTATACCCAATGCATATACCCCAAAATCAGGAGGCAAAAGAGCAAAAGAAATTCCTTCAACAGAAGATGGAGATGATAAAAAGACTTATCAACATGAAAGTAGACATAAACATGCAATGCGTAGACCTCGTGGTCCGGGAGGAAGATTCTTGACGGCAGAGGAAATTAAAGCTAAAGAAGCAGCAGATGCGGCAGCGGCAGAAGCAGCTCAAGCATCCGAGTCTGCTGTCGCTCCCCCTTCGATGATTCAAGACCATTCCATCGAAGGCTTTGGTACTGATCAATCTGACATCTTTAGCGGACAGGACAACGCCAATCTTATCCCACTTCAACAATCAGTCACTTCACCACCTGCACCATCAGAGGATTATTACGATGACCTCTTGAATCTAGAATAGACTAATTACTGCATCTCACAATTTGTACCTACTCCTGTATCATAGTGCATCCCATACAATTAATGAAAGGCGTGATAATGTACATATGACGTTAATCTTTTCTACTACAGCATTAGCGACGTTTTGATTTTGTCGTTGGACGACCTTTTTGGTGAGGTTTCTTCTTTAGATCACCAAACGAAGTTGATTGTGAGGAACTACGTACCTTTTTGCTCTTCTTAGAACTTTGATTCTGTTTATGCTTTGGAGCTTCTGCGATACCCAATTGTTTAGGTCGTGCGGACTTTTTGGCAGCTCGAATGCCTGCATTGATTGCTCCTCTTGCCTCTTTTGACTCTGCTTCATCTTCTTCTCTTGCTTGTCTAGAGCGTCTTTGTTTGCGTGAAAGGCCGGCATACTTATCCCGCTTAGGCTTTTCTGCCGTCTTCGCAGCAGCATGTTTACCTTCCATCTTTGCTTCATATTCAAGCTTTGCCAAATTTTTATTGTTTGCCTTTTCTTGTTGTCCTTGGAACCATGTCCGTTTTGGTCTAGACATAATCTCATCATGATGTTTGACGAGGTTTTCACCTTTTTGTACTTGCATTTCGGCATTCTTCATCATCTTCTCTTCCTTTTCTTCATGTAAGACCGCTTCTACTTCTTTATTGAGTTTGTTCAATGTAGCCGCAACTTCAATGACCGATTCGCTTGGTACAAGTCTGTGTCGAATTTGATCCGCAGGTGATTTTTTCAAAACCATCTTTAGCATCTTTCTGTCCGCTTCTCCCACCAAAGTAACACTACGACCATTTCTTCCTGCACGAGCAGTACGACCGACACGATGCAAGTACATCTCCAATTGAGCGGGCATATCATAATTAATGACAACTTGAACACCTTTTATATCCAAACCACGACTGGCAAGATCGGTAGCCAAGAGGAAATCCACTTTTCCATCACGGAATCCTTGTAGTGATTGCAAACGTTGTTCTTGCGATAGATCACCATGCAATTCTCCTGCCGAGAGTCCAACAAGACCAAAAATGATTCGAAGTTGATGTGCAAGTTTCTTTGATCGAACAAAGATGATGACTTGATTCTTGAATGTTCGCATGCACAAGCTTAGCAGAAGAGCCGCTCGAGTCTCCTCTTGTGATCGTGCATTTGCGGAAGACCCAGTCGCTCCACGAACTCGAACGAACTCTTGAATGAGCTTTTGTGCTGTCGTTCGACGAGGATCAACAAATAGTCTGACAGGTCTCTTCATACTCAAGCGTACCAACTCGTCCACATCATCAGTCATGGTGGCAGAGAAAAGCATAGTCTGACGTGATTTTGGTGTTGCTTTGATGATTTCATCCAATTCAGCCTGGAAACCATCTTCTAGCATTCGATCTGCTTCATCCATCACCAAGATTTCCACATCATCAATCCCGAATGAAGCACTATTGCGGACGTGATCGATCAATCTACCCGGTGTGGCAACAACGATATCTGGCCTCTCGCGTAATTGATTTTCTTGTACCTTGACCGAAAGACCACCAACGCAAAGACAGAATGTGATATCCATAAACTTTGCCAAAGCTCTTCCTACACTAACACATTGAACGGCCAATTCACGCGTGGGCATCAGAATAAGCACTCGAGTCTTTGCATCATCTCTCCCTTTTGGTCGATGGGCTAAACGTTCGAGAATAGGAATCAAGAATGCTGCTGTTTTACCACTACCGGTAACAGCACCTGCCACGATATCCTTACCTGCCAATGCGATGGGTATACTCTTTGCTTGAATTGGTGTAGGCTTATGGAAGTTCAGTGTGGAAAGAGCTCTCATGATTGGACGAGTGAGGCTTAATGATTGGAATGTCGAATCTTCCGCGCTGCTTGATTTGTCTTGTTTTGTATCAGCTTCAGCGGCAAAGAACGCTGCCTTTTTCGCCTTTTCCACTTCAGTCTCTTCTTCTGAGTCTTCGCCTTCTTCATCACTTTGTGCATTATCTGAACCTTGTTGGCTTCCTGATTCTCCGGATTCTTCCTCGTCATCATCGTCCAAAGGATCATTCTCTGAATTGCTATCATCTTCTTCGTCACTCTCTTTTGCCTGTACTCCCGCTCCAAATTCCAAGCTATCAGCCTCGCTCTCATTTTCTTCGTCATCAAATCCTGTAAAGTCTAAATCCTCTTCTCCCTCACTGTTTTCGCTGTCACTCGTAGATAATTGTAGCTTTGCCAACTCTGGACGGGCATTTCTTCTTCGTTCAATGATATCGTCTACTGTCACACCACCATTCTGACCTTTTGCTCCTTTTACCGACATATCCCAGCCACCATTTATGTCCATATCATATCCATCTCCCAAGTCAAAGATGAAAGATTTGTTCAATGCAGGCGCTCCGGCTTCAGGATTTGATCCTCCATCTTTTGTTCGAGCACGTTTAGCATCATTTCCAACGACTTTTTCACGATGTGCTAAAGATGCTTTTTGCTTTCTTTTGTTGGATTGCCCTTCAGTCTCATCGTCATCTTCATCTTTTGCCTCTTCTTCCTGTTCTTCTGCATCTTCATCAGAGTATGCCAATTCATCATCCGAGTCCAACGTCATCACGAATTCGTTCTTTTTTGAGCCATTTCCAAGACCACTTGCACTTTTACCCTTCTTGGTGGCAGAAGGACCACTCTTGCCTTTTGGGACGGCCATGCTGTCGTACTGTGATGGGAGGTGGTGGGAAAGTATGATAAATTCAAGAAGTTCTTATACAGGTGTTAATTGCAACACACTGCTCAAACGCCTTGATTGACTTTTAAATGCAAGTTTCAATAATAATTTTGCATTGGAGAGAAAAAATAAAGTCACGTGTTAAAGAGCTTAAAAGCTGTCAAGAACAGCAACAACAAACCATAGCGCGTAAATGATATTCAAGCTGACTGACTGTAATTCGGTTTAGGCCGGAGAAGTTCCCTTTTCGCACGGAGAGTAAACATGACTTGAAAAGCATATGGCGAAGAAACAGCGCGTACACTTTATCCTCTTGACCCCATCTCCTCTTATAAACAGTCGATCACAATGCTTCGTTCAATCGCAAGCAATCCCGGCCTTCGTGCCAGTATGCTAAGGAGCTCAAAGAGTAATCCAGCTTTACGGGCTGCAAGTGCTTCGGTTATTCCACCTGTACACACAATGCCAAGCAGATCATTGGTTTCAACAGTATTGCTAACAAAGGATGCCTATGAATCGAAAAAGGTGACAGATTTGAAAACAGAATTACGTCAACGTGGCTTGTCAACAACTGGAAAACGGACAGATTTGATAAAAAGATTGATCGAAAATGACTCAAATCGAGCAAAAGTTTTACCGATCTCATCAAAAGATCAATCTACTTCAATCAGTGCTCCTTCAACACCACGTAAGACGCTTCGCACTCGCTCTGCCACCTCTTCCGCAAAGGTACAACAAGGAGCTCCAGAAACAAGTGCAGGTGCAGTAGGATCAGATGCTACAGGCGCTACTATCCCTCATCCTCCCAACATGGAACCCGGTCAAATTTCATCAAATGCAAGCGAAGCAACGCCTGATGGCCTCAAACAACCTGATATGCTAGAAGCACTTTCTACTGCTCCAGGTGTTCCACCGGAAAAAGCACCCCAAGCACCAATCACATTCGAAGTCAAAATTCCATACGAATCAACACCAGTCGATCCTGGACCAGAAGTTCCATTGATAACAGCTTATTTCCATCCTGAAGACAAACATTTCGATGGTATCTATCGCAGCCAAGATGGACCTATCGCTCACATGCCAAAAGTGATGACCGTCTCAGGCGAGGAAACTTATCCGGGTGGAGGTGTATCGCATCATCAGCCAATCTTCGAAGATGCTGATGTTGCCGGATACCCACGATCGTCTGAGCCAGTGGAGAATGAAGGACAATCATTCTCTTCTGCACTGTCCAGCTTGTGGTCTTCTATGCAAAAAGACATGGGAGTCTCATCAGAAAAAGCACCAAAGATTGCCAAACAGGCAAAGGAGATTCGTGAATCAACGGCAAACACAACACGCACTCTTTTACAAGATGCAAGAGAAACATTCAACAAAGCAACTCGTGGAAATGGCAGCTCAAGTGCATCGTATAGTACATCCTCCACCAGTTATTCAGGAGGAAACACACGTCCATTGAATGCTGAAGAACAGAGTGGGCTGTACGTCCTTGGTGGAATTGTGTTGGGAGGATTTGTTTTGGGAGGTCTGGGATCCCAATCGAAGCGAAAGTCAGAAAAGGTGAAGGCAAAAATTGAAGAATCTGTACACGAAATCCGAAGCAAGAGCAACACATTAGACGAAACTGAATTGCACGACCTCGTACAAAGAGCCGAATCTGCACTTCGGTCATAATGATACAATTAATACTGCTTTATCATGAATAATTTTTAATGACATCTTATGTTCTAATAGAAGAATGAATGAATGAATTGAAGGTAGCTCTATTAATAACGATGAGTAAGAAAAAACACGAGCCAAAGATCTATAGCGACAGAATGTATACCAGGAAAAACGACACGAGAAGAATGTTCTCTATTTTTCTATCTACCAACGACCGCCACCGCCGCCGCCCAAGCCAACATTGTTGCTTCCTGTACGGCCTCCTCCACGGAAACCACCACGGCCACGACCACCACGATATCCTCCACGACCACGGCCACCACCGCCGCCACCGCCGTAAGATCCCATTTGTGCCAATTCCGGTGGAATTTCTTGTTTTGCTTCACGCAAGATACCAACCAATTCACGAGCACTTTTGTTGTTTTCTGCTGTGAAGAAGGTAATTGCAACACCGGTTGCACCTGCACGACCTGTACGACCGATTTGATGGATGTAATCTTCTGTGTTGGTTGGGAAATCATGATTGATCACATATCCGATATCCTTGACATCTGTTTGAGAAACAATCGAATGACCAAAGAGAGAACAGTGAAATACGTGCACAATTTTCAAGCAAGATGAAGAAAACAATTAGTACACGCACACACAAATGCACATAATCGATTGAAACGACGATTGCATTGCAGGTAAATTTTAACAAGCAATGCAAAAGTGTAACAATTATCATCACGATCAGGGTAAGAGGGAAAATTAAATGGGAGAGAACAAAGGTGAGTAACAGCACAATTTCCATAGTTTGACGAGATGTAGTTGTGGGGTATATCGTCTGAGCAAGTCCAGGGTAAGTCGATGATCTATGCTACGTGCACATCCAACGTACTATCTTACCTGTGTTTGCCTTTCTCCGATCACATCTCCATAACATCTCGCCCTGCAAGCACACTTACCGAGACCACGACTAGCAACTGCAGTTGCTACCATGATCGGGCTACGACCGCTCTTAAATTCAGCCAAAACCCAATCACGTTCCTGTTGTTGTTTGTCACCGTGAATGGCAATAGCTGGCCATCCGTCCTGTCGCAAGTATTTCGTCAATTCATCTGCAATTCGTTTGGTATTGGTAAAGATCAACACCTTTTGGTTCTCTTGACTGATTTGGTCAAGGTGTTTAACGAGTCGTCCACGTTTTTCGTATTCACTGCACATTTCGATCACTTGTTTGATGCGGTGATTGGCGGCAAGGTCCATAGATCCAATGTTGACTTGGATGTAGTTGTTCAAAAAGTCGTGTGCCATTCGTTGGACTTCTTTTGGCCATGTAGCTGAAAACATCAATGTTTGACGGTCAGGACGGATCTGACCGACAATCTTACGGATTTGGGGTTCGAAACCCATATCAAGCATGCGATCGGCTTCATCAAGGACAAGGTAGGTGACACGGCGTAAGTTCGTCTTTCCAGCTTCGATCATATCAATCAAACGACCAGGAGTAGCAATCACAATCTCAGCACCACGCGACAAATCACGAATCTGAGGACCTTTAGGCACACCACCATAAACAGCTGTGTTACGCAAACGAGAACTACGACCGAAACGGGTGCATTCTGTCTGAATCTGAACAGCCAATTCACGAGTAGGTGCTAAGATCAAAGCGATTGGTCCATCACCCGGTGCAAGGAGAGGTTGTGCATTGATATGAACCATGGCAGGCAATGCGAAACCAATCGTTTTACCTGAACCAGTTTCAGCAATTGCAACAACGTCACGACCACTTGAGGCGATGGGCCATGCTTGAGCTTGAATAGCCGATGGCTCAGTGAATCCCATCTTGCGGATTTCAGATAAGATGTAATCAGGGAATCCGGCTTCGTCAAAAGAGGTGATCGGTCTGGGAACAGATTGACCACTAATGGTCATTTGCTTTTCTGCACGGAATGCACTAACTTCTTGTTCATTCCGCGAAGAAACACGAGGATCTTCTTGATAGAAGTTTTTCTCAAATTTAGCTAAATCTGCGCCAGCCCAATCGACGTTTTGTAAATTGGCACCCAAATTGTTCATCTTATCACCACCAAAGCCACCACCGCCGTAACCACCACCGTTACCGTAGCTGCCTCCATTGCTGTAACCGCCGCCGCCGTAGCCACCGCCACCACCGCCGTAGCTACTTGGGCCGTTACTGTAACCATTACCGTAACCACCACCACCGTTTGAATAGCCTCCACGGCCACCGCTCGAGAAGCCACCACGCGAACCGTTACCGTATGACATTATTGAATTTGTAGAGAATGAAAAAGTCGATACTTTGATCGAATGGGATGTTGGTAGTAAGAGAAGAGGGAGTGTGTTAGTTGGATGCCTTGTTACCTGGGCGCGCAGGCTGCACAGTGTTTTCTCTATGAACATTTTTCAACTAGAAAAAAAAAACAATTAGTGCCCTTTGACTGGCGCAGTGCAGTGAATTTTTTCAATAGAAATAAAACTTTTGCCAAAATTTTATTTGACAGTTTTTTCAATGCAGGGCGAGGGAGTTAATAATTTTTGACGCCTTTTCTGTTTACAAGTCACGTGCACATCCAAGTGATTTTGATTCTCTAAAGCCTTTACGCGTGCCGATACGCGTTTAAGCATCTTTCATTTACGCGGGTGGCGAATAAGCCAGGCCAGAATAATTTTGTGTTGCTTGCTTGGAAGAGGCAGTAATTATCTCAGCAACAATACAATCAAGACAACAATATAGCATTTCCACCATCTTCTCACAATATGGCTAAAAATGGTGGGGGAGCATGGAATTTGGTAGCAGCAGATGATCCAAGTGATTGGAAGGAAGAGTTTGCATTCCTCAAAAGCTTAGATTCTGGACTTCGTTGTGATCTTTGCTTCGATATATATACCGCTCCCGTTTCGATAAAGGATTGTAGCCATACCTTCTGTTCAGCATGCGTTCGAAATGCGATCAATAAACCGGGAGAAGAAATGAGTGGCAAATGTCCAAAATGCATGATCAAAAATGTGTACGATTCTAGCTTGTTACCTCAGCCAACGTTGGAGAATGTTGCTTTGCAATGGAGAAATGCGAGAACGCAATTGTATGATATGCAACAAGCAAGACTGCAAGAACAAGCAGCTCGAGCAAGTTCTTCGACCAATGGGCATATAACTGGAAAACGTGCAAGAGATGAAGTTGAACGATCTTCTTCTCCCTCTTCTCCACATCTTCGGCGTTCAAAACGAAGCACATCAGCTCGGAAAGCAGGTACACCATCTTATGCTGAACATGTCACAATTGACGATAGCAGTCAAGATGAATATGAAGACATACAAAGCTCTGAACCCGAAACAAAGACGTCTACCCCTCAGCCTGCTCATCAGCAGAACAAAATCGACACGAAAGACTACAGGCAAATAGGAGCGAGCGATCTGGTGCAATGCCCAATGTGTCAGCATACATTCACCTATCGTGCCCTGAACATTCATTTGGACAAAGGCACATGTAGTCCAAATGATCCGGAACCTTCCCCGCAAGAGAGAGGACTCACTGCTCAAAAAGTCGGCAATGCAACATCTACCAGCGCCTGGCTCAAGTCAAATGGCGGAAGCAATGGATTGGCATCACCTAGTCCCGCTGGTTTTGCAACACTAACTCCAGGCAATTCATCCAAAGCAACCATCAAAGAAGATCGACGAAAGAAGCTGGTGAGGCCGGCATACGATATGCTAAAGGTAAACGATATCAAGAGACTTTTGCGGGATTGGCAGCTAAATTCTGCGGGGAATGATCGAAAAAGAATGGTGGAAAGACACAGGAAATGGATCAATCTATTCAATGCTAACCTTGATGCTTCGGAACAGGTGCGAAAAAGCAATGCTAGCTTACGTCAAGAGTTGGAGCAATGGGAAAGAGCGCAAGATGAGGCCAGTAATGGGCTTTCTGAAAAACGTGCAAAGACATGGGCAATGGATCACAAGAATGATTTTGCTACTTTGGCAAAATTGGCTCGGGAAACGCATTTGCGTGATCGTTCGAAGCATTTGGAAGAGAAGAAAGCAAAAGAGACAGAAGAAGCAAAAAGTTCAACGGGAGTAGATGAGGGACCGCAAACCGTACCGATGAACTCGGAGCACAATATCAATACATCCATACCCCGGGAGGAAATACAAGATGGAAACATAGAATGAAGTAATTTCGAGCAGACAGACGACGTAAATTGCATATGTACTATAGACTGCATTCATGAATCGGATATTGTCTCTATGATGTACATTGTATGAGAAATAATTTCTTTACTCCTCCATGGCAACATCGCCACCGTGGCCTCCATCGTCACTTTCATTATCGCTTTCATCTGCTAAACTGACAACACCATCTCCACGTGCGGGTTCGTTACCATCGATCCGAATAGCCGTTTTCGCAGGGTCATTTGGCATAGCTCTTAGACGATCACCAAAAGTCTTTCGTGCTCCTACGTTTGCCAATGCATCCCAAACACGCAAAACGCCTCTAGATCCAGCAGCTACCAAAGTGAGAGGATCATCGGGTGAGAATTGAACGGAAAAGATTTTACCTGCGTCCAAATTACGACTTGCGACCATGCTGAGCGAAGAAGGGCGCCAATTGATATCTTGATTAGCAGCATTCACCTCGAATGAGGAATCTCCCTCAACGTTCCAGAGTTTGACCAATTTATCTGTTCCTCCAGTAACGATGCAACCAGGAATATGTGGACTGATATCCAAAGATGTACACGCACCATCATGTGCTGAAAGCGTAAAGATTGCCGAAGCTGATTTCTCTTTTGTCAACATACGTGCATCGAATGATTGAACGAGACCATCTTCCATAGAAACAAAGAAGTTATGTTCCCGCCATGGGTTCCATCGAACTGATTCAAGATCAGAAGAAACGCTTGCACGAACAACATCTGATGGGCTTCTACTGTCAAAAACGCAAATGGTCTTGTCATAACTTCCACTTAATAGACGAGCAGGTTGACCTATCGAACCACGAGAAGAATTACTCGTATCCCATGCTACACTTTGTACTTTGTCTGTGTGTAGGTCTCCAAATGATCGTAACGCATTTGTGCCTCCATTTTCATCTGCAGGTTTTGAAAGATCCCATAATTTCACAGTAGAATCAGCCGAAGCACTTGCGAGAAGATTTCTGGCCAGCTTGTTCCATGAGAGGCCCAGGACTGCATCGACGTGGTAATTTGCATTGGGTACCCGTTCCTTTGCTTGCTTCCGTTTCTTCTTTCCCGTTCCTTTGGGTGCATTTAATTGTTCGGTAATATCTTTTTGTCCCAAGATTGCATCGGGGAATAGCCCTTCTACAACGTCCATACTCCAAATCTCAATCTCTGGATCCATTGTACCGACTGCAATAAAGTTTCCTTTTGCACCTACGTTACTGTTTTGATCAGCCGATCCTTCACCTCCACCGCTTGGCTTGTAATCCAGCCATTCCAAACATAGAGGGAAAGATGGAAGCATGAGATCATGGTGAACGTATAAGTTTGCATCTTCGTGAATATAAACGTATGCTTCTAACAATGAAACTTCATCTTCTGTTTTTGCTGTGATGATCATGTTGTCTGTTGGCATAACTTCTAATTCCTCCCTTTCTTCTTGTGCTTCGACAGGATCTTCTTTGAGGGTGATATACGGATCTTCATCATTGTTGCGGTAATATTGTAGTCCTTTGATATTGCTGAAAGGTCCCATAGTAGTTGCTTCATTGTCGTCATTGTCGTAATTGTCAAGATTGTATCTACTCAAATCGTTGGGATCTTCTTTTGCTGCAGGTTTGGTGACTGTGTCCTGATCTTCATCTTCTGCATCCATTGCTTCATCTTCTTTAACTTCTTCTTTGTCATCATCTTCCCATCCTTCATCCTCACCAATCTCTTTTCCATCGTGCCATCCTGCTGCTACCCTTTGTGCACGTTCAAATTGTGCTTTTGCATCTTCGAAATGAACGTTTGCTAATTTTGCAACACGTTCAAGTTCATTATCGTCCACTTTGTATGATGTAGGATGATGTGCTGCCTTTCCTTTAGCAATCCATGCCGCCGAAGAGATCATCTTGTAAAGAATGAGTGGTGTTGAGAGAAAAGGCCTAGTGAATGAGAAGGTTATATGCATAATAAGGAATAAACTTTTTTTTTATTATTTGAGCGGGAATCGGATATATGCCACACCACGCCTTAGGGAATTTTTTTCTTCTTTAAGCGTGTTTTATTTTTGGTTGCATAAGTTTTTCATTTTTTCGCGCTTGAAGACTTTTTCGCAGTTAAAACGCCTTGGGAAGAAAATTAGTGAGCTATGTACATCTTGTCAAAGTAGTCGGATTGCCATCATCTTCCAGCTATATAGCAAAGATGATGAGTTTCACATCAATGCAGCTCATTAAGAGCTCATCAAGGATGACTTACACTCTGACTGCACGGTCATTGTGCTCACGCTCACTTGCAACGGCTACAATTGCCAGTCAAAGCTCATCTTTACTTATCCAAAGTGATCTTTCAAGATTGCTTCCTATCCAAGCATCTGCTAGAACTTTCAGCACGACGCCAACTTGCCTTCGTAATCCAAGTAATAAAGTAAGACTTCCCAAGAGAATAATCTCAGACCCATCCGAAGTTGATGAAAGTCATTTAGACAAGCCAACGGATAAGGAAGGAAAAGCAGCAAATCCAATCACCAACGAATATTCTACCTTAAAACCTTACATGAATTACGATACCTGGAAGGCCTTAACCGGAAAACCATTCAATTTTAAGGAAATGTCGGAAGTTCAAGAAAGAGTCTTAAGCCTATTGCCCGACTTGGCAGATCCTTTCAATGATACACCCATGCCAGACAATCAAGGCGGCAGAGATTTATTGGTAAAAGCGAAAACAGGTACGGGTAAAACGGTTGCTTTTTTGGTTCCTGCGATCGAACGTAGATTACGTGCAGCAAGACAAGTGTTGAAGGGAAACTATACTGGTCCTTTTGCAAAGATGCTAGCCAAAGAGAAACCTGAACTTTACGAAGCTACTGATTTGGACAAGCAGACAAAAGTTTCTATTTGGCGAAATTTCCATGCCAATACAGCAGGTGTTCTCGTCTTAAGTCCAACCCGCGAATTGGCTACTCAAATTGCTACCGAAGCAGAAAAGCTCACAATGCACCAAAAGAACTTCGGTGTTCAATTATTGGTCGGAGGAGCAAGCAGGAGTATTCAAGTACGTACTTGGTCTCGCACTCGGCCTGATATAGTAGTTGCTACACCCGGTCGCTTATTGGACCTATTGAACGAAGAGCCGATGGTCTCGAAAGCTCTATCAGCTGTCCAAACTTTGATTTACGATGAAGCTGATACCTTACTCGATATGGGATTCCGTGATGATCTCGAGAAGATTCTACAATTCTTGCCCAAGAAAGAAGACCGAAGCACGATGTTGTTTAGCGCTACAGTGAGCAGTGATATTAGAGAGATCGCACGCAAATCATTGGGAAGTGATCACAGATTTATCGATTGCGTGCCCGCAGGAGAGTCCAATGTTCACGAACATATTCCCCAATTTGCCACTGTTGTTCGCGATGGAAAAGAACAATTGGAGCAATTGACAAGATTGATCGCAATCGATCAATTACGCAATCCAGGTAAGAGCAAAATTGTCGTTTTTGCACCTACAACAAAGATGGTTCAATTGTATGCAGACCTTTTCAACTTTTCCCAAGGTTTGGTCAATAGTTTACCAGCAGGAAGAAATACTGCCTCATACGAATTGCACAGTCGCAAAGATTCTTCCCAACGGTTCAGAATTTCTTCCTCATTCCGCAACGATAAACGTGGTGCTTCGATCTTGTTCACATCCGATGTAAGCGCTCGTGGAGTTGATTATCCCGGAACAACACGGGTGATCAATTTGGGTATCTCTGGAACTACAGATCAATATATTCACAGAATCGGCAGAACTGGACGTGCGGGAGCGCAAGGAAGGGCGGATATCATTTTGCAAGGATTCGAAGCAGGCTTCTTAGAAGCCAGTCTGAACAAGTTGCCAATCAAAGTTGAAACGGTAGACGAAACCAAAGCACAATTAGCAAAGCTTTGTGAAGATTTCGATAGAGATCCAGAATCTATTGTCGATCCGGAAATTTGGAAAATTATGAACGACCCAACACTTCGACCTCGATGGTCGAAAGAGGGTTCTAATTCTACGCAATATATTGCACGTTTCATCTCTCCAATGAGTGAACGACTTTCGGATGATATCCTAAAGGCTAAAGCTGAATCTGCTAAATCTTCTGCTGATCCGGCTGAAGTTGAAGGTGTATTTATGAGCAATTTGGGTTTCTACATCCCTAAAGCATATGCCATGGACACCACTGCCAATAATGTTATTGAAGGTTTGAAAGAATGGGCAATGTCACTTGCTGAGCTTCCTCGGGAACCGTATGTCAGTCCGGCAACGCTTGCAAAGATGGGCGTTTCAACTGGAAATAGAAGAACATCCGATCGCTTTGGCAGGTCATCATCTAGATTTGGTGGCTCAATGAGCGGAAGTGGTCGTTTCGATCGTGGTGATAGCGGAAGAGATCGTTCTGACCGTGGGTATAGCGGAAGAGATCGTTTTGACCGTGGTGGTAGTGGAAGAGATCGTTTTGACCGTGGAGATGGCAGAAGAGGTCGTTCCCCTGGAAAGTACAATTTTGACGGACATTCCCGTGAAGGACCTTCTTACGGTCGAAGAAGCTCCGAACGATTTTTCTAATCGTGCACACGCATGAGGAATGTTCAGCTCCCCCTTCTTTTGGGATATAAAATCATAAGTAACGAACTTTATTCATGTAATATATATCACATTCTACATCACCACTATTGCTATTGTACAAAAATGAATGCAAATTCAACCCAAAAATGATTACTTGCGCTGCCTTTTTCCAGAATCTTCATCTTCATCTTCTGCACTTTCAAATTCCAATTCTTCACCATCATCAGAAACCATATTATCGTCATCATTGGTTTGATCGGTGCGATTCCGTTTAAGACCTTTCATCTTACGTGTTTGTAATTTACTCAAATCTTGTTTGCCAACATGAACACGTCCAACGGTATCACCCATATCATCCGTTTCGATATTCTTCTTTGTTCCCTTTCCTTGTCGTGTCTTTTGAGCCTGGGTCTTTGGTCTGCGTAGACTTGCTTGTAATTTATCCATACTTGGCATTTGACGTCTTCGTAGAACGAGATCGAAAGACGGTCCGATTTCCTCCAACCGAACATTAGCAAGAGAAGAAGCAGGTGTGGATGCTGTGACTGGAAGATCTTGTGTTGGTTTATCTGTAGTGTTTGAGGATGTTGGAATAACGGCATAAACACGAAGGTGAATCATCCTTCCATTTGCTGAAGTATCAATTAATGCACTTGAAGAAGATTGTTCTTTTTGTGCACCCATTTTGTACAAATCTGCAAGATCATCAACAGTTGAAGATTTTGTTGCACTTCCGTTCACTTCTTCCCCATCAAATGGTGCCTCAGTAATGCTAATAATGTGTTGCAAACCACCTTTTAGTGCAACTTGCATACCTGCTTGTCCGGGATTGCTTCCTGGTCCACTTCCTGGAGCCATCTCTTCACCTCTGTAGAAATCCAAGAACAAGCTCTTGATGTGTTGGAAAGATTGTGATACACCAGGCGTGCTGACAGACATTGCGGCTGCCGAAGAATTCACATCACCATCTGCAGCGAAATGAGGTCCTGAAAAGTGAAACATGGGTCTTGCTCCAACGGATGGTGAGTGTTTCGCTTTAAAATCTTCGTGTCCTTTTGCAGAAATGATTCCCATCTCATACATATCCAACACATTTCCATCAAACAATCTTGCCCAAGTAAGATTATGCGGTCGTTTCTTCTGATGATTTGCCAATAAGAATAGACTTGCATCGTTCTTCTTTCCCCAAAATTCTAAGCTTGCAGAATCTTCAAATGGTACAACATCATTTTTCTTATTGAATGGAATCGAATGAGGTTTTTTCAAGAGTGAAAATTCCCTTAATGCCAATGCCACTTTATCGGAAGAATGAGGACCACGTACAAACAGTGCCGTCTTTGCATTTTCGTATTCTTTTGCGTCTCTTTTCTCTAAAGCACGTTTTGAACGAGCATTTCTTGGTCTAGCGATACGAATCATCTTTTTGAAAGGGTATGAGATGATGAGTGTCAAGCAAGATAGCAATCGGTCTGTCTGCACTTTAAGCTTTAATGTGAGAAGGAATCCAATTAATTCTCCATTTTGTCAAAAAAATTCAAAAATAATTGCAACACGTGAAGAAGACAACATTGAAAAAAGGCGTCAGGAGGTTAGGGAGGTCAAAGCTGCACTCCACAACGCGTAGTAACAGAAGAGTGCTCTGTCCGCCCCCCTTTCATGCTGGTCCGTGTTACATTTTTAAACATGCCATCAACTTCAGATTAACCACCACCTACTTGTGACATCTCTATCATGGAGAAGCTCAAGGTGGCCAAAGTAGAAGATGTGCTTTTACAGCGAGGCCAGAAATGCACTTCAGGTACACTTCATCTCACCCAACATCATCTCATTTTCGTCAAAGCGACCAGTGAGAGCGGAGAAAAGGCAACGGAAGGAACGGTCAGCACAGCCAGCAGCTCTAAATCACAAGAAGAATGGATTCCTTATTCTATGATATGGCTTGCTAGTCGACTACCTTCAGTAATTCCATTGGATCAATCTGGCAAACCAAACAGGGCAGCGGGAAAGCGAATCTTCCCAATCGCTTTACATCTGAGAAACTTCGAATTGATCACAATCGGATTCGACGCAGATGGAAAAGCCACAGATGTTTTCGATAGCATGAAAGCAGTCATTGTTGCAGATGCACCCCACAGCTTATATGCATTCTACCACACACCTAGTCCTCCTCTCAAATCTGCCCCAGCGGGATGGAGAGTGTATGACTTTAAGGCCGAATTTGCTCGACAGGGAATCGCAACTCGGACAAAAGCATGGAGATTCTGTGATGTGAATGCGGGTTATGGCTTCTGCTATACTTACCCGGCGATGATGTGCGTTCCATCGCGGATATCGGATTCGACTATTCGATATGCGTCCAAATTCCGTTCGAAAGAGCGCATTCCCGCATTGACATATCTTCATCGTGGTAGCTTGGCTTCAATCACTCGAAGCTCCCAGCCAATGGTTGGACTGAACAACCGAAGCATGCAAGACGAAAAATTGATCGAAGCGATCTTTTCCAGTCATCTTTTCGCGGATCCCTTGAGTCAAACCGCACAAGCAGCGACTGCCGCTGCAAGTAATGCTACCCAAAGTGGAAATGCTGTGACAGAACGTGGGAAAGCAATGGCAATATATGGTGCAACTACGACAAATTTGATCATTGATGCACGGCCTACCACAAATGCAATGGCAAATCGAGCAAAAGGTGCGGGAACGGAAAATATGGATAATTATAGGGGTTGCAAAAAGGTATATCTAGGAATTGACAATATTCACGTCATGCGAGATAGTCTTCAACGGGTAACGGAAGCGCTCAGAGCTGCTCAGGCACCGGCAACATTCGGCATGCAAGCCGTCGCAGCTGAACAATTGTTGACAATAGAGGACATAGACGGGAAAAAGAAGAGGAGATCATCAGTTTTGACAGCCAAAGATTCTCCGCCACTTGATCATTTGGCTTTGAAACGGTCAGCATGGCTTAAGCATATCTCTGCTTTGATGGAAGGAACGCTGATCATTACACGCAATGTACATATCAACAACTCACACGTTCTGATTCATTGTTCAGATGGATGGGATCGTACCTCGCAATTGGCAGCGCTGGCACAAGTCTGTTTGGATCCATACTTCAGAACGATGAAAGGCTTTGCGGTATTGATAGAGAAGGACTGGGTCAGTTTTGGACATCGATTCTGGGATCGATGTGGACACGCAAGCTCGGAGAAATATTTCACCTTAGCGGAGGGTTATGGAGCAGATGCTGATAATACAGAAGAGGATAGTCGAAGGAACAGCACGGATAGCGACGAAGATGGAGCTGGGGAGGGTTTCGATGCCCAAGCAGCAGCCAACGCCTTTTGGGGCTTCACCAAGCAGCTTCGCGCTAATTTTCAAGGTGGTGGTGATGGAAATAGCAAACGTGGTGCTCATCTTAAGGAAATCTCTCCTGTCTTCCATCAATTCTTGGACTGTGTTTGGCAGATAATGCGTCAATATCCAAAACGGTTCGAGTTCAATGAACAGTGGCTGTTGGACTTGTATGATAACGTATTTCGATGCCAGTATGGCAATTTCCTCTTCAATTGCGAAAGTGAACGGAATGGATATAGTGACGGACAAAGCAGTTCGGCTCCAGCAAGTAGTCGAACGTATAGCGTTTGGGATGAAATGTTGGATGAGGAGAATAAGCCGAAGTATCTTAATAGTCGCTTCGAACCTGCTTTGGACGATGAAGTTGCTGATCGCTCTCAGGCCGATCTGGGTGTATTACTACCCAATTCCAAGGACGTTGGATTCTGGGGTGGACTTTTTCGAAGAGATTCGAAAGATATCAACCATTTGGTCGAAGCAGAAGCTGAAGAACGTAAACGGCTGTTAGAAGCGCAAGAGAAACAACGAGAAGATGATGCGGCTGCTGCTGCCGCCGCCGAAGAAGCAAAAAGGTCAGCTGTTGGACCAAGTGAGGTGGATGGTGTTACAGTCGGACCTACGATAGCAGCAGGAGAAAGTGATCCAGTCTTACGACCAGGAATTGTGGATATACAAAAGTTTGATTCGAATAAGCTGGCATACAAGCCACGCACCAGACAATCGAATCCTCCAAAGTCTATCAATTCTCCTGAAGTACATGGAAATGGTCGCCCGGTGCCCACTCAAGCGCCTCGAAGAGAGAATACTGTGGATGACTTTGGGGTTAATGCTCAAGAAGCGGCAAATAAAATGAAAAATATGTTCTTGGGATGGGGCGCTAGATTACAGGATGCATATACCACTGCTACTGGTCCCGCATCTGGAGATCATGGGGAGGAGAACAATCTACCGCGGGTACTCGAAGCACCTGCCTCCTCGGCGCAATGGAAGCAAAACAGCGCAAAGTCAAATCCGTGGGCGGCAGAAGAGGCTACTGTGAGCCGATATGAAGGCTTACCCAATACATTGCATAATGATTTGAATCCATGGAACGATCCATCTGCACCAACGCAAACATCTAGAGTACAAACAAATGGTCAAGAAAGACAAAAAGAATTACCAGCATACCCTTCACAGAAGATTGAACCAACTGCGACAAGCACCGCTCCAGCGATAGAAGTCAAAGAAGAGCAAAAAGAGCAAAAAGATTACGACCCACTTGGAGTTGGATTTTCGTGAATGCTAGCTTTCCGGATGCACTGTATAATAGACATCACTGAATTCATCTGATATTCATATCACTAGCTCAGCGGTAGGAGCCAGACTTGCGTCTATAGTGTGAAAATGCAACTTAGGGTTAGGATTTATCCTAACCCTAAGTTGGCTGGCCAGCCCTCATCTTAAGCGTCTCCTGCATCAATCTTAGCAGAAGTTGCATCGAAGTATTCAATCAGGCCATGTACTTTTCTATAGGGAAGTAACATCTGCATCCGACCACTTACCGTCGTCGGGGCGATCCGTGTCCTGTGAGAGTCTGTGGTGCAACGGATTCTTTTTTCATTTTCTTCTCCCTCTCTTAGAACATACCTTTACCTCTATTTCACGCAAAAATAGCGTAATCCAGCGAAAGCTTGCAAGTGGCACAAAGATGACTCCGACGTATTCAAGAGCTTTCACTACCTTTGCGATCTATTTAATTATGACAGCAGCATTTGGAACTGGTCAAAACCTTCAAGAAAGGGCGGAATTGCCTGATTTGAATGATTTTCCCCTTGAACATGGATTTGCTGAACATCCAGCTATCCACGAGCAAAAACCACTTGAGCAAGGGCCAGACAGGAAAAAACGTAGTCCTCGACCACGAGTTACAAGAACAAAGCCAATCAGTACGGTGTCAAAACCTACAGTAACAACGAGTGAGACAAATTGTGAGCATTCGAAGAGCTGTGAACATTGGAAGAATCTTTCAACGCAATTAAAGAATCGCATTCGTGCTAAACTTTGGCGAGATAGTTTAGTGAGTATCCTAGCGGAGATCTTCGATTGTCAAACAAACGAAATGATGACTTTTCTCCGTACATTCTCAGCCGGAAAAAGTTCGACGTGAAAAAAGTAGGCTTGCAACTGTTAAATTTCGAGCAAATGAACCAGTAGAGGAAAAATTAGCAAGATATGAACGACATAATAAAATCCGTAGAGCTAGATATGGTGCTCTTCAAGGTCAAGAGAGGGAAGAGAAGCTTGCTAAATTAAGGGCATACTATCATAAAAGTAGGTCTCGGTGTTTTTGGGTGGTTTGCCTTTTCTGACTTAAGCTATATGTTCACACAGGTAAAGCAAAAAAACACAAAGACAACGAGGAAAATCCACGTAAGGAAACATGATTTTTCAAAAACGCAATACTTAGAAGCAGAACTATAATTTGTGTCTAGGATGAATTGGCATGCCCCGAGGAAGATGTCTTTTAGGTTGAAGTTGTTTTGGTGTGCCGACCATCCTCATCACTTCCATATGTTTTTCTCAAAGTATTTCGTTTTCGTGATTTTCATCGCGGTAGGACTTGCACAGCCGGGAAATGGTTCACATACAATCGGTAAAAGACAGCTGGTTCCAGATTTAAACGGACCACCGCCGGTTGATAACGATCATCCGGTTATTGCATCTGTCAGCACTGATTATGTCACACAAGATTTATCATCTAGTATGCAAGTAACAAAGAACAGAGAGCAAAATCGTAAAAGGAATCGACCTAGTGTGATCGACTTGAACGAATGTTATCATCACAAAGGATGTGAGCATTGGAAATCTTTACCTTCAATCGAGCGAGATAGAATTTCAAAGAAGAATTGGATGGCACGCAAGCCTGATGAAGTACGTAAGCAGATGTCAAGGGAATACTCAAAAAAATGGCATTCGAAATTGACCCGAGAACAAAAAGAGGTCAGAAATCAAAGAATGAGAATCACTCGTTTGCGTAAGAAACAAAAAGCAACTCCAGGAGAGAAAGGGGCGGAAAAAGGAAAAGGCTGAAGTTTCATACCACCAGCAGAGTAAATTTTCCGGACTTGGTCTTGCATACTTCTTAGAACCCCGGTAGAGAAATTAACAAGGGACGTAGCCCGATCTCAAAGCAGAGAAGATTGAGGATATATTCTCTAGTACATACAAATCATTTAAACTTTTTTTCGATCACCTCATAGCTACTTCTAGCTACATGCATTGTCGTCGTATCAATCATATTAAGCACTTTAAGTACAACGACAACACAGCTTCAAGATAGTGAGAAAGTTGCTGAAACTAGTTTGCTGTGTACGCAATTGCAAAACAGGTCGAAGATAACCTGCCAGACGGGGCGTACGATGCTTGTGAAGTTTTCATTGCACGAACATTCTGTTATCACTTACTGAAGTCAAGATGTCAACATTTTCTTTTCATTCTTTGTCAACTTTTGATACACTTCTCTGTCAAACAGCATGATGCAAGTGAAATATTTGATTTCAGCACAAATCATTACAATTCTGCTCTGCAAGCTGTCTTATGCTTATCATCATTTATTTGATAGCCACACTCCCAAAGATTTGATCGTGAAAAGAGCAGAAATACCCGATTTGAACGATTTTCCACCTGAAGAAGAGGAAAGCGTTGGCCATCCAGCCTACAATAACCACTTCGGATTGCGACCGATTGCTACGATCAAGAAACCAAGAAGCAAAAGACCGCGGGGACAGAAGTCAAGAATGTTGAACGATATTATGCGATCTACAAAGAAGTTTAAGCCAAACTCCAGAAACAGGCTTGATGTCTTAAATAAATGGAAATTGTCGCAGGTAAGACTGTGTTGGATTATAACGAAAGTGCATTGAATTGATCTCTTGAAATTATCATATTCATAGCCAGAGGAAAAAAGGCGTGAGCAACAACGAATCTCATCACAAAAGCATCGAGACAAGTGGTCGGAAGAGAAGAAAAGACAGCAGTACGATAGAGATAATAGAAAACGAAGAAATAGGTATTTGGCTTTATCGCCTGAAGAAAAAGAGGTCAAAAAAGCGGCCGAAAGAGAGAGATATTATAAAAGTAAGTATAGTTTTAACCTTCCAAACATGACATTTTTACTTCTTGGCATTATTCCCTTCTCTAAATCATCAGATAGAGATAAAATCTCTGCTTTCAGAAAGCAACAGCGAGCGTCCATTAGAAAACGCAAAGCGCAAGAAGCGGGTCTTGAAAGCGACTATTCAAATTGATCACCTTTGCATACATTGTGCTACCAACTTCTTCGGGGCGGAAAACATATTTGTTTGCAGCTCTTTTAAATGTTCCATTTTTGTTCTTTGCATAAAGAAAGACAAGAGTGTAAAGTCCACTTTCAGTAGTCTCAGACCATAACACAGTCATGAAATTTGGATGGGCAGTTTACGTTGTAATTCTCTACATAACAGATCTTGCAGACGTTTGCGTGACAAAGAATGATAGTGATCTCGATCGTTCTTACTACAAGAGACAAGCGATTCCAGATTTGAATGGGCCGCCACCTGACGAAAGCGATCATGAAGAGATATCACCTCACCCAAGCCAAGCAAATGCGTATCAATCTTCTCTGCAGACGCAACAAGAATCACAATCAGCCACAAGCCGTAAGCGGAAAAGCAAAAGCATTTTCGATTCAACAGGATGTGCACATCACAAGGATTGCGTACATTGGAAATCTCTGCCTAAAGAGGTTCGTAAGAACTTTTATACTTATCATTGGCGTAGAAAATTGCCAGACGAAAAAAGAAGAACGTTAAGTAGAGAACAAGCAAAAAAGTGGCGGTCAGAACTTACGCCAGAGCAAGTTGAACGGCAAAAAAGCATCGCAGAAGAAAATCGCCAAAAACGTTTACAAGAATTGCCATCCGATGAACTTGAGAAGCTTCTAGCACGCAAAAATGCATATAGCAAAGCATACTATCGCAGTAGTAAGTTGAGATGCGAGGATGCACAGCAGGATTCTGTTGACCTATTCCCTAATCATTTCCTGCAGACGCTGCTGCTGTTGCAGTCAAAAGAAGATTGCGATATCAAAAAGACAAGGAAAAAGCAAAAGAAAAGGCGAAAAAGTCTCAGAAAGAGTAATTTTTCTCGATTGCTTGCATACGAAGTGGTGAAAAAGACTTGCGTATATCATAGCCTGTGCCCCGAACAATTGCATCAAAATGCCAATTTACTTTGACTGCACCGCTTTGACCAATCAATGTTCACAAACGTAGTATCATCAAAGTGCATGCATTTTTGTTTCCTCGTATTTGACTTATTCAGTTTGAATTACACCAGAAACCGTCATCTTGAACTTTGACAAAAGCTTAGATGGTGAAATTGGTGTATTCGTACTTCTTGCTGCTGCACTTAGCATCAGTCAAATCAGCCGAATTTTCGCATCCTTCGGCTACTGCGGCATCCAATGGCATTACTCGCAGAGCTAATTTGGCTATCGACTTAAATGAGCTACCTCCTTCGGATCATGAGGATAGCAATGTCAGCAATAGAGTTGCTCCAATCGATCACGGTGCTCAACAAGAAGCAAAATCAGACCAATACATGACACGCGAAGAGGTAAAAGCTACGTATCCTTCATGTCATCACGTACATGGATGTTCACATTGGCATCAAATGAGAAGAGCAGAAAAGGATTGGTCACGAACCCGCAGAAATCGATTGCAAAAGCCTTTGGATGTTCGTCGAGCAGAGTATCGTAAACATTCGAAGACATATAAGAAGAAGATATTTTCTGACCCAAAAAGAAAAGAAGCGTTTCAGAAACATTACAACGAAACAAGAAAGGTACGCTTGGCGGCTATGACCGAAGAAAAACGTGAGGAGTATCTTAAAAAAAGAAGAGAGATTTCATCAAGAAGTAAACGTAAAGGTAGAACGGAAAAATTGGAACAAAGAAAGCGTCCGGCAAATGAAGACCAGCAACCATCGTCTCCAAAGAGAAGAAAGACTGTCTCCGAATAAGCTTTCCCGAGAACTCAATTTGACTTTATATAATCTGTTTGCTTGTTTTTCTTCTTTGAGTCAAATAGCCTTGGTCGCTTCGGTCGTTCTAGACCATTGCTGCAGCGTTGATTCATAAATCAATGATCAGTATGTCACACCCTTGCTGTATATAAATAGACCACTTACTGATCAATCCTTCGTCTTTTCACCGCCTGAAGTTTTCTCTTATTGCGCCATTCAACCTGCTCTTCTTCTGTCATCCGTGACATCTGCTTTATTTGTTTTTGATACCTTTGGGCATTGAATGCTTTCCGTTCTTCTGCAGACATTGCTTTATATTCTTGTTGCTTTCTTGACCGGAAGTATGTCCTGATCAACTCTCTCTGGACGTCAGGCTTGACTCTCATTGGTCAGTACAAGATCCTCGCCATTCATCAATGAATACTTACCGTGTTTTGTTTTGAAAATGGCTTGAGATGATCTACTGATGATACCTTTTGAGTGGCTTCCGCGAAGCCCGCCATGTATTTAAAGCTTGTTAAATCTTTCCGTGGCCTCTTGATTGCGTCTCTTGCCTTTTTTGCACCCCAAGCGGACTGTTCTGTGGGATCGCTGTCCAAATTTCTCGGTCGTTTCGAGCCAGAAAGTCGATGTTCCACACCTCTTTCAATGTTATTCAGCTTCGATGTAATCTCATGCGTCGCATGATCATTGTGAAGACTTAAGCCACTGCTTCCCTGCGAGCTGGCTTCTTCATTCAAATCCCATAAGAATGGACCCTTTTGACCGGGAGAGGGTACATTTGTGTTCAAAGCAAGTACACGATTTGATCGTAAGCTCGATCGGGTAAGTAGAAAGGTGGCTACAATCTTGATAGATAAAGTAATCAGCCTCATCGTTCTCAAAGAAGGAAAAGTACTAGTCGGAATAATGAGAGAGAGAACGGAAGTGTGTAAGAAATTAATTTACAAATGCATCAAATATTTGAAGATGTTACACGCCCCTTCGAAAAATGCTGAAGGCTGTTCTGCGTATACTCTCAAGGGACTTCGAAGAGGATGACTGCGGTAAACAAATTTGCCAAATGCAGAAGTATCAAATCGTTCCGCTTCAAGCCTGGTCGGCTTTAGACTTTAAACGCTTCAACCGTTGTCTATCCCGTTCTTTCAAATTTCTTTCTATCCTTTCTTGTATCCGCTTTTCTTCAGTCATGCCTTCTAAACGCTTGACTTTGCATTCAATCACTTTCTTTTTATGTTGTTCTTTTTGTTCTTTGCTCAAATTACGATACCAATTACGACTCCTTGCAGCTGCTCGTTCTTTGATTTCTGGCTTACTTTTCCTCTTCTTTGCAACTTCGCTATACTGTTGCTTTTTTTCCGGTGGCTATGTTTAATGAAGGAACAGATACCTTTCAGTTCGTGCTAATGATCCAGTACAATCACTCTTACCCATACATACTAATGTCGCTTGAAATGTACGAACCCAAACTCTTTGTTTCTCTTTCAAACTCGTTCCTGGCGGAAAGTCATATTTTCGTTTCGTTCTTCTTTTCCTTTGTTCTCCTTCTGGTATTGAGTCCTGTAACCCAGTCTTTCCCTTCTTCCTATCGCTTTGAACATCGGTATCACTTCTTGGAGAGATACTTGTGGTGCATTTGAACCTTCAGTCACGTCTCGTTGAGGTGATCCGGGTGGTGTTTTGTTCAAATCGAACGGAAGTGGACCTCCTTCTCGTACGGCCAATAGAACCTTTAAAAGGGATGAGCAGCAAAAGAAGACGTAGTAATGTTTCATTGCCATGATAATGATCTTTCATGTAGAAGCGACAAAGATCGTTGAAGCAGAATCCTACAAGCAAATGTGAGCAAAATTCGTTTTCGTACACACGCTTCAGCTCGGGGATGCGAAATGAGGAGGGACCGACTTTGGTGTGATTGTAGCCCCATTACATTACACAAAATGAAGTAGAGAGCAGTAATTAATTTGCAACACTGCATCCCATTCAGACAAGTTCTGTCGCACTGTTCAATCTATGCTACATGTCTGAAAGGTTCTGTATTCTAGCTTTCGCAATCTTCAAAAAGCTGTCCACCTCAAGCTTGCCCGTTCATGTTTGGCTTTCTTTCGCGAGCGCTTCTGCTTTTTTTCGTCTGTGTCTATCTCTTTCTATAGCATTTCTTTCAAGGTGTTTCGCCTGACGTTCTTCAGCGGATAATCTTTCAAGCCGTCTTTTCTTTGCTTCAAGCACCTTTTTGCTATATTCCTCTTTTCGATCTTTGGAAAGATTATGATACCATTCTTTTCTTTTGATAGAAATGGCCAGTTTCACTTCTGGTTTCGATTCTCTTACTTTCACTTTTGCGAGATAATCAGCTTTGCGACTAGGTGACTTTAATAGAAGATTGAGTTCAAATTATCGCAATTGTACCTTTCTCTGTCCGTCCAATTGTGTCACTTACCATTGAAGCATAATGCGCTTTTTTGTATACTCTGTTTCTTTCCTTGCGTGTTGTTCCCGGTGGGAAATTGTATTTTCGTGATGAAGATCGTTTTCGCTTTTTCGTCACCTCTTTCTCGCCCTGATCAGGTGAGGTGATCGCGGTCTCTATGTTGATATGATCATTCATACGTTGCTTAGAGGGAAGAGTACGATGATATAAATTTGACCCCTGTGCCATAGTCTCACCCCTCTCGCTTTGAGAAGAGACGGGTGGTACTTCATTCAAATCCAAGTGATATTCTTGCCCTTCACCTGTCAGAAGTGCTGATCGTGCAAACAAGGAAAAGAATAAAATGCAATAAAGAAGGTTCATTGCTGCAGTGAAGCTTTATAGGTGTGTCATACAGCATGAACGTTTGTTCAGAAAGACATTTGCTTTAATCATGAGTGTATCGAAAGTGAGCTCGCACTGGTTTGCGTATGAACAGAACAGAATGCTATGTGTCTCAACATCCAATTAGTCAGCCGCTAAAAATATTTCACCGCCTTTGGAGAACAATTTGGCTGGATTGACAAGAGTTTTGACGTACACGCAATAGGTTTAAAGCAGCTCAGCGACCTAGGAATGGACTGATATGTTATTAAGGATGGTTGCATGAAGGATGTGATTACGTCTTCTCTGGTTACAACTTCTTTTTTCGTCTTCTTTCACGCTGTTTAGCATTCAGGTCAAGTCTTTTCCGTTCCCGTTCTTCCGGTGTGAGGCTTTCTCTCAACTTTAATGCATTTGCTCGAGTTTGTTGTATACGTTTTCGTTTCTCCTCATCATTAAGATTTCTGTAATTTTCTCTGTTTCGAAGTAGAACTTTTGTTTTAGTGTCTTCAGCGTAATACTTCTGCTTCCATCTTTGATATGCCAATTTTCTCTCTTCTTCCGTTAATTTGAAAATTTTCAATCGAGCGTTAGATTTCTTTTTCTCTTTTCTGTCAAGACTCTAACGAAAGTCAAACATGTTAGCTGTAAGAATTGAATCAGTATAGGTGCACATACCAAGCCTGCATACCATCTCTTATTCCTTAGATTCTTTTTTTCTTTCGCTGTCATATTTGAAGGATAGATGTATTTGGCCCTTTTTGTTCCATGACCATCTTCGTCTACTAAAGATGATCCGGCTTGTCGATTTGTCTCTTCAATAGTCTCAGGAAAGCTCCGAATATACGATGAGCTATCAACGGCATGAAAATCATGCTCGTTTCCAATAGAAGTCACGCGAGGATTCCGTTCCGATTCTGATTGAGATGAGGATGGTGGTGATCTATTCAAGTCAATGCTCGTGCATGACCCAAGAATGATATAACCGAAAAGAGAGATTAGTAGGTACAGTAATTGAGTGTCCTTGTACATGACTCTCGCAGTGGTAGACGAATAGGGTGAAGAAACACCTTTGACCAGGTATCAAGTATCGAAATGCCTTTCTAGACAACAAAGAAACACAAGGCGGTGCAAAAAAACATATTGAAACACAGCCAGAAAGCTAAGAAATGCATAGAAATTAGAAAAGAGCTCATCATCATGAGTGGGCTGAAACTTGCAATTTACGCATTTGGCCATCAAGAGTCCAAATTTTGAGACTTCTTGCGTCTCTTTGCATTGCTCGCTTCTCTATATTGATTCCGTTCTGTTGTTGTCATGGACTCAATTTTATTTTTCTTGTTTAACGCAACTCTGTCCAACAAGTACTGTTTCCTTTCAGGACTCATATTTTTATACCTTTCTCGGTATTGACTCTTCAATTTGGCCTTTTTCGTGTCAGAATATTGAGCATATTCTTTTCGCTTTCTTGCTGCCATCTCGACTCGATGATTTGGCTTTTGCATCTTTTCATAAACGGCTGATCAGCTTATGTTACAGTGTTCACGACCAATATACTCACTTTTCGTGCATACTGCACTTTGTTATATACCCTCCTCTTTTCCTTCTTTGTCGTTCCTGGTGGGAAAAAGTAGCCAACCCTTACACCTATCAAATTTGGCTGATCACTGACGAGATTAGAGCTTAAATCTTCATTGTTCAACATCGCTAACGGCCTATTCAAAGAGTTTTGACTTCCTTGAGCACTTTGAGGAGAAGGTGGAGGTGATTTATTCAGATCAACATCCAAGCCTTTCTTTCCTTCAGATTGTATAACAGTAAGAGATGATTCAACAAAGAGAAGTAGAAGAGAAATAAAAGGTGATAGAGTGTGCATAGGTAACATGAAGTGGAAAGTAGAGCGAGTGATAGTTTGGAGTCAGTACGGTATTCAATTGCCTCGTTTTGAGGTATGAAACTGTATTTGCTAGCGATCGGGGCGCTCTTTGATCGAACAAACGATATGCTAAAAAGTTCTACTCTAGCAAAGTGAGTCTTGCATTTTGTTGATATTCATCATCTACGGGGGCGTAAGCGGCTCCTGCACTGAGTGTCTGTGGTGTGCTTTTGTGTCAGGGACATGGCTAATCCTAACTTGCTCATATGTAAAATGAAATTGATTCAACTGCCTCCCGATCTCTTTTTTGTGTGAGTCTTCTTTGTACGCTTTCTTTCTCGTTCTTTCAAGTTCTTTTCAAGTCTGGCCTTTTCACGTTCCTTGGGTTGCAGGGCTTCCATACGTTGTACAGTGTGCAATCGGGCTTTTCGAATGACTTCTTTCTTTTCCTCGGAGCTTAATTGACTATACTTTGTACGCTTTTTCGCTTTAAAGGCTTCCTTCCTTTCAAAAGACATTGCATCGTACTCTTTTCGCCTTTTCATGGCTAATTGCTCTTTGTCGTTCGACTTCAATCTTTGATACCTTGCTCTGTTATACTCTCGTTTCCTCCTTTTCAAATCTAGATGTTGCTTTATTATCATCAAGTGTGTAGAGCGGTAAGCTAAGTTTCTATGAGTAAATATATAGCGTATTTAAACGACTTACTTCTGAATGATAATTCGCTTTATTACGAAATCTTGCTTTTTCTTTTGTTGTTAACCCAGGAGGGTAGACATGAAGTTTGCGCTTTTGCTTTGCAACTCGCTCTTCGCCTTCTTCGAGCGGTGTTGATCTCTCCCCTTTCTTCTGTCTACTTGATTCTAATACCGTAGGAAGATGTTCTGCGATCTCGACATGCGATGTTTGATCAATGGCGTGATCCTGCTCCCTAAGTGGCTCAGGAGAAGTAGGTGGTGACTTATTGAGATCGATATCCAGGTATAGTTCACTCAACTTTGTACTTTGAACAACCTTAAAAAGAACAAAGGTTAGAAGAATAATACGAAAGAACATCTTCATCGAAATGGAGGAGCAAAGATATACATAAGTTGAGAATAATGATGAAAATCTGTTTACAATGCTGTGTATGTGTTGCTTTGATTCTTTGTCTCTGTACACGGGGCTTCCTTGCGCACTAAGGCGACAGATCGGGAGCTGATGTAAGACAAGTATGTTTGCACTTACTTGCGATCACGGCTTCTCTTATGAGGCTTCGACAAAACCGGGATGAAGATTGTCTTTATTTCTGCTTTAGTTGTCTTTTTGTTTTTTTTTCGGCTGCTTGTGCCCATCTTCTCTTCTTATTGGATTGAGCAATTCTTTGCAACATTTTTTGTTTTTTCTCAGGGCTTAGATTTTGATAGCTTCTCCTTTGTTGTTCTCGCCTGTTTTGCCTTTCTGCCTCTGTCAAGTTTTGATTTCTAATACGTTGATATAATGACATCTTTCTGGACTTTTCAGGATCTTGTTTCTAAAAGCCATGGTGGGATTGTTAGCCATTTATCCTTTTCATGTCAGGGTATTTTACTTACATTCTTGTCGAAACGAACTTTGTTATATACTCTTTTCTTTTCATCAAGCGACGTACCAAGAGGAAAGTGATATTTGAAGTTCCCGTTGCCTAATTCCACTCTCTTGAATGGAACATTCCTAAACGTACAGCGCTCCTTAGATCTTGCTTTAGGCAATTCATGTTGTTCCGGCACCAATTGAGGTACACTTTGATGATTGCCACCCGCATGAGGACTAAGTTGGAGGCTGTTCTGCGGCTCTGTATCATTCGCAGCGTTTTCAGGAGAATTAGGAGGTGTTGCGTTGAGGTCAATTAATCCTTTTCCGGAAGTTTTAGAAACGGCATTCGTCAAGTAAAGAAGTCTCGAGAGGATGAATAAAAGAGACAACAAATCGATCAAGCACCTCATCGTTTTAAAGACGAGTGGGTATAAGCTTTGAGGTGAAAAGAAACGAGTGCAGGATACGGGTTTGTCAATTAAGTTAAACTGTTTTTCTATGTGCAGTACGGGGCATTATTGTGGATTTTCTAGGATACAGTACACTTTTTTGGCTTGGCAGCCTGATTTTCGCTTTCTTTTAGCAAACCGACCTTTCCTGTCTATGCGATCCTCTAGGTTCTACTTCATAGGGAACTATTCTCCAATCTCACCATGTAAAGTATGTTGTCTTATGTGAACATACTCCGTGTATAGACCAAGCCAATGTGTGAGTAAAATTCATTACATTCTACTTGTAAAACAGATTTCATAGAAAGTTGAAAAGGACAAGCACTAAAAAAGCTCATCGATCCGGAGACGAGGAATTCTCGAGTTAAATAGACTCTGAAAGAGTCAATAATTGAGCTACTAATTTGTTCAATGACATTTGTTTCTTTTCTTGTCTGCACGGGGCTTTAGAGCGCACTATGAGGGATAATAAAGATTTGCATATGTATCTGGACTTGTACTTCGACAGAGCGTGAATGCATGAGGTGCTGACAAGGATGCGTTCAGAATTGCATTTATCTTTGTTGTGTTCCTCTGGACCCTGATTCGGGTAAATTTTCTCTTCTCCTCTTGTTTGATGCAGCTACTTTACTGATCTTTCTTTGCTTTTCCTCTAAGCTAAGACTGTGATACCACTTCCTTTGCTGTTCTCTCCTATTTTGTTTTTCCGCTTCGGTTAAATTTTTACTTCTATTTCGATGGTACGTTGCAATTTGTTTCCTTTTTTCAGGGTTTTGACGCTAAGGATAGTAAAGAGATTAGCAACTTTCTGGCCTTACATCGAAACGCAGAACTCACATCTCTTTTCAGCTGCTCCCTTCTCCATACTCTCTTCTTTTCCCTATAGGTGGTGCCAGGAGGAAAAGAGTATTTGGTCCTTTTATCATCTTTTCCAACTTTTTTAAATTGAACATCTCCCGCCTTATAGCGCATTTTCGACTCAACTCTAGACATTTTGTTTTGGTGATATTCAACTCTGCCTTGATGATATTCAATTCTACCTTGGTGATAGTCGATCCGTGCTTGAGGCGTGTTTTCGCGATGATCAGTCTCGTCAGGGCTACCTTGATTGCTGCTGGTTGCACTAGAATCGCCCGCTTCCCCTTGAGGTGAAGCTGGAGGTGTCACATTCAAATCGATTAGTGCTTTTCCCGAAGTTGCAGAGACGCCACCCGTCATCAAGACTAGTTCAAATAGCGTGAGCAAGAGATGTATAGATTTCATTGATCTAGAGGGAGAGCGAGTATAGATTTTGGTGGTGGAACGGAAAAGGGAGAGGTTGAAAGTCTGCTAATATATGCAATGATGCAGTGCGATGCGCTCAACGGGGCATGTTGCGTATGCTCATTATCACTTCTGCACTAGTCTGGCGGCATATCGATAACGGATATTATTGAAAAAACTTTACGATTGGTTGACACTTTGCTTTGATTGCCCAATCAACTTGCGTTTTTTACGATTGATACGTTTGCTTAACGTGTTCTTCTCTCTGAGCTCTTTACGTTCTTCCTCTGTCATTTTGTTCCACTTGTTCCTATATTTTTCCTTCCATTCCTCTTTCAAGAGTTTCTTTTTTTCTTCTCCTACGTTATGGTAGTACTTTCGCTGCAGTTCTGCTTTCGCTTTTTTCAATTTGACGCCACCATCGTGATACTTTTTTCTTTGCCTTTCAGCCCTTCTCAGTCTATATTCCAGTGGCTATAAGAAAAGTAAGAATGTCAGCGCCTGTCTCTATTGAGATTTTGATACCATGTTCTTCACCTTAGACTCTTCGTAAGTCTTATTCCAAGCCCTTCGTTTCTCTTGAAATGTCGTTCCCGGGGGAAAGCTGTACCGGGTGTACTTTCTACGAGGTGAAGACGAATCTCTTCTTCTTTTGCGAGCCAGCTTTGGAACATGCGCAGTGGCAATCTGTTGAGGCAATGATGAAAGTTCGTTCACATTTACATGCTCCTCTGTCATGCTTACTACTTCATTTGGAGGAGGTGAGGGAGGAGGAGTACGGTTCAAGTCAAATGGAAATGGGTCGTTTTCTTTTGCTTTCGTCGATGTAGACTTAACAATACATAGAAGAAGGAAAAAAATAAAGTGTTTCATCATGATGACTTGGCCAAAAACAGTGAGCGTAGGAGTCCAAATCGCCAGGAAGAAATGTAGTGATTATATCAAAAACCTGTGCAAACCCATAATTCAGATTGCATACAAGATCGGGGCGCTCCACCGATTCTAAATTCATGCTTTCCCATAGATAAGGCCGTCTAGGAGGCTTTCATACACCACTATCACATTACACCACTTGCTCATCTTACTATTTTTCATGGAGTCCAAATGTTGCGACCGCTCCGATCTTTGCTCCTGTTGCTGTACATCTGTACAAGCATTGAAATAGTCTTGCTTACTAATCCCTATCAACATCGTGAGCAAAGAGTACATGCAGATTTCGATCTGAATCAGCCCGCAATTCTCGAAGACGATGAAATTCAAGAAGGGAGCGAAAACCATCACACCTCCCTAATTCGCGCCGCAGCACCTCAAAGCCCGGCTAAGGAAGCTCTACAATGTGAACACAACACTCTTTGTGCACATTGGCCAGAACTTACAAGAGCAGAAAAAACCAAAGTATACTGGGATAGATATAAAAAGAAGACGGTATGTCATCTTCTAGATCTTTTTTTTTGCGAACTTATATACTAACTTCATATCTCCTCTTCAGCCGAAAGAGACTTTGAAGCTGCAAGCAAAGCTGCGAAACAAGCGATTCAGAGAAAGGAAAGCTATACCTCTCATGGATAAAAAAATACAAAATCGGATAAGATACGAAAATGATTCAATTCGATATGCTCACTTAACGGAAGATAGAAAGCTGCTCTCTCAAAAGCGTCGTGCGCGCAGAGAAAGGGAGCTGATCAATAAGCATCAAAAGAATCAACAATGAATATGCCTGTGCCGTTTTCAGGCGAGAGTAACGATAGGCCTAATCAGCAAAGCACATAATCATTGTATCGGGCAAGCGGGGCGTAAAGCAGCTTATACTTAATCATCCCCACAAATCTATGAAACATGTATCTGTAAATCTATTCTACATCTCCTCATAGCCTCCACACCTCGCTATCATGAGATGTGTATTTATGATAACATTCTTCACACGTCTCGTCACAGCTGTCTCTAAATCCAAAGCACCCTTCCTTTGGGATCTCAATAAAGACCCGCCAGATGAGGAAAGTAAGGTGGGAAGCTGGTTGAGTGAAGGTCGCGAAAATGGCTCTAACAAGGAGTCAATCGTTGAAGCCACAATTGGGTCCGGTAGATATTGGGGCACACGAAAGAGACGTACTGATCTTAATCCAGCTCACAGGCTACAAATTCGGAACCCTCTTGCAGTAAACAAGACATTATCAAAGCCTGACCAGGCTGAAAGGCCATCCAAATTAACAGCTGAACAAAAACAAAGGTACAGTCTACAAAGAAAGCTTATTTATGCGGCATTACGTCGTGATGAGAGAAAAGCTATCAACATAAAACGTGCTCAACAAGAAAAGGATCGAGTAGAAAGGATGAACATAGAGGAGCGAAAAGCTTATGTAGCAAGAGAACGAATTTGGAAAAAACAGAATAGAGTCAAATTAGAAAACACAAGAACAGAAGAGCAAAAACAGGAATATAAAGCTAAACGAGCGATAGTGAATAGGAAATATTACCTCTCACGAAAAGCAAAGGAAAATCAATAATAATAAGAATGCAGCGCTCGCATCGTCTTCAACAAAGGGGCGTAGCGATGTATGTTTGTGATGTGTAATAAATATAGTACACTGTCTTGTTTAAATTCGCATACGGTTGCGCTTATCGAGCCCCACTGGAAATGATCATCCTACCAAATACGACATTGATCATCATGAAAGGCTTCATTTGCTTTTATGCTCTGATTCTGGTCAGCTTGACCATTGTCATGGCTGGATTTGATGGCACACCCTCTAAAGTACCTTTTAGATGGAATTTGAATCAAACTCCTTCGCCGGAAGAAGGTTCACATGACCTCTTGCCTAGCAGCACCCAAGAAAGACAAGAGGACATGAGTCAACATCCACAAGTGCATCTACCTGTTAATTCAAATGGTGCTGTTGTTGACTGCCCAATTCATAGTCCTACCTGTATTCATTGGAAAACGTTGAGCGATGCAGAGAAACGAAAAAGCCAAAGACAAAGATTTGAGCAACAATTCGTAAGTGAAAGTAAAACAATGACAAAAAGAGATATTGGCTTACTTTTCATGTCCTGTCTGCCTCTCGTAGCCTGAAAAAGCAGCAGAAAAGAGAGCAAAGAAGCGAAAAGCGTACAGTGAAATGCCAAAAGACAAGAAAGAGAGATTCGTCCAACAGATTTGTGAATACAAAAAGCGTAAACTGAGAAATGCAACTGAATCAGAAAAGAGTCAGATTAGACGTGAAAAGGCAGATAAGGCAAGGATATACGAAAGAAATCGTAGGGTAAGTTTAAATTTTTTTCCCCGGCATGATGAAAACGCCTAACAGATTGACCCGATCTCACAGCTCACAATGACGGCTGCAGATCTTGAACTTTATCGACAAAAAAGACGCTTATCAGGTGCGAAGGCGAGGAAGGAAAAGGTAAGTCTCTGTCACCACACCAAAGAATACGAATTGATTTACATGAATGTCTTTCCAACCCCAAAGCTTGACAAAAAGATGAAAGAAAATCCTTCATCGGGGCAGAAGTGATATCGTTTGTATTACATCTGTACAACTGTTTTCCGGGGCAAATAAATCAGAGGCATGCTTCACGCAACGCAATTTGCCTGTCATTGTGTTCGCGGCTTTGGATTCAACCTAATGTTATGGCATGCGATGAAAATGTTTTCATTCTTCAAGTCCTTGTTTATAAATAATATCATCTTCACAATGAAAACCGTCCATTTATTGATCCTCCTATACCTCAGTCAGCAGTGGAAGAGTCCTATAAACATGACCAACTCCACAAAAACACCCTTTCCTTGGAACTTGAACGAACCAGGCTCACCGAATGAGCATGAAGAGCCACAAAGCCCTGAAGCGAGTAGAACAAGCAGGAGGACGGATGAGGCCGAAACTGTGAGAGCTTTTGAAAGATCAAATGTGAAATACGCTCGAAGAAGAAGGCGGAATCAAATCGATCCAGCTGATGATCAATGTGAAGGAGAAAGTTGGAATAAGACTGAAATACGAAAGAAAAACATGCCTACAGCAGCTCAACGAGACCTATACAATCAGCGAAAGAGGGAAAAGTACGCTGCTATGAACAAAGACAAGAAGAAAAGTTACATTACAAAAATGCGAGAACAAAAAGAATTACGTTTTGCGAAATTGAATCCACAAGAACAAGAAGCCTTTATTGCACGAAGAAGATTTTTGGAAAATAAAAGAAAACTCAGAAAAAGATTGTCTAGAACAGATGAGCAAAAGCTGAAAGACAAAGAGCTTCGTAAGGTACAAAAACAAAAGGCAAAGAAGAATCAATAGAAGATGTCATTGTGGATTCAGGATCTCAACACCTCTCCTTTCAGGGGCGCGTCCAGCATACTGACACAGCCTTTTATATCAGCATAGTTGCTGCCGCTCATGATAAGCCGACCAATCTCTTCTCTTCTCTAGAACATTGTAAATATGATCAGGAAAACTGTATTGCATACGATTTTAGTCATTCTGATACTCTCGTGGGCAGTACAAGCTGTGAATGAGAGCAATAAGCAAAAACCGACACTTCCATTTGATTTGAATGAAGAACCACCCTTGGACGACCAGCCAGTTTCATCTCCTCAAAGTGCTTCAAAGGACGTTGAAAGCCGTGCAGAAGGTTCAACAGGTGTAAAACCAGTGCGCGGCGAAGATGATTGTGTGTTGCATACCCGTGATTGCATTCATTGGAAAACCTTAACAGCAACAGAAAGACGTAAGCATGCCAGACGACTATTCAAGCAAGAACATGTAGGTATTTCATAGCGGATCAGAATTTGAGGTGATTGAACTTTCTTTCTCCGATATAGCCAGATGCAGCAGCAGAACACTTAGCCAAAAGGCGAAAGGTATACCAAGGATTGTCTGTAGAAAAGAAGAAGTCACAAAATAAGAGGATCATGCAGAACTTCAGCATAAGGATGGGTAAGAAGAATAAAGCAGAGCTGCAAAAGTATAGGAACAAGAGAGCGGAGCAATTCAGGGTTCGATATGCAAAGAAAAAGGTAAGGTGTGGCAAGATGAACAAAAATGAGCGCATCGATATTGAATCCTTGTTCCTACCCTTGAAAGCTTGAAATGTCCAAAGAGGAGCATGAAGCCATTCAAGAAAAGCGCAGAAAAGCCTATCAGAAGTACATCAATGCAAAGAAGGTATGTTGTATGGGAAACGCCGGTGAAAAGCTATTGTTGAACTCACTCTGTTTCATCAGAAAAAGCAAGAATAATGAATACAGCGTTTCCATTAGCCAAATTTGTTTGTATGTTGGTAAAGTACAACATTTGTCTCTACACGAAAGACATCTTTCAGGCCGTCCTTTTTCGACCACTGCACTTGAGTATTTCAGATCAGGTTTTCATCCTTAATGTATAAGCGATCCTAGTCTGAGTGGCTTTTGCTTGATTGCCAAAGCTAAAAAGCAATCTTACGAGCCGGTCCCTAACACATCTTGCGTTTCCACGGCAACATTCAAGTTGTATATCCAGCGAACGGGGCTTAATTTTGAAGAAATTATAAGAGTTTCGGGCATGACTTGTCTAGTAATATAATCACAACCAACATGAAGTCAAAATTGCTCAGCTTAGTGATAGTCGGGATGTTCGTATACTTAGCAAAATCAGTCGATAATACTGCAATAGATAGGCCAAAGTTCGATTTCGACCTGAACGAGCCTGCCTCTTCGGCGGAGAGCGAGCCAGAGGACAGCAGATCATCTGAAAAGCATAAGAATGGAGAAGTTGAACAAGGGTTAGGTCATGATAAATTACCATTGCAGTGGAATCGAGAGTATGCTAAACAAAGATCTAATCGTAAACCTATCTCAGATATCGGCCGCCTTACAAATGTACACTCTGAACAGATAAAAGTCCGACCTAAACGTAAAAGGGATTATTCTCACTTACCTGAGGAACAAAAAGAACGATACAGGAAACAAAAACGTGAAGCATATGCAGCGAAGAGTAAAAAAGAAAGGGCGGCAATTGGTAAAAAGAACTTTAAGAATTTTCAAGATCGACTTGCCAGAATGACACCCGAACAACGTAAAGCACATGACGTAAAACAGCTCCAATGGGAACAAAATTACCTGGCAAGAAGACGAACTCTTTGGCGCATTAGATGGCATAAGAAAAAAGCCAACGTGAAAAAGGGCAAGTGAAAACACCCTACACACTAGAAGAGTGTATGTCGTAGATTGTTGATGATGTACACAGCATTTCAGTATGCAAAGAGCACGACGAATGATGCATTTCACAAACTTATCGGGGCTAAAATATATTGTTTTCACTTTAACTTAGAGCCAATGAGAGTTTGACCGCATTTTTTCCTATATACAATGCTACCATGACACGATCAGCATGAGGTTGTTTTGCCTTTTATATTCTGTACAACTTCTTGTATTTGCCGTAAGAGCAGTATCTGACAGCAGCAAAGCTTCTAAAATGCAATTTGCATGGGACTTGAATAAATCTCCGCCTCCAGAGGAGGATTCTGATCAAGGTGAACCTTCGCAATTGGGTAATCTAGCACACTCGCCCGCGCCGTCCCTGAGACCTGCATCCTTGGGTATCACTCGAAGGAGAAGAAGTGACTTTGCTCGAAAGAAACGCAAGAATTTCGGAAATATTCCAAATATAGAAAAAGGGGAAGAGTGTATACATTCACCATATTGTGAACATTGGAAAACATTGACGAAACCTCAAAAGCACGTCATTAGTAATCGAATATATCGAGAAAACAATGTGAGTATGTTTAAATCAACCTTTAAAATAACGCTGACGATATCACATCCCCAAAACAACTTTCAGCCATACGTAAAGGAAAAAGCGAAAAAACAAAAGAAAGAAAAGTATAAACGGTATACAAAAGCTGAAAGACAAGCAATGTCACAAATCTCAAAGGCGAGAAGAAAGAATAGATTAGCCGCAATGGATGATCAAGAACGTTTGGAATACAATGAACGTCGGAATAAATGGCAAAGAGAATTCTACATGAAAAAGAAGGTAAGAAAAGAGAAATGTTTGATAGCTTATCAAAAATTCACACGTTGTCTGCCTTTCTAGCATTCTGATACGCCGGAACAACGTAAAGAGTTTCTAGATAGACGTAAAATACAGATCAAACACTGGAGGGAAAGAAAGGTATGTTGGATGTCATTGTGTTTTAGGTAAAAGCTAATAATATCTCTTTCTCTCTATGATGCAAAAATTTGTAGAAAATGGAGCGAAAAGGCTGAAATGATAATCGGCTTGAGAAGCTCAAGCATGCGCGCATAATTGCCGTCGGGTACCTAAAATTCGAGGAGACGCAACTCCAAAAAGGACAAATTATGCTCTATGGGATACAATGCCTTGAAATTCTTGCCCCCTTGTTTGGGGCTTCAAGGTGGTTTAGGGTCGTATGCAAAACCTTGGCAAATTGTTTTGTCCCTTGATTTCTTCCCCCAATGCGCGGCTTTAACCACCTTATCTTTGGCGCAAGAAACATTAATTATTCTTCTCACACGTTCCTGAGATATAAACAGCCTTATGAAAAGCTCATCTTTCTTCCCCAAGCTCTCCATCTCTTACGCTCTGTACATAATGGAAGACGAGCATTATCATCAATTTGTTGTTTTTATGCGCTTGTTCGTTGTTACAACTTCAGTCATTGTCCTTTTATTAATCGTTCCTTGTTTCGCTTCTGCGATCAAAGCAGATATCGATTTATCAGAAGAACAAAGAAACGTGATTGCAACAATGCCAGATAGATAAGCTTGATCGAAATGCAATTGATCAATTAAATGGCATGAGAGACATACGGAACAAGTACAATATTGAATCGCAAACCGAAACTATGATAAAAATACAAGAAGAAAAAGAAAAATCGCGATTTTTCTTTTTCTTCTAGTGTGCAAGTTGTTGAAGTGGCGAAGGTGAAGGACTTCGAGTTCGATCGTGCAAATAAGCAAAAGTAGGAGATCTATGATGATTATGAAGTGAATGATTACCTTGTTCACTTCCGCTATCGCTACTATCAATAGAAAGATTGCTGCCATGCTTTGATAATTCTAGCGTGCCCCAACCTGCTCCTCTATAGCCAGCCATCATTGCTGATTCTTTTGTCAATCCTAGCGTTCTTCTCGATTGTTTCTTGTTCAAGGATGGCGTTGTCGGGGGCGTTTCCGTTGCCGTCGATGTTTCAGACCAAGGCGTTGGATAAACTAGTGCTGGATGTGCTTTGGACAATTCTTCATTTCTAACGACGTCAGGTGGTGTTTGAGGAGGTTGAAGTTGAACGGATGTACGATATTTATCTTCACCAGACGTCTTGGTATCATGTTCTTCCTTTCTACGCGAAGAGGACAAAGGATTCGATGTGCTTGGTCCAGAATTTGGTTCAGAATCGGAAGAGGCTTTTGTCGATTTAGTGTTTTGCTCGTCAGGCCCAGATTCGGGAATAGAACTTGAGCTAGACTTTGCCTTCTCGGTGCTCAAGTCCCATCGGACGCCGCCCGATTTGGATGAAGCGGAAGAGTTATGACTTCTGGCTGACTGACCGGCATTGCTGAATTGCTTGGAAGCCATATCCCGTGCTTTAGGTGTTTGTTCTGATTTATCCTGTCCCTTTTTCTGTTGTTGGTGCAAAGATGACTTTTCATCTCTGCTAGGTGTTGGCGTGAGCATGTTTGAATCAAATAATGAATCGATCACCGATTCTGGTGGCCGATCATGATGAGCACCTGCTGCAAATGAGAAGGCCAATCTACCGCCTCCACCTCTTTCCTTTACAGCACGAGCTGTATCTTTGTGTGATAGCTTCGTGCGAAGGTTTTCTTCTGGGATACGAGAATGTCTTGCAACACTGTGTGGACTCCAATCACTTAGAGCTTTTGTCACGCTCGTAGATCGACCGCCACCATGTGTTTCTGAGCTAGGCTGGTCAGCGCTGCCGCCGTTTGAGCTCGATCCATCATCTGCTTCCGATCCTGCGGAGCTTGAAGGTCCCTTGCTTCCTGTCGGAGAAGAGCCTTCCAAGGTAGGTACAAGACTTCCGACCAATAAGCCACGTCTATTGGCAGGTACTTGGTACTCTCGCGTCCCACCTACATGTTTCATTTCAACAGTGATTTTTACTGTTGCGTTCGTCGGACCTTCCAAAAGCAGGTATCTTCTGGTTTCCGTTCTGCTCAAAACATGGTGATGATGGTGTTCCGAATGTGTCGTGTGATAGTGGTGATGGTGATGATGATGATGATGTGGATGAGGTGCAAATTCTGCCAAATTGATCGAAACATGACCGAATTTCATCATTGTTTGATGATCAGCATGATTGCCTTCGATGCCTGTCGGTACATCTGCTCTGACGGAGATGCGCAATTCAGATGAAGCCAACATACCCCAACCAGACGTATCGTGTGAAGTATTTGATCCACTGCCATCATGATGTAGAATGCCAGCCGAATTTGCAAGCACATCCCTTTGACTTGCCGATCTACGCATCGGAGCGTCTGTCGATCGAGAAGACTTTATTGCCGCTTGCTCATTTAGTGTAGTTCCAGAGTGTGATCCACCTGAAACATTCCTGGGCTTCTCAACATTGAACCTTACACCAACATCAAGCTGCTTTTCCCATACCACCCTGCTATCCTTTACGGGTGAGCTTGAAGTTTCACCACGTGGATGATTGTTCCCTATGCCGTGGTTGTGGTGATGGCTGTGATGCTGATTGCCATTGCTTGAGTTGCTCTGTTGAGATGATTCACGACCATGATGATAATCAGTCAAAACTTCAGAAGCTTCTTCTGAGCCATCGTCGCCATCATTGCTTTTCACGTCCATCGATCGTCTTGTATCTTGGCTATCTCTTGGAGTCTTACTCTTTTTCGAACTTGCTGGCGACGTTTGTGAGGATGAATGTGGTCTCAGGGCGTCCCTAATGCCGGAAAAGATTCGATAGCTTCCTTTTCGATCGCTTTTGGTATTGTTGCTGTACGTGGAGGAAGCATCATCTCCGCCTTTGTGATGTGCTCGTCTTATGGAACCGGAATCAATGCTACCACTTTCATCGCGATCGAAAGAACTGCTAAGGGTACTTGTACTCTTTTTATGAGCTAGATGATGGAATTGCTTTGATTCTGGAGCTGTTGTGCTTGTAGACGGATTTGCCGAAGAAGAAGAAGAAGCTGCAGCTGTTGCTGAAGCGATTGCCGAAGCCAGATTATGGGTATGTTCAACTTTCCATTTTGCTTTAAATTGGCCTGCAACCATTGGCACATTTGTTAATTCATGAATTGTGATTCTCGTTTGAAAGTAAGCATGTTTTTGACTGCCAAAATTGACGCCCAAAAGAGCTGCCATGTTGAATTGATGAAAGAGAAAGAGATTGCTATGGTGATTGTTGTATAAAAGTTTCTTTCATTGTCCTCATTCTTTTGTTTATCGTGATGGTGGTAGTATTGAATCAAAGCCGGTAAGATGTCAAGATCTTTGAAATTGACGGGGACAAAAATTTACTCTTGTGTAATGAGCAAAAACTGCAAGATTGTTTGTATGAACATGCTTGATTATACGCCGCGGGCGTTTTAAATTTATGCAATACACAGGATCGACGGCTAGAAGGAGTGAGAAGTGAATTAAAGTTGGGTGTGAGGTGCAGGAAGGCACAAAACAAGTGCATGCACGCGATATGAAGGGTAATTGGGAAAATAACAGCGGAATCGTGCATATGAAGCGTGAAAGAATGTTGAGATGAAGGAAAGCAGAAGAGAGCGCGCTCCACCCTTTGGCACTCGGAGGACAACTACCGAAAAAAAGAATCTTAACAATCTCCGTGGCTTACTTTTTGATATGGAATCGGCGATAAGTGCAGCCGGGGCACTCTTTCCTCAACATTCTTTATCTGAAACGATGTGGGGAGTCGGACATATTTCAGTGAAACATGATATGATAATCTCTCTCATTTCTCGTCGTCATCCGTTCCGAATGCCATTGATATAAAAGTATACACTCGTCATCGAATAAGATAATCTGGAAAATAATGTCCGATTGCATAACGCTAATGAAAGTAAAACATGACCAATCAACCGCATAAGGATCTAAGGAACGATCACTACATCATCCGCTTGAGCTTCTTTTTTTACGCGTTATGATATTGTAAGCTAGCGTGCCAAGCATATCATTTTATAACCAATGCGATTATATAAGGACGATGGATGAGGAAGAGGAGGAAATTGATGACCAAAACGAAAAAGGGTTAATTCTTTATCAAGTTGACAAGCTGATCATGAGCACAGATTGTACTCAATTTTAATTGAATACTATGCACGCCATAATTCGAGCATAATGTCATCCACCATAATTATTAATCCACTTCCACTTTCGGATGATTACCCCAACGAATGATGATGATAGAGGACAAGATCACGTTTGAGGTCTGCCTCTAACTGGCTCGAGCGCTGAATTGCAAGCCACAGAGGAAGAGGAATGAGCAGGAGTGAAGTGCACTTTATCTGTTAAACCATTTAGCGTGCGCTGCATATTTATGTACCCCACACTTTTATTAAGAGCAGCAGTTGGGGTTGACAGGACCATTCATTTCCATTCGTGTATTCCTATTCAAAGGCGCCCGCTTTTATATTCATGCTCGGGCCATCAACAGGCAAAAGTCTCATATCGTGTGATGTGATTTGAATACACTTCCTGGCTAGACCTCATCCTCTCGTAAAAGAGTGGATTCGATTAAAGTCAATTCAGCGTATTCTATCCCATCTTTTTATCTCACAATGGCTGCTGATCATGTTGCAGGTCATCCAATCGCAAGTATGTTGAAAGGATAGGCTGTAGTGACAATTCAACAACGGGATTACTGACATTTCCCCTTCTTCTCCCAGTCCGCGTTGGTGGTCGTCGAATGAGTCAAAGCAATCCCATTCGCAGTCCTACCAAGACACAACAGTAAGTGCTGGCATTGGCAGAGCATGTGATGTTCCAGTCTGACACATTCCAGCCGCTACCTTCAGAACCCCTTCCTCCTCCTTGGAATCAAATGATGCAGGCGAAGGTGGTGTAAATACGGTTGAAGTGCCCGATTATCCTCGTCCACGTTCACCAAATTCAGCCAAGGCAAATGCTACGAATGCGAACGAGCCGGCTCCTACAGCCGAAGAGGCAGCCAATGCCGCCAATCAACAAACCTCAAACGGCAATGGCAATGGCAACGGCGGCGGCGGTAATCGTCAAGAGCGTCGTCGTCAAGAACGTCGACGTGAAAAGAGTCACCGTGATGGAGAAGATACGAACAACAACAATAACAGCAACACTTTATCTTCTCATAATGATGCAATGTTTAATCATTTGAATAAACGTATCAATGATCGTAATATGCGTAATGATCCAATGGGCGGAAGCAAAGGCGTTCGTATCACTCAACCTGCGGGCAAATTTATGGCTTGAAAATGCGAGGAATTGTGCTTTTGTGTAGCGAAAGACTGTATCATGATGACAAAGAATTGAATGAGTTTTATATTGAGTTTGATTTGTCAATTTGTGAGAAAAGCTTAGCATTCAGCCGCTCTCTACATTTTTCATCTTAGAGCTTGAGGCCATACCAAAACAATAAGTTCAGAGAGATTAGCTAACAAACAAAGCGGCAAGGATGATAATCAACAAGGGACCACCCTTCTTCTTGAGGCGAAGGAAAAGACGGCGTCCATGTTTGTTGCCATGGCCACCGCCATCGTTTAGCCGTGAAAGCCACCCGCGCCCGCTCTTCTTGCTTCCATGAATGTATGCGTGCGTGCGCCGGCTTCCAATCCATGTGATGTGTCTATGTCATGTGTGCTTAATAACCGCTTGGTCCCATGTTTTGCCGTTTGTATAATGTGCGTGCCTGTTGTGTGCGTGTGGCAAAGCGTACAAATACAAATTTGGCCGGATCCAATAAGCACGGCAAAAAAGGCACGTTGCTTATAAAACAGATCTTGTTCCTTCTATTCTATTACGCCACGCCACGCCTTGAATGTTGAAAAACGCGGTTTAAGCAGTGTGTGTGTGTTTCAAAGAGTAACACGTTCCATGACGTGTAGCTTTCTATGCAAGATTAAAGTTTTGAATACAACAACAGTTGTACATGCATCATACATACATCCTTTTGTTTTGTTTTTTTGTATCCATCAACTTCACTTTCTTTACTCCCATAGAAAACAATCTTAAGTCAAACAACGGACCGACTCAATCCACAAAAGTCACACCGCGTTTATATTCGCGGAGTTTTGATTCGAAACGTTTTTGCTCCGTTTTGATTATTCGTTGAAGAGAAGGGGGGTGTTTACACACACAAACACACGCACTTCAAAGCAAAAAACAAATTAAATTCCTACCCCACGTCGTAATCAAGAAAGGAGAAGTACGGCGGTCATACGATACGTCCTGCGTCATTTTCGCCCCTTTCATTCCTCTTCTCTTCTTCGATCTTTTCATCAATCCTCCACTTACAAAAATGGTGACATGGTACTTGTGGCCTGCTGCTCTGGCAAACTATATTATCCCGCAAGAATCAAGTTTACGTGATAAGAAGCTGGCAATCTACTTTGGTATCTCGATTGTCATCCTGCATTCAGCATTTCACATCTTATCCAATACGCTCTTTCGTGGTGCAGAACCAAAGAGACTCAAACAACGATCATGGATCTTGACAACGATAAATGCTTTCGTCATGACTGCTGTCAGTTTTCCATTCTTGTGGGACTTGCTCAGCTCAGGATTCGATTTGCATAACGTCAAACATCGCGATGAATATATCACAAAACCATTCTCATGTTTCTTTGTCGCATACCTCTTGAGCGATTTAGGACTAGGATCAATCTTTTATCGACATTTGATCAATTTGTCGTCTGGTTGGATTCATCATTCCGTCTATACGCTCTTGTTTGCTTTTTGGATGCACAAAGGTTGGGCTTTCATCGCGGTGATGGCTTGTGTTTTCGAATTACCAACATTTGTGATGGGAATTGCTTCTCTTCATCCACCTCTTCGTTCCAATATGGCATTCACCGTCACATTCTTCATCACAAGAGTCTTTTTCCATTTCGGCCTTTTGATCGCCTCATTCACCAAGCATGGAAGAGAGACGAAAGGCATCGATGGAAGTTGGGGACCTGCGATCAGCGTGTTGGTCACCTACCCCATGCATCTCTGGTGGGGTTACAAATGCATTCTATCCATGCGACGTAGGATGCACAAACGTAAAGTCGAAAGACGCAAAGAACGAGAAGCACTCTTGCAAAGTCTCAAAGAAGGTGGTGTGGCTTCTTACTTTGATGCAGCAGGTCAATTGTTTACGGGTATGCCAGATCCACAAATCAGTAGTGCTCTTAACACACCTGCAACAACGCCTGGCTCAAGTCCATTGCTCACTGCTGCCGATAAAAAAGCAACTTCTCCTTTCCAACGTGCAGCCGCAATGGCAGGTGGACCGATCAATATGGTGATGGGAAGAAGGACAAGAAAGGATAGCGATGTGAGCGAGAAATCGTTTTCTTTGGATAATAGCGCTTCTTCTTCTGCCATTGGTAACTCCAACAGTGCATCAACGTCCAAACGACAACCATTCACAAAACCTGTCCGACCTGAAGGTGCTCAACCGGAAGATCGTGAACCATTTTTGGCCATTCGTTCACCTGCTGAAACGCGCGATAAAGCACGTAGATTGGTTGCAGATGCCATTCGCAAAGCATGGGCAAATGCTCCTGATAGTTGGAGAAGACAATTTGAAGCTGAAGTGATGGCTGCTTTTGATAGTGCTTCTCCAAGTGTACAATCACGCAGAGCATCGGAAGATACGAGTGGAGAAGAATTAGAATTGGAAGGAGAAGGCGAAATTGAGAAAACTCAACAAGGTAGCGGATCCGTTGCCGCTGCCGGATCTGCTACCGGTGGCGCTCCTGATGAACGTACTCGTGCACAAAAAGGAAAAGATGCTGCACGTAGAGCACTTGTTCGAGCAATTCGAAGAACGATCAATGGTACAGATGAACGTGAGGCGGCGGCGGCAGATGCAGCTGCAGCAGCAGCAAGTGAAGTAGTGGCAGAAGCGCAAGCACAAGCTGAAGTATCGGAAGATCAAAGAAACGAAAGAAAGTTACTCAAAACGATCCTTCGTTTGGGCGGTGTTGAATTACCACCGGATATGGTAGGACAAGAATATACAGTAAGAGAATTTCCTGTAGAAAGAGATGCAAGCAGTACAAGAAGAACACGTCTTTTGGGTCAATTACGCAGACGAATGGAAGTGGCCAATCGGGAGGTGGTAGTGTTTGATTAATGATGAGAAGGAAGAAAGAGTTTCCAACACATTTTTTACGTACATTAGAATTTTCCATTATACCCAATATTTGTTACGATGACGAATGAAAATAATCATTTAAGATTCTGGCTTGTCTGCATTTGTGTTACAGGGTTTAGGTATAGGAGAAGATTTACTGATTCGTGGAAGGTCTAATTTACCCACAAACTTATACCTTTGATGATTATCGAAGAAGTTTTTCCATTCTTCGATTGCCGCAACTTCGTCCTTGTTTAATCCACGTAAATCGTGCGATAGATGGGAAGGGGTGTGGAAACAACCCGTAACGAAAGCCCGACTTGCATCTCTGCCTGCAAAGAAGTGGTAGCTGCCTTTTGGACCATATACCCATTTTCCAGGCGTGACATCGTAAACATGTCCCAAGATAGAAAGCTGAAGGCAAGAAAGGGAAAGTCAGTATTTATGCCATAAGTATCTTCTTTTTTACACCTCCTGTACGTACATAGATCGGCTTCAATTCATCTTTTCCATCGTATTTTGCAAGTTCTGCTGGAGTAAACATCCTTGTTGGTGGCATGAATGTTTCCTTTTGAACATACTTTCCACGATAACCCCATAATGCATCTCCGGCAATGAATTGTCCAAGGCCGAACGCACATAAAACAGCAACCAAGCTCCATTTGACGAAGAGGAAGGGCAAGCTCCTTCCTGTTGTGGTTGTTGTATCAGCTTTTCCTTTATCCGACTTGGATTCTGGTTTGGATTGTGCTTTGGTTTTATTGGCCCTTCCATCTGTCGATCTGAGAGTTACCTCATCTTTGGCTCCAGCTGGTAATTCTACAATTCTGCCAGCCATCCTGTTCTCGTTTGCTGTGATACGCTCCTGTTCCAGTCTCTCTTGTTCTGCTTTCCAACGTTGATGTTTTAGGAATGCAGTATTGATCTTCTTGTGTTTCACTTTTCGATTCGGATCAGAAGGATCAATATCGTACTTTTGTGGTACGTTTGGATCTTGTTCTGCTTCTTCTTCTGCTGCTCCGTGTATTCCTCCTATAGATGATGCTAAAAGGGAAAGGATAGATGAAGGCATGTATGTAAGTAGGAGGTGGTTGAAAAACGGAGAAGTTGTCTTTGCAGTGTGTTTCTTAACTCCACGTATGCTGCTTCTAAAGTGCGGCTGCCGGGGGGAACGCGAATTTAATCTTGCATGCAGGGCAACCTCTTTTTATCACGCCATAATATTCACACATTGGGTGCACGCCGCTCTAAAGGCCATTCTGGATGAGAACAGAAATAAATTTGGAATGTCTAAATAGTACAATATGGAGAGGGGAACACATTCATCGCTTGGCAGCCAACATATTTCGCTTGAATCTGTTAATCTTTTGTTTTTCGGCCAATCTGCTCAATTGACTATCATCTAAATCGTTACCCAAACTAGAAACAGGAGCATATCTGAACGCATTTCCAGTAACCGATTCGGGAATACGTGCTCGTATACTTGCTTGACTGGCAGCTTGTGCTGCTGCTTTCTGACTTGCAAGGGTACGTTGCGAATTTCTCACAGTTCCATCAGCGTTGTATTCACGAATAGCCTGTTGTCTATCACGATAGGATGACGATCTTTTGAGGATCGGTCTTGACCATGATTCGATCAAACGCTCAGCAATTCTTCGAATGTTTTTATCAACGCCCTTCTTCTTCGTGTAGAACAACATCAACTTGCCCAAGCCACTCATCTTTAGACTGGTCGTATCGATGTACATCGTCTCTAAGAGTGGGAAGAATGCCCTTTGAATGTTGAGCGAAGGTAGTGATCTTGTGCCCTCCAATGGCTCTAGCCACTTGCATACAGCCTCCAGCAAGTTGTTATCGAGGATTGCCTGTTGATAATCAGTCTTTTGTAGTGTATCAACAGCTTCACGTAACATGCGAAGTTTTGCAGTAGCAGGAGAACCGTTCAGATTGGCATTTTGATCATCTTGTGCTGCTTTTAGCATCTTTTCACGCATGGCATTCACTTCGTCATCTGCCATTTGTTCTAGATCTGTTTCATCTGCTTTTTTCTTCTTTGGTCTCTTGGGTCCCTTTGCTGCAGCATCAATCCTTCTCATCATATCTGACCTTCTTCGTTCTTGATCTGTCATTGGTCTTCCACCGTCTTCACCTCCATCCACATCCAAATCATTATCGTTTGATCTCTTTTTCTTCTTTTTTGCTGGTGCGGATTGACTTGCTTCACCTTCTTCTCCGAATAGATCACCGTCGTCGTCTTCATCATTTTTGTATTCATCCGCTACATCATCGTCATTGTTCCCTTCTTTTAGCTGACGCTTACGTGGAACGATGGCCTCTTCTTCGTCTTCTGCCACTAAGTCATTCACTTTGACCTCTTCGTCTTCTGCGGCTGATATTGTTCCTGCTTGCTCTATTTCATCCATCTTGATCAGCTGTGATGGGAGTAGAAATTGAAGATGGAAGAAACCTTGGCGCTGTTTATTTTAACGCGTGAGTATGTGCGGGCGCACGGATATAAGAAACACTTTTTAACACACGACAGGTTCAGCATTCATTGTTGTGCTCAAACAACCATCATCTTCGCTCTCGGTCAAACGTAAAGATGTCGAGGAGAGGCTCACATACCTCGTCCTCTTCCACTAGAGGTGGCCGGCCAGGTGTATCGAGTGGAGTTCCCGGCAGAGCAAGACAGGACGGCACGAATGGCAGTATATCATCCAGCAATGGCGGCAATCAAGTAGTAGGAGGCAATACCTCTGCCAGTTCTTTACAACGTCAAACCGGTCCACGAATGCAAATGCCTGCCGATCCAAGCAGAAGGATTACCGATTTCAGTTCTCCGGAAGATCGATGTCCACAATGCAAAACAGACAGATATTTGAATCCAAAGCTACGTTTATTGGTCTCGCCTTGTTATCATAAAATGTGCGAATCATGTTTGGATCGGATCTTTTCGCTAGGTCCTGCGCCATGTCCGGAGTGCGGTCATGTTTGTAGAAAGTACGAGTTTGGCGTTCAAACATTCCAGGATTTGAGGGTAGAGAAAGAAGTTGATATTCGAAGAAGGGTTGGGAAATTGTTTAACAAACGGGAAGATGATTTTGATTCATTGAAAGCATACAATGATTACTTGGAAGAAGTGGAAGCGATTTTGTTCAATCTTATCAACGATATAGATGTACCAAACACAGAAGCGAGGATAGCAGCTTATCAAGCCTCGAACAAAGCATCTATCCAAGCCAATACCCGAAATTTAGCAGCTGAAGGAGAAGCACAGCGTGCTCGTGAAGAAGCAGAAAGGATTGTAAGAGCGGAAAGGGCGGCTAGGAGAAGGCAGCGAGAAGAACGCGATCGTATGGAACGTGAACAGGATGAACAAGATTTAGTGGAAGCATTGGCAGGACGGGGCAATGTGGATGTCGAAACTGTCTTGCACCGAAAACGTGAGAATGAAGAGAATCGGATTACACGTATGGAGAGGGAAGAAGCGCAAGAAGAAGAAGACGCACGAAGGCGAGAGATCATGCTCGGCAATTCTGCCGCTGCTGCTATTGCTGCTAAGAAGGGTAAAGGTGGTAATGTAAACGCAAAGGCTGATGATGGCTGGCCGGTAACTTTCACATCAGACATGCTCTTAGACTTTGAAGGGCCTTTGGCTACTCTGGATGATGGACGAGCCTTGTTTGACTTACGAAATGTGCCAGCTAATCTTGGTGGTATCTCAGCACCTACAGCGTCAAGTGGATATGAAGATCCTTGGATTACCATCATGCCGGACAAAGATGAAATAACTCGATTGCGAGCTGCTGGATATGACTGGAGTCTGGTTTGGGAAAGAGACATTCGTAGTACGAATATAGGGCTTGATATCCCTCCATTGCAGTAGAAATGAAACCGCATTTGTAAAATAGGCAAAAGCATATAGTATGTATCATAATCAATTAGCATTGTTTAAAAGTACAAAATGTGTGATGAGATAAGCTTTATTCTTCTTTTCGAAGAGAAGGTGATTCGTAACTCTGAAGCAAGGCTTTGGTGATAGCTTCTTCGTCTGGCCTCACTTCGTCCAATGTTTCGTCATCTTGTTTCGATCTCCAAAGGCCGAATAAGATGAGAATATGACTGACGAACAAAAGCATCGATGATTGTTTAGTTGACGGGTATGTATTCCATGCCAATTCGATCGCCAGTGGAAGGGCAATTTTGATTAGATTTGGCAAATTGGTCAAATAAACCAACAAAGGTATCTGTTGAGCGTACCATGAATAGAATTGATAGTGCAAACTTCTTGCGAATGTGATCCCGATCAAGTTGCATGTGAACAAAGCAGTTACAATGAATGGTCCACTTGGCTGTCGAATACGTGCTTCGGTTTGGGTCATGGTTGTGGTGGAAGGCGGTGCACTAAAGATGCGTATCCACCTCAAACCAGTCTTCCATATCCCGGTCCACCTTGTGAATAGCCAGAGTGCGATCGACAAGCCATGGAGTAAAAGCAACACTCGAGCAAAACCTTGACTCAAGAAGGTCTGCTCATCAAAGAAACGCCAATTTACAGTCCACTTGTACAAAAATGCACGAGAAAGATCGAAAGCCGAAGAGAGGTATGCTTGCGGATCATGCAGCAGGAATGGACTACCGATCAGGATTTGGATCAGAATCACTTTTGCTGCTTCCACCGCAGATCTCTGCAAACCCAAAGCACGAAGATAGATTGCCGCCATGGCAGGAGCATAAAGCAAAATGTTCATCTTTGTGCCTAGCGCTAAGCTGTACAGTATACTTGCTGCTCCCCAGTGTGCTTTTGTCATTGCCCAGATGGATCCATACATGATTGCAACTGCCCAACAATCATTGAACAAGCGTAAGACGTAAATCGAATGCAGTCGTTTGGACAGCAGTAGTGGAAACATGATGATTGGCGGGATTCGTGCAGATTTGTAGATTGCCATTGTCAAGAATTGGGTGACGATATACAGCCCTCCAAAGACGATCTGTGCAGGTACAAGCTTCTTTCCACCTTCTGATACGAATGATAAGAACGAATAGATGTACAGATGCATAGCCGGATACACGCATGGTCCTGTATCTCCACTGATTTTATCATATGTACGTTCACCCTTTTGATACACGTCAACTTGTTGCATATATGTCTGAAAGTCAATCTCTGTGAATCGAATGGCAACAGTAATGATTGTGACGAAAACTACTTCAGTCAATAGGCATATTGCAGCAAGAGTCCAATAATTGTACGGCGTCCAAAGAGAGCGCCAGAGTACCCTTTTAAGCCATGCGAATTGAAGTTCATCATCTTCGAGGGTATACTGTCGCTGAGTTGGAGTCACTGTTGGCGATGATGTACCTTGTCTAAGCCTTATAGCATCTCCTGATATAGCTTGCGCTCTTGCTGATGCCATGATGATGACATATGGATGATTGAAGCTTTGAGAAGATTGTCAATCTAAAAATAAGGCTTATAATGAACAAGACTGACTACGAGCCTAAAGAGAATTAAAGCGCGTTTTTATTCCATGCATCGAAACAAACAATCGAAAATAAGGGGCAAGCAGACAGGCACTAGAAGCAAGTTGCTGTTAACATTCCCATTTCCATTCTCCCCCTCCCCTTCTGCTGTAGTGCCCCCCTCCACCATGGGAAACGAGGGTGTGACGGCACAATGTCACTTGTGTGTCAGATTGATGTCAAAAGAAGCTGCTTAATTATTGTGAATGTATGCTGATCACCATCAAGACCCTCTTCATTCATCCTTCTCATATACCCTCGTGCAAGATGACATTGATCGATGCTCTTGCCGCTTTACAAGAAGGTGCAGTACCTACAAATGAACAAACATTAGCCTTCCTACAAAGAATACAAACAAGTCTTCCCGCAAAAGGTGATTTATCCAAACCGGGAAATCGATTAGTAAAAGAATTTGAAGGTTTTGTAAATTCTATAAAATTATTAATTCAAGATAAAAATGACGGTGAATATATTCAAGAATTCTTATGGAGAACAAAAGGAACGGCAGGTCAATTGGGCAAAAATGGATTAAAGTTTAGATGGGGTAAAGGCGCAAAGGATGGCTCAGAAGATGATGGTAAAAAGGGCAAGGGCCTCAAGGAAAAAACAATCGAAGCAGGAAAAGTTGTCAAGGATGATTCCATACAAGGTGAGTATATTGAGCGCAAATTCAATCGGATGTATCGCTAACTTCCTTCTTGTAATCCAGCCGGAAAACATCTTAGAACGTTGGTCAGACTAATGCTCGTCCAACCAGAACTTCGGCACATCTTCGGTGATCTTGGCTATGTGTTTGCAGAAGTAGTGGACAAGACTGCAGGGGAATCATTAGAAGATGCTCGTGATAAACTTGGTCAGGTAAAAAGTAGTACGGGAACGTTTCAAAATGTCGCTCAAAAAGCATTAGCACAAGCAAGATCTGCAAAAGCCACAACAAACACATCTCAGAATGGTGACCTTGTCGAACGCTTAACCACAGCTGCTTCTCTCTCGGAAGCTAAGGCTCAGCCCAATGGACAACCTAATGGAGTTCCCTCTATCGAACGAAATGTTGAGCTACCTAATATGGCATTGTTACGCGAGCAGCTCTCGGTAGCATTCAAGGATGGCAATATGAACCTTGATACCATAAAACAAGAGCTAGTGAACGGTAATACTATTCCCGCTTTGGAAGAGCTTCGTAAACAAGCTTTAGCTTCTGCTGCGACCTTGTCAAAAAGTCAAGATGATATGCAAAGGATGCGTGATCAAATCAAACAAGGTCAAATACCTCCTGAAGTGATGGAAGCTTTGCAAGAGAAGCAGGCTTTGAATGAAGGTGAGGCAAGTGCAAGCGCACCTCTAACAGTAACGGATATCGTTGATGCAGCACAAATGCTCGCGATTGCCAATTCACAAACTCACTTAAAACCATCCAGCGAAACAGTGAAACAGATGGTAAACAAGACCAGAAAAGACGCTGAAGAGAATCTAAAAGCAGCGTTCAATGAAGAAGTACAAGAACGTCTTCTTGCTCGAACGAAGAAGTTGATCGTAGACTGTCAGTCTACGCAAGATTACAAAGATGCATTGATTTGGTTCATCGAACGAATTGAAGCATTCTTTTCGCTCGTCCAACGACATGCAGAATTACCAAATTCTTCCTTAGATGAAGCATTGTCATATAATGCAGAGCCACTCCTTCAATTGTTGGAAAATTTCAACGGAAAAGAATCCGTTCGACCTATCCTTGAAGCAGCAAAAGTATTATCAAACGGCGCAAAAGAGGATCCTCAAATTCGTACTTTCTGGTTGGATGCAGATGCACACCTGAGAAGATGTTTGTTGGAAGAAGGATTCATTTTGACACCCGAAGCAGATGAAGGATTGCGCAAATTGATCGATCGTTTCAAGAACCTTGCCGTCACATATCGTCAAAAGATCTCGAGCTTTATTGAAGGGGTTGCATCATTCTTCAACTCGATCAGAAAAGATGCTCTGGTGATCAAGCTTCTCTCTGCTCTGAAATCCATCTTTGATGCTGTACGCAAAGATGGATGGAAACCTGGCGCTCTTTGGCATGATCTACGTCACAAGATCTTACCTCCCCTGTTCGAGAAATTCGGTGTGATTCCCGTTCCAAGGATCAAATATCTTCATCCAGATTTCGATTTAGTGATTGAGAATATCGCACTTGAACTTTCAACACTTTTGCCAGACACGTTGGACATGCGATTGACGAATGACGTTCATTTCGATTTCCGACAATTGAAAGATTCAAATCATTCACACAGTTTCAAAATCAAGATCAAAGGAATGTCACTAAGGGTGTACAAGCTTGCATTTGCCGTTACTTCTCGTTTGGGTTTCACATTCCACGATAAAGGTATTGCAGACCTTTTGATCAAGAATTTCGGTTTGAGTATTTATATCGATGTTCCTAAAGATCCTGGACCGCATTATTTCACCGTACGCAAAGTCAAGGCAAAATTGGGATCTTTACATCTTAAAGTGTATGAAAGCAATCATCGATTCTTGCATTTCATGGCGGATAAACTGGCGAACAGCTATTTGACAAAACGGATCTTACGGCATTTTATCGCAGAAGGTATCACATTAGGATTGAAACAATTAGACGTTTATTTGATGACATTACGTTTAGATCGTGATGGTAAGAAAGGAGATGTGAAATTGGAAGACATCAAACGACAAATGGCGGAATTACGTGATTTATTGAAAAAGTATCATGAACAAGCAGGTACGATTGAAATTGATTTCACACGTGAAGAAAACGTTACTGGAATGACGTTAAGCGATCGTGCAAAAGCGGCAGGCAAGAGTATCGAAAATAGTCATGCTGTCAAATGGGTGAAAAAGCAAGTTGATGAAACTGGACGTAAGGAAATTATTCGGAATGAATGGAGAAGTAATGCTTTCGATCTTGATGGCATGGATACCATCAAACCTGCACCGGAAGTGCAACCTGCTCAAGGTGATAGCACCGCACAAGACACAGAGAATGTCGCTGCACCTGTTGATGATGAAGTGCACGAATCGGTGGAGGCCGCAGTCATTCGCGGTAAGCCAGAAGGCCCAACGGATGAAAGGGTGGTTGATAAAGCAGAGCAGGAACTAAAGGAAGCAGAAGCAGAAGAACGATCGGAACGACAGGAAGTTCAAAGTCCGGAAGGCATGTCATCAAAGATTGGAAAGCAGGTAGTGTCTCAATCAGATGACCGAAGCAAGCAGGCTGAACAGTTGGAGAAAGTTGTCGATGATCACGTTGATCCGTCATCATAAGAAATGGACTATTTAATGGATACCCACACTATGTTTTTTGATTGCTTGATTATTTATTTCATTATTACACAAATAAAGTTATGAGATTATGCGTCTGGAACATTGTCTGTTCCAGCTTGGTTTACCACACCGCCAGCATAAGCACCTGTTCCACTTTCGGTACCCATCGAGCGAGCTGCGGTATCAAGGATTTCCTCAGGACGACGGTTTCCTGTTGAAGTGATTGAATCTTGATTTGCTTGTGGGTTATGGTTTGCAGTTCCGGCAGAATTACGAGCGATTGCGCCCAAATCACGTTGACCTGATTGCCAAGCATCATTTTTGCCTTGTTGATTTTCTTGACGTTCTGCATCTGAAGGTCCTTGACCGTAACCTTTTTCAGCACCGTTCAATTGACCAATTCCAGTGCCTGTTGCACCATAACCTGGTTCTTGTGGTCTTGTGGTTGAGGGAAATTGATCACCTTCGCTTAAAGCAGTTTGACGTTCACGTCTTGCGTCTGCTTCACCTCCCATTTCGTTACCTAAAGCCGAAGCTCCATCAGGACGACTTGCACCATCTTTGTTTGGTCCAGAGCTACCGCCTGGGTTCATACGAGAATGACGTTGCTTATCAGCAGCAGCGAGAGAAGTTGGAGTTTGTTCTGCGAGAGTCATCTTGTTGTTGTTATTGATAGATAATGATGGAAAGAAGGATAGATTTGATATTGCTCGAATTAAGCTATATAACCTCCATCTGTTCATAATATAATTCTTCCAAGCGATTCTATCGAATGACCCTTCTGGTTACTATGGTCGTGTGTGTGTTTGTGTGGTCTAGCGTACAATTATTGAATAAGATTTTAAAATTCTCCACTTTGGCTCTCCTCCCACGCCCTACTGCCCCTCCACAACTTTTTATAAAGATGACAATGAAGCAAATTGATGAACCCTTTTACGCTATATTGCATCTCAAATCTTATGGGAATCCGGAAAGGCATAAAGGGAATATCACATAACCTCACAGATCAACTGACGAACAGTAAAAGGTTTGAATCGGCTACTGCAATGAGAGTGCAAATCATCGAGCTCATCTTCTAAGGGGGTTGCATAAACTTATGCTGTCATTTAGGCTTTTGTATCGTTTAGCATCTGTCGTATGGATAAGTCTGCAGCCTTTCTGATCAGCAAGATTGAACATAGAAGATTTCACTCAATCTCGGCTCTGATTTCGGTGGAATGATGGTATTAGCGAGTTCTACTAGAGGTGTTCCTGATTGAGTACCTTTAATGACACTATAGAACATTTTGCAAGGCTTGCATGACAAGGTTGGAAAGTGAGATACTTATATAAAGAATATAAGGGATGATATAAGACAAAGTCTGGTTCGGAGAAAGCCGCAATAAACTTGAATGGTGATATATATCTGATAGCGTGAGTACTGTATTATTTTAGCTTAGTTTGATCAGTGATTGTGATTGTGTGATTGTCGTGATTATGCCCGAGGCCGTCTGTAACTTACGCCTTTCAGGTGGCGGGGAAGGAAATGTGGAGGCACTTTAGCACTGTAAAGCTTAAAATTCCTCTTATCGCGCTTTAGGAGATTTTGAATTTCCCCTCTTGAAGGAGTTACTCCGCTCAACGAACTCCTTAAGGGCTGAATCTGACCAGCAATGCAACGGGACACCCCTTCTCAAACAAATCCAATGAAAAACCTTTCTTGAAGCTGAAGATCAAACGATCATCTCTAGCCAAACTTCATCGCTCTCATGTCGAGATCAAGACCGGAAGAAATTCAACCTGAACATACCCCACACAAAAGTGCAGGTACTTGGATCATAAAAGATTGCATTGATGCTTTGATACATGCTGTTCATGTCGTGGCAGAATCAATTGCTTTGCTCTTGGGCATGCATTTTATGCTCATCTTACATCTCGTTCATCTAGTCGCAAGTACTTCAATTCAAGGTGCAAGCGATACAGGCACCGAACAACAAAATAGACAAGATACCAATACAGAACCACAAAATCGACGCAATAGAATCAGAAGACCGGAATTGAATCGTGCAAATAGAAGATTGACCTTCGAAGCAGGTGCATCATTGCATCTACCAGCATTAGGACCAAGGCCGATACACGAAACAGTTCCTCCAATCCGTCAACCGTTACTACACAAAATCTTGGCATCGATCGACGAATTTTGCAGTGCATATATCGACCCTTGCTGTGTAAAGATTCAAAAGATGGCCAACATCTTTGAGCAGAAGGGCGGTTATGCCGGCAGGGTATTCTCAAGCCTTCGTCGGTCAGAATTGAAACTCAGTCCATCAAATCTCGACAAGCTTCCACCAGAGATTGTCACACACATTCTCTTACTTGCTGCAACGCCAAACACTCCACAAGCAATACCGACAAAGATTGCCCTTCTCTCTAAAAGATATCATCGAATGATCACTTCGCGGTTATACGCAAACGTGCATTTATCCAATCCTACCGTGTTTAGACGATTTCGGATGACGCTTGCTGTACACAATCCATCATTAGGTCAACATGTACGATCTCTGGCAGTTGCGTCAAAGGAGTTTGATTCAGACGGATATATGCCGGATCAAGTAGCCGAACATGTTACATTGGGTATCGGAATCGAACAAATTCTGTTGGCCTCGCCTAATCTGCAACATTTGTTCTTGGATCTGTTTTCGTTGGCTTCATTGTTCAACGGGACAGCATCAAGATTAGAAAAAGGTGCATTACCAATCTCGCTAAACACAGAATTTAGCTTACCGCAATATCTCACCTTGCCAACATTTGCAAATCTCAAGCACGTTGAATTGACTGTTTTTGGATTGGATAACAATGCAGTAGAATGGTTCCGTCAAGTATTACCCCGGTTACAAAGTCTCACGATTAGATGGGTCACTCGCCGTCATGGTGGAGTAGCTCTAGGAAGTGTATCTGAAGAAGACGATTGGGATGTAGATGATGATTCCGATCTAAGCAATGATGAACGTACCGATTGGCAAGAAGGCGGGAAACGTCATGGCGACTTTATGATGTTTGTAGAAGCGATCGATTTACTGAGACGATGGCCGTATCACAATGGTCAAAGGGAAGGTCAACAGCTCAAAGCGGTAAGCGTGCTCGCATGGCCAAAGGCATATCGCGAATTGAAGAAGCATTACTCAAAGACAAAGGATGTATATGTAGAAGGGGAAGAGAGTATATGGGACACAAGCGGTAATGAGCGTATGTGGAACAAGAGCCTTCCGTCGGGGATGCATTACGATGTGGAAGATGAGACAAATAATGACTCCGTACCATCTACTCCAGGTTATTTCGATCAAGATCGTCAACCTTTTGAGCAATTCACCACACCCTCATCCATTCAGACTCCAATCACGCCGAACGCATCTTTGCAACCTGCAAGATTGCGTATTGGCAAAGATCATTCCTTTTCGTCTGGTCCTAGAAGAGGTCCATTGAATGATTGGACGTATAAACAACAAGTCAAAGCCTGGTCATCATAAAGTTTTGTATTTTCTTATCGTTTTAGGTTTCTTTCTGTAGCATAGATTTCTTGAATAATATAAAGATTTTGTGTCTCATCCTTTGATGGTCGTGTGAAGAAAGATGCTTGACACCGTTCTGATATGGTACATGTAATTGTATACAATGTGAGCTTTATTTGGAGAAAGAACGTAGATATGATGAAGACAAGGAGAAGGAGGCTTATATAAGCACTGCGCCTTCATTCTTTAACTTTTACGCTAGCCATCTGCGGACAAAAGCCTCCACGCATTCAGGGCGTAAGAAGAGGGAGAAACGCGTACGCCTTAATTTCAATGGCCGCGAAGATTGTCAGGCGTGTGTGTGTATGTCTTGTGCCATTCAACAGCATTGATCACCTTCCTTCCCCTTTTTACGCATACCATCATTCAAGATGACATTCTCACCTATAATACAAATACAGTCAACCTTTGCACACGTTGCAAAAGCTTTGGACGATGATGCGATTCCATGGATGACATTAATTCAAGTTTTGTTGGTCGTCGTTTTATCGTTTGAAGTGTTGGTCTCTTTGTTACAATTAAGGACGTATAGCGAACCTGCTCCTCCAGCAACACTCAAGCCACATGTTACACAAGAGACATATGAGAAAAGTCGTGTTTATGGTCGTGATAAGCTGCAATTCTCAATCTTCAGCTTGATCTATGAATGGGCTTTAAGTGCAGCTTTGCTACATGCTTTCGCATATGCACGTATTTGGTCAGCAGCAGGTGTGGTGATGGCAAGATTGGGCTACACAACTGATTCGGAAGTTGTACATTCTCTACTTTTCCTCTTGCTGTCACAACCGGTCACCTCAATTCCTCTTCTACCTCTTTCGCTATACAAAAACTTCGTCATTGAAGAGAGACATGGATTCAACAAGATGACCTTAAAGACGTTCTTCTTGGACGGAGTCAAGGGATGGGCAGTTGGTGTCGTAGTTGCCGGTCCTTTCATGGCAGGACTAATCAAATTGATTCGATGGGCAGGAGATAGCTTTGTCGCATACGTGGTCGTATTTTTGTTCGTATTCCAGTTGGTTGCCATGACCCTTTATCCAACTTTGATTCAACCTCTGTTCAACAAGTTGACTCCCTTGGAAGATGGACCTCTGAAAGATCGTGTAGTGGCACTCGCTACTCAGCTCAATTTCCCACTCAAGTCCATTTACGTCATCGATGGTAGCAAGCGATCTGCACACAGTAACGCTTACTTTTACGGAGTCTTGCCAGGTGGATCCAAGCATATTGTCATCTATGACACTTTGATCGAAAAGAGTACACCGGCCGAAATTGAAGCAGTCTTGGCACACGAACTAGGTCATTGGGCACATTCGGATACCAGCAAGCTTATGGGATTGAGTCAAGTTCAGATCAGTATCACAATGAGTCTATTCACGTTGTTCATTCACAATGCTTCCTTATTCCGTGCTTTCGGCTTACGCTATGCACCTTTGACAGCATCTGCTTCCACAAAGATCTCCAGTCTCAAATCTGCCTTACTTCCGCTCTCTTCTCAAGTCAAAACTCCATTCGCTGCGCCTTTGAACCCTTTCTCAGTTTCGGTTGGCTATCTGCCCATCGTTGTTGGATTGGAATTATTCCAGCTCGTCTTGCATCCTCTTGATTCTTTGGTCAAATTTTCCATCAATGCTGCCATCAGACGAATGGAATATGCCGCTGATCGATTTGCTGCTCAACAGCCACGTGCTCCTGAATTGATCGGAGGATCGGGAAAGCATAAAGCAGAAGATGTTGCACTCAACGAACCTTATACGACCTTATTGGGAAAAGCATTGATCAAATTGCACATCCAAAATTTGTCTACAATGCACCATGATGCTCTTTACAGCGCTTATCATTACAGTCACCCAACGTTGACCGAACGATTAGATGAATTGGAAAAGCTCAAATCCAAATCGAAATGAAACAAGTAATGTGACTTCCAAAAAATTGTCTTTGTATAGATTGATATTGTAAGAATTGTATAATTTGTACAGATGCTCTCCGAGGTAATCAGCCTTTAATGATATAAATACAATTGCACAGTCAAAACATTCTACGACGTTTTCCATTTGCACTAACTCCAGCTCCAGGATTGGGTGTTCCAGGCGCAAAGCGACCGGGTACTTCACGTTCTTCACGATACCTTCTCAAAGCTTCGGTGAGATGATCGGGTCGTAAAGATTGACGTTGATTGGGTTGGGAAGTGCCATTGGCGGAAGCGGTTAAACGTTCTTGTCGAACTTCTCTTGCTTTTTCTACAATTTGACCGACGAATACTTTTCCCACACCGGCAATAAGAGTGACGATTTGCGGTGTGACAGTTTGTCTGGTGAGGTGTTGTAGTAATCGCTTAACAAATCTCTTGTCCAAGAAATGTCTTCTAAAAGCAGCATAGCGATCTTGTTGTTCTTCCGTCATTGCTTTCATCAAAGGACCCATGTTGATCGCACGCTTCTTTTGAATGGCTTCTTGTAAATCCATCTCATCTTCTTCTAATCCCAAGTCGAAGCCTTCTTCGTCATCCTCATCCTCCTCTTCGTCAATCTCTGCTGCTCCTTCCTCTCCATCTTCATCGCCTTCGATACGATCACCCATGATACCATCATCCGGTGCTACCGTACCATTCTCCTGACCCGGAACAACGGAAGCTGTTGCCCTTCCACTCGTAGCTCTGCTTCCACGACTGGTGGCCGTTCCTCTTCGTCTGCCACCTCCTCTTCCTCTACCTACCCCTCTGCCGGCTTTAGCACCTCGTTTTGTGGGTGTGGATTCGCCTGTACCAGGTGCAAGAGAACCAGCTCTTGAGAACTCATCATCTTGCATAGATATATCGCCCGAAATACCTGACAAACCATCTGCCTGACTTGTTCTTCGGCTATGTGCAGCACTCAAGCCACCTCTTCCACGCCCGCCTCTACCTCTGCCTGTTCCTCCTCTGCCACGACTGCTATTTGCAGGTCTTCCATCGGTACCATTCATTGACTCGTTCTCGCCAGTAGCTGATTGTGGTGTGCCAACGGCAGGACTGGATGCATTTTCTGCACCTTCAGGTCCGATCGATTTACGTTTACGTGGTTTGGTCTGTTTAGGTTGTTCATTCGGATCTTTTGGTTTCTTTGTTTGTTTCTTTGGTGCTTTGGAATCCGTACTGCTTTCATCGATTGCATTTCCGGGTTGCTGATCTTGTTCTTGTGTGTTGCTACCTTCTGTTGCTTTTAGCTTTGGCTTTTTGGGTGCTCTTGGCTTTCCGCTTCCTTTTGAGGTATTCTGCTTTGTGGCATTCTCTCCTACTCCTGCTAGAGGTGTGCTCGTTCCGCTCACACCTGCCGATCCATCCGTCACAGCTGGCGTTGTCATATACATTGGTGATTGAAATCCACTCGATTGGCCCGAAAAGTCTAAAGCTGGATTGTGCCTTTGTTGTTGCTGTTGTTGTGATGGAGGCGCTAAATAATTTGAATTGTTCATCATATTCTGTTGGATTGCCATGCCTCCTCCCATATCACCAAAATCTATTGGCGTATGAATAGCAGAAAATGCAGAAATATCGGATGTATTCGAGGCTGGCGGCTGTTGTTGCTGTTGAGAGGTAGAAGGTATAGATCCGAACGACATCGGATTAGAAGAATAATTAGGCATGAAACCCATTTGTGGTTGACTCCCATCTTGTTGTTGTCCGTAATACTGCTGCTGCTGTTGATCCTGTGAAGGCATCGAAGATTGATCAGAACCAGACATGATTGCAGCTACCAGTCTGTTCGTTGTAAGATGGGAGTAAGAAAGGCAATCGCTTCTTATTCCAAAAAGCAACAGACGGCCTTAGCTTAATTTAGGCCTTACGCCGGCGCGTTTTCATACACTTCACTGAGTTGATTGCAATCAATTGCATTCAATCAGGCCAAACCAGTGAATTATTTGACGATATTGATTTCGAGCTCAATCGAGTTGAGCATTATGTGTATACGTTTAAAGAAGAAAGAAAGTACAATCGTCACATTATGTGGAAGAATACATACAGCGTTTTCAAATCCAGTTGATTGAGTTTGGAAAAGGTTGTGAGGAGAGGAAGTTTGAGGCAAAGGAGTCTATGAGATTCAATTAATGAGTTGCAAAAGAAGTGAAAGATATTGAGGGCGATAAGGGGGTGTGTTGATTGTCGAGATTGATGAAAGGCAAAGTATACCAGATTTATTTCGTCCTTTACGCTACAGAAGCCGGCAATGTGAATCGACAAAGAGTTGATGCTTTGAGCCACGTTCTGTCGACATAATCTCGAGATACACTGAAAGATTTGTTCATCTCTCTGCTTAACCCTTGAGCTTGAACAAAACCAATCCACCCAAAGCGATTGCATATCCAAACACTTGCAGAGCGGTAATTGAAGATCCAAAGATGATCACACTACCAACGATCAGTAGGATATCTTTAATGACACCAGAAAGTGTCAAGACAAGCGAAGATGCAGCACCGATCAAGAAGACGGCAGTGATGTTTAGACCGAAAGCGACACCTGCATTCGTTAGGAGGATAAAAGGACCCAATCGGTACAATTCCAAAAATGGTTCTAATCCTTCGGTGAAGATCAAAAGAACAAAGTTGATTGCTGCACAAACGGGTGCAAAGTAATAAAGACTGACCAAAGGATCCATCTTTAATCCTTGCAATAAAACTTGTACCATCACCAATCTTGATGATTCAAATGCGATTGCTAAAACTTGTGCAACGAAACCGACCAAAACGAAATCAACCTCACCATACGAAGCAGTTGCTACACCGAATGAGATCAGGCAAACGATCGAAATAAGAGTACCGGAGGGTTGTTTCAAACCGAATGCGAAAGAAATGAACAACACTGCAACAGGCATGAAGGCCTAGGAAGGAAAAAGAGCGGAACAAGTCAGTCTTTGTATCAGATCATTCACGTATCTCGGTATAGTACTCACCTTCAACATTTGAATGAAGCTGACACTCAAGTACAAGTAAGCAGCGTTAGAAGTGACCAAAGAAGCGGAGAAAAGGGCACCGATTGGCAAGATGTTGCGGTACCATCTTTCAGGTGTGACCTCTACGTTTGCTAAACCATCCAAGAGATGAGTGTATCTTGCAAGAACACGGGTACCGACAGTTGAGAAAGCCATGTGGAAGGTAGTGAGGAAGACTGGGAAACGGAAGTTTAATCCGGTTGTGTTGTCCAAGATGTACTTGTTGTACACGATCACAGTTGAGCTCATTGCGATCCAAATGCAAATGATGATTGCAGGATGAATTTTACGTTCAGGTGATTGTGCTTTGTTATTTCCGCCGGGTAGTAGACCATTTTGTGAACCGTTATTGTGAGTGGCTTGATGAGCGTTTGGAGATGCATGACCTGAGATAGGATCATGTTTATCATCCACAGCCAAAGATTGCATTGGCAAAGAGGTATGTTCCTTCGACATCTTGTATGGAAGTTGCTTTTAGCTATTGCTTAGAATGGTATTTGAAGGATGATGGTGTAATTGTGAAATGTGAACGTGAATGGTTTCGTATTTAGAAAAGTTTCAAATGTTCACATTCAACAATCGGTACAGAAATTCTGGGAATACTTGCCTGCTTTACGAACCGCCGCTAAAAGATCAAATAAAAACAAAAATGCTGTCAATAAAAAAAGTTGTCAAATGCACCCATTCCCATGCAGCAGATTGATTGATTAAAAAAACGACAGTGCTGTCGTGCTTATGAAATACATACAAAAAAGTGTTACATGCATGCCGGGACAGCTTTTCGACCGAATGAATTTTGAATTTGCAAAGCCAAAATATTATAAAAATAAAAATTGTAAGCCTCGTTTGTTTCACCTTCAAAATACGCGTCTCATAGCTGGACATCACCCAACTTTGAAAAAAGAAACTCTGTTTACGCTTGCGTTGCGCTGCGCACGCACACGCATCGATCAACTTGCAGGGCGGGCAGGGCGTGCTTGCTTATCTGTACATACACAGATTTATATAATCAATCACCCTTCAGTCTAATATGATACGCGGACTTATTCCATACTTTTTTGGCTCCGCTAACCGCTTGCTTGGCTGGACGGTTGGCTGGAAGAAGGTACTACTGTAACACCCTTTCAAGACAACATAGTGATGATGTGCCTTAATAAGCGCGATTTGAACTAGAAAGGGAAGATGTGGAGAAATGATGGCCCTTTTACCGATTGAATCTCGGAAGGGAAAAGAAATCAAGAGATACTAAGAGTGAACTTAAATGTGGGTGGGATGTGCCAAGATTGAATCAGATCGAAAGAAAGATAAATGCACCTTCCTATCATCTTAACCATCAGGAAAAAGGATATCCGTCCTTACCTTGAAAACTACAGCATTTAGTCTTGCCATCATGATCGGACCTGTTGCAAGTCGTAGGGCTGGCTTGTTGGTCAACACTTCCAGAACCATGTGGAGCGCTCGTTCCGGTGCAGTAACGATGCCAAAGATTGCAGCTTTAACAAAAACAAATACAGTACAACATCGTATGCTTTATACTTCTCCAATCATTCGTGCTGCAAATCCACAATCCGGTAAACCTGCTTCGGATAACCTAGGTCATATGGTTAAAAATGTAAAAGAAGAAGCAAAAGGTGTAGGAGCTTCAATCGGTTCAGCCGTTGCAGGAACTTCTTCTACTTCTTCTTCTGACCCTGCTAATGATTCACAAGCAAAAGAAGCCGGTCAAACAAACGAACTCGTTTCCGATGCAAAAACGATCGTTGGTGAAATGGTACAAAGGGTTCCAAGACCAGCTTTGCTTTGGGGTGCAGCAGGTATTGTACCTTACGTTAGTACAGCAGGTGCTTCCGTTTATCTTGCTCGTCAAGCACAATTGGTCGCTCAAGGTTTAGATTCTCATATTGATTTCGAAACTGCTTCTGCATTATTGCTTCATGCCGAGAACGTTCAAATCACCTTTGGTGCTGTTTTGCTATCATTCTTGGGTGCAATTCATTGGGGGTTCGAATTCGCAAAATTTGGTGGAGCGGTTGGAAATCGAAGATACTTTTTGGGATTAGTTCCAGTCATGGTTGCCTGGCCAACATTGATGCTCACACCCCAATTAGCCTTAGTGGGTCAATGGGCAGGTTTCGTTTTGACTTGGTTTATTGACTTACGTGCAACTTCACAAGGATGGGCACCAAAATGGTATTCTTCTTACCGTTTCGGTCTTTCACTTGCCGTTGGTGTTTCGATCATTGCCACTTTGGCCGGAACGAATTATTATGATGCTGATAACTCTCGTTCTTCTGCACGTGGTATCGGTCGTAGATTATCAAAAGTGAAAGCTGAAGCTTCAGAAAATACTGAAGATATGGTCAAACGTATTGCCGCAGGCGATCAAGGTACTCCTGTTCATCAAGAAAAGGTGGGCGGAGATGTTCAAGCGGAACATACAGGCGCACAAGGAGATAGCTTTGTAAAGATTCGTAACCCAAAACGTGAAGAAGAAGAGCGCAAGAAGAAGGAAGAAGAGGAAAAGAAGAAGAAGGAAGAGGAGGAAAAGAAGAAGAAGGAAGAAAAGGAAGGAGGCGAAGAGAAGAAGGAGGAAAAGGAAGGAGGTGAAGAGAAGAAAGACGACAAAGAATAATCAATCAAACATGGAACGCACTGTATGTGGATCATTATGATAATGCAATTATTTTCATTAAAATAGTGTACAAATGTGTGAGCTTGATTTAAGCTTAGAGCTTGGCTTTGTTCTTTAAAGTTTTTTGAGCAGATAGGTATTGTCTCTTGATAGCGGCTTCGTGACTATTTTCACTTGAATCTTCTCCCGTCTTCTTTTCATCATCATCCAAAGGTTGTTGAAAGCCAGTCATTCTTGGCCTTACTCGCCTTTTTCGAATGGCCAGAGGACCTGTGAATACCATCTTGATCAGTTCAGGTGTTGTAGGTTGATCAGGAGCACGAACGCTAAAATCCGGTGATCGATTAAAAGCGACCGAGGCGGCAAAGATCAAGATATCACTCGTTAATCCTCTAACGGGATTACGTGTATCCCAGAATATATGTCTTCGATACCGTTTATTTCCGATCCATCGAAAATCTGTACATGTATGCCAATCGCTCGGTGGTGAAATGAGTGATTTGGGTGCATTTTCGTCATCCAAATCAGATGATAATCGAAGTGATTTTCGCATCTCTGGTGAGGGCATATGTTGCAAGAATGCTGCCAAAGGAACGGAAAATAGCTGTGATACCTCTAACGGATTTAGCTTGGGCTAATAGAGGTGGGAAAGAATCGTCAGTCACTCTGTTCTCACCTCCTAGGATATAATCTACTCACCTTGATAAGTGGATCCAAGATCAGAACCACAAAAGGCGTGACGAGCAATTCATTTATGCTGATAAATGGTTCCAGTTCACATAATAGGGGTGCTCTCTTTGGATCGATTGGTAGGCCGGTCTCTTCCCATGCTTCTCGTCTTGCTGTTGCTTCCAGATCCGCATCTGTTGCTTCAAACCTTCCTCCGGGTAAAGCTGTATCTCCACCTTGACTTCTTAGGGTACTACTCCTTTGACTTAAGATCACATAAAGATCACCATTTCTTCCTGGAAACAAACAAAGCAAGACTGCCGCTCGCCTATATGCAGGTACGGATTCAGGACAAGGTTCACTGCCTTTTGCCGGTTTATGTTTACTTAGATTTCGTAATGCTTCTAATGAATCTTCCGTTAATGGTCCTAATTCTGGCGGACTTGGTAAGGATATATGCGTCACTTTTGGCATCTTTGGCCGATTGCCAGTTCCGATGTTCGCTGTTCTTGCTGACTAGACCAAAGATGTCGTTGGAGGAGGATGGTGGAACAAGAAGCAAATGAATAAAAAAGTGCCGGTTTCAATTTGACCGGCGAGCGGCTATTTATCCTTTTTACGCGCTGCAGGCACGCACAGTTACCTTTAATCTTAAAAGTGTGGGGAAGAAAGCAACAAAAGTCATCTGGGAAAAGTTGTATTGCAAATTGTTCTTTGTATTTATATTTTCCTCCATCGCTATACGAGTAGGAGGAGAAAAGATACTTGTGTCAATCTAGGTAAACGGGAAAGAACAGGCTGATTAGGTTACGCGAAAGCCTGCAAAGTGTTCATCGTTTGAAAGGGATGGTTGTGATTTGAGTGTTCGTCTTACTGAACAGCATACGCAATATATGTCTCCGCATATACTGTCCATTTCGTGACATTAGCCTGCTCCATGTTGAGAAATTGCTGTGAAAGGGCCATTTTTGACGCCTATCTTTCATTTTTCCAAGGAAGCATGTCTACACGAACGTGGACACATCGTCATCAATATGCTTCAGGACCCGTTGAGCGCTCTTCTGCTTTGACACTTGGCTTGTTGCCCCAATGATGTGGTGGGCCAGACTTTACGACTTCTGCTGAAAAGGTAGAAGTGAAAGCAAAGAGAATGAAAATTCCAATGAAAGCTTTGGTTAAGTAAGTCATGGTGAAATGATTATAAAAAGAGATGCGAATGAGTGTTGCTAGTGGTTGGAAGACGAATCGAATGTTGTCTCGAAACCTCGCCTTACTATATATAAGAGATTGTCCAGCAGTCTCTTTACCATTTTCCTGTGCATGATTTGTACTGCCTTCGATGAAGTACATGATAGGCCAACAGCCAAAATCCGACGTACCTCTGCTGTAGGAATCCGTGTCCGTTCGCAACAATCACGTATGCACGCTTCGGCTGAAATTCATCCCAGACTAGATTTACTCTCACCAGTTGACATAGTATTCGGGATAAATAATATACATTATTATAGTCTTGGCTGATAAATACATAATGAATATGAATGGTATACCGTAAAAAGAGAAAATACACATAGCACGATGGAGAGTTGCTTCGAGCATTCCTGGTCCAAGTAGATATTGTAGAAAAGTGCTATAGAAAGATTAACTAACATCAGAAGGTTCCAAACGCAGTGCAAGTGGATCACGATTATCGACGTGACCAGTAGCACCAGCATTTGTGTTATCCTGTGAAGTGACCGAAAGACGTCCTTGATTGATCCTTCGCAAGGTTTCATCAGCACGCGACAAAGTTGCCAATGCTCTATCCAAACTTCTTTGTCCGCCTTCATCTTGATCTTCGTCAGACTGCTGTTCATCACGATCCCCTTCAGCAGACTGTCTTCTACGATCTTGACGTCTGCGCGAAGAGAACGACTCGAAATCATTCGTTCGGTTCTGATCATCAGCAGCGCGCTCTAACGAAAGACCTGGACCTCCAGTCTCATTCAACCGATTCAAAACTGCTTGAATTGTTCTCGATCTAGAAGAGTCATCTGAATCTATACTTGATCCATATGCCCGTTGAGCCATCGAAATCACTTCTAAAGCTCTTTCTCTTATGCTTAGTCTTTCTCCTTGTTGATCAGGCGACATGCGCAAAAGATCAGAGGCAGTACCTGATCCTGAATCTTCAGGACGTAAAAGCGGAGCCAAAGTTGAATCCAATCCACCTCGCGAGCCCAGAGAAGAAGCCTGTGTTGTCGAATGAGAAGGGACCGAGGAAGAGGCTGACAAAGTCGGATCAGAAGAAGACGGTGTCTGTGATTCTGGCGGGAATGATTGTGTCGAAAAGCGTTGAGCATACACTGAATCTATATCATTCGTATGTGAACCTGGCGGAACGGAAACGTGAGATCCATCGCGTGAGATAGACAATATTCCACTTGCTCTACGTGGGATTGGAGAAGATGTGTGATTGTTGCTGCTACTTTGTCTTGCTGTTAGTTCTTCACGTCTTTGATCTAATCGCTGATCCAGTCGTCTTCGTATAGACGAAACGTCATGCTGTAGCCATCTACGTGCTCCTACTAAACTGCTTGAACCACTCCCGCTGCCACTGTTCTGTTGATTTACACGAAATATTCTCGAAGTTGCACCTGCATCATATCCTGCGTCGGAATTAATGAATCCTGTCTCGGGTGCGTTCAGAGTAGAGAAAACAGTACGTGTTGGTGGTGGACTATTACCTTGCAAACTTTCCGAAGAAGGGCTACTCTCATTGCTCGTTCGATGACGACGATTACGTTGTGTGATTCCACGAATTTCGCCTTGAACGGCACGATTACGCAATATATCACGTTGACATTCTCTTGTCGTGCGCGTATTGAAATTCCTCAATCTTGATTCCAATCGAAGTGCAGCGGATGATTCGGTAAATGAGGTGGTTGAAGGAGAGGCATGAATGCCATCTGCCGTTGTTAGATCGTTTGCAGGATCATTAAGATGAATAGCTTTTGCGATTTCCTTGCGCGCAGTGATTGTGATCAGCAACTCGATCAAATTGTGAAACGTACTATCGTTCTCGTCAAGATGATCGACAAATTGTTCAAACGTATATGGACGCCGAGATGGAGGTGAAGAAATAGGTCCCGCATCGTGCCTTCTTGGATAGAGAACGTCCGTATTCTCGATTTCACCTTGATCGTTTAGTTTGTTCAACACTTCATGAATCACCCCACGAAATTTGGTACAGAAAGCATCGTCATAAGAAGTCGCCGTTCTAACAAAGAGTGAAAGAGACAAGGTCAGCATCGTTAGAACACGCACTTTCCATTCTCTTGATGATATGCTCACCTTCTGCCCATGTTGGACTCGAAAAACTGTATAGCGAAAGATGAAGCTCGTATAGCCAGTCGAGATACGTTTTGGCAATATAGAGGATGGTAGATTAGGGGGGTCGTGGTTGAATGATGTGAGAGTTGGAATATGATGAATGTCAGAGAAGGTTATTGAAATTTCAATTTATTTGCGGGCGCGTCGCGTGTGCAGTGCAGTGTGGTTGGAGTGCAGTTGCTGTGCATATAATATACAGTAATACTATATTATGTTGAATGCATGCAAAGCCTAAAACTGCAGTCAATCACACAATACGCCCGCCAATTCTCCACTCGATTGCAATTCTGACACACAAACACACACAATGGAAACAATTGACATATGATATACAACACTATTATACATTAACACTTCTACTGCATCCTTCCATCTCCTCCAAACAGTTGAGCAAAGAACGAATCATTTTGTGCTAAAGATGCACCAGCCCAAGCAAAGAATTGCAAATCATCAAAACCCAAAGTGGAATTGATATCCGTTGAAATGACTGGTTGTTGTTGTGGTTGAGTTGACTCTCCCTTTTCGATGGTCATCGGTCCGGCTGTTGTATCGAGTGGTGCAGAAGTACCGCCTCCTACCGAGCCAGGCTCACTTCCATGTTGATCTTGTGTTGGTGCATCCTTTGCTCTGACCTGCTCTTCTTGCATCGTTGGTGCACGTAAAACGCCTTCCAAGAATCGTGCATAACAATTTGCGGCTGTGTCCTTTGATGAAAGATTAGCAGCTTCCGTTAAACAATTCCAAACACGATGACATCTTGCTCGCATGGCATTTGCATCAATAAATGTAAACCTTGAAGCCAATTGAGTTAAACGAATCGCAACGATGGATTCATAACTTGCAGCTACAAACATGGAATTGTAACAATAGATTAATTTGTTTGGCGGTAATCGGTTAGGGAAAGCGTCCAGATAAGTACTGCAAGATTCGTATAGATCCACAATCATTGTTGACATCCAATGCGAAGCGGGTATATTGTGCAAAACCAGACCTAAAAGTTGAACCATTGCATGACTTACGTATAACGAGGCCAACTCCAATCTTGGCATGGATGAAGATGATTCTCCTGTAGTACACCATGCTCTTGACCATGAGTCCAAATCAGACTTGCATTGTTCTATATAAAACAATTCACCGTTGGGCGGCAACCGATGAAAGAGCTGTCTGTTCCTCTTGATGATCGTGCGTAATTCAACCATTGATACCAAGGCAGTATCCGTATAACAAGCCATAGGATGACAATGCCATTTCTTACAAACGGCAAAAATATCTTGTTCTGCTAGAATGCTCTTTCGTCCTGTATGTTGAGCAAGGGAAAATTCGTGCAACCAAACATTGATCCATGTTCGTTGAACGTTTCTGCGTTCTCTAATAACACTTTCTGGTACACTTCTTTCATCTGTGTCACATTCAAAAGATGCTTGCATATTAATCTCTCCGCCTATCCGTATTGCATGTGACAATAAAGTCCATGATCGATCTTCTCGAATACTGTCAGACGGAGGCTCAAAAGCTGCCAACATCATCAAAGCTTGAACAATCTCAACCGATTTAAAACTTTGCAACATGATCGCAGGTAAAACGATATGATGGACATGATTGCACAAAGCAGACGTTAAACTTTCTTTTCCTTTTTGAGCGCGAGCCATCGTATGACAAATGACGGAGATCAGAGCATGGGATCTTGATCGAATGTATGAAAACGTTGCTAAATTTGAATCAAAGTATGCCAACGTTCGTCCAAACGTTTGCATGAATTGTTGAAAAAGTTCTTCGGCTTCTTGTAATGATAAAATCCCACAAACGATCGGATCCAATGCAGTCGTTTGATCTTGATAACAGCAAAACGTGAAACAGTCACGAGAACTTTTTCTGGAATCCAAAGTACTCCAAAAAAGCCTCTCTGCACTTTCGATTGGCAACAATTCATTTTGCACAGTGGGTCTTGAATGATATAATACATCTGACGACGATGAGGATGATGCTATTGGCTTTGCTTCATATCCGCTGCTCCACAGTGGTTCCTTCTCTGTCGATGATCGTCTTGATATATGTGTGATACCCGAAGCTTCCCTCTTGCTTTGTGGACGAATACAATCAAATCCACGAGTTCTACATCTTTGACAAATATCACCGCTAACCGTATTACAACGAAGCTGAAAAGAGAGAGAGGAACCAGTCAATCTTTGCACACTATTATCATTTAATTAAAGCTCACCTTCTTATCACGACAAGCAAAGCATGCTAATCGTTTTTGCGGGTATGGATCAAAAGCCATGATTTGATTTTATGAAAAGCATGCCTATGTACTTGGAAGTCAAAAAGACAAAGTTGGGGAACTCCGAGTTTGAGAAGTCTTAATTTACTCGGGGGTCCGGGTTATGGGCGTGTGGGACAAATCGCGCGATAATACACGCTTGCATGCTTCTCGGAAATCCGATCATCGGTGCCTTCATTCAAGGTGCCGGTCATGGCCATGAAATAATGGTATATAAGAACAGTCAAGATGGGCTTCATTGTGTGCAATCACTTCTACCAATCCTACTACAAATCCAACTATGAAGACATTCACATCAATAGCAAGACATTCGCTGCAGGCCAGTCAAGTCAGATGGAACATTGTTCAAAGACGAGGCCTAGCCACAACGGTCAGTACACCTTCTGGTAGCGAAAGAATATTTTGTATCAAGCCAGAGTCAACAGAGAAAAGAGAAGGATCATTGAGCCAAAGGCATATGCAATCGGCGCTTGAAGCATTACATCATGATGGTATCGTGATGCTAGAGGATGTCATACCGCTTAATTTGCTAGACTCACTAAACGAAAGAATGTGCAAAGATACAAAGACTTTGATTGGAAGAGGGGAAGATGGACCGTTCAATTATAATCTAGGAAATTTACAACAAAGTCCGCCATACGAAGCAAAGTATCTTTCACCAGAAATATTCTTCAATCCGTTGGCAACTAGCATTACCACGGCTTTCCTTGGAGGCAAGCCAACGATGTCATTTATTTCATCAAATGCTGCTGTTAAAGCAAAAGAAGGTCAACCTGTTCACTGTGATGCAGATTTTGACCATCCAAGTATACCATTTGCAGCAGTGGTAAATGTTGGTTTGATTGATATGGAACCCAAGAATGGTTCAACAGAGCAATGGTTAGGAACACATAGCAATGCTTCTATTAACGATCAGCAAGGAGCTCATGGTGAACGTGCATCTGGACGTATAAAAGAGGATCTGCTGGAACAAAGAAGAAATATACGTCCACCCATTCAACCATATGTAAAGAAAGGATCATTACTCGTGCGTGATTTACGATTATGGCATGCAGGTATGCCAAATACAACGGATGAAATCAGAATTATGCTAGCGATGATTCATTTTGCGCCATGGTATCGTCAAAGGATGAAGTTAGATTTACCAAAGTCACTCAAAATGTTATTTGAACAACAAAGCAGACTCGGCTTAAGTATACCTGCAATATTTGAGCAAGATCATATCGATCATCTTAATGCAGGTTTTGGTAATTCGTTTGATTTTGATCAAGATAAATAGTTCTGAATGATATGCTGTATTTTGTATGATGTCTAATCGCGATAATGTTTTATGTGTGTATCTCGGAATCTATTTTCGGAACTACTGTAAGAATATCCCATAGATCGGCTGACCCTTGAGTCTGGTCCTCACTTTCCGTTGAGTCCATGTTTTAGCTTAGTTTTATTTTATTGTTTGTGCCGATAGAAGCAAGCCAACAACTAAGTTGTATTTAAGATTTGCTTGGATTCTTGTCTGCACAAAAAGAAGGGACCGGTCATCAATTAGCGTGGCGCGGCGCGTTTGTGGAGCTTCTTGTGTGCACAACGTCAGTACACTCTGTATTGAATTGAATTTGTTACGGAATCAGGTCAAGTTTTTTAATCAAGTTTCACACAATCTATTAGAAATCGGCAAGTACAGGTGCAGAAAAGAAGTGCCTGAATTTGCGATTTAATAAAGAAAGTGCCCTTACTTTTTTAAATCAGAATATCGAATTCATACAGTATATGTATTACACTACTTGGCATTTCATCAGAACTTCTTATTCCTGTTTTGTATGCAACGCTTCAGCCCAGACTGCATTCTACATGCTCACACTCGCTTCACATAATATCACAACCTCAAGATAATCACCAATCACATCCTCACCTGACCGACTTTACTGGGACGCGGGCCAGGTTCAACCTTTTCTTCTTTTTCTACTAATACTTTCCTTCTCAACCGTCATCACTCAAAATGGGTCAACCCGCTTATGCCGGTGTGGCAGTCGGTTTGATCTTCCTTGCAATCGTTGGTGCATTAGTAGGTTATAAAGTATACAAAAAAGTACATTGGAGACGATATCGTAAACGTCAAGAAGCAGAAGCTGCAAAAGCTGAACTAGAAAATGGCTTAACCGCAGATGCTGGCGGTCCACCGATTCATTTCCCTATGCGATCCACTTCACCGGGACCTTCAATGGTAGGATCACTGTATGGAGATATTTACCCAACAGATTCAATGCGTGGAAGTATGAGTAAAGCCAGCTTTTACAGTAATCCAACACCTTATCAAGGATCAAGTGCAAGTGAATATGGCCGTCCCCGTCGTGCAAGCTCACAGGCTCTCTTCCCTTCGATCGGAGGTATTGGTGAAGAAGGTTCAGCAGATCCATCTGTGCCAGGCTCACCGACAGACTTCGGGCCTGCATCACCCGCAGATACATACGATGGCCCTAGACATGGAAGAGCATTATCCTCTGCATCATCTACAATGACCCTCAAGAGGTCATACGCTGGCAGCTCATACCGCGGCATGTCAGGCAGTCATTCACCCGTTCCTTTCGGTAACAAGCGCAGCCATTCACCTGGACCGCTCAATGTCAGACGTGATTCCTACTTACCACATTTGCCCGAAAATCGCAATCAAGTCCAAATCGTTCCACCACAACCGCTTGGATTCAGCTTTGGTATGGCACAGGCTCTTGATCAACGTACTTTGGCATTCTCAAAAGGAAGTGGAATTGGTGACTTTGATGAAGAATTCTCGCGCGGATTATTGTGGGCAGCTCAAAATGGCAGAGAACCGGAAAATGAAGCGGAAGCCGAAGCGATCAAAGCAGCAGCGCAAGCACACATTGCCCGTGGTGGAAGTATTGATGATCAAGCACGTTTACGTTATTTAGCCGAAGGACCTTCTTCTAGATCATTCAATCCGACAATGAGAGGAGCGATTCATAATCATTTGTACGACAGTCAACCGGGTTCAAGCGGTGCCCGTACTCCTGACGGACCGTCTCGTCCAAGATCTCCTGCTCAGGCAAATTGGGACGGCACAGGGTCTAGTTCAGATATCGGCCCAAGCGTTTCCCAAAGAGGAGCCGCTCTTCCTTCCCATCCGCTTGAGAATGTGAACCAGGCGCCGTACAACGGACGCGGTGGATCGATGGGTTTGGGTAGTGAACAAAGTCCACTCGGATTGATGAAGCTACAACTTGACTCAAACAACGATAATGCTGAAGATGCGGATATTTCATTGAACACCGTCACAGGATCATCCCCAATTCTCAAAGCATTCCAAAACCCAAGCAGCCATGTCAGCCATGCAACTCGGGCAACCAACCCTGCCGAAGCAGAACCTAGATCCTTCCACACACCCAACGATAGCATGAACAGTACCCATGCTGGCATCTTTACACCTGGATTATCCAACTCTGATAGCAGAAGTCTAACGTCTAGCCGTACTGGGCCACCTTCACTCTCACATCATCCCCAACACAGTCTCACCATGACTGACGGCCGCCAATCTTCGTCTGCAGATCATTATCGCTCAAACAGCGGAGCACCTCGCTTACAGGATATCAGTATCGAACACGAGTCTGTACCAGAACAAGACCTGTCGACCAGCCCTAAAAAAGAAAAGAGACGTCTTAGCAAAAGCTGGTTAGGACCTTGGGGTCGTCCTGAAAACACAACATCTGCAGCATAAAAGTGCGATTCGTTTTGGAATTGCATTATCATGGACTTTTTTATTTTTTCGGTTTCTTACATTTGTACACATGTGCATACTTATGTCACGTCGCTTTTCGTGGAGTTTCAACAATTGCTTTTATTCTCTTCACTTTCTGCTCGACAGACTGCTTTGCTTCCCCATCTTTCATCCTCTCAAACATGTTCACTTATCATCTCTAAATGTATCGTAAAGGATTCGCTTCTTATCAAAATGAACAATTTCTCAGGTAAAAGTATTGATTGCATTTAATCTAGTGTGATACATCTTTACGTGCAGATTCAACAATGATCTTTTTATAATCATTCACCGATCCGTACCATTTCTTCAACGTACCATCATTTGCAACCCATAATTCCGTCATTACTCGATTAACAAACGTTTGGTCGTGAGAGATTGCAATCACACCTCCGTTCCATTTTTCAATTGCTTCCATCAAAGCATCCAAACCTTCAACATCCAAGTGATTCGTAGGTTCGTCCAACAATAAAATGTGTGGGTTCATCAAACTTAATTGTGCAAATGCAACACGACTCTTTTGACCTCCGGACAAAGTGGCAATTTGTTGTAAACCAGTTGAACCGGTGATACCGAAAGCACCTAAATGAGCACGATATTCTTCTGCCGTCTTACCTGGGAATTTGGCTGCCAAGAATGCTACTGGGCTCACGCTCAAGTCCAATTGATCAATATGATGTTGTGAAAAGAAACCAACGCGAAGTTTATTGTTCCTTTGTTGATCACCTTTGCTCGGTGTCAAGTCTCCCATCAATAATTTCATCAATGTAGATTTACCAGCTCCGTTTGGACCGACGATTGCGATACGTGATTCTTGGGTAACGTCAAAGCTAATATCGCGCAGGAGAACCTTATCGGCAGAATATCCAAAGGTGACTGAATCCAAACGTAACAGAGGTGGACTGAGCTTGTCTGTCTCTGGCAAACGGAATTTGACAATATCTTCCGCTTCGGGAGCTTCGATGATTGGCATCCTTTCCAATTCTTTGATCTTGGATTGTGCTTGAGCAGCACGGTTGGCATTGTAACGCCAACGATCGATGAATGCTTGAAGATGGGCACGTTTGGCCATAGATGCTTCGTATTCTTTTTGTTGGTTCTTCCTCCGTTCTTCCCGGGTTTCGTTGAATTGGGTAAAGTTACCCTTGTATGCATCTAATCTTTGCGAGTGCATGTGAATAATATCCGTTGCCACTTCATCCAAGAACGCTCGGTCGTGGGAAACGACCAAAAGTGTACCTGTCCATTGTTCCACAAGATAATTTTCAAGCCAGGCGATGGCGTTCAAGTCCAACATATTCGAAGGTTCATCCAACATGAGTAAATCAGGCTTGCAGAACAAAGCTCTTGCCAATGCCAAACGCATACGCCAACCACCACTGAAGCTGCTTGTCGGTCTCTGTTGATCTTTATCCATGATACCCAAACCGCTTAGCAAAGCTGCAGCTCTTGCAGGACCTGATTCAGCTTCCATGTCGATAAGTTTGGCTTGAATTTCTCCCAATCGTCCAGAAATTTCTTCCTTTCGGATTTCACGTTGACGTGTGTTCATATCAGCCAAACTGCCTTGAGCTAGACCATTTGTCTCTGCAGGGTTGACTTCCTTTGTGGCCAATTCATCGAGCGCATTGAGTTCTGCAGTGATACTTCGTTCTTCGTCCATAAGCTTCTCACGCCAGACATCGGCTTTCAAAACAGCTTGTAGAGCCGGTGTATCGTCTCCAGTGACTTCTTGTTCGACGTAAAGGATAGATACGTGATTGGGGATGGGAATTTCACGCAAAGCCATGTGTCGAAGCAATGTAGATTTACCGATACCGTTTCTACCGATCAAACCATAACGTCTTCCCTGTGCCATAGACAATGTAGCACCGCTCAACAATCGATTGCTTCCAAAGTTGACATCGATATTGGGTAAATGAATATCCTTGTTCTTGGTCCTATTACCGATGCTCTCCAGTGGGTTAACACGCAAGAACATCTCTTCGTAGCTTTCTTGTTTGCGCATATTCTCGACCAATTTACTGGTTTCGTATAAGTCACGTTGAGCACGTTTATGCAATTTAGCTTTAGTTTTTGCTTCTTGTTTTGCCAATTTGCCAACATCAACACGAGATGCTTTGATTACACCACCATGTGTGATATCAATTTGACCTGATCGTTCAAAGTTTGCCGTTCTACTTTCATCCATTTGACTCATATCGACAACTCTTTCGACACGCCTTAAGCCTGCAGCACTTGTTGAAGGTTGTTCAGGTAAAAGTTTTGCAATCTTTTGAATGGCATCATCGATCTTTTGTCTTGACTTTTCATCATTCAATGTTGCTGATTCCAGCATAGAACGAACGAACGCAATCACATCTTCTACGGGATCTACATCAGGTGTTTCAACATAACCTGATAAGTAATCAACGATTGGCTGATCCAATGTTGGAATAGTAGCCTGTAAAATGGTAGCAGCTGCCATCTTGTCGGTTTTTCCCTTGTGATGGTGAGAACAATAGCATCAGCTCAGCAAATTGAATATTCTCTTTAGCGGTAAAAAAGTCTGCTGTGCATTACGTAATCAATCTCAATCTATGCATTCTATTGGCAGACAAACGCGTCTGAATCTTTCAACTATTCGGTCAACCGGGGCGGGGTAGCATTTGAGCGAGATAGATACAATACACTGCTTTAATGCCTCTTTCTTCCCCGTATTTCCTATTAGATCCGGCGATACTTGAACCGACATTGAATTGATGTTCAGACGATCACTTTTGACCATCACCTACTCCATCAAAAAAGGAAAAGCATTTCTATACATTACAAAAATGGTAAACGATTCATTCATTCATGCATGTGCCGGTGGGGCAGGAGGTGTGTTGGCAATGACGGCAACCTATCCAATAATGACCATCAGTACGCGTGCAGCAGTTGAAACAAGAAAAGATCCCGAAAAGTCACTCATTGAAGCAGCAGGAAGGATCGTTCAAGAAGAAGGTGTTTCAGGATTGTATTCAGGTTTGAATTCAAGTTTGATAGGTGTAGGAGTCAGTAATTTCGTTTATTATTTCTTCTTTGAGAAATGCAGAGATGTAATCCTTACTTCCAAAAATCGTTTAGCAGCCGCAAATGCTGCAACAGAAGGTGCAAAGATTGCTGCTGGCGGTGCATTAACAACACTAGAAAGTATGCTAGCAGGTGCAATTGCAGGATCAGCAACGACTTGTATTAGTAATCCAATCTGGGTTATCAACACTCGTCAAACTATACGAACCCAACAGCCTGCACCATCAAAACAAGGCGGTCAAGTTCAAAAAACGAAAAAGTTATCTTTCTTTGAAACGATTGCTCATGTCAAAAAGACCGACGGTATTACCGCTTTTTGGAAAGGATTAGGACCTGCTTTGGTTTTAGTCATCAATCCAATTCTACAGTATACCGCTTATGAACAACTACGGGCTCTCGTCTTGGACGGAAAACGAAAGCGTGGAGCAATTGCTCGTTTGTCTGATATAGAAGTTTTCTTGTTGGGCGCTTTGAGTAAGCTCTTCGCTACCGGCCTAACGTACCCTCAAATCGTTATCAAGAGTAGACAGCAAAGTGGTGGAAAAGGATCTAGCAACGTTTGGACAGCAATGACTGATATCGTGAACAGGGAAGGTCTTAAGGGATTATACAAAGGAATCTTTACCAAATTGATTCAAAGTGTTTTGACTGCCGCTCTATTATTCGCAAGCAAAGAACGTATCTATGAAATAACCAAAAAGGCTCTTGTTCCTGTCGCTGCAGCTGCTGCTCAAGCCCCTGGTGTAAAAAATTAAACGCTGGTTCTATGTGCTTCAACGCAATTGTTCATTTACATTTGATAAAGAGATAAATGGTATAATATACAAAAAGCTTCTCTCTGTTACCCTACACAAGTTGCCTTTTGAGCCAACGTTGTGCTCGTTTGTCATGTTTGAGGAATGGTGTCAATTTATCATAGACATCCTTGTTATGCTTTTTGATCCAATACTTTTGATCAGCTGAAAGGAGCTTCCAATCGATCAAATCTGTACTGATCGGAACCGTTGTCAAACGCTCGAAATGCAACCAATTCTCTTCACCATTCTGGTTGAAATGCGTCTTTGGTGCAGGTCGAACAACCAACAGACTTTCGGTTCGGATACCAAAATTTCCCTCTTCATAATAGCCTGGCTCGTTGGTAACGACCATATTGGGTTGGAAGGCTATAGGTTCTGAACTTCCTCCGCTTGAAGTTGAAAAGCCTTGAGGTCCTTCGTGTACAGCTCCAAATGACCCGATTCCATGACCTGTGCCATGCATGTAGTTGTATCCATCAGACCACAATGCTGTACGTGCAATGACGTCTAAAGTGGCTCCAGTGGTAGTGTTCCGTGGAAAGGTCACAGTATCGATGGCAATGTGTCCCTGCAATACTCGTGTGAAAGCTCGCTTTTGCTCTTTGGTTGGTTTGCCGAAATGAACAGTTCTGGTGGTATCAATTGTTCCATCGAGGTATTGTGCACCGCTATCACAGAGGTACGGAGTGTTTCTGTCAATCACTTTTGAGCCGTGCTCGGGTGTTTGATAATGGGGCAATGCTGCATTTTCGCCGGAAGCGCTGATACCATCATAAGCTTCCATACCCCCATAATTCTCAGCCTTTTCACGGATGGCTACCAATGCGTCCACAGCATCCCTCTCATTGATTTTTTGATGATGTACGCGGATTTTCTCATCAAGCCAAGATGCCCATTTCGCCCAGCAAACTCCATCACGAAGATATGCTTTACGCATTCCCTCAATTTCCACATCATTCTTGATTGCTTTACCGAGTTCGACTGGCGAACGTGCACGTAAGACTGAGTATACATTGGGTACACCTACTGCATTGACGATCGCCCAGCTTGCTTGATCGGAAATGACCAACTTTTGATCATCCCCTGGACCTTTCCATGATCCTTCAATCAAATACTTAAATACCGCATCATATTCTTGTACATCGACGCGAAGTTCATCAACCAGATAGCGATATGCATCCGAATCTTTTGAGAGTAAAGATGATGGCACAAAGATGCTTGCACGATAAGTTTCTTCACCAGCGCTTACAACCACGTAAGCAGGGAAGAAAGGATTGTTTGGAATACTTGCTCCTCTCAAGTTGAGCAACCAGGCTATTTGATCCAACTGATTGAGAATGATAGCACTTCCACGTGGAATCGGATTACGCTTATCGCTTCCACCAGATTCTACCCAATCTGCCAATTCCTTCAATTTCTCTTGAGATCTCTTTCCGGCGAATTGAAGAGGATGAATCTGGATTTGTGCTTCGATAGGTTTGGGCTGTTTGTCTGCCCAAACGACGTCAATCAAGTTGCGTGAAGGATAAGTTAAAGAAGCACCTAAAGGTGAAATCTCATCCAAAAGATCAGAAGCGATTGCATATCCGATCAAAGTAGGGTCAACACCGATAGAGAATCCTTTGCCATTCTTACGTGCTTCTTCAATTAGCCATTTGTTGTAGTCAGGTACGATAGGTACTTTGTGTAAAGTCCAGTTCTTGTCCAATTGTTTTTCGGCTTGGATATAAAATCGTCCATCAACGAACAGATGCGCACTATCTTTGCACACAACAGCCGTTCCTACATCTGCTGTGCATCCTGAGATGAACTCTCTGCGTCTTGCTTCTGGTGGAACATACTCGGATCCATGTGCGTCTACCGAAGGAACGATGTATGCATGTACACCTTCTTCTTCCATCAATTGACGAAGCTTTTCCAATCTTTCCGTTGTATCCACCTTTTCGTCAAGGGGAGTCATGATTGCTTTCTCGTTTACAGATTGTTCATCGCTGATCAATGTAAGATCTGAATTGTTTGTCAGATTAGGCTTCAGGCCTTTTGAACGGCTTAAGATTCCGAAACAAGTCATTTTGAGTGGGATGAGGGGATGTGGGGGAAGTTGACAGTAAAGAACATTGGTTTAAATAGGGAAGCTTGAGGGTACCCCATGATTTATGCATGATCTGAGCGTGCACGCTAAACTTAATTGCATCCTTACGGCGCCGATAACGATCCGGCTCGTCATCACTCAAATTCTCATTTGAGACAATAGAATAACTACATTAATTTGAGAAAAGAAGCAGAGATCACCGAGAAGTAGTATGACAGACCATGAAGTAGTATGACAGACCATGAAGTGCATGCATTGCATTTAAAAACTTTTGTTTATGTGTAGGCTTTATAGACTTGAAATGTGTGTGTATATATACCCAAAAAAAAAGAAGGGATGTTTAGTACAAATTTGCAAAGGGAAATTGAGAGGTAGTAGAATTGCATTGGAGGGTAGAGGAGTTAGATCGAAGCTGAAAGATGGAGCATGATGAAAATTTGAAGATCGGTTGACGCATTACAATGAAGCAAAAAGGGGAAAAAGAGTCAAATGCCATACTTGATGCGGATTGTTTTACACCGACTGTACGAACCACCCCGCCAGCCAATGTGTCTGAAGACGTAAGTAAACCCAATCGACAACATTCTCGCTCGCAAAAAGGTGGAAACATCGAAGTCGATCCTTCCTCTTCCCCTCGACCCGCTCTTGCTTCGCCTGCCAATCGACCCATCCACTTTGCCCATTCGCATTCCTCGACAATCTTCTTCAACTCTATTCCGTATCGGCGATCAAAGCCAAGATCATCCGGTATAGATAATAGAAGAAACTGATAAGGTAAAAACCCAATTTGTAAAAGCATTCTTTTTTGTGCAGCGATAGCGTTCTAAAGATTTCCGTTGCGTCCAACATATGATTCTTGTTCATCACTTTATTCACATTAAATGCCACTAAAGGAGCATTGAGAATGAATGCCAGCCATTGTCCGCTTAGCAGGAAGAATACCGTTAATACAGCATGAGCGGCCATCTCGGGAAGGGTGAACTGAAGATGGGGTGAAGAATATATGTTTGGTCAACATCTTTCCGTTTGTTCCGCCTATGTCCATACAAATACTTACCTGGTTGAGCTTGTTGCAAAGGTCGATAGGGTTAATGTAGTCGCATTCTAGATCAGAGAACATGATGATCTATTGGGAAAAAGAAGGGTCAGTACTTCGCTCATCACTCTTTCGATGCCATTGCTTTACTCACGTAGAACACCATGGTAAATAGCAGAGCTGCAGAGAGCAGCACAGCGAAGAGAAACAACCATCCTGTTCAAGTGAATGTGCGATTCGATCATCGAGGAAGAAGAAGAGAGAAGAGTGAAAGGTAAGAGTCAGTAAGAGAAGCTCTCTCCCTCTACAGAGCTGCAGAGTCGCCAACCACTATCATCGTCCACGTACCTTCGCCAGACATTTTTGTAGATTATGCAAGACTTGTGTTTAGAAGTCGAATTGATGGAATAAGGAACAAAGAAGTCACTGTTCAAAATGTAACAGAGTTTGGGTATTTGTCGCAATTGAGACTTGAAAGCCGCAAGTGTGGATGACTTGTTCCTGTTTTGGTGGTTTTATTTGATGGCGATGAAAAAGGTAGATTCATACGCGACAAAGAGTGATGTGAGTATTCGGTAGCTTCAGTCTGTCCTTCTTCGCACGACCAAAACGCGCTGCTGCTGGGCTGCGCAGCCAAACAAGTCAGTCAGTCACTCAGTCAGTCTGTACTTTCAAACGCGCTACTTTATCGCTTTCTAAGGCTAATCAACGTGCTATTTTGAAAGCGCGGAAGACGGAATAAATGGTCATTTCATTGTAACATGGAAAACACTACAATATACAGTTGTACAATATCATCTTGGTATAAACGTTCAGTCTTGTCAAATCATCATAAAACAGAAATCTCTCTTCCCAAACCATTCACATCTCCATTCAAACGCTGCTTCTTTCTGCGCTTTGCGTATTCTTGCAAACTCAACTTCTCCGGCAGCCAATCTCCATTGTTGATAATCAAAACACGCATTCGATCGTGGTAGGTTAAGTTTGGTAATAGCTTTGGCGTAATCAAAAAGTATTGTCCTGCACCAGCATTCTCACAGGTGACATTGACCATATGATTATGCACTTGTCTTTCATACTTTTGATCCATACCTTGATTGATCTCATCCACCAAAGAGAAAGGAGCTCTGGACAATTCTGTCAGACTGAGGAGATAAGTGATTGTTGAGATTGATCTTTCACCTCCCGATTGTCTTTGAGCATCCAATTGTTGAAGTTCTTCTTCGTCTCGGAATTTCACCTTGATTGCAATACCCCACTTTTCGTAATCATCATCTCGCAAAATGCTCACTTCTCCCGCATTGCCAACGGCCGCAAATGCTTTGGAGAACTTTCCGTCAACATTTTTCACCAATGCTTCCAAAGCAGGAATCCATCGTTTTTCGTACTTTTCAACCTTGTGATCGATAGCTTTCTTTTCGACTTGATAATCTTTAATTTTATCTTTGCTTTTCTGTAATTCTTTTCTTCTGGCTTCGTAGGTTTCAATTGCATCGGGATCAACGCTTGTGATCATCGCCAATTTTGCTTCTTCCTCGTTCATCTTGCGCTGCAGTTCATCAGAAGATTCTCTTTGTTCCGACAATTCTCTCATTCTATCACGAGCAACGGTCGAGGCCATATCAGCCTTTTCTTGAAGACCTGTCTGCAATTCTTTCACCTCATTTTTTGCTTTGTCCAACTGTAACATAATAGCTTTGAGTGATTCTTTGACTTCGTTGCACAATTGTTCCTTGCTGTCCTTCAGAACGCGAAGCGCTTGCATCTTTTCATTATGATGAAGAATTTGCAGACTAACCGTGTCCATCTTAGCCCGTTTTTCCATCTGATTTTTCACCATCACGGTCAAATTTTCCACCAAGCCAGCACACTTCTCACAGATCTGATCAATCTCTCTATTGAGCTTCTCTTTTTGATGTTCAATTGTGGGACGCGATCTCTCTTTCTCCAACTCGGCTTCTTTCAGACTGAGTGTCAATTTGTTCTTTTCCCAACTCTTTGAAGCGATCAACATATTGCCTTTCTCCTGCTCAAGATTTTGATGTTGAGTTTTGTGTTCAGCTTCGCGAGCCTTTAGAACATCCATTTGTTCTTTGATTCCGCTGATTCGCGTTCCAAATTCCCTCTTGTCAGTTTCGATTTGAATTAAGCGATTGTCAAGTCGTCTTTTGTGATCAAGATCGATAACTTGATTGAAAATCCTAGCACGTTTCAACTCCCGGGTGGCAGTTGTGTTTTGCCTGGTTCCATAACTCGATTGATTGATATTATGCGAATTTCGTCCTGTGATGTATCGCAGAAATTTACCGCTACTTTGAACGTTCGGAATATTGACATTTTGCTGTTCCAATGCAACTGGTATTTTGTGTAACTTATGATCGCTGCACAAAAATCGCAGGATGAGATCGGGTCCTTCGATGAGATCAATAACATAGCTCTCAAAACCATAGCCTTGCAATTCATGCTGCGTTGCTGGTCGTTCATACTGGTCCATCCTACTGCTAGTACCACGATCACAGAAGTTCACTCGAAGGCGTTGCGTTTCCATCATCCTTCCGAACAAGTCATAATCTTCCTGTAATTCACAGACAAACGTTTTCAGCACGGCAAAGTTGAGGCAACTTTCAACAGCATCAGCCATTCTCGGGTCTCGAATGGAAACTTCCAGCATGACAGGCTCGTAAATTTTACCTCGGAATAAATGCGCATTGTCTCGAAGCCACAGAACGGCCTTGAAGGTATCCGGATCGGACTGCTCCAGAAGTCGTAATCTACGCTCTTTGACGCTGTCCAATCGTTGCAATTGAGCTCTGACATTCTCAAATTCCCCATTCAGCCGTGCAATATTGTTACGAACTTCATCTGCCTCTATATTGAGGTCGCCGCTTTCTTGTCTGATGGTCTCTATTTCCCGACGAATGCGTCGCATTTCTTGATCAAGTCTCGAAGTATCCTGAGACGGTGGCTGCTCTCTCACTTTCACTTTCAATTCCTCAATGCTTGTATTGAGGTTTTTGATATGTCTTCTTCTCTCTTCTTCGGCCTTGTTCAACGAAAGGAGTTTGTCCTGTAAATCTTGCTGCTTTTGCCCATAAGTCTCCAATTCATCTCGCCCTTTCTCTATAATGGCTCTTTCTTTTGCCAATTCGTCTTTCATCTTTCTTAATTGCACCTTCATCTTCTCGTTTGCTCTTTCATCCTCCTTCAATCGACCTTCCAGGGGCTGCAGATGTCGTTGTATCTGTTCAACTTCCTTTTCTTGCTTCTCTTTTTTAGTTTTGAGCTGGGCGAACATGCTCTTCTTTTCTCTCACCAAGGCATCAAGAAGCAAAACTGACAATGCTTCCACCATATCTTGGATATCTTGTCTCTCTCGTGCACGTTCGACGTCACGTTGTAAGGCATTTAAACGGTCTTCGATGTGATCGGCAATGGCGCATTCATCGGCGATCAATTTCGTCAATTTTATTCTTTCCTTCCCATATTCTTTCAAAATTTCGTGCCAGTCCGTCATTCCTGGTACTCCTGCTGCTCGTTGCGTTTGGGCCAAGAGCTCGTCAGGCTTCATTTGGGCAAAATCCGCCACTCGATCCTGCGGAAGGAAGCAACACAAATTCGTGATATCGATGTCGAATTCATCGACAGCTCCTTGCACCTCTTTGGCGTTTGCATTTTTGCCGTTTAATTGCCATTTTGAAGTATTGTCTTGTCTTTTGAGACGTCTGCTAATAATCACATTTCGTTTACCTTTGTTTGCTTGAAGTTCAATTTCAATCAAACTTTCTTCGGTACCTTGTTTGACGAATGAAGCCACATCCTTTGCTCTGCCCAAAACACCAGGCGTCCAACCAAGTCCGAGTGCAATCGCACATACTATTGTACTCTTTCCCGTTCCATTTGGTCCAATGATCATATTCAAACGAGGGCCTGGATGGAATTCGACTGCATCATATGTGACGAAATTTTCCAACTTTACACGTACGATTGAACCAGGCAAATATTCATCTTCAGTAAGATGAACCCTTTTCCTTTGACTCAGTGATTGAGACGGAATTTGTGATTCATCTTCTTCGCTTTCACTTCCAACTGTACCTTGATCTTCTTCTAAGCCAGGAGTTAGATCTTCCATCTCTTCATCGTCATCTGCATCTGCGATTGCTCTTCTTCTCATCATCTTGACATTTCACGACCCTAATCAGGATGATGTGTGAAGTACAACTCGCGTTTTTCGGCTGAATAGTCTATATACGCGCCAATATTTTGGTGTTGGTCTTTCGCGTCGAAGAAGAAGAGAGTTCAAGGGCCAGGCGTATGACAACGACGACTGCTGAGCAGTAGCGCGGCGCATACATGCACACGCACAAGGTCATCTGGCCCCCCAAATGAACAATAGCGTGCGCGTTCGTGCATTTCTTAATAGAGTTTTAATAACTTGTATTCTTTTTCTATAGAGAAATGATCTCCATGGACAATGATGAATAGCTTGAGAATGATACTGATGCTATGTAAGTGTCATTATTATGCCCAATGGAAACATCCCATACATTAGACTGACAAAATTCATAACTTTAACTGGAGTCAGAGAACTTAAAAGAAGAAGAAAACGCGGATTTTGTATTGCAATGCAGGTCAGAATACAATTCCGAGAAACTGTATTGTTGTACTCTTAAGGAGACTAGCATTTTACACCCTGTCTGCTCTTGGTTTGGCTTTGCCCTGCGCAGCGCAACGCAACGCAAAAGCAGCACCGGCTCTGCGTGCGTATCAGTTTGGACAACATTAATCAATCATATATGCATGAGAACCGACAAAAGGCTGAATTGGACTTTGATGCCCGCTTTCTGACATTGCTATCACTACTACAATTCCAATCATACCATCACCTTCTCTTACTGTATTACATTGACGATCAGGTCGACCAAAGAGACGTTCATTAAATAAAGAGCGAAAAGGAGAACCAAACAGCAAGGGCAACAAATCTACTCAACTCTCTTTATTTGCTGCGTTTTGTCATTCGTGCATCACCAAAGAGCAAGAGCGACCTTGTTGTGGTTCAAGTCAACTCCCAAACGACTAAGACGAAAGGGTAATCCTCATCTGACTAGTCTCTGGAATCGGAGTGAGCCTCTACGATATACGACAGACGCTTTAAAACCCAACAAACCCGCCTAAACCTCTCTTCAAGCCCTTGATTCTGGTCGGCATACAATTCACCTTCATCGACTTTGATCAACTCTTATCTATGGCATCGCAGTTTTAAGAGCAAAAAGACAGAGTTTGTTTGCATGCGCATGCATACATTCGTGTATTCCGCTTAATTTTGACTTTGGCCAAAAGGGGTGTCGGTCTTGGTATTCCATCATTCTACAAGCTTTTAGAACGATCATCGCATTTCAATCAAATGATGCAAAAGATTACGGATTCCGAGTTTCAACGCGAGGTTGAAGCGCTGAAATCTCATCGTCGGATTTCAGTCAATCGACCGATTCATGATCCAGATTTGCCAGAATTAACTGCTGCTAATCGTTCAACTCATGACTCTGACTATTCCCTTCATTCTGCCAATTCGAGTGGATCACTGCATTCTTCCTCTAATTCACGCGATTGGACATCAGATGGTGGTGTGATGCTACGTGATGACGGCCCTTCGTCATTGACTGGATCTTTGGCAAGGAGGTCAAGCTCTAATCCTCGGTCATTATTCACTGCAAGGAGAAGAGGGGCGGCAGCAGAGGAGGGGCAAGTTCCTACGAGAGACAATCAATCAAACGTGAATGCATCTACAGATGATGTCCCTCTAACTGAACCGCTCGACCCGAGTCATCTGTTTTGGGTGCCGGCGTCTATGCACCCAGAGATCTCCCCTTCGGATTTCCGCAGATTTCTTCACGATCACGCCTCTCGTGCTGTACGAGAACAACAGGAAGGCGGTAAACTATCCGTCGACGAGCAAAGCAACCTCAGCAAAGATCAGCAAACGCCTTATCCATCCAGTCTACCATCGAATGCTTCGCCAGTATCCTCAGTAGAAGCGTTGAAAAAGCGAAGCACTTCGATTGCACGCAGAGGCAGTACTCTAAGAAGACAGTATAGACCGGAAATGGACGATGGAATTGATTCTTCATCTACATCGAACGTCGAACGTAACAAGAGAACACTATCACAACGTCAAAGCTATCAATCCAACGTTCCTGAATTATCTATAGATGATCTGCAAAAGCTGGAAAGACTTGCTGAAGAGGCTAGTAGAAGTAGTGATCCATCCGAACTACGGAGTGTACTAAGACGAACCATGAGTCTCAACGTTGCACCATCTGCTTTGGATCAAGTTGATGCAGTTCCACCGGAGAACGAACAAGATTCACCTTTGATTGTTCCACGACCTGGTCAAATTTTACGTAGAGCAGCAAGAACAAAGATTCGCAAATCATCCTTTTCAAACGAAGGGGCAAATGCTGGCAGTAGAAGAAGACGTGGACCGGGTAGTCAATCCGTGCAAGAGCCTCTTTCGGATCGCGAAGGCAGCACGAATACTGCTGGTGTTACCGAAGAAGGAAGCAAACGTGAAAGTGATATATCAGAACCGTCTGATGAGAGTGCGAATCCATCTTTCAAAGCACGCTCAGAAGGAGTCACTGATAGCATTCTGGATGTCTATTCACGCGATTCATTCTTGTCAGACGATACACAACGTACAAGTGTAACCTCATTGGCAGAAAGTATCGGTAGCGGACAATCTTCCAACGAGAGATTGGCCATTTCAGACGCGAATGATGACCCTACCACACCCACGCAATCACACATGACCGATGGGTTTGTACAAGCCCAGACAGAGACGTTCAACAATGGTTACTTTGGCAATGACCAGGGACAAAGACCTGCACTCTCACGAGAACCTTCCAACGAGACCTCAACGAATGACAGATCAGCAATTAAGCCAATCGCCGTTCAGCATGTTTCCCCGGTGCCCGCATTTGAGAAAACACGTAGTGCGCCTTTACCACCTTCTACCTCGTCATTGCAACAGCAGAAAGCGAAAGATCAAATCATTGAATCCAATCAAGCCCAATCAGGAACGCCAGCTTCCTATCAACAGCCACCTCTCAATCAAAAGCTTGTGAAATCAGATACGATGCCAATTCTCGGCAGCATGCAAAGCGCTCCTCCGATTGGCAAGCCTACGAAAGAGAAAAAGAGCAGTTTTGGTTTACATTGGCTATCAAATTGGACAAAGGATGATGATGGTGAAAAGATGAGTAAGAAAGAGAAGAAAGAACGAAAGGAGCGGGGAAGAGAGCGTGAAGCACAAGAAAATGCTACAATGACGCATCCAAGCCAGCAAACATCCAATCATCATGAGAAAGATGGCTCTACATCTTCAAGCTTTTTGGGAAACCTATTCGGAAAGAAGAAGGGACACGAAGATTCAAGTAAGAATGAATATGGCAGTCACATGTACAATGCTGCAAGTGGGATGCATAATCCCTCGACTGGCAGCTTGTTGGATATGTACGGGAAGCCGATGATGGAACAAGGCTATTATACCAGATATCCTATTCACATTGAGCGAGCCGTTTATCGATTGAGTCACATCAAATTGGCAAATCCGCGAAGGCCATTGTACGAGCAAGTTTTGATCAGTAATCTTATGTTCTGGTACCTGAGCGTGATCAATCGAACTCAGCAGCAACAACAACAATTGCAACAGCAACAGCAGCAACAGACTCTTTCGCGAGCTGAGCAACAAGGGCCAGAAGATGACATGTCGCAGAGGGCGAATACAGGAGGTGGAGATTTGTACTCCACACCTGAAGAGAATGAGTCTAGACTACCGGAAGCAGAATCGAGATTGGAGCTGGACAACAACACGTCCCACATTACTGTCGGTGATCAGATACAACCGGATCATCTGAAGCGAGAGGCCAAAGATTCACCGGCAATCTCTCTTCCGCTAGATCTTAGCACGCTAAATCTCGATGATGCAGAAGGACGGCAAAACTCGACCGCAAGGACGAACAGTATTGTCAAAGAACTATTTGGCAGCACAAAGAATTCCAGTAGCCATCAAGAGGATAATGGCGTTTATGGAGGAGAGTCTGATTCGTATCACAGCGGCAATCAAAGTCTGCCCAATAGCAGTAGTTTGAATGGAAACGGGAAAGGAGGACTTATTAGCGGTAAAGGTCGAACATCTGGGCAGCCAAATGCCAGCGTAAATACACAAAAGGGTTCCTCTATACCGAACACGAACCCAAACTCAAAAACCAAAAGGGGAGGATTGGTGAAGCCAAACAGAGCGCCTCCAGGAACACGCTCAGCTGAGAGAGCAATTCCTGCAGCAGCTTATGGTGCTCAACACCGTCAAATTTCATCTGAGATGCTGGTAGCTAGTGCCTCGAACAAGGACATTTCCAGTACAGGTCAATCATCCTCATCGAATAGATATTCGTCCAACGAACGATTCGATCGTCAAAGTCCACCTTCTGGGCCTGTTCGTTTGGGCGGAGGAGGAAGAAGTGTGAGCAGCGGTCATTCTAGCGTACGTGATAATGAATATGCTTGGATGGGAGGCAGCAGCGGAGGAGGAGAGGCAGGTATGGGAAATGAGATGGATTCGCCAGGACTCAATCAAGAGGATCGTAAAAGTGATCCAATGAGCGATCATTCACAAAGACAAATGCATTTGTCTTCGGAATCTGATTCGTTCGGCGGAGGCAGAAAGTTGGGCAATCGTCTTAGCGAGCCTGCAAGAGGCGGGGATCATGGATCATATTTTGACAACAATCAACAGGAAAGAGATCATCTTTACTCCAATCGTGATCAAGACCTTCTCCTTAGCAATGGCGTTGCAACGGGAAGAGAAGCCAGTGCGATGTTGGACGCAGCGCGGTTGAGTCAGTCAAGGAGGCGGTAGGCAGATGTTTAGGTCGAATAATCACCTGCAGCAGGAGGTGTACATTTTTCTTCATACGTTTTCTTTTCAGTATATCCATTATTTAGCATGTTCATCATCAACAACCTCATTTGTAAACACCTTTGGCTCGCAATTACTCATGATTTTGATACATTCTTTGTCCATGCAGTTTGGTGTGCTATCTGAATATGTGTGATGTAGTATTATACAGAAGTGATCTATTGCATTAGATCGTTGTCATTTATGTGTCCCGATTAGCTGTTCCTGGTTGTCTCCTCGCTTTGATTGAAGGTGATATTCCTGCAACCGTTGCTCGTACCCTTTTTGCAGCGGGTGATGTATTTGCTGAAATATGAGAAGTTGGTCCATTGTCATTCTTGTCTTTCACTTCATCCTTTTGCTTGGAATTATTGATCATTGCTTCAATCTTTCTGCGTTCTCTTCTACCTGCAGGATCATCATATACAATCCTCATGCTTTCCTCATTGGATTGAACGGCAAAAGGATTCATGGAAGAAGACTCATGCATTCCCGCCATCATAGCCTCTCGTTCCCTTCCTTTTGCAAGCATTTCTTCTACGTCTAAGCTGCCAATGATATTCTTGCCACTTTCTTCTTCTGTGCGATCTTCGCTTGTAGGAGTTCTTGATGTCCTCCTACTTTTATTACGCATCGAAGGGGGTAATCTTCTGGTCTTACGATGTGAAGAAGAATTTGCTCCGCCTCCGTTCAAATTTTGTTCTACAGTCTGATCATGACCGTTCAAAAGTTCTAACATTTGATGTGTCGATCTACGAAGAACTTGTGTTTCCATATCGATTTCACGTATTCTCGTTTGACTTTCTGGAGGTGGTTCGGATTTTCGATTATTCTGCTTCTTGGGACTATTGTCGAGATGCATTGGCACATTTGCAGATACGATTCGCTGAAATGGTCTTTTCCCTAGATTAGTTCTAGGGGATTCCAATGGCTGTTTGTTACCTTCATTGCCATTCTGAGTACGTAAGATGGATGACAAATCAGGAACTTGTGTTTCGTTCAGCATAGTCGAATTACCCTCAGACATGACACTGGTATCTGCCATAGCCGAGGTGGATAAATCACGTATAAACTTCGAAGATGCATGAGAGGGCGGAATCCTTCCTCTTTTGTAAATTTCATTGATGAAGTCCAAAGTGACAATCGAAACACCCCACTTCTTTGCTCGACTTATCTTTGCTTCCGAACTTACACTACCTTGAGCGAGTTTACCGACCAGTAAATGTGTATGCTCCCCTCTTCTGAGCGTGGAGGAGAATTTGACACCGGCCGTCTCTAAAGCCATTTCGCACTGATGTCTATCCGGTCCATCGTCATTGGATCCTAAACCGGTTATCGAAACACATGTACTTGCTGCATCTGATAGAGGGAACACATGAGACGAAGGTTGTAAAGCGAAACCTTCATTTGTACCGATAAGGCGTCCTTCAATTAAACATCTTTCGATGAAGAAGTGGGTAACAGGAACACCCAAATGAGCGCCTGAGTCCACATGAACCTTGTGAAGCGGTAATATGTGAAAGTCTGCCGCTTGTGAATCTTGTGCATCCAGTAATTTGGTAAATTTATGTTTTTGTAGAGCTTTAAGAAGCTTAGTGTTCTTTTCCTCATCGCGAAGATCGATCCGGAGAGTTAATTCGGAAAGGCTCTTCTCCTTGGAGTGAATATCTTGCAGGCCAGAAGCCTCATCAAAGACCAGCTCATCGTCATCCTCTTCATTTTCGCCTAAGTGGCTTGTGCTTTCTTCAGCTATTTCATGTGCCTCTTCACGCTGCTGCTGTTTTTCGTTCCTACTGTTTTGACCTACCGAATCATCGTTTGGATGCTCCGGTAGCGGTAGTGTCTCATCCGCCACATCTTCCATTTGATCATCGCCATTCTCTTCCTGTACAGAGTCGGTACGGTACTCATTCGCGGTGGCAACCTTTTCCGACTTTCGACTTTCTTCCATAGGCGTGCTCTCTTTCAAAATGTTTGCCTCAGACGTCGACTGGCCAAGCTGTTCCATCAGTCTATTCAAAGCAATGTTTGGCTTCTTGTTGGCGGGTTTGGGTATTTGATGCTCTTGCATCTTTGATTGTTTAAGTGCGGCTGTTGGATCTGAAAGCGTAGCTCTTGCCATATTCATATTGTTTGCCGTCTTTTGAGCAGTCTCTTTTGTACTCTTTTGTATTTGGGCAATAAGATCTGATCTTTTGGCAGGCAAAGGTCTTGGTTGAGTGATTTGATAACGTCTTTCGTCTATACATCCATTGACTGCTAAACAATCGTCTAACCATTCGATCCAAACGATTTTTATCTTCATTGCAGCACGCATCAGTGGGGCATCTTCCGCGTCGTCCGGTATATCTGCTGCTCTTCGAAGGTAGCGTTCTGCTTTCTTGAGATATCTTTGAACGACTTGCAATGTTTCTGATGCCTTGCTTTCCTCGCATAGCAGATGGGTGAATGTGCCGTCTAATTTGAACGTCTGAGGAGTACTGCCACCTGCGCCTTTGATCTTTTGACGAATTGCTTTACGTTTTTCTACGTCCATCACACCTGCCATTGCCATTGTTAGACCTTGAAAGGCATCTAATCGATATTCTTCCATGAGATCGTTAAACATGATTGGTTCTGCTCTTTGCCATCTTCTTCGTAAATCTTTTAACCACTCAGGTTTCAAGACAGGCATGCCTAATTTGATAGCCCAATAATATTTCTCTGAACCAGGTTGTTTGGCGATCAAATGTGTTGTTCCTTCTGTTAGATTGCCTTCTACTTTTGCACCTAACGCCACAGCACATTCATGCAAATCCACTTTTGTTTCATCAAATCCTGTCGTACAAATCACACATCCGACTAAAGGAGCAAGATCGTCACCTTTACCTTCTTGCTCTTCTTCTTCATCTTCTTCCATTTCCTCATCCTCATCGAATGAATCATGATCGATTCTTCTTTGTTTACCGGCAGCTTGAGCGACTCTATTCATCATATAATGTTTCATTGCATCTTGTTCTGCTTTCCAATCTTGATCCGTTTCATCTTCTTCATCATTCTTTCTTGGAGCAGGTCGTAATTTCACATTTGGCACTTTTGTAGACCGATGACGTCGTGCTGAACGATTCATCTTGACAGAAAGTGTTGATGGAAGTACATCAATGCTTTTGATAACCACAAAGTACTTCTTGTGTTGATGTCCGACAAGCTGAGTAAAGTTTTGCTTTGAGAGAGGAAGAGTTAGTGGAGCTAAAAATCCTTCAATAAATGCACAGTTGTCGCTGGTTGTGTGAACGCGTTTTTGTTGCTGGATACACTTTGTGTTTTTTTAAATGTCACACCTTACAAACGCGTCGCGTGAGGAAACTTCCCGATAATTTCAGTTGGGCCCTACCGAACCTTCCCAAAAACACCAATATGGAGTACTTGCTCCCTTTTGCTTACTAAAATTCACACACACAAATCAGACAGATCAAATGATTGCTAATGAGAATCTCGTATTGAGTGGTGAAGCAGTGACATGAGAAGAGAAAAGAAAAGGAAAAATATTAAGATACTACAGGTTTGAATATGATCGAGAGCAGTTTGATTTTTTGGAATCTCTATAGGGTGTCAGATCGCAAGTGCATACATGATAGCCATTGACGATCCTTTTTTTGTACTACTTCATCAATGTGTATAAGAGAGTGATAACAGTTCACTTTCATTTTTGAGGATTGAATTACAAAACGAAACAATTGACTTATTCCTTCTTTTCTTCTTCGGGCTTGCTTTGGTTGTTTTCAGCTTCTTGGTTACGTTGTTCATAAACCTTCTTAAAAATACCCAAGCTTGCTTGTTGTGTTTCGTCAATCTTTCCTTTAATGTCAGCAGCAGTGATTCCTTCTTCTCCTGATTGTCCCTTTGCGGCCAATTCTTCCAATTCTTTGATCAAGGCTTGTACCTTTTCAGCTTCAGCCTTGTCAACCTTGTCGGCGAATTCCGTTAGTGCTTTGTTTGTTTCAGCAGCAACAGATTGTGCGTGGTTGGATTCTTCAATAACTCCCTTACGTTCCTTATCAGCTTCGGCGTATTGTTCAGCATCTGAAACCATACGTTCGATTTCATTGTCAGACAATCCAGATCCTGCAGCAATGGTCATGCTTTGATCCTTGCCGGTTGCCTTGTCCTTAGCGGAAACGTTGACAATACCGTCAGCGTTGATGTCAAAGGTAACCTCGATTTGAGGAACACCCTTTGGTGCTGGTGGCAATCCAGTCAATTGGAAGTTACCCAACAATTTGTTGTCACGAACCAATTCACGTTCACCTTGGTATACTTGAATATCGACAGCGCTTTGGTGGTCAGCAGCTGTAGAGAAGATTTGACTCTTCTTGGTTGGGATGGTTGTGTTTCTGTTGATCAAACGAGTGAAAACACCTCCCAATGTGTTGATACCCAAAGACAATGGGGTAACATCCAACAACAAGATATCAGTCACTTGTCCGGACAAGACACCACCTTGAATGGATGCACCAATGGCGACAGCTTCGTCAGGGTTGACACCCTTGGATGGGTCGCGCTTGAAGATATCCTTGACGGTTTCCAAAACCTTGGGCATACGGCTCATACCACCAACCATGATAACATCTTGGATGTCTTGGGGCTTAACACCTGCATCAGACAATGCCTTCTTGCATGGTTCGACGGTACGTGCGATCAAGCTACCGACCAACTTCTCAAGTTGAGCACGGCTCATCTTGCTGTTAATGTGCTTGGGTCCAGATGCATCGGCAGTGATGTATGGCAAGCTGATATCGGTTTGCGACGTGCTTGACAATTCAATCTTTGCCTTTTCAGCGGCTTCACGGATACGTTGAATGGCCATACGGTCTTTGCTGATATCAATGCCGCTTTCCTTCTTGAATTCGTTAACCAAGTGTTCGACCAAAACAATGTCAAAGTCTTCACCACCCAAGTGTGTGTCACCGTTTGTGGATTTGACTTCAAACACACCCTTTTGCATTTCCAAAATGGAAACATCGAAGGTACCACCTCCCAAATCGAAAACAGCGATAACACTGCTTTCAGACTTGTCGAGACCGTAAGCAAGAGCAGCAGCGGTAGGTTCGTTAATAACACGGAGAACGTCCAAACCAGCAATTGTACCTGCATCCTTTGTTGCTTGACGTTGAGAGTCGTTGAAGTAGGCAGGGACGGTAATGACAGCGTGCTTAACTTGTTTTCCTAGATATCCAGCAGCGGTTTCCTTCATTTTTCCGACGACGAAAGCACCAATTTGACTTGGCGAGTACTTCTCGCCTCGTGCTTCGAGCCAGGCATCACCGTTTGAGTGAGGGACGATTTTGAAAGGAACGTTGTGCAAATCCTTTTGAACTTCCTTGTCTTGGAATTTACGACCGATTAAACGTTTTGTGGCGAACAAAGTGTTTTCTGGGTTAACGACAGCTTGACGTTTGGCTGGTACACCGACCAAACGTTCACCGTCCTTTGAGAATGCAACGACGGAAGGTGTAGTTCTTCCACCTTCAGAGTTTTCAATAACACGGGCTTGTTGTCCTTCCATGACGGAAACACATGAGTTTGTAGTACCCAAATCGATACCGATAACGGGTCCAGTAGGTTTACTGGAGTTGAATCTTGCACCGACTGGTGTCAAACGAGCCATTCCAGTTGTGTTTGATCGCAGTGGCTGGGCCAACATGCGTGTGGCAGGCGCCGTAGCGCTTCTAAGTCCCCTTGAGAACATTGTGTGATATATGAATGGAAAGAGGGTGATGGCCTACAAAGAAGATCCCTTGTATGCGAATTATGATGAGGTGGATGTAGAAGAAGTTACAAAAGTGGCGGTACCGGCTCTAAACGGCTTGAACTTGAATCTTTGATTAGGGCAAGCACACATCTTCTTTATGAATAGGCAGGCTTATTAACTGACGCATACGCAACCTTCCAAAAAAAAAAGTTGCGAAAAAATTCTCGCCTGCACAGGGCCAGGAAAAAAGAATCTCGTGATCGAAGCATACAGAAGCTAAAGAAGTTTGGAGAGAAATTCTAATGCCTTAAGCGGAGGTGTACGTAAGCTAATTTCTATAGCGAAAATATTACCTAATCCATAATCAATATTAATATTAGCGTCATTGTTCTTCTCATTTATGCAAAAGATAGGAAGCATGCATATGAAGTCCTGTCTATGGTCACATCCGCATCCTCAAAGTGATATTAGATATACCCAAAATGGGCGTTCGTTGGTTGACGACGTATGTCAATGAAGTAGAAAGGGTGGTATCAAATGTTGTGGAACTTCCATGCATAGAAACAGAAAGAGAGCAAAGTGGAGCAACTTCAGAGCGAAACGATCACGATAGACCCACACTCGTGGTTGATTGTTGGGCATTCATCTTCAAAGTATGGCTTGATCTCTTTGGCGATTCTATTCGTAGCCTGGATTATGAGCGATACAAAGAAGCCGTTCGTACAATCATAAAAGCATGGCTTTCGACTGGGTGCAAAGTTACTTTTGTGATGGATGGTCCATTTCTCCCATCTAAATTACCAACGATCATTAAAAGAAGAGCAACATATGCAGCATGTAATCATGGCTTCATGCACTCCTCACCACAATCTAGAACATCAAAAACGCTACAACTAAACTCACACGTTATTCCACCATTTTTGCATTCTTCTACAGTAGATGCAATCAATTCTTTGCAATCGGAGGGCGTCCGTTTACTATTCTCACCAACAGAAGCAGACAGTCTCGTGGCAGAGTTGGCAACAGAGGACGGAAACGCTATTGCGGTATCACAAGACTCGGACTTCTTCATCCTCTGTTCGAGAGGTAAAGGATGTCAAGGGTATGTGCCATTGGATGGCATAGAGTACATCTCAGAGATTAAAGGAGAAAGAAATGGAAATGGTGTCGCGGACAATGGAAATTCATTTGACGATGACGATGGATTTCAGCAGGTTGGAAAGAAGAAAAGAGGTGGCGGCGGTGGTGGTTCACGTGGAATGAAATCATTGGCAAATGCCTTGCCAACCGGTTTCGTCGGTAAAGAGGCGACCAATCACCCTCCCTCATTGATCAAAGATGCCAAGGGTGAACTGCTCTCAATACGTTTACGTGCTTACAGTCCACAAAAGCTAGCTTCGCATCTGGAGTTACCGCCAACCCTCCTACCTCTCTTTGCAGCAATCGTTGGCAATGATTATACAACAGCCATTCAAAGAGATCTTTTCCTACGACACATAGAAGGAAGCAAACGGATCCCTCTCGTCGCTGCTGCTATTCGAACAGAATGGCTCAGGATGCAAAATGAAGCAAAGTCTGGCAGCTCTTCTGGCAGAAGAGGGCAGGGAAGATTAGCCATGTCATCAACCCAGGATTTTGATGATGGCAGAAGTGATGTTGGATCTTCAGCAACTGCAACACCAACACGAAATACACCCGGTGCAAACAGGCCTGCTTCGACGATTGTGCCTACTGATCCTGTTCGAGCTTTGGTAGACTCGGTCGTGAGCAGGTTGTTGTCGCAATCAGAGACAAGTTATAGAAATCCACGAGTGGTCGCATCAGGAGAACGTGAATTGATTGTTGACTCGATCATTGATTCAGCAGCAACGTATACACTTTTGACGCATAGTGATGCACCACATCTTGCCAGTCCATCTGCTGCCTTCTTCGGAGAGTCGATGTCCTTCTTGCTTAATCGTCGAGACGTTGATCGGATCGCTGCTCCTAAGGCAATAAAGAAATATCGACAAGCTTTCGAAGCAGGTCATTTCCGCGAATATCTCATTGAAACACTCACACAAAGAGTGTTCATCACCAGACAATTACCTGAAGATCCTGAGCAACCTTCAATCCACTCTAATGCTGGACGTGAATTGCGAGTATGGATTTATGCCGTTCTGTTCGAAGTATGGGGAATGGGTTGGGCACGCAAAGAATGGGAAGAACCAGTAGTTCCGACCACGGATGAAGACGAAGAGAGCGAAGAAGGTTCTTCTAGAGTACCAATCTTCCAACCTGATCGCACCTATAAAGAAGGCGAGACACCAGATGATGTCATTTCAGTAGATACGGAATCTTCAAGCGAGGCAGAAGAGGAGGCGGAATTGGAAGAGCTTCCCACAAGACCCGGTTCTGTAATGGAAGAACGGGAGGCAGACAAGCCTGCTCCGGGTGTATTGGAGTATGTCAGATCAGGAACGCTTTTCAGCAAGGTGTTGGTACGCATCCCATCAATGTCGGAAATGTTGCGTATTAAAGGAAAAGAATTGCCAACATCACTAGCAAACGTTGTGGCTCGCCATGAAGCAAGTCTATCAAATGGAGGACCCGATGGAAAGCAAGGTCAGATACCCGAATCGGACCCTGCTCCAGAGCCAATTGTACTGATGCCAAAGGATGTTCGATCGGATCTGTTCTTGCATGCACATCATGCTCATACTCCTGCCATTATGGCTTTGCCCAAGCAGTATTGGTTGGTAGCAAGCGTGATGCGATATTTGATCATAAGCGAATCTGAACGGCTCCAAGCCTCCAACAAACTTCGATCGAATTGGTCGTTTGCAGAAGTAAAAGTGGCAGTAAGCAGTATGTTGGCTCATCAAACACTTTCCAAAGAATCACTCATCTCTGCTGATGAACGAATCAAATCCGTGTTCCCTTCAACAAGAGCCATTCATCTGTCTACTTGTGTTCAATTGATCGCCGAACTGTCAAATGCTCTAGGACAAACACTATTGTTAACGCAAGACGATGATTGGGTCGAACCGCACACATGTTTCTCTGGTCCAATCTTCCATCTTGGCATGGCTCGCATTCATGATGGAATCGGCGAAGAAGAAGAAGAGGAAGCAAACCCGATCGTTGTGAATGTTTTGGATGCAATCGTGGAGGGATTGCAAGGTCAACTTGGTTTAGATGCATTAGATATCAAGAAAGAAAGAAAAGCGAAAAAGGCAGCCAACAAAGCTGCTCGATCTACCGAATCTACGGTCAAAAAGATTACCACTCCCGCTAAAGCTGCTCGTAATGCTTTTGATGCTCTTATGAACAGTGAAAATTAAATGTAGATTATCACACACACAAATAGATATTTTGAAACAATGACATTGATCTGATTTTGGTGAAACACGAGAAAGATGTGTTTTGTCTAGTAAATTATATATGAACAGAGTACATGGGAAAACGAGAAACAAAAGACGAAACAAATGGTGCTCTTAATCGATACTTTCCATTGCGCTTTCACCAGTTGTTGCTTCAGCAGCCTTGTCTTCTTGTACTTCTTCAGCAATTGGTTCATCATCAATGGACAATCCCAAACTGATCAATTTGTACAATCTTCCGGCGAAGTCACTTGGGTTTTCCAATGTGAATCCACCAGTCAACAAGGATGTGTCGAACAAGAGGTTGACCAAATCCTTCAAAGTGACATCGTTCTTGTCAGCTTGTGTCTTGCGCATCAATTCTTTGATGATGGCATTGGCTGGGTTGATTTCCAATGTCTTCTTGGATGCCATGTATTGGCTCATGCTGCTATCACGCAATGCTTGTGCTTTCATGATACGTTCCAAGTTAGCGGACCAACTGTATTGACCGGTAACGATGACACATGGTGATCCAACAATACGGTTGGAAACGACGACCTTTTCCACACGTTCGCCCAAGATTTCCTTCATTGCCTTGCACAATTCTTCGAATTTCTTGGATTCTTCTTCGCGTGCCTTCTTCTCTTCTTCGGTTTCTTCCAAGTCCAATCCTTCCTTGGAAACGCTGACGAGCTTCTTGCCCTTGAATTCCTTCAATGCTTGGCAAGCGTATTCGTCAATTGGGTCAACCATGAGCAAGACCTCGAAGTTCTTCTTCTTGAGCAATTCAAGGAATGGAGAGTCCTTGACAGCTGACATGCTTTCACCGGTCAAGTAGTAGATGTTCTTTTGGATTTCTGGCATACGTGTGATGTAGTCATCCAAGCTGGTCAACTCATCTCCACTCTTTGTGGATGGGTAACGCATGAATTCAGCCAACTTCTCGCGGTTTGCGGTATCTTCGTGGATACCCAATTTCAAGTTCTTTCCGAAAGCTTCCCAGAACTTGGTGTAGTTCTCCTTGTCTTCAGCGATTTCGCTGATCATGTCCAAAGAGCGCTTGACGATGTTCTTGCGGATGACCTTCAAGATCTTGTTTTGTTGGAGGGTTTCACGAGAAATGTTCAATGGCAAATCTTCAGAGTCAACGACACCCTTGATGAAGTTCAAGTATTCGGGGACCAATTCTTCAGCATCTTCACTGATGAAGACACGACGAACGTACAATTTTAGGTTGTTACGCTTCTTCTTGGATTCGAACAAGTCGAAAGGTGCACGCTTGGGGATGTATAGCAATGCCTTGAATTCCAATTGACCTTCGACGCTGAAGTGCTTGACGGCCAAATGGTCTTCCCAATCGTTGCTCAAACTCTTGTAGAAGGCTCCGTATTCTTCAGGGGTGATGTTCTTGGGGTCACGAGTCCAGATTGGCTTGGTCTTGTTCAATTCCTCGTTGGAGGTTTCATTGACCTTGACCTTCTTCTTTTCCTTCTTCTTGTCTTCTTCGTCTTCAACTTCTTCGATCTTCTTGTCTTCATCGTGCTTTTCATCTTCTTCAACTTCCTTTTCGACTTCCTTGGTAACAACCAATTGGATAGGGTAGGAGATGAATTCGGAGTGCTTCTTGACGATGTCCTTGATTCTCTTTTCTTCAAGGTAGTCCAATTGATCATCCTTCAAGTACAAGCGCAATTCTGTACCACGACCGATTGATGGGTTGGTTGTGTCTGGTGTGATGGTGAAAGTACCACCAGCGGCAGACTCCCAAATGTATTGTTCATCATCGTTGTTCTTTGTGATGATTTGAACGCGATCGGCGACAAGGTATGCAGAGTAGAAACCGACACCGAATTGACCAATCATGGAAATATCAGCACCAGAAGACAAAGCTTCCATAAATGCTTTTGTACCTGATTTGGCGATTGTACCAATGTTGTTAACAAGGTCAGCCTTTGTCATACCGATACCGGTATCACGAATGGACAAAATCTTGTTTTCCTTATCAGGAGTGATTCTGATGTACAAATCCTTTTCAGTTTCCAAAACTGAAGGATCAGTTAAAGCACCATAACGAACTTTGTCCAAAGCATCTGAAGCGTTTGAAATTAATTCACGCAAAAAGATTTCTTTGTTTGAGTAGAAAGTGTTGATGATCAAATCAAGCAATTGACTGATATCAGCGGCAAAGCCAAAAGTCTCTGGTTGTTGAGACATTTTTGTATGAGATGTAGATGCGTTTGATAGATGGGATGAATACGCTACTACTGGTATATGATGGTGGTCGAAGATGGATTTGAAGTTGAAATGTCTTGTAATTATATGTGCATGCAATCGAGAGAGCCCTTCTGAGCAAGAGAACAGCATGAGAAGTTCTTTCGGTCACTTCATCTATCCATTCAAGGCACTTTACCAGTATAATGTTTAATTTACGCCACGCACAAGCGAAAATAGTAGAAGATTCCCCAAGCTTCTCTCAGAAATTATTGTTATTATGTAAGCAATGGTCTGATCGCAGGTTAGAGAACTCTATGCTCTAGGCCTATTACACGTGATGATAGACTGTTCTCAATGCCACCTCCTTAGAATGATGACGCAATAGGCATAGAACATGGTTCTGATGAAAAGAATGTATTTGGTGAGATCGATGGATCAGTATTAGTAGAGTGATAAAGAAAAGAATGTGATGCCATGAATATGGATAATTACCAATCAGAGGGCGTTTGAAGGAAAGTAAAGGGAAAAGTAAAAAAAGAGAGTGTAAAGGTTGATGGTGAGAAGAAACTCTAAAGTAGTATGATGACAAGGGATAAAACCTAAAGAGAGGAAAGAAGGGAGAGAAGAAAGCATTATGAACAAGAATGGTAAGCCCAAGCTAGAAGCATGTTTGTAGAAAAGTTTGGTCATTATTGACCGGGTATAAAGCAGAGATTTGTAGCAGAAGCATAAAAAACCGTGCAACGGCAGCATTTATCTACTTGTTTCGAAAAAGTTTGTAAACCGTTTCATCTTTTTGATCTTTTGTTGTTTAAGTCTGTCGGCAGAATTCACTTCATCCGAACTGGCAAGACTTGGAGAGCCAGCTTTGGTTTGTTGACTGGCTTCATCTACGGATGGTGTCAAGGTGTTCGGCACTGCACTTGCAATTGGCGTTCCGGATTGACCTAGTGAAGCATCACTTTCATTGTTCGCCCCTGTGGCGCTTAAATGACCCTCATTGCCATTCTTGCTGCCTAAAGAGACTGCACTTTCGTTGCCTACGTTCAGATTGCCTGAATTTGCATTACTGGTACGTCCTTTTGTTGATACGCTTCCACCACTTTCTCGTCCAGAAGGTTTCTGTTTACGTGAAAGACGATTGAACGTGGACCTGCCAGAATAGCTTGGAGCCAAGGGTAATCTGGAAGATTCTTGTCTTCTAAGAAGCCTATACGTATCAACGACACCACGTGCGAACAAATTCTGTCCTTTGCCGCCATTGATCTCGGACATGTACTGTTCACCTGTAGTAGGAGCATCAACCATATCCCAGTCATCATCATCCTCTTCACGATCAGCCTCAGTGATTGTTGCAGGTGGAACGCCAATTTTGACAGTCTTTTGTTGTGTTGCACTGCGTGGTGGCTTGGTAGGTGAGGCTGAACGGGCTTCATCTTTTGTACCTCCTCGCAAAGGTGTTGGCGGATTGGACAAATTGGCTTCACTTAATGCCGCTTCACGTTCTAGATGATCCAATGCTGCCACAGCTGCACGAGCGGCGGCATCATCGTCATCCTCTTCGACAATATGTTTCTTAGAAACGGGTTCTGACGTTGAATCTGTACTGGCAGTAGTATTGGCCGAATTATTGGCAGGCGCAAGAATATCATCACTTTGTTCACTAGAAAAGATTGACGAACGAATGGATCCAGAGTCTTTGCGTCCACGGAAAGAGTAGCCATCAAAGAGGCTCTTACCATCACTCGCCGCTCTTCTGGCAGCAACCATGGCATCGATATCTTTGGATGTTTGACCGGATTTTTGTTCGTTTCCGTTTTCTTCCCCTTCTTCGTCATTCTCACCTTCGCCTTCTTCACCTCCGTTGACAACTGGTTTCATGTCCAAGAAAGTTTCATCAAAATTTTGCGTATCAGTTTCATCCAAAGGATTGGTCGGCGGAATGTAAGGGGGAATGTAGCGTTTATTGAATACGTGATCCCATTCGATCATGCTAAAGTATGGATGCTTCTTTATCCTTGGCTCCTTCATACGTAGCATCGGATTGCGTTGAAGTAATCCACGTAGGATACTCTTTGTATCTTGATCAAGTACACGATCATCGGGGAACACCAGTTCATCGTGCAAGACACGGACATACATATCAGCATGTGTGTCGGCCCAGAAAGGCGTGATACCGGTCAACATTTCGTACAACATTGTTCCGAAACTCCACCAATCCACTTCGTACGAATAAGCAGCGCCTTGGATCACTTCGGGAGCAAGATATTCGGCCGTACCACAAAAGGTTGTTGTCACATCCCGATCGTCCATCCATCTACTCCTGCGACCACCGGAAGTGGAAAAAGCGTCAGATCCAGATGCAGATGAAGTACTTCTTGCGTCTTCCGAGATGCTCATCCAATGACCTTTTCCGTCCTTGCTAGAATGACCTGGAGGTGGTGTAGAACTACCGCCCATATCGCCTCTCACAGGAAATTCTTTCGAAAGACCAAAGTCGGACAATACGATGTGTCCGTCTACACCAATGAGCACATTTTCTGGCTTCAAATCACGATAAATCACGCCAGCTCGATGTAGACCTTCAACACCTTCGACGATCTCAGCTGCATAGAAACGGGCACGATCCCGACCTAATCTGCCCCATCTGGACAATTGGGTTGCCAAATCACCACCCGGATGAAAGTCCATAATCAAGTAAAGATTATTAACGTCATGGAAACTCCACCACAATTTGACCACAAAGGGGTCCATGACCTCTTTCGCCATTCGTTTCAATACTGCTTGTTCGGTGAGAGTGTGTTGCAACTCTTGATGAGCCAGAACATGTCGTTTGTGAATTGATTTCATAGCAAAGAGTCCTTTAGTAGGTTTGTGTCGTACGAGCAAAACCTTGCCGGCACAACCTTTACCAAGAACACGAATCATATCGAAATCATCCACAGTTACCTTTTCATCTGTGCGCTTCTTTTGTCTTCTCTCACGTTTGTGCGAATTTGCTGGATCGTTGGCGGAGCGGGATGAAGAAGCTACAGCGCCGTTGTTTGCATCGTCACCCTTGACGATCTCCTGTTTTTCATTTTCTTCGGGGATGCCTGCAAAATTTTTGTTCTTGCGCACTTCATCTCCTCGATTAGAACGTTCGCCGTCAGTTGAAGAAGATCTTGCTCCGCCAGAGGCATCTTGTCTATCTGCACGGAAAGAGTGACTGGTTGAACGACCACTGAAAGATCGATCATCGTCTGTCCGTCCACCTTCTTCTCCGATATCGCTATGACTTGGCGTAGCAGCTACGTTTGTATTAGCAGGGGCAACGGCAGATTTGACATGTTTGGCCAAATCGCTTCGGATTTTGCGTACTCTTCTTTCAACACGAACACTTTCCAAATCATCCGAGCCTACACGTACAAATCTTTTCCATGCTTTGTGTCTTTTCACCAAAGGTAAATTCGAAATTGTTGTCAAGTAGGTTGCCAATTGTGTTGTGGTAGAATGAGCAGTCGATCTTCCAACACTGCTTGGATCTTCCTTTGCCGGCGAGATAGGAGCAGAAGGGATCGATGCCTCTTTGCTCGGAGAAGCTGTTAGAGAGGCCGGGTCTAACGTTGATCCGCTGTTTGCACTTGTCAATTGAGATAATCCAGATCGATTTTTATGTCCACTGGGTGAAAGTGTTCTTGAGATCGTTTGTAGAAATTTGCGACCTGTCGGAGCAGCTTGAGCAACTGGCAAAGAAGGCAAAGCAGGTATACCACTAGCAGAAGAGGATTGATTTTCACGTATCCGTTGATCCAATTCGACCAAATCTGTACTTGATCGAATCAAAGTGAGATTATGGGTTGGTGTGGTGACGTAAAGCGTATAAAGATGAGCACTGGGTTTTGCTTTCTTTCGCAACAGATCACGTTTTTCTGAATGTGTTCCTTGTTGTGCTTCAGCAACACTTACACTCCATGGTCCATCCTCCCTTGCAACAGCGGCCGCCGCTTCAGGACTAAAGAGATTTCTCTTGTTCGATGATCCTGAAAAGTGTGAATGTCCATTCAATGCTGATAAAGGCGTCTTTGATGTCACTCCATCTGTACTTTGTTGTTTCTCAAATAGACCTTTAACACTCGCCCGCGTTGTTGTTCCAGCCGCATTAGTTGTCGCAGAAGTGTTGCTCTTGTTTGACAAAGCTGAGATTGTGTTGAACTTCTTTTGCGAAGAAGAGTGTGACGAGAGAGTGGCAGAAGGTGTTGCAACAGAAGGCATGATGTGGGTTTGGTTTCTTTGATTCTCAGATGTGCATTCACGCGCTGATGATGAGTTCGTGTCACTGTTCTATCCTGTTTTGTGTAGAATTTAGTTGTCGTTAAATTTCGTTATTTTCCCGATTGGTACATCACCAGTTTGCACTGATGACACGTAGATGATAGGATTCGGTTTATGATGGTATATTGTTGAGATGTCGATTTAGCAATCTTATCGTGTCACAATCTTGCGTGTGAGTGTATCAACGTAAGAAAGCACAACAGATCTTCAATTCTTTCTCGAGGGGGCGTAATTGATGATAACTTGAGTGTGATTCTGATGAACGATATCGACGTCAATGTGATCGAGTAAAAAGTTGTTTCTGTTTTCCTCTGTGTTCTTTTGAAAAGTCGTTGATATGCAAACCTGAATGCACTTTGTCACAGCTCACCTTTTGTTCTGTCATACGCCAAATAGTGTGAGTGAGCGTGTGTGTGCGTGTGCTTGTGTGCAAGTGTGCAAGTGTGCGTTTGTGTGCCAGTGTGTATGTGCTTGTGTATGCGTCAGGGTGTTCTAGTGAATCAAATAATTATGCACTGCTGTTTTTCTGTGCACACACACATGCACTCAGCCACCACCCTTTCATCAACCCACGGCAAATATTGAATAAAAGCTGAAAAGATGCCCGAATTGTGTGTTTCGCGTTGTGTGATTTCCCCAAAAAATACCTCTTCTTATTTATTCAAGCTAAAAAAGATTACGTAAGAAAGAAGAACATAACCCTGATTAATATTCAAATAGGGTGCAAAATATCATCTTTAAACATTTTATCCTCCTCAATGAATAGTATAGGGACAAAGAGACATACTATGATGTCGTTCTGCTAAGAAAGATATCATAAGCGGTGTCACTTGAGAAAAATCGGTATCCGAAAGGGCCTAAAAACAACAGCCGAAATTAAGGGCGATCAATCTTACCGTGTGTGTATATAATGAAGTTATTTATGTGCTGACAATTTCACAGTGTCAAAGCAATAAAGGGTGTCATAATGAAGACAGCGAAATCCAGCACAGCAATCGCAGTATCCTTCTCGTGCATCGAAGTAGTTCATTATAGTTCATTAAACAAATAAAAACATTTATGTCTGCATATTATCTTTATATTCGACAGATCAGAGAAAAATCATAATTTCGGATCAATGGAGGGACTTCCTCTAACAGCACCTTTTAGTTAGCCGAACAGGGTTTTAATCAAGATATTGATAGTATGTTCGAATAGTATTATCATTAGAAAGCAGAATAAAACAAGAATATTACAAGATTGCGAATCACGTCTTTTATATTACTGAAAGAAAAACGCTGTGCTTTGGAAAGATCGAGTGATGGACAGTCGGAGATGGCCAACAATAGAATGTTCAGTCGCTCTGTTGTACAATGATGAGTTATAAAGGTTTCCTAGTATATGGTCTACCATGTAAGTAGATAGAGAGAATGAAGCTGCTACAATTAAAATGAGAAGACCGACTTCCAAGAATTCACGTGAGGTGATGGCGCGTCTCGAATATGGAAATCGGGAAATGCGCTTGAATAAATTTATAATTTTATGTTTCATAGCTTGAACATAATTCTTCCAAGAAAGAAGAGAAGTTGCATTGCATAGTCTAATACCACCACAAAGACAAATACAAGCATGGTCAGATCATATCTACGGCATGAGCCAACACAGGCTTTTGGTTTGATTTGCTCACCTGCTGGAAGGGCTACTTTGGCTTCTGATGGAAAGACGGCAACCGTGGCAGCTCTTGAAGATGTTTTACGTTGGGACGTTAAAACAGGTGAACAAATGGCAATGTGGCATGAAACAGGTCATTCAAGTCCAGTGACTGCAATTGCACATTCACCACAATCAGGCAACCAGATCGGGGGTTCTACGTCTGATTTATACGCTGTAGGATATGCTGATGGATCTATACGGGTATGGGATGCACTTTCATCGACCGTTCGACTCACGCTAAATGGACACAAAAGTGCGATCACTGCCCTGCAATTCGATCAAGATGGCCTCTTACTCGTCAGCGGAAGTCAAGATACCAATATCACATTGTGGGACATTGTCGCTGAAAATGGTCTTTTCAGATTAAAAGGACATCGTGATGCAATCACTGATTTATCACTTTTACGATTACCAGTCGTTGGCGAAGGGGAAGATGATAGCAAAGAACCTTCAACATCTTCAAATCAACTCGGATACAAGAGTCTTCTCTGCTCCACCTCAAAGGATGGCCTACTAAAGGTTTGGGACCTCGCATTGCAACACTGCCTAGAAACTGTCCTGCCCGGCAAAGGAGAACTTTGGAGCTTATCAGTCTTATCTGCCGATCAGATTGGTGCTCCAAGTGGTACCGCATTGATACTAGTTGGTAACTCAGAAGGAAAACTCAAGATTTACGAAGCAAATGCAGCTGCACTAATCTCCGCTTCAAACTCGTCTGGCGGCAAAGTTCAAGAGCTTCAGTCTTCTTCTGTCAAGTTTTTGGCTGATCATGGTCAGATAGACCTTGTGGGAGGAAGACGTGTTTCGCAGATAGGCTTCAAAGCTATTCCTGGTACGCAAGATAGTCGTTTCATCGGTGTCTCCGCTAGTGATAAAAGTGTTGAGCTCTTTCGCATTCGAACTCAAGATGATATTCGAAAGAAGATGGCCAGGAGGAGAAGAAGGGCAAAAGAAAAGGCTGAAAAGAAGAATGGAGCAGCATCAAAGGATGCTGACGAAGCTGATACAGTAGCTGCTGAACCAACATGGCAGGATCGCCTGGAAGCTTACACCATCATTAGACCTGGAAGAGGAAAGATAAAGAGCTTCGCATTTGCTGAGCAAGACCAACAAAATGCATCTTCTTCAGCTTCTGCGTATCGTGGAGCCATCCCGATTCTCCTTGCAATGGCTAATAATTCCCTGGAAGTGTTCCATTTGCCTATGCCAAAGAAGAACAAAGAAGAAGGTGAAGCTCCAACCAAAGAAGCTACCTTGGTGGCCGGCTTGGATCTTGCAGGTCATCGATCAGAAGTGCGAGCGATCGCACTATCATCAGATGATTCACTGTTAGCAACAGCAGACAGTGCTGGTAGTTTGAAAATTTGGAATGCAGCATCGGGTCGTATGGTACGCACCTTGCCTTGTGGCTATGCTCTTTCACTTGCTTGGCTACCGGATGATCAACATGTGCTCGTAGGCTGCAAAGACGGCACTCTCAAAACGTATGATGTTCGTTCTGGTGTTCAACTGGAAGATATTCCTGCACATCAGGGACCGATTTGGAGTGTAGCAATTCACCCAGACGGTCAAAGTTGCCTGACAGCCAGTGGAGACAAGGATGTCAAATTTTGGGAGTTCGAATCGAGATCTCAAGAGGAGGAAGAGGAGGAGAAGAGCGAACAAGAAGATGACGATGACGAAGAAGAATCTTCTCCCAAGTCTTCTGCAACTTTAGGTCTAGCGCATATCCGAACACTCAAAATGACAGACGATGTTTTGTGTGCCAAGTTCTCGCCAGATGGACGATTGTTAGCACTTGCTTTGCTTGATTCTACCGTAAAGGTATTCTATGCAGATTCGCTCAAGTTCTTCTTGTCTCTTTATGGCCATAAACTCCCCGTTTTAAGCTTGGATATTTCCGGAGATAGCAAATTATGCGTCACCGTAAGTGCCGATAAGAATGCAAAGATTTGGGGTCTAGATTACGGAGATTGTCACCGTAGCTTGTTCGCACATGAAGAGAGCGTAATGGCAGTCGCATTCGAGAAAGGCGATCAAGGAGGTGGTTTGATGGGAGGAAGAGAAGGTGTTTCTCATAGATTCTGGACATGTGCAAAAGATGGCAAGTTGAAATACTGGGATGGAGACAAGTTTCAATGCGTTCAAACAATGTCCGGTCATCATGGCGACGTTACAGGTCTTGCAGTTGGTTCGAAAGGCACTGTGATCGTTAGCGCGGGCTTAGATCGTAGTATTCGTGTTTGGGAAAAGACGGAAGAACCACTGTTCCTGGAAGAAGAAAGAGAACGTGAACTGGAAGAGATGTACGAAGGCGGAGGTCAAAAAGAACGTGATGACGATGACCGTCAATATGGTAGTTTGGCCGAAGGTAATGAAAACCAAGGTCAACCTAATGGAGAGGTGAATGAGGTTGAAGGTGTAACGAGGAGCACAAAGGAAACAATGTTGGCCGGAGAAAGATTATTGGAAGCTATCGAACTCGCAACAGCCGATCTCGAAGGTTTGGCAGAGTATGAACGTCAAAAGAAGACCACTGGTTTGAGCCTTGCTCCTCCTGCACGCAATCCGATCATCAATCATGCCTTTGGACCAGGAGAGGATGTCGATGTACATGCATACGTTCTCAAGGTAGTCTCAAAGATTTTGCCTGCTCAATTAGACGATGCACTTTTGGTGCTACCATTTGACGGAGTGATGCGATTAATGATTCATTTGAATTATTGGGCAAGCAAAGAATGGAATATGACTTTAGTGGCTAGAATTTTATTCTTCCTTTTACGCAATTATCATGGTCAAATCGTTTCTAATCGAATCATGCGAACGACATTGCAAAGTTTACGACGTCATTTACGTGCTTCATTACAACGTCAAAAGATGACCATAGGTTACAATTTAGCCGGTTTGCAATTCGTCAAAAGCAAATTGATTGAAAAGAGAACAGATGATATGTATATGCGAGATGGTTTCGATTTGGACGAGGAAACCGTCAAACAGAGATTGGAACAGAATGTAGCCAGAAAGCGAAAGATGGTCGCTTGATCGGCAAGTTGTATACAATCTATACCAATTTCATTGTTCATGCAAATATTCGTTGCTCTTAGACTGTCTTTTTTGGTGCTGTATTGATAAGATAGGTTCGATGTCAGGGTTTTTTCTAATTCATAAGTTAATTTCCCTACACAACACTTACGGTAAGAAACGTCTGCAGGGCAAGAAGAATTTGTGGTGGATTCGACTGGTAGGTATTGTCCATGGATGAGTGGTCCTCGAACGTTGAAGAAATACCAAATTTCAGAAAGAACTCCGTTGTAGCATCCAACGTAAGGGACACCACCATGTTTTTTGGCCAAAGCGTTTTGAATGTCGATCAGCTTGTATGTTTTTGTTGAATCGGGTGTGATACCTGCTTGTGCCAGCCAATCGTAAGAAGGCAATTGTTTGAATTCATGAACGATTTGTTGGAAGTAACCCACAACAGCAGCTGAAGTTTGGTTAATGTAAGGTGAAAGGTCCAATTGACATTTTGCACGTAAAGTTGAGAAACAAGTTCCATGTTTGTTATATTCGTGCTCCCAGAATGAAGGTTCATTCTCGTAGTAAGTACGCATGTAAGCTAACAAAGAAGGATCGTATTCTTGAATCAAAGCTTCAATTTGTTCTCCACTCTTTTCTGGAATACCAGATTGAGCTGAGCAAAATTGTGGATAAGTACCATCACAGTAATCGGGCCACAAACCATGAATTGTGAAACTGTCCGGAGGTCCGGTTGTCAAGTTGTAGAATTGAGTTGATAGAACTAAACCACTTTCTTTGTTGCCAGGTGCCAAAGCACCGTTGTAGCAACATGTTCCGTATGAGTCTGGATTGACGGGAGAAGTTGCATGACATGAAACTTGACCGATGGCTTTTGCACAGCTGAAGCCATCCGAAGGACTTGGGAAAGAGTTGGGAGAAGCGATGATAAAGGAAGGCAAAGCGGCCAAAGAAGCGGCCAAAGTAAGAGAACCCAACATGATGCCAATAGGGAGGAGGAGGGGGTGATGTTCGGAGTGAGAGGTAGTAACGGGGAAGCTATGCCTTATATCTTATCTAGCATTGCTTTTTCTCTTTTTCTTCTAGTCTATCCTGCATTCGTTCCTGAAAAGAGTGCGGACCTACTTCGGCCCTTTTGCTCTTTGGATGAAGTTCTTTGAGAAGAGAAGATAGAGTGAACGTGCTAAGTATGCAAATCATGTTGATGAAACACATGTAACCAATGCGGGTTTTGCATATTTTAGCTTCTTTTCATCTTTTTCTTTACGCTAAAATTCAAAAGCAAAGCCGTTGACTGTTTGGTCAGCCTAACAAAATCAGTGACAGGCCTTGCTGACAAGCAGTCAATCATTGCTCAACCACGTTGCCTGAATTTTGAATTGTACCTGGTGTCTCGGCCTAGATGCCGTATGGTCAAGAAGGACGGGAACATACATGATCATGACCATCTTATGTGCAGGAACGGGAAAACGTGATTTGTTAAAATACATCAAATATATAATTTGTGAGTGGAAATTACAAATAAGTACAGGGCAACGAATTGTATATGCAATAAAATGTGTACAAGCAATAGTTACACTGAGCACTCTTCTCTAGACCTCTTCATCTGATTCTTCTTGAACGGCTTTCCATTGCCGTTTACGAGCATGACTTTTGCTTATTGCCATATCTTGATGTTCTTCCAAGAAACGGGCAATCAATGTTCGATCAACAGTGTGAATGTAGTATTTTCCACCTCCATCCGCCCAGCTAACACATCCGCTCGTGTACAACCTTTGAGCAACTCGCAAGATGGCTAACGGACTTGATAGCGTTCGTTCCGTTAAACGGAAATCCGGTGGCACGAATGGCTTAAGAGAGACGATGTGTGCTCCATCTTTGAGATCTAAAAACTGTAAGGAGAGTTTATCGTTCGTAGGTGCAGTAAAGGCGTAATTGTTCACCAATACGACATCAGCCTTTCGTAAAACATCTCGTACCTTTTCATCTTCTCCAAAATCTCCTTGCCATGCTTCTGTCTTTCCACTCTTTAGTCCCCACATTTTCCATCTCTTTTCCGCTTCAGACACTTGCAAAGATGCAAGCTGTGAAGGTGCACTCATCATTTCACATCCAAATGCTTCACTACCGGTTTGCAAGGCTACTTGTATCAGTAAATTGCCTACTCCGCTTCCCAAATCGACAAAGACTGAGTCAGGTCCCAATTGTGTCAATTGTGCAATCTCTGACATGAACCTTGGCAATAGTTCTCCATACACGTTATCGCTAAATGCTTCATATTTGGATAATTCATCCACTCGAGGCGCAACTGTACGTGCATAGCATTGCTCTTGAATGCAGCGCCATATACCTTCATCAATGCCGGTTTGACTCATGGCCTCAACATTTTCCCTGATCTTGCCAGTCTCTTTTAGAGATCGGAGTGTAGTATTGAACCGCTCGATAGTCCTTAAGAACAGGGGGCCATCTCTGCGATTGCGTGCTTTGGTGAACGACCGTAGAATTGGATCAGGGTCAACGTCTGCGCCATTCGTCGCATTGGGAGTCGATGCTGCTGTTGCACTAGCAATCATTGCTGAGCGGGCAGGCGATAGGGGTACAGATTGAGATGGTCGTGCCGAAAGACCATTTTCACCAAGAGCCGGAAGTGTCGCTGGAGTTCCTTCACGAGAGCTAATCGCAGTGCTCAAAGGTGATAATACTGAACCTTCCCGAGGGGTCTGACTGCGCTGTCCATTCGACAAGAGATTGCCCGCTGCACTACTTGTCTCTAGGCTATCCAATGTTCCAAATAATGCTTGCTGTTCTGGTGTCAGGTAAAACTCTACAATACAGCGAACTGTGCGTAACAGGTCGGAGATTGGGTCGTACTCATCGCGATCTTTTGGAACCAGTAGGATAAACTCTTCACTACATCCATCAGCTGGATATTCCAGTCTCACTCTAGGCTCCGGGTCTAGACCATTGAAGAATGTTCCAAAAACCTTTCCGTTCAATAGACTTGAGCTCTGAATCGCATCAATGTCGTCTCGCGAAGACTGTCCTGCGAACGAGTCGGGATCCATCAATCCACGAGGAACTAGATAATGCTGTGTGACACCAAATCTTCCCAATCGTTTATAGCAGCTCGATTCATCCGCAGAAGCGCCACGTTTTGAGCTTTTGCCGTTCTTTGGTGTAGAGTTTCCAGAGAATAGATCATCATCACTATCATCATCTGAGACTTGTCGCTTCACCTTTTTCTTCTTTGGTGTACTGTGTTCTCGCTTTGCTCTATTTTCGAACGCCTTTTTCTGTCGTATCTCATCTTCTTCTTTTCGCTTCTTCCGCTCTTTCTCTAGCCTTGCTTCTTCTATCCTTCTCCTTGTTTCTTCTGGCAAAGCATTATGCATTCGATTCGAAGAAGGAGCGGAATGACTGTTCGATAGCCCAGGTCTGACAGCTGGTGTAGTTGTACGCTTTACTGTTTTGACAGTGATGCCTCCCAATGGTTTGCGCATCACAGGTTTCGTTCCATTTGTTGGTTTGCCATTTGTTGTATTTGCGGAGGTCGTTGCATGACCATTACCGGTCACATTTGTCCCACTCATAGCTGCTCAGAATTCCCCCTTTCCAATTATAACCAATCTCAAAATTGCATCCTTATCCTTATACCAATAAATAAAGCGGAGATGATGGTGGGCTGAATGAGAGATTGTTCTCTACTTCATCTTCATTATTCTATTTTTCGCAACATTCCGATACTCGTGTGAGCGGGGGCAGTGCAGTGCAGTAGTGCAGTGCATAATCACCCTCTTTTCCGGTTCCGTCGCGTTGTATGAAAATAATATCACCTGTATTCATTGTAATTGTAATTGTATTTGTATTTTCTCAAATTGTATTCACAGAGTTCCGTATCCCGCCTTGAGGAATAATTAATTTTCCATAACGTCCTTTTGTCTTCTCTATTTTGTCGCCATCATTCGATCATCAACGAGTTGCGCTTTCAAAGAGCATGGTGAGTATTAAGGAAGGACTTGCTTCCACATCACAGGATATTGATCAATCTCTCTCCCTCCTCTCTCTTACAGTCGCTACCAAGGCTATTAGCCCAAGTGCTCTTTTTGGGCACACAAATCGTAGGAAAGGCATTCGCAGAAGCAGGAAGGCAAGCTGTTCGTAATGCTAGGGCAGGAAGGGTAGACGCCGGTGCAGCTGGAATGGCAGGAAATGCGTCAACGGGAAATAGCATAACAGATGGACTAACGAGGGCACACAGGATGACATTAGATGAAGCAAGAATGATTCTAAACCTGAAAACTGCCGGAGAAACTGAAAAGGAAGCTTTGCTAAAGAATTACGAACATCTTTTCGCAACAAATGCTCCACCTGCACCTAAAGGAAAACAGGGAGGAGGTAGCGGAAGCTTTTATGTTCAATCAAAAATCGTTCGTGCTCGTGAAAGATTGGAAGCAGAATGGAGAGAAGCAGCAAAGAGAGCCGAAGAAAGGAATGCAGCTCCTGAACAACCGAAAGAGGGCGGACACGATGGCTCTGGACCTTCAGCACCTCAATAAAGAAGTAGTCAGCAATTATCCTCGCCACTCCAATCTTCTTGGGCAAATATCTTCCATCTGTACTTTATTCGTGTTACACCCTTACGCACCATCATCAATCACAACTCTAGACTCTTGTACTAAAAGAAGGACGAACATATCGTGCTCTATTTTGAATAAATAATACTGATATCATAATTGTACAAATGTAAAGTTACAAGGTTTCCTATGTGGACGCCGATTGATTGGTAGATTGAGCAGCAGGATCGCTCGAAGGTGCTGCTTCTGATGAAGTGGTGCTAGTTGCAGTAATTTTCTCTAATTCAGGCTCCTGCTTCAGCTTTGAGACACTGTTTAATATGGACGAACTTGACTTTTGTGCTGCATCTTCCGGATGTTTGTACATTCCTTTGTACCATTTTCCTTTTGGAATAAGACCGGCCTAGAAAGAAGAAGAGGACAAGATGGATCAGTCAGCAAAGGTAGCAAGGTCCATCTCATAGCATCAGAATACTCACCCTATCTAAAAGTCGTGCGACGGGCTTGCTGGGCTGTGCTCCCACACTTAACCAATGGTGAATCCTATTTACGTTCCATTCGATTCGTTTCTCTAGTTTTGTCGCATCAAATTTCTCCAAACCAGAACTTAGGATGGGTTTATCCAAATCTGATTTACGAAAAGAAGGGGCTGACTCTGTTAAGGATACACCAACTTGTTGCCATGCTTGAACGGGTTGATTTGCATTCTCTTTCGGTCTAGGGATCGGATCGTATTCTCCTAGCTTTTCAATCGGTCTAGCATCACGAGCTGCTTTATCGCGAATGGCCACCAAATGATAGAAAGGGTTATTCCTCGATCCGTGTCGGGCTAATCGAATTCTGACGACCATGATGAGTGATGTTCTTGTAAAGACTCTATGTTAGAGAAGGAAGAATGTCATTCAAATGCATTACCTTCTCATTCATTTTCCCTTTCCCTAACGCGCATTTATTTTTTGGTCATGCTCACGTGGTGATCCTTCGCGCTTAAACTGCTTAAGCTTGAGTGTCACTTCTGTATCCCCAGAGTTGGATTTGTTCCTCCACCAACCAATACAACTATATGATGGTCTTGAACTCTATCATTCACCAATGATTCTATTTATGTATTGAGGTGCTATCATGGCACCCATCAGCCAAGATGACAAGGGAAGTCTGCCGGCGTTCCCAATGCAGGACTTACCATATGAATTGCAAGAGGCAATTCTTCGGATAGCGTTTCAAGATCCGAGCGTTTCACGACTTTCATTACTGACGACATGTAAGCTCTGGAAGAATATCATAGTAACGGCACTTTATTCCGATATCGAACTTTGCTCGATACGACAATGCTTAGGATTCTTGGATGATAGATCAAGTGCGAAGAAACATGCTCCTTTGCATACACGCAATCTCACCTTTACGCTGATCGGAGTTCCGGGTGGATCGACAAGAGGTGGCAGAGAGAGTGCACCTAGTTCTCCAAATCTTGGTTCAAAGAAGATCGATGAGAGGTTACGTGGAAATAATCGATTATTGTTGGCATCTCGAGCTGTTCTTCTTTGTCCATTGGTGGAGCAATGTACTTTTGAAATGTTTGGAGTCCGGCATTCATCTTTACTCACTTCTTCCGAGTACTTAGATGAAGAAGCAAACACGTTTAGATCAGCATTGGCGAATCTCAAGCATCTGAAGTCATTCGCATGGATCACACCGAGAGTCAATCATAACTTTGTTGGATTCAGTGTCGCAGTTGTGGATTTGGCAATTTCCCCAATGGTAGAAGGTTTACAAGCAGCTGCTACCGATATTGATGATGCTGGCAGGCGAATCACGCTGGAGAAAGGAAGCTTAGACAGATTTTCACACCCTCTTCAACGAATCACACTACATCATTGCATCTTTCCTACTACAGCTTATCCTAACGAATCTCTCTTTCTTCTCTTTGCACAATCGCATCCCGATGATGAGGATTGGTTATTGTTTCCACAACTTCAAGAAATTGTCATTCGAACGGCAACTAACGTGGATCCAAAAGCAGTAGCATTTTTGGCATTAACCTGGCAGTTACGATTAGATTCTTCTATGATCGAATCCCATACACAGGTCGTTTTGCATCAACTTCAACACAAAAAAGCAGCGAAAGATCCAAAGATAGTCTTATCGGATACATTCGAGAATAGTATTTGGGGGCCTCGTGTGACGAAAGATCTGATCGACTTGCATTTAAAGGCTTTTGTGATGGACGTACAGGAACCCAATAGTCCAGAGCAGCCTTCTGCAAACCCACTCATTCGAGCTCTAGAAGAGAGTGCCAATACACAATCTACTTTAAGCAAAAAATGGAAGACAAGGCTACGAAAGCTGCAGGAATGGCAAAGGAAGGAAATCCTTCACCGAGCTCGTGAAAGAGTGGTCATTTCGAGTGTTGCCGATGCGATTGCTGGAGCTGGATCTCGATCTCAACAATAGATGGACTTCAGAAATAGACGCAAGACAGGTACGATTTTTAAATCTCTATTTCCATTGTATTTCTATTAATCTAATCATGCTTTACGTTCTTGTTCAGTTGCTTCTTGAACGATTCCGCTTGCTCCTTCTGCGATCTTTTCTCTTCGTACTTTGAATCCTTTCTCTGCTAAAGCACTTTTCACTTCCTCTATTCCCACCTCTTTTCTGTGAAAAATTCCGGCAGCCAGTGCTGCTTCAACAGACGATGGCTCGGCTCTTTGTGCGAGTGGCTTAGCAGCAAAAACTTCTTCAAAATGTTGAGCTGATCCAGCTCCTGAACTTGCAACGACCGGAATAGAAACGCTTCCACGTACTAGATCGATCAATTGACGATCAAACCCTTTCGACTGTCCATCTTGATCGATACTGTTGACGAGGATCTCTCCTGCTCCAAGTGTCTCCACTCCTTTGGCAAGCTGGACAACATCTATGTCACGATCTTCTCTTCCACCCTTGATTGTGCAGCGGTACCACCATCTCTTGCCGTCATATCGGGATCCTTTCTCACCTTCTACAACGCAGGCAAGGTGAGAAGGATCCACTTCTTCGTCCTTTTCTACATACACACGACGAGGATCTATCGAAACAACAACTGCTTGTTTACCATATGCCTTACTGATCATTTCGATTCCCGTTTTTCCGGTCAAATGATCTTGTTTGACTCGCGCAACATCTTTACTGCCAGCACGTTGTAAGAGCTCTTCGACTGCCAATACAGCCTCTGATCCAATGCTGACTTTATCTGCACCTGCACGGAAGTACTCATCAGCAACTTCTTTGGCAGAGTGCTTGGTTCCATCAGGGTCAACGCTGTCCTTTATTCCACCTCCGATTGTGAGTGGCACAAAGATGCTTGCAGCAGCATTGCTCAAGACTGACAGCATCGGCTGATCTTGCAAAGGACAAGAGCGGAATGATGTGATGTTCAGGAAGACGATCTCATCTGCTCCTTCAAGGTAGTAACGCAAAGCAAGGTCAACGGGCTTTCCGAGGTTTCGCACTTGCCCACCTACTTCTTTTGCCTCTTCTTTTTCACGTACATCATACGATTCACCTTTTGTCACAACCAAATCTCCATCATCGTTACTGCGAACGTCCAAGCATGCTACCACACGTTTTGTAAGACCATCCGTTTGAGCTGGTTTAGCAGCTTGAGCAGGTTCTACGATCCATTGATCGTCTTTCACTGCTGATTCTTCACTTAGCCAAGCACGTAAAATTTCTAAACCAGCACGACCACTCTTTTCTGGGTGGAATTGTGTCGCATATACGTTCCCTCTCCGTATACTGGATAGAAAGACTTCATCTCCATATTGTGTTGTGGTCAGAGCCCAATCTTTATGTTTTTCGATATCAAATGATGCCCGATAAGAATGGACAAAGTAGAAGTGTTGACCGGATTGGTAGCCGAATTGTTTAGCTGATGTTCTTACTGGATTTGCTTCATTCCATCCCATTTGTGGGACGGATTTGATAGCACCGGTGCTTGTAGAAGGACCAGCATCGAATCTGTCCACTTCGCCCGGAACAACTCCTAGACCAGGCACATTTGGTGCTTCTGTTGATCGTTCAAACAATGCTTGCATACCAATACAAATTCCCATATATGGCTTTCCTGATGCGATGAACTCTTTCAAAGGTTGAGAATATCCTTGCCTGTTTAACGATTCCATTGCCGGACCAAAAGCACCCACTCCGGGAAAGATGAGCTTGTCTGCTTTCTGAATATCAGCGGGTGACTTTACCCATTCGAAATCATATCCAAGCTTTCTGATAGAGTTTGCCAAACTGCGAACGTTGCCGGCACCATAATCGAGCATATACAGCATGATGAGTAGTATTAATTGTATGGTAGGAAGAATGAATTATTGTTTAATCTTTTGACACTAATTTTTATTTATTTTTAATCTTTCGGGCGCGGGCGCAGCGCAGCGCAGTGCATTGTGCGCACAGGCTTTATGACTAGGTAGTAGAAAACCGTAGAAGCAGAGCCCAACAGAAGAAAGAGCCTTACCCTACCCTACGCTACCCTATCTAAAGAGATTAGCAGTAGCACTCAGTGGTGGATGAATGCAAAGTGGAGCCCAAATGCAAAAGCAAACAGATTATCTACACGCTCGCCATCATTCTTACTTCTTCACTTTACAGACACATTATTGACTCCAATCTCTTGGCTGACAATATCCTCCTTCTTTGCTATTCCTCCACTTTTGCGCCACTACCACAACGTCACGGCTGAGCCAATCAACAACACCTAAATACCAACAACTAAACGCCATCCACAGATAAAACTCTACCCAAAATGCCTCCAATGGCGCCCGATGCACCTTCTCAAAAGCCAGCAGAGCCAATCTTGCATTCGTTTCCATCAGGAGACGATTTATCACAAGCATTGGCAGATTTCGTGATCAAAGCGCAAAATGAAGCAATCGATCGTAGAAATAAGTTCACTTTAGCAACTTCAGGTGGAAGTTTACCAAAGATCCTAGCTAAATTTTTGGTCAATCGATCGGATGATGCTGTCCGTTGGGATAAATGGCAAATCTTCTTTGCTGATGAACGTTTGGTTCCTTTGGATCACGAAGATTCAAATTATTCTCTTTGCGAAAAGGAGTTCTTCTCTAAAACCCCTTTAAAGCCTGCTCAGATTCACAAAATCGATGAGAAATTATTGGATGATGCAGAAGAGTTGAGCGACGAATACGAAAAGCAATTGGCAGAAGCATTCGCAGGAAAGGAATCCGTCAGACTTCCCGTCTTTGATTTGATCTTGTTGGGTATGGGACCAGACGGACATACATGCTCCCTCTTCCCAGGTCATGAATTGTTGAAAGAACGTAGCCGATGGGTTGCACCAATCGAAGATTCACCAAAGCCACCACCAAGAAGAATCACACTCACTCTTCCTGTTTTGAACAAGGCACACAGAATCGCATTCTGCTTGACCGGTGAAGGCAAACAAGAAATGTTATCAAAAGCATTGGATCAACCCGAATTGGGTCTTCCAGCCAGCCTCGTTCGTCCAACTCCACCAGGAGATGTTTATTTCCTAACCGATGACGCTGCCAGCAAGACGGTCAAATATCCCAGAACAGAATTCAAGTTGTAAGAAAGTGCGAAAGCGGGCCGATTATTACTCCTCGATACCTTTTCCTCCTCCTCTGTGCTTAGAAAAGACGAAAAGCCAAGGGATTTCTACGATGTTACTTACTCTACTGTAGTATGCTTTACCTACAAATTTGTAAATAGAATACATCCTGCCAGTCTCGACGCTAAATTGTCAATATGTGATTAAATATGGATATTCATTGATGATGACCAAGAGGGAAAAGAAATCATAACAAGAAATAGCCTACAAGGCCAAAAAAGGAAGAAGGGGGGAATAAGAATATATCTGACGAAAGACCGAGAATACAAAAATCAAATGGGAAACCATTAAGCATCCTGTGCCGCTGCCAAGCGATTTTCCAAACTTCTCAAAGATTCTTCTTTTGCCAGTAGTTCTTGACGTTTTTCTTGAATTTCACGTTGAACCTTTAGTTCGATCTCACGTAATTTGTCCTCTTCACGACGTAATTGTTCTTCCTTAAGACGAACACTTTGGTTGGCCAAAACGTCTCCTGGAATTGGTTGATCTGCATAATCTGCATGAACAGTTCTTGAAAGTTTCTCTGAACGGTAGTTTTCGTACAAGAAGTCGTTTGTGATTTCCTTCAAGTCTGTCAAATGTGTGCTCAACAGAGCGCTACGAAGACGGGCAAAGTCGGAGTGTTGTGGGTTATCAACTTCGACAATACCCCATGGGTATGTTCTAGCACGTACTGGCTCTCCGTTCATCACAACTTCTTCCTCTGATCCGATGATTGCGAATGGCATCATACCACGCAATTCACTGTTGTCAGCAATTGTCTCTTCGTCATCTTCTTCGACATCGTATGGGAAGTTGTAGACTGGGATTCCGTAGTGCTCAATATCTTCCATCACCCGTTTCTTGAATTCGGCACGTTCAGAGTGTGTCATTGTGTCAGCCTTTCCGATGACGGGGATGACGTTGACTTTTGGGCTTAATCTGCGCATCAATTCGATATCCATCTCGCGCAAGCTGTGACCGGTAGGTGTGATGAAGTACAAAAGAGCATGGACACGATTGTCGCGGAAACGGGCGTTACGTTTGATACGACTTTCTTCTGCCAAGATATCATCGTATTGTCTTTCAAGGAAACCAACGATTTCTTGGAATGCATATTCGTTATCAATATTTTCGCCGAATCCTGGAGTGTCGACAATTGTAAGACCGATACGCATTCCATCCTCGTCAAGTTCAACATTGACGGGTTTAATGCGAATACCTTCTTCGATATGAGCTGTTTCAGGGTTATCGCACACTTTATGTCCAATCACTTCTGATTCGCAAAGTGTGTTCACAAAAGTGGTTTTACCCGTTCCTGATGCTCCGACTACCATAAGGCAGAAGGAGACACCCTTTTTAGTTGCCCTTCTTCTTGATGCCATTTTGTGTACCTTTTGTTAAAAGTAAATGATGGGGGAAGGAGTGATTTTAAGGTGTAAGTTTTGAATGACTTCTTTGAATGGAAGCTTTGATTGTGCACAGAGGTAGTGTGCTTGTGCGCGCTCTCTCTGAATCCAGCGAATTGATTGATGCCTATAAGTGCAATCACGCTAAATAACGTTCTTTTCATCAATTCAATGGTGCTCCTCATTACACTGCGTTTGCGCCGCCGATTTAACACAATTGGAACACCAAAGGGGTAATGGCTCAGTCTCTCTCGAATTAAAGTGCTTGATTAAGAAGCTTTGCTTTTCGCCCTCTAGCGCAATTCAATTAACCTAAACGCAGGGCCGCACAGGAGGCAAGCCTGCTGGCACACTCTGTATTCTGTTCCGAAAGTTAACCTCACGTGTGGTAAAGCTACCTCCCGAACTCATTCTCCGCACGGACTATTACGAAGATGTTTGTGTTTTGACAGCTTCTTCTCCACTTCCTTTGCTTCAATGTGATCATCAGATCCCATCCTCACTGACAACAATAATGGGTATCGCAGTATCTTCACTATGGAAGTCACTCTTTGGCCAAAAACAATTGAATATATGCATCCTAGGTCTTGACAATGCGGGAAAGACTACATTGACATACCAAATGACTATGGGACAAGCAGTTTCAACCGCTCCTACAGTTGGTAGTAATACCGAAAATTTCACATACAAGAATTTAAACTTTCTACTTTGGGATGTAGGAGGACAGGCATCTTTGAGGGCAAGTTGGTCTTCCTACCTTGCAAATACAGATGCGGTCGTATTTGTCTTTGATTCGACAGATGGAGAGCGGGTTGGACTAGCGAGAGAAGAATTGCACAAAGTAGCAAGTGACGAGGTGGGTGATGAGGTCTCAACTAAATTTAGTACACCACTGACTATTCTCGCTAATATTTCTGCACACAGTCCATATCAAAGGCACCGATACTGATCTTTGCCAATAAACGTGAGTATATGCGGTTGTAAGTCTTGACATTCAACTTTGGTACTGACCGGTTCCTCTCTTTCCGTTCCCGCAGAGGATGTGACTGGTTGTATGACACCAGCAGATATTTCGGAGTCTCTTTCTCTAACTACGCTACGATTACAGAATTGGCATATTCAAGGATGTTCCGCTCTAACGGGATCGGGGTGAGTATATGCCGATACGCTAGAATTGTTCATTTTCTTTGCTGACATCTGTGTTCATTTGCTCAAAATAATGTCAGATTGAATGAAGGTTTAGATTGGCTAGCGACAAGCTTAGGTGCTCAAGGATAATGAACTTTACATAGCATTTAAGATTCGGAACTTTGTCAAGATGGGGTCATTCTTTGTACTTTTACACAAATTTGATAACAAAAGAGGAAATGTAGGGAGAGAAAAGGATTTTCTGTTACTGTAGAAAGGGGCTTAAACGTGATTCTTTGCTAATGGAAATGTTCCTGCAGACCGGAAGACGGCGGCCACGTTGTCTGCTTGATTGCATTTCCTACAAAAAGAGAATTGAATCATGCTTTTCTCGGTACCGTAAACGTGTAAAAGTCACAAAAAAGCGGAACCGTGGCAAACTTTGTCATTGGCTCTCATGCCATTTGTCAATTGTGGCGGAGAATATGCAATAATTTATTGTTCATTCAAAATCAATTTACTCTAGAAAAATGCTAGTTAAATTGAGTTTAAAATCTCTTTCTTTACCACTGATATGAATTCAACCAGATAACTTAATTTCTCAGTATGATTTCACAAAGAATTTAATTTCAACTCAGAGTTGGACACTCTTGTCCGGATTCATAATTTACATAAAAGAGGGCAATGTCCTTCTAAGAATCTACTCCTTTTCCCATCTTCAATAGCTTATCAACATGAACACTTCAAAAGACTACTCCAGAATGGAGCATATTTCATTTTCACACCACATTCCCCAACATCCATCAGGATCAAGTGGACAATACACATTTCACGAACAAGGAATGCATGCCCAAGACCTCATTCATTCCAGAAATGTGGAATTAACTGCAGATTTGAGTTCAGCAGTCATGGCACATCCACCAACTGAGATGACCAGACAAGGATTCTCAAATAGCAGTGATGGTATTACACATGTGCCTTCTTCTGAAGCGATGATGATAAACTCTATGAGAGCTGGGAATGAGGTTTCGAGATCAAATCGAAGATTCACCATTGGCACGCCTGTCCAACCAACGGAGTTGATTGGTCAATTGACTGAAGATCGAGCAGCTGAAAGCTCTGCTATGACTGATCCCATAAACAATTTGTGGAGACGCACTTATCAAAACGCTCCTGTTCCTGTTCGCGGACTGCTAGATGGATCAACGTGGGAACAAAGCTTAACGAACGATTCCATCAGACCTTTCAGTTCACCCGGTTGTTTAGGTACGGGACAAAATGAAGATTGGTCAACTGCATCAATGAAACCATTTACCAACAATGAAAATGAACGAGTTCAACATACTAAAGTGGAATTAACAAATACTGCAAACGATTTAGCCTTTTTCGAACATCTTACTTCTACTGATATCACTGATGAACTCAGAGAAATTTCACCGGAATTCTCTTACGATGCTTTACATAGACAAGGCTCAAGTGTGATAACTGATGAAGCCATAAAGACGTCCACCGATAGCAACACGTTACCATCTTCAGCAAAAGGAGCGAAAAAGATCACTTCATCCACCAGACCGGCCCGGAAAACAAAGAAAGAAAAAGATCCAAACAGATTGGCAGATCGTCGAAAAAGACGAAGAGAATCACACAATGCGGTAGAAAGAAGACGAAGAGATTTGATAAACGATCGAATTGCCGAATTAGCAATGCTTTTGCCAAAAGATGATTTAATGGACGCAATCGCACATTCTGCAAGTGGTGGAACGATGCCACATATTAATTTGAAACCATTTTTACCGCAAAGACAAGACCTTTTACAAGATAGTTTGTTCATTGACGGTCATCAATTAGAAGCAATCGCTCAAAGCAAACCAAACAAAGGTATCATCTTGACCAAAGCTGTAGAGTATATCCGTTATCTTCGTCATGCATGCGCGATTTTGCGTCAGGACAACGAAAGATTGCAAGCTGGAGGTCGATTCGACAATCAACACCTTTGAAGGGCATGCTATACTTCGAGCAATTCTGTATGCTCTTTCCTAACACATGTCTGGACCCCGGACCCCAACCCCCCATTGTCACGCTTGTGGAAATATGGATTTAAATGCTTCATAATATTCACATACTCCTGTCAACGTTTGAGCTGATTTCTCTGACGCTTCTTGAATCGATCCACAGCTGCAGCATCAGAAGCTGTTGGCCGCTTTCTATGTTCTGCCATGGGCTGTTGTTGCTGGTCATCTTCATTAGCTTTTTCGAGTGCTATCTGTTCTGCGTCGGATTGTACTCTGGTGTTGTGGCGGAAGACTGCATTACAAATCAAAGAGAAAGATTGTTAGTTCTTGCATCATGACTGACAACCAAAAGGCATACTCACATCGTGCTGCTGCAAAGTCAGCATCATCTTCCAGCGTAACCATTCCGTTTCTCTGACGAGCTCTAGCTTCTTCCATTTCTCTTTTTGCCCTTTCCGTTGCTTCGATATTTCGCATACGAACTTCCATACCCAAATCAACTTCTGGAACGCCTGTCAGCATCGATGTACTGAGCGATGCATTCCCTTCATCCTTTTCTTCATCAGGTATGGGAGCAGCAAGAGCTTGCATAGCATCAGCATACTTGCTAGCGGAGGAGGTCGCATTGATATTACCCTTTGCTTGTGCGATTGCATCTTTGGCAGATTGTTGGATTGCCTTGTACTTTTCTGCAACTTTATATAACTCATCCTCTGCACTGTTGAAAGATCCATTTGAAGTGTCTTTTGCGTTAATTGCTGCTTCCACGGCGGCATCCATCCTTTGACCTTGTCTTCGTTTTTTCATCTCTTCTTCGATATATGCCATCATATGCTTGTCTACATCGACAGTGCCTGTTTCTCCTTGAAAATTATTCTCTTTCAATAGTCTGGGTGCTGATGACTTTTCATCTCCATCTTCATCATCGGATGAATGAGACTTCTTTGTATTTCCACCAGATGCTCTATCTGCTTGCAGCGCGTCTCGGCTTACCAAACCACCTTTGCGCATTTGTTCAGCCCATCTGTCCTCATCCGTTTTTGCTGTGTCTGGTTTGTCATCATCTTTTCTCTTTTTCTTCTTCTTCTTCTTTAGCTCTCCCTTATTGAGTCGTTCTAGGTCGATACCTTGAGGTTTTGTACGCATGGATCTTAGAGCTATCAGGTCATCTAGAGCTACTCTTTCCTCGTCATCTTCTGCATCAATGTCTTTGACTTCTCCTGTAATTTGATTCGTATCATCTCCATTTTTCCTGCTAATTGGCTTTGATATCCTTCCAGCACCACCCTTCTTTTTCTTGAATAATGGAACTATCGATGGACCTGCTTCTGCTTCATCGTGATCACTCATCATGTGTGAGGGTGAGAGAGCAAAGTGGAGTAAATAAACCAAAAATAAAAGTTCTAAAAATGCACAGACTAACAAAAGACATTCAAGTCCGTTCGGCTCTCGTTCCACAAAATAGAGGATAACGACCGAAACAAATGGGGGTTGATCAAAGCTACTTCAGGAAAAGAAAGACTTTGTTTCCCTCTGACTTTTCATTTTAACTTCTTGCCTTCATCATGAACCTCTTTCTTGCATCATCATAACCTTTTACCATCAAAAAGTCAAAGGTTGAGTTGCTTCTTTCCGAATTTCAAGATCGACGACGCGTCAAACACTAAAACAGCAACGCTAAGCATTCAAAAGTCAGAAAGGAGGAGGGTGAGTATGATAGCTTTTGAAGATGACAATCTCTTAATTCGCATGAATGACGACAAGGTATCTTGTGCATTGTTGCGTCGTACAACACGAACACCGCTGTGAGAGAAACACTTACATCTGCTCAAATGACTTTGAAGTGATCTCTGGGTGTGATGAGACATGCATGAAAACAATATTATTTCATGTTGACAAACATCTTCTCTGTCACTTGATTGATCACTTTCAAGTTTGGATCAGGATGGCGGTTTTGTGTTGGATTGCGCCGCGTTGGGTTGCACTGCACTTCTTACACTTTCTCATTTAACGCGTGCGTGCCTTTGACGCTCAGCCTTTCCTTTCCATTCGCGTTAACGCTTGGCGAGATCAATCAAACGTCAAAAGAAGTGTGATACTTTTCCACGGTACACTGTCAAAGTGCATGATGGATGCACCATGCACAAGACATGACTTTCTCGCATTTACACTGCTATCATCATCATCATCACAAATGTTTCATCATCATTCTCTTTGCTAAACAATTGCTCACTCTTGCGACTGCTTTCACTCTCTTTCACAGCACGGAATCCCGGCATCACCTATGATTTGCTAGATCAGCTTCCTTTCTATTCACCTCTCTGATCGTGGAAGTTGCAAGAATACCACCATTATAATACAACAATACAAACATGGCAGAAGGTGATCCAGATGATGTCACTACAACACCTTCGCGCATCTCTGTTCAGGCATTGATGTCACCAGCACAATCTCCAAAGCCTACAGCAAATGGAAACAGCCCAGAAGTGAATGGAAATCAAAGTCCAAGTAAATTGTCACAAAAATTAGAAGAAGAGAATCATGCAGATGAAGATGGAGATGTTGAATTCGTTGACGCGAATGAAGGAACGTCTGCTTCACGTATCAATCCTTCCCGCAAAGCAAAATCGATAGCCACAGAAGAAACGGCGGAAGAGCTACATGCCACAGCAGGACAATCGGAAAATGAAGATGAAGAAGAGGACGAAAGCTTTGGAGTAGCAGGACAGGAGCAAGATGAAGGAGTGGAAGATGACGAAGATGACGAAGAAGATAGCGATGAAGATGAGGAAGACGAGGAGGACGATGACGACGACGACGAAGATGATGATGACAGCAGCGAAGGAGATACCGCAGAGGACAAATCGGAGATGGAGGGTGTAGAAAAGGCAATTGGAGCAGAAAATAATTCCGAGAGTACGACAGCACACAAGGAGACAAACGGCAATTCAAGCAGCAGTGCGCAGCCGATAGAGAACGACAATGCGGAGAAAGATGAAGTCATGACAGATGCACAGAAAGAAGATGGAGCAGAAAAGAAGGGAAAGAAAGGGCTAATGAAAAAGAAGCTGAAGAGAAGGAGTCCTTCCGTAGAGCTCGTTCCTGCTGGACCACCTCCTCGTCCAACAGTACGAATCAAAATCAGTCTGGCGAAAAATGAAGAGGATGCATACATGACCAATATACCCGATGAGGTGTACAAAGTACTTAAAGAAAAGGATGATGCTTGGGCAAAATGGTATGCAACTACGCTGCCCGCTGAAGAAGAGCCAGAGGAAGAGAAAGAAGGCGATAGAGAAAATGGAGATGGGGCAAACTATTTGGAGGATTTGGGAGGACTAGCTCGTCTACTGCAAAAGTATCCCGTTCAAGGTCCAAGTGATGGAAAAGGGAAGGGCAAAGGGAAAGGAAAGAAGTCGGAAATGGAATATGAGATTGGGGAATATGACACAAAAGATCCTTTCGTGGACGATTCAGAACTTAATGTTGATGAGCCAACATACTCTGCCAAGCCATCAGCATCTGGCTTCTTTGTCGTTGAGGGAGAGATTGAATTGGAAGAAGTGGAAAGGAGTAAGCTGGAAGCTCAAAGAGAGGAATTGCTGCTACTCAATGCTGGTAAGCGTGGACAGATGCCTGCCGGTTTCGGACAGACTGATCCAGGACCTGATGGAACCGATGCTGGAGGAGCAGGAGCGATCTATGTGGAAAAGGGTGCAGATGCAACCAATGCATCTGTTATCAATACAATGTTGAGCAGATATGCGGATGTTCTCAAGATTGCTCCACTATCCGAAGAAGAGCAAGCTGAGGAAGCAAAAGAAGGAGAGACAGAGAATGGGAAAGACGGGGAGAGAAGTGCACCTTTTGCTCCTATTCAAGCGATCAAGTACCCTACCAAACCCGTTCCACGAAGGCTGGAAAAAGAGTTTATTCATCTTCGTCAATTAGCAGCAAAAGAGAGTTGGTTGAAAAAGTCCAAATTCCCTCCAGATCTTCGCGATCCTTTAGTGCGTGCAAGTATGGTAGCCATTGCATTGGACGAATTCAACGACAATTTCTTCAATTGGCTACCACAAATTTTTCCTTATAATCGACATACGTTAAACAAATACGTTCGAAGGCAAACATACAACGATCATGTTGCTTTGATGAAAACGTTTATGGATATGCAAGAAAAGGGTATGAAACGACAGATCGACTCAATTCATGAAGAAATGACGAAATCATTTGATGAAGCCATGATTGCTTGGCAAGCTAGAGGCAGCAGAGATGGAACGCCAACTGCGAGCGGGAATGTCAATGAAGAAAAGCCCGCTGAAGAAGCTGCGGAGAAAGAGCTAGGAGAAGGAGAACTAGACGAAGCAGATGAAGATGGAGCAAATCCACCTGTGAACAAAAATGACAAACCTGTCAAAAGATGGCCATGGACAGAGCCTTTACGTGAAACATTGTTTACGATTATGACGATCGATAATGCAATGACGGAAATCAGAACGGAAAAGAATGAATTGGAAAATTCTAAGGAGAAAATGAGCGTGATCAATGCACGTAAAGCCATTTACAAACGCTTGATTGAATTATGGCCAGAATCAGGACTAACGACTACAACTGCATTATCAAATCAATATGGATTATACAAAAAGAAGGTGGACAAATTTGCCCTCATGCTGCACGGAAGTACAGCAGCGAATGGGGTGATTGTACCGTAATCTTTCATACTCTTTGGCTTTTTATCACTCTCAATTGTACTCCTTACCATCACAAATCTTGTATTTTTTTTCAAACATTACCTCACAAAACGCACTGTAATAGTCTTTTAATTAATGTGGTAATAAATTAATCTCTTTGAGAACATTCGATGTCCGGGGCAATCTATTCACAATTTAGCAAAAAAGTGTTCCAGGTAAACGATTAAAATTTGTAAATTTGATCGGGTTGATAACCTGCATCGGCCAACAAACCCTTGAGATCACCTTGAGATCCTTTTGGTCCTTTACCACCAGAGATGGCTTCCACTTGAGGTGGTGGACCGCAAACGAATACCTTGATCTTGTCTGCCTTTCCTGGAGCTGGCATATGTTTGCTGATATGTTCAGGTGTGACGTAACCTTCAAAGTGTTCTTTTCCGAAACTCTTTGGTTTCTTGTCTAATCCATAAACCACATTGAAACGTTCATCGTTCTTTGCCAATTTATCAAATTCTTCGCGTAAGAGAATATCCTTTTCTGATTTGTTTGTGTAAATCAATGTAACCTTTGTCTTATCACTTTTATCATTTGCGATTGCTTGAATCACTTGCCACATAGGTGTAATACCCGTTCCGCCTGCAATCATACCAACGTGTTCCAAAGTGTTTGGCTTGTATTGATATTTGTCAATTGGACCTTTAAGCAAAAGTTTGTCTCCTGGTTTGAGAGAGTGAATATGGTTTGTCATTGCACCATTTGGGTATTTCTTGATGAGCAAGTCCAAATGACCTTGAGTATCAGGGCTGGTGACGGGAGTGTAAGGACGAATGACATCTTTGCCATCTTTATCCTTTACACCTTCACCTGCGCCCTTTACCAAAAGAGCAGAAGCGACAGTCAAACCGGAAGCAAGGTTCTCTGGCAATTCAAAAACGAAAGTACTTGAATCGTGATTATAAGGTCTAACTTCTTTTAAGACAAATTCTTTGAATTCCTTTTTGTCTAGAACGCCAAGTTGAGATGAGACTGCATTTTGCACATCACCAACTTTTCCTTTTGTTGCGCCGTTCAAGCCACCGTTTAGGTAAACGTAACCACCCAAACCTGCCACACCTCCTAATCCCAAAATCAAAGGAAGATTAGAAGATGCTTGAGGTGGTGGTGGAGGGGGAGCAGCTTGTTCCGCAAATCCTCTGATTGCTTGACGAGAGATGGAAGATTTGAATGGCATTGAAGCCGCTGCTGGACGAGCAGTGGCTGATAAAACAGGTCTAAAGATTGCAGATGCCATCTTTGTCTAGAAATAGAATGGTGGAAGAAAGGTGGAAGTACCAACAGGCCATACTTCTTACATCGTCAGATTTTTCGCGCACGCGCCCATTGATTCATTTTAGAAGAATGGAAAAGGCGGGTAGAAAGGCAGAGGAAACGTGTGGAGGATTCATTCGGCATACGCTTATGATATTCCGTCATCAGATACAGGACTAAGAAGATGGGGCACGTGTCTATTCAATTGACCATTATAAGAGGAAAAGATAAAGAATAGATAAAAGTATAAAAGTCATCTTTAATGAATAATCGAAGCCATGTTCAGACCTGAAGGAGAGCTATTATTGTCATAGCGATGAATAAGATATATTAGCCAGGTTGTACGCTAATCATACATAAGCCAATAGAATAGTTGTTGAACAAAACGCGCCACCCACGTGTCATAGTGCGGGTGCATTGCCACACTCTAACATTCTGTAGAACAAGTAAAACACAATGTGCTGATGCCAGCAATTCTCTTTTAATACAATGACGATTCTTTTTCCAGACTGATCGTGTGCATCATTCCGAACCGATTAGTTTCAGAATCACCCTCTCATTCTACAGTAGCATAACACTACTGCATCATTCAAAACACTTGTTTGATAAAATCAACAATTATTTCATGGCGCATACTATTCAGAGTCAAGCCAAACTCAAAGCAGAATTCTTCCGCACAATCATGCCTAAAAAGGGCAACTCAAATGACTATCAAGTTTTTCTTAGCCGTCTTCACAATAGATATAAGAAATGCAAGAAAGCCGAAGCTCGCATTGATGTCGTTGACTTAGTGGAACAATTCACAATAGGATTGAATACAACTTATTTAATCATGGCCCAAATTGAACTTAAAAAGTTGGATCAAGCTACTCGTGATAACACCCTCACAATGGAATTGTTTCACCAAGCTTCGGTAGAAGTCGGCCGCACTGGTACAAGAAAGGAAACCTCCGATCATTTGTATTCAGTCATTCACAATGAAATTTATGGTCAAAAGACGAAGGAAACTCTCCCGACTGCCATGACCAATACGCAATCAAAACGTCCTTGGTGTGATCATTGCAATAAACCGGGACACAGAAAAGACAAATGTTGGAAATTGCATGGCAAGCCTGAAAATTAACACTACTGCATCATTCAAAACACTTCAATAGTAACACGTCGCGTTGTATTAAATTGTATTATTAAACCCTTCTATTTACCCAATGAATGTGCTAAGCTTTGTCATCGAGAATGTGCCCTCAAATTAAAATAAAGGCATTTCAAAGCAGACTAACAAAAGAAGTGGAGCATTCAATAGCAATCGACAACATATGGGGTAATACAATTATTGTCTAATACAAATATATGCTGCTATTCATCTCCTCTTCCCACCATTGACCTTGCTTGCTTGTAAGGTCTCATGCTACGTGGTTATCCTATTAGATCACTATTAACACCTTTTCGAACATTTCACACTTCATCAACAATCATGGCCGTTCAACGTGTAAAAGTGGCCAGTGCAAACGAAGCTCCTAAAAAAGGAAGCTTGAAAGATTTCGTTTTTGCTGGAGAAGGTGATGATGCAGTCAAAGTACTGCTAACAAACGTAAATGGTACCCTCCATGCAACTTCTGCAAAATGCACGCATTACGGTGCTCCTTTGGCAAACGGTGTTTTGACCTCACAAGGAAAAATTATTTGTCCTTGGCACGGTGCATGCTTTGATGCAAAAACTGGTGATATCGAAGAATCTCCTGCTTTGGATAACCTTTTAAGCTTCAAAGTTGAACAAGATGGAAATGGTGACGTTTACGTTGAAGCAGATCCAGAGCAATTAAAGGGCAAACCCGGTGTACCACCTTCCTGCTCAAAATCCGTCAATGCTTCAGGACCTGGCGTCGTGATCGTTGGTGGTGGTTCAGCAGCAATCAATGTTGCAGAAAGTGCACGTAAATCAGGCTTCACTGGAAAGATTACAATCTACACTGCCGAAAAGCATGCTCCTATCGATCGTACAAAGTTGAGCAAAGCTTTGATCGGATCGCCTGAACCGGTCACATGGCGTTCAGCATCTCATTTGAAGAATGTGTTGAATGTTGACTTGAAAGAAGGTGTAAAGGCTACTTCGATTGACGTTCAAGGTAAAAAGGTCACTTTCAACGGCAATGATTCAGTTCCATTTGAAAGTCTTGTTTTGGCTTCAGGTGGTGTTGCAAAGAGATTGCCCTTGCCCGGTGCAAAGGAGGGTGAATTGGAACACGTTTACACTTTACGTGGTGTTGGAGATGTAAGTACACTCTTAAGTGCTGTAGGTGATAAGAAGGACAAGGAGGTCGTCGTCGTTGGAACAAGTTTCATCGGAATGGAAACAGCAATCGCTCTTCAAGGTCAAGAAAAAGTAAAGAGCGTAACAGTAGTGGGAATGGAACAAGTACCTTTCGAGAAGATTTTAGGCAAAGAAGTAGGTGAAGGATTAATGAAAGTTGCACAAAAGAAAGGAATCAAGTTCTACAATAGTGCAGGCGTCGAAAAGATTGACGGAAAGGACGGTAAAGCCTCAGCTGTTGTGATCAAGGATGAGTCAGGAAAGCAAGTCTCTCTTTCAGCAGATGTTGTGATTCTCGGTGTTGGTGCTGCACCTGCAACCGAATACATCAAATCATCTTCTGGATTCCCTGAATTACTCAAAGATGGTTCAATTGCAGTAGAGAAAGATCTGCGTGTGAAGGGAGTACCAAAAGATGCAAACATCTTTGCTTGTGGAGATATTGCTACAATTCCAGCCCGTGATGAACAAAATGCAACTGTGCGAATCGAACATTGGAACGTAGCCGGAAATCAAGGTCGTACGGTCGGAAGAATTCTGGCAGGCGATCAAAACAATTATGATTCTATGCCGATCTTCTGGAGCGCTTTGGGTAGTCAATTGCGCTTTGTTTCAGACGGAAACCCACCCGGATATGATGATATCTATATCAACGGTAATCCCGAAGAATTGAAATTCTCTGCCTTTTATGGAAAGAAAGGCAAGGTTACCGCCGTTTGCACGATGGGTGTTGATCCATTGATGGTTCACTCTGCTGAATTGATGAGAACCGGAAAGATGCCTTCGTTCAGTGAAATCAAAGGTGGTAAAGACCCACTCAGCATTCCCCTTGCAACTTCTAGTTTGTAAATAGATTTTTATTAATGATGGATACTATGATTTACGAGATGCACTCCTTATCTACAGCTTTGCATTTCGAGCAGGTAATGTATCCTCTTCTGACGTTCCTTCACCTTCTAAATCAGGTAAAACGTTCCCAAATCTAAGATCGTATAAGCCAGTAATTCCTCTTCTATGAATACCATGAACCATCATTCCACCGCCTTCCCCACGACTTCTCGGAGTGACATAGACTCGATTGCGTGGTGCTTCATCGCTTTCTGGTACGGTGGCAGATTGTCCTGCTGTTGGACGTAATTCATCTCCAGGTAATACAAGAGGCAGAACGAACAAGTCATCTTCTTCCTCTTCTGAAGAAGTCTTCTTTGCATTCGATTTGATCGATAATCGTTTTCGATCAATCATTGCCCCGCTCGGTGCCACTCCTTGTGGTTCAACGCTACTTACGCCTTCTATGGATGGTGCTTGCGTCGAAGATGTGTTTTCTTCTGGTTCTTTTTCCGTGCCGAATTGTAAAGGTGCAAAGCGTATATGTTGTCCCTGTTGTTGTGAACGTTTTTTCAGGGATGTATGAACGTCTGCTAAAAGGTAATACTGCGGTGGAAATAGAATAATGTCATCACGAATTGCCATAGATAGCAACTCTTCCGGTTTTGCTAATCGTAAACTTGTTGTTTCACTGCCATCTGCTGTCAACCCGGCAGGCGATCCTTGTGCAATACCGTTCTCGCTCATGGAAGACGTAAGTTGACCCAATGCATCTGCCCTGTCCAAAATAGTCAAGAAGAAATGAGTATCGAATCGCTTTGCCGGTCTAACAAGGGTACGTGGAGTTACCCAATTTGAATGATGTCGTAAAGGTGCCAGGGGAGGTAAAGATGTGCTGCTCTTGCTCGATGCAAATCTATTTAGAATCTGAGTGAATGCTCTTGCATCATCATGAACACTTTTACGTAATTGAGTCCATTCGTCGGATGACATTCCTGCTTCTGATGGTCCGACTGCTCTACTAAAGTTTGAAGATGAACCTGATTCAGCTGGAACGAGCAAAAGACCAGTTTCCTCAAATGTTTCCCGTAATGCACATAATCGAAGTGATTCCAAATATTCATCATTTTTGCCAGAGGATGATTTATTCGTTTGAGAGACTGCATGTATATCCGCTTGATCTAATAAACCTCCCGGGAATACTGTAGCCGAGCGAAATGACCCGGTTGCTTTCCTTTGCACCATCAATGTAGCATACTCTGATTGCGTATTAGATATTGGACATAGAATGATCAAAGATGCAGATGGGATTGGAGTCATTGGTTCTCCTTTTGGTCCAGTTTTTGCATCATTGGCAACGACGCCTTTTGGACCTGTAAGTGTTGTATTGGACATTGTAATGAATCTGATTGTAGATCTAAAAGTGGGTATTCTTGGCTGTCGTGATCGTAGTATATTTGAAAAGATGTTCAATGCCATTAATGGTGATGAAAGGTAAAGCTTCCCGTTCTTTGGCAGGGTTTGATTAGAGTAATCGGGTATTGAGTAACACATTTGAACCGGTTGAAAGTGGGGTATGTTTCTTCCGCGCTTCTTAAAAGTCGCTTGTTTGCATTATGTAAGCAAAATATCACAACGCGTTACGTGTACGTGCAAATGAAACGCGTCAATTTACACGTCCAGATCAAACGCGTCAAAGTTGTAATATTTCACAAACACACTGTTGAAGTGCACTTTGTTTCTTTTGATACTGATCATATGCCTCTTTACAACCAATGAAGAATGTCGTGTTGCACTGTTTTTCGTTGGAAAAACTGAAATGCATACTCTTGCTTCTGTTCATCATCAATATTTGATCATCGAACAAGATGTCTTCTTCACAAAGTCCAGAACAAACAAGAAAGCGAAGACGTTCGCAATCATCAAACAGACATTTAGGTGTCGGACCATCAAACAACAATGATCAGATTGAAAATATCTCTGATGCTGGTACACCTTCTGCATTAGCAGCTTCAACTCCAGGTCATATGAGCGATGTACGTAGTAGTCCTCCTCCATCAAGTCTACCCCCTTCAAGTCCTCCTGCTCATTTCAGTGATTTGACAGGAGATGATGACGAAGAAGTCATGGACGATGAACGTGACGCACGTCATCTGGGACACACATACGGAGAAGATGACGATGCAGAAGATGAAGATGATGAAGGTGAAGATCTTTATGGTGATTCAATGGCAAATGATTATACAATCAATCCTGACTTGGATACGTATGACGGAGCATTGGATATCAACGATGATGAATCAATCACTGCCATGGATGAAACATCAAGACGTTTGGCAGAATTAAAGATGCAACGTCGTGATCGCGCAGAAGGAAAAACTAAACAAAGTCAACGTTCACGTGCACCAGCATTCATGCAATTCGATGATGAAGATGAAATGGATGATTCAGATATCATTGGTGGCCGTCGTCGCCGTCGTCATTATGATGAACAACCTGAAGAGGACGACGAAGGCGCTGAAGATATGCCATTAGAACAAATTGCCGACGTCAAGACTGATAGTATTGCAGAATGGATCGCTCAACCTGCCGTTCGTAAAACGATCTCTCGTGAATTCCGTAACTTCCTTGTCACATACGTTGATGATCGCGGTGTTTCCGTTTATGGTCAACGTGTCAAAGCATTGGGTGAGCTCAACTCTGAATCACTCGAAGTATCCTTCCTGCATCTTGTAGACGCAAAAGCTCTTTTGGCATACTATCTCGTTCAATGCCCTGGTCCTATGTTGGATATCTTTGATGATGTGGCATTTGAAGTCACTCAACTTTACTATCCCAACTACGATCGCATTCATCCTGAAATTCACGTTCGCATTGCTGATTTGCCAACTCGCTATTCGTTGAGAGATTTACGTCAAGAGCATCTCAACCAATTGGTTCGCGTTGAAGGTGTGGTCACTCGTCGTACAGGTGTTTTCCCACAATTGAAATTTGTCAAATTCGACTGTTTAAGCTGTGGTAATATCTTGGGACCATTCCATCAAGAAGCAAGCTCAGAAGTCAAAGTGAGCTTCTGCAATGAATGCCACAAAAGAGGTCCTTTCCGCATCAATACCGAACAAACCGTTTACCGCAACTACCAAAAGCTCACATTGCAAGAATCTCCTGGAAGCGTTCCACCCGGTCGTCTTCCACGTCATCGAGAAGTGATCCTTTTGTGGGATTTGATTGATTCTGCACGTCCAGGTGAAGAAGTAGAAATCACAGGTGTTTACCGTAACAACTTTGATGCTGCTTTGAACACAAAGAATGGATTCCCCGTCTTTGCTACCGTTTTAGAAGCAAATCATGTGGCAAAACGTGACGATGCTTTTGCTGCATTCAGAATGACGGAAGAAGATGAACATGCAATTCGTGCTTTGGCACGCGATCCAAACATTGGCAGAAGAATTCGTAAGAGTATTGCACCAAGTATTTATGGACATGATGATATCAAGACTGCAATCGCTTTAAGTCTCTTTGGCGGTGTTCCAAAAGATGTTGGTGGAAAGCATCGTGTTCGTGGTGATATCAATGTTTTGTTGCTCGGTGACCCTGGTACGGCAAAGAGTCAATTCTTGAAATACGTCGAGAAAACAGCCAATCGTGCCGTTTTTACGACCGGTCAAGGTGCAAGTGCAGTCGGTTTAACAGCAAGTGTTCGTAGAGATGCGATGACACGTGAATGGACGCTGGAAGGAGGAGCATTAGTTTTGGCAGATAAAGGTGTTTGTTTGATCGATGAATTCGATAAGATGAACGATGCAGATCGTACTTCAATTCACGAAGCAATGGAACAACAAAGTATCTCGATCTCCAAAGCTGGTATCGTGACAACCTTACAAGCACGTTGTGCAATCGTTGCAGCTGCAAATCCAATCCGTGGTCGTTACAATCCTACGATTCCATTCTCACAAAATGTTGAATTGACAGAACCAATCCTGTCACGTTTTGATGTTTTGTGCGTGGTAAAGGATACGGTTGATCCTGTTCTCGATGATATGCTGGCACGTTTCGTCGTTGGAAGTCATACCCGTAGTCATCCACAATTTGATGCAGCTGGAGGTGAAGAAGTTCGAGTTGGAACACTTTTGGATGCAGACATTATTCCACAAGATTTACTACGGAAATACATCATGTATGCACGTACGCATATCAAACCAAAGTTACACGGATTAGATCAAGAAAAGCTTTCACTTCTATATGCTGACTTACGTCGTGAATCGCTATCAACCGGAAGTTATCCAATCACAGTTCGTCATTTGGAAAGTATGATTCGTATGGCAGAAGCAAGTGCAAAGATGCATTTGAGAGATGTAGTTCGATCGGATGATATCGATTTGGCAATTCGTGCAACGGTTGAAAGCTTTGTAAGTGCACAAAAGATGAGCGTTAAACGAACGCTAGAACGTGGATTCCGCAAATATATTTCAAGAGATCGTGATCAATTTGAACTTTTGGCTTTCATTCTTGGTGGAATTGTGAAAGATCGTATGCGATTTGAACATATTAGTAACGCACAAAAGAGAAGACAACAACATCGTCTTGTTGATGAAGATGGAGTTGCGATGGATCAAGATGGTTTAGCAGGTCAAGAAGCCGTTACAGTTCCACTTGCAGAATTAGAACAAAGAGCAAAAGCTGTTGGTTCTTTGGACATTTTACCTTTCTTGCATTGTCGTCTTTTCCGCACAAACGGTTACACATTCAATGAGCAAACACGTACAATCACAAAAGCTTTCGGAAGGCGATTGGTTGGTGCTCATGAGGAGCTTTGATGTGTTTATCTCTGTACTATTTTCCTTTTGCTATTTGCGTAGAGATTTGTTTATCCTGTACAATATTGGTTCTCGTTGTTATTGATCGTATTATTCCTATAGCATTCGTTTGCCTGCACGCGTGAAGGCGTAATAAGATACACACAGCATTATGCAATTTAAGTCTTTGACGCGACAACGCATGTGGCTGAAGAACAACACTTTTAGCCAATTCTTCTTCCTTCATCTTACACGATCACGCTCGTCTTCTTCTACCGGGCATGTCGACATCAAAAGGAGATACAGCTATGCCATTCATTGGCACTTCTGCCAGCGAAGACATCATAGATGTAATGGTGGTTCATGTCGAAGTTCGCTTGAAGCCCATATACGACGTCGATTTAGCCGATATCAGAAAAAGGGTTGCTGCACTACTACGAGAAAATTTTACAAACTGGGGTATTGAGGACATTAATATGATAAAACCAGGTGAATTCGATTCATGGCATCATGATCCTTTGTTGGAAAAGCATGTGGAAAAGATAAGGGTCGCCGATTGCGAAGAAAGAGAAGAAAAAGCCGATCCTTCAATTGACCCATTCGATTTTATCATATATGCTTATCATACAGCATCTCAAGATGACGTTGAGGAATTGATGGCAAACGAAGCTGATGGCGCAGGTGAAGAATCGTCACAAGATGATACAATGGCAGCAACTGTGCTCGAACTACCGAATGCAAGCTTAGATGGATCATGGGAAATGCTCTTTTACGAGAATCAGATGAAAGAAAAGTTATTACGATACATCTATACGACCTTGATTTATTCTGATGCAAAGGTTGACACGAATATAATATCATGGAACAGGCTCTTGCTTCTACATGGTCCACCAGGAACAGGTAAAACAAGTCTATGCAGAGCACTGGCGCACAAATTATCGATTCGTTTGGCAGATCGATATTCGTATGGAAAATTGATCGAAGTCAATTCACATTCGCTTTTCTCAAAATGGTTTAGTGAATCAGGTAAATTGGTACAAAAGATGTTTAGTATGATTCAAGAAATGGCAAGTGATCCAGATGCATTCATTGTGGTTTTGATCGATGAAGTGGAATCTTTGACAGCTTCAAGAGCATCGGCTTCTAGTGGAACAGAGCCAAGTGATGCAATTCGTGTTGTGAATGCGTTATTAACTCAATTGGATAAGCTCAAACAGCGCAGTAACGTACTGGTGGTGACGACGTCAAACCTATCTGAAAATATCGATTCTGCTTTTGTCGATCGAGCAGATATCAAGCAATACATCGGCCCGCCAACTGCAGATGCAATTTATCAAATCTTTATATCCTGCTTTTTGGAGTTGGTAAGGGTGAAGCTTATCGACATTGGAACGACTGAATTGCCTTGCGACTATTATCACGATGCAAAGGAATGTGCGGAAGGCTCGATAGAGAAACAATTGGCATATATATCTGAAAAAGCAGTTGGCATGTCAGGACGATCTCTTCGACGATTGCCAATCATTGCACATACGAAATTGTTTAACATTCGCACAAAGACAACTCCTGCTCAATGGACCAAAGCTATGCGTCAAGCAGTATTTCATCATGAGCTTGAAGGTTCCAATATGATGCCAGGACTCAAGATCAATTCAAAATCTAAAAAACGAGACAGTGAAGGGGAGCTTTTGACACGAGAATATGAGGCTTGGAGAAAAGCTAATGTATATGAATAATGTGTGTAAATGTATTTGTACAAATGCGGCTTGTTCTAGGTATAACAACAACAACAACTTGAAAGATAAAAATGCGACAAATACGAAAAGGGATGTGAAAGGGACGGTTAAATTGTTCAATCGTACACGTTCAACAAGACGTCCTCTTCTTCTCCATTTTGAGCTCCAGAATCACCGACATGCTCGTCATCGGGTGAAAGCGCTCCTGTGCCGACGGCATTGCCTTTCCCAGCCCAATATTCATCCTTTCGCTTTCTGCGTTCTTCGGCGATGCTGGATGGCTGATGTGCTTCCGTTCTAGCACGTTTAGAAGAAGACGGCTTTTCGATCAGAATTCGTTCTCCATCATGATCACTGGATCCATCAGAATCTTCATCATCGTTCACGAATCGACGAGGAGCTTGTTCTGCAAACGCATCTAAACGTGAGCGACGACCCAATAAGCCATCTGTTTGCTTTCCTCTTTTAGCACTGGTCTCTGTATAACGAGACTCACGCTCTTCACCTGCTTCAGCGTCTTCGTGGTTGTTCTCGCGTTCGGAATCTGTATTGGCGTGAGGACCACCGTGATCTGTTGATGAAGAGAAATGATAACCTTGTGAAGCAGCCAATTCTTCTTCATCCATCATCAAGACGGAATCATCCGAATCAGATTCGTATCCATTCTTTCTCTTTAGACTGTGATCAACAGAATCATCTTCGACAACCACAGGATCGCTTCTCGAGCCATTGATCTTCTTTACGCCTGAGCTGGTCTTTTGTGTACTACTTCCTTCTCCTTTGCGGTTCGTTGGATTTAAAAATTCACTCATCCCTGGGGTACTTTTGCGAGAAAGGTCGGATGGCTCAGGAGATCCGACTGCAGGCGGTTTGCGTCCTAGCTTATTCTGCATAATCCCACTTTGCCAAAGTGATTCAAGATCTCGTCTTGATTTGAACATTTCGTGTGGAATTCCAATCACTGAGCCCAGCAAACTATGCGGATCTTTGTTGGATGAAGATGGGTTTCTGGCCACGTTCAGGATAGCAGCTCTTGCTTCTTCATCCTCATCAGTTGGATTTACGCCATCTCCCCAATGCTCGGCTGCTTTCCTCTTTTTTATTTCATTTGCCTTTTGCGATAAGGCTGCAGATAGAATATCAAAAGCCCCTGCAAATGCCTGACGAACAGAAATGATGGCGTATGATCCTTTGGAGATATCGTTGGCAGGATCCAAAGGATCTTCGATACTCAGCATATACGGTCGTCGATCATCGCGCCAACCACGAGAGACTTTTGTGAAATAATTTCCTCTTCCACGAATGGAGATGCCCACATTATCATACCCAAAATTCCTACCATACAATTCCAAGAATTCCAAAAAGAGAATACCAAGATTCAATGCCGGATCCAATTCGCCACGTTGGATCTTTGGATGCATTTGCAAGTGATTGATCACCAAACAAATGACACTATAGCTGCCCAAGCCCCCAGAGAATACCTCACTCAAACCACGTTGTACGAGTAGCAGCTTTACGGCCATAATGAGCGGTCGAATAGAAGGCAAACGATCCAGCCAGCCTCGGATATAGTTGGCAGCTTCAATTCCGTTTGTCTGATTGATACTGATATCCACTTTGAGCTTGCCATGTACACAAACGAATTTGACAATCGGTACCTTTGCTTTAGCGATAACCTGCACATCCATTGCCAAATTATGTCTTCGAAGCACGGCAGCCATCTTACGCAAAACATTTTCTTTTCTTTGAGTTTCCATTGATTGCGAGACGACAACCAAGTCCAAATCTCCTGAAGGCATGTACAGCTGTGTATTTTGACTTCCAAAAGCTTCAAGATGAGCATCTGGCCATTCACGTACGATTGCACGTCGGATTAGTTGGACGACCAATCGACGACATTCGTGTTCCTGTTCTGTAGGCGAAATCCAGTCGGCGAATGCGATTAGCTCGTTATGTAAAGCTTCTGCAGCGTTCAAACAGCGATCGAAATCCACGTCTGCTGACCAAGGCGTTCCGGAGATCATTTGTCGCTTTTCCTTTTTGCGTTGATTAGATGATTTGGGCGGTTCTGGTTTCTCAGTATCCCTTTTTCTCTTCTTCCCACTCTCTTTGGATTCGGGGTCTTCATTCTTTGTACCTTTATCTTCAATTCGATCTGCCAGAGGAGGTTCTTTGCTTGACTTGGACTTTTTCTTTTCCTTTTTGGATTTCTCTTTCTCGCTTTTACCTTTGCCCTTTTCATCTTTTCCTTTGATAGTCTCTACGGGTTGTTCTTGTTCCTCTTCTTCATCTCCAAAGTCGAATGGAATATAATCCTGTGCTTCTGCAAAGCTCGAAGGTCCAGCACCGTTTACGTTTGCAATGCTCACTCCACCTGCTGAACCATTGTTCCTGCTCGAGCTTGCCTCAGCTGACATTTTGGTCAGTGGTGACACGATCTGAGATACTTTCCACCCCTTTCCACGAGATGCAATCTCTCAAATCTTGTGTGAGGATGATGATAGTCAATTGCAATCACTCTCACAATTAATTCAAATTGGTTACTCATCCTTCTTGAATATTTCATGCATAGGCGCTAATTTTCAATCCAAATCAAAAACGCGTACGTAACTACAGAGTGTCTGCATCCTGCATTAAGCAGCATTCAGGAAAAAGAGAAAAAAAAAAGTTTAAAATGCTCTCACGCACGTGCGGGTTGAAAATGTCCGAGATGATTATGGCGTGCGATTAAGGTGTTTCATGCAGGACAAAGCCTTAATTGAATTTCCAAAAGATCAAAAATGCACAGGACACGTTCCGTTTCTTCCATTTTTGATCTGATCCATCATTTCGAATCATTCAAGATGTCAAACTATACAACAGCCGATGAAAATGCAGCAGATATCGCTTTGCTAAAATCAAAATTCGCTTTCCATCAAGATTTCCCAAAGAAAGGAATTTATTTCTGTGATGTTTTCCCGGCTTTTCGTGATCCACTCACGTTGGAATTACTCATAACTCATTTCGTATCTCACATTTTCAACGTTACAATTCCAAAATTAGCAAAAGGTGGAAAGATTGATACCGTTGTTGGATTAGACGCAAGAGGATTCTTGATCGGTCCAATCATTGCTTCACGTTTGGGAGCAGCTTTCGTCCCTGTTCGTAAAGCTGGTAAATTACCCGGTAAATGCGCAAAAGCTTCTTATGCAAAAGAGTATGGAGAGGATGTCTTTGAAATTCAATCCGATTCTATCGCAAAAGGTGCAAATGTTATTGTTGTAGATGATCTCATCGCTACCGGTGGTTCAGCAAAAGCAGCCGGTGAATTGGTTCAACAATTAGGTGCAAAGACATTGGAATACCTCTTCATCGTCGGTGGCTCCAACTTGAATGGTGCCGCTAAGCTCGATGCACCAGCATACAGGTGAGTGAACGATCGAGATATATAAGAAAGACACAATATACTGACAGCACTTCCCCTTTCACACATAGCCTGGTCGACATTGAACTTTAAATCTGAAATTCACCCTCCCTGCCATGTTCAACACATACACCACAACTTTGTACTACCATGTATCTCTACTAGATCTGTCCCAAAGCATTTAAAGTCTATCGGCATTTCATTTTGAATAACCTCTACGCTGACAGAACTTTACGAGCGGCATCTCTTGTTGCTTTGAGACCAAGGTTGGAACCAGCATATGCTTTGTTCAGTAACAAATCCGTAACCATTGCATCAACCGCTTCAACTTTTTCTACCTTTTCATCGCCAATAGCAGTTGTCGATCTGATGTTGCTTCCCCCTTTGCTTGCTCCCCCTTTTGGTGTAGAACTGATAGTCTGTCTTTGTCTTGCGATCAACTTTGTCGTGACGGATTTCAAACCCCAAAGAGCACGAGCCCAAGGCCCTTGTCGGTTAGGATGTTGTTGATCCACTTCCAGTGCTTCCGTTCCGCACATTTCCAACACTCTGAGATATTGCTTGTATGCCATCGGAAGATCGTCCATCGTAGCCAAAACTTCAGCGTATTGCAAAACGAAGAATGTGTTGGAAGGTGCCAATAGGATCAACTCTTCTAACGCAAAAGCTGCTTGGGAATACAGATTTTGTGATAGATACAAAGATGCCAATTCTTGCCATGCTTCTGCATCGTTGTAATAGGTATCCAAGTATTTGTTCAGAGATTGAATCGCTGCTGCTGGTCCAGAGATTCCGTCCTTTTGTTCCATGCATTTCAATACAGACACGAGCCTTTTCACGATGATCTGAAGGAGGGAGAAGGGATGGTTAGCATACATGGAAGAGGACTTTCGGTACCTGCATCACCTAAGACATACCTGATTTGATTCATCTTTGCTCAGTAGCGCATCGTATAAAGCGAACGCTTTCTCGTACTCTCCTCGAGCTTCGAGTAACATTCCTTGCAATGCTGCAGCCCGGGCTGAATCGGGAAATCGAGTATCTAGTCTAGCGATACAAAGACCAGCCAAATCCAAATTTCCTACATCGAGTGAAGCAAGGGCGACTTGTTCCAAGAATGACCATTGTTCATCACCTAATTTTTTGGCAATATTACTATTTTCGATTACCAATTCTCCATATTCTACCACTTTTGCTGATTGTCTATCGGAATACTTTCTTTGAACTGCAAGCCAATCGATCGCATCGTCAATTGAGACCTTTTTGGAGGAGGAGGGAGTTGCCATGTCGGATATGTGTGAATGTAGGAAGAAGAAGAATCACTAACGCTGGAAGGATTGTTGGTTGGCAACTCGCATTCTTTGGCGGGTGGTGGCCCGCGCGTCGTAGAATGGGGCGTGGGAGGGGAAAGTGTCCCGGGGTACGGTAAAAGGGGGATGAGGATGACTTCATCAGTATAACATCGAGAGGGGTGCAGATGATAATGAATCAGGTCTCAGAACAGAGCAATATCATTTCATTATCAATGCGAGATAAATAAAAAGTAGCAGATATCACGGATTTTGGGGCATATATCTTGAAGGTCATCAATAATTCAATCGTCCGGCGCCGTTTCTGAGATTCTCTGCAGAACCTTAAACCGTCCCTTAATACTTTCAAATTAAGTTCGAAATCAATCATTAAAAAGTATATGAAGAGCAAGGTCAATAATGCAAGTATCACATCTCCATCCCCACCTTTCAATTTGCTCACTTACCCCAAGTCACAATGAACAATCTTTTCGCTCTCCTGCTTGCTTTTTCAATTTGTCTCTTCACCACCGTCAAATGTTGGGAAGGTGGTACACCTTATACCATACCCACGGATAAATCATTACCCGCTGCACCAAGCGGTGGCACATTGATCCAATGGTCACCATGTCCTAATTCAAAGCTTGTCAATCCAGCAGTGGTCAATCAATGTTTTCTAAAAGGCAGTAAAGCTTCTACCGCTTACATCGTTCAACACGGTGCGCATTGAACGATTTTGACGTTTTCTTTACGAATCTTTTTGGTATTGTAGCCGATAATGCTCCAATTGCTTCCCCTGGTTTTTCAACAACTGATGGTAAATCATCCTTCTGGCGCAAAGGTGTCAATTTGGGTTATGCACCAGGTATTGATAGTTGGGCAATCGGAAACGATGATTCAACAGGAGCAGGCTGTTCCTCTTATTCGCAATACGATGCTATCATTAATTATTATAGCGGTAATCCTGCTTTATTTCCAAATTTGCGAACGATCGTAATCGTTGGTCATTCGGGTGGTGCTAACTTTGTTTCTCGTTTTTCAACGATCAACACAAATACACCTAGAGGTATGCGCTACATCGTTGCGAATGCGGCCAATCAAGGTTATTTCGATAATGCCAGACCAACAAAGACGACCAGCGACGATTGTCCGGCTGCTTTTTCATGGCCATTTCAATGGACTGGGTCTTTCAATAGATACGTTGGCTCCCGTATCAAGAATCCAGTAGCACTATTTAATCAATGGGCAGGTCGTGAAGTGATTCATTTGACTGGTGATCAAGATACTTCGACAAGTGGTACGCAGACCTGTCAATCCGTAGCGCAAGGTGGTGGTGCAAGAAGAGATCGTAATTATGGTTATTGGGCTGATTTGAATATTCTTGCAGGAACCAAAACTGACGTTTCAAAGTATCCCGGTTTTAATCAACTGTTGGCTTCAGGTGCAAAGAAGATCGGAAGCGGCAATCTAAACCATAAAGCATGCACCGTTGCGGGTGTTGGTCATGATGCTCCCGGCATGTTTGGCTCACAATGCGGTAGAGCTGCAATATTTGGACAATCTTTACCTGCAGGAGCAGGACCTTCTACTCCCTAAAAGAATGTACTAGTATATACATTATATGATGATGATTCCCGTAGCCCTTTTCAATAAGATTTTTCTCACCCTTTCATACGTGTTTCGGGTGCAATAAACGAGGCTGACAAAAAAGAAAGGCGGATTCGAACTGGGAAAGTCGGTGTCAAAAGTCTTCATCGATGATCAGGAGATCAACAGTGCTACGAGCTCGTCACGCCGTACGTTGAGAAATGTCCACGGTATTTGTTGAGAGAGAAGAGTTAAGAGTGTTGTTGCTCAGCAGTGTAGAGTCATGATTGATTGCATGAATGAATGCTCAGCAGCACTGACTCGACGCGCTTGCATTGCTTTGCGCACTTTAAAAGCTAGCTTCAATTGTGTGCTTTTCTCCCCTTCTTGTGCCACCACCTTTTGTTTCATCTTGGCATTCTCCCAAAATGACAACTGGCAATCCATTATTCGCTGCTTGGTCAGCATTTCAATCCAAATTTACTGTAACTGAGAATGGTGACTTAACCAACATTTCCTCTGATGATGCTTTGGTTGACTTTTTCTTCAAAATCATCGATCGTTCAACTGAACGTGCTGTTCGTCAGCATTTGACTGCTGCTTGGCAAGCAAATCCAAGCGATGCATTAAAATTGGTTTTCTACTTACTTGACGTTCGAGATGGTAAAGGATGCACAAAACCTGCACTCTTTGCTTTCTTGTGGCTCTATGAACACCATCCAAAGACGCTTGTGGCAAATATTGAACATTTGGCCAAATTTGGTTGCGTTCGTGATTTGCCAACACTTTTGATGATGATTCGTTGCAAGCATGCGTATGGTATCAACTACCAGGATTGGCAATCAAACAAGGTTGAAGCTTCGCAACGCAAGTTCGATCATGACGCTTTCTACAAAAAAGTTCGCACCGCCACCCTACCCGGTCCGGCCAAAGAATTACATCAAGCTGTCGTCAAATTGTTTGTAGATTCTTTGGTACAAGACAAACGCCAATCGAACAAGTTCAAGCCCATCTCTTTGTTCAGTAAGTGGTTGCCATCTCAAGACTCATACCTCAATCGTACAACTTCTCTGTTCGATGACGTGGCTACGCAAATTTACCACATGGATCATGATACTGTTCAACGAAGACCACTTTTGCATGCACGCAATTACCTTCGCAAAGCATACATCAGCCCCCTTCGTAAATATGCCAAGATCGTAGAGCGTTTGATGAGCGAGAAGAAATGGCAAGAGATCACTTACCCCAAAGTACCATCCGTTTGTATGACACGCAATGCTACAAACTTCAAGAAGCACGATGAAGGCCGATACTTGGCTTACTTGAAAGGTGCAGCAGCAGGTGAAACGAAGATCAATGTGAGCGCATTGAAGCCACATGAGATCTGCTTCCCATCACACAAGCAAGCAAAAGCTTTGCCACCAGACTTGGCCAATGCTCAATGGGAGGCCTACGTTGCCAAAATGCAAAAGAGTGGCGTTCTGAACAACGCAGTAGCCATCTCTGACGTGAGCGGTTCAATGCGTGGTGAACCCATGAACGTTAGTATTTCATTGGGTCTCCTTGTTGCTTCACTCGCTCAGCCGCCTTGGAAAGATCACCTGATCACCTTCAGTGCAGATCCGCAATATCACTTGATCCAAGGTTCAAACTTGGCCCAGAAATTGCGAAATATCGCAAGAATGAATTGGGGCTACAATACCAACTTTGACGGTGTGTTCAACTTGATCTTGACAACTGCGACTCACTATTCACTCAAAGAGGAAGATATGCCAAAAACTTTGTTCGTCTTTAGCGATATGCAATTCGATGAAGCAAATGGTGGATACATGCCAACGACTGCATTTGAACGCATCAAGAAAAAGTATGCCGATGCCGGCTATGAGATGCCACAGATTGTGTTTTGGAATCTACGTGATTCTTCTGGCGTTCCTGTCACCATTACCGATGAAGGCACGGCATTGATCGGTGGCTTCAGCGGTAATCTTTTGAAAATCTTTTTGGAAGGTGCAGATTTCGAAAAGGATTGGGAGATGGTCAAACATACACCCAAGATGACGCCCGTTGATACGATGCGCAAAGCAATTGACCATGAACGTTTCAACGTTTTGCGTGTGGTCGACTGAAGGAAGCAAGAAGGGGAGAGATGTGGTTTACTGTATATTATCTGCTTCACGGCAAGACTGTAGCAATAGCCGTCATGAACAGCACACAGCAAGAATGACCGTGAGTCTTTTCAATATTGTATCATAAAACTGTATTCATAAAGAGTTCTGTAAAGCAATACCCTGTAAAGTATCAATTCAAATGTACATCCAGACGAGCCAAAGAGTGCCAAAAAGTAGAAACATTTTCAGCATCATATTCAGTCTGCCGTATTGTTTGCGAGCAACAAAAGAATATCACACTGTAGCGCAAATGATAACACACCACATTCTCCAACATTCTTCCAAATAAATTTCTTGGACGATTTGCTCCGAGCAGGTGTGACAAGCTTGTAGTACAGTTGATTTCGATCAACGTCGTTGCAGACTCATAGTCTACAACGCCGTGGAAACATACCGAGTTCGAATCCACCTAATTCTTTTTGCCAATCTCTCCTGTCGCTATACCCTGAACACGTACGTACGGCGTACTCGCGGGATTATCGGACGAGAAGTCCAAGCATGATACGCCTGATCGTAAGATTTTATTCGCAAAAGATGTTTCGTAGTCTATCCACCGTTTCATCTTCACAGGTAGAGCAATCTACTTCTTACATTCTCGTTGGAAGTCATTTGATTAGAGGAGGGCACTGCTTCTTATTTGCCTATATCGACTGTACTCCTTCAGTCATTTTTTTGCTACACGAATCTCATTGATCAACGTCGATTTACAATCTATGAGATTCTCCTATCAAGATTCTGAATGACCCTATGATAATCTATTTGACTTCATCTTGATTAATCTTTTCCTCTTGCTTTCCAATTCATTCAAGCGGCTGATTTGCACGCCCAAACCCTTTCTTTCTTTTTTTCTATTCACCGATGTGTTTAGTAAAAGGTGCATACAGTGCATATTCTATATGCTTTAAGCGGAGGTTTGAACGCGTACACTAGCAGATTTACCGTAGGCAATTCATGATGATTTTCCCCTTGGACGCCCCCCCTTCCTTTCTTGCACGCACGCACGCATGCACGCGTCTTTGATGTAATACATTATTAAGGTCAACGTTGGAACTTGTCAATAAGCGCTAAAATGCTATATTTTTAACTGCATGCATTCAAACCCCTCTCTCCTGTTCCGCCCTATGTGTGTGTGTGGTTGAAGCAAGTACGCGCCAATAAAAGGTGATAAAGCGCGGCCAAAGTAAAAGAGAGTGCTGATGTGCACACAAACTACCAGAAATGCCCCTCCCTCGACTTTAACCATTGGAATCCAATTCTGTATGAAATTCACTACCCTCTCTTTTTTACGAGCTCGTTCACATTTTATTCTCGTAAACCCTATCACGACTCGCCATTCCTTACGCCTTTACCATTACACAAAACCTACCATCATCACTCCTTTTTGTTCTCCCTAGAATCTAGTATTCTCCCCTTTTTTCCCTCTTTACCTTGGCTATCTGTTTCACTTTCTTCAATCATTTTTGGATCGAGCATCACCTTTTCACTTTTCCCCCCATCGCGAAATCGGCAAACCGCAATTAAAGTTTAATGGATGGTATCCTTGTGATCGTGAATTAAAATCAAACAACACTTTCTCATTGATTCGAAAACATTCATTGCTTCGTACAAATTGGTTCAACAGTCAGCACTCATTCATTTATTCACTACTCCAACAAAAAGAGCAAGCTCTATCCGTTGACTCTCATATAACTTCGAAGCTATCGCACGTACTCCGCTGGCGAGGTACACAACTTGAATCCCAGCGACTTCGTGCCACAATCCAACCATTACGACCATCACGACTGAGTCATTCCTCAACGACCTCTCATCGACACAACACAACGTAGCAACTCTCTCAACTCCTTCCCAACCCACAAGACAAAATGGCTCCTCAAAGGAATGCCACTTTGGCAAAATCCTTTGTCAGAAAGCCAGGAAGGAGAGGTGCAGAAGATTCTTCGATACCAATACGTACAGAAGCGCCTCCTCCGCTACGACAACCAACAAAAGTTGCAAGAACCAAAACTTTAACACGACCCGAAAGAGGGCAACCTCAAGTGCCTTTGCTCAATCCTGATGCTCAAGGCGTTGGCAGAGGGATGTCAAAAACGGGTAGAGGAGTTTGGAGAATATTTGCAAAAGCTATTACATGTTGTTGTCCAGGTTTCTGTTTGAGCGGTTGTGGGGGTTTGAAGGATAAAGGCAGTCAACAGGCTTGGAGAGAAAAGGTTGCTTTGGTATACATTGCACTCCTCTTGGGTGCCTTTGTCGGCTTCATCACAATGGGATTGAATAAGGTCTTCTGTCCTGCTTCGGCTGCCAATCTTCCCAACGAATTGATCAGAATTGGAAAGAATAGCAAACCTTCGGTTGGTATTATGGGTCTCGAATATGATATCGATAAGGCAAAGCTACCGACACAGAATGAGATAGGATACGATATGTACACACGTGCTGGAACCTTGTCTGGATACGATATCACACCTCTTTTCCAACGTGATCAAAATACATACTACCCAGCATGTAATGGAAGAACTGGGCTATATGCAACAACGGATCCATGCAAAATAACCACACCAAACAGCAAACTGACTCCATGTCCTTTGGGTCCTCTGACGCCAGCAAACCTACAATCGAAGCAAATCACTCCTATGGGTACCAAGGTAGGCTACAGCTGGGAGGATTTGGCATCGACCAATTTCACAAATTTAGTCGTGATTGATGGTAACGTGCTCAATTTGCAACCCTACATTGATGCAAACCCAACCCCAAATCCGACGGATGAGGTGGACACTGCCATTCGTGTCTTGCTAGCCGCCGAAGCTGCTGGAGGTCATGACGGTACAAGGATGTTCTACACCCGACAAAATCTCAAGGATGCCGTTCCATGCATGTTGCAAAAGTACTATGCTGGTCACATTGACAAACTCACGCCGGGTTGTTTCGTTTCTGGTTTGATCCTCTACATTTCTTTGGTGATCATTTTGGGTCTCGTCTTAGTGCGTTTCTTCATGGCAATTTGGTTCAGTTGGTTTTTGAGTTGGAGATTGAGTTCAACACCTTCAGATTATGGCACAAGCAGTATGTTACATAGCAGAATGCCAGAAGGAGCACTCGGAACAGTAGACGGACATGGTGCTGCTCCATGGGCATCGAAACATGCTCCACCAACAAAGCCAATGAGGATGAATCATAGTGCGCCAAGCGTTAGTATGTCGTCTGCTTCTATTTGCAATGAACCATATGTTGTTTGCCTAATCACAGCATACAGTGAAGGTGAAGAAGGTATTTCGACCACCCTTACATCCATCTCGGAAACGGAATATCCCGATCAACGCAAGCTGTTGTTCCTCGTAGCCGATGGAATGGTGACAGGTTCAGGAGAATCGCAATCGACTCCAGATATCTGTGTCAGCTTGTTAGAAGCTGATCCTCGATTCGGCACGCCAATGCCAATGAGCTTCATCAGTGTTGCTTCAGGAAGTAAACAACACAATATGGCAATGGTCTATGCAGGTCATTATACCCGCGGAAGAGGACATCGTACTCCGATGATTGTTGTTGTGAAATGTGGAACGCCACAAGAGGCGTCAGAAAGCAAGCCAGGAAATCGAGGTAAACGTGATAGTCAAATGATCTTGATGAACTTCTTCCAACGTGTGACGTACAACGATCGAATGACGCCATTGGACTTTGACTTGTTCCGTAAAGTGCATTCGTTGATGGGTGTCACACCGGACTTTTTCGAATTGTGTTTGATGGTGGATGCCGATACAAAGGTGTATCCAAAAGGTGTTCGAACATTGGTCAACGCAATGACTCGTGATCCTTTGATCATGGGCGCATGCGGAGAGACTCGAATTGCAAACAAACGAGCTTCTTGGGTTACAGCCATTCAAGTATACGAATACTTTATTTCGCATCATATGGTCAAAGCATTCGAATCCGTGTTTGGAGGTGTGACTTGTTTGCCAGGTTGTTTCTCCATGTACAGAATCAAAGCACGCAAACCTGCCGATAATGATTGGGTACCTGTGATCGTCAAGCCGGAAGTCACACGAGAATACAGTCAAAGTACCGTTTCCACCCTTCACCAAAAGAATTTGCTCTTGTTGGGAGAAGATCGATTCTTGACTACATTGCTTTTGCGTACTTTCCCGAATCGCAAGATGATTTTCGTTCCTCAAGCACGTTGTCGTACAGAAGTGCCACATACGTTCAAGATGTTACTCAGTCAGAGACGTAGATGGATCAATTCAACAATTCACAATTTGATGGAGTTGATTTTGGTTCGTGATCTTTGTGGTACTTTCTGCTTCTCGATGCAATTCGTCGTGTTTATGGATCTTCTTGGTACAGCTGTTTTACCGGTTGCTATTTGCCTTACGTACACCTTGGTCGTTTCGTATATTCTCAACCCACCACACACGTTTACGGAAGCAATCCCTTTGATGTTGTTGATTGCTGTTATTGGTTTGCCGGCCGTTTTGATTTTATTGGCCACACGCAAGATCGTTTATACTGCATGGATGTTGGTCTACCTTGTCTTCTTGCCAGTATGGAATTTTGCCCTACCCGTTTACAGCTTTTGGCACTTTGACGATTTCAGTTGGGGAGAAACGAGAAAAGTTGAAGGTGAAGGGAAAGACAAAGGTCACGGCGATGGCGTAGGTGTATTTGCTGCAGCAAGTGTGCCTTTGAGAAGATGGCAAGATTGGGAAAGATCTCGACTAAAGAGACAAGCCCGTGAAGAAAGACGTCGACGTGATTTGGAAAAGCAATTCGGAGCTGGCTTTCACAATGATCAAACTGATCCAAGAGATATGATGCAGAATGGCTTGCAAAGGCCACCTCAATACAATGGTCTGGGACTCGATAACAGTGATAACTTTAGCGATATCTCTGGTACCAATGAAGATGACGATCTTTGGGGACCTCATATTGGCTCTTTCAATGAAGAAGCACCTCCACCATTGGCAATCGTTCGTCACAGTGTCTGGGTGGACGGTCAAGAGATGATCGTTGAGCAAGATGATATGGAAAAGATGCTATCACAAGGATGGGCTGACGATGGGATGAACAAAGCTCAAATGCATACTACCAATGTTGTTGGTGCTCCGCCTCCTCTTCGACCCAGCGCAGCAAATGCGAGACGCAGCATGATTGGGTTTAATGGCAACATGCAGCCTGCTCTTCCAAATATGCCACCCCAATGGGATCAAAACCGTGGACCGCAAAGATCGCATTTACCACCAAATCCATACGCCAATCGTGGTGTTGATCGGCCACCCTATCTATCCTCACCCTCTATGCAACCTTCGCTCAATTCGATGCATATGATGGATCGAACGCCAAGTCCGGCACATGGTGAAGATGTTGTTCTATTGAGAGGTCAATCAACAACAGATTTCCATAGCGATAATCATGGAAATAATAGTATGGATCAGTTTATGGAACGTGATAGAGGAGCATCTTCTGCGATTGGAAGTGAACGTCAAGCACATACCCGTAATCGAAGTTCGGGCACACAACATTTCAGTAGTAGCGGTACTGGACATAGCAATGATGATCCTTTACGACGCAATATGCGTAATAATCTTTATTAGGCTACGTTTCACGGTTTCAAGATGGACATTATTTTGGGGGTTTCTTTGTTTTGTTTGTTCTTTGATCACTAATTCAATGTCTTTATTTGTACTTCACCTCTTTTTATACACTCGCACACGCTCATTCCTTTTCCCCGCCAAACAAACCCCAAGTTTCTACAATCATACACTTTATGTATCAATAACTGTGATCCTCTCATTGCATTCCGATTTCAATCTGATTGAATTTTCTCATCATTCTTGCGAGGTTTTGCCTTTGATGTGCCATTATATAAGTCAAGCAACGGCTTTCGGCGTAATGATGCAACAATTTATCGGCGGCATTGGCGCTAGGGGGTGTGATTTGAGTAAATAAATGATCTTCACTTTAATATCACATTTTTATTGCCTCTCTTTCTAAAATCGGCCCATTACTCTTGGCGTATTATGTGTGAAGCTTATTTCCAAAACCCTGATGATGTTTGCCTTTGACTGTTTTTGCCCGGTTAACTCCACAAAGACCGCACAGCCTGCGTACCTGGTTGGCTATTGCAAACTCCGTTTCTCTCTGTTTTCGGCAGAAGGCTTAGCTTTAGCTAGCGTTAACGGAAAGGACTTTAATAAGAAAACGTGTACAATTTTCAATGACATGATCAATAGGTCATTTGGTCAATGCATTCTTTTGTGTGACAAACAATCACTTGATATTTGCGGGAGAAGGTGCATATATTGATTGTTAAAGTGTGTATGTGTGTGTGTGCAATGCAGCATGTGTTACCGGTGAACTGGCAGGCAGGCATCTCTTGGCTGGGCTTGCGCTGTACTAGAACAGGCAGGCAGGCAGGCAGGCAGGCAGAAAGCCTATTTTTATTTTTATTTGCTGTTTTTTTCGGCTGCCCTTTTCCTCGTGCTCGCGTCGGTAATTGGAAGAAGAAAAGGAAAGATCTCTTTTACGTGTGTGTGTGTGTGTGTGCTTGTAACAGAGAGGGGACTTCCCCCCAACACATACACAGACACGCATACACACTCTCGCTTCTACAGTTCACGCACTCTAACACAGGATTCAAAGCCGTCCTTCGGAACAGAAGACTATTGATAACCATCACCTACCATATTCTCTCTTCTCTTTTCGACTCTTCGTTGGTTTGTGTTTGTGTGATACGGTGAGATCATACTCTAAACAACGAGTGTAATATAACCCAAATAAAAGAAAGGCTTCTTGTTTTACAAAAGCATCTTATTGGGCTCAAAGTATAAAGCATTTCAAAACGTTTGCTTTATCTCTGTAATATTTTGTGTACTTTTACACTCGCAAGGGTGAAAAACAAAACCATCTTACGACTCCTTTGACGTTTGCTTGTATTCACACAACCAAAACAACACCAAAAGACTTGTACACTAGCCCGACTTTTTCTCGTCATCGGATTGGATCGATTGTACTTTTTTTTTGTTCCTGGACAGTCCAAAGCATCTTTGCCTCTAGCATTTGTTTGATTTCAAAAATCTCAAACACATCAAAACAAGAAAAAAACAATGTTGTCGCAACAGATTCGATCCCCAACGGATCTAAAAACGGAACAAGCCCAATCACCTTCCACTCCCGCTACACCGCCAATCGCATCTTCCAATCAAGATTCTACAAACACTTCCAACGACGACTCTACGCCAAAAGAAGGTTTGAACGGAAGCAATGTACCCGGCTTACCACCCCCGTCTTCGGCTTCGAACAAGTCTTCACTTCCAAGTTCTCGCCGCACGAGCGGAATGCCAGATGAGATGACATCTAGCGATCAAGCACGTCTTGCTTCTTCTGCCTCTAGCGGGGCAAGCAGTGCTACCAATCGCAGAAGTATCAACGGTAATCTCAACGACATTACCGCATCGTTTGATCGTATGGGATTGGCCAACAAAGCGCAACAACAACAACAGGCTGCTACCACGCAATCGCCTTTGCGAAGCCCATCGGGCCGTCCAAGTCCAAGTGCAACGCCAAGCATGTTCTCAAACGCTTCCGGTGGTCAACAAAGCCTTTTGCAACGTGCTGTAGGTCATCCTCAACAAGCACTCTCTCAACAGAATCGCGCTGCTGGCATGACTGGAGCAGGTGAAAATTTAACACCGGTCTTCAATGAAAGATTCTTATTCAGCGATGATGAATTGGAAGCTGATGATTCTACTTTTGTGAAAAAGTACAACCTCAACGAAGATGATAACAGCTTCCCTGTCTTGATCAGACATGATAGTCACCCGGGCATGCTCTCTGCTTCTTCTGCAGCACTTGACCTTGCACCTCTTTCGCAAGCACAAAATCGCTTCCCCCGCGATGACAGTAATTCCGAGTGGCCTCAATTCGCTCAACGTGATGGTGTCGATCCTGGTTCTCATCAAAATGCTGGCGCACAATCTGCCACCCAACCTGGCCTTCCCCACGGAGGTTCTGAATCGTTCGATCGATTTGGAGCACGTCGTGGCGGTAGATCAGAGCGCAACTCTCCTCGTATGTCTGGTCCAGCCCGTGGCGGTCATATGCCAACTGCACCCGTCACGCCTGTTTCGATGGGCAGAAGCAATGACAGCAGCTTGCCTCGTAATACCGGACCTGGTGGTCATTTCAATGCCGGAAATGGTAACAATGAACAAGCAGGACAAAAAGCTGGTCGCAATCAAGACGCAGATAGTGCCTTCTCTCCATTTGGTATGGGTGGCTATCCTGGCGATGTCAAACGTGCTGGCCCCGGTGCAATGAATGCAGGTGCTCGCTTTGGGTCATCTGCATTCGGCAATGGTGCAGATGCTACCAGCAGAAGTTCTTCGGGATACTTTGAAGCCTTTGCTGCTCCACCAGTCTCATCCAAGAACGGTCCTGCAGTAAAGACTGCAGCTTTGGGCAATGGCTACGGCATGGGTCCTGAGCCTCTTGGAAGCTCCGCTCAAATCAATGCTGGCATAAATGGTGCAAAGACACCAAGGAAAGGTGAATTGGATACAAGTACACCTTTGGAAGAGATGCAAGGTGAAATCTTTGCTTTATGCAAGGACCAACATGGTTGTCGATACTTGCAAAAGAAGCTCGAAGAAGGCAATCCGTCGTACCGTGATATGATCTTCACCGAGACATTTAACCATTTTGCCGAATTGATGACGGATCCTTTTGGTAATTACTTGTGCCAAAAGATGTTGGAATTCTGCACGGATGAACAACGCAATTTGATCGTTGAATCGGTTGCACCTGATTTGGTCAACATTTCACTCAACATGCATGGTACACGTGCTGTTCAGAAGACGATCGACTTCTTGTCCACTCCACGTCAAATTCATTCCATCATCATGGCCCTTGGCATGAATGTGGTACCTTTGATCAAAGACTTGAACGGTAATCATGTCATTCAAAAATGTCTCAACCGTTTAGGCTCTTCTGACAATCAATTTATCTATGATGCCGTTGCAACTCATTGCATTGAGGTTGCCACCCACCGTCACGGTTGCTGTGTCTTGCAGAGATGTATCGATCATGCATCCGAGAAGCAAAGGATGCAACTGGTTCAAGAAATTACCTACCACGCATTGACTCTGGTTCAAGATCCTTTCGGCAATTACGTTGTGCAGTACATCTTGGATCTCAACGATTCACGTTATAGCGAAGCACTCATTCGTCAATTCGTCGGTCACGTCTGCAACCTTTCCGTTCAAAAGTTCAGTTCGAATGTGATTGAGAAGTGCATTCGTGTATCTGAACCTGGAGTACGTAAGCAATTGATTGAAGAATTATTGAACCGTCAAAGATTGGAAAAGCTCTTACGCGATTCATTTGCCAATTACGTTGTTCAAACCAGTTTGGATTACGCAGATCCTCATCAAAGAATGCAATTGGTTGAATGCATTAAACCAATCTTGCCCATGATTCGCAACACACCTTACGGTAAGCGTATCCAAAGCAAATTGCAACGTGACAATATCGATCTTGGACCATCACCAAACAATGTACCTTACGGATTCTTGCAAGCTGCACATCAACAACAGTTGCATGCTATGGCCGCAATGGCACAACGTCAAGGTCATCCAGGCGGAGGCGATTTTGGTGGACAAAACATGGTCAATCCTCCTTATGGAGGCGGTAACTTTATGCCTGGCGGTAATGGTGCTGGCAATAATCCCAGACATTACGGTCGTCAAGGTATGGGTCCTATTCCACCACAAGCAGCCATGTACGGTGGTGGTCGTGGAAATGGGCCTTATGGTCCTGGCGGTCCTAGTGGCGCTCCAGGCAATGGAAATTCACCCGGTGCTCTCTCTGGCGCCGGAGGCTATGGTCGTCCTGGCCCTAATATGGGCTTTGTGCCACCGCAACAACAACAACAAGCCGCAGCATATGCAATGCAAAACGGCTTTGGAGGTGCAGGTCAGTCAGGAAATCAATCACCATTTGCAGGTCCCTATGGAGGTCAATTCTAGGGTTGGCTTCTTCGTTCGTTTCGTTCTTTTATGCGTACTTTTATTGTACATCAATTGTTTTTTCCCGTCTTCTTCTTTGTTGAATTCTCTTTTCTTATCTTTCAAGTTTTGATTGTGTCGCAATATCTTATTTTATATTTTTCCTTCCCGCTCGCCCACTATTTACATTACATTTGGACAAGCCTTGCAATTTTTCACCATGATCATCATACGCAATTTACAAGAGGCCATACCCGACAACAACAACAGACCGCCCTACTTTGACGACCCAACTCGTCCAATCGTATCCGGACACCAACAACATCAATTCAAGTACCATTAATGTTTTTTTCTTCTCCTTTGTGCCCTTTTGTCTAACTTTTTCCCTTTTTTTTCTTTGAGGATGACGTACTTTACCACATCTGTGTTTTACCTTCATCATCCGATCAATACTTCCTTTTTTTTTCCTCATTTCACCTGTACACCTTTATACATCAATACATTGTTATGATAGTCAGTCATTTCTGTTAGGATTCGGATAAAAAGAACAGGAACGCAAAACAAATTCATTGACGCACTAGAAAACGTGGACAGAAGTGAAAGGTGAATCGGTAAGGCAGTTTGGCAGTGTATGAATCGAATGTAAGAAGATCGACAGTTTTGAACGGTTAACGTCTGTGTGTCAGAGGGCTGAACTAGCGCGGCGCAAATTGAGGAGATGCGCTGCGTTGACTGTTTCACTGCTTCTATGCACATTCGAATGCACAATTGCATTTTATTTTAGCACTTTTATACACGGATTAGGCCTTACTCACAAGGGCGAACATGAGTGAAAGTAGAAGATAAAAGAGAAAGAAGAGGGGGGAGAAAAGAATTCATATCGGTCATTTAGTAGTTGTCTACCATCTTTCCTCCATCTTGTATGGTGATCAAAGATGTCACAATCTAATCCTGCAAGTCAATTAGCACCCGAACGTCAACAAGGTTCATTACGATTAGCATATCGTAGATCAGTCGTTGCATTACAACAAGCATTTGGATGGAAAGAACAACCAATCTTAGTAGAAGAAGAAGGTGCAGGAGAAAATGATCCACTTTTACAGAATAACAATGGAGAAGGAAGTAGTCAAGGTGTAAGACAACAAGGTGGTACATATGGATCTGTGCTTGACCTTCCACCAGATCAAAGAGTTCCTAAACCCAAAAAGATTCGTGGTCCCGTTCGTGTGGAAGCAAAAGTTTGGTTTGCCAATGAGGTGAGTAGCGATGCTGATAGCAGAGAATCAGAGAAGGGAATGACTGACCTTTTCTTTCACTTTTTAGCGTACATGGATCTCTTGGTTGCGTGTTTCACTTTTGATCGGTTCTTTCAGTTTGGCGATGTACAATTCTGCTTCATTCTTTAGCTCTCATCCAAGCGAGCCATTCCCACCCGGACAAGAACCTGGACCTGATATTCCACGAACATCACCAAACGGTTCAACGATTCGTACGTTTGCAATCGTTTATGCACTCATCAGTGTTTTGACTTTAGGATGGGGATTGTTCAATTATCATCGTAGACTATATCTAATCAGAACAAAGTATGCCGGTGATTTTGATGATCTTATCGGTCCTCCTCTCATTTGTGCTGCTTTGTTCGTTGCTGTTTTGGTCAACTTTATCGTTCGCGTTCAACAACATAATATCGAAATGGATCATGGCCATTAAGGCTGCTGCTATCTTTCACACAGAATATCTCATGCTCCTTTTCTATGTACACACAAATCCCTTTCTTGCTCACATAGCTGAAATTTGTTCTTTGCATGCTAATAATACATTTTGTACAAGATGATAGTAGAGTGTGAAGCGGAAGGGCAGAATAAGATCCGATCGTTCTCCCTTCATCCAGCCCTTCCAGTTCCATTCAACTCAAATTCAGCTTCAGTGATTGGCTGAGATGGTTGTTGTGTAGATTGCTGTGATTCTGGCGTGAAAGCTTCCATTGTTGCGATCACAAGTGAGATACTATCCATAAGTGCATTTGTGGTTAATCGTAATTGTCGTATTGATCTGCAATTGATTTGAATATCAACGATATCGGATGTTTGTTCTGTGATCCTATACCGTATTGTTGAATCTATCGGTTTTAATTCTTTGTCTACGCTCAATACTCGATAGAGCTGTTGAGCGGAAAGGGCGGTTGGCATAGGTATGTTGAGTGTTCTGTATAGGGGAGATCGTTTTTGTTAATATGTGTGGTGATGCGGCATTGTCACTACTACCTACAGCGTATGCCTTAGCTCTGGATTGGGTAGAGCATTGTATTCAATTGGTGCCCATCTCATCTCAGCCATCTTGTTGATTCGTTTAAAAGAAGGTCTGATTGGCGTGGAGGCAAAGATGAAGAAAAGCGCCGAAAAAATAAAAGTGTCTGGTAACAAAATTAAACATTGGCACGCGTAAATGCTCTCTTTCATCCTCTTACTACCAACGACAATGTCTGAGTATCAGCAGAATGGATCATCCGGTGCTTATGCATCTGGAGATCCTTATGCTCAGTTCTATTATTGGGATACAGCTACCAATAATTGGGCTTTTGATTATGATGGATATTATCGAACGTACGGCTATCCGCAAGCTGGAAGCTCAGCAAGTGCAGGCCCATCGACAGGTTACGATAGCACATATGCAGCACAAGCATTCCAACAAGCAAGCGCATATGGTGGCAATAATACAGCATCTGGAAGTTCATATTCAGGATCAAATGAGACAGGCTTTAATGCAGATGGACAAGCTGAAAAACGTAAAAAAGTACTTGCAGGACCAAAAGATGCCGATGGAAATCCGATCGCAGGTCATTTGAAAAAAGGCGAGACACGTACGACAGTGATACGGAAAGGTCCCGGCAATCATCTTTATGAAGATTTGACGTTGTTGGAATGGGATCCTACGCATAAAAGACTCTTTGTTGGCGATTTGGGAAACGATGTGACGGATGAAATGCTAACGAAAGCGTTTGAAAAATACGCCTCTTTCAGTAAAGCAAAAGTGATCAGAAAGAAACAAGACAACAAAGCAAGAGGGTTCGGATTTGTTTCTTTTGCCGATCCGCATGATTTCTTGAAGGCATGGAAAGAGATGGATGGGAAGTATATCGGCTCACGTCCTTGTAGACTTAAACGTGCAAATGAAGAAGTTAATCCGACAACGATCGGAGCACGAAAGGATAAACTTCTTGCTGCAAATGCAAAATATGACGCTTACAAATTCAAATCAAAGATGGGCGGAGCGATCGGAGGTGATCTACGCAGACATGGAATAGGTAAAGCATGGAAGCAGAAATAAAGTACATTGTAACATATCATACACAATAATACCATGAATTGATGCCTTGTGGAGCAATTTGAGGAATTCGGGAGGGTGTTCAGCTTTACACGCTTAAGAATGCGTGTCCCAGCACGTGTTTTAATTTTTTTGGAATTTGTTTAAAGTTCCGCTTAACAATATTGTTGCTGCTTCTGTATGCATCACTACTCTTTGATATGGTCTACCACCACCCCTTCTGCGTTCAAGATGCCACTCAACGCTACCACATACCTAGAAAGGCACGGATGGCGGGGCAAAGGTGTTCCCTTAGATGGTGAGAGCGGAAGAGGGCTTAAAAAGCCTTTAGCCTTACCGATGAAGCGTAATTTGAAAGGAGTAGGGAAAGAAAGAGATCGAGCAGTAGAATGGTGGGATTGTTTATTCGAAGCAGGAGCGAAGAAATTACAAACTGCACCAGCTGTTACTTCGAAAGAGACTGTTTTGGAAGATGGCACAGTCGTCTTGAAGCCAAATCTTGCTACATCTTCTTCGATCTCTTTGGCATCTTTGGCAAAACGAGAGCATGCAAGGAAGTTATTGATGAGCGGATTCGTACGTGGAAGGCCCAATGAAGCATATGAGCAACAGGTGAAAGATCTTGAGAAGACATTAGCCGAACAAGATCGAGAACGCCTTGCAGCAAAAGAAAAACTCGCACAAAAAGCAGATCTGATCAATGGCCAGAACGAGAAAAAGACAAAGCATCTAGAGAAAGCCAAACGAAAAGAAGAGAAAAAGCTCGCGAAGAAGATGTTGAAAGAGCAAGGCGAGAAGTCCAATGAGGAAAAGGATGCCAAGAAGAAACGAAAGAGGGAAGAAAAGGCTGCTATTAAAGATGTTAGCCAAACGAAGAGTGACAAAGGCTCAGCAGAATACGAAGATCGCGCTGAGAAACGTCGAAGGAAGGAAGAAAAGCGTAGACAGAAAGATGAAAAGAAGCAGAAAAAAGAATCCAGAGAGAAGAGTTCCGATAAAGCCGACAAGGCAAGTCTGAAAGCGGACAAGGAGAGCAAGAAGCGAAAGAGATCATCGAAAGACTAGAGATAGACGTCCGCCATATACCCATGCAAGGCATCCTAGATTGTACTTTTAGATATGAAATTGCTGCAATTGTACTATACACATTTGTTGAATCGGAATACACATTTTTACACCAAGCCAAGCGCTACTTTTGCCTCTTGTCCACCTTCAGTATCCAATCTTACGACTGGCTCTGGTCGTTTGGAAAACAAAAGTTTTTTTCGAATGATGCAAACTACTTCCATATATGTTGCCGTCTGACCTTTGCCATAGAGCCACTCATCCTCATCGATGGCCGTGTCTGCTTCTTGGGCAGAGGCTGTCTTCTTTTCCAGACCGGCTCCTGTTGCCCTCCGCTTGGAAGCAGGTAAAGGTGAGCTATAGTCTACTTCACTACCTTGAATTCTTTTCATTGGGATCGGGCTGCTGCTTGGTATGTCGAGCGAAGTACATTGGCGTTCCTCATCAGTTCCATTACACACTCTCTTTCGTGAGATTGTCGGTGAATTAGGCTGATCCAGATCATTTGAATCCAAAGGAATAGGCGTAGGCGAGGAGGGTACATCTCCTCGATCCCCATTGAGCGATATCAGAGGTGCTGGCGCTTGTTTATCGAATCGTGTGGGTGATGATGGAACATCGACAGCTTTTCGATTCACGTCAGAATCTTTCAGAACACCAGCTTCACCATTTGTTGCAGACCTCTGTTTCTTTTCTAAGACTGCCATAGGTTTCGTTAAGGAAACGATCTTTCCTTCCAATCGATGATGAGAGATCAAAAGGGTTGGACGATCTTCTCTACCGGGATGAAATTCAATCTTTGCCAATGCTTGTCCGCCTTTTGGATCTGCATCATCAATTTCTAAACTTCCTTGTAATTCAATCATGACTAATTCGTTTGAAGGAGCAAGTCGAACGAGCGGCATAGGCATGTGTGATAGGTCCACCGTCCTTGATGAAGAGGAAGCCTGTGATTGTTGATCTGGAACTAGTATGTTGACCCTCATTATTGCGAATGGAATGCTACCGATTGATGAAGGTGGTAAAGGGTTACAATAGTTCAACTTTGAAGAGAACAACACTTTCAGCTTATGCATTTACACGCACTTTCTTACACGCGTACACAAGCTCTCGCGTCGCGTGATACCTAGTTGGGTGAGTGCGGGAAGGCAACGGTGTCTCGGGATAACATCCATAAGTATCTTTCTTCAGCAACGATAAGGGAAGGTAAGGTGCACACTAGGTCTTTTAAGGTGCCGTTCAGTTGTCTGTTAAAGTGATCTACATACTGATAATCGAATCTTCTCTTTCTATAGCTTTGATTGAACACTATTATCAATCTTTGTGTGTGTTCCTGAAGATCCACGGACAAGTCTTTTTCCGTCTTTTCCATCCTTTGTCCATATTTCGCACTATAGGAAAAGATCAAAAGAGGTATCAGTATGATGATAAGAAAGTCTCTCACATGCCCATATTAACTCACCGTAATTGCTGCAACACTCTTTCCAATGGCCAATGAAGTACATTCAACATCAATATATGAATCCACTGGGATCGGGGCTGTAAAGATGATTTGCATTGATTGTGATACACCCAACATTGACCATGGTTCTCCAAAATTACTAGAGGTATGAAGGTAGATCACCAAACTTGTGAAGCAGTCCATAATTGTTGTTTGTGCACCTCCTGTTGGATGGGAAATGTGTGAGTTGCAATCAATATCACCAAAAGCATTAAACAGTTACTTACCATGTAGATTACCCAATTGATTCGTCATCTTTTCCGTTACTTTCATTTCAACTACAACTTTACTCTTTTTTAAATCTTCCGATCGTTCAGCAACGAGTAACCTAGCGGATTGTTGATCGATGCATGATTTACTGAACCCAGGTGAAGTTTCTTCTCCCATTGCTTCTATCATATCTACTATTTGCTGTTTAGCAGATTCGATTGACTGTACGTTTGGTCTTGGCATCTTGAATGATTTTTGCTTCTTTTGTGGTGTGATGGTGATCGAAAAGGAAGAGACAATAATCCCCGCACTTCTTTTGCTTAAACTCGGCTTTAATCTTTACCGATTACAACTTCCCTTTAACGCGGAGCTCGGTTTGGGTTGAAAGCCGCTTCCTAACAAAAGACAACGCGTATGACCAAACTTAAAGCGGAAATCGGATAAGCGTAAGAAGACTTTTTCTCATTTAATCAAGATAAGATATATGTAGTTTACTCCCAACGCATACACTATTGCTGGCGGTCATCATGACAGGCTCAATCATGGGATCAATCCTTGAGATTGCATTTACCATTTTGCAACAGCTAGTACTACTACCTTTGACCCTGCTTTCATTCTTCACCAATCAAAACAGCAAGAATGAAGAAAGTTATTCTTCTTTCGATCATTTAGCCCTAAACGTAAAACGTCCACAAACAGAATGGTTGAACATGGGAGATTGGACAGACGTTCAAGATGATTTACCGATGGCATGCAGACAATTATGTGAAAGGCTATACTCAGAAGCGGACATTCGACCTGGAGCAAAGATTCTTGATGTCGGACATGGTTGTGGTGATTCGTTGTTGTTGTTGATGCAAAGGTATAGACCAAGAATTTTACATGGCGTCACGTCTTTACCTTCTCATGCACAAAGAGCCAGGAAAAGAGTGCAAGATGCACAGCGATCAACAAACGGCAAAGCTCAAGAGATGGAAGTGGAAGTGCATTGTGATGATGCTGTAGCACATGTAGAAAGATTGGCAGAATTAGCACAAAAGAAGCAAACCAATGGCAAAACTAGCTCTCGCTTACAACCTCTTGATGGAACAGAAGGAGAAGAAAAATATGATTTCATCTTTGCACTCGATTGTGCTTATCACTTCAAAACCCGTCAAAGGTTCATCAATGCTTGTCATTCTCTCTTGAAGCCTGGAGGCACGTTAGCTCTTGTGGATCTGATCGCTACGCACCCATACCCTCTCTTGTCACCGCAATCGTACAATAAAACCACAAGTGAAGCCCGATTTAGTCCAAGTCCATCAATCAAACCACCAAAAGTCACAAAACCATCTCTTTTGGATTCCATAAAGCATTCTTTCGTTCTACGCATGGTCAAAGTACCTTCCGTTAACCTCATTTCGGCAAATACTTATCTTGCCCAATTGGATCAAGCCAAATACGATGATGTTCTCATTCAAGATATTTCACATGCCATGTTCCCAAACTTTGCCAGATTTCTCAAACGTCTAGGACAAGGTGAAGAACAGGCATGGCGTGGTGGCGGTAACTTACAATTAACCGCTTTGCGTGCTTTCGGTCATGTTGTCGAGGGTTGGGCAGAAGGTGGAGATCATGGAATGGTACGAAGTGTGATTGTTGTAGCAAAGAAGGAGTAAAGCTGATGTGATATATTGAATACAATCTACTGTACAATACAAAGTCATTAAAAAAGTCGTCATCATGTGTGCGTGTGTGTATTCTCGATTCTTAATCGGAGGATTGCTGTTTCATTCGTTTCTTGTAGTCTTCTGGTGTTTCAAAATTCTTCAAGCTCCAAACACCAATCTTTTTTCGCTTTGCTCGTGCCATCGCCCTTCTCAATCTTGCTTCTCCGGAAAGTGGTATTAGTCTGTCTAACAATGCTTCTTTTGCACTTGCTTCACTTTTTGACTTGCTAGAGTCTACACCTAACAATTTTCGTAAAAGTTTGGTAATTGGACCTGCTGTGCCATATGCTGCACCTGCTTGGGAATACACAGTCGCTAGTCCTTTTTCGACCAAACGCAATGATACATTCGTCCTGCCGAATATGTATGGCGAGTGCCAAACGTACGGCGTTGCAACTAAGCGCTGATATTGATCGATATGAGCCATCTGACACCATACTTCTTTGCCAAGCACCAAGCTCTCCAACTCTTCCTTTGCTTCTTTTGAGAACGGTTGAGATGGTTTTCCAAAATGAGAACTTTCTGGTGCGTCTGCGCCTGCCAATCGAACGGAAATCGTTTGAGTATTAAATGAACTTCCTTTTCCGTTCGAGTGTCCATTGATGGAACCCTTTTTGATATTGGCATATAACAAGTGACGATATATAATAGGTCCTGGCGTATGATAGATCCTGAAACCATCTGCGTCCCCAACAGAAACGCATTTTCCAACGATTGTATTCCTCGAACGCATTGAAGACGGTGTAAGGTAAGCGGTTGTAGGGATTCGTTTGAAATACCGCCTGTACGTAAAATAAGAAGCTGCCGTCAAACCAATAGTTCCCAAGGCTACTGTTGCGGGAGATTCGATAAATTTTTTCACTTCTTTTTCTGAAGGTTGTCGTACTTCAACATCATTCACTGCAGCTTGAATTGAAGAAGTTACATCTTCTGCAAGCTTCTTTAGTGAATCTCTCCCATCTTCTGCTTGTTGTCGCCATCCCGACAGTATGTCAAGCATCTTGGACGTGCTTCACTTCTGATGATGGCAATCAGAAAGAAACAAAACGATCGAAACTTTTGCTAAGAAAGGAATGTGATTGTAGAGGAGGAGTTCAGGAGGATGAATTGAGTATCGCGCTTATTCGCTTCTTGTTTTTTTCTCAAGCTCCACCAAAACAACACAAGAAGGCCATGGCACAACACTGGCCGTGTGCCGCGTGTTGGTCTCATTTCATCCCGTCTTTGAATGCATGCACACCAGGCCATCCGAAATGAACTTATTGCTCCTGATCATCACATCACACTCACGCTCACAAAATACAAGAAGTTTGTCAAACATTTCATAAAGCAGTCTATGAAAAAGAAGCAATATTGAAAGCAAAGGAAAGAGCGTTAAAGAGAGCGTGGAGAATTCCAGTGACCGATAGGGGAGGTATATGCATATCATCGTGATTACGAAGGTAGGCGGGGTGAAACCGATCAATCACCAGAAACAGAAGAGAGTATATTAGAGTCGACCAAAGCTAGGGCAAAAGAAGCGCGGAATGATGCAATGAGTAGAATGTAACAAATGTTCACGAACGAGAAAAGAACCGATTGAGCAGATTTGGTATATTGTTTGGCAAGATGCGAGGTGCTAGAAAGAAAATTTGATTTGCAAGTCCTCATCATACACCTCCATACGATCCATACGGCATCCCCGAATCGTGTCCGACCAATTGTTGAAGACCAGCAGTGTATCCGTAAGCGCCTCCCATTCCGTGCATATGAGCAGGCATTCCCATCGACATACCTGGCATGCTCAAACCTAGAAGAGCAGCTTGTTGACGAGGATCATGTCCGAATCCTGTACTGGAGGTACTATATACGGAAGGATTGTTTTGATTGGAAGTTGCGGCTAGATGTTGGGCAACAACGTTATTGAGGTGATCGTTCGAGGAATTACTCATACTCGAATGACTGTTTGCCGTAACAGATGGTTCCAATCTCTGTTGATCGGCTGAGTTGGGGCGTAGGTTATGCAAGTCATCTTCGACACTGCCTCCCATTTCTTGTGGTTCAGGAGCATTCAGACATGATTGGATCAATTCTCTGCCTGCTGGCTGTTGCACGACGGGCGAAAGCTTTGGTGTTGTGAAGGTGTAAACGAGACCCGTTTGTGAAACGATCAAGAGTAGGACTTGTGTTCCTGTGAGTGTAGCCAATTCGTATGCCTAGAAGGAAGAAGAAAAGGTCAGTATCTCCAGCAAGTCATTACCGTTCCCTTCATTCACTTACCTTTTTCATGATACCTGCTTTACGTTTACTGAACGTGATATGCCTTCTGCTATCATCTTCAATAAACTCGATCCTAATCTTACGTCTGCCCGTATGCATATCACGCTCTCCAGCAGCATTGTTTGCACCTGAAGGTCGGCCACCAGCAGCAGCGGCAGCCCCGGCAGCATTATTGGTACTTGCTTTCTTTTGAAGACCTTTGCCTGCTCTTTTACGTTTCTTGTTTCCATTTTCGTCTTCTTCATCGTCATCCTCTTCATCATCTTCCTCGCTTTCTTCCGGGACCAATGTTCCACCCAAGCCAACCATTGGGCTCATATTTGCCGTTCCGAAACTTTGTTGAAGTGCTCCGTTTGCAAGTTGCAAGGAACCATATGGAGTTTGAATGGATTTTGATCCCTCAGCTGGGGCAAAAGCAGCAAGGCCCATCTCTTCGGCTGATTTGGGTATCATGATGAATAGTCGAAATGATAACGGATACGATTGAAAGTCGCAATATCAATTGAAGCAAAGATGTTATGGATGATGAAAGACAAGAGATAGGAGTGATGACGTTTAACAAGTAAAAGCTTTTGTCTTTTGTTTGAGTTCAAAACGCTAATGCATGTTTGCTTATGCTATGTGTTCACGAGGAGTATCAATCGAAAGGGACAAAATGTGTTTATGTACGATAGGCGGGCCAAGGATTTGCTTGCTGAGCAAATGTTAAAAGCCTGCATATGAGAACAGTACATACCATGATAGATGGCTAGAAAGTCCTTATGAACCGAGCTAGTCGGACTTGAAAATGTGTATTGCACACCATAGCAGAGCACACACAAGACGGGTTTAAGTTTGAATGGATATGTGCATTTGATCAACGAAGCTGTGAATAGAATTATTAGTGCTCTTCTAGTGTTACTATCTTTTGCACCCTCTTGATCGTATCGGAGAATAAGAATTGGGCATACCATGTGTGTATGTATGAAGTTTTTCAAGCACAAGCACACTTCACGGGATCACGGCTCGGATCGTTGGCCAAATCAAAAGGCAAGTTTGAAGAAGGATAACTTGCCTTTACTGAGGAATGCCGGTTCAACAAACAATGTTCTAGCCAAGGTGTATAGGACGCCGTTGACTCTAGGCTATTGTCACAATACGAAGCCACAAGGGTGTACGACAGAGAATTGCCTGAAACACAATCTTTGAATAATACTGATCTTTTGCTCTTCGATGGGTTGGGGGATGCGTTGAAGATCATCATGCATACATACCTTCCTTGCAATTTCTGCCACACAAGTTTGATTGACTGATCATGTTCTTTCTCAAGGCATGCATTTGACCATCAACCCTGCTGATGAGCTGGTATTGAGAAAAGGCGTGGGAAAGTGCAAGAATGAAGATTTGAGAGAAAAAAGAAACGGATAAGAAGTTTCATATGGCCATAGAACAGTGAAAGATAATTGAAGGTGTTTCAGAAAAAGTACGCCAATTGCCAGGTTGATGATGAATTGTTGTCATTGTTATTGATTGTGGGCAAAAGTGCATACATTCCACTGTTTTTCTGTGAGGGATTTGGTACTTGCATAAACTGAGTGGTAAGTTTAGTGAAGCAGAGTATTTACACTAAGAAAAATATACTTTCTTTGATGCAATTGACATACCTCGATAGATGGTCGACGCGTTTACATCGCCGATTGCTCGCTCAAGCGCACGCAGCGCCGCCGAATAATTTGAAGCGCGGCATGCATACAACGAGCAGCAGCAGTTGTAGGGGAGAATGCATTTATCCGAATCACCATAACTCGCTCACTCTCACTTTACTTCCATCTTCCGTCTATCGGACATCATTATTACCCCGCATTCACCGAACTCATTTCAACAAATCCAACACTTGGATAATCAATCTTTGGCTTTTCTCTTGGTCAAGATCGGCTGATACATACATACACATATTCTTCTCACGAAAAAGCCAATCCATTGGTAGACGGAGATAGAATTTTACTCTCCGGCTTTTGACAAGATATCGTACGACAAATGAAATACAGAAGAGAACAAGTCTATTATTAGTATAATTGCCTTTCTGAATTGCCCTTTCTCTCGGATACTCGGAAGTGCTTATCTGGAGCATCCATTGTGTACGTTCCCGACCAACGTCAATCACAGATTTCAGCCATCCAGCATTTGCCGCTTGTACCTTGGAAATTTCAAGATTAGAGTTCTCCGACAATCTCTGTAAAGAACGGTCGTTCTTGACAGCGAACCGAATAAGCATTCTGTCCGGTCACCGATTACGACAATTCACTTCCACAATGCCGGCCATTCGAACTTCTCGGCCTGACATTATCATCAGGGTTCCTAGGGCTATCAATCTACCAAAACAATCGAAAGAAACGGAAGACGGCAGCGGAGAAGGAAAAGAAGATCAACAATCAGCTGATCATACAACACAAATCGCCTCACCCTACAATCCAGAGGCTTCAGGGTCAACACCTTCGCGGCGATCTGCTTCACCAGTAAAAGGAGGACGATCCGAAGATCATCTGCGAGTAGGTCCATCAACCGGAGAAGCAAAAGAACAAAGCAGTATCCCTCCCTCAAGATATCAATATGCCAGTCAAGCAACCTCTTCAGCTGAATGGAATAGTTTATTGATTTGGGCAAGAAGACAAAGAGGTCCACAATGGGATTCTGCGACTGGAATGTGGCAAGTTGATCAAGGTTCAACGGAATATTATGCGTTTAGCAATGATCCTGCAAGACATACAAAACTTTCATATAATTTGCATCAACATCACGAAGCCGATCAAGAGACGCAAGATGGCAACTTAACACAAGATGGAATGGAACAAGATTCAAAAGCATCGATGCCTGAAGTAGGATCAATACAGGGTACTATGGACGGTCATCATCATCCTGGTCATCATGATTTTCATAATAATACACCTTTTAATCTTTCTAGCTCAGCCGGAGGAGCAGGAGGTTCGATACCGATCGGATACAATGAAGATTCTCCACCGCCCATGGGTCCTGGAGGAAGGCGAGCAAGGGCTCGTTAATGGTCATGATCGTAATTGTATAATAGTGTCACATATTGAAATAGAAGCTTATTCTGGGGTTAATGGCTCAACGCGCTTTAAAGGGCGTATGCACACGTGATTCGCATAATTTTTAATCAGGGCGTTGGCAATTTTAGATTTATAATTGGAGTTTTGCGTTTGAATCATTCTTACTTCTCTTCTTTAACGCTTAGTGTCAAAAGACACAGACCCCGACTGCTCAAAAAGCACCTCTTCATTGAGATGGGCTCTCTTTCTTTTCTTTCGAGAGAGGATTTTGCGGCCTATCCAGGACCGAATGAGGCCGTCATAGCAGATTAGTATCGGAGATTCAAGAGCCAATTTTTCATAAGTTGGTCGTTCGTAATTCGGCGATGAGACTTGGGTGCGTGAGGTAATTTGATTCACCTTTGTTGTGTAATCACATGAGCCATCTCGCAAGGTTTCGTTGCACATTTCTTTTTTCTTGTGTGTGGTCTATTGGGATGATTTGATTTTTATAATGTACAGTGGAAATGATGTAACAACATGACTCAGAATCAATTTATCGAATGTGCTTCTTGCAGTTTCGCATCTGCTAATTCACCTTGAAGCTGTCTTAGTCCTCCAACTGATGCTCCTGCTAGCGTTCCAAGCAGCAGTGATCGTCTAGCTATCTGTCCCGGTAAGCGATCTGATTGAGAGAAGAAGATGTCAGTATGAGTGCATATACTCTTTGGTTTGATAGCCACTCACATAATATAGATGCACCTGTTGCTATTCCCAGACCTGCAGTTGCACCGTCTATCCATCTTCCATTCCATCTTGGATGTATGTTCTGCGATTGTATGTAGGAATTGCGTACCTTTTCTACACCTTGCTCGATGGCAATGTATGCAAATGTCCATAATCCAACACGCAGGCCCGCTTTTGCGCCACCCTTTGCTCCTCCTAGCAGCACTTTGTAGTTCTGTAATTTTATATCAAGTCAGTCTAATGCTGCAATACTTCAATATCACCCTCATCTCACCTTTGTTTTGTTGTAAAAGTACCATCCTTGTACTGTATTTGGCCTTCTATGTGCATTCTCTGCCATGAATACCAATCCTGATCGTGTGGCAGCAGTGTAAAAGCCAGCAACGAAGCCCAAAGTAGCGCCTGTCATTGGAATTGCCATCTCTGGACCATGTCTAAAGAAATCTTCTTGCTCTTCGTTCATATCGTATTGCGAGGAGGTCGTTTGTGGAGTAATGATCTCTGTTTGCACTTCAGTAGCTGGGAGGGTGCTTGTTGATGATGATGCGCTTGTGTTCTGTATTGCCCCGCTGTCTCTTGCTTGTGTGTCTGCCTTTGGCTTAGACTGTAGCCATGTTGGTAACCATGTCATGATCTTGTATGGTAACGGATAAATGCACTTTATCGCTTATGACGGAAATTAGCCAAGCTTAAGTCAAGTTACCGCACGAGAAGAAATGCATTTCCGCGCGGGCGCATTTGCTTAATTGATTACCCTTTTAGTACTGGAACTAAAGAGTGAGCAAGAGCACACAGTTTAGTAGCATGATCTTTTTGCGGGGTTGCCCTTTTAATTAAAGAAAGATTTTTGTGGCGCCGGCGTACTGCCTCAATGATATTCTTATAGCCGGTCTTAAAGTATTCTTGGCCCGGACCGACAGTAAGCGTTGGCTGTTGAAGGGATGATTGACAAGAATAAATGCATCTTTATCACCACCACCGTCACCTCCCTCTAACTTTGTTCACCCTTGACAACCTACTCTCAACCTCCTTTCTCATCATGACTGACGTAGCTGCTCGTTTATTGGTGGAGTACACTCTCGCACTTCAACGAAATCCATTAAGGACAAAGATGTACACTTCAGGTACATTAGCAGCTTTGGCCGAAATCCTAGCTGGAAAATTTGCGGGAGTGGCTCCTGCAGAAAAGAAACTTCCACCTGGACAAGTTTCAGAAAAAGAAGCAATCAAACAACAACCTTTACGATTTTTAGAAGCAATCTTTGCTCATTTAGGTATTAATAAAAGGGCTTTGCAAATGTTCATTTATGGTTTTGCAATCAGTGCACCTCTTGGACATGTTATGACTGGGGTATTGCAGCGTGCATTTGCTGGAAAGACAACAGCCCGTGATCGTGTAATGCAAATCATTACTGCAAATTTGACAACAGCAGTAATCAGTAACACAGTTTACCTCGTTTGCATGGCATACATCAATGGAGCACGCAGTATCGATCGTATTATCGGCATTTGGCGTTCTTCATTCATGTTCCTCATGCGTGTCACTTGGCTCACTTCACCAATCTCAATCGGTGTTGCACAAAAATACTTACCGCAAACTCTATGGGAACCTTATTTCGCTTTAGTTCGTTTCTTTTTAAGCACAGCTTTCAACACAATCACAAAGAAGAAACAAATGGCTTTGCAACGTAAACAACAAGATGCAACAAAGGATGAAGATTTGCGTAAAGGTGCCGCTCAAAAGAAGTGAACGAAAAACTCTTAAAGTTAAACTACTTGTATCATTTCATAAGTATCAGATCACGATCTTATTCACGACTTTCATCACAGCATATTGTCTGTTAATCAATTTTATTGGTGTAAATACAATGGTAGAATCGGTATCGGTAAGCAGAGATTTTGAGTGGGATATTTAGCGCTTGAATAGCGTCACAACGTCTTCGTCCATCAAAATATGATCGACACCAACTCTCTGTCCACGAGGATGTTTGGAAGAAGCACCATACACCATGGCAAATTTAAGTTGTTTAGCGATTTCCTTGTGAATTGCATTGGCAAAGTCTAGAACGCTGGACTTGCCTTGTCGTAGCACGACTGGTTGTGAATAATCTGGTGGTGCTTTGCTTGGTTTTGTGTATACACGTACAAGCCTCAACTCTTCCCACATCTTTTCCGTCAACTCATCGATATTTAGCCATTCTTTCGAACTGATTGGAACAGAATGGGGAATCTTGTATAGGAGGTCCAGTTCTTCAATGGAAATCTGGTCGATCTTGTTCAAAACATAAATGCAAGGGATGTATACTCGGTTTCCTTCAATCACATCAATCAGTTCGTCCACTGTAGCATCTTGTCGGAACATGACACTGGCACTGTTGATCTTGTATTCGCTCAAGACTGCCTTGACTACATCATGATCGATCTTTGTTAGTGGGACGGTATGTGAGATCATCACTCCTCCTTTGTCCTTCTTTGTGATGGAAATGTTCGGCGGCTGCTTGTTCAAACGAATTCCTACACCCTCCAATTCTTTTTCCAACTTTGCTTTATCTGCCAATGGTTTACAAACGTCCAAAACCATAAAGATCATATTACACGTCCGCGAAACAGCAATGACTTGTCTACCACGACCTTTACCATCCTTTGCACCTTCAATAATACCGGGCAAATCTAGAATTTGTAACTTTGCTCCATTGATGTCCATCGTTCCTGGAACGGTTGTCAAGGTTGTGAATTCGTATGCTGCTGCTTCGGATGTGGTTCCAGTCAAGCCCGACATTAATGTACTTTTACCCACACTTGGAAATCCAATAAAACCAACACTTGCAATACCCGTTCTTGCAACATCAAAGCCTTGTCCTGGACCACCGCTACCGCCACCTGAAGTTGGGTTGATTAATTCACGTTGTAGCTTTGCCAATTTGGAACGCAATTGTCCCAAATGGTATGATGTGGCCTTGTTCTTTTGTGTTTTATTGATTTCATCTTCGATCTCCTTGATCTTTGAGATGGTCGTCATCTTGAACGAGAATCTTTATTTGGAGGGCGATCAAGATGATGGAGTGGTAAAGATGACGTTGATGGCTAACGCTAGTCTGCATGTATTCGAATGCACATCATTAAAGATTTTGAACTGCACAACCTCCAGATTAAAATCACGTGAACCTTCTGTTGGCGCAACCCAAAGCGTGTTCAGCTTTTGCTTTAAGAACGCGCAAGCAAATTGTTTGACTCGTTCTTCTCTTCTTTCATCACGCTCTCTCTCAAATCACTCGTTACCAAAGCCCCAAACGCCTTTTACTTTTGGGGCCCAGAGTGGTTTGAGATTTTAAGGGAGTTGTTCAGAATTTTTCTTCATCCTTTAGTTCACAAATTGGTTTCCTTTTTGTCCTTGTCATCGTCAGTCATCCGTTTGCCTTCTCCGAAGCGTTGGGACCTGAGATCGAGGTGCAAAGGACTTCTTTTGGACTGATTATCTCGCAATCCGCAATGCATTGTCTCTCATTAATCTGTTCTGTGTGATATAAGGTGTGACGAATAGTTCTTTGTGTTCAGAAAGCGATAATGATACATGTTTTAAGGAGCCAGAAGGTCTGACTAGATAATAGTACAATGGACTTGAAAATATAATTACAGACAGTTTGATCACAGCATATTAGTCATTGCGAGCTCGCTTGGTAGAAGAGAGGCCTGCTGATTCCAGTAGCTCATCATCCGTGTCGGAATAGGATGCCCTTCTACGTTTGACACTGCCGCTGGCTGAAGCTGATTCTGGATTAGGAGCAGGAGCAGTGACTGATATCCTACTTTGTCGACCGCCTGATCGTCTATCAGGCCGTCTTGAATTCGTTTCAGTCGTATCCTCTTGCATGAGATCGTCCAGCTCATCATCTACTTGTTGTGCTTCAGTCTGTTTCGGAGTATGGTCGACTGCTTGAATGATCGGTTTAACATCTTCTTTCTCTGTTGTTTCAATTGCTGCATCTACGCTATTACTCTTAGCAGCTGATGAGTCATTTCTCCTTGCTATATTCTTCCGTCTATGCTTCTCACCAGCGATTGCATCAAGTAGGAATCTGTGTGGTGGTGCAATCGAAGAAGGATGAAATGTTAGAAATCTGGCAGAAAACCTCGCTCTCTCGTGCATATACTCACTCAATCTCATCTTGCAGCTTCATTTGCTTAAGGCTTGCACGACTCAGCTCTCTATTACGAGCAATTTGATCCTTTTGATGGATGGAGGCATATGTCAGTGACCGCATTCTACCGAGTGAACATTGAGTATCAACTTACCGAGCTTGCTGCATCATATCGTTGTTTCTGTCGAAGGAAATGTTGTTTATAATCTCGATTTGGATTGGGACCTTTCTTTGAACCTGAAGGATCGGCTGATCTACGATCCAGCTCTGGTGATTCCATTGCGAGGCTGTTGTTGTCAAGGCGAGATTGATGAGGATCAGTAACAAAAGTGTTAACGCGCCAAATCACGATTCAATCACTGTTAAAGGGCTGGCGCTATTTTATTACAAGTTGGCCCAAGCGCATGAGGATAATCGATGATGATGGATTAATGATAAATGCTCTCTCTTTCAACCATCATCTATACCTATACAACATGTCAAGCTCACAACAGTCTACGGGCGATATACCAGGAGCATTCAATCCATCATCAACATTATCCAATGCAACATCTTCTACTGCTTCAAATGCAGCAGCAGCCTTACGATCAGCAACTGCTACACCACCACCTAGGGTCACTTCACCACCAATAACGTCAGGCGGACTACTTTCACCTCCGATAGCAGCGAGAACGCCAGTACAAACGTCTAATCTACCCAAACCCGGCGTTAGCTATCATGTTCAAGCTCTGAATGCGTTTGAATCTTACAAGAAAAAAGATTCCGCCAAAGTTGTCGTTCGATTCAAAGCAACAGGAAATGCACCTATCATGAAAAATAATTATTTCAGAATCACTGCTTTTAATCGATTTCAAGCTGTCATACAGTTCTTGCGAAAGGAGCTAGGATGGAAACAGGGAGACGCCTTGGTATGTTACGGAAGAGATCTCTTGGGGGTGATGCTCGAGTCTGTTCTATTGACGCTCCTTTGTCCTTTACAGTTCCTCTATATCAATTCCTCATTCAGTCCTGCACCAGATGATACCGTCGGTAATCTCTTCAGGGTGAGTGTCATGTCTCTAAGGGATACGATCATATCATGCTTACATTTGCTTCCCTCTCCAGTGTTTTGGCACAGAAGGTCATCTAATCGTCAATTATTCAACGCAAGCAGCATGGGGATGATCGCTCACTTGCATCTCAAAGACTTGGCTTTCACACTGTACTTTACGCACGATCAAACATATATTACATGACGCTCTATTCGACAGCAGACCTGCCTTCTCATTCTTTCCGATCCCACAATTGGAAGGTATAACGCACGTCTTTCTCTTCTTCGATGCCATGGGACACTGGCCCGCCCATGAATTGATCAAATTGTTGATCGGAAGCGGCAGACCATTTTTGTTCAGGAAGAGGCTTTAATTTTCCAATAGCAGGTTCATCATTTCCAATTCCGGCAAATCGTTCATCCTCTTTGATTTGATCAGATGTTCTGAATTCTGGCAAGAATACATCACATTCTTCAAATGCAGGCGAATGTATTCTTGTGATCATCAGCTTATCCAATGACCAGCTTTGTGATCGTTCACGCTCCATTGCTTCTTTGTATAGTTGAGCTCCACCTATCAAAAAGGTTCGATAGATCGAAGGTGTTGAGCTGGAACCCAACAGATCGGCAGCTGCATCGAGACTTGAGACTAGATGTGAATGTTCCTCGGGAGATCTGCAGTAGAGGAGATGACTAGTCAGTATCTGGCCATGAGTAGCCTGGTAACGGGATTCCACACTTACATGCCGAGTTCTTTTTCTGCTTCTTTTCCACTTTGACGACTTATGACAACATTGACCCGACCTTTCAAAGGTCTGAATTTCGGAGGAATAGATTGCCAGGTCTTTCTTCCCATGATGACAGCGTTCATCTTTGATCCTTCATTTTCACCTACAGCAGAAGTTGCTTTACGAAAATGTGCCATTTCTCTCGATAGTCGCCAAGGTAACTGTCCGTTCACTCCTAGACCGTTTGTACGTGTGATTGCTACAATGGCAATAAGACTTAATGGCTTTTGTTGTGCCATGATTTCTTGCTCGTCGTTTGACATCCTTTGCCTGAGGTGAGTCTGTTTGAGTGATGTCAAGATGGGAAGAAGTAAGTGTTGCTTTGATCGCGTCTGAGCAATTTACACGCGTACGGGTTGACTTTCCTATCTGCCTCCACGCACGCACAGTTCTTTCAAGGTTTAGCCGGTTAACATATCATCTCTTCTCAACATTATCATCATTCGTATGAGCATAAGTGTAGCCTCTATAGGCACAGCCATGGCAACAAACAGCAACATTGCCACCACGTCAACTGGATCATTCGCCTATCCTCCACTGTACAATTTTCCGCCATTCTTCACTTTACAACGTAATGCACAGACACTTGCATCTCAATTAACCACTTGGACAAGGTTCGTATTGGACTTCTGTCAGCATAATCGGATATTCACACTAGATGTAGAAGGAGCATGGGAAAGGACAACTGGTGCTGGAGGTCTATTTCGCAATGCAGCAATTCAAAGAGAGCTGAATTCTGATTCTATCAGACAGGTATTCAAAGCATTAGTAGATCAAGGAAGTGCGACTTGGGATCCTCCAATAGCAAAGTCCAATTCAAAATCTGCAAATAAGTCACTTGTTGTTGCAGATAGAATATTAGTATTTTGGAGAAAGCCTGAAGAATGGGGAGAACAAATCTTTAATTGGATTAGCAAGACTGGACAAAATGGAAGCATTATGACGTTCTTTGAATTAACAGAAGGTGATCTAGTGCAAGATCAAGAATTTCATTATTTGCCCATACCGCTACTCAGGCTGGCATTGCTCACTCTAGAGAAACAAGGAAAAGCAAGGGTATTTGAAGGTACCGAAGGAGGAGATAGCACCACAGGTGTCAAGTTTGCCTAATGGGTCGGTAAGTGTATTTATAGTAGATCACATCATTGTATGCATAAAAGCAATATCACAGCATCTGTCGAGCGAAGAAGCATGTCTAAGTTGAAAGGTAGTATACATGATTGCTGGAGAAGTAAGGATGTCCTACTTTCTTCCTTTTGATTTTCTCTTGTTGGAGTCTTGACGAGCTTTCTTCTCAAACACGCCTCCTCCCCGCCTCTTTGAGGAGCCATCGAGAAAGTCATCACCCCCGCTGGTCTTGTTTGCTCGCGATCTTTGTAAGGCAGAAGATCTTTTGGCACCCTTGTAATCGTCTCCACCTCGGTTGCGTAAAAGATCACCAAATTCTTCCTCTAAACCAGCCCCAACACGACCACGTTTATCGCCTCTACCTGCTCCACCCAAAGCAACATCTTCTTCATCACGTCTACGACGTTTAGCATCCTTTTTGCTCATGATCAAACGAGTAAAGTTATCTTCTTCATATTCTTGCATTCTTGCCAACGCTTTTGCTCTTGATGAACTTGAAGAGCCACTACCGCCTCCAACACCCACACCACCTGATGATGTTTCGTACGGGTTAGCAGACATACTTGCACTCAGATCAGATAGAAGAGCGGCATTTCTAGGTGCAACACGTTCCTTTGTTGCTTTGCGGGAGGATGCTGTCGCACTCTCTGGATTGTATACCACAGGTGCCATTCTGGGCGGTCTATAGATTCCATCACCTCTGTCCCGATTCGATTTTGCATCTTTCTCGGAAGAGTTTGCATCACCATTCGTGCCTGTGCTGCCTGACAATGCGGCAAGATTTGGTCTGAAAGATAGTGGATCCACTTCATCCGTTGCTGCGGCTGCACTTTCTGCCGTTCTTCCTTCACGTATCCGTTTATCTTCATCTTCTGCAGCTCGAACCAATCTTTCCACCAATCCACGCATCCTACCTTCAACGGGTCGAATCTTTTCCAAAATCAAGCGAAGTTCAATTAAATTTCTTACTAGTCCAGAACCATTCTCGTTGTTGAGCGGCTTTCCACGCAGCCTTTGCGAGCATAGCAATACGAGATGGTGCATGTATCCTAGAAGAGTTGCATTTTTCAATGTAAGCAAAGATGGTCCTTGATTTGCTTCTAGAAGGTCTGAATCGGCCGGCAAAGCTGCTTGAACTGATTTGAGCAGAGATGCAGAGTCTTTTGATAATGACTGTACTATTGGCTTGATCGTTGCCGAAACGTCTGCCATATTGAAATTGTTCCAATTGATGGTGGTTGCTCGTTTGGAAGCTTTTACAGAATAGATGTAAAATATGCAGCCTAAAATGAAAAATTCTGGAAAATTTTCACGCACGACGCCAGTGTTTGTAATAAGCTCGAGCAATTCACGCGGACTTAAAGAGAATCAATGCTTCACTAAGAAAAGTACTTCTTCGATGATTGATCTGAAAGCCTTGGTTGAAGTTATGAATACTTCAATCAAGATAGCAAACTATGTGATAAAAATGTGTGATTGCTAAGAGTACAAATACAAAGGTGCAAGAGCACAAGGAAAAGGATTACAAGAGTGGCCAAGTTTTTGATTTAGGTGCACTATCTAAGCAGGATCATGCTAATTGATATGCCGACAAGATTTCGGTTTCCCAAAGCAATCGAGCATACCGGAGATGTTTCGGATGATCCTGTAAAAAAATGGCTGTATTAAGATCACTAAAGCAAGATTAGACTTGCTTTGAGAATCGTGCAAGATGGTAGTTGATTGCTGATTTTGGAACTCTCTTCGATCCTCCCTATTATGATGAGAAAAATGGTAAAGTGGTCAGAAACGAATTATTATAGGTTCCTGCATGTAGAATACTACTTACCTGCGTTCTTAGACAGGTTTGCAATGCCACAGCATGCTTTTGGCATTCTCCTGAACTTCCCAAATCGTTCGAACTTGCCCAACAAGCAAGCATAGTCGCAAATTCAGCTGCACAAGGGGCAGGTATAGCGGCCTTCTTTGGTCTTACCCTTAGCTTGTCGATCTTCATCTTGTAGTTGTGATGTGATGGTGATCATCTAATCAGTTCATACGCGAGTCCGATACCACTAATCAATTGCTCAGAATAATCTTCTTGGATGGGACACGTGACCTTTTCCTTATGCGCGCTCGGTCCAGAGAAGGGTGGGTGATTAATCAATTCATTCATACGCTCAGCCTTTAGTGCATCATTCTCAATTGATACGCTTACACAATCGATTAAATATATATTCCTTTGTTCACCATCATCGAAAGGATCATCACACAAAGATGGCATCATTCGCTCAACGTTTCGCTATTCCGCTAGGTGCGGCATTCTTGGTTGCTCAATCAAGTCTTGTGAGCGTTTATGGTGGTCAACGTGCTATCATCTTTGATCGATTCCAAGGTGTAAAAGAACAACCATTAGGAGAAGGAATGCATATCGTCATTCCATGGTTACAAAGAGCAATTTTGTACGATGTACGTGTAAAGCCAAGAAATATTTCCACAACAACAGGATCGAAAGATTTACAAATGGTCACTTTGACACTTCGTGTGATGTCAAGACCTGATGTTCAACATTTATCCAAGATTTATCAAGGTTTGGGATTGGATTACGATGAACGTGTTTTACCTTCGATCGGTAACGAAGTTTTGAAGGCAATCGTTGCACAATTTGATGCAGCAGAGCTGATCACCCAACGTGAAGTTGTATCCAGTCGGATACGTGAAGATTTGCTAAAGCGTGCTCGTGAATTCAACATCGTTTTGGAAGATGTTTCGATCACTCATTTGGTTTTCGGACAAGAATTCACAAAAGCAGTCGAACAAAAGCAAATCGCTCAACAAAATGCTGAAAGACAAAAGTTCGTCGTCGAACAAGCAGAACAAGAACGTCAAGCTTCCGTTATCCGAGCAGAAGGTGAAGCAGAAGCAGCTCAAGTTGTTTCTAGAGCATTGGAAAAGCACGGTGATGGTCTATTGACAATTCGTCGTATTGAAGCATCAAAGGAGATTGCAAACTCTCTCAGCGGAACACGCAATGTTACATGGCTACCCGCTCAAAATGCAAATATGCTCCTCAACATGCCTGCTCAATAAACAGGCTACCCCACTTGTCTTTTGTATATTTTCTGTCCCTAATCATACTGCCAATCACACCTCATCAGCAGATAATCATGTGAGATTGCGAGCGATATAGTATACACTGTTGGGTATTGTACAATATGCTAAGAGCCTTCTTCGCGGATCTCCATTGTCCATATGATTGCTTGTTCAGTTTCAACAGTCACGACAGGGTCTTTAAGATGATTGCTAGTAGACAGGAAACCGCCCACTGCAGAATGCTCTCCCGCTGTATAGAAGATTAAAGTCAGATCAATTGTCTAGGAGTCTCCTTTAATGCTCAAAGCTCACCTAGATTCCACCTTAATCCTTCTGTCCAAATACGAGTACCTGATTCATCTGAATCGGTTACCTTTGCTGCGAATGGTAGCAGTCCACACGTAGGACCAAAGATATCTAAATCGATATCGATAATATGCTTGCCCTGTTCGATCGATCTAAGTAGGTTAGTCAAAGTCCTTCACATCAACCGGAAATTTCCCACTCACTTTTCCAAGCAGCCAAGCCACACTATTCTCGCTGATAGCAATAGCTTTTTCTCGCCTTTCCAGTTGGACATACTCAGATTCGTCCAGGCCAGCTTTCCTATTCCCGTTCATTATCTTTTTATTGTCTGAAGAGGGATCTTTCGCTAATTGACATAAGACATGAAATGTATGCATAGTTTGATCCAATCTGCCCGACAAACCACCCAAGATAACGACGACCAATTCTTCATTGTGTTCTTCTTCATATTCCTCAACAGCTATGATACACTTTTGCAGATCTGTTGCATACTGCGATGCTGCCCTTGTTATTCTGACATTCTTAGCTGCAAAGAATTTTTCCACCTCATCTCGCAGTGAATCTAGATCTCCCCTTATCTCGTGAGGTAAAGTACAGCTTTGACCGAATGTGTCTAATAGCCTATTAGCACCACCATCAGCGCATAATCGTAGAGTTGCTATATTCATTTGATGAAGTAGTATTAGCGGTACGATTTATAAGACATGCTCTGAACAACTCCGTCTCACCTTCTTTCCACACCTTTTCGATTAAACTTCTATTAGGTTGCAAGATCGGCGAATTTAACATGATTGCCGCATATCGTATTGTATCTTTCTTGGGGTTTAGTATATTTGATACATCCCATCTCTGTCCCATTTTCTTGAGGGTTGTATTGGCTGACATTGTATATTCGAAAAGTGAGAAGGAGGAGCGGATCAAAAGTGACACTTTATGTTCTTCTTATGAAGGCGTAAGTAACAAACAAATAATATACGCGCTATCCAGCTAATCGGGTGGAGATATTCGGCACTTTCTTTTTTACGATTTGACAAGCTAACACAAACGCTCAAAAGGCGTGAATTACTCTTCTCATACCCATCATCAGTAGCATTCATCGATGACATCGAGCAGAGCCTCATTACCGAGGCGATCTGCGGCAAGTCGATCATCACCAAAACCAAACAAAGATGAAGCAGAACAGAGTGGAAAGACGGACAGGACTGAAGAACAAAAGACAATTCCAACAGGTCCATCACCTGTAGCGATTGATTTAGGTGCATTTTCCATACGCATCAGTATAGGCAGAGATCCAAAAAGTTCTATTGTCACTCGTTGTCCAAATGCGATCGTACGACAACAAGTTCAAAGACGACATCCTGGTGTCACTTCTGGATCTTCTTCACTAATTGGTCCACAAATTCATGAGAGATGTACAAATTTTGGCTCTCTGACCATCCGACAGCCAATGGATCGAGGCTTGGTGGTAGATTGGCAGGCACAGAAAGCGATCTTGGATGTTGCACTAGCTGATGCTCTGTCAAAAGAAAAGGGAGGCAGTACATCAAACACAAATGGTAAGCAAACCGGCAAGCTTTTACAAGGAAGACAAGTGATCCTTACAGAAGCATACTTTAACCTACCCGATCTACAATCCGCAATGGATCTGCTTTTGATGGAAGAGTATGGAGCAGGATCGATTTGGAGATGTGCTCCTGCATATCTCATACCTTACAGCCTGCCTCTATTCTCCGCTACTACGGCTGGCGTTGGAAAGAAGAGACAGCGACCAGAGTGCATGCTAATCGTAGATCTGGGACACAGCGGCACACATACAGTACCAATTGTAGGTGACTCTATCATCTGGAAAGCAACACGCAGACATGTAATCTCGCAAAAGTTATTGACGAACCTGCTGAAAGAATCACTCAGTTTTCGACAATGGGATATGATGGATGAAGCTTGGCTTGTCGGGCACATAAAGGAGAGCTGCTGTTTCGTTGCAAGTAGTTCAGGTCGCAGAGGTGAAACAATAGGAAGCTCAAATTCTTCCCAATGGAGCTTTGCTGCTCTTGTTGAGATGTGCGAATCAACGTCTAAGCAAAAGAATTCAATCGTACAGGAATACGTCTTGCCAGATTATGCAAATCTCAGTCATGCCTCCAAGTATGGCTACATTCGGAAAGGGCCTGGAAGCTCAGCTGCAGATGCCGCATTGACGGAAAAGCTACAAAAGCTCAATGATGATGATTTCATCAGTGATGATAGTACCGCGAAGCGAACAGCACTGACAGCCATCAAAAGCAACGAAAAAGCAAACGGAGAAAGTGAAGAAGATGTAGATGATTCGTCAGACGATGATTTTGATGCGACAATTAGCGGAGATGATTCGGCAGATGATACAGAAACGCAAAGGCCGAAAAAGAAGCAGAAGAAAGCCAAACAGAAAGTAAAGGCGAAAAAGTCAGCCGCACCAGCAAATGGGCACAACGAAGAAGAGGAACCCGAGCAAGTTTTGATTTTAGAACGTGAGCGATTTCAAGTACCGGAAGTGATGTTCAATCCTGGCATAATTGGATTGGATGATGCTCCCTTGCATGAAGTGATCCGAACCAGTATAGAAGAATGTGATGAGAACATAAGAGGACTTATGTGGTCAAACATTTGTTTGGTGGGAGGTGGTGCTCAAATGCGTGGTATAAAGGCTCGTTTGGAAGCTGAACTGAGACCTTTGGCACCTACTGATGTTCCTCTACACATTTGGACGAGCAAGAAACCTGCTATGGATGTTATACATGGTGCTCAAAGTATTTTGACTGCTTCTACCGGAACAACCATGCAAAGAATGTTGAAATCACGCTTACTTCCGGTAGAAGAATATACCCAATCCAACAGTCGACAACTTTTTGGGAGCTGGACTTCGGTCTGATGCTGCACACCTATTAATATAGCATTGTGGGGTATCCATCGAAGAATCTGTACAGTAGGGCAAGCTTGATTATAGAAAATTTGTCAGGATGAAGGGGTAAGGGAGCATGATCTGAGAATAGATCACGGCAAAGTATGTACAGTAAGCACAGCAATCAAATGCATTATTGAAAGCATTTGATTGACATTGTCATTGGACAGGCAATTGATTTATTGAGCCTTGACACTCTTTCTGCGACTGGTGGTTGGTGTTGAGCTCTTGCGTGTACGAGAGCGTGTTCCGCCGGCAGGTCCAGCAAGACCAGCAGCTTGAATGAGACTTTGTGACATTGTACGACCCAAAGAGAAAGCGATTGCGGCGGGGAACAAAATCCATTGGAAGTTTGGCAAGAAGAAGATGACGATAAAGTTATAGGCTGTATTATGACCGGTATAACCCCAACCTTTTGGACCACTTGCCCAATCTTGAGCCCAATACAAAACTGTTTTCCAAAATGTTGCAATAGCGGCGGTAAAACCGATTACGGGAGCGATTGCACGTAAACGAGCGTTTGATTGATAAGCAGCCAAATAAACATAAGAAAAGTTTAAAATTGTTTCAACGATGTTCATTAAACCTTGAGCGAGAGTGAAACCGTTGTGTAATTCATAAAAACGTTTTGAATAAATTAAATCAACATCTCCGTATAAATCATAAGGTTGCCAGAGGAAATGCCATTTACCGCCCTTGAATGTATGAGGACGACCAAGGATGTAACCTGTATCCCACATTACGATAAAAGATGAAATGATGAACCAACCTAAAATCCATTTAGGAGGATCTAGAACGGTTGTAGCTTTTGCTGCGGCCATTTTGAAGAAATTTGAGGAGAATAATTTTGATGGATGCAAAGAAGAAAGAATTGATCGTGCGTGCGTTTTTGTGTTGATCAAAAAGAAACAAACGCGCAAAAACGCGCCGGTGAATAATAATTCTGTTTGTCGATCCGGGTAATGCATGTATCCCCACTCCAAGAGAGGGTGAGCGAGTAATGCAACCAACCCACTTTATCGTATGACACGCGAAAAACATGCATGCACAGAATTCAAACAGAAACACGAGTTTAGCGTAAAAATGCGAATTGGGTAAAATGTGTATTAAACTCTCATCATCTTTAGTCCTTCACTAAATGCATCTTTTCGATTGATGATCAATTGGAAATGCGGTATTAAATACCCATCATTACCGAAACAGCTTCTTTCACTCAAAGTTTTTCTCTGAAGGCTGAGCATTCTGGAAGTTGTGTATGGGGTATCATAAAGGCGTATCTGACGAAAGATTGCATTGAATGAATGACATTGATGACAGCGATACAATTTTATTAATTGTCCAAACCTGGGCAATTTTCAGAGTAAGGCGAATTGCTTGTCAAATCTTTATGGTAAATCTCGTAAATGAGATTGAAATGATCAGAAGGATAATCAAACTTTCCACCAAGTGCAGCACCAATTTTGCCCAATTCTTGGTGTTCCCAACAAACAAGAATGTTTCCATTATTGTTATCAGCATAAGATTTGATCGAATCTTTTGCACATTTTGTATCATCTTTTGAACAATGATGATCAATCGTTAATCCTAAATCTTTTGCTAAAGGTTCAACTGTTTCATATGGTCGATCACGAGATCCGTCAGATTTATAATCTTCCACAATAATATAACCGATATCGTATCCTGAAGATGCACCGAAAACGTGTCGTAAGCATTGAGCACGTTCTTCACCTTGGGCACTGAGTCCGGTCACATTATGATTTGCTGGTTTCTCGCCGTGGCGGATGCTATTAAAGGAAAGGGAGTGTTAGTGATGGTATAGAATGGATGGATTTCACTTCTTTCACTTACAGGAAAACCTTGTTGCTGAAAGCAGAGACAGTATTGACTGCCAAAGCAAGAATTAAAGCCAAGCCAAAGATACCACGCATATTTGCAAAAGGGATCAAAATGAGGGGATGTTTCGTCATTTTTAGGTTCTTCTAAAAGAATGCATTCTATTTAAGTCTTTCAATTTCAGCAAGGCTTACTTCCATTTCTTCTTCGGCCATGGAACCGATCTTGTCTTGCTTATGTGGGTAATGCTTGCAAATGCAACATTCTTAGCATGTCTGCCGTTGAACAAACAAAAGTGATTTAGTGCCAGTCCTGTAGTGTTTTTTACTTTATCTCCTTTTCCCCGTTCACTCATGCATCATCAGCACAGCAATCCATTCATTCTTTCACTTTTCTTGCCGCCGGCACAAAAAACAAGGTTAACGCTAAAAGTGAACGTATTCTACAACGGAAAAGGCAACGTGCACAAATGCAGTAAGGACACTTCCAACAAACAGTAAAACGTCAAGGTTTAATGAAACATTGTGATTCCTAATTAAATAAATGTACAATTGTGTAATTTAACCATGTTTATCCGAAATCATTTATTCATCGTCGGAATAGTGAGAATCTTGTTCCACAGATTCATTCGTCTGTGCTTCAGCCTGTGCGACTCTAGCCTTGCGTTCACGTTGAGCCCGTAAAGCAACCCTTTCACGATCTTCTTGTGCTTCTGCTAATGCTCTAGCCTAAAGGATGTCAGGAACAAGAAGGATACAATCAGTAAATCTGTACCTTACAGCATTTCTATCATTACTCACCTTTCTTGATTTCTCTACCAGTTTCTCATTTTGCTCTTTCTCTTTTTGTCGTTCCATATTATCGGCATATTCACGCATTCGATCACCGATCAAATTACGTGACCAAGCCACCCTTTTCATTCCTAAACAATCTGCTGGCCATTGATCGGGACCGGGAATGAACCAATCTTGTTGAAAATTGGACGTCCTTGTTCTGAATCCAGTTTCTACCAAGAATGAGTCAGCATTCTGGACAGATAAGATGTCTCTTACTATCTTTGGTTGATTGGATTTGAATGACCTGTATTTCGTCTCGTTTGGGTGCTCGATGATATTATTGAAAAGGGTATGAAGGAGCTGAAGAAAGAAAAGAGTCAGCTTTGTATGAACAAATGCCTGCATACATCCCGCTATACCCACCTGAAGACAAGCACTTGCTTTCTCATAACTTATAGATCCTGCAACTTCATTGATCAATCTACGTATCTTTTGTTCATGCTTGTGTCTTTCCTTCTCTAAGTTGTTCGCAACTGCATTGGCAGATTCCCTCTTTTTCTGTTCTTCAATCCTTGCCAATGCTGCCGCTGCGATTGCTCTTCTTTCCTCTGGCGTATTTCCGCTTCTTGGACTGACTGTTTGATGTTGCTCTTCCATCTTCTTGATACTTTTAGAAGATGTTCATCATGATGTTCATGATGATTGAGTCGTACTTCATATCCTTTCTCTTCGGATCCAATATATTATAATATTATTATTTGTGGAGTGAGCCATTAGCGTAAGAATTTATCGGATGTGGCCCGTGTGTATTTTTAAGGCTTATGTTTGTTAATTTGTTTGTTTGTTTCTTCTCTTACTTCCGTAACAAAGAATAAGGTACAGGCAACCATAATGACGCAGAGAAGGAAGGATTCACAAATATTGGTCATTCCGGCAACTTCTGCTCAAGCATGTGTATCACAAGCACAACGGATTGTACATTGTAAGTAAGAAATTATGCTTTAATGAGATTAGCACTCTGACAGAAGAATCGATTTTGGTGATGAACAGTGATAATCGATGAGGACAAAGGTAACTCACCATCACAGCAAGATATAGAAAGTATTCCATGGCACATATCGAATCGCTACTATGATGTGGATGTCCATTTCAGAATATCGCAAAATGAAGCGCTACGTCCAACCCGTTCGATAGGATCAAGCAGCAAATCTCGTTTAGCTCCACGACAGGCTCGGCTAAAGCCAGAGCATTCGGACAAACAAGCAAAGGAGGATAATGACGATGCCCTCAATCAAAAGGCTCGCGATGTATTTGCAGCGCTTGAATTGGGCCCACCTCCTGCTTCTCGTGATGCGATAGCTTCGGCTAGCTTACCAGACACCGATACTGAATCTATGGACAATATGCGGGAAGAAGTGAGAGATGTACAAGCTGTGATGGTAATCGTGGATAGAGATCAGTCGCTTGCAGAACATCGCAAGCTGATAGATCGACTGAACAGTGAGAAAGACGACATACCTCTGTTATCGGGATTCGATCTAGCTATCAGTTTGATTGTCGCACTACCTTCACCACTAAATGATGCTTCAGGACCAACAAGTTTCACAGGTATCTCGCATTCAGCCGAAGTTGAAGACCTTTATGCCGGAGAGGGTTGGGAATATGTCGATCTAGCGAAAATTGTCAGCGATGATTACGACAATATGCTTGCAGCCGATGAAGGAGACGAAGAGACAAGCTCCCTTTCTGAGCATGAAGATGATGAGAAACATGGCATTGAAAGGCTGAGGGAAGCGCTAATGACGCATGCTTGGCCTGGGCTGGAGAGGAAGCAAGACAGGAAGCATGCAACCACTTCGATACAACCCGGTGGCTTGCCTGCCTTGAATGGTGAAACGGGTGATCACCTTTCCAAAACCCTCGAGTCCTTAAGGCTCGACCTGGACGCGATCGATGAAGCAGGAATGACGCAACCGACTGAGAAAGATGAAGAGCTCGCCAGACTATTCATGGCTAGAATACAAGCAGCGCAAGAAGCCGGGATTGGAAGTAGTGTACAACAGAATGGAGCAAATCCAACTCTGGCAGGCGACAGAAGTATTGCTGATATGCAGACTGCATTAGAGGACTTCTTGGAATCGAATGAGCCTGGTCTCTTCTCTACACAGAGCAGACAGAACAGCTCACACATAGACGAAGCATGGGCTGTGAATGGAACGCAGGCGAACTCTTCTAGCCAGCAGGAGGCTTTCGATGATGACTTTACCGAATTTGTTCAAGCAGATGCGACGCATTCAGCAAACTGCGTGGGAACCAATGCGCTCGACTCTTTGGATGAAGATGATTTGGGTTTCATCGGTGATGCAGATGATGCTTTCCTTCTTCGTGCTTTGTCCGAACAGGAGAAGAGCCGGGGAGGTAACAACGGACAGTCTCACGCAGCAGATTCTGCCGGTCTCAACATCGACTTTGAATCTACTTTACAGGCTGTCCTTGCACAAGCAGAACGGGTTCGTGCTATTCCCGATCACGATCGAAGGAGGGAAGAAGCAGCAAAAGTCGCACTGGCCTTGTTGGATCAATGATTGCAATTTGTTATGTATTATACTACAATGACTTTATATTGTACACAAGCATTTCACTGTGCAGTCGTGGACTGCAATTCTGCGTTACTCTTGATCACCTTTCCTAGTGCACCCTCTAGTAAAAGTAAGGCTTTTCCTCCCAAAGGCTCTGAGAAAGGTCCATCGAGCATTGATAGTAGCTGATCGGGTAATGCGAGTGAGAGAAACAGCTGCGGGATCTTGAATCGTTTTGCTATCAGGAGGGAAGAAGTGATGTGAGCGAAAAAGTCGTATTCGTATGAATGTGTTCAAACACTTACACAGTCTTGCTGCCATTGGTTTAGCGATGTCCAAATTTGATCTAAAGAGAGAAGTGGACATAGATGCATCTGTAGCGGGGTTTGTCATTCCTACAGCCCATTCTTTGCCTAGCAGCCCTGTTGGCGGTATGGAATCAGGATGTGCATTCGTTTGTAATCCCGGTGCAACGTGTTCCTCCATCAAAAGAGAAGATGATCCTGCTTGTTGGGCAGCTTGATTTGAGCTTTGCCTTTCATCCTGTAGGGCAGCATCAGCTAACGATGGATTTGCTTCACCACACCAAAGCATGAGTGAATGACCTTTGAATTGTGTGATGTGAGCGACTAAATGAGTGGGAGCATGAGGAGAAGGGATAGGCAAAGTGATCAAACTTGCAGAAGTTGGAAGATGGTTTGAAGTACTTGCTTCTCTTGAGCTTATTTTGGCCATCTTGTCCTGACTTCCAATGATGATGGTTGAAGCAATCATTCCTGTAAACCAAATTTTAAGAAGCTTCGTTTGTGAGTACATGATCGGAAAACGGAACAGTCATTCACGCACGGACGCGATCAGGTACATTCTAAACTTCTTCCTGAACATCCTGGAGTTACTCTCATCATGACACCCTCACCTCATTCTAGGAAATGCATTCCCATCATTCACATAGCGGCGCATTCTGCAAACATGCTTCTCCTACTTCTTCACCTAGTAGCATGATCACAACTGCAATCGAAAAAGGGTTCACGCATTATAATCTTACAGAACACATTCCAAGATCGCACGTTAATCATCTTTATCCAGAGGAAATCGCAGAGAATCTAACGCCGAAAGATCTCAAGACTGCATTTGATGAATACCTCTTAGAAGCAAAGAGCTGTGCATCAAAGTATGCTGACCAGATTCAGATTCTAGTCGGAGCAGAGCTTGAAAATATCGATGGACGAACGGGCAGCGAATTAAACTTTGTGGAGGGAATACTACGAGATGGTCAAAAAGGTCAATGGCGAATAGACTATGTGGTAGGAAGCGTTCATCATGTGCATGGAATACCGATCGATTTTGATAAACCAACTTTCGAAAAGGCACTTCTTCGTTTCTCACAATCTTCCTTACATGGAAATGATCGGATTCGATCTCATTTGCTCTTGATCATCGCTTATCTCGATGCTCAGCTTGCTCTTATACAACGCTTTCAACCAGAAGTGATTGGTCACTTTGATCTTTGCAGATTGTTCGAAAAAGACACCCCAATGACGTTAGCGGGCAAAGATAGGATACCCGTAGAACTACACCCTCTTCTGGCAGAAGTCGATGCAGCTGTTAAGAGGAATGTGAAAGCAGCAACAAGCTATGGCTCCTTATTTGAGATCAATACTGCAAGCGTTCGTAAAGGTTGGCCTACACCGTATCCTGGGGAAGATGTTCTTGATATCGTACTAGCGCACAATGGGAGATTGTGTCTATCTGATGACGCACATTCACACGAACAAGTCGGTCTCAATTATCACAAGGCATACCAATATCTTCACAGGAAAGGAGTGACTGAAGTATACTATTTAACAAAGACTGCCAATTCTTCCTCATCTCAGCCATTCTCTAGAGGGACACACGCGGATAAGATACCCTTGAACGTCTTGAACGACTTCATAGTCAAGCAATCGCCAAAATAGGTGTGATGTATTATGAATAGATAGATTGCATGTTCCGCTCTGCTAACAATGGTGTACTGTCTACAATTGTTTCTTTGGGATGGATATACCGGCCAGCACGCTCGGAAGTTCTTTCTCTCCTTCGTAGAAAAGGTAAAGGATTGACCAAAACGCTACCAAGACCAAACCAATCGTTGTGACTGCCAAAAGGGCAAATGGTTTGGAAATGTCAGGTCTTTGACATGCAGATCCTGCCCATTCTTTACCATCAGTCTTTTCGCATTGACATCTATAGCATTTTCGTCCACCTTTGCTTGATTGAATGGCTTTTCCTCTGCCGGAACATTTGTTCGTTGCTTTGTTCAGATCATCCTCCGAGGTGAAGCATCTACCAGATAATTGACTCTCAGGTGGAATGTCGGAGGATTTGGCAAGAGTTGATTGACGTACCAAGCTTGGCACATCGTCTTCCAAATCACGAGTTGCAAGGAAAGGTGTAACTCCGATCGTGCCACGGAAAGGTGCCAATGGCTCACCACGTTTGTCAAGGGTTGATGCATCTTCATCACTTCTTGGAACGAATACGAGAGCAAGTGCTTGAGGTCTAGTTGCATGTACAGCGTCCATCTTGTCAACAGCGGCGTTCAAAACGTCACTGAGCATTTGCACAGCACGCTGGAATTGCGGGCTCTTTTCCCCATATGACGCTTTGATATCTTGCAATCCATCAAATCGCAAGGCTTGATAAGCAGATTGACCGGCATCCTTCTCTTCTGAAGCAGACTTTCCCATCGTATCCAGATAAGCAATTAAGCTTCTTAGACTTTGATAGAAAGGTCGTGATACATCACCAGCTGCTAGTTCTGTTTCATCAATGAACTTTTTATCCAAACTTGCTGCATTTTGTGCTGTACCAAAGACCCAGTTTGTAGCACTTCCCAAAGCATCTCCCATCTCTTCTGCTGCCTTTCCGAAGTAGTTCACAATCTTTTGCGCAGCAGCGATTGTTGGTGTTTGTGCATCATAGATTCTTTGACCGTAATCGTTCATTAAAGCCTCGAATGAAGAGATATGGGGAGGCGAAGAAACAGAGTGGCTATTCCTCAATTTGGAAGGAATGATGCTTGTCAGATCAATACCGTCCATTCCCGAAAACAAGATCACTGTCCGCTGTTTCACATCATCCTTGAATTGAGATGCATCTTCAACACCAAGATATTTGGAAAGAACATCATCAAATGCGGGAGCTGTCAATTGACTTCCCAGCCCATTGTCGCTAGGTTGCGCAGGGTGAAGGTACAATTGCGCTTCTGTCTCAGTCGAAGCAAAAGCGACGCTTGACAGTGAGAGAACTGTAAGAGCCACAAAGCCTTGTAACAATCGCATTTTGTCCCGATCGAAGGTTGCGAAGGGTGATCGTGAACAGCAAGAGGTGCTGCCTGAAGAGGAACTCTTGGCTCAAGCGCGACGCACACGCCCCTAGCTCAGTTACCCAAGCATTAGTCCAACGCTACACGTGGATTGACTTTCTTATCAACCGGGGCGCACGCACCTCTCTTGATACTTATGCAAAATATCAAGCTGAGAACAATGGACAAGCCACTATTTGTCGAAAGAATAATTGCATTTCCAAAGATACGGTAAAGCATGAAGCTGTTGAGTAAAACAATTATATATATTAATGCAATACAAGGATCAAAATTAGAACAAAATCAAGTTCGTTTTTCGTTATTATCTTTGGTGATCGCTTTTTCCCCTTCTTTCTTTTCGATCATCTCTGACGTCTGATTCGATTTAGTAGGATGCTCTGTAACCTTGTTCGCTCCTCCGAGCTTAACGTCAACTTTCAAGAATGGTTCTTTTTCTTTTTCTTTTTTGACTTTTGACGTTTCACCTTCGCTTGACGATTGATTAATATTTTTCTCGTCTTTCAGTTCTTTATTCTGACCTTCAACATCGACTATGTTCTCTTCTGTTTCATCATCACCGTTAGTCCATCCGACAGAGTATGTCCCTAAAAGTGTCTTAATGGTATGCTTGGTAGGGTTTTGCTGTTTTTCATATTTGAACAAGGGCATTTTTAGTGTTTATATAAAGTGAGATGATATGTTGATGGTAATTAAATCAGATTTGAAAACAATATCTTCGAGTAGAAACAATCGTATAATCTTACCTATTAGGATAGCATATCAATAAAGAAGGGAATAAAAGTAGTGCTGGAACTGACCACGCGGTCGAATGAATATTGTAAGATTGTTTTATTTTTCCACGCGGTAATTATTCTATTATCTAAAAGTGGGTACGATATACGGTAATCTTTTATCAGGATTCATGGATCGTAAATGAAAAGCATTGTTCATTAGACGTCATAGCTTGGGGTGGAGAGAATGATAAAAAAGGCGTAAAATAGCTTTTTCTCATGCATGCTTTTGTTTAACCGGCCCTTTTTTACCGCCGGACATTTGACATTTATGTATGATGGCGTTCGATTTGGTGCTAAAGTATACGCACTAGTAAAAGCTATTGTTCATTCCCTTTTATAATCGGGTAAACATCGCGGAAATGCTCTACAAGCTCCTTCAGTATAGATAAATCAAAACCACTAATTGCCGATAAGGTCTATACACGTATTTCCAAAGGTACGGTAAAGCCTGAAATTCATTGAGATCAGATAGACAGTCTATGTTAATAGGAAAAAAAAGTGGAAAAGGGTCTGTACCATTTAATTGTGTCCTTCGTTCCTGATATGAATACGTTCAGAGACATTAGAACTTATGATAAATATTATTCATGCTAAAAGCTTTTAGACAATAGATATAGAATGCCGATATAACAAAAGGAAACAATACCATGTAGGCGTTTTTTGTCGTTACCATGTGGTTCTTTTTGTTATTACCATATGGTTTATACTAGTTTTTACACTATTCAGATAGGGTACTCAGCAAACAGATAGAAGCAAACGATTTATACTATAAACTATATAAAGCACCTTTTTCATTTTGGAATATAACTTTCTTATCATACCTACAGCTCTATTCAAACATGAAATTCTTTTACATCCTTAACGCATACTTATTGACATTCCTCACGGTCGTTCATGCTGCTCAACACGTAACCGTGAAAGGTGGCGACGATACGCCTTTTTTCAATACCTTAAAGGAAGTCAGATATCAAGACATCACTCAACCGGATGCTGCTATCGTACGTCAAGTTTATAATGAAACTTATATCATGTATGGTAAACAAGCTCAACTTGAAGAAGGAATTTTAGAGCAAGAGCTTAATCAATTAACTCCTGATTTAGAAAAACGCGATTTCTTTGAGATTTCAGTTAAAGTAGGAAGATTTGCGTTTGGCGGGGCTCTTACATTAGGAGAAACGATCGGTATTGGTGTTCTTGCTTTAGGAGTTTATAGTGCTGTCAAAGGTATCAATAAGCTCACAAGCGAGACCGAAACTACGGTCAACTCTCGCAGTTCGGAAACTGTAGTCACTGATATTCAATATGAAACAGAAAGTTTACAAGCAGAACAAGGAGATGTAAACAATGAAGGTGGTGGTGCGGAGAAAGGAGCAATCAAATCCTTTATTCAAATGGTAAACGATAACAAGGCTGCCGGCGGTTGTGGAAGGTTCATTTATTCCTCCAATCATTCACAAGACGGTGATGCAAACTTTGGTGTAGTAGAAGATGGAGTGGATATGAAATGTGCCGGTGCTACCTGAGACAATGTATCGAAATACAGGGTACTCTCGACCCAATTGTATTCAAATCTCTCTGAATAGTTTATTGTCCGTAAGAAAGAATTTCATCTCATATTTTCCATTCTCCTCAAACTAGTGATACATACGTTGTCTTTATAGGGACTCTTTGCTTCCTTGCAACCTTACCAACTCTTTGGTCAATATACCTTCCAGCGATGTGAGATCCACGGAAGGTAAATTTACTCCCGTTCCAGATCCATCACTTAATTTCCTTAAAGGGAGAGTGAGTGAAATTTGTGAAGGATAACCAAATGAAAGATAGGCAAATGGTTTCCCATCGATGAAAATCGTTCCGCTTCCGCCCAATTGTTTAATTGCTTCTAGATTGCCAATTTTATCCGATTGTTGTAAAAAGATCATCAACCACGAACGTACATCGCCTATTCTCTCAAACATGTTCAAGTCCAACTGCACATTGGGATACAGCTTCGTAAGGAGTGTCAATTTGACATGCAGATGAGCAGAGAAGGAGGCATAATGTATCAGCCCGAGCAGAGATTGCAATAAGGGTGCTTTGACATTCTCGCTTTCGGTTGTTGCCTCCTTCTGTTTGGATTCAATACCTGCTTTTTGACGATATCTTCGAATAAGACCAAGACGAAGAATTGCCAACATGCTCGTCATTATTGGAGATGCATGCTGACCTTCCCCTGTTTCATCAGTCACTTCCTTTGAGGTATCTTGACGAACAAAGCGTAACTTGGTGAATGCATTCAGGTCGAAAGTCACTTGATCCTCATTATCGATCGAAACATTTGATAGACCAGCAATCGATAATATTCTAGATTCGGCAACAATGGAGTCGAACAGCTCTTCATCAACAAATTCACTCTGCGCTTGTCGAAGGACTTGATCCAAGCTCGATCTTTGATCTTCTCCATTTGCTGGCCCATCGCTCGTCCATACTTCTTCGCCAATAATCACTTCAAGCTTAACTTTCTTTTGTGGTCGAGAAGCAAACAACAAAGCATCGGCGGGTCGATCTCCTTCCGTTGAAGAGTGTGAGAGGTACGCCAATGCTTGGCGTGCGTAACGAATTGATGATTCGGGTACACCATAGCCTATCCAAGCATCTCGTGCCGGCTCATCACGTTTGATGGGACCGAAATCTTGCAAAAGCTCCCGCTTCTTCGCAGCGGTTCCTCGAACAGGTTTATCCGGAGTCAAGCTCCATCCTGACCTTCGTGCTAGCATCAAAGCTTGCCAACGTACCTTTTCACGTCCTGCTCCTTCATTTTCCGGATGAATAGTCTTTGCGCCTTTCCGTAGAATATCAATCGCTGATCGAATTCCTTCTTTCTTGCCTTCTACTCGTTCTATAAGATCTTTAGCATGTTCTTCCACCTCTTCATCTAATAATTTTGCAATCTGACGTTCCACTCGAAGTCTCTCCTTCTCTGCTCCTTCATCATCATCGTCTTCGTCCATATTCTCGTCCTCATCCTCATCTTCCCTACTGTGCTCCACATCTCTTCGTAATGCTTCAAGGCGACTGGCTCCAAAGACATAAGGTTCAATACCCAGTTCAGTCTCCAAAGCAGTTGAACTTCCCATCGCTTGCGTTCCTCCTGTGACACTTCGTGAGGATGCCGCTCCTCCGAGCAGATCTGCGCCCAGTCTATTTGAAGCTGCTGCTGATCCTGCTCTTGTGATACTACCCGGACCACCACTGCCTGCCATACTAGGTGCTTCATTGCCCGGCTTGGTAGAATTGATCAAAAGCGACACAAGAGCATGTGAGAAGTATAACGAATTGTGTGCAAGCCCAAGTTTGTCTAGCATATCCTTGCGTACCTGTATCATGTCTTGTATGCTCATTACATCGCCATTTTTGGTATTAAGAGTACCTTCCTTATCTAACTCTCCATCCTTCTTTTGTCCGTCTGCATCGGCTGCAGCATCCTCTAGGTCGGATAGAATTGCACCGAGATCCTCTTCGACAGCTGCATCGTCAGCGTTCCCATCCTTAGCAACAATACTATCATCATTAAGCAAAGTTGAAGCTCTAAATCTAGAAAAGTCGCCACGTTCAGACCATAATTTTTGCAATCGAATCGATAATGGTAATTCTGGCGGCTTCACACTTCTATTCTCGTCAATCCATGCTCTTCGCAGAGTGTCCAACTTTGTGATCTTCTCTACAGTGCTTTGCAAAGAATTGATGCTATCCTTCAATCCATCTTCTTCTGATCCGGCATCCTTTGCAGATGATGATTGCAGGGCTTCTCTCCTTGCTTTCTCAAGTGACTTTCTTGCACTGGCTGTGATCGTCAAAGGAGGCTCGATGGACAAATGAAGAACGTCATCGCTCATCGTCAAAGCATCGGGGTATAGAGCATATATGATGGAGGTCGAAACAGATCAATTAGTGTCACATTTACGTTTTGCGTATGCACGTCCTTTAGCACTTCTTCTTACCATATTTGGCGCTAACGTGTGGAATCTGTCAATCACCTCACAATGGCACCCTATCACAGACAGAGCTGTCCTTTACACAATCTTCACACATGCTGGATGTAGCTATATTTTTCCTAAGATTCATTCTGTGAGCATGCATTGTAGCAAATAGTACAGACGTAAGATTGAACAGTCACAACGGACTGGAAAAAAAAATATGATCATAGCAATGATTCGATTCCGTTGACCAACTGATGGATCAATTAAATGCAGTGCTAGAGCTAGAGATTGTCGGTCTTCGCAGACGTGAAAAAAAAAGCAAACGATGCTGCTTTAGGCTCTCAGTTGGCCTTCTTGGATGCTTTACGCCAGCGTGCTTCACGTTCTTCCCGGTCTTCTCGATCAGAATAAGAACCATGGGAAGTGTAATCATGATTGCCAATGCCAGCCTCCTTCTCGAATTGTTCATCACCTGTACCGGAAACGCCAACTTTACCGATCTGTTGCTTTCCTTTTGCAAGCTTCTTTGCATCAATGGGACGTCCTTTGTCATCTTTTGCTGTAAAGCGTTTTTGAACAGCACGGATCATAGCTCTGAACCAGATAAAGTTGAGTGAATTTAGGGTAACGTTTCCGATGGTAAAGAAGGTCTTGATGTGCAATGGAATGGCTGGACTGTGCGGCTTTGCGGGAAAGTGAACCAACATCATCCATGAGAAAGAGTTATAAACACCAAATGTCAATCTTGCTAGAACGTATGTGCTCAAAAGGAAGAATGCGTTGATCAATTGTACCTTTCCACCCGTCATGCCAAGTTTGTCCAAGAACCAATGAATGTTCAGGAAAGGAGTGCTTGCTTCCCATAGCAAGAATCCAAGTCCATCGTACATGAAGATTGGATGGAAGACAAAGACGAATGCAGTCATTGCGACCAAGCCATGTGCAACGAAAGCTGGACCATCGTATAAAGCACTGACGACAGCATCCCAGATAAAGTACCCCAAAGCGATACCGTATATCTTTGCTGCTTCATCATCGTAGCCATATACACGATTACTTGCCAGTATATGCGTTCCCGTCATTCCTCCTTCCTGGTATACTTTCCACCATAGTCTACCGGCCAAAGGTGTAATGATGGCTGCGTGACAGAATGCGACCCAATGCACATGCCATGAAACTCTTGTAGACTTTTTCATATTTGCAAACGTATTCGGGAATAGCTTTGGAGAAAGACGTGCAGAGAGATATTGCAACGAAAGCCATAATGCTAACGAATGAAACACAGTCGGTAGTGCTTTGGCCAAGTGAGGCACACCGTATGCCGTACAGTACGGTTGTGCCCAATTTACCAAATCCACACCCGGCTGGAATCCCATTTTGGAAAGATGATGATGGATGTGTAAGAGGAAGGCGTTCTTCTGCCGCAACGGAGTCCTGATTGAGAAGGCTGAGGTGGTATTCTGTTACATTGCATTTCACGCTTAAACAACCGGCATACAGCCACTGTGTTGTTCTGCCCCCGGTCTAAACGGGCTTCAATAAGCGTGTGCTGCTTCGCCCCAACGCACTTCTGCGCGTGAGAAAGCAAGAAGATCTGGTTGAGGGAACATGACCTGGTGAAGCATGGATTCTGCAAGTTGGCCATTGAATTATACGATATTGAAGATCTCTAGTCGTACTTTATTTCACTCACTAAACCTCACAATCATACATATCATGAATCGAAATGAATTGCCTGTGTAATTACACGCCAAAGTCAAGGAGAAAGGTACAAAATGACAAGAGGCGAAACGAGGGAGGATAATGTAACGCTCATCATGAGAGACATCCCTCACCTTGTTGTATATTTTGATATTTAATTGTGTGTGACGGGTGGGTTGTAGATCAACTTACGACTCTTCACACTTGACCATTTGAATCTCTTGACCCAAATACTCATTGCGAACAATGTAGAGATGATTGCCAATGCTTGTACACCCATCTTCTTTCTTTGGTCATGTTCTGGTTCAGATGCCCAGCTCAAGAAAGTGACGACATCCTTTGCCATTTGAGATGTAGTTGCGGGTGTTCCATCTGGGTATTCGACCAATCCATCGTACAAGACACGGGCCATTGCAATCTTTGTACCTGGGAAGTATGGGTTGAAGTTTAATCCTTCAGGTACTTCGTATCCTGCTGGTGGGTCTGTGTATCCTGTAAGCAAAGCGAAGATGTAATCACCGCCACCGTGTCTTGCCTTGGTGATCAAACTCAAATCTGGGGGCAAACCACCATTGTTTGCAGCGCGAGCGGCTTCCGAGTTTGGGTAAGGAGCTGGCAAGTGATCGGCCAACTTTCCGGGTCTTTGGAACATCTCTCCTTCATCATTTGGTCCATCTTCGTATTCAACTTCTTCAGCCATTGCTTTTGCCTCATCAACAGTGTGGGAAACACCGACCAAGTTACGCCATGCGATACGGTCGAGAGAGTGACAAGCTGCACAAACTTCTCTGTATACTTGGTAACCGCGACGAATACTGTAAGGAGAAAAGTGAACAGTCAGCCTCAATCATTTCACATACTCCACCACATTTCTAGAAACCCACCTAGCATGATCGAATGTTTCGAATGAACCGTTGTGTGACCAAGGGTAGTGAGCGGGATGCAAACCTTCATCGATCATGTTTGCACTTGCTTCTTGTACGAATGGTAATCCGTTTCCGTACATTTGAGCGTACCAAGCCATTGTTCCTACAGCCAAAGCTGTAGAACCGTAAGCTGCTGTACGAGAAGCAAAGAAAGGAGCTTTAGCAGCACCACCTGCTTGAGTAGAAGCATGTCTAACGGAAGATTGTATCGAACCACGAACGGAAGAGCGTAATGCTGCACGAGCAGGGTTGAATAGGTGCGCCATTTTTGACTTGACGTTCTCTAGTCGAGCACTGTAGTAGTAGGGGTCGGATCGTAAGTGACAGGGAAAAGAATAGAGGAGAAGATTTGATGGCGAACTGTTACACAACTTAGCCTATCTCCTTCTTACAGCGCGTGCGCATACATTTGCGAATTAGGTTGCACGCTTTTGTTAAACACAGTCTACGCCTTAACTCTTCTTATCCAATTGGATTAATCCCGTTCAAAATAATTTTTCTTCCTTTAATTGACCACCTTCTTAACCCAGGGCGCTGCTCTTTTAAAGGGCTGAAGATACGCGCCTGTTGTGCCTTCCTAATCGGGCCGATAGAATCCTTCTTCAGTCTTACCCAAGAAAGAGCCGACTTCGTATTGCTATATAGGCCTGGGCCAATGTTATCCTGGCATCATAGAATATTGCTTTGTAACTTACACCCAATGAATGCTATAAAATAATCACCTAAACAGATGACCTATGAGCCACCTTTTCATTGGCTAACCATTTTGTAATATTCTCTGGGCGTATTTGTCAGCATATTCTTAGCATTCACGTGTATCACTCATTTTTTCCCTACTCCGATTTTGCAGATTCGGCATTCACCGGAGAATGAGCCTTTTGACGCGATTACCTTAGCCTCGCATATATTCATCCTGTGAGTGGGGTGGGTGCCCGGCTGATGAAAGGTCCTGGCTTTGAATTGTAACACACACTGGCAAAAAGGCGCGTTAACAGGCAGAAGCTCATTGGCTACTTTAAGCAATGGAATAAGTCAGCTTCAACATGCTTACATGCGTGGCCATCATACTTCTAACATAACCACATCATCACTTCCTCTCCTCCTCGCTTTTGATCGTTTCTCATCCCCCCGTGTGTGATTGTCGATCAAAATGCTTTTCGCACGATCATTGACGCATAGCGTTGGTGCCTCGGCTGCACGCGCTTCGTCTTCAAAGACAATGATGGCAACCCGTACATTCCATGCATCTGCCATAACCAGTAGAATCGTTGCCTCTCAACCTCTTCGTGCAAAAGAAGCACCAGCACCTCTCAATGCCGCAAAGGGATACCCCGTTATCGATCACGAATTCGATGCAATCGTCGTTGGTGCAGGTGGTTCAGGTCTTCGTGCCGCTTTCGGTTTGGCAGAAGCTGGTTTGAATACCGCTTGTATCACAAAGCTTTTCCCAACACGTAGTCACACAGTCGCAGCTCAAGGTGGTATCAATGCCGCTTTGGCAAACATGACAGAAGATGATTGGCGTTGGCACATGTACGATACCGTCAAAGGTTCCGATTGGTTAGGTGATCAAGACGCTATTCACTACATGTGTCGTGAAGCACCAAACACTGTTATCGAATTGGAACATTACGGTTTACCTTTCTCTCGTACAAAGGAAGGAAAGATTTACCAACGCGCTTTCGGTGGTCAATCACTAAACTACGGAAAAGGTGGTCAAGCTTATCGTTGCTGCGCCGCCGCTGATCGTACCGGACATGCCATGTTACACACACTTTACGGTCAATCCCTTCGTCACAACACACAATTCTTCATCGAGTACTTCGCTTTGGACTTGATCATGGAAGACGGTGAATGCGTCGGTGTGATCGCGCTCAACATGGAAGACGGTACCATCCATCGTTTCCGCTCTCACAAGACCGTCCTTGCCACTGGTGGTTACGGAAAGGCCTACTTCTCTGCTACATCTGCTCACACATGCACAGGTGACGGTATGGCCATGGTCTCTCGTGCTGGATTGCCATTGCAAGATCTTGAATTCGTTCAATTCCACCCAACGGGTATTTATGGAGCCGGATGCTTGATCACCGAAGGATCTCGTGGTGAAGGTGGTTACTTGCTCAACTCTGAAGGTGAACGTTTTATGGAAAGATATGCACCAACCGCAAAAGACTTGGCTTCCCGTGATGTTGTTTCCCGCAGTATGACCATCGAAATCCGTGAAGGGCGCGGTGTTGGACCCGAAAAGGATCACATCTACTTGCAACTAAGCCACTTACCACCAGAAGTCTTGCAAGAACGTCTCCCAGGAATCTCTGAGACCGCAGCTGTGTTTGCTGGCTGTGACGTCCAGCGCGAGCCCATCCCCGTCTTGCCAACGGTTCATTACAACATGGGTGGTATTCCCACAAAGTACACCGGTGAAGTTTTGCGTCAAAGCGCTGATGGCAAAGACGAAGTTGTTCCGGGCTTGTACGCCGCTGGTGAAGCCGCATGTGTCTCAGTGCATGGAGCTAACAGATTGGGTGCCAACTCCTTGTTGGACATCGTCGTTTTCGGAAGAGCATGTGCAAACCACATCAAGGAGAACTTGTCACCGGGTAAACCCCATAAACCGTTGAGCGGAGATCAAGGCGCACAAGCCATCAACGACATGGACTGGCTACGTAACTCCAACGGTAGCAGGTCTGTTGCTGATTTGCGTTTAGAGATGCAAAAGGTCATGCAATCTGATGCAGCCGTTTTCCGAACACAAGAGACTCTCGATGAAGGTGTTGAAAAGATTGACAAGACTCATGCATCATGGAAGGACGTTAAGGTGACTGACAGAGGAATGATCTGGAATACAGATTTGACTGAAGGTTTGGAATTGAGAAATATGCTCACATGTGCTACACAAACTGTACACAGTGCTGCAGCCAGAAAAGAGAGCAGAGGTGCTCACGCCAGAATGGATTACGAAGAACGTGATGACAAGAACTGGATGAAGCACACACTCTCGTGGCAACAAGGACAAAATGACAATGTTAAGCTCGGATACAGAGATGTTGTGAACACAACTCTTGACGAGAACGAATGCAAGGCTGTTCCACCCTTTAAGCGTTCTTACTAAAACCGGTCACATAGATCATTTTACCGATTCGCATATTTTTGTTTCGGATCTTCGTGCTTCGAATGATTATACATTGTAACTCTTATGCTACTTGGGTGTGATTACGAGGAGAGGGTGGATCATGGCTGATAAGATAAGTTGAAGTATGAATCGCCGTTTCGGGAGGTTCAAGTTGCTCTAGGGCTATATTCGTGACTGGTAAAGTTCGCTCGGATGTGGGCACCACCTCTTCCACCTCATCGCCATCTTTCGGTCCGAGATAGAACCAAAAAATGGTGAAAAAGATGGTGATAAGTGCAGTTGTGAGGATAACATATTGATAAGCCGGTATTCGTTGACCTTTTCTGTGAAAGTATAAATTCTGACCAAACACGTTAACGAGTTGAGATGAAGGTGAAGAAATGCAGGCACCCAATTGATAAGCCATTGCGGGTAAAATGATGCTAAATTGTGATGGTGCATTTCTGCCAATATAAGCGGGAAACAAGGCAAGAAAAGCTTCGGTGAAGAAGTTCAAGAAAGCACCTCCAAGTGCCAAGCCCCATCGGGAATACGGTAACAAAGCTGCGGGAATCAAGCCCATGGCTATGATACCTAATGGAATGACAACGCGACGAATTCCAAACAATTGACCTAGAGCACCACTCATAACGATTCCGGGAACACTTGTTGATTTGATGATCATGAGTATTACATTTGCCGTTCGATTACGGTTATGTTTGCCAAAGATCAAGAAAGTGACATAAGTATCGTTGATTGCATGTGAATACCAAGTTGAAAGACACATCAATATTGCACTATACGTGAATATTCTCCAATGCATCTGTAACATCGTCTTGATCTGATACCATGGTTTCTTAATTGTATTGTCCCGAGCTGTTCGCATTCTAGCTCTCCAATCTTGTCTGCTTTCCGTTTCTGGTTGAGAAACGACTTCTTGTGCTTGTAGAGTTTTGTATTCAGGGATGATGAATCGGACGATTACGCAGAAATAAGAAACGGATGCAGAAACCCAGAACATCTTTCGCCATGAATCATCTTGTTCATGAAAGATGATATTCAATCCTGCAGCAAGGATAGCTGCTAACGGTGTGCTGCACTGGAATGTTGCGCCTATGAAAGTCCTTTTTGCTTGAGGTGAATTTTTGATAAGATGAAGGATTGCCAGTGAAAATAACGAAGACATGCCTAGACCAAACAGTGCACGAATAATAAGAAACAGATTGACGTTTTTACAGAACGTGGCTGCGACCTGTAAAGATCCAAGCATTACCATGTCCAACATGACCATATATTTTTGACCAAAAGAAGAACCGAAAGAAGCCGAAAATAAACCGCCAAGAGTTCTTTGAAGGATTGAATAAGTGATGGCTTGCGACATATTTGCTTTTGAAGTGTTATAGTAATCTGCAATTTTGTGCATGCTATAACACATCGTATAAAAGTCCAAAGCATCAGCAAAAGAAATTAGAAAGCTTACCGTAAAAGCAGTCCAATAATTATCTCTAAATGCGATAAATGATACTGCACGATCACCTTGCCATTTGAATCTATTCCAATTGAACGATTTCATCCTTATTTTCTCTGAGTTCCAAATGTTCAATTGCATGCCTGGTTTTGAAAGGAATGAAAATCGATCTCGGAACTTCCATCGAATTGTTGTACCGATTTTTTCACCTTGAAGTACTACTTCATCATCATTATTTCCGATTACAGATTGCGGCACGGATCGTGGTTCATGCCGCAGCGAATTGGTACTTGCAGAGATAATATCTTTTTGCTGTTCTTGTGTTTTGTGTTCCATTTCGTTGAAGCTTATCCGATAACCTTTTGATCATGGATGGGCTATAGAATGGAATACGGTAGAACGATGGTTCCCTTTTATAGATGGGTTGGTACGTGGTCATGTTATCTCAAGGGAATTCGATGCCGGTTCTTTGGACTTTTCACCCGCTCTCCCTAAAATGGAAGGCGGCATCTTCAAATCTTTTGATAGCGAAACACGGAATCATATCACCCCCCTATCCTAAGGAATTTCTTCTCCGACCCACCCAAAAAAAAATCTCTGGCGTTAGCCATTTACGCCATATCACTGAAAGTGTATAAGTTCTATACTCCTGATTCATTAAACATACGGCTCCAGTCATTCCGTGTATGAGCAAGGATGTCGGAGTACGGATTCGTGAGACGGAACCGTTGTCATGGTTCCTTTCGCGCGATCAAATCAATCAACAACGGGCGTTACTAATGGCCTTTCACACCGACCGCCAAGCCTTCTCTATATTTATTTGGCCTCTTCAATCATCATATCTTCATAGTGTATTCAATGGTATCATTTCATCATTTATATTATAGATGGACTAATTTTGTATAAAAAGAATGGTAGTTTATCAAGATATTTATGCCTTCAAGACATGCTTGCTGCTTGTATCATCGGTAACGGTATCCTTGCGTCCTTTACGGTATCCACAGCAAACGGTAAGTGCGGAGAAGAATAAGAGTGGGATTGAGATAAGAGTGAAATAAAATGCTGGACCAGGATAAACGCTTGCATTTTCAGCAACGTCATGAATTTCATGACGAACATAAACGAAGAAAACGATTTGAACGATAAAAGCTGCAAGGGTGATCAAAGTTGCGATCAAATAAACGAAAGAAGCGATCAATTCGACAATCAATGATGGAATGAAGGATAGGATAAATGCGATAACAGATGCTACCAATGCAACTGCTGCTGTTACCAAACCTCTTGTATAACCTTGTTTGACACTTGCTGTTTTGTATGAACTTTCATTTGCTGCTCCGGGTGTTGCAAAGGTAGCAACGTACATGTGATCCAATGGGTTTGTGCATTCACTGAAACGATCACTGTTCACAGGTTGAGAGCAATAACCCCACAAACCAAATCGAAGACGGCTCATTCCACTACGGTTGTCAGAGGTTAAATCAACTGCACCTCCTAAGTTGTTCGCACGGACGACATCAAATGGAGTTGATTTATGGTAAGTCGTTGGAACACTAACTGTTGTGAGGACCAACAGCACGATTGCGATGAAGCTTGTCACCAATGCTGGGACACAGAATGCTTTGCGTACCATGTTGAATAAGAGAGACGGACGAGATAGATGTTCTAGGGAAGGTTTTGATGTTGTACGATATGAGCAATCTTCTAAGAAATCGATAGCAACGATGAAGCTTTTATACCATTCATTCTCATCAAGCCTCCACTTCTTACCGTTTCAATCACACAAAACTTGCTATCACAAAGAGATTCTCGTTTGTTAATTCTCGCAGATTCTTTCACATCGAAATCTTCAGAGCAAATTCTAGACTTCTGGTTACGTTAATTTTGCACTAGAAGGTAGTCCATTCCGATCAGTATGCGTAAAGATGATTCTTATTTTCCCGCACTTTAGCGTAAAGATGACTTTTCTTGAATTGAAGCTAAGGGGCCTTTGCTGAATTTAATGACGATGAGGCGCTGTAATGCTAAAGCGGGAACTGAAAGAAGAAAAAGAAGCAGGGGCATGCATTCTAGTTCACTCTATTCTAGTGCGCGCAAAGCAGAACGGTGTCTGAGGCAAATGACATCATTAGGTCAGTGACATCTGTCCATACACAACTTTAGTGATCTTTTGACCCTGGTCCCCTTATTTTTATGGCTGTGCTTGATTAAATTTATAGTCTAGAATGTCACGTCAGAGAGAAGCAGGTAAAGACGTTAACAAACAAACCATTACGATCGTCATGCATGCCTCCGCCTTTTAACAGGATAGATTCGGAGATTTACCCGTTCCGAATTAACAAGTGGGCTGCTTTGGCCGGCTCAAATTCCATATTTGGAAGCGATTCATGTCATTGCAAAAGTGTACATAATCAACGAATTGCATGTCTCCTAACACACGTGACCGCCTTCACCATTCAGATCTAGTAAAAGGCGGTGTCTGAGCAGGACGATGATCGACCTCTCAGTCAAACACAGAAAGCGCTCAACTGAAAAGCTGATCATAATCTGATTATCTTCCCACCATCAAAAATTGATGACAACCATGGTGCAAAGGTTGACAACAGAGTGTTAGGTGGGGTAAAAGGTTGTCGTCTCTTTATCCTTTAAGTATGATGGAGCGGTCTCACGCGAATCGTCTTCACCGTCGTCATCATTGATTGACTGTCGATGTCATTGTACAATACAGATGTCAGATCATTGTCGTCAAGAAGGAAAGTTAAAGGTGTACATTTTCAAGAAGAAAAAAACACGAAAAAAAAGTCACGCTACCAAATCCAAGTTTAAATAGGCCGTGCGAGAAGAACCCAGAGTCACTGTAGGCACAAAGTGACTCGGGCGATTGCAATGCACTTCGACCAACCACAACACTTCTCTTCCCTCCATCACAACAAGATGGCGAATATACGACAAAATGGTTCGACAAGCGAACCAGAATGGCCTGTTAGAAGCATTTTGGATACCGACTTATACAAGCTAACAATGCAACAAGCCGTAATGGCACATTTCCCTGATGCTCAAGTTCATTATCGATTCACAAATCGTTCTACCAATATGCGATTCACACGAAAGAGTGTTGATAAGATTCGTGATTTTATCAATAGGCTTTCTCAGCTTACTCTTACCCAAGAGGAAGAAGATTGGCTAAAGAAGACTTGTCCATATCTCAAACCTGATTACTTGAACCATTTGCGTTCCTATCGCTTCAAACCACAGGAGCAAGTAAAAGTGGAATTCGTGGAAGATGAAGCGGACACGATAAGCACGAATCAGGTGAATGGATCATCTGAACCTCTCGGTCAAATTCATATCGACGTACAAGGAAGTTGGGCAGACGCAATCTTATACGAAGTTCCAGTAATGTCCATCGTAAGCGAAGTCTATTTCACCGACATTGACACAAAATGGACTTTGCGTGGACAAAGAGCACAGGCAAGAAGCAAAGGTCACACAATGGTATCCTCAGGAATACGCTATTCGGAATTTGGAACGCGAAGGAGAAGATCTTACGAAACGCATAAGCTTGTAATCGAAGGCTTATTGCAAGGTGAAAAGGATGCCTTTGATTCTGTACCGACATGCTCTGGTAAATTGGTAGGAACGTCAAATGTACACTTTGCACGTTTGTTCGGTCTAGCACCAATCGGAACGATGGCACATGAATGGACGATGGGTATCGCAGCTATAGGAGGATACGATCATGCAAATTTGCGTGCTTTGCAACTTTGGGATGCAGTTTATTCACCTCCAAATTTCGTACCCAATTCACCCGGTCACGATCTCACAATCGCATTAACAGATACTTTCTCAACAAGAGTGTTTTGGGAAGATCTCTTATCGTCAGATGAAGGCAGACAAATTGCTAAAAGATGGCGAGGCATTCGTCAAGATAGCGGAGATAGCAAAGCATTCGCAAGAAAGGCAAAGGAAGAATATGATCTTTTGGGTGTTGATGCTACAACGAAAGCGATCATCTATTCTGACGGTCTGGATATTTCACGCTGTCTTGACTTGGCATCGTACTCAAAGCAAGTCGGTATCGGTGCTTCGTTTGGAGTTGGAACACATTTGACAAACGATTTTCGAAGAGATGAAGACCCTCGTGATCCTCACGATGCAGACCCGGATGATGATCAATGGATTCGCAATCATGAAAATTCTGTGAAATCTAAGCCACTCAATATTGTCATCAAACTACACAGTATCAACGGTCGTAATGCAGTCAAAATTTCTGATGACTTGACAAAAAACACAGGTGATGCAGAAGAAGTACGCTTATGCAAAAGACGCTTTGGCATAGAGGTGGGATTGGAAGATAATGTAGAAGACGCATAGAGATGTATAATACGATAGATAGCAAGATTCTCTCAGCATTCGTGTAATCATGTTTCAATTATTCTATTTGCTCGTATACTGCTTACAAATTTAATGGGAGATGAACTAAAGCTCCTCATGACGTGGCGGGTGAGTCGCTTGATCTTTCTCTTCTTCACCCTTTTGTTCTCCTGCCTTTGCTTCTGGCTCTGGCGGAGGTGGTACTTCTTCCTCAGCCTTTGTTGGAGGAGGAGATTCTTTCTTTGCAGGTCTAGATTTTGGTACTCTTCGCTTTTGGTATTTCTTGATCGTGTCCGTCAACTTCTTTGCTCTCTTTTCAACTTCTGCGCTTGGCAATACAACATCTTCATCCAAAGCACGCTTATCCTGTGCTTTCTTTTTCTCTTCGAACCATTTAGAGTCTTTCTCCAATTGATGTTCAAACGTGTCCAATTCAGAAGCAGTGAATTTGCTGGCTAGGTTGGCTTGCATGGCTTCTGTCAAATTGGCTCTTGCCTCGGTCAAGAATGTTTTGCCTTGCGTTAGAGCTTTCTCGAATGTACGAACAGCCTTACCACGAACTCTTTGTTCATTGATTCGCTTTTCGATCGGGCTAACCAATGTTTCTAAGGAGACACGTTTGACCTTCAATGCTGCTGTTTCAGCAGAATCACCTTCAGCTGCATTAAGCCAATCGTTCAATTCTTGGATCCGTTTTTTGATCGAATCACGTTCGGCACTCTTACTAGCTTTCTTAAAGTATTCTTCGTCAACGGTGTCGCGAATACGGTAGATGTATGCTTCCAACACATTTCTTGCTTCTTCTCTAGCTGCTTTCTTGCGCATCACAACGTCTGCCACGTATAAGCGGTCAGAAGCTGTCTTGAGCTCGCCAGTGGACATTGGATGAACGCTACCGGCAGGTTTAATTGATCCAGTCAAAGCGATGTGACGCTCGGTAGGAGGTTGCTTCTTGGCAGGCTTCTCTTTCTTGGTCGTTGTGGAGTTGTCATTAGCATCTGCGTCCGCATCAGCTGTGGTAGCATTGTTGGCTTCTTCTTCAGTCTCTTCCTCGGCAGAACCTCCAACGTTGAAGAAGCCCTTCAAAGCACCGACAACCCCGCCTGACTTTTGCTTGACATGTAGATAAGCATTGGCTACTCTTACCACACCGAGAGGCTGACTGGCAAGAGTGATGTTAACAGACGTTTGCACGTTGTCCAAATGTCCCTCTGTCTTGAGCTCTGCGAGGTTCTTGTGAACGTCAGCAAGTTCGATCGAATACAAGGCGTTTTGCTGACCATCAAGCTTTTCGCTGTTGATTGATGGATCATACGAGATTTGCATACTGAGATCATCAGTTGCACCAGGGTATGTCCTTGTGATGAGAGTCTCCTCAACAGCACCTGCAGGGAAGATAGTTTCGGCTTTTCCGTCTTGTTCGCGTAATACGATGCTATAAGGAGTACCATCATTTGCCTTGATTGCTTTCATACGGAATTGAGGGTTGAACGAAGCTCCAAAGTATGCGGCACCCATCACACCTGCCTCATCAGCGTTAACATTTTGTGCCCACTTATCTTCTGGAATACCGGCAGAACGAAGACTGGCTTGGACAAGAGGAATACGGGTAGCACCTCCCACCAAAATGACAGATGTGATGTCCTTGAGTGAGACCTTTGTTTGATCTAATGCATCCTTTGCTGCTTGACCAAAGCGAGGTGTGAGACCGGCCTTTTCGACGAGTGATTCGAATTGTTGACGGGATAGAGAGCCACGGAAATCAATCTCGTCGGCTAGCATCTCGACGTAGCTAGAAGCTTCACTGTTTGCACTAAGGATGTGCTTCACCCTGTTGGCTTCTTTCAATAAACGTGCCAATGCTCTTGGCTGTTGAGACAATGGCTTGCTGATCTTGCCAGCATTCTTCTCTTCAAATTGTCTTGCCAGCTCATCACGTACAATGACATCCAGGACCATTCCATTCGCCTCTCTGTCCCAGCCAGCGCCGAGAACATCGACCACAATTGCCTCCTTTTGTGTTGCTCCAATGGACAAAATTGAATCAGCTTGAATAGTCTTTGTACTGAATTCAACAATGGTAGCACTGGTAGATCCCGCACCGGAGTCAAAGATCATATGCTTTTCAGGCTTTGGGAATGTTCTAGTCATTGCATAATTGATTGCGACAGCGGCTCCATCTGAAACAAGCTTTGGCTTCATACCTGCAACTTGTGCTGCATCATAAAGGCTTTGTCGTTCTGCTGCTGTGTAGAAGACAGGAACTGTGATTGCAACATCTAGACCTCCGTATGTTCCAATGGTTCCTGGGAATGAACGAATGACTTCTTCTCCAGCTTGCTCCTCTGCCAATGCTTTTCCATGACTGAGCTGCATTCCGACGATTTCTTCGATCGAGTAGACATCTGCACCTTCTTTGTTGATAGTGTAATCTGTCTCACGTTCGATTGCGATTGTTGTATCATTCCTCTGTGCGTTTGGTACCAGCTTTGTGTTCAATAAGCCCGCATGTCTTGCTCTGCCACGTTCATCGTCATACTCTCTTCCGAGCAAGAACTTTGCTCCGATAAATGTATCACCGGGATAACGGGAAGCGAGGTTTGCTGCATCGCTACCATATAAACGCTCTTGTACTTTCCATGCGACGGCAGATGGGATCTTTCGTTTTGAATCTCGTGAAAGGACAACGTCAAAAGGTTCTCCAGGTTTCATTAGAGAGACCTTCATTGATTCTGTTCCATAATCGATCCCGATCACGCCCATAGCATGACAAGCTGAGATACTTAGAATTGTGATTGCCAACAATGCTGTTAGCATGTTGGACATCTTCATCCTCCTTCCATCAAATCGCATCTTTGCTTGATAGAATTGAAGGACTTGCTGATGGTTAAGAGGATACCTTTCTTCTCATGTATGCACGCACCTCCGCGCTGCTTATTCCTCTCAACGCCTTCCAACACATCACTTATGTTGTTTAAGCTTTTCTTCCTTTTTTCTACTGCTGAATTGCATGCATTCCGCTTTAGCGCCAGCCATAGCAGCATACAGACGTGGAGCATTTTGAGCTTAGGCTACACGTGAAGAGAATTATTGAATGAGAAGAAATGAATGCATGTCAAGAAAGTCACTAGAATTTACCTTCAAATCTCCCATCAATCTGCTTGCCCACAATTCAAGATGGTTGCTCCTGGAAATGTATTGGAACCATCAATAACGGAAACAACTTTTGTTAAACAAGCTTTATTGGAATCCATACGGCCAGATGGAAGATCTCTACTGGAAAGTCGTCCGATCTCGGTTCGGTTTGGAGGTGAACTTGGTTGGGTGGAAGTGACATTGGGATCACCTCATTCAACATTTTCAACATCAACAGCAAAGACCACAAGAGTAGTTGTTTCAACACATGCCACCCTTGTTGCTCCACGTCCTGAGAGACCTTATGAAGGTTTCGTGGACGTACGTGCAGAAATACAACCAATCGCTGCCAATCAATTCGAAAGAGGAAGAGCAAACGAAGAAGAAATTTTATTCGAACGTGGACTAGATCGTGCTATCCGAAGAGGAGAAGTTGTTGATCGAGAAGCTCTCTGTGTGGTTGCAGGACAAAAAGTATGGAATATCGCACTTACCGTTCACCTTCTCAGCGCTCAAGGTGCTGCTTTGGATGCGGCTGTGTTGGCATGTATGATTGCTCTGCGTCATTTCAGAAGACCTGATACATCTGTTAGTTCAGGATCTCAAGCTTTACAGAAACCAACCAAAGGAAGGAAGCCAATCTTTGATCAACAAAACAAGCCAAAAATCATCATTCACGATACATCTGAACGGGTTCCCGTTCCACTCGCTCTGCATCATCATCCTTTGAGTGTTTCATTTGCTATTTTTGATCCTGCTCATATGACATCTTCTTTTGTCAGTGGAGTTGGAGCATCTGCAAATCCGACTGCAGGAGGAAATACAACTGCAACAGATGATGATGATGACTCACATGTGATCATCTTGGCAGACCCCTCACCGATAGAAACAACATTATGCACATCAAAATTACTCGTCGTGGCTAATGTGCAAGGAGAAGTATGCGTTTTGGACAAATCAGGCGGGAGACCGCTAAGCGAATCAGTCGTCAATCGCGTGATCGGTTTGGCAAGAGTGCGAGTGAAGGAACTAAATGAGACAATGGAGAAGGCACTCAAGAAAGATTCCGCTCAACGGGTGATCGAGGTTGTCTAAGTGGTATTCTCACGCAATTGTACTTTTAAGCATGCTGATAATGTATAGTATTTCGACACTTATATGTGACGATGAGTTTAAATATAGTACAAATGGACATAACGAAAACGAATCAATGAACGCTTTGTGCTTGTGGATTAGAAATGATACCGTTCTTTAATGCGTTTGTTGGATTAAGAGCAGCAAAAGCAGGAATGGTCAAGTTTGATGGTGGCGTGACGATGTCCGACATATTTTGAGCCATTTTACGTGCTTGTTCTTCGCATTCTAGGCCCAAAGGTCCATCGTCACCTGTTTTCGTTGAACATGAAAGTGGATCTTGCTTTAAATCGGATGCTGTTCCGTCTAAGATTTGACTACTTGCTGCCCACATACGTGCTTGTGCTAAACCTTGTTCGACCATTGCTTCTACACCACCGATCGCAGACCAAGTGTTTGTTTGAGTGCTTGCGTATTTGAGCAAAGGTGTCAATCTTGGCTTATAGCACATGTCCAAGAATGGACGTTTGTTCGGTAACGAGATCACACGAAGAGGAACGGAAGAAGAAGGTCCGGCAGTTGGAATTGAAGCAGTCTGGCTTGCCAATTGTTTTGCTTGATATGGTTCTTGGAAGAATGCATGTGCTAAAGTATAAACCATCTTTTCAGAAGGTGTGACAGGTTCAAAAGCAGGAATAGCTCCAACGGCACATGCAATTTGTCCAATCTTGCCTTCATCACGTAATGCACGTTCGTATGCGAATGCTTCGACACTGTGAAGAGGACGTAAATCGATATCCATACTGGAAAAATGTTGAACGACATCTTTTGTTTCTTGTTCATCTCTGTTCAAAAGGTAAAGAGGTGATAATCCTAAATTGTGTAAAGCCCAAACAGCTGAACGACAAGTACCACCGCTACCGATGATGAATGCGGAGAATGGTTTGGATGATTGACCTTCTTGGCTCAGAGGGAAAACGTACGGACCGGCAGTAGGCGTTGAACCGATCAATGAACCAGCAGGTGCACCGTTTTGCTGTGCAATATCACGCAAAACTGCATGTCTGATACCCAAACAATCGGTATTTGTGCCAACCATTCTACGTTGGGAGAGCGAAGTATCACCTGTCAAAGATGGTCTAACGACGATTGTGTTGACTGTCAACGTTGCTTGACCGATCGAGTCTAATTCATCAAGAATTTGATCACGTCCAAGTTTTGAAGCAACGGCAACTTTGAGTGGCATCGTGACACCTGAACCACCATGTCTAGGATCATGTCGAACGAGCGAATAGAGATGAGCTTCTTCGATTGATTTGGTTTCACACAAAGAGTACGTTGGCACTGTTCCTTTGCTTGATGATGAAGAAGAAGGTTGAGATTCCAAGAATTGCCAAATGGAATTTTGAAAAGCAGGAGAAGCACTATGAGAGATCGGATAACCGAACAAATAATGACGACGACGAGAAGTCGAAATTTCTTGTGTTGTTGGATGTGCGGGTGGTGCAACAACTTTTGATGTTGTTGTCTTCTCAATAGCCATGATTGATAATGTATGACGACTGGATGTGAGGTGAAGAAAAAAAAGAAGGAAGGAAGTCGAGATGGGAATCAGAGTACAGATTGAATGAAATGCTATAGCCTTAATATACGTTTTCAACCTTATCTCAAGGAAACGCTTCCCCGGGGTAAAGAACGGCAGTCCATGTACTGTTGTGGTAAAGGCGGAAGATTATTTACCATTGCCGTTACGAAGGGGAAAAAGTGGGTAGAAGAACAGAGACGGCTAAGAAAAACAATACAAACAAAGAGTGAGTGGGAGGAGAGGGAAAGTGGCGCAAGAAAAAACATATGGAGGTAAATGCGCGTGAATGCATTACAAAACTAGTGATAAAATTGTATTCAACAATACAAATTCAAAATACAAAGTCCGCATAAACATTTTTCCGCCTTTCTCTTGTCAACAATAATTACCAAACAAAGTGATGCAGTGCATGAACAAAAAAACATGCCGACGTGGCAAAACGTTTTTCCAATACAGATATACTGTGGAGAGGAAAATAGTTTATCCCCTTTCCTTTTGGATGGGCCTGATCAGCCTTAGCACGTTGTCCTGCCCCGCAATTGCGTTCTAGCTATTAAAAGATGTTACCCCAGCCTCGTTGTCAAGAATTCGGAGAAGATGCACGCTTTTGAGCTGCACTCACTCTGCCCAGAATCCTCATGTGTGGAGAAAAGGAATGAATGTCGGAGTTGGTAAAGTTCGGTATCAAGTGTGCCGTAAGCGCATGGACGTGGTCATTAAAGCGATGCAATTTTTTTTGTGTATTTATAGAACACTACTTTACAACAATCACCTTAACGGACCGAGAAAAGCTGTACGGTCCTTGCTTCTACGCTCTTTCTGCGTGCTTGTGCGGGTTGAGTAGGCTCACGTAATGAATAATGAATCTCAACATCAAGTTCTCGTGTATTTTCTTCATTGGGTGTCGATCTTAACAATCCAACCAAGACGGAATCCTTCTTTGCTTCAATAGCTTCTTTCAAAACGAATAGCGTTTGCTTCCAATGCGTTTCAGGTCCGAAAGGAGAGGTAGTGAATGAGACAGTTAGACCTTTTTGGTCCGCTTTGTCTGTATTTTTCGGAACAACATTGTCTCTCTTTAGATCAAGCCCGCGAACTTCTCCGTCTTGCGGGCACTCTGTTGTCACAGGCGGGAGACCGCCCAACGTCTTTCCAGCTTCGATCTGTCCGTCCCATTCCGCATCTTCATCATCTTCACTGTCGCTTTCTTGTTGAGGTACAGGCTTACCGTCAGGCGTGAACCAAGTATCGAACCAAGAGATGAATGCTTGAATAGTGCAATCACGTTGTACACGCAGAGCAAAAGGTGCTGAGAATGAAGGTTGATGAGGAGCAATCGTATGCAAAGGAAGTTCGAGCAAAGTGTCAACAGTTGTGACGACTTGTTCTGCTTTGAGGTAATCAGTCCATGCTTCATCTGCCAAACCAGTCTTCATTGCGTTCATCGAAAAGCCATACACGTCATCCCAAAATTTGAATCTTTCTTGGATGACATCGCAATCTGCTACGGCTGACAAAAGCATACGTGTGTGAGATGGAGCAAGGAGACCAGTCTGTTTGCGCAGGTATCGATCGCGGGCATAAAGTACGGCTGGCATCATAGACTCGTACAATAAGAAGTAGCCCATCCATTCAGAGACAATGACGTCAACTGAGCCTTTGTATTCCTTCAAGATCTCATCCAATGCTTCTACTCGGCCATGATAGACGCTGATGATACCTTCAAGCCTATTGATGCGTATATTCTCCTTTGCCCGCGAGGCTACCGCACTCGCATCAATAGCAATCACTTCTTTTGCACCAGCACGAGCAGCAAACATGGATAGAATACCGCTACCACATCCTACATCCATCACAACTTTGCCGCGGAACAAATGTGCATTCTCTGGTGCCAAGATGAATTTTGCGTAAGACAAAGTGCGTACTTTGTCTGCGATCATTGTTTGATGAATGTCGTGTGAGGCATAGGAGGAGAAATAGTATGAGTCCTCCCCCGAAATTGCTGAAGGTCCTGCTTTGCCTTTCATGACTGCTTTATGAGCATTCTTTCTTGCTTCTTCTTCATCAGAAGATACGTCATCCAAGTTATCCAAACCCATATTCTGTGCAAGTCTTTGACGAAGATCTTGAATCGTGAGCTGTGCGACTTGAACCTGACTTTCCAGGGCTGCAAGTCTTTGCTTTTCTGACTGAATGCCATTTGCTGCTTGAGCTGCTTCTGCACCACCCAATTCAGCGTCCAAATCATCGAAATCTATTTGAAGCAAACCATCATTTTCGAATCCTTTGACAGGTTTTAGCTCATTATCATCGTTCAAGAATTCTTCCTTGCCAGTAAGCTGATTGATCTGTTTTGGGTCAACCTTCTCGCCTTTGATAGCCTGTCTTCTTAGGTAATTGAATAACCTAATAACCTGTAAAGCGTCCAAATTTGCTCTTTTTACCAGTACTGGTACATCACAACCCAACTTTGCAGAATGATCTAGAGCTTCTTTTGGCGTTTTGAATGTTTGCAGTTGTGAGCCTGAGGGTTCTAAGAATAGTGCATTATACACTGTCCTGCTCATGACAGAAGAAGATCCTTCCCCATTATGACCATTGATTGTGTATTCCTGTTGACCTTGTTCATCGTCAACCCAATCTGCCCAATCTTGATCGTCAGCTTCATCGAATGAAGATGCATGAGAATCTGAATCGTCCATGTTTGACATCTTTGGCAAGAGGTTGATGGGAGCAAAGAGGATGGTAATGATTTGTTCGATAAATTGCTTTTTGTTAGCACGAGAACAATGACATCAAGACAGAGCACGGACAATTTTCATTAGAAAAAAAAAGTTTAAACGAAAGAAATTAAAACACAGTTGCAGCAAATCGGCAGAAGGCGCGAATGAAAAGAAGATTGAGTTGTTTATTAAGTAGCGCGGGCACTTACTCTGCTTAAACGGGCCACAATTAATATTAACAGTCAGTGCCTGAGCTTTAAAAGTAGGAACGGGAATTGTATAAATTGTTCTTGTATAAAGATCAGAGTAACAAAGTAGCAGTCATCACTACAGAAACACAAACAGACATAATTGTACCGCTCATAACAGCAAAAGAAGCCATACTTGCATCACTTTGTCCTTTTCCACCATTATCAACAGCACTTTGTTGATCTGAATTACTACCATTTCCACCCGTTGAAGCAGGTTGAACGAGAACTGCTCCGATACTGGTGATAAATTCGGGTTTTCCAACCGCTGGACTGTAAACGTTTGTCGGCTGTGTATCATTGGTCACTCCATCCCAGCAGTATTTCTGTAAACAGTTCTCACAAACCGAAGGTCTTGGTGTATTACTTCTTGCAAATCCACGTTCTAATGCTGCACATGCTAAACATGTTGGCCAATAAATCTCTGTAGTTGAATCTGTTAAGCCTCCCATCGTGGCAACGTCAACGGCATTATCGATCAACATTTGTGCACTTGAGTTATCATATTGAAGTTGATAAGTGGACGTATTGCTCAAACTTGAATAAGGATAATTGGGAATATAAGCAATAATCGGTGCCAAACTTGCATTTGCGCCTGATTGAATATTGATCACATCCGGTACAGCTCCATTTCCTGCTGTTGCATTGCATCCAAAGAACGTTGGTCTGGTATTCAAACCACGGTTGATAAACGTTTCCGGGGAGGGAATGATTGGCATTGGGATATTGTTGTATTGTGCATTATTTTTGTAACGTAAAAATGTTTCATGAAGTGCTGTTCCGTTTGGCCAATCTGTCGTATCGGCACTATTGTCAACGGCTAAAATTAAATCCAATTCACGTCCTGGTAATAAGAGAGTGTTGATAGGCACATTTTGATTATCTTCACCTCCATCTACCAAGGTAATGTTTTGCAACGAGCTCACAGTCACGTTTGGATCATTTTCACGATAACCTCTGAACGGGTTTGGCAAAACGGAAACGTCATTTTTATCTTGTGAAATTGCGCCCAAGATTGCTTGTAATGCATCTTTGATGAGACTATCGCCATTGCTGGTGATGAGCATATTAAACAAAGCATTGAATAATGTACTTGAAGTACCTACTACCCAACCGAAATTATCAAATCCATAAGTGCATTGATTGTTCTTTTCTGCACTGACTCCGTTTGCAAGATCTGTGCCCAAGATATCGATAGGAACAAAAGCTGAAACGTCTGGATCATAACTACCAAATTCGAAAGGATTAAATTCAAAAATGGTTGTGTTACGATAAATCAACAATTCTCCCGGTTCACGTTCATCCGCAATAACGACTGGGAAAGGGAAAGAAGCTTGTTGAAAGTTTGACGTATTTCGAATATCGCCAAATGTTGTTCCTTGTCCTTCGTTTGGGTATGTTGAATTGACCAGGTGATAACTCAATGCACGACCCCAATAATCGACGATACCGGTAGGATAGCCAGCAAGACGCTTTCCAGCAACGTCGGATACGATATCGGCATAGAATGACACTTTTCCATCTTGTGGTACTACGAGATTTTCAGGTAAATCCCATGTGTCCAGCAAAAGTGATTGTGTAGTTGGCCAATCGTTAATGGCAAACGAACCTACAGCCCAACTTCCACCGCTTAAGCCGGCAACGTAATCTGCAAATTGCAAAATTCCAGCCGTTCCTCTTTGTTTTGCAGTATCGTTACGTGAATCCCAACCTTGTAAAACACCGGCTCCATTAATCATTGCTCGATAACCACCACCGCTCAATGCGATTCCGACACGAGGTAATCTACTCAAATCGCTTGTATAATTTTGTGCTCCACCGGGGAGATCGCCGTTCAAATTTGGTCCCGGGTTAGAGCTCGAAAGCCATTCTGACCATGCTTGTTGAGTGGATTGTTTGTGTCTTTGGATATAATCTGTTTCGTTTGACGAAAGTGCATTCGTTTGAGTACTACGAATGAATCCTGTATTTCCATTTTGCGTTGCTGGACAGGCTGCTTGACTGGGTGTATAGCTTCCGGTTGGATTTGATCTCTTTTGTAATAGTTCATATTCTGCTACAGCACGAATGGCAATCGCTCTGGCTTCTGCAGGTGTGATTTGATCGTTATGTAAAGGGGAGGCATTGACTTGTTCTACATTGTTCAAGGTGACGAATAGCACAGCACTATATGTTAGCAAGAGGGGCAATAATGAAAGCCATCTTGATGACCTTGACTTGATCGACATATTTGGGGATGTTGTATGGGATCAAAAGAGCGGGAATAAAGATTAAAGCTTACTATTTTATACTTTTCCATTTTTCTCCACGGAGGATGTTGTCCGAATAAGCGATTACAACACACACAGCCATGTTGAATTGATGCATGTAGGTACAAATGCGTATCGCCTCCACAGAAACACAGAAACAAGAAAAAGAGAAAACTGTTTTTATTCGGGAATAAAGAAGTACAACAAACCTTCCCCCCTGAAGATCTCATCCAAGCACACACGCGTACGCGTACGAGTAAAATACGCTAAACATCCGCTTGACCATTGGATGAATCGGCAAAGTACGGCCTTTTTTCATGCTTGGCAGAGTAATGTACTCAACAGTCAACAAATTGAATAAATGCAGCAGCAGCAACAGCAATAATGTTTGTGCGTTGCGTGCATACTTCTTGGCAATGGCTTCAAAAGGCGTAAAAGATTTGCCTAAACTTGATCACGTAATAAATAATGACGCACATGTCAAAAATAAAAACTTAATTTTCTTTTGAGAGCTTTCTTTCGCCGCGGATCAAAAGAGGGCGAAATTCATAATCATTCGGGGATCGGATATCAAAAAAAGAAGGCTAAAGATGTGAAAGTGGAATGATATCCAATTGCAAATCCACATGATTGCTATGCTTTTAACATCGATGAGTCTACAATCAAAGACTCGCCCTTTTGATGATACCCGAAAAAGATGGTTGGCATAAGCAAAAGTGACAGGCAGATCAAAGTTGCCATCATTGGCTCAGGATTAGCAGGATTAACTGCATCCCACTTATTATCACAATCGGCTGAATTACGAAAACGATACGATGTTCACATCTTTGAAAAGAATGAATCGCTTGGATTAGATGCAAGTTCGATCACTATACCCCATCCTACTCAACAAGAAAAATCACTTCGGGTTGATGTACCTATGCGTAGTATCAATGCTGGATATTATCCAAACTTAACAAGATTGTACAAAAGTCTCGGAGTCAAGCTAAAAAAGACAAATTTCACCTTTTCATTCTCTTCGATACATGCGCCTCGATCACCATTCATGCTATATAACGGACAAAGCGGGATACGAGGATTTTCGGTACGAGCGGGCGATTCTTCTTCGCATCCTTCGTCTTCGATACAGCAGCGTATTTCCACCAATTTTAGCCAGTCTTTAACACTTCTCATCTTTGCATTCTCGTACATCGTTTTGCTATTCTTTGCGTTATACCACCATGCTCGGGGACACTTGCTGGATCCAATGCATCCCATCAATAGGGAACCCTTCCTACATTGGTCAAATCGCCATAAACGATACATAGATCCGACATTCATTCGTTCAGTGACCCTCACCTTATTCTCAGCAGTTACAACTTCATCGATCGCATCGGTGGAACAAATACCCGCTGCTGAAATTCTGCTTTACATCTCTTCTACATTCCTACGGGATCATCATAAAGTTCAAGGTGGAGTACAAATAGTTCAAGATGCCTTGGCCAGAAATATCCCACTGGACAATGTTCACACATCTTATACAGTTGAACGCATACAATCTGATCAACAAGGCTATACGATCTCTGTAGCGGACAAGGCACCTATCTCCGGCTTTCAACATGTGATCCTTGCAACACCTGCCACTTTCTCGAATTCTCTGATAGAGTCTTATTGCAACTCAATCGCTGAAAAGGTTTCTGCAGCCGATCAAATCGAGAATATTCGCATTCTACAGGACAACCTAGCACAGATACGATACGAAGAGAGTATGGTAATCAATCACTCTGATCGTTCACTTCTTCCGAAGAACAAAAAAGATTGGCAGGATTTGAATTTGGTCTCAGCAAATACTGTTGAAAACGATGAACGATATAGACTTTTGGCAGGTTCGAAACATGGAGGAAGAAGTGCGATGGCCACTCATCTAATTCGATCTACCGCAACAGATGGTGAGCTCATCTTGCAAACGACAAATCCTACAATCTGGCCAAAGAAAGACTCTATTTTGAGTTCGTCCAACTTTGTACGAGCTTTGACTCCGATCTCAAAGCAGGCAATCGATGGTCTGTTTGAATGGACACCTGTACATCTCACGTTCAGTCAAAGGGTCACTCAATTTTTTAGACTATTCAACTTTGAGCAATCAACACCCACAACAATTCACAGTGACTGGATTACAGCTTGTTTCTCTATCTTGCGTGGAAAGAAACACTCCCTGCGATTGGGCAAACTGCAATCAAGTCGGTCTTTGCAACCGGTCGATTCGGAAAAGCCTGGAAACATTTGGGTTTGCGGAAGTTACGCACAGGGTATCCCTCTTTTGGAAGGTTGCGTAACGAGCAGTATGTTGGTGGTGAATGAAATCTTGCAAAATGACATCTAGTCATCAAGTAATTAATTGTGTAAAGTACTTTGTAACAATAATAATATTTCCCCGTGCACCTTATAATAAAAGAATCGTCATTAATGGATAATTACGATGGGAAGTAGTGTAATCCGTAAAAGTCATTAAGTGTGTACATAAAATAGGTCGTAAAACTACTTTCAAAGGGTAAAGCACACAATGTGTACAGTACTCATATTCAAATTTTGGTCATTATCAAGCATTATTGATTCTTGTTGAAGCAAATCCGCTTTCGTCTTCACCTGTTGCTGAGATTGAGCCAGGTTCCATATTGCTATAAACACTTGGCATCATGGAATTGCGATTCAAATTGCTACTTCCAGCACCGCCATTGCCACCACCGCCGATTGGCGAACGACCCAAAGCGAAAGCAGGTACTTCATCATCAAATTGATCCATATCATCCATATTCACAGTTTCCTCCATCATTCTTGTTTGTTCAGAATCAGAAAGATCTCCTTCTTGTCCACTTTCTCCTCCGCTACCATGATCAACACGTAACATTTGCATTCGATCAGTAGAAATTTCCACCCCGGCTTGCAGATCTCGATGAGATGAGATCCTACGCAACCTGCGTGATTCTTCTTCCCTTTCTTCGCGATGCAACTCTTCCAGTTCAGCACGTTGCAGCGCTCTTGATGCATTTCCACGCTTGTCCGCTGGAATGCTCTCGTCCAGAACGTGTGAAGGTGCGATTCGATTGTCAAGGAAAGGCAAACGTGACGAGCTGGCTTCCATCGGCGCACTTCCTCCTACATTCGGCCTTGCGGTAGAACCTGCCAGGCTTGATGTTCGAGTACGAACATGCAAGGGACCAGGACCAGCACCATTCTCTCCCTCAAAGCTAGTCTCTCGCACTTCTTCAATTTCATCTTCACCTGCTTCTGTACCGTCATGAAGTGAAGGTCCTGTCACCGAGCCGCCAACAGGATGTGGATTGCGTGGGCCAGAGTATTGCGGTAAATCTTCACCTTCGTCTGCTAAGCGAGATCCGTCTTCTCTGAACAATTGGTTGTAACTCGGCAAAACAGGCGCAACACTACCACCTGGAGTGGCAGCCACAGCTCCGTCATCAACGACGACAGGAGTCGCAAGATTGCTGGAAGTTGTATTTGAAGGATTGCTATTGCTAACGACGGCAACTTGACGAACAGGTAAAGGTGCAAATTGCTCACGAACTTCTCGTGGTGCAGCTTCAGTGAAACGGACTGGAACACACATCATCAAGGATTGTCCCCATTCTCCATCTCCGCCCAATGGCTTACTGCCAAACCCGAAGCCCAATTTGACTTGCAACTTATGCCTCGTTTTGGTGAACGGGCTTTCAAAGTCTGAAACTAATTGTGGTGTAGCAGCATTTTTCGCTCGAGTCGCATCGCTGGTCACCAAAGGTAATTTGATCGCCATTCTTACTCTCCCTCGCGTAAGATCAACGCCATGCCCATCAGAGCCTGCAAAAGAGTACAATGCTGCTCGGTTTGAATCTTGTCCTACACCATCCTTGGTAGACTTTTGACCCGCGCCCTGATTTGCCTGATTTCGACTCTCTCCACCGCCTTCTCTGGCTCTTCTGCCTTCTGCTTCATTTGCCTGATCGTCCATATCGAATGAAATATCCATCACTGCAGTCGCAAAGTTACTCAAACCACGCATAGCTGATTGATATGCTCTTCTACCACGACCAGTGTTTCTTCTACTGGCAGAGTCGTTTGGCATAGTTTCCAAAGATTGATCGTCAAGATTGCCTCTAGAAGTGGAACCACTCACTCCATTCTCTACCCCATTGACTTGTACTGCATTACCGGCTGGATTATTGCCGACATGATGATGAACATCTGGCAAAGAATGACTGCCATGCATACTCCTTCGTCTTCCATCGCTTTTTGCTTCCTTCTTGCGTTCTTGCTCTTTCTCCTTTCCACGTTCACCGCCCTTGGATCGTGACGAAGACGCTTTGATCGCATTGGGAGTAGGCGGAGGACCAACGACGACCGTTCGAACACGTTCGACATTGTTGGCAGATGGATGAGGCGCACGTCCGGCTTGCACAAGATCAATATGGTATTGCACAAGACCACGATCATAACCTCGTCTTTGTCGAACTTCACTGGAAGCCAGCTTACGTCCACTTGGTGCCTGTTGAGGCGGTGGACCAAAGATTGGCAAATCTTCTGCTTCAACACGAGGCTCAGGCGGCATTGGATAAGCATGACAGAACGTACGTGAAGGAATAGAACAATGTCTTTCCGTTTGTACGCAGCTCAACTCCATATCACGCAATCGTAATCCTCCCAATTCACGTACTTTTGACCACATTGATGATCTGCCTACTTCAATTTGAACGCCAAAGTTCAAAATATCACTTCCCGGGCCATCAATCGGAACATGACTTGGTAAGCTCAATGTGAGCGAAAACGGTAATCCTGCCGCCGCATTTGGTATATTTGCATCAGCAGGTGGATGTAGCATTGGTCTATGCAAGAAGTGTCGCATAGGAGGCGCATTTGGATGATTCTCGTTTGGATTGGGAGGATGCAAGCTTGGATCGGGCGCACTAGAAGTGCGCTGAGGAGCATGCGGACTGGATTGAGATGCCGATGTCGAAGCAGCGGAAACATGAGCCGCTGCTTTTGCTGGATCGAGAGGCAGATCAAACGTATTTGGAGCAACAGGTGGTCCTTGCAAAGGTTGTTCTTGAGCTTGGTCAGGTAATGGCGGTAACGGCAGCTGTGGAAGCGGTGCATTGGTATTGATAGGTGGCGGTTGAGGTCTTGCCACATCTTCGCGCCTTGCTGGAGGAGGAATCACCATTCCCGATCTCACTGCTTCAGGTGGATCCCTCATACCATTAGCCGTTGCCGCATCTGCACCAACGATTGCCATTCTTGCAACAGGAACGGGGACAACTTCTCTGCATCGCCGTACAATGATCACATGTGGATCGCTGAACGCACTGATATAGCCTCTAGAAGCAAAGAGCTTTGGAGGCATCCGGAATTCGTTCGAAGGCATTGTTTCAGCGGGTAAAGATGTTTGTCGAGCTGCGAATGGACTTGGCGACAGCGTGGTAGGAGATGCCGTCCCACTTGTAGGCCCTTTAGTGATAATTGCAAGCTTTTTCGCCCTTTTGCCCAACCAGGTACTTTTACCAGCCGGCGGGGTTGAATCACTACGTCCTTTTGCTTTGCTGCTGGAAGAAGCTTGACGAGCTTCCTCTCCATCACTTGCTGTGGTTCTCGGGGCCACTCTTGTCGCTAAGCGATGCGGACTTTGCCAATTGAGGGGAACAGATTGACCTTCAGAGTCACTTTGCCCGTCTGAGGACGATGTGTCCGGCAACATTGATCCCCTTCTAGGTGGTACGAGCGAAGATGGGATAGCATGCTGTTGCTGCTGTCCTCCATCGGCTGCAGAGTACTTTGCCCTGGCTTCTAAAGAATAGAATGTTCCGCCGAATCGGGTTGACAAACTTCCTGGAAGCCATCCCGGCAGTGACAAATTGAACTCAATTTCATACTCTTGACTCTTGCCAAGTTCTGGAATAGAGATAGTGTACCCTCTTGGCAAGAGCTCTTCCGTTACCTCGGTCAGCTTACAAGCCGAAAATCGTCCCGAATGATCAACGTACAACGCATAACCTGAAAAGGTACAGCTGAGCGACATCACATTCACCTCTTGTACACGCAACGCTGCAGACGGATCACTGTCATCATAATTTTCAAGATAATCAGAAAAAATCTGATCCGCATCGAAAAAGCTCGATTCTGTATTGATCTTGGGAAGCCAAACGGAGCCGTCATCATTTTTGGTACCTTTTATGTGTGCACCATTCTTGCTGCCGTTTGACTTTTGAGAAGGCGGAGACAATTCTCGAATCACATTGTGTACACGAACAATGACTTTCCCAGAAAGGGAATAATTTGAGCTTGTCTGTGTGGATCCAAACATATTCACTGTATCTGTGACGGGAAGGATACGCAGTTCCATGATCGGTACTTCTGCGCGATGTTTGCCCTTTCCGTTCGCTTTTGTCGATGAAGAATTCGGAACGGACAGCAAATCATTTGATTGCTGCTTGCTTTGTTGAGGTGCTGGCTCAACATGCAAGAATTCCCAAGCAGTCATACTTGAGCTAGCTTGCTCCTCTCTTTCTGAAACATTTGGAGAATTTTGACCGCCTGGCGAATTTCTCAATCCAGAAGGAGAAGGTGATCGTAGAATCGATGAAGGAGATGCGGTTGCCTCCCTTGGCATGAACACGCTGAACGGTCTTCTCTTTGCTTCATTAACGAATAAAGTCGAAGTTGGCCGTACTGACGGCGAAACGGACCGGCTCAAATTGCTAAATTCCGTTGAAGGATCTGCTGACAATGGTGATACAGCTGGTGAAAGGTTGGGCATGTTTAATGGTTGAAGCGCAGGGCTAAGGAGGGAAGATGACAGAGCAGCAGATGATGATCGCATTGTCGTTTGAGGTGATGTATTTTGGCCAAGAGGACTTATAGAGATGGGACTTTGTTGCATGGTAAAGTGATCGCTTGTAGCGGATCCTGTTGGGTGTTCGTGTGAACTCTGCACATTTGAAGGCTCCACTTGTATATCTGGTCTCTTCTCAGTTAAAGTAGAAGGTAATCTTGGCATTTCATCAGGTTGCATCATCGTCTGTCTCTTTTGAGGCGAAATGTTGGCGGAGTCTGGCGTCGATAAATGAAGTGGAGGACCTAATCGACTGTGTGTGGCTCCATTCTGTTGGCCATCTTGTGGAATAGTGTGTAATTCTTGAGTACGGGACTGTGACTGCGATCCGTTTGCATTCGTGTTGCTTACGTTTCCTTCCATCGAAGCTCCTCTTAAAATTATTCTCGGTTCTGTCATACCGTCGTGATTAGACATGATCAAATTGGACAATTGAATCTTCAAAAGCGCTGCTGCGTTCCATGCACGCCCCCTCTCACGAAAGGGCGAAACGAGCTGAGATTGAAGTTCAGCCTTTTTGTTCAAGACTAAACAGGGGTGATACGATTATGTTTTGATGAAATTCAAATACTGTCGGCCTCCGTTTGCATGTTGGCGTATAATCCGAAATTAGATTCTTGAGAGGCTTGCTTCTGCGAGAAGATTGTTGGAAGTGGAAAAAGAACAACAAATCTGACAAATGACTTTCGGGCTGATTTGAATTGGTAACGTAATTGTTTTAATATTTGGTCATGCGGATCACAAAGCTGAAAGGGGGATGGCTGTTGTGACTTGAGTATTCCCGCGTAAAGGGGTATTTTTGTGTTGTTCGTTACGTCGTAATTGTTTTGGTGATGATGATGATCTAAAAGAGAGGAAGCAAGGATCTGTATTGATTGTTCTGATTTGTCTTGATGTATATAAAGTGTTAATTAAACATTCTCATTGTTCATTCAATGCAAAGGTACAATTTCAGTATTCAATAGTGGAGAGCTATGCGCATCTTTTTGCTGCGCTGTGTGCACACGTACAATGAAAGCGTACTAAAAATAATCAGCATACGCGGCGTTTACTATAAGCACGATCTGCTGCTGCTGCTGATCACCTATACGAGTGCGTCTTTACACGGGCTGAAGTGAACAGATCGCTGATCAGCAAATAATTCACTAATACTGACATACAGCATTAAACAGAAGAGTCTCGCCTGATAGCAACATCTGGTACCTAAAACAGACCTGAAATGAAAACCACCTTGATTGACCATTGCGCTGAACATGTATTTAGGTTGTTTAAATAATAAATGCGTGCGCCTGATTGTGTCACACACACTTTGCACGTTCCTTTTGCATTAGGGCGTATATACGCATGCAGTACGGGTGTAAATTGTATGACTTTGCATAAAGTGATTAAGTTGGAGATAGGTATGCAGTTGGCTGATAGCGTTTGGCGGCGCTCAGATCTTTTGGGGTTGGAACGGGTTCTTTGTCTTCTTCCTTCTTAAACTACTTCTTCCAATACCATCACTTTAACAAGAATCACAATTGGTAAGAGAAGGTCTTAACCCTTTCTCAACCATCTCGTTTATTCGAAGATGGAAGAGCTACAGACGGTAAGTAGAAGAAGTGGATAATATCAAGACCACAACTGACCACTTCTAATCATTGACAAAACACAGGAGAAGCATAGCGACAGCGTTACAGCATCGAACGATATTCCCCAAATCACACAAAAAGATGTCAATCATGCACAAGTAGATATCTCCCCAGATCAAATACAACAAACCCTTGATGAATTAGACATCGATTTCGGACATCAATCTGATCAAGAAACAAATGAATTACTTCAAAACGCTGCAGGTGTCAACGGCAGCGCATTAGCATCTGTCAAATTATCATCCAAGAAAAAAGAAGCACTATCACAAGTACCATGTAAATTCTTTCGTTCAAATGGATGTTCGGCTGGAAACGCTTGTCCGTTTGCACATAATATGCCGGGAGAAGGACCGGGAAAAGCAATCTGTCAATGGTATTTGAAAGGTAATTGTCGTTTTGGACATAGATGTGCTCTTGCTCACATCTTGCCTGGCCAACCTATGAGCATGGATAGAAAGAACAAACGGGCAGCACAACAACAGCAAGGCGGTGTGAATGGCATGCAAGGACAAATGATGCCACAACAGCCACAACAAGCGATGAATGGATCGAATAAACGACTTTCCGGACAGAGATCTGGCCTTTCGTTCGACTATCATCAAATGGATCCAAATGCAGCAATGCATGGCAATGGAGACTTGATGTTTGGTATGCCGGATGATTTGCATCAACCACATCAAATGAATCCAAACTATTCAGGTAATATGCAAAGTATGTCAAGAGTTGTACACTCCGACTGGCCTACGTCAAACGCAGGTGATGCTCGTCAAGATGGTAGTGCATTTGATGGTTTAGCCATGCCTTCATCTTCAACAATGATGGGTGGAAGTCCGGCGCCTGCTCAAGTTTTCGGTACGAGTCCTTTCAGTCACCCTGGCTCGAATTCAGTCTTTTTCTCAGGTCCTCCAATTCATGATGCTTTGAGCAACGGAACAGGAGCAGGCGATGCTGAAAAGGCATTCGGAAGATCATTCAGTCGTACGACAGACGAAGATGCAGTTTTGCGAGCAGCAGTCCAGAGATCTTGGAACGTTCAGCGTGATAATGGAGCGGGAGGTGAAGATGAGCATGCGGAAGAATTTTTACCATCTAGCTTGTCTGATCTCTTGACTCCTGCTGAACTGGAACGGAGAAGAAGAAGCGTTTTGGCATCCAAGAACTCCACTTTGTCTGGCGCCATCAATGGTCATTCGACATCCTCGCAGAGTATGCCAGCGAATGGAGGCTTGAGCAGCAGCTTGAAATGGACAACAGCAGAAGGTAACACTGCAGAGAACAGCATTTCATCTGACCTGGATCCTATCATCGGAGGCATAGATAGATCCGCAAAGGCCATCGGTGGATCTCGACTAGGGGCAGGCACGACAACGAATGGTTTCCTATCTTCCCGATTACAGAGTGATCTCACAAGAAGTCGTGATGCGTGGGGAGAATCAGGCGTAGTGGGAGATGGTGCACGAAAAGAAGGTGGCGGAGAAAAATCGGCTGCTTTCAGTCCCAACTTCAAAGCTGTACTCTCACATGCTCCCGGTCAAAGTCTACCACAAGGTCTGGCAGCTGGTCTTTCACGCTTGCATCTCCGATCGGCTGGTGATCCAGTGGTAGGAAATGGAAATGGAAGCAATACGATGACGAGTGGCTTTAATGTGAATCGTTCGAGATTGTCAGGTGTAGATACGATTGGGAATGGGGAATCATCTTCTCCAGGTGTGATTGGTGGTGCACGCTCAAGTGTTGATGATTTGGGCCCTACAGTGCCTTCTAGCATCTTCAATCAGCGTCATTCAGGTTTGCACCATCACTTTGGACGATCAATCGGCGGACAAAGTGCCTCAACTTCCTTTGAAACAGGTTCGCTCTCCAAGAATCAATTGGGTAACAGTCACGGAAGTCCTTACACCCTTTCACCTGCCATCAAAGCTGCTGATGGAGGAATTGCAATTCCTACAAACAGTCTAGGATACACGGACAAAAATGGAGCGAATAACGGACAAGGCATGCGAAGTGGAAGTGTTGAATCTAGAAGTAGTTTAACGATTGGTTCAGGACATCTGTCTCATACACAACAACGAGCGCAACACCTCTCAACAGGTTCAGGTCAACATCCAGGTATTCATCGTGTTCGAACGAGTGGAACAATGGGAGGAGGTATTGGCGCAAGCCCGTTGTCTCTACCAACAACGGGAGAAGAAGTGGAAGAAGCAATCTTTGAATTGGAATAAAGTATCACAAACGGCATGACAAGGGAAAAAGTAGGAGGAAATGGTTTTGTAATTATATATAGAGCAATTTATACAGCCAAAAACAAGTAGGACGATCGCATTCGATCAAACCTGCATCAGCCACAAAAGGCAACAAAAGTTTCAAAAAATGATGGAAATCAATTCCAGGGCAGCTGCAATCTGATAAAAATGTACTATTCATTTATGAAAAAATACTAGCGAATCAAGCATGAAATGTACGAATTGATTGAATGATGTATTGTGTCTTGGTTATCCTTACATATGATTGTGTGATGGTGACTGAGTATGATCAAATGGTGAGAAAGAGAGGAAGGAAATGAAGTGATCTGATGAAATTTTTGTGAGCGAATAAGCGTTGACAAGCAGAACAATAAAAATGGAGCTTTACTATTCCTCAATAGATTTAGAGGCCATATCGATCTGCCAGCCTTTGAGCTATTATGGGAGGGAAAGAAGCTTTTTGTACATCCCATTGAGCTCCACTCATTTCACGAAAACCTGTCAAAATCTTTGCAAACATATCGTTTAATTGTTGACTTGGAGTTGTCCAACGAACTACGGCATTGCAAAAGTAAACGAAACCTTTTGCAGCTCCATTAGGGTTCACTTGAATCATTTCGCATAAACCACGGAAAGCGCTATCCTTTTCATCGTTATCCTTGATATCCCATAATGCTTGACACCATGATTCTAAGAAAACTTCCAGATGTGGTGCTACCATATCTGGCACAACAAGACCAAGTCTACCGATCGTCACCGCTGCATTTTCACTCAAAGATTTCATACTCTTTTGATTGAGCAAAACGGGTATAAGTCGATTGATCAACGGATTCACCCATTGCTCTAACTCTTGTCGAGGAGATGGATTTGTTGATCCATTTGTACCGCTTCCATTGTTTGTTGATAAATTACCAAATTGCAACGCAATCTCTCCCGCAGACCAAGATGCATTGTTGCAAACGCTAACGGTGTCAGGTTTTGGTTCCGTTTCGATTTGATTGACCAATTCTGGCATAATTTGTGGCAATGTTGGTCGTAAAAGATCAAAAGCAGAAATTGCCAAATCACCCAACAGTGCATAACCGGATTGTCGCACTGGCGGATCCGGATGTGTGATGCACATAGCCAGCAAGGGTAGCAATGGAGGTTGACTTTGTGCTATCAGACCTCTGATATTCGTGCCTAAACCTTGCGTCAGACCGCTCAAGAGATCCAGAGAAACGATGATAAACGTTCGATCGGGTAAATCTTGATCTTGCAAGGGCTTTTGACTCTCTTGCTGAAATTCGGACAAAGTGTTGTGAATGATTTGCAAGCATCGTTGGAACACGGGTGGGCTGTAGTCCAAAAATCCAGGACCGATGGCAATCGTGACACTTGACAAGCACTCAAATAGAGGAACAAGATCGATGTCATCGTCGGTCAAGCTTTGCCATTTATTGATCAAAGGTGGCATAAGAGTTTGAACATATTGAGGCTCGTTCAGAGAAGCTCCTACCGAATCTGCCAACGTTCCGATTGCATCGTACAGAATGAGAAGATTCTTTTGTTGATATTTGTCAAATGCAAATACCAACGTTTGCAAAACAGGCTGAAGGAATTGAGCCAAATCAGTACCTGCCTCCTCTTCCAATGTAGCAAAAGCACTGCATCCAGCCTCCTGTACACGCTTGTTGTTATCCAATACCATTCGCAGAAGTCCTTCCATTGTGGGCAAAAAGTAAGTCTGTTGATGCTCAGGCGTTTTGATTGCTGTGCACCAAGATGAGTATCTACTCAACGTCCAACATGCGATCGAACGTACAAGCGGTTTGGGATCCTTGAGAGTGTTGACGAGTAGAGGTATTAGCGTGGGCAGATGCGGTTGCACGCCAGAAATACATCCGTCGGCAATCGCACCCAAAGCGAGAATTCCGCTTTCTCTCTGTATCCAATCTTCGCTGAAGAGCCTTTCTTTGAGAAGAGGCAACAGGATCTCTAATAGCTCTTGGTTGAATTGCAATGCCATAACATCCAATGCAGCAGCTGAACATTTTCTCAAATTCCACTCTCCAATTCCCTCGTCTTCGTCATCTTCATCGTCGTCGTAATAATCATCGTCATCGTCATCTTCGTCATCGTCATTCTCTGCCGCTTCAATGCCTGCACGAGATTGCTTGTTAGCTGAAGGACCTGCCTCGCCATTGACTGCATCCTCTGCACGTTCATTACGATGATCTTTACCTCCATAATGTTGTGGTTTGATATCTTCCGGTCGATCAGGAACTGCCGCATCATCCTCATCTCCGCCCAACATCAAAAGATCGATGTCTGTATAGATCATGCATTTGAGCAAAACTGGTGCAACACGATCCAGGAAAGGTCGTAGGTTTGGCGCAATCTGGGGATCCTCTGCAAATTGTAGCCAGAACTCACACGCCTCCAATGCGACCTCATCGTCTTGCTCTTCGGTAGAAAAGAGCATGTAATCGACAACATTGTTGATCTCAGGCATGAGCTTTTCCGGTCTTGCTCCCAAGATAAGCACCAATGCTTGACAAACGAATCTGCGAATGGTTGCTTCTCCATCTGTGGCAGAGGCGAATAGTGCTTTGATGAAAGCGTCTATATGTTGTTGGAGGGGTGAAGTGCCGATTTGAACGAATTGATTCAAGCAATTGAGGGCATGCATACGAATTCTCTTATCGGGATGTCCTGTGGCTTCGAGTAGCTTCAACGTAAGGTGTTGTAAAGGTTGTGTGCCGTTCACCTCACACGCTTCCAACGCTTTGGGAATATCTTCACAAATCTTGGCAAATGTGCTATAAGCCCCTTCAGCTTCTGTAATGTCGGAAGAGTCCAAGAGTTGCATCAGCTGACTGAGACCTTCAAGCCAATTTTGAGGTAAAAGGATGGCCATGATCATAGAAATGACTTGCGTTACCGTTCTTCTCAGCACATCATCTTGTAATCGTAATCCGGGAATGATGACACTTTTGACATAATCGATGGATCCGGGCGCTATCTGATCACCCGTTCTAGAAAGGTGATTTTTGAGAATCAATCCAGCAACCGTTCTGACTTTAACATCTTCTGATTCCATTCGGATCAAGATGTATACCAAATAATTCGCATAATCGGGTAATTGACTTAGCTGTTCCAATCGATCTGCAATGTGAACTTGAACGTCATGCTGTATACTTTGAGACTCCCGCAAAAGTTGGATTAGTTCACCTAATCCTTGCTCTTGTGGTTGCCACGTCGCCATGACGGGCTGATTGATGTTGGTTGAAAAGGCGGACGTGTAGTTTTTCTTCTTGGGTGGAAAGTGAAAAGAGCCGCGCTCTACGAGATTGAGGTCAGGTGGTTGTGATTGAAATGGAAGCAGGTGTAATTTACACCTTCAACGCTCTTCCCCAAAAGCAGAAGTGATGATGAATTCGTGTATATGATTGTTCTGATGGGAAGCTTGAATAGGGTCATTACCGCACACCTTAATCCACTTTTTTTTGTCCGCACAAAAAAAGTGCATCAGGAAGAATGCTAGTTTGAAGTGTGTGTGTTCTTCTCATGTGTGCGTGCGTGTGCAGCAATAGTCTGCGGTGCGAAACAAAAGGAGACAAAAAAAAGTCTCCTCAAGTGCTCAGCAAACCTTACGCCGTGCAGCTCGCGCGCCTTGACTCACAGACAAGCACGCACATGCAGTCATTTCCCGGCACAATAACTACATCGGTGTCATACTCTCTACTCTACAGCGAGTGAAAGGAGGGCGGCAGCGCTGTTCATCTGCCTAGTATGTGATGTGTGACATGCACGTAAAGATCTTAAAAAGATGATACTTCCTATCTTTGATGACAAAATCGTACGCAATAAACAAAGAGATTTATTGGACCTTAAGTGACCGGAAGTATTCATCACTTTGGGAGATGCTTCTCTGTTTCAACATCAATCTCACGCTCAGATAATGAGCCTGAGAATAAAGTACGATTCCAACTCAGATCTTCCCACATGATTTAGCGTTAAAGATAACAATCAAGAGATGACATAAGCGATAGTACAAGATCATAGATGATCTTACATGCCCTGTTCTTTATTGTTCACTTTCCATATTTGGTCCATTATTTATTGCACCTTGACGTCCACAGGGACGTTACCACGCTGATGAAGGAGAGGAGAACGTGTCAGCTAGCTGTAAGCTCGAGATGGTGACAAAACATTACTCACGGTTGCATTGGAGTATGGGCAAATCTGTAGGTTGCGTTTGGAAAGAATTGAACGTCAGTAAGTATACAAGTATCATCTAATTACAGGATGTATGCTCACCTCATGTGCCTTCTCGGTAGCTTTCTCCAGATTCTTCTTTTCTTCTCCGCCCTTTGCGTCACTGCTGACGATCAAACGAACAGCAATACCAAAAGGATTAGGTCCAGATGCTGGAGGTCCAATGTCAACTTCTGCGTCCACCTTCACGTTTGCAGGCAAAGGAATTTTGTGATTACCTGCAGACAAGTTCAAAGCAGACAAGAAGCAAGAAGCATAACCTAAAGCGAATAATTGTTCTGGGTTTTGACCGTCACCTTTACCGCCAAGTGATTTTGGCATTGCTAGTTTGACTTCGAAAGGACCTTCTTCAGTCAGATGGGCTTTACCGTTTCTACCTTGACCGGCTGCTTGACCTTTTGCAGTGTATGCTACTTTGGATAAGGTTGTGACTGTGCGTGGAGCGTTCACTTTGAATGAAGAGACTGCATTGACACGCAAAGCTGAACGTGCAGCTGGACGAGCGACTGTGCTAGTGAGATTGAACATTGTTGATTAGTTGGGTTAATGGTGGTGATGATGGGAAGAAGGGTACGGGATTGCTTTAGGAATGTCCTTCCCACCAATTCACCGAAACGCGCACGGCCTATTTTTGCACCATTCACCGGCCTGAGCGGGTGGAGGTGATTTTTGTATATCCTGATATTTTGCATTCTTCTTTTCCTCAAGTGACCATCATAGCTGTGAGTATTTTGACATGCCCCAGAATGGCGATGGCCCTCTCGATATAGCTATCGCACAGGCGAACAAGCCAAGACTACCTCCCGAATTACTGGAACAAATAGTAAAGGAACATGCACTACCATGCATTTATGGTGATCCGATAGCATCTTCTACCTTGGCAGCATGCTCTTTGGTCAATCGGACATTTCGATATTGGTCACTAAGCGCTAGATTTGCGGTCATTGTTGCTCCTAGACATGTTCGTGATTTTAGGAAATGGTATGCACGATCTCAAAATGATATGCAAGGTTTCAATCGAGCATTATTCATCGCATTGGATGATGTGTCAAAGTTGACGAGCATGTCAGCTGGCTGGGATGTGGAAATGTTGAAGTTGTTACAACAGCAAGGACCTCATCTTCTGCATTTATCGCTTTGGAATTCGGAAACCCGTGCTTTGCTACGGGATCCCGCACAAATTCGAGGAGCTCGTGTACGAACATCTGCATCTTCAGCTGATGGAAGGATAACGGTGGCTGATGTGATGCGATTCAATGGTGCCAGACGGAAAAATATCAAGCGGATGGTGAAACAAATGCGAAAAGGAAAGTTGGTGCAAGGGGAAGCACTGAGCGCAATTCCACTGAAGTCTGATTTCACAAATCGAAATGAAGCACAAACGAGAGCAGAAATGGCAGCAGCAAAAGAGAGAGCTCGACAAACGTTACCAAATTGGTTACGATTAGAGCTTGCGAGTAAAGAAGCAGCAAAAGAAGTTAAAAGGAGGTATAAAGCTCATATTTCTGCAGACGCACGTGAATATCAACATGAACAAGAAGCAAGTCGACAAGCTCGTAAATTGATGAACGAAGAAGATTTACGAGCACTAGAAACGCTCACCCAACAAGCGGATTCGCTGAATCTTGACGACAGCGAAAGCGAAGACGAAGGAGAACAAGGGGATGTGGAAATAGACTGGGCTTGTATGCCGGAGAAGCTCAGCATCTGCCCATCGCTGCCTTTACATGAACACGAAGAACCTTTGAACTTTGCACGAATGACGATTTGGACGAGGGTAAAAGAATTGGATGTCTTTGTTTCTGTACCTTCAGAAGTTCCGAGATGTTTGGAACTAATTTCAAGTCTGGTCGCTTCGCCTTTGATCAAATTTCGTTTTTCGTCAATCAATGCTTCTTTGTTGATTTCTCTTACACCGAATGGTCAACGAGTATCTGATGAGGGCTTGCAGCAACCTGATATCAACATCGCACATGGGCTTCAGAAGGTCTTACAGAGCCATGTTTTGCGTTCTCTGCTCTTTGATGAATTTAATAATCATCGTATACCCGATATAGGCATGCTAGAACGAGCTATAGCATCGATGATCAGACAAAGCACCTGCACATCCGCAATGGAATCAACACGTGCATACGGCCAAGAAAGGGCAAGCACGAAGGAGAAGAAAGATTCTCGTCCTAGTCTAGCATCATCATTAGCGTTCGATAGGACTTTATCGGATAATGATGGGCATGCATCAGAACAGCTCGTATGTGTGAAAGTGCTTCAAGGTAATCAAGCTCATTATGGAAAGCTGAAAGATCGTCGTCAAGATTTTCTTGTTCGTGCTTTAGGCATTGGATCTGATCCTTGGAAGAATGTACAACACTAAACATAGATTGCAATTATCGGTACCCATTTGTAAAATACATCAATTTCTATCTATCGCTCTCATTGTGCTTTGATGAGTCGTACAGTCTGTTCTAGTAGCTTACAGACATCAGAAGCTTTACCTGAGGTATCCTCTTTGATCAGCTTGACCTTTTGTTCCAGCTTCTGTGAAGCTTCCAAGACGTCCAATAAAGAATGCAACGTTGCATGCCAAGAAGGAGCACAATAGAGTTGAAGCAAAAGTGCCGCAGTAGCTCGATGTAGTCTCTCTAGATCTTGCTCCTTTTCCACACATTCCAACACGGCACAGATCAATTCCACTTCGTCATCACTTTCCGATTGAGGTTCATCATTCTCTTTGGGTGCAGTAATGAACAAACTTCTTCCTTCGCTTTGCAATAATGCACGATTGAATGCTGCATTGACGGCCGCCCCGCGAAGGCCAAAATCTTCACTTAGAACACCAAAGACGAGTAATGCAATCACATCGCTACTTTCAGACACATGACGAGCCATTTGCACAGTCTTTGCATTCGTGCTGTAAGGCGTTGCCGCCAAGATATTCCCGATCAACCTGAATGTCGTCAATAGCGTTGCCTTGTTCTCTAATGTCATATCGGCTTTTGCTTTTGCCCAAATGGCGTCAAGCATTTTTGTGCCTTGATCAGAGCCTGAAAGATACTCCGACTGAGATGCATCTAGAACGGCAATTCTCACTAGATCAACGATTGGGAAAATATCGCACAAACGAAGTACGCCGATCGTCTTTTGTGCTGCATCAATCCACTTTTCGGAATCTTGATTGGACATTGCCTTTTGCTTCCCTGCTGCCAATCCTTCGTGTATCCAAGGAAATAGTGTTTTCGTCAATATAGATCGGGCTTCTTGGATATCAGCTTTCTCGCCAAACGATTTAGCAGGATGCCTGGAAGTGATATCGTTGAGCTTTTGTTGTGCAAACATGAGATTTGGTATTGTTTTGTATTTGATCGCCTGTCTTGGAACGAGGTCAGCGGGATTTTGTAATTTGGAATGAGGATGCGGTCTATACTGCGACCAAAGCAGTGCTTCGATAGCATCTTCTAGGCTTGATGCATTGGCACCCTTCAACTCGTTAACCCTCTTTCCAGCTGCGTAAAAGTGAAACGTCGGTGTGGCACTGATTCCTTCTGATTGCATCAGCATCTGGGCAGATTGTGCGTACGCTTGACCAAAGACGATCGGCCTATCTTTATACTTGCCCGCTTCCGAGTATTTCTCAGCGATCGATTCGTATACGGGATGCATCTGCACACATGGTGGACAGGTATGCGATGTATACATGACAACAGCACTTGGGGCAGATCTTTTCAAATCTTCCAGGTGTGCGACCGATTGAAGCGGCTTGACGGTCACTTTACTCGTTGCTGCCCCATTTGTATGCCCGTTTGTCATCGCAGAGCGTGTGACATTGTTCAATATACCCATTGCTGATGGTGGTGCGTTCGCCATCTGTCTTGGTGGAGCAGAGCTTGGTCCACCTCGAAACATTGCATCGATTTGCGGTCCCATCATCTGTCCAAAAGGGGTGGCGAGGAAATCTTGTGGTAAAGAGGTGATATGGGCGGGAATGTCCTTTCCGACAAGGATCTGTGATAATTCACCTGTGAAGGTGTTACAATTGAACTGCAAGAGATGATACGTATCCGCCCGATACCGTTCTCGTAAATCGGTCAAGATTTCCTGAAATGTGGCTGGATCGATGGATGTTTGGCCTAAATCAATCTTTTGAATCGGTTGACCGAAATGTGTCCTTCCAGGTGTTTCATTGAATATACCTTGACCGAAGTACCATTCTCTCGAGTATACCACAATGGAAGTATGGTAAATTGCATCGAATTGTCGTCCGGTAAGCTGTCTACTAAGGCTTCTGGCCAGACCGTTGGACAAATCGTAAACGTATAGTTGTACGGGATACGTTTGTGCCTCCGAAGATGTGACTGACATCTTTTCTTGTGATGGTGGAAGCAAGCATTCATTCTTTGCCAAATAGGATTCGTCATCCTGGCTCAAGCGCTGTTGGCATTTAAGCTCAGCATGAGCACCAGAAATTTAGGCTATTATTTAAGCTTTACGCAGGCGGGTGGAGAAAAAGGCGGAAGGCGGAGAGGATTGAAAAAGTTAAGAGACATAGGGTCTATTGGAAGAAAAGACGGATATAAGCTTACCATCATCATCGTCTATAATTGCAGCTATTGATGGCGCCTAGGAAGAAGAATGCGGCGATCAAATCGACCGGCTCAACGAGTAATAAAGCGGAACCTTTGCCTGATTGGGTAAAGAATAAATCACTCGCTAAGCCACCACCTAAATTTCAGCAACAACAACAAAAAGGACAGCCTACAGCATCTTCATCAGCAGGTGAAAAGGGAATAACAGCCGATAATGTGCCGCCAAGACCGCCACCACTCTTTCCTCCAGGAACCAAAACGCCTATCAATCTTCTCAATGAACGTATACAGAAACATCATGCACCAAAAGGATGGCTAAGACCATCAATAGACGCACGAAGAGCTCCGAGAGGGTATGGAAAACAAGCAAACGACGCCGGAGAAGCTGAGGAGAACCAAGAGCATACCGAAGATAACCAGGAAGAAAGATGGACATTCGTAGTCACACTAACAAAGACGAACAAATCCGATCAAAGTAACCCATTTATCGTTCGATTCGACGCTCGCGATCCCAGCGGTCATGAAGGAAGCACAATCGTTTTGGACAGCAAAGAGAAAGCCAAACATTGGGGTGCGACGTATGCTCTGTTTCGATTATGTTCAAATCTGTCTCTGGACTCCATCTTGCCTACCGGGCCGCGAGAGTACTGGAGAACGCTTGCAGCACACAAAGCCAAAGCGCCTGAACATCTTAATTGGCTTTGGCAAGCTGATCCATTTGAAGCATCACAAAAGATGCAAAGCGAAAAAGAAGCAAAACGAGTAGCACGAGAAAAGAGAGAGCTGGAAGCAGAAAATGGACCTCGATTACCCAAGGCTTGGTTGGAAGCACGGGAGATTCGAATGGCAAAAGGTATGCGTGATATGATTGAAGAAACTGTACGACAGGCTTTGGAAGTCTTTCCAATGCAAGACGAAGATGCAACGATTGAAGGAATGGATGAAAATGATGCACCTTCTTCAGGAGTTGCAACACCAACAAGAGGAGTTGCCGATGCTGAAGAGCTAACCAAGAAATTGCAAAAGCTGGGTTTCAGAAAGGGATACGCACATTCAGCTGTGCGATGGCTTTCAGCAGCACGTCAAGGTCAATCTTCTTCTGCCGCTGCAGCTTCTCTCAAGTCGATTGGAAAATTGTCGGATGAAGACGCATGTTTGGAATATTTGTCAATCTTTTGTCCTGAAGATGATCTTCCAGCAGCATTTGCTCCTTCTCGTAAAGCCGATTCATTCGTGACAAATTCATCATCAACAGCTGTAAAAGGTGATGGCCTTGCCCTTCGCTGGATAGAGGAACGTATATTCAAGAATGCAGGATATCCTAGAGACGCTGTTCGATCTGCACTTTCTGCTTGTGACGCTCTCCCAGTGGAAGCAAGAGAAGCTGCTTGTCTCGAAGTGCTGTTGTTACAGCTTGTCCATCTTTCTATGCAATCACACTTGGACGCATTAAAGCAAAGTCAAACTCCATCCGAGGACATCACTCAATACAGAGCAGACGAAAGGATGGCTCTAGAAGCAGTTCTTGGCCCTGAGCGGGTGATTGAAATTCCTCCATCAGAAAGACCATTGACGAGTCAAAAGCGAGATGCAAGTGAGATGTTCGATATCGTCATTGCAAAAAAGCCAGATGACGATATCCGCCTTCGTATATGTCCGGGGGACATTTCTCGCTATCCGATCGCAGACAAAACTGCTATGCCAACCTTCTTTGTTGCTTCTACAACATTACCAGCTTACCTGCGTTTAGCCATGACGCAAAGGCTTGGGAGATGCTTGACCGGACAAGAAAGTGGACGTGAAGATTGGATGGAAATGCTTGAGTCAGGGCAAGGAGGAATCATCTTGGCCATGGTAGAAGAATTGGAGACATGCTGGAGAAAGATCACGGAAGAGCCACCAGAGCTATCAGAAGTGATGGCTGGTGTTGTAGTAACAAAGGCTAAGAAAGCTGAACCCAAGTCGATAGCCAAGGAGAGTACATCAACAGAAGCATCAAAGGCGAATAGACGCGGAAACAAGATTGTTCCTGTTAAGCCACTTGTGAACAATGCAGGCAAAAATGAAGAACTAAAAGCTGCACAAACTCGATTCCATCAATCCTCTGCATATGCACCTATCAAAGAAGCTCGTATACAGTTACCTGCCATGGCGAGCAGTCAAGAGATTGTATCTTTGCTAGACAAACACCGATTATTAATCATTGCAGGAGAGACAGGATGCGGTAAAACGACACAATGTCCCCAATTCATTTTGGACAATATGATTGAAAGTGGGAAAGGAAGTATGTGTAATATTATCGTCACACAACCTCGTCGATTAAGTGCAATGGGTGTCGCTTCAAGAGTTGCACAAGAAAGATGTGAAGAATTAAACGGTCAAGGTATGGTTGGATATGCGATCAGAGGAGAATCAAAGAGCGGACGTAATACGAAACTTTTATTCACAACAACTGGTGTGCTCTTACGTCGTTTGAGCACAAATGATCCCGATCTTCGTGGAATCAGCCATGTGTTTGTCGATGAAGTACATGAAAGAGGGGTTGATTCTGATTTGCTTTTGATCGAGCTTCGGGAAGTGTTGAAGAGGAATCCAACTTTGCGTGTTATCTTGATGAGCGCAACTATTGAGAGGGAAACATTTGTCTCTTACTTCAACAATGTTCCCACAATGGATATTCCTGGCAGAACATTCCCCGTTCAAGACTTTTATTTGGAGGACGTGAGATCTATGTTGGGTCAGAATGACCAGAATAACGAAGAAGAGGAAGAGGACAGCAAATCGCGTAAGAAGAACCAAGGAATAGATTATGATCTTATTGGACAAACTGTTGATATGATTTGCAAAAGAGCAGATCAGAAAAAGGATACGGATGGAGGTATTCTTGTCTTTTTGCCCGGTGTTGGTGAAATTCGTCAAGCAATCGAATCGATTGAGAAAGCCACTTCTAGACCTGTAGACGTATTCCCGTTGCATGCCAATCTCTCACCAGAAGATCAACGGAAGGTTTTCAAAAAGCCACGATCTGGTTCAAGAAAAGTTGTTGTGTCAACAAATGTGGCAGAAACATCGATCACAATTGATGATATTGTCTATGTCGTCGATATAGGCTTGGTGAAGGAGACAAGATATGATGTTCAGAGCGGATTAACAAAATTGGTCGAAACACGTTGTTCCAAAGCAAACGCTCGTCAACGAAGAGGAAGAGCGGGTCGTGTTAGACCAGGAGAATGTTTCAAATTGTTCACCCGAGGAACTGAACAATATCGAATGGAAGATCAACAGATACCCGAAATGAGAAGGATGTCATTGGAAAATCTAATCTTGAGCGTCAAAGCGTTGAAAGGTGATTCCGTACCCGTTCAGTCCTACCTGCTTTCTGCCATCAGTCCCCCAAGTCTAGATGCGATCGAGCAAGCCGTTCAATTGTTGAACGATATGAATGTGTTGGTGACCGATCAGCAACGTTTGACAGCATTAGGAAGGCATCTTTCTTTGTTGCCTTTGGATGTGCGATTGGGCAAATTGTTGATTTTGAGTTGCGTCTTCCGTTGTCTACGCCCAATGTTGACAGCAGCCGCCATTCTATCCTGCAAACCTCTTTTCAACGCTCCGTTTGAAAAAAGACAAGAAGCATCAAAAGCTCGTAAGCAGTTGAATTTTGGCTCTTCGGATATTCTTACAGATGTTAATGCATACCATCAATGGTTATCGATGCGCAAAGATGGCTATAGCAATGCAGAAATTCGCTCGTGGTGCGATGATCATTTCATTTCTCCTTCTGCCTTACGCGATATTTCAAGCACACGACAAGATTTGTTGGCAAACCTGATTGAAATGGGTCTTGTTTCCGCACAATACAGATCAGAGCAGAACAGTACTGTTGCGTCATCGTTGGACAAGAACAGTGAGCAGATCAATCTTCAACGTGCTCTTTTACTTGCGGCCTTGTATCCATCTGTTGTGCGAATTGCACATCCGCAAGCCAAATACGACAAAGCAATTGGTGGTGCAGTTGAACGAGAAGCAGAAGCCAGACAAGTTCGATTCTTTGACGCACAGAATCAACGAGTCTTTTTGCACCCAAGTAGTATCTTGTTCGATACCAACAAGTATGCAAGTGATTTCCTGGCCTCATTCCGTAGAGGAGCTTCTCAATCACAGAACAAAGGCGCAAATGGTGACAAGATCTATTTACGGGACGCAACAGAAGTTCCAATGTTTGCTTTATTGTTATTTGGTGGACATTTACGTGTTCATCGAAAAGAAGGTGGGATCAGTATTGGCAATGGAAAGAGTGCAACGGCGGATTCTGGTTGGATCAAACTTCGTGCAGGTGGTAGAATCGTTGCTTTGATCAATCAACTTCGATTTTTATTAGATGCTGCACTTGCACAAAGTTTTGAGAATCCTTTGGAAGATGTTTTTGGGCAAGGAAAAGAAGATGATTCGATCGAATCCAAGGTTTTGAATTGTTTGCATCAATTATTGGAACGTGATGGTCAATAATGTATACGGTACGATCCCTTTTCATTCACTCTTTGCGCTCCGTGCAGACCAAGTACGATCACGATTGTATGCTTTTATTGACGTTTGGAACGGCGTCTTTCTCGGTGGTGTTGGACGTAAGAGTCGATTCTTTGTCGCTTGTGTTTGTAAGCATGTGTACAATATTATGAGCAGAACTGCAATGAAATGAAACTTTCTCATCTGGTCACGATACGAACTGTCCTGTTGCAATCATTCAAGGTCATGATGGGAAAGGAAATCATATTGTTTTGTGAAAATCAAAAACGACTTTTCGAGAAGTTTTTGCGCCATTTTAACCTCCGAAATGAGTTGGTTCATTTTATGCAAATTATCCGAACATCAACGGCATTTATAATACGCCCACAGAAATCATGTGCTCGCCATCTTCCGCTCAATCACCAGCATTGAAGTCACTTCAATTTACTCATTCTGTCCTGGTCACCGCCGCATTGAACAGGGAATGGCATTCCATTTACAAGCGCAAAGCCGGACGGGACGCTATGCAGCGCAATTCTCAGGAACAGCGCTAAAAGTGTTGGTTGCTCTTTCCGCTCTCCCTGGTCAGGGAGGATTGCTGAGCAAGTGACAGCTTCATCATCATTGAACTTGGCATGATTGAATAAATGCCATTAAAGTCAAACACTGAGACAGGCATCCCTTTGCCATCTCGCATAGCGCCATGGCTGTATATTGGAAGTTTTAAAGAAGCCAACGCTCCTGCCAAGCTTTTGTCCGATTTGGGTATTGTGCAAATCATCAATGTTACACACAATATCGATCATGTTCACAATCTCAAAAAAGGCGAGACAACTTTCAAACATGTTCGCATTCCGGTAAAAGACGTCAATACTACTCGAATTGATGTACACTTTCAACGAGTGGCCAATATAATACAAGAATGTATGCATTCAACAAAGCGTGCCACATTACTGCATTGCTTTGAAGGTGTATCAAGGAGCGTCACTCTTGGTGTAGCAAGCATGATGATAATAGACAACGTCACACTACAAGATGCTATGGATATCATGCGAGCGGCAAGACCGATCATTGAACCAAATTCTGGATTTCTACATCAATTACAGCAACTCGATACGCAATTGTACGGCAATCCTTCTACTGTGCATTTCACACCACAACAGCATATAGCCCGTTGGACAACATTTGCAAGTACTCAAGATGATAATATCGCACTCCCAATTGATGCAAAAATTCGAAGCAGACTTTTCGAGGAAGCTTGTCAAGCTCTACAAGAAACACTGGACGATTGTAAGACATTGGAGGAATGTATCCGTTATTGCATGGAATTTTTTGCTACTTCAACTGAACAGGATTTAGTAGCCCGCGATTCATTTGCTCAAGTGTTAATAGGGCTGGACCAAGAGGACAGAACAGCAAATAGCCATTTGACAAAGCGGTTGGAGTCCTTATTGAAAAGTGAAGATTGGGAAGACTTTTGCTTAGATGCTCCATTGGCAGATAAGTTTGCTCGTCGAATGATCAACCAGATCAGACCTCAAAGCTAGGATCTCCATGATGACATAAATTAATCACTTTATGCGCTTTGTCTGTGACCCGCAATTCCGCTCGATCACATTAAAGTAACGCTAAGATCGTTTCCAATCAAATCTCATTGTGGCTTCTAATAAGAAACTTCATCGACACACGGGAAGGAGAAAGAATGTCTGCATGCGGACATTAATGAGTTTTCCTCTCCTTGTGAAACGGGCAAATGGCTCGATGACATAGTAGTTCCAAAGGGGGAAAGGATAAGCCATGATCTCATTCATTCTCCTCACTCTGCCCTTCTTCCTTCGCTTAATTCAAGTCAGTATCTTTTAGCTTTCTTCATCTTTTAGCGCGGCTTCTGTGTCCCGTGCGGAAATACAAAATAGCGGCTTGTACTTTAATCCTGAATTTCTTCTCATCGAGGCGTTAATTAGCGTAAAAGCAGTCAAACTCTAAAGACAAAGGGGGGCAAAACTTTCAATTCATTCTCCTTCCCAGTGAAAGGAGGATTGATCGCAATGAAGGTGATGGTCAAACCTCTTTTTGCAATATCACATGACCATAGAATGATATCCTTATTGTCAATTCAAGTCCTTCCGCTCTCTCCGTTTTTTGTCGGGAAGGAACATGCCGCTCTTACGGCCTACTACTGGTTACATCATTGTTGAGAGGCAGTGTTTGTTTCTATTATTACCTCCTCGGCCCGCCTTCAGTCTCTCTCTCACTCAAAAGCCCAGCAAGAGGTTTATTACGCCGTTCGGCAAATGCACAGATGTCCCTTGTTTTTTGCACCTCTTTCTTGGCCCGAGCGCACACTGATATTCCGCTCACCTTAGAGTATAAATTCTCCCCGGAATTTACACGCTTAAGGAGCTCCTGAACTGCCATTATATGCATTACCAGAAGAAAAGCGGGTTTATCTTGAACTAAACACTGCTAAAGTGCCTTTGATCTGTTCTTTGACGACATTCATCATTTCTGGGATTGAAGTTGCGTGTGGTGCGTAAACTCAGAATCTTCTTGAGCTTGTATTGTGTGTGTGCATGCACAGTTTGCATTCTTCCAATTCCATAACCATTAACAAGGTAACTCTCTCCTTATCTTCATCACGATCAGCGGTCTGCGACCTCTACACTTTTTATTCACCTTCTCGTAACGATTTGGTTGTGTTTTTTATTTGACAAGGCTTCATAGATTCAAGACGGTTTCACTCCTAATCGCCTACCCCCTTTTCTTCTCGTCAAACCTAATTTCGGCCCTTTGACTCCACGTCAAGAGGATACATAAACAAACACACACATACATACACAAAACAAATATCATTCACGTCAATCACGACTCTTACACGACATCTCCTACGATTCGATTGACGCTACTCTCACTATCGTTGTAGTCCATTTGGCGAATTATTTGGTGGATTACTTTCTTCCGACTTTAATCACAACAAGTCGAGACTTCACTTCTTCCCCTCCTCTCGCAAAACTTTAAACTTTTATCATTCGGCGTTGTTTTGAGTTCACGCGACTTTTGCAACAAATATTTGTCCCCTCAAGCCATTCGCTGAGATTCAATCAAAGGCAACAACAAAAAGGCGCCCTCTAAAAATCATATAACCATTTTCCGACGGCGGCCGAAACAAAAAGCAAGAGTCACGCCAATTCAAACTCATCGTGCATTGACTCTGATTGAAACAAATTTCATCAAGATTTGTAACACTTAAAAAGCAACTGCTCTTACACCTAATCGGCCTCATAATGTCCATGCACAACGGCTCATATTCCGATCCTGCTGCCCAAATGGCAACGGATGCAAACTTTGACAGTTTTATCGAATCAGATCTAATCTTGGACAGTGAACATGCATCATCTGAAATTATCACTACGCCAAGCAAGAAGAAAGGTGCGGTGGGTAAGAGCGGTAAAGGTAAAAAAGTAACACCGCTCTCAGCTTTACCATCAAAATTATCATCAGCAAACGTTGAGCGACATACCACTCCCAACACACCTGGTGCTGCTATGAATGAATTCATCAACTTCTCACAAGCTTCTGATTCAACAGTCACCACACCAACGACTTCAAATTCGTCAAGTCTACACAATCTCAGCTTCGATTTGTATGATGGTAGCGATGGTGCGGCATCTGTGCCGGGAGGAAACGATGTCACTTCACCAGAGGCGGACATGAGCAATGTTGCTACTCCTTCCGCAACTAGCTCAAATACGCAATTCTTCGGAATCCCTCACAACGGCGATCGTACAATGTCTGACGTAGTATCGATGAATGCGCCAATGTCCAATCTTCACTATGGCATGCATCATATGTCTGACGGTGTAACCCCATTCCAAAGCTTTATGGGTGGTCCTCCAATGCCACCCTTGCAACAGCGATCTGTTGATGATATGGGACATCAATTCGGTCATCAGAACCTCGTCCACCATCACGGACATCACCAAAGATCTATGAGCTTACGTGATATGGCATCAACCATGCAAGCTGGCATTCAAGCCTTCACACCACAGGCACTGGCAAGCTTTGGCTATCCAGGAGTAGAGGTGAAGATGGAACATGAAATGTCTAATGGTATGCCAGCCTATCCAATGCCTGCAATGCCAATGGCAGATCCCACAAATGTACCAGGACAGGATGGCAATGAAGACAAACCTCGTTGTGAGAAGAAGAGAAGGCTGACGAATGGTAGCAGCGCAGATGGCAAAGACAGCACCGGGAAAGGAGCAAAAGGTGGAAATGCCAAGAAAGCGGCCAACAATTCTCGTAAGCGCTCCAATACATCTACGAGCAAAGGTGCCTCAGCAAAGTCCAAGAGTGAAGCCGATCAAAAGTTGGTTCAAGAGGAGAATAGACAAATCTCTGCAAACAGTCTCATCGAGAGCGTACCACAAATGGAAGCGGAGAATGAATCTTTGAGCGCTGCTGCGGACACTTCTTTAGCAGATGTTACATCAAATGAGCAAAGTGAAGAGCCGGAAGATGACAAGCCAAAGAAGAAGACGGGAACCAAAAGACCGCCACCGTCTGCTTTCCAAATCACAGAAGCAGGTATGCCTTTCCCTGTCATTGATACTTCTGCCAAACATTCTTCGCTCTTTGTTCCTCCAGACACTTCGGGTTTGACAAAGAGAGAAGCACGCTTGGTCAAAAATCGTGCGGCAGCTTTCCTTTCTCGTCAAAGAAAGCGTGAGCAGTTCGAGGAGTTGGAGATCAAATGCAGGAACCTTTGTAGACTGGTATGGTTGCTGTATGAGACTGGCTCTGGTAGTTTCGGAAATAAGAACAGGAATGCCTTTGGATCTCAAGATGAGTTTGCAAACTTTATCTCGCAACAAGAAGGTGAAGAAGTTCAAGAGATTTTCAACACCGTTTTGGCATTGAAAGGTGGAAGTATTGCTCCTACCGAAGATGGTCAATTGCAAGGTGCAGTTGCTGCGGGAATCAAGAGTGAAAACGGCAAACTTGTTGGTGATGCATCTGCTGTTGTTCACATTCCTTCTAGTGCTGCCAAAGCAGCAGAAGAAGCTTCGAAAGAATTGGCAAGACTTCGCTGCGAGCTCGAAGAACAACAAAAGCGTGAAGCAGCTTTGCATGCCGAATTGGCTCACGAGCGTGGCTTACGTCTGAAGATGGAATTTGACATGCTTCAACGCGAAGAAGAGATGAAACCGTTCCGTGGCGGTGGTCAACAAGATTTATCACTCACTCAACCCGCGACATTTGATGATGAAGATGATAACGAAGACGAAGAAGGTGATATTACATTGAAGGATGATGCACACGACAGCGGACGAAGTGGATCCAACGGCAAGAAGAAAGCTGGCTCTTCATCCTCAATGCGCCCATCACGCGCTTCTCGTCGAATTCAAGGTCAATCACAAAACGCTCTCACGGTGCAATCGCAAAATGCAAATACTGCTGTTGGCCAAAGAAAGGCAGCTGGTGCGGCACTGATGATGGTCTTGTTCAGCTTTGCCTTGTTTGGTTTGCCAGGAGGTCAGACAGGACGTGTTGGTGGCATTTCTCATGCACCCGGATCTTCAGACTTGTATCCTCTTGGCCGTGTATTGGGAGCACCTCTTTCAGGTTCACACCTGACTGCCGAAGAGGATGAAGAAGGTTCGGATAATGATCGAAATGGTCACTTGCCGCCATCTTCACATCTTTCGGTTGATGATCTGTTCCCTGCTATGCATGATATCATGAGCGAAGCCCACCAGGAGAAGCAACCTTCCGGTAGCAAGAAGTCGAATTTCAATTTCGATTACAAGTCTTTCGCTAAAGATCTTGAAAGCAGCTTGGACTGGGATATGCAACGTGGCTTCCTCGTTCTTGGAGGCGATGATGAAGATGGCGAATCGAAAGATGGATCCCGTCAAGCCGGATCACGTTCGCCAAAGAGTCGCAATTCGATGGAGATTGACGGCCAAGATTCCGAAGCTGATGTCAAGGATGCCCCTACCAAGCTGACCCTCTTCGTTCCTGCTCCAGATATGTCTGTCAACTCTGAAGCTGGATCCGTTGCAGATGCAAGCGAAGATCGATTTTACGATGCACCACTTGCTGACTTTGATGAAAGATCAAATGGTGAAAGTGTTTCAGAACAACAACGTGAACTTACGCAAGCCGAAGCAACAAGAGCAGCATTGCAAGTCTTGCGTAATCATCGTGTTGCCAGTGAAGCTGCCGCATTTGCAGCTTCACGAAGATTAGGCAGACAGCCATCACCATCACAACGGGTAGGATCACCAAGCGTACAACAACAAAGCTCAGCTTCTTCATCGAACAAGAAGGCGCCTAAGAAGGCAAATGTACAACGCGGAAAGGCTTCCCAAATTCAAGGTCAATCAGAAGAGAACGAGGAAGATGAGGAAGAAGACTTTAGCAATGAAGTATTGGAAGCTTCTAGTCCTGCTACCGATCGAATTCGCGGTACAGACTTTTATCAATTAGAATTTAGTCTAAGCGGTGCAAAAGTTCGAAATGTAGCCGAATTGGCTCGTTTGTTGGGCTCAATGCGAGGCGGAAAAGGTGATGCAAGTGATCACATCAAGGTGGCATAAGGTGCGGTTTAGGTGGTAAAGAGGGAAGAGGGTGGGAGTAGGGAAGAAAGAAATCAAAAATTGTAGCTTAATCGTCCATGCAATGTCTCGTCCCCATTTATGGGAGACAAAAAAATAATAGAAGGAGGGAAAAGAAGAGGAGAATGTATGAGAGCATCAATAAATTTTATCTTATTTTATCATTATCTTATCTTGCGTGCGTGCTTGTCTCTCTCAGTGGTAAATACTGTATAATGATTTTGATATTAGGGTGACAGGGGAGAGTTATAGCTACGTAGAGCCTTACCAGCCAAAAAGTACATCGTGAGATCGAGAGAAGAGAAAGAAAGAGATTATTATTTTTTGGAGAAAGATGGGATTGCCAATTTTTAGCGACCATAGCAGCATTGTTGCAGGAACTTGAGGAAAAGAGAGTCGACTTTGTGAATCGAAATCGTAGACTGAGATCTCGATCGTTTGACCATTTGTCGGGCTTGGAATGTTTGCTTGCCAACACTGATTTTATGAGCGAAAGGGAGCAAGCTGATGGTGAAAATGCCGCATTAGATCGAAAGGGGGGTATATGGTGCAACGTAATCGTCCTTGGAAAGTGGTGTTTGCATCACAAAATACCTGAATCCTTCAGAGCATTTTGCAAGATTGTCTCTTTCACAGCAGCAAAGACGAGTCTTATATTGCTCGTATCTGTTGCTTGTGTAAGATGCGGATAGATGCTCAATTTCGCTCGATTTGTCTGTGTGAACCTCCATAGGATATACTTGGCCGCCTTGTTAATATCATTGCCGCCGGTATATTCTTCAAAGAAGTTCGATAGAGGTATCCGCGGTATCTTTTGCTTAAAGATGTCAATCTTGTTCAAAAACAGAATGATACTCGTCCTCGTGAACCAACGACTGTTTACCACACTTTCAAACAAAACCAAACTTTCCGCCATTCGATTTTGACCGCTTTCTTCCAGTAGAACTTGATCGTATTCACTAAGTGCAACGCAGAAAATGATACTGGTAACCGCTTCAAAACAGTGAATCCATTTCTTACGTTCACTTCTTTGCCCTCCGACGTCGAATAAGTGAATGGATAGCTGTCCCATGCTGAATCTCGTTTCCGATATTCCGGTGGTCTTGGAACGGGCACGTAGGACGTCATGTTCGTTCGGTATAAAGTTTGGAGATGCAATCCTCTTTGTTTCACCAAAGAAGTATGGTGCGCTGTCCATCATATAAAACTCGCTACTTCTTTCCATCACTAGCCTTGTTGCAGGATCGTTCCATAGAGCCTCAATTGCCGCTCCCATTGAAGCATCTAGTGTTGTGCTCGGATCTGCTTCGACCCGATACTGCAAGATCTTCTCTGCATTTGCTCGGTTCTCTTCGTGTTCGGGTTCTAGAGTGAATTTCCGTAGAGCCAAAACGAGGGCTTGTGCAGAATCAACCAAATTTTTAATCACCGTTAGTCTGTAAACCATCAATTCTTCATGATTGTATCCGTTTTGATGAATGATTTTCATTTGTTTAACAATCGTAGACTTCCCCGATTCTCCCGCTCCCAATAATAGAATTTTGCATTCTTTCTTGAATCGCCGACTTTCATCCTCTAACTGTTTATCGATCATCACACTCCTATCCCTTGCCTCCTTTTCCTCCGATGTGGACATACATGCGCCCATGATGGCAGTATCAGATGGTCACGAGACGCCGGTTTGGTTCAAGTTCGGTGACTCCGGATGGGATCGTAAGGTAAACTTGATCGTTACACTGACTTTGATCGGAGTTGTTGTTTATTGCTGCACGAATCGAGCTGTAAAGTGTGTGTGTGCATACAAAAGAGCAGTAAAAAGCAGGAGTCTTGATCAACAGGAGTTGTGATGAAGATTTTCCACAAAAAGGTACTGCTGTTCACTTTGTTTTTTTTGCAACGGCAATCTTGAGCGTTTTACTTTGAAACGGAGCTATGGTTGAATGAGATGGGAAGAAAATGAAAATTGAAAGAAAAAAGAAGAATCAACGGAAATCCGAAAAAGGGACACAGCCAAGGCTTTATTTTTGGTTGACCGAATGTGAATTTGTTATAAATGAGGGCGTTATTTTGATTTCTTGCACAATCACTTAGAGTGCCCCCCCTTTCTTTGTATGCGTTCTTATTGATTTTTCGGGGCTGAATTGAGCACCATTTAGGAGATACGTTTGATCAAATTGCCATATGGTGTTGAGCCATAAAGCCTTTTCTGTTGTTGGATAAAAAGTAGAAGCGAGTTTGTCAATTAGGATGATGGTTTTACAACACTTCTTGATGTTGCATCCTTCAAACACAGTCTCAATTTAGCATAGAGTGTTGTTTTGGCAGGCAGGATTGCATTTATTCTTTTTGAGCGGGCGCGTGCTCTTTGTGTGTGTGCAACAGTAACTGTGCTACTGCTGCTTCTATGGCTATTGGTTGGAAACGCGTTATTTACTGCATCCGTATATTGATTAAACTTTTTCCACAACCAGCAGCACACACAGTCAGTCTCACACACAGCCTTTTACCCGTCTTGTAAATTTAAGTTATAGTGTCGGCAAGATTTAGTCTTTTTTTCCCTTTTTCCTTTTTGGACGACGCCTTTGTATTGCCAAGCTCCGTCTTACATACATACAAATCACTTTTGTGCCTGAATGATGAAATGGGAGCAACACGGATCACCTTTCAATGTAGAAGAATCTTTAGCTGGTTGGATCATATCGTATTTTGATAACAATCATTCTATCTTTTTTTCTACAATAGAATTCTTGTTGGCGGTTCCGAAATGTTCAAGCCGATCATAGAAAAAGCCAATGCCGCATCCAGTTTTAAAGCACTTTTCCAGTAAGAAAGAGAACAAAGGGGTGCATATGAAAGACAGACAAAGTGCTTTTACGCGCTAAAAAACAATGACCACACTCGTCAGGCACTAAAAGATCTTTCAAACTCCTCATTCCCCTTTAGGTTCAATGCAGGCACAAGAACAACAACACCATGTCAAAAGATGTGACATATCTGTTTATTGTACCTTCTTAAACTACAAATCTGCAAAGAAGAAAGAGGTGGATGATGGTAAATGTGGGGGTACAACGGCAGACGGTAATTCAACTTGTTCTCCCGTAACGTCTAACAATTTCACCTTTACTCCAATATCTGTCAAAATTTGAATAAATTCGGCCGTTTCACGTGTGTTGACCAATCCTCCTTCTGTGCTTAACATGCTCAAGCCATCGGTCCATTCGCTAAATTGACTTGAATTCAGAGCAATAAAGTCCGCAAGGCTAACGTCTGGAGCCCTTAAGAGACTGAACGCTAAGTTGCTGTTGGCTTCATTGGCATTGATCATTCCATTATTCGTTGCGAGTGCCCCTCCATTGTGAAGACCATTGTTTCCATCTGCATTGACATTTTGACCGGGTGAATGAATAAGAATATCTCTTACCAAACTCAAATCGATCCTTTCCGGAAGATCATCTAGACCGCTCCTTATTGGCACTTTCTCAGAAGCTTCGCAGAAATAGAGATATTTCTTGTTTGGACTCAATCGGTAGAATCGATATGGTCGGCTTGACGCAATCCCATTCGCTCCCATGGTCAATGAGCCTTTTACGTTTCGTGTAGCTCCGCCTACCATACTGAATGTTGCATTGCTGGCCGGATTACGGAACCATGCACCTTCCAATAAACATTGAATCCTCTGTTGACGAACGAATTCATAGCTTTCTCGATACATTCTTCCTCTCAGATTACGAATACTTGTCTTGTTTGAGAAATCATCACCAACCTCAAGTTCGCGCATCTGCCTATCCCGAACGTCCCGATAGGCTGATTCCAGGAAATCAGACTCTACCTCTAACATCGATCTAGAGGCTTCATCGCGCAAGGCTTCCTTCACCTGAGAACGAACCAAAGCGCTCACTCTACCGAAATCGCTAATCGAAGCACCACTTTCCGACCACATCCTCAGGAAGAAACGAAGAGCAAGATAATGAAGTCGACTGAAGGACAGTAGATGAGGCTGGAATTGCGTAGCAGTGCTGTAACCAGATGCGATATCATAATGATCCGCTAGAATCTCAACCACTTCTAATGATGCTGCTCCCCAAGGGCATCGTCTTTGTTCGGGTCTGTTGATTTGCTCGAGGATGATCTTGGCATACTGCTCCGGATCGGTGCGAACGAAATGTTCACAGCATTCCAATCCTAGCCAACCGGTCCTTGCGAAATCTTTTGCTACATTTTCATTCTCAAACCCTAGTCTTCTCCATTTGTACTTTACCATCGCCCCGCCTTCTTCCTCTTCTTGTGTCAATTCAGGTATACGTGCTTGTAGCCAGATATAAGATAATGCGCCAACATGTCTCTTATCTGTGGGGGTGACCAGTGTTCTCATCCGATGACCTGCGACTCGAATTACGTTCATTTGGTATTCCAGTATCGAGCTCGCCAATTCGTCACCTCTCGTCGAATCCATCAATCTGGCTACTGCTTTTGATACACCTAGTCTCTCTAACTCCGAGGTGAATGCGTCAAAGAGCGTATCGGATGCATTCCTCATCAAGCTGTTGATCAGGCTGAGACTGTACATGCACAGAGTTGTATCGGCACTGCTCAATCGTTGTGTGAGCGTTTGCAAAAAGCTTGGCTCCTTTCGTATTTCAGCATAAATGACATCGAATCCATAACGATATGTACTTGGAATTTCACCTCTTGTCTTTCGAGCTTCTTGAGTGGTAGCTCGTTGCATTGCATTACCTTGATCTGTATTCTGATCTAATTCGGTATCACCTACGATATTTCCTTGTTCGACTGGTGCATCTTGCGGTCCACTTACCACGAGCTTTTTCAGAATAGCCGTTGCTGGGCGACACACATTAATGCGTTCTTGGGTGGTGAGAATGTTGACAACTTTTCGTATGAATTCCGAATCCAATGTTTCCCAACCTTCATCGCATGATTCGATCAAATTTTGTACGCTTGTCAAAGTGTATGCAAGTGTATTGCCTCCATCGAGTGACATGATGATATTCATCAATTCTTCAAAGCCTCCTCGTTTGAGAAACTCATTGCTAAAAGGCTTTTCTCTGATTAGCTTTTGAAGAGAATGTGTTGCCATCTTTAAGATACGCTCATCCCGCGATGATAATTTGTCAACCACTTCGACAGCCTCGATAGTTGGTGAAGAGCATAGCTTAAAGTTTCTTCCTGCTTCGATCTTGCGTGACATATTTGTATCATCGATCAACTCATCGTCTGTTTCGTCTCGAAGAGCAAACAAAGCCGGTGGTTCTTGAACGCCAAGATGAGAATTTGCACACAATTGTCTGATCACATCGCTAACCCTTAAGCTAGGATCGATCATTGCTTTAATTGTTGCATTTTTGTAAGTAACCGTATTGATTCTACTTCCGTTTGATGTTCCTGGAATGCTTACATCACCGAATGATCTTCCGCTCGTTCGTGTTCCGGGTATAGATGCCATTGTTGCCGCTTCTTATGGCTACGAAGATAGTAAAAAGGATGCGGTTACAATACAAGAAGGATCTCGAAACACTTTCAACCCAATTGAAGCTAAAATTGGGCGTTTATACGCTAACAGGGGTTGGTCCAGGTCCAGCAATTCACCCTGCGCCGGTGCACTGAATAAGCTGCCTTCTCACTTTACTGAATGGCTTTTCGGGTCATTCATTGTCTTACACTCATTCGTCATTACACATGACCAGATGGTATAAATGAAGATATGATTAAAGTCAAAGGAAGCCTTCCTGTCAAGATGATATTAAAACACATCTTAAATGTCGATCATAATTAAGGTTTTAGAAAGAGGAGGGGTATATAGTAAACAGTCTAGAACAATATACAAGTGGCAAGCGAAAGACAGAAAAAAGGGTGCACTTCTCACACCATTTTGCCGACAATTGTACTGGGACTGTACTATACTGCGCAAAAGCGGGGGTGAGCATTTGACAAGACTTTGCGTGCGCGGTGTTTAATCAAGTTGACGCACAGACAAGCAGTAGCAGTAGCAGCAGCAGCAGCAGCACCAGTACACTCGGTAGAAAAGAGGGGAAGCGTGAGCTCGCGTTGCGCATCCGTTTCCTTGCTTGTACATCCCAAATTTCATTTCCGGCCGTATTGGGCTAAAGTGCCGAGAATGTCAAAAATGCTGCTGCAGCATAAGCATAACAACTTCATTAAAGATGCATAATACAATATTGTATATATACCTTATTCGCCTATATGCGATCCGATCGCTTTTTCACCTTCATCATCGACGATACCCTTTGAGTACTTCATCTTTAGAGTGTTTTATTCGCAAAACCCCTATCCGTTCAACTAATTTCGTTCAATTGACTAATTTGTGGTGGACAGCATTTCAATCGACTAATCACGAAATGGAGAGCATCAATTGATAACCTCAATTCGCCCCTTCCCCAAAAAAGTGTTCTAATCAAAAATGAGCGAAGTTCCTCGGAACAGGTCCTTCGCTCGAGCGGCTAGTAGTTCTCAAGGCAGGAGTGATTCTCCGTGGAGTTCAACTTCAATTCCTGTTGATGCAGAAGAAGTATTGGACAAAGATGAAGATTACAACCACGCTACCGGCTCGCCCCGTAATTATGATGCAGCCTCAATGTACGGAATGAGTCCGGCCGGCTTAAGTCAATCATCCTGGAGAAGACCTTCAGGAGCTTCAAATTTGTCCGGACATAGATCTGCCGCTTCGGTCAATTCTAGAAGACCATCAAGTTCGTCCGGACCTTGGAGTAGTAAAGCGTCAATCGAGTCCGGACATAGTATGTATACAGCCTCAGCACAATCACCCACCTCTCCGCCTTCTACTCCAAAGAATCGCAGCACATCTTCCAGAAGCAAAATCTTAGCAAGTAGTGCTGCTGTTCTCGAAAATTCGCCTCCTATCATGCCCTCCAATTCACCTCCGCCTCATTCTAGAAACAGCAGCTTCAGCACAGATGTCAGTCTATTACCTCGCAGTATCAGCCCTGCAAGTCATCAAGCAGGCAAAGGAGGAATCCTCGTCAGCACAGCAACAGGTCAATCACTCTTGGAACGTAAAAGAAGGTTGGCTCTCGCTTCAGGAAGCTCTGCTTATGAAGATGCGAATACTGACGCATCTTCCGTATCGACAATGTCGCATCACTTCGGTCAACGTGGATCAGATCAAGCGTCCAATGTATCATCTGGTGAATCTTCAGGCACGCGAAGGCATGAGTCAAGACGGAAGCCTGCAACGATAAGAGATCAAGCCGTATCCGATCATACTTCTTCTGATGCTGCTTCTGCCGTTCCGGTAGACAATCCTACTTCATTGAAAAAGAGGCTGTTTGGTGGATCAAGGAAAGACAAGACGCCGCCAAAGAACAGTCCCTCAGTAACTGAATCAAATTCTCGAAACTTTTCATCGTCCACGCTACAGGATCCATTCAAAGAGACGAGACCGCAGCCATCACGAGCTCATAGCTACAGCAAGAGCAATCGTCCTTCGACGGCTGGTGGGACGGGATCTCCGTCTATGCTTTCAAATGAGCCATATGATTACATCAATGGAGGCACTGCGAACTATACCACACCGTCTACACGAAGCAAATCATCAGGTCGCAAAACAATCACCGAATCGGCAACGTATCCTAGAATGCCAAAGTCCGAAACATCGAGTGGCTTTCAGGAGGCGCAGAATGGTGCAGCAACAGACTATGGTAAGCCAAAGACTATGCAAAGACTAGGATCATCGGCGGCTATTGAAACACGCTCAAGTACACCAAAGAGAGCTTCCTTACGATCTGTTCCGAGTGAAAGCTCCATCAAACGATTGCAAAATGATTCTACAATCACGCAAACAGAACGGCCAACGTCTCGAACACGTGCGAATAGCAGAGGTAGCGCAAGTGTTCACAGTAATACCAGTTTCGGAAGTGGGAATTCAATTCCAAATCGAACAACGAGCCTCAAACAAGGTCGTGCAGCACCATCAAGTCCAACCTTGGGCCGTGCAAGTCTAGTATCTCCATCTAGCTCGTACAAATCTATACCGACTTCACCGGATCTGTTACCTTCGACAATTGATACAACTCTATCCTCTTCGCCTATCAAAAATTCCCTTAACAAGGGTATATCAGCAAAGCACTCCTCCTGGCGACAATCTTCGGCCTTGAGTACTGCTGCTGCTGCTGGACCATCGGGTGCGTCAGCTTTGGCTGCTATTCGTGCAAGTTTCGGTGAACCTCTCGCAGGGCAGAATGAATTGGCTCAGGAGGAAGGCAAAAGGGTTGGACAACCGGATGTCTCTGCTTCTTTAAGCTTTGCTGCTTTGAGAATATTGGAAGAGCCTGATCCGAAATCTCCCGAACAAGATGGTGGAAGAGATGCAACAATGTCAAAATTGACAGGTCTAGATGCGGATAGAATCGTCAAAGATAACCTAAAGACAGAATCGGATTTGCGGCAATTCTTGTCTTACTCAACGCTCGATCCTAGAAAAGAACCTTTACGACCTAGCAAGAGCCCATTGCGTGGTACACCCTTGGATCAGAAAACATCGAGTATGATGAGCGAGAGCGGACATGGATTTCGCTCTGTCAGTGCGCCGATGCCCAATGAAGCACGAAGGATTCCAACTTCTAATTCAACGACGAACAATTTTGATCTTTACCGAATGGAACAATTAAGTCCGCCTAGAAAGAGTATCGAGGAGATGAGCGTTGTGGATATGATGATGCACAATGAAGGCTTTTCAACTTCGGGAAGCGTTTCAAATTTCGCCAATGCCGATAAAAGCCAGACTTCGCTTCGTTCTCGTGAGAATTCTCAATCAAATTCATCGACAAAAGTGAAATTGGGTAGCGACAAGAATGCCTCGGCTGTCTCTCTATTGACCGATGATGGCGTAGAAGGAGAGAACGGAAAAGGCGATCCAAAGAACACGCTGGCAACTCGATACAAAACTTTGCGTAAAGTGACACCGCCAATCTTCAATATGAGCTTTGGTAATAAACATGCAAATAAACAATTAGAGGAAGAAGGAAACGTTTCTAATCATTCTGCATCTAATTTGGGCCACGTTGATGAGCATGCAGCGTTTGTCGTACCCTCTGCTCCCTCATCCAGTGCGATTCCAGGGCCACGGAAGAAGAGCATCTGGCGGCTGGGATCCAGTAAAGAGGAGACAATGCCAACCACTTCAAGTACTCTTAGCGAAGCTCTCTCAAGCTCGACGACGAAGAGCAAATTGGGAATGTCGATTCGAGGCCGTAAATCTGATGCGCCGATCGCACGCCCGACGATCCGACGAGTATTTGATAATCCGACTTCCAATGATTCTTTGAACAATGCTAGCCTGACGGGTGATTCAAGTCAAAACGGAGATGATTCCAAAACTGCAACACCGCCAACAGGGGATACGACTAGATCTTTTGCGACTATACAAAGTATGTCGAATGATTCTTTACAACGTCAATTAGGTATGGATTCATCCAGCGTTGGAACACCCGGAACGCCTCAAACACCTTCAGATTCTTTGCCTGAAGATATGAAACGTTTGTTGCGTCGTTGCAATGCGATCAGAGAACTTGTGGAAACCGAACGTACATATGCTTCAGATTTGGGCATCGTTCGCGATCTGTATCTTGGTCGCGCAAAAGCCTTGTCTGGAATGTCCACTGCTTCACCGCTTACCACACCTCTTTCAAGTAGTACAACGCCCATCCTTGCTTCCGGTCTTAGTACACCTGTGACAATGCAGGGTCTCAATCAATCGTCCTCCTCTAGTTATATTTCCGTCAAAGGTACCCCACCGATTAATCATTGGGGTACCAGTACAATCCGTCATCAATCATACCCAGAAGCTCCATTGGCATCACCAGCACAAATACAAACAAGTTCTACAAACGCAAGCTCGAGCGGTCCAAGCAATCGATCGTCAACATATACAACCTCATCTCATGCATCTTCCGATTTGTCCTTCCATTGGCCGCCAAACGGAAATTCTTTGCCTGGCACACCTTCTGTCGGCCCACCAAGTACGCATAAGAGCACAAATGCATCATCTGCATCACCTGCTCCTTCTTTGCAGCAACAACAACAAGCCGCAAAGAACGCTGCTTCTGTGAGCAAGATTCAGACAAGTTTGAGTGGTACTCCGGTATTGGCATCGGAAGGACCTCTTTCGGCAAGAGATATGCGAATCATCTTTGCTCATTTGGAAAGTACATGTGCATTTGCATTTGAGCTGCATTCCCTTTTGAATTCTTCAATGGGTTCTCTTGCAAGGGAAAAGATCAATATTCGAAACGGAAAAGCCAGTCTTGGTCCCAACAATCACCAAGATGATGATCGAATTGGTCAATTGTTTGTGACCCTAATGCCCCGTATTGAAGCAATCTTTACGGCATATTGTTCTCGACATGAAGCAAGTGTGCTTCGATTGCAAGAATTATACAGTCAATCCACAAAAGCTGCCAACTATTTCCGTGAATGTACAGAGGTAGCGCGAAAGAGTACGACAGCTTGGGATCTGGGATCTTTGCTGATCAAACCGGTTCAACGTGTTCTCAAGTATCCTTTGCTTTTGAGACAGATCGTAAGCCTGACAGACAAGTCGCATCCTGATTACGCTCAACTCAACACAGCATTGGTACAAATCGAAGAGGTTGCCGACAAAATCAATCGAGTGAAAAGACGTAGAGATTTGGCCGATTTGATCATCACTGGAAAAGATCGTGATGGAAAAGGTAATTCTTCTTCTCCATTGGCATCTATGCCATCATCAAAGAGCAAGAAGAAAGGTGGACTCTTGACGCCAAGAAGTTCAAATGCCGCCAATGCAGAAGATTCCATGTTGAACGTTGAAGCATTGGATAATGCATTGGAAAAGTATGCAGATCTGACAAGAGATTTTGAAGCATTGCAAAGCCGTGTGTCTATCTTTGGTCGTCAATGTGGCGCCTGGTCACATTCCTTGCGCGAATGTTACTATGCACAATTGCGTATGCTTGGTTGCTTGCGCAAGGTGTACAATTTGCGATTAATAGAGGATGCAGAAGGTGGACAAAGTGAAGGTTATCAAGCTAGTCAAAGGCCTGCAATCCCATCTGGACCAGAAGATGCAGTAGTTTCTGCTTATATGGAAGTGATGAAAGGTATCATCAATCGATCATGGAGACAGATGGACACTGAAATTCAAACGGCGATCTTACCAATGACACAAAAGATTGAAAGGATGTTTGAGGCTCCAAGATCGGTCATGATCAAACGTGATGATCGCGAGAATGATTTCGCTCGTGCCAGATTTACGCTGCATCAGGATAATGGAAGCGGCAAGAATCTAGACAGGAAAGCATTAGAGAATGCCAATGGATTCGTTGCCTTGCAGGCTCAATTGATTGATGAATTGCCTATTTTCATGCGTGGCATTCAACTCTTACTTGACGTTGGTGTTCAAGCATTCGCACGATTGCAAGCTGGCCATCTAGACGAAGTCCGTCATTTGACGATTGAATTTTGGCGAACAAAAGCCGGGCATGGAGATGAAGTAGAAATGATTGGACTGGACGGTGATGATTCGATTGAAGTTGGACCAAGTTTGCGCAATGTACACCCTGTCCGTGCATTCTGGGATAGTCATCGTGCTTACTCACAATGGAGCGACTCTTTGTCGATCGCTAGAAGAGGCTCAGAGCTTAGCACTATACCCAGCGTCAACTATGACGACCTTTCAGATAGCGATGATGGAGAATCTGATCTGGAAGAAGCAATCGCAAAAGCCAATGCGACTGGATTACTTGGCAAACCAGCATCTTCATCAAATCTATCGCACGGACTTAACTTGAGACGATCTTCCAACAATTCGCCTTCTACCAACAGCAACTCCGGACACAATCCCGCCTTTCTTACCGCACTCAACTCCGGTCGAAGACCTAGCGGTGGTGGCGTGGTAGGCTTGATGCGTACATTATCAGGTACATTCTCACGCGATCATTCCCCGAATCCGTCCATCAATTCTCCATCCGAGACAGAACTGCCGCCTATGCCGGATGGCGCCTCGGACATGATCCAAATGCACAGGGCTGCCGCATCGGCAAATGCCACTCAAAATGGCAGTAGCGCAAACGGAAACTCTAAGGGCAAATCAAAATTCAACGATGATCCTACGATTACGGTCTCCTCTCTGCCGCCTTCTTTGCCTAGTCTTGTTTTCCGTCGTGATGGAGATACGGGAGAAGGATTCTTTGTGCAAAACAGTCCGATCGATTTCTTGGATAGGGCCGATCATGTTCCAAAGAAAGAGCCTTATGATCTTTCACCAGCTGTACGCCCGATTGATCTCAGTTCAAACACTTCGCCATCTAGAGCATCTGATCAATCTTCAGGATTTGGATCAAATGGTGTTGAGATGGCGAGTGACCTTTCGAGTCTTTCCATTGGCACAGACGGAAACACATCCACACGTAGCGGAAGCTTTGTTTCGGCAGAAAGTGTAAGGACACGTATGCCCAGCAGAGAGAATAGCGCAGATCGTTTGCAATTGAGTAGAATTGCAGAAGTGGGAGGAAATGGAATGAAATCCTCTGAATCTGGTCAATTCACAACAAATACACTTCGCCCTCAAGGCAGTCAATCATCTCAACGTCAAAAGATGAAAGCATTATTTCAATGCAAAGCAATGAAAGATGGTCCAGAACAATTCAACCAAGAAGAAAAACATCTTGGTTGGCAATTTGTACAATATAAGGTCGGTGATACTTTCCGCGTTCTTTCAAGGGACTCATCCTCCTTTCCCAATCAAACCCTTTTGTTTGGCAGATCAGACATCAATGGACAGTTAGGTTGGGTGGAACAAGTGAACTTCTCAGATGAAACTGAGCAAAGTAGCTGAGCGCATGTGTCCAATCATTGTTACCTACTTTTCTCATCGTGTACCTTATCAAAACCCTTTCTCGTCAGTCACCTTTTTTCTCGTTTTCTCATACTACAATATCGAGCACTGTAATTGAATAATACATCAGACAATTTGGAATATTCTTGTATGGTTATGATTGAATAGTGTACAGATGGTTGAGTGAGTATGTAATACAATGCCGAATTCTCTAGAGGTACATCTCTAAATGCTTTTCGATAATACCTGCAGCTATTTGTCGATCGATGAGTTCGATTTTGACATGCTTACGCAAAGCTACCGTTGCGCCTTGACATGTCATACCATAACAAGCTGCATATGCAGGTTCATGTCTTTCAACGCCTTTGCCGAGAAGTTGGTAATGAACTAGCTTCTTGATCAAAGAACGATTCTTTTCTTCGATAGAGGAAGTTTGCTTGTTTGACAAAGAAGACGATCTCGAATTGATTGGCGGTGGAGCCATAAGTACGTCAGGATCTTCCTTTTTAACCTTGATTGGCTCGGAAGAATCTTCCTCTTGTTCAATATCATCTTCTAGGGTAGTGGAGAGGAAAGGATCATCATCGATCTCTTGTTCATTCAGAACGATGTTTCGCGGTCGCTTTTCTCCCCTTCTGCCGGGTGTATGATTTCCACCTCTCTTTTTTGTAATTGCGCTGACGGAATTTGATCGCTCCTTTGGGATGCTGTCTAAACTTCGCTCTTCTGACATTCGAATGTCTCTATTTTGCGAGCTTTCCCTCTGAGCCCTAGCGAATGACGGACGAGCAGGTAAAGCAAATTTGGATGACGTGCCTTGATGATCTTGGAACGAATTTGCACGTGAAAAGAGTGATGATAATGAAGTGGCAGGCTTTAAAGTACTTTGCGTTCTCTTTAATGGTAATATACGAGGAGCCGGATCATCCGGTCGAGGTAAAAGTGAATGCTGAGAAAGGGAGATGCTCGTATTCGAGGAAACGGGTTGTGATTCTGAGCGAGAAGCACTCTTGATTCTCTTTACAATCTTTCGACCAATATGAAGTTCGATATTGGATTTGCCGGATGAAGTTGGTTCGACTCGTTCCATTCCAATCACAACAGCTTCCATGATTCCTGAGCTATTTATATGATAAGCTGATCCAGTAGATGCATGATCGCCAAAAACATCAAAGCTTTCCGCACGTGAATCAAACGAATCGAAATTCATCGAATCTTTGAAAGATTTATCTAGCGAAAAGATTAAAGCACTTGTTGAGCAATTTCCGGTCAATCTATCTTTTTGTTCGGAATCGAAATCGTATGCGAACAAACGATCAAAGAATGCAATGGTAGAATGTTGATCGGGGTCGATGTATAATCGTACATTTCCTGCCGCCTCAAATGTGACGTGAATATTCTGATTTGCAGCATTGACAGGATTGCTTGATGTGCTAGAAGGATTCACTTGATTTGTTGATTGTAAAGATAGTTTACCACTTTCATCTTTCACGACTGTGTTTTCCACCACATCAACCACACGTAGAGAAGCATGTCGTACCATTTCTATCGATAAACACATGTCATCTTGTTGTTCGGCAGACAAGGTGAAAGGTGCGTCTTTAATACTGTCATCTTCAATTTCTTTCTTGCTGCTACTCCGAGAAGAAGCAAAAGTGGGCTGTATGGTTGACACGATTGCTAATCCGGGTAGCTCAGTTCCATCGGACAGAAATAAACTACCACGCCATAACAATCTTGGCTTGCTTGGAGAAGCAGAAGGAGGAGTTCGAAGAGATTGTTGCGATAATGGGTTTATGCTATCTCGAGTTGGAGTTGATTGTGACATCTTGTTCCTGTGCTACCGCTCGCATGCTTTCATTTTCCCTTAAGTGTTTTTGATATGATGGTGTTTGTTCAAAAGTTATAATTGTGTTGTTCATCTCTTGACAAAGCATTTAATCGTAAGCACTTTAACAGTCTGTTTTTTGACTGCATTTATTCGCGATAATTTATAGCGCGTCATTCTCACGCGTTTGCTATTCTCCTGATTCACTAACTTCCCGAACCTCGATTTCACAAATAAGAAGATGATAAAAAGATATTCATTAAAACGATTCAAATGTTGAGTGTACTATTACTATGTTCAATGAGGAGAGCAAACGTTTGCATTTCCATTTTGTGGGGTTTTGAGATAGAGCAAAAAATAATAAATATCCAATTTATTTCCATATGCATCGAAAAAGACGCTTATTTATTCATCCGATCTGGTATCGGATAAAGCGAATTCTCCTGCCTTGGCAGCTTCTATGTATTTCTTTACCTTTTCATAAATCGTAAAGACGACTGCTTGACCTGGTGCAACACGGGCAACACGAGGTGTGATACCTTTCCAGAAAGCGCTTACACCTTCTTGTGCAAACATTTCACTGGCAACCTTTACAACTCTACTGATTGCCGTTTCTCCTTCAACCTTACTTGCACGTTGAATACGTGTTTTAATCGTATCAATCGGAGCATTACTGAATGGACCTAAAGCACCACTGATCAAACCAATCAATGCGGTTTCGTAAGAAGGTAGCTCTGTTGTATCTTGAACACGTTGTGCGAATGCTTTTAGTTCTTGATAAGCTGTAAAATTGGCTGCTTGATTCGTTGCTTGTCTTGCTGCCGTTAGTGCAACACCACGATACAAAGTAAAGAAACCTTCCTCACGAATAATTGTATATAGCGCATGGGCTGCATTTCTATATCTTGGCACTTCCAATGGATCGGCCAATGAATGTTGTTGTGCTTGAAGACGAATTTTAACGACTTCCATTGGATTGACGACTGCTACTGCTTCTGTTGTACCTGCACCTAAACCGGCTAAGAAAACACCTTGTGGACTTGTGATTCCAGTCTTTGGATCTGCTAAAGCAGATTTATAATATTCAAAACTCATAAATCGAATTGCCATCTTTGGTACGATACCTGCAACGACTGCTCCTAAACCTTTGTATAAACCTAGAGGTGTTTCTCTACGAACGATGTATGCACCTGTTGCCAAGAATCCACGTGGTTTTTCACCTGATGCTCTTCCACGACGAGAAAGTTGCATTCGCACTTTGATAGTATCAAGAGCTGTAGAGATGGGAAGAGGACAGGTTAGAAGAAGAAGAAGAAGTAATTCAGACTGGTCCTTTTGCTATACTTACGATGACATGTGCAAGCTTCTGCAAAACCAGCGATACCACCAGCGATCAAATGGGTAGAAGGGGCCACTTTGGGCTTATTGTTTGGTTTATCGTTTTTACTCATCTTGACAAGTTGTGAGGGAGAGAGAGAGTGAGGGAGGTATCCTTGAAAGTGGTGGTGGGGAAGAAAGTGATGAGTCTCTCCAATACTTTTCCTTTTTGTTTTGATGATGCGGAGAAGAGGAGTTGGAACCGGTTAAAGGCGTTCACTATATGCCGCTTCTTTTTGTCTGTAGTATGATCGGATGACCAGGCTTGTTTCCACAATTGAATGAACGACAAGTGAGTGACGATATGCCTCCTATTAAATATGGGGAATATTGACTGTGTCTCAACCCCCGAAGTATGTCTCTCACTCAAGGGGTGGAGTACATACATACGCGTATGCTGCAGACTGAACGTGAAAATGGGTTGAATACACACTGCGTACGGGGTGAAATGCTAAACCGGAATTATTTTCATCATGCCCGACTTGACCGCGTATTCACTATCATGCACGTGAAAGTACCCGTTCTTCCCCGTTTCTCCATGAGATTGCATTGCCATCATCACGTAGTCGTTGAAATGGTGAGCAGCTGTATGATTAGGGGCATCTATTTGACTTACTTGTCTGAATTATTCACCTTCATTTAATAATATTCCGAATAAATTCAAAAAACCCCCGAATGTTGCCCATGAGGCTGAAATTAACGCTTTATGTTTGGTCTTTGTCTGCTATTCGGTGTATGCTCGGTAGATGGAAATGCAACATCCTCTTAGACCCGCAAATACAGCTTTATCGGGGCATTCAAAGGCAATAATTAATCTTGGCGGCTTACATTTGAGAACGATAGTTATACGTTTATAAAATGCTTGATGGTCATACCATACAATGGTTGCCCCGAATTGTTGGATTTAAATTGATGAGGTATATAAAGACATGAATATCCTCTTTCTCTCATCCTAAGCAACTGTATAAGCACCTAAAAGATAGCGAAAGATAAAAATGTATCTTCAAACTGTGCCTCTACTTCTAATCGCTGCAACTCAACTTTTGGAATGCATTTCTAATCCTCTTCCTCAAAACAATGACAATAGTTTTGGAAATCGAACCTTAACCAAGCGTAGCCCAATGCAGGTGAGTATCACATATAAGTACATCAAACGAAAATCCGAAACTAAAAATGAGTATTGAATTCCCTTCAGGGTAAAGAAGATCATCACGGTGGTGCTTCAAGTAGTAGAGGTCCAGCACCAGCGCCAGCACAATCAAGTTCAGGCCTTCGTCCAGGAAGACAAGTTTATCGAGCTTTTGATTCTGTTTCTGCATCAACACCTTCAACAATCCCTTCGCAAAGATTACCAACACCACCGCCTCAACGTGATAGACGTGAACGTAGGCGTCCAACACCGGCACATTATGCTGGAGAACATTATAATGCAAGACGTCCTAATCGTCACAATTACAATAGCGGCGGCGGTCGCCATAGTAGTGGTGGTGGCTATGGTAGCAGCAGTCCTGACACTCCACCACGTTACGGTACAGGAAATTCTGGAGCAGGTGGAAGGATTGCCGGAGGATTAGTAGGAGCGGCTGTGGAAAGTACGATTATGACATCTGCGGGATATCAACCAGATATCGTTGCTACTCACAATCGTCATGGTCGCCTTCAAACCAGTGTAGGTTATTCAGCCGGCTACGGTAGAAGTGATTCATCCAACAGTGGTTCAAATCCATGCGATGCCTGCATAGGCTGCTGTGGTTGGCTTCTTGGCGGAGGTAGTGGTAGTGGTAGTGATAGCCAACAGTAACCTATAGATTCGATTTCTTCTTCTTTCGCTGTCTCTCACTTTTATGTCATGATACACTCAATTCTAAAATTTTTCTCGTATTGCTATGTTCACCACGCTTCATCAGCAGGAAGCAGAATAGGGGAAGGTGACTCTCACGATTCTAAAAGAATGATTAAATGGATCAAATTCGAAGATATGTAGTACATGAATGATGCTGTAAAATCACAGATGGTAAATGGTAAAAGTTGACTGTCAAAATGAAATTTGAGCCAATAAAGAACTTGATGGTTAGATGATGATTAAAAAGCAATCCAAATTATGTGTGCGATGAAAGCGAAGCAAAAAGAATATTTGAAGGCGTTGTATTATGCTTGCACTACTTGAGTATCTTGTCATGTCGAGTGTGCACCCATGGCAGTCGAATCACTGCCTTCGTTGGCCAAAGCATGATTGACTGATGGCTGATCTTGATTTGCACCAGACCACCATCTCTTACGTCCAGCCCAAGCAAAAGATGAAAGTGAAAGCCAAGTCAATAAACCGGAAGTATCATCAGCGACTTGATTATGTTCTTCACGTTGTAAAGGCGAACGTCTGATCAAATCAGTAGTCTTGACCGAATTATGAAGAGCATTTTGAATAGCAGTTGCAGCTCCGTCACTATCTTCCCCTTCACTATCATGAACGCTATTCTCATTTTCGCCTCCAAAACGAAGAATAGAATGTTCAACGTTATCGTATTCACCTGCACCCACAACCGTTGCTGGAGCTGTACCGCTGCTGATCGGCTCACATGCAGAACGTGAGACTGCATCCCTGACGATTTGACGAAGGCTACCTTCACTTCCACGTCTGCGTAAACGGGCTAATTGACTTGGCGCATTACTGACCGCACGTCTTCGAAAGCTTGTCTTTGATCGAACTGCATCTCGAATCAATTCATTTTCATCGCCGCACAATAAACCGTGATTGGCCAAAGATTTATCCAATGCTTCACATGCACCTTCACGTGCAAAATACTTGCCATTCTCACTTTCACGACCGAAAAGATTGTTGGATGATAAACCTAATCCGTCAACTGCTCTTACACCTCTCGATCTCTTGCCTGCGCTATGACTCCCAGCAACGCTATGAGGAGCGCTAACAGAAGTCAGATCTGTTTCATACGTTGGCGAGACACCGTTCATACTCGGAGAGATGGAAGATGGCGTGATCAATGCAGATCCGGTCGGTGAGCCTGTATTACGAGAAGGAGCTGAAGAACGTGCAGCACTGTTTGCTAAATCGCCTTCACTCCCATCCTGTGTAAGAGTTTGGTCATGTTCGGCATTAGCATCTTGTTCGTTTTGTCGTCTTGCATTCATTTCTGCTGCTGCTTGTAACTCTTCCGCCTCTAGAGCTTCTAATTCAGCACGCATTTCATCAGATTCACGTTCCAATCCGATACGGAAATCAGCAATCGAGCTCAACATTTCCACTTCGTCGAATCGATCAAACGGACGAGGTGGTTGCCAGTTATTGTTGGATCGATGGTATGCTTTGAGCCATGGATGATGAAGTGCGTCAGCAGCAGAGATTCTTTCTTCAGGATCCCAGCAGAGCATCTTCTCCAAAAGATCAATCGCCTGTGAATTTGCTTTAGGATACAATTGAGCAAATGGCACCTTTGGCATATGTGGTAAAGATTCAACATACGTTCTTGCACGTTCACTTCCGATCTTCTCAATCGTTGATTTGGGTGGTGATCCAAGGACGTTGTTGATTCTTGCAATTTGATCGACGTAATCTTTTCCTGCAAAGATTGGCTTGCCTCCCAGCAATTCGGCTAAAATGCATCCTACACTCCAGATGTCGATCGAAGGTCCGTATCCTTTCTTGAAGCATAACATGATCTCTGGGGCACGATACCAACGTGTTGCCACATACTCGGTCAAAGGACCTCCAGGGAAGTCCAAAGATGTGGTACGAATTTGTGTTGTTGGATTATTTTCCGTCATGTGCAAAGAAGGAGAGCATGGATGACTTCGATCTCCATGTGGTGATTCAGGGAACGTTCTTTCGTTCACAACGGGTGAATCTCCATCTTTCATTGCTGAAACACCTGAATCATCACGGAAAGCGCGTGCTAAACCGAAATCGCACAATTTCAACTGACAATCACCGTTTACCAACAAATTGCCCGGTTTCATATCACGGTGAATGATCTTTGCCGCATGCATATAACGAACACCACGAAGGATTTGAGCAACAAAGTATTGCAAATGTGCATCTGAAAGAGATTGTCCCGATCGAATAATTTGCGAAAGATCTGCTTCACTTGCTTCTAATACGAGGTAGATCTCATTGAATTCCATAAATGTCGTATCGAAATCCAACAATGCAGTCACATTATCGCAAAGTCCAATCTCGCGCAAAACTGCCACTTCACGTAAGGCACGTCTTGCCAAAACTTCACGTTCAAATATTCTGGTAACCTTTTTGATGGCCACGTTGCAATCCAACACGCTATCATGCGCCAAAGCAACGCATCCGTAAGCACCTATTCCCAGTTCACGCATGAATGTATATCTCTTCTTGACGTGGAATGGAACACCCAAACAGTGGAATTGATGATATCCTTTCGCCGCTAATTTGTGTGGGCTCAAAGGATGATCTTCGCTGTTGTACCTTGGCAAAGGTTTCCTGCTTGGACCGGCTGCATTGTTGACGTTATTGTTGTTATTGGGCTGTGCTTGTCTCGTTCGAGTGCGCGATCGTGTTGCTTGTCGAGTACCAACTTGATGCGAAGTGCCGCTCGAGGAAGAGTTGGCGCCTATCGAAGCAACGGCAGCAGCAGCATTTGTCAAATTAGACGAAGATCCCCTTGAATTCATCCTCGAAGGAGGAGGAGGAGATGGTGCGTTGACGCTCATCGTGTTTTGATTTGGTGGTGGGGAAGTAGGCGTGGGGAAAACTGTTGGCATATCGTGTTATGAGGAAAGAAATCGACGGGATATAAAGTGAGGCTGCGTATTTGTTGGCGCAAAGATCTTTCACAATCTCCCCAGAAAACTTGGCAACGTTTTTCTTATTCGATGACGCCAAGTATCCTCATTACACGTTTGGCGTTTTCTTCAAAAGAACCGATTACCTCACAGCCCACAAAGTTTGCCGCCACTTTGAATCTGAGATGGAAAGTTCTGACTCAATTCCCCACCGCGGCGTAAACGGTACCGGGAGAGGGTGTACTTGGGGATGGAAAAACCTTTTGTGACGGTCAGCGCTGCCGAATCGGAACGGAATATGACGCTTGGATCGTGTTGTGAAAGTGAACAACGGTCCGTTAAGAGAGGGTTGAATAGAACGTGATTTCAGCGTTTATTTAAAGAACCTGACTTTGCCGCTCAATATGACGCACAGACGGAAACAACACTCTGATGCGTGTAATCTCTCTTTAACGTTGAATCGATCTTTTTGCCCCTAAAGACAAATGACTTGATCCGGGGTTAAGTTGATATTGCGTAGTAGGGATGGCCAAATCGATTAGGGGCGTATGCGATCGGCTGTGTAGATCCGATGAAGTATGGTGGATAGGGTTGACCCAGATTGCGTAGGATGGATCGAGCGATTTGATTAGAATGGCGGATGCAATGAGGGATGACAAAATCAGCCTATCAAAAAGACGAAATCGGTAGTCGGATTGGATTAGAATATACTCGGAAAAGAAGGCAATCGTGTATGTATATGCTTTCGAGAAGCAGTGTTGAGCCTTACTTTTCCATTCCTTTCACGGGGCTCTTGATATCTTCAAGTCCTATACAACAACGCAGAGCGATGCTTGAGGATGAAAGAGGTGATGACACGTAGATCTGAGATCTTTGAAGACACTGCTTCCACAGACAGAGTTGACGAGAAGTTGTGCTGCAAAAAGACAGATGATAAAGGTGGCGTGTGACAAGGTGAGAAATCGAGATAAGCCAGTATGAAAAGTCGTTTACTGTACTTTGAATGTCGGAATGTCGTCCTTTATCCGTATCAGAATAGTGATGATGGTTAGAATGAATAGGTTTCAGAATGTTGTTGAATCCACTTTCCACCTATATTTTTGCATATCACCTTGAGTGCATATACGTACGTACGTGTGAGGTGTGTGTGTGTATGCTGCTTTCAGGATGACCAATTACTGTACTGTATGCTGCTGAAAAGACAGACAGAAAAAAGAAAAAAACAGGGCGAACCGATTGTTTACCGATTTCTTTTTGCTGGAGGCAGTGAAAGTGCCCTTTTTTTAAACAGCTGTCCCTTTTTTTTTCCTGACTTGCTGCACACGCATGCAACGCACGGCCAAACAAGTTCAAGACACAACAATTGCAAGTAACAAACGCGCCGGCCTTGCTCGGTTCTCCTTTATTGCCTGCATTCAGTTCATTTTCGCGTTCCGTATTAACCGTACGTACGTACCTGCCGCCTATTGTTGTTGTTCAAAGGCGGAAAAGAATGGAGCCGAAGAAAAAAACAGCTCATATGAAGCATAAATCGGTGACCGTCACTTCTTCTCATTACAATCCATTCAAAATATGAGACATAAAATCTAGAAGATTGTTCAAAAGCAATTTTTTGTAATTATGACACAGACGGCATTCTATAGAAATTCAACCATGTTTTCTTTTTGTTTTAATTTCTACAACTTGTCGATCGATCAACGGATTCCGAAAGACTAATTAAATTTGAACAAATAGATTACGCTAAAGCAAAAGGGATGGAAGATAGACAGTGTTAAACTTAATCTGTGAAAACAAAAGACTCTCTGTATTGTCAAAAACGGATGCAATAGGTTGCTTTCAAATGTCGCGCCAGCGCAGATCTAAATAGCCTTAAAAAGGGTACAGTGAGGCGATCTTACCAAGCAGAGAAGAGGGAGGATGTGCTGTTGTCTGTTCTATTTCGGCATTCTATCAGCACAGACAAAAATAGGGTTCAGTGGAGGGTCATATCGGTACACGCGTTTCTTTCAAGGCACATTAACACGACGGCTCCCTGTTTTAGTGAAATGACGAAAGCAGAGATAGCCGAAGACCGATTAAAATGGAACACACAGACTTCGGACCTGCCGCCGCTGCCTGCACTTGCCGGAGAATAAAGAGTTGCTCGATCGATCAATAAAATCCATCAATCAAGAAAAAAAAGCGGGGCAAATCATGCACGAGTACTCTATATCTTTCTTAATGAGGATCAATTACACTTCACTCCGCAATTATTCTATTTTAAGCAAGACAATAATTTGTATAGTCATTTATATTGTTCAATGACTATAATTTGCTTTTTTACATCATAGATCGGCGATTGAGTATGTTGAAATACATCATATGTTCGTCAAAAGCGGAAAAAGGTTTCCGTTTGCAAGGTAAAACAATGACGCAACGCATGCAAAAGCTGGAAATAACGGAAAGGGGATCACTTATCGGCTAAACGGGTAAGAGAGAGAGTGGCTTATGTAATCACACAAAAACTTTAGTCTGCCGCTTGCAAACATTTAAGAGAAGCCGCGCCAACGACGCAAATTGCGCCACGTGTGCATACACCCCAATCAACCAAAAGGGGCTCGTTCAATCAAAGCACTTTTTTGTTATCCACAAATTGCCTTGTAAACGCCGATTGTGTTTAAGGGAAGAAGATGTCATTTCTGCATTGATCATTCTTTTTACATACTCCGCCGAATGATTGAATTATAATTCATCTTGACAGAGGACGCTAAAGTAGCATGCAGTGGACCGAAAGGAGATCTCATTAACTAATGATCGGATGGTACCTGTCCGAAGTAAGCCGGGCAGACAGATAGACAGACAAGGAAATCTCGATCTGCAGGTAGACAAAGCAATTCTTTCTTTTCCCATGGGAAATCCCATGCACCCCACACTTTTCACTAAGAATGAACTCTATCTAGTAATTATACTTTTTCCTTCTCCGTTGCAACAAGGTTCGGAAATTTAATCTGATTTGTGGCGTATGTATGTATGTGACTGATGTCAAGAAGTTATAGCGTAAATTTGTGTGCTTTTCCAATGTACCATATCCAGGGTTCATGAGAAGATTCGGCGAATAAAGCGGAATGAGAAGATGCAATGATAAAGAGTACCTACTTCCTTCTTCCATTGTTAAGACTGACAGATGGTACCTGAATGTATGCGGTTCCGTCTTGACTTTGAAATTCTCTCTGTACTTCTTCTTTATGTCATTATGTCACCATTACAACCAACAAGGTTTCTCTCATCATGAACATTCTTAAGATCTCCAATCAAACTTGACAATCACCTTCACTCTGTTCTTCATATCAGTGATCTTTGCTGTTGTCTTGATTGGTTGAACACGCACGCTTTAGGATCCAAATGTTAAAGTACGCGTACAGTAGTAGGTAGCACTTGTCAAGTCTTGTAGTGTACTCTAGTTTTTGTACGCGTGTGTGCGTGCGCACTTTATCTGTTTCCCATCCGATTCCAATCATCGGCTCGCACGGTAAAGCAAAGGCTATTTAATCAATCCATCAATTCTTACCACCATCTTTTCCAACAACAAAACCAGAAAAGGGCTGGCTTGAGCTCGCGTTGGTAAGCGATCCAGTTGTAGGGACCGTAAAGAGAGAGTGTGAGAGAGAGCAGCACAAACCACAAGCATTCAAACCACAAACACGCTTGCAATCCGATCTACCATCCACCACCTTTTTTTCTCGCGTTTTCGAAAGAAGGTTTCAAAAAGGGAAAGCGTGATTGTGATCACAATCCGACAAAACGAACACATTCAATCGATTGTCCATCGCGGTCCGATATTTCAAACATCATCATTTCATTATCCCCCACGCTCAGATTGAATGTCTACCGAATAAACTCGATTAAATGCCTTAGCGGCAAGTACGATTATCGCTTTTTGTTTTTCCAAATTTCGACTCTCTTTTTGTTACCTTTCAATCAAACGCAGGTCAAACAAGAAGGAGGTAAGCAAAAAGGAGCAAACCAATTTGCACTTCTTCTTCTTTTGCTCTAAAAGTATTGGTATATAGGGAATGTTTGGAGGACACGGAAATTTTGCTAGCCCTCTGCAGCAACAGCAGCAGCAGCAAGCAGGGCAGGCCGGAAATACGGCCAATAATGCCAACAATACCGCAAATAATGCATCAAATAACAATATGAATGGTGCATTTGGAGGAGGAATGCAAATGCCGGGACCGGGAGGGTTCAATTTGCAACAGATGATGGCAATGGGTGCTGCTAATGGTATCAATCTGAATAGCTTGTTGGGAAATGGTGGTATTGATCTAAGCGGCAGCGGGAACAACAACAATAACCCTCAGAATATGTCTATGGCAAACATGGCAGGGCAGATAGGACAGCAACAGCAGCAGCAACCACAGATGGGCTTCCAAGGTCAAATGCAACAGCAAGATGGACAAAATGCTGGTGGGATAGGGAACATGAATGGGATGAATAACAACTTTATGTTCAATCCTCAATTGCAGGCTTTGTTGCAGCAACAAGGTCAATCGCAGCAAAGTCCCACAGGTCAACAACCGCAAGCACAACAGCCAAATATGGCCGGAGGTCAGAATCAAGGTCAGCCGAATATGCAGTGGTTGGGAATGTCAGGATCGATGCCGCAACAGCAAATGAACCTTCAGCAATTCCTCATGAATCAGGCTGGTATGGGTCAAGGATTTAACCCTCAAAATGCAAATGGAGGCAATATGGGAATGCAAAGACCGATGAATGCTACTGGAGCGGGACCTTCTACGCCTGGTTCACAACAAGCTTTTAATCCCTTCATGCAGCAGCAGCAGCAAGGTGGTCAGAATATGCCGGGTCAATCGCAACAGCAGCCATCTCAACAACAGAATTTTGGAGGTCCACAACAGCAGAATGCTTTTATGGCTCCTAAATTTTTGAACGCCATGCAACAGTTGCAACAACAGTCGCAGCGGCCCGGCGGTCAACAGCAACCTGCTCAAGCCCAGGCAATGGCTGCTGCATTGCAGAGTATGAATCTCGACCCGGCATCTTTCATGGCTGCCACTGCACAGGCTTCGGGCGGCTCGATTGATCCAAACATGTTTTTACAGAATCCAAACCTACTGGCAAGTTTGCAAGGATTCGGAGGAAATGCTGCAAACGGTTCGATGCCCAATCTACCACAGCAGTCCCCCATGGCGCCCTCGCAAAACATGCAGCAACAGCAACAAGCTGCTGCAACGCCTGCTCAAGCTCACACTCCACAAAATTCTGTCAAACAATCACCAAGACCTCCATCAAGAGCAGCAGGACTGAATACGCCAGAAACAAAAGCAAAAGGACGACCGAAAGGGAGCACGAAGAAGAAAAAGGAAGAAGAACAACGGATTGCACAACAACAGCAGCAGCAACAGCAAACACCCACTTCAATGCAACAGCCTCCGACCCCCGCTCAACCTTCTTTCGGTCAAAATGCTGCACCTTCTCCTGCTCCTTCGTTCTTTCAAACGCCTACTCAATCTCATGCTTCCATACCCATGGCTTCCCCTGCTCAAGCATTTGCTCAACAGCAAGAACGTGCAAGGAGTCATACACGAAGCCCGAGCATATCTGGCGCAGCACCTATGGGAACACCAGGTGCATCGGTACGATCGTTCAGCGGTCAGTTGCCAGGAGGTCAACCTCATCCAGCACAAAATGCTCCTGCAGGTTGGGTCCCTTCATTGTCACCTCATCAACAACAGCAATTGCTTGGACAGGCTCTGTCATCCTCAAAAGCACAGTCCAATATACCCGGACAGTCGCAGCCAGCACCTAGTCCTGCTCAAATGTTGATGCAATTAGGATATGTATATGTAAAAGCAAATGTGTTACCGAACAACGGATATGGTGCAGGTATACCTGGAAATGGTCCTTCGGGTCCTGGTGCAGTTTTGAGTATTGATGAAGCCCGAACGATTGGAATCTTTGGACCACAACAACCAGGTGCACATCAACAGATGCAGCAGCAACAGCAACAACAGCAGCAGCAGCAAAGACCTGCAATGCCTGCTGGTCTTCAAAATCCTACGAATGCGGCACAATTGATGCAACAAGCACATTCCGCTGCAATGGCAGGCCCTTCAGCTAGACCTCCTCTTGGACTAGGACAAATACAGCAACAGAATATGCAACCTTCTATGATGGCAGCTTTGACGGCAGGAAACGCTCAACAAGCAGGATATCGTGCTTCTCCTTTAGGATTGGCAGGTTCACCTCCACCGCCTTCCTCGATACCACCTTCTTCACCGGCACAAGGGATGGGAAGTCCAGCTGTAAGAACGAATGCCAGACAAAGACAGGCTAGTACCTCATCCAGACCTGCTTCGAGTGCAGGCAGAAAGGTTGGCGGAACGATGGCAGCACCTCCTTCGAACACTACATCAGCAGCATCAATATCGGCAGCAAACGATGCTCAAGCTGCAGCAGCGTCTTATGCACCTTTTGCTCAACCAATTCCGGCTGGTGGAATGCTTCATTCGCGTACCGGTTCTGTATCTCAGAATCCCGCAACAGCTGGTCAAGGGTCTTTAGGTGGTGCTTTGTCTGGTCTGATTCCTTCTCATCAAGGTTCTGCTCCGATACCCAATAATTCACATCTGCCACCAGTCAATGGTGGTCCGCTTCCAAAGACGTCAAAGCTAGGCTTCGATGTTGCTCCCGAGTTCAATACACGTCTAACTCCTCTCCCTTCAAGCGATGCACTTTCACCTGATGGGAAGAAGCGGCCGTTGAGTGATGCATGGAAGCCACTGACGAAAGAAGAACAAAAAGAAATGATTGAGATTATGACCAAAGATGCCGCTTATGCCAAACAGCTAAGCGCACAAGGAGGAAGAGCACAAGCGATTCTCAATCGACGCATTCATGAAATGAGACCAATTGGTAAATTGCATTGGTGGGAACGTAGTATGGAAGAAGAAGCAGGACATCTTGCAATTCCTGGACCATTTGAACATTTCAAAATCCTTTTACCGGGTGATAAGCATAATCAACGTGCTGCCAAAGGATTACGAAGTGCCTTGAACGGAGGATATTCTTCTAGGCAATTGCGTGCTGAACGTAAAGCTGCTGCTCAGGCAGATGAAGATTTGGTACCGATTCGACTGGAAATTGATCATGAAGGTTGGAAATTGCGTGATACGTTCACATGGCCAGCACCTGAATCGTACAAAGGAGAACTTTTAGAACGTTTTGCAATCACACTTTGTGAAGATTTCGGTTTGCCAATCGTACATTTTGCTCAAGCCATTCGAGAAGCAATCATTACGCAAGTACAAGATCATACTTCTGCCGAAGCTTTGAGGCCTTTGCCATCAAAAAGGAAACGCGATGAAATGATCGGAAAAGGACGTTTGTCTAAGGAAGAACTTAAGTGGTGGAAGGAATGGCGTCGTGAACTGGAAATTCAGTGCGATGAAGGTCGTATACAGGAGCTAGAAGACGATGCCAAAGTATCCGAAGATGAGAAAAGTATCGAGGTATCCAACGGCGGAACTGTTTCATTTGCTGACATTGGTAGCAAATCTGCAGAAATGCGAATTCAAATCAAGCTGGATATCACCGTAGGTGCGATGAATTTGGTCGATCAATTCGAATGGGATGTCAGTGATGACGGCAGCTCTGCAGAAGATTTTGCCTCTACATTTGCCGCAGATTTGGGTTTGTCGGGAGAGTTCAAAACAGCGATCGCGCACTCGATAAGGGAACAGGTTGATGTCTACACTCGATCACTCTCTTTGGTCGGTTACACCTTTGATGGATCAGAAGTTATCGATGAGGAATTACGTGGTGCCCTGCTTGCTCCTGTTTCAAGTATCGTTCGATTTGAACATGACGTCGATGCTCATACACCCAAATTGATGCAATTGAGCGAATTGGAGATTATGCAAATGGAGAAAGAACGTGAACGTGAAGCACGTCGTAAACGTCGTCAAACTCGTGGTCGTCGTGGTGTGAATTTGCCTGATCGTGAGCCACTCAAAACAGCAAGAACGCCTGCTGTACATGGACTTCAACAATTCACAAACGCAGGCGCAGAAGCAGGTATGGGAGGGGCTGAAATTTCCAGCGGTCGTGGATCAGGTCTGGACCATAGCTCTCGTTCGCTTGCAGGAATGTCTACTCGTCGTGCTGCTGCTGTTTTGGCAAATGCAAACATCGCCAACGCAAATGCATCGGGAGATTATGGAACACCAACGCCTCAGCCTGAAGAAATGATGAGAAATGGCGCCAATCCTACGATCAATCAATTCGATCATCGCAAAGAAGCAGCCAAAAGACGCAAGCTGGACATTCAAGCCACTCACTTTGAATATCCAGGTGGATTGGGCAAGATTGATGATGAAGCAGAGGATGATCGCGATCAAGGACCTAAATTCGCTCCTTTCAGCTCAGATAGTCCTTCCAAGAATGACCCACGAACCAATGAAGCTGGCGGAATAAATTCAAGTGTAAGCAGAATGGCCCGTCATGCCCTTGGTCATGGTCATGGCACGTCTTCACCTTCGGGAGGTGTTGCATGGAATATGGCAAGACCTGAAGAAGCTCTCAATCAAGTGACAAATTGGCATGATGGAATGTGGTTTTGCAGTAATTGCGGTGTGCCTGGAAATATGGATTCTTCCAGACGGAAAGGGCCATTGGGTGATAAGAGTCTTTGTGGTATGTGCGGCAAATACTTCCATCGTCACAGGAAAGCAAGACCGGTCGAATATACCCGTAGCGTCAAATATCATCTTAAGCAGTTGCAGGCTAGAGGCATTATGCCCAATATGGTAGAAGTTGAGGATATGTTGGCCAAAGAAAGTGCAAGCAAAGGGTACGCAAGAGGAACAGAATCGATTCAAGAAGGTGCCTTCAACAATGTTTCCGGTGTCAATGCTCAGCAGAACTTGGCACCGTCTTCTGATATTGGCACGAATGCAGAGATGACTACCACGACTGACTCGATGATGGCTTACTCGTCGTATTCCGATGATGCTGGAGCCGCAAATGGGACTGCAGAAGGCTCAAAAGCAGTGCCTGGGCCAGCTGCCAGTACTGCTGCTGTCCCACCGCTTCCTAACAGCGATGGCAATGCATCTGATGTCACAATGCAGCCTGTTGACCATTCTGCTGTTCCTGCATCGACTGAAACTTCAGTCAATCACGCAGAAGCACCAAAAGCACCAGAGCCTTCAACAGTTGCCTTCACCGCCAAGGAAGAAGAAAAGGCTGCACCGCCTTCATTCCCAACTACCCGCGGTAATTCACCAGATTTGCCATTCGAGCAAGTTGGCTCTCCAGATGATTCAGACAGCTCCGAAGACGAGAAAGAAGGCAAGACTAAGGTGAATTCACAACAAAATGTCCAAAGCAATTCTGTGTCAGGCAGATCAGTTTCACCTAACAAAGCTACTCAACAAGCCAATTCGGTCCCAATGACCTCTTCCAGCTCGATCATGAGTGCTGGACAGGCAGGGTCTCCTACGATGCTACCACGTACAACAAGTGCACAATCACCTACTTCTTCTTCGAGTGGCGTTGTGATCAATGCAACACAGCCGGAATGGTTATCAGAAGCTAGTCATGCATTACGTATGAAGTATCCTTTGGACAGGTTTGAAGTTCTTGCTAGACCAAGAGGTGCGGGTGCTGCTCCTTCGACGCCCGAATGGCGTTTACGTTGTCAAGATTGTCCCGGTAAATTATACACACCCGGACCTGAACAAACTTTGACGAATTTTGAAATTCATTTACGCAATCGTGTTCATCGTGCAAATGTACAAAAAGCCGTTCAACAAGAAGGTAGAAAGCCTTTTAGCGGCTAAGGAATTTGATCAAAGGGTGCTTTGCAACAGTTTTCTCCTTTTTTCCCAATTTTACCATACTAATTATTGCATCTTGTTTATGCACACATGTATTCCAGAACAAAAGAAAGTCCACAGCGACAATTTATATTATACAGGTTCACAATGATTGTAGAATGCTTTACTTAAAATTTCTGAGCAAGTCTATTCAGCAATATCTAAGAATCCACTTGAGGTATTTTTTGGGACCAAACCTTCAGTGCTCTACATTTCAAGGTGCATCGAGGTACGGCCTAAAGAGCATATGTCCGACAAAGGCTTGCAGAGGTGCATCATTTAAACCGTGAGTGTCGTTCAAAGGTCTACCGGAAATATGTTGAGGCCCTAAAAGTTGAGAATAAGCATTTATAACGGATAAAAGTTTTATGTCCGCCTGGCGGACATAAGTCAACTTTTCCGAAATATCAACGACATGCTTCCTGGGACCTGATGAAAGGCCTGGGCCATCTTTTTATTTGCTTGTCTTTTAGTGGATGCGGATACATAGTATAGTCATGTGAAAATGTTATGTAAACATGAAGCAAATACATATATACATACTTATAGCGTGGTAAAATGAATAATTCTCACCTATACACCCATGCAATAAAGACTAAATCGATTAGTGTGTGATGATAGAAACCGAAAAAAAAATAATAAACGCATGGAAGGATTGCGTGACCATACACAGCCTCAGTTCGAATTACATGTACGTAGTTCCTCGTCATGCACCCTTCACCAACCCGATGCAAGCAGGCCATGCGATCTTTCCCGATCTATAGTCATGACGTACACGTTTATAAGATTTGGATTTTCAGTGCATGATCCTGCTGTATGTGTATGTATGTAGCAAGACACAAGCAAGAAAAGCCACTTAAAGGCAATCGAAGGTTAACTTTTAATTTATCGTACGACTTCTTTACAATTTCTGAACGGAGTTGTAATGTATGTACCTGGACCGTGTGCAGTGGAAGAATGTTGTAATCCGGGGTAGAGCAGCTGCAGATCTGATGAATAGAAGTAGCCACACGGAAATGTAAAACGGACTCAAGCGTCATCCGTTTCCTGAGAGAAAGAGAGAGAGAAAAGTGAGATATTCTGTACAGTGAAAATCACTTTTTGTTCCATATTTGACTTGAAAATTGTAAAAACTTTGTTTTGATGGTTAGCGTATAATCTTCGTAAAGATACCTCGCAAAGATGAAAAAAAGGTTAGCCAAATTCACCGACATATGCCCGTGTTTCTCATTGGTCGGCTTGCTCGAGGCCGTGCTAACCGTTAACTTAGTCCGCGGCATACTTGAGCCACACTGCTCTTAGTAAGGCAGGCCAGAGGCAGAAAAGCCTTTATGCATGGTACCTTTGTCTTTGCACAGCCCGTCATTGTATGGGAAATTCACCGTACAAATTGGGTCTAACACTAAAAGGTTTGAAATTTTGGAATATATGCAATGTAGAGATGCACAGCATATACGTACCTTGCTGTTGGATCTCCAAGAAAAATTTTCTAAAGTCACTTGTGAATTTTCCCATGGGATATTCCTGCATTCCTTGGATTATCTTCTTTTGGTAAACGTCCTGCAGCTACATAATGATCAGCAACGCTAAAATGAAACTTTTGCGTCTCCGAACAATCGGACAACGACGTATAAACAGTGTCAATTCTTCTTTACCGGCGATTGGAGTCATGCAAACACACTTCCACTTGAGACAAAAAACATAAACACAATCAAATTGTGCATAGCCAAACAATTCTGTACGTATTCAATTTAGCAAAATGTGGCGCTGCTATCAATAAGAAAACTTGCATAAAATCGACCTTCTTACACTTATTCCATAGACATATAGAAATATTCCTTTGTTTGATGTACACACATGCATGGAGTTGAATTTGACAAGGGGTCCAAAGTATTGCACATGCATGCTAAATTCCCGATCAGTTTACGGAAAAATAGAAGAGTTTTATCATTTTTTCTACCATTCATCAATTCAATTTATCACCGGACCTTTTTGCTGCCCGAGATTGATTGAATGTGACCGACGATTGTTCTTGCAGACTTCTTTAGTCGGTTTTTACTCCTAGTTTTTCAAACTATTTCCCCGCCTTTGTCTGCATTGCTTTTTAGGTTTATCCGTATAATACAATACAATCTTGAGCCTAAGAAATTCGATAATAATTCCACAAAACTCTTTCACAATCCATTATCTTGTCCGCATCCTTTTTGCTTGTTATAAAAGCTTTCTCTACATCCATCAATCTCACAGTTCAGGACCATCTTTACGTTTCAATTCTTATTTCAGGTCCTTCAGGATCTTTTGTTGTATATAACTACCATTTCAAGAACCGGACAGAATCCTCAATTACCGGCAACTTCATTATCAACTTGTATTCTATCACTACAAATTGCAAAGTTCGCCTGGCTGTATTGTCTCAGCGAATAATCAAACAAACTTGTATCATCTTCTATCGCAATCAACAAACAGCTAGATGGTTTAAAGAAAGCAAACAAATCTCAAAGAAAATCAAGTGAAAGCTTTTTGCAGGCAAATTTCAATTCGATTTCAAATATCTCGGGTATGACACAATTTGCTCAAGTAAAAGTATGAACTCTATCAACAAGCAAAGAAAGAGTACTTCAAGTTCTAATAGTAGCAATAGCAATGGCAGCATTCACGAAAACACTCCCTCTGCTATCGAGGATATCAAAAGTCGAAATTTAAGTAAATCTGAGTGGTCTTTTGAAGCTCCAATACCATCTACCAGCTTACCAAGAAGTCATCTTCAAGATTCCAATCCGATCGACTATGCAAGATATGCCTATGCAAATAAAAGAACTTCTTTACTCTCCACCCATTCTTCTGAATCCTCTGATTACTACCTGTATCCATCCCACAGGAGTTCTTCGCTCTATACATACAGGCAAGCAGGTTTTACAGACCCAGATAATGTGGTCAGATCTCAGAGAGGTCATTCAGACCAATACCCTCAGAACAGAAACCACCAAACGGTTATCACAAATACCGAAGTCACAGTCTCAACCGCACAAGAAGCACCAGCACCTCTATTTGATCCATTTATCTTGATGGATAACAAAGTAGAGCCAAGGTAAGTGCAGATGCATCCATCCAATCGAATTTCAAGCTGACATTATCCTCTTTCATTGCTTACATTTAGAACATACAATCTCATCATACGACAATCTCCTATGCACGGCCAAATGTGTACTCTTGGCAGCAAAGAAAGAAGAATACTGGATCCATTGCCGATCATCCAACTGGATATTCGTGATCGAAACGGAAAGCGTGATCTTATTGGACAGTCAAGTCCATTATTGATCATGCAAGTCAATCTGATCGCAGAACATATCGAGGTTGGTAGCGGTGGAAAGTCATCTGATCGTAATGAAAGTGGAAGTGCAAGTAATAGTCCGGTGGAAGTGCGACAAAACCTTTCACCTATATCTGCATCCGGTGCAACTTCCACTCGAGTTGGTTTACCTGGCTTCGCTTCTTTTATTGACTCAACGATGGCAACGAATATCGATCAGTCTGCACCAACAAAGTCGGATTTGGATTCTCAACTTTTACCCAAACCACATGAAACACACTTCTCAGCTTTACGTCTATTGGAAGGTAAATTGACCGCTTCTCCTCATATAGTGAAAGATATTGAAAATCATTTGGACATGAAGGAAAGAGTTGGATCAGATCCTCAAAAACGTCAGAAAGTCGAGAGGGATCCAGATTCACTCAATCCGAAAAGGAGAAGCTCAATGCCAGTACACTCATCAACAGCCAGCATCAAAGAAAGCGCAGACGTTTCCGAAGAAAGACAAGAAGATCAAAAAGCATGCTTCTTCATCTTTACGGATCTGAGTATTCGTTTACGCGGTACATATCGATTACAATTTTCTTTAATAAAATTGGGATTACCATCTCCTACTTCCACAACAAAATCAACAGGCCAAATTGTTGCAAGGACGATTTCAGATCCATTCCCAATTCATCATACGCGAGATTTCGCTGGAATGACTGAATCAACACCTTTGGCCAAATCATTAGCAGGTCAAGGCGTTCACATTCCGATCAGAAATGATTCACGTTGGAAAAGTCGTGTACAACAACCATCACAAATGAGAGCTAATCAAATTCAACAAGAACACAAAACAACAAGTAGTACGGACGGTTCACCTTCTTCTGCAAGCCTTACACCAGCACGTTCGAGTAGTACACCACAATCCAACATCAAATCGCAACAATAGTTTATTTAACCCCCCCTCAAAAGTAGTTTCGTTTAATCAGTGATCAAGGATCTTATTAATTGGACAATATATACTAAATACAAGCTCGACATATCGACTTCTTTTTCCCTATTTGGAAATGTACAAATATAATATGTAAAGATACCGTTAATCATTGCAAGCAAAAACACTGTTCAATATATTATTTTTTGATAAAAGATTAGTGTAAATGGCGATTATATTGTACAGGTCATAGTACATGGGTGTATGTGAGAATTCCTCTCCTAAAAGATGATGTGAAAAAATTCTATGAACATGATACAACGTTGATAAAACGTTTAATGTGTACAGAAAAGGAGGAGAAAGGGGATGGTTTGACGGATGAGGTAATAGCCATTCCGTGTATAACCTTTTTCGATGGGATTTAGAGTACAGGACTAGGGATACACTATCTTCAGCGAATAGTCAGCTGAGGGGAAAATAGATTTATGTGCAAAGTCTGGTTGCGCGCGACCGACTGTTGCACAAGAGTGGGTATCGTTGGAATAGGTTGTCGGGATCGATTAATTCTCTGCTGCTTGCGTGTAAGGCATCAATAGTCCTACGCCATTCGCAGCAAAATGTCTTGTTAAATCGGTGATATGTGGAGCTTGATATTCAGACGGAGGTACGACATCGATTGGCTCACTTATGATCGAAACCAATGTATGTGAAGTTCCTGGTACGATCCGTCTAGGTGAAGAAGGTCGTGTTTGAGATTCTGTTGCTGGCGTTGGTGATGCATTGGACCTTGAGGTGTCTCTTGAAAGTTCTGTACTGGAAGCAGGAGCACTTTCTTGTACAACATCCAAAGCCTGTCTAACATTTTGTCCGAATAAAGGCAATTTGAACAAATTGATATTCAATCGAAATCTTCCTTTTGATCGAATTGAAATTTCAGGAAAGATGAAAAACGTACGTAGCCTTTGCCTGACATCGGGAAGTTGAACAGCTGAGGCTGTTAAAGTACCGTATAACATTGTTACTGGATGTTGAACATTAGTCAATGAAGTGATCATATCCGCATTTTGTCCATCTTCCGTGAGTAAATTTACTTGACAAGTCAACAATGGAATTTCATCATCGATTTCAACTTCATTATTTTGTAAATCAGTCACTCGAATTTGAACGATTAAAGGTGGTGCGATTGCTAAACGTGAAAGTACGTCTGATCCAAATGCACATCCTTTTTCGGGTTGTTGAACGATGCGTAAATGATAACGTCTAAGGGAAGGAATGCGGGAAGTCAGTCAGTTAGTCTTCTTTGGCGCGTATAGAGGTGGGAAAAAGGAATAATAGCGTGTGTGTGCATGAGAATATGCCGCTGCTGCTGCTGCTGCTGCTGCTGCTGCTTGAATCAATATATGCGTCTTGCATATGCAGCATACAGAGTGCATACAATATATAAGATCAATCTTGATTGGAATTCCAATTTGATGGTACACCACCATTTCTCTCAAAATCTTATTTACCAATTACTCACCTTCCGTCAGTATCTTCTCCGGCTTTTCCAAGACCAGTACTTGCACTGCTTTGTCGGTCATCTCCACCGCCTCCGCCATGTCCGCTACCACTTCTTCTTTCTCGGCCAGATCCATCACCTTCTCTTTGTTGTTCATCTGATCGTCTTTCACCAATCTCACTTTCATGACCATGTTCAGCCATTGCGCTTCCTGAAGTGTTTGCTTCACTTTCTCCCGTTCCTTCGGCAGAATGAAGATTTGTTTGGATTGGAGCACGGCTGTGCTTATTATGGTCGGAAGGTGCAGACGAGCAGAGTAATGACGATATCGAAAAATTCGACTGTTGTGGATCTTGCTTCAATCGATTATCCCTGTCTTTGTCAACCTGATCAGCGTAAAGAGCATGATCGGCTCTTTTAGAACCAAATTTGCCAAAGAGGTTGCATTTTAAAGGTTGTCGATAAAGTTCTTCTCCTCCTGTACTGATTGAACTTGCTGCTGCTGAAGATTTTGTGGGCGAAAAAAATGAAAATGATTGAACTGAATCAAGACTGTTTTGATTACTATTATTACTTTCACTTTCCGAAAAAGTAGTTACGGCGGACGATGAAGTTGATAAGCATGTTTTTGGGCGTTGAACAGGTGTGAACGGCTTCCGTTCTTCACAATTGCTAGAATTTATGCGCCCTTTTCTCAATTCCGTTGGCGCCTTTATCGGAATACTGTCAATTGTCGTTTCTCCGAAATTGAAGTTGGATCGATAGAGTTGATTTTTGCGCACGGTTTCTGTTGGTTCGATTGGACTGCTGCTGCTAAGATGAGGATAAAAAGGTTCATCTTCTAAATTTCGAGAAAGGCTTCCTCTTTCGCTTTCTGCATCCATCATCCTCCTTCTCTTCTGCAGCGAAAAGCGTGTATTGTCGTTCGCCGGTGGCCGGTCATCTTTACCACCATGAAGATCTGCATGGGTTCCCATCCATGATTCGACCCGTTTTCGTATATTGTCAGGCTTTATGCTGTGTTCAATAGGTGGAAAAGCATACCTGTTGCCGATACTTTGATGATTTAATTCGCTAAGATCGTAATCATTATCGAATTGCATCTTCAGTGTACGGTCTTCACTTGATTGTCGGTATGGTTTATCGTCGGAACAGGACTCCATTCTCGATGAATCTTTCGATCTTTGTGGGATTCGCCGATAATGCTGTGAAGGGCCGCTAGATTGGAGTGAAAGCATCGTGCAACAAAATGATGCAGGCGAAGAAATCACCCTGTTGCAATTGTTGTGTTCAAATCCGATTGTGATCCTAATGGTGAATTACCAGAACATCTTTGCTGCAGTTTTTAATCATGGTAGGACATGACAGGATGAAATGGAAATGTCGGAAGATCGAAGAAGAAGAAAAAGAGCTTGCTATCGCAAAGGTGAAAGAAGGCTGGTTCGACAAATGTGAGCAGCTTTGAGTCGACAATCAAAATCGATCGAGAATTGAAGCGGTATTATTACACGAAGGTGAAAGGAGGAAGGATTGCTATGTGCAATATTGACATTGAACAAAAAAAGATGTGCCGGCTTCTTGGATCTTGAATAACGGTAAACTTTCTGGTTCCAAGACTGCAAAGATGCAAATTTGATCGTCGGATTACTTGTCTGAGACAATTGGCGCAGGGAAAGAGGCCGATCTAGCAGGGATAAATATGCTCAATGTGCATTATCAAGCAAGAGACAAAAGACAAAGGGAAACAGTTCTCGTGGGCAAGAACATATGTTTTACCTTACTTTTTCATAACCGGAAATCGACCGGGTGTATGAAGGTGTAGATAAATGAGAAAGAATATGTATGTCTCGCATATTGGCAATGCATTTACCAATATAGAGACTCTCGGCCGTTTTCGCACCCCCCCTCTTTTGTTGTCTTTCGTATAGGTACCCCTCATGTACTCAACAGCCCGGTAATTAAAGTATACACATTGCATTGACACAAACGCTTGCAGATCCCCCTGTTCACTTTCGGAAGCTAAATAGAAGACATTCGCAAGCGAGAGAACAGGATTGTGCATAGGAACCAAACTTCTATCCCTACAATCCTTCCATCTTCTCTTGTTTGTTTCTAAGATTGTCTCTCTCACCCCTTGGACTTTGACCGAGGTTTTAAACTTGCTCACGAAAAAGTTTTAAAGTTTTACTTTTATTCCCACATGGGCTTGGGTGTAGAAAGGCAAAGAAAGGGAAAGTCTTTCTTTTTCCTTGAGAAAAAACGGCTAAAAAAGTTATTCAAAACTTCTTCTTTGGTTCTAAAACAGGCATTTTGACCCTGACCATGACAATGGATGCTCTAACAGCGGTACCGTTTCGGCCCCGCGAAATTGCCTACTGGGTCAAAATTACCACCAATCGAATGATGAGAAGGTTTAAAAGGAAAAAAAATGTGAAACATGTGTTGCATGTAAGGGATAAAATGCCTTTATAATTTAAAATGGCCCGATTTCAATTTATTGCTTTTTTATTTTTATTTTTATACTTTTTATTTTTTCAAGACAAATAAACGGAGAAAAGTCGGATAAATTGGCGTTTCATTAGAATGAAAAAAATACACTTAAATTTTGAAGCTAAGTAGATTGAGTATTTCCAGAAAAGAAACAAGGGACATGCACATGAACACTGTCAGGCTAAAGTATCGGAAATATGTGGTTCAAGGAATTCAACCCTTTAACTTAGCAAATACGACGCCCTTCACGTCAAAAGTCAAACAAGAATTCCCATGCTGTTTAAGTAGAGCACTGAATCAGTCTCCGGTAATTCACTTGCCGGCGTCTATGTTCACATGGTTTGGTTTTTTCTTTATTGATGAGGCTGTGAAACGGAAGAAGATTGTAAAAGAGGAGAGCAAGTTGGTCAAATAGGCTTATAGTTTTATTAAAGTTTCATATAAATTTCTCCCTGCAAGATTGTGAGACAAAAAAGAGATTGAGTGGTGAAGTGCCTTTAAGAGTAAATAGTCTAATCTATTGTTACCTGCATTATGCATTTAAAATACAAACAAAGTCGCGCGTTCCATTATTGTAATTGCATACAAGATGAGACTAAGCTAATGGCACTAGAACAGTCAATTGGTTCCTTTTAGAAAGGTCATCTCGTAAGCTGGCATTGGTCACCCTCCCTCTCTACTGCCAGGGAAGAAGAAAGTCTGATTACTAGGCTGATAATCGATAGCCCACGGTGATCACATCGTCTAGTGAGATTTCCTAATTCACCGAAATGCCCGACTTCCATAACAATGCGTGATTATAATCAGATGCAAGTAATGTATATTATATCTTAGTGTGCCGTACGTTACATGTTGCATACGTATAACAATGAAATTCATGTGATCTCGTCATTTTTGCAGAGTAGCTCTCGGCATCATCTTGAATGATATATTGGTATTACATGTACCACATCTACGGGTCTAGAGCAGGAACAATATTTACAGATATGAAAAGACTACATGCATTTCTCAGTTTTAGTTTGACCGACAGATGTCATTGTCTAGCGTTTGGCTTTCAAATTCAATCCCCAACATGGAAGCGTTTCAAGCATCATAACGATTAAAGATGCACCTATCAGGTCACACGAGACCTGACATCAGTGCTTTAAAGCACCCTTTGTACGTACATGCAATCAAGCTGCATCATTCGTACGTGTATATTAAATATGAGATCGTAACAGGTACAAATTAAGGTACAATGAGTTCATGACATGCATTCCAAGTCTACGCTAGGACTGTACATACATCTCGCAGCTAAGCTCAAAAGACTTCACCTCATGTCTTCTTTACAGAAGTATTAATATGCATCTATAATCTGTTCTTCCGCACGGACAACGAAATCAAAAGCTTTCTTTAGCTCCTCTTCGGTGCGATCCAGAAGTCTCTCGATTTGTTCTTCGCTATGCCATGCTTGATTACTTGATAATTGAATATTTAATCGACCGTCAAATGTCCAAACACGCATGACCATTCCAGAAGCGATTGAATCGGCCCAAGCAGAAATTTTGTTTATCTGAAGGTTCGCCTTTTCATCTCCATGTTGTTTATTAATCACTTCTTTATCCAATACTCCTAAACTCGAAAGTATGGAGAAGCACTCGCTGTCTTATTCGTAGGCGCATTTCCAATCGTTTGGGTAAAGAATTCGATCAGTTGGACAGATGTTTGACGTGCATCTTCGTATAACCAGTCTCTTCCAGTTGCTATTTGATATTGTTGCTTGAGTGCTCTTGCAACCGAAATCAAGTCCAAAACACCATCTTGTATCGGAACAAGATCAAGCGCCAAAAAGAGCATCAGAGCAGCATTCCAACATCCTTGTTGACGCAATAGAGATTTACCATCGTTTATCCGAGTACGCACTTGAGCTGGCATGATTGAAGCATAAGTAACCTTCTCTTGTTTGTCTGTCGCTTCTGTGTACAAGGCACAAAGATAGGCAGCATGGATAGCTGAAGTCACAGAAACATTGGCGTTTTTGCATTTTTTGGCCAATGTGGATGTAAACGAAGCTGAATAGACCCGTTCGTTGATCTTATATGGCGACTTATCAGCATTGGCTCCGTCACTTGTTATGGCAACATGCAAATTGTTTGACATCTTGTCACTCATTTCCTTTAGCCTTCTTGCCACCCTTTCCTTTGATGCAGAAGAGGATTGAGTGTCTTTGGGCATCAATGCATCCTCTACAGTTGGCGTAAGTTTATCGACCTCACTTCCATCATAAGTGAACTTCTTCAAAGCTTTGGCATAAACGCAATCTTCACCATCTCGAACGAGTTGGACAGTCATATCGACCAAACGATCAATCAAAGCCAATGCTCCACCTGCTTCAATCCTCCAATGACTAATAAATAGAATCACAGCTCCTTCTACAACTTGTGATCCTTTTTGGTGTAAGATGACTGTGCATGTAGGCAGCAGCTCGATCTGTTCTTGACGCTCTTTGATCTTCCTCGCCGTAGCCTGTCTAACGCTCTCTGACCCTTGCTCATCGCCTATATCGATCACTTCAAACGTACGATCTAGCCATGTTTGCAACTCTGTTGTATTTGCAGGCGATCTATAAATCTTATTCTTGCCTTCGAATTCGGTAGCAATATCGGGAGAATGCAACAACCTGAGAGCAGTCCAAGCAGATTTGAACTGAGTTGACAGCACTTCTACTGAAATAGTTGCTGTTGTGAATTGGGCTATTGCATGGATCAGAAGATTTTCCCTTCTCTTTCCTGGCTTACTTGCTTCATCCCCTCCGATTGCCATTACCATGGGATATTCCGTATCTCCTAGTTCTCTGCTCCATTCTAGATTACTGCTTGATGATCTTTCGTACCCGCTGTGATATGCTTCCATCCTTGTTCTATGAGAGGATGAAGGTATAATTGAGAAGAATGCTTTCCTTCTTAAATAACCCCCCACGCTGTATGACTCTAATTTTACCTCCACGGACAACGCGGCCCTGGCGTTAGATCGGCTTAAGCCCTTACAACCGAGCATGTCCCCCACGCATATAGAAAACAACGCCTTGTATGGTAACGATCATCAGTAAGGACGGACATGAAAGTGCACTATTATCTCTTATTGCATTGCTCAAATACAAAGTTGAAATTACAGATGATATACGCGCTTGATCGTGTCTAAATGGAAATTACATGATCATCATTGCTAAGTTGCATTGAACCATGATCGGAATTGGCGGTATCATCAACGTCCCCCAGATTTCCATCATTTCTTCCTCCCGAAGAAGGTGTTCTATCCCAAGGTGGACTGATTGTACCTGTAGGACTTTCTTCTAGCTTTGTCATCTCATCATCTCCTTTTGCGCCTTCTTCCGCTTGCGCTTGCTCTTTCTTTTCTCCTTCTTCTTTCACAAGCTGTCGTACCATTTCTCTACTCTTACCACCGATCGGTCTAGTAGTTCGTCTCCTGTAGAACAACAAATAAGCCGCCGGGCTTTTCGTGTCATTGGGATCTTGTACAGGCCTTACACTACTATCGTCAAAGTAGTGCCATTGTTCGGTTTCGGGATGCTTTGCATAGGCTGTATAATGTCCGCCTCCCAAGCCTCCAAAGTGATTATCAACCGCATACAAATCGTACAAAGGCGCATCACTTTCAACAGCATCATCATTTGCATCCAAAGATCCAATACTTTCCATTAGCTTGTCACCTTCTTCGCCTTCTTCTTCATGTATTTGTTGTACTGATTTCGCTCCTTCTACGCGATCGGTAAGGTCCAAGCCATCGATTGGGAAATCGATCAAGCTATCAATCTTATCTCTTGAGATTCTACCGCCACTGAAACGTTTGAGATGTACGACCAAGATATCCGGCACTTTCCATAAATCAAACTTCTTCGTAGCTTGTTTGAACTCTTTGCAATTCGGACAATACCATGGATCAGATTCACCCAATTGTTCTTCTTTCGTGAATTCGTTCAAACAATCTTCAATCGTGATCATCTTTTTGAACTTCTTTGTCGTTGAACTTCGTTCAGATTCCAATTCAGGATCGATAAACTTTTCTGTCGGTATTGACCATGAATCTTCATTATCTTTAAAGAATTCTTCCTTTGCTTCTTCTTTCCAAACACAAACAAGTGCTCCGCCCGAATAGATCAAAGGCCATTGTTCTCGAGCTTTGGCTGAAGAACCTTGCCTTTCTGCATCGTTCAGGCCCAACCTTTCTGCTCTCTTGTTCAGCTCCTCGCCATGTTTCTCGTAATCATCTGGCTTGAGTGTTGTGGGCGTTTGATCTTCCCGATGTACAAGAAAGTGTAGCGAGAATGCCTTTTTACTCTCAGCTTTGGGTACTTCTTGTGGAGTAGAGGAAGAACCTCCATTTGGCCTCGTATCTGGAACGATACGAACAGTTTCACCAGCATCACTGATTTCTGCAACAGTATCCTCCGCCAGATCCTCTTCGCCGTCTAAAACGGTAACCTTTGTTTCTTCAACCATGTCCCAATCTTGTGCGACATCGTCTCCTTCTTGATTCGATTCGCCTTTTGCCACTTCATCTTCATTATCGAGAGATTCTAAATACTCTTTCAAAGAAGATGGATTTGTGGCAAGCGATGAATATGCTTGCATGACAACTTCTTCGATACCCTTTACGTCATTCAGCTTGTCCTTCGGCACAGAAATAAAGAAAGGCTGACCAAAAGACTCTTTCCTGTTGCTGAGGTAAGAGTAAGAACTCTCATTTCGATTCGGTACGACGACAGAAAAGAGTGGGATGATGGCTTGATCCTCTGCTTGCTCAGGCGGCGAATTGGCTTCTTCTAGTGCTTCGATATTTGTTCCAGAGTATGGGTTAAACGTCAAGCGAGATTTTGATGCTGGTATTATTGGTTCAATCGGCTTCGGTAGCTGGTATACGTACGTCACATCGTTTGTTGCAATCTCATTTGCTGGATCAAAATCATGATAAACCCGATAGAAGGATTTATGAAACACATCACATGCGATCAAAAGCTTGCTGTCCGAAACGCCAAACCAACCTGCCAATTTCTTCTTCATTGCTCCGATAGACATTTCCCCGGTCAATCGTACTTCTGCTTCCGTTGGCGGTCGATTGGGTCCAATAAAGACAACTTTGCGAATGATTGACTTGCGATTGGGTATGGGTAAAGTGAGATACATGAACGGGTCGAATTTGATTGATACTTTCTTGCAAGTAGGACAGACGAGAGTACTTCTGTATTGACCCTGAAAGAGATCAACAATGACTGAATCATTTCGCATCTTGTATATTTCCCACTGCTTATGCGCGAATGCAATCATCTCTTTCAGACCTCCTCCTTCCCAGTCTGGCGCTTCAACGTAGGGCTTCTTTACGATCCTATTCAGGTCTTCATGCAATCCGTCCAACAAGAAGGCTAGCAGCTCTTGTGTATCCTGTTGAGCATATCCGGCAAACTGTGACGAATAACGAGAAAGGACAGTCTTGAATTCTCTGGGATGAACAGCTCCACCACCACTGCCCCATAACTTTCCCAATAATTCTCCAAACACTTTTGCCATTGCTCCTCCCATACCTAATGGATTATCAGTATTGACCTCATTCTTGTACACTCCACTGACGAAATAATCCTTCAGCTCTTTCGTATTGGACATACACTGCAAAGCTGAATTCATGAAACACGTATTTCCAAGGTTATACAATCCCGTCAATCCTGCATTCTTTTCGCTTCCTCTATCAGCCGCTGTTTGAGAGCGTGTAACCCTTCCGATAGGCTGTGAAGATGGTTCTGTGACGGATGTCGTTGATTCTGTCACACTTGTACCTTTTCCGGCGGCCCGGAATCGGTTTGTAAGGAAATCTCCTCCATCCTGAGAGAACAGGCCATGCAAAGAGCTCGGTGGATCTTCATTTTGTGTAGGAAGCGGTGGAGGTGCTGGTGCTGGAGGCGGTGGGAGAGGAGAAGGGAGTGCTTCTTCTGTGGTTGCGTCTGTATCCATGGGGTTGTCAATGACTTGTTGCTGTTCATTTGCATTTCCTTCCTCTCCCAAAGTCATCGTGTCCAAATTGTCAACTTCTGGTTTGCCGTTCATCTTTGTTGGACATAGACTGTTCAGACCACTTTTCCTCTAATTCTATTCAGTTGTTTCTTCGCATACACTTGGTGATTTGCTGGAGAGGTTGTTGGTGATCTATCGAGCCAGCAGTCGCCAAAAGCACGACCACGTCTATTGTTGTTTTCGTTGTTGCTGCTGAATGAGCGTGTATGGGATGATGCCAGCAATGAATGCGATTGTGATGTTAATCTATAGGGTGTAAATCAGGTGATGGCTGCGTGTCGAGTAATTCAATGAGATGATTGTATCTTATCAAATGAGAAAAGAGTGCATTTGTTTTGTATCTTGTGGAGAGTTCTTCCTTCTGAGCAGCAACAGTAGCACCCTTATTTTTACATGCGACATCACTCACTTACAAAAAGAGAAACACGCACACGCCCATAATATTATTACCGTATTACGCGGTGGGCGTACGCAGCACAGCGCGTTGTAACAAAGGGACCTTTCCGCGAACAAACACAGTTAGAGAAAAGTCTAATTGAATAAAGTTGAAATACAAATTGGTAGAGAAAAATCCATATGCTATACAAAGAAAAAGGGGAAATGATGGCTTTTATGTGCTCAACCTTCTTTCTAGTGCTGCTTCTTCACGTTTCATTTCTTGCAAAACACCTTCGAAGATTGTTTTATAGGCAAAAACGAATTGTCTACTTGTTTGAACCATACTCATCCTTTGTTCTCGAATCGTATCCAAAACTTTTCGTACTAATTCAACTCCTTCATTTCCCATCACATCTTCCCATATTTCTTCTACAGGTTTATCACTTTCTGATGGTGGTAATGGCGGTGGAGGAGTACCAAAGAATGGGTTTTTCTTTGGAGACGATGATTGAAGATTACTCGGCTTTGAACTTCTTCTAACACGGAATGCTGATGATTTCGTACTCGAAGATGAACTTGATCCCAAAGATAATTTTCCCAAAGCAGTCGAAGGGGTTGGAGGTCCTTCAGTAGGCGTGAACTGAAACGGAAGTGGTTGCTGTAGCTGATCAGGTGAAAGAGCTGGCTTACTGAATGGAACGCTAGCGATATTTGCAGCGCCCATTTTGCCTTCCGATCCCTCGGAGCGATTTCTTCGTGCTGGTGGTGGACTATCGATATCACGTCCAGAGATCGATTGACCACTGTCTTCACTTTTCGGTCCATGATCGCTCGTTGAAGAAGGATCGCCACTATCATTCATTGGTGAAGTGCTCCTCCTTGCTTCACGTGAATCAAGATTCATATAGCTTGGCGAGAGTTCTCTCTTCAAATTCTTTCTTTTCAGACTGCTGTCCTGATCTTGTGTGGGAAACAGGAACCTACTAGATGCCTTGAACGATTCACGACCTCTTTCATCCAAGTCAATCCAACCAGGTTCCCAAACATCTGCTATCTTACGTCCTGCAGCAGCCCAACGAGCTCTACGAATGATATCCAAAACGGAATCGATCAAAATATAAGTTCCAGTTCTGCCCACACCTGCAGAACAATGTACGACCATCGGACCAACAGCTTGAGATTGATTTCCCTTGGCTTCTATATCGGCCTCCTGCTGAACCGTATTTGCCATGCGCATTAACACAAGCAAGCTATCAGGATCATTGGGCACAGAGTAATCAGGCCATGCAATATACTGGAAGTGATTGATCTCTCTGCATTCACCGTTCTGATCTTTGAGTAGAATCTTTCTTCGAATCGTGGCAATCTCTTCGTTATTTTCTGATTGTGCACTTGGTAAATTGAAATAATTCGGCTCACTATCCTTCGAAGAGCCTGGCTCGCTTGCATCATCGTGTCTTTTGACAATCACACCATTTTTGTCAAGAGAAACTTCTTCTACAACTTCCAATTGTAAAGATCCATACACTTTCGGTACCCAATAATTGTGACTTTGCACTCTTCCCGATTCAAATTCACGCGTTGCCATGATGATCGTTCGCACATTTTGCTGCCACAAGACTGCCCAGAATGTATCAAAAGTACTGGGCAAAGGTGCTTGAGTGGCGATGTACCGTCTCTTACAGCCAAACTCACGAGCCGGTTCAATGAAAGAACCGTTGATATATTCACCTTGTTGTGGACACTGGACACGGCTATGCTCGTATGTCCAAATGTTATTGTATCGATTCTCACTTCCTCTCTCCAAGGCTGCCGAGATGCTGAAAGGGAAATCCTTTTTGGCACTGTTGTAGCCACTTTGTACGCTACTATAATCCGACGTGAGGTTCATTGCTGAAGGAGAAATTGCACCGTTTCGAAGGCTACCTTTGCAGTCTGATTCGTCCGCATGTCTTTGCATCGTTGCCATCAAACGATCTCGTTCTGACTGCTCGATCTCAAAGAATGATTGTGCTAGAGTGTCAGCACGTTCTTTTTCGTCCATCTTGCGCAGTTTGTTGAGGAAGTTTGGCAATCTTCTTGCATCCGCCTCACTGATCTCAGGAACGTCCAACGGTATACGCTCAGTGATACCGTTTTGGAGTTCCTTATTCTGTCGAACGTTATCGAAGAATGGATTGGCTGCGCTTAAAGAAGGTTCTTCGTTTCCTTGAACCAATGTGCTCGCACCTTCACTTGCTTGCATCATCGATTGATCATGATTGAATTTACCCTTTGCAGTACTGCTAGCAGAGAATGCTTCCATCGGTAAGCCCTTTGGTTGTACGAGTGAATGCGCTCGACTGTAGTTTGGAGCAGGACCGGTGGATGGCATTTGCAGACCGCTGTTGAGACCAAGCGACTTGAAACTAGGAACTGATGCCCGACGTATAGAGTCACCACCGTTCAGTTCCGCCATCGGCGTTGTAGGAGATCCATTTTGTGACATCTTTGTTGGCGTAGAAGGAGCTGGCTTTTTACGATCTAACAATTGCTCAGCTGCATTAGGCACAAGGGCATTTTTGGCTTTTGAGTTGACAAACATGGTGAATGCATTAAATCCGCCCACAAGCCAATTCAATCGACCGCCAAAACCTGCCTGATCGAATTTACGCAAAAGCCCAGTCAAACATGGGCCACCTCCTCCGGAAGCCGGCTTGCCTGCCTCTGAAACATGTCGAGTATCTGTATCCAGGACAATAATACGTTCAATTGCGCTGATTTCGTTGTTGTCTTTCACCTGAGAATCAACTGCGTCTTTTGCATCAGATTTACGTGGTCCTTTTCGCCAACCGCTGAATTTAGCTTGATCTTCTTCTGAAGTCAACATTTCTTGCTCTATCCTTTCTACACTCACTCCTGCTCGCTTCAAAAGGGTACTGGGAGCACAAACATTGATACTGCCTTTGACTCGCGCCAGTGCATACGACGTTGAAGGTCGTATATCGATAATGAGTGTGCCGTCTGCCGGTGAGTGCGTTCCATCATTCTTTGCTGAATCGAGCAACAAGTCGACCAATGCGTTCACTTCGATTGCTTCATACCTTGCCAAATCTTGTGCAGAGATGGACGAAGAAGCAGTCCGAGTTGAGGAAGCGCTGCCGCCAGATTGAATCCTTGACATAGGTTTGAACGTGGGCGGCACTACCAAGTTACTACTGGACGCACCAAAGAGGTCTTTCGATCCTCGATCTGAAGGATGATGCAATGGAGTTTGCACGGGGTTAGCAGCGCCTGTCAATGGACCCGAATTACCGAAAAAGTTAGACCAAGGATGTTCACTTTTTGGAGGTTGAGGCGCGAGGGACGATGATGATGACGCTTCGAACGGATTACTCATCTCGAAGGGGTTGGAAGGTTGAGGTGCTGCAGAAGCAAAATAATCGTTTGAAGTACCTTCGCCAAATCGTGGCCCGGAGAATTGAATGGATGCTTCTGAGATACTTTGTGAAGCTTCACTGCTATACGTAGAAGAGCCTATCGAGCCATTGCTGTGATTGGCAGCGATTGACGGACGCTGTAATCCACTTGCAGACTCCATTTTCCGTGCGTATCACAGTAGCTGAAGACAGAGTAACAAAGTCGAGTCGAAGTGTATAGTATTATGTCAAACTTCCATCAGATTATCATCATCTTTGACGTAATGTGGCGAGATTGAGATTTTGTTGTGTTGAGATTGACGGACGAATAGAATGACTTCTATGATTGGATCTTGTTCGAATGAGAAAGAGTAGCTTGCTGTAAGTATGAGATGCTTCTAGTTGTTAATGATGATGGTTGTTGATGCCATCTATAGATCTTTTACCAGATCGTATGACTCTAATTGTCGGGAGATTGAAGTTAGAATTCGAGGTGGAGTAAAACTGCTGCTCTGGCTCTCCCTTAATAATGTACATACACAGGGAGTGCGTCTGATACCCCGACTACCCAATTATAGATTGCACACACACACACACGCGTAGATAATGCTGTGTGTGTGTGTGCGGTGCGTCAAAAGGCAATGTACCTGAACATGCGCAGCGCCCAATTAAGAGCGGCGTCTTGACGATACTTTTGAGGCCGAATAGAGTCTAGAATTAAGACCAAATGCCATCTCGGCCGATCGCGTAAAGGTAGGCACAAGCCATACACTACAAGAATGGGAAGTGTTAATATCTCACACCAACCACTACCACATCGCCAAGATGGTGCTCAACGATTTAGGGAAACGCATCAATGCAGCATTCTCAGAACTCTCTCGGGTACCCGTAGTGGATGATGCTGCTGTTGATGCTCTATTGAAAAACGTCTGTGCTGCCTTATTGGAAAGTGATGTAAACGTTCGATTGGTTCAAGGATTACGCAATAATGTTCGATCAAACGTCAAAGAACAACTCAATGATGGCGAAAAAGCATCAAGGTTATCAGAAGGACAAAGACGAAATATCGTTCAAAAGGCTGTATTCGACCATCTTGTACAATTGATCGATCCAGGCGTGGAACCATTCAAACCAAAGAAAGGAAAGCCAAATGTGATCATGTTTGTCGGTCTACAAGGATCAGGTAAAACTACATCTTGTACAAAATTGGCAAATTATTATAACAAAAGAGGATTCAAGACTGGTCTTGTTTGTGCTGATACCTTTCGTGCCGGTGCTTTCGATCAATTGAAACAAAATGCAGCAAAAGTCAACTTACCATTCTATGGATCTCATACAGAAACTGATCCAGTTGCTATTGCTGCCGCAGGTGTTGCTTCATTCAAACAAGCAAAGTTCGAAGTAATAATTGTTGATACATCCGGTAGACATAAACAAGAAGGAGAGCTATTTCGTGAAATGGTGGAAATCGGAGAAGCAGTTGAACCTGATCAAACAATCATGGTATTAGATGCAAGTATCGGTCAAGCAGCTGAAGGTCAAAGTAGAGCGTTCAAAGAAGCTGCTGGATATGGTGGTATCTTTGTTACCAAACTTGATGGTCATGCAAAAGGTGGAGGTGCAATCTCAGCAGTAGCAGCAACAAAGACGCCAATCTTGTTTATCGGTTTAGGTGAACATATGACAGATATTGAAGTGTTTAGACCGCAACCTTTTATCAGTCGTATGTTGGGAATGGGTGATATTTCTGGCTTGATGGATAAAGTACAAGAAGTGGAAATGGCAAATCCAGAAAGACAACAAGAAATGCTCAAAAAGATCGAAGAAGGAGGAACATTCAGCATTCGAGATTGGCGTGAACAATTGGGAAATATAATGAGCATGGGACCTTTGTCTAAATTGGCAGGCATGATACCCGGCGTTGGCCAAATGCTAGCAGGAGCAGGAGGAGGGAATGATGAAGAGAGCGGTAATAAGATGAAAAGAATGATCTACATCACCGACAGTATGACAAGAGAGGAGCTTGATTCGGTTGGAAGTTTATTCTTTGCACCCGTAAAGACGAAAGCCATTCGAGCAGAACAAGAAAAGCAGTTGGCTTTGCACGAGGCTGAAGGTTCCAAAAAAGAAGGAAAGAAGCCAAAAGTCAAAGTGCCAGTCCGTATGACAGCAAGAGCACGACGGGTAGCAAAAGGAAGCGGAACAAGCGTACGAGAAGTTGAAGAATTTTTGATGCAATACCGAATGGTATCACGTATGGTGAAATCCATGGGTGGTAAAGCAGGATGGATGAAAAAGATGCAAGGGGGAGCTGGAGCTGGACGCGGAAGAGGCGGAATGCCAGCTCCCGGTCAATTGCCCCCGGGAATGTCAAGAGATCAAGTTGCACAAATGCAAAATATGTTACCGCCAGAAATCAAAGCACAACTGAGACAACCTGGAGGAAGAGAGAAATTATTGCAACAGCTACAATCCGGTAATATGCCTCCAGAGATGGCCAGTATGATGGGAGGTATGGGGGGAGGAATGCCAAATTTGGGTGGATTAGGAGGATTGGCGAATATGATGGGAGGTGCAGGTGGAATGGGTGGATTACAAAATATGATGGCCAGTATGATGGGAGGAGGCGGAGGCGGTAACCAGCAGAGATAGAAATAAGATTATGTAAGATACAATCATACGAATCGCATGAGCAGCCTTGATCTGCAATAGCGAGTTGTTCATTGTCTAGATCTCAAGAGAAGATTTTGCGTTACAGATTGTGATTGACGAGGACACGCATCCCCGGCTTTGTTCGGAAAAGCGGCTTTTGGAACTATCCGTTGAACGATGTGAGAGCGTGTGCCTGGGACCGGAATTTGCGTGTGCCGACTAAAAGTTGAGCTATAAAATAAGAGTGGAGTGTGGGGAATTAGAAAATTAGAGTTTCATTGTTCTCTTTAACATCCAAATAGACATCAAAATGAGCGGTGGTATTCGTATCGCAGTACGACATAGTGCTAACAGGTGGGCAAATCAATCATGTTCGTTGCCAAGGCTACCACATCGATTGATATCCACAACAACTATCATTAGAAGCAAAGAAGGAAAAAGTTCAGCGAATTACAAAGAATGGGCATCAAAAGAGGCAATAGAAGCATTGGAAGGCTTCAAAGCTCGATACGCTGATTTGAAAACGAGCGATGGCTTGAAACCAGCTTCAACATTCTATCAACAAATTGATGCCAATCAAATTCATCTCTTACGAATCACACAGGCAAATATGGTCCCTTTGAATATCTTGAGAACACATTTAGGATCGCATGGAGAGAAAGGATCAGATTATGAAACAAAGTTGAGGGAATACGAAGAAGACATCTTAACGGGAGAAGGTGCATTGGCCAATGGCATTCTTGCAAATGGAATCCCGACGGGATCTCTAGTGATTCCGACTGAACATTTAGCATTTTTCACTCCACGAGTTTCGTCTACTTCGTTAGGATTAGATGGTTCAGATACACCTTTCAATCCACCCGGAGGAATCTTTACGAGAAGAATGTGGGCAGGCGGTCGAATGGAATGGACGAAAGAAGCAAACGATCCGGCCAAAAGGATGAAAGTAGGTGATCAAATATGGGAAAAGACGTTCGTGGAAGAAGCAGAATTGAAGAAACTAGGAGATGGAGGAGAGATGATTCTGGTTTGGGCAAGGAAGGAATTCGGACAAAAAGATGATCTTGAAACACCTGTATTGATCGATAAAAGATCTTGGATTTATAGACGTGCTTTAGATCCTTCAAAAGTTAAACAATCAGAAACACCTTCAATCAATCTTTCAAAGCCGGATTTATCCTCTCTAACGCCTCCAGAAGGTCTACAGAATCCTACCTTGCTATTTCAAACACCGGCGAATCTTTTCCGTTATTCAGCATTGACTTTCAACGCTCATGCAATTCACCTTTCTCCACCTTGGGCACAAAATGTAGAAGGACATCAAGGTATAGTGGTCCATGGACCTTTAAATTTAAGTTTGCTGATTCGGAAATGGGGTAGAGAGATTGCAGGTTGGCGTTTAAGCAATCATGGTGAATTCAAAGACGTTCATCCTACACAAGATAGAAGGGTACTGAAGAGCGTTGATTATCGTGCCAAGAAACCAGTCTATGCTGAACAACCTTATTGGATCGGTATTCTGGAAGATAAAAACAATCAAGGTGATCATCAACATACAGTTGTGGCTATGCAGCCTGACGGAAAGGTTCTCATGGAAGCCACGATTACTTCCGAAGTAGAGATAGGTTCCAAAGCTTGAGAAGGGAAGATATCTTGTATAGAAAGAGTGTTGATGAATTGTTATATATCATTCTCGGCATTATTCGGAGTATGACTTTAGAAGATTGTCTATGAGTAAAACGCGGGGTAGTGTAATCTATTCTTGTGGGTGCACTACGACTGTATTTCGGATAAAGCGCTTTGAGAAAGTATCGGATCCTTTTTATTACTCACACTTTCCAATGTATGCTCACTATCATCATCATTTCAACATGTTTCCAGCCATACAAAGATGTCAAAGAGGCATCCTTCAGTCTGGTGTTCGTCATATGAATCGCACAGAAGTGTCTTCTTATGGCAAAGCTGCCCTAAGACCCAGCTCTGCTTTTCCGAACAAAAGATGGATTTCCTCCACTCCATCAAATCGATTAGCATCAAAAGGAGCTGGAACGCCATTCGATGCACCTTTTCTGATGGCATCTCAAAGTGGATTATCTGAATCTCAGCTGGATGTTCGTGAAGCTATTCGCCAACTCACTTCTCAATTCTCAAACGATTATTGGCGTGATTGTGATAAAGAATCCAGATGTGAGTAGAATGTCAATACTTACTTAGCTTTGCTGAAGCTGATCACATTTTGCACTCATCACAGATCCACACGAACTGTACGACGCTTTAAGTGAAGGACAATGGATCGGGATCACGCTACCAACGCAATATGGCGGTGCAGGCTTAGGGATTTCAGAAGCAGCAATGATGTTACAAACGATTGCAGAATCTGGAGGAGGAGTTTCAGGAGCACAAAGTATACATGCCAATGTGTATCCGATCATGCCTTTGATAGAATTTGGTTCGGAAGAACAAAAGAATGATTGGTTACCTCGCATTCTCGATGGTAGAATCAGAAGTTGTTTTATGATTACTGAACCGAACGTTGGATCAGAAACGCTGAAGATCAAGACTACGGCACGTAAAGAGGGAAACAAATGGATCATCAATGGGCAAAAGGTGGGTTAAGCTTACCTTGCGACAATTCGTTCAATTACTGACCCTCTTCCACTTTACAGATCTGGACATCCTCTGCTCAAGTTGCTTCACATGGTGTTATTCTAGCACGTACCAGCGAGCCAACGTCCACTTCAAGATCGGCAGGATTATCACTCTTTTTCGCACCTCTTCGCAATTCCGCACCAAAGACACCCAAAACGCAAGATGATGAAAGTAGTGCATTACGTAAAGGAATCGAGATGCACAAGATTGATAAGATGGGAGGAAATGCAGTTGATGCAAATGAAGTTTGGTTGGATGAATTTGAAGTTTCGGAAGATTGTTTGATTGGAGAAGAAGGAAAAGGATTCAAGAAAGTCTTGTTTGGAATGAATGCAGAACGGGTGCTACTGGCGGCGGAATCATTAGGGACAGGCTATGCTGCTTTACGACAAGCAGTCGATTATGCAAGTCAAAGGGTTGTCTTTGGCAGAGCTATTGGTCAATATCAAGGTGTTCAACATCCATTGGCAATGGCTTGGGCGAATCTAGAAGCTGCACGTCATTTAACGTATGCTGCTGCAAAGCTATACGATGAAAGAGGAGGAACGCCAGAACAGATTGGAGCACAAGCGAATTCAGCCAAACTTGTGGCAAGTGAAGCAGGCTTCAAAGCTTGCGAAGCAGCATTGATGAGTATGGGAGGAATGGGATATGCAAAAGAATATCATGTTGAAAGATATTTGAGGGATAGTTTCGTGCCAAGATTGGCTCCTGTTTCGTGAGTAGAAAAAAGTTAATAGAGCTGAAGGATAGAGATACTGACTTCTCTCTTCTTATCAGACGAGAAATGGTGTTGAATTACCTATCAACGAGCGTATTGAAATTACCCAAGAGTTATTGAATGATATCATCATCTTTTCATTGAGCAATGTCATAAAGTTTTGTTTGTACTCGGACTTCCATGTCTGTGGTGGAGGCGTGCGGACGGGGAGGCGGGGCGTTTTACGCCGCACTAAGTGTCAAAATAAACTCCGTATGTCTCCCTTGTTTAGCGTGGAAAGAATGAAACTTCCAGACGGATGAATGCAGTAAACAGTCCGCAAACATGAAACAAACAAACTCTTGACCGTCATCCGATCTTGTACTGTGGCTGTGGTGATCCGAAGCTTTGTTTGACATAGCTCAATATTGTTCCCAAGCTATAGTCGAGTGTTTATTGACAGTTCCTGAATTTGTCTCCTGTCTGACAAGGCAAGGTATATAAACAAGGGTAACCCATTCATCAATCAACGACCTCCTCCCCATCCTTCCATTTATCCCTCACCCTCAGCAACGTATCTTCCACCCTTTCTCTTACTCTCTCACAATGAAGAACTTTGGCGGTGCAACATTGAGCCTATTGGCCGCCACCCTCTCCGTAGCAGCTGCTGCTCCAACCATTCAATTAGTCTTCTCTCGTTCAGATGATGCATGTACAGCATTTGGAGAACCAGGGTTACTCAAATTGAAGGATGCAAACGGACACATGAACGGCACAGTCTTAGCCGAAGGAACATTCTCTGCAACGGGAAACGAACAAGGGAATACAAATTTGATCACCCAATTCGAACAATGCGATTTTGATGGTTACAATTATCAACAAGGATCTTCACGTAATTCAGGCGGAAGTATGGGTGCTCCGATTGAGTACTTTGGTCGGGTAACAAGAGGATCAGATTGCTTGACTGCTTCTACCACAGATATCGGGGCAGATGGTAATGCGTTCCGATACAACCCCTGTTCAACAGAAGACGATGAAATCAGATTAAAACAATTTTTCACTTATCAAATCTCCGCAACGGAAAGTATTGATATTGGATTTGTTGGAGCAAAGAATGACACGCAAAATCCGTATAAAGGTCCTTATGGATGGACTGCAGGTCCCAAATTTAGCCCTGCATGGCCACGAGTCATTCAAGCTTCTGATCAAAAACATGATTATGAACTTGAACTTGTCTCTTCCTCCGATTAGATACAAAACAATCAGCACATTTCGCATAACCTTGTAGCCTAGTATAACGCAGCATTTTTGAGCATCCCTGTCACTTTGATCCATAAGCAACGTGCATTGACTCGGCAATTGTTCTGTCGACTTGACACAATCTTTGAGATTTAAAGACGTGAAAGCAGAACAGAATCGCTTCTTGTCGCTCCGAGATTACTTCGCAAAATGGTCCGAGCATAGAACGCTCTGAAAATGGCTGACCTCTGCTTCTCTTCATTCTTTTCGTTCTCTACCATCAACCACGTTTCCTTTTTACTACTATGAAAAGTTTCATTTTGACCTACTTTCTACTCTTGGTCACTTTATTGATCGTGGCGAAAGCTACACCTTTTACCGGATCAATCTTAGCTCGTAATGATGACTATCCATGCTCACGATTCGGGGGATCTGGCTTACTCAAGCTCGGTAATAACGGTACCGCACTGTACAAAGGCTTCTTCTTCGTTGTTACAGATGACGAAAAGGGCGATGAAAGTTTGCGAGTTAGATTTGAAGATTGTACTTTTCCCGGTTATGGTTACACGCAAGGATCTTCTAGAAATTCACATGGAAGTATGGGCGCACCTGTGGAATTCTTTGGCATTGTGAAACATCAAGACAAGTGTCTTACTGCATCTACAACAGACATCGAGCCTGATGCAATTAATTTTTTTCGCTTTCAAAACTGTTCAATTGAAGACGACAATTTGCGATTGAGACAATTCTTTGCTTATCAAATTGGCTCTCAAGTACCTGATATTGCATTCGTTGGAGCAAAGAATACTACTGAAAAGGTATATAAAGGTGCTTACAGTTGGACAGTCGCTCCGAAGATCAGCAACAGCTACCCTAGACCGATCAGAGCTTCATCCAACAGTACAGAGTACGTCCTGTCATTTGTGACCGGAGAGTAGGGTCATTGCATAGTCAGGGACACCTCTGACACAACGAAACTCATCGATTGAGGCCATAGACAATTGAACTGATTCTAGCAGAATGAGAAACCTATCAGCATCTCCACGATAATGAATGTCATTTGATCGTGAACGAGTCTTTTGAGTAAAATTACAATATATATTCATCTTCGTTCGCCTTCTCGTCTCGTTTCGCCAAATCCCAATAAGAAGCTCTCTTGGATTCCAAAGCTTGTTTAGCATCATAATCGGTTTCACATTTTCGTGCTTGAAATCCACTTTCAAATCTACGTTCCCGAATTGGACCTTCGAATAAGATTCTACAAAAGTTTTCCGGCCAATTTATGTTATTCAACAATTCATCTTGCTCATTCATGCTGAGTGTGTTCGAAGATTGCGTTGCAGGCGTACCAATGTCCGACAAATTGTCGATACCATCCGATGCTTTCGGTCTTCCAGGATCTTGCCAATCGATTCTGTTCATCATCAAATGCCTGTACGATTTGATCGCCTTTTGACCTCCTTCCACAAACACCAGAGCAAAATCTTTGCCAAACAAAGTCATACCCGTCAAGCCCAGTTGCAATGCATTTTTGCGTACTTTGAATTTATGTGAAGGACTAGCAAGATGTTTGATTTTGAACACGAGCGTAAACAATCCTTTTGATAAATCTTTTTGTTTTTGTTCTTCCAGCTTCGCCTTTCTTTCTTCATCTGTTAACTTTCTCTCTAGATTATTTTGTTCATGTTGCTCTTTACGTGCTGCCACTTCTCTTCGTACCCTTGCTTCCACTTTGGTCGGATCTGCGATTGCTTCTGACGTCAACACTCTCATCAAATTGCTCAATTTGACCTTCGGTGGATCAGGTGCTTGTAAGCCCATCTTAATTCGATCCCTCTTGTCTTCCTGCTCAGCTCGTCTACGCATCCTCCTCATCTTTTTCATCTCCTTCTTCGTCAGCATTACGCCTCGTGGCTCAATTTTGATCTTATCTGATGGTGCTGGGATAGGGATGGGATGTTGTATGTATATATCCACAGGCGAGCCTTCTCCTTCTATCAACACAGAACCAGTATCTTTGCCTTTTCCTTTCTCCACACTAAGTGATCGCACAGCATCGTACGAATCTTGACCGGGTAAGAATTGTTGATCCCACCATTCTACACCTGGCGGTTGAGGTCTTCTAAGTGCACGTTCTTCCGCCGTCAATTCATCCAAGCCGGCTTTACGTGATTGTTCTTCAATTCGTCTCTTTAATTCTTCCATTTGTGCTTCCCTACGTGCTTCTTCGGCTGCTCGAATATGTCTGCCTGGCGCATTGAATTGCATCACCCTCCTCTTTGCACGAGCACGAGGCATGCTTCCTTCTCCTTCCTCTTCGTTTGTGGCGGGTGTCAAGTATGGGTTCACATCCGTTGGCGCTGCTGCTTTTGCGATGGAAGACGGTCCAGGGAAAGGTCTTCCTTTGCTGCTGCTTGCATTCAAGCCATTGCTTCCTCCTCCATTCATTAACAAAGGGTGAAGACCAGTTGGTTTGGCTTCTTCATGTCGTACTGGAGGTGGCGGTCTCGATGATGTCCGATTCCCTGACAATGTCCCTGCCTTTCGTCTAGCCTCATCAATTCGGGCTTGCATGGACGCAGGATCGAATCCGGTAGGTCTACCAGGTCTGCCGACACTTGTTACATTGCTGGTGGGAGCATGCTGCTGACTGCTAGCATTGATTGTATTTGGTGGCGGTCTAGGACGGGGTGCTGAGAGTCCATTCGATGCACCACCAGCAGAAGGAGTCGGAGGACGAGCTTGATTTAACGACGTGTTATTTGCCATCAAAGCTGCAAATCTGGCTTTGGCAGCTGCAATTTGGGCTTGTACATCATTTGTATTTGATCCACCAGGCGGTCTGCCTCCTCCATTTACCTCATCATGAGATCTCTTTGGAGCCATCTTTTGCCAATATTTTATCTTCGTACCTCACCACCCCATCGCAAATCAAATTTTAGTGGATGGTATGCAAAAGTATACGAACAACACTTTTTATACGCCGTGCAATACGCGTAAGCTCAGCTTAAAATCAATCTTTCCACTCAGTCATAACGTCAAGTGTATGTGTGCGCAGTTTTTTGTCAAAATCGCATAAGAATGTGTATTGATTCAAATATTCACAGTAAATTGATAGGTGAGTATGAGCAATAGCAGATTAGCATTTGAGAGAAAAAAAGCATAAGAGGAGAAGGGGATATGATGATAAAAAAAACAGTCTCAAGTCACAATTGCTGTAGAATGCCGTGTATAATGTGACCAATGACGATGACGGAGAAATTATATGCCAAATGATAACCAAGCCTAATTATCATTTGGAGAAAAAACCGATTAAAAAGTAATACTGTACAGCGAATAACGTATGATGACCAAGCTTGCCCGTCCAGGGTTCACGGTAAAGATGCCTAAACGAAGCGAATAAATTGTTTGCGAAAAGAAGAAAGACCGTCAGGCAAGAAGAACCCCACGATAAGTCTGGTATCATTTTGATTGTATGATGGAAAATAGGAAGCCATAAAACCCGTGTATATTGTTTTCGTAATTATGTCGTTAATTGAGATGTGCGTCTTGCAAATCGTGTGCCAGCACGCCAGTAGCCGTGATGTGCGATCCATATCCTTGGGAGCTAGAAGTGATATCCTTCTTGGTGGCAGCAATGGCCATGTTACTAGGAGCAACATAGCTATCATCGCTACAAGGATCAATCGTGCTACTACTGTCATTAGATAGACGATTCAAGGCCTTTGCATCATATGATGATGGTGCCGGCCAGACTGGAAATTCATTGGCCGGCGTAGGCAAATCTGTAGACGTATCGCTGGTCACGCTGCCGTTCGATCTTTGTGAGTCGCGACGAAAGAACCAGTTATCCGCATCAGGTGTTAACAAGGGCGTTTCGTATTCGTCCCCATCGCTACTACCCTTTGAAGTCGACAACGTGCTGCTGCCATTGCTGTTGGAGCTAGAGTTGCGAGATGCATTCAATGGCGATCCAGCCTTCATCGACAAAAGCCAATTTGGCCGTGTGGCCAGTCGGTAAGGGGATGAAGGACTTGTGGGACTTGTTACAAATTGATCGCCTGCATCATGGTTAAGACCTTGAGTGACCAACCAAGCTGGCGAGCTTGTTCGATGAAGCGCGCGTGGACGTTCAATAGTGACCTTCGCGGCACCTGAATCGCTGAGATCGCTCTGTCCCTCCAAATTGTCCATCTCACGTTGAATTTGTTGACTCAATGTACGCTTGCTGATAGTCAATGATGCGTTTCTGGAATGTTTTGGTCTGACTTGAGACAGGTCCAAAACTCTACCTCTCGCACCAAGAGGAGAAGACGGTGGTTCACCAACGTGATCAGATTCAGTTGTCTCTGTTGATATGGTAGATTGTGACGAGCTTTTGATGATATCTTCTTCGCTAATATGATCGTCCTCCGTCTTCTCTAATTGACGACGACGGGAAGATGAAGGACTCCAAGTGCCTGTCCTTGCAACAGCAATGGCACCACTCTTTCTCAAAGATGCTCTTGTTTGAGCGCGCAACATCTTTTCAAAGTCAGCACCCCGACAAATATCTGGACAAGGTGCACGAATTGTGGCATTGGCAGGAAGGTAGAAGAGTCTTTCTGATCTTGAGATCGTTGGTGGCAGTGGTGGCATGATGGAATCGCCATTGATCGAGATCGTGTTAACAGAGTTTGCCGCATTGAAAGCTTCATGAGCCAAAGGGCAGATGTAGTGCTCCATGTCTTGGAAACGGACTGGCTTACCAATCATACCGTCCATGCCAGCACGACGATAAGCTAATTCTGGTTCATCACCAACAGCTGTAGTGACGGCGACAATGTGCACACTGCGATTGGCTTCCAATACACCATCTTCACCGTTGCGAATTCTGATAGATGTATCCAAACCGCTCAAGAAAGGCATTTGAATATCCATCATGATGCAATCGAAAACATTCGTGCGCAACAATTGAATAGCTTTCAAGCCACTATCGACAGAGACTGGTGTTCCCTCTACCATGGGACCGAAACGACGTTTAAGCAATGTGCTGAGCACACTGAGATTGATGCGATTGTCATCGACAAGCAATACGCGTAATTTGCGGTATGGAACATCGCTTGCCATTGTTGAGCAAAGGTAGTGGTGGTGGTGGGTGTGATTCGTAATGGTGATCGATAATAAGTCGAGAGGGAAAAACAGGGAAACGTGGATATGCCGCTGATCGTAGCCTATGGGACGATACTTACGCAGCAAATACGTTAAAGGAGTTGGTTGAGACTGATTTTGGACGTATATATCCTACTCGAATTTGGTCGAATGGACGTGCGCTTGTAGATAGAACAGACACACGTCTAATGGATGAGCACGTCAATCGAGTGATATAGTCGAACCGATTATTGCGGAAGGTCCAATTGACTATGGGGTGAAAAATCAAAGGACACAGCTATTCGAAGCTGAGTGCTGTCCTATTGATTAATCGAAAATGTTGAATCGATAAGTTCTGTCGGAAGCCCAGAATTGTGGGTCTTAATCTGAACAAAAACTTTCGTTGAATCGTATTGGTGGTGTTCAATAAAGGATGATGGATTAATCTTTCCCGCTCTTACGGAAATTTTTCAATTGCCCTTCCATGCACGGCTGTACAGGCAACGCATAAAAATATATGCGCGCGTAAGCTCAGTGTTTGTTATTCTTGCTACGGAGATCGAAACACGCATTTTACTTGGCCCCACGGAGGTGTGACTGTATGACAAACACGCCAAGCGGGCAACATTTTCCTTGTATTTTTTTTTTTCAATACGCCACCGACTGAACTCATACGAGTATTGAGTGGCGCTCAGTCGCGTATGCGATCTTGATTTGAAAGCATACAGACGATCCGCCCCCTTTGTCCGATCTAGACGATAGAACACGCTAGGGGAGGGAGTGTTGCGTTGCTTGCTTGGCTAACTCCGAAGGGTACTACTTGATCGTAAGGGACGAACAGCATACGCGTCTTGCCACTCAGATCGAGTCAATTGGTGGATTAGCCCAGGCCGTAAGACGAAAGACGACTCTTACTTAATCATTGAAAGCCACAGCTAACAAACAAGGATAAATGAATGTCTCATGAGCGTTGATTAGATATTTATTCATCAAGCTTACGCGTTTGTGTCCGGAAGAGTTTTAAAGGGAAGCACAGCACACAGCATACATACCTGCTTCTTTTGTGTGATCCATCAATTCTATGACTTGCAGCTAGTCCAATCCGAAAAGGTAAGTCTGTGGAATGGAAGGGAAATGTTTAATTGCCTCCACGAACCTCCTTTTTGCTATTCGATTGAGCAAAGGTGGCTTTTCTGCCGATTGTGGCTGTGAGAAAGCAAGGTGAAGGTGTATTATCGGAACGTTCACTCAATACATTCTCTCTCCTCTTCATGTCCCGATCCCAGTCAAACAGTCTCACCTAGGAGTAAGCTGACAAGAAGGAAAGGATAAGGGTGGATAAGCTAGGAGCACTGATCCGATCCTGAATTGGCCAAAGTGGCCTAAAATAAACATTATACCTCAGGGTGCCGATGGCATAGGAGCTAGAAACCGGACTTGCTTCCCACTCCTAAGATAACCATCTTTCCCATAAAAAAGGATGTCTGAACTTAGACAAAGGAGACAAGCACAAAGGGAGAGGAGTCAAGAAAGATTGGAAAATAAAGCTCAAAATGGAAACAAGTACAGTTTAATCTACATTCTTGTCGGATTATTGGCTGCTTTAGTGGTCCTTTTGGTTTTGCTTGAGTGGATGTTGATCATGCTATAAGATAGGGGGCACAGATCGTGCAATTCTCATTGTAGATCGAGCATTTTGTATTTCTACAAGATATAGTATTGATTGCCATATTCTCATTCTTTATCCATCATCCATCATCATCAGCACAAAGCGGGTAAGAAATGACTTGACCGCATTTAGGCACCGAAAAGTAAGAAACGCGTGCGCTTGCCCTTTGCCTCATTTTTACGACCCGAATCAAGGCACGAAAAGTGGTGGAGAAATGCATGTGTGTGGATGTATGCGTGCATAACTCTAATAATAATTAAGCGCAGCACAGCGCTACGCCGAAAAGAACAAAAAACTCATTTATGTTGCTATGAATAATATCATCCACAAGTTCCTAACAATTCGCCACGATCTTGACACAAATATTCGCGAATAATCTATTGATAGTACCAGTAAAGGGGGAAATCTCAAAATAAACGGCCAATTAACCCGAGGAACATCTCTGTTTTTCTTGCAGCGTGCTCCTATAAAGACACATAAAAGTACTTGATGTTCTCTTGAGCAAAGATGGCTTATTACCATCATTTTGCAGGTTGGTCTTTCATCCTTGTGGTGATAGGATTGGGTGAGTAATAAGTAATTGGAAATGGTGATCTGATGGTGGTTTTCTGACCTTATCTGTACTGTCTCTCCAGTCATCTTCTACACAAAGTCAAATTTGATTAAACTGTTACAGGAAAGCTTTCAAAACCGAATGAGTTCTCTACAAGCATCCTCCACTCCCGGTGGCGGTAGCAGTGTTGCACGAACACTCTATTCACGTTTACCAACGTATGATTGGTCAAGCGCTCGTCTTGGAGGTCTTCATTCAACTCTTTTTGATATCGAAGCAAATATTCGCGATGGCGATCAAAGGACAGGTTTGGAAGCTGCAGGTGCACAAGAGATTGAACGTTTGATGTCTACGCAGGGTGTTGTGAGTAGAGAAAGGGAAGAAGCAGCTTGATGAGAAGAATTAAGTACTGACTAATCGTTTCCCTTACAGGATTTTGATACTGCCCGCCTAATGCTCAATCGACAAAGATTCTCAAAGCACAACATCGATCCTAGAACTGGTATGCCACTAGACAGCAAGGCAGTCACTTTTGAGAGTTTGCGATAGACCTCATTCTCGCTTTTTTACAGTCACCGTTTATTGTACATTATACGATTTCGCTAATTGACCCGTTTGGTTTTCATTGATAATATTCATTACTGCATACATACTGCGAAGAGAGAGAGAAAGAAAGAGTGCAAACATTTTAACCCAAACGTAATCCCAAAACAAGACCAGCCAAGAATGTTCCTCGGCTTGGGAAATCAGCAGTGAGGAAGTGAGTGAAACGGTTCCAAATTCTAGCAGCGGTAGAATCTCTCCAGCCGGAAGCAGGTTTGTCTACCTGAACGGCATCCTTACCTGCTGCGCTATCGACAGCTGAATCATAACGTCTTCCAAGAGCTTTCCAATCAACTTTGACGATCTTTTGTGTGTTAAGGTATTGTAAAAGAATGAAACCACCACCTAACAAGAATGCAACGAATTTTAAACCTTTTTTGATAAAGATACCAGCGCAAATACCACAAACCGAACCAAAACCAAGATTGTAAACGTTTACATCACTTTTTGGTAGGTTTTTTCCATCATCTCCGAATGGCATCGCATCATTTGCGTCTTGGGGGATCGAATAACCTCTAACCGAATCGGGACCGCTGGATTGGTTCGTTTTGAGCGGATCCCAATCTAACATCATTTTGCGCGTTGATTGACTAACGGCGAACAAGCCAATTCCAACACCACCAATCAAGGCAAGCATTCTACCCGATTGACCTTTCTCCGAACCGAAAGAGGCAGATGGGGAAGGTGCGGTGATGGCAATTGGTTGTCTTTGTGTTGCATTACGGGCAGGTTGAACGTATGATCGAGTACTGAGTCTGAAACTTAATCCAGTTTGTGAGCTTGAGAATGGTTGTACATTGTGTCGAATGAGACCGACTGCCCTTCCTGGAACGGTGAGATTCCACATCTTTGATCAATACAAGGTATTTAATGATGGACAGAGGGAAGCTGGTAATGTAGGGTCGGGTACTTCATGTAGAACGCGAGAACGTCAAAAGTGGAGTAAGGTGCTGCTTACCTAAGCGCGAAGGAAAGCGTGTTTTTTGATTGCAATAAGGATTTGTGTGTTCCTTTTTGATATCTTTAACCATCAACCATGCAGGATGGCCAACTCAACGGCCCGTACGGCCAAACAGATTCATGGCACCAATCCGCAATTCCTGATCGAAAAGGTCATCAGGTCTCGCATCTATGACTCACCTTATTGGAAAGAACATTGTTTCGCTTTGAATGCTGCTTCATTTGTCGATCGAGCATTGAACGATTTGACTTATATTGGCGGCACATATGGATTACAAAAGCCAACGCCATTCATTTGTCTCGTGTGTAAGTTGCTACAAATTCAACCCGATCGTCAGATCATACTGGAGTACCTTCGACATAAACAGTTCAAATACCTTCGTGCAGTAGCTGCAATGTACGTCCGACTTACGTTTACCCCTTTAGACGTCTTTGAAACTTTGGAACCACTTTTGAACGATTACAGTAAGCTACGATTCAGGCAGATGAACGGACAGTACACCCTAACGTATATGGATGAATTTGTAGATCAATTACTCATTGAAGAACGGGTTTGTGAGTTGATCTTACCCCGACTAACAAGAAGGGATGTTTTGGAAGAAGTTGAAGGTCTTGTGCCACGCATAAGCAAGCTAGAAGATGCGATGCTATCAAGCACATTGCAGAGAGGCGATCAAGATAGCGATGCTAGCAGTGATGATTCAGCTAGAGCAGAGCGGGAAGAAAAACAAAAGAGAGTACAAAGAGCATTAAAGATTCGGCAGACACGCAAAGAGGAAGAAGAGAGAAGGGCAAGAATACTCGAAAATGCCAAAAGTACAGCACGAGCAAAAGAGGAGAGTGGTGAGAGTGAAGGTTCGGATGAATTCGGATCTCAGGAAGAAAGCGATCAAGAAAGACTCGTCAGCCGTAGCCCTAGTCGAAGCGGCAGCGAAAAGAATAGATATCAATCTCGCTCACCCAGTCGTAGCCCGGATCGTCAATCGGGCGGCTACATAAGTCGAAGTGTCAGTCGAAGTCCTGATCGAGGCTGAGTAAGACATTCCCATATCAAGTCTGTACATTACTACATTACACTGTAAATTATCTGTTGTACACTATCATACATCGCAATTATAAAGCATCCCATCCTGCAAGATCTGTATCATCTTCCACTTCTTCCTTGACAGCGGGGACATGGCTGATGTTGGCAGCTTTTGCGGCATTTAATTGTAGAGAGCCGTTGTCAGAGGGCTCTTCTTTGACGATCACCTTGCTCGACTCGTCCTCTTCAGTTTTGACTGGGATTGTCACCTCAATACCAGTTCCAGCCTCCTTGTCTTGTGTTGCTGAGGTGATATCACTTGCATTAGGAACTGGCTGTTGCTTCAATGCCTCTTCTCTTTCCATCTCCCGCATCACTTCCAAAGCAGCCTCTTCTTCAGCAGCGTTCATCTCATCGATTGCAGATTCTGGTTCTTCTTGCAGATGGGGCTGCAAAGGTGGTGGTTGTTGAGACCCAACAACACTTTGTTTCTTTGCTGATTTTTGCAAAAGTTCGATTTGTTTCTTCCTTGCCATAATGAGCCGCTGTGCCCGTTCTGGATCAGTGAGATCGTCGTAATTGTTCTTTTGCTTTTGTGAAGCCGGTGTTTGAGAGGAACCAGCGGGTGATGAAACTGTATCGCGCTGTGATCGAATTGCATTTATCTTCTCATCCAATTCCACCAATTCCGTACGCAAGTCAATCATTGCTTCATTCACCATATGACGTGCCAAAGCCGCTTTTGCACATTCTTCTATATGTCTAAAACGTGCAGGACCAAGCATCGTACCTCCGTACCATCTACTCACGATCACCAAAACGTCCGTTGCACCATACATTTTTATTGCTTTTGCAATTTCTTTTGCTCCATACTTTTCGCCATCATCTTCTTGTCCTTCTTCTAAACCAAAATCTTCCGGTCCGCCCAGCCCATCGCGACCTCTTTTGAGAGCCAAACAACTCCAAGCATGCATGTCATGCGTTGCGCCTCTCCTATTGGGTGCTAGATGCTGCATCGCAGGAGGCAGTCGATCGGTAGGTATATGCTGAGGTTGCACAACTTTTGATAGGTGTGATAAACAATGCGTAATCTCTGCTTGAGAAGGTGCAGAAAAAGCATAAACGAATCCGACAAAAAGGGAATCTCGATCATTGATCATCGCTTCTGGACATGTGGATGGCCAAGCAGGTGGTTTGATACCCAGCCATTTATCCAGCCCTCCAGGTGCTTTATTCTGAACTGATGTTGTTGAAGGTTTGGATGCGTCCTTGTTCTTCCTCCTTGAGCGAAATTCTTCCCATAGTCGTTTCGCTTCTGCTCTAGTGGTTTCGTCCTCTGACTCATCCTCTGCTGTAGCTATAGCTTCTGCTTCGATTGTCTGTGATGGTGGAGTAGGTAATTTGTGTTGCTGATGTAGCTGGAAATTGGGTTTAGTGCTATTACGTTTTAGAGTGATTTTTCGTTTCTTGTTCTCTTTGTCGCCTGAGGTCGTCTTTTTGGCCGGCCTTGCAATTTCCTCGTCATCATCAAGATCCTGCATGTCACCTTCGCTGCTATCCGAATCCGACTCGTCGACCAATGCTCGTTTCTTTCCGTTTCCATTAGCTGTTTTCTGTTGCTTCTTAGTTGGTGGAACCCATTCATCCTCGCTTGTGTCGCTCAATCCTGCACTTTGATCATCATCATCTTCATCATCTTCATCCCGCCCTCCTTCTTCTTCTGATCCATCCACTTCTACTTCATCTTTGTACACCTCTCTTTTGGGATTTGTTTGCTGTCTAGAGCTTCGACGTAATGCTACCATGATAAGCAGACATTACCGCATACCAGTTTATTGTGCAATATATAGTATGGTGGAAGAAGGTAAAGAAGTCATGTCTAATTGTGGAGGATAGGCTTCCAAAAAAACAAGTCTCTTTTAAGTTACGCGATCTTTGCTTTCATTTTAAGCGCAGCGCGACTGCCCGCATAGAACCATATCCCTGGCTTTTGATGACATGTCTCCATGGTCAAAAGCTCATGCATTAGCGTCACTTTACTGCACTTGATGCTGGTACAAAAAAGAGTATGATCGATTTCATTGTTTTTTTTTTTTTCTCTGAGGAAGGTAAGGAGCGACTTTGGGTGGGTATCTACAATTGTTTGATGGTATAGGATTAAAAAGATCAATATATGACTTTATACAATGTATGATGGTAATTGAGAAAACGGGAAGGGAAACGAGAACATCAGGATCATAGATTGAGCATGTCGTTGAGAATCGGTAAGAAGCATATCATAAAGTAAATTGACAAAAGCGCATTGCATTGGCATAGAGAAGCTTGCTTAACCGTATAGGCTGCGGTTAAGATTGACAGCATCCTCACCACTATCGTTTAGCGGAGGAAAGACATTCAGGTTGGGAAAGCTGGAATACGTTGTTCGAGCAACTTCATTTTGCAATTCTTGATCAGCTTCCAGCTCACTTTGAATCACCGGTCCAACATTTGAGCTTTGTTGACCCAAATCAAGCTCTGATTGAGATTCAGACGCAGGTGAGTGACCTTCTCGGTTTTGCATTGGTGCAGGAATGTGTGCATTACGAGAAAGGTTCGAAAGGATTGGCGCTGTGAACCTAGGCTTTGCGAACATGACTTGCGCACTGATATTTTCATCCACTTCTTCCATAATCGGATCTACAGCAAGCCTGATCATATTTTCACTGCTCATGATCCTGCGTGAATTTGCTTTTTGCGATTCGGAATCCAAGCCTGGCGTACTTTTGGACATTCGCATATTACGACCGCTTGCACTTCTACCTCCAGAAGAGTAAGAAGGATGGCCCATCATGCCGTCATCATGCCTGTCATTATTGATGCCAATCTTTGCCGAAAGTTGAGCTTGGGCTTGTTCAATTGTTTTGTTTGCTGCCATACGCGCTGCACCACTGCTCATATCATATTCGCTCGTTGTAGTCTTGATCTTTCGCTTTTTGTCCAATTGAGCATACTCACATTTGATCTTTTTCTTTGCACAACGGTCGCATGGTAACCCACCAGTGCATTTTGCCTTTCTGCTTCTGCAATATTCGCATGCTTGAACAGTTCTCATCATTGCAGGAAAAAGTTCAATGATCTTGCCATCCGGAAGACGACCGTAAGATGCGCCTGCATGCATTGCACCTGGATTTAAACGTAAATCAGGCATATTGTTGGTATTGGCCATGAAGATTGAAGATGTAGCAATTTGACCGGGCAGGCCCATATGTGAAGTTCCTCGATGAGCTTGAGTTGGAACAGTGTAAGGCTGATAGCCATTTGTTCCCAATCTTTGAGAGCTGGCAGAACGACGCAGATCATCACTTGGAACTGGAACAGAGCCGTGATAATAGTGATGAGCTTGTTGGTGATACGATTTGCCGACTTCAGAATCATAACTCGTCACGCTCGTTGCAGCGCTTCCAAAGAATGGAGGTGGCTCAAGACCGCCATTTTGACTATGCATCATTGATGATGAATTGGAATGGGACATTTGACCTTGTGGATCAGCATGTGATTGAAAAGTATGATCATAGCTTTGAGCTTGTCCATAGTTGTGTTGGTTTTGTTGTTGATAGTACGGCTGTGATTGACCGTACGTAGAGGTATATGGCGGATTATAGTAATTGTTATGATACATGGGACCAGTTGGATGCGTTGGCGAGTTGAGAGCACCTTCAAAAGAAGTGATCGTTGGCGGGGCACTTTGACAATAAGGTGCATTTAAACCTTGTTGCATCGATCCATTGTGAGGATGAAGGTTTTGGGTATCATTTTGATGAGCAGATTGATCAAAGCTTGAATTGTTTGAAATTGGAAGCGTTGGATATTGCATTTGCTGTTCAGAATGGTGAATAGAATTATCTTTGCTTCGCGTTGTCATTGAATGCTCAGCTTTAGCAGCACCTTTTTCAACATTGTGTTGATCGATACGAACGCCATTCTCAGGCGAACCCATTTCCACTGATACTCCATCAACACTACCTTCGCTTGTCATTGCTGCAGGAGCTGTTGGGAAGAAAGGTGTGAACTTTCGATCGATCGTTTGCCTTTCACTTCCTTGTGATGGCGTTGGATAAGTACCATTCAATTGTTCTTCCTGCAATTTGGGTGAGACAACGTTGGAAGGATTGTTGTTGACCGTATTTGTACAGCCATTCTCAGAGTTAGACTCTGTTGGAGGTGTAGGATTTGCAGTCAAAGGCTGATTTGTAGCCTGACCTTCAACGAGTTGAGAGGGAATCTTTTTCTCGTTTTCATCAGCCATTGAGCTCAAAAAGATATTGTTCGCAATCTCTTCGGCAGTGGCATGAGGAACAGGATGAGGATGAGAAGTGATGTTTGAGTCATGATGTGTTTGTGAACTTTGTAAAGGTTTTGCAAGGTTCTCATCATCTTTTACAGCACTTTCAAGACTGTGCTCAAAGCCACATTCCTTTTGCTCGTTCTCCTCCTTCATCTTTTCCATCCCGGCCCGTCTTGTTTGCATGATGAACGTCCTATAAATAAGTTCGACTTGCTTGAGTTCCAGTACTGTGGCTGGGTTGAATCAAAACTGAGTAGAGGGGCAAGGTAACGGTATTGACGGTCTCCGTGATTGCGGGATAGATTGACGCGAATAATGCAACAATGCCGTATCTTGAGTGTATTGAGGGCCGTTGATTGATTGCGATAGATTCAATAAAGGTGATAGTTGTGCTTAATGAGTTTGAAGGGATGACGGAAGATGATGATGGTGGTGGTGGTGACAAAACATGATGACTTTCTTCAATCATTCTCTATACCCGTTGCGGTCTTTTGCGTTTTGTTAGAATTGAAATGCGCTGCTGTCACGTATTCAATACGCAAAAGATTGTTTGACTGACTGAGCCTCGCTTGGAATGACACGCACACAAACTGTCTTTTGGGGGTTTAATCGCGCCCAAACAGTACACATGAAGTGGTCATGCGTTTCATCACTGTTAAAATTTATTCCCTTTTGTCTTTTTGTTGTTTTTGTCAAGAATTCTTTCAATCATCTTTCGTTAAAGTCACACAAAATGAGTTGCAAAGGGACTTTCTCTCTCTGTGAATTTGCAATCATGAATAATATTCAACGGAGTGTAAATGTGAGCAAAACAGAACAATACTTGTACAAATGAATCCTTTGCTCATCCTTTCATTTCGGCGTGTATCGCGCCATGCTGGTATGGAATTAAAGTGAGAAGAGCGGCGCCGTTGAATGACGGAAATTGAATTTCACCGTTTTGAAGCTGAAGAAGTGAAGAAACTATGAAAATACTCTTTTGTAATGAAGAATAGCTGGTATTGACTTCTTGCAATAGCATTCTCTCTTCACGATTGCACTTCCATCAATAGAAGCTGAACGACATATGTTAATACATACACGTCTACGCCACAAACAATGCAATATTAATCGGAATGGAACGGAAAGGGGGATCGCATTCATTAGGACCCCATTACCCCTCTTTGAAAACTCGAAAGGGAGAAAAGATGATAGGGGACAGGATGAATTGAATGCGCAGGTACAATCGCGCGGTAAGCTCCATTCATATATTATGATCTTGACAAAGTATTGTGGTTTTGTGCATGTCATTAAATGAAAGAAAGGGAATCATTGAGGCCGTAAAGGGTAGCTACGGAGCCGAAATATCGTCATTTTATCATTTCGGCGCCGTTCAAGTCACAATCGTCAAGGTCTGACAAATGAACAAGTTTCTTCCGTTCGCTTTCGCGGAATCTTACCGGCCGACACACAAAGGTAATGCTCCTTTGTTTGGTCGAGAGAACGTTTTCAAGTGCCAAGCACGATCGATAGGGTCTTCAATTTAAGCGACTAGATTACCTAATCCAGTCTTGACAATCTCAGCACAGCTTCAAAGAACATCTTGACGAATGCTATGCTGATTGGCACCTCGTTGGCATCATGGCGCGCGTATATATGCGCCAAAAATGGCGTGTGCGCTCGCATAGCTTGTGGCGATCACTGCTTACTTTTGGCAAACGCCTTTGATGGCGAACGATAAGATGGTACTGCATTGCGGTGATGATAGAATGGTATGTCAGCTTGGATGAAACTATATAATGAGAAACGAATACAACTTTGTCCTTTCTCCCATTTTTCAAACGAAAGCTCCCCAATTGGCTTTCTCAACCTCCCTTTTCCGTTCATTCTCTGACGCTGGTCGTCAGTTTTCTCTTCTCTTGCCGATATGCATTACAAAATTGTGCTAAAGCAATGCTTGATCGTTGCTGCAGTATGTCTTGTTGATCGAATGGTGCATGGTATTCCAGTCGGCAATGATACTGGCAAAAATACACCTGCACCTGTTGATGAGACTTTGCATTCAAGCTTGATGGATCCATTAAATCCTCATCCAAACTTGATTGGACACAAGGAAGATCCTCCAACAAACACTTCTAGCCCTGTTGTCAGCCCAGCAGATGGTAAAAGTGCTGTTCCCAACGGCAACAATGCAACAACAACAACCAACTCAACTTTGACAGATGCACATCCTGCTTCCACTAATGCAACAGCAACTAGCTTACCTTTGACGGATACAGATGCACATCCAGCTTCAAACAACACATCTTCTGACAAGGGCAAAGAACAAAAAGAAGGCGAAAAGGCTGCTAGTACCAATACGAGTTCTGCAATTCCAGTACCTACCACAACTAGCACCAATCTCTTCCCAAGCTATGAAGAATTCCGCGGTGAATCACATGAGGGTTCAGTAGATCCATTTTTGGCAGTAACGGATACCTTCTTCTCAGCTGATAGTCAACGTGCTTATGGTCCAGCACCATATGAGACACGCTATCAAGCATTGGGTGATTTAGAAGGTACATTTGATCTTGTTAAACATTGGGGTGTTCTTGCACCCTATTACTCCAGCCCAATCTTTAGGGAATTGCAAAGTTATCGTAGTATCCCAAACAAATGTACCATCAAACAGGTCAATCTTCTACACAGACACGGTTCAAGGATGCCAAAACATGATCAGCATGAAAGTGCTCCGATGTTTGAAATCTGGTTCAAGAACGCAACGTCAGATGATCCAAAGATTAATGGTGGTCAAAAAGCAACCTTCTCTGGTCCGTTAACGTTTTTGACAAAATGGACGTATGCCTTAGGAGCAGATAATTTGGTACCTGCCGGCTTTCAACAATTGTACGATAGTGGAATCTACATGCATTACAGATACGGTCCTTTGTTCAAGAACACACAAAACTCAACGGCAAAGCCAATCATCCGTACAACATCTCAACAACGAATGGTTGATTCCGCACACTTTTGGGCTTTAGGTTTCTTGGGTACAAATGCATCTGCTTTGGCTGATATTGAAATTCAAATCGAGAAAGGAGGTTTTAATACCACACTTGCCGCTCAAGAAAATTGTCCTGGTACAAAGACAAGTTTGGCCGGCTCAATGATGAAGGCAGATTGGATCAAGAAATACCTTGCAAAAGCTGTCGAACGATTGCAACATCATGTTCATGGTGCCAAATTGACACCTGAAGTTGTGTTTGATATGCAAAGCTTATGTCCGTATGAAACCTATTCTCTGGGTTTATCAGAATTCTGTAACCTGTTCACACGGGAAGAGTGGATCGGATTTGAATATTCTCATGATTTGGTATTCCAAGGCGATTTTGGATTTATGAGCAAGACTGGCAGAGCACAAGGAATTGGATGGGCTCAAGAATTGGTTGCCCGCATGAAAGGTGGAAAGATTTCTACCCCACTCACTTCACAAAATACAACTTGGGATGGAAATGATACAACATTCCCGCTCAATCAAACATTCTATGCCGATTTTACTCATGGACGTCAAGTTGTTTCGATCTTGACTGCATTGAATTATAACGTTTTTGGAAGTCAACTTGATCCTCTCAGACCTGATGAAAATCGCAACTTTATCGTCAGTCACATCGCTCCTTCCGCCGCAAGAATCGTTTTTGAAGTGTTAGAATGCGATGAGTCAAAGGAAGCAAATAGCGGTGATAGTAAACGTCGTTATCTTCGTACTTTCTTGAACGATGCTTTATTGCCAATGACGCATGAACAAGGATGTGTAGGACATGATGGCCTTCGTGATGGCTTATGTCCTCTTGACAAATTTATTGAGCATTTTGAGCAAGTATCCGTCCCAGCTGCAGATTTTCAACATTTATGCTTTGGTGATGAACATCCTGGTGGAGTGAAATCCAATTCAACCACAACTGTAGAAGATGAGGCATCGGATGATGATGCTACAAGATTGTCTACGCCTTCTACCAACAATACGCAGAGTATCAGTAAAGAAGGCAAACAAGCTCCGTTCAAGTTGCCGTGATCATCATGTGTTTAAATCTACCATTCTATTCACCACTCCTTCTCTTCTTTGTGATCTCAAAGTTGATTTTCTATAATACAATTGTGCATGATCGTAGTGTAATTCTCAAGCTTCATAGCTAGGAGGATGCTGGTGAGAGGGAAAAGGTGAAGGTGGTGGATGGGTATATGCAGGAGGAAAATTCTCTTCAGCTGATTGTCGTGAAGACGCTGAAGGTCTACTTTGGGGAGGACTTGGTGCTGCTACTAGCACATGCTCGCTGGAGGCGGAGTTTCTAATTGTTGAGGATGATAAAGCGCTCCTACTGGAAGATGTCGAAGGCATGTAGGGTGGAGGGTTGAAGCTCGAAGGTATACCAGAAGTACCAGCACTTTGATCATGCTGTCCATGAAGCTCGCCAGAAGTTTCCACTTCGTCCATATCTGGAGGCGGAGTAGGGGGAGGAGGAGGTAGATCTTCATGCTCAGGTGGTGCCCCTTCCACCTCTTCAGATCGCCAGACATAATCTCCCGGAATCGATGGTGGGAGATCGGCACGTTCAGAGTGAGCATCGCGAAGGACACCTGCACCGACACCTTCTACTTCCACCTCAACCTGTAAATCGTTTTGACTTTCCAGCAACGTTGGAGGTGGTCCGTCTTCATCAATGATTCTGCGAGCTTGATTATCGTCTTCGTCATCTGTGAGTGATCGTCCAACATCTTCATATCCATCATATTCTTCCTCATATTCATGCACAACAAACGGTGCAGCGGAAGTTGATGTACTTGGACCATCTTGAGGCAACGGCTGTGCTACCCACTCTCCCGCTTTTCCATGTCCTTTGCTTTCTGCTTCTTCTTTCGATGTGACTTTCCCAACATCATCTGAATCTGTCTCCTCGTTACCTGCAGCACCTGGCAAGATGACAATCTCGCGCTCAAGAGTAACATCTTGTCTGTCTCCTTCATCCGAGCGCAGTGCTATCAGGACACGAACGAAAAAGTGAACATCGTGCAATAGAGTATCTTGGGTAACACTTTCACATCCTCCGCCTCCTCCTCTGCCGAGAATCGGTCCACCTTGAGCGGCATCATGATCAGGATGAGGATATGGCATATTGCTCACATCAAATGGCGGATGAAGCTGTAATCGTAATATGATGGCCCTGGTTGAATTGAAGCGACAAAGTTTTCCGCTATGCGCCAGCAAGAGTTCATGTTTGGTGTCTGTCCCCTTTGCTGTGATTATTCGTACAAGGTTTGCTTCCGCACTTCGTAAGCTGAGCGATTCAATTTTTCTTTCGGGAGGCGGTATGCGCACAAAGACTGTTATCGGGTCTGCACGTCGTAATAAAGTCTTTTGTAGCTGAATCATCATCTTAGTGGGTGAATCCACGTTCCAAGTGTATGGCGACAAACCATCCTTGTGTTCGGGTATATCCCTCAATGGTCCTGGCCTTGTATACCTTGTCAAATGCACTTGTGTGGATCGAAAAGCATCAGGGTGATTGCTGGTATCAGACGAACGCAAAGTTGCTTCTAGTCTGTATTCGAGAGAGCTGGACGAAAGATGTATGCAATGTGGAAGATCACCCGTTAACGAGAAAACAAATGGTAAAGTACTCGGAATCGTGTTATCGGCACCGCTTGAGCTCGAGGATGCTGCATTGCCTTTCCCATTTGCTTGCCATAAGGTTAGCGTTTCTGAAAAGATTGTTATGCTTTGATCCCGATCAGATTCGATAGCATGCAATGAGATTGTGCATTCCTTGTACGCCTGATCATGCGACCTACTCTGATTGTCTAGTTTGATCAAAACATCTCCTTTTATCCACGCACGGAATCCATTCAAGCCTAGATAGCCAACTTGAAATGAAGTTTGATCTGCTTGCGGGACGATGTCGAAAAAAGTGTTTAAATCTGCTTCAATACTTGCACTACCCGATGAAGATGTTGCTGCTGCATAATGAGGTGGCGGAGCTGATGGTGATGGCATGTACGCCATTGTTTGAAGGGACACTTATCCTTCTATTTGCATCCACCGATCCGATTCGAAAATGCTTGTCAAGTGTCATCTAATGTTGATGGTAATAATGATAACCTTTCTCCTTCAGAACATCCCGTGCATTTCCATAAAAATTCTCCACTTTGAGGCGGTGCGTTATTGGATCTGCCCTCACGCACCACTTAGGAACGCGTTTATTGCAAGGTTGCACGCGTTTATGAAAATTAGATTATGGGGTGCTTGCTTGTGTGTTGTCTTGGCACGATCTGCAAGTCCTTTGTTAGCGTGCTTGTCAGAAGACACCCCATTTTATGAAAATTATATTGTGATTACAAGCGTGTAAAACCCGGCCCCTTGCTTTCTTTTTGGGTTCTTTATTATTCAAACTCCTTCTCATATGGTTTGCTAAGCTTGATTGGGTCATTTGCCTCTCTCTTGCCGATCATCACCGATTCCCTCAAGACCGTATTGACGACGATCTCTCCTCTTTTTTTCGATTGGCAAACAGGTTTTTGCTTTTTCTTCTTTTGTCTCTTTGTTTTTGCTTCGAGCGGTTAACCGACAGGTTCGGATATCGTTGCACATTCAAGAATAACTTTCTTCCCTGAGCAGATTTTGGGTGATCCTTTTTTCACTCTTTCGTTTCTATCATTGCAGCCTCTGCGAGGTTTTCACAATGAAGGCTTCAACACCCAAACATAGCTCAAGAAGTGTTGCTCGAAACACACTTTTCATCAATCAAAATGATGCAGCATATTGGCTTGCCGCGGAGAACTTCGTCGATGATGACGACATGATCGCTAGCGTCAGGAAAAGCCCTCCTCAGCAGGTCTCTCCATCGAAGAAGCAAGCGTTAGGACAAAAGTCAACACAGGGTCTCAATTCAGCTCAAGATAAACCAGTAGTTCTCGGCTTATCGCAATTACGACCAAAGAAATCGGGACTATTTGCCGCGGTTGCACCTCACAGTCCAATGCGATCGACAAATGACAGTAAATTGCTGAGCGTTCAAAACTCAAAAGCTGCCGATTGCACCGCCCCTTCAACCTGCCTTAATACTCCTACTGGCGAACATTCTTTCTCATACCCGAGAAGGGCACCGCCTGCGCCCAATATGACAGCTCAAGCAAAGGGCAATGACCCCAAAAGTCCTTTATCTCCAGTCTCGCCTCTTCCTCCTTCACTTTCGTCTTCTCTATTACCTCCCGTTGATATTAAATCACTGTCGATCGATCCTTCCTCGCCTCAGCATTCAAGCTCAGCTTTTTTGACTTCAAGTCCAATCTTCCATTCACCTCGTCATGGACACGCATCAACGCAAACAATCTCGTCCTCCAACAGTCACGCTACTGCTTTGGTTGGTACTGCAATGCTTGCGTCGTTCCCTTCGCCTCCTCAACGTGAAGAGCGTGCACGAATGATTGATTATAACGAAATGAAAAGACGTGCGATGGAATCACGGGAAGAGAAGCAAACTGATAGAGCATTTGTCCGGCATCAATCGAAACCTTTGCCGCCTGCGCCTTTCCTTAAAACGCATGATTTAGAGTACGACACTGACTCTGAAGATGAGGAAAGTACCCGAACAAGTTCAGACTTGCACGGATGGAGTGCATCGCAAGCAGGAATGCCAGCTGCCATCGCTCAACATCGCCCGTTGTGTCCGTATGCTGAGCATTCCGATGTTTCTACAGATCATTGTGGTTGTCAATCGGTGGTGTCTCAAAAGTTTTATCAGTCCAACAATAACAAGCTTGCATGCAGTAGCGCACCCGATCTTCTAGATTTGGTCGCAAGTGCCGGCCAGACTGAAGAGCAGCGAAGAAACGAAGATATTCAAAGGGCAAAGAATGTTCTCTACAGGCTCAGTGATGAAATCAACAAGCTGGAAGCAGAGGGAAATCAACCAAACAAGCCATCTGCTCCGAAGAAGACTGCAATTCGATGGGCACTGCCAAAAGATCCTAAACGGGATGCTGAATTGCAATATCAATCTGGGCTCTTGTCAGCTCCAGTGAACAAGAGTCTACCGACCAAACCCGATGAAAAGGAGTTGCAAAGGTCCCTTACACCGGACCCTTCAAGACCGATTCAAGGTCAATTGTGGCCTCAGAGTCATGCAATGGTCGAGAGATCGGTCACGCCAGGTCCAAGCTATGGTTTAGCAGCAGGTATGCTTCACGCATGTTTGGCACCTAGAAGTCCTTCTTCCTCTGTTGATCTTGCAAGACCGATTGAACCTCCTGTCATTAAATCTATCCTTCGCCCTCAAAGAAGCTTTGATATGTTGAAACACAATCGAAGTGAAAGCACACTACCCTCTGCATCCGCTCCCAGAGCCGTGACACCATCGCCTCCTTTTGCTGCGCAACGTAGAATGATATCAACTCTTCGATCTCAGGATCGGTGGAACAGCAATGGTAGCAACCCGTCAGGCAAAAGAAATGGTAGTCCAACAAACGCAAAACCTTCCTCGCCGCCAAGTCGAACGCATCAATGGGATTCTCCTTGGCAGAATGTACGATCACAGGCAGCCACAAAAGCGAGCGAAGCTAGTCGTCATCATCGTCAGAACTCTTCAAAATCTTCAACGTCTTCGGCAAATAGCGCAATGACTTCTAGTCACGGTTCATCAAACACCCATTCGAGTACTGCAGATTCTAATGGACCAACAACACCTATTTGGGCAAAGCTGCAATACAAAGGCAGACCGTCTATGGGCGTAATCCATGAATCGAACAAAGCTACCGTGAATTCTGATGGATATTCAACAGTACCTGTTTCGCCTGCATCAACTCAATCGCCACAAACGCCCACAAGCGTACGGGCGCCAATTTCTCCAAGACGCCGTAAAGATGATACGGCGTATCTTGTCAATGCAATCGAGCCTTTTCCATTAGAACAAAGACATGTTCCAAGAAAAAGCTCAACTGCACCGCCACCTTTACCACCTCCATTGCCTGCAGGACATAGATTACTTGATGGCAGGGCCATTGAAGCAAATCTTAAGGCAAATCGAGGTGCAACATATACTCATTTTGGTCCACCGCCCAGGATGGCTTCTAGGTCCAATACAGATGAGAATGGTTCGTATGGTTTTGCTCTGTGAGCTAGAAAAGAATTGTCACCTTTCATAACAATGAAATTCATTTCCTTGTCCTTATTTGTGCGAGCGGATGCTTGATTGGAGCAGCGAAAGCGTTTCTTGCATCCAGAGAAGGTATAACCTGGCGCGACGCATCATATTGAGGAACCATGTACGCCAACGGAATGGCAACGTCATACGCCAGTGATGAGGAGTGAACGGCTTTGATGATATGAGGATATATAAAGAGCCACTCATCGATCTTACAATGAGATCCGACTTAACGAATTTGATTCAAACTTCCCTTTTTTCTCTACTTTGCACGCTTTGGTCGTGTATTTTTTCTATCTCTTTCCCATTTCCTATCACATTGCCAGGAGCAATACGATCAAGCAAGTCTTGACTCGATCACAACTACACCTCACAATGATTTCTGCATTTCGTTTTACCATGATGGCTATCTTCATCTTTTTCACCTTGATGGTGATGATCAATGCTTTGCCAATCGCATCCACTGAAGCATTAAAGTACTCCTTGCGTTTGAAGAGGTCAAGTTGGAGTAAACGACAAGACCTAGTTGACGTGAAAGGTTTGATTAAAAGGGGTGTCATTCAACCACCACTTTCGGAGATTGCACCTTCTTATTATTTCGGTAAAAGGAGATTCAATCCAATCGATTATCCACTCGCTGCAAAGATTCTAAAACGAAATGAAGATCGTGGCGTTGCAGCTTCCAATACAAAAGATTTGCAGGTTGACAAAAGGGATGATTCAAGTGCCACAAAGACGATTCCCACTGCTAATATCACCCCAGCAGCCGTTAATCATACTCCACCCGAGACAAATGGTAGACCAGCAATCAGTCCTGATGATGCAAAGAAAGGTGACGACGCAAAGAAGGGCGATGATGCAAAGCCAAACAGTATCCCACTTCCAAACGGAGTTAGTCCTGCTTCTCAAGGATTTTTATTCTTACCCGTTTCAAAACCAAGTGATGGTCCAAGTAAATCAGGCGCAAGCTCTGGCGCATCTTCTACTCCCGCTTCCCAAACATTCTTTTTCAACATCGCATCCCCTGATGGTGGCTCAGTTTCTAAGTTTGAAGTGAATGGTGACGATGGTAAACCGCTTTCAAGCCCAGGAGGAAAAGCAGGCAACAATGATGTTACAAAAAGTGCTCCACCCGCTGATGATAAAGGTCCAAATTCCGAAAAGACCCGAATCATTTTCAAACCTTTAAATGATCCTGACACAAATCCAAATCAATCAAAATCTGCTCCCAATCCAGTTGCAAAACCTTCCAGTACAAACGATGATGCTTCAACAAACACAAACAAGAATGCCGGAAATGATGCCGTGACAAAAGGTGCTTCTGATTCTCATGCAGACGATAAATCTTCCAATGATAAAGGCGGCTCAAGCGATGAAAAAGCACCAACTTCATCTCAATCTACCGTTGGTGCAAACGAGAAAAAGAACGATTCAGGTGATTCATCCAAATCAAAAGAGAACAATAATGGAGGAAACGGTGGACAAAATGAAGGCGGCGATCACAAAGATGGCGGAGACGGTGGACAAAAGGGAGGAGGAGATCACAAAGATGATAATTCCGGAAATCAGAACGGCAAGCAAGGTGGCGGAGGCGGAGGAGATGATTCTGGTAAAGCAAAAGGCAACCCGGGTGGCGGAAGCGGAGGAGATGATTCTAGTAAAGCAAAAGGTAACCAAGGTGGCGGGGATAACTCTTCGAAGGCTTCAGAGAAAAAGTCAGGTGATGGCGATTCTGGTCAAGCTCCAAAATTACAAGGTCAAAATGGATCCGGTAATGGAAACAATAAAGGGGAAGACGGAGCCAAGTCTGATGCTTCCGATAAAAAGACCAATAATGACGCATCAGCACCTTCTCCAGCACCTGCCAAGCCAAACGGATCTGGCAAAGAGGATGACTATTATTTGTTCCCGGTCGAGCAGGATAACAAGATGGTCGAGTTGAACAAAGGTGATATGGTAGCATATGTCGATCATCCACAATTAACTGCTTCAAAGGCGAATGGGACAAATGCATCAAAGCGGAGTATTATAGCTACACAAAGACTTGTAGTACGCAATGCTCCATCTTCAGCAATCACCAAGAGAACTTTCAACAGCGGCATCACTCTGAGAAGAAGAGAAATTATTCGCACTGTCAAGCTGACTCGTAGATTATCACCACAACCAGCCAAGATTATCATCAAACGAAGGGAACGTCATGATGAAAAACCAATCCTTATTCGATCACTTTCACTCGCCTTGAATCCAGTCAAACATCTTTTATCTCGGGCTACCTTGCAGCCAGGCAAAGTTGGCGCTACTCCCGCTTATTGGCAAGGTCAACCTCTGGTTTAGGTTGACGGCCGTAGTTGTAGTATCCTCTCAACAACATTTTATCTTTAATACATGAATTTCATTGATACGAAAGAAAAGGACTGAGATAAGAGAAAAAAAAGGGTTTCTTTGCATCACGGAAGCACAGCCTTTGGCGGTGGTCTTACATTGTGTGCAGTATTTCCACCTTCAGCACTTTCCATCTTCGCTGGGAAAGTGACATGTTTCTGCTTTCGAGTACTGATCGGTCTGGAATCTGCTTGTAAGATTGACTTCGGTCTTGGCTTTTTCACTTGTTCGCTATTGCTTGGCGCAATCACTGCAGTCAAAGGTCTTGATGGCCTTTCTCCAACAGTGACATTCCCTCCGGACCATCTTGCTCCTTCGATATCATCAATATCAAACGTATGTGTTCGCAAAATGGGTGGTCCTTCTGGTTGATGACCGAAATAAGATTCATCAGAGGAGAGAGTGTCCGATGTCCGATGACCAAATGTTCCATAGCTACCTTTACTCTTTGCAGGCAGAACAGCCAATCCACCTGACATGACGATTGACAGTCCGGTTGGTGAAACAGGCACATTGCAAGGTGACTTATTTCTATCACCATCACCAGCTGGAATTGCAAGCAGTTGAGAAGGTTTAATGGTTTGCATTTTTGTTTCATTTGAACTATTGCGTAAGAGAGAATTCAGAGCATCCTCTCTATGTTGTTGAACATCATCCCAGGAAGAATTCTTATCATCTCTTGAAACTTGTCGAAGAGATGTACTCGACCCTAATCTTTCCAATCTTTCCAACTTTCGTTCTTGACGTGCAATAATCTTTTCTTCCTTCTTTACTGCTTTTCGTAACGAGTAACTATCACGAATCCGATCTTTTTGCTTTTGTTTTCTAGATCGCTCACGTTTTCGACAAGAAGGACAACATTCCGTCTTTGTAACTCTCGCTCTGTGGGTATGGCGCATTCCTGTATCTTCATCATACGTATCATACTCTCGGTTCTGTTGTGATAAATTGAGAACGTGATGAACAGCCAAGACTTGCATTTGCCAATCCACTCTTGCATAATGCCACGTCGCAATCAGAAGGAACAACATGATACTGATCAAGCCGATCGCCCAAAGTGCCAAATAGCTGTTGAAAAGCCTGAGAGATGGCAGCTGCGATAAATAAAACGCTTTCATGACCGGATCTGGGTGAATGTCATCACTACTGAACCAAAAAGCAGTAGATGCAACGCCGAACAACAACTGCAATATTGGGTATACGGCCATAATATGGCGCAGTCGATGTAAACATGCTTGTCTTCTTGAGAAACATCTTCGTGCTACTTCTGTTGGATTGGTATACATATCTTGCGGTGGACTGCCACGTAAAGCGATTGCAACAGGAGGTCTGCTTGAAAGCGTTTCAGCTGACTTGATAGCAAGATTGCTTGCAGCTCTATATAAGCATCTTCTATCTGTTCCACAACTGTATGGACCTGGCATTAACGTCATCTGATCGGAAACCAAGAGACCACGCTGAAAAGCAGATTGTTCTTCCGTATTATACACTGTTGCTTCTGCATGATTGAAAAACTTGTACTCGTCACTTTTCATCAACTCATCAATATCTTCTTGAGCGCAAGTGATAAAGATTTCCCCGTCGTTTAGCAAGATTGCCAGCGTTAAGCCTGCTATAGAGATCGCTTTGAAGAATAAACAGATGCTGAACGTCAAAAAAACGCTTGCTTGTAAGAATGGGTGAAAGCTTGTATGAAATCGAATGAATTTCTGGTGAGTATAAATTGCGATTGAGAGTGTAAGCGACAGACCAGCTGATGCGCTTGACAAGATTAATTCGATCGAAGCAAGCCAAATGAATGCATGTCGAAAATTGGAAGCCGCACAAAGATCAGAAGGTAACAAATTGAAATACAGCTGAGTTGTGCTCATCATTTTGTCGGATGAGCGACACCACAAAAATGGTGATCGACGGTATGATTAGAAAGATTGAAATTACGCACTTTTTATACAATTATACAAATGTCCATCGTGACAATCAGAGAAGAGACGCCTTCTCACTGCCTCACACACACTGCCTCTATTGGCGTTTTTGTGATCAACCCCTTGGCATCTTTGCCCACGCTATAAGTAACAACTTGGCGCCCCTTCTTCACTCAATCAACACAAACGAAACCCAATTTTGGCTTCTCTTCTTCATTTTCGTAAACATGACCGAATCTGATTCGGATTTTTTGCGCCTCCAAAAGACCTTTGTGTGTTCCCAAAGAAGGTTCAGGGAAAGCTTTGTATAGTCCACCTTGGGCACTTGCCACTACTGCTTCGAGCCAATCTGTCGGGTCAATATCTGGCGCTCTTGGCGTTTCACGAGGGGCATCAAACCAATGACTCCAAAGGATCATTCCAATACTTACGATTGCAAAGCAAAGGAGTGGAATGAGTGAGTAATAAATCAATGAACTATTGTTTTGTGTACTTTCTCCCCAACCAACAGTCTCTTGTCTCCATGTCCCTTTTACGATTCTTGTTCCGTTTGCTTCGCTTATTGATCCATACCATCCTCCTCCATCAACAGCATAATGTTGAAACCATTCACGTTGACTTGTTGCAGCATATTCAAATACTCCTTTGATAAAAATTTCAACTTGAGCAGGTTGAATCCAAGTTTGAACTCTTTGTGCATTTACACGGGCATTGAAAGCTGCCAAAGATTGAATTGCCGAATCTTTTCCAAACAAAACCGTTTCGTTCAAATCTTGCAAAGTGACGACTGAATGTGCAGTTCGGTTCAAAAGAACCGGTTGATACGCGCGGAGCGTACCATTCTTTTCCGTAAACAATGATACAGTATTGTTCCCTTCACTTCTCAGCTTTGGCCTAGGAGGAGATGTAGCCAGACTGTAGTCTCGAGCTCTTCCATCTGAAGCATTAAGAGCAGCACTCAATGAGCTTGTGAAGACAAAAGCATTCCCGACTGCAGATAAAGCGCCTTGAACTGTGAGCAGACGAGTATAATACTGGAAGAAACGATGTTTACTGTCTTCTGAAGTTGGCGAGAATGGTTGTTTACCTGGACCCAATTCACCGTGATAGCCTGTCAATCGATTTGGCGCAGTACGATCTTCTCCTTCGACCAAACTGACTCGAATAGTGTTTTTTCTTGAAGAGTATTCCACATTGTTTCTCGTCCACTTGGGTTTAAGCTCGCATAGCAAGTCTCCTCCTAATTCTGACCCTTGCGTACCGTAAATGGATGCGCCTGCATCTTTGAAGTACATTATCGTCGTATCTGGATCATCTTGCAACTCTGCATCCTTTCCTGTACATCCTTTCAAGATGATAGAAGACGATCCTATATAATGGTAAGAAACTTCCAAATCATTTTCTGCTGACTCATGATTGCAATCCAAAGTCACTTTGAGCAGATGTGGAATGTGGGTGGATTCCGTTCTTAGAATTTTCAATTCGGATGCTTTTTTCGGCTGCCAACAATGAACGTCACAGGTGAGACCCTGTTGTTCTAAAATGTACGTATAGTTGTATCCCTCCGGCGTAGGACTTTCTTTTGGTGGCTTATTCCACTGTCCCCATGGAATAATTCCTAGAGGACCCAAACTTGCCACTCCTCCCGTTCCACCAATGAATGTCACACTTCCAGGCAACTTGAAAAGAGGTTCAGATTGATTGATGCTCGCTTCCAATTTTGCACGTCCGGCTGAGATGAGCGTTTGAACATCATCAAGAGAAGGACAAGGGTCAAAGATTATACTTGGATGCGAGGAAAAGGTCCAAAAGTTTGACACAAAATGTGAGCCGCAAGAAAGGTTTGCCGGATTGGGAAACGTAGAAGCGGGCATGAAACTGATTGCGCCCGCAAAACCTGGCGATAGTTGATCAAGTTCATGTCCACCATAAGGAGTTGTGACAACCATTTCTTTGGGTGTTAGTAAAGTTGAAAATCCTGCAGGCAAGAATGTGTTGCCGATAAAGATGATAATCGTTATTACGGGCCAAAGCGGTTTCCTCTTGCTAAGCGTATAACCTGCTCTTGACATTTCATTCCATGCTGCTAATGTGAGTATTTCCGTTCTTCGTTTCCCGTATGCCAGCCTTCTGAAAGCCATATAACTGATAGAGTATCCCCATAAAATGAGTGCTAGTTCTCCTAAGAATACACCTGCAAAAGTGAACCATTGAGCACTTGCAGTTGAGTTGTTATTGATATATTCTGCCAACGTATCCGGTGCATACCAATTAAATTTGACGGCCAAAACCTTGAAACCAAAACACATACTCAACAACAATATCCATCCTCCAACGATTGTGAACAAAGATTTTATCACCCTGTATCGATTGTATAGAACTGCATCTTTTCCTCCGCTTGGCAAACGTGAAGAACGATAATATGAACCTCTTCTTTGTTTCTCGCTGATATCTTCGTCATTGGGTTGGTCTTCCTCTACCAAACTCTTTTCTTGCAAATGACCTTCTTCTGGCAACACTTCCACAGTCGTGCCAGTGATGGAAGTGAAATCAGATCTGTTTGAATTGACTGACATGCTTCTCGCCCTGGAATGAATGGTCTCTGTCGAACAATACTTGGATGTGGTTTGTCTGTGAATGTTGTCTGCTTCATCTTGTCTGAATACCTTTCCATCTCCATGTCTTGAGGAAGAGGACTTTACTTCTTCTGTTAAAAGCAACTTGCAATGAACATTATGTGGGTTTGCTATAAGTTGGTCAGTCGTATCATGTGATGAAATCGAGAGAAGGTGTCGTGGTGCCATCTTTCATTGAAGTAGTTGCTTCGTGGTGTCGATAAGGTTCAAGGGCAAGGTTCTAGAAAGCAGAACCCATTGTGTGCCTAGAGATGAAGTGCAAATCGCACAATGGAAAAGTTATTAATATCTTTGCCAGTGGCGTAATGGCGATTACACAGCCAATGAGATGGCGTAAATTGACGATGCCATTTCCACTCTTCTTTCTGCTGCTAATAGTACAGCTTTCAGGCCATTGTTGATAATATGAAACGATCATCATTATGTGGGATATAAATCCTTGATAGTGTACATTGTGCATTAGTAGAGAAAAGTTACAAGAGCAAAAGGGTTGCCAATGACATACTCAATGTGGCAATCACACCACCAGAGATGCTAAACGAGGAAGCCCAGGCGCTACTTGCTATTCCTAAATTACTACCGCCAGTGTTTGTATTTCCTCCGCTTCCACCATCAGTGTTTGTATTTCCTCCGCTTGCGCCATTGTTACCGGACGAATTGTTATTATTCTGACCATTATCTGCCGAAGGTGGGGGTTGACGTGCATTGATGACAATCTCTGATCCAATTTCCGCCAATCCATAAACGATTGTCATCAGATGAGCACTAACGGCCAAAGGTGGAATACTAGAATCAATCACTCTCAAATTTTTTGTTCCATAAACCAACAAATTTGGATCAACAACTCCGCCTTGCGCTCTTGGTAACATTGAACAACCACTGCTCGGGTGATATTCAGTAGCAACGTTATTGCGAATGTAATCGTTCCATTGTGCATCAGATTGTGTTGATGGACCCGGTGATAGTTCTTGACCGAGATAATTGCTCATTGCAGAGCTTTGACCAATCTTTCTTGCTTGTTTGAAACCTGCTCGCAACATTTGCAAATCGATGTCCGAGTTCAAGTATCCTGGATCAATCGTTGGTCCGTTGAACGGGTCTGCTGAATTGATCAAGATAGATCCGCGTGACAAGGGGTGTTGCAATGCTACTTGTAGTTGGATCGTTCCATACGTCAATGCGTGCAAAATCTCGATTGGTCCAATTGCACTTGAGAAAACATCATTGATTTGCGTATTCATTGTTGCTCTATATGCCGCTTTCACTTCATCACGAACATTGGCGGAATTGATTGCGTTATCCAAACCGCTTCTGGCTTGATTGATCAATTGTTGAGCTCCATCAGCGCCGAAGAGTGTGGTGGTGTTGACATACGAGGTAGCTGAATTAACGAATGAATCTGCTTGTGCATTTCCTGTCACACTTGCAGCAGGCATTTCAACGCCTTCGCCTGGAGCATAGGAGATAGACCAGCTCAAATGATCTTGAACATTATGACCAACACCAGGCAAATCAATGACTGAGTCAACTCCAACGTTTTGCAATTGTTGTGCATCTCCAATTCCGCTCAATTGCAAAAGAGCAGGCGAATTGATCGCTCCTCCGCTCAAAATTACTTCACGACGGGCATATGCCGTTCGAATTTGATCGCCTGAATATTGTGCAAATTGCACTCCGGTTGCATTCACGCCGCCATCGGATTCACTTCCTTTAGTCAATATTTTCGTTACTTGATTACCAGTCAAAACATGCAAATTTGGTCGTTGATCAGCGCCGTTCAGATAAGCCGTTCTGCTGGAAGATCGTTGCCAGTTCGAATTGTCAATCGCAGAAGTACCGACAAATGCGCCCCATGATTCTCCATTATCGGGATTCACACTGATTGGAGTACCGGTCTGTGCATTTCCTTGCAGGAACCCTTCGATGGCAGGATAAGAAACGGCTGGCCATCCTACATGAACGGGACCGTCAGTTCCGTGTGAGGTAGAATCCCAACCTAAGGATGGTACTGCTTGTCGTACTTGCTGAGCAGGTTCTTGAAAATCTTCTGATTTTTTCATTGCGGCTAACATATGATCCCAATCCCATTTATCCGTTGCATTGTTTAGCGAAGCCCATGCATCATGTTCGATCTTACTTGCACGAATCATATAAAGTCCATTAATGGAAGATGAACCACCCAAGACTTTTCCACGAGGCCAATGGAGTTGTCTACCGTTTAGATTTGATTGCGAGCTGGTAAGCCATTGCCAATCGTATTGTGTTCCAACAGCTGTGTTGTATAGATTTCCAGCAGGAACAAGGAATTTCGATTGATCTGCTCCATAGATATCTGGACCTGCTTCAATCACCAAGACTGAATATGCCGGATCTTCTGATATTCTGTTTGCAACCGTTAAGCCTGCCAAACCACCTCCTACAATAATGTAATCAAATGTTTGACCATCGACCGAAGAACCATCCCCGGTCACATCACGAGTTGCAATTTTTTGCCATTGTCTTTTTCCAAATTGAACGCCTTCTCTTCGTAAAGTTGATGCCAAGGCTGTTGATATGAGGATAGCAAAAGTGATTAAAATGAATGATGATAGCCTTGAACTTTTTGCCATGATGTGATAAGCCTTCCGTTGATTGGCGGAGTGATGGTAATTGATTGAGATTCAAAAAGATGGAGAAAGGCTTTGTTTATATGAACAATGTTCATCCATCCGCCCGAACAACTTAAAAACCCGCCGAGTCAAAGGCGGAGGCTCGTACAAATGAAGTATGTTGTTATTCAGGGCTTTTGGATGATCAATCAGGGGGACTTTTCTTTTCGTCCGAGAATCCTATATGCTTGGCGTCGGAGTAGAGTGTATTCATTGTGGTGAATTGTGCTTTTTCTCTTGTGTCAAAGATTGTTGTCAAACAACACAGTTGATTCTCATCATGTTGTGACTGCCAAGATTTTAAACTTTTGCCGTCGGCTAAATATAAAAATAAAAAATCTTTTTGCCAAGAATACAAGGGGAAAGAAAAAAAGAATACAATGGCGCGATGGCAGTTGGCCGGTCTCCGCTTTAAATCAAGCTAGAAAGAAAAAGGCGCCGAGTCTGAGAGATGAAGAAACGGGTTGGAAGATCCGTTTCATTATCAGATGTACAGTGCAGCAGGAACAATTAAAAATGAATGGCTGACTGTATCACACATTTCTCCGATAAATTGCTATTTCACACCCACGGGTTCAAAAATGGTTGATCAGATTATTGGAAAAGTTAAAAAAAACAAGAACCTGCAGCAAGTTGCGGACACTGATGTACACATATGCACGATGACATACAAGCATATGGACGTGTTGTGCTAAAAAGGGCGATACGCGCTGGGCAAAACGCGGTATTCCGTGGTTGCTTCAAAAGAGATCACTTGGCGTATTCTTTTCATTTTGCTTGGCTTAAAATTCACACTAACAAAATAAACACAACACACAACACATCATAAGATTATCAATCAATGTCCTGATTACAAGCTCTGCTTCGTAAGACGAATGTCACGAGAACTTGCACCAACGTACAAGGTATAATCACCTTCTGGCTTACTCCAACGAGCAGAAGTATTATCCCAAGTACTTAAATCATATCTGTTCAATCTGAATGAAACACGCTTCGTTTGACCGGATTTGATCGAATAACGATCAAATTTACGCAACACTTTCGGTGGCTCTCCTGCTTGTGTGGGGAATCCAAGATACAATTGAGGAACTTCATATCCATCACTTCCACCCGTGTTTTTGACTTCGAATGAAACTTCATAAACGTCCTCGAACAACCAATCAGGCAAAGGTAAAGACCATTGACGTGTATTCCAATTGTCTCCCGCCGAGCTTCCGTTTAGCCAATTTCCACTCAAGCCTGAGTATTCAAATTTGGTGTATGAGAGACCGAATCCAAACTCAAATCTTGGTTCGATCTTTTCTGTGTCGAAGTGACGATAATCAATGTTGAGCTTCTCGGTGTAGTAGATTTGTGATTTATCGGTATCTGGGCTTTTGAAGTATTGAACATCTGCAGAATAATCGCTACGTTGTTTTGCAATCGTGTATGGTAAACGACCACTTGGGTTCACATCACCGTACAAAACGTCAGCAATCGCATTTCCTGCTTCTGCTCCGGCCATATGGGCATGAATGACAGCAGTCACATTTGGATTATCGATCCATTGTTCGACATCGATTTGAGAAGGTGCATGAATGACGACAATCGTGTTACTGTTGACTGAAGAAACGTTTTTGATTAAATTATCACCGTTTGCCCACAATGTCAAATTATTGCGATCTCCCATATTTCCATCAACGGTAATATAACCTTCACCTGAATCAGCATGAACGAAAACAATCGCAGCATCAACACCTGCACGTTCATCACTGATGGTCATTGCTTGACCCGGTGCAAAGTTATCGAAAGACCAATAGAATCCTGTGTTGTGTTTGCGTGCACGGCTTTGCAAAGCTTCATAAGGTGAGATAAAGTAGCTGTAATCAGCCGTTCCTGAACCCCAACCGATTCCTACCGTACCATCAACACCTCCACGATCACCAAACTCATTCGCACCACGTCTTGAAGGTCCTGCATCTTCTCCCACAACGGCAAGTTTACGCATGTTTTTCTTGAGTGGGAGAGAGCCATTCGTGTTTTTAAGCAAGACAGCACCTGCAGCACCAATTTCACGCATCAGTTGAGAATGTTGAGCAGTCGTAGCAGTGAGATGATCACCGTAAAACGGATCAAAAGCATCAAAATTTGGCTTTGGATAATTTTCATCTTGACCGAGTAAATACCATCCGGCTAAAATGCGTACGCCCATATCCTCAACCCTACTTGCTTCAACGCTTCCATTATTAACGGCTTGGGTTAGATTTGCACCCCAAAAACTGTTTCTAAAATCGGCCGAACAACATTCTAGCTGGCCCGGCATAGTCATGTCTAAACCACTGTTGGCAGAAGCAACACCTGCATGTTGTGCTCCCCAATCTGACACGATGAATCCTTGGAAGCCCATTTCAGTCTTGACGTGATAGTTCATAAGCTCACTATTTTGACATGCCCAAGAATTGTTCAAGAGATTGTAAGAGCACATCATCGAGGTAACATCGGCTTGAACACTTCGTAAGAAAGGGTGCAAATAGATTTCACGCAGTGTACGACCATCGATGTTTGAACTGTATGTGTTTCGGTTAATGTCTTGTTCGTTTCCGACCAAATGTTTCGCACATGCTTGAACGCCTTGAGATTGAATACCTTTGATGGTATGATAAGCTGATTCTCCGGTAAGGTAAGGATCGGCAGAAGCATATTCCCAATTTCTACCACCTGCTGCCGTACGAACCAAATTCATTCCTGGACCAAGTTGAATATTTACACCTTTTTTGTGAAATTCTTGACCCATGGCTTTTCCACGTTCAAATGTCAAATTACTGGAAAATGTTGCGGCAGTCGTTATACCAGCAGGAAAAACACTTACCAAATCTGCAAATCGAACACCGGCCGGAGAATCTTCCAAACATAAACCTGGGAAACCAACTCGTTCGTTCGCGGCAATATCACCAACACAACGTGGTTTTGGACCAAGTTGCCAGCCAACTCCAGTGACGAGCTTCACACGTTCTTCCAATGTGAACTTTGCAATGTATGCTCGTGCCTTCTCGACTGCTTCTTTCCAGGTACGGGTACCTGCAGTTTTAGGACAAGTAGGATAATCTGGTGAAAATGCATTTCCACCTGGTTGATCTGCACCACGTTGCAAGTCTGTTTGAGAAGATTGTTTTGCATCTTTGTGTAGTGCATGATCTAAAATGTCTAATGGCCAAATGGATCCTTGGAAACCGTTGTAATGCGTACGCTCTTGGTCATTGTTGAGCTGTAACACTTTTTGCACTTCTTCAAGTAGACCCAAACCTTTTGATCCTGGTGCGCGACGCTCTTGTTGGGAGGCTTGATGATGACGTTTGTGGTGTACGTTGTTGCGTTTTTGTTCGAGGGTGGCAGTCGTGAAGGCGGCAAATGCCACCAATGCCAGTGTTGGCAATGTGATTGACAGCTTCATGATGAAGTGCTGTGATCACTGTCAAAGAGAGAGTTTAAAAGAGAGTGAAATGATTAGGCTATGGGTATATAAAACTTTTGAAGGGAGAGAGAATGAGGAAGGATGGGGTGAAGAAGCAAGAGTATGAAATAGATGTGGGTAATATATACAATATAAAGTTGGATCTCCTGTTTAGTGTACTTGAGGAGCTTTAATTGATTTTCTTCTCTTTTACCGTTCTAGCGGACGGCGGCGCTTCAAGTGAAATAGGAAAAGAGGTACTCCGTCATTTTAGCATTTTTGCCCCATGACGGACAAACAAACAGGGGTAACAAGAGGTTAATGTTCATTCTGTACCTGCTTACACTAATAGAGACCACCATGAAAGTCAAGAAGGTACAAAGAGTCAAATTTAGACTACTTTCTAAGAAGGAAAGAAGAATGAAGTGACTAATGCACGTAGAATAGCGCATTTATCCTAAGTGTAAAGTGTCAGATGGGAGTGAGTGGCTTTCCGTCTTGAGGGTGTTGCCAAGATGAAGAAAGCCTCTTTAAACACGCGCTAGTTTGCACGCTAATCCATGCGGGGAAGCGTTCAACATTTTCCAATCAACAAAAGAATTCAACTTGCAGACATGCGCTAAGGTCATCATCCTCTACAACATGGTCATCTTTGTGCATTCATCCAAGTCGGCATTTTCTCCGTTTTCTTGTACACTGTGGAATGATCTTGTTCGTGAACTGTTTAATGCAGGAACTGCGTAGACTGTATGGTCATCTTTGTCACAGTCCACTCATAGCTGCCTTTTAGAACCATTTTGCAGCCATGACCCATTAAATACCTCCTCTCAAGCAATCATATATTGTTAGCCCCACAAAAGCAATCAGCCATCTCCTATTGACAGCATGCATGTAGGAGATCAATGCATTAAACATAAAATGAACGCCTAACTCATTGTGCAAATCAGCATTCTCTTTTGCCCCATGAACGTTGACACCTGTTTGCATCACCCTATCTAGCAGCAAATCAAGCTTGACAGGCCATTGCTTGATCACCATACAGGAGCCAATCGGGCCTAAGCGTTTGAAACGTGCTGAGTGAACTGAGCATTGCGAGCGGGCAGCCTAGCCGTATGAAGCTTAATTGTAACAATATGCCCCTAAACATAAAACCCTAAACACAACAAGGGCAAAAAGCGTAACGCCAATGTGTTAGGTGCCTTTGGCGTTTGACATCCATAAGCGAAAGAAGAAACCGCGTGTTAAAGGAAAAGGGAAATCGGCGCTTTATTACCCGGCATTGAAGTGCCTGCATAAAAGAAAGTGTGTGATTGGTGTTGCCTTTATACTGTCGTGTGAAACAGCATTCACCATCATCATCATCACCACATCCTACAAACAATCCTCTCAAGATGGCTTGGATCGATCAAAAGAACTTACCTGAAGGCTATTGGGGATCAATCACCAGTAGTTTAGTATGGTGTGAAGAAAAGTACTACTGGTCAAAGTATATTGCCGAACCAGTCAATACATTGACAAACTTTTACATCATCGGTCTTTCAGCCTTGGGTGCAATTCATACAATCAGGCTTAACATGCCTTTACGATTTGTATTGTGCTACTTGGGTGGTGCAATGATTGGTATAGGTTCTTTTGCCTTTCATGCGACGTTGAAATATGAAGCGCAAATGTTAGATGAACTACCAATGATTTATACAATGGCAATTTACCTATACTGTGTTACAGAGACGTCTCCTGGCTACTCAAAATCAAAGTATGGGCTCGCATTACCCCTTGGCCTTACGGCCTTGGTTGCCTTTGTCACAGTCACATACGTTTACTACAACAATCCAGTCTTTCATCAAATCTCTTATGCGATCATGCAAGTATGGGGAACAATTCAAGTTGTTAGCCTGCTAAATAGCAAACAAGCAAAATTGACGAAACAACAAAGAAGTGAAATCTCTCATCAGCTATTTGTTGGTTCAGCAATCTTTGTTATGGCTTTCGTCATTTGGAATATTGATAACATCTGTTGTGGTTGGTTACGTGGCTTAAGACAAAAAGTTGGTTACCCCGCCGCTTTGCTTCTTGAAGGTCATGGTTGGTGGCACTTGGGAACAGGTTTGGGATCTTATATGGTCATCGCCGCTTCTCAACGTTTGGTAATGTCAGTCAAAGAAGGCTCTGCTGATAACTTTGCATTCAGCTATAGACTCGGCATTCATCCATTCGTCGAAAGACTTAAACCTTTCAAGCAAAATGGTTCATCTGTCATAAATGGCAAAGATCAAAAGGTACAATAATAGAACATACAGGCTTTTCCTTCTTACTGTATGCTAAATGACTTAAATGATACGAATGATACCATGTTTATTAATGCGGCGCAATATTGGACAGCCCCATCGAGATTAAAAACACCGCTTTTAGAAGGAGTAAAATAAAAGATGTCATTATAGAATAATAGAATTGGGGAAACAGACGTCTCGCGATACATAGAGATAACTCAAACGGGATTACCTTGTGCATTGAAAGCGACAACATTTGTAAGGGCAACACCTTCGCCTTTACCTTTATACTTTGGTAATTTGGCAGCAATCTTGTTTGCTTGATCACAAGATTTGATGTTTCGATTGCAAACTTGAGCCACTTCAGGACCAACGATACGTTCACCTCCTCGTTTACGTCCACAGCGTAAGTTGCCTTCGTAATCTGGTCCTTGAGCCGGATCAGTGGTTCCATTGAGTAATTTACCGGGAAGACCCTGTATGAGAAAGGAAGATAGATGAGAGTTAGTACAATTCTAAGCATTCACTCAACTTTTATCCAATAATTACCGCTTCTGCTGCCCAGCAGGGCTCTTCGATAAATCTCCAATTAATTGGACCACCGAGGTCACCACGATCAATTGCTTCTTTTTCTTGAGATCCTGCAAGTTTCTTGAAAAGACCCAAGCTGACATAAATATCATTACAGCCAAAAGTGGATTTTGGATCACCGCTATCACAACTGTCGAGAACGTAACCTTGAGCTGTTACACCGTTTGCAGGGTTGAACATCTGGACCCAATTGTAGCACTTTGAAATTTTAGCAGTGTTAATCCAACCTGTGGAAATACAAACAACGTTACTGTAATCTGTATAAGTTGGACCACATGCACTCTCTCCAGCAGTGAGATAATACACTTTATCATCTGGAGTTTGCCATATATAACCAACTCCGTTTGCTGTGTATTGCTCAGCGTGTGGGTCAGTGTCGCAAGCTGGAATCTTGCTCCAGCTTTCTTCGGCAGAAGCAAATGTAGCGTAAATGACCATTAAGGCCAACGAGAGACGATGACTAAACATGTTAAAGACTGTTAAGAGATAAAGTTTAGCTATTGGCGGTAAGAGAATGCTCTTTTTTCTCGCTCACCTTAAAAAGATTATTGGGTAAGAGATTCAAGTAAAAGATTGATGTGGAAAAGAGGTAAAGAATGAAAAGATACGGAATGGAATCATAAGATGAAAACGAGTAAGAAACATGCAAGTGGTGCAGTTTGTTGCAAGCTTGTTGCGGTCCTTTCTTGCAGTGAAAGTTAAGCCGCTATGTGTTTGTTTGCATATGAGCCCCTCTGGAATTCCGTGAATGAGTGGCGGTACCTAATTTACGATGGGCGGAGCTTTATTACACACTGTTAAAGCCAAGAAACGGAGAATGGAAAAGACGTTTCTGCCTTATTTGCGGAATTCCTTTCCCATATGAGACGGAAGTAAGAAGCCGATTCAGGTACAATAAGGAAAACAAATGAAATCAAATTGTCAAAAATAGAATAAGAGTTAAGAGTCAAGAAAACTAGCTTCAAGTGAGCTGATTAGTTTGAGCAACATATGCAACAGCTTTTGATTGATGATCGCAGCTGCCGCCGTGGTATTTGGGTAACTTTGAAGCAATTGCATTAGCTTCATCACACGATTTGATGTTTTTGTTACAAACTTGCGCAACATCAGCACCAACTACACGGTTTTGACCACTACGTCTGCCACAACGTAAGAAACCGTTTGAATCGTATCCATGAGCATCATCTTGAGTACCGTTCGGGAATTTACCCGGTAAGCCAGCCCAAGCAGACCAACAAGGGGCCACCACCTTTCGCCATTGAACTTGTGTTAAATGACCTGAATTGAGAGCTTCCGCGGCATTTTTGCCTGCGAGCTCTGTGAACATTTTCTTTGAGAGATAGATATCCTGATAGAGGGTAATGATGCGTGCAGCAGCAGCATTCAATTTATTAGTTAATGATAACCAAAAGAGACACACAAGGAACTCACATTGCATCCGAAGGTAGAGTTTGGAACTGCGCCGCACTCGTCAAGAATTCGTCCAAAAGAAACGATCCCTGTATCTGGGTTGTATACTTGCACCCATTCATTACAGTCTCTTAAAGAATCGTTAAGGAAGTATTGAGGGCTAACACATACAACGTTACTTTGATCGGTGTAGTTGACTTGACACTTGGAAAAGCCAGGTGCAAGGTAAAACACTTTATCGTCTGTTGTTTCCCATTTTTGAGCAGTACCATAGACTGTAAGTGTGTTGTCGCTAGGTGTATCACATTCCAATGCTTTTGCACATGGTGTCTTGCCCGTAGCTGATACGATAGAGATGAAAGCCAAAATGGCAGTGAAGAGGAAGAAGTGCTTCATTCTGAAAGGTATGCGAGTAATAATGTCCGGTTTGTCCTCAACCGATTTTGTATGGTATGGGTAATGAGATAAAGCAAGAAATTTGAAGTTGTTGTCTTGGAGGTGTTGTAGTGATGAAGCTTGACTTACGGTAGTAGCGATGGTAGTATGTGAGCAAATAATGAATCTTGCGCTTTTTATGTCAAACAGAAACGTTTGAGGTCTGACGGAGTTCCTTTGCCCAGCTATTTATAATCACTTAATAACGCCATTAGCAGAACAATCCACTCCGACTGTCGCCCAAAGTCCGAACGGAACCGTTGAACTTATTTTGGTTGCAAGGAAGCCGCGATCTTTGTGACTTAATTGACTAATTCCATAAACGAAACAAACAAACGTTCGGAGCCGCAACAGACTTTCAAAATAGATTCAAGAATATAATCGGGGCACAAGAATATTATGACGAAGATGAATGAGTGAAGACTGGAACAAAATTGGTAATAAATGGATGAAACTAATCGTGTGAAATAAGTGACAAATTTTCAGTATTGTATGCAACTGCATGGGGTTGTTTTTCGGCACTTTTGTTACCTTGACCTCCTTGATACGGAGGCAAAGTCTTTCTTATTTGATCTGCTTGTTTGCAATCTTTAATATCGTGGTTGCAGACTTTTGCAATATCAGGACCTACTAGACGGTCATCTCCAGTCTTTCTTCCGCAACGTAAGAATCCGTTGCTGTCTTCACCAAACCCTGGATCGATAGTTCCGTTTGGATACTTGCCAGGTAAGCCAGCGTATAGACCGAAGCATGGACTAACTACCTTTCTCCATTCTACTTGATCTAAATGACCAGCATTGAGTGCTCCTTCTTCATCCTTTCCAGCAAGTTCTTCGAACATCTGCTTGCTAAGGAAGATATCATTGCAGCCAAAGGTCGAGTTTGGAACATCGCCGCATTGATCTAGAATTCGTCCAAATGAGACAACGCCCGAAGCTTTATTGGTCACTTGTACCCATTCGGAACAAGATTTGTGAGGGTTGTTTTTCGGGAAATGACCGCTGGAAACGCAGACAACGTTTGATTGATCCGTGTAAACTTCTTCACAGAATGACATACCTGGGCTAAGGTAATACACTGGATCATCACTCGTCTCCCATGACTTTGCTGTACCATAAATAGTCAAATCATCATCACCTGCCTTGTCACAATCCAATGGTTGAGGTTGAGTCTGGTTTTGAGGTTTAGGTTGAGGTGCCGGTGGTTTAGGTTCAGTTGCCGGAGGTTTGGGTTGAGGTGCTGGAGGCTTGGGTTGAGGTGCCGGTGGTTTAGGTTGAGGTGCTGGAGGTTTGGGGTGAGGTGCCGGTGGCTTTGTTCCTGGAGCGGGAGCAGATGCAGGAGCTTGGGCCGGCTTGTCATCTGCTCGTGCTTGAGCAATGAGCACGAGAAGGACCGTGAAGAGGATTGAGAGACGCAATGAGAGCAACATATAGAGCAAATTGAAACGATAGTGTGACTGCTTATAAAACTTGATGAGGAAAAAGAATACTCACTTCATCTGTGATAAGTCAATTTATAGTTTTCACTACCTTGAAAACTCATACAGGATCGTATGGGAGGAGTATGAAAATGAGCGCCGCGCCGTAGAAAGGAGAAAACTCTATAAAACGCCTACACACAATCCTGCGAAGGAGTTAAATTTCTCATGACTGCATCGCTATGGTAGCGTTGCTCCTGCTCCTACTCTTCCTCAGATTCAGCTTTTGCGCTGAGATGGTTATATAATGCCTCCTTAAATCAAGCTTATTCTCCTGTATTTGTACTCCTCGTGAGGCACAACTATTTAGAGACGAACAATTGGTATATCACCTATACCTCTTCTTCTCCTTTCCCACCGTATCAAGATTAAGGATGAACGTGGAACGACTATATTTAGCCTATCAGGAGAATGGTATTTTTTACATTAGTAAAAGCCCTAATTTGACCCTCTTTCCCTATAAGGGAGAGTTGTTCAGCTCAAGTGTTGGCTGTTCAGGGTGTACACTGTTTTTACCAATTCATCCCAAGTGGTTGTTTGCCACATATTTCTTTTCATACGATCAACTTTCCAGTCGTTTAGCTTTTCCATCCAAGTTGGCGGCAGATTTCGAAAGAATGCATAGATCCAACGACTGTCTGTGAATGTGTTTGCATCAACTTGTGAACGTAAGATGTAGAATTCGCCAACATATTGATCGATTTTCGCAAAAGGAACAGAATCCATCTTTGAGATTGTTTGATCGATTAATCTTTCCGGCTGAAAGATAGTGAGAAATTCGGTTTTGAAATGGTTATAATTCATCAATGCAGGATTGGCCTTTGCCCTACGCATGAAGTCAATACACCAAGCTGCAGGGTACGACTTTGCCGGAAGAGCTTTCTGCATTTGGTACATGAATCTGCTTTCCGGATAACCAGCATCTTCCAAAGTCATTTCACTCCTGGCTATCCATACGCTTGGACTAATGCTTTCGTAGAAAGGATCAAGAGTTACCACTTGCGGCTGATATGAAATAGTCGCATAAGGAGTAAAAGCTTTCCTTTCAGTGTCTGACATAACACCCTCAGACAGCCTATTTGACTGGCCTTGTGTTGTCGTATCGCTTCTTGTAGAAGAGGCACTCAAGAATTCGTATATATCCGAATTTGTCTGTTGTCGTTTCTTCTCACTTTCATCCGCTTTATTTCTCATTTGCTTGCGAGAAGAAGAATATTTCTCACAGCCTTCGACTATGAGTTTTGCAAGGTCATCCAAATGCATAGGATCGGTCAATTTGGTTGGATCCACGATAGGCTTGCCCGATTCTATAACTTCCTTGATTTCTGGATTGATCATAGCAAGATATTTGATTGTTCGCATTTGTTCTGCTTTTGATAAAATATAGAATTTAGGGTCTGGCAATGGATTAGACGAAAAGTTTGATCCTTCTCTCTCTCCTTTATTGCTTCTCGCGCCTGACTTTGATTCTTTGGTATCACTCATCTTGCTGGTAGGGCCAGATCCTAAATGTGAAACGAGAAATAAAAAAAGGTGATGATGTTCAAATTAGGAGACATCGAGCGTCGATCAGCGTGGATATAAGGTTTCAAAGGATTCGGTAAGCTCGAAATGGAGCCGCACTTTTAGTGTGGCCGGAGTCTCGGACTTGCATAATCCTAATTTAACACAATGCAGAACATAAGAAATTATGAATTCATTAAGAACGGATGGCCCGAGAAACACGAAAAGATGGAGCGACATAGTATCGTTTCGGGCTCATCCACACTATGTAGGTGTCGTACAAGCTCATTTAGGGCAAGTTTGAACGTTAGCATTGCAGACCTTGTTCACATCTTGACCAGAAAGATTGCTTCTACCGCAACGAAGGAGACCGTGACTATCGTGACCGGTACAAGGATCAGTTGTGCCGTTGAGGAAGATTCCAGGATAACCCATAGCGCAACCTTTGCAAGGCTCAATGATGAATCTCCATTGTAAATCACCACTCAAACGACCTTTTTGCAAGGCTGTTGAACTGTCATCACCTGCAAGCTCTACGAAAACTTCTTTTGAGAGATAAACATCATTACAGCCGAACGTAGAATTTGGGACTGCGCCGCAAGCATCACCAACCATGGCTTGTGCAACAATACCGTTGGCAGGATTGGTCAATTCGATCCATTTGTGGCAGCCGTTCACAATGGCTGAGTTAACTTGACCTGGATTGAGACAAGCCACTAAAGATTGATCCGTATAGGTATATGCACATGAACCTGTTCCTGGTGCAACGTATTCAACTGGGTCATCGGTAGTGTACCACGAATAGCCAGTTCCAGTCTTGGTCATTTTGTGATCGTTTGCATTGGTGTCACAAGCTGGGTAACTAGGATCGCGAGCAGCTAAAGCAGCGGTTGCTAAAAGCAAAGCATGAAGGAGAAAGTTAGGTAACATTTTGGTAGAATTGTTCAAGTGTGTTGATGTTGGAAGGGTTAGGAGAAGAAGGGATGGAGGAAGGATTGGGAAAACATTGGATGGAAAAAGCAGCTTTTTATACAAACTCTTCGAAGTTCAAACCATGGTTTAAACTTTATAATCGAACTCATTTCGGATTATCGGTACCGTGGTAAATAAGGAACAAATATGCAACTTTGAACCGTTTATGTGCTCGGATATCCGTATCTTCTCAGATTGAGGTGTTTTGGCGTCCGTTCGGCGTATATGAATCCGAAGATTTCTCAAGTACAACAAAGGCGGGGCTAATAAAATATTTAAGAAAACGAACACATTTGCATTTCTTCGGATCCCTGATCAATTACAACCCCGCCTTTATACCACAGGAGTCGTGCCGGAACGCTATAGTCCCCTTTTCAAAACCTAACTACACTCAAGCTTTTGTCACTTTGAATATCATCAATCATCAACTTCGTTATACGATTATGAAAGAATTGTAAAGTTGTGAGTAAAAGTGGAGAGATTAAGTGAAATTCAAGAAATAACATCAATTAAACTTTGAGAAGACAACAAAGCTATGAAAGTCCTGAGCGGAAAATTATTTAAACATCCCTCTTTACAACTGCAGAACGCTTACTGGTTGTTGAATGACGAGCATAGATACCTTTTGCGATTGTGTTAGCTTCATCACAGGTTTGAATATCAATGTTGCAAACTTCAGCAGATTCTGCACCAACGATTCTTTGAGCTCCACCCTTTCTGCCGCAACGCAAGAATCCTGCAGAATCTTGACCAGTGCAAGGATCAGTAGATCCATCGAGCAATTTACCTGGGAAGCCAGCATAACATCCCCAACAGCTCTCAGTGATGAAATTCCAGGTAACGTTTCCTTCCAAGTGTCCTGCTGCAAGTGCAGCTTGACGTTGATTGCCTGCAAGTTGCTCGAAGGCTCGCTTCGACAAGAACAGGTCATTGCATCCGAAAGTAGTGTTGGGAAGAGCACCACATGCATCTAAAACTCTTGCTTGAGTGGTAGCACCGTTTGCATCGTTTCGAATTTGAACCCATTTATTGCAACCGTTAACATTTGCTGAATTAACATGACCGGGAGCCAAACAAACGACATTGGATTGATCAGTATAAACTTGACCGCAAGCTCCTTTTCCTGAAGCAACGTAAGCTACAGGATCATCAGAAGTGAACCAACCGTAACTTGTACCGTACTTTGTCATCTTGTGATCATTCGGTCCGTTATCACAAGCTGGGAAAGAAGTGTCACGTTGACCAAAGGCAACAGATGCCAAGGCAGAAAAGACAATTGCCAAATTGAAAAAGTTACGTTGAGCGAACATAGTTGCAAATCGATTTCAATAAGTGAAAAGATGTGGGAAGGAAAGAAAGAGGGGGAAAGATATTTTTGCTCCTTATATGTCTTTTGTTCTAGAGAATCAGGAACGCTCCTAATTTCAAAATCGCGGTGTCATAATTATTTGTGTACCGCTTTTGAACATAGCAATACACAAACCTTTTCTTTTTTCAATTTCAGACTCTCTTGCAATGCCCCAATAAGCAGCTGTGTACTCGATCATCGCTTTTTCTTGGTAATTGCGGATAATGCGGTACCGCTATTTGTTCTTGGAGGAACATTCCTCTCTTAGACTGCGGGCGTTCCTTTCGCTCCCAAGAAAAAGCGGTGCTCCTATCTTGTAATTTCATTTCATCAAATGACGGAGACGGACGTACGATTCATAGCCTTTACACATTCCACAACTCATTTAGCAATAGTCGCAATCCGATTCCGCTCTCCTTTCCCATTCGGATTTCAGGAACACGGAAAAGTAAGCAATGCAACAAAACAAGTTCATGAAAACTTATTTGCTCGGTTGCCGAGAAAGATGTTGCTATAAACGGAAATGAGAAATAACAATTATTACGCCAACAGTATTTTGATGACTAAATTTAGCATTGTCACGGGGTTCTTCGTAAATCCTGGAGCATCTTCAATGGATCATGGGGAGATTGGTGTTTGGTATGATGCATAGCAATTCTCGCCATATGTTCGGACGATATGGGCTCTATATTAGGTAAAGAATGGGCGCATTTCCCTAAGTGGAACAAGGTTAAACTGATCACAATTGTGCGGTGCTAGTTAAGTCCAGGATAAGGCCCTTGTGCCCCGGTAAATCTTCGAATTGACAAACATAAAAATCAGATCCACACTGCTTTCTCAATAACCTTGTAAGATCATTGTACACTTGTATTTTGGAGACAAATGAAATCAGGAGACAACGAAGCTGTGTAAGTGCGAACAAGCCAATCCTACTTCTCTGTCCCGAAATTCCATAACACTTTGCCCAAAGCTTGCAACACGGGCCTGAAAAAGAAGCTAGCCAAAGTTAATAACCAAATGGTTTCAGGTCAATAAGGAGATCAAATCTATGCTTTCATTGTTACTTCTCGCAATTCCCAAAGCATTAAATCAGATCGTGGGTAATAGGTCTATCGTCATTGTCAAATATCGAGGCCTCAAAGGTGAAAGTGATCCAATTTCAGCCAGTAGTCTCGAGAGCATTTTCATCTTTGATTGTTCGGGAGAATTGACTCTTTCAATCTTATCCTTGCATGATTTTTGGCTTATCAGAAGTATATTTGTGGGACTCTTGCAGCTTTTTAGCTTGTCTGTGTGTGTGTATGTTTTGCTTTCAAGCCTGGGGTGCATGGAATACGCGGCGCCAAGGAATAATCAAAGATCTAGGCAAGATTGTGTTTCAAACAATTAATCTGTGCTTGGCCGCGTGTTGCTTACACACAACCTCGGCTTTTGTTCGGAAGCGGGCAAGAACAATCAGATGGACGTGTGTGTGTGTGTGTTTGTGCACGAATGCATTTAACGCTCAGACGATGTTGCATCCTTTTTAAAGCTTCTTTTCTTCTTGGATCATTTTTCACACGATTAGCGTCAATTAAAGTCAAATGCGTGGAATTGGTGGAGTAAGCGAAAGGCAGGGGAGGGTTTGAAAGAAATGGCTGGCTTCCCCGGATGAAAAGAAAGTGAACCTACAAACAACAATCATCACCACCACCGCGACACCTATCAGATTATCATCTTATTCACACACCTAAAGAGACATGAGTCAAAATGGGGGAAGAAGGGAAATGGAGGGAAGTTCAAGTAAAATACAAAGCATGTTCAGAAAAAGAGGTCAGCAAGAAGGGCAGATAGACTCTGAAGATGTTGCGCCACAGAATATACCTTCCAGCTCGAATCCACGTTCAAAAAGCAAAAAGAATTCATCAAACTCCAAAAAAGGTCTGGCAAGGGTACGAGTGATCAGTAAGATGATCCATGGAATTATCAAAAAGTCAAAACTGGAAATCACATCTTTACACGTTCAACATCCACAAGGTAAGACAGTACATGCTGTCGGCAACATCAAACTTACAAATTTGGTCACAGGGCCAATACCTTTGGTAGGCTTACGATTAAGCTTCAAAAATCCAGAAGGAGTTGCATTGACATGGACGCCAACCGAACAGCAAACATCCGGTAAAACTGCAGAAAAGACGGTCATTCAAGCATTCATTGAACCACTAGACCTACTACCGAACAAACTTGGTACGATTAACTCGGAAATCAAAATACGTTTCGAAGTCAACGATTCTTCCCATGAATCATTTGTGAGATTTGTGAGACATATCATTCGATCTGATTCTACTCTGGGAACACAAGTTACCCTGGAAGCAGAGCAAGCAGAAGTCAAGGTGTATGGTATGCGATTCGGAGGACTGTTCATCGAAAAGGAGATTGTACTGGGTGGTTTGGGGTCGTTGGATGGTGCATTGAAGTTCGACGATACGGGAATGTACGGAACCGGGCAAAAGCAAGATAATGCAATAACCAGAGGAGCAGAAGATGCAACATCAAAACAAGACACTCAAAGCAAGAAAAAGAACCTCTTTTCCAAACGACAAAAATCACCACCTCTTCGCACTGCAGCGGCAAAGGCTGGAAAGCAAGCCAGTCCATCTCCAAATAAGTTGATGATCGATCACCTAGAAATCGTAGGAGGACATCCGCAAGATGGAATGCAACTTTCGGCCACTTTAACTCTCGTGAATCCAGCAAGAGATCCTCAGTTGAGTATTGAACCTGGCGAACTACGACTACTGGTCTGTATTCGAGATGAACAGGCTCTATCGGACAACGTAGAATCACCTCCGCAAAAGTATAAATACGGTACCATTCAACTTCCACCTGGTATCATTTGTTGTGGTTCAATCACCCTACCGCCAGTCAATCTGAAACCGGGCCCAAACAAGATTGATGCAAGCCTTTTGATTGTTATTCCACCTCCTCCAACTCCAAATGATTCGCCCACTTCTTTTCCGGCTAGAGCTCATAAAGCAGGACAAAGGTTAGTCGCTCAATTGATGCAAGATGAATTAATCGAAAATACTTTTGTGATAACAACACCCTACAATGAATCATCGTTGCAAAGTGGTACTTCCGATACTCGCTGGATCGCAGATGCTTTTGCCGGTGTACGTATAGAGTATACGATTCCGCCTTTGGGTGAACGTGTTCACTTATTGGATGGCGCCGAGCTTCGTGTGGAAGGTGGTCAAGAAGGCAGTGAAAGAGGATCACGTTATCAGAACAATTTTGACATTTCCAGTGATTCTCTTCCTCAATCTTCGATTGGAAGTCAAAATTTAAAAGAATCCGTTGCCCGTGCAACGCTTCGAAATGGATTCGAGGCTGATATTCAAGTTCATTCACTCAAGGTGAACATCTGCTCTGAACCACTTTTTGGCGAAGATGGTCGATCGGAAACATTGAGACTTGGAGGATTGAGCTCGGCTTCATCAGCGGGAATGCTTTGGGAAGGTTTATTGTTGAGCAAAGGTCATCCAAGTCACGTCAGCCTACCGATGGAGATCAATCCTGATCCTCGTGTTTTAATTGAAATCTTACGTAAAAGTGCAAGAATGCGAAATATCAACCTTGGAAATCCACTATCTGAATTATTGGAAGATCTTCGAAAAGCACATTGGACCGAAGCGGGATTTGCTGAACCTCCTCAAAGTAGACCAGCTTCGCGTGCTGCAAATTCATCAAGAAGAAGTTCATATAATCCTCAACGTGAAGCTGAACCTTCGGATGATCTTGCAACACTTTTGGCAAACGCTTTAGGTAATTTGAGAGTAACTGCAGAAATTGAAGCAGAAGTCTCGATTGGCGATTATCGTATCCCTGGAGCAGTGGAAATCGAGCAAAGGAATCTACCAATCGCTTTATCAACTGCAACTGCTGCTGCTTTGTTGCCTCTGATCGGTAAGCCGTTTGTGAAAGCATTGGTGGATCGGGCTGAAGTTGAAGTTCATCATGTTGACGTTACTTCAATGGATGATCGAGGTGTGCTAGCAAGGGTCACTCTTGGTTTGAGTAATTTTGGACCTTTGAACGCAGATGCAACATTTGATGAAGGTTTACTCTTACGCGAACCAAATGATACGTCAAAAACGATTGCAATTATTAATTTCGATAATCCTTTATCCGTAACTGCTGGAGATGAAACACCAATCATGGCAGATTGTCGAATTTCCCCACCAACAGGATCGGGAGCAACGGAACGATTCTCGCGATTCATCAATCAACTTTTGCGTGCTGATACGATCACTCTTTCCGTTTTAGCAAATCCACTTTCGATTTCTGCAGGAGGAATTCATTTTAGTGCAGTATTGGAAAAGATGATTTCAGTGATGGGATTGGGTGGATTTAGTGATTTACGTATGGAAGATTTGCAAATCGTTGGAGAAACAAGTGCGCCTGCTGCTGGCGTTAGCATGAGTGTTGCTGCACCTGCTAATTCTGCACAAAATACGGCTATTCAAATCAGCACCATTGCTAAAATTCATAATGCAGGAGATATTCATTTACGCATCGCAAAGTTGGAAGTCGCAATCATCAAAGATGATATCCACATCGGTCAAGCAAGCATCGATGATGTTGATTTGAAAGCTAAATCAACTGCCAGCCTACGTGTCAAAGGTACGCTTTATGCACCTCCCGCTCGAGAAGGAGAGAAACACACAAAAGCGATTGAAAAGTTGAACAATTTGATCAGCACGCTCATTGCTGGAAAGGAAGCCAAGGTGGACATTGTCGGTAGAAGAGCATGGGTACCCACCAGCAAAAGCTCCAGGCCAGTATCTCTTGCTTGGCTAGATGAATCGTTACGAATGTTCAAGACAGAAGCAACGATCCAATGGAAAGGTGGAATTCAAATTGTGGAAAAGATTGATGTTGGCAAGATTGATGCAACATTTGCCGCAAGAAGAGGATTACAGCTTAAGATTGATGATATCATCGCTCAGTATAACGTGCCCTTTCCTATTCAATTTGAACTGCAATCCATCGATGCTTCAATGGAAATCATGTTTGGCAATAAAGTGATTGCAAAATGTCATGCTGCTCAAGATACGATCGAAAACGTCCAACCGGTTACAGAACAAAGAGGTGGAAGAAGCAACAGTGTAGCTTTACCTCCAGCAAACAATACGCCTACCGCACCATCCCGCTTGCCCAGTTCGCCCTTGTTACGCAAATCAGTCAATAGCTTCACTGGTCATCCAAACGGAACATCCGCCTCTCGATCAAATAATAGCACAGCATCACCATCTTCTCCCAAGACTGCTTTACTGAGACACCCTTCAAGTTCGTCCGTTGCGACATCCTCAAACAATAGTAGTCACTTCGTCCCAATTTCAAGACGTGTGAAGCTTTCTTTGAAACAATTTGATCTCAACGTCGAGAACGATGAAGAAGTGACGGGAGACATGATTTCACACATCTTTGAAACTGGACCAGAAGGAACTGATCGAATCAGGTTGAACGGTGTTGCCCATGTTACCGTGAAAACTGTTTTGGGTGTTTTGCGCTTGAGTGTACCTCTTGGTCAAGAACATAAACTGGACATCATTGGTTTGGATGGTTTACGAAACAGCCCGATTCATTATACCGATTTCGTCATCGAGAGTGGAAATCCGAAATTTATTCAGATTTCAATGAATGTTCAATCACACAATCCTGCTCAAGGTTTAACGTTAAATGTACCAGATTCAAGTTTGACGTTGGGAGTTTACTACAAGGATGCTTTTGTTGGTGATGTGATCTTGGGAAGGGATGGTAAAGGAGTTGTCATCAACCCTGGTCCGGTATCAATTGCAGGTGTAGAATTCCGTTACAGACCTACAGAAAAGACGGAAGTGGTAGCCCAACAGATGCTTTCGAAGCTTTTCAGCGGTGAAACATGTCAATTAGCCATCCGAGGTCATAAAAAGAGTTCGATCAATTCAGCTCTTACTCAAGCTTTACGATTGGTTGACGTTCCGATTGATATTCATCCTTTGGGCGACAATACGATTTTGGATTTGATCAGAGTGCAGCTAGGAGTCAGCGTCTTGACTTCGAACAGTATTGACGCAACATATTACATCAACAATCCTATCGGTTTACCGATCGATGTACTTCATTTAGAGGTAAAGGCATATCATCGATCACAACCTTTTGGTCAAGCAACAAAGACATATCATAAAGAAGGTGTTCTGACCGGTAAATTGTCCGATGGAACACCTGCAAGTCAATTTGGAACAGACGGAAGTGGGACTTCGCCAAGAGATCCAAATAGTGGCGCGATTGATGGTTCAAGAAGAACTTCAACTTCTTCTGGTAATCCACGTTTACAAAGGTTTTTGATTCCACCTAGTGCTCGTAGATTCCAAGGTGGTTTGGTGGTTAAGCTGGATACACCTTTGGATCAACTTGTGGCAGCGTTCTTGAAAGAACGTGGTTCAATCGTTTTGGACGTCGATTTACGTCTTCGATTAGATATTGGCGGCTATCTTATTCCTGATCTGAATTATCGTCAAAAAGTTCCTTTGGAAGTGTATGGCTTGCAAGGCGTTGCAAGAATTCTCAGATTGATTTGAATTATAGAAAAACACACACATTCTTTACTCCTTTTCCATGTAAGTATAAATTCGATATACCCTCTTTCTCTTACCATTATTTATACCCTTCTTTCGATGGAATGCAACTTTTATCTAAATGCAAATATTGTTGATTGATTCTATTGGGTTAGCTCTATGAACATGACTGACGGATGTTTACGCATCAGCTTCCTCTAATGCTGATTCGGCGACAGCGCCTTGGTATGTTTTGGGGTTGCTCGAGCCGCCGATTGGACGATTGATCCATGAATCTTTGCCGGTATAGATGAAAATATCGTATACCAAACCTCCCACACAACCACCTACAATGGCAGCAAGCCAAGGTGCCCAAAGCCAATAAGCGTGATTGTGTGTCCAAATCTCATTGCCGTATCCCAAGAACCACAAAGCGATTCTTGGACCTGAATCGCGTGCTCCGTTTAAGGCATAACCGGTATTCACTCCCATCGAAGCGCCAATACCGATCAAAACGATAAACATTGCGAATGCCATTGTACCTTTTGGTGTTGGTAAATTACCTTTATCACCAAGGGCAAAGACTACGCAAACCAAAACTGCACTTGCAAGAAATTCCGAATAAAATGCAGAAGAAGCAGGTAGCCATGGTTGTGGAAAAGTGAAAAAGAGTGGAGCGGTTGCATGAGGACCGGTGACAGTACGGATTGCACTTGGAAGACCTTGACCTTCGTATAAGCCGATCGAATATCGATAATTTGCATAAACGATAAAGCTTGCCAAAGTGGCACCTAAGACTTGTGCAATGATGTACCAGCCCACTTTTCTACCTGGAAATCCACGGAAGAGCCAAAGTGCAATTGTGACTGTTGGATTGATATGGGCACCACTAATTCCTCCGGCAACAAAGATGCCCATAGCCACACCAGCAGCCCAAGCCAATCGACAAGAATTATAATCACCAAAGCTGTAAGGTTTATTTGCATTGTTTCCATAATGCAATGTAGTTTGACATTCAACGCTTGCGCCCAAGAGGATGATGAAAGCAGTTCCTAAGCATTCTGCCAATTCTTCTCTCCAAATATAACGAAAGCGTGCCAAGATGTTTGCTTCGCCTTCATGATGTGCCCAACGTGGATTGTGTAATTCATGTGAATGGGTTGAATCAACGGGTGCTGCGGGTAACATTGGTGAAGAGACAGCATTATGTGCTAATGATGGATCAGCATCAAGTTCTGATGCTCTACGAATGCGAGAGAGTGTACGAGGTTGTTGGGAAGATGATGTAGAGCGTTGTGAGCTGCTAGCCCGTGGTAAGAGTGGAGCTGATTCAGACATTTTTAGAGTTGGGATGATGGAGTTTGAGAGAAAGGGGGTTACAAACAGAATTCCTTCAAGTGTTGAGTGTTGTCGTTCGGCGAAATAATAAATTCTTATACGGATTGCGCTAATGCAAAAAATCAATGCTCAAGCCACTTAGGGTTTAAACGCCGTTGCATGTATGCGGTTACCCCTGTTTTCTTGCTTGCTAGATTACAGCCAGCATTCACAGGGATGAGTGCAGAGTCTTGTTAGATTGCACGTTCAGTGATCACCTTGGTGACTGTCATAGTTGTGTCCACCTATCACGATGGACATGAACACTCCATTCTAATTGATCCAGACCTGTCAATTAGAACCATTTGAAAGATTATCAAAGTCTACCTTGTATTCGCTGTATACTTCATCGTCATATGACCATATAAGAATGACATTTTGCCATATCTTTGAGAGAATGTCTCGTCAAGCTCATGATTAAAGTGTATAACTATGGTAATGATGATGATACAAGCAATTGCCAAAATGATGTTGCATTCACTACTTTTGTCCAATTTCCTTCCGCCGCTTCAAGGGATACTTCCTTCCTTCAAGCGTGCGAATGTTTTCTTTTTGATTTGGTTGGCTCGCCCTGGCTTAAGCGGTGGTTCATTTTACTGCTGCTTGCACACACACACACAACACACAGGTTTTCTCTTTTTTTTGTGCGCCCTGCAGCCGAACAGACACAAAAGTCGCGTTTACAGTGTGTATTTGGCGTGTTTGCCCACAATCTCAGTCTGCGTCGGGAACACTAACCCCTCTGCATTATAATCTATACGTCCGGAGATGGATACACATATTCATTCTTGCGATCACCTTTCTTTTTCTTTCACTTTATCGTTCATCAACTTCAAACTCGAGTCAAACTTTCTATCTAGAATAGATACCCCAATGAATACACGATTGTAGATCAACACACTCACGAACAATCAACTTTCATCAAAGGTCTGAACATTGCTTTATACCGCTACGCATTCATCTTGTCAATATCTGCATATACACATCAACTTTGCTACAACTTTGTGTTGATCACACTCTATTAATCGCAATTACACACCAAGAGACGCAAGTCCATCATCAGCAATCCTTGCAGTAGTCATCCGGAGGCGTGTTTTTCATCTACATAATCGGTGCCGAGGACCGGAAGCCGCGCAATTAAAGACTACTCGCAGCCTTCAAGAACATTAACGCATAGACTCTCACATTCATCTATTCGTGCGTAAACTTGCATATGAAAGGATAGGGTATGAAAATATGACGAGTACGTTTAGTGCAGCATCCTCCAATCCGGCGGCGGGAGTTGAAGGCGTTTTAGGTAAAAGCTATGATCAACTTTCTTCATCTTCCGATCTAGAAAGGACAGAATCTTCTTCTTCATCCATTACCGTTCACCCTTTAAGTGAAGAAAGAGGCGGAAACGATGAACCAAAAGCTTCCTCTTCTTCAACAGCTTCATCGCCAACTTATCAATCAATATCTTCTTCTTCCGCTCGTAATACAAACTCAACTGCTGCTTCATCCATGCAAACGGCGGATTCACATTCGAGCTCCTTGCACGGAGCAAAGAAAGGAAGAGATGGCAACGGTAAGCAGTACGAGCATTACCAGACGTCGAACTCGCATTTCACAAACAATGAAGGCTTAAAGGCGAATGGATATGCACGTATGGATGATGGGCAGACTTCCGGATCGGCATCTGATCGTAGTGCGCAGAAAAATGACAACAGATGGGATTCAACGCGATACGAAGATGAAGAGGATGAAGCTTTCAGCATTCATGACGAAGAGGCACCGATTCAATATCCGCCATTCTCAGAAGAGGAAAGAGAAGCAAGAAGGATTGAGCAAAAGCTGGAGAAATGGGCTGCGGAAGAAAAGATGAGAAGGAAAGCAAAGCGATCATCCAGAACGGCGTCAATACTCGGTCCTCCAACAGCCTCGTCAAACAATAGGCTAAGCAAGCGCTTATCTGTGCTTGGAGGTCTTGGATCGAAAAACCAGCCAACATTACCAGAACCAGTGCCTGCAGCTTTTCAAGATGGTGATTCTACCAATCCATATGGATCGCATGAAAAGAGAGGCAGTGTTGTAGGAAGTTCAGATGCTTTGGTCGACCATAGAGGCAACCGATCTTCTCGATGGACACGCGAAGGCTCTACACCCACTTTGGAAGATGTAGCGGAATCAGGCCAAGACGAGAACATGTATTCCTCGTCCATCTCTTCTTCTCGAAAAGGAAAAGCAAGAGAGTTAAGCGACCCCTTCAGAGATCCAAGTAATGCGCCTTCACCTCACCGCATCAAGCCATCAGCACGGCATCCGATTGTAACGCCTGGAAGAGCACCTACGATGAGGCATCTGGCTGACAGAAAGAGAATGCCAAGTGAGGGTATGCCAGCGATTATTGCAACTGATGCAGATGAGGAAAAAGAAGCACAGGCTACGTTGGCCAGATTTCAGAGTTTAGAAGATGATCCGTTTCAAACGCCAACTGAAAAAGCAGCAGAAAAGCGATATACGATGCAAAAGAGTAATTCATCTTATACCATTGGCTCAACGGTTGATACAACGGATGCGAATAAGAGAAAGAGTACTGCTTCACGTTTTAACGAGATCGGATTGGATGATGGAGAAGAGGCGGGCGGTTGGCCAGACGAAGATGAAAGCGGACAAGATTCAAAAGATGAAACGCTTAAAGATGATGATAATGCGGGATATGCAAATCGTCTAAACGTTCGTCCTCAAGAGCAAAACCCTCCTCCACGTGCTCCATGGTGGAGTGAATGGTTATGTGGTTGTGGAACACCAACCGAGGCTGATTTGGAACAATCTGGACGTACGTTCCCCGAATGAAGGATGCGTGTTTGGCATATTGGACCCTCTTTTCCCCCTCTTTTTTGATTCTTTCTTTCTTTGTCAACATTTCTTCTTGGTGTGCTATTTTCATGCTTATTCTTCATTAAATGCATTCGTTGAGCGATTTTACATGAGAGGTGAAGATTCTACTGACATGCAGGGCCTCCATACGTACATCCATCTCACATGACGGAAGCCTCCATTGAAGCGTTTTTTCAGCGAGGGATTGCGTGTTGCATGCAGAAGGTTTACGATTCATGACAATGAAAGTAGCCTAAACCAATCAACGCTAATAAGTTCTATGTAGATCAGAATGCTGTGTAGGAGGAAATCAAATGGCGGTTGTGTGACTTAGCACCACTTTTACCGGGCTACAGGTACCGGAGGCGCACTGCCTTTTGCTCTAAAGTTGATAAGGACAACTTTTAATCAAATGAAGATCATTGCTTCTTCTAGAAAGGGGAAGATCATCAGAAGACGTTTTTGACATTTTTGATGGATAGCGTGTCTATTTCCTTTGAGAAACACAGCAATCCGAAAATGCGGTCACACACTAATGCATTCTTGTAAGACATGCATCGGGTTATGGGTAAACAACCTCTTCTTTGCTGAAAAACATTTGTTTCATTTCTGATCATCAATGTTCCCCACTCGGACAAAAGGTACCGATTTATCCTCAAGCATGAGAGAGAGCGATAGAAGAATGAAAAGTGGACCCTGCTTTTCACTCTCAATAAACAGCGATCAAGTTATCGGGTAATTCGGTTAATTGGTTGCTTATCAGCGAGACAATAATAATAATATTAATATTATACAGAACTGGTCTTTTGCACTGCACACAAAAAGCAAGTGCGGGCTCTTTTTTTGTTTTTTACTCGTTGGGCGTTTATGAATTTGAATTGCGCGCTAAAATGCACAACAGTAACTCTACAATCCATTCTAGCTGGCTGACTGGTTGGCCGGCGTATCGTTCATTTTGACGCATTACAGGTACTGCATATATCCACGGAATCAAGCAAATGTAGGAACTTATATGAACTTTTTTTTTGACATTTTACTTTGTAGTACTTTTTCAGTGTGTTTTTCCTCTTGGCTCTTATTTCGGACTAAGAAGGTGTTGATTTCAATAAGGCGTGCGTGCACCATGCGTGTGTGTATTCTATGTGCAAATATGCATACTTTGTTGGTCTAGGCTTAGGGCTCAAGCTTAGGACTCACCCTACGGGAAAAGTCAAATTCTTTCATTTACACGACCTGCCCTTTTGATTAAACCCCGTTCTATTTAATCATTCATTCTCTTCTTCCTCCATAAACACTTTTTTTGACATTTTTGACAGCTACTCATCATCCAATACCTCGTTCGGGATCGTGTTCAAGGGAATTTATACTGTCACTTTTTGGGTTAGCGCAGGATTCGCATCTGTTTCGTTTAGATCGTTAGAAGAAGTACAAAGGGGTTACAAAGTTTCATTGTTACATTCACTCTTCTTCAAACATGGCGACCGGCGTACCGGAGATCGATTCTGAGAATTCTTCAAAACCATCCCCAGCCGCATTCGCACAAGCAAGAGCAAACAGGCCAGAAGTTTGCGGTAGTTATGCACCCGAAAGACCATATCCTATTTACCTTCGAGGTGTTGTAGAAAGAGGTTTCGGTAGAGGCGGAAAAGATTTGGGATGTCCGACTGCCAATCTACCATCCAAAGTTATGCAAGCTCAGCCTGCTCTACAACGAACGGGAATCTACTTTGGCTTCGCAAGAATATTACCTCAAGATCCTGATGATCCAGATCTTGAAGATGTTATAGAAGGTCAAACCATACACGAAGGTCAACAATATAGCGCAGATTCAGATTCAACAAACAGTACCTTCCAAAACGATTATCTAGACGATGATGTCGATGTACAGACGGATGATGATGGGGATGAGGTTGTACTGAGTGCAAGTCCAGTCTATGGAGGAAGCGATGTGGACCTTGTCAATCTATCACAAGCGGGCGAAGCCATGCTACCAAGTCTTGCTTTGAAGCAAAGACAGATGAGCAGAAGCAGTGCACGATCTTCACGTAGTGTTCGAACGATTCTCGAAAAAGCAGGCGCAATGAATTTGGAAAGAACGATCAGCGCAGGAAGCGGTGCCGGAAGAGTATCCAGCTCGGAACCCAGCCCTGTTTCGCCAACAAATGCAGAAGTTGTTTCACCTTCACTTGCCACAGCTGGCTTTGGTAAAGATGAGGGCAAGATGTCAACACCACTGCCAACCAAACAACACAGCAATCTGTCCACCTCTTCCGCTTCTTCAGCTTCGACGAATCCGACATCTGTTTCTACAGATAAGCACCCTCGCGACACATCTGCGACGAGCTCTCAGGCAAGCTCGATGCGAAGAAAGAAGAAGAGGCGGGTGCCAATCATTTCTCGCGATGCAAGGGTGTATCCGATGGTGATGAGCGTTGGCTGGAATCCGTTTTACAATAATACCACCAAAACAGCAGAAGTGCACATCATACATAAATTCAGTCAAGACTTTTATGGTTTGGAGATGCGTGTGGTTGTGTTGGGATATATAAGGCCAGAGTACAACTACGTATCCAAGGATGCACTTATTGAGGATATCGAAATGGACAAAAAAGTCGCTTTCAACTCCCTTGCACGTTCGCCCTACCAAGATTACGTTACAGATCCATTTTTGCTTGCACCAAGTTGATTCGCTCACACTTAATTGTATACCTAGGCGACTGCATGTCGTGAGCATTATCTTGGCCGGTCGAGAAAAGAGCTTCAAAGGGCAATATTATGAAATGCAGGAATATTTCTCGGATTCGATCATATGTATCACCTCTCTCAATTCTCTTTTTTCGTTTCATCAAATGGGAATTTCTTCCGCGGTTCTTCTTTCCGCTTTTTCCTATCTTTATACCAAGGAGTTTCCTACGGTTCTCTGTCCAATTCGGGTCATCTGTTACCGTTTTACGTAGGTCAAGATGCATTCACCTCTTTTTTTCGCAATTGTTTTTTTCCAAATGTTTTTCTGCGCCTAACAATTTGCCGGTTTTCTTCTATCAAGAAGTCACTTGTTACTTTTCTCCTTCATCGTTTGACTCGTTTTTATCGTCTTTCATCAAAAAGATGTTGTACAAATCCAGCACATCTATACATTAATACATCCTTGATCAGTATGTTAAGTATCTTTTGACTGTACCTCCGATAAAATCGTTCATATCGGAAATGAAAGATTAGTCATTGAGTTTTCCCGGCCTTGTATATCTTTAGCGTCGTCCGTTGAATTTTTTTTTTTTTTGCAATCCGGGGCAACGCACGCAATTAGCGGGCAACGGTTTAAAGGATTTAGCCATGTAAAATAAAAATGAAATCCGACTCCACCGGATCTATGCAGGTTGCAATGCATAAAACATGAACATTCTTACTCCTATCCTTGATCATCCTCATAGACAACAAAACCCTTTGATGGTCACGATGACGTTGACAAATTCGGATGCTACATCTAGCAGAAGCACAAGTAGTCAAAGAGCAGGGAGTTCATCCATCTCAAGAACAGAAAAGGCATCCAAAGGTACAAACCATACAACACAGGAAACAAGAGCGACTGCTGTCACATCCAATTCACCTTCTTTAAGTCCTCTGAATGCGCCTCAATTACCATCTTCGATTGCCAATCGTGAAGGAATAGATGATGATGAAGATACTGGATATACAAATGATGAAGTCGGATTGGCTTTGGCTTTTGGAGCGGGAGAGCCGGTCAAAAGCGGTTCGGATGGTCTGGATGGCAGTGTGGGGCTGACCAAAGAAGAGTCAATTGCACTAGATGGAAAAAGACTTGGAGGTCAAAATGAAAAGGACGACGAGCCAGGCAATTTTGAGGAGGGGGAACAGAAAGATGAGGAAAAACAGAAACAGTCGTTAGGCTTATCATTGAAGAGTAAAGTGCTACATTTCACACCCTCTTGGTTTTCGGTTACAATGGGCACGGGTGTAATTGCAACATTGTTCACCTTGCTAGGTCAAATATGGGGTACGGAACAATACTCTCCATTCTTTCGATCATTTATTCGTTGGCCAGCTTTAGTGTATCTATTGCTGGATATTGCAATCTTTATCATCTTCTCAGCATCGTTTCTCGCCAGGTACATTCTCTTTCCTCAAGTCTTACCTCTCACCATCAAACATCCTCAAAAGTCCATGTTCTTAGGAACTGTTCCTATGGGCTTAATCACAATCACTTCTGGTATCTGTCAACTTGGCTCGACTTCATTCGATTTGGGAATATGGCCAACGTTCGTTGCTGTTGGCTTGTTCTTCTTTTGTTGTCTATTGAGCACAGTTGTTGCTTTGGGGGTTCCTTGGAGTATTGTCACATATCAAAAAGGTCACAGGTTTGAAGGTACAACAGCCGCTCTTTTACTCCCGGTCGTTCCGCCAATCACTGCTGCAGCTCTTGCAAGCGTGATTGCTGAACATTTGATCGATGGTCACCCTACCTTGGCATATACAGTGATGGTAGTAGGTTATATGCAACTAGGAATTGGACTGCCTTTAGCAATGATGATCTTGGTGTTGTACCTGCAAAGATTGATCTTATTCAAAGCACCGCCAAGAGAAGTGATTGTTTCCGTCTTTCTGCCTTTGGGACCATGCGGTCAAGGTGGAGAAGCAGCGTTGCATTTAGGAAGGGTGGCAATGACTCTATTCCCCCGTATCTCGTCAACACCGAATACTGGTGTTCCGCAACTTACACTTGGCGTTGGAGAAGCGTTTTACGGTGCTGGAATGATTGCAGCTTTATTGCTATTCGCATTAGGGATCTGGTGGATGGTAATGGGAACGGCAACATTTTTGCTAGAATGGAACAGAGGTAATCTCAAATTCAATATGGGTTTTTGGAGCTTTACCTTTCCGCTTGCATCTTTGGCAATTTGCACGGGTAGATTAGCAATGGAATTGGATTCGTTAACGTTAAAGATTGTTTTTACCGGCTTTGTTTTGGCAAATTTTATCCTTTGGGTTTCAGTTGCGATCCCAACCGTAAGAGGTTTCTTCTCTGGAAATCTTCTCATCGCACCTTGCATTGCAAGTTTACCTTTGGACCCTCTCTTGGGCAAAAGATGATCATTATACCCCATGCCTTCAAGGCCATCTGTATCATATCATTTGTACATCATCATCAAATATCATTTCTGTTTTGAACACGCGAGCAAACGCGTGAACGCGCGACTTTTCTTTCGTGTAGAGTGCATTTAATGGGGCTTTTAACGCGTACTTTGACTGAGCGCTTTAGCCGTATTCTTGTCATACTTTACTCGAGACCAACACTGAACGATTATAGCTTTCGCCACCATTCTTATCGTCAATATTCTTACCTGCTTTTCGTTATCAGGGAAAGCATAGCTTATATGCAATAATCACATTTGTGTATAAAGCATGATGATGCGAACACCTCCACTCGCTTCACCATCATCATCAGATTCATTTGCGAGAACTACAATTTTATCATCCAGTGGACCGAGTACACCGACAAAAGCATGGCGAGGAGCTGTGCATAGCTTGCATCATGCATTCGACGACAGCAGTGATGAAGAAAGTGACGAGCTCTTTGGCTCAAGGCCAATTCTAGCAAAAACAAAGCAATCTCAGCCCTCACCTTCACGATTTATAATTAAAGGTACAGTGACCCCTTCAAGAGCTGCACCTCTTTTCGCAAGGTTTTCAAAAGATCGTAGAGCTGCTCAGCGATCAAAAAAGAGAGCCACAGATTGGAGCGACTCGGAAGAGGAATCTAATGATGAAGAAAATATCGATAGACGAACCAATATCAGTCCCTGGACACCTACCAAGCTGACACCAAGATCAAAAGCACAAAAACGATTTCCATTGACTGATATATCACCCTCGAAATCGAAACATCAAAGATCTTCTTCCAACCTCACATCCTCGCCAATCAAACCACCTGCCATCAATGTTAGCCAGTCTCGCTTCATTGCAGCATCGTATCGAAATGCACAACCTCCGGCTATGCCAGTTCCTGTGCCTCTATCACATCGAGCAGGTTTAGTAACAACGAATATGGCTTCGTACATGCATGCCATGCGATCGAACAATCTCGGTCATCTTGCTTTCGCTACCTCTTCGCGTGGTAATACTTTGGGGTCATTAGGTCGCGGAGTGTTGAGCGTTGCCGGTAGACTTGGAGGAGGTGGATCAGGGCGAATGTGCAACTTTTCGCAAAGAGCATTCCATTCAAGCTTTTATACCACTTCTACACCTTCTTTGGATTTGTTCACTTTGCCATCGGAACATGATACCCACCAATTCTCCCATCCGATCTGTGGTGAATATGCAAATTCATCGAGATCTTTGAGTGGTCAACAAGCACAATGGCTAGCAGTGGGCAGTAATGAAGGCAGAGTGTTTCTGTTGAACACTTTGGAAGGCGCAATGTCAGAAGATGATGGATCGACACCTTCTTGGCTTGCTCATGATGGTTCGATATTTGAAGTGAAATGGAGACCGGATGATGAAATGATTGCAACGGGTGGAAGTGATTATCAAATTCGTGTTTGGAATACGTCAACAGGTGAACAAATTCGCAGCTTTTCCGGTCATCGAGGAACGCCAAGATCAATTTCTTGGGATCCAAACGGAAACGGAAATATCCTTTGCAGTGGCGGAAGGGACGGAGCGATTCATTTGTACGATTTACGTGATCCAAGCTCAACGAGTGAAGATGATGACGGAAACGACTCCACACCACCCATTGCTTCAATTTGGGGTGCACATACTACGGAACCTGTCAGACCGCTCAAAGGTCCTGGCAGTCGAGGCGGTAGACGTGGTACTCAAGGAAGAGCAACGTATCCCAAAGGCATCACTTCGCTAACTTATGTCCCTGGAAGAGGTAGCAACATCTTATGCAGTGCAGGATGCGGTGATGGTATTGTGAAATTATGGGATCTTCGTGCAATGGCTAGCTATGACGATATCAATATGCGTGATCAAATGGAAGAAACATTGATGGGGATCAATGATCCACTAGAAGCTGGTCTAGACGTTTCTCTGCAATTCACGAAGAACAAAAGCCCACATGGTATTTCAAGCATTGTTGCATCTTCCACTAAAATATTTACGGCTTGCACGGATGGTTGTATTTATACACTTCCTCTTTACGATCTCAAAGCTCGTTCTACCACCGACCTTGGCCTGCCCATCGGACCAATGTTCGATCCGGCGCAAAGAGGGAATTCTCTCTATGCTCGATTGGCACTCCATGATGATGAAAGGACTTTGGCTTTAGGCTGCAGCTCAGGGGCTGTATCGGTATGGGATACGCATGCTGCAAGCAAAGCTGCTGCTGAACTTTCTTCCCTGGGTGTACATATAGCCGACTTACAACCAAATGGGGCAAAAAGGCAATCCTCTTCTCTGTCTCCTGCATCCGAGGATCCTGACTTCAACTTTCAATCCAACGTTTCCATCTATGGACAAGGACAAGAAGAGCTTATAGAAATGGCGAAACCTGCAATTTTACATGGAGCACATCGCAACAATTTCGAAATAAACGGTATATCCTGGGCACATGGTCCAAATGGTCCAACATTGGCATCCATCTCGGACGATCATACAATTCGCACATGGAGTGCTTCGCAAAATTAGACAAAATGTATGTTTTTATTACGTATTCAATCTCATTGTACATTATCAGCAATCTATAATCCTATCCACCCACACTCAAACGCTAGGTAAAGCTTGTGAAGTAGCCTTTTTAGACTTTTGTGCATTCCTGTCCAAGACTTGACGAGTTGCTTGGCATAGACGGTCCACTGTTGACCCTTTGGAATCAGCAGCATCGGCCAAACGAACATCTTCAACTCTTCTCTCTTTTTCTAGCAAACCGACCATCTCCTTTGGCAAAACATCCTTTTCGAAATCAAAAGGTACATTGGCACTCTCTAAACTTGAAGTGACTGCTTCAGCAAATTTGGCTGGATGAGCTGTCGATAGAACGATTTGAACATGATCGCCAGATTGGACTCGGTTTGCTGCATTGAAACCAACGGCTGTATGTGGATCGACGAGGTAAGAAGATGGCTTGGCGGTAAAGTACTGCAGAATTGTCTCCTTGGTTTGTTGATCACTAACACGCTCTGCAATGAAATCTCTTTGTGCCAAAGCTAATTGTTCTTTGCTCACAGTCATCCTTCCGGTCGATTTGAGATCTTGCATCCATTGGTTCACTTGCTTGCTTGCGGCTTGACGAGAAGAGGCGTCGTTGCCTTTCCCCTGTGATTCAAGAGCGATATACCATAAAAGACGTTCAAAGTTGGAGGATACAAGGATGTCCATCGCAGGACTCAAAGTTGCTTTGACCCCTCCGACTGCAGACTGACTTCCATCGGATGATCCTGCAGCAGGTGCTGTTTGTGCTGAGCCTTCGGACGAGGAGTCTTGCTTCTCATACCTTCCAGTAGCCCAGAAACGTTGTAAGATGTCGTTCTCATTGGTTGCGACAACTAAACCAGCTGTTGGCAGTCCAAGTCTCTTTGCATAGTATCCTGCCAAAATATCACCAAAGTTTCCAGTTGGTACGACGAATTGAATCTTTGCATTAGAGCCTGCATTCGCTTTTTTGAATTGGAAGTAAGCTGAAAAGTAGTATACGATTTGTGAAAGAATACGTGCAAAATTGATAGAATTGATAGCGGCCAAATGATGCTTTGCATTGAATTGAGCATCACCAAAGCAAGCTTTCACAACATCTTGGCAGTCATCAAACGTTCCTTCTAATGTCAAGTTGTGCACATTCTCGTCCAAAACGGTTGTCATTTGTGCCTCTTGGATAGGACTGACACGACCTTTAGGGAATAAGATGTAGATGTCAATGTCCGTCTTTGATCGTAATCCAGCAATAGCTGCACTTCCTGTATCTCCACTTGTGGCTCCCAAAACTGTGAGTGTATGGCGTGCTTCATTTTGCTTCAAGCCGGCATTCTTTCTTGCCAAAAAGTATTCAAACAGGTTTCCCAATGTTTGAAGGGCGACATCCTTGAATGCAAACGTAGGACCATGCCAAAGTTCCAAGCACCATTGCTTTTCGCTCAATTGCTTCAAAGGTGTAACTTCTGAAGCTCGGAAAGTTGAGTATGATTTCTGGACAAGCTTGCGTAGATCTTCTGATGGAATTCCGCCTTCTTTCTCTGAGTCGGGAATGAACAAGGACAAGATGCGGAAAGCTAATTCATCGTATGGTAAATTTGCCCATTCTGTTTCCCATTTTGAGGGTAGATCGGGTATCGTAGTTGGAATATAAAGACCTCCATCAGGAGCCAATCCTCGAAGGACTGCTTCCTCAAAGGTAAGCTCTTCTGTTCCACCTCGTGTGCTGGTATATCTCATCTTTTGTGATTTGAAGTGTGGTAATCAAAGTGATAAATGCACACAATCTTATCAGAACTCTCTTATCCAACAACAACTTTGCATTCTTCTCATCCATTAACTTTTTAAGCTCAAGTGCCTTCCTTCCTTCTACACGCTTGTGACTCCCCAAATCTTCTTTCTTCTTTTTCCCGGCTTGCAACTTAAACACGTGCAACGCTTTAGGACGCGCAATTCCCTTCCACTGCAGCAAAAAGGAACATGAGCACGGACGTTGACGGAAATAACACTTGGTGGCTACAACATCAATTATTCTTCTTGCAATCACCTTCATTGTTGAAGCTCTTTATTATTCCATATTCAGCAATCAGTCACAAAATGAAGCTAAAGTTCAAATCTCTTCAAGGCTCTACCTTTACAGTAGATGCAGAGTCCAGTGATTCAGTACGTACACAGCAGTGGAGGGTATACCATTTACATTCGAATTGCGATTACTAACACCATTTCTCCTCATCAGATCGCCACTGTCAAAGGTAAAATCGAATCGCAGCAAGGATTTCAAGTCTCTCAACAAAAGATCATCTACTCTGGAAAAATCTTGACTGATGCAGATACAGTTCAATCATGTGGCGTTTCAGAAAAAGATTTTTTGGTATTAATGGTATCCAAGCCTAAAGCTGCCAAACCTGCAGCATCATCGTCAGCAGCCGCCTCTGCTCCTGCAGAAGCTGCCCCAGCCGCGACACCAGCAAGTGCTCCCGATGCATCTGCCACAGCTACAGCACCAGCTCCACAAGCAGCAGCTACCTCTGCCGCCCCTACCGAAGCTGCTTCAACTGTCCCAGCCGCTGCTCCAGCTGAATCGGGACCTCCTGGATCATCACAATTTCTCACTGGTTCAGCATTAGAGCAAGCTGTTAACAACATTGTGGAAATGGGATTCGAGAAGAGCGAAGTGCAAAAGGCAATGCGTGCAAGTTTCAACAATCCCGAAAGAGCCGTTGAATACTTGATGACTGGCATTCCCGAACACCTTTCCCAACCTCAAGCACCTGCTGCTCCCGCCCCTGGAGCAGGTGCCGGTGCAGGAACTGGTGCAGCCCAACAAGAGTCTGCCGCTCCTACCGCCACACCCGCACAACCTGCTGCCCCACCAGCTGCTACAACTAACCCTCGAAGCGGAAATTTGTTCGAAGCAGCAGCCGCTCAAGCACAAGGTGGTGGCGGTCGCGCAGGCGGTGCTGGAAGAGGAGGTGCAGGTGGTGATAGTTTGGCTGCCTTGCGTGATTTGGGTGAAGATGATGGAAGTGGCAACACAGCTCTCGATTTAGGCAATCCGGCTATGATTGGTCAATTACGACAATTGGTTCAACAAAATCCTGCCGCTTTGGCTCCTTTAGTTCAAGCTTTGGCACAGAGCAATCCTCAGCTAGCAAATGCAATGGCAGATGATCCAGAAGCCGTTTTGAACTTGTTGGCAAACAATGCTGTTGGAGGCGAAGAAGGAGATGAAGGCGTCAATCTACCCAGCATCGGCGATCTTGGTCAAGAAGATAGAACTGCAGTTGAACAAATTATTGCTATGGGTATTGAAGAAAACAAAGCAATAGAGGTATACCTTATGTGTGGAAGGAATGTGGAAATGGCCATCCAATATTACTTTGATAATCCGCAAGATTTCGAAGATTAATCGGTCTGGAACACACATTCTTTTTTCGCTGCGTTTGCGCTTGTATTGTTATTCTTCTCAAACGAATCCAACAACCAGTGAAAAGCTGAGTTTTATTACCAACGGCAAAATTATATTGCGATGAATAGTACATTGATGCGTGACGGTACAGTATGAAAGGAGATTCATGATAAATTACCGCATAAATTTCTTATAAACTTCATTGTCCGTTTCTTCTCGGAATCGATAACCGATCGTCTGCAGGAATTTTTGGAATGCGCTTTCTTGATTTGGTTCAACTTGAATGCCGACTAGGATGGAAGCGGTATCTCCACCATTGTTACGATAATTGAACAATGAAACATTGAAACCTTTATCCAATCCACGCAAGAATTTCAGCAATGCACCAGGTCTTTCTGGGAAGGTGAATTGGAACAATCGCTCGTTTGGTACTTCACTCTTACTTCCGACCATATATCTTGCATGTGATTTAGCTACTTCATTATTGCTAATATCGATCGCTGTCATACCTTCCCCATTAATCATTTCCAAAATTGCTTGAACTTCACTTTCATATACTGCCTGAATGGCGGCTGCTTGAGTAGCAAATAAATCTTCTTGTTGTTTTCCAGGTGCGGGTGCAGGCGAAGGCAATCTTGCTGTGTTATCGCTACGTTCTTCAAATCTTCCACGAGAAGGCGTAGAGGTACCATTTGAGGTGCTTTGAGCGCGAATATGTGCTTCTTCAGCAACGGGTGTTGGAACTGGCATTCCTCCTGACGTTGGAGGAGGAGGAACACTTGTTGCAGGTAGATTTTGCATTCCCGCAGGTGTGTCCAATAAGAAACTCAAGAAGATTTGTGCGCGATCTGAGCGATCATAACGATAACTGAACTCAGATAATTGTCTTGGGAAAATCTTTTGTGCAAGTCGTAAGAAACTTCCAGGTGATTCGGGAATCTCGACCATTAACAGAATCTCTCGCTTTTGACCAAGTTCAGAACGTTCAGAAACGAAACGTAGTCTAGAGAAGTTCATGTTGGCGCCTGACACAGTTGCAATGAATCTCTTTCCACTGTTTTGCAAATTATTTTCCAGGATGTACCTCTTCATCCCTGCAATAGCCAATGCTCCAGCTGGCTCGGGTATCGATCTTGTGTCCTCAAAGACGTCTCTTATAGCAGCACAAATTTCATCTGTGTCTACCCGGACTATACCATCCACCAATCCATGACAAAGACGGAAGTTCTCTTCACCAATGATACGTACTGCCGTTCCATCGCTGAACAAACCGACGTCATCCAATGTCACACGCTGTCCTGCTTCTAGACTTCTTGCTAATGCATCGGCATCGTATGTTTCCACAGCAATCACTTTGATACCTGGAGGTGCAATACGTTTGATGTAAGATGCTACTCCGGCTAACAAACCTCCTCCTCCAACGCAGCAAAAGATAGCATCTACTTTGCTCATATCGGTTTGTGATAACAGCTCAACAGCGACCGTACCTTGACCTGCAATCACTCGTGGTTCATCAAAAGGAGGAATGATCTTGAGTCCATGAATGCGAGCAAGTCTTGCACATTCTGCCTTTGCTTCATCGAAATTGACACCATGCAAAACCACTTTTGAGCCTAATCTTCTTACATTTTCAGTTTTGATACTCGGCGTTCCTGTTGGCATGACGATAGTACAAGGAATGTTTAGATGAGATCCTGAAAGTGCTACACCTTGAGCGTGATTTCCTGCACTGCAAGCAATCACACCTTTCCACTTTTGCTCATCTGTTAATTGACGCATCATGTTGAATGCTCCTCGTAATTTGAAACTGAAAACGGGCTGTAAATCTTCACGTTTCATCATGACTTGACATCCTAATCGGGTCGAAAGGTTGGTTGCGAGCATAAGCGGAGTTTGCTTTACCAGAGAGTAAATGTCTGCTGATAAAATCAATCGAAGATAATCAGGTTCACCATTTGGTAAACGTAAATGGGATGGTAAATCATCGTATGCTTGTTGTAAGGTCTCTGATATTTTTTCTGATCCTTCTCCAGCTTCCTTTGTGATCGGCGGCCATGGTCCAGGGACGTATGCTGGCGGTAAATTGTCAGCTTGATACGGCTCACTTGACATTTTGCAAATATCAAAAAGCTTTGCAGGGTGATCAGATGGTGGTTGCGGACTTTTTCCCGCTTGATAGCATTTCTTCTTAAGCTCTCTCCAAACTAACTAAACAGTCATAAAAGCTGGAGAAAAACTTAAACGCGCTCCGACATATGGCAAAATCCCGATATCCGACGATAAGCAGGGGACGTAACCTCCACGCTTGAAAATGAAACAAAGGGAAGAAAAGTGTCAGAAGTTCAATCAAGAATTCCTCTCAGTAAGATCCTGCCGCCATCACCTGCCACTCTTAAATTCAACTTGATGATGAGGGACCAATATCGTAGTGGAGTACCTTTCATGGGCATGCCAAAGGGTTGGATAGGGTCTCCACTTGCTATGTCAAATGGAGCAAGACTTCCCATTGCCCTCAACCGAACTGCACTTCCACGATTCAGCATCCCAAAAGTGAACAAGACACATTTCAGTACATCAACCGTATTCAGACAACAGCCAACAAACACAACAGCAGCCGCATCAGCAGCAACGGAGGCAGCCAAGACAGCAGTACGACAAAAGCCAGGGTATCTACTCTTGATTCCAACTTTCGTTTTTACTCATTTTACCTTGGGATGGGCATTAGTTCCTCCGATCTATTTCACTCTTCGTCAAACAAACATAAGTAATGCCTTACTGGCTGGTCCACAAGGAGCTTGGTTACTATCACGTAAAGTGCCAGATTGGGTTCCTGATGTGGTGATTGATGGTTTAGCAGGTCCTTTACCACCAGGCCAAGAGGATCGTCATTCTGAGATGACTGTTGAACAATTGGTAGAACGTATGGCACGCAGAGGGTTGCAGAACGGATGGAAATATGCTAAATACGGAGGAAAAGCAGTTCAGAGTCTTCGAAAGCTTGCTTCGGGTGATCAAGAAGAAATTACACAAGAAGCTATGCGAAAGATTGGAGGTACAAATGCAGACAAAGCAAAAGGAGCAAATGAAGTGGAAGCCCGAGCAAACGGAATTAAGGATCGCATTGTTGGATACACAAAACGATCAGCCCGTAGTGCTGCTGATGAGATTGACTTTGGACAAATTAGAGATGGTTTGGCTGCATACATTCTCGTCAAAATTCTTCTTCCAATCCGACTTCCTATCTCTCTTTTCCTTACACCCAAAGTTGCCAGATTTGGTATGCATGCATTCCGACGATGATTTGCTCAACTATGCTTCATGTAAGAGTCATACCCACACACCACTCTTGCCTCGGGAAGAAATCTATATTGATTATGCTACAGCTTGAATTGAAGTAAAGGTACAATATTATACAACATCACAATCGATCGCCTACGATGCCTCCCTTGCCTAGGCCTACAGTGACAATGTGATCGCCTCTCAGCGTGCTCAAAGCTTGACGTTCGGCTTCAGATGCTTCATTTGGTATATCATGCTTCCAGAGTGACTCAGAGGAGGAGGTTGACTGTACTCGCTCATGATAAGGTGGAAGGGTCAACTTTCGTGCTCGTTGTTTCTTCGGTAGCGCCTTGGAAGGTTCCTGTGGACCTTTTACTTTGTTGGAATGCAATGCCGAAGAAGTCTTTGGCTCAGTTGATTGAGTGGTGGTGGACAATAGACTGACATCAGCAGCGCTACCAGTCTGCGGACCTTTCGGGTTCTTTTTCTTCCTCCTTCGTCTACTTGACATCTGTGGGAAATCATTCGCTTCCTTCTTAATATTTCGGGCCGCTCTTCGCCGAGCTCTTTGGCTGAGCCTTCCGGACTCAGCTTCAGCTGTACACAAAACACCGTTTTCATCAACAATAATGGCTCCTTGTGTGGCAGTCTCTACTTTCTTTGACACCTTTCGGCTATCGATATTTGCTTGTCGTTTTTCGTGCCTTCTTGCCAAAGCTTTGAAGCGCTTTGACTGGACAGCTGGACAAGGCAACCTCCTACTCGTACCGCAAATCGTACATCGTCTCACCAGAACAAGATCACATGGCTTTGAAGGTCGAACACGGATAGTGCAACTGATGCCAGGTAACAAGAAAGAATGACATCTTTTGCAAATCGAGCGCTTGACAGAAACGTCAAGTCGTAGTGTTGCCTTGCGTGCAAGGCTTTGCAGATATTGACATCCTTTTCGTGCGGATGACGGAGGCAAATTCCCTTTCAAGATTGAATTGACAGAGGCGAATGCTGATTGTTGCAAGATTGCGTTCAACGTATGAACGGATTCATGTTGGGCAACACGTAGCGGTTGTGCTTTTGCGCCTTGAGCATTAATTTTGCCTTCTTTGGCCATTATTTTCTTACGACATGGTCACAATGTGATGGAGCTAAGGATGGGCTGAAGGCATTGTCACAGTGGTATGGTATGAATATGAATATGAGCCCAGCGCCTGTTACTATTCACGTGAGTAAATTAGAATTCTTTTTCAAAAATACGCACACACACACAGACAGACACACGCATTTATCGCCCTCTCTCACTCTTGCGCGTATATGAAGTTTGTTCATAGTGTCAAGCTTTGATGGCAATTCATTCACTTCAACCATCATCATTCCCCTACTTCAACTTCCGGTCATCCGCTCTTGGTTGTTGGATGATCGATCATACACAACTCCCTTTATAATCTTGTTAGTGCTCTCGAGGCCAATTGACCTACGGGTGCGGTGTCTTGTGTCCGATTGAAGGACAAGGAAAAAAGTACACTTAAAACGCCTTCCACATCATACAAATATTTTTGTACATGTGGTATGGCAACGCTAGATTTTGAGGATCGAAAGCGGCCGCTAGATCCTGAAGTAAAATCTGAAATCACTTCTGTGACAAAGCGGCCGCATTTGGATAGAGCGAATTCTTCCTTTATCTCCAACGGATCACCAATCGATATCAAAAAAGATCAAAATGGCGAAGATGAAGAGGATATCATCCCAGCCTACAAAGGTCTTGATGCCTTCCGCAAGGAAGCCATCTTTCGAAAGATGCGCGAATCTCAGAGAGACTTAGCAAGAGCGAAAACAAAAGTACGAGACTTACAGATTCTAGTCGATCAAACTGACGAAAAATGTACAGCTCTAAATACATTCTGGAATACTCTAGTGGAAGATGTGCAGATTCTGATACAAGATGGAAAAATATCAGACGAAACCCATTCCGCTTTGACAAGTGCTATCGCAGTCTCTGTTCGCAAACCTTCAACATCAGCCTTCTCGAAATCGCTCGAAGAACGAAATGCATCTATGAAGGCAATCCTCAACATGATTGTTCAATTGACGCCAGGATCTGGTCCTGAAGTAGACGAGCTACAGGCAAAATGCCATCAGCTGGCAGAAGAGTCAGCTTCGCTAAGAGCACGCTTTCAACGTACATCAGAAGATCGCGATAGCCTAATCGATGAACTCGATATTACAATCGAAAAGTTGCGCAAATATGAACGCTTGAACGATCGTATGCATAGCTCTACAGTGAAAGCAACAGAAAGACCGGGTGCTGAAGCGGAGGAAGAGGCAGAAAGAGCCAAAGTAGAAGCCGCCGAAGCAGAACGACAGGCTGCTGTTAAGCGCAAGCAAGTGGCAGAAAATGAGATTCAGGAAGGTACTTCAGTGAATGGCACCAACAATCATGCGTCTGCTGAAGTTGCACAAGAGCTTGAGGATGCACAGAAATTGGCAGAAAGTCGATTACTTGAATTGGACGGATGGCGTAATCAAGTAGTTGTCTTGCGCCAAGAAAGTGAAGCTTTAAAAATGGAACTTCAAAATATACCGCAAGAGAAACTGGTTGCATCAGACCTTTACAGACAGTTGCATCACCGATATGAGCTTGCTGGAGAGGAGCATACACGATTGAAGTCAGTGAATGAAAGACTGGAATCAGAAAATACCGAATTGCGAGAACAGCGTCAAGAGTATGAAGCAAAGGCGAAAGTTGAAGCGAATTCTTTGGTGGATGAACTGAGGAATGCAGTCAAAACGCATGAAGGTGATGTTGCTCGTCTACGTAGTCAAAGAGACGAATTGAATGCAGAATTGACTGACAAGAGACAAAAAGAGGCTGTCAAATATACGCAAATCGACGAAATGAAGATTTTGGTACAAGTGAAAGAGAAGCGGATCAATATTCTAAGAGCAGAGATCATACGTCTTCAAACCAGTCTGGCCGCAAGACTTGGAGATGACGTTTGGATGTCCAAGATTAAAGCTGGCCTTACTGAAGAAGAAAAAGAGCAAGCTGATGCCGATACTGAATTGATTTCCGACTTGCAATCGCGCCTCAAATCTGCGGAAGAAAGAATTGCTGACCTGCAAAGACAACAGGAAGCTAGATCTTCATCCACTACAGAGGCTGAACTGGCTTCCAAAGTATCAACATTGCAGAAAGAATTGCAAGAGTTGAATGCTATTCTGGAACAAGCAGGGGAAGGAGCCGATGGTAAAACACCGGAATCTATCTCTGCACTGCTACAAAAGCAGCACGAAGAGCTGCAAAAATCAAAAAGGGAGTTGGATACCGCAAACGCCAGCACGACTGCGTTGTGCGATGAATTGGATAAACTAAATGCAGCTTACAGAGAAGCTGAAAATATTGCTGGAACACGTATTGCCGACCTTGGAAGGATGGAAGAAAAGCTTTCACGTTTGACGACAGAGAAAGCCAAAGCGGATAACAAATATTTCAGTGCGATGCGAGCAAAAGATGCGATTGAGAATGAGAAAAGGGTTGCGTTGCGTAACGTTGAGCGTCAAACAAGAGTTTTGGAAAAGTATACAGAAGCGGAAAAGATTTGGCAAGATCAAATTCAAAAATACGAATCTGAAGTGACCGAATTGCGAAGATTTGTCAATGAGGCCAATTCGAATTTGTTGAATTTGCAAAGTACGATGAATACAATGCAAGATCAATTGAACAGATCTATCGAAACGAGAGATCAAGCGATCGCCGTCAGTCGACAGAAAACGCAAGAAGTCGTTGAAGAAGCAAAGCTTAGATCTTCTGCACAAGAACGATGTGAAAAGCTACAGCGTGATCTTGACAAAGTTCGCAAGCAATTGGCAAGCTCGGGCGGTACGCGAAAGAAGGGTTCATTTGCTGATGACGATCAAATTGAAGCTTTAAATTCGATCTTACGTTGCTCTGCATGCAAAGATCGTTATCGTAATCGAATCATCACACGTTGTTTGCATACTTTCTGCAATGAATGCGTTGATGCACGAATTCAAACTCGTCAACGAAAATGTCCTTCTTGCGGTTTAGGCTTCAGTACAAGCGATGTTCAAACGCTCTTCTTCCAATAAATCCGAAATGTATTCACAATGGACAATCTACCACGGATCTTGAGCCTTTGCTGCTAAAAAGGATGTTATATTCTTTAGGAATTGTTTTCTTTATCCCAACTCACTCACAATTTTCACACTTTGCCTCTTTCACTTGAATATGGCCATTTTTGTTTTTTTTTTTTTTCTCTATTTTACTTGTTGTACTTTTTATCTTTGCTCTCCTCCAAAATTACATGTCACTTTGATATCCGTATCTTTCCGTTCACCTCAATTGACCTTTGTTGGCGAGATGCCACCTTTGTCATCCTCTGCTTCAGTGTTGAAAGTGACTCTCCTTTTCTGTCGTTGTCTTTGCGTCTCATTGGGTATGCAACTTCGAAGAGCTCTCTGAGGCAGAGGAGAGATCAAACGAGGGTTGACATTTTGCACCGGTTCGTTGAGCCCGATTGTCGATGGTCCTGCTTCCAGAGAATGCTGTGCAGGCAGATTCAAAGAAGGCAATACTTGATCGTCAAGAGTTGGCTGCTGGAGAAGCGGGATCGTCTCTTGAGGTACTGAAGATGTACTTGCTATCTGATTTTCATCCTCTGGCTCTTCGTTTGGAGAAGGCTGAAGCGTTGCCCCTTCCATATTTTCCGGAATCGATGTGACTGAAGGCCCAGCTGAGGTTGACGGCTGTGATGTAGAGTCTAGCACGGTGCTGTATGTTGCCGCTTGTCTGAGCGGATCTTCAACGGATTGCTGTGATTCTGGCACACTTTGAGCTTGAGCTCTTTGCGAGGCTCTGCGTAACATTTCCCGTCTGGCTCTTTCCATGATATCTGTCGGTTCCGACTTTACCCTCGGTATTCCAGACTGCATCCCGATAGAAGGAGAAGATCCCCCCACAGTTCCATTGACTTCATCTGTACCAAGCATGCTTGCTGAAGTTGTGGCAACATTCATTTGACCATGATTTGATTGAACGGATTGAATCGCTGATTCTACTGCAGCGGAATCCATGTGATCCTCTTGAACAGATGTGACAGCTGTATCAACCGCACTGGAAATTACATTTGAAGCTATGTCTTCACTGAATGCAGATGCAGTAGAAGGCGCTGCACTTTCTCGATGAGGTAAGGTATAATCATCCGTTTGCTCGGGCTCGCCGTATGATAGTGTATGCTCGAAAGGCTCTTCTTTGACAAACATAATACGATAAGTCGAAGGGTCAATTTCCTCGTGCTCACGTTTAGCTCTGATCAATTGATCAATTTCGTCTGAAGCAAGTGAAGATGGGCCGCTCTGCTGAGAATCAGTATTCTTTAACAACTTGATGCGCAGATGGCGTGGTGGATCGTCCCTTTCTTGCGCAGTGGTGGCAGCTGTATGCCTGCTTGAGCTTGATGGAACACCATTCGGCTGCCAAAAAGTTTCTGATCGTCCACGCTCATACATGTCATATCGCTCGTGCCACTCGTATCCAGACGTATTGTAGTGACCATTGAAATTATCAGAGGAACAGGGTTCCGTACGTGCTCTCTTAGGTTGATGGTAGTCATCATTGTAAGGTTTTGGTGCAGCTCTACCAATTGGGTAAACCGGTGGCCTCGAACTTGATGCTCGCTGTGATCGGTCATATGCATTGCCATTATGATATTCACCGCCATTCGTTTCTTCTCTTGGTCTTTTCGCACCTGCCTGTTGCGGCTGTTTGATTGGATGAAATGGAAAACAAAGGTTAGCATCTTTGAGAAAACTGTTCGGATGGCTTATTCGCAATATACGCACCATTTCTTCCATCTCTTTAAATCTGTTGACGAAATGAAGAGGAATGTAATCTTCGTTAAATCGCTGTTTGCTCATGTTGAACCGGAATGTGACTTGATGAGGTGACTGGAACGATTTTGAGAAGGAGGGTATTGAATGCTGTCAGAAATTTCCTCGTTCGTCGGAGTTATGATCCTATGAATCACTCACACAGCTAAGGCCACTACCATAGCCATCGAAAGTGACAAAGATTGGATGACATCCAATAGTCCTGCTCTTGAATGAGCCTGTGTAAAAGTCTTCAACACCACGCTCAAGGTCCTCGCTTGATATGAGGAGCTGAGAGACAACCTCTGTGAATAGCAAAAGAGAAAGTGATCAGTGTTTCGATTCAGCTTTGGTTGCATTATCAACACCTACTATCACATATTCTTACGGTAATAACGCAGAATTCAAAAGAGATATTCTCCTCTTTGGCCAAAATATTGTGAAGCTGTGCAAGAAAGTCAGTAAACATTCAATCGTGATCATGTATGTGCATCATCACTAACCTTTATTCCACAAACCACTTCCCCCGTATATCGTTGATCGATGTTGCATACCTGAAAGGAAGAGAAAGTGTGTGAATCAAACTTTGACATTTATGATTTCTCTCATGTCCTCCCAATACTCACCGGTTCCAAATTGACATATTGAATGTTGTACTCCTTATGATAATACGTTCGTATTTGTTTTTCTTTCAGAATTTGAGGTACGGTATGAGGAAATAGATGAATTTCCAACAAATCTCCAAATATTGGCATGCTGTTTCCATTCGAAATTAGTGGTTGTTGGATGCGAATGGTGATGAAAGTCACAAAGTGAAAAAAAGTCTCGATTGCAATGTCAATCTCAAAATCAAAGCCAGCGTCTTGATTGGAATTAAAGTGGGCAAAATCTTTTTTGGCCGGCCGGGTAAAAAAAAGGTTTTGTCTTATTCATTCAATTTTGTACAACACTGCTCGTTTGTTTCTCTCTTCTCCCCCGAGAACAAAAGAGAGTCAAAAGCCCCATTTTGTTCGGCTTTTGCGTCTCGTAACGGCGCCGTGAATGTGATCTTATCGTGACGTGTTGAACAAGTCGCGTGCAGGTTGTGCAACAAGGTCCGACGATGTGACACATGAATGAATACACACATCCCCATCAATGCAGGTAATACACAATTGCAATGCTAAACACACAACACAGTCATTCATGATTAGAGAAATATTAAGCATTTCGAAAAAAGCAAAAATGTGCACCTGGCACAAAAAGAGAGAGAGAGAGAAATCTAGCATGAATACATTGTCAAGAATAATAATAAATCGCTAATTAGATGGAGCACTCCTAGGTGGATTGAGTAATCCTTGAAATCGTGTTTGAACGCTACCTGCAGTGACCGGACGACTTTCATCATCACAAATCGTATTAGAGTTATGTGATGATGCTGAAACTTCTTCGTGTATATCTTGCATCATTTCAGTATCCGTTGAGGAAGAGAATGGTCTCTTTGTTGCTGGATTAAAATTGGCTGAATAAGAACGATTGCCTCCAAAGGCTTGATCATCATTATTTTCAACATCAAAATACTCTTCCTCTTCATCCGTTCTATCTCCTGCAAGTGAAGATGAAACAGACGTCTTTCGTTCACGTAAACCTCCAAAGCTGTGCGGATCTCCGCTAAATGCACGCATACCACTTGAACCAACGGCGGAATTGCCGATACTACGTAAACTTGTTCCGCTTCCACCATGTCCATGATTGCCAGTTGCAGCTCCAACGTATGGCATTGACATGCTATGCGACAAACCCATTTGTCCTACATGACCACCAGATCTATTTGGAATGCCTACAGGTTTTGCTTCATATCGCGAACCAAATTGTCCGCTATTGTGAAGATCTTGTGCTTCATGCACATCTGATGGAGTTCCAAGCAAATTCACCTTTCTTGCATTGGCCGTATGACTCTTTTGATGTCTTCGCAAATTGGATTGCACGCTAAACGTACGTCCACAACCAGGTTCATTACAAACAAAAGGCTTTTCACCTGTATGCGAATGATGATGGATCTTCAAGCTAGACGGTCTAGAAAAACGTTTTCCACACCAACCACATTCATACTTTGCCGCTCCTGCACCACTGCCAACCGGAACATTTGCACCGCTCACAATCACAGTACCACCTGGAGCTCCCGCACTGGTTGAAGTGGCGGTACTTGGTCGGCTACCAGAAGATGAAAGTCTGCGTCTTGCAGGTTGAAAGTCAAACATTCCCACTCCAGGACCTGAAACGTGACTTTCAATTTCCATCGATGAAACTCTTTGTGGCAAACTGTTGACGCTGTGGGAAGAATACGATCGTTTTGGAGAGGCCGAATGAACGGAAGAAGCATCGTTATAAGGATAATGTGGAGATTGATGCATGGCAGATGCTGCTTGAGCATGAACGCTGTGCGATGGCAAAGGAGCGATTCGCCTTTCAGTGTATGTCATCGTTTGAGCACGTGGACGAATGTGCTGTTGTTGTTGATGCTGTAGATATCCACTTCCGATCGCATCAGCAGAGGACGAACCGCCATGCGAAGATGGCGAAGCAATCGAAAGGCTGGCAAATGGCGATGGTGGCATATGACCTGCAGTCATTGATTCGCCATAATGTCCGGATGAAGTAGGCATTGTCAAACTTTCATGGCGTGTACGCGATGTATGCTGTTGAGGCGATCGAGAAGCCATTTCATGTTGTTGAGCAGGGAAGCGCCAATCACGATTATAATCTGCACGATAATGTCTTGGAGTGGTTGGACCTTCTTGAATGGCATATTCTCCACTCTTCATATGCCGAACAGCATGATGGGAATGATGTGAAAGGCTATTCGAACTTGGATTGCTTGCCAAACTGCTAGTCGTTTCAATCGAATCAAGCGTTGATGATCTACTATGCCAAACAGAAGACTGAGGACTTGCGAACGAATCACTTCCGCTTATTGTTCGAGCTGCACCTTGAGCGCTATGATTGTGCCACGCACTTGGAGGATGACTTTGATTATTGTTGTCAAATCTACCTTCCATCGAATGAACTCGAGCTCTCTCGCTTCCACCAGATGCAGTCGAAATGGAGGAAGACAAAGAAGGCATCGATCCTGTACTTTGCGTTGACGGTTGCATGTACATATGGTGCGGAACAGCCGAAGGACCTTCATTCCTCAAAGCAAGCGGAACGGCAACAGCTGAAGATACCCTAGGTGGTGGAAGAGGAGCTTCACGATTCAAGCCCATCATACTTCGCTCCCTACGTATACCGGAAGGAATTCTTTCTTCTTGACCTTTTCGATGTGCCATAGGATTGGCGGCCGTTGGAGTTGTTGGAGATTCTAGTGGTACATGACTTATCGGACTGGCAAGCCTACCGGGTTGAAACGTTCTTGGCGTTGATTCCGCATCTTTACCTTCGTGACCTATTACCGCTTTTCCGCCATCTGCTGCATATCTTGCACTACTAGAAGGATGCAAACCTGTTGCGTATCCTTCATCCATTGCACCAACAGTATGACGACGTCTTATCGCAGCAGGACTCAAAGGAGGTTCTTCAGAGTCAAGATCCTTTTGCGCTTGAATACTACGTTTTGCCAACAAGCTACCACCGCTCTGCTCTTCGCCTGCACTCGGATCATATGCTTGCATCGAAGTGGATGTAGGATGTAGAATCAAAGGTGCTGGAGGACCAGCCCAACGTCCGCCTTGCGCTCTAACACTTGCAGAAGATGAGTGCGAGCCTTCTATTCCTGCGCTATAAGGTTGCTGTCCACGTAACCGCCGCGAAGGTGAAGGTGGTGAATGACGAGCTGTACTGCCAGATCTCTGTTGTGAATATTCGGGTCTTGGATTGGAAGCATAAGCATTCGATGGACCGCTTGGTTGCATGTAATGGGAATGTGCATAAGCCGAAGGTGCAAGAGGTGGCCTTTTTGGTGGACTCATCGAGCGAATGGAGTTCTTTGTATCCCACGATTGACTTGAAGGGCCTGCATGACCACCCGAATCGCCACTACCGCCAGCTTTTTGAGCTCTTGAAGGAGATGTTGGTCGATTATGCTCCAAAGTGAAGCGAGACACTAAATCTTTCCCGGTCATTCCTCCACTACCTTCTTCGTGATGAACGCTATTGAGTAAATTGCGTATACTTGGCAATCCTCCTCTTGTGGCTGATGATGAAGAAGTTGAAGAGGCATTGGAATGAGTGGTATTCCGTGCTTGCTCAGATCCGCTCTCTTGACCTATGGATGGAGGTGACATTTGTCCTCCCGTACTGCGCGATGAAGAAGGTGCATCTCTGGCGGCGGAAAAGTTGTCAGATGGACCACTGGATTGAGAGCTTTCTAAAGGGTTTTGAGTGATTTGAGATGTCGATAGACCAGGACTTGTGCCTTCAATGTCGGCCTTGGATTGGGGAAAGGGAATGCCCAAAGCAGAAGAAGAAGGCTGTGACATACTGATGATCGTCCGAGCAAGATTTCTGGGAAATCGACCGAATCGTTTGCAATTGAATCAGGAGAACAGATACCGCTTAATGAAAGCCAATCTTTCTCCTTTTTATTCTCCTGTTTTTGAGGACAATTTGCGCAGATCAAGGCGTCGATCAATATCTAGAAGAAGATTGTGGCGTAATAGGGCTAGGCAACTGTTACCCAAGCAATCGATTCGAGCGTCGGTGATCAAAATAAAGCAAGCCAAGTTTGAATTGGCGCTCAGCCAATGAAAATCTGATCGTTGATGAAGTGGTCTTTGCGATCCTATTGAGCTTTGTGTAGGGCCGAAGGTAGCCTAGGGGTTCTTTCAGAATACGAAGAGATAATTGAGCGCGATTTGATTCGGTCCGGAAAATTTCAAAGGAGGAAATTGATGGCGGGGTCTCAAGTGGCCAGCTCTCTTTATACGAATCCGTTGGAACAGGCTGAAATTGAAAATGAAATCGGACCTTTCAATGGAATTTTGCATTCAAGCTGCACCCAACCTTGTCGTTTGCCTGTTAAGAGGGTAAAAGATCAGTGTTAGTGAATCGTAACAAAAATCAGCAAAGACGACATAGCAGATCCGGTCAGTACAATCTGAGTATGCCTTCTCAATGAAAGACATGTTTACTGTCTACGCCCTTTTGCCCGAAATTGATGATATTCATGAAGGTAAAATGAAAACCCCTATCATGTTCAAAGCAAGCATCGCATACGAGCGCCGTCAAGGAAAAAAAGGATAGCTTTTTACTGTCTTGAGAAAAATCGTTTCGGAACGGATGTCGTGATTTTAACGGAATAATATAAAAGGAAAGATTTGCAAGGAGAAATAATGAAAACATTTCTTCTCATGCCTTCATCGCATTTCTTCTTCTGCTAATGCAAGGTACGATCGCACAATGAAAAGTTAATTACTCACCCGTTGTTTGTTGTGTGTGTGAATGTGTTTGTGTGTGTGGAAAAGATATGAACCTTTTCGGCTAATTTTGGGCTGAATCGGGGCCTAAATCTCCTTATTCCACCAATTCTTTCACTCGGTCCATCCAGTGCCGGGAAAAGAGAGGGGGCAAGACGACAATGGGTGATAGAGAGAGCAGCGGCGGCGGCGCTTGAATGAACCTTACTCGGCTGATCAGCGACCGAAATTGTATCCAAGTGGGGTGCGCCTTCATGCAATGTCAAATGACAAGCCGTTGTTGACAAAACAAGGAAATAAGGTTGAAAAAAGACTTGAGTAACAATCGTTGCCAGCAATTTTTTTCCAATTAGATCACAAGGAAAATAAATCGGAGCCGATATTCCAATTTTAATGCAATGGGGGGCTCAATAAACGTGTGATTGCTGCTTTGTTGCCTTTATTGAATCTCAAGCCACTTTTTCTTGCTCCAACGGTTTCTAAAGCTCCGACTCGAATGACCTTCGATCTGCTCTTTTATGAGAATTGTCGATCGCGTGCTTGTTTGGCAGATAGAAGATTGTTTCTTCTTTTCATATGCTGAGATTGCTGTGGCTTTTTGAATATATTAATGCTGAGTATAAATCCGGAACAGTAAAGCGGCAAAATTATCCGAAATCCTAGCTGTGTAGAAAATGTGAAAGGAATTTGAGGATCTTCCTTCCGGTCAATGTCGTCGTTAGAGGTTGGACTGATTTATATCGCAGGTGACCCTTCTTTAATGAACGATAGAAGTGGAATGCGGATATCGATGTTGAATTCTTCGTGATCGTTAAAGTCGTTTTTGTTTTTACTCGTTAAAAGAGGCAAACCTTGTAATGACCTGGGCGATTCGATTTGGTGGAGGAGGGGGTAAGAAAAGGGGAAAAAGAGGAAGTTGAAAGTTGTCCTTCTTATTTGAAAAAGAAAAGAAGGGACCCAAGAAAATAAGCAAAAAATGAAGAAGAACAAGTTTTAAGTGGAAGAGAGAAAGGTTGAAATGACAAAAGTGTCCACAAAAGATGATGAACACGGACTGCAAAGTGCAATCGGGTGTGTGTGTGTGTGTGTAGTTGTCAAAGACAGCTGCACACAAGACAGGGTTAAAGAGAAAAAAAAGCGCCGGTAGTGCAGCAAGCAAGCAAAGATGTTAAAAAAGCATATGAAAATAGTGTAGTAGTAGCTTTGATTTTTATTATCGAAGATGCACAATGATTGTTGGTAAAAATTGCGTGGCGGAATTGGAGGGCGGATAAGGGACATTCTACCTTGCTTAATGAACACACACACACGCACACGCTTTGTATGCAGATGCATTTCAACCCGCGTATCGACTCTCCAGGGAAAGAGGTGAGCCCTGCACGCATGTTCACGCTAAAACAGAAGAACTGAAGGCCTGGGTCATGTTTTTATTTTATTTTTGCGAAACATACACACACACACACAAAGCTCTTGGCTGGTCAGAGAAAAAAGGGGGAGCAGATTGAATCTCAGTGAATAGGGCGTCAATAATAACACATCTGATGCACGGAACATCTAAAAGAGTACGCCCAATTATATGCTGCTGCTGCTCAAAAAGGAATGGCTTGAATGAACAATGAATTAAAGAAAGAATTGTGATCATCTATGGTTAAGTAGGGAGGACCTGATTCATCGTCTTGCATTCGTTCTTATTCGTAAATCGGCATTTAAGCCGGACAAACACGAACGCCATGACAGTCCCGAAGCACAGCAAAGATGGCAAAAGGGACCAAGTATCTGTTGATCATGCTGTGCAAAGCTCTACAACATTTACCGGCATGAAGAAAGAGAGTCTGTTTTTTATCGTTGCTTTTTCCCTTAGCGTATTTGCCCGTTTCCCTCAAGCGGGGTCGGTCGGAATATTTTCTTGGGGATTTGGGTCTTTGCTTTTGATTTATTTTTATTTTATTTATTTTTAGGCGAGAATGTTTTAAGAGAGGGTAACTATCCGAGAATAACCTTAATGCATCTCAATTAAAAAATACCAAATCCAAATTGCAGTAGCCCAATGCATGTCAATGCATATACATCTCTCTAAGTACATAACCATGCCTTGTTGTACACTCTTTTAAAAATATGCCGAAAAAAGATAGCGTACTTTTGTTTTTCTTGGGAGACAAGCGGAGTGTGAATAATCGGCAATCAGTGTTAGATATAGATGCACCGCCTCTCTAAAAAAGTGCCACACTAGCATCACACAGATCACCGTCCCTTTTTTTTGATTTGCCCCGCCAAGAGCACAAGAGATCTTCAAGATGAACAAAGTGGGTATTGGATCGCCGTATTGTGAAAAAAGTGTATATCAATGCGGGAGTGCAGTTCATTTCCACACTAAGTTAGTATCGTGTGCTCAATTTAAAGCTCTCTTTTTTAATTAAAGTATTGTAAATGGATTCCCCTCCTAGGATATGAATATATGCATCTAACACACATTTATTTGCATCAATCACGGAGCCTAAAAGGAGAAATGCGGATCGTTGAAGTATGCAGCCAGGCGATCTTTGAGAGTGTTTGTCGAACAAGGTTGACTCTGGCGTAATAATTGTTGAAAGTAACTGAATTTGTGGGAAGATCATATTTTAATTTATGCAATGTGTTCATTTTGCTAGACTGTGTTTTGTGGTCAAATGGGAAGTCAATCAACCCGAAAATATTCCCATCAAATTTTAATTCAATTCTTGTTTCTGCCGTCATCTTACAGCAATTTGATATTCACTCAATCGACAGTGCCTGAGACAAAAGTGAAGTATGTGTAGTAAGCTTATGCGTTGTTGCGTAGCGTAGTGGAGTTCCTACAACAAGCAAGCAAGCAAGAGAGCGTGAGCAAATGCCAAAGTGATAAGGTACGGGGGTGAGAATAATAAATTGAACTTTTCTTTTAGCGTCTTGATATTCAAAATAAGCGTGGGCAAGTTTGATTAAATTAAAAATTGATTAAATCAAGATTATTGTAGATCGAAACGAATATTGCTTGCTGCTCAGTAAATTAAAATGATATGGAAAATCATCAAAACAAACGGTGGCGTGTGAATCGTTTGAAAGTATGTATGTATGTTGGCGTCCAAGAGGCTTGACTAGAAAGAACCGAATATTCTGCAAAAACCTCAAACGGACAAATTAACTCGCTTTTGTCGATGTCATTTAACTGAAAGCCACCCTGTTCCTCAAAACCATAAAGGTTCAATTTACCTTTCAATCGATCAATCTAAACTAGACTTTCTTCTAACCTTAACGGGCGGGCATGTGTATATGATTTTGTGGCTTCCTTGCATACATATTTCACACGCCATTGCGGCGAGGATCGGAGAAAAAAAAAGGTGAAAACAAAGCGTGTCTGCATATGTACATTAGTTTGATCAAACGTTTGATAGAATTGACCGCATGTTCATCCCTTTCAGAAGTTGTGATTGACATCATCACTCTCATGTGCAAAACTTTTGATGATAGCGTAAATCTCACTTTGAATGCATTGCATATAGGGCGCAATAAAGAATAATCTTTACAGAACAAAAAACAACACACACACAAACAAGCCTTTAACCAACGCTAGCCGAATCGGATAAAAATTGGCGTCACTTGCCTAACCTTATTGGTGACGTGTTCAGAATAAACCTCCCGCACCCCTTTCTTTTTACGCCTTAAACTCTCCGGTAATTCCTCCGTTCGGTAAACCGTTGTGTGCTGGCTGATCTACCGTGAATTTTGAATTTTTGGTTTGCATGCAGCCTCAACGCACGCAATTGTCCCGATTCACGATCAATTTTCAGGGACCACAATAGCCTTTCAAAGGGTTCACTCATTGTTCTCGCCTGGACCTCCATAAGTTGTTTGCAACAATGACAATTCCCTCAGAGGATGCTGCACGTGGTCATGTCGTACAACTTCGTCAACAGATTGGTTCTAGATTAGATAATGACAGCCACACCTGGTGAGCAATAATAGCATTGTAGAGATGATAAAGATTGCAAATTGTTTATGAGCAAATGTACAAAAGTGCAAAAATAGATCGCGTTTAGATGGATAATAGTCAAATCGAAAGCCAGAATGAAGAGATGTGCTGATGGAAAAATGATGGGATGAACCGAGAAACATCGAAAAGCATTTTAAGTGTGCGTCTGTGTGTGTATGTGTTGCTGCTACCCTCAATTAACCTAGATCAACAAAGCACCCATTGCAACCGCAACTGTGCTCAAAATTGCACCAACTTGAACGTGAACGGATGAACTTCCGCTTGTGGTCGATCTGTTACCGCTTGAGCTGCTTTGTGATGATTCTGAAGCAGGTGAAGATGAAGATGATGATGTTTGACTGGAAGTGTTATCAGAGCTTGCAGATGATAAAGATCCATTGGAGGATGAAGTGTTGGAAGAAGAGTTAGAGCTTCCGCTGGATTGTTGAGAGTCCGTTGAACCGGAAGATGTAGAAGACGAAGAGGAGGAAGAAGAGCCGTTTGCCAACTTACCAATACCCCATGGAATTGCAGATCCATCGGGTTGAGTTGGATTGGGTGCGGCTACAACTGCGCCTGAATCGGAAGCAATGGTGAAACGTGTTGTCCAAGCAGGATTTGCGCCATTCTTATCTGTGAATTGATAAAAGTAAACTGGTGCATTTGGATCAACTTCAGGACAAGTCCATGTATGAGAAGATTGTGTTGTTCCGTCGATGTTTGTTGCAACATTTGTCACTTTTACCATACTTTGATTATCACCCGTCATCAAATCGATCGTCATGGAAGTCCAACGAGAAGCAGTACCTACACCCCATTCCATTGGACATTGACCGCCTGCTTTGAAAACCGATCCAGGGCCAGGAGCAGAAGGTGTGACATTTGCACCACGCTTTTCGAATGAAGAGGTTGATCCATGATGATTGCCAACGACGCGTGCTTCAGTGATGGTTGCCAATGCGATCACACCAGCTGCAGAAATGAAAGAAGATAATTGAACCATTGTAAGCGGGAAGATGTGCGGTGGTAGTGAAGATTGCTCTTGGTTTGAATTTGTGGTGACGGGCGGTTGGTATAGGTAAAGGTCACAAAAGGTTTCTATATTTAAAGAAGCGCGAATGCAAGAATGGTTAGAAATTGTCTCTGTCAACTTTTTCCAGAAATTGAAACTCACCTAATGAATGTGGTTGTAATGAACGAACGTAGTTTTTAAACTCAAGACAGAGGGGGATAAAGAGTGAAGGAGGGAAAGGGGTTTTGGTGGAAAGGAGTCAATATAGAAAAAGATGATGCAGAAGCGGAAGGATGTATGACGATAAACGGTGATCAATATACTCTCTTTGTGCGGTGGCCGTTCTTGTTTTTTTGCAAATATTCTATGCAGCAGCAACACATACATGCGAAATTGAAATTATAGGTACAAATACATTGCAAAAGTACGGCTCAATGTCCCTTTCTTACGCCCTACGCACATTCCGCTTCATAAGCAAGCATCAGCAGCAGCACCACAAACGGATGTCCGGCGTATTAACTTTGAGTGTTGTTCAGGAGAATAAAATGTTATTCAAGCTCTCAACTTTCAAATTAAGGGAATAGGAGGCACAAGTAGAGTAAGCAGGAAATCAATGCGGTCCTTTAGCATGTCGTGCATATAAAATCTCGACTTTCTAAGCGGGTGTCGTATGATCACTGTTCAATTGACCAAGCAGCGGGTTTTGAAGGAATGTTTGTCAGTGTTACTTTCCAGTGTACTGCCTGTCTCCCTTGGAATGAATGCATATGATTTCCACGCTAGATCAGACTGTTGCATGTCAAAAGAACATTTGATGCGTTGAACATTTAACGCGTTTTCCAGCGAAAAGCGAGTTTTATTTTGTCTAGACCCGTAGAAATGTGCAATGTACCTGGCCACACATTCCAGGCAGTGTAGGGCTTGGAAGTCAGCCTTTTAAGGACCCTATTTTCTAGCCTCGTTTTTCTTTTTTCTTCATCAAAAATCAATTCACACGGAATTCCTTCAACCAAGCCTCGGCATGCCCCCCACTCATACAGAAAGGAAGTGTATCAACATTAGCATTCGATGTAGTAGTAATATATATTTGACTGACATCCCACATCAAGATGAACAATACAATATGGAAAGTACATCAAGCTTAATCTGTGAACAAAAAAAAAGAAATAGAACTGCAGCACCCAGGATTCCCGCGTGGTCCCCCACCGCAGTACTGACTAGGCGATACCGTGCTTGACTTCGCAGATCGGACGGGATGCGGTACTTTCACGGTTCTATGGCCGCAGATATGAGAATGGTGCAAATGCACAATTAGATACTGGTACACTTTTTATTAAGACAAATCTCTTCTTTCTATTACTATACTTATTTGGACTATGAGGTATTATCGAACAAGAATCCGTCTAAATACTTTCAAATGTACGCATGGTCTATGCTTAGCGCCGGCTGCTTTCGGCCGTTGTGAATGAAGCGGCCTGAGCGGTTCACGGAATTCTTGCCGATTGATAGAGCGTAGAACTGGCGGGGTTTAAATGTGAATACATTCCTTTGTCTACTACCATCATCATAATGCAACATACACGATGCGATCAAATATCAATGAGAGATTACCGGTCGAGATCATTCGAATGATCTTGTCTTACTTGAATTCAATCGAAGTTGCCAAGAAAATGCGTGTTTGTAAACTTTGGAATCATATCGGTCAAAATAATAAAGATCTTTGGAAGGATGCATCATACCTGACATCAGATTATAATCAGATACCATTCAGGATTGAAAATGAACGAATAGAAAAATTACGTGCTCGTTCCGGTGGTACGTTAAATAACCTTAACTTAATCATAAGTACTATGAACGATTATAAGGAACAAGCGGATTTACTAAAAGAGCTTCCAGCTATGAATGTGCAAAATTTACGACTTCTAACAAAAAGCCCTGGGAAAGCAGCTGTGAGACAGGAGAAAAACGGGACGAGAATAACAATACTATGGTCAGCAATACGGACTGCGCTTGCCGGTTGTACCAAATTAAAGTCTCTAAATATGGTGAATCATGGTAGATCTTTGGCCTGTAGGAGTGCTAATGGATCAGATTCGGAGTTTGATCAACTTTGCGAATGCAAATTAGAAGCGTTCACTGCCCGCGGAGCAGATGCCATGAAAATATTTGGAGAAGGTACATTAGTACGATTATTAAGTCATGTCCGATCATTTAAAATGTCACTTACGTACATGTCAGAAAACGAAGCTATACGTCTGATGAACGCTGTCAAGGCTACGTTAGAGGAAGGTCGATTCCACGTACGAGAAGAACGAGAACCACTGAACGATATAGAAACGCAAATTGTTCTACCAAATTTAGTCAAGTTCCATCTAGAGGTGTCTAACTATTACTATATGAGGGGAAATGGAAGAAGCACTATCTATAATTTCAAAAACGTTTCATTCCAATGGCCAAGGCTAAAAGAATTAACCCTCGAAGGAGAAGCAAGATTAGACTTTTACGAGAGAATTATTCCTCTTTCAATAGAATCTCTCCGGCTACGCCGAATACAAGGTCTTCCTTTATCACAACTGATAGGAATTCTAGAGAACCTTACAAAATTGAAAAAGCTGGCTGTGGAGTTTCTAGAAGAAGATACGGATGATTTTCTTCAGCAGATCTTACTCAAGGTAACGCATATTCCAATTGAAGATCTCGAAATTGTAGGAGCATATGGTCTTCGTGCCAAAGTTATAAAGGATTTCGTCACACAACGAAAAGAACATCCTCATTCAACTCCGCTCAAACGATTGTACTTATCCCTTCCGTCTACTTCTAGAAAAAGGAGAAAAAAGCTACTGGATCCGAAGACTCGGCTGTGGCTAAACAAAGAAGTCGAGATCTTCAGATGCGAGGTGATTATTCCAGAGTGACCAAATCAGCCGTGAAACCTTCTATGATGATGAGAGGTTGGCCCTGTACATGATTACTACAACGATTATGAAATCTTTTGCATACCCTGACGATAACGTCAAGAGTTGGAGAAAGAAGAGCGGTCTACAATGCTTGTTTCATTCTTGTGTCGCATTGGAAACATGTCCTATGTATAAAGCCGGCTCCTATATGACCATAAATGAAGGTCCGCTCTAGTCACAAGCGGCCCGAGCGGTTTACGATAGTTTAGTTAATTAGAAGAATGATCGAGCGAGGCGCTGAGTTAACTATCTATCTCTATGCAATTTGGTTCGGATTCAAAAAAGGTTGCTCGTCTGCCACCATCACTAAAAAAGGAAACATACAACATGGGCTCAAATATCAATGAAAGATTTCCGGCAGAGGTTATAAAGATGATCTTGTCTCACTTGAATTCGATCGAGGTTGCAAGATTATCGCGCGTATGCAAGCTTTGGAATGATATCGCCCAATCCAATCAAAGTCTCTGGAGGGATGCATCATACTTAAGAACGGATGATGCATTTACTTTTAGATTTAGACTTTCCGAAGTTGTAGAACGAATCAAGATACTACGTGCTCGTTCCGGTGGTACACTCGATCACCTCAACATACAGATAAACACTATCGCCAGCTTCAAGACGCAAATGAAACTTCTAAGCCAGCTTCCGGCTATGAAGTTACAAAGCTTACGACTTCTACTGAAAGATGGTCGTGAATGGGCGTTTCGTGACGATGATTCTGATTTTGATGATTCTGATTCTGATGATTTTGATGATTCTGATTCTGATTCTGATTCTGATGATGATGATTACCATTATAACATGACTGCTAGGGAAAAGTTTAAATCGTTACAAAAAGCAGTGCGAGCTGCTCTTTCCGGTTGCACCAATTTGAAATCGCTGGCTCTCGAAGATTATGGCAAATTATTGAGTATCTTGGATCTTAGTCGATCTGAATCGGAATTCTATCCACCGTCTGAGTGGGAACTGCAAAGTTTTACAGCCAACGGATTCTGTTGCGAGGAATTTTTTGGGGAAGGGTCATTATCACGTTGTTTGAATAAGGCCAGAGTTGTCAAGATTCAAAATTCGTCCCCTATGCGAGAAAGAGAAGCAATACGTTTGATAGAAGCTGCGAAGGATACGATGGAAGAGTGTCAAATTACTGTACGTAAAGAACAAGAATCACCAAACAACATAACAAAACAAATTATCTTGCCAAAGTTAGTCAAATTTCATTTACACTTATGTGGTTGTCATTTTTCCGAGGGAAAAAGCTCCATCCAAGCTTTCGATAAAATATCATTCAAGTGGCCAAAATTAAAGGAAATAGTTCTTGAAGGGCGAGCCAGTTTAAAGGTCTACGAAAGGCTGGTTCCTACTTCGATAGACTCTTTACGGTTTCGCAGAGTACGAGGTTTCCGATTGGAACAAATTATAGAATTTCTCAAGAAGCGTGCTAAGCTGAGAAAACTGGCTGTAGAGCATTTAGAGGAAGACACAGAAACTTTACTCCAACAGATCCTAATCAATTTATGGCAAATTCCAATCGAAGACCTTGAAATTATCGGAGCACACGGCCTTCATGCAACTAATATCAAGGATTTTGTTACACAACGAAAGGAAAATATCTATTCAGCTCCACTGGAACGATTATACTTAACCCTTCGATCTAAGTCCTCATCTGAAAAGCCAATGGATGCGAAAACTTTGCAGTGGCTGGACAAAAATATCCCCAACTTCAAATGCGATCTGATTCTAGAACGAACATATCGTTAGTAAAGCTTCTGATGTTGATGGGAGACTTGCCGTGTACATGCTTACTACAATGATAATGAAATGAATTGCTCCGATGATAACGACAGTTATGAAGAAAGTAATTAATGTGTTCAGATGTATTGTTCGTTGCATGGACACAGGGGCTCCAATTAGTCTTAAGCCTACGCGGACGCGCCCTGTTCCTTGTGTTTATTATTAGGATTTACTTGCATGCAACAGAGAGAAAAAGAAGGAGAACGTGTTTATTGTCAGACAATCATGTGTTGATCTTTTACAACGATTGGTCAACCAACAGTAGTCATCCCTCTCAACATTGCACTGATCGCAATCATGGCTGCAGGAAGAAATCATAGCTCAAACAGGTCAAATGCCTCCGGGCCACCTTCTCCAACGATGAGCGCTCATACAACAGCAACAAATATCGGATTACCTTCAGCACGATTACCTGCTCAATTGATCAATCGAACGGATTTACGTAATTCATTAAGTGCTTATGAAACACTGTTAACAGCATCAAAAGCATATACACAAGCATTGATTGCTTTGGGTTCTGCAAGTTCAGAATTAGCTGTTGCACTGGAAACTTGTAGTCGTTTAAAAGGTGGTCATAAAGTTGGTTCAGGTTTATTGGCCGCAAGTGGTGTTCATCATATGGCAAGTAATTCTTGGAGTATTTTAGCAGATACGTTTTGGAAAGATACAAGTATTCCACTTATGGAACATCATGATTTGTACGTTCAAGCATGCACAGAAAGAACGATTCAACATGAAAAAGCAATCACCCAAAAATCTCGTCTTTTAAACGAAGCCGAAAGGAGAAATCAAAAGGAATCCAGAAGTAAGGTTGGAAGGGACTTGCATAGCTTCAGAAGGGCTCTGCTGGAGCTTCAGAAGCACGTCGATGATTTGGACGAAGAGAAGGCACGTTATTATGCCGATGTATTGGAAGGCGAGGAAGAGTGTTGGACATTCGTACAGGAAAAAGTCATCACATCTCTACGCAGTCAACTCGATATGTTTGAACGCATTTCCAACAAAGGCATGTCCGATCCCGTATTGGAACCGTTGCTTTCCAACATTCCCGATCCTTTCTCGGCATACGGACCTCCCAGAAACGATGATCAAATCTTTAGCATTCTCAATCACGGTAGTCTCTTGGGTTTGTCTGCTTCTCCTGGATTGCAAGAAGGAAGTGGTGATCATACTCCGAGAGAAAACGGAGATCATCCCAGCGAAGCACAACCTGAACCGAGTGCCCTCACACCTGCTAATTTAATCATGAGTCCAAGTACACCTAGCAAAGGACTTTCTCGAGTTGCAAGTGGAGCAGCATCACCAAAACAAAACGGAGGAGAAACACAAACAACTACAAATGGAACAAGCAGCACAAGTGGAGAGAGTGGACAACAGGCAATCGTTTCTACTTCAAGTGCTGGTTTGGGAATTTCTTTGGCAGCTGCAGTGGATCTTGCCAGACAATCTAAAGCATCCCCACAAACAAAGGTACAGACATCCAATGTTATAAGCGACAATAATGCGGAATTGTTTGGAACGGATGGTGAAGATGATGGAGGAGATGAAGCTAGCATCTTCTCTGGCACGGAAGATGACGGAGAAGGACTCGGATTGACAGATGACAAGACAGGTGGTAAGCCATCGGCTGGAATGGCAGCTCGAATCATGCAAGAGAAGAAGCGGAGGAGAGAGAATGCAGTAAGGGCGAACGCAAAGACCCGATTAAAGCATGCGCTCAGTACGATTGACGAAAGCAAAGGCAACACTTCGCAAAGCGGAAATTCAACCCTTTCACCTACCACCACAAATCCATCTTCGGATGCCGATAAGTCTAAATCTCAAAGTGCAGTATTGAGCGAACGAGATGTCAATACCGAAAACAGCAGTTCGAAAGATGAACCGCTCGAGAAGAAAGACGGAAAAGGTCAATCATCTTCCCAGAATTCCAATCACGTAGTTCAACATGACGTCGATTCCGTCTGGACATAGACTCCAAAAAATACTCCCCCTCGAGGAATACCCTAGATCTTCTTAATTCTACCCCTCTCCCGGATACCCTAATGGATGTACTGTACTCTTTCTATACTTTCGCCAAATTTGTACCAAATATAATGTATTGCTTTTACTCCTGTATATGAGGTGCGATCTATATGCGAACCCGTGTGTAGGGAACTCGAACAAATCAACCACCTTAGACGACCGACAAGTCTGTGAAGAGGTGAAGAAGAAGGTCAGTAGGCTGTAGGAGTAGTTCGGTATCAATTTGTTATACTCACTTCCGAATTTCTCGGCGTATTGTGGTGTTGTCCATTTGCCTGCTTTAACCATTGCTTCAACAGTTTGTCCGATTTCGGGACGAGCTGCGATAACGTCATCAACGGACAATTGATCGAATGGACGAGCATCTTCGATGTTCTTCAAGGTTGCCTTTAGATCCTTCAATTCAGCTTCAATCTTATCGGAAGAAGCTTGAGCTTGTTCGACAGCTTTTGCTTCAAATGCATTGATTGCCTTAAGTTGAGATGAAACATCGTATGTGATTGGCTTGAATTCACTCAAAATCTTTTCGGCTTGGTTAATGACTTCTTGGTTCTTCAAAACGGATTTGTAATGTGCAAAGTCGACATCTGTCTTTTGGTTCTTCAATGCGGTCAATTGACGACGAGCATCATCGGCACGCTTACGAAACGTTTGAACAGCAGCGGTTGTGTTCTTACCGAGTCCCAAGCTGGAAGGTGAGTGAGAGGTGATTATGTTAGTATCGATTGGTTGGCTGTTATCGTCATGTCGGATATTCCATCTTTCGTATTCTGTGAGTCGAGCTCTCCCCTTCCCTCCTCTTTCCACTTCCATTCAATACTTACGACTGGTAGATGCGTGACCAATTAACAGCTTGAGTTGCCATTTTTCGACTTAGTATGCAAACGTGGTAAACTGAAAAGAAGGAAGGATGGTCATCAATCCAATGGCCTATACTTGCGCGCGCACTCACGCCTAAATGCCCAGCTTTAGTGCTTGTGTATGCTGTCTGCCATTACAGTCTGGATTAGATCTTCCTTGATCTGCGCCTCTTATTTGGCGTGCGTGTTCCGCGTAAGAGGGCTTTTTAGGATACACAAGCGTTGGCGCACTCGGACAGTGCCGGTTTGCATCTTAACCGCTAACACGTGCCAACTCTGGCTCTGGGTGGAGTAAACAGCATGATCATGGTGGTTGATTAATGGCTAAAATTGATCACAAAGAAGTGGCTTGTAACACCTTAGAATATAAAAATATAAAGCTGATAAGCTCGTATATTCAAATATATTCCCGTACTTTTGCCAAGCGTCAAAAGAGTTCAATCTTGTCTTTGTTTAACGGAAATTAAAAGACATGATTTTATGAACTTTCATGTAAATGACGTACTTCATATTCCAGTAACACTTCGAATTGACTGAACTACGATCATCGGAGCTGCGCGGTCAGCCGCAAATCATATTCTCCGTATCATTGCAAATAATTTAGAAGGCGGAGTTCTAACTATTTTCAAAGACGTTTCTACAAGAGTATGAAACAGGAGATATTTATCAAAAATGCTAAAGTGACCCGCTATGAGACATTTCAGGAAGGAAAGAAAGATCGAAGTTATTCTTGGCAACGGTAAGGTCAATATATTTAGCAGTGACTTGGTATAGATTTAAATGAGGCTGAAAAGAATTCATATAGGAATGTTCCGCTCTGAAGAATTTCGGCCACTACTATAAACTCTCCTACAGGGCTCCAAACTCTCTCCATAGCGGCTTCACGCAATGCTATGCAAGAGGAAAGGATGATATCGTAAGGGATATAAAGGCGAGCCGTTGTAAACTTTATTCCTCTCTTTGCTCATACAGCAATCTTACACAATCATACATCCTTTTTCTTACAGACAATCACAATGATGCAATTTCGTTACAAGCTTTGCTTTTTGACCGCATTCATGTTTTATGCTGTCTTGTTTACCGCAAGCATGAGTAATGCTTTGCCGATTGAAGATGTGGACACCCAAGAGAATCCAAGTCAATTCCGACGTGATGTGAGTAACCCCGAGAGATTCAAAGCTGTGAATATAATACTGACTATATTCTCCAACTTGGCAGACCCATGAAATGTTCTTTGATTACCTTGCTGCAACACTCTTCTGAGCATACAAAGTACAAGTGCTCGTTAAGATGGCTCGCAAACAGCCTAATTACGCATTTTCAAGTTTTTCTTCCTTTCACATCGCTTTGCCGCTAGAGATGACGCTTCGAATGCTTCATGCGATGACACAATAGCATCCAGTTCATTCAGATAACCGTGATGACTTTAATGACATATTCATGATCATGACTAAGAAGTGTGCGTGAGGTAAACGCGAGAAGGAAAGAGTTGCACATATTGCAAACATACCTTCAAGCGCCGGCGCCCAAGGAAAGGCGTATGGGCAAACGGCGCTTAAAGTAGAAAGGTACCCCGCTTAAGGTTTAATTGCATGCAGCATCATAAAGTACTTATCACATGATCATACATACATCTCATTCTTACAGCCATCACACCCTCAACAATCACACACACACACATACACATACAATGCTACAGGATACGATAGCTGCCGTTCTGATTATAGGAGTAGTCTGGCTCATCGTTAAACTTGCGTTTGGTATGTATGAAAAGTGGAGCAAGAAAGAGTAGACGAACGGATTACTGACTGTTCCATTGTGAATGCTACCTCCTCTCTCCTCCTCACATCAACAGGAAGCTCAGATTCATCCAGTAGCGCACATACTCGAGCTGTAAACGCATCGCGGCAAGGTCAAGGGCCAGGAAAGGAATCACCTGCTGTGAAAGCATGGCGTGATGCGAGAGGGGATAGAGAAAAGGATCTCAAACAACGAAAACAGGAAATGCTGGAAGCCGCCAGGAGGTGTGTATGGATGAGAGGAGTGGAAGTACTTGACTTAATTCAGTTGACTGATGCTTGCTGTTCACTTTTCGTTTTAACAGGAAATATATGGAAAAAGGCGATACCTCACCCCCAACAGCAGGTCCTTCGGGATCGTCCGGACCTAGCTCAAGTCATGCACCACACAGTCAAGTACTCTCCACCTCATAGAGTCTAGCAGATTGGACCGCTTCTTTTCATCTTATCTTGTACAATTTCCAACATTCGCATATATCAAGCCTATAGAATTTCGCATACATTTGTTGCACTTTTTGCATCTCACTGTGGGTTCTTTTGAGCATTCTCCGAGAGCTCTGGCTCGCTATTCACCCAAGAATGCAAGGTCAGGTGCTCCTTCGACATCTGTCTCCTTCTGATTAAGATAGGCGATGCAGTATAGTTGAAACGTGATGTGTAGTTTTGCATTTTGAGACAGCCTGAAATTCCCGTTTATCAGTTCCACTGCTGCCTTTTTTGCTATGATCTGAAGTACCTGTCGAATAGATAATGATACCCCTGAGCTACATTTCAGAACTCCAATTTCCGTTTGATTGAAATTACATTCAGGGATGATGATTAACCCGAGCCTTAAGATTTGGGCGCTAATACTGCCGCCTCCGCCAAGACTGATTGACTCTTACACCCAACACTTTTTTGTGTACGCGTTGGTTTCATCTCTCCACCAAGTTCAACACCATATCCGACGATAGCCAAGATGATAAGTAGGAATCTACTTCGAGCTGTTGGAAGGCAAGCATGTCTGCCTCATCAGATCGGAGAACAATCATATTTGTACGCTAGAGCAAGAAGGATATCGACAACATGTACAATGTATGCCAACAGTAAAGGACGGCAAGGAGCGAATAATGCAAAAGGTGATATCTCAGCTTCACCTCAAACAACGTCATCATCTTCATCCAGTTCTGCTGCCTCATCCTCTTCTTCTGCTGATACATCTGCGGCTGTAAGAGCGTATGCTGCTTCAGCAAGAGGTAAATCAGTCAGTCCACCTCCATCGGCAATACCCAAAAAGCAAGCAAAAGGGAGTGAGGATGTGAAATCAGATGCTGATTCCTCAACTACAAACAAATCAGATCCAAAGATTGAAGGAGGGGCACAGAAGATGTTCAGGAAAGAGGCTATCAATCCAGATAATCCGGCACCGGATCCAAAAGCGAATGGATCGGCGGCAACATCGAAAGAAGATTCAATTCAGTCAGAAGAAATTCCAAATAATTCTACACAATCATCTGAGAAGAATGAACAGATAAATTTGACAGAAGGCGTCATAATATCATCTAATGGCAGCTCGAAGAGAACCGGACAATCTCAAGGTTTCTTTCCTCCCACAAGTAATGCTTTGAACAGACAGAATTCCTCCGGTTCACAGGATACACATGGCGATGGTGGCTCAGGCGGTCCGCCTGCAATGTCAGAAAGTACGGCAGAATCCAACGAGAAGCCGCCAAGACATTTGATTTTATACCCATTCAATACACATGCTTTCATCAAGCGCTTACAAGAAGCCGGTTTCATGGCAGCATACAGGGTAGAACCCAAAGAAGGAGCTTCCGCCAATCAAGCAGAAACCGCACTTTCTGCCAATAAGCGACATGATCCAGCAGAAGCAATCATGGAATCTTTGCATCAATCTTTGGTAAACCGTGGTCAAGAAGTGGCTGATAGTCATATGAATAAGACTGAGGGAGAGAATCAAGCTTATCTCTTCACTGCTGCTTTGGCCGAACTTCGAACGGAATTGCAAGTTCGTGCAAGGAACGATGCAGCAGCATTGCGTAGCATGGTAACTTTATTACAACGAGAAGTTGATAGTTTGAATCAAAGGATGCGTGAAGATGTTGCAAGTATGAAGCATGACATTCAAGTGGATATGAATAATCGTAAAAGTGAAGCAAAAGAAGAACAAAATACGTTAGATCAAGAAATTCAAGATCTCAATAATCGTTTCACTATTAGCATTAGTGATTTGAAAACCGAAATCGAACAGAGCATCAAATGGGATGCAACAAGACGTGCTCTGACAATCTTCTTTGGTTGTATCGTCATCTTGATCGCCACTCTTGCAGCTGCAGATTATTTGACAAGAGATGAGGTCGAGACAACTGACCAGAGAAAGGCAGGACAACAAGGCAAAGAACAATCCGAGATCAAGTCAAAGACACCGGAAGAGCTTGGCTTGGTTGCTACATACGATGACGAACATGGAAATCGCTATGTCTAATTCATACACAAAACCACCACTTTGTATAACACCACTCATCACACTTTTAGTCTAACAACGCTCTCTCAATTTCACATGATCATCTCAGTAGCACAGTATACCCCTCTTACCTTCTGTGCACTTTTTCATAGAGTTGCAATGCAATCAAGTATACTTGAATGTATCCGATCACACCCGCTCTCACTCATCACCGAAAAGACAGATAATTGTGAATCCTATTTCGTAAAGAGACACAATTTTGCTGTGCAGATCATGTAATACAATGTGCCGTGTGCGTGCGCATATACGAATGATGGCGAACCTTCAAACGATATTTTTTGAGTCATGTATGTTGTGTATGTGTGGTTGAGACGTTTAATCACCTCCAGTACGGGTGTAGATCAATTGACCGTTGTGGTGAATAACACGTTTGATAGAACCATCACGTTCCAAATGACGAATTGCAACACGGGCCAAAGATCCGTTAATCTTAAGACGATCGATCAAAGTTGATTGAGAGATAATCTTGAAAGTTGGAACTTCTTTCAAAATTCGGTCGTACATTGGTTGATCCAAGACAACCATGTTTTGGGACTTGTCCTTAACCTTTCCCTTGGACCACTTCTTTTTCTTAGCACCACCGGCTTTGGCAGCAGCGGCCTGTTGGTTGAGAGGCGAGAGAGTCGATGAGGCGGACAGTGTAAATGGGTGAGGATTGTCGAGTGAAGAGGAAGGCAGAGTTTCAACGTTTGTCAGTATTTCCGTTGCATTCAAGTCTTTCTCATCTTTCATTCCCATCACCATCTTGTATACTTACAATAGCGGACTTCTTTGGTGGCATTTTGACTTGACGACGCTTCTTGACTTGATAGAAAGGTGAAGAGTAGTGAAGGAAAGGAGAATGAATCTGTTGGAAGACCAATTAGTTTAGCAAATCCGTCTAACGCTGGGCGCGAACAGGTAGGCTAGGCTTAGGCAAAAGAGAAGAAGCGCTCGACTGCGCGCACCTAAGTGACAAAAAATCAAAAGCTCTGCCCATGTGCATTAAACGCGCAAATACTATACAGTCTAGAAGCAATACAAAAATTGCAGCTGCGGATGGCTGGGTGAATACAAGGGCGCTCTATTCCGGACTACAACTCAGTTCTAGTTAAAGCCCTTCGCGCGGTTTGTAGGTAGTGACCTGCAATTCAAAGCCATACTTGTGGCAAGATTGATTAGTCAGAAATTGACGAGGACTTTCACACCGTGATGCCATCTAGACCTCTATTTCACATGCCATCAATTTCATAAGATGAAGATTCACTTCAGGATGCTAACAGAGAGCAGAAATATACGATTTTAAAGAAGAATTGTAGGAGTCGTGAATATATCCTAAAATTTAAGTCCAGAATAATGGTTTCACTCTGAAGAACACAAGAGTATGTTCCATATCGTAGTCATAACAGCTCCCATATACATCTAATACACTTTCTAGACATGCAATGCAGCTTCTTCTGTGTGATCTCGGTCACCATTACCAGTTGAAGATATGCATATCATCACGTGCTCGATAGCTTGATCGGTGCAATTTGGGCGTACGCGTAGATGGCCTGCAGTGGGGATGATATGCCTTGCTCAAGCCTGGAAAGGAAGAATCGAACACGGATTAAACGCGCTAAGCTGTTGGCCTGCTCAACATGGGCGTGAGGACAGTAGACTGGGTGGGCTAATGTATAGTTCCACAGACAACAGTAACCAATCACACCTCATAATCTCATCGCCATTTCTATTCAGTGTGTTTCCAGATTGATATAAGCTGGAAAAGCAGGGAAAAGAGACCGCTCAGGAAGAAGCAAAAGACAGGCGATCGATCTTCCATCACAGCAGCATTAAGCAACTGCCCTCACTCATATAAAAACCAAGATGAAGGCAACATCACTACTTCGTCAGGCAACCGGTGCCAATCCAACAACACCATTCTCAGCAGCACACAAAGCATACGTTCAATCATTGTATCGTCGTTATTTACGTAATGAATTGGATTGGTGTATCAGAAGAGATATTTGGCGTGATCGGGCAATCGAAATTCGTACGCAATTCGAACGTAATCGTCATATCGCCAATCCACGTGAATTGGCAAAAGTATTACAAGCTGCTGAAGAAGCTCTAACTGAACGTCGTCATCCTGATCCATACAAGCGTGAGTGTGATTCAAAAAGGGCTGGAGGGCGGGCAAAGCTCGGTGGTGTGACATATGGTCCACTTTCGCTCGCCCATCCTTGCGGGAAGCCCTCGTCCTACAGCATGAACAATTTATACTAACCCTCAGCACTATTCTTCCTATCTCTTCACACAAACAGCACCAGAGGCAGAAGACGGAACAAAATGGTGCGTATATTCGGCGAGGCTTTCACAAATGACGATCACTTATTTACACATTTCTTTCCCCTTTTCTCTTCATTTCCGTCTCAATTATTCAGGGAGCGCAACATTCCGGTATGTATTCATTTGTCGATGAATTTCTCTCCTATCATATGCAGAATTATTGACAATCATTGTTCTTTCCACTCCACTCTAAATAGCCACGCATGTTCACAAAAGCAGAAAAGGACGCAGCACTACATGGCGGACATTAATTTGTTCAGTAGAGATATTCATCAATTTATACACATTCAATCATATACAGGGCTTGCAGGCCCGATTTGAGTGCCTTAATTTTAATTCAGTAACGGAAAGCTTTATCATTCGACTTTTCAGCTTAGCAGTTCTCATTAGGATGATATGATATTGATGATGGTGAATATGATGATATAATGTCAAAAAGAACAACTGTATTATGATAAAACAGCATGAAGAACGATATGAAAACAGAGGAAAGGTAGTGAAGCGAATATTATATGTGAAAAGAACCCCAAATTTTCATCTTTTGTTGTAAATAATAGAAAGGGAAAGAAAATGTGTGATTTTTATAAAGCATCACGCTCTGAACCCATCACGGTTCGATCTGAACCTTCTAATAATTGTCCAAAAAGAGCAAACGCGGATTCTTCGGATCGCAAATGAAGCATATAAATGATTCCTGTTCGACTACCGTTATCGCTCAATTCCACTGCGACACCCACTTTTCCAACACGTTCAACACCGTCTGGCAAAATGATACTTGAGATCAAAGGCGTTGGCTTTTTATCATTTTCAACGACCAATTGCTTAATATCTTCCGGTAAAATGTGATATAACTTCAAACGTGCATTTCCCAATGCTTTCCATTGACCGTGACTTTGTTTAAGGTATAACCTGCATCGCATTTGTGCTGCTACCGTAGACGATTTCGGTCCTCTAGGTCTCGTCGGACTTGAAGGTGGACTGTATTCTTGATCTGTGCTTGCATTTCTTGCTGTACTTTTCAAGAAATCAGAAGGCAACTTTGGCGGTCCAGATGCTGAACTAGAAGCGGATCTCGAACGCATTGGCGGTCTACCATCTCCACTGGATCTGCGTGGACCTGGTGGTCCTCTCTGATTTTGATCATGAAGATCAGGCGCAGAAGGTCTTCTTGACATATCCCTTGGTTGGAAATTTGGCGGCCTGCCTGGCATTTGTGGTCGTCCCAATCCCAAAGGTCCTCCTTGCGGAATATATTGTCCAGGTCTGGGCGGCATTGGTTTTCCAAACATACCATTCGGCGGACCATTTGGTCGGCCGAATGGCATATGCGGATTCATTGGGCGAACACCATACATACCTGGACCAGATTGAGGATTTTGCGGTGGTGATGGTCGAGATTGAGGCGGTCTACCATTCCAACTATCGTTTCCATTGTTCAACAAATGAGGTGGAGGGGGCACATTGGGCATCGGTGGTGCAGAGTGCGGATTAGGGGGAAAGGGGGGTCTACCATTCATCATCGGTCTAGGAGACAAGGCATTTGGAGGTGATGCAAAACCAGAAAGGGGTGGCGAAGCAATCATTCCAGGTTGCATTCCTTGTTGACTTGAAGTAGGAATCAACGGAGGAGGCGAAGGTCTATTCATAGGCTCTGGAGAGCGTGAAAATGCCGAAGAAAGTGCTGGACTGGACGCTGAAGGCAACAGACGTTCTGCACCAGGAGAATGAGATCGTTCATTAAACGGCTTGACGAATGAATTGAATGAATTTCCGCGGTCCAAGCTCGATGCGATCGAATCATGAGGGGAAAAGTTGCCATCCAACATCTTGGTAACATCCCTGATAAGCGTATTCTCATCGCCACTCGCTCTTGCAGTGATTGGTGAATCGTGACTCATTGGTGATCTGGTGACAGAAATGGATGGTGAGACGCCATTGATACCGTTGAGCGGGGGTGCTGAACCTGGCGATGTCAAAGAAGGTGCGAGGCTGGAATTTGCAGCAATTGCATCCGTCTTTACTTTCAATCCCATACTAGCGCCGAACTTTTGACAATCTTCCAACTGTCTAATCCAATCATCCTTCGCTTCTCTAGATTCCGTATTGACAATCAATTTTTCCTTTTTCAAAATCATCAACGTGAAAGCATTTGGCTGATTGCCGTCTTCCAGTACACGCAAATGCTTTCCTGCCAAGGGAGGGTATAGCAGCCACATATCTGCTGGATCATTAGGTCTTTGCGCACGTTCACCAGGTGTCATACGTTCGCAAATGAGGAAAAGATCGGTCAAGAGGAACAAATGCGCTCTCCTCAAAACCAACTCTTGACCTGTACTGGAAGGTGTGAAATAAATCATAACATCAGCAGCTTTGCGTAACTCTCTCTTGAAGGGTATACCTGGAGGGTTCATTCGAAGTTGGCATTTCTTTGGCTTCATCGTAAAGATATCCAATGTTTTTGAAGTGTCCAATCTGACCTCTAAGTCTTCTAGCGAGGCTGTAGATGTAGCACGAGAAGAAGTAGACGAAGATGTTTGAATCCGAGGTGGATCTATTGGTGTAACAATTGTAGGCTGAACAGGCTCTTGCTGCGTAGGATGCACAATGGATGAGAAAGACGGCTTGATCTCCTCTCGTATTATTGATGAGGGAACTGTCGATCGTGAATCTGGCCCGGACATGGAAGTTGATGATGAAATTCTATTCTGTTCAGTGCTTTCTCTTGTATTTTCCGTCGTGTCAGCATCTACAGAGCTGTCGCCGCTTCTTCTGTGCCCTCCTGGAATAGGTCCATCATCGAGAATTGACATGGAAATTCGATTCTTCGATCGTTCTAGTAGATCATCTAATCGTTCATTTGCTCCAACCAATAATTTATGATCACTTCTGCCTTCTTGTGTACTCTTCAAAAGGCGTGAATAGAGCTTCTTGTAATACTTCAATCGTGTTTGTGGCAAACCAAACAATTGATCCAAAGTCCAAACCTGTCCTGGCTTTCGTTTCTTGTCGGAATAAATGACAGGTGTGCCATCAGCTTGAGCAGATTCAGAAGCGGCTTCTAGTAAACCGGGCAACTTTGCGTTTCCCTGAACAGTAGGCCAACTGTCGAAATCTGTGAAATAATTATCGCAATACCGTTGATAAGGTGATTCCATATCATCCACCCAACGCATCAACAAATCACCCAGAGCACGCGGAGAAGATGGATTGGGACCGATCTCTTTGAGCGATTTGAGAAAAGATCTATTGATGCGATAAATTGATTCCACATTGCGAAACATTGTGTCTAATTCGGCTGGCGGAAAGTTGGACCTGCTCCATGCACTTGCTACCTTTTTGATAATCTTTCCCAATTCGGATACGTATGCTGTTTCTGTTTCGATCAAATCAACTAGAGGGTTGGCTTTCTTGGACTTTTCCTGTGCAGAGGCATCATCTTCTCCAGCCGCTCCGCCGTTCATGGATGTCATGTTGGGCGAAGGTCCATCGTGCAATTCATAACCTGGTCGTCCAAATCGACTACTTGAACTGGCAAGGGAGGATGTCCCTCCCATACCGTTCGAGCTACCTGCGCTTGTCATGACTACAGACATGTCCAATCGGGTTTATGTAGAAACTTTGTGCTGGATGGGGAAATTGAAAACAAAAGGCAATTGCTGATACGACTGATGATGCGATCGAAAGTGAGAAATGAATTTGAATAGATGTTTTGAATGATTTGCAGTTCAGGATAGTATACACACCATCAGTTGCTTACTTGATTTGCCGATTCGAAGAAAGAAAGACGAACAAAAGTTGAACAAAAGGAAGATCCGATTGAAGACGTGAGGAGGAGTGAATGAATGCGTCGGTGACAATCGAACCGAATATGGGATCACAATGCAACAATGCGGCCAGCGCAGATCAAAAGACGAGGCTGACAGAAAAGAGTTGGATAAGAGATAAAGTAACCCCTCCTCCCTCTTTGAGATAATTTTGCTTAAAGTAATAACCCTTTCTTTTGACCTTTACACGTTCTTAAACCCCTCTTGAAATTCATCGATCGCTCTCCCTTAATTTGACTTTGGAGCAATGAATAGAATGTCGAAATGAAATGAAAGATGAGGTTGACTTGACGGAACTTTCTTTGTTGAAGGTAGTCGGAGTGATTACAAAAAAACAGAAAAGTTAGAGATTCACAAATCCTGTTTCCGATCGTGCAAAATAGAATGGTGTATTATAGAGTAAGCGTGTGCGTACGTGCGTGGGTGGGTTTTAAGCCTGCATTCATACAAACACAAGCGCGAGTACTAAAGGGAGGGAGGGAAAGCACACGCACGCGCCTAAAAGTGATGAATAAGAAAGGCATGCGGAGCGGCGAAGTGAACCCACTAAAGTGCATATGACTGAAACTCGCTCTCTCTTTACGCGTCGAAGAATGTCAGTCAATTTCCCCTAAGAAAAAAATAAAAACTAAAAAAAGAGCTCATATTTAGCCGTGCGGGCATTAAAACCGCTCAAAAAAATAATACACAGCATAGAAAGTTCTTCTTATTTTTATGACAGGCTTGCCGCCTAACGCCATGGAGAAAGGGCTTATGAACAGAAGGTAAAATAGAAAAACAGTTATCTCAAAATTATAATTTATAGCGGTTTGCTCCCCTGTCGAAAAATAATCAGCCCAATCATTTTGTACACTCTGCTCTCACCTCTTTCCCGCGATAAAGAAAGACGATCCGAATCTGAAAATGAGAAGGTCTGATTGATGATTTATTGAATTGATGAACAACATCTCGCTTGGATCTGGGAATACATACATACACTAACAAAAAAGGGGACATCTTCTGTACCGTTGTTGGCGTGATCGGCAAGGATCAATGAGTAAAGAACAAATAACCTGCATATTTTAGCGTATCAATCGATTGCACCTCTCATTTTTGCTTTCTTAGAACAGGCACACTCACACTCACACACACACAATGGATCAATGTGATGTAATTATTGTATGCAGCCGTTTCGAAGAATGTTGAAAAAGGACATTGCAACGGAAGGGGCTCTCCTCAATGAGAAAGAGAGACATTGCTGATGACGTTTGATGTCAAATGTCATTTCCATTCGCTTCGGCCTTCGGCACTTTGCATGCTATGTTTGTCTTTTAAGAACGATTGATGAAGGGTTTCTTATTACGCCGCCTAAAGAAGATGATCAACAAATATCGCCGATCTTGAGAACGGAAGTTAGATATGGGACAATGCTCCGGATAAATGCTGTCATATCACCATTGTGATCAACCCGATTAGCAAAGATCTTGAGATGACGAATCTGTCAAATGATTACAAACATTTGATGAAATGATGCCAATTGCATGCAGGAGAGGATATGGATGACCATTGCATCATGTCCTCAAATGATAGGATTGTTGTATGCTGTACCATTAGCATGTACCCGACCGCTAAATAATAGCCTTACTTGCTTGCGTGTACAGTTTACCTTGCGCTAGATTGAGTGAATGATGTTATATCATTCGCCCTTGCATAATGGGATATCGTGAGAGTCATCAACGCTTGTAAGTGATTGCAATCTTTTGAATTGGATACATCACATGATCCGTCACTCTATCTCCATTCAATCGAGTTATTCTTAGCAATGGAGTATGTATGATGTATGTTGATCGACAGATTAAATGTCCACTGATAGTCGGCGCGATACCGCCGCGGCTTCTAGCTTTGTTTTGTTTAGTCCCGCGCCAAGCAATACAAATGACGCAAAAGGTAGACCCCGCTTAGTGGTATGCGGGAAGGCAGTGTAAAATGAACGGCGTGCCTGGCAGAAAGAACATCATTCATTGCAATTTCATTTTCTACAATCCATCTTCTTGTACATCATCAAATGATATCAAATTAATATCTAGGTCGATCAATGGCAGGACAGGCAGTATAATGATGACAACCATTTCACAGCATGTGTTGCTGTTAGTAGCATTCACTTGCCTGCTTTGTGTCCATGTCACTTTCGGCAAACCTTCTCAACCACCTTCGTATTTCGGCGAGAACAGCAAGCAGGCGAATCGAGTACCTCTGACTGCACCGCGTCATCCCAACATCAACAATGAGGACCATATAGCATTCATGCAAAAGAGGTATACGAAAGAACATAATGTCAAAAGGGCAGACTCGGTAAGCAATTCTAACTCTAGTGCCACAAATGCCAACGATAAAGCACAAACATTAGGATATCTTGGCTATGCATACTATGCACCCTTGAATGTATCCAAAACCAATCCTCAATCACTTTTTGTTCAATTGGATACAGGTTCGGCGGATTTATGGATCGTTTCTAGTTCTTGTCAATCAGAACAATGTCAAACTGATACAGTTCTCAAATTCGATGAGAGTAAAAGTGACTCTTTTCGTTGGGTGGAAATCGATCAAACATCTACAGCCGGACAAAAGAATGTTACCGTGTCCGCTCAAGGTGCTCAGGCTACTGGAACTTCGTCAAGCTCATCGTCTGGCATTGGCAATTCGAACGATAATCAAAAACGCAAAGTAAGCTTACCAAAGATATTGGCTGTACAACAACCAGACACAGGAAGAGAGGTACCTTTTGATGTGGTTTACGATGACAATACCGCTGCAACAGGAGCATTGGCAACCGATCAAGTTATGTTGGCAAATCTGGCCTCACCAGATCAAATGTTTGGATTGGTGAATAGTACAAATGTGACCTTGCAAACGCAAGGCATTTCTGGTGTTTTGGGAATGGGATTCCCTCGAGGCAGTGCAATCGCACGTAGTTTGGTCGGCCAAGATGTCAATACAAGCACGTCACCCGTATTAACAAATATCTTGAGCAATTCCAGTAACTCTTATCCTCTCTTCACCCTTCTATTGAATCAAACAGGAGGTATATTGACTCTGGGAGCAGCCGATCCTGAAATTTTGACCAACGAAGAAGAACGTGGTCAGGTTGAATGGCATGATGTTGTACCTTTCCCATCAGGCAATACGGCAAGACCGGCAAATGCTAGTGTCAATACAGATGCAGAAGCTTTGGGTTCCTATTTGTATTGGGCTTTACGTCTTTCTGCAATTGGTTTCAACGGCAACGGCGTCAATATCACACCTACGTACCAAGAAGTTGGAAAGACTCCTTTGGCTTTGATCGATAGTGGTGCTCCGGGTATTGTTGGCCCGCCAGGTCAAGTTGATGCCTTATTCGGCCAAATTGATGGCGCACGACATGTTGGATCAGGAAGATATGTGGTTCCATGTACGACACAACAAAGCATGTTTTTCTCGTTTGGTGGCAGAAACTATACATTATTGCCAACGGATTACATGATCGGTCGTGCAACTGGAAATCCATATTTGTGTCTTGCATGGCCGGCTGCAAGTGAAGCAAGTCCTGATGGAGTTGATTGGGTGTTGGGTCAACCGTTCTTGCGTTCGCAGTATTCTTTATATTCTCTCGGGATCGCAAATCGTGAAGCACCAAAAATCGGACTTTACCCTTTACGTTCTTCTGCTGATTCAACAAATCCTGCTGAAGTTTTCCAAGCACAACCAACAGCAAATATATCCGCCTATCTTTCCATGCAAACACCTATTGCGACCACTTTGCCAAACTCTCTCGTTCCTTTGAGTACGGCTTTAACAACGCCTCAATATGTCTTTATCAATGCTACCAGTACACCTTCTATCGGCCTTCTTCCAACGGCAGCCTCAAACGCAGGTAATGGACTTTCTTCTTTTTCACCCATCTTGACAGCCACAACGGACGATTCACAAGTTCCAGTTCTTTCTGATCCATTTAGCAATTTACCCGTTCCATCTAATCCTGCCGAACGTGCAAGCGATACAGCCATCAGCCTTCATTCAAACACAATATCCTTCTGTAGGCTTGTCACTGCTTTTGCCGCAATTATGGCATCTGTATTTTTATTTTAAATTCGTTATTCATTTTTGTATTAATTTGATTAAACTTTATTGTGTTTTGATGACGATGATTGTGTTTATTTTACAGTGCTTCAATGTTGTTGCTATAGTGAGTTTTCGAATACTAATTACTCGACTTTGCGCTTCTTTTATAAACATGTATATGTGCGCAGCTTTTTGCTTCATCATTATTGTTTGTTGTGTGTATTAGGTTGTTTTCTTCTTAGCTTTTTGAAGCATCTCCGCGAAAGAACATATCTTCATACTTTTGTGAAAGTCGAACGTAACTTTTGTTTTCACGAACGAACAAATGAACAAAACCTTTTTGTTCTGCTTCTTTAAACAAATCTGAAAAGCTACTAAATCCATTCTTTTGCAACCATGCTGCTGGCGTTGGCGGTTGTTTAGATTCCCCTGCCTTCTTTCCATCTTCATCCATCATTCCAGTCGCTACTTTCAATTGAACAGGTTCCGTTCCTGCTTTGAGAATATCTTTCTGTTCTTGTCCAGTAAGGTCCTTTGCTTTTGCAATGGCTTCTTTCCTAATCGAAACTAGTATTTCGATCAGCGTCTTAAACTTTTGTCGATCAGCAGACGTGCTTGGAATCGTGTTGAATTGTGCTGATGGCTGTTCAACGATTGGACGAACATGATCTTCTTTCTCGTCCTTCTTCGGCTCTCGAGTTGGTTTAGTAGGTGAATGTTTGGGACCCGTGGGAACAGCACTTGTTTCTTGCTGTGCAGCATTATCGTTCGTCTTTCCGTGAGTCGAATAATGTCCTTTCTGGAAGCCCAAATGTTTTCCTGAATCGGCACCTTTTGTCAATCGGTCATGAAGACGGACATATCTGTACTCATGATCCCGTGTGTCGATGATTGTAACAATCTTTTCTTCGATAGCTACTTGCAAGTACCCTTTGAATTGACGCCAAGATTGAACGCTCCTTCCTAATTTATGATGCTTACTGACCGACATGTGCACTTGGTTCTCCGGAACTGAAAAATCGCCTTCTAATCGTCTTGTCAACATAAAGTTGACTAAGGGGAAGAAAGACACATTGATCATCTCATTGGATGGTTGATGTGCAAAGTAGGACGAAGGCAATTTGAATGGATCGTATGAACGATCTTTTGAGATATCCTGAGCGCTGCTTTTCGAGGGTGAAGGCAATGCTACGTTCTTCGAATCGTTCTCTTGCTTGTTGCCCGATAAAAGATTGGTTAATCGATTAGGCTTACTCTCTGGAGCTGGAATATTAGCCGTATCCAACATTCGAGCAGAAGGATTGCTAGGCATGATAAGACCGGTATGCATTGTTGCGAAATTTGGATGCATTTCCACTACAGGGCCATTATCACCAGGTGCCAAACGTGCTACCTTTGCCTTGAATGCTGTCTTGATATAATGATCGAACGTCTTGACGCCTGCGGCTTTGTATGGATCAAATTGACCTCTTTCTGCGATTGCGTCTAAGGCATCGGAAATGGAGCGAGCACTTGGCTCTTTCGTTGCGGGCAAGCCAGCTTTGAGTGATTTATACGCTTCGATAAGAGGGAAGAAAGGTTCAATTTTTCCATCTTCGGTTTCCACCACAGCTCCAGGATTGATGATGACTTGGTCTGGAATGAATGAACGTGCGTCTGTTTCGATGTTTTTGCGTAATGCAATCCATTCGAAACCAGTTTGCACACCCGATCCAAGAACAACGATACCTGCTGCAGAAGCAATCTGTGTGTATTCCGTCCAACCACTTGCTTGAGCCTTGTCAAACACTTTAGGATCAAGAGCGCGCAAACGAGGGCTGACTTTCGAGCGTAATGGTCGCTTGTCTCCCTCTTCGCTCATCGTTTCGAGAATAGTCACCAAAGGTTGGAAGACTGGCGGGATATTATTTGCCGTATCTTGTGGTTTAATTGGGCGAGGTGGGGATTGGGTAGAAGGATGGCTAGTCTGTACACCTACAGCCGTACCTCCGTTCGCCTGACTCTTTGCCACATTATTCGATGAATTGTATGGACGACCACTTGCATCATATTCGATTCCCAACACATCTTGCCTCCAACGAAGCTTGTATGTTGCACTAGCTTCCAAAATTGGCGAAGCACCAATCGGAGGTGTGATGAGCAGGATATCATAACCTCTGTTTCGTAGAATTCCAAGAGGATAGGCGAAGTCTCTATCACCTGATAGCAGGACGATCAATGCTGGCGGTCTTCGATCGATAGCATACGAGAGAAGATCAGCGATCATCATCTTATCTGCCACATCTTTCCTTCCACTTTTGGGCGTATCAATCAAGCTTACACCACTACCCTGTAATTCACTTCGAAGTTGAATTTGTCCTGCACCTCCTTCTGCAACTTCCAAGTATGCCTTGAAGCTGGTAATCATCCCAATCTTGTTACGATCAGGTCCGGCAGATTGAGCAGCTCTACGAATCTTTGTGGCAACTTCTTGTCCAGATGCACCAGAATTAGGAGAACAATTATCCATATCCCAAAAGATTGCAATAGGTGTCTTTGTGAATCCTGAAGATACCTGCTCACTACTTGTACCTCCACGTGTATCGTTGTAATCTGTTTGAGTGGTATATACAGAGCTCATGCTATTCGACCTGCTCTCATCTTTTTGATGTGAGAAGCCATTGCTAGGCCTACTGATTTCTTGACTGTTGGTATCGATTACACCATCATACTTTTTCTTGGAAGGCGAAGCAGATGTTTTACCAGCACCTTGTTTCTTTTGATATTTCTCGTCTTTTTCCGGTAACCTTGGTGGAATTTTGTCATCTTTGCTGCTGTTGTTGCTGTTGGTTAATGATTTGTAGGATAAAAATACACTTGCCGCTGCCAAACAAGCCAAAGATGCATTTCGAACGGCAGGCGATGCAAGTAGGTTTGCTACACCACCACCAAAGCCGTCCGTACCACCTTCCATCTCGCTCGCTATGAAAAAAACTTCTCGAATCCGACCAGTTGAACTAATAAAGAGGAATCACCATTAACTTGCTTTCTTTGCTTTTAGATGAAAGGGAAGAAGGAGGGAGTGAATGAAGTTGTGATTTCTTTGCGTTGTCCATCAAGTATTAATCATTCCATTTCATGCGTAATTAAAAGAGTGAAGACTGACAAAGTGACTTTCATTCCTTACCCTAAGCAAAAAGACCGCGTGCTTTTATGTGGTCGGTCCGAATTAACACTTTTCTTCTCGTGCTTAAAATACGCGTTTCTATTCATATGAATAACAACATTGTGTGGAGTAATTCAACGCCCATGCAGCCATGACTAAACGGATGCATTAACAATCATCAATTCATCATCAAAAATAGGAAAGATTTGATTAGTGGTCAGGTATCAATACATGTTAAAAAAAGAAGGTTAGATGGAAAAGGATATTGTCATTGTTCATTGTCCTTTCCTCCGATTTCCCGTTTGAGAAGAGGATGCCTTCAATTGAGAAGAAACAGCAGAAGGATTTGCTTCGGTAGAGGATAATTGTACGTTGTTCTTCTTTGAGTGTTCTTCCTGTACATCGATCTCTTCATCACTTTCTTCGTCACTTCGGGTATCAGCAGCACCTTGTCCAGTCACCACCCTATATGCCACACGAATGATCATCACAAGCCATATGCATAATATAACTTGTAATATGCAAAGCAGAATGACAAGACTTAGAGCGTTATATGTTCTAAAGCCCCAATAATCTTTCATCGTAGCACCTGGAATTTCGGGTAACTTTGCTCGTGCGGTGGCGATGCAAGAATACAATGCTCGATTGTAAAGCACATGTCGTGTGAAAATCCAGCCAAGCATGAACAATCCAAAAAAGACGTCACATAACGTCTGCTGTCCTGCATAACGAAGGCATTTTGCTGTGGATAAAAGGATATCGCAAGGGTCCATCAAAATCAAAATCACATTTCCCATTGGTGTGAAATGCGAGACGTATGAGCCCAATAAAAGCAGAATTGTTACTATATGATGGCTAAGCATTTGCCAATGATCGTTCCTTCGATCTTCCACATTGATAACAATCACTTGCTGAACCCAGAACGATGTCTGCAATAGATAGTAGAATTTACTCAATCCGCTCATCTGTTTGAAAGGCCATTCAGTCCATAGAGCAAGCTCGCTGGTCCAATATGGTTCTTGAGATGCCACATACAGACTCAATGTCAAGCTAAAGATACCCCAAAGAGAAACCCAGGCTTGCTCAGCAAATCTTGTGCATGTCCTTCTCTTCTGTCTTTCGCCGGCCAGTTGTGCCGCTCTGGATCTCTGCTCTTTCGCTTCTGGTACGCAATAAAATGCAATTGGCATCAAAACGTAACGAACCACCAATGCACGCAAAACGGTAAAGACAAAGATCCCAGTCAATACAAAGAATACGTCCTTGAATCCCTTTTCGTACTTCCTGTTCCAAAAACTTGGTTCTTGATCTGCTTGCGACAGCCAGCTGTTCCATGGATAACGATCGAAGTATGTTTGACGATAATGAAGATCATCTGGCAAGAAAGAAGATCCGAAATTGTTGTAAGTCTTTTCTTCCCGTACTTCGTATGAAAGCCCTAAGCAGGCCCTGGTGAGATTGTGTAAAGCTGTGAGAGGATGTCCGAAGCCGACAGCATCGCTTCGGAATGGACCAGCATATCCTGTGGTTGTCCAGTAAGAATCATGGGGAGAAGCACTGAATTTGGAATTTCTCGAAGCATTTGGTAATTCTGTTGCAAAAGGTGCCAAGATTGGCAAATGGCGTGCCCAGGTCGGAAGCAATGTTTGAATGCTATGTGGTAGATGCGTTGATAGATGAGGTAAAGAGAATGATGATGTTCCGCTTAATGCGTGTGCTACTAGAACTGCAAGTAAAGCGTAAAGCGGTATCTGAATTTGTCGATCGAGCGATTGATCAGCACGAATCTCTTTCAAGCTCCTATTGTCGTGTACTTTGTTATTCTTGGTATATGACATCTTTCCATTTGATCTAATCCGATCTTCTGAATATGTCCGCCTTGCCATTATGAATGACTTTGTGCGTTTGACTTTAAGACTGTATGAAAGTGGTGTCCATTCGAGAAGTATGATCAGATGCAAAGCTCTTTGCTATGCTGATTGAATGAATTGAGGTGTGGGGTGTTGTAACAAAAAGAAAGAAAGGTATCAATTATTCTCCTAACAAATGTTCATTTGATTTCTTTTATGACAAGATTCCGATTTGCTGGTGCGAACATGAATACAAAAGGCGCGTTCGTACGGTTGATACGCCGAATGTTGTCTCCGTGCATATATTCACTTTCCTTCTTGCAGTTTAAATTAGAGTTTTAGGCACTTGAGGACTCAACACAGCATATGCCTTAGGCGTGCAGATCAAAAAGATAATTTACAAAATTTCACTGGGGCTTGGGTTATCTTTTCTTTGCTGGCTACTGCATGCATCATCTCCTATTGTATCCAATTCATACTTGACTATAGAGCGGTACCTTAACATGACTCTAGAGACAAGTTGGTCATCATGCTCATTGATGATCGAGTCTCAGCCATGCAACATCACAACAATTATCCACACTATTCAAGCCTTGTGATCTTATGAGTATTGGAAGTCATTACACGTGTTGGTAATTGCTGCCGATCTGAATGTTCTAATCTTAGTCTAATGAAGGGCTCATACGCTCAAACGCGCCTGCAGCTTAAAGAGTTAAAACGCGCTAAAGGATAAGATTAATTGCGAGGAACACTTTGAACCAATTGATTGCACGTGATATAGACTTCACTCTGCGGTGAAACTGCTCACTGGGCGGGCGCAGCGTAAGAGTATTGCTTGACCAGAACAGACTTCTTCTAAAACCGCGCATACTGTATTGAATTGTAGTGATCACTTCCTTTCTCTTCTCCTCACGCACGTTTTGGTATCTCATCTCCACCCTCCAAAACAAATCACAATCATGAGCAAGAGCCCAGCTATTCTCAACGCCACAGAGGACGATATGTCCCTCTTGTTGGCCGCTTCTTCCCACATCGGTACAAAGAACTGCGAAAAAGCAATGGAACCTTACGTTTTCAAACGTCGCCCTGACGGTATTCACCTTTTGAACTTGCAAAAGACTTGGGAAAAGCTCGTCTTTGCTGCACGTATCTTGGCCGCCATCGAAAACCCAGCAGATGTTTGTGTTATCTCTGGTCGTTTGTACGGTCAACGTGCCGTTTTGAAATACGGTGCTAACACTGGTGCAACAGCCATTGCCGGTCGTTTCACTCCAGGTTCATTCACCAACTATATCACCCGCTCTTACAAGGAACCCCGTGTGATCGTCGTTACCGACCCTCGCGTTGATCACCAAGCCATCCGCGAAGCCAGCTACGTCAACATTCCAGTCATCGCCTTCTGCGACACTGATGCTCCTTTGCGTCACGTTGATGTTGCTATCCCATGCAACAACAAGACCAAGCACTCTATCGGTTTGATGTGGTGGCTCTTGTGCCGTGAAGTTTTGCGCTTGCGCGGAACTGTCCCACGTACACCTGACGGATGGGGTGTTATGGTTGATATGTTCTTCTACCGTGACCCTGAAGAGGTTGAACGTGAAGCAGCTGACGCATTGGCACAAAAGCAAGCTCAAGCCAACGCTGTCGCTAACCAAGAAGGTGGTGCCACAGCTGATGCACAAAACAACATTGACTTCGCCGTTCAAGGTACCGGAGCTGCTGGATCCATCAACCCAGGATTGGCTGCTAACATCCCAACTGGTGAAAATGTTGACTGGAGCGCTGACGGCCAAGCTGTTCAAGACTGGGCTGCTGACGGTGGACCAAACTGGGAAGCTGGTGCACCAGCTGAAGGTGTTGCTGGATCCGCACAACAACCCAGCTCTTCATGGGATTAAAGGGATGGGCCTTTTGTAATGGAAGAAGCCTGATGATTTTGTATGAGGAGAACATACAAACATTTGTACACTTTATACACATCATTTGTACGAGTAGCCAACCGTCGTCTGGCCTCTATCGTTCGGCTCTCTTGTAGAGAATGTTTGTTTTGGTTATCCCCAAGGGATGATTATTAAACATGCGCTAGAGTCCCATAACCCGAAAGCCCCACTACCATCATCTTTCAAAATATAATGCGATTGCATCTCATTCTGTGTTTTATATATCGTGATTTGTGTGAGAGATAGAATTGTGAGATAGTGATCCTGAGAGACCGTAGAGATCAAAGGTGCGGGAGGCGCGTTACTCAGTTCCCCAGGCACACAACTGGCATCAACAGCAAGCACAGCATACTGCGTTGGCGCGTGCACAATAACGCATCCAGATCATCTCCTTCCCCAACCAACTCTCACAATCTCCACCATCACCTACTTCGAAAGGAGAATACACCTCTCGTCCAACATGAGTAACTCACTACGACCATACCTACAATGTGTTCGATCTACATTGACGGCAGCATTAACGTTGGACAATTTTGCATCACAAAATGTGGAAAGACATAATAAACCTGAAGTTGAATCGGCAGCATCAAAAGAAGTTTTACTAACACCGGTAATAATTTCAAGAAATGAAAATGAAAGAGTTTTAATTGAAAGTAGTGTGAATAGCGTTCGTCTTTCTATCAAAATCAAACAAGCCGATGAAATCGAACGTATCCTTGCACATAAATTCACAAGATTTTTAATGCAACGTGCAGAAGCTTTTGTTATCCTAAGAAGGAAACCGGTAAAAGGATACGATATCTCATTCTTGATTACAAATTTCCATAGTGAAACAATGTTGAAACATAAATTGGTCGATTTCATTATCCAGTTCATGGAAGAGGTCGATAAGGAGATCTCAGAGATGAAACTTTCGCTCAATGCGCGGGCCCGTATCGTAGCAGAAAGCTATCTAGGAACGGTGAGCAGCTAGCAAATGGGATGCACTTCCGTTCACTTTCATACTGACACTATCTCCAACTCTTTCTCTGACACAGTTCGCATGAGGACAACTTCGAATCGGTCAAGTGTACAAGTGAAATGTTTATTATCATTGATGAATACTATACATGGATTAACGTAAACACATTTGCGCAAACGGGTGACTTTATTCTCATCTTCCCACTCATCTCGCCTACTTCTTCGTCCGCTTCCGAGAAGCTGCCGTTGTGGTTGCTTTTGCTGCTTTTTGATCTTGAACGCTGGCATTGGACGTCTTTCTTTTCCGCGCCGTGGAATTGGCATTACCACCAGCTGTCTTTGAATCTGTCGATTTTCCGTTTGCTGTCTCTTTCTTATCAGCTTTGCCTTTGGCAATTGAAGGCTTTACGGGACTCTTTTCATTGGCCGTGTTTGACTTCTTTGCTCCATTGCTTGCATCTTTGCCTTGCTTGTCTATGGCTGTGTCCTCATGATCATGCTTTGGCGGCGGACAAAGAGCAGGTACCAATTGCTGAAGATCATGAGCAGACAAACCCATCTTTGCAGTGTTGCTTGAAGTTACTAATAATCCTCTTTTTGCATCACGAGCATAAATAGGCTGTCCAGCCAAATTCATGCCATAATTCTGCTCGGAAGGTAAAATGAACGGAACCTTTAACGAGGAATTGTCTAACGCTGTCCTTTTCCTTAAAGGCAAAGACGAGCGTTCTGGCAAACGATCCAAAGTACGGTACGCACGAAAGTGTTGCAAAGAGATTGGTCCATTATTGTTTAGACTGTTCATTTCTGTGAATGATGCGATAGGATGTGCAGAGCCCTGTCCTGCATCTGCCGTGGCTACTGATTTACCTTGAACGAGTGCTTCTACGTTTGGATGCAGATCCCAAGGTTTAATTTGCACTGCAGCAAATTGACCATCAGATATTGCGCTTGAACTACTTTGCGCTTCGATAAGCGAAATCTTTTTACCGCCTATATTCGAAGTAAGATTTGAACCAAGAGCATCAGCATCGATATTGACCAATCGTCCGATTGTCTCAGTTACACGGTCAAGTGGCGAAGGGTGAGTCAACAATCCCGTTTCGATTTGCTCGGATGCACGTTGTCGCATTGTCTGTTGCAATTCCAAAGGTGCCTGTTGCAAGAGATATCTCGCCACGTCCAACAACGTTTCTACCTTTCTTTCACTCATACCTGGTCGACGTGAAAGAGAAAGAGCAATTTGAATGATCGCACAGAATAATCTCGGCGCAAATGCTTTTGTGATTGGGAGCATGAGAATGTTGTCCAATTTCATCAGGAAGCACAGAATGCCAAGTCGCACGGCCAATTCTCCATTCGGCAAATCCGCCTCCGAAGTAGTGATATCCGAGTTCTGTTGATCTGATACGACTTCCTGAACAGGTGATGCAGGAAGATTGCTTTCCAACCACTCTGTCACGAATCGGAACGCTTGAGCAGATAAAGCAGATGCAGAGATAGTCATAGGTGCCATCTTTTGCCATAGACGAAGAAGGCTTTCCAGTTCCGACTGTAGGAGTCTCTCGTCTGTGAATGTTGCTTCCAGTTGCTTATTTAACACCCTTAACCGCTCATCGACCAATCCAATACAGAAGACAGCGCCATTTGAAGAAGACAGAGAGCCAAATAGGCCGGTGATCGAAATCGAAGAGCAAGCAGCGTCCACGGAAGACAGAACACGCTCGCTAAACAGTCTTGCTAGCTCATTCAGCTTGTTGGAGCTGATCGATCCTTCTTTTGTCTTGCTTCGAATTGCTTCAATGGTAATTGCATTCTCGCAAAGCATTTGTGACCATCTCCATTGGTCTGCATTTTCGAATATGCGACTCATTCCAGTGATCAATTCATCATCCGATGTCCATGGCCAACGAGCAGGTAGGAGATCTCGCATTACGGTGTGAAAGTCGCCCGCTGGAACTGTCGATCGGACAAGATCAATAGAATCCTTCAAATTCATCTGCAAAAGACAACGAACATTTTCGTCTCGGCATATGCTGGTGCGCAAGATTTCCAAGTCATTCAATAAAGAGGATTGCTGGTTTACGTTCTCCGCTTTCCGCAAGGCAGATATCATGCGAAGAATATCGGCTGAAAGAGTCCAATGAGAATCAGTGGATCTAAAATTAATGTCCAGTACCACCCAAGACCTCTTTAATCCATCCGAAGGAATGAAGACACTAGAAAGGATGCCGACCACAGCTCTCAGACTGGCGGTATCATTTGCTTCGGAACCACCAGCATATGTAATCAATGTTGGCAAACAAAAGTTTCTGACGATATCAGAAAAGGAAGATGGCTGTGAAGATATTTGAACGATAGACAGATTGACCAAAATATCAACATCGTTGTTAGAGAGACTGGTGTCTTGCAAGCAGTTCGAGAGGTCTTGTACCCATCTTTGTGATTCACCTTTGTAAGCGAGCAACAAAGATCTGAACCAATTCGAAATCAGTTTAATGTTCCCTTCTTGACCGGCCGATAAATATTCATTTGCAACGCTGAGCAGCGAGCGAGGGCTGGCGTAATGGTTCTTCATCATCTCCATCGATTCGGGCAGGCGACCTTCACTGAAGGTCCTCAAAGAGGAAGAAAAAGTCGACAGATCATCTTCGTCTCGGGGTACTCCCAGTTCTTTTGCTGCTGAATTTCCTTCTCCTTGTTGTGGATCAGCTTTCTCAGCATTTATGCCACTCTCGTAATCAGTCCTGAAAACTGATCCCATACATAGAAGTACTAAACGATTCTGCTTTGCGTAAGAGTTGGCGACCTTGATGATCGTCTCACTGTACGTCTGTGGATGCTGACTGATATCCTCTAAAACTTCCTGCAAAGCAGCAAACTCTTGTGCTTCAATCAGTAAACTAGCAAATTGACTAAGCTGATAATCTTGCAGTACTTCCTGTCCGTAAACATATTCTCGAAAACTTGGCAATAGATGCAGTTGCACAATTCTACTTCTAATGTATCGCGAACTTCCCCAGAATCGTGGTAATTTTCTTTGCAGATCGAAATGCTCTGACTTCCCTTGTGCTTCACTTGCATCTTGTGATCCACTCAGCCATGGTAATGCAGACGACAGCTCTCGTAATGCACGCCTTTCCATCGCTTCTTCCCATGATTCTTTTGCACGATTACCATAAATTGCCACCCTCCTTTGATGTTCCAAAGGAGCAGGACACGCAATCAAAGGTACAGACCTCAACAATTTGGAATGCAACGAATCAGCAACGGGTATTTCTTGGTGTTTCCCGTTCGTTCCTTCTGAGTCTGGCCTAATCTCTCTTCCTCCCATTGCCGTCAATCCACGGGCTGTCAATCTTTGAAGATATTTCGGAAATGAAAAGCACCCAAGTCGATATAATTCGCCAATCAGTATAATCATCTCGTGCAGTGAGGTAGAAAACAAAACATTCTGCCATCGCAACGATTTTTGATTTCCTTCGCTTTCCTCTTCACCAACATTTTGCTTTTTGGCCAAGTCTACATCTGTGATCCATGACATGACAATGGCATCCAAATCGATTCGATCCAAAACCATCCTCTTGCCATCTTTTGATTTATGCGTTGCTCGTTTTTGTGATCGGCTGGGCTGATATCGTATATACATGTTCAACATCGTTGCAACAGCAAAAGGTCTGTGAGTACCAACACGCCAATCACAAGTTGCCCAAACCAAAAGCGTTCGTATTCTGTCAGAGATAGAGGCACAGTATCGGCCAAAATATAACTCAAAGGTGGACTGTAGGTCTTCATGTGCCGGTATTCGGTCAAGAATCATCAAATCTTGAAGTCGAGCTAGATCAGTAGACTGCTCGTCATCGGCCGAGGTAAAATTTGTGAAAGAAGCAAGAAGCTTCTCATTCCTCTCAGCGATCGATTTCAGCTTGCAGTCAGATGCACCGCTTTTGCGTGCTTCATTTATGATTCTTGACAGATCTTGCCAGCACGACGGGCTAACGAAAGAATCTGGTCTCGTGTTGAATACATACAGCAACATAGCAGTAATCTCCTTTTGGATAAAGGTACTGCTGGATGTCACTTGCTCTTCCAAATCCTTGAGCTTTGAAGTCAAGACGGTCAGAGCCAGGTGGCTCAGTGTGATGCTGTTGGCTATGATATCCAAGAATTCTTGAAATAGAGCAAGAGTGATAAAAATTTGAGCAACATTTGCAGTCCTGAACATATCAATCGAAAAGCGAGCGGCCACTTGACAATCAATCAAGCCTTCATTTGCTAAAGCTCGTAAAAGAGCCACGCTGTAGTTCCACTTCGCCATCCATCGATCTCTGAAATCGTCCTCTAGGATTAATGCGTATGGCTCTTCGTTGTGCTGAGGAGTAGAAATCGAAGACCGATTTCTCGAAGGCATAGGCGAAGGAGGTGCTGCAGGACTGTCTGATACGCTACTGTGATGATGTGTAATGATCAATTCTACAATTTGCCTTCGAAGCCATCCCATCATTGTAGCAGTCCATTCGGATGTATAAAATGCACTATTACCTTGTCTAAGGCGTGAAGACGATATCTCACTTGCACCCACCACACGAATAAACCATACTGCTCGAGAGATTTCCACGCTGTTTGGCAATCCATTACGCTCTCCACCGGGGGTACTTGCATTGACGCCATTGCTAGAGCTGCTTCCAATCGAAGGTTGAGATTTCATTGCTGCCATTGCACCTGAAACGCTTCCACCGTTCCATAGCATATCCAGCATACGTTCACCTCTGTATCCATGTGGTACACTTCTGGCAAGCTTCCCTATCGGCACCGAAGGATCGGCGAGATCCTTGACGTATGCTGCCAGTTTGACTTCATTCAATGTCACCCTCTGCGGTTGCCTGTATTGAGAAGCAGTTGGTCCACATCGTAAACCGGCCAATTGCTTTCTTCGCTGGGCAACTTCTTCAAACAGGCTTCCTAATTGATTGACGACTTGTTTTCCTTTTAGCCGGTCATAGATCATATCATGTGCTGAGAAAGTTTCATTCCCAACGGCCGGTCTTGCATTCAGTCCGTTTCGTACATTCACCTCTGACATTTCATCTTCAGGCGGTCCAGGTTCTTTTGGTCTACGAATGTAAATGTCTGGTGCTCCAATTGCACGCGAACCTGGATGCAATCTTGGTCGCCATTTTGGTGGAATGAGCTCGTATACGATCGGCTTTGTGGCTCCTTGTATCGCATTCTTTGTTTCATGTTTTTGTGATCCTGATGCGACCGGAGATGGTCCGAATGAGCCAGACATGTTTGCCTATCAATCCTCCCTGTCACGTCTTTGAAGTTGGATGTACACGATGATCACCTCCTCTTTCACTTTGCATGATAGGGCCTTGTTACTAAATGCATGACTAGTGAATGACAGCGTGTTCTTCCAGCAAAGAGATGCTTTTCAAATTGTCAATGCCATCAAAGGATGAATGTTAGTCAGGACCAGAAGAAAGTCTTCAAATTGACGAGCAATGCCGTCCATCCAAGATGCCGAATTAAATAGAGCACACTTTCTAAACCTTGATTCGCGTATTGTGCACTGCACTGCACCACCGCACACGCTCTGATAAAAAGTTAAAAGCGGGGGAAAGCCGATTATTCTCCACCAACAGATAAAAGGCAAATTACATAAGCAGATCATTCATTCTTATAATCATTTCCCCATTGGTAACCGCATGACCACTTGTACTACTCGGATATATGCGCTTTATTCGAAATAACATTAACCCCTTGCAAAAGTCACTTTTTAGGCTCTGATCTGTCCGGAAATAAGCGCGAAAATGAAAAATTACCCGATAATAAGACTCCGTTCAGCAAAGGTGTGTTTTGAGTCAAGTCCAATCAACTCGTTGGTATACTCATTCTTCAAGGCCCATTCGACATTTATTGACTGCATCTAACTTTTGACTGATTGGACGTTTTTTTTTGCGGGATCCTTGCCCTCTTTTCTTCTCCGCCAGCAAGGAAATGATGAAGCCCGAACAGTGTCAACTTTTAGCATCAAGCAGGGGAAGCAAGGCTCTGATTACGCTAAAGCAATGCATCAAACGCCCTGTTTAATTTTGCTCCTGCATGTAAACGCAATTTGACCTCAACATGCAAAAAAAGAGGGACGCTATTTATCTGCTAAATAAATTCAACCCTCTCATCTTCTTTTGAGCTTTGTTCATTTCACTCTTCTTTCGGTGGGACATCTTGAAGAGAGATCTCTCCTCCAAGATACATATTAAATACAAAAATGTTTTTTTTGTATTGTGTTGTATTGTTCAAGAGAAGCCAGCGTACCTGAGACAAAAGGTTGATTCTTTGAATTTTTTTGCTTTGACCGCTTTAGCGTGGACATTTTGTATGCCTGCTGTCGATGTTTGTATTGGTAATGCATGAATTGCAATTCCGGCGCACATGAACACTGTCCGGGTTTAAGACTTTTCCCCCCACCGATGTTGCTGTACAACTTCTTGATCCGCGCAAAAGAACAGTCAAAACAAAAATAAAGAGGCAAATCCTGCGCCGCTTTCTTTTTTTTTTGCTTTGCTTTGTAGCTCTGTCGAGATGTCGGCAGATGCACGCTCGTGTAAAGAGTAGTGTGCGATTGTGCTTATAGCAAAGAAGTCTGCACACACACACAATTGCACACTCTTTGATTGTTGGTCAAATTAGGGATCAATTTATTGGCATATGACAAGGTTCATCATTTTTGGTCTTCTTGAAGATTGGTTTCATTTCTTGGATAGGGACCGACAACTTCCTTTTTTCCTTTTCTTTTTCATTTCTTATACAGCGATCATAGCAAAAGGCTTTCCTATCAGACGATTCAATAGAACAAAGAGTTACTTACTCAAGTGGCAAGCTTACACGAAGGCGGGTATTCTTTCATCATTTCAACAGGCGAGTGAACACAACAAGGGTGACTCTGGCTGCTGAACGTGTTTGCTATATCACATCATTTTGACGACTTTCATCAAATTCAAATCGATCTAAATCACTCTAAACTCAAGCAAGACTCATTGATTCAATAAGCATCCGTGTTTAGTCAATATATCGCCACTGTATTCTCCTTACGGCCAAGAATAAGCGGTTCCGACTTTTTCTCAAGCGGCGATTCTGAGCACTTCCTTTCTTCATCCGAGATGATGTCTACTCCTCCATCAACACATACACCAACCTTTGGCAATAACAATCAAGACAAAACACCTCGTGATTATATCGGTAACGGTATACATGCATATTCATCTTCACCAATGAACGGAATACATCCCGAACATGGCGTCGATCGCAGTCCAAACGATTACGTAGCCAATGGCTTCAACGGCAGCAGTAATCATGCGCAGGGAGGACTGTATTCCTCTTCCTCGTCTGCTCATACGAACAATGGAAAGGATAAGAAATGGAAGCAAATGTTCAAATTTGGATCCATCGGAAAGAAGATGGGACACAATGGTGAACCGATTGGCTCACCTTCCAGTCATGCTTCCCAAAGCAGACAGGCTAGTCAACAATCAAACTTTTCCAATTCAACAAGCAAACAAGCATCGCCAGTCTTTAGCTCTTCGTCATTCAAACCTTTGCCCGGTAGCACAGTCGTTGCTGATCCCGGATCTTTCTCGAATGACAGTGTATCTTCAGATGGCGTAGATCACGCTTTAGGCAATGGAAGCAAGGCATACTTGCAAGGAGCAGATGGCAGGAGGGTGCCATCTGGACAATCAAAACTACAGCCTTCGGTTGAGGTGATTGGAGGTGGAACAGATCAAGCACCACAATTAGCATTACCCTTGTCCGCGAACGAGTCTTCTTCTGGTTTTTCTAAAAAATTGTTAAGAAGAGTTTCCAGTGCGCCAAATTACAATGATTTGATCGATCCCGCTTTGAGGGAAGAAAGGGCCGATCAGAAACAAGATCAGTATACAACCTCCTCCGCACTCACAACCCCGATGCACGAGGACCGAAAAGCCAATGGAAGTTCATCAAAATCCGGCTTGCCGCTCACGCCAGATGGTTTGGACCCTTTCTTCCCTGGCTCACCTGTTCGTATGGATAGTAATGCAAGATCCTTCAGTAGCAAAGATTTCGAAAAAGCGGCAAAATCTTCGGGAAAGACTACACCAAAGAGTAAGAGTGGTATCTTGTTCCCTGGCTCAAAGAAAAAGAACGAGAGTGTTAAATCGCAATTAGGCGACAGACGTCCTCCGCTGCTCAGTACACCTTCCAGTGCCATCAATTTGGCTGCTCTGCAGTCTACGGAGAGCAAAACTCCAGATGGTGGACTCACGCCGCCAAGAACGACATTCCGAAGAACGTACAGCAGTAACAGTATCAAAGTTCGCGAAGTGGAAGTTGGACCGAATAGTTTCACAAAGATCAAGATGTTGGGTAAAGGTGATGTAGGGAAAGTATACCTCGTGCGAGAGAAAAAGAGCGATAAGCTATTTGCCATGAAAGTGTTGTCGAAGAAGGAAATGATCAAACGTAACAAGATTAAGCGTGTAATGGCAGAGCAAGAGATTTTGTCAACGTCCAATCATCCTTTCATCGTTACGCTTTATCACTCTTTCCAATCGGACGACTACTTGTACCTTTGCATGGAATATTGCATGGGCGGAGAATTTTTCAGAGCTTTACAGACAAGACCGGGAAAATGTTTGCCGGAAGAACATGCTCGCTTTTACGCAGCAGAGGTGATTGCTGCTTTGGAATATTTGCACTTGATGGGATTCATCTATCGTGATTTGAAACCGGAGAATATTTTGTTGCATCAATCAGGACATGTGATGTTATCCGATTTTGACTTGTCTGCTCGGGCGACCCAAAGAGGAGGTGCACCGGCAGTCATCCGACAAGTTTCGCCAAACAGTGCACCATTGGTGGACACGAGATCGTGCATTGCGGACTTGCGAACGAATTCGTTTGTTGGAACGGAAGAGTATATCGCACCTGAAGTGATTAAAGGATGTGGTCATACGAGTGCGGTCGATTGGTGGACATTGGGTATCTTGATTTACGAAATGATCTTTGCAACAACGCCATTCAAAGGTAGCTCGCGAAATCAGACTTTCTCAAATGTCTTGCGAAATGAGGTTCAATTCCCTGAAGGTATTCCGATCTCTTCTTTCGGTAAATCTTTGATCCGCAAGTTGCTCATCAAAGAAGAGGCAAAACGACTTGGATCACAATCTGGTGCATCAGAAGTGAAGCAGCACAAGTGGTTCGGTCCAATCTCTTGGGGTTTGTTGCGTAATTTGACTCCTCCGATCGTGCCTGCTTCTTCTAACGGCTTGGATGCAGTCAATTTCCGAAACGTTCGAGAGTCCAGATCTTTAAATTTGGATAGCCAAAGCATCAGTCAAAATGGAAAGTCAACCAAAGAACGGTCTGCCAATCGATCTGCCAATAATGGTGCAGGCTCCACCACGACTGGTAGTAATACACCACAGGGAGAATTCAAAGCTACAGCCGGTAAGAAAGGAGCAAAAGAGGAGGAGGGAGATGCAGTAGACAATCCATTCTCAGGATTCAATTCTATTACCCTGCACCACGGCGAAGAGTAAGGACTGGTGCGTGCGTGCACAGCTTTGATTTTCGATTCGCTTTTTTTACGCATACACAACGCAAAATTTACAATAACAACAAATAGCTGGTTCTATCGATTCTTGATCAAGGGCATCTCTCATTGGCGAAATTCATGGTCATGACTCAATTTTCCTTTCAATTTTCAGCATATACACACACACAATATCAGCACACATTTCAAGAAAACTTTACACTTCCATGGATCTTCAATTAATTCATTCTTGATTGACTTTATTTCTCAGCTTTTTTTGTATCTTTTTTTACTCATTTCACGACAAATGGCTATTACGTCGACCACAATTGTTTTGAACGGGGATGAACACCGAAAGCTGTGTAAAGCAATGTAGCTCCGACGTGTGGGTGATAGAAGATAAAGATGACGAAATGATTGCTTTCTTGTTCATTCGCATCTTTGTCTCAGATCGACAACATCTACGAAGATGAAATTTGGTATTTTTGCACTGATAACGTCCGTTATGCTATTCCGAATCAATTTCATATCAGGAGCCAGTTCAGGTTCTGAAGGTAGAAATGAATTGAACTATGACGATTTCAGTTGGTTTACAGAAGAACATTCATTAGTCACGCCAGAGGAAATGAGATTGCCATCTATGATGCATCATGTGCCAGCACCCACTCAAGAAGAAACGGCGCCTTTTCACCGAGAACATCGCAAGATTGATGATGCTGATAGAAAAGACCGTAGCCATGAAGTGATGAAAGAGCAACTTAAACGTGCACGCGCGACTGGGATTGGATCTCTTTTTGTGAGTGGGATGCCGGGGGGGGGGTTAATTTTTTTTTCATGGTAGCTAATTTTGAATGACTTTTTTCTGTTTGTGATGAAGAAAAAGAAGAAACCACGTACATACAGTACCTCTGACAGAGCAATTCAGTTAAGGCAAGAAAGGCAAAGAATATTTGAGGTAAGCTTGTGCTTTATCCATAAGAGGGAGAAAGTTTGGTATCTCAGTATGCTTCTCAATCAATCCACAGGATCCTGCAACGGCTGTAGCTTACTTGGATGGAAGGAAAGCAAAAGAAAAAATTAGGAGAGCTGCCTGGGTAAGTAAAGGCAACTTATTGAAATTCTCAGCATTTGATGTGCTAAGCTCCTTTCCCTTATCAGACGCCAGAAAAGAGAGCAGCTCATAATGCGAGAGCAAGAAAAATTTCAGAAGCCAGAAGAGAATGGTGAGTTTGAGATAGAAGAATACCATTAAGATGATGACTAAGTTCATCTATATCGTTCTAGGCTTCGACTTCCGGGAAATGAGGTTGAGGTAAGATTTGAGCTCGGAGACTCTCCCTGCGTATAGCTCGTCACGCTGACATCATTCGTTTCCATCACAGAGAGAAGCTTTTCTGGCCAGAGCCCGGTTTAATCGCGCAAGATACAACAAAAAGAAAACGAAAAAGAATGATGACAAGCAGTGAAAAGAGCTTAAAGCAAATGGTCTTCTCGTTGATTCTTCTTTTGCGTATACCGCAAACAACTTTGTTTGTGCGGTTTGCAACACTCTGATGACTTTAGCCCCGTGTTGGCGAATAGGTCAAACTAATCCTCATACTTGCTGCTCTATACCATCATATCATCCTTCACGCATATCGCCGAAGATGAAAGGATACATCTTTCTATATTTTGTCTTTATATATTGCCCATTCGTTTCCACAGCTGGCGATAATCATCTCAATGTACACGACTTCAATCTTAATGAGTTTCCACAGTTGACAGATGATGAGCAAGTTGCATTGTCACAGTCTGATCTGCCAAGTGCTTCAAGCCCTGCATCAGCTCAACTTCATCGAGAAAGCGAAAAGACTAAGGAGAAAGTCAGAATGAGAACAACAAAGAGGAGAAGAAGTCCAGCATACTACAATGCTGCACTTCAACAGACGGTAGGAGAAATAAATAAGGCGAATGAAAGATTATTAGAAGCGAGAAAATCCGGTAAAGGTTCATTGTTACAGGCAAAAAAGTATTCCCAAACGGAAAAAGCAGTGCAGGCAAAACGAAAAAGAGATGACAGAGCAGAAAAAGGCGGCATTGAACATGAAAAATATTTAAGATACCGCAGAGAGCAAGAAAAAGCAAGAAGACATGCACTTTCTCCGGAACAAAGAGAATTCGAAAATGCTAAACAAAGAATAAGGGAACAAAAAAGGAGAGATTGGCTCAAACTCCCAGGTAATGAAGCCGAACGTGAAGCCAAGATGATGAAGGATCGTGCCAACTTTCATCGTTATCATGCAAAAAGAAAACCTTAGCGTACCGCAACAGCTCTTCCTGTATTTGATGGCATACAAGCCCCTGGAGATGCCGATACACTAGGCATGTGGTAAAAGCAGAACAGAACAAAATAAGAGAAGTATCTGAAATACTGCGACTTCCGGGAAATGAGCTCGAGGGGGATTTAAGCTCCAAGAGACCTTTTTGTGCAACATCAAGGTGACATATTATGCCAGAGTCCGTTCTGCTTAGGGGCTACAAGAGACCCGCAAAGTTTCAAGTCGATCAATGGCAGGACGAGCATAAAACAAAGTTCATTTCTTGCTGCGGCTTTCTGTGTGTGCTATGCCCCGCTCTGAGGACCGTTTATTACAGACCGCCGTACTTTTACATAACGATGTAAAGGCATACTTTTTTACACTTCCTCCCTCTTCCGTCATACCATCCTTCACGCTTGCAACCAAATATGAAACTATACAGTTCCGCATATCTTTTATTGCTTTCGTTTCCAGTTATTTGCCCTGCTAGTGACAATCAAGTCAACGTACGCGATTATAACTTTGATGATTTTTCATGGTTTACAGATAACGATTATATTGTCTCACCTGAGCATCTTCAACTACCAAAGGAACCAAGCTCGCCAAAAGTGCAACGTCAAATAATAGTGAATACGAAGGCAAAGGTCAAACAAGGACCAAAGAAGAGAAGGAGCCCGGAGTATTATAGTGCTATACTTGAACGAACAAAAGGTGAATTAGAGAAAGTGAATAAAGATTTAGAGCATGCAAGAAAGACTGGTAAAGGTTCACTTAGAATGCCTAAAAGCTCTTTTATGACGACTGAAGGTATTAAAGCAAAACAAAGGAGAGATTCACGGGCAAAGAAAGGTGGTAAAGAGTATGAAGAATTCAAAGAAATGCGAAGGCAGAAAGAGAAAGCAAGAAGAGACGCACGTACGCCAGAAGAGAAAGCAATTGAGAATGCCAAGCAAAGGTTGAGGGAAGAGAATAGGAAAAGATGGCTTAATCTTCCAGGTAATGAGGCTGAACTTGAAGCCAAGAAGTTGAAACAGCGTGTCAGCTTCAATCGTTTTCATGCACGATCAAGGACAGTTGAACAATAGTGGATCGCAACAAAGAGGTTCTTTGCTAGCCAGATAGGGCGGGAACAGAATAGTTCACGTCTCTATCAGGCTTCGACTTCCAGGGAATGAGTTTGAAGTAAGGCTATTTGTCAAGACCATTGCTAGGAAATTACGCCGACATCCTTGCGTACATAATAGAGAGAGGCTTTCCAGGCCAGAGTACGTCATAGTGGCGCTTAATGGACGAATAAACAAATGATTATCAACAGTAGGATGTTCATAATCTGATTGCATCCTCGTTGCTTTTTTGCGTACACAGTATGCTATTGTGTGTGGTCTGCTCCATTCTGATGACCATATGGCTAACCGCCCCTTGCTTTCAAATAAGGAGACAGACTTTCAGTCTCTATCCACTCGTTGCTCTATACTATCACATCGTTTTGTACCCTTGTTACTGAAGATGTTGAGAGTATACATCTTTATTTATCTTTTCTTAGTACACTGTTCGGTCGTTTCCACTGCTGGCGATGACCATCTCAATGTACGTGACTTCAACCTTAATGAAACTCCACGGCTATATGATGATGAACAAGCTCTGCTAACTGAATCAAGCACCGCAAAAGCTCACAGTCAACGAGGAAGCGGAAAGGCTATACAGAAAGTACAAAGAGACATAAAGAGGAGACGTAGTCCGCAATACTATACTGCTGTACTAGAACAGATGGAAGAAAAAATGAAAGATGTGAATGAAAAGTTAGGAGAATCAAGGAAAACTGGTAAAGGTTCGTTGATAAAAACAAAGCAACTCAAGCAAACATATAGTGCAGTGAAGTCAAAAAAAGAAAGAGATGAACGTATAAAGAAAGGCGGTAAAGAACTCGAAGATTATCGAAAATTACGACGAGACAAAGCGAAAGCAAAAAGAGCAGCACGTACGCCAGAACAAATAGAGATTGAAAGAGCTAAGCAAAGGTTGAGGGAACAAAACAGGAGGAACTGGCATAAATTGCCGGGTAACGAAGCCGAACGAGAAGCCAGCCTTCTGAAGAATCGTTATAACTTCAAACGTTATTACGCAAAAACGAGAACCACGAAATGAGCTTTTCGCGACCTTTTTGTATATGTGGCATACGCTCCCTATGTGCTTTGCCCCGGTGTCATGATTTTATTGAATTGGACAAGTAAGACAGCCCCGTTCTCAAGCATTCATAGCGGTGCATGTGAATGATGGAAGAAACTTTCACTATTTCTACTCCTGACCTTCGAAGTTTCACATTTTTCATCTTTTGCCCTAATCTTCGACATCATTTTATGATCATTTCAACTTTACGCACATAGCTGAAATGAAAGTTTTCTATTTTGCATATCTTCTTTTACTCAACCTTCCGTTTATTTCAACTACCGATGATTTTGATTCCAATGACTTTTCATGGTTCACGGACAACGATAATATTGTTTCCTCAGAGCAGATGCATTTACCGAACGATTCAAGCTCTCCAAAAGTTCAGCATAGAGCTCAGGAAAGCGTAAATGTTAAAGTTAAGCGTATTACCAAGAGACGGCGTAGCCCCGCATACTACTCTGCTAGACTGAAAGATATGGAAGGGGAGCTTAAGCAAGCGAATGAAAAGTTGGAACAAGCGAGGATCACCGGGGAAGGTTCATTAAAAAAGCCGAAAAAATTTGCCGAAGCAAATAAAGCAGTAAGAGAAAGACTCCAAAGAAATGAAAGAGTGATGAAAGGTGGTAAAGAATATGACGAGTATTTAAAGTTACGAAGGGATCGACAAAGAGCTAGAAGGTTAGCGTATACACCAGAGCAGAAAAAGCTTGTACAATTCAAACAGAGGGAGAAAGAACAAAAGAAAAGGGACTGGCTCAAACTTCCAGGCAACGAAGCTGAACTTGAAGCCTGGAAATTAAAACATCGTGCAAGTCTCAATCGACATTTTGCAAAAGAAAGAAAGAAAAATTAATGTGACGCAACAACACGTCATGTATATCTATAGTATAAAGATTAATTGACCCTAACCCTAACCCTAATCCTGGATAGAGATAGAATAGCACAATATTTTTATAATCACCAGACTTGCTGAGACTTCCGGAGAACGAATTTGAGCTCTCGGGTTGTTTGCTACTAGATCCAAAGAAAAGGAGGTTGATCCATAGTAGTGCGAGTTCAGAGCTCTATTATTTTTGAGTGCCTCTTGTTGGATATCCTATGTTTAATGTAAGCTAGATATACTTGGGAATGATGATAGTATTAGATAGAATGTAAATACATGCACTTTTACCTAACACCGAACATCGTATAACTTACTTTACCAGTAAATATAATTATATACTTGTACAGTATAATTATTCTATATACATAGGAATATCCTATGATTTAAGATCTACTAAGAAGCGGTAGTTCTACTACTATAAACCCTACTATATACTAATACTTTCTCTAATACTCTTCTTTAATAGTCTAGAGTTATTTTAGAATATTATTAAATAAATATTATATTATCTTATAATATATATTATCTATAAGATATTTTATTAATATATCTATTTTCTAGTTTTCTATAATAATATATTTAAGCTAAAATTTATCTTTCTTAATTTTATCTTTTATTATATAAAATCTAATATTAATATATTTTAATCTTTTATATAATATCTAATTTTTATTAAAAATAATTATTATTATATTATTATAATAAAGAATTATAGATTTTATTATTATTAAATTTAAATTTTTATATAAAAATATAAATTATTAAATCTCTTTTAATATTTTATTTATAATAATATATTTTATTTTTATTATTAATCTTATTATTAATAATTATTTTTATAATATCTATATAATTAAATTATT